TTGTTTGGGTATGTCGTCTTAGAGGTTTGCATCTTGGCGGCACATTGACAATCCTTCAGGATTTTCCAAACTTTGTCATCCCAGGACACAGCACTAGGAATAGTGGACGGATCACCCACGTTAAACTCACGCAGGGATTGACTGGCGCACTCAAGCTGCTAGGAAAAAACCTGGACGTTCGTATTGCCCAGAATGGCAGAATTGGAGCTGAGGGATACGAGATCCCTTGGCTCAAGTATAACCAAAACTCTGTCCCTACGACGTAAGTCATCGTATATTGGCTCAAGCGTCGTGCTAAACGCCCGTAGGATCCATCTTCCTCTTGGCATCACGTTGCCTGCGTCATAGTGTACTTGTGGACATTGTAAACATCTGTAATTGTTTGATATCCTCCCTCGTGGAAAAGTCACGGAGGCAAGTGAACACTAAACTTCAACTCGACCCCACCAAACATGGCCAACGAGGAAATGGTCAAATACACGTCGCTTCTCCAGAGAGACTCAACTATTGCGAGGTTTAAATCGTCCTATGAACAATGTCGCGTTCGTTCTAGAACCTCGAACGTACAAGCAACAGACGGGGAGATGATGGCAGTTTGCGCCTATCTTGCAGGGCGCGAGTAAGTCGCCCTTCGTATATATAACCTGTCTAAAACGTCAAAAGAGTAGCCGGAACAGCTGCGACTCGCGAGACGTGTGCTAGGCTGGCCTGTATGACCGCCAAAACGTTCGATCGCGTTGAGGATGCCATCCGCAAGCTACTCAATCAAGGGACATCGAGAAAATCTTTGACTGTAACCTCCCTTGCCGAAAAATATGGGTTCCCCGAAGACGATTTGGAGGCGGCGCGAGGCGTCGAGTCTGCACTCAAGTATAGCATCACTCGGGAACTACAAGATGAGCGAGTAGTCTGTGGAGTTTTCTCCATAGTCTGTAAAAACCTTGGATATGTGCGTAATTTTCGCCACTAAAGATTGCTGCTGACTTGTGCAGTCATCAGTTGCTTGGCTCAAAGAGGAGGCAAAGATACACGATCTCGACTTGAAAGAGGTCAGCTTGGTGACCAAGAGACTTGAAGGTGTCCAGGGCGAGCAGATAGAAACAGTAATACGGCGGTACAAGGAAGGTGGTCGACCATCCCGACGCAAGCAGTCGTCTCAAAAGGCTCTTCATCTTTCTTCAGTAACGAGGAGCTCGCCTTCTCCTGTGAAGCGAAAAGCACCAGAAGAATCATTACCAAGGCCAAGTCCGCTCAAGCGACCAAAGTATTCCATGGAGTCTGTTCCATCTACTGCTCCTTCTTCACAGCGAGCTGCATCTTCAGTACCTCCCTCTCCATCCGAGGCCACTTCTTTCCGCAGCTCAATCGTCAACGACTTGGTTGTAGACGACCCCGACCCAGAGGGTGGACCGGAAAATGAAGACGGAGAGCCTGACTGGGATGAGGAGTATCTGGTCGATTTGGAAGATATTGGAGGCCTTACCTGGGAGGACCTTGCCCAAGCTCGGCAAAAGGTGCTCACATCGCGTTCAGCAACCAGACCACCAAGGTTAGTATTCGCAGATCGAGTTTTTTGGAATAGTAGTATCGTATAATATACATACTTGCTACCTAAGTCCTTTAAAGTTGCCTGAGTCGCGGAAAACGCCCTGGAATAGGGGCGACCTCTGAGACTCGTGATGCTCTCAGTGAGCTCATCTTGAAAACCGGCAGTTTTTGCCCTATATTGCGGAAGAGGGCACTTCTCTCCCGTTCAATAATCCACTCCCGTACGCGACTCGCAATCCAGTCATAGTCATCCCGGAAGAGCATCCCGCGTGCTACTCGGAGGCGAAGTTTTTGCAACTTCATAGGCATACACTCTTCGCGGAGAGCGAGGAGCCTTCTAACTGTCGCCAGTTCTGCCTCTGGCAAGCACAGGCTCGTTATTGACGGCCAGGCAGAGGAGAGGAAGGACACGGTTTCCGTGTCCAAGAACATGAACCCCGACAGCTCTGCTTGCTGTAGATGCGGGAAAGCATCCCGAAGGGTTTGGCTCTTCTCCTCATCAAGGCCACCGGGGATGCCGAGCTCGAGCCGAATCACCGACTCGAACAATGCCCGCTTCTTGCCATGTAATATTTGGCCCATTAAAACATCCTTTAGGTGGTCTGATTGCACGATCCTCACGTCTAGTTGGAGCTGGAGGGTGTGTAAAGCCGGAAAGTCGCAATTCTTGAGCAAGTTTAGAGAATATTCCCCCCACACGAAGATGGTGAGCGTGGTCAAACATGGAAATATGTTGACCACTTCAATATTGTCGTTCTCGTCCTGTGCGGACCATCGACCTTTGAGCGTGAGCGATCGAAGTCCCTTTGCCACATTTCCGAGCAAGCGGATCAAATCATGGAGCGACGGTGCCGGTCGTTCCGAGTCGAACGGGCCAAGAGAGAGTTCCATTAGTGATGTATGCCACCATGGGTCCCAGAAAATTGGCCAGTATGCAATGGCCACTGACCGCAGTGGAGATGTTCCAACGGGGATCAGTGAATGGGTAGGATGAAGCATCCCCGATCGAGGGTCCGTATTCTGTATCGAGACTTTCTCCAAGAGTGGCATGTTGTGGGCCAAAGGATCGGCATCGTCCCCCCATAGAGGTTCAATAAGAGGGATGAGAGTTTGCGGTGCCTCGCAAACAAGAGACCGCCACCGATCACACTCTATGATCACGAGGCGGATAAAATTGCGAGCTTCGGTGAGTGTGTTGGGTTTACGGCGCTGCATCTCTGGCGTGACAGTGAGGACAATGTCTAGAGGCGCAGAGCAGGACAGCTCAAAGCAGAGCTCTGCAAGCTCACCCGAGTGTGAATTCGGGATGAACTGAACCTTGTTCCAGAGCAGTGGGTCTTGCCGGGCAACTCGACGAAGTTTGGTGCAAGTTGCGACGACCTGACGCTGAAAGGAGAGGTGCTTAGTGTTTTCCTCTGCGCCGTACTCGAATATAGTCTTTAGGATCTCGTCGGGGAGGCGGATAAGAGTACAAGGCCCGGTCATGGTTGGATCCAAGGAGTGACTAGGGCAAAGGGTATGTCAAACTCGAGGCCCAGAAGACGAGATTAGAAGTGAATAACATTCATAAATGAGATGTTGATAAAGAGGATACATGGCACTAGGCCTCGATGCTGTGTGCGGAACAAACCGTGCGTGCAAGCCGAAACGCGATGGAGGGAGGAAGATGGGAGGTAGCGACCACGTGGTCACCTGGGGCTAGGACGCGCCTCTAAAGGCGCGGAACAGTGATTGCTAGGCCGACAGTTGTCGATTCCCACTCGAGTGCGAAATGGTGGAGAGACGGTTTGGCGACTTCAAGTCTTCATGCTGATGCATTAGTTCGGCATATCTAGACCGTTGTCAGATCTATCTATTAAGACTATATTCACTCACAGAAGCTTGAAACGAACGAGCTCGGCCTCGTACTCTTCCTTTTCGACCTTGGCCATCACCAGCTGATTCTGCAGAGCCTCAGCAATAATCATCACGCAAGATACGACTTACGATGACGTCACAATGCTCCGCCTCAACTTGCGCATATGATTCCTCTAGCTTTTTGCTATGAGATGAGTCAGATGGGGTTCAAAAACCCAAAGGCAACGTACATGCGAGACTTGAGGACCGCATTCTCTCTTCGCAAATTTTCCATCTCGACGAGATGTGCAGTCTGAGCCCGCCGCATCTCCATATACTCCCCCGCGAAACCGTCCAATTGAAACGGTGTTATCCGCAAGGCGGCTGCATCGCGGATGAAATCGTCGATTCGGATACGCTCGTCCTCTCCATCTTCCAACTCTTCTTCTACCTGCCCAGCTGTCCAGTGACCGAGAATGTCAATATAGGATTAGACTCACCATGTAGCAATCTAGTAACGATGTCTTGAGAAACTCTAATATCTGGTCAAACTTGAGGTTGAGGAGTGTTTGTTCATTCTTTTGAAGGAGGAGGACACTAAAGCTGAATATGGCATCCACTCCTGTGGCCCAAACGTGATCAAAGATGCGGAACACCAGGTCTAATGGGAATCTATCCACAGTTAGAGCTAGCTATCACAACCAGGACGTCAACTCACCTATAGGCGAAAAGAGTCATGAACCACTGCGAACAAAACATGCTCGACTTGACGCCTTGCCGCAGGAAATGAATATGAAGCACCGGGAGCATTTCCTCTATGAGTCGATCAAACTGGAACAATCGTAGTTGGAGGCTAGGCATTTCGGGCAAAAAGTGGCCACGGAGCTCGTACGACTGCATCAAGCGAACGAGGAGACAGAACGCCTCTTCATCTGGACACACGAGCAACAAAGGTGCAACAATGAAGGGGAGTCCCTGACAGTACCCACACTCCGGATCAAACCTGAATTATGTGAGTAGGAGGGTAACATAGTCAAAAACGCCAGTGCTTACAGTGAATAGGCTTTGAGTACGTTGAACAGAGACTCTTGACCAACACCTTGACCGTCGTTGAAAAACGCATGATGTGGAAACGTGCGTCCGAGGTCTCGGCTGATCGCCTTTTCGTGCGGACTCCTGCCCTTGATGAGATTGGCGTATAGCTGCTCCAATTCTGTATCTTTGGAAGCCGACCTAGACCATACTTGTCAGTCAGGTGAGGGACTGTGTGAAACCATAGACTCACATCAGTTGCCACAGCATCCCTCGGAGGGCGGCTGGTATTCCCGCCTCTATAGCTCGTGCAAGCTTTTTGGGTTCGTTTCTCGCAAACGACTCGTAATCGCTCATGACGACGCCCCAGAAATCTAGATGCCTGTTAGCATGGGTCTAGAGGCCAACAATGAAAAGCACATACCCCAGTTGATCCCATCTGCCGTGATGGACTCTGTCTCATCCTCTTTAGACTTTCTAACATTCTCAAACTCTGCCTGGAGAATATTCTTGCCATCCAGGCTGACACGCGCAGCCTTTGTGGGGCTAAGCATATCCTTTTCGAGCTTTGCGAGGATGAAATCTGCATTCGAAGTGGATGACACGCTCGGCGGTGTAGGCGAAACGAGCGACGAGGGTCTCCGTTTCGCCTTGGAGTCTTTTGTCGATCCGGTAGACGCTAGCGTGGCCGACATGGACGTACGGGGCGTCTCGAGTGAGATTTCCATATTCTTCGTCGATGAAACGGACACTCGCTGGCCCTTTGGCTCCGACAGCTCGCTCTGCGGGGCATCCGGCGTCGTTGCGGACAGAGGCACGGTGGAGAAGCGTGCATTCGCCTCGTCGTCGTCGGATTCTTCTTCCTCGTTGGTAGACTGTGCCTTTGGGTTTTCTTCTTGTTTTGATTCTGTCGTTTCTTGCAGAGCGTCGAGTGCGGCGGGCTCGTCAGCCAGCAGCGTGGTTGCGGATGCGTGCTCTGGCTTTGGAGTCGGCTCAGGATCACCAGAGAGATTGTTTGTAGTCAGATGGAGGACCTGGGTGTCCTCTGGCAAGGTTGGTTTCGCCTGGTCTGCCATGATTGTCGTCGTAGACATGCGCTAGGGAGGGAATATTGCGGAGAGATGAACGAGATGAGCCAGAATGCAAACGAACAAGAAACTAGAAACGAATGAAAAGGCAATGCAGGGTCGTCAGAGCAAGTCACGGTATGCACGATCAGAAAGGAAGTGTCCAAGTTTTGGTCTCGCCCAATTACAGTGGATCCTCCGGGCGAGACTATGCAAAATTTATGGGATATCTACTTAGAACTGTCAAAAGGAGAGTTACACGTTTCTGCCATTTCCATGAACAATAAAGACAAATGCAAGTCTAGCACGAATAATGTAAGTAGTACATCTATATCAATAGTGAGCAACGAGGAGGGAGACCACCCCTCTCCAGAGGAAGACTACGCAGTGGGCGTGGTCGGCGAGGGGGGCGGGAACCTATATGAATGCAGGTCCGATACTGGGTTGGGTGCGGATATAAAGGAGAAAGTGTTCGAGTCTCGTGGGCGACTGCGGGGAGCACGGGCAGAGTTGAGTGTCGCAACAGAGTCTGAGCGGTCTGTCACGATAGATCGTGGTGGTTTGAGTTTCCAACATCGAAGTACTTCGTCCTGAGATGCAAAGATGAAGAAGACGACGGGTCCAAACAGGGCCACGAGAATGTCGGGGATGGGCGAAGAGTAGTTGACGAGTGCAATGCCAGAGAGGCTAGAGACATGAATGAACACCAGAAGAGGAAAGCTGAACCGAGTCACGTACACGATGGCAAAAAAGACAAACAAGCCGAATGATAGTACGCGGATAAAGAGGGCGACATCGCTACCAACTTCAGCCCGGCCAAATTTGCGTGATATTCTGTATCTTTTAAAGACGATGAATAGTGTCCATACTTGAAAGAGGACGGTGGTGGCGAGAATGACCAGCGTCGCGACGGCGTTGAGGAGGGTGAGCGTCTTGTTATCGGTCATGCAGTAAAAGTCGTGGCGGGTGACTGGTGATTGGGTGCCGACCTAGACCGAATGATCAGAGAGCGATAGGGGATAGTCCGGGGGGACTCACAATTGAGCCAGCCACGGCAAAGGCCACGAAGAAGAGATAGGGGAATGCAATCGACTGGGGGCGATATTCTTAGCCCTTGGCTATCATAAACCATCGACGATAAGCACATACTATTGAATTGAATTGAGTGTCCGTAAACCAGGGCGTCCGTTCGTGGTGGACGAGCCAAGCTAGCCGCCAAACCTGTGAGATAATGAGCCATCAGACAGCGGTGCAGACGCTCGTACTCACGGTAAGGACGAGAGAGAGCGCAAGACCGCTGAGCGCAGGCGGAAATGCGAGCATGAGCGCGCTCTGGGCTTGACAGAGGACCTTTGGTGGCTCTGGGCCGTGGACATGACCCGTGAAGAGTCTGTCCGACATTGAGTACTTCTAGACTCGTATTCTGGCAGATTATCACTCACAATAAGCATGCAACGATCCCAAACAAGCTGTATGTCGACGTGTTCGCTGCGTTCCGGCGTTAGCAAGCCATGCTAATCTCCGAGTGGGCGTCGCCTCGCCAAGAAAAATAGAAATAAAATTTGGGAAGCTCACCTGGGAGGAGAGGACTCGGTTTGAGGACTCCAGGATGCTTGAAACCAAAGACAAGAGTGAGTGTGAGCGCCGAGTTTGCGACAAAGGAAAAGATATGGAGAGCATAGTAGCCAATTGGGAGTGAACTTGAGCCCATTACAGCCCGACACCGTGCATTCTGCGCGCAGAAAATCCTGCGTATTAACGAGACGGATGTCGGCGGGTCCAAGGAGTGCAAGAGGCTGATCCCATCTGGCAAAGCCATACATATCCTTAGGCGGCGCACGCGTCCAATTCATTCGCCACGCTACTCCCCCCTTCGATAGCCGGACACGCCCATTTGCTCCTATTATTCCACCAAACCCACATTTATAATATCTAATCCTCTTCGTCGTCCACATTCCCATACTCAAACATGCCCGCCCGCTCCCGTTTGGCCGTCCTCAGCGCCTCCTCGAGCGTCTTCATCACGTTGGGATAGTTGCCATTGTACTTTGCAACCACGCCCTTGCGCTCAATGCTCGCATATCCCTCGCGCACCATGTCCGCATTGATAGATGCCTCGCCGCTTCCAGACGCCGGGTCCGAGGGATCAATCAGCCGCAGGTGGAGGATGCTCCCTTCTCGATAGTCGATATTCCCGATCAGCTTGCGACCTTCGCACAGTGCACGGAACCTCTCCGTCGCCTCGTCGTAGTACTCGCTCCCCGGCGCCACCAGCTTGACAAAGCTATTGCAAACAAAAATTTCCATTCGTCAGCACATGGTTGCACCACCCGCATTATTTGATGATGCGGGCATATGGCGTGAAGCCCCTCCCAGCCACGTTCGCCGGGTCCAACTCGGCCAACGTGCATCCCTCGTTCATCGCGCTCGTTCACTCACCTCAATCGTGCATCATGTGCCTGCGGTGGCAGGGACGCAAATCTTCGCTCCAAAGGTCGCGTATGAGTAAACGGCAACGTCGCCCTGTTGCCATAATCAATAAACACAACCTCGGCCTCCTTTTTCGCTGGTGATGCCCGCTTGACTTTGGCTCGGTACCATTGACCATCGGAAAACTTTGCCGAAATGAGCTCTTGCGCCTTGGGCACAAACCCGGGCGCAGGCGGTGCTGTCTGGTAATGCTTTGCAAAATCGACCATGAGCTTTTCGAGTGAGGCAATTCCTGGATAATTCGGATATCCGGTCAGTTTCTCTCACACGGTCGCTCGTGGCTCCTCGCTTACCTTCGGTATTCAAGATCTGGACCGAAAAGCCAAACTCGTCCGTTCGGATATCGCTCAGAATTACGTCAATGAATTCCACCTTTGTCGGCACGCTCGATTCCGCTTCTGGTGCGGGCGCTTCCTCCTCGGCATGGTCCTTCCATATCTGTAACCAATATTCTCAGAGGGAGGGGAGGAGAGGTGCGCAATCGTGGATCACGTACATTCTTGCGTGCTTTTTTTGCTTCTTCCTCTGCATCCATCAATTGCTTGCTCCATGACAGACCCTCTGCCGAGTGAGCGTGGACCGTTGCCAGTCCCTCTTTGACGAGCGTGATGGCTGCATTTTCCGTCTTGTTGAGATACATGGCACCGATAAACCCGCCAGATTTGTCCACCGCTTCAAATTCAACCTCGACATCGCGTTGCATGTAGCGCCGTGTGGCAAACTCGGCTGCTTCAGGCCCATATGGGTCGCTCCGCTCGCTTTCGTTGCGAGCCGTCTTCGGTGCACGGATACCGGAGAGTACAAACGTTAGCGTCACGTTGTCGCGTGGGATGAGTAATCTGTAATGTTTACGGCATTCGTCAGCTAATTTACCGTTTACGCTTGCCTGTATCATTTCTCACTTGAATCGAGAGCCAGCCGCGACGTAATCTACCACGGCAGGTACTCGTTTTTGGCGTTTGAATCCGGAGAGGAACTGGGTTGCGCGCCCTACGTTCTAGAAGCCACCGCCGATAAGCGTTGAAAAGCACAACAATCCCTTTTACACACCTCGGATGCATTGACTAGCTTTGGCACCGTGGCCTCCTTGCCAGAGTGTAGTCCGAGTTTTTCATTGATCGCGCTGGGGAAATAATGTCAACACGTGAAGGATCAATGGCAATGCAATCCAACGTTTGCTCAGCTGCCATCAACTTGTCGTAATCTGGCGACCTGTCCTCATCATCGCGCTTGTGACGAACCACCGTGGCGAGTCCCTTTGCAATGAGCTGTTCGGCAATGTTCCTAGTACATGCGAGTGGGCGGGTCAGCATACCACATAGAGGGAACTAACGTGGCGCGTACGCGTGGCTAGCACCAAACCGAACGGTGGCACATTCCCTCTCCTCAAACGCCCCCTCCTGAGGCCGGACAAAGTCCACATGGGCGTGCACTGTCTTACCAATGAGCTTCTTGCGTAAGAACTGGTCAATCAATGAGCACGTGTGTTATCAGGTTTTAGAACTCCATGTCACCTCTCTTCCCTCGGCGGCGTAAAAGGCCTGTTTCGGATCTGTGGTCCTTGATCCGCGTGTTAGCGAGCTCTCTTCACGTTGAGATGGACGAAAACCGACTTTGGAGCCCGTGTAGAGCTCAACTGCACTCTCCGCTCCTTGCCCGCCTTGTCGAGGATGCTAATCTGGTCCGCACTCCATACCCTGATCACTTGACCGTCAATGTTTCTCTGGTCGCTTGACCGCGAGGATGCAGCGCCAGGGGCCTTGCCCTTGGCATTGCCACCTTCTTGCTGTGCATAGAGAAATTGTTTCTTCTCTTTGGCGGTACTAAGCGGACAGGTAAGCTGTTATCTCGTCGAATCCAGTTCGGGACACAGTCACACACCTCTCGGCGGCACGGAGACGTTCCATGAATCCGCCTGCTGCAAGCATGCCCGCATGCCAGTCGACGACTCGAGCGAGCCCGCTTGCGACCAGATGCTCACCAATGTTGCCATTGGGGTGCATCACAATGCCGATAAACATGCTCGCAGGTGGCGGTGGTCCACTCGTCGACGAAAAGGGGAGCGCTGCTGGTGTTGGCACGGATAGGAGCTTGACACGCACGAGTCGTTGTAGCAGGCGACTTTCGGTGAAGAATTTGGCCTGGGTTTTCTCGCTTAAAACATTGCATGGGGCTAACGTGAACAATCTCACCTCGTCACCATAAGGTTCGCCTGGCTCGCCGTCCTTGCCTCCGGTGCGCGGGCAGCGAATACCCGCAAGGGAGATGGTGACAATCTGATGCAAGTCGTCTGCTAGCAGGAGTCGCACCCTGAGAGTTGATCCATCTCTCACTTGCTCGACAATGCCTGTATTCACGACGTCACAAGCGAGTCGTAAAGGTTGAGAAGGGGCCACTCACCATCGATCATCTGGTCCTTCCACTGTTTGAGGAAAGCCTGAGAGTCTGCGGGCATTGTGTTGTGTACGGTACGTTGCTTGACAAAAGGTTAGCCTGGGATCTCGTTGATTGCCAGTAGACGTACCGGAGGCCCCTCTGGACGCCAAATCCCTCGACCGGCTTGCTTCGCCTCATTTTCAAGCTCTTTCTTCCTCAAGTCTTCTTCGGTAGGTTCTCGCTTCGAGCCCTCTTTGGTACGCGCCCATCCACTCGCGAGCAAATCCTTTGCAAGATCACCATTGAAGTCGACATTGCCAAAGTCGCGTTGAACGTCTGGATCCGTGTTGGATGGGGGCAACGAGTGTGTTGGTGTAAAGGTGATTTCCTTTCCAACCAGTAGCTTTCGCAAGTTTTCACGACAGTCGTACGCCCATGGCTAGTGACATTGTGATGAGTGTCTGTTCGCTCTGGCACGTCGATTGCACAAACCTCGTCTTCACGCGTCGAACTTCCCATTCGTGGCGCGGATATATCTGCGATATGGAGGATGCTGACAGACGAGACGTTAGCCACTGTCGAAGGCGCGAAACGAGGTGAGCTTGCCGTTCTTTTGGCGGTTGACCAGGTCCTGTAGCTCTGTTTCTGAGTACGAGAGTGTCTCCCGACGTGACGGCTTGTTCTCGTCAATGTGTGCCCGCACGAGATGGGAGAGGACGAACATTTTACAATCTACCGACGCAAGGACGACGTGAGCGAGTGTTGAACGAGTATTTTAATTGACATACTGCTTTGAGACTGGTCATTTTGCACGATTTTTGCGCGAGTGTTGCTGGCGTCGACGTTGAGTGTGGAGAAAGAGTTTGGATAAGTCGCTGGCCATACAGACAGACTTTTATTTTGTGAATTTCGTCAATATTGGAGATAGTTTCAGATAGTGTCAGTATTCCTCCGTCCTCTTTGACAAGTCGCGGCTGTCAATTTCAAAAGTCGAATATTCCTCCGTTTTTGCCGGTGTCTGTCGATCGTCCGCGGCATCGGCGACGAAGAGCGCGCATATAGACCGTCGCCGACGACGAGCGCGACGACGACAACGGCGACTAGGAACGGGTGTTTACTCGGATTGTTATTGTTATTAACATTAGTATTACACTGAGGCTGGCAGCGTCCCATCTTGCACTCCGCCAGTGCCCTCGCTTTCTCAAAGCCTGTCAATTCTACGGCCCACAGCGCACTCTTGAGGATATTCTAGACACAGCAGACTGTCTTAGATTATAGCAGCGAGCACCCGCCCCGCTAGGGCTCCATCATGGCGTCTCTTGCTGCTAATCGCGCTCTCCGCTCGTCTACAGCTGGCTCGTCGCCAGCAATACATCTGGGCTCCTTCTCTCGCATGGATATTGCTGATTTCGACTCCAAGGGCCGCTACCCAACCACCCCTTCTCCTCAAGACGTCCGCTCTGTCCCCGTTATCGCGCCAGCCTGGGCTCCCATCGACCCAAACGCACCCCAGAACGCATATTCTCACCAGGAAAACACGAGTGGCGATCGTTTCCAGCAAGGCGGGCCTTCCGGTCTCTCAAATGGCGCTGGCCCGTACGACAACGCATCGATGCCTCGGTCTACGGGCGAAGATGCTCAACGAAAGAATTCTGGGGATTCTGCGGGCTCAAATGCAATGCCAGTGGGACCAGGCCCGGGCACTCCAAGCCAACGACCCTATGTTGATGTCTCCTTGCAGGATCCTGCACGCGCTTCTCTTCCTCCTGGACCACGACACCCACAAGCACCCTCGAGGGCGAGCACCATTTCCCAGAATGCACAGCTCACACCCCAGGCAGGTCGACCGACCGGCCAATATCCTTATACGCCAGCGACGACAGTGACACCGACGCCAGGCAATCAACAAACACAAACTCGGCAGCCGGATGCAGATCCATATAACACGTTTGGTGCCACTACCCTCCAAGTCCAGAACGCGCCTCGCGCCCAGATGCCCCCACCGCCGGAGGAGGTATGCATCGAATGTATGATGCGAGACAGGGACATGGCCGATGTCATTGTGACTGGTCCAGGCATATGGGACCGTGATAGCGACGTACACCTCCGCGACCTTCTCGAGCGCGAAGACCAAGAGGAAATGGCATGGCGAGAACGTCATGCTGCTGAACTCGCTGTACCAGGTAACAAGCTGCGTCCACCCAGACGTGCTTCCAAGGGCCACCGTCTCACGGAGCAGAATTTGAAAATCTGGTTGACATTGGTCCGTCCTCTCACACCCTCCCAGACGCAATAGGCTCTGATCATTGATATCTTTAGAACCCAAAAGAGGCACATGCCCGTCTCATGACAATCGACGCCTATGTCAAACAACAAGCGGCACTCCTCGTCGAAGAGGCAGAAGCCCGTGCCAAAGCCCAGCAAGATGCTCAACGCTTCGACGCACGGGTGCGAGATAATTATCCGCAAACTCGACACTCTACGTATGAACCTAGCTCGACCGGCATCGCCAGTGAAGACTCGGCCTCTGGAGCTCGCATCCCGCCTCCCCGTTCGAGCATGTACGAGGCTCTGCCAGCCGGCCAGAAGGACCACAAGCGGGATACGATCATTCTCGACAGTGGGATGATCGTCGAACGTGTCAATCTCAAACGTGAGGAAAAGGAGCGTCTGCGCGAGCAGAAGAAGGCTCGGAAGGCGTCGCAGGCAACTGACATCTCGACATTATCGCCCGGCGGTTACGCATCTCCAGCGACGCCGACGCCAAACGGCATGGACTCGGACTTTGAGCCTGCCTATGGCAATATGTCTGTGACTTCTCTCGGGGGCTTACGGCCAAAGTCTGCGCCCTTGGGTGTGCCCATCCCGAAATATGCGTCTCATGCTTCTATGGACGGCAAGGGTCATCGCTTCATGGGCTCGAAGCACTGGCAGGCACCGTGGAATAGCGGCGCTAGTGTGGCTCCGTCTGGCAGCATGATGGATATGCAGTAAGTTGGACAGTTCTTAGGGTGATACTCGGACTTCTCACGCTTCGTAGTGTTGCATTGGATCAAGAATACGATCAGCAAATAGAGCAGTTTGGCGCACCTCCCCGATTGAGCAACCAGCACGCCATGTCGTCGTTTAGTCTCCCCGCCTCACCTCGAAATCAATCGCGTCCACACACAGCCGATGCAATGATGCATTCCCGTCGCTCGACGAGTCCCGATCCTCGCGCGAAAAAGCCGAGCGGGTTTGGCAAGCTTTGGAAGATGGTTCGTTCCAAAAAGTCGGAGAGCAAGCATCATACTTCTTCGGTCATTAACTATGCCCGGGAAGACGACATGTCGACGCCGCTGCCTCCCCCCAGGGTGCCATATGCGGCGAGTCAGCGATCCGCTATGTCTCCACATACTCGCCAGGCGTCTGGACCTGGCTCACAACCCGGATACCTTCCGTCTCCGTCTCATCCTCGCTCCATTTCTCAGTCGGGAGGTGCCATCTCTCCGACAACTGCACCATCTAGCTCTCTTCCTTCGCCTACGTCTAATCGATTCCCCTGGAGAGAATCGACGGGTGATGAGAGACGACAGAGTGTGTATACAAAAGAGGTCAACGGTGACGCAGAGACACTTCAAGGCGGTAGTCAGATGGAACCCCCCCAGTCTGTTCAATACCCGGAGATGAGCATGCAGCGACCCCAACCGACGGGCGGAAGTGCAAGCTCGGAATACGGTCGATTGTTGCCTCCCAATAGCAATGGTGCACCTGCCCGCTCACCGGCTCCGAGCACGGCCATCCTCTCGTCCTCGGCGCATAGTCCTAGACCTCTGTCCTCTATCCATAAACCTCTTCCTCTACCACCCGCTTCTCCTGATACGTCTGCGCGACACACATCCATGTCCTTCCAAGGCGGCGCAAACTATGCTGGCGCTCGGCCCTCGACTGGTAGTGGCGCGGACATGTATGCTCCTTCCGTCCCATTCCGCGAAGATGGGTACGATGCTAGACGTCAGTCTTTTAGCGATGCGCTCCCCCCTGGTGCTGCCCAGACATTACAACCAAAGCGCTCAATACCGGCAATCGCATACAATAGTGGAGCACAGTATGCAGACTTTGGGGGTCAAGTCGATAACTATGGCCTGACACCATACTCGAACGGTACCTTGAGCGACACGAGCACCAAGACGAAGCGAAGGAGTCGGTTCCTCCCCTTCTTGTCAAAGAAGGAGAAGGAAAAGGTGCCGTTTGCACCCCAACAGCTCAACGGTGGATTTGAAGGGTACGAACCAGCTCCCTTGGCACCCCCAAGCCGCCCCGCATTTGGCCACTCGCAGCGATCCCAGTCGTCTGTCTCCCTCAACACGCCAGAGTATGCGGCAGGGACTCATCTAGGCCAGCCACAACAACAACTTGGCTACAACGATAGGGCCCGGCCGATGAGCGGCTACTCCACGTTTACGAATGGCCAGCGACCAAACAAGGCGCTCATTGACCAGGTCGTGCCGCGCGACAATGACTTTTTGGCGTACAGATATCCATCTGTCGAACAGCCATCAGACGTTTCGCGCAGATAGTCCGTGTCGAGATCATGAAATTGTGTTTTTTTTACCCACACCAACCCCACATATCAAAGAAAAGGAAAACCCCCTCGCCGCTCGTTTTGTCACTCCTTCATTCCCCCTCTACTCCACTTAATTCGGCTTCTTTTCTTCGCTCGACGCTCATTGAAACCCCCCTCTTTTTCGCCATTTTTCGAGACGGCGGCTCCTCACGCTCACTGTATGCCCTCTACTATCCCTGCAGCATATCTTGTCCCTTCATGGTTTGGTTCATAACGTTGTGCCTGGTTTCCATCCCCAGAACGGACCTTCGGCCTGTTCCCTCGTTGCCCTCTCCACTCTTTTACCCTAGGTCTCTCAGATTGGCTTCTTTAGCGTCTGTGTAATGTCACCAGCCTCAGTTCAACTTATCAATGCTATCATGCTCGGAACTCCACACACGGAATGAGAATAAGCACTGAATATTAGCAAACAGAGAGTATACAGCTAGAGATCCCATCAAAGACTGAGCACGCGGTACTCGGTAAACGTTGCACGCCCCGGCATGACACATCGTGATAGAGGGTAGAAAACTGGGGATCCTGGACACGAGACATGACAGACAAGAGATAGAGAAGATGATGACACAAATCGCAGAAGCTAAGGGAAATCGTAACCAAAACATTTTATTCTGGCCAAAGCGTCAGGAAATGACCTTGAAGACTATGAGAGAGGGGTTGCATACCTTCGTGTTTCTCAGTTGACGCTTCAGGCTCTCCAATATGCACCGATTCAGTCGGAAGTACGTCCTCTGTCGTAGAGATAGCCATTTGAACGTCGTCCATAACACCGAGCATTGGGGTCGTTGGAGCAGATTCTTCAATACCACTGGGACCCGTCGAACGCCAGTTACCCCGGCGTTTGGGCTCACCCGCCTTCTTTCCTTTTCCCTTGGCAGGCGTGTGCGCAATTGCATCGTGCTCGACCGCCCCTCGGATGGAGGCAGCATCATCAACATGTGCAACGGATTCAGTATCGTCTTCTGGTGGGATCGACTTGGGAGTCCCACGAGGTGTACCCCGTGTGTTGATCGAAAACGCCGAACCGCGCTTTGACATTGCGGCTAGGCCCCCACGACGTCCTTTACCCTTTGGTCCTCCTCGTGCGCCACCCTTTCCACGGGTTGGCTTGCTCCTCCTCTCCGTGTCTTGATCTTGGTCAGCCTCGGGGTCAATAACGGACTCGTCCCCTTGTTGGTGGTCCTCCTTGTCCACGCTTTGAGTTTCAGGATCGACATCAGGATCTCGAGGTGTTTCCGGCTTTGGTGAGCCTTCGCCCTTGGAGGCATTTTCTTCGTCCTTGAGGGATTCCGCACCCTCGTCGTCTTCGGCATTTTCGGCAGTACCACTCATGTCACCATCTTCGTTCGAGCGCTTTTTCTGTTTCTGTATTCAGTAATCAGTCCCTCTTGGGTCGCAAAACTTGCACACACTCACCTTTGCTTCCATGGCAGCAGCACGAGCAGCGGCAGTCTTTCGCGCATTTGGACGCATTCTGCGTTTAACAATGCGGCGCTCGGGATCCTCTTGACCTTCGGCATGCGAAGCTTCGTCCTTTGGGCTCCCGGCGTCATCTGCCGTCTCTTGAGCGGCAGCAGCGAGTGCAAGGGCAGATGCCGCCGCAGCACCTCGACGAGGACGTTTGTTAGGAGGTGTAGGAGTCGCTTCTTCCTTGGCAACTCCGGCCTTTTCTTCCTCTTCGAATTCGGTTCGCTTGCGCTTCCCACTGGCAGCGAGAGCATTACGCGTATTCTTGCCCTTTCCAACGCCTTTGACGGCTCCCCCTTTGCCTTTACCATTTGCACGTGAGCGCCGTCCATTGGTTGGGGGCGGAGTGGTAGCAGTGGCATCGTTTCCTTGCAGATCACCTCCAGCGGCATTGGCAGCATCTCCTTCTCCCTCTACAGCAGTCGCCGTAGTATCTGCAGTAGCTGCAGCGCCTTTCTTCTTGTCTTTGCCCTTGCCACCGGTGCCACGAGTGTTTGCGCCCTTTTTGTGTCTGCCAGAGGTGCGGCGCGGAGGGGTGACCACCTGTTCCTCTGGCTGAGGGGGAGCGCGTTCGACGACGGGATGAAGGCGTGCCCATTCGGTCTTGATCGCCTCTCGATGCAGGTTGCGGTATGGATGGTAGTAATGATACATGGGGCTGTAGCGAACAAATGGACCACTTCGTGGCTGTTCCGAGTCCGGTCGGAATAAAAATGCATGTTTGAGATGTTTGTTGGCGTCTTTCTCTGGTTCGAGTAGCGTGACCTCTGGTTGATCGGAGGGCATAGACCGTGACTTGCCGATTACGGCGGCCGCAGCGCGTACTGTCGATTTTGGTCGCTGATTCTTCGGTGTGGTCACACTGAGGGGTCCCGATGGACTAGTAGGAGTGCCAACAGATGATGATTTCGACCCCGGTTTCTGTCCTTGACTCGGGGTGGAGGCTCCCTTTTGGACAGTAGGAGGCTGGCGAATCAGGAAGCGCATGTCAACGACGCCGACCGGAGCAAGCTCCGTGATGTTTCTGGACATGTACGACACTGCCCCAGAGCTAGTAGAACTCTGTGAGGGTGAGGCAGCATGATGGCCAGGGCTCGGGGCTGTATACGCAGACGATGGCACCGAGTCGTTGGCGAGTCGCTGTTTGCGTCGGGCAACGCTGCTGAGGGTCAGCGAGCTCGCCGACTGAGTTGTGGATGGAGGATGATTATTTTCGGGATTAGGAGAGTTTATGCTGATATTGCTGGGCCCTTTGACAGACTGGCTGCTCCCAGGTATCGGCTGAGCGACCAGTGGCGCGACCTGGACGCGAGCATCGCCAATGAGAGCAAGTCTACGGGCTGCTATGAGCTGATTGAGATTGCTGGGCGTTATTTTCTCGAGTGGAGGAGCGCTGATTAGCGGCAGGGGACTTGGGGCCACTAGGGACATTCTGGATGGGTTCAAATGGAGCGTCGGTTTATTTCGTCTGTAAGTGAGATGTAAATTAGCATCTAATCAATCCAAGGCGTGTTGCGGCCACGCTCGTTGCACTAGAGGACCTACCGGGCTTGGTACAGAGCTTTGCGGACGAGCAGAAACGGGGCGCTCAGAGACGACGGGACAAGTCGAGTGTGTTCTGAGCGTTTGCAGTGATAATCTGGTTGAGATTACCGAGTTTTTGGGATGCTCTCAACTGGCCCGCAACGGCAACTGTCAGCGGGCGGGCGGTACCTGTTATCGGGGGCAAGCTGTAGAGCGAGATGCGGGTCGGAGATGTAAATGAAGAATAATCCTAAAGAGCGCTGCTCTCGCTGGCGCCGTCGATGGGATTCGAGCAAGATGTGGGCGGGTCGAGGAGTTTGGCCTGGCGTCAATTCATTCGTATGCCGCAAAGCTGGAGTCCAAGGGGAAATGTAAAATTATCAGTTAAAAAGGGTAAAATATTTATTATATACGCTATTATACTATCAACCGAGACTTCGGGCACCAGGAGAGACACCCTGCGCCGGAGACTAGGCCGTCATAGAGGCCAAGCTCTTATTCAGCACTGCCGATAACCATTTCAAATTCAGTAGCATTGCTTCGGGGCTTCGTGACTCCCCCATGCATGACCTATCGCTATAAACAGGTTCAGAACGAGGACTAACAGGCCAAATCCAACGCAAAGCACCGCCGGTAGCTTTGCTCTCGAATTCCAGCGCTGGGAAGACGGCAAGAGTTTGTAGTAGCACGCTGCCGGGAAGATGAATGCCAATGCCGTCGCAGCGACGCCTCCAGCAACTTCGAGAACGACGCCCAAGTCGCAGGTCGTGAGCGAAACTGGACAATGTCAATATACACATAATATGCAATGGGCCGCACACACTCAACATGGCCCCAAAGAGGACGGTTGTGGTGATGATAATGTGTCTCTGCCGATTCCATGCCGCGTCTGCAAAGAAATATTGCTCAATAACCTTGGGATAGTGAGAGATGATTATAGAGTAGCGAATACCACTTTACCTCGCGGCAGACAAAGAGTTCCAGTGGCAGAGTCGTGAACATGTTCATCCCAAAGCAAAAGCGGGCGACATTGATAAACGTGTCATTTTGAGGAAAATTATTCAAAATATTTCCTTGGGTCTTGTCGGTGAAAACCCAAAAGGCTGATATGGCGAGAGTGCAGCACGCGACGAGGGAAAGGAGGGTCGAAATATGTGTGACTGCCGCAAATCGATCCAACGTCGGAGTGTTGAGAGATCCATAGATGAGCAGTGAGTTGTGGTGGCATACAAAGGCAAACGAGATGACACCTATTGCTTGGAAGATGCCAGAGTTGATGAATGTGAGACGTTTGTCCGGAGACCCTCGCAACTCTTCGGGTACTTGGGCTCCTTCGACAATGACTGATACGACGATGATGATCATTCCTATGAGGGCGAATCCAGATGCGCGAGCGAGTTTCGAAATGTCACGGTACAACGACAAGGGATACGAAATGCAAACTGTGCAGAGGATGATGAGAAATTGACGCGAGACAAGGAAACTGAGTGCCGAGTCTTGAAGTCCCGGGAATATAGACCGCACGACATGTGGAATTGTGTCGCCTACGCAGACGGGTCAGCATCGACGCATGAAGGAAACTACTATCCGACCGATAATAACACAAAAGGCGGCCATTCCTATCTCAATGTCAGCATTCTCTTAAAATAATTGGGGAGAGCATACCGCCGAAAGCAAAGGAAAACTGAAAGAGCGAAACCGCCGCGCACCCCATCCAGCCAAAGCAATGGCTCATGATATCCATATATGAGCTTCTCCCACTCATCTTTGCATTTATAACGATGAGCCGAATCGTCCAATCTGTCACCCCGCATAGGACAACGAGTAGGAATACGCCAGATATAAACCCAGCTTGGCTCACGGCATACGGTAGACCTGACGGCTTATGAGACGCGAATTATCCATTGAGATCTTCGTACCAATGATTCCTACAACGAATTAATGGATGAATTGATCGAGTTTGCTACTAACCTGCGCCCAGGATGGAGTTTGCCATGTTTGCAATCGAATCAAGCATTCCGCCACCACCAGTTCTCTTCTTTGCAATCTCTTCCAGATCACCATCTACGGTCAGACCTTCTTCGACGTCGCTTCTTCGACTCAGAGCAATTCCATGTGTGGTAGCCGGCGCTCGCTGCGTCGCAGAGTCCAACAAGCCAACCAGCAAGGGCATTCTCTGCTCTGAATTCTGTCGGAGCAAAGTTGGTCTCGTGGATAGCTGGGCGGCGGACACGTTTAACTGTTCGAGCGCGGCTTCATCTAGTTCGTCTTCATCAAGCTCGAACTCTGTCGTTAACAATCGTTCGTGTTTATAATGAGCATATAGACCCATCGTACATCGATACCGGGCCTACCTGCTTCTCTGCTCTGTTGCGTGGACCGCAATGGCGGGCCAAACGATGGAGAATGTGCCTCTATCTGCCCATTTGTTTCATCTCTCCATGAACCTTCATCGAAATGATCGTCATGTCCGGCAGAGAACAACTCTTCATGATTTGAATGTCGATTGCCTAGCAATGGCTGCGATATTTCTGCATCTCTCCGACTGGTGGACATAAGAAACGTGACAGAGGATGTGTGCTATACAGTTTCGGCGATGCTAGAGAGCGACGGAAATTATTGTCAAGTGCGGTAAGGTTCAAAATGTGAAAAGGCGTTCATTTCAAGTTCACACCCCAGATAGCCTGGACTTGGTATGTCTGACGGACTGAACTAAAGAGTGGAAATCGGTCTCGACGGGAGCTATTGGGTTTGAGCGATAACGATTCCGACCCTTCCACTCTGCCAACGACGTAGCCCTAGAAGGATAGGTGAGACGGTGGGTATGAAGAGAAAGGATAGTCACCTGGGCTACGAGAGACATGACTATACTCTGAATCCGCAAACTGTCCCAGCCGTCATCCTGATCATAGGAGAGTCGGAATGCTCGGGTGAGGAGGCTGAAAGGTATGGAGTCAACCGGCCCCCTGAATGAATTTCTAAAAACTTGTATCTGTGATGTGTGAGCTATGCACTGTTACGCGGTATTCCTCTTACGTCTGATAGACGAGATTGCGCCAGACAGCCACCCAGCACTTTTCTTTAAGAACCGTGTGCAATCCACAACGCCGCAACCAGTCTCTTGATTCCGGGGAATCGATAGCCAGGCCAAGAGCAATAGCGTCTGCGGCTTTCATAGCTCGAATGATGGGCAAAAAGAACTTGTCAAAACCAAAGCCGCGGAGCAACCTAGGGCTTGGAAATATACCCAGCGGTATTGCAGCACCGACTAGCTGGCGAAATATTGACCTAATGGACGTCAGACGGGGAAGATGGGCAAACTGGCCACCGTACCTCTTATGTCGGGTCATACTGTTTGGACAAATCTCCAATGCAGTACGTAAAAGAGGATAGGCCTTCCAAACAGTCAGCCTATGGGACATTACAACGTCACGACTTACCACACCAATACGATGCTCAAGTAAATGCCATCTCCCAGCCCAATAGCAGTAGCGAAGGCGATCCGCTTGCGGAGCTAGGTTCATTTGAGATACAGAGCTTGAGATCTGGCGCAGCGTATGCGCCAATGCTCCTTGGACATCTAGCTGGTGTGTTGTAAGCTAGGAGGAACAAACAAAGTAACTTAGATATACCTGTAGACTTATTCGTACTATCTCCGCCCCAAGGAATAGTACAACGGCATGCTTGTCCCCATCACTACGTAGATTTGCGATTCCCAGAAGAGTCCGCAGCTCTGCGAATGCATTCCCTCTTGTCAATGCCCTCGGGTTGACTTGATCTGCCTGCAACAATCAGCAACACAAATACAAAACGCCATCTTCGTACTAGTGTGCAAATAGCGATGCCACTCAGGCAGAGCTTTTTGAACGATGGCATAAACCACATTATGCTTTCTACTTGCTTGTTGTCCCCTTGCTTGGGTTTCAAGATGGAACCACATGCTCTAGCAAGAGCATGAGTCGATAGCATTTTCAATGTATTACCACGTACTTGAGCATCTCGACCATAATTCGCGCCATATTACTCCAATCCTGAGTAGGATACAGCCTTAAGAAACGGAGATAGCGCCTCAAGATCTCTGCAAACTCAGAGCCATGGACCTTCAACTTGGCGACTTCTTGCTCGACAGCAGGTTCCTATCCAGCGTCAACAGTCGAGTTAATAGAGAATATCGCAAAGAAGCAGACTTCACACCGGAATATTGACAATCTCTTGCACAAGGTCATGAAACCCCGCCTCGTTTGGAAGTATGAACACAGAAGCTAGCCTATCGTAGTTTCGTTGCTGATCTGCACTCCTAGCAAAGCCAAGAATCTGTCGAAGGAGCGCCATCGGAAATTTGGCAGAAGTGGTCGGGAGCAAACAGCACCCGGTAGTGTTGAAAACAAATCATATATGTTCTACAAACCAAAGGGGACAGAAGCAGCTACGTAGACAGTGGAGGAGAAGATGCAGTGCGTTGATAACCATGGTACGTGAGGTCGACATCAACTCAAGGGCACCAAACTTTGATCATTTGATCAACGCTCCCGGTAGCAAGTACGTTGATTCTCCTCTCTTCTGGCTGGCCCTTTTCTCCTGCACCATTGGTGCCAGCTGATGCCGACTTGCTCGAGGCGCGGCCCCAGGCGATACATGTCACAAAATGGTCGTGAGCGTCGATAGTCCTTGTACATCGTCCAGTATTGAGTTCCCATATCTTCATTGTCTTGTCATCAGAGGCGGATATCATGTGCTTGCCATTCGGGTGGAAGACCACGCATCGTACCCAATCGTCATGTCCAGTCTATGCCAGTCGTCAGTTGGGGTCCATGATTCGGTGTGACCTACAAAAGTTTTTAATTCTTGGCCGCTATGCGCGTCCCATAATATTGCAGTCTTATCGCGCGATGTTGTCACCACTAGTAAGCCAGGAGTCTTCAAGCGATCAGGTCCCTAGTCACAGATCAGAAAGTTTAAACCTGTTGTTGGGACCACTCACACCTAGGTCCACAAGCTCGCTGATCGCCTTGTACGACGCGAGGGGAACAAATGTCACGCTTTCTACATTTTTCTCATGTCCTCGTAGCTCTGCCTTGGTCTCTCCTGTTTGAGCGTCCCATATTCGACTGGTCTATACAAATGTTCAGAGAGAATAGAATGACCGTGAGTTACTAACATGGTCATCCGATGCACTGGCCCAAAGTTTGCCGTCTTCGGACGGTACGACATATCGAACCCACTCTGTGTGTCCGGTAAACTTCTTGACGCAAAAGCTAGAGTTGATTAGAATGCATTTGACATGCAATGGTAAAACTGTCCACACCCTGTAGCGACTTCCCAAACCCTGATTGTTTTATCGCGACTCGCGCTTAGAACAAAATCGTCGCCCGGAAGGAATCTGGCGCTAGAAACTGAGTGGTCGTGACCAGCGAACGTCCGTACGTTCTTGAAGTCGTTGTTTGCATCCCACAGTTTCAGGGTTAGGTCGAGAGAGCATGAAACTAGAGTATTTAACCATTTTTTGCGAAGTACGCTGAAAAACTCACCAAGATATGCACCCTTGGAGTCAAAATCGACATCACTCACACTCTTCGTGTGTCCTTTCAGGGTTCGTTCAAATTCTCCGGTTTCCCAATCCCAGATTTTAATGGTCGTGTCTTCGCTTGCACTCGCAAGTAAGCTAAACACGGGATGGAACGCCACTCTGGTGATCGAGGAACGATGGCCCGCAAGAGTATGCTTCGCCGGCGAGCGTGGAAGCCAATCCGCTTGTGTTGTTGTTCTTTGTGCTGGTGACATTGCTGCCTCTTCCCGTAGCGCGGCGTTGCGCGTTTCTAGATCCAATATCTACTCGCGCGGGACAATAGTGATCGATTGCAGCGTCAATGGGCGTGATCAGCAATTAGGTAGACGACGGGCACCTTCTTCTGTAGTCTGATGACGCTTGTCCACTTCTTCTCCAACAGCCCGGTGTACTGCGCGTTTGGATCTGGATTGAGGCCCGTCTCCTCTTTAAGCGCGTCGTATGCTTTATGAAAGTTGTTTGCATGCAGATAATCCAGTACTGCCTTATGCCTGGGATCGGGATACACGTTCAACTTCTGCTTCACCGACCGCTACGCAGTGCCAAAGCCGTGGGTGGCACTCACAGATCGTCTCTCTGTTTCGAAGAGAGCAGAGACATGATTACCCAATTCGATTTACTCTATTAAATGCCTCGAGAGGGATGTTCTACGAGTGGATATAGACGAGGGCGGGTTCAAATTGCGGTGAGATGCACTCTGAGTAGCCGACCTTGTGACTTATAGCTCAGATGATTTCAGCTCAAAATTCTAGTCAAACAATGGATTGTGGATTGTCACAAGGCACTAGAGGGCAACCTGACGGTGTTCCTGCTGGTCGGAGACATTTAATGACATGACATTCCTCTGGGAGCAATTCCTGCCCGAGGATCGCGTCTGGATCCATACGAGATCCGTAAATAAAGTGCCCAAGGGCCGCTCCAATCACCGTGGCCAAAATGAGGTATGCCTAGACAAGTTTGAGGCTGGTCAATATGGACAGACAGGAACTTACGTTGTAGGTCATGAAGACCAGCATTAGGAAGAAGGAGACAAAGACGCTGGCTCCGTACAAGGATGCACGAAGAAGCCTAGACGTTAAAGGCACCTCCATACTAGGCACCTCGTCAGAAAGAATAGATATTGATTTCAGAACTGAAACCACCTTTGGTCTCCCTTCAAGGCGATAAGTAACGCTTCCTCTTGAGTGTCGTCTTCAAGCGCGATTCCGGGTGCACTTGTACGATGGTGACTCACCGCGCTTTTGCCCTTTCCAGAGCTGATGAGCTGTGCTGCGATGCGACGGTCGACTCTGCGCTGCAAGTCTCTGAGCCACTCGTATGAGCACCCCAAGGCGACGACGGCGAGAAAAGAGAGATAGAACTGAAAATAAGAGTGTATATGCCACTGTCTAAACCTGCACAAGTTGTCAATTTATGGCCGTTGCTCTCGGCCAAGACACGAAACACAACGCAAGTATTGATAATATTCGTATTCCAGAGCATAGACATCCAACATCTTTCCATGGTTGCGTCTATGCCTTCCGTGGCGTGGTGGTGATGAGAATGATCCATACGAGTTGGGTCCAAGTTAGTTTATGGCCCTCAGACCCGACTCGATGGACTATACGATGACACGGAGCGACAGCGGGCTCTCATCGAGAGCAAAGGCTCCTTTACTGGAAAAGAAGATCAAGCAGACGCTCCTCTATGCACCCAGAGAGCTCCGTTGCAGCTGGCAGGGCTGTGGCAACGCAAACGATCCCTTTGGGAGTCTCAAAGCGCTCATTCGAGTCAGTAAATCCGTTTCATGTCACATAGCTATGACCAACGCACTTGTAGCACATCGAGCGAGCGCATCTCCCGCCACAATCGATACCATCAGTACGAGCTCCCCCTACACCCAAACACGGTCCCTAAACAATTGCTTCTACCCGCCAAGTCTTCCAGGCAACCATGCAAGTTTGCTCGATCTTGTAGACATATGTTTTCGACGCTCAACGACCTTCTGGCGCATATCCACCGAGAACACTTGAACAACCTTGTATCGACATGTTGGTGTAGGTTCTCTTCATTCACTACGACTACTCACTGAATGGCGACGGCAGTATGCCCCTTTCAAGACTCGTCCTTCTTATCCATGTTGACACATTTGGAGAACAAGCACCGGATAAAATCCGAGTCTCTTCCTTTTCATGTTTTCCTCACCCCGGTTCCCAGGCTGCAATCTCCCGTCATGTTTCCACTCAACCCTGCCTTTGCAAAAGTTCCATCCTACTTTGTCGTCACGCAGTATGTCAGACCGTGCCCAGGGTTTCGACCTGGAAATGTCGTGGTGCCGACAAATGCAGAGGAGGAACCTTACGATTTCCTGGAGGAGGAAGAGAGCCAAATTGAAATCACGCGTAACGACTCCAGGTCGAAGGGGAAGAAGCGTGCTCCTGTCGAGATTGACATCCTCATCTCCTCGAATCCGTGGCCCTCGCATGCCTCTAGTACGCCTGATCCAGATCGCGTACCATTCTCCGCAAATATCGCGGCCCCACTGCAACGAACCAAGCTCAGTGATCCATTTCCGTATCGGACCTTTGGTGAGCCGCTGCCACCGAAGGAGCCGCCACCAACACTCGGAAATTACTTTGGTATGCGAAGTGTAGAGCTACCCCGACTGCTGGATGAAAAATAGTACGAGCACAGAATAGTTCACCCTGCTAATTCTTGTCATCTTAATCGTTGTTAGTGGCTATTAGTGTACAGCTATTTTTTGACAAAACCTCCTCTATTGGCGTTGCTGGGCGAAGAGTAGTGCATTACCATGAACTTCCCTTGCTCCGGTCGTTTTTGCTCGCCCATGGATCTTGCATTCCCCAATCTGCCTCTCCACCACTACTTCCATTGGAGTCCGAGCTCCATGGATCATGGTTTGTCCAGTCTCCACTATCTGGAGATGGCTCTGAGCGAGAAATAGGAGAAGGTTGTCGCGACTGAGGTTGTGCTTGTCTAGCTGGTGGTGCAGAAGTCGAGAAAGACGGCCTTCGTATGTCCATTCCGACGCCACTATACCGTCTTCCTTGATCAAACGCATGCGAGAACTCGACCATGTCCTGACACGGGTACTCTGAACGAACAGCAGGGACCCATCCCTCAATCGCCTAGAATACAAGAATTAGCATCAGGGTTCAATTAGAGCGAAATTCCTTACAGCTGCTCGTTGCCTATGGCCTGGATGAGTCGAGAGGAACGCGGGTGGCTGGTATTTGTCTTGCTTGTCAAAGGAATGCCAGAATTTAACGACAGCTCCCGGGTCAAAGCATGCTTTGGACATGAGCCGCAGTCCAACGAGATCCGCCTCGAGCTCCTGAGTGCGCGAATTCGGTAGCGCAATAAGTGCTTGCAGCGCTAGTCCAGAGAGACCAGTATTTGTGCCTAAGAGGAATTGGATGGCGACGTCCGCGATGAATATCAGACGCGTTAGGGAGACCTTTTCCAGGACGTGACCAATAACTGGGATTACGTGAGCTCAAGAAGCGTGGTGTCTTATTACGTACGTTGATGAGCGACTTCTGTCGAGGTTTGAGTAACCGTGTACTCTGAAAGAGGAGACTAACCGTGGGCGAGAATACCGGCTAATTGATCCTCATCGGCGACCTGGTGTAGCATTCCAGAGAATACTACAATCTTCCGACCTGCAGACGTCATTCACCATCAATGCTGCAATAAGAATCCTTACTCACCAGGCGCTACAAACGCATTTTGTATCTTCTCATCTACCACATAGACCAACCATTCGTCTGGTTTTTGATCTGCTCCCGAGTTCACTGGACGAGTGGCAACATGTCCAAGTCCATTTCTCGTGATAAGACGCTCCGCCACGGTTTGTACGAGCCTCGTAGCAGGATGATTCATGGGTAGAATCTTGCGACCGTATTCGTGCATAATCTCCTCATAGCTTTGCTTCTCCAGCTGTTCAAATTGTGAACTTGTTCTTATGCGTAGCGTCTTGACTTACCATTTGTATCATACCCTTGCTAGCGTCCATATATCGCCATCTCTTTGTCTCTGGAACTTGTTCGAGACTAAGGCTGTCAGGACCTACCATTTACGCGTATCAAATAACGTACTGAGCAATGTACCATATCGTGCCGGCACCAATCACAAGAGCACCTGTCCCGTACAATCGAAAAAATTCAAACTTTCGACGAAATTCTCTGTCCAAATCATCCTCTTCTTTGCCCTCCTGGTCATCTCGTTGGTCATCAAATCGTGTATAACGACGTGACGTATATGTTCTCGATTGCCGTAATGCAGATAAAGTCGGAGTTTGTAGTCTGAATGGTTTTCGGGGCTTAATTATAATGTTCGAGGTGCGTGTCGAAAGGAGGCCACGAAAACTCATGGTGAAGTCGGAGTTCAAGTTTGTCGCCGGCCACGACTGCTCGGCTTGACCAATCCTTCGCTGGCTGGAGTCTCACAAACTAAGAATACACTTTTAACAACGGGCATATCTATTCTCATTCTATAGGATCGGTACGAACACTCAACGTTGCACAGTTTGTTAGCCTCGACGTCCCAGTTGCGGCGCGTTGTCTACCCATCAACAAAGAGGGAATTCAAACCTAGTTTCTCATTCACGGGCGGATTGTGCTTCGAGTGAACTTTGCTCAACAGCGAACGCCCAAAGATGCCTAGGCCAATACTCGGTGGAAGATTATTGGAGAAACTCGTATCGCGCACACATATACTTGCACAGGCGAAGACTCGCTCTGGCTGGACAAGCGGATTCCACGGCCCGCGGCAAACCCTCTTGAACCGCGCCATGTCCAGCTCAACTTCCGAGGCGACGCAGCCCAAGCTACATACGTTTGTGATCTGGGCACCTGATTATACAGACGAAGGTGCATTCGGTCGAAGAATGGAGGTCCGTGCGGAACATCTGCGCACCGCAAAGCTCAACGAGGAATCTGGATATGTCACGAGTGAGTCTGCAAGCCACCTGCAATCTTGTTGAGTATTTGCGCTACTGTCACTGACTAGCTGTTTACAGAAATCTCGGGGCCTCTCATTACGCCCGAGTCTCTTGAGCCTGGAGCAACAAAGAAACTGGTCGGTTCGATGCTCCTTGTGCGAGGTACGTAGCTTCCATCTGGATATCTTAAGACTCACAGAACCCGAGGAACGTCCGTGGAAGATGTGTTTGCCAAAGTTCAGACCGATGTATATTGGACGAACCGCGTGGTAAGCATTTGTTGGTGGAATGAATGCTTCTTATTGATGATTCGTAGTGGGATAGAGAGAAGCTCGTAATCTCTCCAATCATTATCAACGCTGAGTAAGTCCCAACCCCAATGAGAATAAACATCACTAATGCTGTCCCTTTCAGCATCTAGACCCGTTCCATGTCAATATAAAAACTGAAATTTCGCATACCTATGACCGCGTCAATCTTGTCCTCTACCATGAGCTCTGCCACTGAACAAGTATCACCCAAGACACACATTTTCGTTGTCTGGGCACCGGACTACGCGGACGAAGGAGCGTTTGACCGCAGGATGGCGATTCGAGATCAGCACCTTCAGGACTTGAAGAAGAATCAAGAAAACGGGTTCATCACCAGTTGGCATAATTGTTATCAGCGATCATTCTAGACTCATACACTACTCGTAGAAATCGCTGGGCCGCTGATCAGTCCAGAATCGCTTGAAGCTGGAGCATCGATCAAGATGAACGGCTCTATGCTACTCGTTCGTGGTATGCAGTCTCGGCATCCATGTATACTAGAATAACGATAGAAAGGGACATCTATGGAGGAAGTGCGTGCCAAAGTCGAGAAGGATGTTTTTTGGATCAACAATGTAGTGAGTATATCAAGTGGAGAAGTGGTTCATAGACTTATTTAATGTCAAGTGGGACAAGGAAAAGCTCGTCATCTCACCCATCCTCATCGCTGCCGAGTGAGTAGTATCCTGCTAACCCGTGTCGACATTCATCGATCCTATAGTATCTAGAAAATGTAGAAGTGAGGCAGATGAAGAATATACTGTTGCTTGAGTATCTTGGACCTGACGCTACCCATGGCTCTAGTGACCATCTCTGGCTACCCGTCGTCGGGAAAGTCTACGAGGGCTCTACAATTGAAGAAGTACTTTGAGGACAAGATTAGTGAACCAGTCTACGAAGGGCCGCTGAAAAACGTTGTGCTCATCTCGGATGACTCGCTGGGATTGACACGTGATGGTTATAATGGTCCTTGATGAAACGAAAAGCCGATCTGTCTCTAAATCACTTATAGATGGACGGGCAGAGAAGCCTCAGCGGGCTGCACTTTTTACCGCAGTCCAGCGCAACCTTGGCACGAGCACAGTCGTGATTGTGGATGGGCTCAATTACATCAAAGGCTTTCGATATCAGATGTATTGCGCTGCGCGAGAAGCTCAAGCGCGTGTGGCTACAGTGCGCAATGCTTCCTGATCTGTCCGTGCTTCACTGTTGATCGGTTATAGTAGCTTTTTGTCGCTGCGACACCAGAGATTTGTCGTACATGGCACCAGAGCAAGCCAGAAGATGCGCGATATACAGAAGCGACGTAGGTAACCCTGTTTCATTTATGTATGACACCCTTATCGGTTGCACAGGTTTGAAAACCTGATTCAGCGTTATGAAGAGCCATCATCCATGGTGAGATGGGATTCGCCGCTCTTTACCGTCCCCTGGAATGAAGCAGAGACACCGGTCGAGGGCGTCTGGCAGGCGATTACAGCTGGCGTGCTGAAACCTCCAAACGCTGGCACGAAAGCGGTGCGTTCAAATTTAGATCCTGTATACGTAATCTAACTCAGGAGGGGGGACGATCAGATTGCAAAGCCACCTGCCGATGCGCTGCAGGCGCTCGAGACGACAGCGGCGACGATTGTGGCGACTATCATGGAGGCGCAGGGTCTGGGAGGATCGAGTGGAGGCAAAACGAGGATCTGGAGCAAGTCGGGTGGCCAAACGGAAACGGCAGTGTACATGCAGCTGCCCGCTCGGACAGTCACCCTCGCGGAGCTGCAGCGACTAAAGCGACAGTTTGTGAGCATGCACAAGAAGGCAATTACTCAAGGTGCAACGGAGAATGGCCCAGTAGACTGGACAGAGGACGGGATTGCGGAAAAGCTCGGCGATTATCTGGAGGAGCGCTTAGTGGCTGGAGTATGATTGCCAGAATAAGGAACGTTTAACCCGGCGGAGGAGTGTGAATTGTCGAGGATTATAGGGGGACGGCTAAGCCTCTACGGATTAGTCTAGAGACTGTCTAGACTTGGAGCATTTAGGGCGATGCAAAGATTGGCGTCTGTCTCTAAGCGGGACCGACTCTAAGCAAATGACAACCCGGCCCAGCCATATCATCAAAGTAAACTGTAACCCCGACGACATCGAGGCTATTGCGCAGGCCACGCCCCAGACGGCGCCAAAAATTACAAAATAAATTCAGTACAACGCGTCTGAATCGCTCAGGATGACCCTCTCGGTCGACCGAGCAGTCCCCATCCTTCCAATGGGCCAGTATCCGCCGCCCGGCGTCCCCATTGGCACACACGCGTTTATGCTCAAGATGACGCCTGAAGCTCTTCAGGAGCTTGCTAATCAGCTCGCTGCTCACCAGCCAGCAGCAGCGACGACAAGCACGGCCGGGACAGGCCCTGGCAGCGCGCACTCGAATAGGCCCAGACAGTCTGGAGAAAGCCAGAAAAAGAATGACAAGCCTCTGATGCAACTCGTTGTGAGCGAGAGCGGCCAGGTGAGCCCGCTCGTTCCATCACCTTTAACGTCGTTCCCTCTCGATTGACGGTCAGCCCTCATCAACGTGCCTTGCTGATTACGCGTTGCAGCCCCAGTTTATTATCGGAGATACGACTTTTCGAGCAGATGCTACTACAGAACCATCCACAACCGAAATCTATGCACGCCACCAGTCTCCACTCTCCGACTCGGACCAACTGTCCTCCGAGGCGGGAAGCAGCAATCCGCTCCAGATGGTGGCTAAAGTCGATGGTCGGCTGAGGATGATGCGCGACTTTACTCCCATCGTCCAGCAATCCGTTTCGGAGCGGACGGCGAAGCTGAACAAAGAGGCCCAACCACGCTCCGCAATCATACTTGACGCGCCGGGCTCATACCCAAATAGCTCGTCAAAAGCTGGAGCGCGTGCCCAACAGACCAAAGTCGCGGCTACGGCAAAATCCGCATTACCGTCTGGCACGGCAGGCACCGTGCGACCGTCCGAGCAAAGGGTCCAGGTTTTCACGCCTCCTAAGAGCGATGGAAGCCCATCTTCTGCCACCTCTGGCTCGCGCGGTCCCAAGCATACGATTCCTGATGCCTTTGGCACGCTCGATCTCTCTATTCCGACCCGATGGGATGGTCAGATTTCGATTCCTATTCGTATCATTCATTGGGCGGCACTCAAGCCAAAGACCGAAGCCGAGCTTTTGTCCGAGGCCGTCTCTCGGTCTGAATATGAGCAAGGTCGACGGGCAATCTCTATCGTAAGTGGACTAATTACATAGGATGCGCTTACGCTACAGCTCTTGAATAGTTGTGCGAAAGCAAAGAAGACGGCAGCCTTTCTCTGCGAGACGAAGCCTTTTACTACCTGCGACCCTGGGCATGGGTCAACTATACGCCTACGAATCGGTCCGAGGTCGCAAAGTTTACGCGCATCGCGCTGCGAAGGCTGGGATACGATGATCAGGATGAAGCGTGGGAGAATCTGCGCAAGCCAGGTGGATGGGTAGATCCGTGGAGGAACACTCCGGAAGGCATCCTCCACTATCGCGAAAAGGAGCAACGAAGAGCCACCAGCGTGATCACATCAAAGGAAGAGCGTGACAAGCAGAAAGCCGAGGCTTTGGCGAATCCGGCACCGATGCTTACCAGCACTATCAAGCCTGGCTTCTTCACCTCAAAGCCGGCACCTGTAGTGGCCAAGGTTAAAAAGGCGTCGAAAGAAAAGGAGCCCAAAGTCAAAAAGGCGTCAACATCGAGCGAACAGGAGAACCCAGCTCCGCCGAAGATTGCCCACAGCGCGAGCCAATCTTCGACCAGTAGTTCGGCAGTCCCCTCGAATAGCACACCAAATGTCGAACCGAGCATCTATGAGAGCGAGCTTCGGGTGCGACAAAGTGGTCCTGGGTCAAAGGCGGGCAAGATGGCAGTTGCGAAACGAATCCAACGGGAAAAGGAAGAAGGATTTGCATCCACCGTCTCTACACCAAGTCGCTCACCTCTTCCACTCCCATCTGAGACGCGGAAGCGCAAGGCTTTGGATGATGATTACGAGGATGTGGGCAAGAGGAAGAAGACACATCCACTCCCGTTAAAGCCGTCTGCCGAATCCTTTGCTGGGTCTTCGAGCAAGAAGCGTAAAGGGGACAATATCGATGCGCTTTCGCCTCCTACAAAGATGCGTAAATCGGAACTATCAAGTGTGCACGCGCCTAGTACGTCTGCCTCACCGGGCGTGAGCACGAAGAAGACGTCTGCTACACGAGACTATACGGGCAAAAAGGCAGCTATGCGTGAAGACTGGGACTATTCGAGCGAGGATGGGGACGATCGACCGCTTTCGAAGCGCACGTCTTCTGCGACTCACAGGAATGTCCGCTCGTTGAAAGACGAAGCCAGGCTCAAACCCCCTTCGTCGTCGTCGTCTCCGCCGCGTCGCGTAGCGACTCCCACGCCTCACCGTATGCCGCCTCCGACGACGTATCTTGGCTACAAGGCTGTGTATATGCAAAAATGGAGCGAGTACAGTATGGTACTTTCGGTGATCATGGGTGAAGAGGCCAAGCTCGAGAGTATCCGCGTTGGAGACGATTCTAGCGCGTTGATGGGTCTTGACGAGCTCCGAAGCTACATCAAAAAGCGGAGTGGGCTCGAGGCAGAGCTCAAAGATCTCAAGCGTGAGATTGCACGTCTCGCGCCAAAGGCCTCGGCATCCTCCTCGACCGTATAGATGTGTGACCGTTATGTTTCTTGCCCCATTCTGGCTGCTTGTTATTCTCTCATTATCCACTCTCCGCACCTGCGCCCATTCCGCACCATGTCCTGCCTCCGTCTGGCTTTCTTGTCCTTGATTTGATTTGTGTTTTGTACTCTAGATGCGGTCAATGGCCATTATGTTTGAACGAGTTTGGTGCCGATTGTGATCGCCGATGTAAGTTTACGAGATGGGTGGCGACGCCCTTGGTCGCAGACTCTTTCTTCCCCCCACGTCTTATCAAACTCGAAGATGAGCACCTATCAAGCTACGGTATCTGCGCCAGTGAACATTGCCTGCATCAAGTGAGCTTTTGATCAATACCCGCCTTGGCTTTGGACTGATCGCCTTTCGTTAGGTACTGGGGCAAGAGAGATACAAAGCTGATCTTGCCGACAAATTCGTCGCTCTCTGTCACGCTTGACCAGGATCATTTACGGTCGACAACGTCGGCACGGTGTGATCCGGGATTCGAAAAGGATGCACTCTGGCTGAACGGCAAGGAAGACGAGATCAAACCCGGTGGACGTCTTGCTACGTGCATCACAGAGATGAAGAAGCTGCGAAAGGAATACGAGGACCAGAATCCGAATGAACCCAAGGTCCGTTCCCCCCTTGCGTCTGTTGGATTCCACGAAACTGATGAGATTCAGATCTCTGGGTACAATGTGCGAATTGCATCAGAGAACAACTTTCCTACAGCGGCGGGACTAGCATCGTCTGCATCTGGCTTTGCCGCACTCGTCTACGCGCTAGCTACGCTCTACAAGCTCCCGTCATCGCCCAGCCAGTTGTCTCTGATCGCGCGACAAGGCTCTGGGTCTGCATGCCGCTCACTCTTTGGCGGGTTTGTTGCATGGGAGATGGGCACCTCTGTCACTGGAACCGACTCGTTTGCGGTCCAAGTCGCACCAGCCGAGCACTGGAGCGACATGCACGCGCTTATTTGTGTCGTCTCTGATGCTAAAAAAGGTACATCGTCCACCTCGGGCATGCAACGTACCGTCGAAACGTCAGAGTTACTGCAGTGGAGGATTAAAGAGGTGGTGCCAAAGAGGATGAAGGAGATGCAAAAGGCAATCTTGGACAAGGATTTCGATACATTTGCGACGATTACGATGCGCGATTCGAATCAGTTTCACGCCGTCGCACTCGACACGGACCCACCCATCTTTTATGAACGATACGAGCCGGGCTATCGTGGCCATGGTTACAGAACTCAACCGCGTGAGTGTAGAGAATGGAGGTGGACTCAAGGCGGCGTACACATACGACGCAGGACCCAACGCGGTGATCTATGCAAGAGAAAAGGACATGAAGGAGATTGTGAACATGGTGTGTCACTACTTCCCGCTCCTCGCATCCACACAACCCTACGAGGACCGGTTCAAGCTGTTTAGCGCTGGGGAAAAGGTCGGAGAGATGCCGCTGCCGGCCGGGTTTAACGAGGGTGTAGCCAAGGTGGCAAATGATGCCGCGAGCTCAGTGAGTCGGTTGATTCACACACGCGTGGGTGGCGGGCCGCGAGTCCTGGACGATTCAAAGGAGGGGCTGTTAGATGCGCAGGGGGTCCCACGCAAGTTGGTCGCATAATGGGTGTCTACATGAATTCAATTTCTTTTTTCCACTTTTACTTGGCCTATTTGAGTTGGCGCTGTGAATGGAATCCGCCATTGTGCGGCCATTTCCATCTCGGCCGCTTGTTATGGGCAACAAAAGGCCAGGGCACGTTCTGGCTGTTAGGCCCGTATACAGGACAATAAAAGGGAGTAGAACTGGTAACATTGGGATGATTAGAGATCTCTTCTTCTCCCGCCTCTTTCCTCCTCCTTTCCCCTCATCGCCGCCGTCGTCTTCACCCATGAACACTCCCCCTCATCACCCGCAGATGCAGATGCAGATGCAGCAGCAGCCAATGGCCCTGCAGCCTCTTCTAAATAATAACAATGTGGTGGTGTTTGTTGCCGTGTCTGGACTGTGTGCATACACCGTCTACACGAATGGCAACTTGCAGAGCTTTATCTATGCCGTCTGCGGTGCCTATGTCCTCCGGATGCTCATGCGCAATCCAGAGCTCCTTCGACAGCTTCAAGAACATGTCAATACGCTCATCGGCGGTCGTCGTGTGCCCGTAGCGCGTTCCATTCCACCTCAGCATCCTTCGACTGTCCACGCGCCTCTGCAAGAGATGTATCCTCAACCCGTCCCTCCACAGCCTCGTTTGGATATGAACTTTGTGGATCATCACCAGCAGATGCTCAATGGCGGCTATCAGGCGCTCCCTCCCCGCCGTCCCTCTCAGTTTGACGAGCACGAACAGGGCCCTGTCACGCCCACACCATCGTACAATTCGGGTTACCAGCAGCCTCAGCATCTTCACCAACGCTCCCAGTCCCGCCCTCTTCCGACTGTCGTCGAAGACTATGCGTCTGTGCCGTCCAACGCCATGCCACCCAGAACGCATGCCCAGACGCCGAATCTGTACGCACAGATCAATGCCGGTACGAATCCCGCCGAGCTTGCAAATCTCAGCCCTGCCGCCGCTGCCGCCGCGCGTGTAGCCGCTGCGGTCGCCGCGATGCGTCCAGACTCGCGCATGTCCGATTTTGCACCTGCCATTAGCAACCCGTACGGATCTTACTCGCACTATGATGCTGGTACCATTAATGGCGAGCGCATCGCCGGAGCCGCCCAGCCACTCCCGCCGTCGACCATGGTCCAAGAGGCAATCTCCCGTGCGGCTTCGACTCGTCCAGGAAGCTCGATGGCTACTTCTCGTTCGAGTCCTCCTCGCGCAAACACGATGCACACTCCCTCGCCCCTTCGTGCTCAGACCATGGCTTCCCCCGTCTCGTCTTCGTCGAATGGAGAATACGTCCCAAAGCGCAAGCATCGTATGCCGACTATTTCTGCCCGCGTCGGTGAAGCTGGAGCTCCTGGAACTGGCATTGCACCGGCCCCCAACGCACCTTCGACCAACCCCCTCGTCATGCTCACCCAGCAACAGAACAACGGAGTTTATCACAGCTCGACATTGAGCAGCGGAAGCAGCAACGGTAGTGGCAGTCATTATACTGATTCGCCGCTCGTGACCTCGCCTTCGCCTCTGCCAGCGTCGAGCAGGCAAACTGGTGGCAACAATGGGTACGAATCCGAGTCCGACTCTTCCCACGCCTCTTCCTCTGAGAACCATCGTCACGAGCGTTCAGAGTCGCTCGGGCTCCCTACGTACGAGAAGCATGTCCGTACTGTCTCCTCTCACCCTCTCTTTTTCTTTCCATCTTGTTCCCGTACTCGTATACTGACACGTGTTTCTAGGCAACCACTATTGTCACTCTAGTCCCCAAGCGACCTGGCTACGTCCCGCAGATCCAAGCGACGCTCAAGGCCTCTCGAACGGCCTGGCTTGCCCTCCCGGGAACAGTCTCGCACGAAGTCGGTCAGGACGAGTCTACTGGGGCCGTCGTGATCGTCGAGACGTACGAGTCTGCCACCGCAATGGACGAGTACGAAAAGAGCGCCGAGCGGGACGTCATACTCGGCAATCTCAAAAAGTTTGTCGACGAGGAAAAGACGACGGTTGTGCGTCTTCCCGGAAGCTCTGCTGCCACCAGGATTGTTCGATGATACTTCTTACCTCTACCACTATCTATTCCTAATCTGTCCTTTGTTCGACTACGGTCTTTACTCGCAACGAACAACTGGATTCTATCCGGTACACGAAATCACGACTTCAACGACTCGCCTTGTATCCTTCTCCTCCTTGTCTCTCGACCGCATACGTCTCACAATTACACTCTCCCCCCCGATGTAGTCCTTCAAACCACGCTGTAGTTGTAGATGCGCTCGCCAGTCGAGCACAGCGCTCGCAATCTCATTGGTTCTATCTTCATTGTGACAACCTTGACTTTGAGTGATCCATGATCAACAGACGCAAGCCTCTCAGTACAAAGTTGGACCTGGGACGAACAAGGACGGGCGTATTTGGTGGGGTCACTTCGATTCCTGTTTACTACCTACCCGCATATTTCCCCCATCATGATAGCGAGGGCATTCGAGGGAAAGGAGGGCAAATGGAAGCAAAGGATACTTCTGGTCTGCAAGAGTTAGGGACTGTTCATTGTCCAACTTGGGCCTGAGAAGTTGCGACGGTTTATTCCAACAGGCCATCTTATCTGTGAGTACTCTTTGTCCATTTTCCTTCTAATCACGAGTAGATTGGAAATAGCCCAAGCATGGGTAATTTGCCCGGTCGAGGACAAACATCAAACGCAACTTGGACCCTACCTCTTCCATCGATGCCCGCTCAACGTCTTATTCCAGCTCAGGAGAATGTACAAGCTTTTTTATATTCTCCTCATCATGGATAAGACAGAGATATGTCTTGTGCTCTGTACTTGCCGCTGTCATCGTCCACGACGCCTCTTCGTCATGACGCCATGACTCACTCGTCCGTCTGTGTCGAGGTTGCTCATGACTGAGCCAGACGATGCTGCACATTGGCAGTGGAGCCGCAATTGGAGTTTCGCTCTGCCATGACCGACGTCGTCGAATGGCTCGAGCGTCCTCGAGCCAAACGCAGCCGTGATTCCCTCATTGTACATAAGTTGCACGGGTCTCCGTGGAACCTCTCCTTGCTGGTCTGGACTAGTAGCCAGCCACAGTATGCAAATAAAAGAGTCAAACATATGGTCGACTTACTTGCTCGTTATACTGAGAATCTATTGTGAAAAGCCAGAGTTCATTTGCTATTTTCTGCACAAAAAAAGAATGCCTAGACGTGGGGCTGAAAAGATACAGCTTTCGGTTCACCATGGCATTTTTTGAACTCGATGGGTTCAGATCGCTCGTGTCGCCAATGGTGGACATATTTTGCACGGGCCGTCTATTCATTCGATTCTAGTATGACATTATTGTTCATTGAGCCAGTCTGTTTTCGACGATACAACTCGTCAGTCTGTCTCGTCGTCGCCTATGTCGTCTCGGAGAGCCCCTTTTTCTACCGCTTCGGCCCTTATCGTGGCCTGGAACGCTTCTTCGATGAGCCTCATCCTGGCATGGAGTTGCAGCGTCAGATGCGCCAGCTCGACGGCCCGCTGCAGATACCACGTGACGTCGAGATCCTCTCCGCATCTGTTGCTAATGGCGATGGACACTAGCTGGGCGAGCTGGATGTCCTGACGGAGAACCGCCACTGGGCTGAGCGCGCAAAAGTCTTGAATGAGCGAGGTCGACCGTGTGGACGTTATTTCCAACTTGGGGCTGAACGAACGAGCAGAAGAGTCGTATTTCCTCGACGATGATGACTTGGAGGATTTCTTGAATGATCTTGTCCGCCTTGAAGTCGCGACGGAGGCGGCTGTCGACTAGGATTGGTGCTCGTCAGTAAAAGTCAAAAGAAATTACAGTTGGACGGAGAGAAAGAGGGGGCGTATATATTCGACGAAAAGACGGCGCGGAAGACCAAGACGGACGATGGGACGAGCATAGGGCTAAAGGAGGGGTTCAGGCTCTTGCAAGGCTCCTCAAGCAGCAAGCTCACGAATTTGGTATTCACATCGAGTCACTGTTGCAGTCGGCGAGTATGGTGCAAAACTCTCCGTGTCAGTCCTGACCTTGCTCTGGTCGAACCAGCAGTCAAAGACACTAGATGCTTGTATAAGCAAAGTATCAGGGGATTAGAGTTGGCTTACTAGGTGTTTGAGTCGTTTATTCTTGCAAACAGCTCATCAAATCAAGCTCCCACTGCAGCCCTGTGGATGATGCCATGGTCACGGTACAGACTCCCTTCGCCGATGTCCATTGGTGACGAGACCGGTTTTCTGCATAATTGCACTCAGAAAGGCACAGAGTTCGAAAGTCTTCTCTCCAGGCTGGTTAGGCATAATCACACAACCCGGTGCCACCTATGAGCGTTCTGTGTGAGGAGTCAGTCGAGTCAAGGTAGAGTAGCGTCGGGAAATCGAAAATGTGGTCGTGGCCAAGTTCGAATGCCACGAGCGGTCAGGTCATATGAGCAATGTAAGGACATGCCATGACTAGGTTATGACCGGTAATGGCTGACTAGCACAGTCGTCGGGACTGCTCATGGCGAGGCGTCAGTCGGCCATGACGCTGCCACGACAATAGATGTATTTGTCACAACAGGTCATAGCATAGTATTGGTTTCGTTATGACATGGTCACAACTTGTCGTGACGTCCAGTGATATGCCGCGACGAGTTGTGATATTCAGTATGTACGCCATGATCGGTTGTGACACCTAATGACTTTGAAATGACAATTTATGGCGCTTAGTGACCATGTAATGACGGGTTATGACCTCTAGAGGGTATGCCATGATGTCTCAGGACAGGAGAATAAACGGGAGGCCAAACGAGTGTATTAAGAGCGCTGAGTGATCTCTAGTAGCTCTCTATTCTATATTCTCGAAGTCTCAAGGACATGTCTGGATCCTGTAGGTCGTTTATGTAGCACATCTTGTTCTCCGGGGCCATTTGCTGAACAAACGCCGATCAAACAAAGGAAGAGACTCGAGCTATTTTGTATATATCCCCCATTGTGGCGTGGTAGAACCCAGTGTGGCGATGACGACGATGAATTTGCAAGGGTCTGACAATAGCCAGCGGATAATGCATGTTGTCGACAATGACAGTGAAAAGACCAACTACTTGAACGCAAGAAAGCACGTTTGCGTACTTGTTAATTAGGCCAAAATCATATCTGGCGCCTTTCTTGCGCCAGTCAGAGTTGCTTCGCAGAATGTCGGTTTCGAGCTGCTTCGTCAGCATGGAGACATACTTGATCCTCACAAGTTTCGACATTTTGCCCTATATTTCATGAGTATGTTGACGGCAAATTGATTGACTGGTCATACCTCGAGGCCCGCAACGTCAGGAAGATGGTCTTGACGAGGAACTCTGACTCCATGAACTTGAAGCGAAGGGATTCCAAGATAGATGTATTGACTCAGCTCCTGCTGGAGCTGTGTATACAGTACATGCCACTCGACGGGTTGGAGTAGCGTTGAGAGGACGCGAAGCTGGCTGGCCAAGTTCTCAAGGCGACCAGTAGAACCAAGGCGAAAATTGGACACCTCGTTGGTTTCATTTGATTCGTCATCAGATTCGTCCCTTGCTTGTTCTTCGACTCTCTCACGAATCTTGACAAGTGCCTCCCTTCGGAGAACACGATCCAGTAGCTAGATTAATTATATATCAGATGCAAATTCTCAAATATGTGATCACATACCTGTTGCTGAAAAGAATCTGTTTGGTGGTTCGTGTTCTTATAATCCCCCTTTGAGATCCGGTGACATGCTTCACCAGTTTCAGTGTCGGTTACAGAGCTTGGCCCTTTTTCAATAATCGACGGAATTGCATGGCTGAATACCATGTGGTGCTTGGGTCGGCGTAAACTGACTTTCCAATTGATAGCCAGTGGCTAAATCTATGATGAATCGGAGTCGGTCTGAAGGTAATCTCTCACCTTCTCTCGTTCTGCGGCACTTTCCAGCACCTCTCTGAGTAGCTCCAATGTGGTCGAGGTGTGGATAGGAAAGTGAAGTATAAGCGAACGTTCGCCAAGTGTTCGGAATAGTTGGAGAATCTCGATTCGGTTTTCAATATCTCGAGGTAAAATCATGTCTAGGATGGGAACAATTAACTGATGGGCACATAGTTAAGTATCAGGGTTGGCGTCTCAATGTGGTACATACCTTCGAGATAGCACGGTGATCTGATCCAGATCGCCATTGTAGTGAGGTTATGCCTTGAGCAAAGTGTATCAAGTCAGGGTATTGAGGTGTTTTTTGGAATCTGCTACATTGAGCATAATAGCCAAAGAATTCCGGAAACTCACTGATAATTAAGAGCCGCCTTGAGTTTATCAGTGAGCTGGTTGAGTAGCTCTGGCAGCCATGTTCGTCCATATTCGCCTTGGCTCTCCCAGTGAAGGGTGTCAAGCCCAAAAGTTCTGCATCCCGGAAAGAAGGTATTTATGGCTGGAGCAAAACCACTCTGTCGATTATTTAACACAGAGGCTTGTGTAGATCATGAGCTGCTCACCTCGACCGCTCGAATACCATATGATTTTGTCGACGGCATGTCTGGGTCAAAGGAACTTGATGTTCCCACCTCATTCCTAATTGCCTTGACTTCACTCGCATGATCGCGAGGTGGACAGACAATGGTAGTTTGGGTGAACTCGTTGGTAGGCGTTGTCCCCATGGGACATGCTGCCGCACCATCAGAGATTATGCTTGCCATGCGACACCTGTAAATATATTTAGAGAGATATAGAGTCAGCGCCATGAAGGCTCACAGCTCGGGGTAATCTCCAAGCCGGAGACCAATAATTGGCACCAGCTGCAGGTGGCTGCCATTACTAGTCCTAAAAACTCCTCCAAAACGTGAGAGGTCGGAAATTGGTTGCAGGATTACTCGAAAGCACTCGTGGAATACAAGATTCCGAAGATGAGCAATATCAGCTGCTCGAACGCCCTGGTTCGAGTGAACCTAGGTCAAGTCAATAATGCGTTTTATTCTGTTACAAGACGAACCTTGGGCAAGTATCCAAGTAATTTAGCGGAACCTGGACCAAATGAGCGACGCATACTGGTCGGTATGTTGGCAATCCAGAAATACACTGGCCATAAAGTGCTGGATCCAAAGTTTGTAAGCTGAGTTTCGTCCATGTAGAGTGAAATAATGAGTGGGTGAGCTGAGCTGCCAAGTTTTTGCTGCAACTGCAGTCTAGAGAAGCCGAATATTGTTAGATGTTAGACTGAAGTTGTAGTATCTTGACTTCAAGTCAACTTACTTGGATTTCCCAGAAATCGTCGCCGTGCACATAGTCCTCCCAGAACCTTTCGCTACCTTCATCATCAGAGCGTACATAGTGTTAAGTTTTGTGAAGCCAACCGATCTGGTAATTGATTTCCACCACCACTGACCATCGAGATGAAGGGGCTATTCAGGCGAAAGGGGAGCCAAGGTGCTTCTCATCTGCACGATTCGTCACCAAGTACTCGGTCCAGTCTTCTCGAACCGTCGACAGTGGGTGGCGAGCCCTCGACGGACGTTGACGGGGAAAGTCCGAGTCTGATTACATCTAATATTGACACGGAGATACTTCCAAACTCTGTCGATACATACCACGCCATCACTGAGTGGCTCGAACATGGATCTACACCAGTTCCTGACATATCGGAAGCAACACCAGATCTTGTACCCCTCAAGTCTGCCTCTTCATCTTTGATTTGTGCGATAGAAATCTTGATGGTACCTATGAACCCAATGGCTGCTTATTTGACGATTGCTTTCAGGATGTTCACAATGACGACGTTGCCTGGAATGAAATGTGCAACGATATACATTCTCATGCGAAGCAAATTCAGAGCAACTTTGAGAGATTAGATAAGAAAGGTGTAACCAACCCTGGCGACATTAGGCTCATACGTGCTATGGACGAGTATCTTGGGTAAGATTTAACGGGAACACCAGAAATTGATGCTTAATATAAACTAAGCGTTCTCAATACTATTGGAAAAGCGGCGCAAATAGGAATGAGAGAGGCTAGAGATCGCTCAGGAGTCAGCGCCTCACGGTTTGGGACGACCAAAATCGACAACGAACACATAAAGCACTTAATACAAGCGGAAAGAGAATCATATCAGATATATCAGGTTCGAACACGCTAATCATCAGGTTTCGCTCATGCCCACCAGGTCGCCGTCGATCAACTTCTCCTAAACCGTGTCACGCAGGTTGATGTGCTCGTAGAAGAGCTAAGAGAAGATGTACAAGCGACGAATGCTCTCGGTACCAATGGTACGTCTGGTCATTTGACTTCTCCCATCACTCATTTCGTGCAGACGGAATCCCTGATTTCACACTTCGCCTCTCGTACGGAACCGACCTCGAGATCTGCGAGCCTGGAGCGTGCGTTGAAATCTTGACGAGAATCCGCGACTGGGCAGGCGACACGAACCGCTCGCAGCAAATCTTCTGGTTGAATGATGCTGCGGGCACGGGGAAGTCGACAGTAGCCACGACGATAGCCAGAGAGTGGCAAGATCAGGGTCGGCTTGGTGGACGATTCTTCTTCAATCCCAAGGTCGCATTGGACCAAGATATTCGTCACTTCTGCCGTATGGTGGCATACGATATAGTATCCAACCATCCACAACTTGCTACATCCATCAACTCGATTCTGATCGCAAGCCTAGAAGATACGATGGACTTCGCCATGCAGTTCATCCGACTCATTCTGGATCCACTTCGAAGCCTGAGCGCCACGACGGGGATATTCCTCGTCATCGATGCTCTGGACAATTGCGAATTCAAATCGATACAACGACTGCTCAATGTCATAATCAAAGAGCTCCCGAACGCACCAAGGATCAGGCTCCTGCTCACTAGCCGACCAATGCCAGGCATCAGCGATCGCCTCAGCGACCCCGGGTATATCAAATGAGTCCCAAAGTCATGGTACTTCACAACCGCATACCAAGAGTACATCGCATGGCCTTTTCACCCGACTCACGCAATTTTGCGATGCTTCGGACCACCTCTGGCGGGCCGCTCGTTCAAGCATGGGATCTCAGTAGTTCCGGAGGGAAGCTAGTGGGAGAGGCAGAAAGCGACGACGAAGGATTAATGATGACAAACTATAATCTCGGATTCTTGGCGGACGGAAACCTGATTGCGCACGGGTCGACCATCTGGGAGCTGCACTCAAACGGCCTCAAAAGATTCCAGAGCTCGAAAATACCAGAGTCTCTCCGAACCTATCCTCACTCTTTTCTTACCTACGTAGACGGGTGGGTCCACTCTGCATTTCCACCAGGACCAATCGTACCAATTCCAACCCATCTAAGACTACTCTTCACCACGGGTGCCTTTTACGAAAGTCAACTGTGCTCTGCAAGTGGCAATACCATACTCGGGTGGACCAAGATGTTTGAGCCTCTCATATTTGATTTCTCGGCCTTTGTGGCGTGTTGATATTAGTAAAGTGACAATAGTATGTTAATTACCGTGATTACTACGTATCAATACTGTTTACAGTTCGAATACTTAGAGCAATAAATGTGGCCGCTATGTCTAGTCGTCATAAATGGAACCCAATGCCGCCACCGAGAGGCTAAACCCTTCCATCTGCCTTTTCGGCCGCCTCTACCTGTCTCTCCAACTCGGGCGTCAACTGTGCAGTGGTACCAGCACCAAAATCGATTCTCTGTTGTCTCTCTCTAATCTCCTCGTCATGCTCGTTTGGCAACTGTGCACTCTTCTCCGCTTGAATCTCCTTCTTGCGCATGACCCAAACAAGGAGCGGGACCGTAATCAGTGATAGTACCGTCCAGGCTATGAGTACGCCAAAGTTGCGGCCTAGGTGGTTCTTCGTGTCAAAGATAATGGTGCGAACTGCCTGGCCGAGATTGTAAACCGGGAAACCAAGTCCATACTTATAAAACTGGTGGAAACAGATGTGCGTTAGAAAATCAAACTAGACAGAATCGAGGAAGCACGTACCCATGGCTGGAGTTCATTTGGCAAAACGGAGACAGAGACATTGACGACAATGAATGGGATGAGGAAGAATGCGACGAATCGTTGAGTAAGAATCGTGAGCGCAAACTCGGTGGCAAGTCCCAACGCCAGCATCCCGACGTAGATCAACACCCAAAACAGGAAGAATCCCCCTGCGTATGAATATTTCGCGCCGAATGGTAGCTTGAAAGGAAGCGAGATCATGGCGTATATGAGCGAGATTGGAAGATAGAGGATTATGGGCATGATCAGCCGGAGCTTGATGAGCGACGTTGTTGTGAGATATGGGGCTATGACTTCGCGTGCTCCCGCACCGCTCATCGTGCAGAAGAAGGCTAGAATTATGGTGTAAATGAATCCAACCAAAGTGACCGCCGTCGCGACCTGTGCTGTATACGGTCGGAGGTTAAAGAGCGTGTAGTATGTGGGGGTACTGAGAGTCTGAGGTGCACGTGCAACCAGACCAAGCGCAGTCTGATTTGATGTAATGCTCCCAAGATATTGCGCTGTGCTTTGGGCATTGTACTGGAAGAGGATGCGGGTGAGAAGTTGTTGGGTGATTGGAAGGTAGATTCCCGATGCGACTTCATTGCGTGCTTGCGAATAATACACTGAAACCGCAGATGTTGGGTCATACGAAGAATCGCCTGTCGCACGGGCGGCAGCCAACTTGTCGGTCGCTCCCTGGTTGACTAAAAGGCCGTTAGCATTGCTCTCTAAGTGGCATATTGAGATAAGAGATGGAATATATACGCACTAACGACAGCAACCCAGGCACGCTCATCGAGAATACCGTTCGCCACGTCCTCGTTAGTGGCAAACATACTGGCGTCTAAAGCCTGCCATCCCAGATGCTGTTTGGGTTGTCCAGGCGCGGTAGTGTTCATAATTGCTCCCGAGAGCGTATGACCAAGCGTCGAATTATCGCGATCAATGACCCATGCGCGCAGGTTCCCGGTCAACACGGGAGCCTTCCATAGGGAACCCCAGTAGACTGGCAGGCAGGCCCATACGACAAGAATGAGCATAACAATGGACATGATCGTTATCTTAAAGTACAGCGCGCGTAGGTGCGCAATGGCCGGATCCCAAACTATAAGTTAGGTCAATGCGTGCTACACGGACATTCACATTTTTATACATACAACTATGGGAGAAGCGCTGTGGTTTCGTTGCTCCATCTGCGATTTTGCCTCCTCAACTTTGGTGTTTGCAGTTGGAAACTCCTTTGATGGTTTTCGTGTCGGTGTTTCTGATTCAGACATTGCGAATGGGTAGATGGGGTCCAAGTGATGAAGGGTGTCAGAATCCACTGCGGCCCTATATATATCCCATTCCTCAGGGTGACCTCCGACAAGTCGGATGTAAGCTCTCCGCCTCGTTCGGATCGCGCGCTGGTGATCGGATAGCATCAGCCGCCGAAATCCAACAACTCGGAGGTTATCACTGAATATACCGGCTGCCATCTCGCCGCCGGCAGGTCCTTCAGGCTCACTGACTAAGTCGCATCGGAGGTTTTCTGAGGGGTAAGGACAAACCACAAAAGGATATTGATTATTCGCAGATATTTTTACATACCGATGGCTCAATCATTGTCGCCATTACCCCAGGGAAGCAAACCCGTCGTATGCTCGGACACCTTCGTTGCACCCGCTCCGCAAGTAGTTTGTAGTATGGCTCGTCCTGCGCTTTAAAGTCGCTCTGCACTCTCGAGCAAAAGGTGAAAGACTGTAGTCGAGGAAAGTTGGGAAGATTACGCAATGCCTTGCTCAGGAATACCTAGATATTTTCACGGTTAATTAAAAGAATGTCTTACAGGGCATTCGTACCTTCATATCCGGCACTTTGACACAGAGCTCAAATGCAATGCTCTCGAGACATGGATTGAACCTGGCGATAACCACGAGGAGGGCCCCATGATCCAGTTCTGGTCTAGACACAATCTTGAGATGGCGCAATGGGCCTGTTGACTCTCCAAGCGCGCTCATGCCGGCTGTGGCGTCCCGCGAGCGGGGGGTAGTCTGTACAACGTCCACCGGTCTACCGGGGACAAGGTTTGATACAATGAACATGGGACCTATGAAAGAGTCAATCATTTGATGGATGTCTATCAGGCAGACGGACCTGACGCCCGCACCAGTTTTCTGAGAGCCTTGGAGGAGACTCTGATTCTCTCGTGAGTGACGAGCTAGGTTTTATCAATTTTAAACCTTTCTTAAGCTGATTAGAAGTACCTTGAGCTTTGTGATATTCGGTTGTGTCTCCAACCAATCACTGAGTCCGGTAGGACCCCCTTCGTGCTCAATCCTGAGCGTCAATGCTCCCTTTTCTTGCATCGCTTCCCAGTGGAATTGAACTAAATCTAGCGATGTCCCGGTGAACGGCCATCCAATCTGCCCACTTATCTTCAGCTTGAGTATGACGAGTCTTTTTAAATATTTGAGCGCATTATTAACGTTTTGGCAGTTCGATTCGTTTACGGGGATGTCGAGCGACCGTACGAGGTTGGTGTAATCGTACGCGACAGGCGAGGAGAGTGTGATGAGAAGTTTTGACGCGTCTTGTGTCTTGGGAAGGGTGATGCTGCTGTAAAGGTAGCGCATCGCTAGACTATATGCTGCCGTATTGACACTTGCAAAGGCAGCCAGGGTAGCCAGGTCCGCGTATGCGATTATCTGGTCCCATATCTCGGGTGGTAAGGTTGCTATTGCACCCTTTGCTGGTTCATTGGCTGGTTGCGGCATGCCGTTGAGCGTAAGTTGTGGGTCATCGTGATTTGTCAAGTGCTTACGCATGGTTCCAGCGACCTCTGATTTCTGAAATAGACCATCTAGCTCATCCTTGCTTCCTGTTACGCCCGCATCGTCATATGATGCCAGGTGGAAGGACGATACAGATCGGGGTCGTCTAAAGACGTGCTCCGACTGGGACATGGACGTTTCGAATGCGCTATTATTCGATATTTAGTGTTATAAATGTCTTCTACGCCTTTATTTCCTGGCCCCGGTGCTGCGAATGTGTAAACTACGGGTCTGTGTGGGTCCAAGCCATTACCGACGACTATGAAGGTCGCTATCCTTGGAGGAGGTCCCTCTGCTTTTTATTTTGCTTCGCGGCTACTTCAAAAGGCTCCGTTCACAAGTTCAAGAGGCAGGAATCTCGAAGTGCATGTCTATGACCGGCTTTGGGCTCCCCATGGACTCGTACGTTATGGGGTCGCACCAGATCATCCAGAGGTCAAAGTATGTTCTCTTGAAATGACATTCATACATCTGGCTTGACGAGGCGCTCTTAGAATTGCACCCACAAGTTTGATGAAACCGCGCAAGACCCACGGTTCAAGTTTTTTGGCAACGTCAATGTCGGCGCCGTGCCCTCGTTTTCACATACACTCCATCTTCCTCTAGAGGCTCTGCGGCCATACTATACACATGTTGTCCTGGCTTACGGAGCAGGTCTGCCGTTTATCCTGCCTGCCTTGGGTGCGACCGCAATCTCGGCGCTCTCGATAGTACACTGGTACACTGGCCATCCTTCCAATCCCCCTCCACCCAAGCTGGATAAGGCGGAACATCTGACGCTGATGGGCCACGGCAATGTATCGCTAGATATTGCGAGGCTACTCCTATCTTCCCCTCAACGCATCGCGCCTCTGGACATTCCTCAGCATGTTATAGATGCCATGAGGTCGTCAAAAGTCAAACACATTTCCATTGTCTCCCGTCGCGGACCCGCGCAAGTCGCATTTACAGCAAAGGAGCTCCGAGAGCTCCTTAATCTTCCAGATGTCTCCATGGTTCCGATAGAGCCATCGCTTCTCGCCACACCCGACAACGCTACGCGTCAGCAATCGCGCATTCTCGACCTGCTGCGCAAAGGCTCTGCAGCGAAACCAGGCACGACATCCAAGACTTGGTCTCTCGAATTCTTTCGATCACCGGTTCAACCAATCCACGATGGTGTAGAGTTTGGCATCAACGAGCTGGACGAACACCAACTCGCCATCCCAACCGGCCGAACCGAACAATTCAAAACAGATCTAATAGTCAATAGTGTAGGGTATCGGTCTGAGCCCCTCGCACCAGAGTGGTACAACGGTACGCTGGGCCATGTACGACAAATGGCCGCGAGAGTAGTGGATGAAAAGGAGAGGCCAGTCGGAAACATATATGCTTCGGGCTGGGCAGCGAATGGTGCCAAGGGTGTGCTGGCGACGACGATGATGGATGCTTATGCTGCGGTGGAACGTATGCTTGAGGATGCTGCAAACGACTCTGCTTCGGATGTATATTGTGAGCCTGGTCCACCGAAGGAGGTCACTACCTCGAGTACGAGAGTAGTCAGCTACGAAGATTGGAAGCGAATTGATGCAGAGGAGGTAAAAAGAGGTGAAGCCAGAGGTAAGGAGAGGGAGCGACTAAACTGGACACAAGTCGACAATCTCCTCGCATAAACTACTTATACCATCTGTATTTCTAGACCGTATGTGTCAAGCAAAACACTTCTCACCTGCAGGCGCCAAGTGAAGATGACTCTTTTGTCTCCGTCCACGATCCTCATCAGATGGCCGCAGTGCTCCAGCCTCTGAATCAGCAGCCAAAATTAAAACTCTGTATCAAATCTGGAAATGTTCCTGGTGCCGCATGCGTATTCCAGCGTGTCGCTTCCGTTGCCGCCAACGAACGCAAGGTGTTCATACTGCACGACGAAGGAGAGAATGCGACTGCCGCCAGAATGAGAACTGGTAAGTATTTATGTCCTGGTCCTTTGAACATCGCACCAACATTTCCAGAATCGCTTGCGAGATTATTCGACGTTTCTGAACTCACGACATACTATCGAAATGCGCGACACAAGGCACCTGCGCAGCCAGGAGATGGTCCCAACCTAATCAGGATGTCTTGGTGCGGCCGTAATATCAACGATCTCAACGTATGTACTTCAACCCACGTCTCAATTGGTCAGACCGTTGACCTCGTATAGGCGGCTGTAGACTTTGTGCGTTACACTTGCCATAGGAAAGGGGTGTTTGCAGCACTGATCGGGTTAGGAAATGCTGGTCATGTCATCCGTATTCTTGCAAAAGAGCATAACCTCGAACCTACCCCTCCAGACCCCGTGCGACTACCAAAGTCTGGAAACTACCCTATCACGATTCTTACACCGACTATGTTCACTACGTTCTATGTCAGTGAACCGGCCCCCTTCTCAAAGGATGCCTTGGCTGAGCTCCCCACTCTTACTCTTCCCGTCGAGTCAATCCTCGCTTACATCAAAGAGGTAATCAGGCTCGGGAAACGGCTATTTGACGCCCCTATTATGTCATTAGCGGAGCTACGGGCCGCCAAACTTGCAAAACGGCAAGAGTTGGACGAAGCAGCGAAACAAAAAGAGGCGGATATTAAATTCTGGAAGGAAATGCTTGCGCGCAAAGAGGCCGGAGAGGACGTCGAAGTTCCTGAGAAGCCTCTTTCAGGGAGAAAGATTCGGAAAAAACAAGCCCTCGAGGCAAGAATGAAGGAGATGTGGGGAGGCTCTGAGAATACCGGCTATGATCATTCAGTCGAGAGCCCCCCGGCCTATCTCGAACCCCTTGCAAACTTGTACTACAAGGAGTTGGGCAACGACTGCGTGCGTTCAAAACGTCGGAATAATATGTTTCTGATTACAGGATAGATCGCGGACACTGTCCTCATGCCATCGGCGGAGCCAGTGGTACCATGCAGACTCGAGCATCTTCAAGAGATGATCCAATGGTTGGAAAAGGACGAGGATATTGTTGCCTCCCAAGAGCCACGTATTGACTTTACGAGAGGCTCTATTCTCGGCAAGACAACTCAAGGCGGAGGTACATCTGTCGACCTCTGCAAGCAGGTCGTCGGACCGAAAGGCATTACACCGATTCTCGATGCTGTCGCAAAGAACTCGCACATCGATCGCTTCTTGCTTGGAAACAACATTGTGGGTGATGAAGGTGCGCGGGCCATTGCAGACTTCATTTGGAGCGAGCGGTCAAAAAGGGTGTACAACTTCTACGTATGTCCTCTGAATACCTCTTCTGTCGCTCACATTTCATTTAGATTGCTGGAAACTCGATCTCACCAGAGGGGATTCGCGCAATTGCCGATGCCCTCGTGGATAATGAGACGGTGACGGCACTTTGGCTAAAGCGCAATCCCTTGCTACCACAGGGTGCGAGGTATATTGCATCGATGATCTCCCTCAACACCACCCTTCAAACACTTGACCTGGTGAACACTGGGATCCTCGACCAAGGTGTCGTTTGCTTGATGCAAGCCCTTCAACAAAATCCTGCATCCGCCCTTCGACATCTCTACCTTGGATGTAATGCAGAGGGACCACAATCAGGTGCAGCAATTGGGGCGTATCTCCGCACAGGCTTCAGCCGCCTCACGTCGCTCTTCTGCTCGTGTTCGCGGCTAGGAGATCAAGGAGCCATCTCCATTGCCGAAGGACTCAAAGTTGACCGTTACCTCGAGCGACTAGGCCTAGAGTCGGCGAGAATTGGCGACGTAGGTGCGAGGGCTCTTGCGGATGCATTAGAACATCACCCCGCGTTGATCATGCTGGACCTTGGGTTCAGAAAGGGTACGTATGAGATGGGCGAACTGCCCAATCGTATCACGGACGAGGGACTACTCTATCTCGGTCAAAAACTCATTGGCTGGTCGGATCAGCGCAAGAATTCCATTCGGACGCTCGATGTCACGCACAATAAAGTGACCAGGGATGGTGCGATGACCTTTATCCACAATTTTGTCTTGGACAACAGTCACCTCCTTCATGTTCGCCTGTCACAGATCGGTGCCGAGCGTAATCTCGAAGTCGAGAGGATCACAAAGAGACTGGCGAAAGAGAACAAGGAACAATATTTTGAGGTTGATCCTTCCAAGCTTAGTCCAGAAGAGGTCAAGGAAAGGGAGAGAGTCAAAGAGGCCCTCGATCCCAAGCACATCGCAGAAATCTATAGCATCTATCGAGGTAAACGCGGATCCGAGACCGTAGATACATCTAACTCCTCAACAGGCAACATGTAACAGTATCTTCGTGAATTGATACAACGATCTACAGAGGTCAGGACCCGTGATACACTGAGCAATCGCATCGCGCAGGTTGCTCCATATGGTTCATCTATAGTCTAAGTAGTTCATAAAGAAGTTGTCTGCATCTTGCGCCGAGATTCGATGCGCATCGTGCAGTGTGGACGATTTAGTCGCAACTCGTGATTCAAGTTTTCGCTGACGAGCGATGACTTCTTCTTCTAGTTTGAGAATAAGAGGTTCTTCGTGAAGGTCGTGTTTACGTTCATGGTGCTTGCGCAGTCGTCGGAGCGATACGTCTGGCAAAGAGGGTGGCGCAATCTCGCGCTTTGCCAGTTTTTTCCAGCAAAATCCGCTGCATTCAAGATCAGAAACAGTTCGAAACATACTGTATACAGCCGAACCTGGTTGTAAAGAATGGGTGCTGTATCATTTGTTCGATGGTTGCCCTTCGTTGCATGACCTTGTCCAAGAGTCGAACAAGGAGGTCACGTGTTGTGTCGTCCATATCCGGTGGATACTCTGGATCCTCCTTGGCCACTTTACCCTGGATCTCAGACGTCGGAGCGCCCCAAAGATCGAAAGGATTCTGACATGAAATTAGACACGACCAATAGCTGTGGCAGAATGTACATACGACGCCAGTTATGAACTCATAGAGAGAGATACCCAGCGCCCATACATCACCCTCGGGGCCGTAAATTCCGTTATAGCCCTCTGGCGGTATGTACCCAGGTGTACCACAGAGTGTCGTCCGGCGCTTGTGTCTAGGTTTGCGAGCAAAAAGCTCTTTGAGCTTTTGCGTTCGGGTCCGCTTAGGTGCCGTCGGCGACTCTGAGTCGGCATAGTTTGATGACGATGCACGAGCACTATTTTGGTCTTGGGAGGTGGTTTGCTTGAGACGAAAGAGGGAAAGAATGGAAGATGTTCGTGGTCTGTCATCACGAAGAGTCGCTTCGGACTCGTCATGATGACGAATACGAGAGAGGGTGCTTTTCCTTGTTGATGGCGCCAAAGTGGCGAGCCCAAAGTCGGCTAGACGAACGTGGCCATCCCAGCCTAGGAGGACATTTGCGGGTTTCAGGTCTCTCATGACGATTCCAAGTGAATGGATGAAGCGCAAACCGAGGGTCTGACGGCGGAATTAGCCACAGAAGCGCCTTGTACCTCAAAGAAGCAACCACACCATCTCGCCTATGTAAAACCGTGCGTCATTCGGCTTGAGTGGATAGTCCACATCCCGTAAATCACCAGCGCCGTGATAATCCTATGCGTAAACATGAGCATACGCCCTTTTTCACGGCAATGGAGATGACGAACCAGAATGAAGACAAAGTGGTTCAGGGTAAGGAAGCTCGCCACCATTCTCACCACGAAATCACCATCAGGTTCTTTTCCTCTCCTCTGGCGTTCTGCAATGCGCTTCGAGATGCGCTGCTCCTTGAGTGTCATATCGGTACGGGCCTGGCTGATACCTCGCCTGCAAACCGTCTTGACGGCGACCGTTTCCCCAGTGTGGACTTCTACGGCCTTGTAGACACATCCGAATCCACCTTGACCAACCTTTGAAGAGACGAGGAAGCGATGAGCACCTAGTCGTGGTGCTCGTTGAACATTGCTAATAGGAGTGGTCGGAGCAGAAGACCACCCAGCCGAAGAGCCAGAGTGCGACGTGTCGGATGCGTAGAGGTCTGAGGATTGCATCGTCATTGTACGGGGGAAAGGAATGGTACCGCTCCTCATCGTAGAGGTGCGCGAGCCAGGCTCCATTGGAACAAAGTGGGATTCTGTAAACCCAGAGGCGGGAGTGAGTCTGAAGCGCATTTTATGTGTAATTGGGGAGGGCAAACAGACCTTTTTGAGTGAGTGACGGTTGCGACGTGTGCGAAGTTGGAACCCTGTGGAGATTACCCGTAGCGCCCTCTGGTGGTTGATGGACAGGGAGAGAATGGGGGCCACCGCTCATGGCCGATTCCCTCTTCGCAGAAGGGGGCCGGCTATCACGAAGAAAGGACGATCACGATCACATCCCGGGATTATCACCTGCCCGTTGTACTTTTGGGTAGACACTTACCGCGAGGACGTCGGTGAGATCTGTTTGATATCGACCTCTGCTTTGCTGTAGACGTTGATGGATGGTGAGATCCATGACAATTCGTCCTCATTTCCCTTGCCTGTCATGTACTTTGGGCCTACATTTTTGGTTTTCGGCAAAGTCGGCGTGCTAATGAGCGACGGATGAGCATGAGCCCAGCCACAAGACGACATCCGATGCCATACCTTGTGACAAGTTTACTCATAGTTGGTTTTGGTCGACTTGGAGCGATGGGTAGGACACTCCAAGGACCGTTCGACGTGTTGGGGCGGTGTAAAAAGTGCTAAAATTACGATTCTGTGATGGGCTTGGCAGGAGATGCAGGATAAGGCGCAGCAAGCACAAACAAGGTGGCAAGATGTGGTCTAGAACGACGAGGGCAGCGCTGGGGGAAAAGTGGAGTGCGGGTGAGAATGTGGGCCGTAAAGTACGTCGGCCTATGAGGAACGTCATAGACGGGAGGCTCGCCCTAAGGCACGGCGAGGATAATTAACCATCCTTCGATATGCGCCACTCCTCGCGGATATGGGTAAACTCTTGGAGATTTTCAGAGGAACAGATGGTGATTGGATGCCACTTGCTTCCATCATGACGGCACACGGCAGGCGATCAGTATGCAGCTGGCTAGAGGTTGTCCTCCCAGTTTTGGGTCGCCTCTGCTGGTTTGCTTTGCCTTCCCAGAGGTTGGTACACCGTGCCGCGGTATAGCTGGCAAATGGACGCAGAGATTAAAAGCTGTGACCACGGACCTTGCGCAGAAGAGAGACTTACCATGAACCCTATTTATACATCACGGTCTCGTTGGGGTCTCAGCCAGATGGCTCGGATGTGGTGCTCTCCAAGTTGCACGACGAGGTCAAGCTCCATGAGTGCAAGTCATATCATTTCACAGTTTTACGAGATTTGTCCCCAGTAAAGTTCGTGGAATGTGTGCCTCGTACAACATGCTATACAAATCTGCTACAGCGCTGGATAAGAGTCAAAAGTGCATCTTGAATCGGCATCTCGAGTACTCACATGAATCTCTATGCATCAGCCAAGATGGAGAGACAGTTCTTCAAATCTACGTTTCCTCCGCTGAGCACAAGCCCAATATTGATAGAGGGGCGGCCAAGCTGCGCTATCCGGTCTCTAAACTCTGTAGAGAAGAGCACGACGGCTAATGTGACACACGAAGAGGGTTCAACGACAATCTTGAGTCGTTCCCAGATGAGTCGCATTGCTGCTGCAATCTCCTGGTCGGTTACGGTGTAAATATCGTCCACGTTTGCCAAGATGAGAGGAAAGGTAATCTTTCCCAATGATGTGAGGAGTCCATCTGCAATAGTATTTGGCTTGACCGATGGATGAAACGTCTTTGAACGAAACGACTTTTGAGCATCGTTTGCTCCAGTCGGTTCGGCTCCGAATACGAGCGTATTGGAACGGAGCCCCTTGGTAGCCACTGAGACGCCGCTGAGCAGGCCACCTCCACCGACAGGAGTGATCACTATGTCCAGCGGCCGGTCGAGGTTGTCGGCTTGATCGACAAGCTCAAACGCGACAGTTCCTTGACCTCTCACGATGTCAAGATGGTCATATGGCGGTATGAATCGGACTGTGCATTGTTCCCCACGCTCGTTTGCCTCTCGTGGCAGACGCTCAAACAAGCTGTCCGTCGCCGCTTCGCGCGCTTCTAAAGTGGGTTCGCATTCGGTAACTGTCGCTCCGTATCCCAAGACGGCATTCTTTTTGACGAGAGGAGCCGTGCGAGGCATCACGACGTGCGCCTTGACACCGAGTTGTCGAGCGGCAAGCGCGAGCGCCTGGGCGTGGTTTCCAGAGGAGTGGGTGATGACTGTGAGCGTTTTTGGATCTGAAACAGTCTGTAAAAGCCGCTGGATGGCGTAGGTGGCGCCCCGCATCTTGAAGGCTAATCGGCCTGGAGTGAGCAGGAGCAACCAGACGGCGATAAAATGCGCACCTCCGACCTTTTGAAAGTTTTCACATTTGAATAAGAGACTTGTCTTGCATCCGAGGGCGTCTGTCGCAAAGCTGTCGAGCGTTTTGCTGCAAAGGACGGGCGTCTTGTGGATAAATGGCTGGATGCTGATCGCAGCGTGCTTAATCTCTTCTATTGTCGGTATTTCGTCCATTCCCGTCTGCTACAGCGACGTCCACCGGCGACACGGCTCTTGTCCTGGAGGCGTGGCCGCGGCCAATACATGCTGCTTCGCTAAAGACAAAACTTGGAGCGGCCCATCTCCAGCCCATTCCCTAGATCATCTCGCAAATTGTACACGAAAATGGGCGACACTCCGCAATCCATTCCAGCGTCATCTTCTACCAGCTTTGACCCGACGTCGTCCGTCCAAGCCGTAGTGCCTTCACACTCGGACAGCGCTATACCTCTGCAATCAGCTCAGACGTCTTCAAATACGATAGATCACTCTAATTCGGATCCTATTTCACGCCCAAGCACGCCCGTCACGCCTCTGCCGTCGCCGCCAGTCGACCGCATCTCCCGTCACAAGCAGAAAAGAATAGACAGCTACTCGCAAATCCAGATCATCCGTCAAATAGCTGATGAACATGCCAGGATGTCCAGCGACGACACGACTACGGCCACCACCCGCTCAACTGCACCTCCCTCCGAGTGTGGCTCCATCGATTCCGAAATGTCTCCTAGCAAACTCAAGCCTCCCGAGCCAAAAAGACGGAGGTCGAGCAGGAGTGCAGGCGAACGCGACGACGGTGCCTGTCTCTTACCCTCGCCGCCGCCCCCCTTACGTACGTTGAACGTCTATGAATCTCATCATATACTCATTTTCTTGATAGTGCGGCCCAAAACGTTTTGGAGGAACACCCCTCGTTCCGCACTCGGCTCACCGGACTATTCGCCTTCGACACATCTCATCCGACGATCGTCCTTTGTCGTCGCAGGTCTCGAGCCATCGGAACCTTCGGGAGACATTGCAGCGCTCTGCATTGGCAGTCGACCACGTCCCTCACACACTGTCGTCCTCCCGCCTGAAGCCATCTAGAGCGGTCATTCATCCACAGATTCTCACTATGTTTATTCTTTTCTTATACATTATCGGGCTCGTCCCGCCTGCCTCTGCATACCCCACTCCCCAACAGTTCCTTCCGATCCCATCCGCTTCATCCACACCGACGTCGTCGTTCAACTGGTGGCCTTACACCAATTTAGGCCAGAGCGTTGTCAGCTTGATCGCACCGACGTCCTCGACAATGTCTATGTTGACATTGTCCTCACACACATCCACCAGCACCAGCCCTCTAGTCACATCTACCAGTTCTTCATCCTCCATTTCGGCCACCGAACAATCCACGACCACTCGTCAAGTCTCTTCTTCGCCCGAATCGACAACGAGCCCTTCGCCATCGACGATGCAATCCAGCACTACACCCTTGTCGAATTTCAAGCTCGCCTACCTATTCCCAATTGTAGCTGTCATCGGGGTCATTATAGGAGCCTCTTGTGCTGCCGTTATCATCAGACCATGGGCTCGCAAGCCGAGAAAGCAATCGCCAAAGCCTGGACATCATCCATTTCCAGCAGACGGCGGGTTGATGCCATTGCCAAGTCCTCTCGACGAAGAGGAGAAGCAATGGATCGCGTCAAAGAGTTCTTACTCTGATGACGCGTACCATACTGTGGACGAGAGTGACGAGGAAATGAACCAGCTACCCCAATCCAAGCTTCTCTCACCCTCCGTTGCCGACGAATTGGAACTCGATGTGACTTCTGATCGCCCCAACTATGACCTGCCTTTGGAGCTCGAAGAAATTGACTTGCGCACACTGTCAAACGGGTCCACGTTCATCAATTAACGCGAGACTGAGACAGACCATGCAACAGAGTAGCCGAAGATCATCCAGAAACGCGTTCGGGCTCGTAACTGAGAAGCCGTCTGTGGTGCCAAGACCACCAGTTCACTCCATGTTGTCTCCCCTCGCTACCAACGTCTTTTCGCCTCCGCTTATGAAAGATCTCTTCTTTCTCGACAAGGCGCCGCGTGCGTGTTCCAGGGATGCGTGGGGAACTGCCGAGAGTATTCTGGGAAATGGAGATAGTGAGGAAGAGGCCGACCTGCAGGGCGTTATTATGTCGGCGGGTAGCAGTAGCCATGGTGCTACGAAACGACACCCGCCACCGCCGTCTTCTGATTCATTCCAAAACCCTGTCCGGGTCCCACCATCGCTTTCTACCCTTTCCACCACGGTGAGAGCACGGAAGCTGGTTCGATCCATCCCGATGCGCACAATTGGGCAACCGGACACATTGGAAAACAAAAAATTGCCGTCTGCCACGGGTACAACGTCATGCGAACGTGGCAAGGACGAGCAAGGACCGTCCATGGATCAGTCTAATGCCTGGTCCGACGTGTACAACGGCCATTCTGCTGCGCTACAGACGGTCGCGGACCTCATCCGCTCTCAATGGTCACGCAGGGTTCTCTCGGCTGAACCCACGTCTCCGACTTTGTTTGGCGCTTCCCTGAGTCCTTACGCGTCCCAGGACGCTTACGGCGACGACAATCATCGCCCGCGTTTCGGCATGACCAATCGGGGTTAAGCGTGGTTAGGACCCAAACCGGAACGAAATGCCGGTCTCTCTTTTTGGCGGATATTATAGCCTGTTTTTCTTTGATTGTATTCACCAGGGGGAAAACGGATATTTTGCTTGTATTGTCTACAGGCTGCCAATAGATGTGCATTCTAAATGCGTTAATACGTTAGGATCGTGGTGTAGCATAGGTGAAGAGCGCAGCGAAAGAGAGAGAATTAGCCACGTTGCGGGAGGGAATCGACGAGTAAAGAAAAGTAGAAACTACGAAGTTGCTGACGTCTTCATAGCCTGAGCTGGGTGAGCACCCGACGTGCTAGCATATGATATTGCCATCCATCCCCTCCGATGCGCCTAAACTGGATTCCGTGAAGAGGAAGAAGAGGCACCTAGGCAACAATCAGCCTTTGGTCACAGGAAGAATCGTCAAATTTGGTAGACATACCTTGACAATCATAATCTCAAAGCGTACAACTAGCTCGCTGGCGCCCGTATGCTCAAATGGATCGTCCGCGGGTCGTTGGCCATTTGTCTTTGCCACGGGCGTCGGTGGCACTTGGGCAAAGTCTTGGGGTATAGGCGGGAGGAACTTATCCCGCGTGGGCGTAGTAGACGACGATGCCTTTGTGGGTGTGGTCGGCTCTTGTGTAATGACGGGCTCTGCAGGAACGGCGACAGATGCAGCCTCTAGCTCGACTGGTAGGTCATTTTCCACAGGACCACTTTCTTCGACAATCTTGCTGGGTGGAACACTCCCCTTGCCCACACTTGGTTCCTTTGCGTGGTGGGTACCGTTTGTCGCCTCGTCTGCTGCGTCGGCATTTGGACGTTGTTGTGCAGATGGAGACGGCACGTTGAAAAAGGAAGAAGATCCTCCACTCGGCGAGGCCAACTTGTTTTCAGCAGCCGCTACTGGAGTCTGATCAGAGGGCTCGACAGCCGAGACAGAAGGCCGACTCGGCAATTCCTTTTCTTCACCCTTTGTCACGACTACTGAGGGAGGAACAGCACTCGCTGGCGTCATCGGTGTGGCCGAAGATGGCTCCTGTTCTCGTGACTTTTCCTTTTTGCGCACAGCCGCAAAGGAAAGCTTGGAGGCCTTTCTGACAACACCTCGGCGAATAGTCGAAGCCGCAGATGTATCATTGGAAAACGAGGGCGGCTCTTGTCGGCTGCTCTGTCCAGCGGCACGCGAGGGCCCCTCTATTTGCACCGACGCGAGGTCGATGGACGGCGCATGAATGCATTCGAAGCCACCCTTGATCTCCCGATACTGAATTTGCATACGGTCCAAAACATTGCGAATGTCATTCTTGATCACGTTGGCAGGTCGTGTAGTCGTGGTCGCCACGCTGTGAGCAAAGGTTAGTCATTATAAAATAAATTGCCGGATATACGTACCTAAAAAGCCCTTTGAGATAGAGCGGCTTGACATCTCGTTCGGTGGCGCTACCCTCGTCCTCTGCGGCTTCTACGCGCGTCTCCTCGCCATTGACCAGGACACCCTCGCTTTCTAGGTCGGTATTCCGAGGTTGTTGCTCCTTCTCTGCAGTCTCCTCTCCTTCGGCCGGCCCCGATGGCCGAGCGGTCTGGCCCGTACGAGGTCGCCGAATAGTTGCGCCAAACCCTCCAAGGGCAAACCCAGCACTCAAGCTTCCACGGCGGGTATGTTTACTGTCCCTGCTAGTAGAATCGACAATGGTAGCCGCTCTCCGGTGGAGGTTATTCGCAGGCTGGGTAGACGTGAGTGGGACACTTTGTGTAGTCTCTAGCGGCGTCGAGGGCCCCTCCCTCGCTAGTTTCTCTTCAGACTTGTGGACTGGAGTAACGGGCTTGTGTGCTTCCCGAGACGCAACATCAACCGAATGGCGTGGAGGGAGAAGGCCACCTCTCAAAATACTTCCACGTCTGCCCAACGTCTTTCGTCCCTCCTCACTGAATCGATTGCCGATCATGGTAGTAAAGCGGCGAATAGTTGATCCACCAGCAGACGATTCCCTGCCACTCGTAGGAGACGTACGGCCATCTTCTGATTCACGTGGCTGATGCTCCGAGCGACGAGGCTCGATCTCGACATTCTCATCGAATGCCGTCTGCTCTGGCCCGGCAGTCCGCGGTGGTGCCGCCGTGCGTGATACACCCCAACCGGCCATGAGCCCAGCACGGCTGGTAAGCGAGGTACTTCGTCGGTGCTGATGCTTCTCTGCGGCCTTTGGTGGCGCAGGCATAAAGGCAGAAGGCGGTGTAGACGACTTGGGCTCCTTCTCCGGTTGGACATTGACGGGGAGATCTGTAGCAATCGTCCGAGCCTGAGGTTGCATCGACGTCGTTGGAGACTTTGGAACAGGCGATTCGTAGGCCGGTCCAGCTTGATGCGTCGGCTCTGGCGCCGGAAGTCCTGGTAAGGGCATATTGAGATCGCGCTTTTGGTAGGATGCAGACGGAGGCGCCACAGAGACTGGGGCTGGTTTTGCAGGGCCGTTGTTTGTACTGCTGCTGCTGGTCTTGTAGGCGCTTGGCGGGGAGACGGGTCCTGATTGTGCCACATTCAACGAGACGGGTGCCTCCTGGCGCGAGGTAGAGCTCACGGGTTGTGGGGGGCTGAGCGAAATTTGAGAGCTCGCGAATTGGGGTCCATAAACTCGTTCTCTTTCTATCTTTTCGCGGACAAGGAAGTAGATGGAGATCAACGGATGGAAACCAAGAGTTGGGTCGATGTAATCGCTTCCTCGAGAGCTGTCCATGACTGCTGTGGATTGAGGACCGAATGTGGTGCTCATCGGGAGGCGTCCAGTGGGTGTGCTGGGCGGCGAGTTGCCCTGAGAGAAAAACCTGCGCTTGTAAAAGTCGAAACCGGAGAATCGCTTCGATCCCTTTTTGCTGGCAGCCGAGTCGCCCATCTGGTTTGCTCCCATGCTGTTAATGGCGGTATGAGAACTCGAAGGCGACTCGGGACGGCCATTGGTCCGAGCAATGTCATGCTTTCTCTCAAATATTTCTACCATTCGCCTATAAGTGTTTGTCTCCAAGACGTTGCGAAGTTTTTGCTCAATTTCTGCTGGAGTCCCAAACTCGAAACCGGTCATTCCGCGAATGACATTGGGGTCCAATTCGCTGGCCTTGAGGGGTTCGCGTGGGAGGAGATGAGGATCTGGAGGTCCACTAAAGCCCCTGAGCATCCAGGGGTGATTCAGTACCTCGTGGAGGGTCGCTCGCTGCGAAGGCACGACCACCAGCATGCGGGAGAGAATGTGTTTGCATTCTGCAAACGAGGATCAATCACAGAAAGAGTCACCGAAGAGACGACGGACCGGCACTCAGCCATGTGGGATAATCGACGATTCCGCGCTTGATCTTTGCATGAAGCGCGGGCATATGCTGATCGTCAAACGGAACCTTGCCGCAGACGAGTACATAAAGAACGACTCCAAAGCTCCAGATGTCGACCTCTGGACCGGTATAGGCTTTGGCATTGAGAAGTTCGGGGGCGGCAAAATACAAAGAACCGCAAAACGTGGTGAGATTGGCGGCGGGGTTATAGAGATTGGAGAGGCCGAAATCAATGATCTTGATGTTGCCCGACTCGGAGATGAGAATGTTTTCTATTTTCAAGTCTGGGGGAAACATGAGTGCCAAACCCCGAGGTTGGTGAAACACGTCGACGTACCTCGGTGGACGACGTTGTTCTTGTGACAATACTCTAATGCGGAGCCAATCTGACGAGCAAATTTGCGCGCTACACGCTCGCGTAATCTGCCGTGGCTGATGATATAGTCGAGCATCTGGCCGCCGTTGACAAACTCGAAGACGATGTAGTGGTAGTTTGGCTGGGCAATAATCTCGCGGGTGCCACAGATGTACGGATGGAAGAGAATCATGGACAGAGCGGCCTCTCTGACGGTGCGAATCTCCTTTGAAGCGTCCTTTGCGGCCTGTCTGGCGAGAAACGAGGCCGTCGGGTTTCCCTGGTTGGAATGGGATCCGCTAGGCCGTGGAACGATTTTGATAGCGAGCTGTAGACGTACTGGATGAGCGTTGTGTGTGCTGCGCGCCTGTATACATACCTTTTCGCCCGTCTGGTTGTGATATGCGAGCTTTACTTTGCCCATCGAACCCGCTCCCAGCGTCTTTCCGAGCGAGTAGTTTCCAATCACCCGCACCGTCGCCCGCGAGCCGCCTCGTCGCGTCGTCGCCGTCGAATGTGTGCGCGCGTCGTGGGCATGATGGCCTTGTTCCTGCGTCTGCTGGGCTACAGAACCGTCTGGATTGGCAACGGGAGGCATTGACATTGGCCTGGGACGGCTGTGGGAGCTCCTCGCCGTCCGTCGTGCTCCCGGCGGACGCTCAGATGGTTCATCCACATTGTTCCCGACGCCAGCAGCGCCAGTCCGCTCGACATGCTCAATGCCAGCGTCCGTGTTTTCCATTATCGAGTTTGGTGTCGAGTATGGTGCTGACCAGGCTTGGGCCAACTCACTCCAAAACCCGGCTCTCGGCTCAGCACATAAATACTTTTTGGTTTCGCACTTGGATAGCTCGCTCATTCCCTTCCAGTCCCGCTCTCCTCATACCCTACACTCACTGCCGCTCCCTCCCCTCCAACAAGGTCCTCGTAAAACTCTTGACCAAGCCCAGCCTTCCGTCTATCTTCGATGTTAAATGGACCCTTGAGGGGACCCTGGAACCGCTCTCGCACCAGCGAGCTGTGCGCAATCAGAACTCTTGCAAACAGCCTAGGCTAGACGTACCGAAACGTCGAGACAGGGTCTAGCTGACCCTCTGCGTCACACTTCCATGTGAACCAGCGATGCCCAGTGGTGACGTGTGTAATCTCATCCAGGTGGATGACCTCGAGTAGCGCCACACTCTCTGTGTCCCCAGCCTACGTATCCATCAGTCTCTTTCCGTTCAACCCCAAGTCTCACCTTTTCGAACTTGGCAATCGTCGCGGGGTTCACATCCAGCCCCCGAGCTTCATGGACCAGGTGGATAATGGCGAGGCGTGCGAGGAGAGAGTCACTCGTGTTGAGTGCAGATTGCCACAACGAGCTATGGATAGGCAATGAACCATACTGCGTCCCCAGTTGAGAGAGTCTGTTGGACAAAAGCGTGAAATGTTTCGCCTCGTCCAACGCCATACGTGTAAAGTCGATGTAATATCCACTCGGTATGCTCTTGTCATTCCCAAAACGTGCAATAATATCCCATCTATCCGTACCTGTGAGCGAGTTCTCTAGTAAGGGGAGGGTGCGCGACGTACGCCAAGTCTATTCTAAATAGGTACGTCAGGCAACAACTTCCGTTGATACAGTTTCCCACTTACGCCCACTGTTCAATGTTCGCAAGTGCGTGAAGCATCGTGATCCGGCTTCGGAGACTACCGCCCTTTCCACGCTTGGCCACTTTTGTCGGGTCCACCAACATCATCCCAGCGTCGCGCGGCGGCACGGTCGGAGGAGTCGGCGCTTTCCCATGGCGACCTATCGACTTGATACCGCCAGTTCGGAAAAGTTCGACAGCATGCCGTGTCCTCTGCACTTTGAGCACGGCGTCGGGTGTGTTGAGGATGAGGACGGCCCATTCCAAGAGCGTAGTGGGAGCTGGCGTAGGGACGACGGGTTCTTCGATCTTTGACGAAGTAGACTCGGGATTCTGGATAATTGGGGGATCCCTGCCAATGTTATTTATATCCGCAAAGGCTGCAGCATGTAAGAAGGAAACGTAGAGTACAATAAGCACACCTTCTGAGACCGGTCTCAACTCGACAACTTCATACTCTTCATTAGACGGAGACTCTACCCAGAGTTCAGGCCCCTCGCCTAGTGGCTCCTCTCGTATCTGAAGACCATAGACACACGCCCGCAGACCCGTATCGCTCCTTCCAGTCTTGAGATTGAAATTATATCTGTGCCATGGACAGACCGTCACAACCTCTGATCAAGAGATGAGTGAGAGACTCGTAAACGGCCATCTCCAAAACTCGCCGTCTTCATACTCTTCAATCTCTGCATGAGATAAATCCGCTCCTAGATGCGGACACTGTGCCTCCATTGCGTACATCTGGAGCTCTTCCACTGCCCGAACCTTACTCGCAGCCGACTCGAGCTGCGTCTTCGTGTCATGCGACGAACCAGCCAATCGAAACAAGAGTATCGAATGATACTTTTGCTTTCCAGCTCTTAGTGTAATCAAATAGCGCGAATGTGTAAAGAACTTGGTCCTATCCAGCGTCGGAAGGGATCGTCGAAACCAGTTGCGCTGAAAATACGCACAATGCACCAAGCCTAAACAATTCAAAGCACAAGTGCGAGCGATATTAGTGCAAAGTCTCAAAAGAGGCTGAGCCAAAAGGAAGCCAACCGGAGATATGGCGTCGACATGGTAGGAGCCAAAGCGTCTGGGCAACTTGGATCTCAACCGTAAACTTCACACGACATACAAGGCACTGCTAGCATGAAACACTCTGAATATACCGGAGACCGGAGAACCATTAACGAGGACATGGGGGGATTGTGGATTTTGTGACGAGACAATGTACGCATGCCTCTGGGGTTGCACTAGATCATGACACGGCCGTAACACCGAGACAACCGAAATGTTTATACTATGCCCTTGACAATCATCCGCTCCAACCTGCAAAACTCGGGGACAATCGCTGCATAGGTCAGGAATGTATCATGATCTGCTTCCGCCACCTTGACCAGACCCAACTGCACATCTGCGTCGTCTGTCGGAAGAGCTTGGATCGGGGCGAGTGGCGGATGACCAGAGCCGGGGGCACTCTCTAGCCCAACCTCTAGCGCGATATTGGGGGTGGGAGTGGAAGAAGACCCGGAAAGGGAGCTGAGAGAGGGAGTCCCAACCGACGAGACGGTAGGAGTGGGGATGTTCTTCAGAGTTCGCGGAGGCGTGACGGCACCCGAATACTGGCCAAACGACGCTTCATAGCCCTCTTCGTCCTCTTCTTCCTCCGCAAACGAGCTGGTCGCCAAGCCAGATTTTGCGTGAAGAGGCTTGAGCGATCCGGGTACAGGCTGCGACCCTGGTGCTGACACACTTCGGGATCGGTTTCCACCTGTGGCTGGGCCATTTCCAGCCACGGTCAATTTTCTCGTCATAAGCCACCTAACTTCGTCTTCAAACCCTGGGTGCTTTTCATCCGGTCGTGTCTTCTTGCGCCATCCCCACCGTGCAACATATGCCGCGCCTAGCGCTGGCCGAGCAGCTGAAGGGAGCTTGGGGATTGTATCATTCGCTTGTTCCACCAAAGAGTTGGGAATCAGAACTGGAGCATTAAAGACGTCTCCCAAGAGGCTCACGACCGATGGGAATGTACAAGCAGATCCAGTAGCGAGGATGCGCTTTGGAAGGTTGGTGGTGTCGTATGGGTCAAACTTGACCCCAATGCCATCGACGACTTGACTATTTCGAGGCTGCTTCAGTGTGCGGCTCGGTAGGAAGACCCCGTTTGTGTTGAGATGAGCTAGACGGACTCGGAAAGAAAGAATCTGGCTCTCCAGCAAGCACCTGACCGCGGCTGATGAGCACAAGGAATGCTATAGACACCAAAAACATACCTTGGATTGGCGCGAAGGTCTCGGAACTCTGCAGCCTTGACACCCGTTTCAAACCGGTAGACACCCTTGATATGTGAAAAGGGAAACTGCTCCTCTTGAAGCAGCCAAAAACTGAACAGCTTGTCGTCCAACCTGGTGATATTTAGTTACATGTTTCAGCCAATGTGACTTGCATACCCAATGGAGCCTCCGGGAGGGACGACGGCGACAAGCCTGTCGAATGCACTCCAGCTTTTGGTGTACGCATCTCGTACGAGAGCACGAGGTACATCTGCATTCCTGGACAAGTTTCAGCGTGGAGAGTTGCTTCAATAGCCTAATCCGTACCGTGCTATTAGCATGGATATGTACTTGCGTTGTTTTTCGGCAACAACATCCTGCGCAGGATGGGGAACAGTGATAAAATGAGGTGATTGAACCACTTTTGTCGTTGGAGTAAGGAGGATGTCGGTGGTGCCAAATTCGACCACACAGTCGGCTGAGCTTGGTGCAAGTGAAAGATACGAAGCGAGATGCTCCGAGGTAAAAGGATAAACAGGAAGTCCTGGGACGCGGTCAGAAGAAGAAAGAAATACGACTGTAAGCACATACCCGCTTCGAGCCCATATTTCGAGGAGAAGTAAGAAGAAAGGGTTCCCACGGGCTTTGCAGAGCTGCGTGCGACGACTCCGAGCATCTCCTTGATCCGATCAACCGTCTCTCCCGAGTTGGCGATAGCCTGCAGCACTGATTCCTCCCATTGTTCCTTTGATAGAGAATACAATCCAGTCGATGCCGCTTCTGATTCACCAAAAGGCACAATCGATCCGGTGATGATCGAGCAGAAGAAGCCACTAGCGAGGACAACTCGCGAGGTTTGCGCCCATACGTTTGCGTTTGTGGTGCGGAGATAAAGCATCTGGGCGGACAACAACGAGGCGTGTGCGGTAACCCCGACCAGGCTGGCCATTGCCTCTGGTCCGCCGAGTGTCGTCTGAAGTGACGAAGCAAATTGTGTGGCGGAATTGTCATTGATGCTTGGTATATGTTGGACAGATACGCCCTTTGGGAAGATCTGCTCTCGTAGGGAGCTTTTATCATCGAGAGATTGTAGAATAGATGCAAAGTCGGCAGTAAGCCAAACTGGACTGGACTAGCATAATCGTCAGTTGTTACGTTGCAGCTCGATTGGGAATGAGCATACCAGCGCCGCTCCGGAAACTGCCTTTATCTTGGTTAGATCATAGTTCTTTTGTAAACGCTCGAACAGCATGTCTTTAGGCATCATAAACGAACATCCAAATCACAGGGACCAGGTGGACATACCTAGAGCTTTGAGCCAAAGTTCGACCGAGGACATGGACGCGTCGCCATTAGTTGCATGAGAGCCTGTACGGTTTCTACGTTGTGTCAGCGGGCGTATTTCAGCTGAGAATGAGTGTCATGTCGCCGTCGAGATTTTCGAGCGTTACTCCGGAGGGTGCCACGCATCATACTAGCGTGATCCTTGAAGCGAAAATATGTACAAAGACGGGATTTGTGTGATGAGAACGAGAGGACTCACTGATGTTCAGGGAATTCTGTGGTAAAGTCGATGTGCTCAGATCCAACGAGTTCGAGCTGTTCGTCAACAATGGCAGCACGAAGAGCGTCTGCAGACAGCTGGAGCCCGAGAAAGTGTTGTGAGGCTTTTGGAGGCATTTGAGATTGGCTAGATCGGCGAGCGTGGTGCGGTAGATAATTAGCGGCTTCTACGCTGTTGCTGGCAAAAGCTCGAGTGAACGACAGAATAGGTTACAGAAACCAGGCGAGAGTGAATTTATTTGCAAGACGGTTGTCGGCCAAAACTGTAATCGTGGTCAAGGTCGAAGGCGTGGGCCCTTGATTGCCTGTCTTTGGCACGTCGCCGGCAAATTTTACTCGTGCTTTATCCGTTTGGACAATACACGGAGCCGAGGATTGGCTCCATCTCGGAACAGTTAACAGCCATTGTTTGCACTATGTCACACATTTCTACTCTGAGAGCCGATCATTCATGTCGCTGGTTCAGCCTCGTTCTCCTTTTCGAGCTTGTCGAGCTTGCCCTCAGCTCGCGCCTTTTCGACAGCGCCTGGCTCCATCTACAGCACGTAAGAATGATCGCGAGTGTATTTCAGTACGTACCACATCAATTCCGAGCTCGGCCAAGGCAATCTGCCGTCTTGGGCCTTCGAACCACTTCCGAGCCGAAAGGAGCCATGTGCCCATGGCGTACGCCATCACAATGCCGACTGCAACAATAGAATAGTTGAGAGTCTGGCTTGTGACAGGGTAAACCTGAAATGACAGTCAGTAGGCTCCTCAAAATGACATTGAGCGTACTTGGGGCAAGATGAAGAGAATTGCAATAAGTGCGATCCAAACAACTGCAAGTGTTGAGATGAGAATTGAGAACTTTCCGAGGTGCCATGGGCCTTTCACAAAGCGTTTGCGGCCGAGGACGCGAAGGAGAATCGGGATGCCATATGAGATGTAGAGACCAATAGTGCTGCAACATGTCAGAATATGCTACTCAGAATCGGCAGGAACGCACGCAATACTGGTAGCCGCTGCAAAGGCGACCGTGCTGCCCAAGCTGGGCAGAGCGAGGATGAAGGAAAGTGTGCAAGCGAGCCAGACTGCAACATGTAAGATAATAATATGGATGGAATAAACCCTACCTGTTCTAATTGGCGACTTGCGCTTCACGTCGACTTTGTGGAAAAAGCTCGACGCCGGGAGTGCACCATCACGGCTGAATGCATACTGAATCGCGAATTAGTGTCAAATCATGCTCCATTCAAATAATTTAGCCTCACCATCATGCGCGAGTTGCTAGTAATTGAAAAGGTCCTGGATACTGTCAAGACGATCATCAGGGCGGAGTGGGGAGATTTACCCGCAGAAGAACATTGCAACGACAATGATCACCATAAGTGCGATCGCTGCATCCGGTCCTACGGCATCTATGATAATTTGGGCGACTGGCTGGCCGGTCGCTGCACCGATTGTAGCTTCATAATCTTGAATTGAGAAGAGTAGGCCAAGAATAAGGAACCAGCCGAGTACGGCAGATACTCCGATGCTCATTATGATGCCCCAAGAGCCCGCTGTGGCCGCGTTTGTAGTCTCCTCCGTCCTGGGCGCATGTAAACTCGCGATAAACAACCAGAAAAATCACCTACATGTGCGCAGAAGCATCGAAGCCAGTGAGCGTGTACTGAGCAATCAGAATACCTGGTGTGTGTGAGGAGAGGTGGGGAGAGGCAAGGCGAGGCGAAGGGAAGAGGATTTGAGCGGACCAGCGTCAACGCATCAGATTCAGAACATCCTCTTCGCATATACTTACCAATACAGATCACATATCCATTCCCAGCGTGTGCTGCCCATCCTGTTCCATCATAGAACTCGGTGAAGACGAATTTTGCCGTCTGGTGCGTCTTCGCTTTGGCAAGAACCGAGATCACAAGCGCACTCGTTCCGAATGCGTGCCACCAGATAGAAATGTTGTTGAAATACTTGAGTAGATGAACCCCAAATGTGTTGATGAGACCCTGAGCAGTCAGAACAGCAGCGTAGATGCCGATTACCGTCTTTGGATTCGGTTCATATGCAGACGTCCCGATAGCAATCGTCGTCGACAGGAACGTAGCACACGCGAATGAGATACCTGCGAGGTCTGTCAGAACTACGTGCGTTCAAACTAAAGACTGACCAGTGGTCACGGCGACTTGGCTGAGCCACAAATCAGTATAAGATTCCACATAGGGATACGCCGAACATACCCGATGAGATTGAACCAACCAGTAATCCAGGCAGCAAGCGGCGCCTGACTTGGAGTCGAGAGCTTTGCACTCCAGAAGTATGGTCCACCCGAGGTTGGATGCGCTGAGCAAATCTCGGCCATTGCAGCTCCAACACAGAGGGTGAATGCCGACACGACGATCCATCCCCAGCTAGTCAGGCGTTTTCAGAGAGACCGCACAATGTTGGGAGAGAACATACACCATGACGGCTGGCCCACCCGTCGTCAATCCAAAGAAAAATAGTGATGGAATCCCCGTGATGATGGAAATGATGGAGAACGAGACACTGGCTAGATAAGCCTCACAAATCCATCGTCAAATGACAGGTCGACATACCCAAAATTCTGCGCACTGTCAATTGCCTATTCAATGTTTAAAAGTTATTCGCACCTGGAGTAGCGTCAAATCTCTCTTCAGCTCTTGCTTATATCCGAGCTTTGCAAGCTCCGCTTCGTCTGCAGTCTCATTCCGCTGAGCCTCTTGATCCTTCACCGAAGCAACTCCCTACTTTCTCCGACTCGGCCATTCTTCAGAGCGATAAGGGAGGGAAGATAAGGGAAGCCACCGACCAGATCGTGAGTGCAGGCCTTTATAGTCGACAGAGAGCGATAACAAGTCTTACTCAGAGCTTGTGACCACTCTGATTCGGATTCAGTAGAAACGTCAGGTTCGGGGATGTACAGGCCCGGGCGATAAGCAGTCAAATGTGTCCATGTGGTACCTCCAAGCGCTTGCTGCGAGTTACGTACGTCAATACTAAAGGGCCACATATTCGCTCTAGAAGCCGAATGACGAGGTTCACCTATCGAATCGAGGCAGACGATGCTTGTAGTACCTGACCACCATGGGTTGTACTGAACCACATCAGTAGACGACCCGTATACTCTTCTCGATACGCTCTATTCTCTAGTCATGTCCCTTCACATAACACGGGCCACCAAATTCGTCATGTATCGACTTCTATGCCGAGGTTTGATCCCAGATTAACCACGTTGTAATTGCCACGCCACCGACCGAGTATCACGGATCCGGGTATGACCGCAATTACATACAAGCGACCAGTGACTAATCTGGCGTGTCATTCAATGCTCTCGGGACAATTTAGGGCCTCCTCCAACCGGCCAAGAACCGCGTATTCGAAGTGTGTCGGAGATATGGCCTTGATAGCTGGCCCCTTCTGTCTAGCAACGATCACATTGTCATGTTTGATTCGCTTTGTCAAATTTGGCAGTGACTCAACAAGGCGTGGGCCTCAATGTAGGGCGACTAATCCTCAGAATTTGGAAACGCCAATCTGTTGGTCGGAATTGCATCTACACTGTGCTCCTACAATCAATGTGATACAAACTCCGAGAAATCGAATATAAGAGGTTCCGAAGTCCTGGTCCAGACCAGCATGGCATTCCCGCTTGCTAACCATAGGTGTGGCTGATAAGGGGTGTCAAGGGCGAAAAGTAATTGTAGATGTGTGGGGATCGGTACGATTGGACCTGGTGGGAATGCAGAGTGAATCCATCCATCCGCGTAGGTGAGAAGTGAGTATGGGTAAGCTTGGAGAGATTTTGGTTTCGTCAAGCTCCTATATCGTTTAATACTGCCTAATTCAACCTCCCAGACTAACGATCCAAGCACAATAAACTTCCCATCAGAGGAAAACCCCAGTTTACACTGTGTGGACACTGATTTGGGATCCTCGTTGTCTCCCTCGCCTACAAGCTTCCCTTTAGAATTATCCAGATCCCATAGCTGAATGCGTGGTTTTCCGAGGCGCCCAACTTGGTGAAGGACTGCCAAACTACGCGAGTCAGGAGAGAACGCCATAAGCCTTGCAGGAATATCAAGTGATATGATGGCGCTGCCATCCATTTGATAGACGAAGACGTGATTGGATGTAGCCACTGCCAGATGTGTGTCACTCGTCGTATATGAAGTAACAGATTCCGGATTCCTATACGCATTCATGATATGTCTACCAGTCTTATACTCCCAAACCTGGATAATATCCCCGTTCTCCACAGTATTCAGCAGGGCGAGGCGATCCCCACTTGAGGAAAGGCATACTCGTGCTGCAGGTGACCGTGGTGTGCCCCTGACTTTCTCGAAAGTCCTTGAAAGCTGCTTGTGCGTGACAAGACTGTAAAGGGATGCATTTCCCAACTCAGACCAGCATATCACTTCTTCAAAGTCTGGTGTGACGCAACTCTTCTTGTAGTAATCTGCATTTGAAAGCTCTCCCAAAATCGCAATGAGCTCCAGTGTTCCGCTCGTTGTTGACCAAACACTCAGTACCTTGATGCCTTTCTGGGGACCAGATATTAGAACAAGCATGGATTTTTCTGCAATATATATTCCACTTCGGGTGTGATGATTGGATTTACGAGCCTTTGGACCGGTGGGACTGGATGCCAAATCATAGATGGATGCTTCCTGGACTTCTGTGCACACAAGGTGACTCCATTCACATGACAAGGTAACACAGCTTGAATTTGTGTATCCGCTAAAGAAGGTGTCGAGCTTGGTACCAGTTCCAACATCCCAAACATTGATTTGTTCATCTACCGAGAGACCGGCAAGGCGCCGGGCGTCCGATGAAAACCATACTTTGCTAAAACTATGAGAAGTACGAACATGTCTTACGATTCGTCCGGTATACTGATCACGTAAGACAATGCCTGATCCTTTGGGTGAGGCAGTTGCCATCATATTCCCTTGCGTCGCAAAAACAACACAGTGGGACGCAGGTTCATCGGGATCCACCATATTAATAACCTTTCCGGTGGTACAGTCCACAAGTGTAAGTGGTGCTCTTCCGTCTATGTCATATATTGCGCTCCTTGTACCATCCAATGAGATCTGAATATCACGCTCGTCTGAAGGTGAGAAGGTAAGATGCTGAAGATAAATGCATCCACGATAACCAACAGGGTTTGTTGGATCACTACTTGTAAGCCCATCATAAAAGACGAGGTCAGCTACAGAGGCACCATCCACGCGCCTGTCCCCTGTGGTTGTATAAACTGCACGGGTTCCGTTTGGGCATAGCTTGAAGCGGTCTACAAACCACAAAAGCCCAATCATCTTTGGTGACTGTTCACCAGATAGTGTATGGTATAATGTTATGTAACTTGCCCAATTTCTATCGAATTTTCGATAGTGCATCACCACCGCGAGATAAGGCTCATTGAGAAGAAAGAAAATGGATGCAATTGCAAGATTCAGGTGGCCTATGGATGGTCTAGTCTTCCAGAGAGTATCTCCACTAGAGATATCCAAGAGGTGTACCTCTTTGGCGGTTGTGGCGACTGCCAAGTATCGTCCATCTGGTGAAAACTCCAAAGCTTGCACAATAGCAGACGAGCCATTCTCAGTTGAAAATATTGTGGGTATAATTTCCCCTGTATCCGTGTCCCATAAGCGTAGGTGACCATTTGAGCCTGCCATGACCACGCGGCTCACATCTGGCGAGAGTAAAGTATGGCTAATCCTCCCTGGAAAAGAAAGCGATACTGCTCCCATAGCCCATTCAAGGTAATTGGAGCCGATAGTTTTGACGACAGGGGAGCCAAGTTTTGCGGTAGACCTCACAAGAGGTGAAGCTGACGGGATAAGCCCAGGTGGAATAGTGTATGCGTGAAGTGCGGAATCTTGAATAGTATCTTGAAACCTGTGTACAAAATGCGCTGTGTGTAGTATGGTGAGCAAATCATCGGAGGTCTGCTCACAGAGGTCAGATGTTTTTAGACTGAGAAGAGTGGATTCACCATGGGAGACCGTGCTCTCGAGGCATCTCTTCTGATCCTAGCTCCAAGTCGCGCAAGACCGCGAACTCCATGAGCTAGAGCTCGTCGCCATCCCATGAACTCCGCCCAGTGTAGATAGTGATTCTGTAGGAAGGAGGCAGCCCTTCTCCAGTCAGACCACGATTCGTCAGAGGCTGAAACGTGATGGGCCCAGTATGAGCTGGCGTATCGCAATGCCGCAGACGTTTTGGTTAAAATCCGGTTCTCCAAGTCTGCGACCTCTTCATTCCTCGGGAGGTGCGAAAAGCTTGATCGAATGTCAAGAATGTCATATTTGAGTGTCTTCTCTAGAATATCCAAGCAAGCCATAGCGAGCATCGAATGGGACGGCTCCATTTGAACTAGAAATCCATTCGCGCGATCTTCATTCGACGCAATGAACTCCCTGAAAGTCGGGTGGAGTACCTTGATAGGTCGGTCCGGGTGTCCATCCTTGAACACCGCACCGAGGTCCTGCACAAACTCGTTGACTGCGTCCACCTTTGGGAACAACGCGGAGATGGAATTGATGGAGATGGGCTGAAAGGTTGAGATGACTACCTGCAATACTTTGCGAAAGTCTTCCGCGGCGGTTTTGTCCACAAGAGCTTGTTTGAGGACAGCAAGGTACAGCGCGTCGAGAGGATCTGCGACCTGGGAGTGGGAAAAGTCGTCCAGGAGTCGCTTGGCGAGATTGCTTCGTTTGAACGCTCTGCAGAATGTCGCGGCCCATATGAATACACCATCAGAGTATTGAACGATTCGCTCCTGCTCCTTGATATCGAGCTGTTGGTCCAGATTTGCACGGACGTAACGCGCAATATCCTCATGAGAACGGTTATTGATGTCAAGAAGGTGTCCCTCGCATATATATACGGGATCGCTGAGTCGGTCGCCGATGTCTGGTATTGGTCTACTGGTCAGCAAGAGCTTGATCCTTGGCGCCGTCCGCAGTTCTTTGAGTACGACATTCAGCAGCCGCTGTCTCGATTTGAACTCGCAATTATCCAGAGCATCTATGACGAGGAATATACTCGTCGTGCTGCTCAGGCTCTGAAGTGGATCCAGGATGAGTCGGACGAACTGCATAGCGAAGTCCATTGTGTCTTCTGGGCTTGCGATCAGAATCGAGTTGATGGATGTAGCAAGCTGTGGATGGTTGGATACTATATCGTATGCCACGATACGGCAGAAATGACGAATATCTTGGTCCAACGCGACGTTGGGATTGAAGAAGAATCGACCTCCGAGTCGGCCCTGGCCTTGCCATTCTTTGGCTATCGTCGTGGCTACTGTCGATTTGCCCGTGCCGGCAGCATCACTTAACCAGAAGATTTGCTGTGGTGGTTCGCGTCATCTGCCCAGTTGCGGATTCTCGTCAAGATCTCAACGCGTGTTCCAGATTCGCAAATCTCGAGGTCAGTCCCATACGAGAGGCGGATTATTGATTCATCAATGCTGTCTGCTGGAAATGAGTGAGGGAAAGCCAGGTGTCGAAACGTACCGTTCCCTCTATGTAAATTGGAAGCAACCACCTCTTGTACGTCTCCTCTCAGCTCTTCTACGAGTACACCGATCTCCATGACTTTATCGACAGCAACCTGGTGGATATCAGGTGGATTTGATGAAATAGCGAGTAGCAGACATGATAGCGCTTTCGAAACGGGTCCATATCGACATTAGGAATCATTTGTCTTGCGTAATCTTCACCGACATTTGTTGTTGGGCCACCGGCCATCATCGATGGCTCGCAGATGCTGCTCGGTACACTTGTTGAAGAGTCTTGCGGCCCAGAACTGGCTTGGTGTCCTGCCTTATTTTGATTTGCCTCGAACATTCGCTCCATTTTGGGAAGGCTGAAAGGCCGCGTTCAAGATGGGTTGGTGCAGGTGGCTGACAGGAAGCCCCCGTTTATCTCGAGGGATGCTCACAGAAAACATCCTACTATTCCCCATTGTCTATCAACCAGGTTCCGGACTGAATACAACGTTCAAGCCTGACGGATCAGGGAAGCCGCACCGTCAACGGAGTCACCTATTCGTGGTTTTCTTTTGACGTAGTGTAATAGAACCAGCAGGGATGCTGGAGTCATTCCTTCCATCCGCTTTGCCGCTCCCTTCGATGTTGTGAATAAGCATTCTTCCGCCTAGCTCTGTCGTACTTACGATTGTGCGTGGCTTCATTCTCTGCAATCTTTCCTTGACTTCTGAGCTCAGACCGTGGATTGACGCATAATCAACGTTATCGGCAAGCTCAACCGACTCGTCCCGTTCGAAGACCTCGACGTCTGTGCGTTGTCTCTTAAGGTAGAAATGATAAACAGCTTTGAGCAGTCAACCAGTTGTAATGACGTAAATGACGACCATACTCACCCTCGATCCATATTCGGGTAAGGATTCGACGATCTACGCCCTCTAGACCAGGAATGGAAGACATGATTTTCTCCATTGGACAATTTGGCATCTGTAGCAAGTCATAGGCGCTATATCACTGTTAGACTGGTCAAAAATCTTTTAGAGAGGAATTAACCTTCTCCAAACGCCATCATGATTGCACGCAATCCCCTGAGAGGCCCAGCCCTGGGGCGTCTTGGTTGTCGCTTGTAGGACGTCCCGCACGCGAAGCATCTCTCCTTTCGTCCACTCGTATATCTTCCATCTCTCATCACTGATCGCGCCAGCCTTTCGAGCTAATGATTATGCATAAGCATCAAAAGGAAAATATTTCGCAATTAAGAACTTGCCCTGTTCTGTGAGTCGTAGATCTGCATTGTCCGAACGAATAGTCAACCGATACTCTGCTCGTGACGTGAACATGCGATCTACCACCAAGCAATTAGTAATTCTCTGTAGATGGCAACTACGACGTACAAGGCTCTTCGACTCCTTTGCTTATCAAGTCGTCGATCATGACACCTAGATATCCGTCTGACCTTGACAGAATGAGAGGATGCTTCCGTTGAGCAGCAAGGCCAGCATTGAGTCCGGCCAATATGCCTTGGGCGGCGGCCTCTTCGTATCCTGTCGTGCCGTTGATCTGCCCAGCGAGGAATAATCCCTGAGGAGAATGAGGAAAACACCAAATGAGATATTTCCCTAATAAACTCACTGTAATGCGCTTTGTCTCAAGTGTAGGGTTCAACTCCCGTGGGTCAACGCAATCGTATTCGACTCCATAAGCTGGCTTCACAATTTTGGCGCCCTCTAAACCAGGGATAGTTTTGATCATTGCCTCTTGGGCATCCTCTGGAAGCGAATTCGAGATACCGTTGGGGTAAATCAGGTCTACACAACCAGTATCAGAGCCGAACACGTAGCCATCCTTGGACGCACCCGAGTCGTAGCCTTCAGGCTCAAGCCATACCAAGTGGCTTTCCTTGTCCTTGAACCGGAGTATCTTGGCTTCCAGGCTCGGGCAATACCTTGGTCCCTTGACGGTTTCTCGGATGTGAATCGAACGATGAAGGTTGGCAAGTACAACTTGACGAGTCGTTGCTGTCGTCCGCGTGAGATGGCACGGTATTTGATTGCTCTATATCCCACGTTAGCACTGGTGGTGCCATATGGCCAATCACCCACCTTATTTGCCACCTCGTCTGTAATGAAACTGAAGGGCCAGGGGTCAATTTCCCCATCTTGTCGCGTCATCCCAGTGAAGTTGATGGTATCCTTTGCCAGGCGTGCTGGAGTGCCGGTCTTGAGGCGACCCAGCTTGAAGCCGGCTTTATTTAGTGTGGAAGAAAGACCAGCAGGAGGCGACTCTCGGTCTCCCATCCGGCCAGCCGGAAACGAACGAAGACCTGGAGTGGCGGTTGAGTGATGTGCAATTGTCCTAGGAGCAAACGTACCAATGTGGATCTCTCCAGCAAGAAAAGTACCAGTGCAAATCACGACTTGACTACACGAAACAACTTCGCCCGATTCAAGCTTCACACCAGCGACTCTAGGCCTCTCAGACTCATCCAGGCTGGGTTCTGCAAGAACAAGGTCGTGAACAGTTCCTGCCATCAAGGAAAGATTCGGATAGTTCTTGAGGGCGGATTGCATATGGAGTTTATAAAGCTTTCGATCAATCTGCGCACGAGGGCCCCAGACTGCTGGGCCCTTGGATCGGTTGAGCATCGTAAACTGGACTCCAGCAAGGTCTTTTGTATATTAGATGAAATAAATATGCTCGAGATATAAATTTACCGGCGATCTGACCCATAAGTCCGCCCAATGCATCGACCTCCCGGACAAGGGTTCCTTTACCGACGCCGCCTATTGACGGATTGCATGACATCTCACCAATAGTGTCAAGGCGCTGAGTGAGGAGCAATGTACGTGCGCCGAGACGAGCAGCTGCAGCGGAAGCCTCGATTCCAGCATGGCCCGCTCCAATCACGCAGACTGGCACACTAAATCAGACCAGTTTACCAAATGAGGTCGACTCACCATCATAATCGAGTTTTGGACCTGAATTTGTTGCAAAACCACGCGCTTTTGAAGGTATGGAGTATTTTTCCTGGCAATGTTTGTTGAAAAGACTGTAAATGCGACCGGAAGATATGATAAATCGCCTCATAGCATTATTAGGGGTGTCGCTGGGAGACTAGCTGCCGTCCACTAGGTTGAACGGCTGATCCTCGAGTGTTGAAGAGTTCACGCTGGTAAACCACATGGAGCCGGTCCAAGATTGATTGGCTCAACTAAATAACTATGATAAATTGTAAGAACCTGTGTAGCTCCACCGCAGCTGGGTCAACGATCTTCCATTCGCTTAGCCTTGGCCGGCGGTCTAGACAAGACCTCTTGGAATCCGCTTGCTATGGGCGGAGCCATAAAAGTGGCAACAGTCGTCCCCTCAGATTTTGCAGGTTGAACCGCGCCACTTCACCACATCCCGACAGGCTCATCATGAACACGACTCTCAATACCCAGCCGCTTCCACAGGCATCTATGGACACTTCCATCCATTGGATGTTGGACGAAAAGCGCGTTCAAACCGTTGATGGCAGCTGCGAGCACCGTCGCCATCACAGTTGCTCTAGACGCAAGCTTAATATCGGAATCATGATCCTTATCATGTCTCTTCTCCTCGGTGCCCTTACTTTTATCTTCCTCAACCTGTTGGAAGCGACCGGCGATGACCTCCTTGGCGGATTCTGGAAGCGGGCCCTAGGAGATGGAGTCTCCGGTACTGGGAACGAATCTACATTTACGAGGAACAAACGTAAGTCGGCCTTTCTTAAAATCTCCGCACGCCATTTATCTTGTGACTTCAGTGTATATTATCGTCATTGTAGTCGGGCTCTTCTTCTGCCTAGTCGCGGGAATCATGCTTTCTGCTTGGTGCTGCAGGGGCGCCTTTGAGAATCCTTTGTGTTGTCCTTGCTACTTATGTGCATGCTGCGGAGGTCTTGGTACGTCGATGGTTGCCTGGCTGCGGAATGCCATTCATCTGACCTGCCCTTCTAGCTTGTCTTCAATGTATCAGTTGTGGCCTTTGCGCAGAACTCGCAGATCAGGCCTAGCATACGCGCCTCGGCTATCACCAATGAACGCTTTCTGACACGGTTAGAGTTGTAGGAATTCTGTAGTCTATGAATCATGTTATCGTGCTCAGTAGTGGCAGCGAGTGTGAACATCACTCGTAGTCTCTGCTAGTTCTCCTTGAAAATTGCCGCCTAATCTCTCTGAACCAGGCCAGGACAAACGACACTCATCAAGGGATGACTCGAACCGGCCACCTTCCCTTTGCAAAATGCCATAGCTCTTCCGCAAGAATTATAGCATCTGCACCCATAGCTTCGCCTCCAAGTTCAGGGGTGCCGGTCATTACGTGAAGGTATTCCTGTCGATCTCGGTGGTCACCCAATAGAAGCTCGATTAGGCTTCTTGGTGTCCTATGCCATCTCTGGGATATGGCTGCAATGAGTTCAATTTCGGTGGTAGCTCAGAGATAACTTGATCTCCACCATTGTCGAGAATCACGATGAAGAGGCTATTCAAGCCAAAGAGGATCAAAGAGGTGAAGGGGAATGCTTCCATTCCACCAAATTCGTCACAAGTGCACGGAGTAGTCTTCTCCAAGCGTCGGCAGTAGCAGGCGAATCATTGAGGGGTGCCAATGAAAGAGCTCGGGATCAGGTTACATCAAATGTCGACATATACTGGCTTCCTAATACTGAAGACACGTACAGAGCCACCGTTGACTGGCTCGAAAAAGGATTTACGCTACTTCGCGACACATCAGACGCAATGCCGGCCCTCACACATCTCCAATATACCTCTACACTTATCATTCGTGCACAAGAAACCTTGATGGTAGATATGAACGCAGTAATTATTTTGATTGACGAATCCTTGTAGGATGTTCACAATGACGACCTTGCCTGGAATGAAATGATTAAAGATATACGACTTCATGCAATGCAGATTCAGGAAGGTCTTGAGAGACTGGAAAAGAAGGGCGTGTCCAACTCTGATTACAACGGCCTCTTGGACGCTATGGACGAGTATATGGGGTGAGGTCTAATCGACATGTTTTGAATAGCTACTTACTCGGAACTAAGTGCTCTCAAATCTATCAGCAATGATGCACATGTCGCAATGAAAGAAGCTAGAGATCGCCTTGGAGCCAGCAGTTCACGATTTGGGACAACAAGGATCAACAAGGAGCAGATATATCGCCTCCGTGAAGCAGAATACACGGCATATCAGCGTTATCATGTCTGTTGCTCGCTACTCTGACGAAATTATCTGATATCCATCAGGTTGCTCTCGAAGTTCTCCTAAACCAAGTCATGGGCGCAAACGCGCTAGTTGACGAGCTGAGAGAAGACGTGCGAGAAGTAATTGCTCCTAATTTACATGAAGGGGATGGTATGTCTCGACACCTGGCTTTCCCTCACTCATTTTCAGCAGACGGCATTGATGAATCAATAATTCGCCTCTCGTATGGGACTGATCTCGAGATTTGTGAACCTGGAACACGCGTTGAGATCTTGACGAGAATCCGCAACTGGGCAGACGACGCGAACCACTCACAGCAGATCTTCTGGTTGAACGACGCTGCCGGCACGGGAAAGTCGACAGTAGCCACGACGATAGCCAAAGAATGGCAAGGCCAGGGCCGACTCGGAGGTCGATTCTTCTTCAATCCCAACGTCGCGTTGGACCAAGATATTCGTCGCTTTTGCCGTATCGTGGCATACGATATAGCATCCAATCATCCACAGCTTGCTCCATCTATCAACTTGATTCTGATCGCAAGCCCAGAAGACACAATGGACTTCGCTATGCAGTTCGTCCGACTCATCCTGGATCCACTTCAGAGCCTGAGCAGCACGACGAGTATATTCCTCGTCATAGATGCTCTGGATAATTGCGAGTTCAAATCGAGACAGCGGCTGCTGAATGTCGTACTCAAAGAACTGCGGACGGCGCCAGGGATCAAGCTCTTGCTGACCAGTAGACCAATACCAGACATCGGCGACCGACTCAGCGATCCCGTATATATATGCGAGGGACACCTTCTTGACATCAATAACCGCTCTCATGAGGATATTGCGCGTTACGTCCGTGCAAATCTGGACCAACAGCTCGATATCAAGGAGCAGGAGCGAATCGTTCAATACTCTGATGGTGTATTCATATGGGCCGCGACATTCTGCAGAGCGTTCAAACGAAGCAATCTCGCCAAGCGACTCCTGGACGACTTTTCCCACTCCCAGGTCGCAGATCCTCTCGACGCGCTGTACCTTGCTGTCCTCAAACAAGCTCTTGTGGACAAAAATACCGTGGAAGACTTTAGAAAAGTGTTGCAGGTAGTCATCTCAGTCTTTCAGCCCATCTCCATCAATTCGATCTCCACGTTGTTCCCAAAGGTGGACGCAGTCAACGAGTTTGTGCAGGACCTCGGTGCGGTGTTCAAGGATGGACACCCGGACCGACCTATCAAGGTACTGCATCCGACGTTCAGGGAGTTCATTGCGTCGAATGAAGACCGTGCAAACGGATTTCTAGTTCAAATGGAGCCGTCCCATTCGATGCTCGCTATGGCTTGCTTGGATGTTCTAGAGAAGACACTCAAATATGACATCCTGGACATTCGTTCAAGCTTTTCAGTCCTTCCGAGGAGCAAAGAGGTCGCAGACTTGGAGACTCGGATCGCAAGGAAGACCTCTCCGGCACTGCGATATGCAAGTTCGTACTGGATTCACCACGTCTCTTCCTCTGAGGAGGCATGGGATTGCTGGAGAAGAGTAACTAATTTCTTGCGTGACCACCATCTACACTGGGCAGAATTCATGGGATGGCGAGGCACCCTAGCTCATGGAATTCGTGGACTTTCGCAAATTGGAACCAAAATCGGGAGAGAGGCGCTGACCTTGTCTCCCCTCGTATTGTATTTCTCTGTTATTCTCTCTCTAACCTATTTGATACCCTGTACAGAACTCGGACGATTTCTTCACCTTGCGACACGCGACACATTTTCTACTTAGGTTCCAAGATATCATCCACACGTCTCCACTTCACGCATACACCATTCCCTCTGAATTGGTCCCAACAAACTCCCCTCTTGTGAGATCGAATGATCCTAAGACTTGCTCGGCAACTGTCAAAATCATTGGTAAAGATCACTTGGACTGGATCATGGATGCGATCCCTCTCGCTTTACCAGCCGGAATTAAGCGTGCTTTGCTATCCCCAGACGGAGCACGTGTAGTAATGAGCGGCTTGATAGGATATCTACGCTTGTGGGATGCCAACACAGGAGAGCTCATTCCCACCTCATTCTCTGCGGAAGAGGAGCCTTACACTGTTGTGCAAGCTCTAGAGTTTTCCCCGGACGGGCGATACTTGGCGATTGCAACAGACATCAGCGAAGTGCACCTTCTGGATGTTTTGACTGGTGACACTCTGTGGAAGGCGAAAACTTACTTGGGGCACCTGCATCTTCGTATTGGAGCCATGTGTTTTCTTCCGAATGAATCGTATCTTGCAGTGGTGCTACACTATAAAGGATTTGATAGGATGTGGCAGAGTTATGTGATATACTATCACATAGTCTCTGGTGAGCAGTCTACCAAGACTGTTGGTCTCTCCAGGTTTGTGGATACCTTCAAGGTTTGTCCAGGCGGAACTCGGGCAGTGTATACGGCTAGAGGATCCAGGCATATTGATTGCGTCATTCTGGCTGAGCTCGTTTCTTATGAAGGCTTGGAGTCGGACCAAGATGACTACGATGGATGCGTTTACTTATTACAATTGACCATTCCGTTGTCCCTCAATCGCGTAATTGAGATCTCAATAGATGGGACAACGAGTGCTATATACGACCCAGAAGGAGGGGCAGCACTCATACTTCTTGACTGCACGACCGGAAAACACATCGAAATGGTGGACCTTGATGAACCTTACTCACAGTGTGCTGTCTTCGCACCACAGGGAGATTTAATGGCAACCGCCTCGTCCAAAGGTTCAGGGATTCTGCTTCGTGAGAAGCATAGTGGGAGAATTACAAAGCGTTTTGGCACTACTCATAGTTTTAGCAATATCTGGTTCTCGTCTGATTCTCAGCGCCTCGCTAGTCTTTCAAATGATCAGCGAATCCGTATTTGGGAGGTCAAGAGTGGCGCCCAGCTTGAAACCTTCTTCGATGGGTATACACCTGGACCTCGTGTTAGCTTGTCGCACGATTGGACCCGATTACTATGCATCCAAGGCCAGGAAGCACTAGTTTACGACTTGACATCCAAGGTTGCTGGTCCAAAAAGCCGTCAATCCAACCAAAATTATAGAACGGGAGAATATATTGCAGAAAACTCTATGCTTGTTGTGCGGAGTGGTGCATTTCCAGCCACCAGAGTATTGAGTATTTGGTCGACAGCAAGTGGAACACTGGAACCCATCGCAACATTAGGAGAGCTTCCAAGTCGCGGGGTGGAGACTTGCATTACACCGGACCTCTGCGAAATATTATGTTGGTCCTCGCAAGGCGATATATCCCTCTATAGTCTCGTCACTTACAAACGACTCCCGGTATCCTTTGAGAATGTCAAAGGAACTCCTCAATCGGCTGCAGCAAAGCTATGTTTTACTTCAAACGGAAGGCTCGTTGCGCTCTTGAATACGTCCAATAACACAGAGGCTGTTCAGGTGTGGGAATATAGGACTGGCAGGCATATCATGGACACGCAGCATCGAAAAGACACAGTCAAATCATATACACTGAGCGATACATATCTGGCGGTGTCTACGTTCGACCAGGTTCAAGTCTACCGAGTGATAGACGGCAACCTCGTAGCAGCTGAGAGGATATCCTCCACAAAGCTTATGACATTTTCTCCCAATTCAGACAAATTGGCCGTATTTCGAAGCAAGGGGTCCTCTAAGGGACCTCTTCTCCAAGCATGGGCTGTCAGCCATACCGGGATTGAGGCTGATGGGTGAGGCAGAGAGCGAGAATGAGGATCATACGCTTAATGATAAGTACAATTTGGGATTCTCAGCCGACGGGATGCTCATAGTGTACGGGTCGCTTGTCTGGGAGCTCGGCTCTGAAGGACTTCGAAGATATCAGAGCTTGACACTACCAAAGTCTCTTGAGGACTATCCCCACTCGCTTCTCACGTATGCAAACGGGTGGATTCACTCTGCGTTTCCACCGGGTCCAATCGTACCAATCCCAACTCATCTACGACTACTGTTTACTACCGGTGCCTTCTACGATGCCCAGATGTGGTCGGCGAGCGGGAATACTATGCTGGTCTGGACCAGGACTTCGGAACCTCTTATATTCGATTTTTCGGAGTTTGTATCACATTGATTGTAGGAGCGCAGTATATATGCAATTCCGGCCGACAGATTGGAGGTTCCAAATTCTGAGGATTAGTCGCCCTACATTGAGGGTCACATGGATTCATTCCAATCCCAACGCATATACGGCTACTTTTCACCTTGCAGACCTCTTACGAACACCAGATGTAGTCGGCTAGCGGAAATAGTATGCTCGTCTGGACGGATGCATTTTCACCACTCATATTTGAATTCTAAGCCTTTGTAGCACAGTAATCCTTAGGGTATTACAATACAAACGAGGGTGCTTTACTGCTTCCGCGTCTCATTCATCAGCAAATAGGCTAACGAATGTCGGTACATCCATTCCTGCCTCAATCTGGTACCCCCTTAGCACCCATTGCTGAATTTCTGCGACAATGTTTCGACGGGATCACGCCTCTGAATTGGTACGCGCATGAAAAGCCCGTTAAATCTGGCAAAACTGGCTTACATGTTCAGCCCTTTGGCGTAGTAACATGTGAAACTAGTCATCTATTGGACGTGATATATCCTATCACCACTCTAGCGAGCTCCAAAGTCAATAGAGCTCATTCAGAGTCGTCAATTTGATGTGCCTCTGCTGGCAATGAGCTCTAAGGGCATTCATAGCCATTATATCTGACTCCCTCGGGGATAGCCTGGGATCAAGTATGAGGGAGCCATTCTCGTTGCGTAGTATCACGCTCTCCAAGCAGTTTGATGCAATGTCCAGGGCTGTTTGCAAACCATTCGCAAACGAGCTGACCATTGAGGATCCACATTGAGAAATCGTATTCAGTCTTGAAATGAGGCGACGAATCGACACATTGTCTGCTTTGGAGGTGGCTTCGAGATGTTCGTGGAGGTATCGAAAGTCGGTACTCAGACTGGACAAGGTAGAGAACGCATCCCAGAGGTCACTTTCATCAAAAGGTAGGATGTTTGGTGATCTATAAGGAAATGCCCAAGGACCTGGTTGTAGTCGTAAGCCGTGGATCTGTTGAGCGTGCCTGCGGAGGAAATGAACGACCACTGGGGATATCCTAGGTATTCGATTCACATTATGATTCTTCTCCATCGTGTGAAGTGAAAGGACACTGAGCGAATCGAACCGCCATAATCGAAGTCCGTCCTCCTCTACGCCATAGACTGGAAACTTGAGGAATAAAACGCGGAGTCGCAGAAGGTGAAGGGGTTGATAGAGAATCTCTCTCGTCCCGTTGGCACTCATCACGAGGCTCAACGTTGTGAGACCTCCCAGGAGGTCTTCGACGAGCATGGAGGATAGCGGATCATAGCCAGCACTCGCCTGTAGTCTAGGAGCACAGTACTCTAGATCCATATGCAACACTTTCAAGGTCGTGTGGGTGGGTAGTAGCTCCTCAAACGAATAGAACTGCGCAGTAACTCCTCGTTCGGCAACGCTACGCGACACAAAGAGTCTGTATGTCTGTACTGGCCTAGAGCATTTCACGATTAGACGATGTGTGTGTTCAAATGCTAGCCTGAGGTCGAGCCGAGCGCATTGTTTATTGCTCTCGTCTGTCCACCGCAGCTTGGGGGCGATGTATCCTATAGGTTCGTTATCAGCTTGATAGAGCCAATCCTCGGTGGACTTCTTGGGAATAGACTGCACGAGGGTTCGAAAGAGACGGCAAACGAGGGATAGGGATTGACGCATTCTGTGGGCAACCTTGCATGCGAGCTTGTCGTGGGCGGTAGTGGGGTTTGTGATTGCATGATGGAAGTGCTCAAGGTTTGTCGCGAAGCAATAAGGGTCGAGGATGAGTGAGGGCTCCATCGCCTCTATGAGAATGGGAAGCCATAGCTCGTTTGGAAGCGTTGGGAAATTGTAGGAAGATTTATCTACATTCTTGGGACCACGTTTCTTCCGTAGTTGAAAGCTGAAGTTGGACATGGCGAAGAACAAGTCTCAAGCGCTGTGTGTCGGCCATGTGCAGAGGTCCCGATAAAACGCAAAAAATAGGGTTGAGGCTGCGAGAGATGTCCGACTTTGAGAGCCCGTAACGCAGTTTGCGAACAAAGTATGGAATTTCATCATAAAAACCGTCTGGGCCCATAATTTTCTAGTTTGGGGTTTGTTGGAGTTGGCAGCAGGAGACTGGTCTTGTTCTGCCACCACAATGGTGACTCCGGCTAGGCGATGAGCAAATATGGCGCAACGCAGTGTCCCGGCAGATATCCAACTCTCCCAGTTACCTCTATTATCCCCGGAAAACTCTTCCAGCACGAATAGCACGTCCAATCTCTCAAGCACACGACTACCGCAACAAGTGCCGACCATGGCCGATGACCAAGCGACACCCACCGAGCGCGATAAGCGTGAAAACCGTGACTTTGTGCTCGGGTTGTTTCTGCTCGCCATCGTAGTCATTCTTTGGACATCATCCAACTTTATCACCCAGGTATGTCCACTTGGGGTCATCATGAAAAAGCCCAGAGTTTTATACGGCACTAGGATCTATTTGTTGGCGGATTTGACAAGCCATTCCTCGTCACCTATCTCAACACATCCTCCTTTGCCATTTACCTTATTCCGTTCATCTATCGGAGGTGGAGGCACCGGAAGTCAAGCGCATACGCCTATCAGTCGCTCACGACCGAACCCCCGCAAGAAGAAGAGGTCGCGCAGACGACGACGGCGCATAACACGTCGACGCTTCCTCCTCTGACCACGAAAGAGACTGCCAGTCTTGCGCTCTTATTCTGCTTTCTATGGTTCATTGCCAACTGGACCGTCAATGCCGCATTGCGCTATACAAGCGTAGGCAGCACGACCGTACTCGCAAGCACGAGTGGGTTATTTACAATGGCCATGGGAGCGCTCCTAGGCTTTGAGCGCTTCTCCCTATCACGACTCGGCGCAGTCTTGACGAGGTACGCAAAAACTTGTATTCTCCACTCCATATCCTCACCGATTTTTCATCTTCAGCTTCTTCGGCGTCGTGCTCGTCACATTGGCCGATTCATCCACAATGGCACCCGCAAATCAACCACCAACGCCAACACAACAACACGTCTTCCCACGAATGATACTTCCTCCACCATCTCACCCCATCGTCGGCGACGTACTGGCGTTGCTGAGCGCGGCCTTTTACGCGCTTTACCTCTCCCTCCTCAAAGTGCGCATCAAGGACGAGTCACGCGTGGACATGCAACTCTTTTTCGGCTTTGTAGGCCTTTTCAACATTATAGGGTGCTGGCCACTCGGTCTCGTTCTCCACCTCACGGGGATTGAAGAATTCGTGTGGCCAAGTGGATGGAAAGCATGGTCGGGTGTGATTGTCAACGTACGTCCCTGGTCACTCAAAGAGGATATCTGACAAAAGCTGGCTATAGATGGGCGTCACGTTTTCGTCTGATTACTTATACGTAATCGCTATGCTCAAGACGACACCATTGGTACGTTCCACTTTGCCCTTTGGATGAGGGATTGACTCGAGGATGGTAGGTCGTGACACTCGGGTTGACGTTGACGATTCCGCTCGCCATTGTGGGTGACATGGTGCTTCAATCCCGCTTTGCGAGTGCGCTCGGTCTCTTTGGCGCATTGCTCGTCGTGGGCGCATTTGGAGTGATAGGATGGGATGATTCACGCAACGACTCGGACACTCGAGCAGTCGAAGTGTCGTAACCAAATAGACGGACATTTGATGAGACGACAATCTCGTAGCCCAGCATATGGACATTTCTCGCATACTTGCTCTTTCATTCTAATATCACCAGATTCACTCGGATCCCACAATTGAGTATTGTACAATCTTTGATTCACGCGTACCCTACTAGGTCGCAACAAAAACAGAACCTCTACAATATTGGCTGATGCGATGGACAAATTCGGGAAACTAGCTCTCGAACGGTTGAACGGATGTTATGGTACTGTAAATGGATGGATAGTGATGAGCCGAAAAAGGATTATGGTTTGCACAAATGAAAAAAAACACAAGGGCTTGATCGTGAAGCGTGTCGAGATGGAGGACGGTCGCACTGATGCGTCCTCGTCTAGAACGATTATGTTGATGGTTGGTATCGAGTGAATATCGATAGAGTCGCAAGGATGCTTGATAAAACGGCATCAAGTGGGGGGAAGTGAATCCAAATCCAGAGTTGGGAGAGAGCGAAAGTTGGAGGGAGATCAATGCACCAATGCCAATCCCAACATACCATCCTGTCCATGAGGCCCAAACGCCCTTTCATTGTGCGCGTTTGCGTTGGCCTGTCGATCCCGGACGCGCGGTTGTCGTACACGTACTGTCCACTCAATCTCATTATACGAAGGCAACGCCTCTCCAACACCATTTCCCGTTTCCTCTACACCCAAGTCAATACCCAAATCACGACCGTCGACGCCCAGTTGCTCAAAGTCTTCAATGGGCACGGTACGTGTAATAGGCGAACGAGTGTGTGTTTCGAGACGAGGAGAAGAATGGACATTGTTGGTGGTGTGAAGAGTAAGATGCGGTTGAGCGAGACGAGGCGAGGATTGTAAAAGTGGATGTACCTGCGCACGCGGAGATGCATGAGGTCGAGATCCGGTTCCAAAGAAATCGGCAATTCCGAGTGCTTCGAGGTCCGATGCAGATGGAGCAGGTACCTCTTGGAAGATGCGCGTAGGTCGACCCGCGCCAGACGCAGACGCCGAGTCTCGTCTTGATTGGGTTACTGCTGGCATCGATTCTCGTCTGGTATGTTGGGGTTGAAGGGTCATGGTGGTGCTAGACTCTCGTCGGTGCTGGGAAGATGGCTGGGAAGACGACGACTCCCGCCTCTGCTGGGGCATGGTTGAACTTGCGTTGGAGGCGTACTGTCCCGTCTCGAACATGATGTGATACATCTCCGTCGTATACTGCAGGGGAGATGGTCCACTAGAGCTGGTATTCATGTCCGTCTCCAACAAAAGCGCATTCTCTCCTTGATGAGGCAGCTTGCTGGTTTGTGTAAGAGGCGAGCGCGGCGGGAGCGTGTAGGGAGTGATCGTCGCATCCCTCGACAAGGTCGAACCAGATCCAGAACCAGACGACATCGAATGAGCAGGCGTCTGATGTGCATACGTCGTCACAGACGCCGGGGCCGATGGAGGCGGGGGAGGTGGGTGCAAAGGTGTCGGCGGAAGTTGATAGGGTGTGATAGCGCTTGGGCCGGGCTCTGGCTCCCGCTCCCGCTCTTCATCATTGGTTCTCGTGCGTGAATTGCTTTTACCATGACCACTTGTACTAGCCGATTTGGTACTCTGCGAGTGTGAATGGTGATGGAAAAATGCAAGCGAGCTGAGAATTGGACTCGGGAGCTTGTTGGCAATCTTGCGTGGGATTGCACCATGAGAATGTGAACGGCCCATGGCATGACCTGCGCTCGTGTTATTGGTCGAACTCGCGGGTGGTCGCGTCGGTGTCGGCGCATACGTCCTTTGGGACGCGACGTTTTGCGTAGACACGTGGGTACTCGGAGATGTAGGAGAGGGCGCATAATGAGTAGACGGCGAGGTGAATGGGATATACGTCATGGGTGACTGGGTAAACGTTGCCGTGGAACTACTCGAAGCCGACGTCGGAGAGCGAAGTTGACCATAGGATGTCGAGTGGCTCAGGGTCCTATGCTCGTGCGAGGCCGGCAAAGGGATCTGGAATGGCACCGTGGCCTCTTCATTCTCTGCCCGTTGATCACGGTGAGAGCCATTGAGGACTTGATAATTCGCCGTTGCAAACGTGTCCTGGTTCAACGGACTGTGTACACCCATGTGCGAAAACGGAGTCACGGGACTGGCAGGGAGAGACGATACTGAACCGCCGGCGACACTCGAACTCGAACTGGCACTCGAAAAGGGTGACGGACACGCGCTGAGCGGTTTAAGCAGCGGCGAGGCTCTCATTCTCGGCGAATTTGTCACGGGCTTGAGCATGGGCGAGTGCGGTGGCTTGCTGGGAGAGTATGGGGTCGTGGGCGACGGTACGTCTTCATCCTCGAGCAAGTCGAGAACGGGCCTTGTTCCTGGTGTCCTGTGGCCTCCACTGCGGGTACTTCGCGTCGAAGTAGAGCGCTGACAAGCGGCGGCAGGCGAAGTGGAGAAGAGGGGTGAATACGAGCCAGACGAGGACGAAGAGATGGTGGTTGGTGTAGTTGGAGCGAGGAAATGCGACGAGTTTCTAGTGGTGTTCAAAGGCGTATTGTGGCCCGAGTGATCCTTGCGGAGGAGCAAGATGGTGGTGGCGATCAAGTACTCTAACAAGGAGACGTCGACACCCTTGTAGGTATCTGATTGATTTGAGGAGACGGACGAAGTGTAAATGCTGAGCCGGGGGAGGGCCGTGGTGTGGCCTGGCTCGAGGGTTGCCACGGCCCTGTGCGCGGTACAGGCATGCGAGCAGAGGGTGCACTCGTAGTGAGAGCCGACATGTTTCCATTTGAGCGCGTTTGACTGTCCAGGCACGTGAAATTTACGCGATCTAACCATCCGGTCGTTGGTCAGTCTCCAAAACGAACACTCTGCCAGGAAGAGGCTGCAACTTGGGGGAGGGGGGGGTTTCATTTACTCACCCGCCTAGGACGGTCTTTTTCAAGAAAGCGGATGAAAAATGGGTGCTACCACTGATGGAAACGAGTGTTTTGTTCGAGGTAGAAGACCATTTGATAGCAGCGACGAGGCGGGCGGTCGGGTCAGGATGGGCGTCGTGGTCAAGACGATAGACAGAGGTATCGTCGTTTGCAGATTCGATGCTGAAGAGTGGTCTGAGTGTGTTATGATTGTCGTCTGCGTCGAGGACGAGCGTGTCGAGGACCGACAACGAGCCAAGACGAAGAGAGACGAGGGGCAACGGGAGGAGCGGAGGAAATGTAGGGCACATGCACTGTCAGACAATTCTGTATATTTTTTAAATATTTGTGCAAATGTGCTGTCGGTCGTGGGCGGCGGCAAGCCTTTTGCTTTGCGTCTGACTGCGCGTCGACTGGAGCCGGGTTTATAAGCAGAAGGGCAACGGCGCTACCACGACCCACCCTTTGTGTCATCCTCCGAGCCGCCAACTGGCGCCGGAAGATCGGAGGTGGTGACGGGAATGACCCTATTCTGGGTGTAATAGCCCCTATCTTTCTTTTCTATTTCCGACTCGCCGGCCGTCCTCTTTGACCACAGATCGATCGCTGGCAGGGGACTCTATATTTTCCGGCCTTTGGGTGCTGCCGGGCTCCAATTATGCGCGCTCGGGAAGCCTCCAGGCTGGCACCAGCACCAAGATGACAGGCGAATAGCACTCATCCCATACTAGCACCCGCCATCCCCGGACACTGTAGCGCCCATACGACAACCACGGGCGCATATACGTGGCCACCGGAATTTCTCTACGGGGTCCATATGCACCACTCCATATCCATCCGTCCTCATATCCCACAATCAAATCCCGGCTTCCCTTGCATCTCTCCATCACCACTTGGTCCCCTTGCATCCCTAATTGCCAGACTCGGTATCCATAAACCACATTCTCGTCAAACACCAGCGATTGTCTCTCAAGAAAACTTGCTGTAAAGTCTTCTCGTGCGACCATTCCCATCGCCCGTTCTCCCACTTTCCACACCTCGAGCCCTTGTTTGGTAATCGTCGCTACCATCCTTCCGTCCTTGGAGAATGCAAACCGAAAGTAGAGTCCAAATAAATCATCCCTGTCACTCTTGATCCACTCCTTTTGCTCCAAATCATACACAGCAAGTTGCTTCTCCTCCTCCAGCTTGCCAACAATCCTCGTTCCATCAGACGAGAGCGCTACATGGTCACCTAGCCCAACCGTTCCTCCTGCTTCCCAAATGAACTGGCCACTCGGATACGCCCACACCTGGGTAAACCTCTGGTTCGAACACGCTAGGATTCGTCCATTCGCCGAGAATACCTTGGTGCCAAGCCCACGCGCTACTTCGTCCCGCATGTTTTCCAGTCGAATCAAAAGTGGCTCCGGTCGACAGGTGGTCGAGTAGAATACTAATCGCCCAGGGAGAGTGAGCGCCATCGACTGTCCGTCTGGACAGACAATGCATTCGCTCAATCCTTGCAGTTCGTCCATCGTCTCTACAATCTCCATTCTCTCCTCTTCACCTGGGACGATTCGCCAGATGCATGTCGGATGCTCCGTGTCAGAGTAAAACGGTCCGATGAACCGCATATCATCAACAAACACGCCCCTTGTCGGTGGAGACTTGATCTTTTTCTTCTTCCTCGTGGCGGGGGAGACGACGGTAATCGCCCCTGTAGGCGTCAGGGTATCGTAGACGCAAATCTCATTGCTGCCCATCCACGAATATGCAAACAATTTGCTCCAATCTTCTGAGAGCACGACATGCTCGCCATCACCCCCCATGCCGACATATCCACCAAACCGACGGGAAACGATAGAGTGCGTAGCCACATCCCACACATCAATCGTTTCCTCACTCGATAGTACAGCCAGGCGCTTCCCGTCGAGAGAGAACCACGCGTCCAGGGTCTGCGCTCTCGACCGGAGAAAACCAACATCACGTCCCGTTCGCCTATCCCGCAGGACGACATCTGACCCTGTCCGCGGGATACATGCCATGATTTCTCCAACGGGCGCGAATCGCACAAGATGGAATGATGGCGACGACAGCGGCGGCGGCGACTCGTCTACAATTTCGTCTCCCGTCCTCGCGTCCAAGAGAACCATGGGCGCTTTGACGTCTTTTCTTCCTAGACGATTGAGTCGAAAGGTGATGGCGAATCTGGTACTATCCGCCGATACAGCAATGGAGAGGGTGAGGAGCTCCATGTACGCCATCTCTATCCGAGAGAGCTGTCTAAATGTCTCCATATCATACACAAACGCCACCCCGACATTGGCGGTTTCCCGTTCCCCAACAAACACTGCACGTTGTCCGTCTGGGGAGAATTCAAAATCCAGAATGGCTTCGTCTTCAAATAAAACCCTCTGATCCATCGGGACTCCCACATCCGTATCGTAAAAGCTGACTATCGTCCTCCAGTCCACACCTTGACCATGACACCGCGTCAAGAGTGCCAAATAGGACTTTGTAGGTGAGAACCGAAGGATATGACCCCACGAATTTGGCTCGTACCACGGCTTCAAGTCGCGCTTGTAATTGCGTTCCCAAATCGGACGTCCGAGCGATGCGTCCCATAAATGGAGCATACCAGGACCCGTCGCATACGCTAGACGCGTCCCATTGATGCAAAGTTCTGCGTAGCGAACTGCTCGTCCACCACGTTGTCCTTCGATAGGTGTACCAACCATGCTCCCGGTATCCGTGTCCCAGAGACACAAACTTCCCTCGGCACCAACGCAGAGCACTCTATCCGCGTCCCGTGAGATGCGTACAGTCTGCAATCCGTCTTTGTTACCAGTGAGTAGGATCTGATGATCCGACGACGTTGCCGTCTCGGAAGTGATGACCTTTAGTGTCGGGATTGTCTTTACCGTGCGTACTTTCCTCAGTAGAGCAGAGTCACGGCGAGACAGGGCCACAGGAACTGTGTACGTATGTAAAGCAGATTCAGCTATGAGTGCTTGATACTTGAGTAAAAAATGGAATGCCTGCTGGACGATTGCCTTGTCCCACGGGCGAATCTAGAACATGTCAGCACTTGTTCGAGATATAATCAACGGCTTTACTTCTGTGATAGAACTACGCTTTACCATTCGATTCAGTTGAGAGAGGGCGTAAAGCGCGTGGCCAACCATCCCTCTCCAACTCATCAGTTCTACCCAATGCACAAAGTTTTCTTGTAAGAACAGCCTCAGTCGCGTCCAATCACTCCATGCGCCATCTGAAGACGTGATATGGAGAGCCCAGTACGCGCTAGCATATCTCACTGCGGCTGAGAACTGTTTCTCCACCAGCGCTCCCAGATTCGCAACGTCTGCATTCCGTGGGATACCACCATCCCCCCTTGCATGTAAGACTTGCAAGAGATCAAACTCTAGGACACGAGCTAGGACATTCATGCACGCTTTCGCGAGCATTTCATGCGATGGGTCCAACTCTACAACAAACCCATTCGCCCGGTCCGGGGTCGACGCAATAAAATCTCGAAAGGTAGGGTGTAGGACCTTGATGGGACGATCTGGGTGTCCGTCCTTTAGCACGCCCGCGAGATCCTGCACGATTGTATCGACCGCCTGCACACGTGGAAAGAGTGCACAGATGGTGTTAATAGAGATGGGTTGAAATGCAGAAATGATGATCTGCAGTATTCTTCGAAGCTCGTCCTTTATTCCCGTATCGACTTGACGGGCTTGTTCGAGCACATCGAGGTAGAGTGTATCCAGTGGGCTCGTAACTTGAGCATGGGAGAGATTATCTAGAATTCTCCTTTGCACTCGTGGGTCCTTGAAAGCTCGATAAAATGTTGCGACCCAGATAAAGAGGCCATGGGCATGCTTAGTGATCCGCTGCCGGTCCTCTGTGGTCAGGTCTTGGAGCCTGGCATCGACATAGAGTCTGATGTCTTCATAAGGTATATTATCAACGTCGAGAAGCTGAACATCGTCGCCACAAATCATCGGCGACCCATGCAAAGTATCGACAATATCCTGAAGAGGTCGGCTCGTGAGAAGTACCCTCAGGTGCGGTACTGATGAGAGTGTAGCGAGCATAGTCTTGAGCAAAGATTGCCTGTCGTAGTACTCGCAATTGTCCAGCGCGTCGACGACGAGAAACACTGGCCGTCTACCGACCTCTCGCAGAGGTTCCAGCACAAGTCGTTCAAATTGGACATGGAAGCTTGAAGAGTTTTCTTGAGAAGATAGTATTGCAGCTTCCACCCTATTGGCTATGTTGTCAAAGTGAAATGCAATGTCTTTGGCGATCGCCCGACAAAAGTAATGAATCCCTCGGTTAGGCACGACGTTTGGAGTGAAGAAGAAGCGACCGGCGAGTTGATTTCGGGATTGCCACTCCTTGACCATTGTTGCTGCGACAGTTGATTTGCCAGTGCCGGCCGCGTCCTTCAGCCAGAAGATTTGCTTTGCCTCTGGACGCATGTTTGATCCCCAGTCTTCAATCCTCATGAGTACATCACGCCTTGTTCCTTTTTCACAAGCTTCGAGCTCGGTGCCATAGAACGATTGCATGATCGAAGCAAGCGCACCATCTGATTATTGGTCAAAGAATACTCGCTATCATTATATTTCACCCACAGTCGTCGTTCCTCTGAGTCCAAGATAGCGAAATTTCAACCTCCTCACGGATTTCGCGAATCGTCTTGGCTGCATCCCCAACTCTACTATACAGCACAACAGAGGCAGACGCCTAGATGCAGAATTAGAAGATATTGTGCGCAAATACGATAGAACTCACCCTGTACCGTTGGAAAGCAGTTGCCTCACGTTCACGGAGCTGCTCAATCCGTTTCTGATCGATTCGCATCATCCCAAACCGTGATGCTCGTGGGTATGGCATTGCAGCGCTTAAACCACGTTCCGCTTCCACCATGATATCCTGGATCACTCTAAAAGCTTTGTGAAAACGACCGAAATGCCACCGGAACCACTCACCCGAGGTACTGGCCTATCGCTTCGCGTAGTTGAGCATTCCCGTTTAGTTCTAGCTTACTATGCTGCCTATCCATAATGTAAAGATCGATGACCTCAGCGTGGAGCTGAATTTCCGCGATCAATTCTGCCCAGGAATCGCTCATGTCGTGGATTTCCTAGATCCCGTTGAGAGTAGGAAGACGAGGCATCTTTACTTACCCGCGCAATCTGAATCCCACTGAGTAATGCCGCGTATGTGGCCTTGAGAGGCTCGCGGGTATCCTCTGCGAATTGAGCGCTTTGCTCAAGCCAGTCGCACAGCGCTCTGTACGCGGTCATGGAGTTCACAAGGGAATAATCGTTGATTACACCGCTATCGGACGCCAATGTGTCGCCGGCTTTCGAAATTGATGGTTGATTGATATTGGATTGTACATCCTGAAGGCTGCGGAGCTCTGTACTAGATGAGATTTTGCCATATGGAATACTGTCGGTAGAAGGATCCTTCTTGCGCCTGAATAACTGCCTCATATAACTGAGCTTCGCGGGGGGGTGGAAGTTACGGAATGCGTACCGTAGTATTACACCACTTGGTGAGATTATCTATTCTTGTGAAGATACGCTTTACACTCGGACATCTTAGTTTTTAGACTGGTAGTATCCATTGGAGAGGTCATACATTGTATTGAACATAAAAAAAGCAAGTTTCGAGCTCTTTGGCGTCGCTAGTACGACACGAGCATGGAAAAGTCGAGGATAAGTGGCCCCTCGTCGGTGTAAATAGTGACAGTATTGCCACTCGATGTCCAGAGAGGACCCTGCTGCATACCAATGCTGAAGAATGTTCTCAAGTGGGTCGGAATAGGCGCGATGCGTCGAGTTGGGAATGCCGAATAGATCCATCCATCGTCATAGGTGAGAAAGGAGTACGGGTAATTTTTGAGCGCAGGAGGAATCGGCCCAGAGTACTCAATGAGCCTTTCTGTTTCTATATTCCAGACCATGGAGCCGTACACCACCCATTTCCCATCCGCGGAGAAGCCTAGATAGTGTGCGCTTCCGATTTCATGTTCAAATTGTACCGCGTCCTTGAAGCTCACCGAATTGAGGGAGGATACTGACCAAAGGCGCAGGATCCTCGGTTTACCGATAAGCTCTCGGTGTACTGAAACAAAGGAGTTCGAGTCTGGGCTAAACGCCACGCTTACTGCATCAATCTGGTCACTGAAGTCAAACTGATCCGTCGCGGTGTCTACTATTTGCTTCCTCCTGTCCATTAAATTGCATATCCAGAGTTTTGAGCCATCCGCTACTGCCATGAGCCTCCCGTTTGGCGCCAAAGCGACCGGAATAGATGTCTCTCCAACGTATTCGTATACTATGTTGCCTTCTGAAATCTCCCATACTTGTGTTATCCACTCTTTGCGATCCTTATTTTGGAAAGCAACGAGTCGTCCATCAGATGAGAACACGGGAGGACGAGTTGGTCCGCCTTTTGCTCCATCGAGTGAAATTGACACTTCTTTATAATCGATTAGACTGTGGTAGGTAATTTGACCTTGCGATGAGCAACAGAGAAGGCGTTGGCGATTGGGTGTTATGCTCGTGTAGATTGTCCCATTATATTCTCCGAGAGACTTGGCTAGTTTGCGCTGTCCGCCACTAATTTCCCAAATGCATACTCTTCCAAGACCACCAACGTAGGAACGTTCGACAAGTATTGACATTGTGGCAAGGTACTCTCCCGCCGGGCGCGGACCGCTTTCCAGTGAGGATTCGACAAGAATCTGGGACCCTGTCTCATATATAAAGGCGGCGGTAACTTTACTCAGAGCAAGTCGGGCCCAGTCCTGAGAAAGCACGATACGCTTGCCTCGGACGTTACCACTGATAAGACTAGGGAGTTCATCTCCGGTCGAGATGTCCCACAATGTCATTTCTGTATCTTTTGAAAGACTGGCCACGCGAGTGGAATCTGGCGAGATCCATATATCGTCCAGACGCTCTCCTGGAGTGGGAATCCATCTCAGGATGCGGGCATCACGGCTATCTCGCACATGCACACCCGAAAGGCCTCTAGGGGAAGTGATCATCAGTAATGAATTAGGAGAAAAGAGTACTAGGTGGGCGTCAGTATCCTTCGGGTCTGCTGGCTCGATAATAGAGCCATCACTGCCATCAAGCAGTAGCATCGGTGCCTCTCCGAAATGAAAGGGCACATAGAGGGCTATACGACTTCCGTCTGGAGAGATCTCGATGTTGCGACGCATAGATGAGGGTATATTCATATGCGCCAATTCATCAGATGTCTTCGTGTCAATAACGAGCGCAGAAGTCACGGTATCGATTCCGCTCTCCTGGCTTGTTGCTGTGTAGACGGCATGCCTCTTGTCAGGCGTCAGTTGGAACTGATGAACCGGATAGCGCAGCGTGGAAAGTATGGGAAACCTTTCTCCCGACTTTCTGTGATAGAAGGATATGAAGCCTCCAATGAGATTCTCGGGATACCTGGTCCTGAGATTACGCCCCGTAATTGCGATATAGGTGTCATCTGGGAAAGAAATGGATACAACGAACGGGTGTAGACGAGCCGCCACGTCGGTAAAATCCTTGTAAACCTCTGTTTTCCAGATGGTTTCGCCATCGTGAGTGTCCCAGAGATAGAGGATGCCTTCACTATTTATGATGGCTACGCTTTGACTATCTGGTGAGAACTCTAAGGCTTGCACTAGAGTTCCCCCTTCATGTCCGTCAGGTAATCCGGGCCCGAGAGCTTCTCCAGTTTCGACGTCCCACAAACGTAACCCCCCTGTTCCACCAAGAGTGACAATGCGGCGAGTGTCTGGCGAGAAGGTCATTCCAGCTATTCCACTCTTCATTCCAGTGATCATCACTTCTGGTTTCCATATGCTCCTTGGGGTAACAAGCGCTTTGACAAGATGTTTTGCATCCCAGGAAGAGAGCAGAGGTGAATCTGATGGGGTGAGGGAAACAGGTGTCGAATATGTGTGCAATGCTGACTCCTTGATTATATCCTGGAATCGTAGTAGAAACTGGAACGCGTGCTCGATTGCAAGCAAGCCGTGGGTGTCCTACTTAGGAGTTGGGTCATACCGCACAAATGAGGCAAGGGACATACCAGAACATTTCCAGAAAGTGGTATCCTGGATCTCAATTCCCGAAGTCCTTGTAACCCATGCGTGATTGTCCCCTGCCAACCAACTAGCTCCACCCAGTGCAGGTAATGTTTACGTAGAAAGGAGATCACCCTCCCCCAGTGCATCCAAGCATCCTCAGACGCAGCAATATGATGGGCCCAATACGAGCTTGCATATCTCAATGCCGCAGAGATGTGCTGAGTTGACGCTGCACCCAAATTTGCAACCTGCTTGTTCAACGGCAAGTTTGCGCACGTCACTGGTAGTTGAAGTATGTTGTATTTCAGTAGTCTTTCCAGTACATCAAGGCAGGCATTTCCGAGGATCGAGTGAGAAGGTTGCACTTGGACGAGAAAGCCATTGGCTCTGTTCTCATTTGAGAAAGCAAATTCGCGAAAGGTGGAATGAAGGACTTTGACAGGCCTGTCCGGATGACCATCTTTCAAGATGGCGCCGAGATCCTGGATAAAGTCGTCCACTGCATCGACATTTGGGAAAAGTGCGGAAATGGTGTTGATTGAGACTGGCTGGAATACGGAAAGGACGACCTGAAGAACTCTTCGGAAGTCATCCTTTGCCCTCTCGTCTACAAGTGCTTGACGGAGAACGGCTAGGTAGAGAGCGTCCAGCGGATTTGTAATTTGAAAATGCAAAAAGTTGTCCAGTAGATGTTTTCCGGCTTTGGTTCGTTCAAACGCTCGGCAAAACGTGGCCGCCCATATGAATAGTCCAGCTGAATAATGAATGATTCGTTGTCGATCCTCGAGACTAATTTTATGGTCAATCTAGTGTGAACATAATGTGCGATGTCCTTGGATGAAGGGTTATTGATGTCAAGGAGCTGCTCACACTTGACCAGGCTCCGATTGCCGAGGGCGTCCGCGATATCTGGGTAAGGTCGACTTGTTAAAAAGACTTTGATGTATGGCTCATTAGGAAGTTCCCTGAGAAGCGCGTTTAGGAGCTTTTGTCGGGCGCCATATTCACAATTGTCAAGCGCATCGATGACCAAGAAGACCGGGACATAGACTTGTCCTGGCTTACGAGCGTGCGAGTCCCGGACCACCCGTGGATCGAGATCGTCACCTTTCCTCAATTTGCGAAGTGGTTGGATAACAAGACGAACAAGTTGGGTGGGAAAGTCCATGGTGGCTTCTGGAGAGGTACTGAGCGTGGATTGGATGTCAATGGCAAGTTGCGCATGATTGGCTGCAATATCGTATGCGATAGTGCGGCAGAAGTATTTGATATCCTGGTTGAATGCAATGTTCGGACTAAAGAAAAACCTTCCACCCAGTTGACGTTTGTCTCTCCATAGTTTTGCCATGGTCGCGGCGATAGTCGATTTGCCCGTTCCGGCCACATCGTAGAGCCAAAAGATCTGCTGCGATTTGTTCCCAGAGTCTCCCCAGTTTCTTATTGTCTCAAGGATTTCGGTGCGTGTGCCCTCTACACACAGTTCCAAGTCAGTGCCCAATGAATATCCCAACGCAGATTCGGCAGAAGCGTCTACCATCGTAATAAGATTAAGCCAATAACTGCCAGTTTAAGGCTCACAATTGACCTTATTCATATCGCTAATCGTCAAAGATTGCAGATCTGCTCTGATTCCCTCGACGAGTTCTCCTAGCGGGGTGTCTTTGCCCAGCAGGATGTCAGAGGTTATAATCTGTCGATTATGTTATTCCAGGTCCCCATTAAACGCATTCCCTTACACTATAACCTTGAAAGGCTTTTGCCTCTATCTCACGGAGATGTTGTATCATGCCCTTGTCGATTCGAGTTGCGACGAACCGGTGAATGGTCGATCTTGCATTCATACTAGCTTCCTTGAGAGCCACATCGGCTTCAGAAAGGATCATCCTGAGAGAGCTGTACCGAATTAGTGTTCAAAGTTGGAAGACTCTGCTCCTACTTGAGATGTTGTCTCAATGCTTCGACAAGTTTATCCCAAGGGGCAGAATGCGTTCTTTTCTTCAGATCCTCCACGGCATCCTGCATAGATTCAACGTGAAGATGAATATCGAAAACCATGTCGTCCCATGCCATATCGTCGTTATGCAAATCCTCGATAATAACTCAGCATCCTGAGCTTTGATAGACAAGCACCTTACCTGTGCTATTTCAACCGCCCTGGACGCTAGGGCATATGCTGATTCCAGGGGTGTGGGGGCCGGGGTTGCCTCAGAGACTCCCATAGCAAGGTCCAGGCCTTCAAGCAGCCAGATCGCTATCGCTTGTTTGGTCTCTAAAGAGTTGGGAAGATCCGTGTCATCTTTCCCGCTATTCCCTGTGGATCCGCGAGCATCGTTCTGATTCGATAATGATTCTGGTACATTGGTATTTCCTTTATGTTGTTCTTTATTTTTTCTTCGTTTGAATAGGCGCTTCATGCTTGCACTCGAGTGGCGTCGATGGTGGTCAACCCAACTTATCCACTGACCACCAGGGATTCAGATTCAAAAAGAGGTTGAGGAAGCACGTTCTCGTCTCCGATCCACATTACCAGACCACTTGTTGTCTGTCAACTTGGAGGATTACGCATCAACATTCGACTGACTAACCTCCACTTCCTCCTCAAATTGGCCTCAATATGACTCAATTCGTCATCTATACCTTCTGAGAAGCAATGGCGGCATCATCATCACCAGTTGGGGGTCCAAGACGTGGTTACCTTCGACCTTTGCGAGAGCGCGCGGCTCCGCCATGTATTCAGCCCCACGACCATGGTTTTGTCAATAACACAGTATCTCATCTGTCGATGTATGACGAAAGGCTGGGTGAGCTCATTTCCTCTGACTTACCCAATTTCTCGTTGGAAACGGACCGTTGAGGATTTCACTGACAAAATATCGGCCTCAACTCTGAGAACGTCTTCAAATCTATACAGGCTGATCAATATGGCTTTACTCACGGCTAACCAGAGCCAATTTGTATATAGGTTCTCCCAGTACTTGGGTACGGCAACAATAACTGTTCCGTGCCTTTGTGCTGATACAATCATGACATAGGGATCATCATGGGTTTCCACCGAACCATGCTTGGGACCAAGAATCAAGAGCTACTTGTGCCATCAGTGCGTCACTAGCGTGGCTTTCAGAAGAGGTACCTTGTCCACGGGATCTTATTATCCGCATAATACAGTAATATCGGTGTTTTTCTTGTCTCCCTTCGTCAGCATATCGACCAGGAGGCTGGCAGCTGACATCTCGCAAAGGTGAGTCCTGCGCATGAAGAGCGCTTTCGTGCCAAGTCAATGACAGGTTTATAAGACTCTGGGCCCACTTGGTACAAGAGATGGGGCAGAAGGATCGAAGCAAAGCGAAGAGAATATCTCCCAAACCACGTTTCGCACATAAAAGCACGGCCATAATTCTACTCACCAACTTTCACTCCCTACTCTAATATTCGAAGACGATGCTCGCAATTCTTGGCCTTTTTGTGCTCACAGCACTCTCGGTCGCCCCTACGTCTCACTCTGCCTTGGTACCATATGCAAACCAGACACAATGCCTTACTTCATCTCTGGGAAATTCAAATGGCTCGGCCATTATCCTATTTCCATGCACGCAAGACCTAGCGAGTCAAGCGGTGGTAAACACGACATTGGGACAATTGACGATGTATAATGGGACAATGTGTTTTGTACGCTCTCTAGCTTGGATGTTGATATCACCCGCTGATTGTCTTCATTATACCAGGATGTAACTCGTGGCGTTGACCGGGACGGCACACAGGTGCAGCTCTGGCAATGCTTTCCAGGGAGTCGAAAACAACTCTGGGCGGTCAATTACAATAACGACACGTTCGCGCGTTCACTACACACAACAACCCAGCTATTACTGACATTCATATCATAGTGTTACGTGGTTGGGCCATAACAAGTGTCTCGTACGTCCCTATTCTATTGACAACGAGATGACATATCTCACGACTCCCCAGGATCTTGCAGAGAACTCGTATGACCCATACAATCGAGTTCAAGTGAGGACCTGCGAGCAGGGTAGACAGAGTCAAGGCTTTGTAATTACTAACGAGACACAATCGTCATAATTTACCCGCCAGGGTCTGGTAGAACCGATGATCGATATACGTCACCGAAATGTCACTGCTTTCCTAATCAAATTACATTAGTTTGCCTACCCTTACAAGGGACTTTCAGACTGTACCACGCCGCACTCAGAGATTTCTTTCGCATTCCAAGTGTCTGGTTAGTGATAAAGATCTGCCCAGCCAGGCCCAGGCTCGTAATCTGCTCCAACACCGCCTTCGAATTTGTGATTAAGTACCAATCTTAGGCGAGGCTTGATGCCTTGACCTCTTTCCATTGCCCAAAGGGCTACAGCCAAGGTACTCGGCAACGTCAGTCGTGAGCAAAATCCCCCCGAGTGAACTTACTTTGGACCGTGATGATTTAGAATCCCTTCATGGACCACGAACTTTGTCTGGGGTCTGGTCATTTGTCAGTCAAGGAAGCCATGGCGGGGAGATTTCGTCACACACCCCAAGTTTCCGATACGTTTACCCATGTTCCATCCATTCACGAACACAAAGGCCCGATATGGAGAAGGAAAATCATCCTCAAACTCCAACGAGATTGAAATGTCACAGTCACGAGGTAGATCCAAAGCGAACGTCGTGCGGAAGAAACCCACGCCCGCACGATCGTCAACTAGGCCCATTTCCAGGGACCTGGACTCCCATTTCTCATCCGGGAATCCGGGGAGATGCCATCCGAGCCGCTCGCCATGTAATCCCCCATTATTGAGTAAGCCTCGATACCTGTCAACGAACCTATTTTGGCGTCAGTATTTGGTGAAAAGGTTGCCTTTCCTACCTATCGTAACCACCGAGACGTCCTTGAACCTTCCATGAAGTAAAGTTTCCCCCCGAGTGGAGTGAGTATCCTCGGATACCGCGGGGAGATTTGGACTGATTAGCGTCATCTTTTTCATTCGTGTCAGACAGAGATTCCTGTAAAACATTTCTTACAATGTGGACCTGTTTCGTCCATGCCCATGTTGTCCTTTAGAAATTGAGTTGAAACTAGAGCGCTCGATATAGGATGTGCTCACCTGGAGAATCACCAAAACATTCCGTTCACCCTTTCGCAGTGACTCCTCTGGGAACTCGAATATTTCATCCGTCTCACAGATGATATTCGTATTTCTCGTGGAGCTATCATTGTCAAAGCATGGAAACGCAGGGGTATGATGATGACTCACTTTCCGTATGTAGTCTTCAGGAAGTGACCGTTCAACCAGACGCTGGCCGCAAATGCTTTCAATTGTCAGCAATCATAACTCAGCAGAGGTGTAAATGCGAACCTTCTCCTCCGTTGATGACCATTCGAACCGCCCTGTCCTCATTAGTGGCAACAAACTCCCCGCTCCAAATGACGGTCCCCTCGCAGAAACCATAGTCGCACGCGTATAGCACGGGACCATCGCCGAACAGTGGCTTGTACGAAGAATTCGTCACAATGTTCTCCGCTACGGTCCATGCATCATAGTTGAAGCTGTCCGTTATCTCTGGTAGACTATCGCGGTATCTCCAATTCTCCAGCGTGGGTAGTGTCAGCAAAGTCGACTTTCTGACCATTCCAAGGGGAACAGTAAGCACGCTGAGCACCTCTTGGAGCTCGAAGTCGGTTCCGACGTCAATCCCGTTCCACGTAATCCTATTAAGACCTTGTGGGAGTCCAACAAGTTGGAGCATCGTATCTCCTTCAAGGTCTCCAAAAAGCGCGAGATGACCGTCATCCAAGGTTGCGTTGCGTACAATATAAGGTCCACCAACCACAATAGTGTCGTTCGATCCTATGTTCCAGAACGTCGCAAACGGGTCCGAGGTGTTGCGTCTCTGAAGCATTGGCGCATGTAATTTAAATGCAGTTTCTGTGTCGCAGTAAAGAACAAGCTGTTGATCCGTATCCCACACTTCGACTACCTGCCTGATTCCAGGCAAGAAAGATATAGCAGTTCCTATTCCATGGTATTGGTTTCTGACCATTGATACTGATGGAGAAGTCGTGAGTCTCCTTGGCTTCCCTCTGAGGTGAATGATTGCTTCGTGTGCTTGCTCCATATCACCATAGAGGATGAGGACATCTCTATCTGCCATTTTCCCCGCGAAAAAAATGGAAGCCGATGTATAGGTGATCAAGGAATCACCAAAGGATATGTCTGTCATGATAAGGTCGGTCGTCCTACCTCTCAGCGTGAATAAGGAGCTGAAAAGAGGAAGGGAAAGTTCTTGGTGGATAGTATTCAGCTTCAGCGAGTAATCAAATGAATCTCTGGACTCGGTTAAAAGACCGCGAGGAGCAGTGAAGGTAAAAACGCACTGTGTCGACACATTTACATGGCGAATGTAGTAAAACCCCGCGTTTGTGATAGGATTCTTGAGATGAACGACGGTGAGTTCGCTTGTACTCCCCGTTCGCAAAAGGCTTTCGTTTTCCAGGACGTCGGTGTGGTACATATCCGGCATACTACGCAAGAACAACCCAAGCAGCTTGAGATGATCGTATTTATCACTCAACGCCCTCGTTTCGCGAATTGGGCTCCCATAATCGTAGGAGGTGTAGACACCAGGAAACGGTATGTTTCCCCACGATGTACCGCCGTACATCATATATAGGTTGATCATTTTGGCGTTACTTGCGAGCATATGATTGTATAGATTGTTCTGAAAAGAGGGTCCCGTCAAGATACGGCAGTTATCGTATGTCCTAGGATATTTGAGCTTCAGAAGGATGGAATATTACTGTACATACGGTGCTGAAGGACCCCATGGATCGAACGCTCCCGCCTGCGCCTCTGGTATGTAAAGAGGTGACTTGGGAAAAGTTTTCATATGGTAGTCGTGGTATGCTTTCGTTAGGTTCTTCCACACTAGCGGATTGGCGCAATCGAATCCTTGAGGATAGTCGTCGAATCCATAAATGTCGGGGGAACCCTTGCCGTCGACGAAGTACCCGTTCATTCCAGCATCGTTATGAGTAAGAGGTACGACAACATTGGATTTGGTGAATGCGTCCCTCAACTGAGCCATCATCTGTCGCTTGTGTGACGGTCCCTCTTCAGGGTTACTGGTGAACTCGTTCTCGGCCTGAACTGCGATAATAGGACCACCTTCTGTAATTTGATTTCGTGCGATGATTTCCGAAATGTGTCGAATGTAGGGAGACCAGGCCTCGAAGTATGCAGTGTTATTGCTCCTCAAATCGTCGGGCGTCTGTGCAAGAACCCAACCTAGATAGAGTCAGAGTTGAAAAGAGACTTAGATAATCATATACCCGGGATACCGCCACCGGTTGTCTCGGCGTTGATATACGGCCCTAATCGCATAAGCTTGTGCCCACTACAAGTTGAGGCCACTCACCAGGCCTAAAGACCACCCAAAGACCGACCTGCTTCGCAATATCCAAGAAGACTTGCCAGTCCTGCCAACCGGTAAAGTCGAAGACACCAGGGGAAGGATTATGGAGGCCCCTAAAGCCCAATAAGAGGATATCTGAGAGGAAGAATCAATCCTTACCAGTGTGAATATACAGATATAGCGTTCATTCCACTAGCCTTGATCTTTTGTAGAACATCGAGCCATTGCGACCGAACTGGAATACGCCAAGGATGAATCTCTCCAGACCACAAAAGTACTCTTCTCCCTTTTATGAATAGGCTATATTCGTCCCATTGAACATCTTTTGTCAAGCCATTGTCGCGAAGGAGCACGGTTGCGGGTGATAGATGGACCTTGGTCCGCCCTCGAGGTCCTATCAGGTCGAAAATGTTCCACGCCAAAGGATTTCGTGCGGACTGAATGAGCCATATCGTGACCGTGGCTCCTAAAAGCATCAACATTTGGACGTGAATCCGCCCAACGCGGTTATAAGGACGGAATGCATTAGAATTCGCTTTTTCCGCTGGAGTAGTCCATCGTGATATCATTCCTCGATGAGATTACAGCAGTGGAAATGTCGAGGTCGGGTCGAGGTGAGTGGTGTGGTGCTTCCATGTTTACAAAGCTGAACGAAATACAGGTGGGGATACAAGCACAAACATAGAGGGGATACATGCAAGCGTTATAGTATCGCAGGATGGAGAGATATCATAAAGTGCGTCGCAGGTCATGAGTCAAAACGGACAAGCTCAAACCTCCTTTTCCAGGGCCATTATGTAGTCATTATCCAGCCACTCGTCTGTGTCAATCTCGTTTGAAAAGTTTGTCTCCTGTGCCTCGCCGAGAAGACCTCCAGACGTGAGAAACGACAACTCCCCTAGGCGAATCGACTGTGGAGCGAGCATAGGTGCGACCAAGAATCGAGAAGCTGTGGCCGTAAAGGGAAAGATTATTGCTCCTCCGGTTGTTGAAGCAGTAGGGTTAGTGATGTAGGGCGGTGGGGTCCTGACCATTCGAGTGGTCAAAATCGGGGGAGACAATTGGCCTGGTACGATACTGCTGCCTAGCGAATGGTGATACGCTAGTGGGTGCAGGATGGCCGTTGGTTGCATAACAAGAGGGTCCGGACTTGAATATTGTGGCGTGGCATTCGTCATAACGGGATTCTTCATAATAACTTGAAAATCTAATTCGGGAGTGCTTCTCCTTCCGCTCGAGATGCTGTAAAGAGTAGAGGGCGACCCTGGCGCAGATGTCTCGACTTTTACGATAGGCTCCAAAGCCCCTTCCTGTGAAATGATTCTTCGTCTCTTCACTTCTGGATGTATTGTGCAGACAGTGGATTCTGCGGGTCGCCTGAGACCGGAGGTAGAACCCCAGGCGATGTTCCCGAAAGCATGAGCAATTACAGGCATGGGTGGTGAACGTTCTTTCTTGACATCATTCGTTTCTTCTGTGTACTTTTCATCACAACCTATGTCTGGTGAGTCCCGATAGACATAGTCCGCGGATTGACGAAGAGTATCTCGTCCTGCAAGTTTATTGACACCTGATCTCCGGTTTTTTCGTGTGATACGCTTTTCCACATCTAATATATGCTCGAATATTGTCGCTTTGCTTGGAATGTCTGCATTTGGAAGCCGCAAAACCTTTGCGGTCGCGTGAGCCAGCGCGCCAATCTGGAAAGCTACTCACAAATCGACTGAGCACCTTGTACATACACTGCTCCAAGTTGCCCCACTCGAAAACTTTGAGGCTCTTCTCGATGGACCGTGGCTTTGGCGATTCGAAACTCATGACCAAAGAATATGGATCGTTTTGGAAATCAGTTTCCGCTACGTTTAGGAGTTTCACTCTTGGGAGAGTGATCGAAGTCACGCTAGCCATATTTCTTCTCGCTCGGTTCTTGACCTCTGTGGTCATTCTTGTTTGCAGCGCGAATTCGAGCAGTCGAATGACATCGAACGAAGTCACGAAGAAATATCCAGGTTCGTTTGGCCATTGAATGCACGAAATTACGACCGAAGGGCTTTTGGATTCTGGGGCGGTCTCGGCGATTGCCGACTCGAGGCGGACAGCCGCTCCAAGCTGCGCACGCTTAAACCAGACGAGACGCCTTCCTGCCCTTTTCTCTGCCTCTGTCCAGTTTTTCTGTGCGTCGAGAAGATCTCCGAGGAGCTCGAACTGTAGTTTCGTGTAGCCAGCAAGTGCGACAGGTCCATGAAACAGCTCCTGAGCAAGTTGGAGATCTGCACTGGCTGCCATCCGTCTCTCGAGACTCGAGTCCACTTGTCTCATCGAATTAGAGGCACTTTTCTTTCGAGTCGTTTTTCTGGGGATAGGAGATGGTTCTATTGCCGAGTTTCAGTCAGCATCCGTACCAAAGGGACAATGCACAATGACACACCTGACGACTTACGGACTATTCCAATGAAAAGCTCGTCATGAACCTTGTTGTCAAGTATCACTTGGAGTGCGATATTCAAGTTAAGGTCATTGACCGCCTCTGCAGGAAAGTAGCCCCAGACGTAGCTTGATCCGTGATTCGAGGCTTGTACATAGGTATCTACGCCGGTTGAACCCATAATGAGCTTGACAAACTCGTTCTTCTGACATTTAGAGGCGTAATAAAGGATGTCAAGGATGATGACAACTTGCAATTTGTCCTTGTCGTCTCGTCGAGTGGCGAGTTCTGCACCTGAGCAGCACAGCTGGCGATTGCGGGAGAGTTTCATGGGCTCATAACGAGACTCGAGCAGTAGCGAGGAAGGCGGGGGGGAATATACGAAAGGTAAAGCAGGTGCTCGAGGAACCAAAGTAGTCCGAGCTGCTTGGATAATGAGCGGAAGCTCTTGGGTCCTGCAAGAATGGAATTCTGACTCACCTTCTTTTTGATTCATGATGAGGGTAGTTGCGATGGAAGGGGACGAAGGCGGGTCTTGTCCTTACTCCTTGCCATAAAAGACGTCGCACTGAATAGTCGGCCAGAGGCATCTGAACCGAGTACAAGGATACAATAGGAAGTGTCAGAGTCATTATGACTGTTGCAAACTCAGGGGTCTCGGCGGTCTCTCTACACGCGAGAACACGAATAGGGACCCGGAATAACTGTCGCACGGCGAAAAGTCTTCTCGTCATGGTGCTAGGTGGCGGCTCCAATCAGAAAAATCTCTCGATATGATTTAGGTTTGTCGCTGACATCGGGGCTGTCATCCCAAAGGGCGGGCGTTAACAGGACAAGGCACCAGCTCCCGTTTTTGCATGCTTCTGCTCGCCTCCGATTATCAAACGCGCCACGTCAACATTCCCAAGTTGTTCGCACATATGTATATTCTGCGGACCGTCCACTACCCAAAGCCTTCTGGACTTCATCACAGCAGAGACTTCCAAGTGACTGTCTGATCTCACTTGCATGATATTGAAACCCAGAGATCAATTCTTGCCCTCCAGCCTGCGAATGAACTTTCAACGCATCGAGGCCAATAAATTTAGAATTCAATCTCTCCCATTGTGGGCGTAATTGCTACGAAATTCGCTGCCGGGACAGAAAAATCTGACAAATTTAGAACATTACATTAGATATGGCAGAAACTTCTGCGACGACTCCTGCGACGAATACGGCGCCAGCCAACGCAGCTTCACATGACACCACGGCACCTGCTGCGCCGCCGCTCGAACGCAGCGAGGATGAACGGCATCTCCAGTCTATATTCCCTGACCTGGACGAAACAACCATTCATGATTGCTATGTACTATGCGAGCGAAATGTAGAAAGGACGGTCGAGTTTTTGTTAGGAACGGATCAGAACGACGTGAGTGATTACACTCGCAGACAGAATAAGCATAATTAAGTCTGAATAGGCACCGAGCAACACCAACGCTGTACCAGCTGGCATGGTACGTATCATGATTCACCAACTGGCCTTCTTCCTAATCTCTTGTATAGTCTCAAAGTGAAATTGACGAGCAATTAGCGCGGCAATTTGAGCAGGAAGAGCTAGCTGCTGCTGCTGCGGCGTGGAATCCTCGGCCCGTGGCCGCGCCCGCTCCCAATGCCCGTCCTTTCAACCAAGATAGTCATGTCCAAGGGTCTCAAGCTACACCAGAATCCAACGAGCCCAACTTTCAGGAGCAATTCAACAAGTTTGCAGAGAGTAAATTCTGATTGTCTTCCAGTGAGGGTGACTGATCGATTTCATAGCTGGGAAGAAGACGATAACTTCAATATTCAACAAAGTGAGGGAAAAAATCAAGGAATTCGAAGCGCCTCCCCCTGGTGGCCCGTGCGTTTTCACCTTTGACTCCAGTCTTACTTAACGCCCCTTGCACAGTTCTAACCCACAGATGCAACAACATCAGCAACAGCATTATCAGTACTACGCACCCGAACCCGTCTCACCACGACCCAATGTGCAGACCCAAGGTAACTCCCCAACACCGTACCAGTCAGCCTATGCCCCGCCAGCTGTGCCACCTCCTGGAGCTACAGAGTCACACCAAGCACCCATCCCTGGCCCTTCAGCATCATCCAGTGTGGCAGCTCCAGTAGCGGCGGATAACCCTGTGACTTTGACGAATTCTCCGTCCACTGCCACACCGAATATTGATCTTTGTAAGTACCGCCAACTTTACTCACGTAGGTGTCGTTCTAACCACTGTTGATTTAGCCAAAACCGCGTTCCTTCCCAGAAAGCCTGCGCCGTTGCCAGAGAACAAACCAGAAGATTTAACAGAGAGTCCTTTTGAGGACAGAGGTCGCTAACAAAGGAAGTCGATCATTATGCATAACCCGTCTCAAATCTGACGGCAGATTGCGCCCTGCAAAAATTGCTGCATAAATTGAATATAAATACGTGATCCGAGCCTGGCATACGTCAACGAGTCACAAGTGATCGAAAACGCGCCGTGAGCCACATCCATGACTCTTCGAGAATTATCTCGACCGCGTCCCTTTGATTGCGATCAAGCGACGACGGTTCGTGCTCTTCTTTCTCAATGAATCGAAGCACATCCTTGACCGTGATCAGCCCAGTAAGAGTCCCAAATTTCTCGATTAGAATAACGCGTGGTCTAGGGAAAGCCCGCAATCAGCGAGAGGACCGCGAGCTGTCATGAACGCACCCAAGCCGCTTGAACATCTGAACGACAGTCTCAAGTGGCGTCTGTGGCCCAACAGTCAATGGGGTCTAGAATATCGATTAGAAGCGACGGCGTCGAGCGAGTGATCGGACGCGAGACAGTCCGCCGTTGGTGACAGATGTCAAAAGAGTCCACTCACCTGGTTCACCCAAGGTTCGAGTCGTAGGACGCCATCTCTTGCCACCTCCGCCTCCTCGCTCAACAGGCCGAGCTCGATTTCATTGTCCTCTATCCCTAGCGCGGCTCCAGCCGACCACGATGAGGACAGAGCCCCAGTATTCCGGGACGATACCTCAATTATGCGAGCTGAGGCTTCTCGACTGACCCTTGCCGCCTCGATAACGGCGGTTCGAGCCTCGCTCACAAATTCGACTGGCGTTTCTTGATCCAGCCCCCCAGAGTGCTGTGCCTTGTCTGCAATATACTGTCAACAACACAGCATACACACGAGTGGGTAACTTACCGAGGACGTACTGTAGCTCAGACCTCCCAATGTAGCCGAGTAAAGCTCGTTGACTGTCAGGAGAAACAATCGGGAACCCATGGACGGTGGTGGTAGCGAGCTTTTGTTCTGTGTACGTGTCAGGTTTGACCCTTTCTTGGCGTTTCAACTTACCTACTTCGCCCAGTGTCAGCCCTCGAGCAGCAAGCGTATACAAGTGTCGCCTCATCACCCGCGACACTGAGACAGAGTCAGATGGTGAGTGACGCTCAGGTAGAAAATGATACCTGGAATATTAAAGGATTTGTCTTCTTGTTCCAGGAATGGATAACCGTTGAATTTGATCATTTCGTCTGCAATACCGCCAGTTCCTAGCCAATCGCCCACTGCCTTTGTTACTAAAAGGACGATCTAAACGCAATGAGTGATATACACCCCTTCTTACCAGACTTACCATGGTCGGTAGGATATATGTCAATGCACCAGTCAACTCGAACATGACTGCGACGACCGTGACCGTGATGCGCATTACACCGCTGTTAAACGTCAGCGGACTGCATACTGTTTAGATGATATCGAACCTAAGAGCGGCTGCTGCCCCTAAGAAAGCATATGTCCCTGGTGTAATGCAGGGTATGTTTGGGTCACATACGGCGAACCAGCTAGATTCAGGATATTGGCTGAAGACTTTAAGCTTGGAACCTTAAAGTATGCTGATAATTTACCGATAAATGGCTTTGACGAGAATTCCCACCATTCTACCGAAAGTCGCGCCAACAGCCATAGAAGGAATGAAGATACCAGCTGGAACCTTGCACCCATAAGACACTATGACGAGTAGGACACGGAACATGGTTGCAAGGAGCAACGAATTCGCCATTCGCCATTGAGCCCAGGTTCTACGATGGTCAACTAAAAGGTCCAGAGGGGGAGAGGTGACTCACTGGCAGAGGTTATCATAGTCCCCACCGCCTTCGCATTCCCGGAAAAGGATAAACAGGCTTTCCGTCATGTCAAGGCGGAGGAATCGATTGAAGAACCCAATCATGGCAGTTAACGTAGCCAGAAATACCGCTTCTGCTACTGCGTAATTGCCAAGATACTTTCTTCTAAAGGCGGCAACCTGTAGGTTGAACTTGACAACGAAAGCGCCGTAAACACCCTGATCTAGGTTAAGTTCGAGAGCGTTCCCTGCGGCAGATACGTACCCCAAATACACCAATAAGGATAAAGAATAATATTTCAAAGAAATGCCAATCTCGGTCGTACGTGACCTGGAAGAGCACAAGCTTCCCTGTCCTAAAAGGGTTCATAGCCTTGGATGATCAGTACTTGCACATTGATGCAACACATTCCCTACTGAGAGTGTTACGGTGGCAATGAGCGCACAGAAGAAGCTTCTCCACATGGTCTTGATATTGAACGAGTTGTTCATTTCCTGCAAGCACGTCAGCCAGCACCTATCTGGAACCATGATACGGACCTCTATCGAGAATATTACGCCACCAATAGGAGATCCAAATGCAACTGCTACTCCTGCGGCGCTCGCTGCAGTGATGATCTCCCGCATTTTGCCTATAATACGTGGGCCAGAGTGAGTGACCACAGTGATAACACTGACCTTGGCTTTGAGAGAATCGAGCGAAGAAGCTAGCTACCAGGTAGCCAATGCAGCATGCGACATGAACTGAGGGTCCCTCTTTGCCCACAGAGAGCCCAGACGCGATGACCAAAGGCTAGGGATTGTTAGAATGTCAAAAGTCCATGGAAGAAACCTTACGAGTGTCAGACTCTTGATGAAGAATGTCCACGCTCCCAGATATCCTTTCATAACGAATCCGGCGAGAATACATTTGATCTCCGAAATTCCAGATCCAGCTGCGTATCTCGCAAATGCCCGAACCAAATACGCGGCTACGAATGAGAACAAGGTCTGTGGAGAATGAGGATCTCGATGTCGGCTGAACAGTCAACTGACCGCAAAAAGGACGTAGATGACCCACTGGACCATGGCGAAATCACTCCACGAGTGCCAAGCATCGCATCCAGCATCTTGTTCCTTTTGATTCTCCCAACAGCAGAAATTCTGATTTAGCCACCAGCCGTCTTTGCAGTATCCCATTTTAATGTCAGAGAGCCATTCCGTAGTGATAGATATTAATGCTGCATTGACTCCAATCAAAGCACCTATAATAAAATGGGTATTCTGGCTTAGCAGCATTCCTTCATGGACACGCCCAATACTCACCAGCGAGGGAGACGACGAACCAGCTCTGGCCTGAGATGGCAAGCTTTTGAAGTTGCTTCCACGCCCAAGATATCGTGTACGGCTTACTCCATTGGCCGATGGTGCTGGAATGCAGTTGGTCCAACTTTCTCAGTCGTCGGTTGCGTTCTAGGGTAGCATCTTGTATCCAGTCTACGTGATATAAGCCACCATGGTATGTAATTTGCAGCTCCTTACCGATAGTCGTAAAGTCTGCGTACCTGTCGTCAAGAACGACTGTTAGCTTGGCGTATATCACGTCTTGCGTCGACTTACTTTCGACTCTCAAATTCTTCATCGACTCCATGATCGTCCGAGGTAATCACTGCCCCGTCATGAGGCATAGGGCAAGTCGGGTGCGGCTCCAAGTTTGTTCTCCACCACCACCGTCCATATGAAGCGGAGATGGAGCCCAGGAGCTACAGCCGAAGCTCATGCAGTTAAACGTCAGCGGACATTGCATTCGATAAGGCGTCGCTTTGACCTGACGAGCGCACTTGCCGATGAGCTGTGGCTACTCATCTTCTCTTTTATGGACGCGCAGGACCTATGTCACGTCGAGGCCGTCAGCAAGGGCTTTCGAAGAGTCGCTACAGATAACGAGGTGAGACAGCTGGGCCCACAACCCCTTGTGCGATGTCATTCATCTCTCCGGTGTCGATAGCTCTGGAAGGAGTTGTTCCTTAGGACGTTTGGGCGGCTCCGAGGGGGGCGTTCTCAGTTTACATTCACCAAGAGACCATTGGTGTCTTTGCCGGCACACTTGCACACTACTTCTGTGTCGTCGGCGGTTGACTGGAAGAGCCTGTATATGTAAGCAGTATTACTTTCGTGGGATGGCCGCTCAAGGTGCCATAGTATTGGAAATAACTGGCGAAGGGGACGAAGTGTCATCAGACAACTTGAGCTAGCACCAAAAGATGGTACCCCAAAGCCTCTGGTCCTCTTCCTTGGCCAACAAGGATTGGTCCTGACGAGTGGCGACCTCAGCTTCTCCCCATCTATTGCAGTCTCAAGCTCTGATACTGAGATGCACCTATTTTCGGGTGGACAGATTATCGTTCCAATCAGGATCTCGTCCCTCTCCCTGAACCAGCTAGGACAGAGTGTTGGCGATGCCCATTCGTCCATCCTCCTGGCCGCATTTTACTCTACGGACACTAAGCTTCATCACCTTTCAATATTCGAAATCTCGACGGGCATACATTCCTCTCGAGAAGTACACATCATGTCCCCACGGACTCCGCGACGTCCGATAACCTGCAGTGCATTCCACTCCAATCTCTTATTATCTCTGTCCGAGGGCTTTCAACTGGATATCTATCTTACACCTACCGGCAAACCAAGCGACATGATGTTGATGCGAACCCTAACATCCTACTCATCCTTTCTCCCATCGTCCCTTACACTCTCGAGGCCGTCAACGTCACTCCATCGAATACTTTTATCCTACACCGTCCCATTATACCCAGCACATTGGTCGGTCGCTTGCACACAGTTTCAGCTGGACAGTCGAGGAGAGACTGTCGATTCAAAGACGTTGAGAGTGTTTCCATATGGATGGAAGGATATACTTGACGATACAGAGGATGACTTTCCCCTTCAAGGAGGCAGATTTCTCAACATCTCCGCCGTGCAATCCGACGGCAAGTGGATGGTCGTCGTTCCGCAAGCAGAAACATTTGTGGAGCTTTATCGCTTGCGTACAAACTCTATATCATTTGTGCGGGTTCTCTCAGGGCCTACGGCCCCTATCTGTGCAGTCGCAATTGCTGACGGAAGGGTCGTCGCTGTCGCGCTCGATGGATCCATATGGATCTATGATCTTGAAAGGAGCTGGACTATTGAGTTGCGGAATAAGGCCTTGGGAGCAGAATTGGACGCTACGCGCATCTGCTTCGATGAAAGACGGATAGCCATTACTACTCCAAGTCATGTACAAGTGATTTCTTTCGACTGATACAATGACAGTCCATTCCTATATCTTCGCGTTACAATAGTCGTTGCAAATAAAGGCCCGATGCCTATTTGGGAATCATGTCTGGCGAAATGCCTAATGGGAGGAACTGAGGGTCGCGTAACTTCCGAGCAGACCACTGCCGACGGCCCAGCTACACATGGAATGAGAATTTTACCGGGAAACCGAGAACGAACCACAAACCTGTTCCTGTGCCTCTGCTAAGGTCAAAAGGTTGATATGGTCAGGATTGAGCGCCTCTTCCTGGTTATAAATGAGCATTAAGGGAACTTTGTCCGTATCGACTCACCGAATCACGTAGATCCATCAGGCGGAAGCCAGCGCGCAGGTCGAGAGGTATTCTCGTCGGCAAAATCAAGACGTGTACGGGTGGAGGGAAGAATCTCGTGACGGCGGAGGCAGCAGCCACGCTTTCGGCAGCAGCGAGCGCCAACCGAATGTCCTGTCGTCGACCCCTCGCACCTTGGCATACGATGACAAAGAGTTCAAAGACACCATCATACATGTATATAGCGTCTTCCCGCAGGTCAGTAGCGGAGAATGGAACCACTGGATGTAAAGCATCATTTGCAATGTTCCAGAGGCGGGGGACGAAGAGCTGGCTTTGGTCCCTAAACTTCCAATAATCCGCATTAGCATATCCGGCATCATCCATCATGGCCCAGAACATCTCGTCGTCACGTCCTTCTTCCATTTCTGTCGGAACAATTCCTTCAGAGACCAATGTTCCAGCGTATGTTTTCGCCGCTTCTCTTTCCGCAAGAAGCGCACCTCGACCGTGCCAGATGATGACCGCGTCCAGGACAGAAAGGCAGAAGGTGAACGCCGAACAAACGTTGCGAGATACTAGCTCAACTTCCTCGATAGTGATACAGTTGCTCCCGTGAGTTCGAACGCAGTGAAGTGCAGTATTTTCTTTCGACCACCGTGAACGAGCCCCGTGGCGTATGGCAATGATTCCCCCCAAGATCTGAACCAAATCGAATGGCTCCTTGCCTTGAGGTACTTTGATCTAAATCGTGTTCAGTTGGATTAGTAAAGACAAGACATTACGTACTAGAGTCGTGTTGAATCGTGAAGCAACTTCCTGTAATTTGCCCTCTTCCTTTTCACCACAAGAGGCCCTTGACCCGACCCAAGCCCAAACAGTAGTCGCGACCTGGAGACCATCATTCGAGAATCTATGGATTGGCGTGTATAACTCACAAGCCCGGAAGTCCTGTTCTTCTTTCTTGACACAAACGCCAGGATTTCTTGATCGTAGACCACATGGATAGAATCCTTGATTGCCGTAGATGAGGTACCGGAAATCAGAAAGGCTTCAATCGAGATCACATCTCCCAGAGAACCTTTGGCACTTCCGGGCAGTGGCGCCAGTAATCGGCTCAAGCTAAAGGTTGGAATTGGTGGATTTGGGTCATCAGCTGGTGGCTCATAAGTGGTGTCCTGAAGAAGTGTGTAGACATACTGATGTGGACGAGGCTGTCTTGTGGAGAAACTGGGCTTTTGCCACTTGCCCGAGCCTTGCTCAGGTCCTCTTTAGTATCTGGAATCTGTAGAATCTCCAACTTGCTCGTTTCCTCTTTATCTACTGTCTTCATCAATGACTGGTGAATGTCTTGGACACTTGGTGCTACATTTCCGGGACCGTTGGGGGCAATCTTCAGGGATCCCTCGGGTGTCGGAACTGGCGTCTTTTCCTCCTTCAAGGCAGGCAGCATAATAGATGAGTACCTCTGCGTGATTGACCTTCGCCGTTCGGACGACTGACTCAGAGGACGGGGCCGAGGTTGCGGCAACGGCAATGTTGGTGGGTTTAGCACTGGGGGAACGGTAGGTTGGTGTTCTTGTGTTTCCATTTCTTCTTGAGTAGGAAGTGGATCGCTTCGTGCCTGATCCTTCACTTGCGTGACCTCCTCCAGTAGTGAGCTGGATCTCTCAGTCGTTGGCTTTGTCTGCTGCTCCTGGCCCCAGTTCAGAATGGCACTTCTTACACTCCCCCTTTGCACAAGCTCAGAATCAGGTGAAGATGTGATGCGGCCTGGTGGGGGGCTAGAAGCTATGCTGTTGGACGGAGGAGGAGCAGAGCGAGTTCGAAAAGCACTTGATTGCTCCGAGGGCGTAGCTGCGGGGCTCTGTTCTGCAGGGGACTGTTGCGAGTTTCTTCTAAGAGCCATTGGTTTAGGTGCAATAAGTGGAGGTGGTTGCCTGGAGCGTGAGGACCTCTCGGAATCTGAGGCAGCTGACCATAAATTTTGGGTCGGTGACTTGACAGATGGAGAACTGCGGGGAATCATGACTTCAGCCGGCGCTATTGTGGTTGGTCTGTCGACTGAGGGGGGATTTTGGACGACATTCGAGCCCACTGGTTCAGATTGAGTATGTTTTTCCTCGTCTTCTACATGCGTTTGAGATACGATCGCCGGTTCACGCCCTTTGCGGGGCTTCCGGACACGATCTTTGGTAAGCTAGATCTTCGAGTGAGACATCATTTCATTTGTTTAATAGACAGTGCTTACATGGGTGAGCTTCTTGGAATTAGACACATCTGTCTGATGGCCACCAGCTATCGCTGGGGTCTCGTCGTCGTTGGGTTTATCCAGGTCGTCGAAGTGAACACTCCTGCGTCGAGTGACTTCTCTTAGTAAGGATGTAGACGACGAAGGTTTCTTCATGGCACTTGAAGTTGCAGAATCAGCTGCGAGTCCAGGCAGCCGCCGGGGAACCGCGCCAGGATTAGCGACAATGCTATCTTGAGATCCAACTGGTGGTCTGACTAGCTTGCTTGGAGGGCCAGCCCCACCAATACCAGGGAGCTTTACCGGAGTCTTGTCGAACTCCTTTGTCCGCTCCTTTACAGATTTGATACTCAAGGGAGTATTGATCGATGGAACGGGTTCGTGAGCTCGAACTACAGGATTAGCCGGCAGTGAACGGGCGAACTCTCGTTTCGGTATATCTTCACGTCTCTCGGGAATTGCACCCGATGCTCCTCCTTCGCCAGGCCAGCGTTGTAGAACCTTGTTCTTTTCTCCAGACACACGCACGGGTTTAGGGGTTTCTTCAATAGTTGTAGACAGTTTAGCAGATGCCTTGACCTGTCTCTCCACAAAACCTCGGCCTTGGAGTCTTGTAATACTCGGCCGCTCTTCCTTTGGTGGTGGGGGTTTCAGGAATGCAGGAGATGGGTTCGTAGCAGGAATAAACTGCTGAACCGGTGGAGTCGCTGGCTGTGATAGTGGCCTTGCAAGCATGTTCATACGGGGCTGCGAGTTGGAAGGCGGAGAACTGGACACACTAGATGATTTGGTGGGTGTCGTATTAACCGCGGCAGTCCATCTCGCAGTCACTGGATTAGCTGGAGGGCTTGAGACGGGACTAAGTGTTTTCACTGGCGTAGAGGATCGTGCCGCTTGTTCCGAAGCTTTGGGCGATATATAGCCAGCTGAGATGGAGGAGCTCAACATACTCGTCCTCGATGGCTCTTCAGCTTCTGCTTGGGGAGATGAAGATGGCTGGATTGACGCGGAGCGGGGTTGTGTTGACAACGATGATACGCTGGGTACACCTGGTTGTTTGATGTCTTTCGGAGCCTCCGAGGATTTGGGTGAATCCTTTGCTAATCCAGGAAGGGCAAATGGAGGCGCAACTCGTTGGAGTAAAGGAGCAGAAGATGCGTTTCGCTTTCTCTCTTCATACTCTCGCACAAACTCCTCTGTATCTGCCTGAGGCGCGTGGCGGTTCAGCCGTGGTCCTGTGGCCCGTCCACCCATGAATTCGGCCAGAGACACAGCCTTTGCACCTGTTGGTGCAGTTCCGCTTGATGAGCTCGCAGGTTCCCTTGATTCTCGCTCTCGTTCAGCAACATCGGTCTCTCCCGTGAGACGCCGCAACGCGCTTTGGCGATCCGTATCGCGATGTGAATCATCTAGAGCCGTTGAGAGTTGACTAACCGAAGCTAGGGTATAAAATTGATGAGCATACAGCCAGAACAGCCAAATTTGTCCGGCCCACCTGGATCGATCCTCGTCGGGGTGGCCAATGTACTCCTCCGCTTCGCCCGCTCCATCCTAGAGCGGGCAATTTCGGCTTCCAAACGCTGTTGCTCCTGCAGACCGTCCTCATCGACTTGCTTTTGGAGGTTTTGTATCCTTTGGCTCCATTCCTCGGGCGAACCAGAGCCAAACGTGTTGTCCATCGTGCGTCGTTTGTACTCAGAAGTCGAGGACATCGCGTCTTAGTCACGGATCAAAGACGAAGTCAAAGAGGTCACAACCAAAATGCCACTTGCGCACACAGCCACCAGCTGGAGTAGTCAAGCATGAGACCAGACATGGTTGCATTCATCCAAGAGACAACAAGATTATGCCAGAAAATACTTTCTAAAGACGTCTAATCAAGCTCGGCCAGGAGCGCACGGCCCAGAATGATAACCCAGAGGATATCCTCTGGTTGGTGGGGATAGGGAAAGTCACCTCCTTCCTCTTCGTTTGCTTCAAGATCGGATATTGCATTGTCTTCCCAGAGATCTAGAGGGCCCGTCCTCTCTTGGTCGCTCGAAGATGCAAGAGGTGCATGGCCAACCCCATACTCGCCGAATGCACGCATAAATGTCCGTGGAAAGTGAGCTCGGATGGATGCAGGGGTGAGATGGTTGATGTTTCGGCGCCGGATATTTTGGTTGTGACTGCTGCCGCGACTGCGGGCGAGTATATCCCGTAACCTCCTAGTGTCATCCCAGTTGAGAGTGAAACGAGATTCCGGCGTCCTTCGCAGATCTGCTAATGCTAATCCGTCCGACGCACTGGTAGCCCTTATAATCGGAGTGTTGGTGTCGGACGAATTGGTCGGCCTTGTGCTTTCAGGAGTCGGATTCGATGTCGGGTTCGAACTCTGTGGAACAGGTGATTGTAGGTGTTGATTGGGCGCGTATCGGAGCTGGTTATCGAATTCAGTCCGTATTCGGCTGATATACTCGCGGTCAATCTGTATTTCCATCGCGTATTGAAGGAAATGACTAACAAACATCAGCATATAAGATATAGATGAGAAACTAAATTGTACTCACAGATAGGACAAAAAGACGTCGAGCTTTGGGCTCGGCTCTTTGCTCGCCAGGCTGTTGAAACGTTCTATTGTTACGTGAAGAACACGAGAAAGAGACTTCCACGCCGGTGGACGATTGAAGAAGAAGCCAAATGCATAGTTCAGAATTGATTGAGCGTATAATTGTGCACCTTTGGAAGACTTCATGACCTGGGAGTCCGCGTCTCCAGCGTGCTTAAGATCTGTCGCACGTTTTGTATGAATATGACTAATCTCCTGGTGGGGTAGTTGTGGCTTTCGCTTCCCGCGAATCGGTACTTGGTATTCCCCGAGCCTTTGTCGTTTATTCGGGGACATGGAGATGTCAACGGACATTGAGTCGTCATTTTTGCGCTTCAAATAGCTGGATAGCGAGTCTGGGCTAGTTTCTGTCTCTGGAGCAGAGCTGGACGGGGGCGAGGGAGGAAGCAACGGAGAAATCGGACGTGACTGGCGAGCAGCTTCAAATATCTAGCCATTTTATCAGATGATAAGACACCAAAGTGTCTGTATACACACTTGTCGGTACTCGTTAATGTCCGCCTGTGTCAACTGTCTGCCAATACATCAAATCTACGAGCTTTGTATACTCATGGAAACTCCTTACCGGCCACTATAAGTCGTAGATGGAGTCGGTGTTGCTCTAGAGCTTTGCATAGCGTGATACAAAGTACGTAGAGGATGGCGGAGGCAGCAACAAGCAACTTGGAAGCGCACCCACATTCGGGGCTCATCAGTGAGCATCAAAAGTGGGCCATATCTCGAAGAGAAAGTTCAAAATAATCGCAACTGGTTCTATAAACAAGACGGATGTCCTCTCGTTATGGATGCTAAGTTTGCCTTTATCTTTGGCGAGCTCAAGAGCCGGTACGCCATCGAAGTTGAGAGTGATCCCTGTTTTAAGCATTAAATCAGTGTCCCAGAAGTCAGGGAGAACGGTGTAAAGGAGCTATATACCTTCGTGGGTTCAAATGGCAACGTCTATTGTCGACCATGCTGAGATCTGCAGGTCCAATCATGGCTCGCTGCACATCCACCAGAAGCTGCTCCCCAGTTCTGGAATGAGGTCAACCAGAGGATCATCTTTCCATTAACGACGCAGTCTAGCAACACCTTTGAACGGCTCGGAGGGATTGCCGCGATCGGTGAGCCCCTACGTCGTTCATGAGCTATGCTCATATAACTCAAGACAAGCTACTGGACTTGGAGTCCGAGGGGACCTTGGAGACAAATCGTAACCTCTATCGATTCCTCAGATATCTCAAGAATGTTCTGCCGACCATTGAAATCCCAGTAAGGATACTTGAAGGTCTATGACACAGTCTAACTCCGTTTAGGTGATGACGGCGGCTGCTTCAACGTTTGGAAAGATTCTCCAAGTTGGCGGGCCATCCTTTGTCACCGGAAGTCTCATCGATGGAGAAGTACAGAGGGCCGTTAGTCTCATGGTTGAAGATAAAACCGAACACGGCCGCTTTGCAGGAGTCGCAATCTTGACAGAGATAGCAACACACGCTAGCCAACAGTTCTACCGACACGTGAGCACCGTCTTGAAAGAGATAATTGTTCCTTTGCGTGATTCAAGGGTACGATCCCGAGGTATTCAGCTCGATTCCCGGTTGACAGCCTCTAGGAGAGCATCCGAAAAAGCGCTTCAACACTCCTATCAAAATGCCTGACCCTCGTCGCAAATCAGGACCGAGCTTCGAGGACGCAGATTCTCACCAACATATTGATGGAGGCTCAAAAAGGAGTGTCGAATCCCTCCTCCGATGTTGTTCAAGGCTCGTTACACATGTATAGGGAACTGTTGATGTCGACCAACGACTTTATGGAAGAGCATTTCGTCGACACCTGCGAAAAAATCTTGGGCTTGCGAATGCACAAGGTACTTCCCTCTACGGGTCTGAGCTTGTCTCATTGACATTTGATAGGATCTTGCAGTAAGAAAGGCAGTTACGGGGCTCCTTCCCGTCTGCGCACGCTACAACTCTATGATTTTCAACGAGCATTTCCTGTACAAAACCATGGCTTGGCTACTATCTCAACTCTCGAAGCCATCGGAGAAGCAATATGGTCAGTTAACCACTGCGTACAACTCATCCATTAAACCTTTTAACAGTTCTCGAAGCAATTGGTCCGATCGCTCTGTCCGTTACGAGTGAGATGAAGCAGTTTATGCCAGATATCATGGTTCAAATCAAAGAGTCGCTCGAACAACGAGGGTAAGGCTCCTCTATGCTCACATACGGTTACTTATGAGACAATAGCAAGAAAGGTTCAGTCTCTGACAAAGCAATTTTCGAATGCATCCGTATGTTAGCCGCGGCAGTTGGCCCCAACTTGACCAAACTACTACACGATCAACTCGACCTCATCTTCGAACACGAATTCAACGAGAATGTTCGGCACTCGCTTGCCGCTTGTGTGGTGTCAATACCGCCCCTATTAAGCTCGATACAAGGTATATATATTAACATGTGATTGCATTGATTCTCAGATACATTTAGATCGACTACTGGACAAGATTTCGGTCATCCTTACTGGGCAAAGTTATAAACCATTGGGAGCACCTCTGCCAACTCTCAGACCGCAAATGTCCTTGAGTCAGATTACCTCCTCTACCATTCAAATATCCGCCAGGAACCCAGAAAGCATACACCTGGCTCTGGATACCCTTGCAACGTTCGATTTTAGTGGTACGCTCGTTGTTGGAGACAAAGCAGTTTCTAAGTCCAATAGGTCACCAGTTGAATGACTTCGTGCGCATCTGTGCTCTACCCTATTTGGAGGACGACATTCCGGAGATACGGCTCAAGGCCGCTATTGCCTGTTGTCAACTGTTCATGAGAGAACCCAGCATGGGCCAAAGGAGCGCCTGTCCCCTCGAAGTAATCAATGAAGTGTTAGAGAAGTTGCTCATGGTATCGATCGCGGATGCTGGTTAGTCTATCCTTCCAAGCCCACAACGAAGCTCAATCTCTGTTAGACTCGGGTATCAGAGGCACAGTCTTATCAAATCTCGACACACGTTTTGACAAGTATTTGTCGCAGCCCGAGCATATCCGCCTCTTGTTTATGGCTATGAACGACGAAGCGTATGAGGTGCGCTTCAAGGCAGTCGCGATAGTAGGGCGTCTTGGATCCTTCAACCCGGCGCACGTAATGCCTTCTCTGAGAAAATCACTCATACAATTGCTCACCGAGCTTGAGTATACCACTGCGCCGTATGTTCGTTTCCCATGCGTCGCGGGAGGCTAAGTTCTCTATAGCGCGGCACGCAATACGACGGCAGAGTTCCTTACCGTTCTCATAAAAGCTACAGAGCGTCTCATAAAACCATACGGACTCTCACTCCTCAGGGTAATTCTCCCAAAAGCAAATGATCCATCGCCCATATTCTCTCGGTATATGATCGAGTGCACCGGTACATTAGCCGTTATATGCGGAGATGAAATATCGCCACACATTCAAGAGATCATGGAAATTATTCTTCGAGTCTTACAGGACCCCCAAGCGCCCTCTCAGAAGAAGGATTCCGCTCTCGTTACCTTGGGGCAAGTCTGCGCCAATACAGCCTATGTGATAGAGCCAATTGTAGAGCATCCAGAACTCTTCGCCATCTTCGCGCGCCTCCTCAAAACAGACACAACTGCAGAGACCAGACGGGAGGTGCTCAGGGTTCTCGGCATTCTCGGTGCCATCGACCCATACGCTCGTAGGAAGGTATGAAGTCAAATTTTCCGTGTTTAGCACTAAACGATAGCAGCGTTTGTCCCAAGACGACGGCTCGAAGGACACCTCAAGTCAGAGAACCGCAACCACGATCAGAATGAGTGGTATGCCCCAGGACGAGTACTTCCAGACTGTCGTCATGTCTGCACTTCTCAATATTCTGAATGACGGCGCTCTATCAACGCAATACCTGGGGGTCGTTGAGGTGATCATGAGCATCTTCAAGGGTCAGGGCCTCAAATGCGTTTCGTTCCTCCCAAAGGTACGGTAACTTCTTACTTGGAAACCGCAGCTGCAGCTGACCGCTCTTCAGATTATCCCAGCCTTCCTCACCGTGACGAAGCTTGCCAATTCGCGGCATCAGGATTACTACCTTCAGCAACTGGCACTACTCGTTGAAATTGTGAAGAATCAAATTCAGGGGTTCGTGAAAGAGATTCTCGACATGTGCAAGGATCTATGGCCGAATCAATTTCTTCACCTTTCCATCGTCGCTGTTATCGAAACGCTATGCAAAGTACTCGATGCCGGGTTCAAACCTCACATCCCTGCGGTGCTTCCACTTATGCTTTCAGTCGCGCCAGGGGCCTCACCGGACAAGCGGCAACTTGCCGAAATCAAGATTTTCAACACGTTTCTAACATTCGGAAGTAACGTGGAAGAATATATGCATCTCCTCCTTCCCGTACTTTTAGAAGCTGTGGAGAGGGCAGATGGAACGCCGATTCTGAAGAAGGCCGCTTTGACTACGATTGCCGGTCTAGCGCGACGTGTCAATCTGTCTGACTATGCATCCCGGATCATTCATCCACTGATACGTGTCCTGCCGTCGGCACCGAACGATGTTCGCGAGGCTATCAGAGATACCATGTGTACGCTCGTGTTCCAGCTCGGTGCTGATTTCGCCGTATTTGTACCCATGGTAAAGAAGGTACGTACTAAAATTCGTTCTTGGACTAGTGCTCAGTAGTTACAGTGCCTACTGAGCAATCGAATTCAATGGCCCAAATATGAGTCGCTCATTGCCAGGCTTCTCAACGGGGAGCGGCTTCCAATTGACCAAGGTTACCTTGAGGCGTATGCTTGAATCCAGTCAAATCATCTGCCTACTGACCACAAATTCAGCTGGGATCATGCAACGCAGGACCCTCCCGCTACGGCGGATGCAAACAAGCTCACAGTCAACCAGCAGCACCTCAAGCAGGCCTGGGATGTCAGTCGAGTGGTTACTCGTGAGGATTGGCAAGAATGGTTTAAGAAGTTTTCAACGGAACTTCTTCGCGAATCACCCTCTCATGCTCTTAGAGCTTGTGTGCAGCTAGTGGAGGCCCATCCACCCCTAGGACTCGATCTTTTCAATGCTGCATTCATATCTTGTTGGACGACCTTGTATGATCAGTACCAGGTATTTTTGTCAAGGCTAATCATCGTCGTATTTGCTTATTGGACATGACAGCTCGACTTGGTTCAATCAATTATCCGAGCTCTCACCGCCAGCAAGCATATGGATCTTACCCTGAATTTGCTAAATCTCATCGAATTCATGGAGCACGAGGGATACATGATGCCAATCGATATTGGTACTCTTGGTCGTGTGGCAGAGCAATCCAATGCCTTTGCGAAGGCAATGCATTACAAGGAGCTGGAATACTTTGAGGGCGTGTCTCCCGAACTCGTCGAAAGTCTCGTCAGCATCAGCACTCGCCTCAATCTACACGACGTTGCTTGGGCAATCCTGAAGACAAACACAGTGGCAGAAGAGCTGAAACTAGACCGCTGGTTCGAGAGATTGGGCAGATGGCAAGAGGCGCTTGAATCCTACGATGAGAAGCTCGAGGACGACCCTCTGTCCCAGGAGACGCAGCTAGGGAGAATGCGATGTTTATATGCATTGGGAGACTGGGAATCTCTCAACATGACCGTCGAAGACAATTGGCCCAACTACTCATTGGATACCCGGAGGGAAATCGCACCTTTGGCCGCTGCTGCCTGCTTCAATCTATATCAATGGGACATGATGGAAGAACAAGTCAGTCTAATGCCATCAGATGGTCCAGATCGGTTCTTTTACAGAGCAGTCCTTGCGGTACACCGGAACCAGTTCCAGAAGGCGCACTCCGCTATTGCCAAAGCAAGGGATATTCTGCAAAGTGACCTTGCAGGCCTTGAAGACTATACCCGTATTTACAAGTGAGTCCTTCAACTGCTCTGTACAGCACTATTGACCTCTTGTACAGTTCTATGATTCGGGTCCAGTTGCTATCGGAGCTCGAGGAGATCATCCACTACAAGGTAAACGGAGACCAACCCGAGCGTTTGAGCATACTACGCAAGACATGGAGCAAACGGTTATGGATTCACTTCATGCTTGGGTATCGCTAATTCCAATCTAGACTTCAAGGATGTCAACGCGACATTGATGTGTGGCAACGGATTCTGCAACTAAGAGGATTAGTTCTCGATCCTGAAGACGACGTAGAATCCTGGATCCGGCTGGCAAATCTCTGCCGTAAATCTGGGCGGATGGAATTGGCCAACAAAGCGCTTCGCTCATTGATGGAGGGACTTCCGATGGCCTCCGACAAGGTTCGGTAGTGTTTTACTGATCAAACGTCGCTCACTTGACTTTCTAGGCGCCGCCTGCAGTGGTTTACTCGACACTCAAGGTGAACTGGGCGAAGGGACTGAAGCAAGACTCTTTGGACTTCCTCAAGAGATTTTGCTCGTCACTGGCCAGTGATATCAGCAGTAACGAAAGCGTGAAGCCTCCTGATCTGGAGAAAAGTCGGAGGTTGGTCGCAAGAAGCTATCTCAAGCAAGGGGAATGGCAATCTGAACTTACTTCGTCATGGACGCCAGAGGTCATCAAAGAAATCATTGACTCGTACCAAATGGCTACAGAATTTGCTCCCAACTGGTCAAAGGCATGGCATTCGTGGGCTTTATGCAACTTTGAGGCGATCAACCACCTCGAGGAGCGAGATGACGCTTTCACGGAGCATCGGGACCAACTTCTTCTCCAGTACATTCTAGCGGCTATCAAAGGTGAGACCAAGCTCCTTTCGCTGACCTCAACTCTCTGATTCCGCACAAAGGCTTCTTCCGTTCGGTAGCTCTGCGGAGTGATAACCCCTTACAGGATTCGCTTCGAATTCTTACGCTTTGGTTTAAATTTGCGGCTGAAGAGCGTGTGACACTCGCCGTCAGCGAAGGTGCCTCAATGGTTTCCGTTGATACATGGCTAGAGGTGGTGCCGCAGGTGCGTTTAGTAACATATAGCATCAAATCGTCTTATTTTGCTCCTAGTTAATAGCGCGCATTCAAACACCAGTTGCGGGCGTCAGAGTCATGGTCAATACCCTCCTGACTGATGTTGGGCGGGCTCACCCACAAGCTCTGATCTATCCCTTGACCGTTGCTTCGAAATCCGCTAGTCATATACGGAAGGATGCTGCAGTTTTGGTCATGAACCGTCTTCGAGACCATAGTCCCAAACTCGTTGAACAGGTCTTGTATCTTGATATTCCTTTCCATTTCACTGACCTGCCTATTAGTCGCTTACCGTTAGTCACGAGCTCATTCGGGTAGCCATGCTGTGGCATGAACTTTGGCACGAATATTTGGAGGAAGCCTCTCGCCTCTACTTTACAGAGAAGAATGCAGACGCCATGATAGACCATCTCGAGATTTTGTACAAATTGATGGATCAAGTGAGTGGAGACGTCTTTCAGAGCTGTCGTCTCATACTCTTCAGGGTCCACAAACAAGTCGAGAGACCGCTTTCCTTCAGGTTTATGGCCGTGATCTTCGAGAAGCGCGAGATTTCTGCATGCGATATCGTCGTTATCGAGATAATGGCGAAATGGACAAAGCCTGGGAGGTCTACTATGGAGTATGAAATTTCTCTACTACATGTCGTCATTCTTATCATCTATAGGTGTTCAGGAAAATTGAGCGACAACTACCTCAGCTCACAACGCTGGAGCTCCAATACGTTTCGCCCGGTCTGTTGAGTGCTCATGATCTCGAGTTGGCCGTTCCTGGTGCGGTATTAAGTCAAGGAGCTGGATTAAAGTGACCGTGCTACAGGTACATACCGAGCTGGAAGACCGACGATCCGTATCTCGAAATTTTCGAGCACACTCGCGGTTATTTCGTCGAAGCAGCGCCCACGTAGGTTGTCGATTATCGGTAGTGACGGCATCGAGTACCAGTTTCTTCTCAAAGGTGAGATCTCTCAAGATAATCTTGCAATCGTTGACCAGGCATAGGGCACGAAGACCTCCGACAGGACGAGAGGGTGATGCAACTCTTTGGCCTTGTCAATACACTTCTTGCTGTCGACAGTGACAGCTTTATGCGCAACCTTCATATCCAGCGATACGCCGTCATCCCCCTCGCCGCAAATGTCGGGCTCATCCAATGGGTAGTTCAAAGCGATACACTACATATTCTCATCAAGGACTATCGAGACACTCAGAAGGTCTTGCTCAACTATGAATACCGGCTGATGCTCCAGGTAAGCTCGAGATAAAACCATTCAATCTCATCTAACACCAAGTAGATGGCACCAGACTACCCCAGCTTGACTGTGCTCCAAAAGGTCGAAGTATTCCGCTATGCTCTGGATAATACCACGGGTCTGGACCTTTACAAAGTTCTATGGCTGAAGAGTGCAAACTCTGCGGCTTGGCTGGAGCGTCGATCCACATTCACAAGATCCCTTGCGGTCAACAGCATGGTTGGGCATATCTTGGGTCTAGGAGACCGGCATCCTTCCAACATTATGATCGAACGGAACAGCGGACAAGTTATTCATATCGACTTCGGTGATTGTTTCGAGGTTGCGATGCACAGAGACAAGTTCCCAGAAAGAATTCCGTTCCGTTTGACCAGAATGTTAACAAATGCGATGGAGGTGAGCCAAATAGCCATATCCGACTTGTGGTCATTAACTTGATTGTAGGTGAGCGGGATCGAAGGCAACTTTAGGACTACGGCACAGATCACTATGCGGGTTTTGCGAGATAACAAAGACTCGCTGATGGCAGTCTTGGAAGCATTTGTATATGATCCGTTGATAAGCTGGCGATTGACTGCTGGGCAAGACGGTCACGGCGGTCAGTAAATTGCTAATACGCAATGTGTGGACTCAATACCAGCAGAGCAAGATGTCAAGGTCGACCAGAGCAAACTCGCGCAGTTTGCAGGTGGTCCTCACCGGAAGCTCAAGGCGGATGAGAATGACATCTTTGGTGAGGTTCCATAAACCACTTTTACATTCCTAACATGTCCATAGAAGCTGATGGTGAGCTCAAGATGGAAGGTCGCAATGACCGTGCTTTGGCAGTGTACAGTCGAGTTCAAAAGAAGCTGACCGGTCAGTGTACACGCGCGCCTTCCGTATACCACTCACTGTTTCACAGGTCGCGACTTTGATCCCGATGTCGAACTGAGCGTCGAAACCCAAGTCGAAAAGTTAATTCAGCAAGCGACAGCCGTTGAGAATCTATGTCAATGTTTCTTGGGTGAGTACAAATGTTCACCCGTGCGTTTTGGTGTATTCATGAACCCGCAGGATGGTGTGCATTTTGGTAGCTCCGAAGAATGGCGAGTGGGGCCGCACCTCTTTCTCTGACGACGATGTTGTATTTCCTCTCATCACTTGTACTATCACTCTGTCTCTTCACTGAGCCTCTTTCTGCCTTGATTATCCCAATTAGTGTGTAAGTAGCCAAATAGGCGGTTCGAAAATTCTGATCATGACGTAACTGCAGTGGCTTGGTATCCCCGTACGCAGTTTAAGCCTCTTAGAGATAATTCTGAACTGATATCCATCAGATCTTGTAATGCAGTACTGGAGGGTGTCATCATCAACCCAACGGCGAGTGACTGCCTCAACCTCCCAACGCTCGTAGCCGGACTGGCGGAAACCTCAGCCAACCGTATGTATTGTAATCGGTTATACGATCTTCTTATTGGATGGTTACAGAATCTTGGATTCCGACAATCAACACTTGGCTCACGGGACTCTGTGGGCGGCCAGCATGCAGCAAAGAAACGACTCAGCAGATTGTCTCAAACCTAACTTCTGGCTGCCAACAAGAGATGCAAATGTTCAATATGACTGAACTTGATATTGCCAGTGTAACGACCGATATGACCACTTCGTCGGGCCTGGAGCGTGGATTCATTTGCTTGGCAGAGTAAGCGTTATTTCTCCTAAGCGATCACAGATCTCTCACCAAGGCTGTAGTAATGCTCAGAACGCGACTTGGTGTCTGACAGACACACTGAGGAGGCTTGAGCGCTCCATGGGCTCTCCATTGAACCCACAATCTCTACTTTCGGTGATTCCACTTCTTGCTACCGGTGGTTTGGGTGGCGTGGCCTCCAATGTGACATGCACCGACTGCAACCGTGCGACATACGCACTCGCAAGGGCGTATTCGCCCTCAGTTGCCAATAATACAGAGCTATACGATGATCTCGTTCATCAATGTGGAGAGGCCTTCATGGGTATGTGCACCATTCTCGCTAAGTGTGCGTACTGAGCTACCGCAGATAAGCCATACCCGTATAATATTGTGGACAACTCGTTTGAGGCTACTGCATCTTTTACTGTTGGCACTGCGACAGCGACTGTGACTGCGGCGAATGGTGCCTCTGTGCCAAACGGAGCGAGCTCTGACAGAATCGTGAACAAGCATTATATAATTGCTCTCGGAATAATGTTTTTGTATTTCTTGTAATTCTTGGCCAATAAATGAATGTCGAATGGAGCGTGAGGCTGGTCTTGCAAACAGTTGACCAAATACCAACGGAGACTTCGACCCGTGCAGCGACTTGGATTTCGCATCTATACTGAAAAATGTCGACGACAGTTATTCTTCCAAAGGATGTCCCACGTGTGACTGAGACTCAGGGCGTCAAGCTTTTTGGAAAGTGGGATGCCGAGTATGTTTTGCGAGCAAGATACAAGAGGAATGCAAGCTGACGGTATCTTCTCTCATTACACGACTTATTATACAGCGTTGAGGTCAAGGACATCTCGCTACAAGACTACATCCAAGTTCGCCATCCTGTCTTCCTCCCTCACACCGCTGGTCGTTATGCGAAGAAGCAATTCAAGAAGGCACAAATGCCCATTGTTGAACGCCTGGTCGACAGGTATGAGCGATTGAACATTGTTGCCACTTTGATTCTGATGGTATTACCCTCCCCAGCTTGATGATGAAGGGTCGCAATAACGGCAAGAAACTCATGACTGTTCGCATCGTTGCGCACGCTTTCGAAATCATCCACCTCCTCACCGATCAAAATCCCGTTCAGGTCCGTACCCATCTCTCAAAAAGCTTTCGTACATGTCCTGAGATGTGATAAAGGTCCTTGTCGATGCCGTCGTCAACACTGGTCCTCGTGAAGACTCGACGCGAATTGGTTCGCAGGGTACCGTCCGACGACAGGCCGTCGATGTATCGCCACTCCGCAGGGTGAACCAGTCGATCGCCCTGCTCACTATTGGAGTATGTCCTTTTATTCCGTTTTGGTATCTATTTGTGAGACTGATATCCCCCTCCCTAACAGACGCGCGAATCTGCTTTCCGCAACGTCAAGTCCATTGCCGAATGTCTTGCCGACGAGTTGATCAATGCCGCAAAGGGTTCATCCAACTCGTATGCGATCAAGGTATGGATATAAATGCTGTATACCCTCAGGTTCACTCATTTGTCGACAGAAAAAGGACGAACTCGAGCGTGTCGCCAAGTCCAACCGATAAAGGGTTACTTGGGCTATCGTCATATGCATCGTGTCCCATATGCATTGTTTAGGAATAGATACAATATTCCGCCACCCTGCGTGCTTGTCAGAGAGATACATATCAAGTTTACGAGCAATCCCATCTTGACCATCGACTTGAGTTTCTTGTACGTATGCCCGAACGAGTACTGAACTCGAGAGAGAGCCGTTCGCCGGCGTAGTGCACGACTCTCTGCAAGCGCTTTCGACATCCACGTGCCCATCAAGCACACCATCACATCGTCCTGCTAATTGTGGTGACCTCTTCAACTCTTGCTATTGGCCATACTTCTGTGGACAATCCTTGGGGCGAGTATGATTGCCGTGGTGGAGCTCTCTTCTCCAAAGGAGAACCTGAACCAGCTTTCGGCGAGAGAAATCGGATCCGACTCTAAGGGTGCAAGCTCCACTTCCCCAAAGATAACTGGCTGCTAATAGCGTGCATTCAATTCTGAATATCGACAAGATAAAGGACTCATAACGTTAAGTGCAGTCTACACCCGTCCCGTCATAGAGGTTATGAGGACGGATACGCGGAGGATGGAAGGAGGGCCTTTTGGTCAAGGGACACTTCGCAGATAGTTTGAATCTGCGAGAAACCCCTTTGAAGACGTTCGACTTCGCTGCGCGACACGTCCAGCAACGAGTTGCACCGCTCGATCGCCTTGCGCTGTTCGAGGGTGTGCGCACCCGATTGCTGGAGCTGGCGCATGAGCTTATCCACCTTGGCTTCGGCATCTCGGCGAGCGGCGCGTGCCTCTGCCAGTTCGTCCTCGTACCGCTGGCAGAGCAGCTTCATCCGCTCAAGCTCAAGTTCTTGCTCGCGTATTCTTCTTTTTGCTTCGTGTAGGTCTGTCTGGAGGTTACCGTAGATGTCGGCAAAATAGCTCTGCAAAGGCGTGGGCTCAAACGACTGAGCATCTAACCCATCCGCTTTGGCTTCTGAGCTCAAAAAACGACCACCTGAAGCGATTTTAGCGGTGAAAGACAATATTACGCTGAGTATACTCGTGATATGATGACGAAAGTCAAATTTGGGATCGATCCTGTATTGATTAGCTGACTTTTCACTTATTCCGTTTGGGTGGACTATTGTAGGCTTAGAAATAATCTTCAACAGGAACGTTCCAAGCACCTGATGTGGGAATCCAACTCTCACGAAGGTCGGATAACTGGCTGATCATCTCTTGCGCAGTCTGGGAGTGCGATGCTGTGTCCGCGGTCCATTTGAACTTTATCTCCGACGAATAGATCACTTACCTGACGAGGGAGGAAGACGTGGTGGTGATGGAATGCGCGCGAATGATTGTTCTGAAGCACTCGCGCTCAGCAAGGCGGAGACTGCTGATGCCGTCGCGACATTGCCCAGAGGGAACCTCACCGCTTCACCTAAAATTGGGATGGTGATTGTTGGTTTGGCCATGCTGTCGGACGCGCTTATTTCTCCCTCCTCGAGAGCCTGGCCAAGATCGTTTCGAGGCCTGTCCACTTCTGATGCTGCCTGATTGGAATTGGAAGTCGATGGACCATGTATGTCACGCGTTGGTGAGCTTGCCACTGCTCGACCGGACCGAAGCTCGTATGGCGCGTAGCGATTGCTGGCCTCGACCAGCTGCTTGAATCTGTTCAGGTGCTGAGGGTCGTGTCTTGCTGCGGACGCGACGACTCCCCGCATGACTGGGAGGTTCCTCGCCGCTTCAACTTCGTGCAGAGACGCAAATTCGCAGTAGTAGTGGCGGTTTTTCTTCGTGTTCCATGGATAGACATTCACACTGAGAAGGATTAGTCCCTTTCCGGTGTCCGTTGAGGCGACGAACACGTTCCCAACGTTAGCATAAGCGCGACGAATAAACGATTGCGAGAGGACGTCAAAGTCGAGCGAAGTACACAAGTCCATAACACATTCAATCCTCCTTTCCCAGTCCTCTCTCGCTTTCGACGCCATAGCGATCAAGGTAAGGGTCAAGGGCCGGAGCGCGGCGAGGTGTGAAAGTCTGAAACTCGATTACAAACTCGATAAAAACGAAAAGGCCATGCTGGGCGATGAAAGAAAGTGTTCAGCATTATATTATCATTTCAGGATGGAAATGTGTACGCGCGAGGGGCGAATGGACAAGGGACGAAAAGAGGCGTTTCGACATGACGCGCCGCAGCCAGCAGGAGTCTGTAAGCAACGAGGTATGCAAGATGGATAATCTGGCGACATCACCGAACCTCCAGCGAGCTCTCCCGTCTTCTCCGCGAGCACTGATGGCGATTAGACCGCTCTTCTGGGCCTGCGCAAGCTGTGATATCCCATGACTTGCTCTGGTCGAAGGATATGATCACCGATTACCGTCGATGTGGCTGCGAGGACTGAATAATGACCCTGCTTGGCCAGCAGACGCTTGGAGGCTCATTGGCTCTACCGCCCCGGACTGGTCCCGCGTCCGCGCTGGCCCGCGAAGATTGGATATTGGTCGTTTGTTGGTCGACCGAGATTCTCCGTCTATCTGCCCGGGGTATGATATGCCCCATTGGGCGTGCAGTGCTGCAATCATCTCGTTTTAGGCTCGTCGCCCGGATAATCGACCAAGCAAACGGGACACACGTCATCCTCCTCGCTGAATTCTGTGCTGTTTGTGGGCCGTGGCTTCCATCCTGCCTCCCACGTGTACCCGGCATTCAATCCCTCACTTTCGATTATAAAAGTCGTGGTAGCCAGCCTTGTTCGACCACCAACAATCGGTTCTCCCCTCTCTCCCTCAAAGTATCAGTCTCACGTAGCCTTCAGCTACTCGTACGCTCTCAGAAACACTCGCCGTTTGGCAGTTAGCGACCACCCCCTAGTCCACCATGTGCCGACAAATGACGTGCGTAACTTTGAAAAGACGAAAGCAACCCCTCTGACATTTTGGGCTACGTATAGCGAAGGTGTCACTCATCCGCTCTGCGGACACTGGCAGACGACCAAGATTCTTGCCATTCTCGACTGCGCTCAACGCAATTGCCGGCTATCGACAGCGCATCCACGACACTGCCATCCGTGCCGGTGTGAACGAGTGAGTTGACACGCTTCTACCGTGTTATCGTCGTTGTATCTAACATTGCCTTCTTAGTATTATGGACCCGATGACGAAAGAGCGCGCGGAAAAGCACCCGGCTTCTGTCCTGATTGCATCAGACAGAGCGAAATGAACGCACGCATCCGACAGTAGGACCCGTCTCGCGCGGCCGTACCAGTCCATATCACGCATGATCCTGCCATTCTCGTACCTTTGCACGTATACCACACTGTATTGTATGTACTACACCTGCAACACTACACCTTTGTGCCTATTTCTTTGGTGGGATGCACAGAGCGAGCGAGCTAGATGTGATCGAAGTCCACCGAATGTTCGACAAAGCACGGCCCAGACCCAAAGCTGCCACTGAGCAACCATGTCGTCCTCTATCATTCACCGGAAGAGTGGCCAGCGCCTCGCGTTTGGATAGAGTTGACCACGACATGGCCGCATCTCGCTGTAATGGAGACCCCTATGATGCAACTGGACGCCCGACGGGATCTACCGAAACTCTTTGTCATTTTCGACATTACAGACAGCCAACTTAGGGGTCTCAGAGGATGGAGAGCGCTCGAGGGGGGAAACTGCCGTGCTGCATTCTCCGGGCCTCATGTCTGCGGCGCTACATGATTCCCAAGATGATTGGATATCATCCCTGGTAGACAGTCGCTCCAGGCTGCCAAACTGAGCGTTGGGAGTAAGATCTGATACGATGGGACCTTGCCTTGGACGGCGCGAGGAGGAGCTCCGCATGAACCTGTCAGAATAAGTCCGTTATCATTTTCCGACAAATATTTCTTCACGATCACTCAAGGGCGGCGTATGTGGTGACCCTGAAGATGGCTTCCACCAAAGCCCAGTTGAAGCTTGCCAGAGATCTGATCGGCAAAAAGGACTACAGGGGTGCCCATGATGCTGCAAAGCAAGTCCTGAACTACGATCCTTCGAATTACAACGGGTAATTGCTGCCGGATCCCAAAGTTCGAAACCTCTGCTAACCAGACCATCAGTCTGGTGTTCCTGGGTCTAGCCAGCCTTGAACTGGGCGATCTCAAGGCCAGTGAAGACGTGCGTCTCTTTTTTGTTCTCCTCCCTGGCCCGTACTTGTGTTCTGACTTGCGGACTAGGCGTATCAAGCTGCCATTCGCCAGAATGAAGTCCAGCCTCTTGCCTGGCAAGTTCGTCTTGCGTCCCCAAAGTCGCGTAATCATAAGCGAACTATGTGATACATAACAGGGCATCGCCAAGTTATACGAACGCCGGCAGCAATGGGACGAATTTGTACAAACGCAGCGCAAGCTTGCCAACCTCTTTTCGACGGCGTGAGTCTCTGCCTCTTGACGTCATGGATGAAGAAGAAAGTCTGATTGTCCTCTAGAGGCGATGCCGTCAAGTGCGCCGAGGCCGTGAGCAGGCTCATCGATGCCCGCAGGCAGCATGCCTCTCGTCGCGATGTATGGACTCCTCTAGGCCCAGCAGTCCGGCTTCTGATGACGAATATCTATAGCTTGTCGAGGCATTGTCGCTCCTGCTCGAAGGGTCCCCTTATTACGCGGTGCTCTCCGGCCTACCGGAACCAGATGCATCATCACCGACCGCCAGCACGGTATTCGACATTCAAGTCGCCATTCATAATAATTTGCCGGTACTGGAAGAAATTATCTTGCTCACCGAGCAGTCGGAAGAGGAGACGATTGCCCAAGAGATCCAGAAGCGAAGAACACGCCTAGACGCCCCCCCTCTTGCAATCCTGAGAGAATTGGTAAAGCGCGAAATATGGTCGTCGTCAAAGGTAATGAGAGCTTGCTAATGCACCTGTTCTTACCGGGGCTTAGCTCGAACGTCTCTACGAGGACGTCCTGAATCACCCGCGGACGAGCGACACATTGCGAAGGACAACAGAGGCATCCCTCCTCAACCGCAAGCGGGAGCGACTTTGGTCCTTGGAGTTAAATGATCCAACAAAGCAGCAACTGTACAAAGAGGTCGCCGATATGGTCGCTGGCATGGTGCTCATCAAGATCCCAAACGAGCTCGCCTGGTCACTGTATTTCGACATGACAGACGTAGCGGACCTGCGTGCGTTTCACTGTTAGCTCACTGCAATCCCTAAGCAGCCACAGATCAGTACAAACTTGAAGATATTCGTGCTCTGCTGTCCATTCTCCCCCAGTCGCCGCTTGCCCAGCTATGGAAGGCGTGGATGCGGTCCGAAAACATACCAGAGTCGGAAGACGAAGAAGATGCACCAGAGCAGGACAACACAGATCCCTTAGACGTTGTAATCGTGTGTATTCTCGTGGTCTCCGGAAGTCTCTCACGTATACCATTCAGGATCTGTGGCAGAAGCTACCAAACTCGATACTACTCCAGCGCGTCACCGCCCAGTTTCATTGGCGCTCAAAAGACTACCAAAACGCTATCAGTACGAGCGAGACTGCCCTTCGTACATTAGGTGAACTAGAGAAGGGTCTAGGAGTTTCACTCAAATAGTAAGAGGCCCCGAGTCGAATTCTCCAAGTTGCTTACAGTCTTTGAGCACGGCAAGGGCAATCAATGTCATACTCGCTTGTTCACTCGTTCATTACTATCCACCCAAGTATCACACAAAAGCGCTTCGGCTCCTGGACGGCCTTCTGGACGACGATCCTCCCAGCCAGATTGTTTGACTGCTAGGGGTTACATCCATGAGCAAGCCTCTAGATGGGAAGAAGCGAAACAAGACTTTGACGGCGTCATGCGTGTAGTGGATAATTCCAGTTCGGCCTGGATTGAAGCCGCAGAAGAAAGTGCCTGGTGTCAAATACAGGCAGGTGACAAAGAAAAGGAGGAAGTCACTGGAGGAAGTCATCGACATTCTAGACTCGGCAAATGACAATGAAACGGCGCAAGCTCGAGCCTGGTGGAGACTTGGGAGAACAGTATGGGATGCCAACTCCCCGTCATCACTTCAAGAGGCCTACAAGCTTTGGATTACAGCTCTCAAACGCTCATCTACATTTGCCCCGGCATACACATCCCTCGGCATCTACTATGCTGACTTTGCTGATCCAAAGGACGCGATGCGAGCTTCCAAATGCTTTCAAAAAGCCTTTGAACTGGACGCACGGGAAGCAGAGGCTGCAAGGCGGCTTGCAGAAGGATTCGTTGAGGAGCAGGAATGGGAACTGGCAGAGATTGTGGCCCGCCGTACCATCGAAGGCGAGGGCGCGTTCGAGGGTGATCAGAGTACAAATGTTCAATCTCGTCACCTCACAACAAATACTTGGGCCTGGAAAGTTGCAGGACTCGTTGCGTTGGTAAGTGTTTCCCCTTCAGTCGTTTGATCAGCCATTCACACTCATCTAGAATAAGCAAGACTACCCAGAAGCGATCAAAGCATTCCAAGTGTCACTGCGCGCTATTTCAGAAGATTCGGTCACCTGGCTTCGTTTAGGAGAAGCATACGCAGCGGCTGGTCGACATACTGCTGGGCTGCGAGCCTTGAACCGAGCAAGGCAACAAGCTCCCGACGACTTTGTTTGCCAATTCCAGATCGCTGAAGTCACTCGTGAACTTGGAGACTACCAGGCATCCATCGAAATGCTCGGCGAGATCATCAAATCTCGACCAAACGACCTAGTCGCCCATGCGGCCCGTTGCACAACGCGGTTGGCGTTGGCGCGTTCAGAACAAGAAAAGGGCTTTCTCGAGCGTGCGTACCGGTCATGCGTCGAGACGCTGGAGGAGGCATTGGTCGCACTCGAACTTGAAGGGCCTTCGATGCGAGTCTTGTGGAAGGTCATCTCAGACGTCACGTTCGAGCTTGCGCGAAGACCTATCGACAATGTCGACTTCGCCAAGGAAGCCATCAATATACTAACGAAATTGCTTGTTCAAATATCTGAGCATACTCAAGATCTCGACAGTCGACTTGTGCCGATAATCCAACTCGAAGATCACATCCGAGATCTCCAAGATAGTTTGGAGGATGTTCAAGTGGACTTGATTGCTGCGAAGGCAGCAATCGCGTCGTCGAGCTATTGTATCCACCTCGCTGGGAACGACGACGCAGTCTTGAGCTCCGCGTACTACGATCTGTCTGCTCACCTATACGAATTTTGGGCAAAGTATGGCAAGCAACTCGACTCTGACAGTGTTCACACTTCTGCAACACTGGCAGAGGAATACATCAAACGGGCCATCCGACTGCGTTCCAATGAGCCACTATATTGGACAACTCTGGGTATACTTTCTGTAGAAAGGAATCCCAAACTGTCGCAGCACGCATTCATTACTGCGATTCAATGTGAACCCAAGGTGTGTATGTTTCTTCGGTCAAGGATGTTCGTTTACCTTTTATAGGATCCTGCCCTTTGGTGTAACCTTGGGATGCTCTACATAAGGAGCCTGGACTCTCAACTAGCACAGGAGGCGTTCCACCGTGCGCAGGTGCTAGATCCCGACTATGCGATGGCGTGGGTTGGACAGGCAATTGTCGCTGGTAGGAATAAGAACCTATCTCATTGTGTTGCCCTTCTAGAGCATGCAGTGTCTCTATCCGCAGATATGGTGAGTGTGCTGTCGTGATGTTCTGTTTGCTTCTCATGCTGCCTTAGCCAATCCCGAATCTCGAGTTCGCATACAGAACGTTTAATTCCCTCGAATCGACTTCAAGTGGAGAGATTTCACAATCGGGCACCGTTGTATCCGCCTTTTTCTCGCTCGAGAGATGCCTCCAGCGTCGCCCAAACGATGTCTCTGCCCTCCATCTCGCCGCCCTCATATCTGAACGGTTAAATCTTATGTCGCGAGCGGCCCAGTTTGCGAGGAGATGTGCCACACTTTTGGAAGCTGCGTATGAACGGTCAGAAGATCCTGAGACAGCTCGCCAATACGCAATCACCCAGTCGACGTTGGGTCGGATCCTTCTTGCAGAGAATGATTATACGGCATCTGCGAGTTGCTTTGAGACCGTTCTGAGCCTCGTGGATGCCGTCATCGAGGAAGGGTCAGAAGAGGAGGCCAGCCGTCGGCTCCGGGCAAACGCACACCTTGGATTGGGACTGGCGAACCTGTTATCCGGAGAGGTCGAAACGGCAATATCCAATTTTGAAACCGGTCTAGAGGAAGCTCCTGTTGAGATGAAGGCAGTTCGGACGCAGTTGACCATACTATTGGCTCAGACCATGTGGATGGTTGGATCAGAGGAGGCTCGGGATATGGCGAAGAGTCTATTGCTCGACTGGTGCGTACATTGTCCGCCGAGTCTCCGGCCTCTCAGACGGAATTACTCACAACCGGGAACCAGTGTCTCGGCTGACTCTAAAAACTTGCAAGCAATGGTAGTATTGGGTGCGATAGCGACTCTTCTCAACGATGATACACTACTGGAAGCCGCACTCTCAGAGATCATATCCATGCAGCCCAAAGAGAGAAGAGAGCTTGATCGACTCGGGACTGTCGATACACTGCTCGTGAGGCACCACCTCTTGCAGGTACGTATATGAAAGTCGTCATTATGAGATAAGAGTAGCTGACATCTGCGTCCATGTACAGGGGTCACTCGGAGATGCAGTCGAGATTGCGCGCAAGGCCGTCGAGCTAGACCCCGAGAATGAAGCATCGCGGCTGCAACTTTGTGAGACACTGCTTCGCCAATCGAATTACCCCGCGGCTCTCCAATCGCTCAGGGCCGATAGCGAGAGTTTGTCAACGCTGGCAGCTCAGTTGAGGTTATTGGCCATGGCCAGGATAGAAGCAGAAGCAGAAGATTCCGAGAAAAGTGGAGGTCTCATGCAGCAGGCAACCCATCTTACGCCCTGGGACTCCAAGAACTGGGCGGGTTTGGCATATATACGAAGCAAAGGCATGCAATAGCTTTGGAAAAAAGGGATGGTTACACATCAATGGTCAAGTGGATCTTAAATTCTGTGAATTCGGCGGTGAGTCTTTCGTGGTCATTCTGAGGATTCTCTGGGTCTTTGGTTGGGCGTGCAACGTATAGCCCAATTGCGACCTTTTGGGCCAGCATTTCTTGAGAAAATGCCCACGTAATCTCTCTCACGGCTTTGCGTCCGGTCTGTGTGACGAGGTAGACCCAGAGAGATGGACTGGGTCCTTTAAGGCGTAGTGAGTAAGACGTGGGTGGCAAGCCTGTCTGTGGCGAACCTTTGGAGTCAATTTCTCTCTCAATCTCGATTGTCACGGCGCCCGAATCTATCGGTACAAGACTCCAATCCGACGACGATGACGCTGGGGTGGCCACGGTCGAGAGATTGGGCTTGCCTTCGTAAAATTCGATGCCGGTTTTGATCCATGCACTCGGTGGACCAGCTGGAAGCAATTAACGGCTGTTCTTGCACATAATGAACATGACCTACATTGGCTACCATCACGTGATGGCCACAGAACTATCAAGCCGGCTTGGTCGTAAAGACGAGTCCATGGACCCGTTACAGTGACGCGAGCAGACTTGAAATGCGAGGTTTCAAAACTGGTCGCAAGGTAGGGCATGTTATAGGACTCGACGGGTGGTTTTCGCCACAAGTCTGTTCCCGGTGGAGTATCGAGCAGGATGGGTTTTCGTGGGTCGATTGTAGTTTCCTTTTCTTCCTTGGAGGAGTTCACCAGCGTGAACTTGAGATCTCTGTCGGCCTGCATTACGAGGATGAAGTCGGGCGGGTTCCAAGCTTTGCCGGTGTTCAGCCGCGGGGTCGACGATTACGGGAGCTGCCAAGGACACGCGAGATGAGGACACGTAAGGCGTAATTATCCAAACGATAACTATATATGAACACTAGTATACGTAAACCAAGTATCACCGGGCCGAATCTATTTCTCCGTTTGTGGAGGAGACCAGCTACCGGGGCCAAAGTTCCTCTTCGGCAGAACCTTGTCAACAATGTCCATGATCTCCAGTATTCGTTCGTCTTCCCAATGCCGGCCTACCACCTGAACGCCTGCGATCCGTCAATAATAGCCTTTAACGGCGGAATAGCGGACATACCGACTGGGAGGCCTTTCATCTTGTTCACATCATAAATGCCAGTGACTCCTGGCGCACCATAGACGAGATCGTTGAGAATGAGCGATCCAATGCCATTACTCGTTGCGTGCCAATCGCTAGGGAGGGCGTCCTTTGTGGGATCTACTCTCGTCACGGGAACAATCCCCACAGGCGAGTCAACAACGTTGTAGAAAAACGTGCCGTTTGCAAGAGGCGACAGTCTTGTTGTGCCTCCATGCGGGAGGGCGGGTGCCACCATCCCAGGTGCAATGATGGCATCAAATTGATATCTGTCCCACACCTCTTCGTAAAACTCTCGGATCATTTGGTTCTTCTGAGCATTGTAAGACCAGTATTCGCCAACGTTGGAAGGCTTGGAGCGAGCAAACGTGTCTGCGAAAAGCCTGTCGCCCAGGATGTTTCTCACTACCCACGCAGCAGTGGTGCGGACCCATGAGTAGAGGCTGGGCCCGAGGGTAATGAGAAAGAGGTTCTTCTCAATAGGATCGCTACCACTTGGTGATCGTAGTGTACGGTAGCCGTCCCCTGAAGTCAGAGACACAAAGATTTGAATCGACCTGGGTCCAAATGGTAGGTCAAACTCAACAAGTTCGTGACCAGCCAGTCGAAGCGCATCCACCGTCTCCTGCACTGCTCGTCTATTCGCTGGTGAGGTGCGCACAAATTTGTCTTCAAAGTAGTAGCCAATTTTCAGCTTCTTTGGTACCTGGACATCTCTGAATGGGACGGGTGCGATGCCTTCATAGGTATTCGCGGGGGTGCAGTTGAACAACACCCGGGAAAGGAGTTTAACGTCCGCAACAGTCCGCCCCATTGGCCCTGGTGTCACGGGGATTGCGTCGAAACCAGGGTTAGACGAGCACGCGCCTCGTCGACTGATCCGCCCCGCGCCTGGCTTGAGGGAGTAGACGCCACAGTATAAGGCTGGGATACGCAAGCTCCCTCCTACATCCGAACCGACTCCAAGTGCGGATGCATCGGCTGCAAGCATAGCACCCTCTCCTCCCGAACTCCCTCCACAGGTGTACTGGTCGTTCCAGGGATTGCTTGTCACACCCCATACCGGATTCGAACACTCAAAGTTGAGCATGGTCTGTGGGACATTGGTTTTGCAGATGACGATACCACCTGCACGCCGTACAGCCTCAACGACGGCTGCATCAGAGCGTTTGGGAGAGTTGCACCAGGCGGAGAAGCCGATGCTAGAATCATGGCCTTCGATGTCGTATTGATCCTTGATACTGATTGGAACACCATGGAGAGGACCGACAATCGTGCCGCTCTTCTGAAATTCCTCGTCCAGTGCCTTGGCACGCGTCAATGCGTCTGAGAAGAGGACTGTCATGATGTTAGAATCAACGCATGCATGATGTTGTGTCCATACCTTCTGTAATTGGATTATGCAACCTTTGGACGGTTCCAGCCCTGATGATATATGCCTCCATCACATCGGATGCAGTCCATTGGCCTATCAAGCTGGTAAGTACGACTCTTCGGTTGAAGGATGTGAAAGCACCTGATTCAATGTTCTTCACAATCTCCGACGCCGAAGCACGTGTGTATTGGTCGGTTGAAGAATCCGCACTCGTTGTAGCCAGAGTCGTGAGGGCCTCGTCAACGAGCTCTTGACGAGTTTGTTGCTTGGAGGCCGCGATAGACTTCCAGTTTGGTTGTGAAAAGGGCCACATAGTTGGGGTCGGGTCCAAGAGGTAGCCGGTAGTGCGCTCTGACGCCGTGTTATATGGGCGGAAGGACGTCCCAATGAACCAAGTCACAGGACTGATGGAGTCTAGATAATGGGAGTTCTGCAACGTGCAGTATCATAACGATAGACGCGGGGCACGGCTAATTTGACGCCCGGAAATTAAAAATAGAGACACCAGCGGCCAGTACTTCAGGTTATCTGTTTACACTGCTAGCCCTCCTATCTCGTTCATAGGACATGAATATTAAATCCGAACCAATACAATATAAGCTAGACACGAAATATTGATAATGGTCTATTTGAATGGGTGCGTTGTATCTTAAACTAAACCACAACCTATGCTCGGTTCAGCATGGCTCTGGCTTTTGGAATGAAGAGATCCCGAGACTTGGCTGAGACTACTAGCCACTTTCCTACAACAATTGGAATACCGCAAATCGATCCAAGGAAGCCAGTTCCACTGCGCTAAAGGAACCGCATCAGCATCAGCGTAGAAGAGCAACGGTTCTTATTCACCTTTCCATTTGTGACGACGAGCATCTCCGACGATGGAGTGTACTGCTTCAAACCCGCAGACGCTTCGCCCGCAGTGTTCGATGTGAGGACCGGCAGTTTCAGCAGCGATACGATATTGGCTGCAATGAGAGAGGCGTGTAGGCCGGCTTTCATGAGCGTATGTTGCTCAGCAATGTCGGTGACGTCCCCGCCGCGAACACGCGCGGGTTCGAGTCGAGTTGCAGCGAACCTCGTACTTTGAGATGGCCATTCGCGGATAAAGACTTGGAAATTGTTGGTGCAGAGGACAAGAAATCAGTATTGACACCGGTACGTCCACCTGTAAAGACCTGGAGGAACTGTGAGTATTCTTGGTGGACGAGGTGAGAGAGAGACTTACGATCAACTCAGCAGGCAAAGCTTTACCCTTGGAGGACACGATCTCTCGCCGGGGACCACCCCCTCAGAGCCTTCCATTACGCTCGATGAGAGCCCTTGAATGTCATCGGTAACAAACTGGATTCCGCGCGAAGTCAAGTCGTCGCCAATACTCTGTCGAAACTTTGCTGGATATGCTTTATTGAGAGTGAGCGAATCGCGATGGACAAGCGTGATCTGGGTGTCCGGGTAGTAGTCTCGTATCTCGCCCGCGAGCTCTATGACATTCGTCAGTTATTGCCATACAGTATCAACGAGAGTGATTAACTCACCTGAACCAACAGATCCCGCACCGACAATAAGCACGCTCTTCGCGCTTGCAAAGCGGTCTCGCCAGACATTGAGATGCTCGGAGAGCTGGACGCGTTTGGTGGGCCATCGGAGAAGACCGTTCCAGTTAGATCCAGTCCCTACGACGAGAATATCCCACTCAATTTTGCTCCCGTCATCCAGGACGACCCAACCACCTTCTCCGCGTTCCTTCTCCTCGACATTCACAATCTCGGCAATCCTGAGCACTCCAACGCGACCTTTCCCATTCTTCATATTCTTTCCAAAGAGGCTATCGTACGAAAGTGCGATATCTTGCTCACGAATCCCCTCGTCGGTGACGAGTAGTCGGAGTGTCGCTGGGAGATGGCGGTAGTAGTCCGCCTGGGATATGACTGTGAGTGTATGTTTCGTTGGGTCTAGCTTCTTGTCGAGCTCTTGCGCAAGGCGCACATTGGCACCCCCTGCGCCGACCAGGACGACTGATGTCTTTCGGGACATGTAAAAGGAAGAAATGTGATGGTAAGAGTTTTTGGGCTGCTGTAGCTCTCGAGGACTATTACCAGCTTATATGCCTTTCGACGAGGGTCAATGCGCGTAAGCGTGCTGACGCTCAGGCTCAAATCCATAATAATGCCCTATGCGAAGACGTTACATACAAAACCTCTAATAACAAACTTGCTGACAAGGGCTAATGCAGAGCAACATCGCAAATATCCCCGAGAAGAACGGTTCCGAAAAGGACGGGGCAACCTTGGCCGCTCAACGCGTGGAGACACCGACAATCATTGCATAAGTAAGATGACCATGTTGGCTTTGCTTCGACGAGTCGCATTACGTCTTCGCACGGAGAAGCTATATGATCAACTCCGATTTTCATTATGCGACTAAGGGCCTTTCAGAGGCATCGAGGGGTCACGTTAGTAGAAGTATCATCAGTCTAAAGAACTTGATACAAATAATAATAGTCATTCGGAGCTACAGTCTCTGGTTTTGCATTGTCTGACTCCGGGCTGTCAATTGTCACGGAGAACGATATCTGTTTCATTCAATACTGTAAAGTACAGGTGCATGAATTGCTATTGTCTCTCCACCACGCGGTATCGGATCCGAAACCTCCATCTTAGCCACACCAGTGCGGTCAAATGGAATTTCGTTATAGGAGGTGTCCATATTCTGCACAGTACGCATGACGCATTCATGGTCCAGAACATCTCGCCCTTCATAAGGATGTTCTTTAGGGGTTGCCTGAGAGTGTGAGCTTTCAAACTCCGTTTGCGTTGTGCGAATCGAACACACCTGGACACTAAACTCACCTTTGTGTTCTGTACGGTCAATCGACTCGAGAATCAACGGGTGTAATAGCTCAGAGAGTCGCGAAGGAGAACAGGAGACAAAGGACGTAGCCGAGGGACTGCTTGGAACGCAGAAACGAACGTGGTTCGAGGTGTTTGCATCTCGATTGGCAGCGGCGACAGCGTCTTCGATTGCGGTGTTGGTTACAAGTGGATCTGGGGCACCCAGGAAGCCACTGCGAAGCTGCGACTTGAGAGGCACAGTGGCCACACGATGATTTGGTACACGTGCGTCTGGAAAAGATGGTTTCCAGTCCAAGTTTTGATACTCCTGTCTACTCGTCGGCCAGGCCATCTGTTCTGCTTGTAAACCAGGTCGAAATACGGGATTAAGACGAGAATAGTATTTCGGGAAACGCGACTTGGTCTCTGGAGAAGGTCTGGCAGGTCGAAGTGCGGCCCACACCGCGCCGAAGACATCTGCAGAGCCGTTTGTTTTCCTAAGGGCTGCATCGAATATTTCTCCGCCGTTATGTTCAGGGCTATCGCACAGGGGCACTTCTGAGAATACAAAGGGTGCGGTCGAAGGAGGCGAGATAACGGACGAACCAACAGACGATACTGGCGGATACGCATCGATCCGGGGAATTCTGGTTGTGAATAGACTCGAATCAAATTCTTCATCAGGTTGGCTCAGCTGACGTGGTTGTACGTTAGAGTTTGGAGGTGTGCTCGTGGCGAAAGGACCAGGTTTGTTGATCAGTGCTGACCCCAAAGGGTCAAGAGGCGGGGGCATGAAGGCAAAGATAGCATCATCTTCTAGAGCTGTGCTTGGTTCTATACGCTGCGGTTCGAGTGATTTGCGCCGAGATGTCCTTACGAGGCCTCGAGGTTGTAGCGAGCCCTGTGACCCATGGTTGAGTGCAAGAGCCGAGTGCTTGGGCAAGTCTCGAAGAGCCAATGGAAAGGAAATCTTGTGGGAAACAGTATTCAAAGTGTGCAGGAGCCACGGAGGCATCACTGGTCGTGACTTGAGTGTGGCGGTGGCGAATTCGTCGGCATTGGAGTGTGACTTCGTCATTCTCTTCGCTCGCCATGCATACCTAGAGTATGGTTTAGTAGCCTTGACGCGTGATCCAGGGCGACGATCCAAAACATCTTGGTTTGCAACTGTTTGGCCACGACCCCCCTTTGTCTTGGGCAACTTATCCTGTTTAAGGTTATCAGTCTGTTCACCAAGCTCTCCCGTACACATCGTACCGTACGGAAACTTCCAGCATCATGGTGAGCATGCCGTACGTCTGCACCCCTAACGGAACCACCACCCCACACTCGCTCGACAAGAGCCTCATGCTGGCTGGTGCGACGGTTGAGCTTCTCCGTCAAAGTACCGCTCAAACACAACTCCGAACAAACGTCGTGCCCCGCATACCGTGCGCCGGAACCGGGCCGAGTCAAGCCACCGAATGCACCTTCAGCCGGAGCAGTTGGGCGCGTCAGGAGGAAGTACTTGCCTAAACGAGATTCGCTCGATGCGACCGAGCGCCCCCCGCTACTGTGCAGTGTCGACGGATGGCCAAGTGATGCTACTGCTCCCGTAAACGGCGAAGCTGCCTTCAATGAATGCAAACGCGTGACTCCCTCAACAGGAAACGCGTCAAATTTTCCGCTGGAGGCAAACGCGGAGGTAGGAAGCGGTTTGTTGCCTGCGCTCATTCCAAAGGCGTCTTCACACATGGCGCGCCGGCGGGGGCTGAAGAGACGGGACCATGAGCTTGTTTTGCGGGGGAAAGAACGAATTGGGTTGGGCTAGGCCAGTGAAGATAATGAGGTGGTGTGGCAGCATCAAGGGTCAGCCTCGACGACGAGCTCGGGGCCGGTCTCTCCGTCGTCAGCTGACCGGTGGGCGTTAGGTTGGCTTGCAACGATGTTTCGGCCGTAATTTTAGAGTGCAAGTTTGGTTTCATGGTGTGTATGTGGGCGGTGTGAGTCGGACGATCTATTGCGGAAGACTAGACGGAACGGTCGGAACAATGGTCGTGTCAGCAGATGATAATCATTATGCAGAGATAAGAGGCACAGATGGAGGAGGTTTGGAATAGTCGCGAAGTGAAAGGGCAGACGGAAAGGAGGCGGACGATAACCCAGTAATCGCGCTCGCCAAACAATGTGCAAACAGTTTGAGTTATCGTCTGTTTGCTGCCGTGACGCCAAACGGGGTCGCGTGAGCGCAGACAAGACAAGTTTGAGCAATAGTGTTGACGGCATGAGGTCATGCGCGAAAGGACGAACAGGAGCTAGAGGTAATGACCGCAGAGAGGAGCAGGGTCAGGACGCCGGGCATAATTGAACACACTAAATGCGGCCACAAACTGTTACTTCAGCTGCTGTGTGGATGGACATCCAGATTGATCGCACGTGCATTCCGCTGAGTGGAGCGAAGGACGATAAGTCGGTTATCCGCCTTCCGGCCCAAGGCCTATGACGAAGCACGGTAGAAGCCTTTCCATTTGAATGATATGATGTGATGGAGGAGCGTAGACTGAGATGAACGACTGCACTCACCGCGCGCCCAAGGAGGGAACAGTCTACTCCGCCGTTGCTCGCGGGAATATACGAGGCTGCAAACAAGAGCTTTTGGTTGTCAAACGCTGGTGGGAATTGGTGTGTCGAATTGGTAGAGCGACCTGTGGATTCAGTCGAGGTGGAGGCTTCGCTGTCTAATGGATCTACGGGGATAATAAGGTCGACGTGTTCTACCCGAGATTCCAATCTGCCATCATCTGCTGCTGGTGGGACCCCTGGCTGGCTGTCGAGGCAACATCGCAGGTGGCCACGGCTTTGGGGGTGACTCTGATTCGACCATTTCATTCGTTTCGCGACGTGAATGGTCTGGCTTGGTTGCATCCTCTCTCGAAACGTCACTCCGAAGTTCTGTGGTTCCTGCTGCATTTTTGAACACGTGAAGTGCCTGCCCGGCGCGCATAAATGTCCCATTGTGCTTCTTTTGTGGGGGCGGTGAGATGGAACGTCGCGGAACATTGACCGAAAGCAAATGAGCGTCGTGCGATGAATCAGGTTGGGGTGCGGTCGGGCGTGGACTTGCTAAAGATATGCCGTTTTCGAGGTTTGATGAAGAAAATTTTGAACGGGTTACATCGACCGACTGAGTCTTGAACGCTGCTCTATCCGAGGCCAATAGCCGCAATTGCGGGAGGCACCTTTTTTCCTGATTCGACGTGGAATCATGATCGAGGAGGGGAGGTTGCTGCTGTATAATCGCCGGTGTGCCGTCATCTATAGAGTGGCTAGTTTTCGAGGCAGGCCCCTTGAACCGTTGGAAGGCGTCGGTGTGATTGTTCTGCCTCCCCTGATACGGAGATGGATAACTGAGTCCAATAGAAGCCCCGGATGCGCCTATATACCCGTGACGAGACTGAGCAAGTGCGTCGGTAGCTGGTGGAGAGGCTGGCGAGCCGCTCTCGCGCATGTTTGATGACAATACCGTAGGACGAAATACCCGGGTCGAAGCGATCGTATCAGTATCGTCCATCCCACCCATGTCGATATCGCTGCGACGAGACCTCAGTCGCCTGTCGACTTTATCCTCCTGGTCCAATCGTGCTCGCGTGCCTTGACCACGCACGACTATCTGCCTCCGTTTAGAAGAGGCAGTGACCGTCGACGAGGTCGCACGATTGCGGTGCAGAAGCTGGATTGCTGGGCTTGATATTACGGCTCGCGGATGCGGACCCGAGGGGAGGCCATGTGACGCTGTAAACACGAGTTAAGTCTATCCGTCCTAACACGAAGAGTTATTTGAGTCGAGGTCGACGCTCAGGAAGGATAGATGAGGCATCCCCGTCCGTCCCCAAACAGGGGCAAAGGGGAGACTAGGAAAGGAAAACGTGGAACTCACTAGACTTGTCGAGTAGCTTGTTCATCGCATGGTTTCTGCCGCGCGACTTGGCCGCGAGTCCAAGCACACTCTCGGGGCGAGTTACGATTCGGTCTTGGTCTCGGAGAGTCTCCGTCAAGAGCCTAGGCCTCTTTCGAAGCGGGGCGTATTCGTGATCGTTAGAGAGGGCGTCACTGAGCCGTCGTGGTCGTTTAAATGTGGCGTCTGGCAGGAGCATCGCGTGGTGCGGTATATTTTCAGGACAGAAATATTCCTCACGTGAATGCCGTCTGGGAGGCTGAGAGAGCTAGTCGGTTTTTGGACTCTTGTAGGGGCTGGCGTCGGTGCAATTCCCGCTGGTTTCGGTTGATCGACACGGTTGAAGTACACGGCTAATTCGACAAGGTACCACATTAGACTAAGCTTGTGCACTATTCCAGGGCTCGCATACCGTGAGACACCTTGCAATGAGAGGGAGGTCGGAGCCCGAACCCAGGTGGAGGCTGAGAGATGTCTAATGTCCTGTTTTTTCACCGTAGAAGAATCCTTTGCGCGTTATTTTGCGGTAGTTAATGTCCAGCGGATAGCGCTCGGCGTGGTCAGCTTCAACGTAGACAGTGGTTGGTGGTGCACAAATAAAGAAGATATTTCTATAGTAATGGTATCACAGAGAATGGCATTCATCTGCTTTCTCTGATTTTCTTACCTGTGTCGCCTTCGAGGCCCCTTAGCGAAGAGACGGATCAAGTAGAACGCGCTCATTAAGTAAACATCTCGTGACTAAAATGTCGAAAGCGAATATTAAAATCCGCACACAGTATTTTGGGCGTGTTATGACGCGTTTCGCCCGGGGGGAAGGGAGTGTACTCTCAAGAGTTGGCTTGTTACAGAAGCTGGTTGGTTGTACATCAATGAAATGTGCAGATATCCTGTATCTACTGGATGGATTGTCTCACGCATTCGCTTCCGAATCCACGCACCATCCGTCGTCTCCTTATTCAAACACTCACAAGCATAAAAGTATCCGCCGCCCTCTCCGTGGTTGCCAACGCCACTGCTCCACTTTTGAACGTCGGGAGTATTCGTGCCGCCGCGGTCGTCAAGCGTATGCCAAATGCACCGATTTAGAGTTACGCAGAGGGATGGCAACGAGGAAACCAAAGTTGTCATGTGGGATCGTCTCCAACCTCTCCATTCGCATACCAGACCTTTTCCGACGTTACCAGTGTAACGAACAGGTTTGCCAGCAGCAGCAGCAGCTAATGTATACGCCCGTGGTAGAAGACGACGGATATAAACATCGGCAAAGGACGAGAAATTTTGAAACCAACCGAAGTAAAGGGGTAGATACGTGGCCCCACTCGTGTGCCGCTGCGCCATATACCCTAATATTGCTCAGGGGCGTAGGGCAAACTTTGCTTCGGCGAGGCGGCGAGGCGGCGAAGCGGCTTGGCCCCAATATTTAGTTGAGAAATAAGCACAAGGCACTTGCTTCGGGAGTAGGCGTGAGGGTTACCATCATCCGCCCCGTGCGCCGTTGCTCCTTCAACTTCTCGGCCAATGCCGATGGAGGAGAGGGAGCGGAGATGGAGAGGGTTATCGTTTGATAAGACTTATCGGAATGTCCGTACCGTAACCACCGAGGACTAAAAGATGGCAGCCCGTTTTGGGAAACAAGCCCGCTAGAGAGAATGTCAAAGAGGAGGGATAGGCGTATAAAGACCGGTGGGCTACATGTCCAGACCAGACCGAATCGTATCGTTGATGAGGACGAGTGAAGGAAAGGGGGGGAAAGCGGAGGTCAAAGCCTGCCTATTCCAACCATCACGAGCCACATCGGATCTCGACGGGTATTCAGTCAAATGTGGGATCGTACCAGGCAATTCACCTGCTACCTCCGACGTCCAAAGTCATCCTCCACCTTGTTCTCTCCGTCGTTTCATCTCCGCTCTAATCAAGTATTGTGTCAATCTAGGTCCGTTAGCACATCCATCAACGAAAAAAAAATAAAGTTATCGTGAAGACGACGGGGGACCAAAGGTTCGCCTTTGCCCCATTCTCACCGTCCCCCCCAAGATGCTGCTTGTTCTTTGAGGCGTTGACGCAGCGAATTCTCTATCCAATATGACTAGAGTCGATCAAATGTCTAAGATGGCCAAATGTTTGTCCGCCTAGCTTGGCGAAGACCTAGATCAGGGTACGAACACCGACTCGGCTTGACTCCACCACACCGTCATACGACGAGGAGGACGTAAGGTCGCAAGACTAGACAATCTTGCAAAACAAGAGGACTGTAGACAAGGCTTAGGACAAACGCCACAGATCGAAAGGGCCTGTACCCTCGAGTAGTCTAGGCGTTATCACAACTTGCCAGGCGCTCATTGGCCACTCAAACGGGTGTTTGACCAGCCATCAAGACGAATATCAAACGTAAATTGTGCATCATACCCGTCCCTGTAAAACGGGGAGGGAGATGAGGAAAGGGCGAATGATGGGGCTTTCCACTAGGCCTGACTGAGCCCACGTCAAAGGGGACACATGTAGTGTAAAACGTGAAGGATGAGCGTAAAGTGGAGCCAAACGCATGTAAGATGCGTCGAGATAAGCGAGATTATGGGCGAGCCTTCGTCAGACGAGCAGAGGGTTTCGTAAAACAGTGCCGACAAGAGCGACTCGCTCCACAGCGCGTACCCTCGTGATAACAATTAGTCACGGGTGTCGTGATCATCGCTCACGACCGAGGTTTTATGTTTCCGACCGAGCCAGGCCTTTTCAGCCACCACAGGAAAGTCAGCCACAATCCTGACTGTCCAAAGCCGTGTGGGTGGGGCTCGGGGCTGGATCCTTTGCCTCTTTTGGGGATTGTAGCCGCAAGGGATGAGCAATAGGATGTCGGTTTACTCATCTTCCGCGTCATTTCACTCATCAACGATGATCGTGTAAAGAGGTGTGAGATCGGAGTCGAGGGTATAGATTTTTGAAATTTCGGATCCGGTGGGGAGCGATACAGTTCGCTTACTCTTAGTGAACACGAGGGATTGATCACACGGAGGAAAAACGAAAAAATTTGATTGTATGAAGAGCACACAGACGAGCAAGCCAGCCAGAGAAAGATGGTCGAGCGCAGACTGATGGATGAATACAAAGGGGCATTGGTATAGATAATGTGATGCGTTGGTTGATGATGGGATGATGAGTAATAGATACGAGCGTTGTACGACGTGCGCCATTGTCTCCGTGGTGTTGGGTCGAGGAAGAGTAGACGCTGTTTTGGAGTGTCGTATGGATAGAATTAGCGGATGAATGTGTTTTGGTATGTTTCGACGGTCGGACCAAGGGTCCGAGGTCAAGTCAGGTGGGGGTTGGCGGAGAGGTAAGCGGGACGTGGGCGGGACTTGGGCAAGGTCCCAAGGGCGTAGAGATGGATGGTATAGAGGGGTCATGCAGAGTTGATTGTCATTGTCATTGTCGTGGGCATCATGGGCGTCGTTGGGAATCTAAGCCTGCAGCCCGTGCTGCATCCTCGAGACCTGGCACTGATCACAGAGACCGGGCTTTGTGTTTGTAGTACGTTCGATATCTGGGCCGTAAGTCTACACAAGGAGGGGTCAGCAATGCGGGGGTAAGTTGACCAATCTCAAGTGGTCTCACCTGATTGCATCGGCAGTGGGGCGCTCGACAGGACGGCGAGTGGGAAGATGAGAGCCTACACTGGGAGCTCTGGCAGTCTGCAATGGCTACGACTGTCGTTTGCTGTGACAAACAAGGAGGGGTAAGCTTCGTGGACAAGTGTGAGGAGCAGCCAGGACGCACAATGTAGTGGCCGCAGCCGCGGGAGACACAACCATCCGAGATTTGGCGGCACATGGCTTTGTAGAGAGTACACGAAAAGGAGTACGAGAGATGTCAAGTACGGGAGAAGAGACGCGGGGGATCTGGCTGCAAGGACCAGTGTCGAACGGGCTCCTTTTATAATCCACGACGCTACTTTGGCGCCTTGTTGTGCGGCAAACCCAGCCCTGAATTAATATATATTTTATTTGTCCATTATTTATATTTGGGCAAATATTATTATTATTATTAAATTAATAATAATAATAATCCCAGAAAAACCCTAAGCTCATGTGACTGGTCTGCGATCGGTCACTATCGGCGCATTACAGAGAGCACTGGGAGCCCCACCCATTACGCTTGCAATGGCTGTTTTGGCATGAATGGCCCCTATTCGACACTACAGATTGTACAAACAAGCCTGGTCTAATCCTTTTGTTTCTATCTCATCCCATCGCTCCACTCGTCAATTCATCTCTTGGACTCGACCACCACTTTGCCCCTCGGCATCTCGGCGCTCCCTTTCTTCGCATTTCGGCATCCCTTCTTCTTGGCTACACTTGGAGGAGCATTTCCAGCTACACGTGATACAACAGTAAATGGCCTCTTCCAATCTCGACTTTGGTGCATTTGGTCAGTATTCTAAAAAAGCCATGTCATCGACACGTCGCCCTTACACCCGTAATCTAATCGTGTTTCCAATCTTGACAATTTGACATTTACTCAAATGGCTGGTCGGCGGTACTTTGGAATTCAGCATCAGCGTCCGCCTCGTCCTCGTCCGCCATCGACCCTCTAACACGCTCAAGAACACTCTTCTTTCTCTCTGTACGCGACTCGCAATCCCGCGCTCCATCATCCCGCCGCCGCCGCCCTGGGCCACTCCCACCCTCGTCTGCCAACGCCGACAACCCAAAAGGAAAAGCAAGGGATCCATTTGTCATCTATGACGAAGAGGAAGACGAAGAGGACGCGTCTGAACGTGGTCGACTTCTCCCCTCGAGTGGCGGTCAAAAGTCCAACGGTGGACACGTACGGATCGACATGGACAAGCTTCCTCCTGCATGGTACGCGTTCTTTCAGTGATTTTTTTGCAAAGTGATCTGATCCTTGCCGTTCTCTAGGGTGGAACTAGCAGACAACGTTGAGCGAATCCTGGCTGCCGTGGTAATCAAGAGTGCGTCTTCTTTTTTTTCCGTCCTTCTCTTCGTCTATTCTTCATTTCCTCGTTTCTTCTGCATCGTCGTTCCATCGACCCACACATGCCAACCCCCGACTGCATCGTGTCCCCAACGCGGCCCAAATGACAAAAATGGACTTTGCGCATTTGACTTTTTCACTTTACCGCGCGTCCGTCCCTGTCTTTGATCACCGACGCGCTGCCAGCGACACGACCCTAACTCCATCCTCGCCAAAATTGCGCCAGCAAAGAGGGAAATTGCTACCAAGAGGGAACCTCGCTATCTCGCTTCCCATAATACCCGAATCTGTGTGACGCGACGTGTGTCAAAGACCAAACCTCGACTTGGAGATTCGGCTAGTCCGGGCCCATGCCTCGTTCCTTCCTGGTTCATTTCAAACGGTTTGGGGTGTTGGGGAAGCGATAAGCTGCAAACAACCAGAGTGAAGAGCAGGGTAGCAGCTGTGTGCCAGCTGGTTTAACCCGCAAGCCCACGGATGGCTTCGTTTCGACATGGATAACCTGGCGCTAACAAGCGCTCAACTTGGTTTATCGTTCGGAACGCAAGCCGATGGATAACTTGGTTTCGTCATATATTCGACATTCTCCTTGTTGGGGGAAACAAACCAGCCATCACCGATCCAACACTGGCCGTTCTCCCTTCGCGCGCACCTTACTTCCCAGCGCCCACGAGCACAGCGTGTGTAGGACAGGGAAAGGCAAGATTCCCCCTCTGGTCCCTAGTTGTTGATTATCTCTTGTCTCTCTCAAACGCGCGAGAAACACGGCCATGGATTTCCCTGGTTGGCTCGAGGATCCCAGCATTCATTTCCATCTTCTCCCATGTCATCCTCCCCCTCTGGGCATTTGCCAGTCTTCTTTTTTTTTGTGACATGCACCTTCTTTTCATTCTTCTTTCCCCTTGGTGCTCCATGACGGCTATTGAATGTGCTACTGACAACATTCTCTTTTCCATCTTCCTTTGAACACAACCATGACCGGTGTCTTACTTGTCGTGGGAACTCGATTCTGGCCCCGACTCACGTCTCGACTGGACGTTCGTCTTCTTGGAATGGATGGGCGAACGGTATCGCCTCGCTTCCCCTTGCGGCAATCTATCGCCAACCGAATGGACCAACTTCGACTACCTCGTATCACCACTATCACAAATCATCACCACTCTGCATTTGACTATTCACCCACTCCCTCCTCGTCTGGATCATCCATCAATGCGCACCCTTGCGTGGACTATACGATGAATGGATATCGGACGATATAACCTCGACAAAACCCTTCGTGTATCCGTCCTCGTGGACACGGTGGCTTGACCTGGGCTGCGCCGGCGTTTGATCATCATGTTCTCCCTTGGCCAACTGGCGTTTGACCACTCAACTGTGGCAATGCGGCTGGCTCTTCACGTATGCATCATCCCCTTTCGCAATCATGCTCACCTCATCTTCACTGGACCACAATCTTGCTGTCTGTCCGATGCACATTGATCTCCTCGGTCTGGATCACTTTGCTGGCTCGTCCCCGGGGGGCTTTGGGCCCTGCGCGCTTGCCTAACGCCCAATCACATCCGCGCTGTGCCCCTTGCTCGTATACACAAACCCTGGTCGCTTGCTGTTAACCTTGTGCATACGATCATGGTCTCATTTATCCATACACGCCGCACTCGCACACGGGGTCACACCTCGACCGGTTCTCCCTCATGCAAAATCCCGTGTTCATTCAACCCGGTACTTGATGTTGCGTTCAATCGTCGACACGCGTTTCCTCCCTGCCCTATGCTCACGGCACGACTCTGAATCTACGCCACGACTACCACACGAATCCCGAATACGTTCAACTCTCGCCAACTACTTCGACCACTTCCGGCGCCGACCACCTCTTTCGATGCAATGCTATTTGGGCGTTTCATCTCGGCCACCTACAACCAACGGACGCGCTCATTCGACTCGTGGGACTACATCGGACGATGATATTGCGATGCGCGGTGACTGGCGATATTCGACATATTCTCCACCCTCCATCGAATGTATGGCGCCGCGGTCCTAAAACGGCCTGTCTGTCGATAACTCTGGATGGGACCCGGCTCTTATGGGATATCTCACCCTCGGATAACTTGCTGTACGTTACGATCCAGTAGTCTCGGCCCTCGACAAATTGCATGCGAAGCATGCTCTGCCAGGCTTTGCGGATCGGACAGCAGAGGAGCGGGACATTGAGCGAATGACGACAGAGATTACGAGGGTACGTACTTGCTTCTGCTCGCTTCCATCCTCCCTTGTCCCTTCTCCTTCCGCTACACACCACCATCCATCACAATTCGAGGGGCTTTTTTTTCTTCAAGAGCAACCTCGCTATTTCAAGAGCAATCTCGCTATAATTGGCGAACGTAACCGTACCCGACAAGCCTACCAAGCCACGTCAAGCTATTTGTGGCTTGCTTTGGCTGCGTCTGCGACTCGACTCGGCCAATGCCTTCTGCTGTCAAACCTGTAGAGTGGATCCCCAGAACCTCAAACAACCACATCACTCCGTGTCGTCCTCTCAAAGGACAAAGCAGCACAATAGACATTACGCGAGGCGAATTTGCAAAGTCATCCGCTTCGTACACGCTTAATTTGCCGCGAATGCTCTCCAGAGAGGATCTCACGGCTGGATTTTTGGGGGTCGTGGCGGATTGACTCGTTTCCTCCTTTGCACATGGACCTGTTGGCGGACGACCAATGGGGTCGACCATGCGACTGCGCGTATTCCTGTCTCTTCAGAACGACTTTGCTTTCGTTCATGACCGGGGATTCTGATGGGCCCTCTATGGCTATCCAAATGTCAAAACGTCAATCCCCGATCCCGCCTTTCACCGGTACCACGAGTCTGCTGTGCGGTGGACACATACACACCCCCACCGCGCGGGCACCTATCGACATCCCCGATCGTTGGTACATTTCGATAATGAAGGACATTTGATGGCACCGACATTCCATCAATTATGGCGCCCCTAAACAGCCCTGCATTTCACCAGGTCCTGTGTCATTACGGAGGAGAGCACCATGGTCGAAACGGAGCCGCGTCCGCATGTCTCGTATGGCCCCGTCATTGAGCCCATGGACATTACTCGACGTATATCCGCGCTGTCGACCTTCACAGCCCTAGTCCTCAACAAGGTATAGTCCGGCTTCACATATTTCATGGATGGATTACGGCATCCTGAAGAGGCATCTGGAGAGGCGGTCCTGAACGCCTGGGCGGAGAGCCTGGTCCACTGATCCAGCGTCAAACGATAACCCACCACTCGTCGGGTTACCATACATCACTTATCACCTCATCGGTATCGCCCGTATCATCAGAAGCTTGGGGAACTGTGCAGGCGAGTCTAACTCGCGCCGAAAGCGTCTTGCTTGGAACTCTCACCGTGTTATCTCGACAACCCTCGCAGTGCTCCACCCACAGCTCGGCTGAATTATGATCGTGGAGACTAGGATTCATTGGCCAGAAGAACTTATGGCGCTATAGACTGGCTATGCTCGAAGCAGTTCTTTGAGGCCTCCTCCTCATCGCATTACACGTACAAAGGTGATGCAATCACCGATACTGCGGACAATCACTAGTGGCCTCTATTACTGGGCTGTATGACGGGGACTGTTCTCCTAATATTAGCTATCCATATCTGAGCGCCTGCGTTTATGCGCAGCCAGCAGCACGGTTAGTCATCTGTCGTGCGGCAAACTAGCTTATCTCTTTCTGACGCGTACTTATTCCGTCTAGTTATCGCTGGTGGTGGTATGTTTCATACGCCGCCGGGAGATTGGGTGTCCGGACACGCTCCTTGGTGGACCACTCGAGTCTTCTACGGCTGGTTCATCGCGACGTCGTCCATTACTGCTGGTGGACCGACCATCGAGGCGGACGGACACGCTGTCGAGTGGTCGCTACCGGTGTTCAATCCTGATCAACGCGGGGAAGCGCCGCTGGGGGGCGCTGGCAGGCTCGGGATGTGATGAACCAACCAAGCGTCCCTCGATGAAATGGCTTCTTTTGTCCGCTTGTCGCGCATCAGCAGTGTGTCAGCATGGGGCGCTCGCCGCTGTCCATACTTCTCCCGTGATGGTTGGTCAGAGAACTGGCCACGCATTTCCCGCGTCCAAGTAGTGGCGTATGCGCTTACACCGTTTATGCGTCGCTGGCCTTTGGTGATCTTTCTCGGCGACTGCCGTACACAAACGCCCCGTGTGGACGTCCTCTCGCCTAGAATTCCAACTCCGCTCTATTCGGGGTCCCCCGTCATCTACCCCATCACTGGTTCCCGAGGCACTGGACCATCTGTTCGCTTTTGAGCGCCCAGGATGTTTGCGTTGAATAGGTCATGGTGGTCAGCAGCCGTGCCCTGAGACTGCTTGATATTATGATTCGAATCTCGTGCGAGACATGCAACCGAACGCGCTCCACCACCCACCTACACACATTGGCAAATAACTAGACGCACCGCCACTCGACCGTCGAAAGAAGTCGATATTCCTCAAGTCGAGAGGGGTCCTGGTTCACGTGTCATCCTTCCTGGGGTGCATCTGTCAATGCCCAGGACCACCTCTCGATCGCTGCTTCGATCCCAATTCAGTCAGCGTTGGGCACTATGAGATTCAAGGATATGTCACGGATCGCCTCGAACCATCTTCGACGTTGTGTGGGACGAGGCAAACGATTATTAAGTGACTTATCGTTCTTGATGGTTCCTCATGCCCGAACAACGGAGGTCATTCACAGCCCTTTTACAACGCTTTGTTACACGGACGGGCTTAGTAAACGCTGCCAGGACGACTGTTATGCGATGTGCTTGGCCACTTGACCATGACCTGATCGAACCGGCACGACTGGCGATGGAATGCCGCAGCGCTCCGACTTCGACGGCGGGCGAACCGCTGGTGGAGCGATAACTAGATATCACATCTGGTTGACGCGCAACATGCTTTTTTTTATTGATCACGATACCTCGAACATAGACTCATATCCTCTGGCCTCCTCTTCCCCCCGTTACCACCGCGCTTCATTTCACCAAGCCCCGTCATATATGTTCAGTTCTAACAGTTTTCATAGGACTTTCGACAATGCCACTCGCTCATCCAAAAAGTAAAGGCTGAGCCAACGCCGATCGCGACTACAGCTTCACCCAACCAACAACATACTTTCCCGCCTCGAGAACGACAGATGAAACCTCCGAGTGCACACGAGGTGCTGGCCGCAAAAAATGTGCAACGAGGCCTCGCGGCAAAGGTGCAGGAGACGAGCGCGCTCTTTCGAAAGAAACAAAAAGTATATATGGATAGTAAGTACTCGTTTCCATCTACGGCAACTCAAACACGTTGCTTCCATTTCGGATGCCGTTAGAGGTTCCGTTAGTGCTCCAAGGAGCATGGCGCGCGTGACAGACATGGCATGCGACCACGCCGCTTGGGGATTGGAGGAATTTTTTTACTCCTACCATAACAGTCTACGTTGTGGTCCTCCGCGCTGAGATGTTATGGCCACCCGGTGACTTACTGCCTCGCTTCCAGGACTCCAAGGTCATGCGATCAAAAACCAAGATCTGTTAATTGCCAGCGGCGCAATCTCTCTCCACGGCTCTGAGGGGTTGTCAGCCGTGGAGGAGGACATGGCAGCTGTACGTCCCATTGTGTTCCTACGTCTAAAACCCTCTTACCCCGGTGGTGTGGTCCACTCGGCTTTGTCACCGCCTCATTGTGTACACTAACGCGTGTAATTCCAATTCTAACGTGCATTTGCATGCTCGCATTTTGCCGGTTGCAGTCACGGTCACAGCTCTCCTCACAAGTGCAGGCCCAGCAACAACAGCAACAGCAATTGGACGTCCAGACGCAGGCACGTACTCGGGAGTTGGCCGAAATTGCAAAGAATATTGCCAGTTTGGCAGATTTGTTCAAGGATCTGTCCTCCTTGGTCATTGAGCAAGGCACAATTCTCGACAGCGTGGAGTACAACATCGAACGGACCGCAGATGCGATGGAAGGGGCCGTCAAAGAGCTCAAGATAGCCCAGGGGTCTGTATCTTCCTGCATCGTGCCGTAGAAGAATAGCTGATACGTCTCTTATTCCTTCTCGACAGCTATCAGCGAAATACAGGGAGGCGGCAGTGCATCTTCTTCCTCCTCCTTCTCATCTTCGCAGCCATTGTGGTTTTGATCTTCAAACCACGAAGGCACTAGCATTCTGACAGCGAGAAAGCGGCGGTATTCTGGGCATCTCGAACGATAAAGGGTTCATCCGACCCTGTGGAGCGGAGAGCGACAGTAAACCAGAGCAGATTCCGATCTGGGTCGAACTGTCCAAGAAACCGCCTGGTGCCCTGGCCCTCGGATCATTTTCAATATGCCTCGGTGAATCGAGCTGACAGATCGAAGCAAAACTCTGGGACATCTTCTTACTTTATTGTGATATCCTACCTAAGCTTGCCACGTTGCCTGTTTTGCTACTTATTCGATAGTCTATAGAGTGGTTTTCTCTCTCTCGTGTCACAACATACCTCGTGCCTTTCATGAGACTCGCCATAGGCAGGCGCAAGCGATGCGATGGTTTGCCGGACTGCATTCTCCACCTCTGCAACCCTTGAACCTCGAACGCGCGACGGCCATCCAATGCGACCGTTCACTCCCACACGCACGACTCGCACGACATTGACGAGTTAACATCCTGCGCTGTTTCTGTTTTGTCCCAACGCGACGTTTGAATATCTGAGTTGGCTGAATGTCGTCTTCTCGAAGTCGCGTTCCACCCGGTGGACAGGATAAGGTGATTGCATAAGTACGCAAGAGTTATCTGGTGGTATAAGTCGATCCGCTGTGTCGGGCAGGAGGTCGAGGCCCATTTGGTCGTCGTACGCAGCGAGGCGGTCGGGCAGTAAGGGCGAATGGGACGCGTCTTGCCATGCACGATACGTCTTCCGCTCTTCATATGCCGATACCCCGTTCTTCTTCCCTAAACCCTTGCATCCGCAAGCACGAGTTGGCTAGCTCAAAACCCTATGTAGCGTTTTCGACACGAGGTGCGCGCACCGTATCGACGCAGGATTTTCTTGTCGAAATGTCCGACCAAGGAGAGCATCCAACGGATGGGGCCAAAAGAGACTTACCGCAAAGGCGTGGGGTCCGTACAGGGCTGGCGGGTTAGGGCTGCGAGAGGGAGAACGCCCTTGCGTTTGAGGCGTTCGTGAAAAGCAGGTTGGTGGTCGACGGGTGGGTCGACGGCTCCGGGTCGTATTGCAGTAGGCTGCCGTTGGCCAGGGGGCATTCCCCCCTCTGTGATCCCGATCCCACTTCGTTGACTCTTGCTGGTGTTCTCAACCAAGATAGCTCGGCTCCCTGTAAACCAACTGGCTGCACTTTCCATATGCATAAGAGACGAGCCAGTACCGTGGGCCATGTCAAGTATATATCTCCACCTTTATGACGATAATGAATTTTTTGTTATGCGACGAGTGATGCCAATGATTGCTTGATTGCGGAGCCCAGACTGCGTGGCTCGCTTGGATGACCTTGTGCACGAGTGGTGGAGCTAATTTGTTTGGATTGGAGTCTCACTTGTATGCAAATACGACTTCTGAGTCCAGAGTGTGGACTACGGCGTGGAGGTACCCGTCTGGTTAAGATTTTCTGATGGTCAAACGTGCTTGGGACGGCTCAGAAATCTCGTATCTTGATTCCTATCATGATGGAGTGTTCTACACTGGCACTGAGATTGTGCGATGTGGGTGGCGGAGACAAGGTTAGAGTGGAATTTTCTGGTGTATGCCGTGGCTCATACGCAGCGGAGCATCTAGAGTTATCGATTCGATAAGACATAGAGTAGCAAGACATGTTCCAAGGTCAGAATAAAAGGACATATCACAATCTCCTGATTTTGGAGAGAGGCCAGGCCGTATTGGCTGCTCAGATAAACTCGTGACCATTGTTCTATCCAAAGGAGCAAGGTCAACTTAATACTATGAGAACACCTGCGACAATGTATACTATCGTGAGAACCAAGGTCATCGTCCGTGTCTTGACCAGTCGTGAGGACGAGGCAAGTTACCCGTAGGAATGCCTACGGGAGGGGTGGCAAAATTGATTCTACACGATTAGCCTCGTGCTCCCAAATGCTGATATCCTCAGCGATTTGCCCTGCCCATTCCCCACAGCCTGGCCTGCATCGGCGTAATGGCGAGCGAATTTCACTCTCAAAGTTCGCCCACTTGGGTGTCCGAAGAACAACCTCTGTGAGGGCATGAATCCATCCAGTGCGCGTATTATGGCAGGCACATATCGAAGGTGCCACTGGTTTGCCCCGGTACAGCTTGTTGGCAATGATTCCTATCCGAGCAATAAACCAATTGACTCGCTCTTCTCGTAGGCACTGGACATAGCGGTATAAAGGCAAGGGAATATTGACGTCCTTGTAGAGGAGGGTCGAGTCGCTGGTGATGAGCGTGCTGATCGCCTGACTGGCAATGATGGGCAAATCATACTCGGACGCGAGTGCGAGTACCATGAGTGGATTATGCGCCATCAAAGACGTTCCCGGGTTAGGCTTGTTAGGGTGCTCGGCGTATTTGACACACTCGGTCTCGAACCAGGCCATAACCGTCGAAAGCTGATACTTTCTGGCAGCTTCTAGGAGGTTTGAGATTGTTGCTTCGTTGAGCGGTGCTGGATTCTTCCTGGGATCAATGTGCCGCAGCAATAGATCCAAAGTCAAGGCATCCTCGGTGACCTGGATAGGTTGCGAATTAGGTGACCTATCCGAGATTTCTTCTCCTTCCTCGGCTTTGATTTTGGATGGTGAAGCGAGGCTAAACATGTCACTGAACACCGGAGACGAGTACGCAAGGAGGAAACGTGATATCTGGAACACGACTCCGTCACTACTTTGAAGCTCAAAGTCTCCATAACCTTCGAAGAAGGTCTTTGATCGTCGGACGATGACCCCACCCGTAGAGTTCTCCAGGGGGTCTCCGCTCTCGGCCATGGTAGGGTCTAAGGTGTCTCTTTCATATCCATTCTTCTGAGCTGAACCCCTCTTGCAAATATGCATGCAACTGATATATTACGGGCTATTACATGGACAGCCTCCAGGAATGGGTTGGCTGTGAGACATCAGAGCGCACCAGCCGCTTTCAATTTCTTCTTCAATTTCCCACTTTCGTGCAAAACTGTAAGACGGTCTGCGCCACCGAGAGACTTGCCATTGACTACAACATTTGGGAACGTGTCCTGGCCCGTAAGTCGGCGAAGCAAAGCCTTAATCTTTGCCATGTCCGCTAGAAATAGGAACGTCATTGCCGCATTCTCTAGTTGTATCGTCACATACGTCTGAGGTCGGCTTCAATGAACACGGGCTGCTTCTTCAGTGCATATTCCGCGAGTATAGCTTTTGCTTTCTTTGAGTACCTATTGAATTGTTACGGTTAAACGGACTTTCAGCGTCTAAATAAACCGTACGGGCAATAAGTCTGCGTTGGAGATGAATTCCAAGGTAATACGAACAGTTCTTACTCACCTTGCTGAATACTATAACTGGATACTGTGCTCGCATCGCAGTGAGACGCGCCTCCCACTGTGCGTTGCTCAAATGTACATTTTTGTTCCATATATCGGGGTTTGTACTTCGGATCCGTTCATTTTAGCAGGTAGAAGTTCGGTAGATTTAGTGAGATAGTAGAGCATGCCCTAATCAATGAAGGTAGCGTCAGACCAAGTATCGCTGGCAGCACGGAGCGCACCTGAAACTCGTCAAACTTCTGCGGCTTGCTAGTTGTATTGAACCATGATGTGACACTTCCACTTGTGAACTGATTTAATAAGAAGAGCGAGATGCCAACAAGCGTAACCGTCCCTAGAAGGCGCTTCTTCCTTAATAGTCCTGCAAAGAAACTCTGGGTGTTCTTCACGTTGTTACTCTGAGGCTTTGCATCGCTCGGCATTGTGGTAGGAGGTTTGGCGATTGTGGCCTAGCAGTGGTCAAGAGGCAACTTCTTGAGCTCTCCGATGTCTTCAAAATTCGGAGGCCGTCACACCCAGAGCAAGAAACCGATCAGAATCGATAAAAGGAAGGGACTGATTCGTAAAAAAGATGCAAATGTCTCTGGTTTCCAGCGCCGAATGGCCAAACGCCCGGCGAAAGCATCCAGTGGCATGGATGTGTACGAATACAACGAAAAAGATCGCAAGGGAAGGTTTAGAGCTGACGTGGCACTCGAACTCACCAAAGAGGAAGTGAAAGAGTATGGAGTCGACGAAGAGAGCGATCAGGACGACTTGCAAAAGATGCGGGACCGGCTCAAATTTGGAGATGAGGTCCCTATTAATAGTGAAGATGACGAGGAAATCGACTCTGACGACGCTTTCGATGAGAGTGATGAAGAAAGGTTTGGGGCCTACAATCTAAAGGCGAGTCTACCCATTTACAAGAGACATCAGAATGACTTACTCCTTGCCAGGGCACCAAGCGAAAAGCTACCTCATCCAAATCCACGACAGCAAATCCCGAGATTGATCTCGACGAGCATGATTCCGAATCCGATGAGGGTGAGGCGGAGGGTGGCTCCGAAGAAGACGATGAGGGACAATCTGATTCAGAGGCCATGGTGGCCGAGGACGACGAGAACAATTCAGAGGATGATCCAGACGATGAAGCTCTTGATCGCCTCGGAGCACTGATTGGAACAATGGTCACGACTGCCCAGTCGGTAAAACGCAGTGCCTCTCAAATTGAAGAGGCAGAAGGAGAACCGCCCAGGCAGAAGCGGCGCATCCTCAAAGAGCAAACGCAGGCGGGCATCGAAGGCGAGTTTGCTCCTGCGACTCAGTCCAGTAAGTACCGTTACTTGCGTCTTCAGCTACTCACTCCTCCTTGCAGAGGGAAAACTTCAACTGGCTGATCTCATCACTCCCTTGAGTGCCGAGCAAGGGAACCCTTCCACACTCACCCTCAAGTCTGCTGCCAAAACATTGAATAGTGCAAAAGCTGGTCCACTCTCTGCACCGCTTCCAACTCGCATCCAAGACCGCCTTGAGCGACAGGCTGCGTATGAGCAGACAAAGACAGAAATACAGACCTGGGAACCGACAATGCGGCGCATCCGAGAGGTTGGTATAGCTATAAATCTCTCGATTCAGCTGATTAGGTTTAGGCGGATCATCTTTCATTCCCTCTTCAAGCCCAACCCACCCCTCAAGGAAATATTTCCGCTATGGCATCCAATTTCAAGGTATAATCGTATTTCTACATGCAGCGCCGCTTATTAAGGAACATCGTCAGCCCACTACAGAGCTTGAAAGCGCCGTGGACAGGCTGTTAAAGGCAGCCGAGTTGCGAGAGAGCGACATCCAAAAGACAGAGGAACTGCAAATGCAGCACCTCTCCATTGAAGAGATTGCAGAGCGTCGTGCCGAGCTACGCAAGGCCCGTGATCTCATGTTTCGCGCAGAAATCAAAGCAAAACGGGTGGCAAAGATCAAGAGCAAAACATATCGCAAGATCCAGAAGAAGGAACGCGCGAAACAGGTTGAAAAGCTGAAAGACATGGGCCTTGATATCGACGAGGAAACAGAGCAGCTCAAAGCAGAGGCGGAACGTGCCAAAGAACGTGCCACTTTGAAACACAAAAACAAGGGAAAATGGGCCGTCTCTATGAGAAATCGTGGGGAAGTGGATCAGGATCAACGCAAAGACATGCAGGAGATGTACGAGCGCGGACAACAACTGCGGCGCAAGATCAAAGGCGTCAATTCCGATGAGGAGGAGAGTGATAGCTCCAACTCTAGTGAGGAAGAAGAAGACCAAGGGGTCATCAACCAAGCATTAAGAGCAATCGACCACCTCGATCAAGAAGACGAAGAAACGCCTACCTTTGGTAATAAGAGCGGGTTGATGGAGATGAAGTTTATGAAAAATGCGGTGATGAGAGACGACAACCGAGCGAGGGAAGCAGTCGATTCGTTCAAACATGAGCTTCAGAAACTTGGCCTGGACGAAGCTGGCGGCAAACTACCAAGCGAAGAGGTTGCCGGAAAGACTAGAGGCCGAGTTTCCTTCAATCCCGCGGCCGTAGTGAGTCCCTAATTCTGTGTATTTGCCCTTCTAATTTCCTTCCAGCCGTCGACAGGCACGGAAAACGCAGATGGTGCTGCAGAGAGCGACGGAGGTACATCAGAGATCAATGGTCCCAGCTCTGGCACGAACCCATGGCTATCAGTCGGTCAAACATCCACGAAGATCTCTCGAAAGAAGAACGAGGTTGTTGTTGGTAAGAATAGTAGTGCGGCTGCACTTTCCAAGAATGCCATGAAGAAGCGCATGCGCAAGAATGCCGAATCAATTGCGCTTGAAAAGGACGATGCAACACTTGAAATTAACCCCAATCCCGGAGTGACGCCTGCGAAACCCGTCGAACATCGCAAAGCAAAGCCCAAGGCGACAAACGACGCAAATATTCCAGGGAAAACGCTGCAAAAAGTGGATGCTATGCTTTCGGAAGACTCTGAATCCGACGATGCTCCACCTACTACACCTCAAGGTCGACGAGTGGCGTTTGAACAACGAGAGCTCGTCGCAAGGGCTTTTGCAGGCGATGACCTGGTCGAGGTCGGTTTCTCAGGAGTGCAAGAAATTAGCTGGCTGATCAATAATAGGACTTTGCGTCGGAGAAGCGAAAGGAAATGGAAGTTGACGCCCCTAAAGAGATTGACACGACTCTACCTGGATGGGTGAGAACATTTATATCACATGCAGTTTGTAGTTTATCTGGCGCAGGGTACTTGGGGAGGTGCAGGAATCACGAAACGACCTCCCAAGCCAGAACGCATCAAGCGATTCCCAGGTGTTGATCCAAAGAAACGACAAGATTACGGGAAGGATCATGTCATCATATCTGAAAAGAAGGACAAAAAGGCTGAGAAGTATCTTGTCAAGGATTTACCCTTCCCGTACACCAGCAAAGCTCAATTCGAGAGGAGACTAGAGGTACCATTGGGCATGGAGTGGAATACGCGCACGACGTTTCAAAAAGCAACGCTCCCTCGTGTCGTCAAAAAGGTGTGTGCATGCACTGTTCAGCAGCCTTTTGCGCTTAGACTCGTTCAGATGGGAACAGCGATCGAACCGTTGGAGAAATTGTTTTGAATATATCTTATTCGTACAGTTATTGCCATGAGCTCGTGTCTTGGCCATTAATTTACAGCTTTTATGTACAACTGATCAACTATATGACAACGTTACAAGCTATAAGGTGAACTCTCCTACACATCCTCGCCCATAGCCTTGGCAAATGCTTCCGAGGCTTCGTCTATCTGGCCTTGATAGACCTCGAATGCGGTATCGGCACCCTTTTTCTTGGCCTTGCCAGCGTTCTTGACTGCATCCTTGGAATTCCAGCCAAGGGAACGACCCGTGAAAACCTCTGGGCTACGATCCAAAAGCGCATCCAATGTGTCGTCCGCGATGATCCGGTCATCCTTGGAAACAACTTCGATTTTATCCGCCTGTAGCTCGAGTAATTGTTGGGCTAGTTCGCGCATCGACTCCTTTCCACGGGCTGTCGGTCCAGCCGGATTACGGAATTTACCTAAAATTGTCAGTGGTTGCTCGGTAGACGAAAGCAGGAATGCACCTTTGGCGATGATGAGAGCCTCGAGCTTGCGCTTTTCTGACGCACGTTGCAGCACACTTTCTTCAATAGTATGCTGTGATACCAGCCGAAAAACAAGGACAGGTTTCGTTTGCCCGATTCGATGGGCTCTATCCTGTGCTTGCAGGTCCATTTGCGGATTCTATGATTGAATGTTAATGAGACGGATGGAAGTTTGGATCATCGCATACCCAATCCTGATCATAAAAGATGACTGTATCGGCAGCTACCAGATTTATCCCGAGCCCGCCAGACCGTGTGGATAGAAGGAAGAGCATTGGTGCCTCCGGATCGTCACCACCATTATTGAATCGATCCATCTCCGCTCGACGGTCCAACGGTGCGGTCTTGCCATCTATGCGACAAATATTCCAGCCTTTGAACTCGACTGCCCAATCTTCTACTCGCGATATCAGTACCGGTACAAGGGGAAATGAGAGACAAACCGATGATATCTAACATGGTTGTGAATTGACTGTCTAATGGTCAGGCTGCGGTCCGGCGGCAGCAGCAGTCGGTCATACCTGAACACAAGCACTTTGTGTTTTCGTTTGAACAGCTCGTCGAGGAGACGATTCAGGAGAAGCATCTTTCCACTAGCATGCACCAGCTGCTCGTCGAGAGTATATTGATTGTTCGAATCGACCGGCCAATCAAATAGATACGGATGCGAGCAAACTTTGCGAAGCTGCATGACAACGTTTTGCAGATGCATATTGTTCACTTTTTTCACTGTAGGATGGTTAAATCCTTCCCCTTGGGTTGCTCGCTAGCCGACGTACTAGCTTGCTTGAGCTGATGTTCCCGATCCAATTCGGCTGCCTCTTTGTCGCCAGAATCATTCAAGCCATCTGCTAAACGGGCAAAATATTTGTCGTCATCCTCGTTGTCCTCTGTGTACTTGGACTTGCGTCGCTTTCCAGCCGCTTTCGACCTTCGAGCCTTGAGTGAATCAGAACTGTCTTGAGCAACCGCCGCTTCCTTCATTCCTTGGTCTATGAGGTATTTTCGTAGGCCACCTTTGACAGTAAGATCATAAAGATCTTTTTGCTGTCGAGTTAATGGTGCATATAGAATGTATTCTTTCTGGAGGTCACCGTCAATAAGTAGGATGCTGGCTTTGGCGTTGGTACCTTGGGCGGCAAAGAGTGTTCAACATCCGACTTCAGTCTACGAAGCAAGAATGGCTTGAGAATCTGGTGCAAGCTTGTAATAATGTTTGTCGACTGGTCGTCAGAGAGGGTCGCTTGGGTGAGCTCTGGTAGATTGAACCATGATTCGAAAGAGGCAAGATCATTGAAGATGGACGGCTGATCATGGCGTCAGAGTGTTACGAATAAGGCTCCTTCGACATACGAGGATAAAATTCAGAAGTGACCACAACTCTGCTAGACTGTTGTGTAAAGGCGTTCCAGTAAGAAGAAGTCGATGTTCACTAGGAAATGCCTTGATCTCGCGCATAAGCCTGCAGAGCGATCAGAATATGCGACAAGCAAAGACAGCCGAACACACCTGCAATCCATATTCTTGAGTCGATGTCCCTCATCAACGACAATAAATTGCCATGGACGACCAGGAACTAGATTGGAAAGATATGCTGCGTCGCGAATGATCATGTCATATGTTGTGCAAACGACTGGAAACTCCATCGGCCGCGGATTCTTCCACTCCTTTTTGTCGGCATCGATGACTGTCGACTTTCGCTTTGAGCCTTTGCCTCGCAACGGCTTCTTTGGTCTCTCTCCATCGCCCTCCACTGGTGGAAGGAGTACTGTCCTGCGCATCTCTGCACGCTCCTCTTGTGTACCGTGATACATACACACAGGGATGGACGGAGCGAATTTGTTGAACTCGCTGATCCAATTGTGTAGTACGCTCAAAGGCGAGACGATGAGAAATGGTCCCCATATACCAAGGTCTCGAAGGTGTGCAAGAAATGCAATCGTTTGGAGGGTTTTGCCCTGACGATGATGAGCAGTGGACACTTTTGATAGCCTTTAGCTCACTAAGCCCATTTCATCCCCTGCAGCAATCAGCACACGTATTAGATGCAATATTCCTGGTTTACTCACCAAGAATACCGTTGAGGCCATTGGAGTGTAGGGTCGAGAGCCATTGGACACCAGCGAGCTGGTAATCTCGCAAGACCGCGCCTGTAATGAGCGGGGACTGCGCCTGATACTCCTCTTCTCCGTCCTCATCCTCTCCACGAACCTCGTCAAATACGGCCTTTCCCGCCGCGATGTTCCCATCCTCGACCTTTGCCTTTTTACTCGCAGCCATGGCCTCTACATCCTTTTTGTCCACATCCAGAATGCCACCTTCTTCCCGTCGTCGTTTCTTGGATGTAGACGCCGCAGGTGCCTTTCCTGTTGTTGCAGCGCGCTTCTGAGCGCGCTCAGCTTGCCTCGCACGGGCGGCGCGTTGTTCCTCGATACGCTGTCCAATGATAGTCGCATAGACCGTCGACTTCTGGACCAAAAAGTTTAACAACTGTAAATTCTTCTTTGCATCCTGTCGAATTGCTTAGTCAGGCAAAGGAGTCGTGGTAAAAAGCAAAAGGGTCGCACCGCGTCGTCCTCTGGTTCCTTTTGATCCTCAAGCGTGACCTTTCGTATGTCCTAAAACCAATGCAAAGACAACTACATGAGCAACGCGGCGACAAAAGGAGTTATCAAACCACGACGTACATCCTCTTCAACGTCCATTTCAGGCGCCTCTTCAAGCGAACGATCCTTTAATGCATCTCCAGCATCAGAAGGCTACAATAAAACGCGTCAATCAACCGCCAATTCGCGCAAAGGCACAGAAGGGCAGTTGCAAAACAAGCGTACAAGCGCGGTTGTGGGTGTTGGAGGTGTTCCTGGCGCGCTATCAAAGTCTGACGAGCGTGAGGAGAATACGTGCGATGGCGAGGGAGAGCTCGTGGACATTGAGCGGTAACGGCTGGGTTCAAAAGAGATCCTGTCGGAGTTTGAAGCGCGACGAGAGGGATGAAGGAGGCGAGTTCCACCAAAAAATTACTGATAGAACTATCCGATAGCGGGTTTATAACCACGAATTAAGCAATTAGTAAGCATTTTCCGATGTTCCTCGGCGATCGAACTGGCTTTCCCCCAACTTCACCACCTTCCTCGGTCAGCTCAAACGCCGGGTTTAGTGTGCACAAACTGTTCCCAGGAAAACCGTATGGTTTAAAAGGCCGCATACTTCCGTTTGCGGTACGCTTCACCACTATGTACAAAAGAGCACTGGGAGAGAAAGAAAGATGCGACAGATATAAAACAAATGTCAACGCCAAAAGCAAGTATGCGCCTAGGGCAAGTGTGCGAATCTGAGAGCGACACGATGCAGAGATTGTCGTGAGCCGGACAGAGACGTGCAGGGCAATCATGAACGGGCAGGAAAGCATTCCTAGGATGATGTGACTGTGAGAGAGCCAATGATTACGAGACTGTAAATAAGAGTCCGATAGACATCGTACGTGTTCTGGAAAGATAGAACGAGCGACGAGGAGGTCGAGTCCTTGTGTCCGTTTTCAGTCATCGAATGATCAACATCCTTTACGCTAAGGTTGGCATGGGCATGCCACCTCTGGGCGCATAACGCCTCTTCGCCGCTACAGTGGTAGAGGAAGAGGTATCAAACGGGACGGTCACCTCACCCGGGACCGCCGAGTACTCCAAAACCGTCGTGGTGAACGGGAGACCGCTGCCGTCTGCTGTAAGGACGGCCACGGGGGTGGGCATGGCCACGACTTCGGTGTTGCCGCAGAAGGGAACAGTGGGTTGCGGCATCAATGCACCACCATACGCTTCCGGGTATGAGCACGACTGAATGGGGACCATGAGTGGGGCCTGGTCGTTGTCGTTGAACCAGCCATCGCCAGGCGACACGCCGTGCGCTGTAATGCGAGGCACTGCGAGTGTGGTGTGGGTGCCGGTGGGTGTGTACGTTGGTAGGTATAGTGCAACTGGATACGAGGGGCCAAGCGACGTAGGTGGCCATGTAAGAGTTGCCGTGGCGGCAGCCTGGATTTCGCCTGCACCAGCACCTCCTGTAGCCCACGCAGGGTGCTGGCCATTGAACGGAGTTCCTGACTGGCCCTGACGAACACATGCACCGACAGCGTCACGTGGATCCGTCGGCAACCAGCCGTTGTCGAGTCCCAGCTTGTATGACCAGAAAGGAGCACGGACAGAGTTGTCGGTCGCCGATGGCCCAATTTTCCACGTCCAGAAGAACCAATTCTGAAGGGCATCCATAGAGGAAAGGGCGAATTGCCTGAGACTGTCCTTTGTCGTTTGATCCCAGTTCTCCCATTTCATCCACGGGTCGCAGTCGCCCTGATAGCGAGTCGGTGTGCCAACACCTGTCACAAATAGGCCGCAATCGTTGACAGCAGCACTGATCTCGCCCGCAGTGATGACACCAAAGGTAGACTGGGTCACGTTAATGGCATCACCCCATCGCGAGCACGGGCGAGGAATAAACGACTCCAGTGGGGCATCGTTCGGTCCATCAAAGGCAAAGTAAGGGTGCGTGTCGATGGACAGGCGGTCAGCGCCAGTTAAGAATGTATTCCATTCGCTGAACCCCAGGAAACCATCGTGAATGCCCTGTGTATCGTCAGTAATGCAACACAATATCGGGGCAAGTAGCGTCTTACAATCATTGGTCCCTTGCCCTCACCAATGCCTGTAACGTTTCGGATCTGCTTGTAGGCTTCAAAATAAAAGCTTTGGACCACTTCGGGTTGGAGAACATGATTGCCGGCCATGATTCTAGGCTCATTGACGATGCCTATTTCCAGAAGTAAGTTTTAAGACTGAATGCGTTTTGCGGCTCACCAAAATAGGGGACCACGGGGGCGTACTCGGGCTGCGAGATGAACTGGGTGATGATACGAATATAGTCGAGACTCCTCTGAGCATTTGCAATACCCATGACACCGTTGAGCCAATTGACACCTGCAGTGCATTAGAGCGATCGTTGTCCAAAGGAGGGCCGCCCTTACCGAGAGGTCCATTATTGAGACCGGAATGATTCCATCCATTTTGGGAGCCTGGATGAGTGTGGAGGTCAAGATTGATACGCAGTCCATATTTGCGAGCCCATCCGATGGCCTTGAGGACATCTACACGCGATGAGTGTTGAACGGAACAAGAAGAATTTCTCACATTTCCATTGAACAGACTCGATGTATGGCTCATTACCGACTGTCTCGACGGCCCAGAATGGGATCGGAAGGCGAACCCAGTTGAGGCCGGCCGCAACAATGTCCGCAAAATCCTTTTCGGTCTGCACAATAGTTAGCGTTTTGAGTCATAATAAGGGTATAATGCGTACGTAAAAGGTCGCATAGTGCTTTTCGAGGTCCCCGATAGAGCCGTCTGCCTTCATCTGCTCGACGAGCTTCCATTCGTCAATGATTTGGTAAGAGCCATTTGGATACGTCATGCTTGAGTATTTCTGGTACAATGCCGGAGTGATAAACGGTTCCGTAACGAGCCAGCCGCCCAAATTGACACTGCACGAAATACGTCATGAGTATTCATAGGAACGGTATGCAGCGCGGGAGAAATCTCGCGTGCAGAAGAAGAGAAACACTGACCCTTTGATGGTGTCTTGACCCCATTTCCAAGTCTCGTTGAGGGCGGGGGTGTACGATTGCGCACGAGCCTCTGCAAAAATGAATGAAACGTTAGAGGCGGCCATCGGACGGAGGTCGAACAAAGAGGATCGCTTAGAGGGGGGAACGTGCCTGGTCACGATCGCCCCTCGCCGGTAAGAAATGACGTGCGCACTCACCGTTTGCGAAAGGCCTGGCGGGATCATAGCTCCAGTGGCCTCCAAACTTGTTCGTATATGTAAAGCTTGATCCATCTTCTGTGTATACTTTTGAACCGTCGCCACCAGATGTCGCACCGTCTGGCTGAGCGACTGGGAGAGTGTCGTCGCCATTTACAGCGCCGCCGCCTCCAGAACCTCCGTGACCACCGGTGGACGTGTTACGTTTCTTGATGACGAGAAAGTAGACGGGGAGAACGATGACGAGGACAAGAATGACGACAGCCAGGCAGCCAAGAGCCGCAAAGAGCTTCCAACGCGATGAGCGTGCCGGGGGTGTTGGCTTGGGGTCTCCTGTAGGTGCCTCTTTAGCATCTGCAGGTTGTTCATTGTACAATTGGCGGTCAGAGGCCGATGGAGAGGCCTCCATGGGTGTAGGATCTACACTCCCCAGCGCGCTGAGGCGCTTCTCGTCGTCGGACATTGTAGATGGACGTGTAGACGAGCTTTTCGACGTCGAGAAAGGCGAAATGGAGGAGGAGAGGGGGGAGAGGAGTCGTAGGAGGGTCCAAGTGAACGGCCCGCCGATGGGCTTCTTAGAACTACTTTTGGCCTGAAGCGGCGAGTGGCCGTGCTGTAGTCGGGAGCGACGCGTGAGAGCTAAAAGATTTTTCCCAGTAATATTTTGTGAAATATTTCACTGGATCTCGTCTTCTTCTTCTTTTTTTTTGGGGGGGGGGTCGTCACGGTACGCGTGGGCAAGAGGTTTGACACGCAAAGCGAGGGGCGGGGCCGCCTTGGGGCCATCAAGGAATGTGCATATCCCAGGCTTTTTATGGTCATTCCAAGCCAAGCAAGCTCCCTGCAAGGCTCTGGCCGAGCGCCACGAGAAAGGCGAAGCAAGCTGCCAGCGGCCAGCGATAGACGTAGTATTCGGATAATCAATAAAATGGTCACAAAATAGTCGTAGTAAATGGCCAGGAACAACCTTTGACCCGGCCGCAGCCATTTCCCCGCGCCACGTCGTCGAGACTAACGACGGCCAGCCCATCCTTGAACTCTACAATCTCTAGAGACTCATAGATTATGTCAAACGTTCGCAAAAGGAGCTCGAAGCAACCCTCTGGCTCGACACCATCAACAGGTCACGAAGAAAATGTCAATGGTCACTCCCATTCGCATGGGCGCGGAGCAAGCATCTCTTCATCACTTTTACATTCCCATACACACGGACATGACGGGGAGGACGAGGAGGAGGAACATACTGGAGAGGCTCTGATGCTTCTCGACGCTCTCCGAGGACGCGGTGCGTGATCCCTTGCCCTTGAAAGGACTTCTTGCATGTGCTCATTGTGTTTCATATAACAGGAGATGCAGCCAGTCGCGTCACGCTCGTCGGTCTCGGAGCCAATATCGGACTTACTCTGCTCAAGGGAGGAGCCGGTTGGTACGCATATACTTACATCCACTTCTCTGTCTCACATCTTTCCCAGGTACTTGAATAGTGCTGCACTCATCGCCGATGCTGGCCATTCGTTGAGCGGTGAGCGGCATCGTTACAACGCTGTCCATTTCTCATACTCGCATTAGATCTCATCGCTGACTTTGTCACTCTGAGCACCATCATTTTGTCACAACGACCCGCTTCGCCACTCTACCCGATCGGGTTTGGAAAGTTTGAATCTCTCGGCACCGTCACTGTGTCCATCTTCCTCCTTCTTGGCGGTATTGGCATTGGAGCTCACTCTTGGAGTATTCTATCAGATACCCTCTCGAGCACCCTCGCGAAACACCCAAACCTCCCACCCTTATTTATCCATATTCTATCCCTTCTTCTGCAAGACTCGTCATCGTCATCCTCTCATCATCACGGTCACTCTCATGGACATGATGACGGAGACGATTTATCGCCGTCGGCCATCTTCTTCCCTCTTCGGCATGTTGGTCAAAGAATATCTCTACCGCGCTACCAAGCGCGTCGCAGAGGAAACAAACTCGAGCGTACTCATGGCAAATGCTCTTCACCACCGCTCCGACGCGTTTGCGTCTATTGTGACCGTAGTGGCTATTCTGGGCAGCGTCGTGATGAAGGACATCCCAGTCGACCCAATGGGAGGTAAATCATATACATTATTTCCTATTACGACGAATACATTTGCTCAATATCAACAGGCCTTCTTGTCGCATTCCTGATCCTACTGTCCAGTGTCCGCATCTTCAAGGGTGCTATTTTCGAACTGACCGACGCCTCTGTTTCACCCTCGACGCTCGAGACGTATCGCTCTGTGCTCGCGCCATTGGTGTCCACGACGCTCGTCAAGGTGGACAGAATTCGCGCAATCAGGTCCGGTTCCCTCGTCTTTGTCGACGTCCATGTCACCCTTCGAAGCGGTGTCAGCGGAGACCAGGTTTTGGACGTAATTGAGGGCATCCAATCGCGACTTTGTGGAGAACGTAAGGAGGTACGAGAAGTACGCGTCTCGTTTGAATTGGCTGCTGCATGAGGGAATGCACCCACAAAACCCCGGAGCTGGTCTGGGCATTTCTTTTCTTGCACTTGGTTCTTCGTATTCATCATAGAGCATAATGCATTATGTTTGATGCATCCCCGTACATGGCGGTCAGAAGCTTAGAGGCTCCGGAAGGGGTCTTTGCATCTTGGCCCCGACTGCCCTTAGACTCTACGAGCGCCATCTCTCGGCAGCGAGAGAGAGGCAAAACTGCAACGAATGAGCACATCAACGCCCAATGTCGTCATTTCCTCTCCTTCTTCGCCAATACACGCTCCAAATCCATTGATCTCGAGCGCGAAACAGCAAAACGACTTGTCAGCTATTCCTCTTGATGACCTCGCACATACAAACGGTGACGCTGTACCGAGTAAACTCGCTCAGGACGGCGAACACTTGCAGTCTTCCGCGGACAGGAAGGGCAAAGGCCGGGCGAAGCCGACCGACACGGTGGACGAGCTCGAGAATTACGATTTGACAGAGCAGGCGTACGAGGACGAGGAGAATAACAGAGTCCAAGAGGCGTTCGAATACGGGGAAACAGACGCAGACGTGAGAGCCCAAGGAGCATATCCGCCCGTTGGAGATGACGAACTGGAAGAACGACGGATTACAGAGGTACGCATGCTCGTTTACACTCCTCTATGCGTCTGCTCACCATCGTCTTTTGCCTTTTGCATATTTTCCTCGATAATTGCCGACGTATACACCACTCGACCAACTCCACCGGCGGTTGGATGCCCAAAATTTTGATTGGGTGTTGGATGGATGTATAGAATCTGAAAAGGTGGGAAGAAGCAGAAAGACTGCGTCGAAAAGCGCAGCGTGAGTCGATACGCACGTCGACTTCGAGTTCACTCGTGGGTGACGTCGGCCGGCGGGCGAGCAAGCTGTGGAAGGATGGTGCACAACGACGCTCTAGTTTGCGTAAAGGTGCGACGAGGTTGCGCGACGACGTGTCATTTGATGATCCGCCGTCCCGTCGCACCAGTGGCACGACGGCACACGGCACAGATGCCGTGGGTAACGGAAACGCTTATGGAGAGGCGACGAGTAGGAGTACGACCCTTAGCTTGCAAGAACGGGAACACGACCGGTCTTCGCCGTCCTCACCCACCCCGCTCGTCTCCAATAATCCGTTTGCGACTCCACGAGGTGGGAGCCCCTCGTCGTTTATTGACGAGCACTCTTCCTCGAAATACTATGCGAGGAGTAAAAGTCCAGAGGATATGAGTGTCCGAGGAGCACTCATGGAAGAAACGTCGAATCCACCGACTCCTGGAATACCAACTACGACTTCTGACCAAGATCCAGAAGTCGGCGACAGGCCCGTTTTGCAAGCTTCGACGTCGTACAGTGGAGAGGCACAGCGAAATAGACCCAAAAGCCAGTTGCCGCCACCACAACAACTCGACCTGCCACAAGAGGTGAAAATATCCAAAGCACCAGGTCGCACATCCTCTCCAGTGGTCGTGGAGAGGTCGCGGGCGGAGATTCTCGAAGACGAGGAGCGAGAGGCTCGAGAGGCTAGAGAAGGTCGATGGTGGACAGACTGGCTCTGTGGCTGCAGAGAGGAACGTCGATTGAATCAAGACCAGGTATGGATTTCCCCCACATTGGTTGTTCCATCGTCTGACCAAATTCAAAGGCTGGCGCCACCAATCCATTTGAGTGATGTGGCGTACTTTTTATTCATTTCAAGATATATCGCATGCTCAAATCCCAAAGTGTCACCTGCCTTGGAGTTTGTGTATGCTCGCCACGGACTCCTTTTCGTCTCGGTCTAGTCTCCACCTCTTTACTGTATTGCGCTGTAACTTTATTTCAGTCGAGTACAAAGTACTTTGAAAAGAGTGCCATGGCTACCTCATCTCGAGCATCTGAATCCCTCAAGGATTCCGCAGAGGCACCGCATACAGTCTACGGAAAACATGACCGTATATCCGTCTCGCTAAGTCAGAGTGTGGGAAGCAGGTGACATGGTAACTGCTGGTAAATATTATAGCCGTGGGGGACGCATCTTGCACTCTCCCGCTGCTTTATTTGTCTTCAGTCGTCATACAAGCACTGTTCGAAGATGGAAAGTGAACTACAGAACACAAAGCTCGACTTTGAAGGGTGTCCAGAGGGAGGGTAAGCTACAAATGTACAATTTCCCCAGTACACTTGATTGACGGTCTTGCCTTGAGATCACATGTCTTCCCGAGAGAAGCAAGCAAGATGGATTGGTTCTTCGCCATCTTCTGCTGTCCCGTATGTATTTCAAGTCTGGTAGCTGCATGGCTCTAACAATGGAGGTAGTGCTACATTCCCTTGGCTTTTTGCGTCCAAGGTAAGTACAAGGCTGGTAATTCGCGTTCTTCATATTGACCCTTCCTTCTAGTTGCACCGTAAGTTCGTAGAGTCAGAAGACTAGACAGGGCCTCACTAATATCAGGCTCCCTTGCAAATCCTGTGATGAGTCTGGGGACACAGATGACCAAGGCAACGTACGCATGATTCTGAGTTCCCCCATTGGATTCGTATTTACAACTCTGCAGCCACTTTGCAAGAAATGCCGTCTCAGTATACCAGAAGCAACGGAGATGCAGAGAAACCTAGCCAAAAAGGAGCTCCTTACAAGGCAATATCAACGGCAGATGGCAGCAAATCAAGTTGACAGTGCCACACTCGTTACCCCATCTGCACCACAGTGAAGATGTTTGCGTATTTTTTGTTTCCTTGCCATGTACAGGTCATAGATTGTGATTCCCATCTTCCACACGGTATCCTCGTTGCATTCGTCCAGATGGAGTGATATGCCAGCTCTAGTCTCCTCCCCTATTTGGGCTATTAGATCAAGTGATTCGGGACCTGGAGCATATTTGGCCTGAGATAGTCCGGCCGTGGACACACCCAGCGCTGACACTTTTGGAGTCTAGCCATGGCCAACAATATGGCGGGGTATCATTCGTGAGCTCTAAACTATATATTTTTTGCGCTATAATATACTAATGAGCCCTCCCTTTATCTTCGATTATGCATTTGCGGCGCCTATCTAAAGAGTGCCTATCCAGGTTACAGGCAAGTGCCCACAACCCCCCTAAATTGGCACCAAAAGATGTAGATCTAATCTGCTTCATTTATTCAGTCGTGGCAGCGATGGACCTCGTCAAGCGAGACGTCTTCAGGAGGCCCGACGTGTTCTGTACCATATCTGCCAACATAAACGGCCAATGGGAAGATATAAACACAAAAACGGTCGAAGACAATACATCCCCCGTTTGGAATGAATCCTTCATCATGTGAGCCGCTACACAACGCCATCTCAGAACTCACCACAGTCGAATAGCACAACGAGCCCGACAGGCATCATCTGGATACGATTATTCGATGCCTCGAGATATTCTAGACGACGCGAGCAGGCTGGTCTCGGCGTCGTTCAGGTCTCTCTCTCGTCTATAAATCTGAACGCTCGTGGTAAGCGCCGCAGATTCTCACCAACACTCTCTCGGCCTTACAAACGCCGCCAGACGTTATTGGATATGAACTCAAGAAAGGTCCCGATAATCAACATGTCTCGGGCCGTATTCTCCTTCAGATTGGATACGCACGCCAACCACAGGGCTCACCGTCGCCTGTTCCCTCGCCCATGCACGCACCTGGTCATCGGCCATATTCCCAGAGCCCACAACATCTTGCTCCAACTCAGGGCTCTCATCAACCATTCCATGCCCCACGTCCGCACTCTCCCTTTCATCCTACTCAGCCACAACCGACGATGCAACAACAAGCACCATGGGCGAATGCCGGCCCGGCAGTAAATCCAGGTATGGCAGGCATTGGATCGGGAACCATATTGCGTTCCCTGTACCCACTACACATCCTCATGTGATTGGCGTCCCTCCGAATGGGCAACCAATAGGCACCCAAACTGCCATTCCTGCGTCAGCAATCTCACCTACACAAGCTGCAAATCTGGCGAGGCAAGGCAGCATGAGCATGCAGGGTGCCGCTGCTGGTGGTATGCGGCGTCAGGGGACGATTACACGTCGACCCGTCGAGGGTGCAGACATAGGGCGCGCAATGGAACAATTTTCGCATCGTACGTTTGCAGATAATCTGGAAAGCACCCCTCCTGCACCCTCTCCAACGGCGGATACTCTCGGCCCATTGCCACCTGGATGGTCGGTTCGTCGAGCGCCCTCTGGGCGGGTTTATTATGCGGACAGCAATACACGGACCACGACTTGGGAGGATCCGAGACTGCTCAGACGATCGGCCACGACTACGGGGAACACGACGACCGGTGGCGAGCAAAGGCAACAACCAGATGTCGGTCGAAGTGCATCTACATCATCCACAGGCTCGGCGTCGGCACCAGCGCCTGCTTTGCCCCCAAATGCCAATCCTGACCCTTTGCCTTCTGGCTGGGAGATGAAAATGACGCCCCAGGGCAAAATTTATTTTGTCGACCATAGTAAGTGTATCAAATTCTTTATCGCAACTCGACTCATCTCTTGACAGACACGAGGGTATGCCTGGCTGGCTCTAGAGTTGCATAACCTACTGACAATGTTGATAGACGACTACGTGGGAGGATCCAAGGCTCCCTTCAGAGCTTGCGGATGATGTGCCACAGTTCAAGCGTGATTTCCGCAACAAGCTCATCAACTTCCGCCGCCAGCCACCAATGCTGATGGGCCAAGGCTTTGTGGACATCAAAGTCCGCCGATCCCATCTGTTCGAGGATGCCTACAGGGAGATAATGACAAAGACACCCGAACAGCTCAAGAAGCGGCTGCGCGTTCAGTTTGAAGGCGAGATTGGTGCAGACTTTGGAGGTGTATCGAGGTCAGTTCCTGTTGCCTCGTTATCATGCATGCTAATACTTGTTTAGAGAGTTCTTCTTCCTCTTGTCGCATGAAATGTTCGATCCCCAATACTGCCTCTTCGAATTCTCCGCCCACGACACATATACCCTCCAAATCAACCCAATGTCCGGCGTCAATCCAGAACATTTGAACTATTTCATGTTCATTGGCCGTGTGATTGGGATGGCCATCCACCATCGACGGTTCCTCGACGTCTACTTTATCAGTAGTGTTTACAAGCGCATGATCGGTAAACCAGTCACGCTTCCAGATCTGGAGAGCGTGGATGATGAACTCTATCGAAGTCTTGCCTGGTGTTTGTGCGTATGAGTTACCGCAGCCCAGACCATATACTGATGGGATATATACAGGGAAAATGACATCACAGATGTTTTGGAAGAGACGTTTACAGTCATTGATGAACGATTTGGCGAAACTCTCACCATCGAACTCATACCCGGAGGCGCGGATATTCCCGTCACAGAAGAAAACAAAAAGGAGTTTGTCAGGTATGTGGTCCTTTCGTCTATGAAACTGTCGTTGATCACGAATAAAGGCTCAAAGTGGAGTTTATCATGCTGCGGCGAGTAGAAGAGCAGTATGCAGCCTTCATGGAAGGAGTCCACAACTTTATTCCTAAAGACCTTTTATCAACCTTTGATGAGCGAGAAGTCGAGCTCTTAATTGGTGGCATTGCCCAAAGTAAGTATCCTCCTTTTCGTCACTTGTAGCTGATCGCTTTGTAGTTGATGTGTATGTTCTTTACCGAATTGGATGCCTGACCATCACTGACGGAACACTAGCGAGGACTGGGTCAAATTCACAGACTATAAAGGATACACGGCGCAAGACCAGGTGATTCAGTGGTTCTGGCAAATCATACGCTCTTGGTCGGACGAAAAGCGATCGCGCTTGCTTCAATTCGCCACTGGTACCTCGCGTGTGCCTGTAAACGGCTTCAAGGATCTACAAGGTAAGAACCTGGCTAGGTCAAGACTAGTGACTGACCCCCATAACAAGGCGCAGATGGCCCGCGTCGGTTTACAATTGAAAAGAGCGGGGATCCTTCTATGCTGCCTAAGAGTCACACTTGTTTCAACAGAGTGCGTCTATATATAACTGTGTAGGAGTACTTGATACTGATATTTTCTTCAGATCGACCTTCCACCATACCTGGATTCACAAAGTTTGGAGAAACGTTTAACCATTGCTATCGAGTACGTCCATCGCATTTTAGCAATTGCTCCACTAACCACCGAACAGGGAGAGCGGTTCGTTCGAGCAAGAGTAGTCGCTTCTCGTTATGTTTGTTCCTTGGCACTGTTGGATGCTCGGTGTATTGATAAACTTTTGATAATCGATCGTACAGACTAGTCTGAGGCTATTCGGCGAGTGTAAGAGGCATCAACAAGGTCGGTCTCGTGCCGTCCTCAGTAATGTCTTCGGCTCTTTGCAATCTCCTGAGCTAAGCCGAGGCACCGAGGCGGTCTGCATATGTGCTCTAGGATTTGACCATTATGCAAGTGTCCTGATAACGGCCTATTCAGCGCCGTTCGACCAGGTCCGGTTTCGGGGGAATTCTGGAGCCTACTCGAGTTCCAAATTGGGCCGCACAAACCCTAAAACTGAAGGATAACTCAAGCGCTCGAGAGTCGATAAATTCGGGCCCTTTTGGTTGCTGTCCGCGCGATCATTGTTCCGCCCGAAGCGACGGCCCCAAACTTGAGTGGCGACTCATTTTGACCTTGACCACGACCTAGATTATTCACCAAAAACACTTTTATAATCTAAATAACCCATGGTATGTTGTTTTTGGGTCGTCGCTCACTCATTCACCCAACGTCATACTAAATATTTTTGGTAGGAAAACGGCTACACGTCGGCCACTGCCTATCAAGGTCCAAACCACACCGAACCGATGCGGAAGCTCACCAGAGTCCGCACGGATGTCCTTCCGAGGTCCGTAGCTCATACTTTCTCTTGGCCGTCTGCTTATCGGATTGTAGTACAACCATCACCGCTGGACTCCCGCAAGTCAACCCATTCTCTCGTCCAAAGAGCTTCATAAAGGGAATGGTCCATGCAGTCTTGGCTACTGTAAGTGGTTCATGAACGTGCGCTCGCCTGCTCCAGATACTGAACATAGCATTAGGCAATCTTCAGGTGTTGGCACTTCATCCTCTTCTATTCCCTTGAAGCTTTTGTGGTCACCTACTTCTACATGGTCCATGGCAAGACCTTTCTGGCTATCGAAAATACCTTGATGGTCGGCGACATTCCTCTCTTCCATGTCGTCTCTGACTGTTTGGCAGAACGTTTTGGGAACTGTGTTGGGTTTCGTCATAGGCTATAGAAGCAGTGCCAGCTTTGAGAGATACAATGAAGTGGGTTCGGCTACTAAGCGACTTTGATGTGGTTCTCAACTCCAACAGGGTCGACGCTTTTGGAGCCAAGTCGTTTTGAACGTCCGCATGTTCGCTCGGACAGTGTGGTTTCATGTACCTGGTATGTGTTTAATAACGTGGGCACTAATGTGAACCTGACGCCTGGCTTAGATGGACCGACAAACGGTATGCAAATGGGGCCAGCAAAGGATGTCAGCGAATACAAAGCAAGAACCCTCGTCGAGAAGAAGACTGTTCTAAATCTGCTAGAGGCTTTTGCGTAAGCCCATTAACCTCCATACATGGATATGCTCACTGTTGTATGCAGCGTCGCCTCAAGCACTATTTGCGAGGAGAAACGAGTAATGTCTACTATGAGGATCTTTATCCTCTCATCAAGTTTCTCCCCGCTTATGCCCTTCCTGCTGGGTACGAAATCCAGTGGCCAGACCCCCGTAATCCCAAAGCACGAACTTCTTCCCAGATTCCTCGGGCATCAGCTCAGGTGAATCGGTCCTCCTTTCAGGTCCATCAAGATGGTCTGCCGCTACCCGCGACGACAAAACAACGGGGGCCAACTCTCAACGTTCAGCCACCTTCACTTGACGAGAAGCGAGGTATGAGTGAATCTACGGCACACGAGAATATCATCTACCTCGCACCGTCGCGGGATCCTCCTCCATATCACATTTTCGACTTTTGGCCCATGTCGCTCTTCGTCCGCAGTTTGCAAAAAGGTGGCAAGGAGCTCAAGGGCAGGAAGGCTCTCAGAGATCGGGCAAAAAATCCCTCCAATTCGGACAACGTCGCTCTTGAAATCTCGCTCTACCTCAGTAGCTATGTTGCCTCTCTCCAACAGCGCGGTCTCGACGGCCTAACTGCTGGGACTTTGATGGGTGCATTGGGACAGTTAGTGGATGCTCTGACAGGGCTAGAGAGTGTTGTCCACACCGGTTCCATGGGCTGTGAGTGATTATCTTACTCGCGGATTTCGTCTAATCAGGAACAGTATAACGTTCACATTTGGTTCGTCGCGCTGATCTGGCTTTTGCTTCTGGTAAGTGTACCAAATGCCACCCTGGTTTCCAACTAAAACATTTGAAGCCTTTCCAGATCTTGAAGCCACTTGGCTGGCTTACAATCCCGGGGGTATGTCCATAACCATTGAATAAACTCATTACTCATCTACCCACAAGGTGGCGCTTGCGTCCTTTGTATATTGTGGTCTGATGAAATGCGCCGAAGAGATTGAGGATCCTTTCGGATACGACTACAACGATCTCAACTTGGATCACTTCACGCACAACATCATTCGCAAGGAGCTCGCCTCGCTCACGGCCCTCCCCATGCCCGATCCGACCAAATGGGCGTTTTCGCCGGAGAATGATGCCGTGTTCGACGTCGACGGCAATGCGATCTACCTCGACCCAGATTCACTCGCTCCACCGAGTGTGTGGGTCAAGCGTGGCGAGACAGAGATCCGAGCAGCTCTGAAGTGCAGGAAACGACGCGCCTGTTACTCCGATTCCTATTCCAGCTAAGACACTGTCTCCACCATTGGAGAGAATGGCATCGCCAGCGACCATACGAAGCAGCATCGACGGTTCCTCGACGCAAGGTGCAATAGGTGCCGGCGTCCTCCAACCAGGCGGATCGCTCAGTGCACACAAGTCGTCTTTTGGTAGTCCTGACGGTGCTGGACTGGTTGCTGGGGCTGCAGTTGCTGCTGCTGGGATCAATGCCGAAGTCGTTCCTTTCGACTTTACCAACTCTCCATCTCCCCCGCCCACAGGGGTGTAACAGGCCTCTTGTATTTATGAGGCGAGGGCGATCCACCTTACTCATACAGACTTTCTCGGACTAGATTGATAGAAATGTAGCTACCATCTTTTTGAATCACACCACTGGCCGTTTTTACGCTTTCAATGTAGGTGGACAAGTAATGGATTGTCACCAGTCTTGGGTGAGAGCTCCTGGAATAGTGTTTCCCTGTGGTCGTGGTGTTCGAGGCTCGGAGCGGAGATTGAACGGTCGAGGTAATTCGTCCCGTGAGTCTTCTCCTAGCAGCCTTTCATTCTCCTCACCCTCCTCATCTTGTGATCGAAGATTGGTTGCTTGATGTGATGTATCCTGTGGGGACGACAAGAAGAGGCTACGAGGGTCCCAGCAAATTGCTGCGAATTGAGAGAGAGACATGTCCAAGACGAGGTTATCTCTGCGACTACGTATGGCCGCTTTTTGAGATCGTTCGCGTCGCCGGGGATCCAAATCTTCTATAAACAAGTATTAGTCAGATGCAGGCGTAGTAATCAAAATAACTTGCCTATAGTCTTCATAAGTATCATTAGATGCCAATACAGTATGGTAAAGGCGAGCAGTTCGATAAATGTAATGGTTACATCGAGGAATAAGATAATTGAAAGCGCCGGAGGTTGAGCTATGCGGCATGATGAATCCAGATATCAAATAGATCGATAAAACGAACCATGGCCGATGAAATCGAGGATAATGCTGGATGCTGGGCGAGGCGACGTGTGTATCCAGAGCGCAATCCCGAAAACGCTGAGCGGAATGAAGGTCCATCGTAGCTTACTGTCAATTAAGATGTCGGGGAGGATTAGCTCGTATACGACGAACACGCCGAGGAGAGTGACGCTTACTGCCGAACAACCTCCTTCTGTAACGTGAGCCAACTCCACTGGACTATCCACCGCAGCGCAAAGAGAGAAAAAGACGGGTAGAGAAGATAGGAGAGCGCGTATAAGTTAAGCAGCAGCGAAGTCAGCTGGATCGTGTCGTCGAAACGCGGTCAGCAAGCATACAAAGTATAGTTCATGACCGTACAGATTTCAGGACATGCTCCCGCTGCGCGGAATATCTCATCGGCTCTTGCCACTTTGAAGCAGCCGGAGTTGGCGGCAGCAAGATGATTTTGTTTGGCCAGGGCACACGAGAAGGAGCAAAGGGCGTATTAAAGCTAACAAATACAGGTGATCGAGCATGTACGGATCACTACAGGATACAAGGTTGAAGCACTTGTTCTCATGAACGGCGAGGCCAAGAGGAAGCTAGCTAGAGGATGACCCCGGAGTTGCAAAGGCGTGGATATCGTTTGTGGATACCTCTGTTGCAGGCGACATTTGCATTCCTGCCAGCGCACCGACGGCTCCAGTGAGGACAGCTCTGGGTGGCACACTGGTTATTGTCGTAGCGACGGGTGGTGGTGGTGAATGATGATCAATCTCGTCAGAGTTTGTCCTAAGGGCAGCTCGAATGTCGGCTTCCCCACGTTTGACCCATTCTTCTGAAGCTGCGATGCCTTTGTCGTTCCCGGTGCTTGGCATATAAATGGCATTCCCTTCGTGGTCAAATACGGCGTCGTTGTCGACAGAGAATGCCCACTGCATAGGATCTGGCATGGGGACACTTGTGAGTGCATGTAGTTCCTTTCGCACAATGTTATGCGTAAAGAGATCCAGGTTGAGGTCGTTGTAGTCGTATCCAAAGGGATTTTCAAGCTCTTCCGAGCACTTGAGTAGCCCACAGTACACAAATGAGGCCAAGGCAACCTGAGATGCTGTGAGTAAAAGGAAAGAGAGTCATGTTCGAGGCCTACTCCCGGAACTGTCAACCAACCCAACGGCTTGAGAACTTGGAACGGTAAAGCGAAAAGCCACACCAGTGACACAAACCAGATGTGGACGGTGAAGCTGAATGGGATCGGCGAGTGCAAAATGCGTTCGAGTCCTGTAAGGGCTTCTACCATCTGGCCAAGAGCGGGAGCCATCTGTCCTGTAGCAAAGCCATCCACACCACGACGCTGCACGGAGGCTATGTAAGAGCTGAGGTAGAGGGTAATCTCCAGAGGTAGCGAGCCACTTTGACTGTGACGAGCTAGATCACGGAGAGCCGCACGTCCTTTGAGGGTCTTGCCGTTCATCTGCATGCTGCGAACAAAGATTGACATGGGCCAAAAGTCGAAGATGTGATAAGGGGGTGGATTACGAGCAGGTGCGAGATAGACGACGCCATTTCCCGCAGGCCCAGGCGCATTTGTCTCATTGGTTGTCGAAGATGCTCTTTTATGAATACTGGAAGATGTAACCGGCGGAGGAATGGTGCCACCCGCCCATTCTGCTGCTCGTTGGATCTTTGTTTCTTTGCGAGCGCGACGCCGCTCCCACTTGCAGGGCAGGTGCTCGACCGCTACACCATCTGGCAGTGCATAAGCAGGAAGGAACTTTATTAGGTGGTATAGATCGACATAGTAGCTTCCGGACTCTCCCCGAAGGTAGTGCTTGAGGGCGACGCTGGCAGACTTTAGGCTGATGCCGTGTGGCGAATGACAAGTACTTACGCATAAGCCTCGAGGAGGTTAAGTACCGTCTTTTTCTCGACCAACATGCGTGCTCGAAATTCCTCGACCGTCTTTGCTGGTCCAAGAGTCATGGCTCCGCGCGCTTCGTCTGGCCTGATTCAGACCCTCGTTATACATGCAAAACTCTGCTTACCTGGAACATAAAACCAGACTGCAATAGAAAACATTCGGATATTGTAGATTATTTGACTCCAATACTTCCTTCCCTGTGCGAGGTGAGCATGATTTCAAATCAGTCTCGGATGACAAGCCTCATTATATCTCTCAAATGCAGAGCTACTTCGGTAGCCTATGACAAAGCCGAGGACAGTTCCTAGTACGTTCTGGGGGGAGCTGGTTAGCGGACACATCAGGAAGATGACCAACTACTTGCCATGAGTGTGCTCTCGATAGCCAACTTCTTATATCCATGGTGTTGCAGATAGGTGACGATGAATGCCTCAATGGTGAAGAAGAGGATGAGGTGCCAGCAACGAAAGACGGCTGTCGCTAGTATGGCCTTGAAAATTGTCTTAAAGTAGCCTCCTGGATGTGAGAGGACATTTCCCGAGACGTCCTGGACCTGGGTAGGGCCGCTATGGTAGTAGAACTCTGTCTCTCGGCGTGCGGATCGTCGAGGACTGCTGGGGGCACTTCCTGCGTTATAATGGAGAGAGGGCACAGACATGGTGAAAGAACCGTTGGAGCATCTTGGGCAAACTCGTGTATTATATGTGCCGTATCGGTCCAAAGGATAGCAGCTGACAGCCGTTATTCGGGTTTGACTTAGGGGTTCCAATGAGCGCTAGCCAGAAGAATGAAATGGAATCAGGGCAAAAGGTACAGTTGCACTGACTATTCTTGTCCGCCCGACAATCAAGAACCGCACACCATTCGGAAATCCAACTTTCCGGTGGCTGGCAATCAACAAAACCATTCAGATTCATCAGTCTTCATCATGAATCGTTACGTTTGCTTTCACTGTCGAAGCCGCCGGTGCGCTGGTTGGAGCCATTTCCTCGTCTTCGTCCTCGCTCGGAGCCTTTGCGACAGAAATAACCTCTGGTGCCACCAATCGCTTCTTTTTGAACGGAACATCCGGACCCGGTCGTCCATCGTCACTCTCAGAGTCGCCACCGCCTGCTTGCTCTTTCCGCTCCGGTACATCGCCTTTTGGCTTTCCTTTGCCCTTTTGACGTGCCGCTTCTTTCCGTTTTTGACGCTTCGCACGGTTTTTGGCCGTTTTGGCTTCAGCCTCCTCTTCTCGCTCTCTCTTCCGCCTTTCGGTCACAGCTTCCATCTCTTCCTTTATAGCTTTCAGTATTCGAGAACGTTGAAAGATACTGTTTTGATCTCACCTTGGCCTTTTCATCTTCCATAAGCTTTATACGCTCATACTCGCGTCGTCTGCTTGCTTTGTAGACATGAAATTCACCACTTCCGGCTCCAGCGCTACTTCCTTGAACATTTTTGACCATATCTTTTGGAGGACGGATCGTCTTCTCCTTTGGGGGCTCCGGCAACACGACTGGCTTGTCTGGATTCTTTAGGAGTCGCTCCAACTGTGCCCGGTTAAAGTCAACACCCGTCTTGGGATACTTTCTGGGTTCTTTCTTCTCTTCGGACGCGTCCTTGTCAGCCATGCTGGTCGCGACACCGAATGTGGAGAAGGGCAAGGCGTCGGCCAACTTGACACACGTCTCAAATCGTAACCAATATCATCTTAGCACTTGGTAAGAGGTGGATTTAGAAGTGTAAGCTGCGTTGGGCATAGCGATCTTACAAATTTTAGGTGCGAGTGAGCCGAGGGACGGAGATGGCAAAACAACAAGCACTAAGGAGAGTAATCTACCATCCTCCACCTGCATTCGCAGCATCCCAACCCGAGCCAGCAGGTTCCGCAGCCCAGTCGGTCCCCTGAGCAGGTTCCGCCGCCCAGTCAATGTTCGCGGCAGCAGCGACGGTTGCGCCGGTAGCAGGGTCCCATTCAGCAGTGACCGCAGCAGTCTCAGCACCACCTTCAATGGCACCAGGTACCTTTTCTTCCGTCTTCTCAACCTCCTCGGGATCACGGTAGAAGAACATGTCAACCATGACGTTCCAGCCACCGGGTGTTCGTGGGATCGTTCCACGCAAACGGAGAACTTCACGAGCGAGTAGCCACCAAATAAGACCAATCGAGTTTCGGGCCTTGTTGTTTGCAGGGATGGCGACGTCGACGAAGCGCAATGGCGCATCGGTATCGCAAATAGCAATGACTGGGATGTTGACGTAGGCAGCTTCACGGATAGCCTGGTGGTCGACTCGCGGGTCGGTGACAATGATCAAGCGTGGCTCCTTGAAGGAGCGGGTGATGTAGTTGGTAAAGGAACCGGGGGTGAAACGACCAGCAATGGCCTGTGCACCAGTATGTTGGGCAAACTTGAGGACAGCACGCTGACCATACGGGCGAGCAGAGATCGCCACAATATCATTGGGGTTTTGGATGGCGGCAATGACACGGGCAGCGAAGACAATCTTCTCCCAAATCTTTCCGACGTTCAAGATGTGAATTCCTGTATTGATGAAGAAACTTTGTCAGTGACCTTTGCATTTTGAGGTAAGAGTAGCCCACCGTCTGGTCTTCGCTTGTAGACATAAGGTGTCATTCCTACATCGCAATTCTTTGTTCCAATATGCGACTGGGCAGACAACAAGAGGGTGATGTCCTCGTCGGTCGCACTCAGCGCAGCGGGTAGCTTCGACGACATCTTGAAGAACTTTGGATCTGCATTGACATAAATTAGCGGCAAATTCCTGTTTCTCCACGTCTCAAAGAGGTGACAGACCGTCGGCGAGCGTTCAAAAACACAAAAACCGGCGTAAGGTTGGTAGTCGACCTTGTTTGGTCCAAATAAGACTTGGTCCTGAGCACAACATCTGCCAATTCGAGCACATAAAAGATATGGAAAGTACACTTGAAACATTGGAATGCGACGTTGAAAGGCTGTCATCTGCTGTCCTGGTAGCAAGCGTACGGGTGAAACCACCCATTGGCCTAGATCCTTCGTTTCTGCTTTTTTGTTCAGGCTGTACCTCATTCAGGACCTGTGAAAGGCTCCATTGCATGTGCGTTTGCCAGAGGACGGTACAGCATCCGCACGGCTCAGTCCTGCAACCGACAAGTCGGTGGGAACATAGGAGAACCTCCAAGTCGTTCTCAGGCATTGCATTACAGGCTCACCAGATCTCGCTCGCGAGAGGATGGCCGGGTTGCTCATGACCTCCTCTATCAGAGTTTCACTTCATCATCATCAGAAATAAGCAATTCTTGAGAACAAGGCACAAGGTTTGTTCTGTCATCGACGTTCCCACTAGATGTCCTTCCGCAGCCGTTCCCCTCGGAACCTAAATTGTCAATCTCAAGATTTGTACAAAGATTCGAGATAGCCGTCGCCACTAGCTCAGGTCTTGCGCAGGAGCTTGCAATGGACTGCTGCGGGAAAGTCGAGGTGTTTCTCTATTCCCTGTATCCTTGGCAAGGACAGGCACTTTCGATCTACAGAATTTATGATCCGAGTGCCGGTGAGCCACGCTTCACGACGAGGCGATCCCTCCGTCTTCGCGCTTCATGTTCACGGCAAAAAAATCCAGCAACTTTGTAGATGCTGGCGCAATACTGGGGTTCTTTTCTCAATAATTATATGGCAATCAAATGCGAGCGCGATGGGGATCCGCGATCGCTTCTTGCGTTGTTCTAGAGCCTTATGGCGTCGATTCGTAACCAACCTCCCTTTCAAACTCATATCTGGAACGCCGGAAAATGGATGGTTCGTCGACCTCCGTTTGTACCCTCTTCTCACCCATTTCGTTACCCGCCGACTGCGCAGGCATTTTCAGCTGCCTCCAGCTTGAAACATTCAGCTATTTTGCTATAAATAGGCCTCTGTCAGAGCTGGGAAATGCCCATTCCTCAGGCAGTCCGCCGCGTCGCTCTTTCCTCCAACACTCGTTATGTTTCCGTCACTCCTTTTAACTCTCCTATCATCGGCTCTTACAATCAATGCCGCGACTCTTGACTACGTCTTTAACCTTGCCAATACTCAGCTTGCACCTGATGGGTACAGCCGAGCATCCGTCGCCGTCAACGGTGTCTTCCCGGGCCCATTGATCACGGCAAACAAGGGAGACACTCTTAATGTTCAAATTCTCTTGCTTTCCCTGGGCGTTTGCTAATTGTTTCAAGGTTCTCGTGAACAACGGCCTGACGGATTCTTCAATGCGAAAGTCCACCTCGATACACTGGCATGGCTTGGTAAGAGGCTCACACAAAGATTAATCATTACTGACAGTCTTCTAGTTTCAGCATCGCAATGCACAAAACGACGGCCCTTCGTTTGTCACCCAATGCCCCATCTCCCCCGAACACAGCTACACCTATTCTATGTACCTTAACCAAACCGGAACTTACTGGTATCACTCGTGCGTTTTCTTGTTATTTAACGATCAGAGGCTTAGACACACCCCCAGCCACCTTTCCAGCCAATATATTGACGGTCTTCGTGGACCAATCGTACGTATTCGATGCTCTGCAATAGTAATAACTAACATTTGGGATAGGTAATAAGTATGTACAAGATTGCACGATTGAGTGATTAGAGCTGACCGGTGTTTTCTACTTTGAACAGAGGGTAATCATAATTCTTGATGTTTCTTATAAATGTTCACACCAAAACCAGACCCCGAGGATCCCCATCTATCTCTTTACGATGTAAGCTGCTCCGAGCAGTAGAGATTTTGAACTCACGCACACTAGGTCGACGATGAATCGACAGTCATATTCCTTGCCGACTGGTTCCACACAGCATCCTCTGACCTACTCGCTGCGTACACACTCTCGACCAACACTGCAAGTGTCGAGCAACTGCCTCAATCCGGCACAATCAATGGAGGTAAGTGCTTATTCACTCTCCTAATATAGATGCTGATCAATAAATAGTCGGCAGGACGTCAACTGACACGCAGCCTGACCGACCCGTGTTCACAGTTACAAGTGGGCAACGATATCGCTTCCGCCTCATCAACGGCTCAGCCATTTCGCGCTTCAATTTTCAGATTGAGGGTCACACACTCACAGTTATTGAGGCCGATGGGGAGAATCATGTCCCTATTACTGTGGATAGGCTTGTCCTTCAGCCCGGCCAGCGATATTCTGTAGTGGTAAGTCTGGACGCTAAATTTTATGCAGCTTAACCTCTTCCCTTAGGTCACTGCTGATCAAGCAGTTGGTAATTACTGGATCAGAGCACCAATGGCCGCTCGAGTCGCCGGTACCGCACCAACAAACTGTGATTAAAAGTCCCATATTACGATTTTGTGCTTAATATCTAATAGGGGCTACTGACAGCGACAATGTCAACGCAATTCTTCGCTATGTCGGCGCAGACGAGGTAGAACCCACCTCGACTCCGCCAGCGTTGAGCGGAACTGCCCTCGACGAAGCTAACCTTGTTCCTCTCACCGATCCTGCTGCGCCTGGGACTGCCGTCGCTGGTGGTGCCGACAAAGTGTTCAACCTCACATTTGCTGCTTTCACTGATAGCACTGAGCACGGATGGACAGTCAATGGGGTCAAGTATGTACCACCGACTCTCCCGACACTGCTGCAAATCTTGTCGGGGGCTACAAGCAGCTCGGACTTTGCGACCAGCGAAAACACCTTGATCATTGAGCATGGAGATGTCGTCGAAGTCAATATCTTTGGTGAGTCGTGCCTACTACTTAGTTGATGGTCATTGACAAGGATCGCAGGCGTGCCGAATCATCCTTGGCATCTCCAGTACGCCAATGCGTGATTGAATAGACCAGGTCTGACATTTTTGTAGTGGACACACCTTTTCCGTTGTCAAGGGTGCGACCGGTAGCGTCAACTACGTAAATCCACCGCGCCGGGATGTCACTCCTTCGAGCGGGTCCTACATTACCATCAGATTCACTGCGGACAACCCAGGTCCATGGCTCATGCACTGTCATATTGGTCTGTTTCAATGCTCTATAATCAATCTGCGCTAACTCGAGTCCAGACCTTCACTTTGACGCTGGCCTGGCAGTCGTTTTCGCAGAGGCACCTGAACAAGTGGCTGCCGGCGCAGATTCAGTGGATCCGGATGACTCTTGGAATGAGCTTTGCTCCATCTATGACAGCCTCCCTGACTCTGACAAGTAATTCTTGGGACTATAATGGACTTTAATTTGTTTTTTATCCGACCAACTCTTGTCAATCCTTAATCCTACCATTCCGTAGTCAATTCTACATACTTTTGATTATTTGTGGAATTCGTCCAACGCTGCTGGACCCGTCGACATCCAAGGTTTAGTCTAAGGAGGCGTTTTCTGCTCTGTTACACTTTACACATCCTAAATGTTTCCTCGATCCCGTATTTACGAGGCATCTATGGCTACCTTCAAGGGTGCCGAGACTTACGCGCCTCAGCCTTCGGGCTCCCAATCGCTCCAGGCTGAAGCTAGTTTGAAGGGCGAGACAAATGAACCGTCTCTTGTCGTTGTTGCATGTCAGCAATGGTGCGCTGCTCTCCGAGACTCTTCTCACCGTTGTCTGTTCCCGCTGGCATGGTTCCGCCACTGACCACAGCCCTCTTTAGTCGAAATCGAAAGGTTAGATGTGACTCTACAAGACCTGTATGCAAGAACTGTACTCGACGCTCAGAGGCCTGCCTGTACGATGCTGCGCCTAAACGGAGAGGCCCCGACAAGCAAAATAGAAAAAGGCTTTACAAGAAGAGGCCAAGTTTATCACCTCCTGATCCTTCCTCAAAGGTTTCCGCATCCACTGCGTCCGACCAGGAGGTGGAGCCCAAACGGAAACGAGCAAGAAAAGCACAGAGCTCGCAAAATGAAAATCGGGGAGCTGTCTCCCTTCCTGCATCAAGTAACCAAGCTCTACGCCGTCTGGACGTCGATGCGGATTTGGACGAGACGATTCGTGCTGCAGGATTCGGGACACTTGAAAGCCTCCTCACGAAGACCGCACAGATGATCACGGAAACCGATATATACATTCCACAAAGCTTTGAAGAGGCCGAATCTCTCGAGACGCGAACGCCTGGTAGACGGCTCTTTTCGGTAAATGTCCCGGAGCAGGGACACTATACCATCGAGGACCTACTATCTGCAGCGGAAGGTTCTGCGTCAGAACTAGCCAACGTCGAACAAAACATTCCAAGAGGCCCGTCTTCGTCCTTTAACCGACAGACATGGTGGGATACTTTATGTCTATGTTACTCAAAGGAAAGTGAACCTGGACAAAGTTCTCGTAAAATCTTCCAAGACTTGGGATTTCTGTAAGCGATTCGCTTCCCACGTTGTCTCTGATTTACTAACAATAGTTTAGCCTAGACAATTCGATCTACTGGCTTTCATTTATACATATTCCAAGGTTTATGGGCAACCTCCACGATCCCAACCGGCGACTCATGGTTCAGCCATCTATCGTATTGTCTGCATTAGCAATGTCCACTCTGATGAAATCATCCGAAACGGGTCTAGGTAGTGAAGGGAGGCGGTTTTCTCTCTGGCTTAGAGATGCTGCCCAGGCCTCCTTGGACGCCAGTCTCAATGTTGGATGGATAGAGCCAAGTCTAGTTCAGGCAGCATATGTAGGTTTGTTTGATCTTATGTGTGAAAAGGGCTGATCAGCGCCAGTTCATTGCTTTGTACGAGGCCAGCGCGAACCCAGAGCATTCTTCTGCGAGAGTAACCTCAGCTCTTCAACTCTTGGATTCTCTTATTCACGCCCTCTCTCTCTCCAACATGGACGCTGGGGAAAAGGGTGTCAGTGTCTACTCTGTAGACGAGATGCCTATCGTGTCGTCGTCCACCTCCCAGCAACTAATCAGTCCCTATCCTCTTCAAGGCACCGACGACAACATTTTGGATGTGACCACTTCCATATGTTCCTGTTTGAATCAAACCCCGCCAACCCAGCCGGATTCTTTGAAAGCAATGCCCAATGATAACCCGTACGGTGTAAATATGGGTAGGTTTTTGGAGTCGATGATGGCATTTGGTTCCAAGTATCGTGTCTCTCAAAACCAAAAGGGCGTCATGGATTCTCCGTGGGGCAACGTGGGCGTACAGGCGGACTGGCCGGACCCGACCGACACCATCGAGATTGACAAAGAGGAGAGTCGAAGACTGTGCTGGAGCGTGATGATGCTGATTTCCACGCTAAGAGAGTACACTCCTCACCTTCAACGCCAAGCTTGGGACTTGCACGTTACGAGACAAGAAAATGTTTGTGATCTCTATGAGATTGCGTGGATGCCTCTAATCATTCCTGTAGATTGCTCTGTTACTCCCTGGAGAAAAAATGGCCAAGAATCGAACTCGGGCAAAAGACTCGATTTGGGCACTTCACTGCCGTGTCGCGCTGTTGTGGAATGCTTGCCAGCGGTTTCGCCACCGACCCGACTGGGAGACTCGACGTATCGAACTATCGACGCAAGCTTGGATGGAAGCAAATTCCATCGAACAATCATTAGCTCAACATACTTGTCCCGTAGGCAAAGGGATGCTGTATGCTGGCCGAGAATATCTCTTTCAGTGCGTAGCGCACACTCGCGTCTACTTCGCTCATTTCTGCGCAGACTCAAGCTCCTTATCTCGAAGCAATTCACGCGTTTGATCCCAATCCCCCACACGTAAGGATCGACCCTTGTATCTGATGATGTGGCTGATTGTGTTTTATAGTCTCAAGTATGAGAGGGATAGTGCTCAAGAATGGCTCAATCATCGAGCCGGTCTCGCTGCACATGCCCGCAAGGTCGTGTATTTTGTCAGTCGCTTTGGAGCCTCTAGGGCCGCCATAGCACTAGCAAAGAGACCACTGAGCGTGTGGTGGGTATGTTCTCAGATTAAGGCCGGCACAGCAGTTTGGAAGGCCGACAATACCTTTACCCAAGCCTTGGAGCAGTCGCTCGACTTCCTCGCCATAGGAGATTTTCTTACCTGCATGTGGCAGAGCAAAGGCCAGACGGATTATTACAACAGCCTTAGGGAAGAGCTTCTTCAATCTTGCCAACTTGCTGGTATCCACGTCCCAGAAGCAATTCCAATTCCTGGCCTTTCCTCGACTCAGGCAACGATGATCCCATCTCCTCTGCTTATCAACTATCCGCCACCAATTGCATTGGCCGAGGTGCAGTATAATTTATCATAGAGAGGCCCAGAATCCGTATATATGCGGTTTCACTGGAATGTACATGATTAGATTGTTACAAGTAGCGCTATTTATCTCAAACAATCCTTCAAATACCAAACGACAATCCTCCGCGCATGGTATGAGTATACTCGAATTCGCGCACAGCCGGCTTGGTGGTACTCTGCTTCGGCGGATCTTCTACACTCTGAAGTTTCCGGGAGTTGCGAGTCTCGACAGGCGAAGCGATCGAATCATGCCCTACGGTGTCAGGAGCGTTGATGCCAGATGTAGATGGCGTTTGCGACAAGTCGATGACTAGATTCCCGTCTTCTTTGTCAATGCTTTTGACAGTATTAATCGTCAAAGCCCGTGGACGATCTTTCTGCATTGCCTCTTCATGGACCTGCGTGCTTATAGGTAACGTCCCGCCGGTCCGAAGGACCGCATTCTCTCCTTCAACAATCTTCAAGGCACCTTTGAGTGCCTCGCGCTCTTGACGGACATTTTGCAATTCTTCCTCAATTTGCGCGCGCTGCTGGCGTTCGGTAGCCACCATACGGTTTGCCTACGAAACATTGGCCCCTAGCAACAAAGATGCACGAGAGCTCACCTCTTCAAATAGCGCCTGGCTTAGACTCTCGAGCTCCTCTTCGAGCTTTTGCTTCTCCTGGACTGCTTTGCTCGTACTGGCACGCTCCCGTTGCAACGCCTGTGCAAGCTCTTCTTCTCGCTTGGAAGAGCCACGTGATCCAGTTCCAGCACCATTCCCACTGTGTAGTGATGGCATAGATGGCGACGTGAGTCCACTTGGTCCCCGCGTATTGACCGGTGAGGGAGCGGTCGGGCTATCGATGGACGAATTAGGAGTGTGTAATCGCGCGCTACTAGTACTGATATTATGGACATGGTGTGGTACGGGTGATGTTGCCGCATTCCCGCCTGTTTCTCCCCGGAGAAATTTGAAGAATCCAGTTTTAGGAATAGGCGTATGTGCGGTCCCTGAAGAAGGACTAGATGTGCTAGGGAATGTACCGGGCATCGGTGAGGATGAACGGGCCCAGCCGACGTCCGGACGACGACCAGCGGCGTCCTTCTTCAACGCTTCTTCCAGCATCTCTGTATTAGAGAGTGCTAATGCGAGGTTTGAACGAGTCACAGTGAGCGTGTTCTCTAGTTCCGTCTGAGCTTTCAAAGAGTTTCGTAGCATGCTGGCCTATAGGATCAAGTAAGTGACCATCACGCACCAAATCATCAGCAGTAGCAAGCCAGATAAGTGTGCAATACACGACGTACCAGCTCCTCTACGCGCCCAATCATCCGTCCGAGTGCATCTTTGACATCGTCTTCAGTCTCGAGTGACTGCCAGACCTTGATGGCCCGTTCCCTATCAGCAGCAGCAGTAGCTATTGGATTTTCGTTTATACTGGCGCTCTCTTTCTGCTGAGAATCTACCTGGCCACCATCCTGTAGGGGAGCAACTGCTAATTTTGCACTAGCTGGTTCGTCATTCGTCACTAGAGAGACACTAGGCTTGTCTTGGGTTGACACTGATGCATAATGGCCATCATCCAGCGCGGCCTCATTGTGAGCGGACATGGTCGACTCCAAAGTTGTATCACGGATTGAGCTTTGAATGCCATGGAGTAGATATTTACGCGAACATAAAGTTAAAATATAGACTAATCTCTCCTAATGACTCATGGGATCTATCCATCCACTACCATATCCCGCGCTTGGAGGAGAGTTGGACAGGGATGGCAACTCCATGGTCTTGGGTGCAAGCTGCTTGGTGATGACGCCAGACAGTCTAGATGGTTGCTTATCTTCCATCGATTCATTGGGACGATGCTTGACCTTGACCCTCCGCCTCATCTTCTGACGAGTAGACTCGGACGAAGTCGCACCCGCTCCTTTCAGTTCGTCAAGCTCGACATCTTCGTCTCCAGAAACGTTTCCACTGCCTGGCGTGGATCCACTCGCACTCCTCACTGTTTCGAAGGAGACACGAGAGGTAATGTTGAGCTCGTTCAAGGATGGGAAGACGTTGAAGATGGAAGTCGGGAGTGGGCTTCTCGACGGCGATGTTGTTCGACTGCTGGATGTAAGGCCAGGTGACGGTCCAGGTGGACCTAGCGTGCTGAAAGGAGTGGATGTGACTCCGTTTTCCAGTTCCCAGCGTCGCATAGTACCAGCAGATATGGTGGATGGGTGAGGGTTCGAGGTGAAGATCGAGGTAGAGGGGACTGACGGTGGTGGAAAGTAGGAGAGCTCGGACAAGGGAACCTTTTTCATAGAAGGGGTCGAGTTGAGAGACTTTGATGGCGTCAAAGAGGAAGTTGAGGCTGATAAAGAGACGTTGGAACCAGATGGTGAGCTTGAAATGCCATAATCAGACTTTGAAGGTGAAGAGTCTACGACATTGCCTTGTGAGACTTGTCGACGTTGTCGACGGGGGCTTAAGTCAATGAGTTCACCGGACCGTCCAACCAGATTGCCACCTGTGTTTCCGGTATTCACTGAAGAAACGGGGATATAAAGCACCTTTCTCAGGTGAATCGTGTCCGACGCCCACATCTTGTTGCATTTTCGCAGTTGCGCAACTGTGATGCCATACTTGAGCGCGACTCCAGCCAAAGAGTCTGTAGGCAAGACCTAAATGGGTCTTAGATGAGGTCTGGCGCACTGGAATATACTCACCTTGTGCTCAAACACCTCTGCCTCGCCAGTGTCGTTTGCCTTTGTCCCCTCAATTTCTCCGAGTATGTCCACACCAGCGTCAGATACAAGCGTCTTCGGGGTCTCCCTTTCGACTCTTGTTGTCCGTCTCGACAAGGAAGGGGTGGTCGTCTGCGAGATATCGTTCTCTTCAAGAGGCCCCGTCACCCTACGGGCTTCATTGGCGTGAATATCCTCCAGTACTCTTGCAGGCCTTGTATCTCTCCCTCTCCCGAGCTCAGCGTCGGGTGGCTTTGAAATGGGACGACCCCACACGTCCAGGTAGGCGTGACCTCCTTGACCGCCATTTGCCGAAGGATCATATCCACTAATTGGGCTAATTGCCTCGTTCCACAACGTCTCGACCTCTCCCCAGAGCTTTGAACCAAAGACGGTCTTGAGACCAGAGGAAAAGGGGCCTGCAAGTCCTGCTCGCTGCTTTCCTTTTCCTTGTACCAATGCTGTGCGTGCTTTGCCTTCTCGTGTCTTGTCATTTGCGTCCCAGTCCCACGGATCTGATACAGCCTCTGGGCTAATGAATGAGTTGCCGCTAGGCTGGGTATCCCGTGGGTGAGGTTGATTGTCGTTACTCAATGTGTTCGACATCTTTCGGGATTGTAGGGGTCGCTTGGGAGTGCTAGAGGCGGATGTAGGTGCGTAGCTACTCAACGAGGGTGTGGAGCCGTTAGCGGAAGCGGAATCGGCATACATGACAGATGAACTAGGCTTTGAGTAGGAGTTTGTCCGAAATCCTTGATCCTCGTCAACTTTGACTACACCATCGGCGGATTGTGATCCTATTTCGCTTCGTTGGCGGCGAATCCGCGGCCGTATGCCTGCAGCTAGCAATGAGTCTCCTTCTCTCTCGCTAGATGCGAGTCGCGATGTAGCGTATGTGATCGTGGTGCTGCTACTGCCTCCAGCGAGCGAGGTCGATCTGCCGCGGGGCACATACTCGTCGGTGACCGTTAGAAGGTTCGATGTGCTTCTATTTGATGGTTGGAATGGCTCTTGTGAGGAGTGTAAGCTGGCCCACGGGTTCTGAGCCGTAGGTGTTGGCGGTTCTATTCTGTGTGAGTGTTCCCAAGCTGCTCCATCGTTCATGGTAGACGTTTAATGTTGATTATCTGCTCTTCATGAACGAAAAGACGAGCCCAAAGGTGGTAGCACGAGGCTGGTCGAGGACAAGTGGCATCGACCACAGACACCGCCAAATTTCTTACAATTTAGAAATGGTCAGTCGAGTGAGACAAAGTTCTAGATTTATTGTTCTAATTATGCGAATGATCTCCCTTTGAACGCGCTGTCGACGGGCGAGCTCAGTTTGCGACGCTTTGACCTCGCCCACCACTGCTAGGACTGCATGGCTTCCACATCCACGTGAGTTTGGCAACAATAAACGGCTTTTATTCACCTCTATATCACCTTTATCCATCAAGTTCGCGGCAGATCAAAGTTACCGGTGCGTAGAATGGCCAGGGCACTCGATTTCGCCTGAACGATCGCCGTTTGCTCATTATTCCTCTTGACAACCAGTTCTTGCTGCTCACGGGCTCATCAAACGCGAGGTTTTTCGACTGCCAGACCCGTTTGCCGTCGTCACCGTTGACGGTAATAATAACACCAGCCAAACCACTCAGGTCGTGAAAAGATCGCTTTCACCGTCCTGGAATGAACACTTTGAATTGTAAGCAATTTCTTTGCGCCAGCCCGGAGCAACAGCTGGGCAAGCGCCTCTGTCTGACCGAAGCATTTCTCACTCGTACTTTGACCACGACAGCACCGTCAACGACCACTCTGTCATCAACGTCCAGATCTTTGACGCGTCAAAGTTTAACAGAAAGAGGGACCTTGGATTCCTCGGAGTTGTCAACGTTCGCGTCGCCGAGCTCGATCTCACCAATCACGGTATGTCAGCGCGTTCATTTGGCCCATGCACCATAGTAAATAGCTATCCGCTATCCCTCGGACCTCACACCTTTGTCTTTCCGCTTGGCCTGATGCCTGTGCTCTTGCCAATGGCCTTCACGGACGGGCGCCACCTGGCCAAAGGCCACATATCTTTTCTCCTTCTGGCGCTCTTTCGATCATCCGGATCCGTATCAGATGTGTCATCTTCCCAGCGGCCAAAGGCGCTATACGGAAGCCGCGCGCGCGTTGGTCTCGTCCATTGCGCGTAACCGCCCCGCTACTCCACCCAGCCATGATCCTAAAAATGCGCGCGTCACGTATTCTGATGGCTCTTCGTCCCAGACGTTCACACCTTTGAGCTTAAAAAGTCCAACGACAACCTAGTCGTCAACGGTCGATTGGCGCTCCAGATTGTTTACAGCGGTTCATCCGTTCCGGCACAACCCACAAGTGGCCTCTCAGACGCATTTGTGACGCTTGATATTTCATCCACGGCGAATAACAACTCCACCCCCTCCCACACCATTGAAAGCCCAAGCGCCGCAACTATGCCGCACCAGCGCCCAGGATTCCAAACCATGGCCAGCCCAACAAACGCCGGTTGGGGCGTTCCGTCCAATCAACCCTATGGTACAAATTCAGCACGCCCGACCTCTGCAGTGTCCAATATCGCGCCACAGCAGCCTGTCGCCAACCCACAGCCACAGCCGACGCAGACCATGCCCACTGCTCAGGTGGTTTCAACCGTCCCCGGACAAGGTCCGACGGTCAATTTCAATCCATACGTCGACGAGTACGGTCCGTTGCCGCCAAACTGGGAACGGAGACAAGATCATTTGGGCCGAAACTATTACGTGGACCATGTCAACCGCTCAACTACATGGCATAGGCCCTCATTTAACCAAAACGTGAATACGACGGAGCAAGCGACAGAGCAGAACATGGCGCGAGATCGCCATCACCAGAGAGCACTTGTCGATGACATGCTCACCGACAACACGACAAGCAGCAGCCAGGACACCAATGTCAACCGGCAATCCACCGCGAGCTCGACTGTCACTACCTCGACCGCAGTATCCTCTAATGATCCCCTCGGGCCGCTACCAGCAGGATGGGAGGAACGACGGACACCAGAGGGCCGTGTCTACTTTGTTGATCGTGCGTGATTTTTGCAATTTCGCCCGGTGAGGATGAAGACTGAATTGGGGGTTCCAGATAATGCCCGAACAACCACCTGGCTCGATCCCAGGCGGAATAGGGCCGGTGGTGCTGCTGCTCAGAATAGGGGGACGGGAGCACCTGGACAGCATCTCGGCCCTCTTCCGTCTGGATGGGAGATGCGCCTGACGTCGACGTCCAGGATATACTTTGTGGACCACAACACGAAGACGACGACGTGGGACGACCCTCGACTGCCTTCGAGTCTTGACGCCAATGTTCCTCAGTACAAGCGCGATTTCCGCCGCAAGCTCATCTATTTCCGCTCCCAGCCGGCGATGCGTCCCCCAAGTGGAAACGTCCATATCAAAGTACGACGCAATTACATCTTCGAAGACTCGTACGCGGAGATTATGCGCCAGTCGCCCAACGATCTTAAGAAGCGGTTGATGATTACATTCGAGGGCGAGCCTGGTCTCGATTACGGCGGTGTATCTCGGTGAGCATTATGGACTTTTTGGTATGGCTATATTTATTGACGTTCTGCTCTCTAGTGAATTCTTCTTCCTTCTCTCGCACGAAATGTTCAATCCCTTCTACTGCCTCTTCGAGTATTCGGCCCACGACAACTATACCCTGCAGATCTCTCCGGCATCTGGCGTCAACCCCGAGCACTTGAACTATTTCAAGTTTATCGGTCGAGTCGTCGGACTCGCCATTTTCCACCGCCGTTTCCTAGACGCCTACTTTATCACCAGCATGTACAAGATGATCTTGCACAAGAAGATTGCTCTTAGCGATTTGGAGAGTGTGGATGCCGAGCTGCATCGTAGCATGTCGTGGACGCTGTAGGTCCAAATGATCATCTTAGGTCGCGAATCTGATCCTCTCCTCAGGGAGAATGATATTACAGACGTCATCGAGGAGACGTTTAGCGTTCAAGAGGAGCGCTTCGGAGAGCTTGTGACTATCGAGCTCAAGCCTGGAGGTGCCGATATTCCGGTGACCGAGGAGAATAAGAAGGAGTTTGTCGAGTATGTGGATTCTCTTACATTGTCGAGTGCGCTAATTGGTTACAAGACTCATGGTTGAGTATCGTATCACCAAGCGCGTGCAGGAGCAATACACTGCCTTTATGGAGGGCTTCAACGAGCTCATCCCACAAGAATTGATCAATGTGTTTGACGAGCGAGAACTCGAGCTATTGATTGGTGGTATCTCTGAAAGTGCGTATCAATCGCACTCTCACCGAAGGTGCATACTAACATCTTGTACAGTCGACGTGGATGATTGGGCCAAGTTTACCGACTACCGCGGCTATTCGACGGATGACCAGGTCATCAAGTGGTTCTGGACTTGTGTCCGAAGTTGGCCTCCAGAAAGGAAGTCGCGTCTCCTTCAGTTCGTCACGGGAACATCGAGGATTCCTGTCAATGGATTCAAGGACCTACAAGGCTCAGATGGTCCCCGCCGCTTTACCATTGAGAAGAGCGGTGATCCTAGCCAGTTGCCCAAGAGTCATACTTGCTTCAATCGAGTGAGTGTGCTTCAAAAGTGTGGAGACCTCGCATTGATTAACTCTATCAGATTGATCTTCCGCCATATACTGACTATCAAAGTCTGGAACAAAAGCTTACACTGGCTGTGGAGTGCGTAGCTTTTCTCGATTGAGCCACTCTGCTGACATGATTTACAGGGAAACTGTGGGTTTCGGTCAAGAATAAATGCGGACACTCTGTACTCTACGCTTTCGATTCATCGACGCAATCCCTTTTCGGTTTCTGTCCCCCTTCGCTTTGATAGCTACTGCGGCCGTCGTTTACATGTTTTGTAATGGTTCATTTTTTTCAAATACAACGGTTCTGTCATTTAGTCGCCTCGAGGGTTGAGATTCTCACCGGCCGCAGCACCTTCGGACACAGGTTGTGGGGGCCGAGGCAGATAAGACTTGACCTCCTCCTTCGTCTGTAATGCGACTATGGTCCTAAACAAGACAGACTCTCCATTTCCAGAACCATTTGGGGGTGTTCCTGTCCTGTACGATGTTGTCCCGACGAGTATTTTCCTCCTAGGTTTTACCATCTTGACCGGGATCAACATCTCCTATATGTTCACCAAGACACGGCATACAAACGTCAAGTTCGCAAGCATATTAGTTCCCATCGAACGCCTTATCATACTCTCGTTTCGTATCGTGGCGAGCGTGTACACTGGAGCACGCGAGAGCTGGGCCTTTCTCGAATATCCTCAAGTTGGACTAGGAACTGGTATCGTCATCCTGTTCCAAGAGCAGGTTTATCTCCTCGTCTGCGCCGTGACAAGTGCCACGCGGGAAGACGTCAACTTTGAAGACTGGATACGGATGACGGAAAAGGACCCAAAGACGGCGGCCCATCGACGAGAGGAGAGAGTGGCGATCAGAAAGTGGGGTGGTAATATGGAATTGGTGGTTGGCATGTTCCAGTTTCTCCAGATCTGGAGTGGTTTCCAAACGACGAGCGTACATTATAGGCTACCCATAGTGTGGGTTAACGCATTTCGGTGCGTACAAAAGAGTTCATCTGACGAGATACTGATTTCAGTTGTTAGCTTTTGCGCAAACTGTGCGATCCTTTTCGCAATGATCGGTCTCCTGTCCATGGTTCACAAGCAGAAAGACATAGAGTCTATCAATATCGTCGCCCTGAAACGACAGCGTATGGCTCTCAGTTTCCTCGTCATCGTCCCAATTTTCCGCGCGGCCACATCCTTTCAAACGATCCCGAGCCTCACTGCCTCGAGTTCAAGAGTCCCCACCAAACTCTTCTTCTACCTCTGCCAGCTACTACCAGAGCTTATCGCATGCTCCATCACCATCCTAACGGACTATCGCAATCTCGTTGACACAGGCATCCATGGCGATTGGCCACGGAGCCGCATTGAACGCGGCTTGCCCGTTATTCCTCCATTCCTATATGCCATCGGGCTGATGTTCATGCCGTGGAAGTGGCGTCTCTGGAGTTGTATCTCCGCTCGCAAACAAATGAGAGAGGCGAGGATCGAGCGAGAAGGGCTATGGTAGAGGAGCGTGAACGGCTGCTACCGATTCGTTCGTCCGCTGGATGGGCATCTTCGATCGAACTCTCAACCCTCGGTGGGACTCCATCGTCATCATCGACGATGCAGGTCTCCAACCAAGAAAAGACGAGTGCATGGCCTGCGACGCCCTCTCGGTCGTCGTTAAAGACATCATCCTCTTCTAGCTCATATAAAACCTCGGCATCCAGTACCACACACGTTTCAAAATTGGTCACCGAGGTGAACCTTTGGAGACCTAGCCTTCCGTCTGCGTTCTCATTCAAAGACGAATCTCATTCATGAAGCATCTCTTCTATCATATATCTCATCATACTTATAGAACTCATTGTGAACATATTCGAACAATGCTACTAGTAGTCCGAAAAAGGCAGATGGGCGGCTGATCGTATTCGAATCATGATTCGAATATGATGCAGGTTTTGTGAAATTTTGAAGACATTCAGCAGTCAATTACACCCTAATGATCCTATAGCGCAAGGAGCGGACGAGTTTGCAGAACGGAATACTCTTTAGCGAACAGCGCAGCTGGCTTCCTGAGATAACTTCAAGATCCTTCGTAAAATTTCACCAATCGAATTCGCTAGAGGCAAGTCAAGCTAAAATCCAGAGTAGGGATCTCCTACTCACCCAGTGCACCTTCCAAACAGGTAATCTTTGCCATTGGCATGAACCATGCCGTCTCTGAAGACAACCTTCCATCTCGTCTTGACACGCGTAACCTTTGTCCCGTTAGTGAGCCACCTGGAAAAGAGTCTGCATATAATTTTTACCTTGTCGTATGTGCAATAAGTGACATCCGCATCAGGATCGCTGCCGGGTTGTTCCTGAGGACCTTCATCATCATCCGTATCATCGAGATCAGAATTGATATCTTCTGAGGGTTGTGCTGGTACGTTGGGATTGCGAGCAAAGGAGCTATTAGAACCACCTCCCAAAGAAGGTTTCACGTCTTCCTCTGGCGGTGGCTTGATGAGAAGAGAAGGATGAAGAATCTTGTTACCCATAGGGGGGGTGTTCATCGAGGGCAGGTTCAAGGGAGGCAGAGTAAGAGGTGGGGGACCGCCAGCACGTACGATGCCGGTGCCAGACGAGACAGGCGGGAGGTTGAGAGGCGGAAGCGTATTGAGAGGAGGAACAGGTGGCGTAGAGGAAGATGGACCATCCACTTGTGGGATTATGTCAAATGTGGCGTGCTGGCTAGTATCCACATTTGCCAGGCGCGCCTCGGCCATCCACGGGTATCGCTGTACCAGCCATTGACGCTTCCGGAGAGACACACTACCCTCTTCATCGCCTTCTTCCTCATCCCACGTGCCGTCCACTTGTGGCATTTTGACTTGAGAGGCAGACGAACCAGCAGCACCAGCACCATATGGCGCGGCGCCACGGTTAAGCATGAGGACGTTCCGGTTATCTGTCATCCCTCCTGGGGGTACACCGTAACCGGGGACTCCTCTGTTGGCGCCGTATGCGTTTAGGGCATTCATGTTTTGGGGGTATGAACTCAGTGGAGGCACGGCACCCATGTTGCTCAGAGGTGGCAAAGAAATCGAAGGGAGTCCTTGGAGAGATGGGTTGTAAGACGCATGGTTGGTACGAGACATGCCGCCGACAGAGGGCGGGTTACCGACAGCTGGTAAACTTCGATCTATTGGCTCCGCTTTGACAGGAGGGTTAGAGAAACTCGAAGAACTCGTTCGGGTGTACGCATTGGTCACGTTTCCGACGGAATTTGTGCGACTGGCCCCTCGCGAGTTGGGGATTGTCGGTGAGTTGGTTCTATGAATGTTTGGCGAACCGGTACGCGACACTCCGCCACTTGCAGCCACTGAACCGATGCCATTGTATTGAGCGGCGTGGGGATTGCTGCTCGCAGAGGCCTGCGAGTCTGAAAAGTCTGCGGCTCGAGAGGCGTGGACGCGGGATTCCCATTTCTAAGAGTATGATTAGCATGCGTAATATGGAGAATTTGGGGAGGAGAAACAAGCTTGGTTGATCAAGCCGTATTGATGGTTAGAAAGCAAAAAAGCAGTGTAACAAGGGACGTCTTCCTGACCTGCTGAAGCGTCAAGAGCACGTCTTCACCCACACCGAACTCGTCAAAATCAGGTTTCAAGGAACCAATGACCTCGTCTATAATAGAGCGATACACCGTTGGCTGTGGCCGAGTTTGGAAAGCCAAACCAGTGTGGATAAGCCGTCCATCAGAATTAGACATTGTTCGAGGGTTAATTACGAGTTTGGGACGGCCACAAACGGGTGCAGCCAGGATCCGTCAGGGAGCCATGGGCGCACAGTGGAGACGTTGATGGCACAGTGCACGTCGTTTGAATGATGATATGTGCATATTTTATATCGATATTTGCATGCATTGATTGTCAGAGACACGAAATAGTTGGCGTAGAGCGCGGAGAGGACGCGGAATATCAGCATTCTGGCATTCCACACAGTCACAGAAACAGATTGAAAGAGATGGATGCGGCACAGAACATACCACGATTTTATTCGACATTTTCGAGGGTCAGCAGTGGAGACCAACTTCGTCTGCACCACATTTCGCGGGAAATCTGCGCGCGGTATTCGCACTTTGAACACATCATTGGTGCTTATTTCTTTTATTTGAAACTCTTGCTTAATGCTCATCTGCTCTGCTGTGTCTCGCTGTAGCTCGCCCAAAGATCGACAAGCTCGCCGCCCAGCTGTCGGCGTCTTTTCTAGAACAAATTTCCAGCCCATAGACCCATAATCTGCACGAAAACGAGCTCGAGGATACGCCAGTCGGCCGTGGTCACTCCCGACGTAATCTCTGCGCCCTTTTGACCGTCTCTCCTCTGGTGATATATAAAACTAGACCCGCCGAGTCCCAGAGACGCACAGTCTCTTATAATCAGCACGCTATATGCCATGAACAATCCCTCCATCTTCATCAGCGGCGACTCTCATGATTTCCAGCCCGTACCCGCGGTCGTGTTCCCGCAGACTGCGCTCTATCCGCAGAGTTTGATGAGCTCGTATCATTTCGAGCCGAGGAGGAGCGTGTCCAACCCTCTCCCTCCTTCCCATCGCTCGGCCAGCCCATCGTCGAGCCAGTATGCATCGCCCGAGCGTACGGCGCTGCAACTCCTTGGACATCGTCCCCTGGACGACCATGACGCGTCCTTTGTGCGTGAGCTTGTTCAGTATCACGAAACTGAGCTTCGTGAGCTCCGGGCCCGCTATGAAAAGCTAAAGGGCCTGCACGCGAGAGCAAACGACCGCGTCGACGTCCAGCGCAAGCATCACAAAGAAGACAGCATACAAAGCACACGTACGTATGAGGTCCTGTCCGCGCAGGTCACCTCAGACTTGGCGCTGGAGAGTCGGCAAGCGCTAGAGGCCAGAATCCTCGCGGTGGAAAATTCGCTGCACAAGCTTAGGGGAACTCTACATCCCATCAGGAAATTACCCGCAGAATTGCTGGCTCTCATTATGGAATACGCCATCGAGTTTGCAGAGACGGAGCGAGTGGCTGCAATGCTCCAGGTCGCCAGTGGCCAACTACAACTCCGGGGCGCCACGTTGTTTGGGTTCGACTCGGAAAATTCACCTGTTACTTCGACATTTTCTTCCCATCTCAACAAACGCCTCTCCCCTGCAGTTCTCTTATCGTCGATTTGCACGCACTGGCGAGATGTCGCACACGGCTTACCCTCATTATGGAGAACGATTCACTTTCGACTCACTGGTCCGGCGAACGACAATCGCTGGGATCGTGTGAGAAGCTTTGTCGATCGTGGAAAGCGTAGCCCTCCTTCGGCGGAACAACTAGAGATGGTGACTGGCCTCTCCCTTGTTTTCACTGGCTGGGAGGAACACAAATATCCACCCGTGGAGAGAAGCTTTAGGAAGGTCATGCAGATGGTTCGAAAGGGAGTCGTGGAAGACGATTGGACGTTGGAAACTCCAAGTCACTCTCGTCGGCAGTCATCTGCGGACACACCATCAAACAGTGCACTCGGTGGGTTGACAGGAGTACCGATCTTCGTCGAGAGCCCAACTCTTCAAGTTCCCTTCAGTCCTCCATCACATTCCTTTGTGATTACACGGCTTGAAATCGTCTTTAACACATTATGCAATCATCACAACAGTCTAGTCACTGGAACCGAGAGTAACTCCGAGCTTCATTGGCCGTCGAATTGCCCAAAGCCAAGAGAGGTTGTGATGATCGCCAAAGACACGGTCTATACCACTCCGTGCAACCACTCAGGCGAGGAAACCCGACCAACTCATTTTCTCATCCCGCCATTTGCCGCCAGCCTCATACCACGCGCCGAGTCAGTGACCCTGGTTAACCTCCAATTCGCGTGGCCGTCAATTGAGAAACCCGAGGCCTACAAGTCTCTTACGTCGCTTACCCTGGTCTATACACTCAGTTTCGACAACCTCCTACGACACCCAGAAGATGGAGACGACTTGGGGTTTTTGCAATTCCTACGAAGATGCCAGAATCTCAGAAATCTAGAGATACGACTCGCACCACGCAAATTGGGGCATGTTGTAACGAATGGTACATCCAATCCCAACGGTGGGCCCGTGGTCTCACCAACAATTTGGGAATCCAGTTTAGAGCATCTCAGCATTTCTTTGGATGATCTTGGACGGATTTCTCCTCTCATCTGTGCGCAATTGATCACCCCGTCAGCCCCCATTATCCGATTTCCATCTCTTCGCCGACTTACGATTCTCCCCTCTCCACCACAACTAAAATCGATAAAGCATGACAAACCAGAAGCGTGGAAAGAGATTGCCTCACGCTTCCTTCTCGTCACAGAGGCACCGATACGACATCTCGAACTACGCAGCCGCCCTCAGAAGCCGCATCCAAGCCACTCAGGAGCACATGCTGGCCATCGCCTTGGACAAGAAATGGAAGCGCTTCTCTATGTCATCCAAGAGGTTCATGGATGTGAAACCTTGGAGATTTGGGGGAACGATATTGCACAGTCGGTTTTGGACGTTGTGAGGCTGTCGGCACCTCAGGTAAATGGGGTTGCAGAAGACGTTAGCGCAAGGACTAGCTCGTCAGAAGCAGAAAGAGGTGGCAGTCTCCGCGTTGGGGATACAGCACCAGTATCGCGTGCCTCTCCTACTCCTTCGAGATCGGAACAAGCACCTGCCCCTGGGCCTTCATCGGTTCCACCAACATCATTTCCATCACGCCTCCGACGAAAGCACGCCTCGACATCTCCGTCCCCAACTCCCTCAAACGGTCGCAAGAAGCGCATATCTCTCACAGAGGACCTGGTCGCCAAGGTTATTGCGTCCATTTTACCATTAAAGAAGCGCTCCTTAGCCATCGTTTCCACTCCGGAGGGCACACCGCGCATCGCGTCAAACGAGATTTCGATCCAAGACGACCACGAGATTACAGGTGCAGCTGGACCCGTCACGGCTGATAGCTCGCCTCGAGTTAGGGTCCAAAGTTTGCCGGCTGGGAACCATCCTCCTCCTCGCATGTCGACATCCACCTCCACGACGGCGGCAAGGCCGTCCAATGACACCGTACTGCATGCAGAGCCAGACGGTATGGAGTCGACTGCTCCTGCTGTGACCCTGCCAGCATTCAAAAAGCTCATTGTTCACGATGCAGAGGTGTTTACTGCGGGTGTTGCGGCGCACCTCGCGCAAAGGGGCATCAATACTGTTATATACGGATAATATCCACCTCGGATGCTCCCAGTCCCAGACTGTTGTGTGATTAGGTCTACGGAGGTGGCAATCCAGTTTTTCCATGTCTTATCTTATTGTACGGTCTACATTATTCAAGCCGCGTTATAAACGAGTTTCATAATCTATAGTCTCGCTTTCAAAGAGTCCTCCCTGATAATCTCGCGTGCCAAGTTACCCCAGAATGGAAACGTCGCACCCTGTATTGCCGCCTTTTCGGACGATGCTTGCCTACGCGCATAACGGGCTGCGATACCCTGAGTGATGATGGCAAGCTTGAGGGAATAATGAGCAAATGGCACAAAAGGGATAACAGGCTACATACACGGAAGATCATCCAGCTGCTGGCAAAAGTCGCACCCTCAAGTGGATATGGTTGATTGATCAAACGGCAATACTCTCTACGTATCTCCTCGAGCTTTATAGGTGTATCTGACGAGCCCTTCAATCCGTTCATGATATTCGAGGAGGGTTCAACCCAGAATGCCGTTGTGAAATTCGCCAAATCGGCCAACTAAAACTTTGAGACTTTTGAGGTGGATGTACACTGGAGGATACGCACCGGACTCCCAAGTGTACAAAGCTCCCAGTCGAGAATGCCAATGACACGCGGCTCCGTCTTGTGAAAGATCAGATTGTCCATTTTATAGTCCCCGTGTACTATACGGAGACCTATTTTGCTCTCGTCTGGGAGATGTGTGCGATACCAGTCCATTGTCGAGTCGAATTCTGGGATGGGTCCGACACATTGTTTTGTATCAATGTCAACTGCTTCTGATTGAGCCTTGGATACTTTGGAGAGTGACTTGAGCTGTCGTGGAAAGTAGGCTGAATGGGGCCCGAAATCTTGCAGGCCGAGGTCAAAGGGGTTTAATGAAGATAGCAAGGCAAGGGTCCGGGTGCTTCAGTACCGAATGAGGTTCGTTATTTCGTTGGGTCAGTTCACTCACGCTGCTAGCCATATTTCCCGTCTCTGTTCACGCGGCACTTCTGGAAGGTGAATATCCTCGAATATCCTTCCGTCCAAAAACTCCATGACATAGAACGGTGTCCCTAGAACGGAGTTGTCCTCGCAGAGAACCAAAGGCTCTGGGATGGGTATTCTCGACGCCGCTTGTACGGTTGGTCGGCAATTATATGTATGTATTGCGTGTAAGATTCTATATTCTCGCTCGACAGCGTGTGCGGTAGCCGAAAGTAGGTGACCTGAGAGGCGTGTAAGGGCTGAACGAGGTAGGCAATGTGTCACTAACCTGCTGGTTTCTTTCGCATCACGAATTTGGAGCCACTGCAGCATTTTCAACTCGACAAGTCAATGTGTGGAACGACGTACGAGCTATCTGTCAAGAAATATGTCGGATTCGACTTGAGGTCATCAGAACCAGTCCTGCAAGGAGAGAAGCAACTTTACTTGACCAAACTAACCACTCATTGTTAGTAATATGCATAGGTTCACTCGTGGACATGCCTTGAACTGCTTCGCCTGCACCGGTGTTTTGATTTGCGGACAGTGGGTACCCAGGTACTTGTTCAACGCGTCCATCGAGATCTCTGCTCGAATTTCTCCATAATGACCTCCAACTTTAGATTCCGTGGTCATGGTCAGGAGCAAAAGAGTGGTCGCGGCAACTTCGATCCAACGTCCGGCAATAACTCAGCCGGCTCTGCCCTTGGAGCCAAATCATTCGCCTAAGACAATGGAGAGTGCACGATTAGACGACGGAATCCGATCCACAGATGGCTTTGCAGCCCATGCGCGTGTCTCTGCCGTCCGTCTGGGTTATATCCAAGACCCGTTTGTGTCTCTGTTCGTCCCGCGTGCACGAAACTTGCCAACGCACGCACCGTTGATCAATATTGGGACATATGTGCGCACAACGTCCATCGATCAACTCGTCGAGTCCTTCCTCACCGCTGGGTCTCCCGAGGTCAAGAGGCAGATTGTCAGCGTTGGAGCAGGGAGCGATACGCGGTTCTGGAGACTGTCTGTGAATATGCTCCGAGTGTTCTTATGGCTGACTGGAGTCCTGACGGTTTATAGACTGGACCCTTGCAGAATGCAGTGGCCCGCTACGTCGAGTTGGATTTTCCAGAGATTACAACAAAAAAGGCGATGAGTATTCGAAAGTCGACTCAATTGTCCTCGGTACTAGGCAGTGATGTCAAAGTGGGTAAGCACAAAAGCCACTTATGCCATAATTAAAGACTAAACGCCACAGTCAAGGGAGGAACAGGTATTACGTCCGCCGTCTATCACTTACTACCGGTTGATCTGCGACAATCTGTCGAGATGACACTTGAGCCGCTCGTCGCTTCAGAGACTCCAATACTCTCACCCGACTTGCCAACCCTGTTTCTGGCAGAGTGTGTCTTGGTTTACATGACACCAGAATCCTCTGCCTCGATCATGAGCTTCTTCTCTCGTACCTTCAAGGTTTGCGCATGTTTCTATTTCTTCGCACGCTGACCGCCAACACAGAATGCATTTGGAATCATCTATGAAATGTTCTCTCTCGGTGACTCGTTTGGACGTGTTATGCGTGATAACCTCCGAGTCAGGACCTATCTCAACTTGATCCACTTTTGGCTCACGATCCACAGGTCCGCAATGTCGAACTCCCGGGAGCAGAGGCCTTTCCTAATCTAGATTCTATCCGCAACCGCTTCCTCAGCGCAGGTTATACGGCAGCAGAGGCACTCCCACTCAGCGTTATCCGACGGGAGTATGTCTCCGGAACGGAAACACAGAGAATCGCCAAGTTAGAGCTCGTTGACGAGTACGAGGAGCTCGAGCTCGTGCTGGCTCACTATGCACTGGCATGGGGCAGCAAATTGGAAGACTCGCTATCTCCAGACCTGGAGGCCGAGTTTAGAGCATGGGGTCTCAAGTCTCAGTATCCAGAGAATAGAGCAAGGAACAGTGGAGAAACAGTTTAGATCGTAAACGAGGTACATACAACTAGCAAAACAATTAAGACCGCCGTCTACCCTAGCACAGCAACCTGGCGAATACGTTGGAAACAGAGAGATAAGAAACAAAACATTGGGCGTGATGAGAGAAAGTCGTTTGTTGTCCAGATTGCAAACAAGCGTTCAAAGAACGCTCATGATTTTCATTGCGTTGCCTCCAGGATCACGCGTGTCTGCCGCCTTGCGAGCGGTAAAGATGCGTAAAGTCCGGCATATATCGACGCCGGGAACCACAATTCCGTCCTTTCCTGGCCCACGTCCGTCGTCCCATCCGTAGCGCACCTGGCCTGCGGATGGCAGCGGTGCGCCATTCCCACTATGGACCGATGCAATTGGGCTTGAGATAGAGGCAACGGTGGGAGATTCGGCAGTCGTCGATGCCGAACTGCTCGTCAGGATGCTACTCCCACTAACAAGAGTAGATTGGAGACTCGGCGCCTCACTCGGTCGACGCGAGGGATTGAAGACGGAGAGTGATGGCTTGCTTCTGAGTGGTGGATGCGGAACGGGGCCATGTTGTGCGAATCTGGGGTCAATCCAGGAGAGTTTGCCCCTCAGCTCGGTTCCGATAGATGCCCAGTGACGCATATCGCTACATGAATCATCAGCATGAATCATCATCTATTCTAAAGAAGAACTTACTCTTCAAAGCGGAGGAACAGCAAGTCAAACTTGTCACGATCCGACAAACGCCGTTCGGTGCCGACCCACTCGACTTGATCCAGCAGCGTGACACGGCGCATAGTATGTGCGTTGGATCTCGCCTTCTCTCCATACATAGACTCTTCAGGACCGTGAATGATCTCCGCCCGGCGCTGGAGCTCTTCCCACATTGCTTCCTTGCAGGCCATTACATCTAACGAATAGGTCAGCATCCCATATTTTCACCCATCTCATCACGACTTACTGGTCCAACAACGTGTAAGATGCACGCCCATAGATAAGTCGTCCATCTCCAGGAGCGCAGGGGGAACTGGCATGCCATGACCCGCAAATGTGCCTCTGGGACGCACATACACTCGCTCCTGTCTCAATGCGCGAGGGTCATATGCCGCTTTGATGATATCCGGTCCAAATACGCCATCGAATACGCCCAATTCTTGTGCAGCGACGTGATCAAATTCTCGTAGATCCTTGTTATTGAGAGCTTCCTCTTCTTCACAAGTCAACACGTCAACAGATGGTCTCCCCCATCCGGAGAGATGACTGATTGTGTCGTTATCCATCGACCGCTTATTGTGAGTCTCGGGGACGGTAGATATCGAAGCAGTCGAGTCGAATACGACGCCAGTGCTCGGTTGGGTAGATGGTGTGGTCGGTGAGTCCAAGGGAAAACAGCCACCGTCTCCCATGATCGCAAACTTCGCGTCCTCTTCCTCGTCCTTGCTTCTAGGAATTGGGCTGTGGGGACTTTGAACCGACAACGGTGAAGAGGCATTATACTCTGGAATAGGCTGTACACGCGGAATCTGGTGTATAGCAGATGTAGGCGTAGGGATAGATGCACTGCTCGAGGTGGCAGAGGATAAAGTCAAGGAGGGCGACTCGCTTCGCTTATTGATCCCCGATTGAGGAGTAAAGGGCCTCGCAAGAGGGTAATGCTGGTCCATACTAGTCCTCTTGCGTGATGCGAGTGCAGGAGAAGAGCGGGATTTCTTCAACTGTTTCCCCTCACTTGTCTCGGGTTGGAGTAGCGCGCGTGTGTGCAGAGCTCGTTCGAGCCCAAGACCTTTGGACGACGATACTGCATGCCTCAAGTCACCTGGTGAGCGTATAATGCTCAAATTGGCCGTCTGGGATACTTCGAGACCACATCTCCCCCATTCGCGCTGGGTGATATTCCGCTTCTCTCTCCTGCACACCTCTTTGAGGACAGAAGGCAGCGGTGGGACTGGAAAGTCGATTGGGGGCGTCACGGACACACCCTGAAAGTATGTGTTTAGGAGTGAGGGCAGAATGGCCGTGGGGGATGTGTTGATGAATCTACTCTCAAACACACTAAAGAAGAGTGTCTTCAAGACTTGATGATCGTGCCTGACGTTAGCACGCTGGGTGAGGGAAGCTAGTGGCTGGATGGGGATGCCGGGAATATTTGATGGAGGAGAAACAGTTGATCGCGACGGTCTAGGCTTGGACGAAAAGACAGTCTTCCACGACTTTTTGGTAGGTGAATCTGGGTGTGTAGATATGGATGACGGGTTCCTGGACGATATTGGCAAAGGCGGCACGGAGCCCCAAGAAGCATCAGCGGAGCCATTGCCCTGCCTGCGGTTCGCACCCGCTGACGATGGTCGTCTTAGTCCATCCGACTTGGACGCCTTTGGGGTCATAGAAGACATGATGGTTGACGCGATGGTTGATGCGGTTTTAGGACGTCGTGATGTCCTGGCCGGTTTCGAGGGGATCGGAAACTGAGAAGTGGCTGCCGAGTTGGGAGCGCTATGCACAATGGGACCTTCCCATCCAGGTGGAATCGCTGGATCGTTTGTCCTCCGTCGGGGTGGAATTGAGCCGTGTCCAGGGCTGGCCAACGGTTTGGATGTGGCGGTGGGTTCGGATGCGAGTTCAAATGGGAAATCGACGGGGGGACGTTGCAGAATGGGTGAATCTTCCTTTGCAGCGGATATACCCATTATTCTAGTGTTTATCGACAGGCTGGGAACTGGTGGTGGTGGGTTGGGCGCCGCAGCTGCAAGGAATCTATTGGCTGAAAGGGACAGACGGCGAGTAGACGGCGATGATGGGGAATTCTTCTGGGCCGTGTGAGGAGAAAGACTGGCCTCTGGGATGGCCATCATTCCATCCTCCTCGTCCTCGTCCCCGACACAGCAGAATGAGCTCGAGGTCGAGGTTCGATAACTGCGCTTGCTAATTGTCGTTTTTGACAAATTGGCGTGACCCGGCGTCTCGAACGGACGGCGGGTGAATGCAGGGTCTGATGACGGCTCCGTCGGCAGATCGGAAGAGGGCAGGATTGGAAAGATAACATCTTCCTCTTCAATCTCTAGATGTCCGTTGACCGCCAATACACGCGATATTTCAGATAACAGACTGTCCCACTAGACCCATTCGTCAGATCAATGCCACGCCTGTAGGAATGATCACCACGAACCTTGTCCTCTGGTACGCCTCGCGCAATGCCAGAAAGTCGGATATAGTCAAATTCTCCTGCGTAAAACGGCAGAATGCGCAGGAAGTTCGCCTGGACCCACTCTATGCGATCCGCGAGTGGACGCAGGGTGGATGCACCAAGGGTCGGATGAACATTGGGGTTGGTCGACAAAAGGGTGGTTGGAGAATGAAGACTTGCTTGATTAGACCAGAGTGAAGTCGTATCGACGAGGGAGACCTGAGGGGAAACTAGGTCGAGGCCGACAAACTTTGTGTGCGGCCAGAGCTTTTGCAGCAGTAATAATCCATTCCCCTGACCCACATCCCAAGTCGAGACAACGCCGGGGATGTGTGCTCGGGTCGTCAAGGCGAATGAGCGGGATGGCACTCGGGCTGCCGTCAAAGAGATGCAGACGAAACGCTAGATCGAGTGCATCTCTGTATCGTTTTATCAGTTATATGTATGTCTGGTGGTGAAGAAGAATACATACGCATCGGCGACGGCGCGTTCGTGGCTAAGCGGGTAAGGCGCAATAGTGCGCGGAAATGGATGATGTAGCTTGCCATTCTTCTCGACGAGGAGGACCCTGTCTAGAGGAGAGATGTCAGCAAGTAATACTTTGGCTTTGCGCATGCCGTACTAGCATCGGAGACAACATGGGAAAGGGGGCCATCTGGAGCACTGGGCAGCCGTGCGTGGGCCATGCAGCCGTCGTCGTTGCAGTTAGAGAACGACAGGGAAAGTAAGGAATATGGGAGAGAGCAAGCGGCGAGCAGAGGCGTAGATGCACCTGCCTTGCGTTTATTGACCGAGGCTGTCGTCGTGGTGCCTTTGGACATCGGCAGCGCGTCTGATCACTGGAGCTAAAGTAGACAGGCACTTTAATCAAATGCAGATTCAAGGGCTGTGATTTCCCGCTACTGACTTGTAAACTCCTATCTACACCTCTAACAAAGCTCAGTACACGGGTTTCACATTGTACATATTCACACCACCGACATCAAGAGGGTCAGAAGAGAGCAGCGGCTTGACCGAATACATCGGTCCCACCGGACGGGTACTAGACTCAGGCACACCAGCACCCGTGTTCACCGTATTCGCTCCTGATCCCTGCCCAATGGCCGATGATGTCGTCGCTGACTTGTCCGCTTTACTCGCGACCGTCGCCATCTTGCCGTCTGGAACGAGGAAGAACACGAGTCCGGCATCTTCAATGGCGTCGAGTATGTAGTACCCCTTGCGCTCGAATTGAATTATCGTCCCCTTTTCGAGCACTTTGCAGTTTGAGTCGACAAACGCCGCTTTCCGAAACTCGGTCGTCGGTGTCACAAAGCTCTGCCAGTCGTCGTCTTCCTCAATCTTCTTCTTCGTCAGAAGATAGTCAAAGTCCACCAGCTCTGCATTCAGCAGCGGTGGCGCGTCAGACGAGCAGGCGAGCCAGGTAATCTTCTTCTCCGTCTTCTTGAAATCCCCCTGCAAGTGAAGATCCATCTCGATGCTCTCCACGACTCCCGCCGGTGATTTCTGGATAGAGCGCACAATGGCATTTCCCCAATCCATCAATGTAATCTGTCCAAAAAGATGGCTCAGCAAGCGAACACGCATTCATCACCAGACTAACCTCTTCCCCCTCGGAAAGCGACTTGGCGTCCTGTTGTTCGAGTAAAATATCCGACGCGTACACCGTTTGCTTGGTTCCGACGGCCGGGTTCTTCTTGTGCCGGGGCATTTCTTTCGTTTCTGCTTTAGCGGGTCCACCTCGAATGGTCACCTTGACACTGCCAAAATAATTGGTAAACACCCGAGGATGACAACGCCACGTATTGAATTGCCACACCTGTCTTGTTTCTCGATAGCATAGTACCTTGGAGCAACGGGATCAATGACTTTTTTGTTCGTTGCCCACAACGCGTCCCACTCGAGTTGGAGAATGGACTGAGAAGCCCCAAGACCGAGGATAAACGCCCTCAACGCTTCTGCTGTCATCCCCCTCCGTCGCAAGCCACGAATGGTCGGGAACCGCGGGTCATCCCATCCCCAGACCATCCCTTCCTCGACAAACTTTTTCAACTTGCGTTTCGAGAGGAGCGTATAGTTGAAATTGAGCCTGCTAAAGTCCCAGATGGTGCATGGACGCAGACCGAGAGCCGTTTGGAACCAGGCATATTGAACGTTTCGATCTCTGTACTCATTCGCACGGAGCGCATGCGTGACACCTTCGATTGAATCGAGGATGGGACAGCAGAAATCATAGGTGGGGTAAATCTTCCACTTGTCTCTACACCCGCGATCAGCTTCTCCTCTCTCACACAGAATGGAATGCAGAGCTTACCCCGTGCGATGATGTACGTTGGCAACGTTGCAGCGGTAGATGACCGGGTCTCGCATCGCCTTGTTGGGGTCATCGACGCTAATTTTTGCACGTATGCACCATCGTTGACCTTCCTCGGTGCCCTTGCGCATCTCTTCAAAGATGGCCAAACTCTCCTCGGGCGACTTGTCTCGGTTCTTGGACGGGATGCCGTCCATACGCTCTTGTTTCATTCGCGCACCATCCGTATCATCCGCATACGCATTGCCCTCTTTGATAATCTTGACGGCATAGTCGGCCAAGAGGTCGAAATAATCAGAGCTATGCGACAGATTATCGCCGACAATCTCCATCATCTCTAGATCCTCGGTAATTGTTTTCTCAAACTCTTCCTTTTCGTTTGCGGGATTGGTATCGTCGAAGCGGATGAGGAGCTTGCCTTTGTACCCTTTGGCAAAGTATTGGTTGAGCATGGCGGCTTTTGCATGTCCAATATGCAAATAGCCACTTGGTTCGGGAGGAAAGCGAGTGACTACCTCGCCCATCTTTGCATTCGGGAGGTCAAAGATGAAGCCCATGTTGGAGTCATCCGTCGTCGAGCCTTGCTTGTTCGTGTTGCCCTTTTTCGCAGCGTTGACAGAGGCGACGACTTGTTGAGGGATGGGCAGTTTCTCGAGGTAGTTGTAGAAGCGCGAGAGATGGGGGTGTTGGCCTCGTTTGAGGACCCCAAGTACTTGTCCACTACCTAGTTCCAGTTGAGCGACAAAGGGAGAATAGGTTGGAAGGAGTCACGCACTCTTACATGCACCCCATATAGCTAGATCGACCGAAGACAATTCGCGGCCGACAAAAAAGGTGCGGAATGCGAGATAATCATCCAATTCGTCCATGACGCCAGTTAATTCATTGAAAGCGAGGTTCTCGCGCAGTCGAGTGGAGGATTTTAGAAACTCTAGACCCTGTTGAGATCAGTGAGTAGATGGATATCCGAGTGCAAGATACATACTTTGGAAGATCCTTGAGCGGGCTTTGAGCAGTCGGCGAGGACGGATGCGATCTCGTCCCAATCTGTAAAGAGTTTGCCATTGTGGCGGAGGGAGATCTCGTGCTCTCCAGAGGTGGAAAACGATGTCTCGATATTTGCAAACGCTGCTTGTGCGATCAAACCATATGACAGCGCACCAGCCTTGAGGGAGAGATTGAGTCCGTCGGTGGCCATGACCAAAAAGTTATCAGGCTTTACGCTCGACCAAATACACCGGCACATCCTGGCCTCAAAGATAGTCTAGAGTATCATTTGAAAAAAGCTTGATTTGGCTGGTGTGGGCCACTTTACAATTGCAGAGACTGCACAGAAGGACGGCTCGGACCGACGTCGTCGTCGGCCGCGGAAGGATCATGTAATGCTCAGCTGGTCGAATAAAAAGTATACCGGCTTTTTATTCTTGTTAGTCTATACACCACAATACTGGCTAGTCGCCCGGTTGGCGTCCTCCAGGTCATAGCTCATGTCAGCATCGGAGTGGGCGGACTCCGTGGCGCGTTAATCGTTACTGAACATAGTTTGTCAGCTGCGGGGGGATTGGATTCACCGGTTTCTAACGCTCACAAAGACGGCAGATTGCGTGCTTGCTAAGCTCATTATCCGTGGCTCCCATAAAAACCCCGGGGCTTTACTGAGAGTGTCCCTCGACCAAACCTTACCCTCTTCCACATTCCTCCATGGCCTCGTCTCCATACTCATTTGGCACCAAAGCCATCCATGTTGGCTCCGATCCCTCTTCAGAGACTGGGGCCGTCATTCCCAGCATCTCCCTTTCCACAACTTACAAACAGGATTCGGTCGGGGTTCACAAGGTCAGTCTCTGTCCTTTTCTCCATCTATCCATGCTCATCAGTTCCAGGGTTACGAGTATTCGCGCTCCGATAACCCCAACCGCAACGCCCTCGAGAAGCAATTGGCCGCCCTAGAGGCTGGCCAGCATGCCCTCGCCTTCGCATCGGGTTCGGCAGCGACTGCTACGGTCATGAGCGCCGTCGGGACTGCGCACATCATCTCCGTATCCGACGTCTACGGCGGTACGCACCGCTACATGACAAAAGTCGCCAGCGAGCTCTCGAACCTCCAAGTCACTTGGCTCGACCTCGACACAGTCAGCGAGCAAACGATTATTGACTCTATTCGTGAGAATACAAAGGTGTGTGACATTGCGTGATTTTGCGAATCCCGGGACTAATTGCCATTCTCAGCTTGTATGGGTGGAAACACCGACAAACCCGACATTGCGAGTCATCGACATTGCCTACGTTGCCAATATTCTCTCTAATCATCCATCTCAACCCCTATTGCTTGTGGACAATACGTTCATGTCACCCTATTATCAATCTCCACTTGCGCTCGGTGCGGACATTGTTCTCCACTCGTTGACGAAATACGTCAATGGCCACAGTGACGTGAGTGTTTTCGTTGTTTTTTCGTAATGATCGATCCTAACACGTAATAGGTCGTGATGGGCGCCCTTATCCTTCCAGAGCCATCGCCGACCTCCAAGCCATTGCTCGCCCCCTTCCTCTCCAAGCTCCGTTTCCTGCAAAATGCAATCGGTGCCGTTCCCTCGCCGTACGACTCGTGGCTTGCTCAGCGTGGTGCAAAAACCCTTTACCTGAGGATGCGAGCACATGGCTTGGGAGCCCTAAGCGTCGCTCATGCTCTCGAACGCGCCAAAGCACGCGGACAAGTCAGGGACGTCATTTACCCTGGTTTACCTTCGAGCTCGCGATTCGACGTCGCCCGGAGGAACACGAGCGCTCATGCAAAGGCGTGGATCGACACCCTTCGAAATAGCATTGTACCGGGACTTGGTCTCGAAGAGAGTGGAAGAGGATATGACCCAGAGCTCGACGGTATACCCTTTGGAGGCATGATTAGCTTCCGCATCAATGGTGGCGAACAGGAACGAATGCATTCCTCGCTCAATTGCACCTATTTGCCCTCGCAGAAAGCTTGGGTGGTGTCGAGAGTCTTGTCGAGGTTCCGGAAAAGATGACTCATGGTGGTCTTTCGGAAGCCGAGCGAGCAAGCTTGGGCATTGGTCCAGATCTCATCAGACTATCAATCGGAGTTGAAGACGCAGTAGATCTGATCGCCGACCTCGAGCGTGCCCTGGACGCTGCCATTCCACCCGTGGAGACTTCGCCTAACGTTCCACAATTGCGGTTCGATATTCAACCAAGTGATGCTGCCTCAGAAGTCTCGGACGAATCTCCTTTGGCCACCCGTCTTCCCTCCGCGACGCCGAGTGAATATGGAGATGCAGTCAAGGAAACATTGTAATTTATACCCTGTATTATTATCGTCTCATGGAATAATCAAACTTGCTACCTTTGCCCAACCAGACATTGCGCGTTGAAATAAAACTTGGTTTCGACCATGAACTATCGGCTTTGTTATTCGGCGCGTCCTGCATCGCGCATCCTTTTCCAAACGCGATTGATACGGCCTCAATGCGTCTATAAAGCTGGAATCGGTAGTTTACGCGCCCTGTCAACCGAGTCCAATTCGTCTCCCGCGACTTTTCCAAACTCGACTACTCAACCTCGCCAGCCTATAGAATACAATGGGCCTCTTGCGGACACGTACCAGAGACTCAAACTCTTTTCACTCACGTCGCTGAGCCTAGCGACGCTCATGACACCTCTTATGTTCATTATCGACTCGTCCATGCCATTTGCTGGTCGTGCAGTGCTTGGTTTCACCGCAATGTCAACCTCTGGTCTCTCGACTGCTCTTATAGCATGGCTAGGCTCGACCTATGTGACCAAAGTCCGAGTTGAAGATGTTGGCGTCGAGGGTGCGGGAGCAGGACGACGAGTGCATATGACCACGAAGACGATGCTGCTCAGAGAGCGCGTCACAACGGTGTACGACCCGTCGTTTCTCGAGCACGCCGAGCAGTATTTCAATAAAGTGAGACTGCGGAACCAGATCCGTGTTCCTATGGCCGAGGTCGAGAAGAATGGGATGAAGCTTGTGGATGGGATGGAGGAGACGGTCGCGGAAACGTTGGACGAAAAGGGCAATGTCCGCGGTTGGTGGGAGGTTCACTGGCGCCGCGAGGGTGACGCTGGCTTTGTGGGCGAGTGTAGAGGCGCTGGAAAGATTATCAGGCATGTACTTGAACTGATGACAACTTGGTCTCTAACGCTCCTACAGTGCTTACAATGTGAATCCCGACTTGTTACAGGATCTCGTTCAGCAGTCTCCGACCACATCACAGACTAATAGCCAGTAGATGTCCCCATAATCCATATATTTATGCGACCTTTGTATCCATCAAACTCACCACTTCATAAACCCAAAGTTTCTTAAAAGTCATAAACACATGCGTATACATAACTGAATGTTCCTTTGTATATGCTTTGACATCCACCTGGAATTTTCGCGAGCCACTCCCGATTTGTACTTTGACGCCAACCACTGCCGTTTTCAGCTCGATGGGTCTCATTGAGGTAAGAAAATGTGGCTATTATTCAGGGATAACTGACCAAAGTTTAGGTCATTGCAAATGATCGTACAGGGAATAAGGGTGAGCGGCGTTTGGCTTACTTTTCATGAATGGCGTCACTAACGGCGGGAATGAACGCTAGTCCGAGTCAAGGTGGACTCGGAGGATACAGTAGAAGTGCTAAAGAAGATGATTGCGGCACAAATGGGCACAGATTGGGAGAAGATTGTCTTGAAGAAGTGGTCAGTCCTTCTCTGTTTTGTTTCCAGTATTTATGCAGGACTGAAAAGCAATATATAGGTACACCGTATTCAAGAACCACATCACACTTGCGGATTACGAGATACACGACGGGCAAAGCCTGGAGATGTACTACAGTTAAGCAAGTCCCAGATGACAGAAGAATTCTAACTATAGTTGTTTTTTACCAAACTCTCAACTCGGAGAGAGGATTGACACTTAACCCATAAGAGCCGGATGCAAGGACGGCAAGGATTTACCATGAGCATAAATTGATTGTCCAGAGCAACGCGTTTCTCCGTCCAATCACTGAGCGAGGATGAAAGAGGACGCCACTATTGAGTCGCGTGCGGCCGGTCGATCGGAGTGTCAATGTCGTCGTGCCATGACTTTTTCGGGAGGTGAACGAGGACTTTGAGCTTTCCTTGCCCGGAGGGGAGTGGCGGGACAATCCGGCATGCCTCATTCAGCTCCTGAGCCATTCGTCTTCTGCGTGAGATGGACATGGCAAGCGCAACTACAATGGCTAACAAGCCTACCCATTTCTCAGCAATGTCTCTCACTCGAGGCTTTGGTCAGTGGACATACAAGAGATAGAGAGAACTACAGCCACAATGGTGATCACAGTCGTCCGTCTATTTAAATACCTGCGGAGACTTAGTACTTTTTTTAGCGATATATAGGTAACTCTACCTTTGATCTTGGGCAGGGGCTGCGCTCGCCGTGCCAATCGCAGCGGAAGACGAGTGAACCGCATTGCTGCTCGTCGCACTGTGAAACACACGATCTGCTCTGGCTTTAATAGCATAACGCAGTATGAATACAACATAGAAAGAAGCAAAATCTTTGTGGAGACGGAAACAGAGGAAGATAGCCATAGGAAGAATCCCAGAGTGCAAAGGAGAGGATTTCTGGTACGATTATATACGGGGAGAGTATTCAAGTCGACTCAGTCCTGGCGCTTATGTGCAGTTTGCCCGTATTCTGCCTTCACAGCCGTCCGAAGACTGGCGGCAATAGCTTTGGAAGGAATAGGTAGAGAAGCACGAACATATGCTCATCTTCCCAGTATCGAGCGCTTACATTCTTTGTCCGTGCCAAAGTTGTGCTTCCCTGATCTTTGATGTTAGCCTCTCATTCCCCCTTCTCGGTTCTCCAACAAACTTTTAAGATCGTACTTAGAGCCGCTGAATGCCTTGGGAATTCACATTACGTGACTTTGGACTAATCTTGTAAACTGGCTTGCTTCCCACCAGCGCTTGTGAGCCATGGCGGCGCGGGAAGTCGACCAGTAATCGTTATTGGGCTCCCACAGTCGACGCTGAACCCGTAGTACAAGTATTATAGCATGTTACAGTGCTTATGTACATCTAAACTAGTATCAAAGGTCGGAAACCAGCACTCGAACAGGCAGCAGGATGGTCAGGCTTGACGGTTAGTATTGCAGCAAGGCGGGTCCTCGTGGCACAAGGTAACCAGCAGGCAGCAACAACGCTGAGATGTGCCTCATGTAGCGCCTAGACCGGGCGACTCAGCTGGGCGCTCGGATGTGGGATGCAGTCACTCTCCTATTGTCGTATATGAAGTGAGACCGGGGTTGTGACTGAATCAGGACCGGGATACGTCCCCATTTGAGGTGGTATGTGGAGCCCGGGCAATTTAACTTTCACGACCTTTGTGCGGCTCGGGGGATGGGGGGTGGTCGTCGTGGTCGTCCCAGGCAGTGAGGCCTTGGATTCGAGACCTAGCTCATTCATCATTGCTTCTTGAGCTCTTTTCCGTCTCAATTTGACAAAGATGAGAATACCTAGGCTGAAGAAGAGTACTGGGCAAAGTCAGCCCTCGTTCATTAGCCCAAGGGAACGAACGTACTGACGGGCACCGAAGTTGCTAGACTAATCGTCAAGGTGCTATTGCATAAGCCCTTTTTTATAGGATGGCCACTGTAGCTTGTCAAAAGGAAATCAGGGCAACACAAGCGGGGACGCACTTTTCGTCCGTACAAGGCTTGCGGCGAGGTGACGAAGAGGATGAAGTAGAGGAAACTACCGCAGCATTTGTTGACCAGAGAAATTGAAGGAAGATTAGCACGGTTGAGGAGTAAAGTGAAGGAGAAGAGGATGGCATTGCAGCGGCGAAGAATCTGAGGAATACTAGCTGAACCCAGATGCTAGGAGGCGTCGAAGTCTTTATGAGTATTTAGTGGTCCTAGAAAAACGTGTAGTTCACGACCCTGGGGAATCCGTCTGACCGGAGGTAGTCATAAGCCGCTACGTTCAACCGTCCTCTAGAATGGGCGGTTGCGCAAAATGCGTGGTATCTTTCGATGAGCCTTTAGGTTGAAGCCATACAAATCCAGTGTTCGAAGGTATAGAATGCTGTGATTAGTCCGGTGAAGTACCCTTATACTTGCACCGGACGGTCCCAGCGAGGCCGAAATGACTAACTTCTTGCTGGTAAAGGGCTTCCGTCTTCTCGCGAGCGCAACGCACGATGGGCTGTCAAACTCGTGCGTGCTACTGGGCGGTAGTGGGCGGTGGTGGGCGATAGTGGGCGATAGTGGGCGGTAGTGGGCGGTAGTGTGCGGTAGTATCGGTCAGCTGCCGTACGTTGCACATTTGATTTGCACATAGGCCGTGCCCCCTCTTAAATAACACCTCCAGTGGCAACGAAGTAGATAAAGGAGAACCAATAAACAAACAGCATATTATGGCAGTAATACGTAGAAAGACTATTCAAATCCGAAAGATCCAAATCCACTAGTAAATAATTCATCCTCAATTGACAGCTGCAGCTACAGGGGCTGCCTCGGAGACCTTTTCCGCGGCAATACCTGCCTTGGCAGCCTCTTCCCCTGGTCCGGGTGTGGTCGTAGGTACCACCGGTGTGAGAGGCGTAATCTCAGGTGCCCTTATTCCGTTGGTATTGGACACGCCGCTCGAGTTGTTGCTCAACGCCGACACAGATTCCTTTTGGGACAGCTTCGGTTGAGACGAATTCGAATGCTTTCCGAGAGACTCCTTAGATGCATATGGTGATTGAGAAGGATCGATACCTGCCTCTTCAAGCAGTTGCGCGGGGATCGCCTTGCGCTTCACGGGCGTCACCAACCCAGAGGCCGACCGCTTAGGCGTGAGCGCCGATCCTGGGATCGGCGAAAGCCCACCAGGCCCCTTGCCATTGCTAAGCGAGGCTGGGGTAGTATTTTGTCTGCTCGTCGTTCCGTTCACCTTGGACGTGTCGACATTGAGGACAGGTCGAGTGAGTTCCTCGCTGACGCGCACTTCTGCGATGCCTTCGAGCGCCAGTTTGGTAAAGGTATCATCGCGCCCGAGCCCACCAACGGATGGGAGAGCCGGTGGGAGTTCTGAGACGATTGACTGCCTATGTTGCATTGTCTCTCCATTTGCATCAACATAGCGGCCTTTGCCGATACGGAGGCTGCCAAAGCTGGGACGACGAATGCGCACAACGTCGTTGGAGATGGAAGTTGCGAGTGAGCTTGTAGAACGGAGTCCGGCTGCGCGGAAGATGCTCCTTGGAGGAGAGGAAGGTTCCGGTGGCTCGACTGGTGACGTCCATGTCGTAGGAGATTTGGTCATCGTTGGTGAAGATGCCTGAATGGTATGTTCTGGTCCCTTTGTCAACGTATTGACAATCATTTGCCAGAAGTTGTTTCCGCTCATGCGGCTCTCCTTTGCCTCAACAGCTTCATCCGCAAATTTGGATAAGCGCCTGGCCTCGGCGGTGTCTCTGCGAGCGACAATACTAGACGGTGGAGGATTCTCATCTCCAGCGACTACCCAGGCCCAGCTCCAGTTTGTCGAGTTCAAGACTTTGTTACGTTCGTCGTCGTCTTTTTCTTTGGACAAGACGGTAGCCTTGAGCTTCGAGAACCGAGTGTTATCCTCCTGTTCTGCCGCATCGATATGGCGTTTGCGATGCTTGCCCACTGACTTCAACGTCTCCTTGAACCGCTTCTCCCACACAGTTTGTGCGTCCAAATAGCGCTTCACGCTGAGTTCATTGACCATGCCGATGGAATCCAGTGTCATAGCAAGAGCTGGGAGATCTTCCTCGGGTTCCATCTCTCGAATAATTCCAGTGGTGGAAACCCGTTCACGAATCATACCCTTGGAGAGTGGCTTCGTCTGATGTTGTCATAAGCCCAAACAGTATACGGGAATTGGCGTATGGGACTGACCTTGTAAACCTCGGGATCCCCAGCCGTCCCGGGACCACCATCAGCCGAGTCTCGTTGGAAGCGTGGTCCGGCGACATCAGCAGTAGGCGACAACATCTGATTGGACTTGAAAGAGTTGTTCCGACCCAACAGGCTACCGAGCCGGAAGGAAGGAGTGCGGCTTACAGAGGTCGAGGTGTTGCGTCGAAGAGGTGAGTTACTCGCATTCGAATCGCCAAACGATGCAAGAGAGAGGTCAGGTTGCAGCGTTGAGAAAAGACCCTTGTCCGGCATCACGTGCTTGCAGAAGTTTGCCACCTGAGGACAAAGTCAGCGGTATTTCAGTGTTTGGAAAAAGGTCTTACACTACGGAAGGCAAACTTGGCTGGTGTCGTAAATGTGAACAAAGGGAGGACATGGCAGGTATCTACCAGAGTCAGATTCAATCTGGGATAAAAGTGTATAACTTACCGTCGTACACTTGGAGATGGACTTGAGTAGGTGCTGGATGGCGCTCCTTTATACCGTCAAGCAACGGATAGCCAACACGGATTCCCGGTCGAGTCGGGAATCGATCTGGATGCGCGGCTTTATGTGCACTATTGCAACAGTCAGATGGGTAAACCCACCCTGAAAAGAAACGTACACGTAGATAATCTCGTCGCGGAGGACCTCTTTGTCACTAGCCATAATGAACAATGGGGGCAAGCCCCCGAGGTAGCCGTTGACGGGACTGACCAGAGGATTTGTCAGAAGATTATTGGTGGTATACAGTTGAATTTGGGATTTGACTTGATAATACGTGCCGCCGATGCAGATGGTAAAAGTATCCGAGGGTTCTACATGGTGCAAATTTGAAATGGCGGGTGCACTCGTCGACGGTCGCATCCCATATTCTGAAGCAGCGGGTGATTGCCTGATGGTGCTTTGAGGTGGGTCATGGATGCATTGAGTCCGACGGATCCGTAGTTGGACTTTGCAGGCGAGCCGAGTGTCACATCGCCACGCGAATTGATAACGACAGAATCGTGAGACGGAGAGCGAGAGTGACCCAAACGTGTGAGCCGCCTAATTTTCTCTGCGAGGTTGTTTCGAACAGTCTTGGTGACTTCTTCATTTGGAGGCGGCCATAGCAAACTGGGCTTATGCATCGAAAGTCCAGTGGGAGGAAGAATATCCGTCGCAGTGTTTTGATGAATAGAGGGGAACGAATGCGTGAGGTCGCACCATGGGCTGATGAGTATTCCTCCGGCTGGAGCAGGTAATCCAGAGTCGCGTATGGCTTGAAGAACTGCTAGAGCCAACCCGCCACCTGCAGAGTCACCGGCAATCACAATGCTCGACGGGGGTATGGGCTTGTGTTTTGCACCCTCTGGAGGTTGAATAAGGAAGATGTCTGTCGACCATCAGATAAGTCGCCAAGGGAGAAAGAAAGGTACATACAGGCTGCGAGGCAGTCCTGGATGGCACATGGAAAGGGGTATTGAGGCGCCTTTCGGTAATTAACAGCTATTCAGGCGGTAAGCGAATGTCAAATATGAGCCAAATACTATTCACCAAAGACACGGCCATTCATCTTTCGTGCATATCGCTGTAAAACGAATCTGCATCCGGTGAGCCAACGGTGGACGGTCACCCAGTGGCTGCTCACCTCTGCTGATCAATAGAGCCAAAGTAGTATCCTCCACCGTGAAAGTATAGCATGCAGCGCATGTCGTCCATCTCTGCGGTGTACTCAGCTTCCGCATGCTCCTCCGTTGGCTTTTCGGCCGGTTCGTTTGCAGTTGCAGGACCTTTACCCTTCCTTGTAAGGGCATCAAATTTCTGGATTGATTCTTGCTCCTTCCGTCGGCGTTTGGCTTCTTGCCAATCTTTTGCAAGCGCAATCCATTGGCAGTCGACGCCTTTGATCCCACGCACCTAGATCCGCGTCATGTTATGAGATCTACCGGTTACGTATGTCGTAATATGCTTACTTGCCACCATTTGATACCTCCGAGTATCTTCTTTGCACTTTCCTCTCCGCCGAGCGCCGTGATAATGTGTTTGGAGGCTAGCTCGCAGCAGACGAGGGGAACTAGTACACGGGGTGAATGAACCCAATAAGGAGATGGGGTTCGAATGTTAGAGAACTCTTGAAGTTCCTCGACGGTATGCCTGAATTGGTGGAAGGAGAGTGCATCAGCCAACGGTCTCTTACAATACCGAGAACCGGACAACGTTTCACGACTCGAAGCAGATCCGTGGATCCTGCAGTGAGATCTACTTGCGTGATGGGACAGTCCGTGCTGGAGATTTATGGCAGGGACGCGGAGGCAATACTAACTTGGAGGAGGCTTCGAGGAAGGACTGGGACGGAAATTAGCATGCGTAGAGAGCTCAGGAATCGGTGTAGCATTACCTTGAAGAGCCGAAAAGCAGACGCGTACAAGAGCTCATCGTTTGCAGCTGAGCCTGAATCCTGGGATCCAAAGTAGTGTTTTGTGAGTGCTCCTAGAAGAACTTGTGGCCCTCTGAGGCTCATTTCCGTAGTGAGTGAGGCAGGCATCGTTGGTGTCGACTCCAAGAAATCCTCACACACTTCGACCCGCACCTTGACACATCTTCTAGGCACCTTGCAATGACCTTGACGCCAGAACCGTTTCACTAAAATTCTATAAACTCTGGGAATATCATATAACAGTCTAGAACAATCGTCTATGCTCTTGACAATGCTCAACGCATTCAAAACCGTCCCGACGAGGGCGGCAACGCTCCTCCTGGTCTGGTTATTCATCCTCAGAATCTCGGGGATATACCTATTCACCCGTGGGTTCCTCCTCTCACGCCTTTCTCTTAGCAATACCAACGACTGCAAAACATGCACGCTTCCGCCCACTCACAAGAGGGCAATATTCCTCATAATTGACGCCCTGAGATTCGACTTTATCTCTCCGGACCCTCCGAGTCCGCCCAACGAGGCACACCACCATGTCTTCACCCTGCCGCAGGAGCTCTCGGCCAAATACCCTCATCACTCTTTTATTTTCAACGCACACTCGGATCCTCCAACTGCAACAATGCAACGAATCAAAGGAGTGACGACCGGTTCGCTACCGACCTTCATCGACATCTCGGCAAACTTTGGTGCTACGTCAATCGAGGAGGATTCCTTGCTGTCTAGATTAAAAGCAGCGGGTAAAAAGGTATTCCCGTCAACTGTTTCACACGGTCATTGACTCTTGGCAGATTGCATTCATGGGAGACGACACCTGGATGAGCTTATACGCCGATTTGTTGGATGAAAGCCATCCATTCGATTCTTTCAACGTCGAAGATCTTCACAGCGTGGATAACGGTGTCGTCGAGCATCTATTCCCACTGCTACAACAGCCCATCAAAGACTGGGACTTTCTTATCGGTCATTTCCTAGGTGTCGACCATGCCGGACACAGAGTAGGTCCTGGTCACTCTACAATGAAGAGCAAGCTTCAGCAGATGGATCGAACATTACGCCAGGTAGTCGAGCTCTTGGACGATGACACGCTCTTAGTTGTCATTGGCGATCATGGAATGGACACCAAAGGAGATCATGGAGGAGACGATCCCCTGGGAGACCTCGGCGGCGACATGGATATACAGCAAATCCACGGCCCTCCGGGCAGCCGACTTTGGAGAGATACCCGCGTTTCTTCTGCCAAATGTTACATTCCCTAATGCTCCCTCTTCGCACCGTGGTATCCAACAAATCGATCTCGTGCCATCCCTCGCTCTTCTCCTCGGTATCCCTATCCCTTTCAACAACCTGGGTACTGTCGTTCCAGAGCTCTTTGCAAGGGGCGACAACCTTCGCAAGGCTCTGAATCTGAATAGCCATCAGATCAAACAGTACCTGGACGTCTATCGCGCAAGTGCATCCGGAGCAGAGCTAAACCCTTATTGGGAGACTCTGGAAACATCATACCGGGGTACGACCGCTGGGTCGTCGCCAGAAGAAAATCACTCGTTTGCTCGACTGGCACTCGAGAGCTGTCGCGCCTTGTGGGCTCAGTTTAGCATGACCCTCATTATACTTGGGCTGGTGGTCATTCTGGCCACCATTCCGGCCACTGCTCTCTTCACGCGCTCCACTCCAGACTGGCCGGATACAACGGTTGATACGGTCGCAAACTCCATGCTCGCCTTCTTGGTCGGTGCAGCCGCTGGCTTCGCCATTCACATCGCTCTCGCTAGCTTCCTAGCTATGCCGATGTCTTCACTCCAGACCACCTTGTTCGGCGGCAGCGCACTGGCAGCGATTGCCTTATCATACGCCAACACACCTGTGTCTACGCTGAGAATCTCCAAATCGACCTTCGTTCTCCTCATTCAGTCCATCCTTCTCTTCTCCAATTCATTCGTCTTCTGGGAAGAGCGAGTCGTTCCGTTCCTCTTGGTCACCAGTGTCACGATATTGGTAATTCCCCTGCGAACCGCCTCTGGTCGACTACTTCGCCGCGGCCTCTTCTTCTGGAGTGTATTTGTCGCATGCGTGCGGCTCATAAATCTCAGCACTGTCTGTAGAGAAGAACAGGGAGCATATTGCCATGTGACCTTTTACTCATCATCCGTTCTACCGTCACCTCCTCTTCTCGTCCTTTTGGCAAGCATTCCAGTCGCTCTCATGCTACCGACCGTCGTCAGACGGTTTATGAAGATTGCCGCAGCAGATCACGCCCTCGCGCCAATCACCGTTGAAGGATATCTGCGTCTAGCACTCTTTGGAGGCACATCGTTTTGGCTTTTCGACTGGCTAGAGAGCCATCACAGCTCACTCGGTCTGGATCAAACCATTAGTACTACAACGATTCGTATAATTCGCACCACCATCTCCAAAATCATCATGTGGACAAGCGGCCTCGGACTCGCAGTCTGGTCTGCGAGCCCCCTTAATCTTGCCATCCGAAAGCAAACAGATGGCTCCGGAAAAGTGACTGTTCAAGTCCTTGGCTTCACCAACAGCTACGGCTCTTTCTATCTATCTTTCCTTCTTTACATCTTTACGAGCATCTGGATCACATCTCAACTCTCCGCCCAGATATCCCTCGCGCTTTGCTTTACCGCATTCCTTGCCTACCTCGAACTTGTGGACACCGTCCGCGATGTGACCCCAGCAGAAAGACCAGGTATATATCGTGCGCCAACCCTCGCACAAGTAACACCTGTTGCTCTTCTGGCACTCCAAGTATTTTACGCGACGGGCCACCAAGCGACACTCAACTCGCTACAATGGAAGTCGGCGTTTATACTCAGTGCTGAACGAAGCCTATGGTCGCCTGTAACGGTGACCTTGAACACAATCGGTCCGGTGTTCATCGTGGCGCTCGCCACGCCATTGTTGGCACTATGGGCAGTGGAGCCCTTTAATCCAACATCAAGCGTTCAAACTCAGCAAAGATATGTCGTCCGTGGGGCCCTGCGGAGTAGTTTGCTCATCAGCAACTACTTCACGGTGATTCTACTGGCTAGTGCCGCTTGTGCCATGGTTCTCCGACGGCATCTTATGGTGTGGAAAGTGTTTGCTCCTCGATTTATGCTTGCGGCACTGTGTACCATTGCGGTCGATCTTGCTGGGATCATTGGGATGTTTGGTGGAGTCGGCACCGTTGTACAGCGCGTTTCATCAACGTATCAGGGAGTGACAGAGTAATAGATAGCCTACAAGTAGTAGCTAATATAATCCGAATGATATGCTACATCGTATCCATTAGGCAGAGATCCTTTGGGTCCAAACACCGCAGAGGACGGTTAGGTCTCTCACCGAGGCGTCACATCCTCGACACGGATGTCACTAGAGGTGGCCTGGCTTCTGATTTCGTCCTCTTCATCACCCCTGTGCGACTTGCTTTCGTCCGTCTCGACTTCCGGTTGGAGGCTAGGCATGTCGCCCATGAGAGAATTCTCGCTGAGAATCTCCTCTACATCGAGATAACCTTCTTGTATCTGTGTAGCCAACGCGAATGTATCCTCTTCTTCGTCATCACTAGACTGTTGCTCGAGGATTGCTCTTCTGGCCTCTGTCTCCTCTGTCTCAGAGTCATCGTCTGCATCGTCGTCAGAGTCCGGGAACGGCGTCTTGGGGATCGTCTTCCGCTTCTTATACTGTGGAGTTGCCTCTGAAAAGGTCACACCACCCACATTTTTTCTCTTCACGGCTTTGCGTGCAGGCGTGGTTGGATTCAATGTCCTCTGCCGCGAGCCTCCGTCGTCCGCTTCCGTCCTAGATTCTGCAGGGAGAACAGACGGAGGAGGTGTGGGTGTCTTTGTGAATGCATTCATGAGCTTGACTTCTTCCGACGTCGGAGGGGGTGTCGATGGTCCCATGGGTGCAGTCACTGCACTCGATGTCCCAGACGCAATTCCAGCATCAAAAGGCGCGGCTAGGTCCATCATTGGGTCCAACTCTCGCATGGGTTGGGACCCTTGCTGACCAGAGGCAAGGGCCGATTCAATCTGTGAACTCAGCGACGGCGCGGGGGGGATATTCGAAAATGCGGGACTCATTCCTATCCCAAGGGTGGAGAATTTGGTGGCAGAGGAACCCCGTATCGAATCCGGCACATGCAATCCCGCGTTTGCTTGCGAGGATCCGAGCGACGTTTGGGTGCCAAGGTAACGAAATGGAAGCGAAGACACTACATTCTAAAATTCAGACTCCATAATGAACATGCGATGATGCGAGCGTACCCGTACTTTCGCCCGCGGCCTTTCGATAGTCGTGTAAATCACGCAGACGAATGGGTTCGTGCACGTCGATATGGCTTATTATATGTGCCTGTAGCAGTTCTTTTTGGTCAAACTCTCTCGTGCAATTTTTCCAGCGGCATTCGTAAAGTGGGGTAGCCATAGTCGAGGCCAAAGTTTGTACTCAACATGCGACCAGTCGAGTTGTGGCAAATGTGATACAGACTGGTGGTACATTGGAGCTACTCTAATCACTCATCTCGACGCTCTAATCACTCATCTCGACGGAAATCCCTTCCACCACCGGGAAGGCTAAGACCCCCACCGACCTTGACGCTCGTTCGAATCACCGGCGCAGAGGAAATGGTCGGTGGACGTCCCATTACAACTGGTCTAATACCTCCGTTATGCAGTGGCTGAACGTGTCCTTCATGATTGGTTTGCTCGTCCGCTCGCGACTCGGAAGGAGGTACCGCCGACCCAGAAGATTGCTTGGACTTGCTCGACTTGCGCTTCCCTTTAGAGCGTGAAGCTGATCTTCCTCTGATCGAGGTGTTGCTTGTCCCCTCTCCACGGTCAGACTCGCCTCCACTAAACGGTGCACTCGAGATGCTATTCTTAGTCAAACCCTCGTTCTCCTTTTCTGCATCATCACCCTCTTCCTCGATACCTGGTCCCTGCAATTGAAGTGGTTCTATATGTGGGATAGGTCCAGAGAAATCGAGCCCAGTTTCTCTTGAGAGCAACTCGAGATCTGCGACTGAGTCAGCTTGATTGAAACTCGAGTATAGCAAGCGCATACCGTACGGAAGTCTCATCTTCGAACTGAGGTGCAATGTTACTTTGGCGGGATGATTCTTGTCTTCTGCTCTATATTTGTTGCGTACCATGGTCCGAGTACGATTAGGAAGAAGTCGAGCGATTAGGTCAAAATTGGTATGAAACATCCGGAGGCCCTGCAGAAGTCGGTGAGTTGGCAGTCCAGTCCTTTCTAGAGACGCATACCAAGTAGAATTGCTCTGTTTCTTCTGGTGACCATCTGTCGGTTCGTGGTTTTCTCGAATGTGACGCGAAATTGGTAAACTTGTCACGGTCAGTTTCAATGACAACCTCCAGAGGACCCTTTGCTGCAAGTTCGGCCTCGGCTTCCTTCTGTCGATCATATTCCATCTCCGTTTCGTCGAGTACAAACTCGCCGCTGGCGTCTAGTCGGACTTTGGGCGCACGAGTCATGGCTTTTGCTACACCAGCATAGTCGTCCTCGTCTTCATCGAGTTGCATATCGGCATCTGCGTCATCGTTGCTCGTTTGCGTTTGTGGGAGTGCCTCTCGAGAAGAGCGTCCACGCCTTGCCCTGGTGCTCATCTCAAATTCCTCCTCCTCGTCCATTGGAAGTCCGAGCTCCTTTCGCCTTGTCAGTTCCCGAAGTCGAGTATTTCCTTCCTTCCTCTCCTCTTTGCTCTTCTCCGCTTTGATAAATGTTTCCAAAAATCGCGAGCTGACTCTTCCCTGTCCGGCACCGTTGCACAGGTCCTTCATCGACATTGTAGTCTCATCCAGTGGATGACCTTCCTCTGGAAGTTCGAGTGTGGGCTTGTCTACTCTTGGGCGGGGTTTTCGACGGCGACGAGAGCGCTTCGTCCTGTTCTCCGAGTCTGATGATTCGGAAACCTCTTCTCCTCCCTCTGTAGGCTGCTGGGATGGGTCTTGGGCTCCTTCCTCCAAGGTGTCCTGTGCCCTTTTATTTAGTCGTCCCTTCTTGCTCGTGACGGTTGTTGTTGCATGTGATGCTTCATCTGTACTGCTTTTCCCCCGCTTTCGCTTACGTGGGACCTTTGCTTTCCTTTGCATCACTTCCTCTTCTGGGGACATTACAAAAGGGATCGAGAGTTGCATCGGTTCCAGAGGGGCCTGTGGTTCGACCAATCGTGCGGGCTGGAGATTTGCAGTTGTTCTTTGTCCAGGCATATTAATGGATTTAGGGCGATAACTCGATGTAGAAGGCATTGCGAGTGCGACTGGAGCCGAGCAGCTGGTGGATGGTTGCGTATGAGACGGCAGGGAGCTCTGTGTTGTCGGCTCCGATCTCGGAGGCTCTTCGGTCTGATAACTGCTCTCTGTGAACCATGAGTTACCCAAATGCCTCCATATTTGTAGGTACCAACCTGTTGCACCCGATGGATGGGCTGGTAATGGCGTGGGGTCGACTAATAGCACTCTGGGAGGTGCACTCGCTGGTACTCCTGCCGAAGGAGGCTTCTGCTTCGACCCAGAGGACGAATGCGGCTTTTCCGTCGATGTGTCCTTTGAACTACGGGGCATCATGGGCCGAAATTTTGTTCCACCCTTTTCTGAAGTGACATTTAGAGTCGTACGAGAGATGTAGAACACACAAAAGGCGAGTTTCGGGTCAGTGGTCGCTTCAGCGCTTGAATATGAACAAACCTATGCGCGACATGGCTCAAATAGAAACTAGAAGTACAAGTAATGTAGGATTAAGGCACTCCTCCCGGCTTGTTGTCACAAGGCCAGATGCGGTCGGGTCCAGATTCGCCTTGCCACAATGCAGAGTCAGGAGGCTGTACTCGGTGGCTTTATCACCGGAACGTCTCTAGTGTGTACTGTAACCTCCGATTTGAGTATTTAACGGCATCACTACTTGCTTGGTAGGTCTCCCGAGAAATGAATGAGGACCAAGGAAAGGATTCGACATTCATAACTCGTTTAATCATCAACCTCTACGTGTCATTGAGCAATTAAGCCAATGGAAAGATGGGACGAACCAGCATAGGTGTGCCCTTTGTATGCAGCTACGTACCCTGAAAAGAATTCGATAAAGATTGAGGCTGGATATTCTTTTGCAGCAGTTTAACGACAATTGCGGCACCTGCGGGATATGCGGCAACTGCGGGAGAGCCTAGCCAGGAGCAAGTTTGCAGTCTGGGCGCTCATCGGCTCGTAAAAGGTGACCTACTTTATGCTTATGCACATAATAAATTAGCCAGTATCAGTATCCGTGTAAGGTGTAGAGCGGTTGCCTCCCTGTTTGAAACTCCGCATACCGATCTCTGACCCTATCATTGCCCGAGGCCTCTCGACATCGGTGCAAGATGATGAAAAGTGTCAATAATTCATGCCGGAAGCTCCACAATGCTGGTCATTGAGGCCTTCCGTGACGTACGCCACTCGTCATCTATTTAGCCATCTATTACAAGAGTATATAATCCATTGACGACTCACAATTGTTTTTTCTCTTCTACTACTTTGATATGTGGATCGCTCACTATGCCTCGGGCTTGATTGCAAAGCCATTCGCGCCAGACGTTCCCCTCTCGTTGTTGGCTCTCGCCGGCGCACTTCCAGATGCATTCTTCTTCGTTCTCAACCTTGGCGGCCTCGAATCTTTTTCCATATCTTCCAAAGTCCTGCGTAAAGGAGGTTGTTTTCCCTACAATGCCGACTATCCGTTTTCGCATTCCCTGCTTGGCATGGGCGTGATTGGTGGGCGTTCTCAGACCCATATAGTATGACTTTGTGACCTCGAGGAACATCATAACAGGCTCCATCTTGGCCTTTGGCTATTCCGCTACCAAGAAGAAAGCGTCGGTCCAAGACATGCTTGCTATTGTCATGTGCTCCCTCAGTCATTTCTTGCTCGAAGTGCCTACGCATCGACATGGTACGCCGCTTGGCCGTTCAGCGCTGTTGTCTGACACGCCGTAGACACTAAGATCACCCCGACGGACAATATTGAACTCGGCGCAGGGTTATTTGATTATCCATCAGCCACACTCGCTGTTGAACTCGCAATCTTCTTCGGAGGCCTCTGGGTGTACACTCGATACGCCCCGGCTATAACTAAATGGGTTACATGAAGGAGGGTCAACGTTGGAGGTTATACGCTCTAAGTATCTTCATGATTGCGCAGCAGATTCACTTCTGCTATGGCTCGTATGTGATTTTGGAATTCGCATTGTTCGTGATGCTAACCCATTGCTAGTGCCCCAACGTCAGAGACACGTTTTGTTCATGCACCAATGTTCTTGTTCAACATCCTCCTCAGCTGTTGGGCCCTGGGCAAGCTCGAAAGCTAAGTTCCGAAGTGCAGCTGACCTAGACTCCACCCTCAAGGCTTTCTATAAAGTTGATAATGGAAAATCTATTTTTACGTACATTACGGAATCATTAGGTGAGACCGTCTCTGGCGAGTGGCCAATCTCCAAGCACCGCTGCTTGACGCCACGTATAATAAAACCTTGTTGAGATGTATGAACAAGAGACGGACAACCTTTCCAATCACGCGCCTCCGTCTTTACAATCCCCATTATTCAAACGCCCCGATATCAATTAGTGGCCATTATTATACATTTGTCGCCTGATGAGGGACAAGGGATGACGTTCAATAGGTCACGGGCGCCACTAGTAGAGCTTTCATGATCGAAAAGCGCGGGCGGAAGCGCGCGGACGGCCCTTGGTGTCGGGCGGCGGCGGTCGGTGATTGGGTGAGTAAATAGTTGACACTATTCCGACGCTTCATGGCGCAAAGGGTCTACGGCGCTCCTTATTCAGCGGTCAATGGGCTCGCCATTCCCCTGGAGGATAGATTGACTCTAGCCACCTTTGGCCAGCCGCGGATAGAGGAATACGTGATCACGAGTTTCCGTACAGCTTGCTTGATGATGTTCCGTGCCGAGTTCTTCTTCCCCGTGATGCCATGCCTCCCAACTTTTCGTCCAAGTGTCTTGCTAATACGGACAACGCGACGTAACAAAGTGGGTGTAGCCATGCTGACCACGTTGTCGATCCACATATACAGACGCGAACAGTGGTCTAGTGGACAGGCTGCATTGCACGTCTCGATCGTCCCATTGTTGGAGAGCTCAGTCGTCGGGCCACCAAATTGGTGATCACGATCAACAAAGTATCAAAGTTTGACTCTCCTAATCCATAAGAAGCGCCACATAGCGCCTTGCTAGTTTTTTCTACGCCGCCCTCTCGAATATAGCTGATCAACGACTTCCTTTTCAGCCATGGACCGTCTCGCGGAGCTCGCCGCGCCCAAGCTAAACCTTGATGGTCAACAATTTCTTTGATCCCCATGTTTAGATGAATAGAAATTCCCGCGGGTTCGCTGAACTGGTCGGGGGTCACCTGAGGCGGAATGGATTTAGACGTGCATCCGCGCTCTGGAAAAAAAAAGTAGACGTAATTCTAACGTCCTGGCCACCCCCTGACGGAAAGTCTTCATGAGGGGTTAGCGCTCGTCGTGCCAGGCGCCGCCGAGAATGTAGACTGTCCCACTGGTTTGGTCCCGTCGCGGCCACTCGGTTTGTGCGGCCAAAGGAAAGAGAGTGTATGTATGTCATAGTGTGTCGTGGTAATAATCCATTGTTTTATATTGGGCTTGTCTTTCTACCTGAAAGAGCGAGTGCGCGAGTCGGGGATTGGCTGGATGTCCCCATACTTTGAGGTGACAGCCAAAAAAAAAATGGGAGAATGTGAGTCCTGGCTGAAATGGAGTACGTAATAAGATGGCCAATGACCTCCAGTCTCGTCCAGATAGGTGTATAGCCCCACTTTCCAATCGAAACTTTGATGTCCGTTTCCCATGCAAACAGTTTTCGCGCATGTCTCGAGCATTGATTACCATGATCGTGCTCCCAACTTAAATTGTGGGGGTTGGTTTCGAGGTTGTGTTCCAAAGTCCTGGTTCCAAAGTCTAATTAACAGATTATTGTCGCACCGTTTCATAATTCTAAGGCGCGGCGGAGTTTGAGGATGAACAAGGGGGGAGCAAAACAGGGTCTCTGACTGGTTGCAATCCGCGACGTTTCCAGCAACAGAGGACAAACCAGCCGAATACATACCTAAGAGTTTGAGTCGTGAGCGGCCGACTCTCTTACATACACACACACACTTGCTGAACATTGCATGGGTGGGGGAGGGATTGGCGTATTTGCATAGTTTGTGCCATGCGAAACAATGTCGGAACAAAGGAACAAGGACGGGACGCGCAAGAGCCCGGTTTGACGGGCGTACCGTGCGTGCGGGTGGGCGGGGGAACGGCGGGTTTGAGAGCAAAGGGAAGAAGGGGGAGCCCGAGTTTACGGCAAATCCACGATCACTGACGTGCGGTCAAACGATATGCCCGCCCATCTGTCTGTTCACTTTTTGATGCGACGTCGGGACATGCGCTATTATGGGCGTGCGATCGACCAACGGCTGGGTCGGTTGTGTCGCTTCGAGGTTCGTGGGTGAAAGTGCTGTACCAGTACAACCAAAGACGTTGAGGAGCGTGAGCGTTGTACCTGCTGGGAGCCGGTCTTGGGATTCATCTAGAGCGTGAGTGTTCGTCTCTGGTTAGCCTCCCCGAAAAAGCCTCCGTTCCGTCTTGCAGCCATTCATCGGTTCCCGGGACGTGTGTGGAGGTAGGGGCTGCCCACGTCTAGGGGTTTACAATTCCTCTCAGAGTTCACACAGCCCCAGTGTACCAGTTTTAGATATCCAAAGCGAATAGAAAGTAACACTCAAACAATCTGCAGGGGCCATGAAAAAAAGAACAACGTCGCGAAGGGCGACGAGAGGTGCACAGACAGGAAATGAATAAGATACAGTTTGACAACGATTTCCAGTTGACATACAGATTTATTCAGAGGGAAGTTGTTGTATTTGTCCCAGGATGGTGTTACCGGATATGGCTGCCCGAAAGAGGAGGGGTCCGACTTCCTATTTTGATCGTCGGACTCTGTCCCTCGCCTTCGCGGGGCCTCGGCGGACGCCGGCCGCAGACTGAGCCCACCAGAGGCTTTGCAAGGGAATTGGATAGCAGAGGCAAGCAGTAGGGTTCCCAAAAAACTGGTCAAAGTCGCGCATCGCCTGCTCGCCATGGGGACCGTCGTCCAAGGCCACAAAAATGGGGTGAAAGCCCATTCTCGACAAGCCTTGGTGAGATGAGTGTGGTCAGTGGCTGTGCTTTGCACGGAATCGACAGACAAAAGTTCCTTGTTTCCGAACAAGGAGCCAACAAACATTGTACCAAATAGACCTTGACTTTATAACTAGGATGCCGCGTCCGCCCATTGCAAAGTCGATCATCAGCCAGAACTCCCTCCAACTCTCGTCTCCGCCGCTTGCCGCGTCTCTCGTCTTTTCGAGTCTCCCTTTTTCTTCTCCTTTAATTAACGACAGTTAACGCTCACAAGACACAAATTTGGACTCTCGCAGAGCACCCACCAACACAAACCCCGGCAACGCCTTAGCTCTTAAACCTCGACCACGACCTTCCCCTCGCCCCCTCGCCCCCCCCTCACCCTTCTTGCAGTCCAGCCCTTTTTGCACACTTAACGTCGACCTCAATATCTCCTAAAAAATGTCTTCGCAAGCCATCGACCAAGCCATCTCTTTCCTCACCACCCCTCTCTCGCGCACGACCGTCTCCGCCAGCGCGCTTTCGGTTCTCCAGGCCCATCTCTTTGCCTCGTTGACTGCACTCACAAACTCGGCAAGACGCACATCGTCTGCCTCGAACACTTTGAGATTCGTCTTCGCCTCGCCTCTTCCACTCCGCCGCCCGAATGCATCGCGCGCGCATGCGAGGCCTCGGGCGTCAACTGGTCCGAATGGCTTTTCCTCATCGGTGGTGGAATGGGTCTTGATCTTGATGTCAATATTCGCCACAACGCCGTCACTGCTAGCTTCAGCCGCGCAGGGACTCCCTCACTCGGCCTCGTCACCGTCTGGCAGCAGGTATGCAGTTTCCCCCACACACAGCAAATTTAGGCATCTATTTTTCTTACAATTACTACAGGAAGAGCCCCAACAATTGACCACGCGCGAGCTCCTCTACGCCGACGACGACTCGGAAGACTTGTTCAACGAGATCAACCGCTCGCAACACTCGCCATCTTGGCTCTCCTCTTGGTCTACTACCACGGCTGCACCGGGCGTCATTTACCCAAAGCAGCCCTCTGCTCTGGCTGCGCCCATGTCGGTTCCCAAGATGCAGCCAGTGCCCGCCAACGCCCGTACACACTCGCGTTCCTCGTCGTTTGCTTCAAACTCGTCCTCGTCGAATCACTCTTGCGGTGGTCCGTCGTACGGCTTCAACGGCTACTCGCTCTCTCCGAGCAATCCCTCTGCAAACGTCAATGGTGTGATCGGAAGTGGCATGGAACGTGCCGGCAGCTCTTGCTCCCAGCGCTCGCGCAGCAGCGGCAGCAATGCGTCTGGTTCGCCCCCAACCTCCATCTATAGCCTCAGCGAGGACGGCTCGAGCGGCTCGAGTGGAGGTGCGCTCAGCTGGACCCGCCGTGGTACCGTCATTCCTGGCCCTCAACAGTCGGCCATTATGGCCGCACGCCAGGCCCATCAGCAGCAGCAGCAGATGCAAGCCTACCCGGGTGTGCCCATGATCAATGTTGAGCAGACGCCTGCCCACTACCAACAAGGCCACCGTTCGTCGCCTTCCATCTCCTCCAACGCCTCGGCTGCCTCTGGATCCAGCGGTGGACATGGCAAGCACCGTCGTCAACGCTCAAACGCCAACGTCGTCATTGATCCATCCAAGTCAAACGTCACCGCCTACGACGGTGGCAAGACCAAGGTTATGACCGGTGGTGTGATGCTCGGGTCTGTCAACTCTGGAAAGAGAAAGGGCCAATAAATCTTTGGTTGAGCTGCGCTCGTCGACAACCCTTGCACGCATTTTTTTGGTCTTCTCGTCGCAAAAGGACATTCACTGCACTCTCATTTACCTCTCCATCTTGCATCTCCTCTGGCTCATTATCAGCGAAACCTCTTCCCCCTTGCACCCTGCGTGTTCGCGATTCCTATCGCGTGCACCCCCCCCTTTACCTCATCCTCTGTTTACGAACCCGTCACGACCTCGTCACGTCCCTCTTCGCCATCGCCGTGCGACACGTCCCGCCCTTTTTTTTCCCAATCACCTCTGGCTTCTTGGCTCCTCGTTTTTTGTCCCGACTTCCGATCCGCCTACGACTCCGCTACGACTCCGTATCCTATACTCGGACCCCGTCGCTGTGCCCAGTCACCCTTTTTTTTTTGACAAGGCGGCACAGTTCGATGGTTAACCCACATTCTCTCTCCTACCAGCAACCCATCAACCTCCCTCCTAGACGCGTTCCCACCCAGCCGTCTCGGTTTCTCGACGCTTGGTTCTTTCGTTGAGAGTTATTTGCTTCTTTCATTCATCCCTTTTCGGCTCGCCATTTATCCACGTCCTCAACGCCAAACGTCCTTTTTCACTGGTACGAGTGCTTGCTCGTTTTGTCGCTCATCGCGCAAAATATGGCCGACCTCGTACTCTGCATAGACAATGTCCGACCGATTGTATCCTCGCTCGTCCCGATCATCTACACCTATCTATCAACTCAACCCTCCCCTCCTACTGTATTTTTTACAATCTCCGACGCGCGCGCATCCTCACCAAATTTTCACATTGCCCCCAACCTTTTCGACACTCCACTACGCAACCTCTGCCACGCGCTCATCCCTCCACGCACACCGAAATCGCGAAACCACCCCTCCCTGTTAGATGTCGGGGCGGCGCGAGTCCCAACGAACGTGCATACCCTCTTGCGTTACATCGCGCTCGTTGCTGTTGTTCCCGTTCTTGCTCGTGATTTTGTTGGTTGTACCCGCCGCCTTTGCCTTGCACGCGCAGTCCCCATCGTCTGGTGTCCATCGTTGTTACGTGGATAAATATACACTCTTTCTAAAAAGAAATTCAATCTCATGAGTTGTATGGTACATGATGTTTAAAACTATGGACGTATGTGAGTACCACTTGCGCTCCATTGCCGACATGATATTGGCGACAGATAATTTGATAGCTTCCCTCAGGCATGGCTTGTTACCCATGTGCCTACGAATTCTCTTGCTTCATTGAGGAGGATGACCTTGTCCGCAGAAACCTCGTATGTCAGGTCGAGTTCCTCTGCCTGTGCTGCCGCGTAGAATTCCTTGATGAGCGTCGTACCATCAAATGTATGCGTCGGTTTCCATGTACATTCTTCAATGCCGAATCTAAGTCAAGAAAATATCATCGGAGACTATAGATGGGTGGTTGGTCTTGGACGTACTCGCACCACTTGAGGAGCCAGAGAAAGTTTGGTGGGTGGTTTGGGTCTGGTTTTACGACCTACAATGCTGTCCACAGTGTAGCCGTCGTCACCCAAGATGCATAGGAGTGCGCTGCAGCCTGCTTCGCGAGTCGGATGTGGCTTGACGACTGAGGAAACGTTAGCTGTGGATACATCATCCAAACTCGATATTGATTACAGTCAGGTTCACTGGGAAGGGTCAATTCTCACTGAATCAATCTTTGTACGCGCTCACCTTGTCGGAGGACAAACTGGGCAGTGCCATGTTTGATTCTTGTCGGTGAAATGGGGCATCATATTCACGCAAACTGCGTGATACCAACAGGAACACCTAAATTCTGTGAGGCCAAAGTGTGAATAGGTAAAAGGCGTCCAGCCCGTCGCAACAAATCTGATATTCATCAGTATATCAGTAAATTTCAACTACGCGGAGTCCATCACATACCATTCTATAATTCGCATGCACATCCTGTGACGGCGAGGCCGTAGTTTGGCTCTGGGATACCTCGGCCTTTGAACGACGTTGCTTCCTATGAGTGAACCCAGAGTTTCGCTTCCTTTTACGTCTAGGCCCGGGATTCACAGGTGTCAGGGTTGACCTCTGTGACGGAGCTCGCCACAGTTTCGATGCTCCAAAGAGTAGCCCCGTTCAGTGGTTTTGAATCTTCTTGTTCTAATTCTGTCAGTTCTGAGAATTCCGAGCTTAAGGGGGAGGCTAGCACATGAGTCGAATGTAAACTAGTAGACGTTTCCGTGACTCCTGCCTCTATCTTGCGACGTTTTGGTTGCCTCAGTGGAGCAGCGTTGCGACTCACTACCCCGCCAAAGTGTGCATCTGTGGCCACCGCTGTGGACGATCCAGTCGAAGCACCCATAGCAGACGCGGTGTCATGCAGTCTTGTCGAGGTGGCTTGAGGGGCATCCGCTAAACCGTGATCAATTAACCATACCACAGGACCCCAAGTTGAACGTACAAGGTCTTTTGGGGTCGCGTAGGATGTCAATCGCCTTTTTCATTGATTCTTCAATCACCCGGGTGCATTCCTCCACAGGTGTCAGGTTCGCTTCGATTTGATGTATCTCGTGGCCCAGCGAGTCGACCTTGCTATCGAGAGCGCCAACGTCAATCTCGAGACGTGAGAGATGGCTGCTCAGTAGAGATTGCATCTCATTTCGCTTCAACTACTCTTGTCTCCTCGATTGTTCTGTCTCTGCGGCGATTCGACGCTGCGCAATGGTCAATTCAGCTTGATGCCTGGCTATTCCCTGGCATATCTCTTGCAATATACCAAAGTGTTGATCAATAACGGATACAAGGTGTTCGACGAGGCCTTGGTGTTGCCCTACCGTGTCAAACAACCCCCAAAGTCAGTGCGGAATTTGACGCCCTCCGAGGCCATACTGACCCGTAAGCTCGTCTATGACAAATTTAACAGAGTTTTGAGACTGGTTTGTAGCGGGATACTACTGTGCTGGGTATGCATGAATATTCGTTCTCTCGACGAATTGTCCGGAGAACGAGTTACTTCACCACTAGCACCAATTGCAAACGACAAGATGTGCATCTGAGCTCAGAAATTGTTGATGAATCTCTTCAAGAGGTGTGTTGTGGTAACATGTCAAATAAAACCTTGGACTAGGACGGCGTTGACAAACGGAAATGGTCGCTTCGATCGAATCGCTGCCGTCAGAGCTGCTGAGACAGATCATCATCGAGTTACTACACGACATTAGAGAACCTCATCGCTTCTACAAAGCTAGGTTGATTCCGCTTGCATCAACGAGCCGGGTGCTTCGTTTGGCCTCTGTCGAATTCCTCTACTGGTCCATAGACCTATTCGAGGCCTCATTCGGTCTGAATCATCGTGTCCTTAAATCTTCAGACGCATTACGACGATTCAATCAACTGATTGATACGCATATTGGTTTCGTTCGGAACGGTGTGCGACGTCTCCTCGTTCGGGACAGGGATGGTACAGCCTCAGGAGATCTTTGGAGCATAGTACACAAGTTGGGAAATCTACGATCTCTTCATCTCGATGGGCACTTCAAAAGACCCCAGTTTCCATCAGCACTGGAAGTTCTCTTGAAGGATGACTCGAGGATATCAAAAACCTTGTGTAATCTAACGCTTCTAGGCCTAGACTCTGAATCTCTGGCACTTGAATTCTTCTTCAGGCCTGGAGTATTTACGAACCTGACACGGTTGGAGTATCATGATACTTATATGTATCCAAACACTGAGATCGATGGTGCCACAAGACACGGGCCTATGCCCACTTCACCATTCGCCAGACTTCGAACCTGTGCCTTTCCGAGTCTTTTGATCTTCGTCTTCACCCATCTTTCACAGCCAGAGACACTTTTCGCCACGGTTGTGTCGTTTATCCAATCACATGCACAATCCCTACAGCGACTTGCAGTGATAGACAAGCAAGCCGTCTATGGAGTGCATCGTAGACCCTCTCCCCACCAGCTTTTATGGACAATGCTGCCGGAGATGAAGCAGCTAAGGCTCCTGGGTGTTTCCGTTGGGACTGGTGGTCCAACTCACCGCCTGCGACTACCAAAGCTGCATGGACTCTTCATTCAACACGATCCCAGGCAAATTTTCATAACTGGGATGTCAACAGAGGAAGGAAATTCGGTGAGGCTGGTTAAACGTCCGTACAGAAGGTCGAGCTGACAATTCATCAGCTTTCACGACTGTGTGACATGCTCGGGTGCCCCAACATTATATTTGGGGACGAGGTGAACAATGGCCAATGGGTCGCCCTCAAGTTGACCCAATACATTGGCTCATCTTACCTGTTGGAATGGGTACAGAACCACCAACTGCCGACTGCAAAAACGGTCGGCAGGCTCAATAGTGGAGCGATTATAGCGTGGGATGTGACCAATACCATCGAAAAAGGGCCGGTTCAGTTAATGGGTACAAGTCTACATGAAGTATTGGCCGAGGTCGGACGGTGGAGTTTTGGGGAGGATGCAGATAAGAATGAACCCTTTAGAGAGGAACACAGTTGATTGATTACATGTAATATTTCTCGCTATATGTGACGATTCCATCTAGACAGCGTGAGATGAATCGACGAGCAAAAAGGACAGACTCACAAATCCAAAAGAAGTTTCCACAAGACGGCAAACATTAAACCCTGTAGCCCATTGGCCAGTATACGTGTCTTCAAACCACGTCCGAATAAGCCACTCCATCCATCTGCGCGGACGACCGCTCTCGCGGCAGCACCTACAACCAGTAAGTAAAGGTACAGGGAAGATGATGACACTGACGATAGGATATCTTTGTCGCATTTACTTGTCTGTAGGTCTTCAAAACCCGCATAAAGTTGGAAATTGTGTCCGATACAACCGAGGAGACAAATCCAATAAGCGCTTGCCGCAAGAGCTGCCGTTTAAAGTCATCGTACTCTGGGAGGTGATCTCGAAGGTAGTTATACGTCCCCCACCAAGGGAAGTACCCGATGATAGTCGCGGCAAGATTAGCCAAGGCTCCGTACCAGAGAGTTCCAATACCATGCTTTCGGATTCTGTTCCTGAGTATTGGGACGCCTTGTCGGCCTTGGGTTTGCAGGGTCGTCTTGAGTGTATCGATTGGTGTGAGGACCATGCGAAAAGAGCCAGCGACTACATGCTGTCAGAAATCCAATCTCCGAAAATACTCAGACTGACTGATTGCGGCGAAAAATGTTTTCGCAAGCGACGGCAAGTTGCGCGTGGTTGGATTGGAGTCGAGCAGAGCAAATGCTCCGACGTTGGATGCCGCATCCCCAAAGCGAGCGATAGGAGCTTGGAACAAAGCAGCGCCGAGACCGCTATAGTATCGAGCGAAGCCACCCTCCCGGTACAGCGACGTCGTAACTTGCCGCAAGCCGTGGCCATACCTATATTGAACGTTCATGATTGTCCGCAATGGCTGTTACGTGGTGAATTGATGCTGATTCCGACCCGTTAAACTGCTTACCATCAAGGTCAGGACCTGCAAGAGCATCGCTGCGAGCTCTGTCGGACCTCAGGAGGAAAAGATACAGCTAAAAGCGAACCTGTTGCTCCTGTAATTCCACCGCCTAGAGCTTGCTTGAGTGCATTTCTCCAGTCAAACTGTTGAGCGTGAGCTTGCTTAGGAATCATCTTACAAGTCCACTCACACTGGCATTGCTTGATTTCCGAACGGCCACGAATGTCACCGTAAAAGAGATAACGATAAAGATAGTGAAGAGCGAGAACTTGATCTTGTCCTGTTTTGTCCAGCTGGTTGGTTGGTCCGTGTCTTCATCGCGTTCTGCATCCGGTAATTGACCTCTTTCTATCGAAGCGACTTCATCGTGGTTTTGCTGCTCTCCAAGGAGCGGCGAACGTTCGGAGCTCATCGACGGTGGGGATAAAGTGGCCATGCACTTTGACACCCAACCCAAACCACGCTTGTGACGAGACAACCCTCTAATAGATACAAACTAGCTACTCGGGACTATCAAGTGCTTTTCTGGGAATGAATTCATATCCTATCGAGCTCCTGGTTGCACATGTGCCGCTTATGTTCGTCGCGGGGCTCGATGTCCCACCAGGAGAACGCGACCCATTTCGCTCTCTAATTATCAGGCTACGTGAGGTCCTCACATCCCGTCCAAAGGGCCTCGTTTGGGACAAAAATCGGGCATCTGCGTTTAACATTCTTCTGGTAGAAAAAGCAAGTACATTTTCAGTACCTGCAGGTGAAACCTAACGCCACCTATCAGAATCTTCGATTTCCACCTAGGAAGATCGTCTCGCCAGAGAATCCATCGATTCCTCCTCATTCTCCTCTCTCACCTCTCGTCCCGACCTCACCACTGTACCCTGATGGCTTGATCGCACCTGTCTGGGTGCGTAAACACGTAGAACTTATCCCGTCTATATACGTCTTATTTCTCAGATTATGGGAATCTCCTCCGCCTCTTTCCCCATTAGAAGGCAGAGAAAAGGAGCTTGAGGAAGAACGCTCTCATGACCAAGAATTGGCAAACGAGCTTGCTTCCCGCAAACGAGCCCTCGCAGAACGAGGCATCAAGTTAACAGCGGTGCTACTTGCAAGTAGACGTCTCCTTGGTACGTTTTGCATTGTTATCTGTAAAAATCCCCCTTATAATTCACAGACGATCCGGGACTGGACGCCCGTTTGACCTATCTTCGAAGGCAGAGCTCATTAGATGCACGTGCAGCATTGTTCGTACTCAGTCCCGTCAGCAATAACGAGCTGCAGGAGTTTGTAAAGAGGTAACTATGCTTTTATTCCGATGTCCAATCTCAATTTGTGTAGTCTCACAGAGGCACTCCGGGAGCCTTCATTGGAGTACTATACAGCTCATTCGAAACGAGTGCGAAGAAAGAGGAACAAGCATTCAAGCTCTGCATATAGTGGCTATCCAACATCTATCGTCGCGACATCACGATCTGTACCACTGCGGCCAATTGGATGGACTGTACGGTACGAATACAAGCTAGCCACATTTGCGGAGTTTCGTTTCGAAGAAGAGGTTGCTCGCAAGTAGGTACCAATCTCATATTCTCAATCTCTCTTATGTGTTCCAGACACTATGAAGACTGCTGGAATGCACTCTCGGAGATGTTTGGCTCCACATCCGTACTCCCTCCCCGTACCAAAAGATGGGCAGAAGCCAAAGTTCTGGCAGACTGCGTAGCCATCAAGGTCCTTGATCATTTGCGTACCCACATGTGCTTATACCTCCCCAGATCTACAAGTTCTATCTTTATTATAATGAGCACAATCTGGCCCTGGCATTCTTCAATAAGCATGTCAATAGATTTTGCGCATTGTCCAGGACATGGGGGATAGGCGAAGATACCTTCGAATACTGGAGCTGGTTGGCTCGCCAGTACCGGATCTTGGCGGAACTACTGGAGATTGCACTCCGTGGTGGACTACGCCTACCTAGGACCACCCCTCAAAGTGCCGAGGATCGACCTGCTACATTGCCTACCGATACTCCAGAAACACTAGGTCTCAATCCGTCGACTGTCTTGCAACATCCCGGATTCTACTACTTTAAAGCCGCCGCCGCTACCCAAGAGCGCCTGAAACGCTTCAAAATAATCGAAGATGCAGAGGTAGTCTTCTTCGCCTTCGCGCCATGCCCCGCTGATCACTATGAAGACCATCCAACCGTCGGCCATTTCCGGATCACCGGCCTTCAACAACGAGAAAAAGGTCGACCATTGGGATATCATTCTTGAACTCTACTCCAAAGCCTACGAGCAGTTCAAGCGTTTCTCAGCCGGTCACAGTCGACTCACCTTCTTCGTCGCTGTTCAGATCGCTACCAGCTATCACGCGTCAGGCAAACATGACCTTGCCGTCAAATTTTTCGAGCGCATCGTCAAAGTTTACCACAAGGAACGCTGGGGCCCTATGCTGAAGCCCTTACTCTCGTTATGGTATGAGTCGGCGAAGCAACTGGAGAACATTGAAATGTGTATCCGGCTAGTGTTTGAACGCATGGCCCTAGGCACAAGTACGCAGTCCTTCCTCTCAAGTTTCATATTCACATTCCCTTAGGTGCTGAGAACGACGTTTTATCACAAGATTTACTGGGTATACTTATGGTATGCTATTTCTTGCATAAATGCGTCGGTATTCCAATTTACATAGACCACAAAACCGAGCTCGACTTCCGAGCCATTTGGTGTTGAACTGTCATCAGTGGAACCGATTCGTAGGTGTCGCATATTTCTCATGAAAAATTCTGATGGACCTAGTTCCTAGCTCGGTCGTCTTCTACGAAAGTGAAACCCCGATCAGTGTCTCGACTCCGTTCCAGCTGCATTTGCAGATCCCTTCGACAACTGGTCTGCATCTGCTACCGTTGGCGTACATAGTCTTGCGATTTTCAGATGACCGACCACCTATTGTTATCCACCGCACTGGCAACCTACCTGAAGGACGATCCCACATCCTCCTTGGCGATTTAGGGAGCGAGACAGATGCCCCACCAGAGTTGAGCCGTGAAATTGACTTGACCCCTGGCTCTACACGGGTACTGACTGGGTTCCTTACGAGCACTGTCCCAGCCGAACTCACGGCAAGTCAACCCAAGGCTGGTTTAACGTTTATAACCCACACTTAGATCTCTGGCATCGCTATCGCATTCCAAAAGGAGGACTGGATAGTCGAAGTCAACTTCGAGCCAGCTATCGCATCCGCTTCAGAGATTCAATGGATCCACAACTTGGAAACATCCCCGCGGCTCATTAAGCTGTATCGATCAGATATCTCAACAGTCAGGTACGAACTTATTGACACGAACTTGCTCAGCTCGAGCTTCAATAGGTTTCAATCCTCGCCACACGAGTTTAAGGTTTTGGTTCACCATGCAGGCAAAGCTCTCATTGGAGAGGAGTATCCAATCGAGGTTGTCATCGAGAGCCAGGATGATCGTGAGTTAGAGGTCACATTCGACGTACTGTTGCAACCAGCAGAGAATGATACGAGTGAGTTGTTCACTTTCTGCGGCGAAAGCTCACTTATATTCTAGTTCACTACATCTCTGCCGGAGAGGAACGTAGCACCAGCTTCCTGCGTGGTCTCAGGTTCAACAGGACTCTCCCTCCCTCTGGTCAAGTTTCACGTACGGTTTTTCTCAATGCTGGTGGTCCTGGCAAGCGTGTGCTTGACATTTCATTCCGCTCAATGATTCCTGGCTCGGCCGTTTCGGATACAGGAGACGAAGGCTCTGAACTGCTGCACACCATCTCGGTCGAAGCAGTGGACCCCTTCTTCCACGCTTCTCACGTCCATTACACGCAGCCAAATCATGGGCTACCGAATGCTCCTACTTGGGATACCCAAACCTATCAAAGACATGTGGCTGAGGCGAACATCGTTACGCTGATCCGGTGTTCGTCGGACTGCGACCTGGAGATCCTGGAAATAAATTTCACCTCGGTTGTGAGTACAAAAAATCTAGATTCGCTGGTCTCATTGGTTCAGGACAACTCGAAAGCATTTATGATTTCGTCCTCTCTGGGCACGGATGAGGATTGTCTAAGTACGGCCAAAACCTCGTAGAAAATCTCGTCATTGAATCATCGTACAGGATGGGCACCAGGGGATGCATTCTCTGCAGACGTTCGCATTGGCATACACGATCCAAGCAACTTCGACGAGTATGCTATTGAGCCCGCCATAGCTAGTCCCGTTCGGTTGGATGTGAAGTGGAGGAGGTAAGTCAATCTACCTAGCTAATGATGACCGGCTGACATTACCGTAGAGCTGGTATCGTCCATGCCAATGTACCAGTGACAACGACGGCAATCATGCTGCCTGAGCTAACACCACCCCACGTGGGACTCACCATTGTGATTGATCCACCAGCACAAGTGGTTCTTCATCGGCCATTCATGCTCTCAGCCATCGTTCGCAACAACGACCCACTTCGCTCCGCTGACCTCACCTTTACGTTGGAGCCATCAGATGGATTCGTGATTGCCGGGTTACGATCTGGCGCACTCCCTCTACTACTTCCCGGAACCGAAAGTACAGTCTCCTTCAGCCTGATTCCCCTCACGACAGGTATTATCAAGCTACCAATATTCAAAGTACAAAGACTTGTGGCCGAAGATCCCTCAAACCCGCACCGGTCAGAGTCGGAGCTGGCCACTCGAACTGGAATTGCTTCGGAGGTGGTTCCTGTTGTCGACGGGCGTTGGAACTTGATGGACAAGGCGGGAAATAATATATACTTTTACTCGAGCGACGGCCAAGCTCTTGCCGGGATTGATTTATCGCAGTGGTTGGCCGTAACTGTCGTCGCATGGTAATCGTCGCATGCACGTGTATCACTCTTGCACTCCTCCACGTTACTCGCAATGAGCATTATTATCCCTCAATATGACTATGAAGTGCTACGTGAACAAATTGAGAGATATAGACTAAACGCTTCTAGGTCGTGACCGGTTGGTTCATCCAGGATGCTCCGGGTGACGTCGTAGAGGTCTGTGCAGGTTGATCTACAACAAATCCTCTAAACCCGTGTTCTATTGCTATAGTTACCGAAGAGCTTTGGTCTCATCGACACCTCGGACGACGGATGGACGAAGATCAAGCAATTTTTGTACAAAGTGAACATCGAGGACAGAGAACCGGGCACGATCCATAAACTGTTCTTCTTAGGGAGACACGGTCAAGGATGGCGTATGTTTCTCATCTTCGTAACCCACATTCTCATCTCCAAACAGACAATGTGGCCGAAACAAAGTACGGGACGGCGGTCGGTTTAATCTACGACAAATGGCAGAACCTCGAGTCTTACGCGTAACAGGAATGGGATAGACACTGGTCCAAGCTCAATGGCGATGGGGAGCTTGTGTGGGGCCCAGATGCCGAGCTAACCCCCTAGGAATCCAGCAAGCCGACGAGATTAACGCTATGTGGATCGAGGAGACCAAACGAGGGATCCCAACGCCCGACGTCCTCTATATGAGTCCCTTGCGTCGTGCGATTCATACGGGCGTGTTGTCTTTTGATGGTTGGTTCTATCCCAACAACACAGATCCTGGCATGGAAGCCTCCAATGCAGTAGCCAGACTTGTGCTAGAGGTGTGTGGGCATACAAGATGAGCACAAGAAACTAACCTGAACCCCCTACCATCGCGCCCCCGTCCGTTGCGCACAAATTTCCCCAATAACTTCGTGAAGGATCTGCATGAGACCTCCGGAGAACACACCTGTGATTTGAGAAGAAACAAGACAGTTATACAGGCCGACTTTCCCTTTCTCCTCTTCGAAAACGGGTTTGTAGAGGTAGACCCAACATGGACGGCGGACCATCGAGAGACACCCGATGAGCAGGACGTACGTTCGCGCCGGGCTCTTGACAAAATGTTCACAGCCGATGGCACCTGTGAGTGCACGCATACTACGTTGATGCCGTCTAATGCCCGGGTAGACATTTCTGTCTCCTCCCATTCTGGGACCATGGCGTCCATCTTCAGGGTTATTGGACATCGTCCTTACGCAGTGAATCCGGGAGGAGTGGTTCCAGTCCTTGTTCGCGCCAAGCAGAAGAAGAAGCCGATAGTGTAGCTTAAAGAGTGGTAGCCAAGTCGTCTCTAACTCTACTTTATTGCAACAGATGAGTGGGGAGGAACAATGCACAGACCAGAGATTAACCGAGCGTATGTATCATTAGTGGCCATCGGCCTGATGGCATATAGAACCATACGCATAGAATGGATGAGCCTACTTTTGAAACCAACCAGACAGAAGGAGTGGAGCCTGTCGTGAGTTAACGACGGCGGTGGTGTACAAATGGAAACCGAGAAAGCAGGAAGAGTCCAAAGAACTAGTTGGAGACCTAGTCCTTCTTCGGCTTCTCGTCAACGACCTCCGCCTCTGGCGTGGTCTTCTCCTCCGACTTGGACTCGTCGTTCTTCTTCTCGTACACCTTTTGGAAGAGAGATAGACTGGCTGTCTGCGCCTTGTCCATGACTTCCTTGATACCTTCAGCCGAGACGGAAGCATCGCCAGTCTGGCCCTTGACGGCAATCTCCCTAAGCTCCGTGAGAAGCGTCTGAAGTTTGGTCTTCTCCTCGCTGTCAAGCTGAGCAGCATGCTCCTGGATAGCTGAAAAAGAGAGTTAGACAGGCAAGATGGTGATGAGAAGGCTCTCGTACCTTTCTCAGTGTCTGCGCAGAACGAGTCAGCCTTGTTGGCCATTTCGATGATGCCCTTGCGGGCCTTGTCCTCATCGGCGAATTTCTCGGCATCAGCAACCATCTTCTCGATGTCCTTGTCGCTGAGACCCGACGAGGAGGCCACGGTCATCGACTGGTCCTTCCCAGTCGCCTTGTCCTTGGCACCCACGTTGACGATACCGTCTGTCAAAGCGGTCAAATCGTTATACAGTTGTCATGAGTGTCATACTTACCAGCATTGATATCAAAGGTGATCTCAATCTGGGGGATGCCCTTAGGTGCAGGTGGGATGCCGACGAGGTTGAAGTTGCCCAACAGCTTATTATCACGAACAAGCTCACGCTCGCCCTGGTAAATCTTGACCTCGATAGCGGTCTGACCGTCAGCGGCAGTTGAGAAAACTTGCGACTTCTTGGTTGGAATGGTCGTGTTGCGAGGAATCAACTTGGTCATGATACCACCGAGCGTCTCAATACCTGAGCCACGTTAGGTGGTTATGTTTTGACAATAAAACAACGTACCGAGTGACAATGGAGTGACATCCAACAGGAGGATATCAGTGACATTACCCGCGAGAACACCACCTTGGATGGAGGCACCAATGGCGACTGCTTCGTCAGGGTTGACACCCTTGCTCGGCTCGCGGCCAAACAACGTCTTGACAGTCTCGACGACGCGGGGCATACGTGTCATGCCACCAACAAGAATAACCTCGTCAACGGCGTTTGCCTTGACACCCGCATCGGAAAGGGCCTTTCTGCATGGATCAATGGTCCGCTGAACCAAAGGAGAAACGAGCGCCTCAAACTGGCTCCTCAGCAGCTTGGTATTGATGTGTTTCGGTCCACTAGCGTCAGCTGTGATGAATGGCAAATTGATCTCTGTCTGGTTGGTGGACGAAAGCTCAATCTTCGCCTTTTCAGCTGCTTCTCGTATTCTCTGAATGGCCATGGTATCACCGGTGAGGTCGATGCCATTCTCCTTCTTGAACTCGCCCAGAATGTGGTCGACGAGAGCAATGTCAAAGTCCTCTCCACCAAGATGGGTATCACCGTTGGTCGACTTGACTTCGAAAACGCCATCGTGCATTTCGAGAATGGAGATATCGAAAGTACCACCTCCGAGATCGTAGACGGCAATGACTGACGACTTAGCTCGGTCCAGGCCGTAGGCAAGGGCGGCGGCAGTCGGTTCGTTGATTACTCGAAGAACTTCGAGACCAGCGATCTGGCCAGCGTCCTTGGTGGCCTGTCGTTGAGCATCGTTGAAGTAGGCAGGAACCGTAATGACTAAAAAGAGCATAAGTTGGGTCCAGTCAAGAAGCCATATGGCATACCAGCATGGCTAGAAGGACAATTAATTAAAAATTACCTCAAGAGACGATAAACTTACTTTACGGTCTTGTTCAGATATTGCTCTGCAGTTTGCTTCATCTTTGTGAGAACCATCGATGACAATTGCTCAGGCGACTGTGACACAGTCAGCATAGTGAAATACGACGAAAAAAAAGAACAAACAAAAGTCTGCTTCTTGCCATTGTTTTCTACCTGAACTGCAGGTCGTTCATCCTTGTCGGCAACAACCTTGAAGGGCCTTGCACACAATTAGCCAGAGTAGACCAAGCACGACGCTGAATCGACATACCAGTGCTTCATATCGCTTTGGACTTCCTTATCTTGGAATTTTCGTCCAATCAGGCGCTTAAACGCGAACACGGTGTTGGCCGCGTTGACGATAGCTTGCCGTTTTGCGGGAAGGCCGACCAGTCGCTCACCGTGCTTGGTGAAGGCGACAATAGAGGGTGTTGTGCGAGCACCCTCCGAGTTTTCAAGGACCTTTGAGGTTTTTCCTTCCATGATTGAGACGCAGGAGTTTGTCGTCCCCAAGTCGATACCAATGACTGGTCCTGGGGACTCGTCATCAACACCGGTTCATCTCCAAATGGTCTAAAAAGACTTACCATTGACTTTTGTGTTCATGTTGCGTGCAATTGCTGAGCGCGGCAGGGCCTGCGCGTCGATGCAAAAAAAAAGTTGTCAGCACGGGTTCAACGAGGGCAAGGACGCGTAGCTCGCAAAAACATACAGAGAATGCTCCTGTTCGCGAAGAAGCAAAGCAGAATTGACGACGAGCAGCGGCAGCGAGCATGACGAGAAAGATGAGGTTGGGTCGAAGAAGGCAAAATGTTGTTTGCTAGGTTGCTGCTTCTCCTCGTACGTTTCGCTCGTGTTTCTCTCGTCGCCTCGCTCAATATTCCTGAAAATGTCAAGACGCTCGTCTTTCTCTGATGCACGTTTTGCGGCGTGGGTCGCCTGAGTACCGGCCTGTAGATGGCTCGCCTGGAGGTGACTACGATCGTAGACACGGAACCAGGGGACTAAGTCCAGAGTGGAATGAACGTACGTAGAATACGCCAGCACCTAATCACCTGCTTACCCCAGCTGCCCCTCAAGCAAAGCGGAAACGCTCTCTCTCTCCGGCGGACCGCTACGTACGCCCACGATATGATGACAGTCAGTTGCTACTCAGAAATTTAGTGCAATGATGGGAACCCTAAGCAGGCTATTATGGCCGTGACCGCCATGGCGAGCGCGCCCGTTCTCCCGACAGACGTGGTCCGCGGAATGCCCCACAAGACCCAGCAATGAGAGATACTCTCGTCTCTTTCAAGCAATATAGTGATTGGTTTAAATTCGCACATCCCGAATTACTTCACGAGGATGTCGGCACCTCGCTACCTGATGGGGTCACCTCTGACAAAAAGGACATCTCGATCGTCAAAATGAGATACGATGAATATCGTCGCAATTTTATTCGAAAGCAGGTATGTGATTTGAGTTATGCTTGGCGAGTTTACTAACGAGTGACAGTATCAATATATGTTTGAATATCACCGAAAGCATGCTTGGTTTATTGAGAAATACGATTCGGGCGACCGCTATGCGGATATGCGGACGCGCGTTCGGCAGCAAGGATGGAGAGGAGCCATTTCGCACTTTATCGACCGAATGGAAGCTGGAAACTTCGATCCTTCACTGCATGAAGATATTGGTACATCTGTGCCAAGGACAAGGGTTGATGAAGACGAGACTATGGATGACCAAGGCCAGACCGTTTCTGACCTTCCTTCACTTCCTACCAAAAAGGCTGGTCCGGGAGAAGTCATGGTGGCTCCTGCATTCCCTCAACTTATGATTCGAACAATTCCTCCAGACGTTGGACGCCTTCAGCTAGAAGAGATCCTAGTCACTCTGCAAGGCTTTAAGCACGTAGCTATTGGAGATCCGGTACAGAAGAGGGCGTTCAATCGTGTCGGATGGATTGCCTTTGACTCTCAGGCCGATGTCGACGCCGCAGTGCACGCATTAGAATCGAAGAGGGTGAGGTGCCGTGATTTGTTAGAACTATTATTAATATTCCCAAGATCAGCAACATGCGTCTTATGGTGACGCCGACTTCTGAGCCTTTTGTGGGGAAGATTCGCTATACACCACCAGCTGCGAGCAAGCTCTCCCGTATGGAAAAGGATTTGGAGCAGGCAAAACGACTCGCAGCAATTCTCGAGGCACAGGCAGCCGAGGTTGCTGCCTACAAGCCATTGTTCCCGGTCGGAGCGCCGTTGTCTTCCGAACCACCCTCCGGAGAAGTCAGCATAGTACCGATTGATGCCACGGCAGAACCTGGTAACCTTGATGTCTCTAGAGGCACCAAAGCGGTCGAGGAGAGAATTGAAAAGTTGGTTTGCGAGGTCCTTGACACCGATGAGGATGGGAATCCAGACTATGCAAAAAAGGTTCGTTTCCCATAAAGACTGTATTCACAGTGCTCACCCGTTGCAGGTCGCACTTTCATTGGATATATACCTTGCGTACCTCCGCGAAGCCTTCCACTGCTGCTATTATTGCGTGGTTGTTGCGGATCATGCAGAAGAGCTCATTCGCAAATGCATTAAACACGAGCGACGAGAGGATGTGCAACAGGAAAACTCTGCACAGCAGGAACCACAATCTCATGAATATTCTGAAGATCGATGGGCAGAGAATCTTGATCATAAGCTCGCATGCTTGCTTGATCAATCTGGTGTCGATCCGGCTGAGTATGGTGGAACCCGCCTCGAAGAGTACGTGTGGTAGTCCAATGTGCCTTGTGCTTACATTCCCAGTGAACGACCCCGAATGACCGCAGAACACATCTCAAAGCAAGAGGAAGGGAAATGGCGGTGCCAGATATGCACTAAACTATTCAAAGCTTCGGAGTTCGTAGAAAAGCACGTAGTTAACAAACATCCGGAAATTATCAAACCAAAGATGGATGAGGTGAGGATAGTACGTGTTCATAGAATCCGAGCTAATGTTACGCAGTGGAAACTATTCAACAGCTTTGTGCTTGATCCTCAACATATTCTGCCTATGTCCTCTGTTCCCGTCAACGCGACTGGGTACACTTCTCTGCCTCCTCAAGCGTATGGTCTCCCCCCTGATTGGAGACCACCGTATGGAGACCCCTCGCGGTTCGATAGTCGCAATGGACGTGACTCCCGGGATCGTGATAGACGTTCGATGCACACTGGTCGGGGTCCTTACAGACGTAGTCCCTCGCCGACTGCATTCCCTCCACCCATTCGGTTTACGATGGACACTAATAATTCAGCCGGTGAAGGTAATGGCACTTTAGTCCTGCCGATCGGAATCGGTCTTCCAGCAAAACCAGTCGATGCAGTATCTGCAATGTCTAGGTCAGCGCCAAGCTCCTCGTCTTTGATTGGGAGGTTGAGCGGTGCCCCATTGCCACCTCCTCCTGGGGTCAAACCTGACCCTCGCTCACGAGTAAGCTACCGAGATCTCGACCAAGTCGAAAGCTCAGAGGATGTGGCGTTGCAATACTGATTCTTGAGTCCTTGAATGGATCGGGCCATGTTTCTGTATGGTATTTGCTTTATCATGTCTATATGCTTGCCTAGGCCTATGAATTGATTGGTCATCTACCCCACTTCCAACCACTCTCTACTGCTTGGAGCCTTCCTCTGACTGGCTTTTTCGTTGGAGAAGGCGCCTGGACTCCGCAGATTAAATTGCTTCTAAAACGTCGATACTGTGCAAAATAACCGCAGGCTACCATGAAACATCTTTCGCCGTCGCCGCGACAAAGCTGCGGATTAGCGACACGCGAAGCATAATGACTCCTTTTACTGCTAGGTGAAACCAGCTCAAGCGTCTTGGGCCACTTCATCTCATCAACGCCGTCGTTGCTGCGGCCGACGCCCGCTGCTCCAATGACCTCGAGCGACTTCGGACTTTGCAACTCCGCGTCTGAGGGACAGAGGTATAAAGCACTACTACCAGAAATGCTCGTTCTGTGTGACCAGACAGTCAAATCAACTCTCCAAATCTTCTACGTATAACCACAAGCAAATCAAGATGTCTCTCGACGATGTCGCTGCTGTCGTGCTTGACAATGGATCCGGCATGTGCAAGGCTGGGTGTACGTGCTCTTCTGATTTGTGTATCTTTACTGATTATGGCAGTCGCTGGCGATGACGCACCTCGCGCCGTGTTTCCGTAAGTTTCTGTGCTATACATGAGGAAAGTCTCAGTGGTCCTTCAGATCAATCGTTGGCCGTCCTCGCCACCAAGTCGGCATGATTGGAATGGGATACAAAGACGCATTCGTTGGGTGAGTACTCACTGCCTGGTGCCAACGAACCGCACTGACAACAGCATAGAGACGAAGCTCAGGCCAAGCGTGGAGTTCTGACCCTTAAATACCCTATTGAACATGGGATTGTCACAAACTGGGGTGAGCCCATTGCCCGTGCAGCTTGTGTATCCGCTGACGACTGCTTAGATGATATGGAGAAGATCTGGCACCACACTTTCTACAACGAGCTTCGCGTTGCGCCTGAGGAGCATCCGATTCTCTTGACGGAAGCCCCTATGAACCCGAAGGCCAACCGCGAAAAGATGACCCAAATTATGTTTGAAACATTCAATGTTCCGGCCTTCTACGTATCTATTCAAGCAGTACTCTCTCTTTATGCATCTGGACGCACGACTGGTGTTGTTCTCGGTAATTTCACGAGCTTGACTACGACCGGCACACCCTGACACTACATTTCCAGATTCAGGAGACGGTGTCACCCACGTTGTTCCTATTTATGAAGGATTTTCTCTTCCCCACGCTATCAAGAGACTTGATCTCGCAGGACGTGACCTGACCGAGGCACTCACTCGCATCCTAGCAGAACGTGGATACTCCTTCACGACAACTGCAGAAAAGGAAATTGTCCGCGATATCAAGGAGAAGCTGTGCTATGTCGCATTGGACTTTGAACAGGAGCTCCAGGTCTCTGCATCGAGTTCTTCCTTGGAGAAGAACTACGAGCTCCCTGACGGCCAGGTTATCACCATTGGGAACGAGCGGTCAGTCCATGGTGATGAATTTTTTCTAGTGCTCATAATTAGAGAAGATTCCGCTGTCCAGAAGCTCTTTTCCAGCCTTCCCTTGTTGGTCGCGAGGATGCGGGGATTCATGAGACTCTGTAAGTGTCAATAACCGAAAGATTTCATACCACTAATTCCTAATTCCTCTCAGGTACAACTCTGTATGTGATTTCCAATGAACAACTAGCTCGGCAGCTCACTCTTGCATAGATCATGGCCTGTGATATAGACATCAGGAGCGACCTCTACACAAACGTCGTCCTCAGTGGTGGCACAACCATGTATAGCGGTATTGCTGATCGCTTGACCAAGGAGTTGACATCACTTGCCCCAGCAAGTATGAGGGTAAGCATGGATGTTCTCCTCACTTTCAAGGCTCATTGTTTGCAAGGTCCGCGTTTCTGCTCCTCCTGAGCGCAAGTACTCAGTGTGGATCGGAGGCAGTATTCTTGCCAGCTTGAGTACCTTCCAGAATCTCTGGGTCTCCAAGCAAGAATACGACGAAAGCGGACCCGCTATTGTCCATCGCAGTACGTATCGTGGTGATGGCTATTCAGAGACCGAGAACTCACCGAACTGTAGAGTGCTTCTAAGCTCTAAACACCTCGGCCTTTGATGTGCGCTTCTCCCGTCTCCAGCCATTTGGCCCTCTTCATTCTTTCCTACGTACCCACGGTGCACGTCCCTTTTTTCTTCTAATACACCTCTTTACCGTTATGTCCATGTCGAGTGAGCCAAGAACTTTTGTGGGGCTGAAGCCGTCAACTCCGGTCCACCATTTTTGAACCCGCCCATGTCATCATGTATTTTCATGTCATGGGCAGGCATTGCGTAACTACAATGCCAATATTTTCTTTTATAATCCACTTGTTCGCCTCGGTACGACCTGTTGAGGCGGATGTTTGGCGTCCGCCAGCTAGCGGATATGCGACAATTACACATTATACCCTTCCTTTGGACTATATTGCGAGTAAGAACCATCTTATTATGTCAATCACGTATCTTGCAACCTCGTCAACTCACGCTGCTTCCCCCCCTGGCTGGGGAACCCATTAGGTTGCGGCTGCTCAGCGAAGAGTACGCATTTTCCCACGGCAGCACTAAACGCTCTAGCTTTTGGCTCTACGCAAAACTATGGACCGGGATGTGGCTCGTGCTACCGCCTGAAACCACTTAATACGTTCTTGTCGAGTCCACCATGGTACCCTCCAGCTAGTGAGGTTTCCTCTGTGGTCATCAAAGTCACAGACCTATGTCCCAAATGGTCTGCGTGGTGTGAAGCAACCGAAGATACCCCAAACAGGTCTGCATCCTGACGCAGTTTGCGTAAACAAACTGACCTCGAGACCGTAGGGCAGGAAATTATTTAAATTTCGATTTAGCATACCCCTCTGCTGCTATACCAGAGAGTTTCTTCCCTTCTAATGTAACTTATTACGGTGCGGTCGTTTCAAATTTGTTGCCATGTCTGATGTTTATGTAGGATACGCGGTCAGAAAGAGTGGTCATTTCCCAAGTGTGAGAACTGACGAATTGACAGGATTTCGGGGTGTGGAACGCCAGGTCATACTATATGCATTATTGTACTACCGCTAACACTTTACAGTTACGAAGCGGTCTCCTGTTCTGAGTGGGCGGGCTGGAACGATGCTGCCGCACTAGGCAGTGTAACCAATCTTGGTGATAGCGTCTGCTGTCCCGCTGATACCGTAAGCTCCTGTGATTACACGCCATATGACTGAAATTTGTAGAATAATGTGACTTGTCCATCCTTTTCAGAGCAACACGGGGACCCAGTTCCACCCACTGGCTCAGAAGGCTCCGCACCCATTCTTGCGTCCATTCCACTCATGACTTTAATGGTCTCGACGTTCACCACGGCGGTGTTGCTCTCTGCTCTATAGGGCTCGCTACCAAGCGGTGTAAAGAAATATACGATAGGCCATATAATGATACTGCCACTGCCCTTTAGACTACTACGATTCCATGGATTTTTTTGCATCTTTGACCTCGTTCTCCAACTGTCGAACGATCGTTTCCCTCCTCGTAACCGCCTGGTCTACGTAAAAAAGCAGCGTACGAGGTAGATTTATAACCTGCGAATCCTTTGTGCGCTTCACCAGTGCCGCGACATCATCCTCCATGCCAGAATTGATTCTGTCATATTGGGCCCACCAGTGTGTTCGAGCTTTTCCCATCCGGCAGATACATGTCGTACACATAGTAATATCGCCAAAAGCCCCGATGGCAGTGCATATGTTGAGCTGAGTAGCTCGTTTGCCCAAAGCATGGCGGGAGCGCCTGCAGCGATTGGCATACCTGCCATTGCAATATAGACTCTCCGGAGAAAGCGTGCTTGCATCCGGTTTGTCACACTCTCCATGAGTTGTCGACGCCGATGCGCTACTATGCCCGTAAAGGTCGAAGAGGCGACGAAAGGTGTGGTTGACTGTATTCTTTCTATGTCATTCTGTATGGTCGCGGCATCCAAAGAGCGAGGGATCATCTGCATAAAGTCTGCGCAGAGATGTCGTATCCGACTTTGGCTCGCAGCCATCAGACCAGCGTACCACTCAAGCTAAATGCTAATCTTAGTCCGAAAAACGTAGCTGTGTGGTGAAATAACGAACCTTGCGCTCAAGAGCAACCCCATATCCCGTAGCGACGTGATAGGATATTTGATCCCCGACCGTGTCAATGTCCCAAATACGATACCACTTGAATTTGTCGAATGACGTTTGGAGAGTGCGTTTGTTCTCTTGAACTAGTTGCGAAACGTTGATTTCGGATAGTTGGGTATCAAGTTGAGCAATATATTCGTCTATTTGTTCTTCTAGAGCATGAGCGTTCATTCTAGCCGCCTCGAGGTCTTGAGAGGCACTACGAAGCTCAAAAGAGCACTCGTCGAGGAGAGACAGCGGCGCTTCCGTTCGGTAAGAGTCCCTGTTGTTCTCGATAGCGTCTAACCTCTCGTTGAGGGCGTTGATTACGAGGGCTGCTGATGTGGGCGGAGAAGTGACTCTCTTGCCGTTTTCACTTGGCTCTGTGGAAGAAAGCTGAACGAGAAGGGTGTTTGGATGCCTTGTGACGAGCGAAGGTACGTGCGAGGATGTGAGGAAGATCGGCACATCAGTGGTGAGAAGCTCGGGGGCGCTCCGTATTTCTAGATAAGCCTCAGAGCGGAAAAAAGGGTGTAGACGGCTCAATACCTCGGATCTCCACCACCTCCACGTTCAGCGCAGCTAACGACTTCGATGGGATCTCAAGAATAGGTCCAAATCGTGCCAGTTTTTCCCCATATCTGCCAAGTACTCAGGAGATTCAATGTATTATGTAAAGGCTCACCTGATCTTTATTCTCTCTGCAGAAGACGGAACCGAAACCCATCTTGCTTGAACGGCATCTCGTACTTCTGTATCCGCCATAGCCTCTCCAACAAGTGCCGAAATGAGCTCTTCCCGCTCTTTAATGCAGTCCTCTCCTGCGAGCACTATATTGGGTGAGTAAAGACTGCCCGTTCTTTACGTAGATAAGTCGTGCGGACCTCCGATTCGTCGTCTTCGAGGGGAAGATTCGTATTTGGTTATTCTCTTGAGTACTGTGTCCCAAATGGCATATTGTCTATCATCTACAACTCGTTTTGCAATGCGCAACACACGCGAAGCGTTAGTTACACCATCCTTCTGGGAGTTGACAAAGGTTGCATATTGACGGGCTATATTTCTTCTTTTGCAAAGCCCATCCCAATATCGCGCGATGCTTTTCGGCTGGCCTCGCACTGCGAGGATTTGTATACTTTTGCAACGTGCGATAGCATTTGAAGTAGACCGTAACATAGTTGTGATGATGAATTAATAGCCGAGGTGAGGTTCCCAGGACTCGCTTTCCAACTACTCGGAGTGTCGAAGGTCCAAGGTGTGACATCTACTCTCCGGCATCGCTTATAGCGAACAGGTAGCAAAATGAGTAGAGATATCGGATGAATCCAAGAGAACTAGCAAGGATTACAAGAAATAGCAAGGTCGGAGCTAACCGACCACTGGTGGAGAGTCCGCAAAGTCTCTTTTACGAGGCAGATGATTTGGTATCGGCGACGAAGTGTAACCAAGAAAAGACGAGAAAAGAGGCGAGATGTCGTTATGAGGAAGGGGTTGGTGAAGGGTGAGTTAAGACAGTCACAAAGTTCTAAATGTGGTTGGATGTTACATAGTAGGGATGGGTCAAGCTCGAACAGTAGATGTGGTATATCTGCAAGGCAGAATAAACTCGCGATAGGGTACTTGTTGTAGGGACCCTAGGCGGGGGGACGGCCAGAAGCCGACGACGGGTTCTTGGAGACATCGATAACACAAGTCGAGGTGCTGTTTCCTGGTCTGTAGAACAAGTTCTCCTCGGACGCGGAAATCATCTCCGGATCCTCTACCAGAACTCGTCTGCGTGGAAGTGGATGCACCATATCTAGATGTGCATGAGACTTGGAGAGGTTATCTCGATCGCAGTCACAATGGATAACGGTACGGGACGAGTTCTTGTCCGGATTTCGGATATGTGGAGTATCACACCCGTACAGCTGAACCAGCCCTCGTCAGTCCATTACAGTATCAAATTGTTGAATACCCACATGACAATTTCGTCCATACTCGCTTAGTGGCACTAGGTATTGCCTATCGTCGTACAGCCTTTGTTCATCCTCCATTAGCCGTCGAGCAGCCAAGTATTCAAGTACCGAGACGGTTGAATTCCTGGAACATACTGACTCGCGGGCCAATGTTCTATTGCCTGTACTGACGGCGCGGCTGCGCTGCTGGCTACTGGCTTTGACAGGGCGTGGCTTCTCCTCGCTCGCCGTGGCGCGCATAGCGCGCAGATTTGAGGAAACTTTGCGCTTAATTTTCCGTAAACCACCCTTTTCCTCTGAATCGACTGATGTTGATGGCGGCTGACGCTCGGGCGGTGTCTGTGTCTGCGTCTATATATGAAGGGGTAATGGGATTGAATGGGAGATGTATCAATGTCAGTCCTCGAGGCAGGCCAACCGATTCACCCGCTGGTGACAACAGGATCGAAGTCACCAGCATCGTTCGGGTCATGAAGACGGGTACGTACCTTGGTAACGAGAGGCCACGGGCGGAGTATGTTCGACAGTCCTCCAGAAAGTTTTCGCTTGACGCGCCCAATGTCAAGATTGGCCTTTCCTGGATGAACATTCTCGTCTGTTTTCGGTTTGCTACTTGGCGGCGATTTGTTCAACTTTGTGATTGACTGAGTGCGTCGACGAGGAAAAGCGACGGGTGCAGCCTTTGGTGGGGGCTGTTGTGGAGTCTTGATCATGATAGTCGGATGGTTTCTAGCAGGTGCAGCGCCGTTTTGTTGTATAGAAGTCTCCTGTGCCAAACATGAGGCCACGGGCATCGTTTCCTCGGTCGTGTGTGCTCACCGAATGTGGGTTAGATGGCTCTGCAGCGAGAGATACAAGCTAGTGGTCTTCATGTTAGACGAGGAATAGACGATTGGTTGCCAAAGGGGATGTGGACGCACGAGTTTGAGCTCTGCGAGGACGACCTCACCTCTGGCTGAGATCTCGTCGACCATCGTTGTGGTGTATTTATGGGTATTCTGGTTTGCTGTGGTCCTCAACTGGACCACGAGCGCTGGTGGGCGTTGGCAAGGGGCGTTCACCACATGCGCACGCTTGGCTCCTACTTTGTCCAGCCAGCTTAGGTGCATGTTCTACATAATTATATGTTCTCCACTAGATGAACAGTTTAACTGAGTGCCAGGCGAATGCAATCGTCCTCTCCTTGGTTCCCTCGGAGCGGATCCTTTTGGCTCCGTGCATTATATAATGAACCGTTGATAACTATCATATTTGTGGAGCGTATAAGCCCCTTAGAGTACCCCGTTCCTTCAGGCCCCGGTCAGATTGACATATCGTGAGAGCCCATATCATGTCTTTATACAAGTCCGAGGAAATGGTTGGTATTAGGCTACACTACAACGAAGACGAGTAGTACGATGCTGCAGGGCTGTAAGAGCTAGACCGAGGGAGACAATTACAAGGTAAAATAATCCGGATGTTCCTGGTTCGTGTATCTGCACAGATATCGGTCCAAACGAGGATAATTTAGGTCAGATTGGTGGTCTGAAGGTTTACTCGGAATATCGAGTCGCATACTATCGCGGAATGAGTAGGATGTGAGGCGTATGGCGCAGTGTACTCACCGCTACTTAGAACATTCCGCATCGCCTTTGTCTCCGTAACGCTTGTCATATGGATGTAGAACATCTTTTTTGCCTCCTTGGGCGTATACTCGCGGTAGATTGCCGCAAACTTGTTACGGAAGACTGAAGAAACGCAAATGAGAAACCAAATGACACCAAAGGGTATGGGTACTTGCATTTTGAGACACTCTCGTACTCGTTTGGTCGCTCTCCATAGCTCTTGACATATTTGTTCACTCGAACGCCACTGTTGAGTTTGGACTGAAGAATGTCCACCTGTAGGCCATGAGAACATGTTTCTGTTGCATAGAAGAGAGCAAACCTTGTTGAGGAACAAGATGATATTGACGCTGATGAGCAGTTTCGACTTGCAGATTGATTTGAAGAGAAGCAACGAGTCCTCTAGTCGATTCACCCTACGATCCTCGGCCAAAGATTGGTCAAAGGCGCTGATAGGTGCGAGGAAAATGAGGGCATCGACGTGGGAAAAATAGGGCTGCCACGCTGAGCGTTGAGTTCGCGTGCCGCCGACATCGTAAAATGTCCAAGTGGTTCGCTCGCCCACTGTGAGAGCAGAATAAGGATAAGAATAGTCGAGAGAGAAGAGTACGAACTCATGTTCACATCGTATGTGTACTCGCTCACACCAATCGTCTTCAATCGTGCGCGAAGCACATCATCTAAGCAGGGTTACTCAGCTCCCGTGGGGCCGCATGGGGACACAAGGACTCACCATCCGACGGTACATAGCTTAGCGATGTGATCCGCTCGATATCGTCAAGAAAGCTGTGAAAAGCAATGGTGAGCGCTCGGATGTAAAAGGGACCAATTGTTGGAGCGGCCATTTGGAAGGGATTTTCGCACGTTCATGGCTATGGCTGTCCCCATGGGAGTTGACCATGACCAAAGAAGCACAAATGCATGCCGATTGGTACGGCAAAGAATCCAGGATGGTACGGCGGACGAAGAGCGTCCGCCATCGACGAACGATGAACCGGGACTGTACTCACAAGCCTGGCATATCCTCTAGCCTCACGTTGCCCATTTTCAAGACTTGCCTGACCACAGGATCGTGCCACAACGCGAGCATGTCGTCTTTGCAAGCGTTGATGACATTACCCGGATCCTCTGGACTGTCAAAGTCGATTTCGTCGTCGCTCATCTCGTCTTCATCGTGATCCAGTCGTCCTCGTAGTCTTGAGAGCTTCTTTCCAGTTGCCCGTACTTCGCACGAATAGCTCCTTCCCCGACGTGAACCAGTTTGTGCCAAGCTGAGTGGCTTCGTAGTCCTCTCCGGACGGATCCAGCCTCCGGAGAAGGGAGGTTTCAATGTGAACGAGTGGGAGTAGTCGCATGCGCAGAGTTCGGTGATAATCGCTAAGCTTGGGCATTTCTGTTGGCTCCGACAGTGCGGCAGGGGGTAAAGGGGACGAGAACGGCGTCGTCGGCGAGCGTGTCACAGGTGTTACGGGAGAACTTGCTCCATAAGGATGTGATGACCGCGAGTGAGACACGCTGCCGGCTGTACTTGGAATGTCCGAGTCGGAAGACATGCCGCTCGACTGCGAGGATACCGCGACACTGGACGAAGAGGCATTCATCCTTGGCGAGCCGTTGAGGGGATGCACAGACATTGCCATTGTCCTGGATGGCTTATTCTCTTCAAAGGGTATCGGCTTGGTCGTCGTGAGACTGCTGAGATGCTCGAGGATGATTCGGATGGACCGAACAAGGTTGAGCTGAATGACAAGCTTCCATAGCTGTCGCTCCTTTTGGAATTCTAGACTAGGCGTCAAAACAAGGCACGACGCACAAAGGCTTGCTTACGTCTCGAGGCAAAGATGAGCTGGAACTGCTTGAGCGTTGTGCTGACAGGTGATTAGCATGTGTTTCTGCATTTCACATCGTCGAACCATGTACCTTTTGCCAGATTCGCTCTGTCCTAATTTGTCGGAATGCTGTTAGTGGCAGTGACAATCTAGACGGCTAAGCAAGGACGCACCGAGTAAGAGGACTTTGACGCTGCTATCGAGTCTGAGCTGTCTCTTATGCTCCGCAATTCCTGCGTCAATCTCGTCACTAACGCGCTTTGCCTCACGTTCCTGGGCTGTGGGAGGAGGCGCAAATTAGCAAGGACTCAGACAGGAGTCGTTGGTTCATATAAACATGGAAACTCACCTTCTCGTAAGGACCGTTCGGCAGATGTCTCGTCGGGGGCTGGCCGTATTGCCAGAGTGAGAGGATCCGAGTCGTCGCGCCTTTCTCATTGTGTCCGTTTGCTAGTAGTGTGGTCGTAATGTTGCAGCGTCTGTGCTACAGCGGCGAGCGAGAAACAAGTGCCCTCGGAGAATACCGCGGGGGGCGCGCGGTATAAGATACAAATGAGATGTCCGTGAATGCTCTCACGGGGGGCGTTGAGCACGACGCCGAGCGAGGAAAGACGGTGGTGCCGGCGATGGACGAGTCCAAGGTGTACGCAGGAACATTGGATTAGCCACCTGCAATGTGTCCCTCACAGTCTAGACGGGGCCCGCGGTGTTGGGCTGAACTCCAAAGTGGACATCAAATTTAGTGTGCCACCCAGAGGCAGTGAACGTCTTACGAAAATAATACAATCATTATTCATCGATTCTCCGAGTTTGCTCGTCGTCAAGCGCTCAGACGTGCTCTCACACACACCGCTCCAAAAACTAGGACGGCCCGAGATACCTGGCGATGCGACAACGCTCCGATACGTTTGCATAGACTGCGAGCATTTCATTCCAGTCGTAATTCTACATGCGTGAGAAATCCTAGCCGGCCAGGGGTCGACGAGCCGTCACATGAAATCATTGCCTACGATTTAGTCGGCTCTGGAGGTTGGTAGTTGTAAAAGTTGTTCGCTCCTGGAGCTTGACCGGGTGGTGGTCCCGCAGGCGCATTGTAGCCCGTATACTGCGGCAATTGAGCCTGCGATGGATCCGTTCCAGGCCCAGCAGCTGGGGGTCCTGCAGGCGGAGGCTATTCAGGGGTCAGCCCAGAACACAGGAAAGGAATGCCCGTGAGACGCACCACATAAGGTTGGTCAGGATTATACGATCGTGGGGGCTCCGCAACACCTGGAGTTGCACCTGGAGCAAAGCCCTTGGCTTCTGGATGCACGCCATTGTTCAAGTATCCTCCTTGATATCCAGGCTGGAAAGGTTGTGGTCCGTTGGGGTAAAAGCCATTGGGAGGGGCGCCGTATGGAGTGCCATATGGTGGTTGTGGATATCCTCCTGGAGGAGGAGGCCCTCCATATTGCTGTTGTTGAGCTTGTAGAAGAATGGCGTTTTGCGCTCTTGCTCTTCGCCTGCGTTGGAGAATGCACAATGAGACCAACATTAGCGAGAGAACAACTGGAATGAATGATTAGAATATTCAAGGTGGCAAGCTGTCTACTCACGGCAGGCAATGGAAATGCCGATTCTGGCACCGTACGACAGCCCGCTGCTACAATAATATGCTCCATAGCTTGTTATGAGAGTTAAAAGATTATCCAAGGGCTCTAATGGTAACTTACGCGTCATAATAGCAATACGCTGACACTGGATGCGCCGACAGCAACACCTGCGTCAAGACTGCACCAGATATTATAGCACGCATAACCTCCTGATCGATACGAGTATTTAGCAGAGATTCGTGTACGTAAACTGGGGGGTGGTAGCAGGCCAAGTTTTGCGGCTCCAAACAACCCGTCATCGCCGAGAGGACAGGATTCTTACCGGGAAGAAGACGGGAAACGACAACGCTCTCAATTATGTAGGTAAAATTTAGACAGATGGTTCCACATGAAGTTCCCTACTCCTCTTCCTCGTTGACAAGCCGAAGGACATTCGCCATTTCCTGCGCACTGTCTGCGCATTCCCGCAACGCTCGGAGTTGATCAATCACAGCCAATAGCCTTTCATACTTGCTCTTCTCAATATCCACCTCCACTTGTGTCGGTGGCTCCTGACTTCTAGACCGCAGCTTACCCCTTGGACGACTAGGGACCGGAACCCCGGCAGCGACTCGCCGCTTCACCTCGTCCTTTGCAATAAGGTCGGCCGCTTGTCGTACCAGAGCCAGGTTAACTTCCGCAGCCCGCTTTCGTGTGCTGGGCGAGCTTGACTGGGTGGTGCCGACGCTGACCTTGCGAGAGAGCTGCGTCGAGGAACGTTTGAGAGAGTAGACACCTTTGCGCGCAAAGAACTCTTTCGCTTCGCTAGCGGGAACAAGAATTGGTGGGAGCCTCTCGTTGAGAATGTCCGATGTTCGACTAGAAAGTGTAAATTTAGCATCCCGACGCTCCGTTATAATAAACGTACGCATGCTCAAAGTCTGGAATAAGTTGCGGTACCGCACTGGCAGCCGAGCCGAGGTTATTGGTCAATTCGACCGGCAACGATCGGAATTCGGATGCTCCCTCTGGTCCTGTCTGTCGTAACAGATCGTAGATATGGCTCATGACGAGGCCCTTCTTTCCAATTGGCAGACCCGTGGTAGCTGCCTCTGTGTCTACTTGCTCATCTTCGAATACATTCATGATTGCCTGCAACATGTCCAGTGCTAGGAAAATCAGGAGTGTTGTCAATTGACCCCAATATATGCTCACCTTTCTCCGAGACAAATGGCAATGACCAAGTGAACGCGTCGGCCAGGTTTGGGAGGTAAAATGGATGAGGCGAGTGGTAGAACCATTTAAAGAGCATCTTCGTTCCACTCCACGTCATTACTGCTCCCTTGTTCCCGTATATATCACAGTAGTTGGGCGCACTGAATATGGTGATGACCGACGGATAGTTCTCCGAGGTATATTTGAACATTGAGTACCTTTCGACTGTCAGAACATTCAATATGTAGAGATGCGTCTCACCCTTCCTTCTGGGCTTCATGTCCCCTGATAATACTGGAAAGACCATTTGCCTTGAGAAACTTGCAAACTGCCTCGTAGCTAGAGACCGTTATAATCGGCGCACGTCTAGTGCAAAACGTACGAGTAGTAGTAAGAGCATCCCCTGACAGAGTTCTCAAGGAACAGTGGACCACCTGGGAATTCGCTTCCGGGTGGGCAAGGGTCAGCCCATAGTAGGTCGCAGAACAATCCCTTGGTCGGGACCTCGGCGAATCGATTAATCTGATACGGTCAGAAGGAGCAGGAAAATACACACATCCTCACCTTGTCTATGTCACTAACGCTCTCCAAATCTGGGCCTATCCCGCCATGTACACAAAAGAATCTGTCATCAACCACGGCCGCAAGTGGCATCGTCTTGAACACCTCGAGGAATGCATCGTATATCCTTTCAGAATACTTCCTCGTGCCTATGATCTGTCAGAGATGACACTCTGTGGAAAACCTGCTCACATTCGATGCGAAAGGTAAAGTAGTTTGTGAGATGCTTGGATTCATGGTTGCCTCGAAGCATATTGATTCCGTTCGGCTTCACCAACTTTAGAGCAAAGAGCCATAGTAGACACTCAACCGAGAAGTACCCTCGGTCTACGTAGTCTCCAAGGAAGAGGTAGTCTGTCTTGAGCGGGTTGCCTCCGAAACTTGAGGTCATAAAGTTGACCAAGTCGTAATACTGTCCATGTATGTCTCCCACAACTGAAATTAGTCAGATATGTAGGTGTATATCATCATAGACTACTTACTGGTTATGGGTGCGGAAAGGTAGAGTACGTTTCGTTCCGTTTTGAAAATGTCGCCAACTCTCCGCAAGAGGAAAAGCACTTGGTCCTCAGTGAGACGACCTTCCTGATAAAAGTGAAGACGAAGGAATGAAACATTCGGTATTGGAATGCCGTTATCTTGTCTGTAGAAATCTTCATCGCTTGCAATGCCGTCCGGTGGGCGGATCTGATAGACAGTGGGCATCAAAGTACGATAAGTTGATGATTTCGATGAAAACTGGGTTAAATATCCTCAAATGCGTACAACATACCTCTTTGCAGACACGCTGAGTGAGATCTGTAACCCCATAATGCTCCACGAGCTGAGATTCCGATAGTATCAATGTAGCCGGCGTTACTTGGTCTTCTGGCATGGGAGGGCAGGTCAAGATGCGTCGGCGCCTTGTGGCCAGCCTCAGTCGCAGTGCTCAGTTGTGCATTTAGTCATTGTATAGGTTTCTTTAACGTCTTTTTAGCAATAGAGCTTGATCCTGTGGCTCTCTTTTCATGCACGCGATGATAAAGGCTAAGTGGCGCAGTTCAAGGGAAATGTACAACTTTTGGGTACTCTGCCTCACGAGACCAATGGATTGTTGGTCGCAGTCCCCTCTTCCGGCTCGTTGAAAATGTTGATGTTCCAACGGGGAGTGTAATGATGCGGGATATTGAACCGCGTACGGCTGTTTTTTCCGAGTTGGTTTAGCGTGTCAATATCTTCCTGGCTCAACTCGACTTGCTGAAAGTTCGAGATGATACGCTCTTGGAGATCGTGAGCACAGATTCGTATAGGAGTGCCAGCTCACCTTCTTGAACGCTCTTTGGAATGACTGAATACCCTCGAGAGACACCCCAAGCTATTAACACTTGAGCCTCGGTAGCACCGAGCCGCTTAGCGATAGTTTGAACCTCTGGGTAGTCGGTAAGCTTGGGCTTTCCTTTCACTGTTTCACTTTGTTAGTTGATAGTGTGATCAGCAAGACTAATACGAACAGTTATTGCCCAAAGGTGAGTATGCCGTGAGATGGATATTCTTCTCCTTGCAATATGCAACCAAGTCGTCTTGTGGAAGCAAAGGGTGCGCTTCGATCTGGTTGACGGTCGGGACAATGCCAGTGGCTTTGATGAGCTCCTCCAAGACCGCGACCGAGAAATTGGACACTCCGACGGCGCGAACTTTACTCTGAATAATCTGTAAGACCATATTCACGCCAATCAATCTAGCCGTACCTTTGGTAGCGCGTTCATGGCTTTCCATGTCTCTGCGAGCGTCACGCCACGATCGATCTCAACCCAACCAGGGTTACTCTCGTCTGGAGGATAAAGACTCTTGCCTGCTTTGAAGGCAACAGGCCAGTGAATCACTGAAATGACGTCAACAGAGATCAGGAATGATAGAAGGCAACCCACAGTAGAGATCAAAGTAGTCCAAGCCGGTCTGTGCGAGTCCTTCATCGAGCTGCTTCTCGACTTCCTCTGGACGGAAAGCGTTGCACCACAGCTGCAAAATGTCTTGAGTCTACAGTGTAAACGGTTTACGATACATACCTTGGAAGTGATGAAGAGCTCCTCGCGCTGAACCTCAGAGGGAATGACTTTTTTGAGGGCTGCTCCAACCTCATCTTTGAAGGGTGAGATCGCGATCTGAGGATGAGGCGCTGCACATACCTTGATTCTCATAAATAAAGGCCAGGTCGAGATGACGATAGCCATTGCGAACTGCAATTTCGACCTAGTAGCGTTGAAGACTTTGTCAGATCGGTTCAGGATTATTTCTAGTACGCACAGCTCGTTCGACTTCCTTGGGCTTGGAGAGCCATGTGCCCAGTCCAATCTGGGGCATCCGAGCACCGGTGGAGAGAGTGATAAACTTGCGGAAGGACATCGTGGTTGTGGTCCAAGTGTTGGTTTGCTTACGCCGAAGGAAGAACGACGGGAGGGAGCGGCTGAGCGGCCCGCCGTTCCAGCTCACGGCTGACCCATCGCGTATTCCTGCTTGGTTTCTCGAGATTCTTTGCGGCTCTTCGCACCGGGACTCAGTTATGGAGGCGGCTAAGTTGCGCGCGGGTCTTCTCTTCAACCTCATTCATGACAGACGTCCACCGCGGACGAGGGGACCGACATACCGTCAAAGTTGACGCGGAAAGCAGAAAGGAGACAGATAGACGCTCAGATTCTGCATCTCAACATCATAAACATCACCGTCAACGAGAACGAAGTCCGCATCCTCGTTCGCGATCCCCAAACCGAGATCATCACAAGAGGAAGCGGCGAGATGGATCCAATTCTCCTGACAGGTACCGCGGAAGAAGCCGGAGTCGGTCTCGTAGCCCTCGCAGGTCGAGGAGCAGAGACAGAAAGCGCCATAGCCGTCGAAAGCGCTCCCGCTCAGACTCTTCGAATGAGCGAGCTAGGAAGGAGAGAAAGAGACAGAAGAGGAAAGACAAAGTAAGGCTGCCGACGGCTCTCCAGGGGGGTCTGCACTCACGTTGTGTCAATGCAGAAAGTTAAAGATGTGGGATCTACTCAGTGGGGAAGATATGGAATAATATCAGATGCAGAGTAAGTTCTCAGAGTAAAACGAGGTCTGTTTGTATCACTTACCGAGCCTATTCAGCATGCACGACAAGGATCCTGTGTGTATCGTTCGCTTCCGATCACTGTGTTGCTCACGTTCGCAGGAATTTCGCACGTGGCTGGTTGAGGAGAAATTGACCAATCCCGAAATCATGTCTTCGGACCAGTTGAAGAGGATGTTTAAAGAGTATGTCTCGCACGCTTCTAGCCATGCCCATGCCTGAAGATGTTGAAACAGATTTATGGAGGATTACAATACCGGTCTGTTTCGTTGCTCTGACCCGCTGTCAGCTCTGACAACGTGATAGCGACCTTGCCCCATGAGAAGTATTATGATATGCACGCATACGAGAAGCGCATGGCTATCATAAGAGGAGGAGAAAGCAACTTGCTCGAAGGTCTGGATACATACGACGCCAACGCGGACCTCATCAGTCATAAGAGGGGCCTCAAGCGTGGTCAAGTGGAAAAGGAAGTCTTTCTCTCACGCGAAGAACTCGAAGACTTGAGAAGAGTCAAGATTGAGCGAGACCAGGTCAGCATCGTGTCCCTAGTTATCCTCCGTCGGAGGTGGACTCATCACACCCCAGATGACGAAAATGAAACTCCTCGGAATGAATGTAGACAGCAAGACTGGCGTTCGTATGGACACAGTCTACGATGGGTAGCAGCGACGAATTGCACACCAATGACGCTGGATGGCGACATCGGGCGTTTGATGGCTATCGTATTTACCGTGTCCAATCACCCCACCGGGCACAGTCAGTGGTCAGTGTGTCATCTCCGACGGAGCACAGGCCTGGTCCTCCAGCTATTGCTGCTCGGGGCCAAGGCCGACGAATGGCGCTCTCGTAACGCGAGAGAATGCCGAGGACTTGAAGAACTCTTATCGCAACCGAATATAAAGACCTCCGTGTCGTGGCTCAGATGATCGTCCTAAACCATGGCCCTCGAAGTCTCAAAAACGGCAGCTCTTCCCCTCGCCGGATTTCTGGGAGGGCTGGGTATTGCTACTTCCGCATCTCTACTGCTTCTCGTCAATGGTCGTGTACTGGGTGTTAGTGGGTTCCTCCACCGCTCAGCCCGACACTTCGTCTCCCAGTGCTGGCAAGGCGGGCCTTTGAATGCTTGGAACGCGGATGCTCTGGCTCTTATTGGCATGGTTATCGCTGGTTTTGCGATAGCAGCACTAGATGATCCACAAAGACTTCTGTTGGAATTCGCATATCCTTCACCGCTGATGGTTCTCCGGTCCATTATAGCCGGATTCCTTGTTGGAATTGGCTCTAGGGTACGTGTAAAAGGCGATGTCAGTGTGCTAGTGCTGATAGTTGCTTCCTCCTGGCGGCCCTTCTTCCCTTCTATGCTCTTGGTTTCATTGGCTAGTTGCAAAATGGGTGCACCAGCGGGCATATGATCTGTGGGCTATCTCGAGCATCGACTCGGTATGAGCCACTAGAATTGATGCGTATTCTCTTACCGAATTTTAGCTCGCTCGTCGCCTCTTTGATCTTCACGTCGTTTGGTATCCTTGTTGCCAACCTAGCCCCTGTCGAGCTCCCAGTAATCACATCCTACAAATGGCAGCTCAACCGAACCGAGGCAATCATATTTGGTACACAGGCTATCATAATCGGTTTAACACTTGTTCTCCTTGGAGTACGTATACGATGTGGGTGTTGGATTTGTCTCATTCCTCTAGATCTTCTGGACCAGTTTCTTGGATGGCGCCCCACGAGTCGCGAATGGTGTTATGCATTTCATCACCATAGCATCTAGTCTCGTGTTCGGCCTCAGCATGCATCTGAGTGGCATGACAACTCCGACACGAGTTCAAGGCTTCTTGCTCACTCCTTTCTTCTCAAAACCAGAATTTGACCCTACAATGGCATACCTTGCCGTCGGGGCACTTCCCTTATCCACTGCTGCCTACTTTCTTGGGCATCAGCAGAGGGTTTGTTCAACACCACCGGCCAACACCGAAAGGTCACCCCTCCAGGCCAAGTGGACCACTAGTAAAAGTATAAGGGTCCCCATTCTAGCCTCTCCGAATGACTGGCCATCTGTGATGGGTCAGGTCGATAGGAGGCTCCTAGTCGGTGCGGTTTTGTTTGGTTGTGGCTGGGGTTTGGAGGGCATTTGCCGTACGTCTCTCCTAATTCTAGTACTGATTCTCACCTTTCTACAGCTGGACCTGCAATCGTTAACCTTGGACGGCTTACATACAACCTTACTCATAGAACGGCCGAGTGGGAGTCTTTACGACTCGTTGCTTGGATAATATCCGCTATTGTTGGGGGACTTGTTACTCCGTGATAGATCTAGACATTCCTAGAGAGATTATAAGGACACTGTATACTCGAGCGTGGCGACTGAATAGAGTAGACTTGACCTCGACCCAAATCTCAAAAATGACGAGTACACTCGGAGTCCCCGTCAAGCTACTCCACGAAGCACTGGGTCATGTTATCACTGTAGAACTCAAGACTGGACAGCTGTATCGAGGAAAACTGGCTGAGGGTGAGTTCCTACGTACGCTCGTAGTGGCCGTAGGCGCTAATATATTTCATTTTCAGCCGAGGATTCATTGAACATCTCGCTCAAAGACATCACCGTCACTGGGAGAGACGGTCGCATCTCGCAACTGGATCAGGTCTACATTCGCGGCAGCATGATCCGCTTCTTCATCGTCCCAGACATGCTTCAAAATGCTCCAATGTCATTATAAATCTTTTTACGCGTTAATCACGCTCATTGACCGTCGTCTGTAGGTTTAAGCGCGTCGGACCAAACGCCATGCGAGGACGTGGTATCGGAACGGCGAGAGGACGAGCCACAATTATGAGAGGTGTGTTTTTGGTCTCTTTGACTATGAAGACCCTTACTGACGGCAAACTACAGCCAACGGTATGCATACTCCGCGATCCCTCACCCGTTCTGCCAACTAACGTGTTACTCTAGCTCGTAGAGGAAGAGGTGGTGGAGGAGCTCAACAACCTCGTGGTATTCGAAGATGATCACAACTGTTATCGGTCATCGGGACAGAGCGAACTCAAATCCCTGACAGTGCTTCATCTTATTATGTACATCTACATGATGAAAGCTAAAAGTCTCTTCTTTATTACCGGCTCAAGATGTTGGCACATGCGGATGCACTTTCACATGAAATCATCTGTGCTTCGCTTGTCCCCAACCACATTCCCTAAACTTTTGCGACATGCAGTCTATGCTACATGATGCTCCATCCAGAGGAGTACGACAGCGAATCAGACCTATCGAATCCCTAAGTTGGGGTGCAAGACTCATGAGGCTATTGTTTTGGGTGCTTGCAACAGGGTCTTTCTGTTCTATGGGTGTACTACTCATGATCACACTTTGTAAGCACAATGGACTCCTCAAGTTACATGATTGAAGTTGGTATGATAGTCCCTCTGGCTTGTTTCTTCACAGTTCCGGGTCTCTGCGTCGCAGCCATTGGTGAGATCCTCCATAACTGATTACATGCACTCTAATTTCCTCCCAGTTCTCGCTGTTTCTATTCCTCAAATCGTCTATGTGCATTTCGCCGACCCTATGGATGCAAAGCGTCCCTTGCCCGTACCATCTTTGAAACAATGTCTCCAGATCGACGTAACTATATGGAGATTACTGAGAGAGTCGATACGTGTTGGGAGACGTATCGCTCGTGAGGTGCTGTTGCGGAGAGTTCAACGGTCTGTCAACCATCGAGTCGTGTACGTACATCAAACATTTCAGGATCTAGTATAACTCTCTCTAAAGTCGCAATATCGCCTTTGGCTCTAATAATCTATCGCTGGACGTTTACATCCCAATGGAAAGTGCAACAACTGGGAGCTCGGCGCCGGTTATTCTTTTTCTCGCACCACAAATCCGCCCATTTGACACGCGGAAACTCGTGTTCTCATCGCTTGGAGCTACTTTGGCAGAATCCATCGGATGCGTAGTGGTAATTCCAGATCTGACGAATTATCCAAACGGACGCATCAGACAGCAGGTTGAGGACATCAGAGCGGCTATACACTGGACAAAAGGAAACATTCATCTTCATGGAGGTGATTCATCCCGATTGAATCTCGCTGGCCTAGGACTGGGTGGTCTCTTGGCCTTGCTTGTGCCATTACAGTCTGCGGTTGTCAAATCCCGAAGTCTTATCATTCGTGATCGAAAAATGAGTATAGAGCTTCCTGCGGGTGTCGAAGAGGTCAAGGTCCGACCGCCTTCGCTTCAGCCAACGGACATTGATGTTTGACAGGAGTATGGCAGTGATTATCCTCTTCCAAGGATAGACGGGCTGATACTGTAAGAAAACTGTCTAATTCACACTGTATGCTCACCGTGAACAGTATCGATGCTATTACCAATGTTGATGAACAACTGACCGAGGAGACGAGTCGTGGAATACAACACCTTAGTCTTACACGCAGGCTCTTGGGTCCTAGCGAGCGTACTTGCTACTTTCACTCTGTAAGTGATCACATTTGCTCTTGTCGATTGTGTTGACACTTGGAAGCCGGCTCATTTGCTCTATGCAGCGCGCAACATCCTGCAACTTCAACTACTTCCTCAGAAAGTACTATTTATTCACGGGTATGCATCAATCTTAGCTCTCAAGCTCTGCTCAACGTTCGTGTAGGGGCCTCGACAGGTACACCAAGCATACACAAAGCGAGACGATGAAGGAAATCATGCGTGGTGTTGGCATCCAAGGTCATGCAGTCAATGACACTTCGTGTATGCGCTGACGACGTATAGATGCTAAAGTCAAAGTATACCCTACAGACCTCTGGGATACGGCACTAGGTGAGTGCGTTGAAGAACTCGACTCGAGCTAATCGCGAACAGGAATGATGTGTGACACGCAAGGGTCTCCCGTGATTGACGAAAGTATGTTTCATGATCCTGCCTCTCGTCGGGACTGACTAGTTCAAGTTTATTCCTTTCTCTGGGACGAGGATTTACTCACGCCGCGAGCAAGGGAAGCAGCCTTGTAGAACGCAGTAACATTCCAGTAGATATTGTTTCGTGTCTTAGTTTTGAAATGCTGCCTGTGAGGCTACGAGTTGATTTATCAAGGTGGTAATTTGAACCGCGACCACGACTTCGGTTTTGCAGAGATGCCACCTCGAAAGAGCCCTCTGGAGGGCTCAGTAATAGATCCGAAATCACGAAAGTTGACTGATTTCTGGGGACGACGGGATTCAGATTATGATGCAGCGACCTCGGGTTCCCCACTTCGAAGCGCGAGTTCATCAATACCAAACGCAGCGGGAAGTTTTCATGCGATTTCCCCTAATATCGCTAGTGGTACGCCTTCAAAGACTTTTGGTTCCTCCCCAAGACCTTCTCAGTCTCCTCGAAAATATATTCCCGAGGAAGACGAGGAAGAGGGAGCTGGTAGTTTTGGAGAAGTCATGCTCCTCTCTCGGAAACGTGCTCGAGAGTCAACTCCCAGCCGCGCAATCTCGCTCACGCCAGGGTCATCCTTGAGGCAGGCGAGTTTAGATATGTCGAATCGTTCTATCAACGAGAGAGCACATTCTCCACCAAAGAAACGACGCGCAACAGATACTATTGTCTTGCCAATTATAGAAACCGAAGAGACATTCTCCAGCGTCGACTGGCACCAGCCAAACTCTCAGCTTACTTCGATGCGCACAAAGGGAACTAGTATCTCTTCAGTGGAAGAGATGCTGAGTAAACCACCGAGTGAGGGAACAGTGCCAGGCTCAGACACAGATGGCATGGACATCTCCTCGGGCAACCATAGCGATGCTCATATGACATCAGCGTCATCCGACTCTTCTTTAATGTCGGACGAAGACACTTCCAAGCATGCGAGTACCGCCGACATCTCACGACTGGAGGAAATTCGAAGAAAGGCACAAGAACGGTTTCAAGCAAAATCTATAAGAGGATCGGTTCCTGTTCAAGTCTCTAGCTTTATGGACGACTCTGATGAAGATGAGGATGAGTTGGAGAAGATGGTCGAAAAGGTCCCAAAAAAGCCCCCAAAGAAACCCCAATCGACAAGAAAGAGCGATACTAAAAGGTATGGAGGTTTTCCTAGTGTATCGTGACTCACATGACGCAGTAATCCTGAGCCCGTTGACGGGAGCTCTCTTCCCATTTCAGTAGGCAAGCAGGAGAGACAAGTTCCGCGTCGGAATCCTGTTCGGACATCAAGGGCGAATTCGGTGCAACCACCAGAAAGTTCCCCAGCACGAAAGACGAGAGCCACATCCGTGCAGAGAACAGTTGCGCCAACGAGCAAAACTACCAAGAATGACAAGAAAAAGTCAACGAAAGGTCCAGTAATCAACTCATCGACTCTTCCCCCCACATCAATGCCTTCTAGCCTGGCGAGCCTTCTCTCCGATCAGCCAAGGTCGAAGCAAAGACTTTCCGATCCAGCCCGTCAGCGTTTACTGCAATCTGTGGAGCATAATATCAGTGATCTGGGAGGCCCACCGGGAGAGGAGGCTGAAGATGAGGCGGTCAAAGAAACACGGGAAGTCGATCACTCTGTCACCCAGATGGCGCTGGGTGAAGAGGAAGCACGGAAAATACAACTGCTATTTGCGCGCGACAAAGCAGCGGCATTGAGCTCGCAATGCGGCCGACCGTTCTGGCACCAACAGTTGGCTGAGGAAGGACAAGGTATGGAAATGACAGTGAGTAATGGCCTCATACTGCGCTGTATCATGACCTTTGATTAGTTTGGACCCCCCAAACTCGCCCTTCCAGAGCACCTGGCTTTGCCTTTGGTCAATGCTGCTGCCTCGCATGGTGAGCCTTTATCATTGGTATATTGAATATATCTGATATTTTTAGATATCGAGAGTCTTTACATCCTCATTTGTAGTGGATTTGCTTCCTCACTTTCCTCCAAGTCGACGGGAGTTCTTCCATGGTTGTTCATGACAGGTAAATCATCCTACTTCATAATATAATGGCTAATTCCTGTAGGTTGTCATCCTCGATGCCCAAGCAAACTTGCTGTAGCTTGTCTTTCAGCGATCCGGATCGGATTGGCCAAGCTCCCTCCCACCACCAGCCAATTACCCATAACATTTATGCATATTATTTCCTGCATCACTGCCTTGGGACCTCTTGCCGAATCGTTGACTCCCTTTGGTGCCTCGACTATGGACATCGACCCTCCTTCGACTGTGGTGCGCAACCAAGTGATTGCCCGCATCATGATAGTGATACAATGCATCGCCCGGTGAGTATTTTTATTGTTAGTTGGGCGATTCTTACTATCCCTCGAAGTCATTCATTACCGCTGCCTGACCCAGACAAATTAATACTACTACTCCTTCTTCTTCATTTGGATCCGTTCACTTCTGAGGAGCTCAGAAGAGACATAGCCTCTACTGTTGATGTCGTGCTCGCCTCCATCCAATCCCAGGGGTCGTACCCAGACTCTCTGGTGCGCTCCAATATCATAGTGCGACAAGTTACCAACACAACCTACAGGAATTAGACGTCTGTAAAGTCGTGGTCAGGACTGTGGGCGGGTTTACTCTCCCAGAGCAGCATCAAGTCATGCATTGCTTGTTTGGTGGCCAACCGTCTGGGCGACGGTTCATGAGATGGGTGGCACTGGGACTCCTTTTGCCATCACGGATTGTTAATGTGGATTGGGTGCGTTCCGATATATATGTAATTCGCGCTGACCGTCATATTTCAGAGTCAATACACACAACCGCCTCCACTTGCTGAGCTAGCCACTTTCACCGACACGACTCTCAGCACGAATTCTCCGTTTCGTGTCTGGTCCGAAACCGATTATGACGACTTGTTCTATCGAGTTGAGCTGCTGGGCGCGATCTTGACGGACGTTCAACAGTATGAGACGTGCGCAGAGAGCCTTGAACACATCCTGACGAACCTGGGCAACATTCATGGTCGTATTGGTAAGTGTATCTACTGTGAAGCTATATTTAGGGCCACTGAACCCGGCAATTGACAGTGGATGCGAGGGCCGCCTTTTTAGATCGGACAAGGGTAAAAGACGCCCTACAGCGTCTCAAGTTGCGGGTTCATTTCCAGTCGCAGCATCATGCGACACGTCCCACGATAGAATCACTGCTCAAGCGTTGACACATGCACTGTATTTAGCGTAGCAACCCTGTATCATTGATTTGTACCTGTTCCGTACGTTGGCCAGACTGGGGGGTCCTGTCAGGTACGGCGCTCCGTGTTGTCATCAATAGGCAGACTCAACCTTTGACCCAGCTACAGCCTCGCATTTCGGGTCCATGAGCCTCACCAGGCAAGATGTGGACGAGGATAGAGACTATACCGATGGAGCAACTGCACAAGAAATTCAAAGTGCAATACGTGAGACACCGCGCGGACGGGCCGACTCGCAAGTGGCAAGCAGCTATCAGCCGCGGCGGTCCATGAGCTCGTTTCGCGGCGAAGACGACGCAGAAGGATCTATATTTGACGGTCCTGGCTCTGTCACTATCCCCAGCAGCGTCACGGGCCTCAGGTCGGCCAGAGCGCGCGGGTTCGGTTCGCGTAGAGGCAGTCGTGTGTATGATGCGAGTCCCATGGATCCCGACGGACGCTCGTCGATAAACCGTCTAAGTAGACAAAACACTGCTCTGAGCGCGGGCACCGACGCGATAGCTGACTCTGATGATGACGGTGGCTCACCGCGTCGAGATAGACGTGTGAAAAGGCGAAAATCGACAGCGACGACCGAAAATGCTCCAGAAGCAGACGATGAACAACCACGAAGGACGTCCATGTTTGGCGGCATCGCCAGCTTTTTTGGACGCCGAGAATCGCCTTCTCGCATTTCAAACGCAAGTCGCTCCAGGGCAAGCAGCATCAATTATGCCGAAAGCCCAACTGAGGAGGATGATAGATGGGGGTACCACTCGTCTGAAGAGGATGAGTCGTCACAAGAGGACGCAGAGTCTACCCATGGAAGTCTGTACCCGGCCAGTAGCCGAGGCAGCCATTCGCGACCTGGGACGCCAATGAATGCCTTTCCTGGGCTAGGTAGAGATCCATTCTTTGGTGACACCAGAATTGACATGGATGATGCGTCTACTGTCGAATCCATTCCGCCGTCACCGGGTCCTCCAATGTATCAGGATGTCTATCTGTCAGACGAGGATCTTCAACTGCGACTTGTCGGCTACCGTACTATTCGCTGGCGCAAGATTCTATGGGAAATCACGGCAGTTTGCTCCCTCGGGCTTCTGGGCCTGTTAGGACATTGGTTCCCAGAGTTATGGCTGCGCTTTGTGGCGGTAAAGTGCGCCTTTGCCCACAAAGATACCGACCTTGTTGTAGTAGAGGTACTCTTTCCATACACCTTGTTGTGGCCCTATGCTAATCCCATGGTAGCACGTATCAAAAGACATTATAATCTGCAACATAGCGACACTACCATATCCCTATTCATATTCCAGTACTTTTCCGGACCCATCCCAAGGAAACACCCTACCTCCTTCGTCCTCGGCTGGCACCAAGGCGTCTTCGGTTATTAAACTAGCCGCTATAATTCCTAACTCGGCGAATGGCTCGGTCACACCTCAAGATACGTTGGAAGAACTCCGTGTATTTGAGTTCAGATATAGTCGATATATTCTCGACCCTCGGACGGGCCTATGGTACATGATCAGGTATGGCTCGGCTCGACACTCGGATCGAAACTCATAAACTATAGGGACTGGCGTGAAAAGACGACCAATACAATCTTTGAAGCACAAAAAGGTCTCGAAACTAGTGATAGGCATCAACGTCAACTGCTGTTTGGCTCGAATCTCATAGATATCAAAGGAAAGTCGATACTAAGTCTCCTGATTGAAGAAGTGAGTATCAAGCCTTGTACCCATCTCATATCTGAACCGTGTCGCAGGTCATCCATCCTTTTTACGTATTCCAAATTGCAAGCATCATTCTATGGTCCATCGATGACTACTACTATTACGCATTCTGCATCGCTCTCATATCTGCATTCAGTATTATCAATACGCTCATCGAAACTCGCACAGTGCGTTCAATTCTTTCTTCACACATTGACTGACAGGGCCCAGAACATTACTCGGATGCGTGAAATGGCTCGATTCTCCTGTCAGGTCAAGCTTATCACAAAGATGGACAGTATGTATACCATTTGTATGACGCACAGCGTCTAACTCGCTTTCAGCCTCCATAGTAGATTCAAGCACACTCGTTCCGGGTGACATCGTTGACCTCACAGATCCCCCACTCTCCATATTCCCTTGTGATATCATCCTCCTGACTGGAGACGCTATCGTCAACGAGAGTATGCTCACAGGCGAGAGTGTTCCTATCAGTAAAGGCCCAATTAAGGGAGAGGATCTCACACGATGGAGGCAAACGGGAGAGGTGTCCTCGGAGATTGCAAAGAGCATGCTGTACTCGGGGACCAAAGTAGTTCGTATCCGAGGTCCTGCGCACGGGTTTGTCGACGCCCCAGCAATGGGTTATGTTGTTCGGACTGGGTTCAACACGACAAAGGGGGCTTTGGTCCGCTCGATGCTCTTCCCCAAGCCTATTGGCTTCAAATTCTATCGGGACTCCATGCGGTTTATCGGTGTACTTGCGGGCATCGCAATACTTGGTTTCATGGTTAGCGCCGTGCAGTTTGTGCGACTAGGGGTGAGTGAATATTTGCTGTCTTATCTCCATCTACTCAGACCTTGCTAGGTTCCATGGCACACCATTGTTCTTCGTGCTCTCGATCTTATCACCGTGGTCGTTCCTCCTGCCCTCCCTGCAACATTATCGATCGGTACAAGCTTTGCTATCAGTCGACTTCGGGCATTGGGTATATTCTGCATATCTCCAACGCGTGTCAACGTGGGCGGAAAGGTCAACGTTGTATGTTTCGACAAGACGGGTACCTTGACTGAAGATGGTTTGGACATTCTCGGCGTCTGCGCTCTCGAAAGGGACGGACAGCGATTCCGGGAGATTGCAGAGGACGTTTTGGACATACCTCAATCCTCGGACAAGGCAAATATTCTGCATGCAATGGCTACCTGTCATTCGCTCAAAGTTGTCGATGGTGATGTTTTGGGTGATCCATTGGACGTCAAGATGTGGAATTTCACTCAATGGACGATCGAGGAGAATACGACCATTGTGCCTATCAAGAAAGGAGCAAACGCGGAAGGAACGTCTCAACAGACAGCTCCTTTGGTGCAAAATATAGTTCGACCTCCTGGAACGCGTCGATTCACCTTGGACGATGCACTCAAGGGTGACAAGGTCCGTTTTACGTATGATGCAGAACACATGCTCACCGCTACCAGCACGCTCATTTCCTCGAGTTGGGTGTTATCAGGACTTTCGAGTTTGTGTCTGGTCTGCGGAGGATGACAGTAATCACCAAACGGCTGAAGTCTAAGAGTATGGAGGTCTATCTCAAAGGCGCCCCGGAAATCTTGGCAGATGTCTGCGAGCCAGGGTCTTGTGAGCTTGTCGGTCGAATCTTTGTTCGAAAGCTAACACATACTTTTAGTTCCTGCTGACTATGATGACCTGTTGTCATATTACACGAGGAATGGATATCGTGTGATCGGACTCGCCGGAAAGTCTGTCGACGGACTTTCATGGCTCAAGGCGCAACGCCTGAAGCGAGAACAAGTCGAAAGCGGACTCAGGTTCCTTGGTCTCCTTATCTTCGAGAACAAACTCAAACCTGGAACTACACCTGCCATCGCCACCTTGCGTCAGGCGTCTCTCGGTTGTCGAATGGTCACCGGAGATAACCCACGAACAGCTGTCAGCGTGGCACGCGAGTGCAAGCTCATCAATTCGACGGCCTTTGTCTTTTACCCATCCTTTACCGAGGGAGATGCGACCAACCCTCGTGCCATCCTAGAGTGGCGGGGTGTCGATGACGAGTCTCTTCGCTTGGATCCATACAGTCTCCGACCTTTGCCGCCGCCACCCCACGTCGTTGATGAGGAGAGAATCTACAAAGACTACGACTTGGCAATTACAGGCGAGATCTTCCGTTGGATGATTGATTATGCGCCCTTGGAGACGCTGCAGCAGATGCTCTATAAAACTCATGTGTTTGCTCGAATGTCCCCAGACGAGAAGCACGAGCTGGTGGAAAGACTACAATCGATCGGATACACGGTTGGCTTTTGCGGTGATGGTGCCAATGATTGTGGTGCCCTCAAAGCGGCTGATGTTGGAATATCGCTCTCTGAAGCAGAAGCTAGCATCGCGGCTCCGTTTACGAGCAAGACACCAGATATCGGGTGCGTCATTGAAGTTATCAGAGAGGGCCGGGCCGCCCTTGTGACCAGCTTTTCGTGCTTTAAATATATGTAAGTGAACCTATGACCGAGGAAAGGTTTTCTCATTGTTACCAGGGCTTTATATTCTTTAATCCAATTCACGACCATCACATTCCTGTATTCCTTCGCATCGTCGCTCGGAGACTTTCAGTTCCTGTATATCGACCTCTTTATCATCATTCCCATCGCAGTTGCCAGTGAGTGGTCTCTCCATAGATTTCGATAGGCGTTGACACAAAGCAGTGGGCCGGACTCTCCCATACGACCGCATACACACAGCGCGACCGACATCCAGCCTAGTTTCACGCAAAGTCTTGTCGAGTATCATCGGTCAAATCATCATCACCAGCGCCGCCCAGGCATGGGTCTTCTTCTGGGTCCGCACACAGCCGTGGTATAAGCTTCCGTTGCCTCCCAAACCAGGGGAAGGGCTGGAGACCAACAACTATGAGAACACGGTTCTATTCTTGGTCTCTTGTTTCCAGTACATTCTGGTTGCCGCGGTCTTCTCGATTGGGCCACCCTATCGCAAACCCATGTGGACCAACGGTGCGTGTTGTGCAAATTGACTGTGATTGTTCTTACCTAGTGTGTTCTAGGCTGGCTTGTGGCCAGTATGGTGATACTATCTATGTTCAGTGCATGGGTCCTCCTTACTCCCTCCATCTCGGTCGCGCTCATTTTAAATTTGATGAGCCTCCCATGGTCCGCTCGTCTTGCGCTCGCCGTTGTCGTTGTGATCAACGTGACTGCGTCGTTTGCGTTTGAAAACTGGCTCGTGGAATCGATCGCGACGACTGTCAAGGTGCTCATGAGAGCGTCGGGAAGGCGGAGACGACGCGAAGGACGAATCTACGAGGCTGTTGGAAGGTAGCTACAGGTGAATTGACTAGATTTTGTCGGGTCTTTTGCCCCTGTGAATCCAGACCCAAAGTGGTCGCTTAGCGGCGATTTGAATGGGACTCATCTTTGAACCTCTCCCCTACGGACGCTCTGAGGCAACCACCTCCCAGGGCTGTTCTTTTATTCTGATTAATTCCGCTCTTTTTTTCTTCTACCTTATTATCCGCCCCGTAGGTCGTCTAGGACGATCTTCACACCCCAGGAGGGATCCTTCCATTCTTTCTCAACAGCCTTGGATCAAAACTTGTACACTTGGAACGGAATCTCCTCTTTGCAATTGCATACACCGAGATGGTCGCCCTTATCACACTCGTTTTTATCGCCAGCCTTCTCTCGACCTCGACGGCGTCGCCCATCTATCAGATTGGCGAGGTAATTGGGGAAATTCGAGATCTCCGCGCAGAGCCGCGACAAGAATCTCGCTCAGGAAATCTCCTGACAGGCCCAATAACGTTCCAGACGGTGACGACTTCTCAAACGTACGTTGACAACCATCTCCCCGTCGATGAGCTCTCTGCTAACCGCTCTGTTATCGTACTTTTATATGCGTTAAATCGTATCCTGGATGATTTTGGCGACATTTAGTCAAGCGGGCACGATTACACAAACTTGCGAGGTCACGCTCACCCCGGTGACCGCCAGGGATGGCACCCCAGCCGTTCTGCACTCCAAGCAATGTAAATTCACAGTAGGAAACGGTGGAGGTGGACAACAATCGTCCTCGTCTTCTGCCGAGAGCAGCACCGCAGTAGAAACATCGACGAGCAGCCAAGCCTCGGCCACTGAGACGTCAACGAGCTCTCAGGAGACTCTAACGAGTAGCTCAACAGCTTCTTCATCCACTGTTTCGGGAACCGCGCCACCAGCCATTTCTGAAATTGTGAGCCCACGCCCCCGTTTGTTCATCCTAAACGGGCGCTGACCCAAGCCTTGTTTCGCAGGGCACAAACATTATTCCCGCATCCGGCTCGACAACTCTAGAGTCATCATCCGCCACTCAATCGACCTCATCTGTCACCGGTAGTCAATCTGCTGCGCCGCCAGTCGTTTCCGTCGTGGTGAGTATCGCCCAGTCTCCCCCGAGGCGACGAGACTAAATGCGGCCAGGGCCCATCTTCGATCTCGAATACCGGTAATCCAGTCATAACCACTGGCGGATCGAGCACGGCGACAGGAACCGAACCCATCACCGTAGTAACGACCTTGTCGAATGGGCAAGTCTCGACGGCCGTCTCGACCCCAACACCCGCAGCTGCGGAAGCTGCAGCACAAACTCCTGGCAGAAAACTTGAAGTTTTGCCCATTGGTCTTGGCGTCTTTGCAGGTGTTTCTGTGATTGCCTTGATCGTCGTTGGCTTGGTCACCTACGAACGAACCAAGTACAGAAAGGTACGTCCTTGTTCTCTCTCTACTTTGGCATTCACTGACATTGTTTATTAGGCTTTCCGAAAGAGAAAGCTCGCCGAAGCCGGCGCACAGATGGGCTATGGAGGAATGGCGTAAGTGACTCATTTCCTTCGCCTTCAGCTATTAACTTGAACCCAGTGAAAGGCGGTAATCGATATTGCGTTCTCCTGTACCAGCACTTGATCCTTTTCTTCGTTTCTTACGGATTATATGGTCCCGTGTCCAGCGAGATGTTACCCATTTCACCTGGAATAGCACAGATTTACCTACATACTAGGGATTCATCATGTCTGTAAATGGTTGTCGCTCGCTCATAGAGACTATTTCCCATGTCGATATAGCAGCCCGCCAATCGTTACATCGACTTGGACAATTGGTTGTGTGCTGTTCAAGCTCAGCCAGAGTGTGTGGTTAGATGGACCTATGATTTGGAGCTGACGTCGCGCATCGCCCATGGAGCCAAACCTTGCAAAAGTCGATTGGCTAGAATTTGTGATACTGGTCGACAATAGCATAGAATGGATGAGCAAGATGCCTCCGGGCTATACTTCAGAGGTGCTCGGGCATCTCAGAAACCAACCGCCTATCGATCCAAAGCTGCAGGTGCCAATCCTTGATCTGGACAATTACTGCTGCGGTGCACATGGACTCGCCGTTCTCCTGGTTAGTTATCAACTCTATGGTAACTATATTCGGCTTATGTTGACCAAAGAGGACGCATCGGGATGGACAAACGTATCACACCCTGTTCGATACTGGTCCAGAGGGAAAGTCTATCGCTCGTAATCTCGATTCACTCAAGCTGGATATTCGGAATGTGACACGCATCGTGCTGTCGCACTGGCACAGGGATCATAGCGGTGGAATTCTCGAGGTCTTGAAGCAAACGGGTGGCAAAGCAGGACGATTCGACTCTGCCAATTACTGTCGACCTTCATCCGAATCGTCCAATCGCGCGAGGCATTGCTCCTCCACCAACGTTTGATAGAGTCATTGCTCGTCTTCCAGACGACCCGACGTTTGAGGAGATTCAAGAGTGTAAAGGAGTCGTGGAGCGGCACGCGGATGCACATACTGTTCAGGGAGACACAGTGTTTGTGAGTGGAGAGATACCGAGGGTGGCTGAATGGGAAAAGGGACTGCTTGGGGGTATGAGATGGATCCAGGACGCCTGGAAGCCAGAGCCGGTAAGTTCAGGCGATCAGTCTCCTTTAGTACTAATGATCCTCAGGACATCCTAGATGAGAGATACGTCGCTGTGGACGTTGTGGGTAAGGGTATTATCGTCTTTAGTGCTTGCTCGCATGCGGGCATCTGCAATGTCGTACTCGATGTCAAGAAACGCTTCAAGGACAGACCAATACATGCGGTATTCAACGCTCTGCTCACCAGAATGTGTCATTCACATGCACTCTAGGTCGTTGGGGGATTACATCTTGCCGGGCCCGAACTGGCTCAGAGGATAGCACCTACTGTCAAATTCCTCCGAGAGAACACAGGGTCTTCGTCGGTTGTACTTCCTCTTCATTGCACTGGCCTTGCAGCCAAAGTTGCCCTAGCCAACGCATTTGGCGAGTTCTGCGTTCCAGCGGGTGTTGGAATCCAGGTTCGAATCCCAGCGGCGTGATGTAGTGTACCAGCGAGGAGCCTGCCTGAAATCGGTTGAGTATCACCGATTAGAAATATAATCTGATTTGTGTAATTGTCCAATACAAATCCTGCAGTTTCCTTTTTGGAAGGCCCTCGCTTTCCACGCCGTTCTACAGCGTTCCTCAGCTGGCACATACAATTGGCTTGCTGTCTATAAGGCGCCTTTAGCCCTTCTTGACCTCTGCCATCTCCAACACCTGCTTCTATCCCCCACCATGGTCAAAGAAACGTACGCAAATAGTCTCTAATTCGTACAGATTGCTCATCTCGTTCATTTCCATCCAGCAAATTTTACGATCTTCTCGAGGTGCCGCCGACAGCCTCTGAAGCAGATCTCAAGAAGGCATACCGCAAAAAGTACGCAAGCTACTTGCTTTATTCACATCCCCAATGGAGATGCTAAACGCGTATTTCGTTACCTAGAGCGCTTCGACTACATCCAGACAAAGGGGGCGATCCAGAGCTCTTCAAGGAAGTCACCCAAGCGTACGTATAACCTCGATTTTGCGTTTTGTCACTTGTTGCTGACGTGGCCTTGATCCCAGATACGATGTGCTCTCTGATCCTGACAAACGCGAAATGTAAGCCTCGTTATTGAAGGGATGTTTACGAGCAGATGCTGACGCGTGTACACAGCTATGATCGCTCAGGAGAAGCCGGTTTGAATGCGGCAGGGAGCGGTGGAATGGGCATGGACCCAACGGAAATGTTTGCTCAAATGTTTGGTGGCGGATTTGGTATGCCGCGCGATCGAGGACCACGCAAAGGCAAAGATCTCGTTCATCGTGTTGGCGTCACGCTCGAAGACTTGTACAAGGGCAAGACGACCAAGCTTGCTCTCACCAAGCATGTCATTTGCTCGAAGTGCAGCGGCAAGGGTGGCAAGGAAGGTGCCGTCAAGCAGTGTCCTGGTTGCAATGGACGCGGTATCAAAGTCACGTTACGACAAATGGGGCCCATGCTGCAGCAGATCCAGCAGCCCTGCGGCGAGTGCGATGGCACAGGAGAGATTATCAACCCAAAGGACCGATGCAAGACGTGCCTCGGCAAAAAGGTTGTCTCGGAGAAAAAGTTCCTCGAGGTTCACATCGACAAGGGCATGAAGAATGGCCAAACCATTACGTTTGCGGGCGAGAGCGACCAAGCACCAGACATTGTCCCGGGCGATGTCGTAATTGTCATAGAAGAAAAGCCTCATGCCGTCTTCAAGCGTCAGGACAACAACCTCATTGTAGATGTAGAGGTCGACCTCTTGACCGCGCTCGGAGGTGGCCAGTTCAGCATCAAACATCTTGACAACCGTGCACTTCTCGTTAATCTAATACCAGGCGAAGTAATAAAGAATGGTACGTATTCCCACAAATGTCTAGCCTTGTGTTTGCTCAAGGAACTCTAGATTCGGTCAAGGTCATTCGTGGACAGGGTATGCCTTCGCAACGCCATCACGACCACGGAGATCTCTTTGTCAACCTTCGTGTCGCCTTCCCAGACAGAATCGACCCGGCTGTTGTCCCGTTGCTGGAACAAGCACTACCGCCTCGAACACCGGCGCAAACGTACCCGCCCGATGTTGTGACAGAGGAGGTCGATCTAGAGGACATGGACGCCCGACAGCAGGCAGAACATGCTAGGGGAGACGCCATGGATGAAGATGACGACCATCAGCCCAAAGTACAGTGTGCCAACCAGTAATTGTAGCATGGACGCTCTATTTGGGATCTTCTTATTGTTGTTTTCGTACTACTATAGAAGCCAGTTGTTCTTGCATCTGGACAATAGCGGTGAACATAAGCATGGTAAAAGGCATATACATGAGCTATAGGTCCGGGAAGAGCTATTAATGAAACCATTTCCAGATGAAATAAAAAGAAATAAATGTTATGATCGCTCCGACGACGAATATGTAAGTGTCCTGTTGGCTATATGACGCGCATCAGTGTGTTTAAACAGGAAAACAACAAACAAGCTTACCTCCGACGTTCAATCCAGCTGATAGTATCCCTACTGAGTCCAAGGGTGTTGGCAGCACTCAGGAGCCGTCGCTGTGTGCCTTTGAGGATTTGTCGCTGGTCGACCAAATTGTTCAAGACTTCCTGTCCTTGCGCAATGAAAGCATCAAGTTGTGTCTCTGTGTTTTGTATAAAGCTGTGTTCTCGAAGGGCGTGTTGCTCCCGTGATGCATACAAAGGGTCAGGGGTTGCCCCTCTAAACGGCGACTCTGCTGGAGGCGCTGGTGTTTGTGGAAAGCGTTGACGTGTTCCAGGTGGTCCTAGAAGTTCCGAACGCTGTTGCGAGTTTCTCTGTACGACATGTAAGCGGGACAGTGGCCAACCATTTCAGGGTCGTATGCTCACTACTTCTGCCGCTTGACGTTTTGCAGAGTCGAATTGAGTCTTTAACTCTGTATAGTCTGACCGGAATTTTTGAACACGCCTGCATTTGATTGTGCATCAGCACGGGGTAGAACATACGAAGGTCCAAATACGTACATCGCTGCCTTTTCCTGCTTTGCTTTTATCATCTCCCTCTTTGCGACAGAATCAAAGTCATCAATCGTGCGACTGAATCCGGCCAACGACGCTGTTATTTGGCCTGTAGACGGTCCACGTTAGTTCTCCGTGGCAGCTCCTGTCGGCTGAAACGCACCTTGGAGTGCTGCTGATGTATCCCCAGCGAGCATTTTGTCAATATCCGCCTGTATTGCGGCTGTTTGTCGCAGTCCGGTGTTGTACAACGAGTTCATCCTGTCGAGGAGGTGGATCAACAAGAGTTTATGGATTTGGACCTCAACTCACGCGACGCGCTCGACCGGCTCACAAGAGATCTCGCTCAACGCGAAGGAGATATTCCGGATAATGATGATTACAAGTTGCCAGAGCTAGAACCGTTGAGCCATGACCATCCATTGCTCTCCGCAACGGCCACTCCCCAGTTTGACGTCGAAAAGTTTTTGTTATCGAGGACACATACGTCCTTGACGGATCTACGTGTCGAATTACGCGATTATTTGGCACAGCTCAAGGAGGAACTTGTACAACTCATCAATGACGACTATGAGGCATTTATCAGCCTTAGTACGGATCTAAGAGGCGAAGGAGCACGATTAGAACGCATACATGCCCCCGTGGAGTCTTTACGCGTCGAGATTCAGGTAATACTCTGCCACACTACCATGATCTGTTCTGACGAGAGTAGGAATCTAGCAAAGTTCTACATGGGATTGAGAGTGCAGTTCAAGCAAAACTCGCGCAGAGAACGAAGCTGAGGGAGGAAAAGGTGACGCAAATCTGTTCAGCCTACTCAGCCTGACACAATATATAGAATCTATTGCGCATGCTTTTCAACGTTTCCGACTCATTGACGCGATTAGAATCGCTTCTCTTAATTCCCTCTCCCGAAGAAGCACAAGCAGATACACCAACTCAACGGCAGATGCACCTCGAAGATGCCGACTCAAAGTGCGCTCTCATCATTCGAATAGTCAAATTATGACACTCTTCAGGGAGCAGGTGAAGAGGGTGAAACATTTGTCGCGCGTCGCAGCCGGATTTGTACAGCTCCTTTACCAGGCCGACAAGGCTCGCGCGGAGGAGTGTGCGTTCATCACTGAAAACCAGTGGGTGGGTAAAATCTGCCTTCTTCGTCCTATACTTACAATCTGGAAGCGTATAGATCGGATCAAGGATACACTATTGCGTGACTTGAACCAATTCTTCAGCAATACACTGCAAACGTTCATCAATAGCAGTGATAAGTCACCGCAAGATCGCTTACTGGCAAAGGCAGAACTATCGGAATGTCTCAAGACGTATGACATGCTCGATATGCATGAGGACGCGGAGGAAATTATCCGAGAACAGATAGTTCGGCCCTTCACCCGACGAGTGAGACGAACGCGCTCTCGTCGCCAAGGCGTACTAACTATCATAGACAATATTCACAGGAGCTTTGAATGTGCCGCATTCACCTGTCGTACCTCGGACACCATTTGTTACCTCAAATAACCACCCATCAGCTCCTTCAACGCCATACACTCCATTTACCGCTTTTCCTCAGAAGCGGGGGACATCCCAGTCTTCCTTTTTCGTCTCGGAGGGTTCACGACTACCACTCCTCGACGATTCTAAGGACCAACTTGCGACGTTGTACAACAACATACTCCAATTTATCGAGCGAAGCTGCAGCGAAATCATGGAGCTGGCGAGTAAATTCACGAGGAAACATGGATCCAAGACGGTGCCATCCGGTGCAGTTGGCCCCATCCCTGGGCAAAGTATCGCGCCATCTCAGAGCTTGGCAGATATTCAGCTCGATTCAAAGACATTTGACATTCTAGGCAATGTCGTGTGGGCTGAGATTGGACGAGCACTCATGGAGGAGCTTGGTGCCGTCATCTTTGCTGCTGGAAAGCCACTTGAATTCAAAAATGTGAGTCTCTCCTCGGTTCTTGTATAATATGTGACAATATACAGCATTATGCCACCACCAAGGGCTTCCTTGCTGGGCTGGAATATCTAGCACCAGACTCCGAAGCCGTTATAGCCTTGCGACGACATCCGGTCTATGTCACCTTTGAAAAGCGATGGCAATTGCCTGTCTATTTTCAGTTACGATGGCGCGAGATTGTAGGCGATATGGAGCTCGATCTCAGTGAGGTCCAAGTTCGTCTCTCTCTTGGTAAGATCGGTACCGAAGTCTTTATAATCGGACTCAGTGAAATAATAGAATCTGGATTATCAAGACAGGCGTTGTCCGTGTTATACGCCGTCTCGTGCTGTTGGAGTCCTGACGTTTATATCACGGAACTTGGCCACCGCTTTTGGAAGTTGACAATTCAGGTACGCTTTACTTGATTCGATGAACGCCTCTGAGGTTCTTCATCATAGATTATCGAACGGTACAGACAATGGATCCAAGCAAATATGCCGATACTCGAAGCGTCTCAATCTTTAGTCGCTCTAAAGAAGGAGAAGGTACTACCATCCTAGGTATTGCTATTCTATTGCTGACAACTGGGTAGGCAGAGGGACCCCGCCCATCCACCTCTTCCCCCCGTGTTTCGACTCCACAGCCTGAGACCTCAAGGATTTCCTGGGCAACGGATGATGAGAAGCTTCGTCATCTCGCTTCGCTGGTCACAGACATCAAGATATTCTCCCAGAGGGTGATGCTCATGTGGTTCGAGGATATCAGCAAATTTGCACCGGCTATAGACGACCTCCCACTGGAAGGTGCATAACCCCACAGCTCCCGACTGTGTAGATGCTGACTCGATGTAGAAATTCTCCGCGAGTCGGTCTCTCGGATCGAGGCGATTGTGCCAGAGCTTAATTTGCACATCCTAACCATACTGACTCGCAAATGTTGTGATCCAGTCGACTATGTTAGTCGTATACCTGGGGAGATGAGGACTCAGAATCGTCGGCGGGTTGCGGTGACTTCTCCGAGTCCGTTTGTCTCAGAGATCTTTAGACCTTTGCGTGACTTCTTTGGTATTACGGGCGCTGGGAATACCGTTGTTGGGGGTGGAGCACCTCCTGCTCCTTCATACAGAGGGGTGGGCCAAACGTTACTCTCGGATGTTGGCCCAAAATGGGCCGCAGAGATACTGGGAGCAGTTTCTTCAGCGTGAGTAGTGCTTTGGTTTACTAGGGAATCAAGGTCTGACGATCATCCAGATATCTCTCTCACTTAAGCTCGACTATGAAAAACGAAGAGCAATTGAAACGTCTTAGAAAGGGTGCTCGGTCCGGTTTTTCACTCTTTGGAGGTCAGAGCACGACACAAGATGAAGCCATCAAAGACGATGAACGCATTAGGGAGCAAATGATCATGGACGTTAATAGGTTAGGGCAAGAGGCAGAGGCGTTTGGAGTCACTTTGTCGGCCATCCCCACCTATAGTGCACTAGTCTCTCTTGCCGCACAGAGAGGCGATGTATAGCGTACTCATCCAATGTGGCTAGCTGAATGGGGACATCTTGACCATCACCATGACTATCGTTTCAGCCCCAGGAAAAGTTCTGATTACCGGAGGTTACCTCGTATTAGATCGGAAGTACTCTGGATTTGTCGTAGCGGCGTCCTCTCGCTTCTACTCTGCCATCGAGAAAGGGCAAGGGGGCCCAAACATTATTCGGGTCAAATCCCCACAGTTTCTCGAGGCAAAATGGATGTATCAAGCTACAGTGCGTGATGGAGACAAGTTTGAGGTTTCGCAGCTTCCAGGGTGAGGATATTTCTCCTCGACGATCCCCATTGTCTGACCAGTGGCGATTGCTATAGGCCCACCGCGAGCAAGAACAAGTTTGTCCATTTGGCTTTAGATCGCACGATCCAAGTCGTCAACGAGCTTAAGGGCCCCCAGCACGTCAAGGATGCCTTGCGCGATGGCTTAGATATCGCCATCCTGGGAGCAAACGACTTTTACTCTCAACGAGGGCAGTTGGAGAAACTTCAGCTCCCAAGAACCCTCGAGTCACTGAAAAAAATCCCCCCTTTTGTTCACCTTGGGGTCACAATCGAGAATGCACACAAGACGGGAATGGGATCTTCAGCCGCATTGATCACTTCGCTCGTGGGATGTCTCCTTATACACATGGGAGCGATAGATCCCTCCAGCATTATGTCTGCTGATAGCGACGAGCTGCGACTCGTACACAACGTCGCACAATATGTGCATTGCTTCGCTCAGGGAAAGGTGGGCAGTGGGTTTGATGTCTCAGCGGCCATATATGGAAGCCATGTCTACACACGTTTCGACCCAAAAGTCATCCAACCCCTCATGGACGATGCAGTAAGAGTTGGCTTCTTTATGCCGAAGTCTGACCTGTTTCTAGTCTGGAAGCGCTGCCACACTACCCATCCTGTCTCCCAAGTGGGATAATAATGCCATTTTGGCCCAATTACCTCCACTCACGCGCCTATTGCTTGCGGACGTCGATGCCGGAAGTGATTCCCCTTCCATGGCTAGTAAAGTACTCAAGTGGAGGAAGGAGAACACAGAAGAAGGTCAAACACTTGCCATTGCTTTGAAAAATATATGACGATTCCCATAGCTCATGCACTATGGACCGAGCTGGACAAGCGTAACCTTGAAGTAGCAAGGTCCCTCTCTAGACTCACAGAGAGATACAATAGCGACCCGAAAGCATACCAGCAATCTGCGATACAGGCGGCATCGAGATCTGCCGTAGAGGTGGGCAATAACTCCTTATGTGACAGTGACCTTGATTCTCTCTAGTGGCAAGCGGCGGAGGGAAGCTCCGGGAATGAACTTGGAGCAGACTTCGCTGCCGCGAACCATGCAATTCAGGTTGGTTGTTGCTGAATAGATGGCTACTGATGTCAACAAATCTCCTGTAGGCTGTCAGAGAACAGATGAAGACAATGGGAAACCTTGCTGGGGTTCCAATCGAGCCAGACGAACAGACTCGTCTGCTGAATAAATGCATGGAACTACCTGGAGTCATCGGTGGAGGAGTTCCGGGTGGTAAGCACATTACGCCAATCACGAGTGGGAACTGACTTATTCAAGCGGGGGGTTATGATGCCATTTGGCTTCTCGTCCTTGAACCAAACCCTGGTGCATCAGATTCTCCTGTGCATGCAATCGAAAGACTTTGGTCGGAGTATATGGAGATGACCGTGTCACCACTCCTTGCTGAGGAAAGCCATGATCGTGGGGTAAAAGTGGAGAGCATGGAAAGGGTTGCTGGGCTACGAGATGCGATTCGACGGGACTGAGGGTGGCGATTCTTCGCGCTTTTGTACCCTACCACAATCTCACCTTTCTGAAGAAACTTGGCTTAGCCATAAATAAGCTGTCTTGAACCTTTCGTATTCGATTTGTAATTCTCGAGATGTCAGGATCCAAGCAACCTATCGAGATTATCGAGCTCTCTGACGACTCGGACGACGGCCAAGAAACACCGCTAGTGAAACATCTAAGAAAGGAGCTAGCTGCTTCAAGAAAGGCATGTTTCAGTCATTCGTCGCTTCTTCTTCACGATCACTGATTGCACCAACCTAGGCCACCAAGATTGCACAAGAGGTAAACTCAAATCATAATTCCCTTCAATACTTCTGCTGATATCATACGGAATAGGATAAGGCGAAGCTTCAAAAAGAGCTCGCCGACGCAAAGAGAGATCTCCAGACTGTCAATTCGACAGCCGCCCAGGCAGACACCTCGCATGAAGAGATCGCTCGTATTCTGAATCAAGTGTGTCCTTTTCTGACCTTCATGGCGTCTCTACTAACCAGCGGCCAGGAACTGACAGACGTGACGGCGGCCTTGAACGAGGCTCATCAGGTCAATGCACGACTCAAAGAGGTTTGTGGTGCCGGGGAAAGAAACATACTTATTACAAATAGACGTTTATGGCACTTTGGAAATCTTGCGAATGCGCCGTATGCTTTGAGCCCATCTGGTCGCCGATGGTGTAAGCCAATTTACTTGCCCGGACGAAGTTGACATGTTAAAGGTATCTCTGTGGTCATATTATATGTCAAAACTGCAGTCGTGTTGCGACCTGTGCACATTGTCGAGCACCGACGCGGGGCGTGGCCATCAAGCTCTTTGCTTTCCACGACATTGTTCGAACGCTTGCCCCACTGGCTGCCCCCGGAGAAGCGAGTCCTCAACGTTCACGCTAAATCATCCTTTCTGGCTCTCTGTCCCATCATTCATTCCGCATCGGGACTTGTATTGCATTGTATTACTAATCCACTTGCTCGACCGAGATGACGCCCGATGGAACCCATAGCTTAAGCTCTACCACGACCTTCAACGATGCCTCCAAAGTCAAAGTCAGTGACTAACGCGATACAGAGGGCTGCAGGGGCCGTTAAACCCAAGAGCTCACCCCGCAAAGCCGCGAAACGAAAGGCCCCCAGCTCGGACGACGACTCGGGATCCGACTTTGAAGTTGCCACACCTTCGAAGCGAATCAGAGCATCCCGAAGCCTTGCCGTCAGTCCCGAAAAAGCACCAAAGCCGTCGAAGGATGCCGAAGTCGAAGCTTTACCAGCTCCCAAAGTGGACTGGAGCGCCGAAAGACCAGAATACTTGCCAGCTTCTTTGACCTTTTCGTATGAAGAGGCTGAGAGGCATCTCATTTCTGTAGATCACAGGTGGGCTGGCATCTTTGAACGCCTCAAATGCCGGCCTTTTGTCCAACTCGAGCGTGTGGATCCCTTTAGGTACGTTATGTCAAACCTGGAGTTCTCTTGTCTCTGAGCATTCGCCTCAGAACATTGGCAACATCAATTATGTGGGTACCAGTACTCGCGAGGTCATAAGGACAGAGTTGACATCGAGAAGAGGTCAGCAAATCTCATGGAAAGCAGCAAGATCTGTGAATTGGAAGTTTATGCGACTTTACGATGACACACTTCCGGAGACCGTGCCGCCACCAGAGTCAGTAATAGCTCACCAGAGAGTTTGGTTGCTCAAAAACATCTAGAGAGTATACAGCACCTGAAAGGTTTCCACCACCACATGTTGTCGCCGAGACGTCTCTCGCGACTCTCCGCAGTGCGGGACTTAGCGCAAGGAAGGCAGAGTACAGTGAGTGATGACACTTTGAATGACTGGGGGCTGAATTTTCCAAGTCCAGGATCTGGCTCAGCATTTCTCAGACGGTCGATTGAGTGCAGAAAAGCTTATCACTGCCTCCGATGAGGAATTGCGCGAGGCTCTCATTGCAGTCCGTGGAATCGGTCCAGTAAGTTGTATACTTGTATAGAGCTGCCCTCCTCACTCCTTTCAGTGGACTATTGACATGTTTGCAATCTTTAGTTTACGCCGTCCCAACATCCTGCCTACAGGAGACCTTGGCGTCCAAAGGTGTGTTATCTTCGTACAGAGGCAAAGAACTAACTCGATATATCTAGGGGTTTACTGCGATGGGTTCTCTCTCAGCATACGAATCCCGGGAGCCCGGTCAAGCTCAGTCGTGACAAGCTGCCAGAGGATGGCGCACCTGGAACAAAAAGACAGGAGACTCCGGAGATTATGGATGCCTCTAAAGAGCAGGACAAGGCGATCGGCTCCATGGGCCCCCCTCAGACACCAATCAAGAAGCAAGGAGCAAATGGCCAAAGCTCGGAATCCATGATACCTGAACCAATGACTCCTTCGATCAATCGCGTCCTCGCTGAACCGACACAGCCGACGCCGCTTCCTCCGGGGCTCACAGTTGCGGCGCTGAAGGCACGGCTCAACGGGAGGAACAAGGGGAAGCCACCCTGAGTCCTGATGAAATGGAGAGTCTTACAGCCAGCTGGAAGCCGTATCGGTCTCTTGGAGTGTGGTACATGTGGTCATTAGTCGACCAAGAACTGGACGAAGAGTAGATTGGGTGGTTATACAATACTTTTTTTCCTGCCATGTATTCCTGCACAGTCGCCAAAGCTACTGGGCCAAATATCTCAACCACAGTCTGTCTACAAGGTCTTTACTCGCTGTTTAAGAGATAGGAGAGGAGCTCAACGTGGTATAGGACAAGCCATGCGTGCGACTTTGGCACGAACTTGTCAGCAGCGCTCACAAGGCAAGTTATCAAGGTTTTAAACCATAGAGCGCATAGTTAACCCCCTTATTCTTTCTCCCAGTCGCCCGACGATCCACCTTCTCGACCTCGTCTCATCACAGCGTAGCAGCCGCCGACAACTCGGAATTTGCCCTAAAAAGCCGTTCTCGTTCTTCTCTGAATCATAGGGACGCCTCGGGAGAAAGACTAGACACCTTTCGACGACGAAAATTTTCTACTTCGAGTATTTCGTGCGTTCGCGTGTGCCTCAGCCATGTTAGCATACTAATCAGTGTTTAGTCAGGACTATTCGCGTGAATATCACTCCGTGTCGCACTATGTGCCGCGTCTCGAGCAAACTCTGGCACCTCGAAGGCAGGCCCTTACCGCTCGGGAGCACCGAGCGCTGGACGACATGTTTGCCTCTGTCTTGAATGCCACAAAAATGCAAGAGGTGCTCCTTGACCAAGAACCACGAGACACTCCGTCGCCGCTCGCGCCTCTTGCTCAGAAATTATCTACCAAACCACTGGCCGTCCATTGGACGCGGCCCGGAGATGATATTCTGGACTTCAAAAAGGAGGAGATTGAGTTATGCGAGAACGACCAGGCTCTCTATCAATGGGCAACAAACGAGCTCTTTGGAAGTCTGTCCACAGCAGTCGACGCCGCTTCTGGGCAAATCGTGACTACCAACGCTTCGTTACCCGAAAAACTTCCTTCCTTTGCGTATCCTCAGCTTCTCTCCCTCGTCATGCAAGCTTTCAGAACCAAGTACCGCAACCCACATACCGCACTCGCCCTTTTTGAACACGCTCGAAACGCATCCGCCACGTCCTACGTTACGTTTTGCGGTACAGCGGCATATAATGAGCTCATAGAGATCAAGTGGGAATGCTTCAAAGACTTGTTGGGGGTGTGTGAGTCGTTGGAGGAGATGAGGCTAAATAAAGTCCGTCTGGATACAAAGACGACTCGCATTGCGGATAATGTACGAAGAGAGGTTGGGGATCATACTTTCTGGCGCGAGGAAGGCTTTAGTGAGTCGCATGCCAGCGTTGCAAAAATCATCGAGAGGATTGAAGCTGCCTGCTGGCCACCGAGCACGTCGAGTGAACAGAGCAAGCGCCCTCTCAAATCCCATGCAAAGCGGAAATGGAGTCCCGACACCGATGCATGGAAGGGTGCAACTAACAAAGATCAAGACCGTCTTGATTTTGTCTAAGGTAGTATTATGTATTATATATCATATCGTCGCGTACGTAGAATAGGACTGTTTTATTCGATGAAAACTGGTGTCCGAGTTTGGGAACTCTCGGTATTCGGTGAGTAAGGTAGTGCGGCAATAGCATTGGCACGCTCTAGGAACCCGTGAAGGTCATCACGATTCTCTACAATGTCTTTGATCTGATTCGTGTCAGTAATGGGACAACCTGGGTGGTACCTGCTTACAAAACAATGCATTGACTTGTCCTTGCTTTCCAAGTCCAACGAGGTCTCAGAGGTAGCCTCGATATATTGTGAGTATGTATTAAACGAATCTTCCCACCCGTTTGTCTGGCTTAAGAGGGTTTCCTTGGTTTGCCTGATACTCGAGCTTGTGTCGAGAACGTAGGTCATCCCTTCATAGTCGAAGCTTTGTGGTGCGGTAGGTTGGTGATCTACCTGAAAATTTAGGCTGGTTTGATTAGTTTTATGCTATCAATGGACGGTCAACCCACAATCTCGACAACTCGGCGATGTATTCTTGAATGACTTCTGGTTCCAACTCGTCCTTGACCGGTTTTAACTCCTGGATAGTTAATCTCATATCCATATATCTAATGGGTATCAGTAATGCCTTTGGAATGGCTGCACGGACTAACCTGTCAGGAAGTAGCACGTCGACGGTCTGCTCCGAGCCAGACCGACAACGGGTAGGACCATTAGAGGGCACAATCGCAATCACCTCCTGTTCTTGTTCGTCTAGATCGTCTAGTTCCGGCGAAGATACTTCTTGGCGCATCAAAACATCGAGGACAAATACATTATTCCGTGGTATTGTTATGCGGTCTGCTGGTGGATCCGAGGGAGTGCGACCATAGTATATTGCTCGATGAACTGTTGAAACTGCAGAGGGATTTTGATGTAGTAGGGGGGATGGTTGGCTGATAAATCTCAGTACCAAGGGACAATAAACATGAATTGGTGAGCACACCTTGGTATAAAGTGACGAGATAAAGGATACTCCGCCAGGCGCTTCAGTCCATGACCCAGCGTCCAGCTTCCAGGCACAGGAGCGGTGATTTCCTTGGATAATGGAGAGAATACAATATGGCCCAAGCTGCTTCGATAAGGAACCCCGAAATCCCGCTTACTTGTTGGCATACCTAGCTGTCAATGATCGCTCGGTCCCGTCTATGATCACCGAATTGTGAATCGCCTGTTGTTCAAGATCGAAATTGGGACTAGTTACGTCAGATGTGCCATCTAGATTAACGTTGTGACTCACCTAGGTAGACCTACAAAGGTGGTAGTCACCTCTGAAGACCTGCCAGTATCATCCGAGGGTCTGGAGACTTTATGGACTCGAAAGAATCTGCTGCCACCAAGCAAAGTAGGCATAGCCTTGCTCGGAAAGAATGGAAGGAGCGCATAATCCGGATCTTGGCTCCTGGACGAGAGCTTTAAGGATTGTTGTGCGATAAGGAGATTCTTCTTCTCTCGAGATGACTAGAAAGAATAAAACGCTGCATACAATCAAATTGGTGACGAACCTGGGCTACCAACCGTTCGACGAGTCGCTGTGCTGCTTTGATGGCCGTGTCATCGAATGCAGTGAAGTGAATCTGAAGTGATCAGTAGCTTGTTTGTTCCATTTTACTTCGTACCTTTTCGTCGCTCATGGATGTCTCAATGTGGCATTTTGTCGCTTTAATGGCTGTTTGGAGCAGGGATGGGGTGAGGAGATCCCCAGTAATGATATCTGAGGACGCCGATACCAGTTCCTACAAAACATGAGCATGCATGGTTGACTTTGAGGTTACCAACTAATTCCCGCTGTGCAAGATAGGCGGCCAATCGTTCTAGGTCAGGCGTTACACCCGCTGCTTGAAGGACGGTCCCTTTTGAAGTGTCGAGGGACAGATTCAACTTGAATCTCTTCTCCAATTTCGGAAAGACATGTGGGTCTAAAAGATCATGAGTCCGGTAAACAAACCAGGTGCTACGCACCCTCTACGAGAAGGAGCAGCACGAGGGATGTCGATACCGGAATTTCTAGACAGAGTTTAAGCATAAAACGAGACATCTCAAGAGCTACTGACCAGCGATAACCTTCTCTGTTTCCTCCTTGTGCCTCTTTGCAACGTCTTCTGGGAGCGGCCATTCCCACACCCGATCCAATAAAATCTCCACCAGTTCCCGTGAAGTCATCGGTATTTTACCTTCATAACCAGAGAGATTGACCAACTCGATTAATTGCGAGCTTTGGAACGCGCGAATTATGCGTTTTGTTGCCTGGTCGTATTCCTGCCTATAGCCTACAGATTGCGGACCTGCAGACGAAACTGGCTTCATGTTTTCAAAGTCCTGAAGGCTAGGTCCTTGCTTTGCACGAACATCCAGGTCTTGTAAGAAGGCTTCTATACGGCTCTTATATGGCTTTGGAGGGTTTGGAGGCTGTCAATGAACATTGGTAAGACAATGATATATCTTGAGAGCCGATACTTGCTGTTTCTTCTGTCGCTGGTACTTTCGCTGCCTTTGCTTCTGCAGAGACAGCTTTTTTGGCTCGCGAACGTGCATTGTTCGCGGTTGTGGTGGATGCGTATGTCCTAAGTCCGGAGTACATACAGAATATGCACACCTTTTTGCGTGTCACGCGTGCCAGCGGCAACATTGAAAACAAGGATGTCGAGGTTGGAGACGAAGAGATGACAGCCATCCATTGAGAGAGAGAGAGAAATTTATCTTGTCCTCGCTAGCAGGTACTACATGGAACCAAGACGCGATCTAAACAGACATGGGGCCATTATTCGAGTTTTGATAGTGTGTGAAGCTAGGGTACACTCTGGCGTCCAGGTGGTGGTTGCAGACCGGGATGTATTGTTTGTGGTGACCTCTATAGTATGGTACTAACAGCCATCCATTGAACCGAACCCGAAACAAGATACCTGTATTCCAGCTACACAATTCATGACAATAAAGACGTAATATCCAAAGGGTGAGCTATTTAATCATCTTCATCGCTGACCTCTCCAATCTCGCTCAAGTACTTGTCGATGGCTTCCTTCATGAGTCTTATCAGATTATCTCTGTCCCAGTCACTTCTATGGCCCCATACGAGGTTCAAGCAAAGGGCCCTCAGAGCTTCGAGCTGTTCTACGTCGAGGTTAGCTGTCTTCTGAACCAACATAGATTGTAGCTGGCCAAGTTGCTCCGTCGACACGTTGAATTGAGGAGGAGTGGATACTCCGGGACTAGGAGAGCGTGAAATCGCACGGATAACTTGCTGCGTCAGACCAGACGGCGCAATATCTTTGGTAGGAGCTAGGGAGGAGTTTGAAGAGCGATGTCCATTCGGAGAAGGTGATGGAGCATCGAAAGCATCTGCCATATCGGAGTCTGGAATGGAATTCCCGTTGACGGCTATCGATGGCATTTCGGGTAGGTCGAACCGCACAGCCTTTTCACCATTTGTCTCGTCAAATGGTGACGTCCTGGGGCGCTTGGAAGGGGGACCAGTGCCGTCGGAGTCGTTGGATTCGTCCATGTTCCTTGTTCTCTTGAGAGCATGCCGGTCCTCTGTTCCGTCGTTGGCCATGACGGAATCTTCCCCTCCATTCTCGACCAGTCCATTTGCGTCAGCTTTCGCCTTCTCCTCTGCTTCCTTTTTTTCTTGTGCTTCTCTCGCCTTGCGTTCCCTTTCTCTGAACCGGGCTGCCATCCTTTCCGTCTCGAGGTTGAACATAGGTTCTGTCCTCCCAACTTCCTCCTGCGCGACGCCATAGACCTTGTCAGCCCTCCTGAACATGTCCTTCGAGTCTGCATCATCCTCGCGCTTCTCCATCTCTGCATTCTCGCGCACGAGTCTGACGGCACGGAGAAACTCGGTAGAGGTACGATATCTGCCTTCCCAGATCCAATCGTGAATACGAGCCATGTCAATGTCATGAAGTCGGTTGCGGCCATAGGCGGGTGCAGGGGGCGCGCCCTCAGCAGGTACAACGGTGGCTTCATTAGCAGGATCGGCCTCGGTTGGCTCTTTGGGTGGCAGAAGACGCGGCTTGCCCCACCAGATGCCATCTTCAGTCTGAATATCGCCGACGGTTTGACCAATCGTGGCCCTACAGAACTTGCTATCGGCTTTGCGACATTGAGCGTAAATACTATTGAGGTGACTCTTGAGCTTGTAGAACAAGACCGTGTCCTGCTGCTCTTGAGCAGCAAGTTCGGCCGCAGACGGCTCGCGGGGTGGCAGAGGTGGAGCGACAGGCAAAGCCTCTAGAACACGCCGACGACGTTTTACTGCGTCTGGGAATTGAGACGGTGGTTTCTTGACATAGTCGATCAGCTCTTGGAAGAATGCTGCGCGCCTCTCCTCATTCGGTGCCGTAAAGCAGACACGAGAGCCGCTGGTCTTCCCAAACCATGCGCGGACATCTCGGGGAAGATCTTTGACGGAGCCAGTTAGGATGGCCAGGAGGAGGATAGGCTCATGTGGCTCCAAGGATTCCAGAGAGTCTGCGATCAGTGCTCGGCAGGTTTCTGGTAGTGAACCGCACAACGCCAATAGAGATGGGATATAGATGATCGACGGCGCATGTCGCTTGGCTTCGATAAAGAGCTGAACAACGGCAGCTTCAGGAGTCTTGGGATTGTTAGAAAGGATACAATAGTCCCAATAGGCTTACCCTGGCAGAGTCTCCCGTCAAGGTTCCAAGGTCGAAACTCTGAATGCTATAACCTTCAAGATGATGCAGAGCTGCTGCACCGACAGCACGTTGGCCCATACCAGGAGCGCCGTAAAGAAGCAGCCTGGGTCGATTAACACGCTGCGACTCTAGTGTCTGTAGCATCATTTCACGCTCAAACGCTCCTGCTTCTCCATCCGGATGATCCTCCTCCCATTGTGCTTCCTCTAGAGGGGAACGCTTCTTCGACTTGGGGAGGTTTCTGTCCAGCGCGCTCTTGACCTCATTTAGAGCGCCTTCGAGCAATGGCTCGAGCTGTTGGGGGAGAGGTGCTGCTGCGGATGCAGTGGAACGCGCCGAGGATGGAATGACTTCTTTCACCGAGATCATAAAGTCTCTAGCTTGTACTTCAATTTTGCTGTGATCAAGCAAGAGTCGTTCGCTCGACTGATAGATCTGTGGATATTGTCGCTGAATGGCATTGAGAGCTGCCTCTGTGCACAATGCCTAGAAAACAGGATTGAGTATCATTGAGATCGAGTTGAGTAAGAATTTACCCTGAGATCCGCTCCTCCATACCCCTTGGTGAGCTTTGCTAAGCGCTTCCTCGACTCTTCTCCCTTTTCACCCTTCCAGTTCTCCCAGTGTTTGGTCATGATTTCGAGTATCTTGAGTCGAGCATCAAAGTTGGGCAATGGGAAGTAGAACTCGCGGTCAAAACGACCAGGTCGTCTAAGAGCTGGGTCGATTGCATCCGGTCGATTCGTGGCCCCAATAACAATCACTTGTCCACGACCATCCATACCGTCCATAAGCGCCAGGAGGGTCGAGACAATACTCGCATGGATCTGGTCTTGCTTCGAACTCCGCACAGGTGCGAGACCGTCGATTTCGTCAAAGAAAATGATGCTAGGCTGAACCTTCTTTGCTTCCTCGAACAGGAGTCGCAGCTGTCGCTCGGCTTCTCCCACCCATTTCGAGAGACAATCCGCCCCTTTACGCATGAAGAACGCTAGAAGGAGTGAGAAGAACTGACGGAGTCTGTGGCTTCTGAGGACTTACAGACACTGCGGCCCTCACTACGGCAGCTAGCCGCAAGTGCACGTGCAACGAGTGTCTTTCCCGTTCCCGGAGGTCCATGGAACAGTACACCCCTCGGCGGTGTAACCCCGATACTTTGGAACATGTCGGGATAAAGGAGAGGCAGTAGCGTCATCTCCTTTAGCTTCGAAACGTCTAGGAAATATGAGAAGATGTTTATGGTAAGCCAAGCGACCTACGCTCATCCAAACCGCCTACGTCGTCGAAAGATACATTGACATTCACCCCCAATGGATCCGCATCGGCAAGACCTACGAATATCAGACCCCGTTTGCGCGTCCGGTAGACTTCAGCTCACCTGCTTCGCCGATTCTTCCAAGATTCGATGGGGTACCAGCGAGATCAAGTGGTAAACCTGCCCCACCGGCCAGCATTCCTCCATTTCCCGGCATGCCGGGAGGGAGACCAGCCTTGTGCGGTGTTTTCATGGCGTCGCTGTCAGAATCGCTTTGACCGGGCAACGGGCCCCAGGCGTTTTCATAGTCCTTTCCAGTCCAGTTCATCTTTGTCTTTTTGGTCTTTGACTTCTTTTTCACAGCTACACCGTTTTGCTCCATCTTCTCAAAGGCCGCAATCTCATTGTAGTTGGTAGGTTGTCCCTGTCTTGAGCGGAAACCATATGTCTTTGGTCCACCCGGATCGAGATCTTCTTCTTCTTCAGACGGTGGTAACGAGGGTGAGGTTCGTTGAGCGTCGGACGCGTCGGAGGTTTCTGCCTCGTCATCGTCGTCGATATAATCCGCTTCCGAGTCGTCATTTGAGCGCTTCTTGTGCGAGCTCCGCTTTTTCGAGCTTTTGCTAGACTTGTTTCCCGACTGAGGGCGATGCTCGCTGAGCTTGGTTGCCTTTGCCCTCGTTAAACGACCAGGGCGGTCTCCAAACGACTGATCTTCGTCGTCTACTGCCTTATCGTCTTCGTCATCCGAGGCAATGAAATCATCATTCCCTCGACGCTTCAGACGCCGCTTTTGCGGCTTCGCTTCACCATCCTCGTCGTCACTACTTTCAATAAAATGAAGACGCTTTGTTACTCGCCCTCTTTTTGTGACGACGACTTCTTCCTCGTCTTCCTCGTTGGGATCGTTGTTGGCGGATGCGGGCTGAGCTGGAACGACGCCTCCATTCGTCGATGCCTCGTATTTCATAGCAACAGCTTGTACCTGCTGTTGACTCTGACTGACAGTCTGTTCAGCGTACGTGCTGTGAGATTCATAGTATTGCGTCGTTGTCGAAGCCTGTGGATGGGAGCCCATCATCCCATAGGTCAGATCGTCCTGATTGGGATCATATCCATCTACGGGCTCTTCTTTATAGTTTACACGCGGTGCTCGGCTCGTCCGTTGGGCGGAGGGAGCAGCGGCGGGCATGGGCTGGCCATAGTTGGCGTTGCTCCTCGTAGGACGCGTTCGTGACGAGTTGTCTGCCATTGGTTGCCCGTAGACATTTTGATGATGTGCAAAAGCTGGGTCGACGGCGAGACCTCGCGAGTTGGCGCGTGTGTGCATCGAGTCTGGCGGCGGCTGGCCCTGTTGAATGTAGGGATATGATTGAGGAGCAGCCTGTGGATACGCGTGATACTGATTTGGAGGAAGTCCGGAGACTGGCGGCTGTCCTGGATACGAAACTTGGTGAGGATGGACCTGGGGCTGGATGTACTGCTCGTGGGTCGAAGGATGAGGATAGTAGCCAGTAGGGTACGACTGAGGCGGCTGGTTTCCCCAGTCTTCAGACATCAGCGACAAATGGCAGCAGACTAAGATGCAAAACGGCGTGGTCAGAGGGCGCAACGGCTCTCTGGCCCGTCTCTGAGCAGTCAAGAAATCTCCCAAAAATCGCGGAAAAGATGTATTGTCAGCGATCTATCAGTTTTTACACTTTACAAACGAGCCCGCGCTGCTTCACGCGCGGGAACCGAGTGTACTCCTCTGCAGGCTGCGCTCCGAGTGCATGCAAGATTGCAAACCGAATCGACGAGATGACAGGTCTATGATGCGCTCGTTTGCTTATCTTCATGATTTCCTTGCCAGCGCGAGTCCCAACAGGGGGATCTGCGTTTTCATAACGAATTGGGAGGGATCCAAGGTGCGAATCTGCGTCTTTCCTGCAACGCGGACGTTGGCCAAGTGATAACACACTTCAAAGGCGGCGAGCAAGAACAGTCGTAAAAATAAACATAAAATCATAATATGTCTAGATATATTCCATTTATCCTACTCGAGCTCATAAGAGACCAGTTCCACTCACCAACTTCGACCGCGCACGCGCCGCATTGACACTGCCGTTGGGCGTTGTTCCGCACTGACCTCGAGGCTCCCAAGAGGATTACAGGCGTTTTATACAAGTCGTAATAAACCAGCGGCGCAGACGACCAGCGCGCCGTAGAGCCCAAGCTTGGACTCCGCTCTCCCCCACGAATATCCCCCAGTCACTAAGCCATGGCGTCCTCGTCGTCTCCAATCACACAAGTGTCCCAGACGCAACAGCTCCCAGTCGGTTTGCAGCCGCACTTGGTGGCCCGACTCTTGTTGGACCTTCGTGGACAGCGATTCTCTGTCGACAGGGAAACGATTATGAATCTTCCTGAATCAGTTTTGCTCTGTTTGTTCCCCAATGGTCTCGTTTTGAGCAGAAATTCGGCCGTTCTCGACGCAATAGACGACGGCGAGGACGAGGAGATTTACGGCGTAGACGTACGTTGTCCATCCGCTGGGCCCTTGAAAAAGCTGAACACGAATTTCTTCATCAGTTTGATCCACAGTGCTTCCACTATGTCCTCGACTACTTTAAGAAATCGGGCGAACAGTTCTACGGCGTTTCAGAACAGACGTCGTCGCCCTTTCAGGCTCAGCAGCAATGGATCGACTCTCAGGGGGATCCATTGATGGTCCAGCAAAATCCTCTCTTGTCCAAGCAGGCTATCATCGTCCTCCGTGAGGAACTAGAGTACTTTGCCATTCCTCCCTCGTCCGAGAGCACCGCAACAGACAAGAATGGCATTGCAAACGAACGTCTACTCGACCTCAAGAGACAATGTGGACTCAAGTTGTTGGAGAAACGCAACATCTTTACGGCGCTTCAGCGCAACGTCAACAAGGAGAATAACATGGCCGAGCAGCACTTGATTGACATGCTCTGCGTCAGGTGAGCATCCTCATCATTCCTGGGTCCTGTCGCATTCTAATTATTGGGCTAGTGGATTCGATAGAGACGACGTGTGGGGTTTCCGAGCGGTCGAACCCAATCGTTGCTGCTTGTCCTCCATCGCCCTCGTCCAGCTCAAGACCGGAATCACCCACGAAGCCCCAACGGATGCAAATCCAACTGGTGTCGTGGTCGATCAAACGCAAATGACCACGGCCCAAAAGCTCTTGTTGTTCTGGCGCAAGCCGGCTGTACGTAGTGCTGACTCGGGACGCGACCTATTCTAACTTTCGCATAGCGCAAATGCTGGTGGGATGGTATCGAGGTCGATCTTGGCACTGCAGATGCACCAAGGGTTGTCAAGCTTTGGGCCAGGCGTGTGTGGACCCTGGAGCTTAGTCTGGTACGTTTCCAATAGGCATTGCCCCTATATAAGTAAGCTTACACTCTGCAGATATAGTTCCGCGGCCAAATGTCGCTTTCTATCGACCTCTTACGATCAGCTATGACTGTAGTGCCTTCGGACTTTCTTACAGATGGAGGCCTTCCTCGAGTCGAGAGACATATATTTGCCCGTGATTCCTTTCATTTCCGCACAAAATTCTGCAGTGCTCTTGTATTTCTGCTTGAATGGATGCACGTTACAGATGATGCGACAGAGGCTAAGCGTCTTGGACTCCTCGTCGTTGAACACCGCGCCAAACACGTATTAAATCTCGGCGCGAATCAACACGCGTTAATAGTATAAAGCCCTTGTCGTCGCGGATTGAGCCGTCGAACGTTGGACGGGACTCATCGTCGACGCATATGGCACAACAAGCGGATCTCAAGGCGACACATTACACCCATCAACTGCAAAATGCTCTTACACGCGGTCTCTGGGCAGATCCCTCGCCTGCACTGGCCGTCAAGGGCGAGCCGATGACATGGAGCGAACTTTTACGAAAGTATAAAAAGCACTGCGTTTCGCAGCACAGTAAGCATTCTATATGCTCTATAATGCATGGAATTGCTCATTAAATCTCAAAAGTCACTGCAGAAATAGCTTTACAGACCCAGAGTCTGTCTCTGCTATTGCTCCCCGATCCAGTAGACGCCAAACGCATCACACAAGAAGACCTAGATGGCGACTCCGAGGAACCGCATGGGTCCATGTCACTTGGGACGGAATGCGAGTTGTCTCCTTCCCGCATTGACGATGCTCGGCTCGGTTTTGCCGCACTCGAGCTCCTGAATGATACACCAAACGAGAGAGACGTGAGTGAAACCGCACACAACCCATATACTTATGTAATCTTGTATAGTCTACATTATTCACCCGAGCGTATTTTGCATATGCTCTGAAGCGCTACAAGGAGTGCCTTGCTCTCCTTAATCCGATGAGCTTTGATGAAGACGTGCCGGAGCCAGCGTCGGCTACCAAATCTACGAGACTCCAAGTACCCAGCGAAGGGTCGACAGGATCGACAGGCACACATCTCACTTGGACTGGGAGTATTGCAAGTGTGGATGTGGACGTTCGAGATGCGAAAATGTGGAGACTGGTGGAAATCATTCGCGGAAGGTGCCTCCAAGGCTCGTTCAAATCTCACTGACCACACCTTTGTCTCACACTTCTCTCTAGGCATGGCTATGGAAAAGCTGGGTCATGCGGAAGAGGCCTTGAGCGTATACGAAGCAGCGCTTCCAATCTTACAATCCCTTCGACTTCCCCACACTCCGGCCTCTCAAAACGACGCTGTTGACCCATCCTTTATCAAGTATCGCGAACTGTGGAGGTGGGCGGAGCGTTTGCTCTGGCGTGCAAGTTGCCTTGTTTCGCGCTTTGCACCAATAGACCGCGCCCTCACAGTGTTTCGCGTTTACTCAAATCATGCACAGTACTATCCTCCAACGTTCCGACCAAACCATCGATCCATCGTTTCATCCCTTTATCTATATGCATTGCTGCTGACCTATCCGGGCTCTGAGCAAGCGATTCCCGGCGTAACTCGACTCTCATGGATTACAGAGGCCAGAACGCTACTCGGGGAGTACCGACTCGTTCTCGCTCAGAGCACCGTCTTCCCGAGAGCTGGTGATCGGAATATCAAAGTAGAGGAATACTGTGACGGTGTCATGGCTGTATGGGAACGCGCTGGTGCGAATGGAAAAGAAGCTCAATGGGCCATAGAGGCAAGTGACTAAATATAACAGTTTGAGATGCCTGACGGCGATTTAACAGATCCTATGGTGGGCGACTCGAATGACGTTCCACTCTCACAGGATATTTCGACATCTCGTTCGATTGATACATGCAAACGGCGACAATGAACTGGCAAAGCGAACGATGGCACTCTATGCTCAGCTGGTCACAAAGTCGCGCCAAGCATCTATGGGCGAGGTCGAGTCGACTATCCGTCGACGAAGAACATTGGACAATTTGGACAACGATACAGTCGTAATGGGGGATGTCGAAACTATTGAAGATTCAATTGGATCAGACAGTGACCGTCAATTTGTCGAGTGTCTGATCTTTGGAGCAAGGATGCTCTGCAGACTTCCAGGGGATGTGGAAGATATAAAGACTGCAAGCAATTATCTTGCCAGTGCTCGGGATATTGTTTCACAAAGCACAAGTCTTGGAACAGATAACGTTTTGAGGGCACGTCTTTCTTGTGCGGAAGGGGTTGCCGAGTTGACACTGGCACATAGAGGTCAGCCTCTATTGACACGAGGCCCTAGAAGGCTAATTCGCCTCCATTGCAGATGCTGATCCAATTACACGACCTGTTCTTATGCGAAGTGCTCTGAACCACCTTGGCTCAGCTGTTCAGCTGAACCCAGCCTCTCCCGACGCGTACTATCACCTAGCGATAGCGTTGATACAAGCTGGACCTACTCGAGACGTTGAAGCCTCGGTACAAGCCGCGCAACATGCCGTCGAATTAGATGCGTCCGATATCCGGTACTGGCACCTGCTAGGCCTTGTTTTGTCCGCAAGTGGACAACACGCTCAAGCCCGCAAGGTTCTCATCATTGGTGAAGAACTCGAGTTGGACGGGGATGCTGAAGGTACTGTTGAAGAACCCACAGTAGCCACCACTTCAGACTCGGTCCTTGGAGAAAGTCAATCAGCTTCGCCTACTCAACCTGAAACATTAATCCCTGTTCATCAAAAGCACTGCCCGACACCGTCAAAGATGTTATTACCGCCTCTAGATCATCCACAGCCCAGCAAGGAGGATCTCTTTGAACACGGACTACAACTGCGAATGACGCTTCTGTCCCTCATTGAGCTCGTCGATGGTGCCGAGGTGGCAAGCGTCAAATGGGTAGAGGTGTTTGCCTGGTTTGCAGAACGAGGGGGATGGGCGCAGCCCAACGAAGAAAGTACGATGCGTCTACATTCTGTGTTAGTTTCTCTGACTGAGAGGCAGGGCGTGCATCCTTTGACCTACCTCCAATCAACACCATTCCGCCTTCTGATTCGGGTCATGAAAGTAATGAAGACGACCCCTATCCACAGCGTACTCGGTCTGCTTCAGTCAGTGATGTATCAACCAGCGGTCTGCCTATCACTGTGGTTCCTCCACAGCCGAAGGACCAGGGAGATTCGGACTCCGTCCATACAGTGCGGCTGTCGAGTGAAAAGGATGAAGAACAGAGTATCTCGCGGACGAAAAAAGCACAAAGAATAATAAAAGAGCAAGTCAATAAACGGCAGTCCCAGATCCAGACAATATCCAAGAAGCTTGGTCGAAGCAATACGTTACGGTCTCAGATGTCTCGAGCGAGTTCAACTCCAGGTAAGCTCTGTCTATAGCCTTATCAGGTAGATTCTTATTCGTTCAAGATATTACGTTGCTGGCCGAAAACAGTCGTCTGTATCAAGCTTCATCCATTCATTCAAGACAACGGATGTCACCAAGGGCCTCCTATATCAATACTTCTCAATCACCTCCGCCTCGGACCCCGCCAGCACCTGCCCTTGCGGATATTGTCGAGCAGCGGTCGGCTAGGGAAAAGCGCCTGATCTGTGAGCTTTGGCTGACATCTGCGGCGACATTCCGAAGGATGGGAAAGCTGGAACAAGCTCGCGAGGCCGTTCAAGAGGCAGAAGGACTAGACGAGGGTCACCCTGGTGTCTGGGTTCAGGTAATTTATATAACGCCCATCCGGACCACTCACTCAATTTTTTTTTAGTTGGGATTGTATTTTGTGGCAAACGGGGAGTCGTCGAAAGCTAGATCGGCATTTCACAAGGCTCTGGTGATCAATCCGGACTACATTCCCGCAGTAGTTCATCTCGCGCAGCAATATCTTAAGCCAGTTGCGGGGCAGACAGTGCCTGCCTTGGTAAGCGAGGAAACAGAATCGGCAAGAGGAATGGTAGATTTGGCGGCGGGTATGCTATCATCCTTTACCAAGGGACCCGGCTGGGATGTTCCGGAAGCATGGTACCTCCTTGCAAACGCAGTCTCGTTACAGGGTCGGAAGGAACGAGAGAGGGAATGCCTGACGTACGCCCTTGGCTTGATAGAGGGTAAGCCTATACGGGACATTCGCATTGCTCTTGATTGTGCGTTATGATACACCACGTTTATTACACTGTTTCTGCTTTATCGCTAGTCGTGCTGCTGGCCCGTCACCTGTGAGTGGTTGATCAACTTGTTCCACACCATGTCCACAACATCTCACCCATTGGATCCACTAACTCCTCAAGAGGTTAATGCTACGCAGATACGACATCAAGTTCAAGAGTGCTGACAGTCTCTAGATTTCCAGTATCAGTCGCGCGATCCGGCTGGAGCTGGTTAAAGATGGTGTTCAAGCCTTCAAATTCATTCAAGCGAACCTGGTCCTACCAAAGAAGTCAGATGTTCTAACGGCCGTAGGCCTTATGAAGCCTCTAGGCATCTTCCCCAAGGATCAGTCCGTATTACAACGGTCTGCTGAAGTCGACGTACGTTTCACTGGCTTTTCGAGTCGTTTTTCCTGATGTACTTTAGTTTATCAATCCCATTGACGGGTGAGCAGCGTTTCGCTTAGTCTCAGCGGCTCTGATATCGTAGATTGACGCACAACGTCATCTTGAATTGGGACGGGGCTGCCTGGAATGTAAAGGAACATAAAGTACTGCCTGAAGGAGTTCACCCACAGGTATGATGCAAGTAGTCAGAAGTTCTCACTAATGAGCGGGCTGATTTCAGATCACCCCAGAAGAGTTGAATGAAGCGGATGAGGCAGTCAGACGTAACCCAGAAGTCATCAAGCTTGCTGCAGAAATCGGCACGTCGTTCGCAATCGCTAATGTTTGTTCTGACATTCCGTGAAGGTGTCACCGCGGAGCAGTTACATGCCGATGGATGGTCAATCGGTTACGATGATCGGTTCCCTGCAAAGAGAAGGCTGCAACAATGTCTTCTCTTTGCAAGATATGAACCCCACGAAAACCTGTATAGCCACCCGCTTGATTTCTTCCCAGTACTGGATTCCAACACATTCGAAGTCGTCCATGTCGACTTTGCGGCGCATCGAACTAAGTCTGATAACAAGTTATCTGCCTCCACTACCAAGCCGTTGGAGCTCGCGGCGGATAATTTCGATGCATGTGGCCGAGCACGTATTCCACCGCCAACAAAGCGGTTTGAATACTTGCCGGACCGTACGGGCCTCAAGCTGAGAGACGACTTGAAGCCCCTTCACATTCTCCAGCCGGAAGGCCCCAGCTTCAAGGTCAACGGTCACATTGTTGAATGGCAAAAATGGAAAATGCATGTTGGTAGGTCTGTATCATTCTCAGTGGACTTTGGAATAAATTATTGTAGCCTTCAGCACTCGTGAAGGGATTGCCATCTCAACGGTCTCCTACAATGACAACGGGAATGTTAGGCCCCTATTCTACAGGCTTTCTCTTGTCGAAATGGTGGTTCCCTATGCAGAGACTGCAGCTCCTCACGCACGCAAGGTAGACGCAGTTCTTTGGCTTAAAATTAGCTGACACCCCTGAAGTTTGCATTCGACGTCGGGGAGTATGGCATGGGTACTCAGGGGAATGACCTCTCTCTTGGTTGTGATTGCCTGGGAATGATACACTACATGGTATGTATTGCGACAATTTTATACCTGCTTGCTGAATACAAGATCCAGCCTGGTAGTTATATGGGCCACTCCGGAGAACCAATCACCATCAACCGTGCAATTTGTATCCATGAGGAAGAGTAAGTCGGGATATTCACAACTACGTCTTGCTAAGAGTATAGCGATGGACTCCTTTGGAAGCACACCGACTTTCGACCGGGGGGACGTGCGCACTCCGTACGGAGTCGACGACTCGTAATCTCCATGATTGCGACTGTCGCTAATTACGAGTATGCATTCTATGTCTATATTTATCAGGACGGTAGGTGCATTTCCTATCCATCTCGCCTTCTGACACTATCGAAAGGCTCGGTCTCATTTGCGATTCGACTCACCGGCATCCTCAACGTCTACGTTCTTGCTCCCGGAGAATCATCTGCTCCGTTTGGGACTACGATCGCACCACAGATCAACGCACATTACCATCAACACATATTCTCTTTTCGGATCGACCCGTGCATTGACGGCTTGAGAAATACGGTGCTTGAGACAGATATTGTACCACTGGAGGCACCCACGGGCTCTTCAGACAACTGGGCCGGGAATGGCTTTACGACCGATGAGCGAGTGGTGAAGACGGCCAAAGAAGGAGGGCGATCATATGACTTTGAGAAGGATAGAAGGTGGACCATTGTCAACACCTCAAAGACTCATTATGCCAGTGGAAAACCGGTCGGTTACGGTATCATGGTTCGCGGAGCCTGCACAACCCTCATGGCCAAAGAGGACTCTTGGATCGGAAGAAGAGCCAAATTTGCCACCAAATCTCTTTGGGTCGTTAAGGATGACGAAAACGACCCCCGAATGTGGCCCGCTGGCAAATATGTGCCACAAACGAGGGAGCATCCTGCAGACTCAGTGGGATATTGGTGCAGCGGAAGTGATAGCCTCGAGAATGAAGACATTGTAGTCTTCCTCACGATGGGAATTAATCATATCCCCCATCCTGAGCAGTGGCCGGTGTAAGTGGGCTTTTAACCAATTCAGTATGATTACTCATTTGTTGGATAGCATGCCCGTGGAGAAGCTTGAAGTCTCGCTCAAACCCATCAACTTCTTTGATCAGAATCCTGCTCTCGACGTACCGTCGGCTCCTGATCCAAAGAGTGTACTCGCGTTTGCTGGGCAACACGGTAACGAAACGCAAGGAGCACCAGGAGGGACAGGATCATGCTGCTCTTGAACAATGGTATAGACCGTAAAATTGTGAATAAGATGGTATATTACACAAGTTGCTTTCTCTCAGGCCAAAACTCTGCCGTGAGTCGTCGGTGGTATTGAAGTAGGTTGTCATGTCGATAGACTTCCTCAATTATATGAGGTGCTAATCTAGTGATTGATCAGTGCTTGATGGCGCAAAACGTTGAGTTCGTACTGTGGAAATCGAAGGTTCGCGCTGAGGAAACCATGCACGGATGCGTCGATACGAGTTGGTGTAGATTTTCCAAAAATGTATCCGGTGGAAGGAACGAAGGCGCTCAATGCGTCAATCTCCTTTTTGACCTTCGTACGGCGTTCCTCGTCTGAGAGTCTAGCGTAACCCGTCGCGTAGAAGCGACTTCTTGTCTAAATGTGGTTAATAAGAATTCCGCTTATTTTTATTGAAAGCTCACTGGACGATAGACAAACCAATATGCGACTGGACGGCGCACCATGGCTGGAATATCTGCGAGATACAGATCGCGGGTCTCGTACCAATTGTCGATCCATCTTTCATAGCCCATTGCCTCTACCAGATTTGTCTCAACTAGGGCTCGTAGCGCGACAGTGACAGCTTGCTCCTTGTCGGTAAGGAGGGCTCTGCGGTCAAGGCAGTCAATGAAGCCTTTAGAGACACAAGTGTCGTAAGCAAGCTCTGAATCGGGCACGATTTCATCGTTTATTTTCAGAACCGGAAGTAATTTCCGAGGCACTTTCATGATATCTCCGTGCTCGAGTTGCAACGGGTGGCCAGAGAATCGGAGAAGGGCCTCCAGCTTATTGACAAAGGGAGACTGTTGTTTAGTCATTCAGTGAACTGGAGTACCTCGGACCGGTACGTACACTGCAGAACTCATTGAGGTCAGCCTCGAACCTCAAGAGTGAGACTTGGTTGGTACTGTCTATGGGCCTAGAGGAGTCCATGATTACTTGAAGGCCTGTACTGTTGACTTTGGGCCTTTTATTTGAGTCCAGGGTCGGATCGCAGTAGTCCCAAGACTCGCAGCAGATGCCTTCCACGTAGACTGATGACAGAAAACTCGGGCCCGAGCTGCGGGGATGAATAATCTCCGAATCGAATTCAATGTGCTTCAAGGGCGGATGGCGCAGTTTTTGACAATAACGTAATGCAGTCTGTCACAGCTAAGATACAAACCATTATGCTTGGGCAAGGCAGGCAGCTTCCAGGGCCTATGATCCAAAAATGAACTTTGTCAGCTTCGATCGATCCTCAAGGTGAATCTTCTTCCTTTACCATGTTGCTGCGTCCGCATTGACCCTTCGTCCTGCCCCTCTCCTCCCGACCTAAAGGGTTATCCGCATATGATGAATTACAAAGGGGCAACACGTAGGTAAATAGGACCGTGCTCAGTGCTATTGGCGGCAAATAACAGAAATCATCCATTACATAGTATACTACGCTAGTTGCTTTCTCTCGGGCCAGAACTCTGCCGTGATTCTCCGGTAATATTGAATCAGGTTATCGTGTCGATATATTTCCTCGATTAAACGAGGCACTAGCCTATTCAAGACTGGTCAGTGTGTGTCGCACAAAAATGGAGTAGATTCGTACTGTCCGCAACGAAGATTAGCACTGAGAAAACCGTGCACGCATGCGTCGATGCGAGTTGGTGCAGATTTTCCAAGAATGTATCCGGTGGAAGGAACGAAGGCGCTTAATGCGTCAATCTCCTTTTTGACCTTGGTGCGTCGTTCTTCATCTGACAGTCTGGCGTATCCTGTCCCGTAGAAGCGGCTCATAGTCTAAAGAAAGGTCAGCGAGGGCGCCGTCTGATCTTCTAGCAAAAGCTTACTGGACGATAGACCAGCCAATATGCGACTGGAGGGCGTACCATAGCAGGAATGTCGACAAGGTACAAATCGCGAGTCTCATACCAATGTTCAATCCACCTTTCATAGCTCATCGCCTCTACTAAGTTTGTCTCGACCAGTGCTCGAATCGCGACGGTGATAGCTTGCTCCTTGTCAGTAAGGTGCACTTTGTAGTCGAGGCATTCAGCGATGCCTCTCACGACGCAAGTGTCATAGGCGAACTCTGAATCCGGTACAATCTCCTCGTCGATCTTGAGAGCTGGAAGCAGTTTCCGGGGCATTTTCATGATATCGCCGCGCTCGACTTGCACCGGATAACCAGAGAATTTGAGAAGGGCTTCTAGTTTATTAACAAATGGGGACTAATAGGGAGTCGGTCAGTGAGCACGACAGGGGAGTGTTCCTGGTCGAAGTACATACGCTGCAGAACTCATTAGGGTCTGCTGCAAACCGCAAGACAGAGAGTTTTTTGGCATTATTGGCATGTTTGGAAGAGTCCATGGTGAGCTGGGGGGGGCCATGTCGCCAACGCTAAGCTTTTATCTGACTCCAGGGGCAGCCGCACTCCTTCCAAGCAAGGCTCGCGAGAGGTTTTCCCGTGGCCGATAACAGCAACCTCAGATATGGGTAGCAGTGCACCAATATTTCCGAATCGAATTGAATACCCTTCGAATGCAGACGGCCAATAAGTCCTTGACAGGATGTCAGTGCAGCTGAGAGCATTGCGACGTACAAAGCGCTGTAGCCAAATTAATAAACTATCCGCGGATCGGTAGTGAACCCTGCGCTACCTCTCGTCGATATTGTGGCAAGCGCCTACCTTCTTCCCATACCACGATGGTGAGCCCTGATTCTGTCTTATTGTTCGGCCACTCATCGGTCTTTCTAGAGCGAATACTGGGTCTCGAACAAAAAATACTTTTGTAAATACTGCGAAATCTTCATTGCCGACGACGCACCGTCGCGCACTCAACACGAAAATGGGTTACGACACAAGGGCAAGAAGGAGCAGTTTATTCGCAACTTGTACAAGTCAGGAGAGAAGAAAAAGCGCGAGCAAGAGGAGGAACGAAAGGAAATGGCGCGGATAGAGCTGGTAAGCATCTTACTCACCCTTTCGCTGGTCGTTTCTGACTCGTGGACAGGCGGCACAAGCGTCGTTTGCTGGTGATGTTCAGTCGGGTCGTGCCAAAGGATCTACCTCGAGTTACACCGCACTTCCAAAACCCTCAGCTCCAAAGCCTGCCGTCAAGTCGGGGCCATCCATGGCCAACTATACGACTGCAAGAGACCTTGGTATAGCTCAAGAAGAGGAGGAGAAGATGGCAAAGGCAATCGCAATGGCACAAAGTCAGGGCGTCGTTGGCCAATGGGAAGTCGTCGAAACGACTACTCCCACCGCGTCTGCGCTACCTCAGAAGAGACCCCTTGAAGACGACGAAGACGAGGAGGGTGAAGGATACCGTGTGCGAAGAAAGAAGCTCGCGGAAGGACTAGGGGAGATCTATGACCCGGGTGTGATCACCTTGATCCCGAAAAAGCAGCCAGAGAATGAAATCGAGGCTCCAACTGTGCAATCAGAGAAAGAGCCAAAGGTACCAGCGCCGCTCAAGTGGTCAACGAAACGATGGAAGACCGGAGATGCAGATCCAGATGTGGACGCGACAAGTGACAATGAACAGCCGACTCAACTCAATGAGGTCGTTGAGACACAGAGTGCGGATGCCCTTACGGAACGTCACGTCCAAGATCCGCCGTCGCTTACAGAGGAAAAGCCGCAAGATCAGCCAAAGCCGACGGAGGAGGTTGCACCGACAAAGAGCATGTTTAAGAAGCGAAAGGGACCTTCGCAGTCAGTTGGGACCAAGACAGGGGCTCGTAAGCAGTTGTAGGATTAGAAATGGCCTAATGCATGTTCATAGTTTGGTGGCATATCAAGACGTTTGGATACAGGCCTACTAGGTGACATGCTGCCAGGATCTCGGACCCAGGAAATAGGTTGCGGTTTTTTACGATCGGGGCTTCTCCTATGCAAAGTGGTCAATTACTATAGCGCGAAGGGGCAGTCGTACGACGGACCTTCTTCTCCTTCCAGAGGGCAAGTAGGCCGACACCCGAGACTTTGACAACCTTGAATCGCACACCGGGAATATCACCCTTGGCTTTGCCGCTGCGACCGAAACCAGAGATAAGGACCTCGTCGTTTTCGTCGACAAAGTTTAGGCAACCATCGTTCTAGAATATAGTAAGTATTTATATAGTGATGGGGGGTCTCAGTGGGACGCACGGGGACGAACGCGGCCACCTTCTTGCCGTTCTTGATGAGTTGCACACGGACGCATTTTCGGATGGCGGAGTTGGGCTGTTTGGCTTCTACGCCAACCTTTTCAAGTACAATTCCTTTTGCGTGGGACGAGCCTCCTGTCGGCGAGGTTTTATAGACGTTGCCAAGTGCACGCTTCTTGTATGCTTTATCGGCCTGTGATGGCGAGGAAAAGGGGATGAAAATGACGGGAATAATACGTAGGATATTAGCAACGATATTCGTCCTGAACGGAGTGGCCATCGCACGCACCCATCGGTTCTCGCGGCGCGAGGTGCGCAACTTGCGGGCAGCTTGAAGTCCACGGGGCTTGTTGGCTGCATACAAGGTCACACTTTAGTCTAACGAGTCCATAGGCACAGCGGAGGACGCTGCTTACATCCCATTGCTAGAGGTCGGGTCGACGATTGTTTGGGACCTCGTGGCCAAACAAAGCTACGACCTCCTGCAGACGTCTTGCTGCGAGATTGAACTTTTACAGATGCTATATGATCTATGTACAACGCCTAGAAACAGGATGAGTGGGGTATCAACGGTGCAGACTGCTAGGAGACGGAGATACGGATTCTCCTGAGTCGTACGTCTACCCATTAGATATCTCAGAGCCATGATTGGCTGCTGTTTCAGTATAAGATAGTCTTGAAACATGAACGATATGGTCTCCCCGTTCAAAAACCGTTGGAGGTCTCGACGCTCTGGACTCTGCTCGAGAGGCTCGACGCCTGCCACCCTTACTTGGGGTTTCACCCTCAGCAGATGCATTAGATTGTCGTTCTGCTGGTGAATGCGGGGGACGGGGAATTGTCTTAGACTCCCCACAACGTGAACATTCATGGCGTACAATGAAACGGTGAGCGGCCGAGCCTAGGACAGTCAGATGGAGAGAGGAATACATAAAAGGATTAATACCATGAACTCGTGTCGTAGAGTGTCCCGGGGTCATGACATTGAAACAGACAGAGCATATCGTGCGCTTTACCGAAGGGTCGCTGTAACGCTGATGAGTTGACAGCTTGATAAGAGAGAGAGAGCAGAGACATCTTGACCATAGATTTGTTTCCTATTGTCTTCATGGTGCGCACATGAAAAGCAGCAAGGTCATTCAATGTTCCTTTTCGTTTGTGATGCTTGCGAGAAGTAGCTTTGTAACCCTGATCTGAAGCTTCTGGTTTGCTTCCAGATGCCTCTAACGTGCTGAAGTGTGCCGCCATTTGGTATAAAAAGCTCATCCGATGCATGAGGTCCTTATTGGGAACGCTCGAGAGATTGGATCCATCTTCCTCGTTTTGTTTCTTTCCCATTCAGTGAAATGCACAGACGTGGTTAGGAACAAGGTAATAACTCGAACCCGGCCAAGATGACGAGAATCACCAACCACGGGAGAAAGCGAAAATATAACGAAGCACAGTTCAACAAATACTTTGATGGGGATGAGAATGCGGAAAACAGCGAGGGTCCTCCCAAAAAGAAGAAGCTCAAGTACGACAAGGCGGCTAGAATGGAAGCTAAAATGGAAAAATCGAAACTTATGGGGCATAAAACTGGGGGGTGGGGTCGCTCAGATGCGATAAAGGGTATGTGCCGCTGCTGAATGAAACCAAATGCTCTCTAAGAGCTTTGTAGCGAGTGCTGCCGCATCTGAAAGTCGTCGACAACGAAGAATAAACGAGAGAATGGCGGAAAAGACGTGTTTTGCCTGTCGACAAAAGGGACATGCGGCAAAGGATTGTCCCTCGAACAGCGAGCTGGGTGAAAAGCGACCGGTGACTGGAATTTGCTACAGGTGAGAAAAAAGTTCTATAATCGTTTGTCTGACGTCTACAGATGCGGCGCTACCAAGCACACGCTCGCCAAATGCCGAAAACCCATCGACGAAGCCAACCCGTTACCGTTTGCCTCTTGCTTTATCTGCAAAGGAAAGGGACATCTAGCATCTTCCTGCCCTCAGAATGAGAAAGGCATCTATCCGAATGGAGGGTCCTGCAAGCTTTGCGGTCAAACAGACCATCTGGCACGGGCTTGTCCATTGCGATCAACTGCAGGTGAATACATTCTCTCCTCTAGCTATTGGACCTCATTCTCTCCCCCCTTGTAGCTCCTGCAGAAGGCGTGCTCTTTAATGCGGATGGCACCGTGGACGCCCCTGGCGCTGACGAGGACGACTTTATGGTGCTCAAACGCAAGTCTGTTCAGTTGAATAAGGATGAACAGGCACACAAAAAGCACAAGTCGACATCAGCCACTGTGACTGCACCAAAGGTGGTTACTTTTTAAAAACTTGTCTGAAATTGTACTATTAGACATGTTTCTACGGACGTCTCCGAGTCATTTGTCATCTCCGCAGAGCGTGGAGTCGACGGATCTCCGCACCGGTACAATATCGTCCGCAGGCCGTCTTCTGTCCTAATTTTAAGCGAGTAAACGTATATCTAAACGATTAAAAGCTCCAAAGAGTAGTCCTGACCGGGCCTGAAATTTAAGGCAGGCTATTGGCCCACACGAGGCCTTTACCAAAAACTTGGATCCAACGACAACACCGTGGGCCATGTCTCTGCGCTCGATCCTCCCCGTTCTCCGCGGCCAATGCACGTCTAGGACGTTCTCTACGACGTCTCGTGTTGCGACGCGCACTGGCTCTCCCTTTGCCAACGTCGCCAACGCTCGTTCAAAGGCCTTGGTTCGACCTTCGTCACGCGGTTTCGCCACGGACAGCGGTGCATCCAAGGGCTCGGGAATAAACGTCTGGATTGCTTTGCTCGGTATTGCCGGCGCTGGTGGTGCCTATTACTTCTACACCAACCCCAAGGAGGCCGAAACCGCGCTCAAGTCTGGAACGCAGTCTGCAAAGGCCGCTGCTGGCTTCACGCCAAAGCTTGAGGACTATCAAAAGGTCTACAACACGGTCGCCGAACTCCTTGACGAGGCCGGCGATTATGACGGTTAGTGGCTGCCGTGGCTGCGTCGACGACCTCTTCTTTGGCTAACAAGCGTACCAGATGGCTCATATGGCCCCGTTCTCGTCCGTCTTGCGTGGCACGCCAGTGGAACGTACGACAAGGAGACGAATACTGGTGGCAGGTATGCTGTCTTCTCGAAGAAGATCCGGTTCACACGGGACTGACTTGCCCCGCTTTTGATTCGCAGCAACTATGCCACGATGCGCTTCGCGCCCGAATCTTTGCATGCGGCTAACAACGGTCTCGCCATTGCCCGCGGTGTGCTCGAGCCCGTAAAGCAAAAGTATCCTTGGATCAGCTATGGTGACCTTTGGACTCTGGCCGGTGTTGCCGCCATCCAGGTTTGTGATTCTTGGTCCTATCGACGATCTCTCACCCCGGCTGTAGGAGGCTTCAGGACCGAAGATCCCCTGGCGTGCTGGTCGCATTGATGGTTTCGAAAAGGACGTAACTCCTGATGGACGTCTCCCCGACGCTACTCAGGGTGCTGATCATCTCCGGAACATCTTCTATCGCATGGGGTGCGCCCACTCGCTCTGATTCAAGCCTTTGGCTCACATTCCAAAGCTTTAGCGATCAGGAAATTGTCGCTCTCTCTGGTGCTCACGCCCTCGGTCGTTGCCACACAGATAGGTCTGGTTTCGAAGGCCCTTGGACTTTCTCGCCGGTCACCTTCTCCAACCAATACTTTGCCTTGCTCTGGAACGAGAAGTGAGTATTAAATTTTCTCCGAGGACTACCCGCTGACGTCTTCAAAGGTGGCAATGGCGCAAGTGGAACGGACCCAAGCAACTCGAGGACAAGAAAACTAAGAGCTTGATGATGTTGCCGTAAGTTCTTCAAAGACTGCTCGAGAATCGTAATTCATAGTTGATAGGACCGACTACGTTCTCGTCACCGACAAGTCCTTCAAGAAATGGACCAAGGCTTATGCTGATGACGAGTCTGTTTTCTTCAAAGAGTGCGCATTTGATTGACAAATAGACGTGTCTACTGACCTCTTGCTTCAGTTTCTCTGCAGCCTTCTCTCGTCTCCTCGAACTAGGTGTCCCCACTACCCAATGGGTCACCCAGACTCCATGGGAACTCAAGACACTTGCGGAGCAAGAAGAGAAGAAATAAATATGCCCCGTGCTTCGGTTGCTGAACTAGTCCTCGCAGTTGCACTGCGTTTGAATAACCATAAAACCTCCCGTAGAGGTCACGTTTGTTGAAATAGATTTTTTTCTTTCTGTCGGCTAGTCACTAAGTCTGTGTCGGACATCCCGGAAGCTCCTTGAACTCTGCCACCACCTTGCTCGAGATTCACCCGCCCATGAGTTCGCACTTTCCAAAACCAGGAACCTCATCCTTTGTTCATGAACTATCACTCCGCGTTCAACGGCAGCTAAACAATAACGTGCCATTCGACGAGTCCATATTTCGATGGATCTTGTACTGCTTGATTGCTGGAGACAAGCACCTCATTCTCAGGACGAGGTCACGGGAGTCATTCGCAGTTCAAAAAGTCGCGAAATCCGTATGTCCTCGTCGAGTATTATTGTTGAGAGACCATAATCGAGGATTTCGTAGATTCTGTTCAGCATCTTTGGGCTCAATACTGTATCTATTAAACTCGACAAGGAATCTACTCCAACCTCGCTGCTGCTGTCTCTCTTTCCAAGAATCAACAGCAGCATTTCGTCCCCTGTCAGCCAGACCCCCTCACAATCACCGGCAATCTCTGTCCCACCGACCAGCTTTGATAGGAAAGCAAGATTGGGTCCACCGCATTTACTTATGACGCCTACCAATCGCTCGTCATCTTACGTGCGCGGTTCGCATGGGCACTTGAGCGTGCAGGAACGGAACCAAGAACGAGTTTCGCTTCTCGCTGATAGCGTCCTTCCTCATGGTCACACTGGACGCCCACGACTAAGCGTTGCAGCTACTATTGCAGGCGTCACGGACGACGATAGAGGGAGCATTCGTGGCATCCGACCCGCCTCTGGCAGAGGTTTCTTACCGCCGGATATAGATGCGTCTTCGGTGACATTTGCGGCCTCACAGCATGTACAACAGCTGTCGCAGAGTCAAAATATTCCCGTCTTTCAGTTCCCACATGCCGTTGTGGTACATGGACTGGAGACGGCGTCTAAAGCTGTTCAAGAGACGTTGTGGGATATGCTGAGGACGAGATCTGTCGTGCTAGATCGCGAAGGAGCTCCAGACGAAAAGGGGGTGGTTTCAAATATGCCCGACGGCTTCATATTAATCTATGTATGTCCCCTGGGAGATGGTATATCCAACCCTCCAATTCTCAAGGCTCTGGCAAGTCCGTTTGGCAAATGTTGCTTGTAGTTGCTCATCCTCTGCAGCTGGATCGCTTCTCATTTAACGCCAGTATCGTTATACCACCCTCTCCCAACTCGTCTGCAATTCTTGGATCTGTCACATTGGAACCGACACGGTCACCTCTTCTCCGACGGACGACGGTCTTGAGTAGGGAGTATATTGAATACCTGGGTCATCTTGCTCATGACACACCAATGTCGCCAAGTATTTCGATGTATATTTCAAACCTTCTCTCGGCTATTCGCTACCATCCTCAACTCAACGCGTCAAACATCACGTCTCGCTGTGCACAGGATTTGACAGAGTTTACCAAAACCGTATTTGTCCTCACAGGCTCCAGTATGGCTCTACAGGGAACAAAGGATGGAGATATTGAAGAGGAAGACGAGACAATCAAACGCAGGCCACCAATGACGCCCGACGACGTTAAGCGAGTAGTCAGACACGTCGTTGGTCATCGAGTTAGTGTACGAGAAGGTGTACATGAGGAGCTTCTAGGTAGCGTAGTCGTATCTGCCATCCAACGTTCCCAGAGCACAGAGCGAGAACCGCGGCGGACGATTCGCGAGGTGCTAAGCGAAGCTATCGCAGCAGTTAACTAATAGAGTAAGCTTGTTTTACCATGTATTGTTTGTCCTTGACAATTGGGAAGGTCAACCCTTCCGGCTTGTCTTCGGTCCCTTGTGATTGTGTCACATCAGAACGAGAAGTCCAGAAGAAACGATAGAAGTCGTGGAGTGCGCCAAAAGGAGCCATCTCTCGAGTTGCTGCTGCGTCAAGTTGTCACTCGTTCGTTTCTTGACGCGCACCGTATTACCATAGGGTATAACCAGTTGCGGAAGACCAAGTCTACAGGGTTTCTTGGCGGGAAAGGGCGATCAAAGGCCCATCCAGAACACTCGGTTACCGTCGATTGAGGTCCCGGCGTTGCGCGCCTCTGGCCATCAAGGCCCGTGAGCGGTGCTGGTGTGAATGCGCCAGCAAGAAAAGCAAACCTTGGACTCTTCCTAGTCTGTCCCAGTCCTCGTACACCAAACCTCTTCGCCGGGCACCTCGCCCAGAAGATGGGTAGCAACATTGAGACGAATACATATTCTCTACATCTAGATCACAATTCACCTCTTTTCAACTACTACCCATTTGCTGGTACGTTGGCGAGTCGTTCTCCGACTTCATTTGACGAAAATCTTGAGACCCTTGGGCTGTGCCGGACCTCACGACCGGCTGGGCTCCATGGAATAGTGTCTCAGGAGGATATGATCCATCACTTCCTGTTCCAACATCACTCGACCAGGGTAGATGGTGTCAGCGCACACAACAAGACGGAGCACAGCTCGAGCTTTACTTCACAGGTTTGTCTATATATTTTATATGGGCGTCAAATTTTAATTTCAAACAAGGATCTTCTGTTATTCTATATGGAGAAGTAGAAAGAACAAACTATGATATCTGGATAGACGGCAAGTTGAGCGCGGGCACAGCAAATAATGGGCGGCTGGCGGACGTTGATCTGGATGAAGGAGAGCATAGATTATTGCTCACAGCGCATCCTCAGTTCAACGGATCTGCTTGGGGGAATATCTGGTTTTATGGAGCGGACATCGGAGTAAGGTTGCCCGACTCACCGTATGTCGCTTCCCAACCGGGCGTCTACACACTCTGACAGTACGCGTAGCATTGTTCAGGAAGCGAGCACCCAAGTTCAATTCGGTTCCACATGGAACGCCATATCCGATCCAGTACTTGGGAAATATCACGCTACCACAGCGAGTGGTGCATCTATCTCGGTATCACTTCATCAAGCGTCGGCAGTCATGGTATATGGTATTCGAAATCTAGCGTCCGGTCGGTACAACGTGACACTGGACGGCAATACAAACACATTCATTTCAAAAGCATCATTTCCCAGCCAATCACTTTTGTTCGCCGCATTGGATCTCGACTTCACAAAGGACCATAACCTTACCATCACCAACGTGGACGGAAGTACATTGGGTATTTCCTCTGTCAATGTCACAACAGCAACACCACGTCCGGTCAATATGTTCGTGAGACCATATTTCCTGAACATACACGACTAACTTTTACTAGTACTAAGGGTGGTGTACCAAAAGGAACCGTGATTGCCCTCATTACAGCAGTTTCGGTGGTCCTTTTGATGCTGGTTGTCGCTACCGTCTGCGCCTTCACCCGTAGGAAACTACGTGCGAAAAGAAGAGCTCGTCAACGCTTCCAGTTCATTGGGCCCACAAAGTATCAACCTTTTACTCGCGATCCATCTCTCAAATTCGACGACGCCGTTACAGTGAAGACAGCTCGGTCACCATCTATGGTAATCATTGGTGACCCACGCCACTCGTATGAGCCTACTGTACAACTAGACTCTGATGGCGAGGATGATGACGGGTCCTACTACTTTGTGCAACGGCCGCTTCTTGGGAACAGTAGCACCCCTTCCCTCGATCTCACCTTGGGCTCCGAATTCCACGTTGAATTCCCCAGTGGCTCAGATGCCAGTAGGCATCCCTCACGTGCCTCGAAGAAACCTTCGTCCCATGGAAGTCGCTCGACTCGTCACCAGAGACAGGGATCGTCCGAGCAAACAAATTTCCTACACGTTCAAGGCTCTACCCATTCTTCCGACGAAAATTTCAAGAGGTCAGGATCAAAGAGTAGCTCAGAGAGCGGGAAACATCAAAGCCGCATTCGTTTCTCTCTCCCGGCAAACATGCCCCCACCACCTCTTAGAACGGCTACAAGTCCGGGACGACCGATGCGCAAGAGCTACCAACGCTCGAGTCGGAGTACGGGCGTTGTGGGCGAGCCAGTTTCGCCCGCTGAATCATTGCCATTTACAGTTGGAACCTCGGTTGCCTTCGAGCATCCGGACAGCACCGGGCGACCTTCTGAAGAAAGTATACCCTTTTCCTCCGAAGGAACCTTTGCCCAGCACGTCCGTGATCCGTCGGAGTCCTTCAGCCGTGTATATCACGACAGTCCTGGGCTTATACCAGCCTCAGCTTCCCAACTACATGATTCCTAATGACCATCCGTCTCATTTTCAATTCATGACCTCTGGCGGACTTTACGGACTACCTTTTGCATCATTCGTACATAGTGGGTCCCGAATAAAATATTTCATTGATCCTGCGCTTTGTTCTCCCTGTCTCTGCGAACGGCAAAGCCAACGAGTCTGCGCCAATCTGGAAGCACCTCACGCCTTTCGGACTTTGGAGTGTCCGTTCCGGTCGCCGTCGAGCGAGGTGTGCTGGTTCCAGAGTCCATCGACGGTCGAGACATGATTTGACCCGTGCCTGGGTCCATATCGAGTGCAGAGAGAAAAGATGTCGATGGCAAGTCTGATCTCGTACTTGTCGTTGTTAGGAAGTGATCCAAAAGGTTGTTTTGTGCTGCTCCAGGAATGCCCTTGAGATCAAGGATCTAGCTCCAAGTGAATAAATAGTATGTTCGCATTAAATGAATACCCACCTTTTGGAAGTTGGAGAAGGATGAGTCGCCGATGAGGATAATATAGTTCATGATGAATGGCTCTTGCGGATCCTTGCGCGGATAAGTAGGGCACATTCTTTCCCATTGGTCACATACCACCGGCGCGCTCACAGCCTTGAGGATAGTTTCAATCTGCGTCGTCTGCTTAGTAATGGCTTTGACATAGCTGAAGATCCGTGAGACAGTAGGCGCTCCAAGTAAGGTGACCGTACGTCGAAGGCACGCTGTCTGGCTCGCCAGTGCTGGGCATCCTAAGAAGACAGGCCTTGAGAACTTGGAAATCTAATAGTGCCTACGAGATATCAGACAGAGTTCCGGAACAAGATAGCGCTCACCTGTTCCGCTCCAGTGTCACGCAGCGGGCGACTTCGAACCAGTGCGTTTGTAAACTTTGTGATCAGCATACTGCAAAGCATCAGTAGTTGTCAAGCCGGACTCAACAGTGACTGACCTCGACGCTTTGTCATAAAAGTTGCGCAGATACTTCTTCTGCTCAATAGACGACTTGATGACTTCCACTGTAGAGTCGACAATCCGACTAAGTTCTACTATGTACGGAAGTTGTCCCGTTACCGCATTGATAGATGCCCATGTCGCACGGGACATATGTGCGAAGCATGGCTCTGTGGTTTGCTCCAAGTCACGCAAAAGCGTGGCAATGGCAATAGAGATGACACTAGGCAGGGTAAACGGGCGTGAAAAAAAACATAGCAATGGCAAACCTGAAGAATAAATCCAACTCGGCTTGTAATGATATCTTGCCTTCTAATCCTCTGTGAATCTTGTCTCGAACCTTTTCTTCCAGCTAAGAGACCGGTCAGAGAGCCCAACGGTGGATCCTGAATATGCTGACCTGGGTTGCAGTGCGGTGACAGTAATCAGCAGTATTCAAGATCCGACAGATATCACGTTGCTCTGTCGGATTGAGCCTGCTATCTGCGGATTTGCGAACCTGCGAAGGGATGTCGTGCCGGCGAAGCGCGGGCATCAGGACGTCCTCTATATCAGACAAGATCAGCAAGCCGAAAAAGTCACAAAAAACCCCTGACCAGCATAAATCTTCAGCCATTTCTTGAATACGACGAAAAGGTCATAGAGCGGTGTGCCAGTGGTAAACTTGGCACATTGATCCAAAGTCTGGGCATAGAAGTAGAAGAGATCCCCTGATGATGCAAGTACGGTATGACTATCGTCCTCTGGATGTTGGCCTTCTTGTGATGAACGGCTCTTCACACCCCTGTAAGCGGCCATCATGTCTGCGAGTGCCCTGTAATCCATCAGTGATCTTCCTTCTTGGAGGATTCCCCGCACTTGTCTTGAGCTTCGACAAACACGCCCATATGCTTTTCGAATACGGACGAAATGCCCTTGACAGGGTTGATTTTTGTACTTGTATCAACGACGTCGGCAAGCTATGTCGAAAATAAGTATTGTTCTCCTTCGACAAATCAACACACAGAAATTCCATATTTTCGGTTGACGAATGTCTCAAACTCGATCGACTGCTGCAGGCATTCCAGGAGTAGAGTGACTGTCAGCTTTGGGCCAAGCTTGGTCAACAATGTAGAGACATCCTCCCTAAAAGATTTGAGTTGACTTGTACTCGAAATCGAAGGGATACGGACGCCGTGATCTCTATGAAACGGGAGCATAGAGCCTTGCCCACATTCCACGATTCAGGAAATACTATTCCATGCTCTTCATCATGAAGGCTGATCACACGACGAAACCATGAGAACCTCCGAGGCAGGTTGTCGAGCTGGCCTGCCTCGTCAGTGGGACGAAAGATGCGCCGATAGTCTTTGAGCTCCATGTTGCAGTACCGTTCAATAAGATGATTCCTATCAGAGTAAGATGACCAAAGGGGTAAACGTGAGATTCAACGTACCTGACATCGTCTCCCAGTATATCTACAACAAGACAGCTCTCGGCAATAACCGAAGTGGAGATTGGTTTCGATGGATCCTTCATGACGCTGGATACGTATTGAGTCAGGTACGCAGGATAACCGTTGATTCGCGCACAAGGAATCAAAATCCTCTTCCACTAATGCTCGAACCGCGCCTTGAGACTGCTGTATCCTTCGCCAGACGATGGCTATGCGATCAATCGCTGTATATGGTTTGAAGAATGTCGACAGTTCCTTGATAGCCTAAATGATTTACGTCAATAATGTCTACGACAAATATGCCACGATTTTACCCCTAGCGACTGCGCAATTTGAGGGTATGATCTCTCCTTCATGTATATGTCAAGTTGTTCCAATCCGTTTACTAGTCATGTCAGAGGTGTAGGACATGCCAGAGAGTTTACCGACCCAGCATTTGTAATCGCTTTAATACGGTCATGGAAAGCGATAGATTTTTCTTTGCATGATCCAGTTTTTGTATGTCCTTGGTTATGGTGCGGACGATGGCCTCAGACTCGGTAGCTTTCTCGCGAATGCGATTCATTTGCTCTAGCAATCCCTTGGGCCGGAGTTAAAGCACGATTGCATAGAATCCACGAGATACGCACGAAAATAAGCTCCTGAATACGTCCCATACGCTCAGGATCCTGCTCAGTCTTGAGCGTACTGGCTAGTAACTCGACTTCTGCTTCTAGCGCTTCTCGCTGTTGCTGAAGTTGAGCTTTGACATCATTGATATGTCTGAGGCTTTCCTCTACGTGAAAGGTCCTTTGTCAGGAGAGCTCAGAGACCAGTCAAAGGCGACGAACCATCCGGAAAGAATTGGTTCAAGGTATCCTGGACATTGAGCGAGGTGTCTGTATATGTCCCTTCTGGTTCTAGTATATGCCCTATCGATACAAGGAGCTCCCGGGGGAGTTCTTGATACATGCCGTGGTCGTGGTGGAAATCAAGATGCAATGATGTGTGGCTTGACTCGCCGGTGAATACTCAGGTATAACTAGCTATTTACTTCAGATTTACTTGAAATGAATCATAAGTGCACTTGCTTCACAAGCTCAATCGGTGAACACTAGTCAAGGTTGATGGACGTCCCAAATTTAGCATACAGCTGTAGTTTAAGCTCTTTCATCGTCGATTGACACATATCTAGGGCATCTTGTAGACGAGCCACCTCTGCCTCCACGACTTCTGCATCTGCAGCTAGGCGTTTCTGGGCTTGATCCAATGGAAGGTGAACAAATGCCTCTCCTACTCGATATCTGTGGGATTAGGTGAGATAGAGGTTTCTTCGAATGGCCTGGGAAACCTACAAGACAGGCTGGTCTTCATCCGCAAGCTCCAACTCGGTGGTGATATCTTCCAGAGCCTCCTTTTCTTTCTACACAGAGATCAGTGGTCGGCTTACTACGGATCGTTGCATATGTCCATACCTTTGCAACTTCCAGTTCTTCTTGGAGATTCTGGAAACGAGTATTCGTTTTAGAAAATGTGTTTATGCGTTGCTGATCCTCTAAGTGCGGTGAGTGATGGTCTCCTTTCTGTAAATCCTGGAAGTACCCCAATTGACCTCGACATCTGCATCCTTTTCTTCATCCTGGGATAGCTATAAATGCTTATAAGTAATATTGAGACAGACTCCAATGGCCGTACTGACCATCCGCATCTTCGTTGCTTATTCGGCTGGGAGGAGAACAGAACCAAATCTTTGGCCTCGACAACACCAGGGCCAAGAAACCTCGAAACAAATCTCGGGTGGAATACAGATCCCGTTGGAGGATATAAAGGGGCGAGCGAGGACAAGCATTTGCCACGAAGCTCTGAAACTCTGCCTCTCTCTTCCGGCAACTGTTGGCCCATGTCTCTAACCTTGCGTTCCCAGCAGGCCCGCGCGGGTCTCACTGCTTTGCTGCAAAACACCTCAACTCTAAGCGGAGTCAAGTCTCTGTTTTTCTATTATTTTGTCCTGCGCTACGTCCTTCGTGTCTATAGGCACGTCAGAGGAAATGGTGCGAGGCAGTCGGTCATTGACTTTTGGAGATATCTATCGCTCGTACGTCTCATATTAGCATCAAATGTGCGACATAGTAACTGCTGTTTTAGCATACGATGCTGCTCAGCATCAGATACATTCCCGCTATAAGAAAGAAGGTCGAGTCGGAGATGGCTGGCGTGCGTGAGGATATTCGCAAGAAGCTCATCCCAGAGGGTCCAAAGGTCATCAGACATCTCTCACTCCCGGCCGAGGGAAAGAGCAAGGATTGGATTGTTGCAGAGATGCAGCGAATGGACGACGAGTCGTCAGCAAGCGGTGCCTGGAAGGATGGAAAGATCTCCGGAGCCATTTACCGTGAGTACATTCGATCTGATTCTGTGACGTCGGTGTTGACTGGCAACAGATGGCGGCGAGGACGTGGAAAAAGTCATAATGGCCGCGTTGGAACGTTACTGCGTCTCAAATCCGCTCCACCCGGACGTATTCCCTGGTAAGGGCCATTTCCACCACCTGAGCCATTTTTCTGAGGGACGAATAGCCATTCGCAAAATGGAGGCCGAGGTTGTCGCCATGTGCCTCAGGATGTAAGCGAGCGGCTATTGTCAAGTAATGTACTGAGACAGCCTTCAGGTACAATCATCCTAATGGCTGCGGTGTGACGACAAGCGGCGGAACCGAGTCGATCATCATGTCTTGCAAGGCTCATCGCGACTGGGCTCGTGCAATGAAGGGTATTACTGAACCGGAGATGTACTAAACTTTCACTATTCTCTAATTTCTCACTCACGATGAATTTCTAGCGTAATGGCGGCCTCTGCTCACGCCGCATTCAACAAGGCTGGCCACTATTTCAATATCAAGATTGTGACTATCCCAGTCGATCCTCGAACGCGACAGATCAATATCAACAAAGTCAAGAGAGCCATGTAAGTGGATCTAGCTATTATCAGTTTCCTCTGACACTGTTGCAGAAATGCCAATACGATCATGGTAAGGAAAATTCGGTGTGAAACTGGACGTGTACTCATCAAACACAGTTGGTTGGATCTGCTGTCAACTTCCCAGTGAGTGGTCAGTTGTGCTGCCCCGACGTGGTCTTACTCTCATAGGATGGAGCGATGGATGATATTCCAGCTTTGAGCCAGCTTGCGCAGAAGCATAAGATTGGCTTGCATGTCGACTGCTGTTTGGGATCGTTCATTGTCCCCTTCCTCGAGAAAGCTGGATACCCAACCAAGCGATTCGACTTCCGCCTGCCTGGTGTAACTGCGATCTCTTGTGACACCCACAAGGTACGCGAGAAGAGAATACGAATATTAGTGTCTGACGCTTTGTAGTATGGTTTTGCCCCCAAGGTAGACCTTTCTTTCTATTTCGACGATTGTTACTCACAAAATTCAAGGGATCTTCGGTCATTATGTACAGGGACAACGAACTTCGATCTTATCAATACTTTGTCCTGCCAGACTGGGCTGGAGGTGTTTATGCAAGCCCTGCTATTGCAGGTTCACGGTATGGCCTCGCCTCGTCTGGGTTTCATCATGCTCACCGACTTTAGACCAGGTGCTCTGATTGCAGGAACCTGGGCCGTTATGCACTACATGGGTGAAGAGTAAGTCTTGTGTCGTTGGTTATACAGACCACTGATTATTTACATCAGTGGCTATCTCGCATCATGCAAGGCAATCATGGGAGCAGCCAAGCGCATCGAACGTGCTGTTCGCACGGAGATTCCAGAGCTCTACGTCTTGGGCACGCCCCCCGCATCCGTCGTCGCTTTTGGATCCGCGACAGCAGACGTCAACATCCACGCAGTCGGAGATGCCATGAGCGCACGCGGATGGCATCTCAACGCGCTCGTGAACCCGCCAGGCTTGCACATTGCTGTCACGGTAAGCCCTTTCTTTGAAAACCTGGTGCCGTCGGCAATACGCCGGTCTCGACAGAGCCACTTCTTTGTCGATCTGGTGCTTCTCTTGCCCCTGCACATATGGAACGCATCCGCTTCCACATGTAACCTGGACAAGAAATATTCTCATCTCGGCATTCATCTCGATGGCGTGATCAGAGTTCTAACGGGGTTTGTCTAGCGGTTGACGGTCAACGTCACTGAGCAGCTGATCGCGGACCTCAAGGACGCGGTTGCACAAGTCAAAGGAAAGCCCACTGGAAAGGGGAACATGGTCACGCTGTACGGTACGTAAGCTACCGCGGATAGGTGCGTGGGCACTGAGTTATTTCCAGGTCTCGGCAGCTCATCCCCTGTGGGCCACACCATGGTCAGTCGCGTCGCGTCCATCTTCCTGGATACGATGTATGTCGCCTAATCAAGCGGTTTCATGAGGGGTAACGTCTGTATTTGCGAGTTGATTCTCCGAGTACATGAGTGGTCGCGTCGCTAGGTGGTAAATGAGATACACTTGGATATCCGCATGGTCGTAGACCAAATTAGGGCACCGTTCGGATGAGCCGAGCTCTTACGGAGTGTGTCACCGTGAGATGGGGATCACTCCCTGTGTTCGACATCGATGTCATTGAGCTCCCAAGCATTGTCTTTGAAGATGCGTTCGCGCTCCAGTAGGTATTTCCCTGGAACATGGACGATCAGTGGAGCATGTGGGTCTGTTGGGGCTAGTGGCTCGTACCTTCCTTGTACTTCTGGGAGGGTTCAGAGGCCTTGAGATACGTCCAACCCAATCTCGTCTGGCAAGTCACGCAAAAGATATCGGCGACTGTATGGACGCCAGTGAGGAGCTGGCGTTGTTCCTGCTTGCCGAGTTTGACATTACAGGCACTATGAAGTAGACTGGTGGGAAATGCGACACATGAGTCCACTGGGACTCTATGGAGTAACATGCGCTACGTCGCCCCGACTCCGGGAAGCCCAAGGGTCCGGACGCCGCTCGCTCCAGAAACTCACAACGCTGGGCGGAATCTGTTAGGGACTGGGAGGATAGACTGGTAAAGATTAACCTCTTCCTTCACGCCCGCTAAAGGCCTTTGAGATCAGCTCATCAACCAGGGCCTGGGAAAAAATCAGAGAGAAATTTGGGACGAGACAAGAATGACAAACGACGGTTGTAGAACATTGCGCACACACAAACTTGGGCTTATCGTCGAAGCAATGGGTGGTTGCCATATGGTGCGCGGAAGCAAGCTGAGCCACGGCCGTTGAACCGGGTTAGAAGGCAGCGGTGCGCTCAGGTCCATACGGGGTTTTGCATGTTCCATGTGCAACACAGAATCACGAATTTCGTATGCTTCGAAAAGGCTATTAAAGCTTGTGCAAGAGTGTCTCCAGCCTTCTCCAGACGTTCTTTCCCCGTCCCAATCACCAAGGCACCTCGTTTTGCCTCCTGCTGCGCTCATTAGCCAGCAAGTCACGCTCTCTAGAGAAGACTCCGTCGATCCTTTGATCCAGACACTCTTTCAACCATGAAGTTTTCGCTGGCCCTCGCCGCCTACCTCTCCGCAAGCATTGCCCTCGCTGCAAAGTTTGATGTCCACTCTATCCCCCGTGGAACCTCCAAGCAAGTCGTTCCGGGTGCTTACGTCGTCGAACTCGATCCCTCTGTCGGTATCTCCGCACTTGGCGGCTCGAAGCGCTCTGTCTCGCCTCACTCGCATCTCTACGAACATATGATGAAGCGAGAGATCAGCTGGACGACGACTCAAGAGTACCTCAGCGACCTGTTCACAGGTGCAGCCATCAGGCTCGAGGTATGCACCCCCCTCCCCTAGGCTCTCTCCCTGCTCCATCTCTGACCGTTTCATAGAACGAAAATGATCTCGCCAACCTTGCAAGCATCCAGGGAATCATTGACATTCGTCCCGTTTACCTCCATCCACCACCAAAGCCATTCGATCAGCATGTCGTAACCGGTCCCAACGACCCGGCTCTGCCACCAGACACCTTCTCGACACACATCATGACCGGTGTGGATAAGCTACATGCCGAGGGACGCTTCGGAGCGGGCGTCAAAATCGGTGTGATTGATACAGGCATCGACTACAAGCACCCAGCACTTGGAGGGTGCCTTGGAGGGAACTGCCTTGTCAAGTCGGGCTACGACTTCGTAGGCGATGCTTACAACGGTATGTTCGACATGTTGTCTCAGGCTTCGCTCATCAGCTTCTTGCAGGCACAAATGCCGTGATTCCAGACGACGACCCCATGGGTAAGTCTTAGGGCTGCGACACGAGCTATAATTAACCTTGGCGTTCACAGACTGCAATGGCCACGGCACCCATGTGACTGGAACCATCGCCGCACTTCCAGACAACCAGTATAACATTTCTGGAGTTGCATACAAGGCGAATATTGCAGGCTACAAGGTCTTTGGCTGTGAGGGAAGCGTTGCCGATGATATTCTTGTCGCAGCTATCACTCGCGCCTACAACGAAGGCTGCGACGTGATTACACTCTCCATCGGTGGACCTTCGGGCTGGACGTCTGGTGCCAGCTCAGTCGTTGCTTCGCGCGCGGCAAAAGCGGGAAGAATCGTCACCATTGCGGCCGGTAACGAGGGCTCGTCTGGCATGTTCTATGCCTCGGGACCCTCTGCCGGTATTGATGTCGTTTCGGTTGGAAGCATTGACAACACGGTCATCCCGATCCAGCACGCCAAAGTTTCCGGCCACGACGACATTGTCTACTACTCGCTCGCACCCCTCAACTTTACTGAGACCCTCCCCGTCTACCCGATCAGCAAGACCATTGTCGCTGACGATGCATGCAAGCCGCTGCCTGCTGACACTCCCGACCTCAGCAAATACGTCGTCCTCATCCGCCGTGGAAGCTGCCCCTTTGTCACCAAGCTTGCCAACGTCGCGGACAAGGGTGCTCGCATCGCTTTGGTCTACAACAATGGTGGATCGCCCGTCAGCTTTGAGCCTGAGCGCATTCCTGGCGCCCTCATCGATACCGACGCTGGTGCATACCTCCTCCAGCAGTACCTCGCCGGTTCTCCCCCGACCATCTCCTTCCCGCAATCTGGTGGTGCAGGAACGGTAAACAACCCGACAGGTGGTCTCATGTCGTCGTATAGCACCTACGGCCCAACCTTTGATGCTTACCTCAAGCCCTCTGTGTCCGCCCCAGGTGGTGGTATTCTGTCCACCTATCCACTTGCGAAGGGTGCCTTCGCCATTCTCAGCGGTACCAGCATGGCCACGCCATTCGTCGCTGGTGTTGCTGCGCTCTTGTTCGAAGCCAGAGGAAAGAACAAGGATACCGCTCGCGCTGCTCGTGACCTCTTGCAGACGACGTCCATCGCCGTCCCGCAAACTCGTAACGAGACTTCGCTTTTGCAGACTGCCTCTGTTCAGGGTGCCGGTCTCGTCAATGCGTACAGTATGATCCATTACCAGACGGTGGTCACTCCTGGCCAGCTCCTCTTGAACGACACTGCACACTTTGACGGCCGCAAGTCGATCAAGATTACAAACAATGGCAAGAAAAAGGCCGTGTACACGCTCTTGCACAGGCCCGCAGGAACTGCTCAGTCGTTGCCGGCTGGCTCGATTCAGCCCAACCTGTACCCAGTCCCGCTGACGTCTGACTTTGCGACTGTATCGATGCCGACCTCTGTGACCGTCAACCCTGGTCAGAGCAAGTCTGTCTCGATCCAAATTACTGCTCCTCGCGTCGACGCCTCGACCATCCCCGTCTACACTGGCTACATCCAAATTGCCAGCGACTCTGGCGAGACACTCTCGGTCACATACATGGGTATTGCTTCCAAGCTGCGCGATGCGACAATCTTGGACAATACAGACGAGATGTTTGGCTTCAAGCTCCCTGCCTTGCTCGATGCCTCTGGCAACGCCACGACGAGTGTCCAGACCTATGATTTCAAGGGCCAGAACTACCCGACCATTCTCTTCCGCCTTGCAATGGGCACGCGCAGCCTCGTGTTTGACCTCGTCTCAGAGGCGACGACCGTCCCTGGGACCATCTCGAAGCGTTCTGTCGAAGATGGTGTCGAGCGACGAGGACTGTTCAGTGACATCTGGAACTGGTTCAAGGGATGGCTCAACGGAGGGAACACGAGCGGTGGAACCTATGCGCAGATCAAGACTGTGGGTGGTCTTGCCTCGTACGAATACAACCCTCGCCACACGCAATCGGAAGAGGTCGACGTTGGCTACAGCACGTTTGCGATTGTCAACGGCACGTTTGCGAACCATACGGCCATTCCGAACGGACGATACAAGGTTCTTGTGCGTGCGCTCAAGATTTCGGGAGACTTGAAAAAGGAAGAGGACTACGAGGCATGGTTGTCGCCCGTCATGGTGTTCAACGCGACGCGTGCGTAGATGTAATGGTCGATACGATAAATGGCGAAGGGGGACCTTTAATGCGCCGGTTATCTTATTCATAACACATGATGCGTTTCTGATCGTAGCTTGTTGCACACACTACATTGTCTAGTAGGGTTTGAAAACAAGCTTTTCACTCGATGAATGCCTTGGAATCTGGTAGAAAGTCACGTGCTCGGCGCCTTTTACGCTCATGCAGCGATTGCCTCTGCGTCTATTACGACTTGAACTCTACCATGGCCACCCCAAGGCAAGAAGCGACTCATCCATGTGCTACGATGTGCTCTCTGATACGAAAATAGACACGACTTTTACGAGACAGACGAGAGGCTCACGCTGTCCGTGTACATTCGTGGCGCGGACCCAGAACAGACCAAAGTCGAGTTTAAAGAAGACTCTGTACGTATATATGCGACATTGTATCGAGCGCGATACTGATGTGCCACCCATAACGCAGCTCGAACTTTCATCTGGCGAGTCGAAGCTGTCGCTTTCGCCGCTCAAGGGAAGAATCGTGCCTGATTCGTGTGAATATACGGTTGGAAAAGTCAAGATTGAAGTTCGACTCAAAAAGGCGACCGAGGGACGATGGGGAGCGCTCGTGGGTGATCCAACGCAGCAAGGTATGCCATTTGAATGATCTGTTCGTGTATTTGACGCGTTGCAGACCCTACGTTGTCCGCATTCCCTACGGCGCAAGAGCCAGTGCCTGTGCGGCAAAAGCAGCGCAAGAACTGGGAGCAAGTGTCAGAATCGATTCTCAAGGCTGAAAAGGACAAGACGACCAACGAGGATCCGAACGCGGGTGGGGACGCGGCGTTGAACGGCTTCTTCCAAACGCTGTACAAGGATGCGGACCCAGACTCTCAGCGAGCGATGATGAAGAGCTTTATCGAGTCTGGAGGGACGACATTGTCGACCAACTGGGACGAAGTGAAAAAGGAAAGGGTGACGGTCAAGCCGCCCGAGGGGTCTGAGTGGAAGAAGTGGGGGGCGTAGATGAGGATTATTAGAGAGTGCATACTGTGAGAGTATTTTGTTACTGAAAGTATTTGTTACCGAGTGTAATAATGTTTGTTACTGAGCACAAGGCGGCAGCCAAGCCCATGTGTAGTAGCCCACATGGCCAGACATGATGGGCCAGCCGAGAAGGCTGATATGGGCCGGCTATGAGGAGACAGCGCGCGATCGGGGTGTAGCCAATGAGGAGCGACAATGTTACCTAAGTGCTGACCATCCGCCTAAAGAGTCTAATAGGCACTGCACCCAACCCCCCCGCCTTTTGTACCATCTTGCTCTGCACCCCGACTGACCCTTGAACAACCTCGAGCGTGCAAAATATCCAGAATATTCCCCACGGAATCTGAGATTGCATGTCCACCGTCGACGACGATGCGCTGCACCACCCAGCCGACCAGCACGGGAGGAGCGCCGTTCCAGGCCAACGCCGCCTGAAATCGGGTCGAAGGATCCTTCGATTCGAGCGTTTATTCTTCTTTTTATTTCCCACCAGGCAGGCTCATAAGCCAGCTGCCGCCCCGCCGGCATCATCGCCGCCCATTATCGAGCTCCAAGCTTCAACTCCTCCAAGACCGCGAACTGCACCAAACGCATCTTCTGCTGCCCTCGTCACTGCTGCAGCGTCTGCAATCGACATGCCGCACTCACATGAGCATCCTCTTGATATTGTGCTCCATGACGAGGCCGCAGTCTTGCGAGGCATCGGCGTCGATGTCGCCAGTGCTACTATCCGCGGTTTCGTCCGACTCTATCTTCAAGAGGCTACAGATATCAAGACGATTATTATTCGTTGCACCGGAAAGAGTCGCGTCGCGCTCGTGCAAAAGGACGGGTGAGTTCTCGTCTCCCCAATTCGACGACCAGCTCGCGGCGGTGGCTGACTGTCTGTTCGGTAGCTCGCATACCCAACCACACACAATTATTCACTATCTCAAAGAGGTCGATCTCCTCGAGGGAGACAAGACGCACCCACACACGATTAAAGCTGGCGTGCATGATTTTCCATTCTCCTTTGAGCTCGATGGTTCACTCCCCGCCTCGATCAATGCAAACTTTGACCTGGCTGCTATCGAGTACAAACTGCGTGCAATCGCTGTTCGACCCTCGTTTTCGCACAACTTTACCATGCTCAAAGACGTAACGGTCGTCCGGTCGTTTTCACCAGAGGTAATTCACTTTTGCACCTCGGACCGAGTCGCTGATTAAGCCCCCCCGTCATAGTCACTTGAATTTCAACAGACGCTCGAAATAGAAAACTCATGGCCTGAAAAGATTCAATACGCGGTGGTGAGTAATCAAGCTGTGTCTGCCTCGCCGACCGACTGCTTATCACACTCCGACCCTTTCTAACACGTTTGTTCCACAGATTCTTCCGCACAAGGCCTGGGCTGCTGGTGACCACATTTCCGCCGTCCTCAAGTTTATTCCGCTCGCAAAGGGCGTCAAGGTTGTCAATGTCCGCATGGGTCTGCAGGAAAAGGTCAAGACGGTCTGGAAATCGTCTATTCATGAAGAAGTTCGCGTCGTCTGCTCTAAAAAGCAAAAACTCGCGCACGGACGACCGTCTCCTAGGCGCTCCCCATCGCCCACAGAGGAGCCACCATCGGCCAATGCAGAGACGAATCGACGACCTGGGACGTCATCATTTTTCCGTCGCGTCGGTTCGCGTGTACAGTCGCGGGAGAACCTGCTAGGAATCTTCCGTACCAGAACAGGAGGAGACGATACACCGCCGAGCGCTCCGAACTCGCCGCCGCCACGACGATTATCGAGCGGTTCGGAGAGCTCTTATTTACGCGCGGCTTCGCCACAAGGGTCTGATGGCGAGAATGAAGACGTAGAAATGATTATGCGGATGCGAATTCCTACCGACGCGACCCCGTCGCATAACATTGGACCCGTGTTTGTTTCGCACCGCATCAAGTGGTGAGTGGCGTTTTGGCTCAGGTCCCCTTGTCCGGATGCTCAAGCCCGATATGCAGGGACGTCCTTATCTCTAATCTTGATGGCCATTTCAGCGAGCTCCGATGCTCATTGCCCATTCACCTGCTTGCAAAAGAGGTTCTGGAAGAAACGTTGGCTGCAACAAATGCCACACGCACGGCTCTTTTGGGCGAAGATCACGGCGTGCAAGTCCAAGAAGTCATCCTCCCTGCTTATCACGACCACATCCGGGATCGAGGTACGCGCTTAAGCTTGTAAAATCGTTGATCGATTGCGACTAATCACGTTTGTTCCAGTCGCCATTGCCGGTCTCACTGAGCATGCGCTCGCTACCAACCCTCTCAACGCGATGAGCACCCCTGCAACGCCAGAAGCAAACCTTGTCGCCTCTCTCCCTTCTTCCTATGGTGCCTCATCCAATATGCCCGCTCAAATCGCTAGCTCCGCTGTTCCGAGGGTCACATCACTTCCAGATGCCTCTGAACGTGGTCGCCTACGAGGTTCCAGGGCGGCGACAGCCCTTCCGGATCCTCACGCCAGTGAACTGTACCTGTCACTCGGACGACGTCCTGATACGGCAAACTCTCAAGGTGCCGAGGGTGGCAGCCATCCTCCGTCACAATCGTCGAGCCGTGCATCCAGTCCCGATCGCATGGGCGATGGTTCTGGATCATCTAGGGCCTCAAGACATGCTTTTTCTATTCGTCCCTTGACCTCTGTGTTCAAGAGCAAGGCATCGAGTAGTGCTTCGTCATCGAATCCAAACTCTCGTCCTGGCTCGTCCCACAAGAAACATCGCGCAACCTTTTCTCGCTCCTCGAGCGGTATTTCTGCACCATCTTCTCCTGAAGCTATACCACCGCTCCCGCTGCCTCGATCGCGCGGCTCCAATTCGCCCACTTCGACCCAGACGTCCGCTGCGACTTCGGCGACGACGAATTCGACCGTGGAATATTACTACGACGCCGTTCCTTCGTATGCATTTGCTGCGCAGGGTTTCCTTGGAGGCGGAATCACGCCTCTGACGTCCCTCCGTGGTCTCCCATCGTATAACGAAGCGCAGCGTTCCCGTACCGGCTCACCGCAGACGAGCACGGTTAATTCTGCCGCGTCGCAAGACTCGAGTTCGTCTGGTGGGTCTCGAAGGCGCTCTGGAACGCGTTCAAGCTTTTTACTAGGCCGTTCCTCGAGCGAACAACCTAGCCGGATACCCGAAGATACTCAATCATGATGCTCACATATACACTGCTTTTCATCTGTTTCCCTCTAGCGTATAGATGTTTATTTTCCTCTTGTTGATTGAAACCAACTCCCCCCGCTCTCTACGACATCTCCTCGGGCAATGCAGCTATTCTAGATCTTATAGACCTCGGCTTGTACGGATTCCCAGTCTAGTTCAAGTAACAAAGAAATCTTTGACGATCCAACGAGCGCTCGAGTACACGCGGGGTGTCGATCCCCGCCAGCCTTTGCACCTGACCACGACTGTTTGAGCAGAATGAACGCCATCCAAGCAAGTTGCACGGCAGTTGAGGAAGAGAAGTGATTAACACGATTCATACAGAGCCATGCAATTCGTATAATGGAATCGATGTCGCCCGTATGTCGTTGATCTTTGGGCCCGCGCGCCTATTAGAAATGGAGGAGCTAAAGGCTACTCGTTGCTCTAGGTTCTCCGGGAAAGCAAATTCAAGGAGCACGGAAAGATTACACCAGGTGCGTTGGATCTCGCCCGCTCCATGCCCTATTGCACGGCTCGCCGCACGACGCGTAAAAGGCAGGCGCGTGCGAGTGGGATTGTATACTGTCATGATCACTTGGGATGAAACCTGTTTGATCCACGTGCTGTTATTGGGTTCAGTGTGTTGGATCTGGCTATCGGGTCCAGGCTAAGGTCTGCTGTGCTGTGTGTGCGGTTGTGGCTGATGCCGTCGGCTCCTCGTCGTATTCTTTTCGTGTTTCTGTGTCTGACGTTCTTCTTCCCATCTCGATTGTTGCGGCTCTATAGAGGAGTTTGTCATTGCGGGCGACTTTTTGGTGTACAAGTTTCCCCTCTGGTCATGGTACGTCCCCATGTACTCTCACTCGCTCATTGGATTCTCATTCTGTGTTCTACAGGCAAAAGGGCGACGCGAAGCCTCGCGAGCATCTTCCGGCTGATAAACAGTATTTGTTGCTGCAGGGAGGTACGCGTGGCTCTCTATCACGACGCATACGGACAACTGATCGTACAATGAAGCCCCGTGCCCTCGACGAGCAACGTCTCTCGTCTATACGGACGCCGAGGAAGACGCTGAGAAGATGCTGAACATGGGCGGTGCGGCGCAGGAAGACGAGTGGGTCCAGACACATGCAGGCAGAGGTAAGACTATTCTATGTGCGCAAATGCATGTATTCTGATGTTTTGAACGCAGCTCCGCCAGTCTCGAATCCGGATCACATCGACGATATTCCAGACGATGACGCCGTTGCTGCAGAGATGCAGAATATGAACCTCAAGGGCAACGAGATGCCTTCTGCGGATGAGATTCCCGATATGGAGGAAGAGGACTTGGAAGACGCGCTCAACAGCAATATCGTTGCCTCTGCCAAGGCTGCGTAAGTACTCTATGCGACCCTGAATGCTTGCTGAGGCCGTATAGTCCAGTTGAAGCGGGAGGAGCTAATATCCAGAAGACGCGAAAGTACGACGCGATGATCACTTATGACAAACTCTATCAGACACCTCGTCTTTGGTTATTGGGTTATGATGAGGTAGGCCATCGCTCGCATTACGGCATGCGCTGACGACTCTTGTAGGACGGAACTCCTCTTAAACCGCAGCAAGTGTTCGAGGACGTGTCCGCCGATCACGCGAATAAGACTGTCACAATTGAACCATTCCCGCACTCGACGTCGCTTACATTGGCATCTGTACACCCTTGCAAGCACGCGTCGGTGATGAAGAAGGTTATCGAGCGCATGAACGCAGGCATGGTCGAGGAGCAGCGCAAGTCACATCAAACTGCGGGTCCATCGACACCAGTAGCTGCCGCCTCGAGCTCAACTGGCACAAAGAGATGGCTAGGTGGTGCTCTACGAAAAGTGACTGGGAGTGGGACGTCGACACCAGCCAAGAGCCCCGTTTCGGAGTCACCCGAAGGTGAAGAGGGGATGAGAGTAGATTGGTATCTCGTCGTGTTCCTCAAGTTCCTCTCGTCGATCGTGCCGACGATCGAACTCGACTCTACCAGCTCTGTTTAATCATGCCTCGCACTCGAGATTGAAGTTACTATTCTCTCGAAGAAGTCCAATTCTTTTCTGATTTAACCGAGACTGGCTTACAGGATGTAGATACTTTTGGTACGATTACCGTCAATGAAACTCTGGCATCGCGACTGTCTTGTAAATCATGCTGCTTCAGTGCCTTCCTGTGCCTTTTTGGCAGCCTTTGCAGCTTTGCGAGCCTTTTTCTCTGCTTTCGCTTTCTCCTTGAACGACAGCTTTTCTAGAGATACCCTCGTCTCTTCTTCGACATCATCCTTCCCACCCACATCATCGTCTTCGCGTTTGCGCTTCTTCGACTTGGTGCCGCTTGTCGACGCTGGTGCAGACTCGAGTGTGGCATCAACCTCCATGGCGTTGGAAGCCTCCAAGACACCATTCTCCTTTTTCTTCTTGTCTTTCTTCTTCTTTTTAACCTCTTGATTCTCCCCCTCTTGCAATGGGTCGGCCGTGGTGGATTCACCATTAGGCTGCGCTTGCTCTGGCTTTGACTTGTCCTTTTTCTTCTTCTTCTTCTCTTTTGATTTACCGTCCGTATCGTCTTTTTCAACACGACTTTCGCTCAGTTGAGTCTGTTGAGGCTGAGGTTGAGCGACTTGGCCGTCGAGAGCGAGAACGGCGCTTTCATCCATGATCACATCGACTGCGGGATCGGCGAGTTCTACCAGAGGCTCTGTAGTTCCAGTCTCCTCTGCTGCACGAGTGGCCATCTTCGCTGCTCCACCAAACTTGAGGGCCTGTTTCGCCTGTTTTCGCGCCTGTAGAATATCAAATCAGAATTGCGATTGCTTTATGATAGATAAGCGGCCATTTGTCGTGAGGGAGTTTGTAGAATCTGAAGAAGCGGGGAAGAAGCATACCTTCATCTCCGCAGCCTTTGCGGCCTTCTCTTCAGCCTTTTTACGTAGCTTTTCCTTTTTGCGCACCGCACGTTCCTCCTTTTTTCGCTTTTTCCTCTCTGCACGCGTCTCGCCCGGCGGTGGGGATTCACGTTTCTTGCGCTTCTTGTCCTTTTTACTCGACGCATTTGGCGCTGTTGTATCTGCCTGGACTGGTGCTGCGTCGGTGTTCAACGTCGCTGGTGCATTGACGGCAGTGGCAGGGGTGTGTGAGGTTGAAGTCAAAGGTGCGGGTGCCGATGCGGGTGCCGAGTTGGAGTGTTGAGTCGACGTTGATGGTTTCGATTCTTCGAGCTCGTTTGGCGGGGTGTAGACCATTTTGGCCTTTTCGCCCAGTGGCTGATCATTTGGACCTGTAGCTCTTGATTGCCCAGGACGATAAAACGTGTTGCTTCCCCTTGTCTAAGGCAGCCACAATGGATCCGACGGGTCCAACAAAAAAAAGCACGATATGAGTCTTCTGAGATGGCCTATATAGAAAAGAGAGACGTACATTGATAGGTCTGGTATTCTTGCCTTTGTAAAGGCTCTTTTCATACTTTTGCGCTTCGCTAATGCAAGAGGTATGTGCGTTGTACTGTTTCGGACCGGCAAAGGTCGTACTGCAGTCGATGCATGTAAACGACGAGTGACATCTCGAACGATGCGAATCGAGTTTCGGTTTCTTCACGACGTCGGCGCAGGCTACAATGGTGGCGATTCTCAGAATTCGACATTGGCATTCAATTGTAACAAAAGATATTCACCATCGCATCTAAATGGTGGTTAGAGATTGGAAAAGGTTCATTGCGGCCGTGACGAATGCTCACTGAAACGAAACCATTGCTAATGAGAGGACAAGGTCGGGTCGAAAATGTAACTACCACTAGCTCCAAAAGGGAATAGACAAAAAAAAGTGGAATTATATTTGTATCAGACTGTGATCCTGTTTAATTTCGCCATACGGAACCGTCAAGCCCGCCCAGACCGAGTCGAGGAATGCCGCGCCATTGGCAACACCAAAGACGAGGGTGGCGGCGTAGAAAAAGTTGGAGTTGCCCGTGCCTTGTCCGAGCCAGAGGTTATTGAAGAGCGGGAGGAGCGTGGCGGCGTAGAGATGCCACATGACGGTCGGCAGCGGATGGCGAAGGTCTAATTTCGAAAGGTCAGCACTGAGGCGGGTTGATAGTTCTGGTACGTACATGACCAAACTTCTGGGAAGATGGAGAGAAAGGAGAGGAAGAGACCTGGGTCGGCCATTGTCTGGTATGATTTGAAGATGGCGACGTTGCCGATGACGAGGTAGACTGCGTAGAGTGGGTCGTGCCTATATGGATTCAGCGGGTAGGCTTCACAATTACAAAGCGCATACTGGAATTTGAGTGTGAGTGGGACCACACCGATGATGTTGAGCGCAGTAAAGACCATGAGGAAGAAATTGCGAAAGTGGTCAAACATTTCCGTGAAAAAGTACCACCATAGTCCGACGTTTGGCGTGAGATCCGGGACGGTCAGCCTACAGGCTTGTGAGCGCTAGGTAGATATGAGATGGTGTACGCACGTAGCTCCCCACGTCTCCTTTATCCAACGGAGATTACCCATGACGAGTGTCGACCACAATGCAAGAGCGGCCATGAATGCGGCATATTGTGCGAGATAACGGAGCAACTTTGACCAATCTGACACGGCTTTTGGGTTTGCGAGACGGGATTCTGGTCCGTATCGGAGCAGAAGCGAGATTGGGAAGAGCAGCAAGCCCGAGTAGAGTGACGATTGGGTCAAGAGTGCGAGCGTCAAGAGGGCTTTTCCTGGTCGACCTGGAGCGCATTTAGGTGTCGAGAGAATCAACGGAAAAGGATGTACCTTTGGATGCAAAATAAATGGTCAATATACACAAGGCATTGTCGAGCGTCGAAGTCGAGAGTGCCAGTGACGGGGCGACGAGATAGGGGTTGAGAAGATAGCTACAACGTAAAAATATTGGATGAGCATTCGCATTGCATACATGTGGACCGTACCTGGCCTGGATAAGAGCCTCACGTCGTGCGTTTCGTTGTTTATTTCGCGCAGACCACACCGAGGACAGTGACCAAGCAGCCAATGCATCTACTAGCGTCCAAATAAGATGGAACAGCGGTTTGCTTGGTGGTAGAATGGTGCTAAAGATGACGAGCTGCGCTGGACTCTGGACATGGTGAGCCGGACGGTCGTTGACGCATGAAATGGAGACGTACGTGTCTCACGAGTTCACCAGCATAAGGATCGAATCCATTCTTGAGCAGAAAGACGCCTTCATTCACTATTTGCAGGTTGAGACTCAGGCTGGAGAGAAAGAGCAGAGGGCGTACGGCGGGTAAATGAAGTCAATGGTGAAGTTAACTGATGGTTGTCTGCCAAAAAGTCTGGAATTGGAGAAAAGGCGAGTAAAAGGCGAACGAAGACGAGAGCGGCAAAGGTGGTCATGTCAAAGGATGGGATTTCAGAGGACGGTTGAATTACAATTGGAATATTGTGAATTCTTGAAATGTGTGCAAGGTGGCAGCGAGACAAAGAACATAACTCGGCGATTGCTAAACAGCGGAGGGCCAGCGAGCACGCCAAAGCGCTGGCCAGAGAACGTCTACTGAGTTGCTAAGGGCTTCTTATTGTCTACACTATGGCCCAGCCTCAGCATCCTCGCTCCCTTCCAGCCGCTGCCGCTCCCCGCTCTTCTGCGCTCGACCACGTCCGCCGCAGTGGGTCTCAGCAGCAGCATATCGGAGAAAATACATCCAACAAGCCCCATCCTTACATTATTGCAGCCGCTGCTCACCGCCAGAGCCCGTTCACAACCACGAGCGCCGCCCACCAGCGCCCATCGCACGCAGACGACAAGATGATGGGTTCTTCTGTTCCGTGGAACCCCCAGGGCTCCGTTTTGCCTGATTATCCCCCTCGCGAGACGCTCGATGCCGAATATCGTGCATATTTGGACTCGGCCGCTGCAAACACGCATCCCCAGCTCACCACCATCTCAAACGGCGCTGAATTCGACGCTCGGAATTCGAGTTTAGGCTCGATGGCCTACAGCCACTCCTCGTTCACCGCCCCCGATGGTTATCCGTTGGCCGACGCTGCCACTGCCCAGAACCAGGCCCAACGAAATATAAGCAACCCAGGCCACACCCATCCACCCAGACGCTCGACCACTGGCACAGACATGTTTGCGCTCTCCCCAGAGTCCATCTCCGCCTCGCACGAGTCTCCCTATAACGGCTACACAAACTCGCCCCCTGTCCACCAGTACTTTGATTATACCACCCACTACACCGGGCAATGGCAGCCTGGCCCAGGTCCACAGATCCCTGCTGGCTCCAACTTTTCATACTCCCAGCAACAACAGCAGCAGCGGCAGCAGCAACAACACCAGGACCAGCCGGCATACCCACACTATGCTGGGCCTCCCGTAACGGGTATCACGTATCCCCTGGGTGGTCAATCCCCGTTTGAGCCCTACGCGGGCGTCAATATGGGCGTCAACCCAACCCAGGTGAATGCGGGAGGCGGGGATGCACTAGGCGGTCATGCCGGCTCCCAACAGCGTGTGCAGCCACCACCAATGTATGTTTCCTTTCATCGAATAGGGGTTTCCTGACACGACGACAGATCTACCGGTCGACGCATGGCAAACCCAAGCTCCCTCAAGGAGAAAGTCGCCCAGGGTTCTCGCCCTCCAGTCAATCGTATCCCATCAAATGGCAGCACCAGCAAGCTACCACCTCCACCACCCCCTGTGGTCAAGCCAGTCACCAAGCGCAGAAGGACAAATGCATATGACGACGACGAAGACGAAGAGTCGTCTGACGAGGACTATGCAGATGGGTCCCAGTACCAGTCCAACACGAACAATAACAATAACGGCCGTCTCCCACCACGTCTGTGCGTATCTCTCTTTCTCTTTGGTTCAAAGGACAAGGCGGCAGACCAGACGTTTCTACACCACGGGCCTTTATATCGTGATTACCCTCACGGGGATAACAAAATTTGCATTCCGACTGTGTAATCAGCCGCGGTGAACGGAACGCGAGCTTGGAGCGACCTCTTGCCACCGGTGCTTTGCTCGCCCCGGCACTAGACGCATCAACCCATCAATTGGCTCCCTCTCTCCGCCGTGTACACGACCCGTTTAACCCTGTTCATTTCTGACACCTTTTTTTTTGACATCTAGGCCTGGAGCATGTGCCCCTTGCAAACGCTTAAAGGTGAGAGTTGCGCGTTATTGGGGGGACCCTCCGTGAACTGAATACTGATTGCTTCTTAGATGAAATGTGTCTTTCCGGAGGGCGAAAACGCCTGTCAGCGGTGCAGAAACTCTGGACGAGCCAGTATGTCGTCCTCTCGTCCCACCTCGCGTAGCTGACGCAAAAGCTTAGACCAATGCGTCGTTGGCCCGAGAAAACCTAGGCAACCTTCCAAGTATGTGTGCCCATCCGAACCCGTCTGGTCGCTGTGCTAACGGCTGTCAAAAGCAAAAAAGAGCTTTTACTCCAGAAAGTCCGGGAGCAAGACGCGACGATCAAGAGCAAAGATGCCGTCATCAAGTCGCTGCTCGAGCAGCTGCAGAACCCGCACGTCCAGATTTCGCTCAAGGACGATCAACCACGCATGTCGGCATCCATTCCGGCCGCAATCGCGGACCAGCTTCCCAAACAAGAAGAGCAGCCGATTGATAAGGCAATCTTGGACTGGATGGAACGCGCACAAGCTAGCATCGTCAGCACATCGTCTGCAGGTTACCGTATCTCCGACGCACGGGGTCTCGACGAGTCGGATTCGGATTCAGATGACGGCGTGAATTACGACGACACGATGGGCGGTCAGCTCATGAGTCCGACAAAGTCGTCTGGCATGTCCGAGTCGGGTCGTAGTGTCGGCCGGACGATTGGTGGCCAGCTCGCTGCTCCGCTCGACCAGGGTGTGCATAGCGCAAAGAGTTCGCCCAAGTTACATTCTCTGCCGTTGGAGACGACGCCGATTGGATTGCTGGCTGAATTGTCCTTGCGGGATCAGCGCGATGCGCAGAGCCGTCGCTCGCGCTCGCGCTCAAAGTCTCGGTCTGTTGCCAGTAATGGAGACATTTCCGCGTCGAGTCCTGCGCGGGAGAGCTCTGGTGGCAAGAATGGAGACGAGGACGATAATGACAATAATCTTGGCGTCGCAAGCAAGTCTTACTTCCAGGCCGATCCTGCTGCGCAGATGGGTCTGAGGACGATCAAGATTGAGAGGAAGAATATCCCCGAGATTATGTCCTGTGGCATCGTTTCACCCAAAGAGGTTGACGAACTGTTCAAGATTTTCTTTGATAGACTCAACGTATGTCCCGTTTCTTGACGTCTCAAGGCGCCTTTGCTCATACATTCTAGGTTTTCGTGTCGATTTTGGATCCCCTCTTGCATACACCTGCGACGACCTTTGGACGTTGCCCCTTCTTGTTTACTGTTGGTGCGTATACCCGCAGCTAGACTGACGGTGCGCTGACAACTCATACAGTCTGTGCAATTTCGTCGCGCTACTATACCGAGAAGCGTCCCGAGCTTTACAGTCTCGCGATGCACTTTGCGAGAAAAGCTGCGGCTTCATCGCTCATTGAAGGTGCCAAGAGCGTCGAGCTCTGTCAAGTAGGCAACTCTTACTATTCTATTGACGTCGCTCATTCGTTGTAGGCTTATATCCTCATGTCTGTGTACTCGATGCCATCGCGTCGATGGGAGGATGCGCGCGAGTGGCTCTATCTTGGGTTGGCCATTCGGTAAGCAAACTGCTAGAGCTACCAGGACGGACCTAATACAATTACAGCATGGCGACTGACCTTAATCTTCATGTTCGAACGACGACCAAGCCGCTCAACGAGCAACACGAGCGAGAGCTCTTGAACCGGAGTCGTACCTGGCTCATCTGCTACAACCTTGACCGCTCGGCATCTGCCCAGCTCGGCAAGCCGGCGTCCATCCGTGCAGACCCCATCATCCGGAGCGTCCGTGCCGTCGGCGACCGTAAGCCATGGTGGAAGGCCTCCCAGTACAATGATCCATTCGATCTGCACCTGTGCGCTTACACAGATTTGCTGTCGACGATTGTGGCCGAGTTCCAGGAACGAGTCTACTGGGATCCAAACACGGAGACGTCGGTTCTGCGGTCGGATCTGGATCTCGTAAAGGTCGCATATGAGTTTGATGCCCGCTTGACCAAGTGGAACTCGGAAACGACCGTGAGCTTTGCGACACATTCGGACGCGAGTAGTCCGCAGTGTGCGTACAGGGTCCGGTTGTTGCCGTTTTATGTCAACTACCTCCGACTGGTCATGCTCTCCCTCGGCTTCCAGCAGGTCACGCACAAGGCGCCGAAACGCGAGGGTCCACGGCCGGAGATTGTCAAACGGTGCCTGGACGCAGCTTGCGAAGTTGTCAAGACTATTGTCGACACACTTGCGCCGACAGATTATTTCCGGTATGCCCCGATGGGCATTTCGTATTCACGTCGTTTGCGAGTGCATTCTTGATCAAGATGCTCCGACTGCAAAACGGGACATTGTTGGATGCAGAGGAAAAGACGCAAGTCATTGCATTGGTCGAGCGCCTGATTGATACGCTCAAGAATCCGCGTATCGCGATTGACGCACGCCACACCCCAATGCTCTACTCGCGTTTCTTGGCCAGCTTGATCAGCAAGTACAAGGAGGATATGGCCCCGTCGACAGATGGAGGAGATGGGTTGACGTCCAACGATTCGGCTGGCGTCCTCACTCCACCCATGGTCAAGGACGAGTCTGGACCAAATGCATCCTCGTCGTCGCAGGCTACACGAGGCGAAATGGGTCCACCACCACAGAAACCAGCCAGTTCTTCACGACCGATGGGTAACGGTGCTCCAGTAGCAGCAGCAACCAGTCGCCACCGCCCGAGCCCATCGATCGAACTGGTGCCTGCGCACGATCCGTCGTCGAATGGGCCTCCACCAACCGCGCATACCATCTTTGATCCGTCACTGCTCATCGACGATGGACATGGATCGTTGATGCTGCCTTTGTCGGCAAACCACGAAGAGTCGTATGCAGCCACGGTGCACGCCCCAAGCACCGTGTACGGAGGCAGCCAGTATAATGCACCGATTTCGCAAGGTGTGGGTACTGGCATGGGTGGCTTCGGAATGGATACGTTCATGGCGGACGACCATATGCTGGCTCCCATGTTGGCAATGTCGAATCCCGCGTTCTGGGACTCGGGAATGCTACCGGGAATGCCGGCGTGGTCTGATGAGATCATGCAGTGGACGTCGAGTTTGGACGAGGAGCAATTGGCGGCGCTGGGAGCCGAGAGCCATAACGGTGCATATGTTGGTCGGTATTAGAAGAAATGTACACCTTGGAACGATTTTGGGAATTACAAGTGATGGCATCAAACAGTGACCCTGATGAAGGCCGGCATCCTCTTTGTAATAATCCAGAGTCGTAGATTCGTTACGAACGATTTGCGAGATTACGAAATGTCGTGCTGTCGAGTAGCCGTGCGTTGTCGACGCCCGTTCTAATAAATGCAAAAACGGCTATTCTCGAGGAGCACACAGTCGCCAGGGTCGAGGCTGTCTGTCTCGGGGTGTGATAAAACGCGGGGAATTCTTCCCCCCTAAACGCTATAAAACCCACTTCTCGGCGAAACACAGAGGGGGCCTTGTCCTTTGCCTCCCGCTCTCCGCCTGCTATCCCGTCTACACCTCCGCCAGCATACCCTCATAGATCTCGTTAATTACCTCGAGAGAGCCGCCGTATCTTGGTCGCTGGGTCATTGCCGCCGTTAGAAATGCCCCGCTCGCAGGTTGTGCTTATTGGCGAAGAGTCGATTGCCAGAGGTGTGTGGTTTTCTTGGTTGGGAAAAAAAATCGGTACTGAATGCTGAGCAGATTCACCCGAGTATGCGGCTGGGATCTGTACGCCTTTGCGTATTCCTTGGTGAGAATAGAGACTGACGGAAGAAACAGCAACACAGATGCGGCAATATCTGCCACGGGTAACTGTCGAACGACATGCAAAGTATACACCCCCGAGTATTCACAGACCTCGGGAAGATATGCCCGTACTCTATCAGGTGAAGAGCATACCATTAATTGGGTACACCAGGACACTAACAGGGCGTATATAAATAGCCAGAGGATCCAACGGTTGGCTTTAAATCTGGCCATGCCATCAAAACCCCCAACAGGACATTTGTCGTCCTCAACCCATGGCTGCACCCGTCGGACATTTTTGTACCGCACGTCAACAATTATCGAGCCGCTCGCTACGTGTCTGTGACCAGTCCGACGCAAGCACTCTTGTATACCGCGGGCGTGCATCGATTACGGGCTACCTACCGCCTGCGCCGCTTGGTCGCTCATCTTTAGGCCAGACGCACCTGATGCCAACGTCTCTGCGCGTCTCGAACTCGATGGCCCACAGACGTTGCACCGCGCCGAGCTTCGGGCCGCGATAGGAGCCATGCAATACCGAAGTTGGAACACCGAGGGGTTCAATAGCATTGTGATTGCGACGAATTCAGACTATGTGGTGCGAGGTGGGACAGAATGGGTGTGGAAATGGGCAAAGAATGGTTGGACTAACCCCGTCGACGGATATCCGGTCGCGAACAGAAGTCTCTGGGAAAAGTTTATGAAGGAGGTGCGCAAGATGGAGTCTGTTGGTGTCGAAGTTCGCTTCTGGTACATTAGTGCCGAGTGGAACGAAGCTGCTGTCGAGTTGGCAAACGCCGGAACTCTACGAAAAGACGTGGACAATACGTTTCAAAAGGTGGTCGGCATTCTCGTCTAGCTTCTCTTGCATTTGGATTTCTTTCGGAAGTATGCTTGTTGTAACATCTGTAGGATCTTGCGGTTTTGGGAATAGTCGCGTTTTACCATTTAGGCGTGGCCCCGTTCGACCTCGAGTCCCGTGCCTTGTCAGTGTGTCCCCACCTTGAACTCTTCCATGACCATCTGTGCGAACTGCGTTTCTGGTCACGTTCTCCCTGGGGACCCCACCGGGTCCACAGACCCGGCCAGTGGCTGCTATCTAGCCCTGCGTAACCCGGCTATCGCGGGTCGAGCAGATGCAAATAAAACTGCTATCGTACTACTGACGGACATTATCGGACTTCGACTCAAGAACGCAAAGCTCCTAGCAGACCGGTTTGCACAGAGGTTGGGCTACGACGTCTATGTTCCCGACCTCTTCGACGGCACGTAGTTATTTGATGGCCTATCCACGACTCATACCACCTCCAGGTCACCCACCTGTCCGTCTCATCGACGACGAGGCAAACCTCCGTAAATTCATTCCCGACGAGCCTGGGGCAAAGTTCTCGCTATGGAACCGGTTTCAGTTTCTCTTCCTTATCCTCAGATGCGCACCTGGACTGTGGAAAACGAGGCCCTCTATTGGGAGAGAGCGTGTACAGGCTGTACGTATCTCTGCCAATTACACGCAGTGTCTCACAGATTCCTAGTTCATTCGTGACCTAAAGGAGAACAAGGGGTATGAGAAGATTGGTGTCATCGGGTACGTCGCTTACGCTGGTCCGGGAGCGTGATTGTGACAAAGAGGCAGGTACTGCTATGGCGGTGGAATCGCCATCAAACTTGCTATGCAAAAAGGCATGGTTGACGCCGTCGTCTCATGTCACCCAGGGCCAGTATGGCTGGATGACTTTCCTCGAGTCGTTGTTCCATTTGCCTTGTTCTGTCCAGAGGGTCCGTGTTCTATCCAGTTTTGCTCGTGGAGTCTAATGATGATCACAGAGGACGAATGGCTATCGCCGGCCAAGAGAGATCGAGCAGAGGCCGCGTTAAAGGTGCTCAAGAATGTCCCAACAAAGGTCCAAACCTTTTCAGGTCTGAACATTTCCATCATTCGAATCACTCGTATTAAATCTTGTCTAGGAACTGTCCACGGATTCTGCTGCCGTCCAGCCCTGGGGATTCCCAAAGTCCAGACAGCATTTGAGGGTGCATTCGAAGAGGGCGTGGCTTGGTTCCAAACGCATCTGTGATGCAATCCTTCGTCGTGAAGCCTTTACACTGGATATTAGAAGAATGCTTAATTACGCCCTTGACACTTGATCCCGACCGCGTCACACGCCAGCTCTGCTCCTTAGCAAACAGTAAAACAACATGGCTGGAATATGTCAAGACTGTATGACAGGACACGTCCTGCCTGGTGAGCCCAAAGGAACAACGTCAAACGTGGACGGAGCCTACTTTACCTCGGCTCCCGCATCAGCACCGACGAGTGAACAACAAAACGAGGCAGAAGTAGGTAGAAAGACGGCGTTGGTACTCCTCACAGACATGTTCGGGCTCGCGCTCTCCAATCCCCGGATCCTCGCAGACCGCTTTGCAGAGCGTCTCGGGTGCGACGTCTATGTCCCCGACCTGTTTGAAGGTATTTATTCGAATTTGGAGTTTATTAACTGCAAAAACCAACGAAATTGGGATGTCAGGCCATCCGCCCATTGATGCCGACCAACTGCAGCCGTATACACCCGACGTGCCCAATACGCACTATAGTCTGTGGAATAGACTCACTTACTACCTTTTGTGGATCCCAAAACTTCCGTCTTTGTGGGCAAATCGACCGAGTGTAGGACGGGCAAAGGCAGAGCAGGTAAATCCGTTCCGCCTCTCAGTATCCTACGTCTGACCACAATGTATCAGTTTATCCAAGATTTGAAAGACAAGAAGGGCTACACAGACATTGGCGTAATAGGGTATTTGAGGCTTTTTGAGCGTTCTTTGGTTCTGGAAATTAACGCCACTCAGGTACTGCTACGGTGGTGGAATAGCAGTCGGACTTGCGACCAAAAAGGGTTTTGTCAACGTCCTCGTCGCTTGTCACCCAGGACCAATCACGGAGTCTGAATTTCCCCACGTCTTGACGCCATTGGCCATGTTCTGCTCACAAGGTATGATCCTTTTGCCGCATAGAGTATACTGCTGATCATAGAATCATGTAGAGGATCCATGGGTCACCCCACCCAAACGCGCGCGTGCAGAGGCCGCTCTGGCAAAGCTGGATACAGTAGAGACTAAAGTCGAGACACTCCCAGGCATGTTTATCCACTTTTCTCGCTACTCTGGACCTCCATAATAGATATCCTTCGCCCCCAACCATCCCCCTGCTAGTTCGCAACGAGCTTACCATTCAAATAGGCACTGTTCACGGATTCGCTGCTCGACCGAATCTTGGTATCCCACAAGTCCGAGACGCATTCGAGAGGACGTTTGAAGAGTGTGTCCAGTGGATTCAAGCGCGCATCCATCGTCACGAGTGATATCCAGACTCAAAACGCGTGCTACCCTCTTCTTGACAATACAGTTACCTCAATGGGCTGTTTTTTTTGTTGTGCCTCCGCAACGCCGATTAACCTGTTTCCGCAGTTATTCGCATCAGAATGTACAAAATTGCATTGCATTCTCTTTAGAACAAAAGAAAGAAACGCGTGTGTCATATTCAACTGCTATGGGCGCCTCTAAGGGCCCGTGGTTTGGACGTCCTCTTGGGGCAAGACAATCCGAGCCGGTCGGCTGTCAGCAAAGGCTTCGGGTCGCAAAAACTCGTTGGAGACCTGCCTTGTACTAGTCTTGGCCTTACTGACGCACCATCGACTGTGCTGGTCCGCTAACTTATGCCCTACTGCACGGTCTTTACGGTCCGTGTTTTCGGCCTCTGCGAGATAAACTCGACAGCTCGTTTCTACATTAGGGTGCGACGTAATCCACTTTACTCAGTCCGGAAACCGAGGAGGCTGGGTTTGGGGTGCTCTGGTTCAATGCATCACGCGCACATTGCTCGGCATGCCAGTACAAATTCGTAAAGGCGGGGAAAGAGGCAATCAGGACCTCATGTGATTGGGCGCATCGAGCGAATCCAGCCTTGATCGATATTCGACGTCTGCACCATGAGATATACGTGAATGTGGGCAGGAGTGACCACATGATATTAATCGAGGTGACCATGATCACAATGTACGTGGACTGGACCAATCTCGATCGCACACGATCATGGAGAGAAGACAGACTTGCGACACCCAGTATCCGAAGAGCGAGCAAGAATACCTAAGCCGGTGGTGGCAACGCGGGAAAGTGTTTCTGGTCATGATCATTGCGCGTCCGAATCCTCCCGAGCTGAGCGGGCCAGATAGTGAGCAAGATCATTCCGACCGAATTGAAACCAGCCTGAGCAGAGCCGCTAGGTTGGAATTGGGGTCGTCCCTATACTTGCGAAGCATGTTGTCCGTTATCCGTTATATCAGTTTTTGAATAGCGGAAATTGCCTCTTGGTGATCAACGATCGTCCACGTGGGCTCAATGGTCGAGCCTAGTGATCCCGATCCGCGATCCTTTTCTCGATGAAAGTTCGAGTTGACGGGGCGTTCGACTTGCTTCTGCTTTTGGCTCACGGCTTGTTCCTGTGAATGGGGCACTCTACCCGACAGGTTGGTCGACATGGACTACAACCGTCTGCAGTTTAGTAGGTGACTTTTCGCGTGTGGAGAAGCAATTGGGTGAGTGACGCGATCGGGCTAATCGAAATGAGATGGGATCACTGCATAATGCCGCCTGCCGAAGCTCACTCCTGTCCGCAACAGGGAGAGACGGGGCGGGCACCAGTGTCCCCGAGATTGGTGCGCTTGTTCGCATGTTCCCGTAATCAAGTTGTTTTCCGGGTATTTCTTCGTAGTTGTCCGTTTCTAGATTGGCGGGTCAGGATTCTCAATTGCTCCATCGTGACTCGAACAGGGCAAATAAATGGAAAGATAGTTCCCGAAAAGCTCGAGGCCGAGATAACAGATCCGTAACGGATAACCCAGCATGCGATGCGCCTCTCGAGGTATTTGTCGGCGCCCGGCTGGTCCATAATAACTCCACGTAACCTTTCTTCGTCTCATAGCAGTCACACAAGCACTGTGGATTCGCTCAAGCTGCTCTCCGACGTCGAACAGGTAGGTATGCAAAGTAAGCAACCGGACTGGACGACATTGCAAAGATAAGGTGCGAAGATGTCGAGTAATCACGAATGGTCCTGAGGCGAGTAAAGTGCCTGCATCATGTCGGCTCCTGACCAAGACAGGCTCCCAAGCCATAGTTTTGGTAACGCGTACGAATATCTGTATCGCCAACCACGGAGAGGTATTTTATCGAGTTTCTGGGTTGTCGTATGAGGGCCCGAGTGGCTCAATAACCCAAGCAAAAAAAGACGGTGTCTGATTTACCAGGTGGAAATGTAAATATGTACAGCTAGAACCAATCAGTAATATTTTTTGTTATTGCGATCACATACATTTAGTTCACAAATAAGTGCGCATGGCCTGTTCCTTTATATGATCACTCGGGTCCGTCTCTCCGACCTAGATTCGCATTAAAGCTCTTCTGGATCGCTCCTTGATCCTCCCCACTCTTTTTTCCCCCTTTGTTGGTAAGAGCCTCCCACCGCTCCAGAGTTTTTCGCTGACCGACGGGGTCGGTTACAGCGAAAACCGAAATGAAGACTGCACGCAAAAACCTAAAGGCATCTGTAAAGCGCCAAGTCCCCAAGTTGGTCAACCCGATCGCTCTTAGGCAAAGAGGGGGCAAGCGTCCCCATCCGTTGAGGCGGGCCACCGTCGATTCTCGGACAGCTCCGGTGTTGCCACCGGTTGCAAGTGTTTCCGAAGAACACGAGCACGATGGCATTAGCTCCCTCTGCCTCGAATGTGAGGCTTGGTCCGCTGCGAATCATCGCGGCGGTCACCTAAGCCATCGCTGCAAGATACTGCCGATAAACTACTTTGCGCCTAACGTAGACGCAATGCTCCACTTTGGCGACCAACCCTTTATCCGCCCCATTGGCGTCGAAGAGTGCCATTAATCTCCCTGGCTTGCTGCTTGGAACTTGCTCAGAACTTGTGTGAACGTTTCCCTGGTGTTGTTATTTATCCGAGTCGTGCGATTCGTGTCTTGTGCTTGTCGGATTCGTCTCGTGTTTTGTCCGTTTTTTTTTTTTTTGTTGATACCAGTTCGCAATCTCCGTAGTGGTCGTGTTGATAGACATCTGCAGTTCCAAGTAGGTTATAAATATGGTTTTGTCTGATTTTGGTGTTCCTGAACAAAATTTTGCTGGCGAGCGTAGTGGTCAAGCTGTGAAGTTGCTCCTGACCGCGACCCCTGCAAACGGAGCGCGAGGTCGTTAATCGACTGGACACTGTTTAAGAATGGACGACAATGATATGGAAATGGAGATGGGGACACCTCCTCCGTTACTCGGGCTCTGGAGATTGATATTGGAGACCAAGAAGTTATCACAATCGATCTCGACGCGTTAGACCAATCAACCGACGACGTGATCAACGTTTTGCAAGATGCACGGTGCAAAGTGACAACTTGGACCCAGCTCGCGAGCGAGTATTGGCGACGAGGGTGGTTGGATTCGGCCCAGAGAATCGCACACGCCGCGCTCGAATGTATGTTCTTTGTCACCCCTGCACCATCTTTCTGTATGCTAAACTGGTCCTGAGTCTTCAAGAGTATCAGGGATGCCCAGAGTCTTTCATCCGTCTATCTTCTTATGGCCGGCATCCAAATGGACAGTGCTCGCGCTGCTCCAAAGATGAAGCTAGAGTCTCCACGTGAGTTATATGAACCATGGGTCAACATGATGACATAAAACGCGTCAAGAGCTCGATAAACTTGGCAATGAGACACTGAAAGAGGTCTACTTGTCGGAAGCAACTGCCCTCATGAACTATGCATCGGGAGCGGCTAAAAGCGAGCTCTTTTTCCTCACCGAGGCATTCATCAACTGTCCAAGCACAGCACAATCAACGACGCCCTCGTGACGTTCGAAGGCATCCTACAAGGCACCCCAACAAACATCGTAGCTCTTCATGGAAAGGTTAGTCTACGTGTGGCCCTTTTCTAACTAAACTGACTTCATAAAGGCGAGAATCATGTATATGCAGCGGAAATATCGAGAAGCCCTACAACTCTACCAACGCATCCTCCGTCTCAGCCCGAATGCACAGCCAGATCCTCGAATAGGGATAGGTCTGTGTTTTTGGCAGCTAGATGATAGGTCAAAGGCGAAAAAGGCTTGGGAGCGGAGCCTCGAATTAGTGTGTACTTTTTGGTTGCCTTTCTTCCATAACTGACCATTGCGAAGCATCCGAATCATTGGGTACCGCAGCTGTTACTCGGTCTAGAATCGCTCAATGCCAGCAAGGATTCTCAACGTACAGAGGAACAGCGCCATCACGCGTACACTGTCGGAAGCAAACACATCGAACGTGCATTTCACATCAACCAAAAGAATGGAGCTACTGCCAACTGTCTGTCTGAGTACTTTATCAGGCGTGGCGAAGCACGCAAGGTCAGGTCGAGGAATAATAGTCGACAATCCTAACCTTTTGTAGGCCTTGAAGCTCGCAGAGCGCTCTATTCAATATGCTGATAGTATAACGATCCTTAGCGAGGGACATTTGCGCGCTGGACGGGTTGCACACCTCGAAGGTCGATACGATGATGCCATCACTCACTATACAAACGCTAAGAACCTCCCGCTCGCCTCTATCGGCATTGCACAGTGTCATATCAAGCGTGGTATGTCAAAGGATGATTAGTAAATGACACAATTGACAAATTCTTCCAGGCGAGACCGCGGCCGCAATACATGTACTCGACACACTGCTCAACGGTCCAGAGACACAGCAACCAAAGGAAGCCATGATCATGTTGGCATCGCTACGAGCATTTGAGCGACCTGCTCTATCTTCAGCCGAACTCGCACAGGACAAGGCAAAGGCGCGAGAGCTCCTAGAACGTGTCAAGAGACACACATCTCAGGCGAATGGAACAAAGTCCAACGGCATATCTGCTGTGAATAACCGAAAACCTGCTTGGATGAACGACCTCGAGATGCACGTGGAGATTGGCAGATTGTGGGAAAGAGAGGACACTGCAAAGGCCCTCTTAGCCTATCAAGACGCCAGGAGAATCAGCGAGCAGAGTGTAGCCGGTGCCGATCCCCGTATCATAAACAACATTGCCGTGCTCGGTCATCTAAGCGGCAAGATTGCTGAAGCTCGGGCTCTATATGAAGAAGCCCTTGGAATTCTTGCCAACAAATGGGCGAACCACGAGAATATGGATGGAATGTCGACGACGATCCTCTACAATTTGGCTCGCGTGTATGAAGATCAAGACGAGACGGCACTTGCAAAGGATGCATACGACAAGCTTCTAGGAAGACACCCGGAATACGTGGATGGTGGGCGTCTTTGTGACTTTCAAGGTTCCATATTGACCATCTTCAAGCCAAGGTTCGCCTTGCGCACATGCTTCTAGCAAGCAACAAGCCAAACGAGGCACATACCATTCTCAAGCAAGCAATCGAGACGCAACAGACCAATATGAATCTTCGGGCGTACTATACGCACTTCCTTACCCAAAGCAACCTGCTACAAGCTGCACTCAAGATCGTTCACGCGACGCTCAATATCAATAAAAACGACTTATATGGTACCGTAGCATCGGGTTGGCTGCATTATCAGCTGGGGCGTGAAGCGCGTCCCAATAATGAGGAGACAATGCGCGATCGCCGACATAAACTCTTATACGCGGCAGAGTTCTATGAGCGTGCTCTTAACCTTGACCCCAGTTGCTCGGTCGCTGCCCAGGGCCTAGCAATACTAATCGCAGAGGACGCTATTGGTATGATGGCGTTGAAGCCCGGTGCCGGACTCGAGGACCACGAGACGCGGTTGGCGAATACGAGCGACGCTTTGGAATATTTTGCCAGAATTCGAGAGGTGATGGCGGACGGAAGCGTTTATACGAACATGGGACATTGCTATTACATGCGCGACGAGTATGAACGCGCGATTGAAAGTGTAAGCACTCACGTCTCCAGGATGCTCTAATTGACACATTGGATAGTACGAAACGGGGCTGCAAAAGTTTTACAATGGTCAAAACACATCTGTGATGATGTGCCTCTCGCGAGCGTGGTATGCAAAAGCCACTCGAGATCAATCATTCGTGGCAATGAAAACAGCTCTGCATCTCGCGCAGACGGTGGGTCGACCCTCCATACTCAGACGAATACTCATTGTCTCCAGGCGCAAATGTTGTCTCCAGGTGACAAGTCCATCAAGTACAATATTGCTGTTATCGAGCAACGAGCTGCAGAAATGGTTTTCTCTTTGCCCGTCTCAAAGCGAACGCTCGAGGAGCTGCAAGAGGCACTCGATCTCGCTACGAATGCCCAACGTTTCTTGTTCGAATTATCCGAGGACACCAGCAAGGGTGGTCTGCCATATGACAAGGACATGGCTTCTCAGCGACATCGTTACCTCGGATCTCTCTTACGAAAGGGCACTGAACAGATATCTCAGCAGCAGGAGTATGAAAAAGAGCATCACGCCAAGCTCGAGGCGGCTCGTGCGTTTAGAATGGCGGAAAAGGCTGCCGCAGAGGCGAAAGAGGTTCGTAGTCACGCCCCCGTTGGAAATTGTCGTCTCATTCTGGGATAGAAAGCGAGGCTGGAAGAACTGCAACGGGAGGCCGCTGCATTGGCAGAAGAACGACGGAAAGCCAGAGAGGAAGCCGCGTTATGGGCCGCTCAACACAAGGACGATTCATCCGACGAGGATAAGCCTAAACGGAAGAAGAAGGGTAAGGCAGCTGGTGATGATCTATTCGACGACGACGATGAAGCTGCGACCGAACCTCGAAAGGAACCAAAGGAGAAGAAGGAACGCAAACCACGGATTACAGCGCGCAAGCGGAAAGGCAAAGATGCCCAGACGGGTGACGAAGGCCTTAGTAGTGGAGAAGATGCGGAAAAGACTGAGAGGCCGAGGAAGCGATTGACAAAGAAGCGTGTTGTGAACGATGATGAAGAGGAAGAGGTCGATCAACGAGCGCGGAAGAAGTTGTGAGTATTCATTCGAGCGTCCCAGCTACTTTGGTTGACTATAAACCTTTACAGCAAAACATCGGATCTTATTGAGGATTCTGACGAGGAGTTGGAGCGAATTGATCGCATCGAGGCGGAGAGGTTACGGCTAAGCAAAGCGGTGATCAGCGACGACGCAGGAGAAGACGCCAACATGTCATAACAGCAGCTTGCCGTGTTCTGAACAAGTATCTGTCGTGCATTGAGAAAGTTAACGTACAGTGCACACCGCGCACGTTCATCGGATGCTCCGGAGCGCTGTAGTGTATCCACTGTTTACTGTATCTTTAATGAACTAATAAAGTCCAAAAGCATATCCGGAGCCTTTCGTGCTCCGACGTTTGGAGCTTTTCGTTGAGTCAGTTCTTTCCTTCTGCCACGCCTTGGTCATGACTTCGCCCATGCCATTTTCGTCGTCATGGTCGACAGACAGGGCACTTGTACAGCGCTATGCGGCTTCTAGGGGTCAAGTAGACGCCACACCCGAGCTAGAAGATGCCTGGCACTCCCCAACAAGTCCCTCTTCCCCCTTTCCCGGAGGAGAAGACCGCCCACTTCTTACTTCTCGTATATCACCAGCAGTAAATCATGTCTCTTCGGCCGGGAAATGGGCACAAGACAGCGATAATGACCACTCACGACCAACGCCGACAATAAATGTGACTGAATCAACACCTCTGATTCCCCATGAACCCTCTGGAGGGTCTGCTAGGCCGGGAGATCGTCAGGAGTGGTGGAGCGAAGTTCGAACATTGTGTGCTTTCACTTTGCCAGTGTTAGGGTAAGTTGCGCGCGATATTAGGAGGACTTACTACTAAAAATTATTAATTAGCACTCATATCTGTGAATATTCCTTATCTATTGCACCCGTCATCTCTACCGGGCATATTTCGACAGAGGCCTTGGCTGCAGTCACTCTTGGGACAATGACTGCGTCAGTCACGGGCTTCTCCATCATCATAGGATTCAGCACGGCCCTAGATACGATGCTTCCATCTGCGTGGACATCCGGGACACCTTCTCTAGTTGGACTATGGACCCTTCGCATGTTCGTTTTGATGACTGCTATTCTGATTGTGAGTTCATGCTGTCCGAAATACAGAAATCTGACTGCTAGACAGCCCATTGCAATGTTATGGCTGAATGCCGAAGTAATATTGCTGGCGTTACGTCAAGAGCCGGAGATTGCCAAACTAGCAGGCATTTATCTACGTTGGTTTATGCTTGGACTACCAGCCTATGCCTTCAACGCTATCGTAAGGTATAACCTCCACCTCCAAGCTGTCCAAGCACTCACATTCCTCACCAGGCGTTTCTTCCAGTCACAAGGTATGCTCAAGTAACTCGGTACATAGGAAATTGATCATGAAGAGAAGGGCTCTTCAGTGCACCAACCCGAATTGTGGTCATCGTTGCTCCGATCAATATACTGCTCAACTGGCTTCTCGGTGAGTACGGAATCAGGATATGCGCAAGGAAAATTGACAAAACGGGACAGTTTGGGGGCCAGATTGGATCCGCCTGGGCTTCATTGGCGCGCCAATTGCGACAGCAATCTCTCTAAATCTGACATCTTGTCTTTACACATTCTATGGGCTCTGGTTCACATCCAAGGTTGCGTGGCATCCCGTGAACAAAGAGTGCCTGCACGACCTTCGTCGCCTCTTCAGGTTGGGTTTTGCAGGCGTTGCACAAATCGCAGCTGAGGTGATTAGCCCACAGGATCTGTCTTCAACTGACACATTCCGCATAGTGGTGGTCATGGGAACTCTGCGGATTGGTCGCTAGCCAAATTGGCTCCCTGGAGCTGGCTGTCCAGTCTGTCTTGCTTGTTTCCGCGTCGACTTCGTATCAAGCACCTTACGCTCTCAGCTCTGCTACATCGGTCAGGTAGGAAATTCACAACATTTACAGCCGCATCACATTGACGAGACACAAGGGTCGGAAATATGCTCGGTGCTCGAAATGCTAGGGGAGCTGCCCTTGCCACTCGTGTCTCGATATTCCTTTCCTTTATTGTGGCATTGCTAATGAGGTAAGTCTTTTTTTAAGAGTACCAGGAAAAACTGACCTCCAATATAGCGCTGTATTCTTATTGTTCCGCAAGAACTGGGCATACATGTTCAACGATGATCCTTACGTCGTCAAGGAAGTCGCTCACATCCTTCCCCTCGTGAGTAGATGATCCACGATGTATTCCTTCACATGCTCACACTATCACAGGTTGCCGTAAGTAGTATTATAGCAAACAGTTCTTTCTAATGTTTCGCATGGCTAGTTGTTCCAAATTTTTGATGGGCTCGGGGCAATCACCGGAGCAATCCTACGTGCTCTTGGTAAACAAGATATTGGTGCCATGCTAAGTCTTGTCGGATACTATGCATTCGGGATCCCGCTTGGTATTGTTCTTGCCTTTAAAGCAGGGCTAGGTCTCGAGGGTCTCTGGGTCGGACTGACGCTGGCGCTCGTCTTTGTTGGGGTCACTGGGCTCTACAGTGCGTTCTTATTCATCAAACTGTCACAAACTTACCCGCATCTAGTTTGTACCATTCGCACAAACTGGGAGACTGAGGTGCACAAAGCCATGGTTCGCTTGGGACACGAGCAAGAGGAACCACCACGGAATACAACCACAACATCGAATGTTGTTCCATAGATATTTTTACCTTCTGACGTGTCGATACGACCCAATGATATGCTTCCGCATTTCCGCGGCATGTGATAGGCTGCTCGCCATCCTTGAACCCGACGCAATCTTGGAAATGATCTCTGCGACGGCGCGAAGGGCGCTGCTCGCGCAAAATCGACAGCTTTTGCGCTCTCAATTCACTCCAATTGTCGGCGGAAGAGCACGATGGGCTGCAACATCTTCGTCTGGCACTCCTCCCGAGTCTGTCTACGTCCCGGGCGGTCGTGAGTGTCAATTTCTCTGAGAAAGACCTCATTGGGATGATTCGAAATATATTTTGTTGACAAATTACTTCTAGCTGTCTACAAGGGTTCTGTAAATGATCCCACCCCGTTTCCTACCCCCTCAAAAGCACATGGTTCGCACCACTGGGCCTTTGAACGACTTCTCGCTGCGGGACTCGTTCCTTTGACGGGCGTTGCATTTGTGACGAGCGGCTCGCATTACCCGGTTCTTGACGGTGTCCTCGCGCTCAGCTTGATCGTCCATTCGCATATAGGGGTATGTGAAAGAGTCGCATTCGATCAACTTGCATTATTGAATTACGTCCCAAGTTTGACTCCGTCGTCGTTGATTATCTCGACACTCGCAAGAAGCCCGTCATCGGCCAGGTTGCAAAATGGGGACTGAGAGCTGCTACTACAGCTGCGCTCGTTGGTGTTTACCAATTCAATACCAATGATATTGGTTCGTTCTTTATTTTCCCGTGATCGTCATTGCTCATACCTTGGTAGGATTGACAGAGCTCATTGCAAAGGTCTGGACCGCATAAGGACGGCACCTTTGAGCTCACTAGGGTGTATGTGCAACTAGCAGCTATGAATAATACTTTTCCGACCCATATATGATGAAACACTAAACACATACATAACAAGCACCATGGTACAAGAAGAAACTGTTAAGAAATTGTTGCCTTATTCGCCTCTTACATTCATTCCTCGTCCTTCTCTGGTTCTTCATCTGCGGCGCTCGACGGTGGAGGCGACGACTTGACGGATGATGCACCTGCGTCGGGGTCCTGGCCTTCATCTTCCTCCTGGTCTTCCTCGGATCGTTCGGGAATCGGAGGTTGATCAGGAAGCCGCTATGAAAAGGTTAGTGTCATATGGGAGCCTATCCATCGCTCACCTTGAAAGCGTATTTGCAGACTTTATAACCATGTGCATTGAGCCCCGTTTCCATCCAGTACTGTTCAATGACGTAGAGACCATCATAACGATACCCGGAAGGTGGTCCGTAGATGGATTTCAACTTGTAGCCTCGAATAACCCGGATTGGCTTCTTCTTATCGCACGAAACACACAGCGCTTTATTGTGAGGGTGTTCAAAGCTCTGATCTTTAGTTTGTGGTCCTGTTCGCAACTATTGACGTGAGTGAGTTGAACATAGATCTTAGGACTCACATTCTTTGGTGCATCTTTAGTACCTTTAAGGTCCCTGCCTCCAGCTCCAGTGTATGTGAATGCGTATCCAAGATCAACGTCGTCCTCGTATCCTCCCGAGAGTGCGATAGAGTATGCGCCATCTGTGGCATTACCATATATTCCTGCGATAGTCGGGGCATGAACAGAATCCTGAGAGCACTGTATGCGCATATCCCAAGTTGAACCAACGGGAACACCAGGTATATGTCCAAATTGTTTTCTGGACACAGTCAGATGAGGAAAAGGGCGCTGATAGACTTACGGATCCTGTTTACGTTCTTTGAGTCGGGTGACAGAACGACCTGGCGCATTGTCACCTTCATCAGAGTCTGGCTCCCTTTTTTTATTCAATTTCTTCTTTGGGCCGCTATTTCCAGACTGTCCTCATTGTAGTTGATGATAGAGGCTGTTCTGCGAGAGGACCTCCGCCGACCTTCTGCATCAACCCTGGCTGCCTTGAAGTCACCGTCTACAGACATTGCATCCTCCACATCGTCTCGCTTTCGCTTCAGTGGCTCGGTCTTTTTAGCTTTGGGAGCGGGTTTCGACTTTGCTTTGACGACAGGAACAGAGACGGCTGCTGGTGGAAAGCTCTTTAGTTCGTCCAAACCAAGCGAGAGGAGCAACTCTCTATTCTTTTGCATGTTTTGTGCGCGGAGAGCGTGGTAGTTGGCCATGTCGCCAGTTGTCGAAATTGGTCCGGAACTGTTGAGGTTGGGTTCAAATTCGCGTTTGCGCGTTCCAAACACTCTCGACATGGAACCAGCTGCGTCAAGGTCACAATCATTCACTCAGAAGGAAAACTCTCCATATACGACTGGCGCGTGTCGCGGAGTTTGAAATTATGATAACGTACAGAGCGATGCCATACAGCATAATAATTAAGTAGGACAGAAATATGAAGAGATACTACGGATAAAATCACCTAAGCTCGTCCAGAGTCATTGGCCCATTGCTTGATCGAGGAGCATCGTAGCCGGGGTTGTCAGTTTGAGGCGAGCTGTTCATCGTGGACGCGCTCAGTGGTAATCTAGCAACTCTTGTCATACTCGGGGCGGCTCGAGGCTTCGAATCTGACACAGAGCGATACGCGTAGAGCTCATTTCGCAGGGTGTCATTATCTTCCAGAACGGCGTCACGCTGTTTGGTCGATATCGCAAGCTTCTGCTTCAGAATTAGTGCCAACACTACCCAAGGGATCGAGGAACGAACATGTTTCGCTTCTGCAAGATCCTTCCGGATACGATCCAGGTAATGGATCTTCTGGTTTGGATTCGCATGTCCAAGAATCTCGGCGTTGAAACGACTAAGATGGTCCGCTTCCCTCTCTACGAGTTCATTTCGTAGAACCAGTGCATCGACTTCTTGACAGAGAGCTTTGTACGCGTGTTCGTACCGCATTGCATCTTGAAGGGAGTCTGTCAAGCTGAGGTGCATTAGTAGTGAGCAAAGGGTGAAGCAAACAACAAACTTTTCAATCTCGTCGGCGAGTGCTTGCTCTGCCGACGTCTTCTCTCTCACAGTGAGATCCAATCTCTCGATTCGCTTGCGAGCTTCTTCAAGCTTTCGTTGCACATCTGAGATCTCGTGCGCTAGATCCTCCTTTTCCTTCGAGAATCGCTGTACCTGATCTTGATGTTGCGAGTGGGCCGTGGTCACCTGCTCCTGGAGAGTTCCAACTTGTTCATCTAGCTCCCTTGCCCGTCTTTTAGCTACGTCCGCTTCCACTTTGACTACCTCCAGTTGCCCGTCGAGCTCCGCTGCAGTGTCCAATACTTTTGTTAGAGCTCCTTGCAAGGATGTCGCAACATGCCCAGTGGCTTTGAGATCTTGGAACAATCTCTCGAGCCAGTCACGTTGGTAGCTGTCCATGACCTCTGCAAACTCCAGTTGTGTACGATAGGCCTCTATTTCTCCGCCTCGGTCTTCCGAGAAAGGTACCCCTGCGCTGGGCTGGGACAGCCTATCTGGGTGGGCGCTATCCTGGATACAGTCGCGGAGGAAGATGGATTCCTGTTCGAGTTCAAGAAGCAGCTGGGCCAGAGTTCTCTGTTGCTCTGCTTGACTTCGCAAGAGTGAGATAAACTCCTGGTTTTGCACATCTCTGTCGTGCAGTCGACGTTCGAGTTTGAGTATACGACTTTGCGCCTCGAGGCGGTTCAAACGCTCGGTTTCAAATCGAGAGAGACTGACTGTATTGTCGACAAGGTGTCCATAAAGGCGGGTGCAGATGTTGAGCATTGAACGCACTTCCTCTGTCTCTCGCTTTGCCTGATCGAGTTGAGACTTGTAGTTTGCGTCTGAGCCACTGAGTTGACCTCTTGCTTGTTCAAGATCCGTTCGAAGTTGGGCGTTGGCCTTCTCGGTGTCAGAGGCAAGGCCCCGGAATTTCTCAACGTCAACTGTGAGAGCTTTAATCTTCTTTTCTGTCTCCACCGACTTTCCATCTAGTTGTGTGACCTTTTTGGTTTCCGCTTGTAGCATCTTCTCCAGCTCCTGTATCTTTCCCTCTCGTTCACGGCATAAGGCTTGGGTGGCAACAAGGTTCTTCTTCATCTGCTCAAGTTCCGGCTGAGGTTGTTTCTGTTTCTCCTGAGCCCGGGATTTGACACGCAGGTCTGTAATTTCCGCCTGCGCAGCAAGCAGCGACGATTTGCACTCTTGTGCCTTGGCCTCTGAAGTCTCCAACTGCTTACGCAAAGCGGCTTGTTGGTCCTGGGAGGTTTTCCTGTGTCTTTCTAGTTCTATCTTGAGCTGTTGGACCTCTGTCTTGTGCTGCAGAAGGTTTAGAGCCTAGTGGTGCCCGAAGAATGTAGACGAACCGCCTTCCTTCCGTCTTCATGAAGTCTTTGCAAGTCATCAAGCTCTTTTCTTAAAGAGTTGAGTTTCGCTGCGCGATCTTGAGGCTCCTTGTTCGCGGCTTCCAGACGCTCAATCTATACTTGGTGAGTCAACCGTATGTGCAGATCAAGAGTGCATACTTTAGACTTGTTTGCCTTTTCTTTCTCCAAAGCTCGGTCCAGGTCTCGTCCTGGGAGCATGTAAGCACTGCAACAGCCACTGAACAATATCGCGCACGTAGGTCAGATTGGGTGCGGTGTGAAGCTTGAAGCTGACTCTCTAGATGTACTTTCTCGGCTTCTAATGCTTCGATCTGGCACCAGGTATGAAGAAGCTCTCCGGTCTACGGGATAACCGTACCTGCTGCCTCAACGCACTCGACCCTGCTGCTGATTCTGGTCGCTTCCCTCCTCTTGACGCGTCTTTTGCTGTATTTGTAGGTTCGGAGGTCGAAGGAGCGTCATCTAGGTGTCCACAACATGAAGTTAGCATTTGTGTATCAGTGGCCGGATATTCTGAACGTACCGGGACCTTCGTATTGTCGTTGCTTTGGAAACCTGTCTGCTTTCTCAAGGAATGCACCGCGTTTGTACGAGTCCCAGCCCTCTGTCTCTGGCAAGGTGTAGTAGTTTGGACCTGGGGTCTCGGACGCTGTACCACATGTTAATGACGCGTTTTCACGTCTCATACAACTAATTGTATATCGTACGTTTCTCTTGTACGAATCTCGGCGCTTTCGAGAACATGGTGCAGGGTTTGAGGGGCACTCGCCACCTGAGGTACAACTAATGGTGATCACTATCTACAGGAATGACATGTCTATAGTTGATCAACTAGATTCCTTGTACACTTGGATTGGAATCCGTTACTGTGATTTAGAACGGCCAACTATTATTATCCAGAGGCTGGACTCGGTAAATCTCGACCCAGTAAGCACACTATTTGTATGCAGGGGCAATTACAAAGATTTGTCATGGCTTCTTGGGTGCTGGCTGCTGTGAGGCGTGGAGGCAGCGCTTAGTCCAGCCTCTAGAGCATAAAACGGCGACTCGTGTTGATGGTGCTGAGCCAGTGCGGCGTAAACTGGGCTCACTGCGACATCCTCTCGAGTCCTCAGGGTAGCCACAGCTTGAGCTCCACCAATGCCCGTCACATTCCTCGTAAATGACCATCCAGCTCTCAGCGTCCAGTTTCCTCCAAAGGAGTCTCCTCATGCATTTGCAGCTAGCATCGTCCAGAAGATGTATCCAAGATTGACGCCGCGGCTCGCGGAGAACCACACCCATCTCCTCTCCTCCAGTCTCAGGCAGGGACCAGCGCTCGCACAGCTAGTCCCAGTCAAGCATGGATTCGTCGATGCATGCATTGCAGCCTACAACGAGCACCAGCACCTCGTTGTCCGCCCAGATGATGTATGGATGGCCATCATCTCTCAGTTCTCTTTCTTTGCCAATAATCACCCCGACCGAGACGAATTCAAGGAAAAGCTCATACCCCTTGACAAGCGAAAGAAGCTCAAGTTCTCCACCGACAGCAACAACTGGACCACCAATTATGGGTGGCTCACGCAGGTATTCCTAAAACAAATGAATGTGAGTGGACTGAACATCCAAATATTACTTACTCATCTCGATTTGTCAAGGATAATGTACCCGACAAGGAGCTCGCCAGTTGGATTCTCCCAAAATTCAGCACGACCACCAAGGTGGACGCCCTCTGCACGTCGATTATGATGATGGGCACCCTAAAGGCAAACTACTCGTACCAGTCAATGGCATTGTGTGGTATACCGACTGTCACGCTCGAAGGCGTTCGAGCCGACTATGAAGAACTTCTTCGACGAGTAGATAAACTGCAGGAGTTTGGAGAAGAGACCTACTTTTGGGGAGAAATGCTCAAACCCATCCTCACGAGATTCATCACAGCTTTCGACGGCGATCCAGACCTGCTGTTCTGGAACCACATTTGCCATCGAACGAATGAGATGTGCGGTGATGAATACTTTACTGGGTGGATCACCGCATTCTGTCCTTTTGACCAACAAGGTCGATGACAGCTTTTCACACCCGCTGTACGAGAGCATATGCATATCGACGGTGTGCGATACCAGGCGCTCCCCATGGACAAGATCCCCTGGGGATATTCCCAAGTCGACTTTCGCGTCATTCAAAGCGGAGTTAGCAAAGAAGCCAGTTTCTGCGCAGGACTTATGGGCCTCAAAGTCACCAAAGGTCCAACCTCGAAGCCAAATACCGCTCTCGGTCTCGTCTACGATGCGGAGAATACGACAGTGGCACCTCACCCGTCGTGGTTTATCATCGAGAAGATTGGTGATATTCCTCTACCTCCCGAGACTCCGGAACCGCTTCAGGATCTTCGCCTTTTTCTCCGTCGTGCCGACTATGAAGCAGGCATTAGCACTGGCGTACCGCTCTTGCACACTCGTTCGCCTATCACAGTTCCACGACTCCTTGGGTCGCTGGAGTCATCCGAGTTTGGCTCCGTCTCATCACGCAAATCGCCTACCGAAGTATCATTTGGTAGTGATGAAAAGTCGAGCTCTCATTCGAGAAAGTTGAGAAAGGATCGACCCCCTCTACCCTTTACACCCAAGGATAATGGAATATGGGGCTTCCATCGTCGCAAGCCCCTAACCACTTTTGCAAATGCCCGTGTATAAACTCACTCTCGTGTACTGGCCGGTATACAACCGGCATGTAACTCTATATTTTATATGCTTACCCCCTTTCCTTACAACAGCAACGTAGTCTCGACCAAATCCATTGAGAAAGTAGTGTACACAAGTGTCATCTGCGATCAGCCTTTGCAATATTAGACAAACCGTTCAAGTTTAACGGCGGTGGCCTCCGTATGGGCTTCGACCTTCTGTTGTTAGTGAAATGATTGCTCCCCTCGCTCATGCTCCTTCGGCTGTTGCCCGTCCGGTTCTGTACTGGTGTGGACGAGCCTCCATTGGGTGTGGCGAGGCTGACTTGGACAAACGAATCGACGCTCTGCGCCTGTGTATGTCCCTTTGTCGTCGACGGAGCCTCCTCTGTCAGCGTTGGCGTGCGCGATTGGTTAGACGCGACCGACGAGCGCGAGCGTGCATACGGTAGACTTGTCGAACTACCATTCAATCCAGCGGCACGTAAGATGTCGACAAAGTTGCCTACGACCATTGGCTGCTGTTGACCTGGACGCTGTGGTTGTGTCCGTTGCCCAATTTGCTGCTGCTGCTGTACCGATTGACGCGAGTGGGTGTTGAGTCCCGCACTCACGACATGTGCCGGGTAGAGTGAAGGTTTCACAGATACAACCCGTGAAACGTGTTCAATCACGGCGGGGCTGGGTGTATCCGCTTCTTGCGACCATGGTGCAGGACGGGCTTCCATGCCCGAGGCGGACGTCTTTTGTCCTCCTCGGTAAGAGTGTACTTGGAATTGATAGGGCGCTTTCGAGTTGGAATCATACGAGGGCGCGCCGTTGATGGCGTTTACTCCAATGTTGCGATTGGCGCTTGGGGCAGGCCTCTTGGGAAATGTGAATCCCGCGCCAAAGGTCGGCGGACCGTTTGCGCTAAGGGACGGAGCAACAGCCACTGCCTTTTCTTCGTCCTTGTCAATGCTTTGCGAGTCGTCCTTGAGTGGGTAGACGTTAATTAACGTCGTTGGAGAATCGATTGATCGCGATTGTGACTGCGAAACGACAATGGGGCCGGGCACGCCTGGGTGACGACCATGATCGGCAACCGAGGAACTCCAGATATTGTGAGTGTGCTTCGCTTGGGAGAACGTGTAGACGACGAGGCTGATGAGATAGATGAGATATAGAGACGTGGTCATCCACGCAATTGCGATCAGAATGATGGCTGTTAGGCAAGAACCCTCTCCAGTCCCGGCTAGACATTATGAGAAACAATATATCACAATATGAAATATCTCACCTTTGGAACACATTGTGTCTGGATAGTTTAGCGTTGCGACAACGGCACCGCCTGAAGCGCACAGTGAGTTCTCCGGTCGCGGGGCCATAATCTCTCTCACCAAGGAATGCAAGTAGGAACAACACATTCCAGAGCAGTTCAAACCAAATCTTGGAGGTGAGTGCGCCTCTTCTGACGAGTTCAATACCAATGCTATGTCCGTCAATATTCCCTTTCTCCGACGCTGCCTGTTGCACGTACACGGGGAAGAGAAACACCATGTTGACAATGGAGAGAATGAGGAGATAGGTGTCTATTCCCTGGATCATTCCTACGCCGGTTGATTAGCGCGTCGAGTTTCATCCATTAGGACAGACCTGGAGAGGTGACTTTGGTTCCGTTCATCAGGTAGCCCATATTCAACGCCGAAAAGCTTCCAATGAGTGCAGAGAACACTATGTAGAGAGCTGAATGTTGACAATTAGCTCTGTGGGTACGGACGATGGTGGGAGAAGCGAGTCGACGAACCAAATGCGCCATATCTGACAACGAGGAATGCATTCATTAACGTTGTAACAAGTTTTGCACGATGCGTGAATGGACGTAGAATGTGACTGCGTGCGACACGAGTGATGATTGCTGAAAATGCGGAAGAAAATGGGCCACAGGCCGTAAGATCGAGCACGGCTCGGGGACGAAAGAAATGAGAGGAAAAGAGAGAAAAAGAATAAAAAGGAGATGTGGTGGTCGAGAGGAAAAGGTGGGATCAGAGGCGCCAAACGCGCAAAGCCGCCATCGCGACCAAGGCAGGGCTGGCTTCTCACTATGTCCGGTGCTGGACAGTGCATTGGCTGATGACGGCAACTGATAGCCCGCATTTATTATTATTACTCTTCGTAATCATAGAACCCCTTGCCGCTCTTCTTACCGAGCCAGCCAGCGTCCACCATTCTCTCCAGAAGCACGCTAGGCCGGTACTTGGAATCGCTGGTGCCTTGATACAGAACTTGCTGGATTGATAGACACGTATCCAGTCCAATGCTTCTCCGAGCTCGTCGTCAGTCCTTCGGATGCCAAGAGCAGGTACATACAAGTCAGCTAAAAAGGGCATGTTAGCACACCAACTCCGAGGGAGTATAACAGCATACCGAGTTGCAAGGGGCCCATGGGATGGTTCATCCCCAGCTTAAGTGTCTTGTCAATATCGTCCCTGGTGCCTATTCCTACAGAGACACATCAAAGCGTGGAAGGAGACTGAACTTGACGGCATACCTTTTCCAGGCACATGATTGCCTGCATTATGTCAGCTCCGCTTCAGAGTTGATGAAAGGAAGTACCTCATTGATGAACGGCATGAGTAGAGCGTTTGAGATAAAACCTGGAACATCTTTGGACACCGTCACCTCTGCAGAGATATGAGCCAATCGAAATATGTAATAATTTGCCAACCTTTCCCGCAAGCAACTGCAAAGGCCCTCGCACGATCCAGAGTCTCTTGCGAGGTTTGGAGTGCCGGGATCAGCTCGACGAGTTTCTGTACTGCGGGTCACCCAATGCCTATCATGCTTTGGAGCGCATACCATTACCGGGACGGGGTTAAAGAAATGAAGACCTGCCCATGTTTAGGTCATAAAAGGCAGTGGACCAGTCTTACCGACTACACGCGCAGCGCTGGCCTTTCCTTTGGGGGACGCAGCGGTCTCCCCTTGGGATCGCCGCAGCGGCCATCTTAGTAATACTAATAGAGCTCGTGTTCGTTGCGAGAATGGTATCTGGTCGTACTGCTGCTGCCAACGACTCGAATAGTGAATCTTGATATTCACGTTCTCGGTCGCTGCCTGGCCTCCCTCCGTGAGTTCGTAGCCCGCACAATTGAGGTTACTGACCTCGACAACCAGATCGACGTCCTTTAAACCTTCTATACCCTGCTCTTCAGGAACGACTGTAATTCGTTGACGTGCATCCTTGGCCTCCTGTTCAGATAGCTTTCCCTTCGAGACATCCTTTGCAAGCAGCTTATCCATGAGAGATAGAGACTTTTGTATCTGTACGGGGGACTTGTCGACGAGGTACACAGGAACTTTCGCGCGGAGACTCGCTACATAGGCAATCCCTAAGCCCATTTGGCCAGCACCTATGCACAGGATAAGATGACGATTGCTAGAAAAGAAACCGAATTCACCAAGGACGCCAATTGTTCGAAAGCCATGAGCGATAGACATGGTAGAAGCCAAAAATCGTTGACAAACTTCACGTGATAGAACTGTTGCCGGATCTCGCCGTCTGTCTTCTATTCCTCTGGAACTTTATACACATCTCTAGCGACTCGTTTCCAGGTCTCATCTACTGCAAATGCACTCGCATAGTCAACCTCGAGCGGATGGAGCCTCTTCCCGACGATTACCAGGCTGTGTAAAGGTTGCCCGTATACACTCGGATCCTGAGCACCAAGCTGTGACAATGTGCCTGCGACAATCCGTTGCAGCGGTCCTCCTCCAACGCGAGACATTGCAATGGCGAGTGTGGTCTCAGGGTCGAGCACCCCTTCCTTCCGTATTTCCTCCACTTCGGCTAGCTGAGAGACTGCAAGAGGTATCGACATATATCGAGGAGGCTCGTAGATCTTGCGACCTCTGCAAGCTGTGAGTGATTCACTTTATAGGGAACGAGAGAACGGACCGAGCCAAGTTTTCAATGCTCTGCTCCTTGACTTTGATGTCGAGTAGCACAAGCGTGTGCATTCCTAACTTGGCATTTTCTGCAATACGGTCGTAGAAGCTATCTGGCTTCCATGTGTCTGTAAAGAATACGAGCGAGACCGCCTGTCCAAAATTATACAGCTGTAATCCGCATGCACCGATCGCGTTCATAATCGATGCATTATGAATGACTTCGGTTGGAATTCCAAGCGCTCGTGCACGTAGCAAGATGTCCGTGTGAGTGGTCGCTCTACAATCTCGTAAACGTCTTATTCGCAAGCATAACGAGACGCACCCAAAGGGATCTCCTACAACCAAAAGTGCAACATCGACCTCATTTGATCGTTCAAGTATTGCATCGCTCTCTGTTTCGACCATATCTCGATCTGCCACTATGAGCGATCTCCCGTAAAACTCTTCCTGGCACAGAGTTAGGTTTCTATCCAAGACGACAGGCCTCACACACCAGTTTCTCGCGTTCAATCATCAGGATGCTTGTATACGCCTCGAGATAGACGCGCTCGCATCGTTTGATGGCCTCCGCCATCAGTCGTGGGCAAACGATGGCTCTCTTGAACATACATCTAGCCCCCGAATTGTGATATCCTTTTCATCGCAGAGCCCGAGGCCAATCAAGTAAAACATCTCGAAGAGGTTGCGGATCAAGCTTGGTCCCAACTTCGATATGGCCTCTCTGGCAACGGCCATCAAAACAGCTTCATGGAGACCAGGCTTTTATTCTGCTTATAGACTGACATTACGAGCGCTCTCAGCTGCCGTCCGCCATCACCAAGTCTCGCTGCAAAACCTTCGAGGACTCTACCGACCTAGTTTTCGCAACGCCGCCTTGGTATATAGCCTTCATGAGAGTAATCCCACCAAGAAAACAGAAGCCTACCTTCGAGAATGGAACGAACGACGTACGCGCTCTCGTATCAGAGGAATTTGCGAACACAGTTTGATCGTGCCAAGTCGACAGGACACTCTCCATCTTGCACATATCGTCGAAATCTGCTGGGCAGTGTAACAAAATAGTTCGAAACCTCGCAAAGCTCGCCGACGCGTATCGCACACGAGTCTATCTCGATACGCAGGCGCGTCAGAGGATGGCAGGCACATGGAACGGACAAGACATTTCTCTCAACTCGCGAAACGCACCGAAAGTGAACGACAAAACCGGGGAGCGAGATCGAGTGCAGCGCATGGCTTGGAGTGCGCTCGGTGAGATTGCGGTCGCAGCCGAGAATGACCTTCGGATACATTGCGGACAACTGGAAGACCGGGTACTTCCTTTCAAGCGGCTGACTATGCCAAGAAGAACGCCTTATGGACCCACCAAACGCCTCCGAACCACCGTCAGCTTTGTGGGCAAGAAAATGGTCAGGCCAAAGGAGCTTAGAGTTGGGTAATGATTCCCAGAATTTGAATAATGCTAGTAATGGAACAGTTATGGCTACAAAGTCAACAAGATGAGGGCGGCAGGGCCAAGAAGGTTCAGAACTCTATGATGATTGAGGGTAGCATGGCTTGGAGGAGGTGATGCGTGGGAATATTCTCGGTCTGATGCAGAGGTGGGGTATTTATCTCTCTTTCCCGGTTCCAAATCTCCCAGAGACTGGCATGAGCGATTTGTGGCTGGGTCTGAGCCTTGGGCGGAGAAGGGCTTCTCCCAACGCTTGGTTGTGGAGTTGGGAGGGAAGCTACAGCTTCTTCAACCTCAGGGTCTACTTCCATGAATGACGATGATTCCTGAGGGGTAAAGGGAGACTGATGATCACTTCCTGAGCTGGAAGGTACAGCCGAAGTATGCTCCATAGGAACAGCAGTATTCCAGGACGAATATATAAACATTCCAGGCTTTGGAACATGTCATGTTCAGCCTTTGACCTTTGGCATGATACAATTGACTTACCCCTTGTCTCTGTGAGGTTTCAGTGGCAAGTCTAAGCCTCCTAGCCGCTCTCCATGTTGAAAATGCTTCTACATCTGATAATTTCATCGACATGATATCCGATATCCCTTCTAATTGACTTGCTGTGGGATTTATCTTGTTGAAAATAGTGACGAGCCGGATCACTATTTCTTGTGGGAGATTTGGAAATGCTGTGGCGTCCAATTAGCAATGAAAGGTGTCCCAAAGGTAGGAACACACCTTGGCATCCGGCCTGCTCTTCGTCTCTTAGCGCTTCGCCTTCTAGCTTGGGAAACTCTGCGGCAGGGGCGTGTACAACCGAGGGTCCTGGTATATTCAGAGATGGTTTTCGTTCCTTTCCTCTTTTTCTTCGGAACCACCCTCTAATCTGCTCTTGGCTGAGACCAAACCTCTGCTGCCATGCTGCCACAAGCTCTGGAGGAGGATTCGTGATACCCTTTTGCCAGGTATCTTTGATAAGCATGTAATTGAGCTTTATTCGAGGCTAAAACGTGATTTCTCTACCTGTAAAGATGGCAGCTATCGACGACGAAACGCGTGGCAGACGTTGAACAGGTTGTATATGAACAGCGTGACCAGCCATCTGATCCATTAGTTTAGAAGTTGTGACGGCCTCGAGCAGCAGACGTCTGCGCTCGCACTAAGATAGTGGAAGGGGCCAAATGCTCTAGTTGTCCCGTTTTTGGTCTTCAGCCACCACCATGCCCCACAGCGATCGCCGGCCAAGGCCTATGGCGTATTGAAAATGAATAGGACGCGCCAAATTTCACGATGAGGCCGACGGAAGTCGCGTGATGCCTAGCAAGGAGTTCCGCGGCATGTGAATGTCCACAGCACACTTCCCGGAACGTCATGGACGAAGAGTCACTCAAGCTTGACTCCTGTACACACTCTTCTTTATCTCTCTTTCATCGTAATCGTCCAGGAAATGGCTTCCACCGACAAGAAACCGGTTGGGTTTGCCACCCATATCATTGCCGGAGGTATTGCTGGCATGTCAGAAGCGGTATGTTCATTCGAGGGTGTCTTGGAGATGAAAAGTAGCTAATATCGCGCTTAATAACCTTAGCTTGCATGTCAACCGCTCGATACGATCAAAGTACGAATGCAGCTCTCTAGGTCCGGACGACTGCCCGGCGTACGTGTGCGACTCGACCCCATGAAACTTATTCTAATTGGAGTGGTAGACAAAACCGAGGGGATTCCTCGCTACCGGGGCTCAAATGTACGCATTGCTTCTCGACCTGTGAGTGATACTCATGTAAACACTACAGCGTACAGCGAGAGACTCCACTCGCTCTCTACAAGGTGAGGAATGTCTGGATAGTTTCGACTTGTGACTCATTTGAATTGATAGGGCTTGGGAGCCGTCTTGAGTGGCATTATTCCGAAGATGGCGATTCGCTTCGCATCATTCGAGACATACAAAGGTTGGTTAGCGGACAAATCGACCGGAAAGACGAGTACTGGCATGGTCTTCTTGGGTAAGGATTCCCCGCAGTCTGGATTGCCGACTTCTAACGATAGGTCAGCTGGTCTCGGAGCCGGAGTAACAGAGGCAGTTATGGTTGTTACACCCATGGAGGTCGTAAAGATTCGACTGCAAGCTCAATCCCACTCGCTAGCGGATCCTCTCGAGGTCCCACGATATCGCAACGCTGCCCATGCCGTGTACACTATCATCAAGGAAGAAGGTGCAAGTGCACTATACCGGGGAGTCAGTTTGACGGCTTTACGGCAAGCGACGAATCAGGGTTTGTACATTTCAGCGACGCATCATCCTTGACGCTCATCCAATAATAGGGGCAAACTTTACTGCTTATCAGGAGCTGAAGAAGTTTGCTCAGAAAATACAACCAGAGCTCGAAACTCTGCCTTCGTACCAAACGATGGTGATTGGACTCATTTCAGGAGCGATGGGTCCGTTTTCGAATGCGCCTATCGACACTATAAAGACCCGTAAGCATTGACATTATTTGCATCGGCGGTTTGCTCACAAAGTCCTCTAGGTCTCCAAAAGTCTGCCGCCCAGCCCGGGCAGAGTGCGCTCTCGCGCATAACAATGATTGCTGGAGACATGTGGAAACAAGAAGGGTTCCGATCCTTCTATAAAGGAATCACCCCACGTGTTCTCCGTGTTGCTCCTGGTGAGTGATCGCTCGGGAGAGAGGAAGCTTGAACTTTCTTCCGACATACGTTCGCATCTCTGTGCTCTTGCTCACCATATTGTAGGACAAGCCGTCGTGTTCACCGTGTACGAGCGAGTTCGACGCGTGATTGAAAGAGTGCAAGTAACGGATGCCGAGGATACATATTCGGAGTAGTTCTAGCCTTGTACTGAAGTTTCATTATTATTTGCTTTACATGGATGCCCTGCTGCTGTGGCGTGGACAAAAAGTCCCTTGGGGGCTCACTCTATTGATTTGGCCGACGTGTAATTTGGATCCCAACCAACGCCTTCTACACGTCCTCCACACCCAAAGACTTGCCAAATCGTCAAATCCGCAACATGAATATCTTTAGATTATTTGGTATGCGTAGCCTTTGGCCGGCTGTCGTGCCCTCGTCGAGAAATATGCGCTCAACGCACCGTCTTTGACTTGCGCAGGTGATCTGGCGCACTTGGCGTCGATATTCATCCTCCTCCAAAAGATACAAGTATCAAGGTCATGTCGAGGTATGTAGGCTCCCACCAACCCCTGCGCACGGCCGTTGACTGGTGTGCTGTCATGGCCCTGTACAGGACTCTCGTTCAAAACGCAGGTACTCTACGTTGTAGTATTTGTGTCGCGTTATTTGGACCTATTTTTGGGCACCTGGGTGTCGTTCTATAACACCGTCATGAAACTTTTCTTCATTGGTAGCTCTTGCTACATTCTCTATCTTATGCGTGTCCAATTCAGGTATGTTAATGACTTGGTCGGTGTATAGCAGGCATTGTTGACTCGTTCCATCTAGGTCGACATACGATCCAACTCTGGATACGTTCCGTGTCGAATACTTGGTCGGCCCATCCCTGGTCTTGGGCTTGTTGTTCAACTATTCGTTCACGTTTACGGAAATCCTCTGGTCATTCTCAATCTTCCTCGAGTCGGTCGCAATTTTCCCCCAGCTCTTCATCCTCCAGCGAACTGGCGAAGCCGAGACTATTACAACTCACTACATTGCCGCTTTGGGCATCTACCGTGCCCTCTACATTCCCAACTGGATATATAGGTGCGTCTGGTTGCCATGTCGTACGGGAGAAAACTTCTCACCCTCATATCTAGATATTGGACCGAGGGTTCGGCGGATCCTATCGCTATTGTCGCCGGGCTAGTGCAGACCGGTCTGTACGCAGATTTCTTCTACGTCTATTTCACAAAGTAAGTTTTGACGCGCGCCATGTGGGAAAAGCGCTGATCCTTTCTCCAAGGGTACTGCAGGGCAAGCGATTCGAGTTGCCAGCTTGAAAGATTATGCATGTATCGTCTTTTGACAATATCATACCTTTGAACGGCTAGCCGTTTTCCTTGCCGCGGGCTACAGGCAGACTCACCCGAGGACTCGATTTTTCTTTGCTCTAATCCGAATAATAAGCATCAGAACGTAGTAAACCTTGTTTTATTGCATTTTTTGGCCTTGCAGAGGCCGGTCCGATGGTTTATGTTGAGCCCTGGATCTTTCCCTGCCACTTTGATCTTCCCAATCGTCCGCAAGCTGGCGATCGCTGTAAAACCAGCAACTTTACTCGGAATACAGGACTAGACCAACAGCATAGGACACAATGGCGACGTGGTCGCCAGATCCAGCGGGCCTCGCCCAGATCCTGCAGACGCTCCGCGATTCTACCAACATCCACGACAAGCACATTCAGAGCCAGATTACTATGGTGAGTACTTGTGCGATATGCACCAGGCTTTGGACAAAATCCGCTGACTGGGCTGTATCACCTCGCAGCGACTCAACGATTATCAACGAGTGCCCAACTACATCGCGTATCTGGCACATATCCTCGCTGCGATGACCGCAGAGGGTGAACAGATCCGGTCTATCGCTGGCTACATCCTCAAAAACAACGCACGCCTCATAACATCCGCCTCGCCTGATGCTGCAGTTTACGTCAAGGCCTCTACGATTAGTGCATTCACAGATGCATCTGTTATGATCAGAAATGCCGCGCAGCAAGTTCTCATCACGCTGTTGGGCGTCCTTGAGCCGAGAAACTGGCCCGAGGCGTTGAGCGTGCTTATCCAGGCACTCGACTCGCCCGACCAGGTAACTCAGGAGGTACGTTGGTCTTTCTCATTCCCAAACTGTTGGTACTAAGTGGCGATCCCGATCTGAACAATCATTGTAGGGTGCATTTGTCGTGCTGTCTCGCGCTTGCGAAGACTATCCGCGCAAGTTTGATGTGGAAATTCAAGGAAGCCGTCCTCTCGACTTTCTCGTGCCCAAATGGATTGAGCTTTGCCAACATCCGTCGCCCAAGATTCGTGGATACGCCATCTCCTGCTTGACACAATTCGTGCCTATCGAGACTGAATCTCTCAATGTGCACATCGACAATATCATCTCGTCCTTCTTCCGAACCGCGGCGGACACCGACCCGATAGTTCGCAGAAACGTCTGCACCGGCTTGGTACTCCTGCTGGCATCTCGCCCGGATAAACTCATCCCAGAGATGCACAACGTGGCAGAGTACATGTTGTACTCCACGCAGGATCAAAATACGCTCGTCTCGCTAGAGGCTTGCGAATTCTGGTTAACATTCGCCGAGGACCCAGAGCTGCAAAATGCGCTCACTCCGTACATCCCTCGAGTCGCACCCGTATTGCTCGACTCGATGGTCTATAGTGAAGAGGAAATCCTCATGAACCCTGATGCAGAGGAAGACGACAATGCAAACGTGCCAGACAAGGGAGAGGACATGAAACCCCGGCACTATAGCGGGAGGACTCATGGCTTGGAGCGAGAGGAGAAATCAGATGCAGCGAACGGACAGCCCGCTGGTAGTGGAGCGGATGATGAGGACGACGATTATGATGAAGATTATGACGACGACGAGGATATGTCTACGGAATGGAACCTTCGGAAGTGTGCCGCAGCTGCACTAGACGTGCTTGCCGTGCGGTTTGGGAACACGCTTCTGCAACCCTTGTTGCCGCACCTAAAGGAAAAGCTGTGGAGTCCCGATTGGGTCCAACGTGAATGCGGAATTCTAGCCCTAGGAGCGCTGGCGGAGGGATGTATTGACTATATGGAGCCGCATCTTCCAACTCTTATCCCATTCTTGGTCAATATGCTGGCAGATTCAAAGGTGCGCGGACACGCTCACTGTGAATTTTGCTCATAGAAGATCTAGCCTTTGATTCGCTCCATTACGTGCTGGACATTGGGTCGATACGCTGGATGGTATGCCCAACCGCAGACACAGGAACAGCGTGATAGATTTTTCATTCCTATCATGGAAGGTGTAGGTTTATTTTCGTCGATCATACATTGCGAGAAACTTAGTTGGTTTTCAGCTACTTAGAATGATTCTTGATAACAACAAGCGCGTTCAGGAGGCTGGTTGTAGCGCATTTGCTACCTTTGAGGAAGAGGCCGCGCATAACCTCATCCCGTACCTCGAGCCTGTGCTCCAGAATCTAGTGCTTGCATTCGACAAGTATCAGCAGAAAAATCTCTTGATTTTGTATGACGCTGTTGGAACCCTGGCGGACGCCGTCGGTCCCGGCATGCAAAATCCATCATTGCTCCAGATTCTTATGCGACCTCTCGAGCACAAATGGAGCAAGCTTGGCGATGATGACGATGATCTAGTGCCTCTCCTTGAGTGCCTTACTAGCGTCACCATTGCGGCAGGCCCTTCCTTTGCGAATTGGGCACCGATTGTATACGAACGATGCTATCGTATCATTCACACCAGCTTGATTCAATACACGACCTGGCAACAAAATCAAGATCTCGACGAGCCCGATCGTAGCTTTGTGATTGTGGCGTTGGACCTCCTGAGTGGTCTCGTCCAAGGATTGGGCATGCAACTTGCACCGAGCCTTAACAGCTCCAATCCACACCTGCTGACATTGGTAGTCGCATGTTTAAAGGTATTTATACTATCTTCAAGCGATCATCGATTCACCCCTTATTAGCACCCTCAAGCGTCCGTAAGGCAATCCGGATACGCTCTTATCGGCGATTTGGCAATGTCATGCTTTGAGGTTCTCAGGCCTCATTTGCCTGGGGTTATGCCAGAGCTTATCGCGCAGCTTGAACCCTCTCCAAAAGTCGAGTTCATTAGTGCGAGTAACAACGCCGCTTGGTCTGCAGGTGAAATTGCCTTGCACTACGGTACTGGTGCGTAACTATCAGCTGACCGTTTAATAAAACGCTTACATGCATGCCAGATCCAGAATTTCAGCAATGGGTGCCGCAGCTCATTCTGCGTCTCATTCCCATATTGCTGAATCCTGGTTGTCCAAAGAGCTTATCTGAGAATGCTGCGGTGACCATTGGCCGCATTGGACTCGTGCAGCCCGAGGCTGTTGCCCCGCATCTCGAGTCGTTTGCAATGGCATGGTGCCAGGCACTCGTTGATATCAAAGACAACGAAGAAAAGGACTCAGCTTTCAGAGGATTCTGCACTCTCATCCAGGCAAACCCAAGCGGCATCTCAAAGGTCAGTCTCGCCGCTTCACCCTATACTCTAGTCTTATGGCATTTTAGGACTTCCATTGGTTTTGTCACGCTGTGGTTCGCTGGCAGAATCCATCCGCAGAGCTGAACGAGATGTTTTCACAAGTGAGTTTTCGTCCGATTCGTCATCCTGCATAGCTCAACTTCGTCACAGATCCTCCAAGCTTTCCGTCAGATGGCAGGCGCACAATGGGAGAACCAGATGCTCAGTTTTGGACCTACGATCGCCGAGCGACTTCGTGCTCGATACAACGTATGATCCACTGCAATCTCTCAAGCTTGCATCTAGCCAGGCAGTCCTCAAAGCAATCCGCCTCAAATTTCAATATTATCCAGTCCTCGAGACCCTGTTTTCGTAGCTAGTTTCTGTTCGCACCCCTCTTAAATTGCATTAGTAGTATAGCATAGGACCTCGTCCATTTCGACCCGACGCCTCCCGCCTATTTCGACGCAATTGTTCATCACCGGTCGACGGCTAGCAGCACAACTCCATCAAGAGGAAGTCTGCGACAATTTGCCGTTGTCAAAAGCCCATTCGTCCAAATACACATATCCCCCTCCCCTTGTAGGTAGCATTTTTAGGTAGCATTTCATAGGTAGTTTTGTAGGTAGAATTCCCCACCGTGGGAGGCATTTTGCTGTATCTGAACTCGCCCCGTCTGTGCATTGTGCAAAGAAGACTCGATTAACAGATCAAAACACGCAGTGCCGACCCGGGAAGATGCACATAGAGATGATTCCCTGACGGGAAAACCTAGAATCGTTTTGCGTCCCAAGGTTTGCCCTTCTTCGCCTGATATGCGCGGAAAGCGGCGAGCCCGGCGGCGCAAACGGCACCGAAAAAGATGAGCTTGAGAAGCGTCGAGAAGAAACCACCGCCACTTTTCTTAGTGCTCGGTGTCTCTGATGATCCTGCATTCCCTGGCAAATTCGAATTTGCGAGCCTCGTCGAGTGCGTGTTGATCGAGATGACGCTGTGAGATATGCGAGTCAGGTATCGTCCCTGGGATGTTGATTACATACTCGTGCTCGTCAAAGACGTCGCCGGTTTGAGCAGTAATACCGAGGAATGGGTTTAGTGGAATGCTAAGGTTCCTTATCACAAAGCAATCGGTCCAGTCGTCGACTATCAAAACATCAGCAAGGGATTCGGATGCGTGATGAAAGACGTACAGCCTTTATATTGCATCTGGACCTGGAAAAAGTCGTCTCGGAAATAGGTCATTCGGATCTTGGTTGTGATGTCCGTCCGCCGAACTTTGGCCTGTGAAGCGTTTTAGTTGGGACTATAGACTGTATATCATAGCGTACCGAGCATGCAGCTATCGAGTTTGCCTTTCCATCGTTCCCTAGGTCGTATTCAGTGTTTCCATCTCCCATCATGGCCATGACCCGAGGGAATGCATAGGTATGATGAGAATTAGCATATCTAGTAATTTTAAGCAAGAACAGTGGTTCATTCATGTCCTTACGTATCAATGATTATCCCGAGGCCCTTCCACTTGTCTGCATAGAGTGAGGCCAAGAAGGTTGGACAAGAAGGAAACTCACCTTTCGAACAAAATACGGGTCCCTCTATAGCTCGCTCTGTGGTGAGCCAAATGGCCATTCCATCGCCATACAAATGGCTGGGTTGTCCCGAAATCTGAAGAAGGAATGAATATAACGGAATTGAGAAGACTTTATATGAACAAACCTTGAATTCCATTTCGATTTGCCAGTTTGAGGCAGTCAGCGGTAATCGCGACCATAGCCATCCGCATTGCGAAGGTACGCCCCTTGTGAGCTGAGAGGATAAGGATCTGTGGGCGATATAATACACAATGAACTGACTCGTATGTGCTTATTCGTATTCTGCCATGCCATTCAGTATCAAATAGCCTTGAATATGAACCCACTCACAACGTAGGCATCCGCGCCGAATGAAAACCATCTGCAAGAGTTATTCAAATGGCCAGATTGAAGTCTATTGGAATCTCGTACCGGTTCTGGAGGTCCGAGTCTACATAGGGAGCGAATATCGAGTGTGTGCGGAGAGGAACCGCCAGCTCTACGTTTCTCTCTAGCCCAACTCCTCGTAGAGTTCTAGACGTGATGTATTTCTTTTGACCGGCGTTGACAGGTCCTGGAGTGAGCAAGTGAGCGATACGTCGGCCAACGGGCAGCTTGTTAGCGCGCCATACCGGTTCCAGCCGATCGTTCCGCAGACGTAAAGGAGCAAAGGATTAGACAAAAGAGCAAAAGACCCAGAAACGCGCTTGGTCGTGCGGACGCCATGGTTGTCGTGGCCAAGTTTGATCTACAGCCATGTCCACCGCAGAGGCAAGTCGAGTTCTAGACGGCTTGTAATTGCCTATTGATGATGTATAAATCCTAGGATTGTCAAGCAAAAGGTATATACTCGGCGTTTCAGGCGTTGAATACACTCGCTGACGAACAACGAGCCTGTTCACTCCAGACTTGCTTGCAGAGAAACACGTACAGTCCTGAAAAGTGTGATAACCAAGTTTCTGCTCTCTACGAGTGCTGTTCAAGGCTGTACGAGGCAGAGGCTAGAGGAACTCGTATCGATGCGACTTCTTGCCCCCAGAAACGGCTTGTTACTCGATGGTTGAAGCAACATCGAAAGTAGATTCAACATTAACCTTTGCAACTCCATGCCTGAGGATGTCGCTTTGCAATTAGGCTTCTCCCGTCCGGCAAGATGATGTCACTCCTTTGAGCCAAGATATCATCGCCACCCATCTCTCTGTGCGCATGCTCGTCTCTTGATCCCCCTCCAGGATGTCTGAGAAACCAGAGGAACCAAAGCCTGTCGCCGAGCTCTCAAAGGACATGCAGCAGGGGCAGGCTGCCATTGCAAAGGCCACAGATACTCCCGGCAGTCGACTCACTGCATGGCGGCAGCCACATAACGTGCGTTTCGTGCTATAATGCTTATAGCTCTAAACGAGTCTCAGCTGCGTGCCTATTATGGGCCTCCACCACACACGTACAAGAAACTTCCCGAAAGCAATCCCACTACCTCCCAGCCTCCCGAAAGCGATAAAGAAACGCCAGAAGTAGCCTTACCGACACCATTAGAAAACGGCTATTCCGTACCAGCTTACCGACCCCCTCACTGGGTGCCGCACTCTGACATTGTTGGACCAACGAGGAGTCTCGACACCGACCAAGGCGCTACTACATATCCGGGGCCACCACTATCAGCTATCAAGGAAGGCAAAGTCGCTGCGGCTTGTGAGCCCCATCTTCAAATACTCTGCGGCCCCTTGCTGCGGTACGATACAGTCAAGGACGGCCATTGGTATGGAGCGGTGATGATCGTCAGTAAGTAGTTTCAGGACTGTATTGAATACTTCTCAAGTATCTCTCAGCCAATGACGACGAGTCTGAGTATCACCCATTGCCAACTCTCGTTGTAGAATGGGAAAGTGAGGACGAGCAACCATTCACTTTGGACGTGCCCATCAATGATCCAACTCAGCCCTCATCAGAGACTGTGGCTCCTAGTGAACAAAATCAAGAACATTCACCGGTCGTTCCACCCACCAATGAGGCATATACCGCTGATGGACATTCGGGCCCAAACACAACGCCGTCTACTTTACACACTGCCGCTCCCACACAGTCGAGCACCTCGTATCAGTCTGGGGATGAATCCGATGGACCAATATCCGACATGGACCTGAGCGGCCCGGAAGAAGTTGTGGACGGCACGGACAAGAAGGGACACAAACGAAGCAAATCCAAGTCGACGGCTGCAACGTGGGCTACATCCATGATGCGCAAGCTCAAAGAGCTTGGACCACAGAAATCCGATTTCCGTGGTCGTCCGCCTGAAAGGATTGCACAAACTGAACAGAAGAAGAAGCATGATCAAGAGTGGGCCACAAAGCGCATTGTAGAGGGAGAAGCAATCTACAAATATACCGGATTGGCCAGCACTGCGACATTTTGGCGTTTCTTGTTGGAGATACCCGTCAATCCGGATCCGACCAAAGGTTTGAAGGTTCATTATGCCATCAATAAGCCGAAGAAGGCTCAGTATAACCTCAACTTGGGAGTCCAGCCGCCTCGGGAACCGGAGCGACTTTCTACAGACATTACGTTCCACATCGCACCTACGGGCTCCGACATGCGGTTTGCTGCATATAGCTGCAATGGATTTAGTGAAGGGATTGATCCAAATACCTTTAAAGGTGAAGGATTCGAGAGCGGTTTTGATCCCGTATGGGCAGACCTCCTGGAGCGTCATGCTCAGCGCCCTTTTCACGCGCTCATAGGAGGGGGAGACCAGATTTATTGCGACCCGTACGTTGCTCTCAACTTGCTATTGGCCCCTGCTGAACCGTACCCAGGCTCACCAAGGAACCTGAACTGAAGGAATACATGCAATTGAAAACCAACAAAGAAAAGATTGCCTACCCACTCACTGATGCGATCACGTTCACTATTGATCGATTCTACTTCAACCACTACTGTCTCGTCTTTCGCAATGGGTGCTTCGCCAAGGCTATTAGCCAGATGTAAGCATTGTGATTCCGGGAGGGCCTTTATTTACCTATGCTAGACCCATGAACAATATGCTGGATGACCACGACCTGATCGACGGCTTTGGAAGCTATCCAGAGGCACTGCAACGATCTGCTTTCTTTAAACAGTGAGCTTGATATCACTAAGGGAGCAGATACTGAGCATTCAACAGCATTGGTTCCCGAGGATACTTTTGGTTCTTGCTCTTCCAAACGTTTACAGTGGACACTGTGGATGGTACACTCGTAGAACCAGGAAAGCATACGTTCAAATCGACAATTATTGGCGAAGATGGGCCGTATATTCCGTTCCCCTCCCATTCGAGTCTCCATTGGTATGGAGCCAGGACTTATTTGCTGATGCTGGACTGTCGGTTAGTAGAGGACTACGCCTTTACGAAGTTGCTTCTCACGTCTCATAGTGCTGAGCGTCGCAAGAACATGATCGTCTCCCCGCTGACGTACGAGCACATCTTCAAGATTCTTCGAGAGCTCCCAGACCAAGTTGAGCATCTCATCGTCCAGCTTGGGATTCCCATCTCGTATCCAAGGATGAATTTGGCGGAACGAATGATTCACTCAGACGGATATTTAGCCAAGATAACGCGCTCTGGATTCTTTTCCAGCTTTGCAAACCACTTTAACAAAGACATGGAACTCCTTGATGATCTGAGCGATCATTGGACAGCCTCAAATCACAAAGTCTGTCTACCCCTTCATGCTGACTCTTCATCTAATAATTGTGCAGCGCGAACGGAACTGGTTCATCCTGCAACTCCAGCAACTTGCACTCGAGAAACATTTGCGTGTCTCTTTCATCTCCGGAGACGTTCACCTGGCTGCTGTTGGCTTGTTCAAGACGTGGGGTGGCAAGCGCAAGAAGCTCCAGCGTGGACAAGGTGCCATTGAGCCCAAGCTCGACCATCGGTGGATGGTAAACATTGTTTCTAGCGCCATCGTCAACACGCCGTATGTCTCAATTTGATAGGCCGCAGTTTACTAAGACCTAATAGCCCACCACCGCCCGCACAAGCGACATTGAATATGCTGGCTCCGCACAAGCATCGGACGCTCCATCACGATCACACCGATGAAGTCATGGTGAGTCCTGGAGCAAATTCAACAGCGATAAGCCACTCACCCTGTTTAGCTTCCTGTATTCCAAGAGGGTCTCCGGACAGACAAGCGACGACTCAATTTCGTGGCTGGTGCACGCAATTATACCATCGGCGAACGAGACCCCACGACGGGCGAGTTTGTGTTCGACATCCGGGTGGAACGAAGAACGGGAGAAGGAGAGACAAAGGGATATGTAGTCCGCGTTCCGCCTCCCAAATGGCATGGGCTACCGATTGATCCCAACGAGAATATTCACGCACAAGATGGCGTTGACAAGACGCCTCCAGAGGAGGTCCAGACGTAATGCTGTGTATGATTAGGTTTGTGGAATGAACGGCCTTGTTTACTCCGATGACGTCCGGCTCCGCACTCGAGTTACAACACTGACCTCCACTCCATTTTTGACGGCTTGGTATGTGACATCACAGACGGGCTGACTTTGCATAAATCCTCCAAGACCTTGGATGGAATACACAGCAGAAACAAATTCAACCCTCGAAAGCGTCCCAAGACCTCCACATCAAAAGATGCCGCTCTTCAAATCTTCGCATGCAACCGAGCCAGCTGTCGCTCCCGTAAACGAGGCACCCCCGACTCGCAGCCGCTCCATCTTCTCCCGTCGCCATCCCGCAGACCCAGCGGTCGCACCGACCACGGCTACCAGCCCTACCTCCAAGCGTACGTCTGTTGATGGTACGACCAGCCCGACGACGCGTACGGGCTTGTTTGGACGCAGGAGGAGGTCGAGCAGCTCGTTGAGCTCGAGCGACACCTCTAGTCGCCGTGCTCGCAAGAACCACAATGCCGCTGCTGCTGGAACTGCAGGAGCAACCACGGGTTTCTTTGGTGGAAGCCGCATGAAAGATCCTACGCTTGACGCTGCAAGGGGAAAAGTCCGTGCTGCTGAGCTCGCTGAAAAGGAGGCTGTGAGTTCTATTTGATCTGATAAAGAGCGATGTGCTAAATTTCTTGTTTAGGACAAGGCTCTCATGGCTGCCAGAGCTGCAGTCGTAGACGCTCGGAGGCACGTCGAAATTCTCGAGCGTGAGGCCAATGAACAAGCTCGGCTTGCACAGCAAAAGATCGCTGCTGCTCGTGGCATCAAGTCCGATGCCGGTCACCTTGGTCGTCATAACCACTGAACTACTCATGTAGAGCATAAATTACAACTAGGCCATATGCATCACTTGTACTAATGTGTTTGTTGGAATACTACCATCTATTTTGCTGTAGCTGGTGTCTTATCTGAATGAGGTCTGCCAAGCTAAATCGCGGTGACGCCGGTTGAGCGAAAATGGAGTGTTCTGGCCGTTTTTGTTCTCCACCCTGTCTTGCGTGACAAGACTTTGCGTTTCTAATTGCTGATGGAGTCACCGTGAGTCGTATTCTTGCCCAAATTCTTGTCCGAGTTTGTCCTCAGGCGGCTTGGGCTCGTCCACTTGCCGACTCGGATTCCTCGTCTCGTCTGCTGACACTCGGCTTTCCCCTCTTTCTGTATATTGTTATTCAAACTCGATTGGAAACTCGCAGACAACCACTCAGTCGTCAGCAATCGGCCGTCTCCAACGCCTCGACAAGACGCGGACGACAGAGCACAACGCCGACACTGGACCAGTCATACGCGAGTATCCTCAGCGAAGACTCGGTATACACTCCTCTTCACGCTCGTTCAGATCGCTCGAGGCCAGCCATGGCAGACCAACAACAGCGAATGGCCGACGGTTCCACCCAGCCCCTCTCGCGTGGGGCTTCCGGTGGCGAAAGTCGTCGAAACTATGGTTCCACGAGCAATATTGGTGTCAATACGGGCGATGGACGCAGGCCGATTCGCGGCCGACGAGGTCCTACATTGAGCCCTGCAAGTGCACACTTTCCCCGAACGAATACCCGTGATTCGTATCTCGAACACTCGGGACTTGGGTTGCGCAGACCACTGAGTGTCGTTGGGTTAAAGGAGTCCATCAAGGATGGGTGGCGGAATACGCTCAAGCGCACCCCTTCGACATATGATGCACCCCTCGAAGAGCCTACTGAAGGTCAACCTGACGATACAGAGGCCGTGAGAATAAACGGAATTCGAGTGTGGTACAGCAGCTTCACCAGCATTGACTGGCTACATGATGCGGTCAGTCTATCACAGGTTTTGAGCGATTATGGTCTTTAATCATCTGAATAGATCAAGGACTCAATGCGCATACGTCGTTTGCGACGCCGCAAGTCGCTCCGAGGGCGCCTTACCAATGCATTGGACAGATTTACGGGATGGTTCATCGTCACCATCGTCGGTTTGCTCGCAGCCGTCACTGCATTTGCCATTGTGCGTTCGGAGCAATGGCTCTTTGATCTAAAGGAGGGAAGGTGCAAGGACGGATTCTTCAAGGCGAAACGATTCTGCTGCCCAATGGCCGTGGACAATCTCACCTTTTCGACCGGCTTGGACAACGTGGTGCACCCCCTCTCCTTTATCGCCAATCCTATCGCATTTTACAAGAGCGCAAAAGACACTCTTCCGGCCCCAGAGGAGGAATGTGCTGCCTGGCAAACCTGGAGCGAACTCCTCGACCCCAGCGACTGGACGCCAAATGGAATCTCCCTCGCATCCTGGATGGTCGAATATATCTCTTATATTGTCGTTGCTCTGGCACTGGCACTCATCTCGTCTTTCCTTACCCTTAAATTGACCGCCTCGACAAGCTTTATCGGACGCAAAGACTCTTCTTCTATCAACCGGGACTCCTTCCATGTCAAAGGGCCGATTCCACCCGTGGAAGCACCGGCTCCGACGAGAAAGGTCATGTACTTTGCCGCCGGTTCAGGTATCCCGGAGATCAAGACGATACTCTCTGGGTTTGTCATTCATGGTTACCTCGGTGGACGAGTGCTCTTTACCAAGTCGGTCGGACTCGCGCTCAGCGTCGCGTCTGGACTCAGCTTGGGTAAAGAGGGTCCGTTTGTCCACATTGTGAGCTGCTGGGGCAACATCTGCAGTCGATGGTTTGAAAAGTATGAGACAAACGAAGCCAAACGACGAGAAATTCTTAGCGCAGCGAGTGCAGCTGGAGTCTCGGTCGCCTTTGGCGCGCCCATTGGAGGCGTTCTCTTTAGTTTGGAGGAAGTCAGCTACTTTTTCCCACCAAAGGTCATGTGGAGGAGTTTCTTCTGTGCTATGATTGCGGCTGTAACTCTCAAACTTCTCAATCCGTTTGGTACGTCTAGTTTCGACTGGGTGACCCAACTTCTCATGGATGATAGGTACGGGAAAATTGTGCTTTTCCAAGTCACGTACGATCAAGATTGGTACGCGTACGAACTCTTCTTCTTCCTGCTCTTGGGCGTCTTTGGTGTATGTGCTGCTCCCTATTACCGGACAATACTGAGCCACCATAGGGGGTCTATGGTGCCTATTTTCGAAACTCAATTACCGCTGGTCCAAGCATGTTCGCAACGGAAAGTGGCTCGGGAATCACCCCAAATCCGAGGTAGCCATCATCACCTTGATTACTGCCCTCCTCTCCTTTTTGAACCCGTATACCCGAATGGGTGGGACTGAACTCGTGTATAATCTATTCGCAGAGTGTCGTCCAGGTCACTCGCATGAGGGTCTCTGTGTCAACGATCCTGCCAGTGTGCGACCGGTCGTCAACGCCATTGCTGTGGCACTTCTCGTCAAGGGGGCTCTGACGATTGTGACATTTGGAATCAAAGTTCCCGCTGGTATCTTTATTCCCACTCTGGGTGTGGGTGCATGTGCGGGGAGAATATTGGGACTGGCCGTTCAATGGTTGAGCTGGGTGCATCCTAACATGCGAGTGTTTGATACGTGCAAGGACAAGGATGCATGTGTCGTTCCTGGTGTCTATGCAATGGTTGGCGCCGCGGCAACACTGTCGGGAGTGACGGTACGTGGAGGACGAGTTTGGTCGTGGTGGTTGGTTGACGCGTTTTCCCAGCGCACGACAGTGTCTCTTGCTGTGATCATGATGGAGCTTACCGGAACTTTGACATATGTAATTCCGGTTATGCTCAGCGTACTGGTTGCCAAGACGGTAGCCGATGCCCTGGAGCCCAAGGGTATCTACGATTTGGTCATCGAGTGAGTGCGACAGCTGGTGGGTATTGTTGCGTTAACGACCTATTGGGAAAAAAAAGGTTAAATCAGCTCCCATATCTTGATCACAAGGCAGAGTATCGATGGGGCGTTCTCACCGTGGCGGATGTTGTAAGTTGATCTGTCCAAAAAGAAGTGGGCTGTGCTGATTGAGATTAGATGGACAAAAAGGTCGAGGTCATCAACATTGACAAGCAGAACAGCGTAGCCTCTCTTCAAGGTCAACTCTCGCGAGTGTTTGGAATGGGGACGCTGGACGGTGGATTCCCGATTGTGACCAGACAAGAGTCTGGAAGTGCACGGGGATGGAAGATGATTGGATACATTTCGCACAATGAGCTGGAGCATGCATTGAGTGGGTGGATATAATTTTTAGCGGGTGGTGGATACTGACAACTGGGTAGACATAGTCAAGGACGAGCCAGATTCGCTCGTCCAGTTCCACCCGATGGCCCCGTTGCGGGAATATGCGCCGTCGATGTCGTCGTTGCATGACAATGCGTATGAGCCGGACCCACTCGACTTTACCGTTTATATGGATCAGGTACGGACGGAGGCCCATTGGTAAATTGCATCGTGTTGGCTGATAAAACTTGACAGGCACCACTGTTGGTCCAGGCTCATTCGCCACTCGAGGTTGTTCAGCAAATGTTTGTCAAGCTGGGGGCACGTTATGTGGTGGTGATTAATTCGGATGGACTGTATCAAGGTGTCATTGACAAGAAGGGGTGGCTACAGTTTCTTACCGAGCTCGAGGAAAAGTCGTAGGAGTGACAGGCGTGCATCGGATACCGGTCCCTTTTTCGTTTACGACTTGAATTCTGTTTTTTAACGATGTCCTTTGTTTGGCTTTGGAATGACATGAAGAGAGTGAGCCGAGTGGATCCGCGGTTAAGATTTGATCACAGTCGTCGGTGTACTAGTGGATGTGCCGTGTGTGTTCCTGATGTTCGCTGTGTGTGGGGGATTGGCCGTGATCGAAGGGGAGTAGACAGGAGAGAAGAGTAAGGGATCAAGGGTGGAGATGGTGGAGATGGCGGAGATGTGGTGTGTAGGATTTGCAACAAGGAGTAACCCAAGACCGAGAGTATCGGGGAGAGCCCGCCTAGGCCACTTGTGTGGATGCTGGAAGCGTCGACAAGGAGGGAGTTACCCGACGAGTCCCGTGTGCCGAGGCATTTCAAGGGCTGTCAATGACCCCATTAGTGTGCGGTAATTTGTCAAATAATATAAATGTAAGTTGCATGCTTGAACAGTTGCTTTGTACCGTCGGCAGCACACAACCATCCAATGAAATGCCGGCTATCGACAGCAGCCCTGGCCAGGCACCCGTACTGCGCCGATGTCATGGGCTTTTGCCTAGCTCGGTTACTTGCCAGAAGTGCTCCAAGATTATATAACCCCCCTGGGTATTCATTATTGGCTTCCACGATCTCGCCCGCTTCCCCCTAATATTGCCCTCATATCCCCACACACACATATTCCCCCCTCTTCCTCCACCTTCTTGGACTCTACCATCACCATGCCCGGCGTCGGCACCCTCGTCATGGGTGGCACAAACATGGACAGGGGCAAGAAATCATCTGCTGTTGGTATTATGATGGCCTCGTTTGCTGCCTTTGGTGCGTCTTTTATCTTGTATTTTTAGATCTCGATTGCTAACTGGCTGCAGGCGGGTAAGTCGCTCTATCCCTATCGCTCCTCTTCAACGCCTCTATTGGTCCTCAGACTCTTATGCAACCTGTATCCTCTCCTCTGGCCCCCATCTCGCCCTGCCACCCCTTACTGATCACTCATACTCAGCATCCTGTTCGGCTTCGACACTGGTGTCATCTCCGGAGTAAAGGAAATGAACGTATGTCGGCCCCCTCCAAGTGGGCATGACCTCGTCGTTGATCTATTTCCTAGGCCTGGCTCAAGACATTTGGCTACGAAACCTCTCCCGGCAGTGGCCAATACACCATTTCCACCCAAACAGAAGCCCTCGTCGTCTCCATCCTTAGCGCAGGCACCTTTGTTGGTGCTCTCCTCGGTGCACCCATGGCCGACTTGCTGGGCCGTAAAAACGGTATCCTCCTCGCCTGCATCGTCTTTGCCGCAGGCATCATCCTACAAGCCTCTGTCGTCAGCGTCGACTTGTTCATCGTTGGTCGTCTTGTCGCTGGTCTCGGAGTAGGCATGGTCTCGTGTTTGGTACCAATGTACCAGGCAGAATCTTCTCCCAAATGGATTCGTGGTGCCGTCGTTGCCGGCTACCAGTGGGCCATTGTACGCTTTTCCGAATTGTCCGTGTGACCCTGGGCTTTGCCTGATTTTTTACTAGACTATCGGAATCTTCCTTGCCAGCTGCACCAATCAGGCACGTGAATTTTCTTTCCTCTTTCGCCGTTGCGCATCCTTGGCTGACAAGTCTTTTTTTGACGTCTGCAGGTTACCAAGGACCGGACCGATATGAGCGCGTTTCGGATTCCAATTCTCATCCAGCTCGCTTGGACCTTTGTCCTCTTTGTCGGCATGTACTTTTTACCCGAATCCCCCCGGTACCTGGTCAAACGACGTCGCGACTTGGACGCCATGTATTCGCTTGCCCGCCTCTTCAACGTGTCTGAACAACATCCAGACGTTCGGTTTGAGCTCGAGGAGATTAAGACGAGCTTGCAACTTGAAGAGGAACAAGGCGGCGGTACCTATGCGGATTGCTTCAGGATGAGCAACAACAAGGCTCTCCTCCGCACACTGTCTGGGATTGGCATCCAAGCCTTTCAGCAGCTCACCGGCATCAACTTTATCTTCTACTATGGCACAACCTTTTTCAAAAACTCGGGGATTGCCGATCCGTTTCTCATCGCTGTAGTCACCAACTGTGTCAACGTCGGTATGTAGCAGCGTCGCATGGCCTCTTATCCCACTCTAATGGGTCACCAGGCATGACGATCCCTGCATTTTGGGCTATTGACAATGTCGGTCGAAGACGGTTGCTCATCATTGGAGCACTCGGCATGATGGTCTGCGAGTATCTCATCGGTATCATTGGCGTCATCATTTCCGTCGATAATCATACCGGCCAATCTGTCCTCGTCGCATTAACCTGTGTCTACGTGCGTCACTTTTTTTTTTTCGTTTTAAATAGGGGTTCCCGTTTGCTCACCGTTGTTGCCTATAGATTGCATTCTTTGCTTGCACATGGTAAGATGGCCCCCAACTTTTTATCACCTTGTGCTCACCAATTCGCAGGGGTCCTGTTCCATGGGTGGTACCCTCGGAGATTTTCCCACTCGCCATTCGTGCAAAGGGCGTCTCGCTCTCGACAGCCTCCAACTGGGCTCTCAACTTTGGCATCGGGTATGCCGTGCCATACATGGTCAACAAGGGCTACGGAGACCTTGGCCCACGCGTCTTTTTCATCTGGGGCTCTACTTGCCTTGGGTGTGCAGTCTTTACCTATTTCTGCATCATGGAAACAAAGGGACTGTCACTAGAGCAAATCGACGCGCTCTACCACTATGTCAACCCGATTCACTCATTGTCCTATCACGACCAGCTCATTGCGCATACCATTCGATCTGCCGATGACGAAGCATTGTCGAGAGGCGATCCTGTGAGTGCGACGAGCGCGAATACCGCCCGCGATAGGCGGTATAGACTCGGTCCCTTTGGAGGCGATAGCGAGTTGCATTATATTGGGAGCAAAGAGTGGCATCGGAGGAGCGATCAGACACAGGCGTCGAGATGGAAATTATAGCCCCCCCTATCTACTCACTCCTTTTTGCTCACACTTCCTCTTCGTTTACCCCCTCATTCCATCTTTCTTTTGGTTCTCCTCCAAAACAAACGTAAGTCCTTTGTGCAGGAAATCGGTTACATTACTTTGTTGTACACTTAGTATGGATCTCATGAACATGATAGGTGAAATTCATTTTGAATGTTTAAAGATTTGACTGCGCTGGACGAGGGCCTAGCCATGGATATTCGGGACCTAGCCTAGAAACAAGATGAGCAACGAACGGGCCCAAGCCAAGCCAAGACGAGACGCACCACCACGAGATATTCGCAAACCTATCCGAACCAAAGAAACACGCCGACTTCTACCTCCTTGGCCTCTTCGTCTCCTCGTGCACCCGGCGCGTCGTCGAGGGAGGGAGACCGTTCGACGACGATCCACGGAAAGCCAAACGCGCCATAATCTTCCACGACTTTTGCCGACTCGATTTTCATTTTGTCCGTCACAGTCTTGTATTCTGTCAGTGCCTGTTTCAATTTTGCGTCGGAAATGATTGTTGGCGCGAGCGAGTGGAGAAACTCGGGTGAGCTCAGGGGTGTGTTTTTGACAAAGTTTTCGCGCTAAGTCAATGTATATGAGAAGATTTTCAAATTGAGTGTCCGACGTACGAAATAGTGCCGTGTCGCTTCGCGGAACTTTGCGGGCGGGAGGTCGTCTTTGAGGTAGCGGAGCATTCGCATCGGTTCACGTGTGTTCCCTGGAAATTCGGGTCCGGGATGAAAGGGAACTTGATGGTGTTCAGGACTGGGGTACCCTCGTTTTTTTAAATTTAGGGGCACATACTCTGATACTCTTTGGAGACCCGGTCGAGGTCGGTCATCTACGCCTCGATTAGATTGTTGATACCTCCCCTGAGATTTAGGATCACCATGTATGCGGCCTTGTACTGCGAACTCAGCGCTGGAGAGACATTACCGGTAATCTTGAACACGGCACCGAGGAGAACCTGAACATTCAGTCAAGTGTAAGTAGGGGTATACATCGGATAGAAGACCGTATAGACGAACCGGACGAAGATCAAGGACAATGTTCCATCGCCGTTCATAGCGCAAGAGTATCTCGAGCGCAAAATATGTATAAGGGGATCCAATGTCAAAGAAAAACTTGATTCTAATTGGAGGTGGCATTGATTACGAGTAGCTGGTCGGATTAGTCAGGTCGAAGCCAGTGGTCTGTTGGTCGCCGTGAGGCTTGTCCCCGACTCACGTCGGATATAAGCCAGGTCGACTGGGATGAGTCGGATATAGAACCACAACATCTGAGATAAGCTAGAGGGATTCTGACGACATCCTCGTTCCCTTGTCAAGCTATAAAACCCATGCTCCATCCAAACCTCACCACCAAGCATTCCAGCTCCAACAGCCCCAGCAAATAAACAACCATGTCCGTAAACGAGCTTGCATCCACTCGTCCATTCTTCACAAAGTCGATCCATCGCGAGGTTTACGACGCAATTGTACGTCCACATTTCCATGGTATTCACATCATTAAACAAAACATAGGACCCGACAAAACCTTCACTCGCCTTGCCAGGCAAGACTGTGCTCGTGACAGGTGCAGCCCGTGGTATCGGCATCACGATTGTCGAATCCTTTGCCAAAGCACACGCAAAGACCATCATCCTCGTCGGACGCTCCGCCTCTGCGCTTTCATCTGCACAGACAAAGTTTGAGCAATCGTTTCCAGACGTTCACTTCATCGCCGTTCCAACGGATATTGGCGAGCCACAGAGTGTCGATGCGTTGTTCGCTGGATTGAAGACGCAAGTCGACCATATCGATATCCTGGTTAACAATGCCGGTGTGTTGAGCGAGTACGGACCCAAGACGGGGGATTCAGACGTTGACAAGTGGTGGACGGATATGGTCAGCAAAACTTCGTTTCCTTTGGCGAGAAACCTGGCTCATCTATTGAAAAGGTTATCAACGCTCGTGGACCATATCTCCTTGCTCGTGGTCTTATCAAATTCAACGCTCCAGACTCACCAGCGACGTTTATCACGCTCACGACGGGTGTCGCCGAACCGTTTACCAATATGAACGGGTACTTGCATAGCAAAGTTGTTGGAGTAAAGCTGGTCCAGACTCTTGACGCAGGTGTGCATACCCAAACGGTCCGCCGGCTCATGGGACTCTGTGCTGATCGAGAGTCGACAGAATACCCGAACCTGCGCACCTTTGCTGTCATACCAGGCCTCGTTGAAACGGATATGTTGCTAGAAGCAATGCGTGGTATTCCACTTGACCAGGGTCAGTCCTTGTACATCCTTCATCCTGGTGCTTCTTGTTGACATTTCTTCTGTAGCGAGCCTCGTCGGAGGCGTTTCGGTATATCTGAGCCATCCGCATGCAGATTTTCTCTCTGGACGTTTTCTCGATTCACGTTGGGATATCGACCAAGTTGTCGAGCGCAAGGAAGAGATTGTCCAAAATGACCTTCTCAAGCTCATGATTGCCGGTTACTGATGTCGTGAAGATGGTGCCTAGATTCCAAGAGTACATTAAGATAAAAGTGATACATCGAGTTTTGTGCCTGGTCTACTGCTAAAACTATGAGCAAACGAAACTCCACGTAAAAATGGAGAGACGTACCCGGCGTGGTCCTACTCAATCCCACATGCCCGATGCGGAAGACATGGAAAGATAGTCACTAAAGCCTTCAATTTCCTCGTCGACCGCCATCTCGTCGTCGCTGTAAATTTCCTCGTCGTCGAGATCTCGCTGCTCCAAGAGTTCCAATAGTGCATTAGGGACACGCATCAGCTGTCCATCGCGATCCTCCCACCGAACGCCCAGCATCTCCCACCGAAGCTGCCATCGCTGCCATCGGGCGACTTCGCGTGCCGTCCTGTCCTGTGAATTCCACGACTCTGGGTCAAAGTCTACTAGGCGAATGACTTTGAGCGCTGGCATGCGTATTCGACAGCGAACCATTCCCGTCAAGTGTTGATGCAGCAGCTCCTCCTCGCCGTCGTCAAAGCTCCTTCCACGAAAGTTGAGTAGGCCATGTATACCAATAATTCTTAGTTGCGGAAGCGGCGTGTTGAGGGTAAAGGCTGGGTGGTGCAGTTGGAAGTAGAGTGCTTCCAGATGCGGCGTGTAGGCGCAATAATGACCTGTTGGCAACAGGGGTCGTGGAGTGGCAGGCGTATGAATGGAAAGCGTGGTGAGCTTGTGGCCGTGTATCCGTAGAAACTGGTCTGAACCGAAATCTGGCGAAACTTCGAGCCGAAGCATATGAAGTCGGGGCATGTCCCAGGTACTGACAAGCGCAGCCTGGCTACACGCCGGATCTTCGTTTAGCACGAGCGTCTGAAGATTCGGAAGGCTGATCCCAACTGAACGGTTAATACCGAGCCAAGTGATGGGGGGTCCCGTGAAATAATGGAGGCTGAGGACTTCGAGGTTGGGAGCGTACGGGAGGAAGGAAGCAAACGGGATGAGATTGTTCGCGGACCAATCGACACGGCGGAGGACATTTTGGCTGTGGAAGACGTAGGAGAGCAAGCCGTCTGGAAGGTAGAGCACGTAACGTTCGTCAAACGATGGGCCGGGATGTGCGTGGTCGGCAAAGATGTGTAAATTTGGACACAAGCGGAGAATTTGCGCGAGGCCGCTCAAGAGCTGTTCGTTGAGGGCCATGGTAGGTTGCTGGATGTTGATATCGAGATCGATACGGCGAACGAACCAGCCCATGCCGCCGGTAGGATTTGATCTTGCATTGGAAGAGTAGGTTCCGTCGGGACTGAGCCCATGGGACTGGTTTTTATAATGTGGATGCTGAAGCGAATACGAGCGAGAGGCGACGAGCGCGGCTGCAGCGCCCGCGACGGTCGTTGGAGAGCTGAGAACGAGATGGTTCCAAAAGAAGGGGAGTGAGAAGTGATACCAGGAGCGACAGACGAGCGCGATACAGCGGTAGGTGTATCGGCAGCTGGCGACCTCGTTCTGCAGCCTCCACCAATCCTCACGGGCCTCTGACTGGAGAACGTTTCTGGTACCCTTTGGGTGTGCGGAAAACGCGTCTGGAACGGTACAGGCAAAGAGAAAGATCTTTGTCCAGACCTCTGGTGGCAAATTGAGGCTGGGATCCATCAAGAACCTTGGACTCGTCGTCGTCTGTAATCGTCAATAAAGTTTGACGACGCTGCTAGTGGAGAGCGAGAAAATGAGAGGAGATGGCGAGGATCAAAGTCCAACTTCTGCGTTTTTCCAATCGGTTTGAAATTCGAGTGGACCGTTATGTCAAGCAATGCACGCGCCAGCCACGGCGGACTGTACGCGACGATAATTCTGGGGATATTCCCAGACGACGCTCAGGACGACGATGGAGCTACTCGCTGTTGCTGGGCGATGTCTTGCACCGATTCACAGCAGTATCCGTAAAGCAGAGCACTTGCCAGCGGTTGTCTCTGCAACTTGATAGTCAGAGTAAGTCGAGCAAGCTCTAGACCCATTGCTTTGTCTAGCCAGGACAGCGTCAGAAGTGGCTGAGCGTGGTGCGCAGATTGTACTCCTCCACGATGGCTGAAATACAAAACATATACTCCCAAGTGTTACAGACGAGATTCACCGCCCATCCTCTTGGATGCGAGCAGCTCCCGGGTTGTATCATCTGTCCTCGGTACCGTTTTTGCGAAAGAAAATAACTGTAATGTCTCAGCCGTTTGAAATATCCTCGGCTGGTCTGGACCTCTGTCAGGCTTTTGCCAATGGAGCCACCCGTCAAAAGTCTATCGCCTCTGGCCGGTTTGGAAATCGGTCGTCCGCGTTCATAACTCGTGTCCAGGGCCCGCAACATTCCTTTCTAGTGATCGTGGCCCCTTGCGCCACCCCTGCTCATTTCAATCAGCAAGACCAAGATCACCATCCTCGAGGCAAGATATTCAGCCTCAAGGGTTTAAAGAACACAAACCAACGTAACCACTATGATGGTACGTCTATGTCAGCCCCCGTCGGCGACTAGATGCCCGAGCTGTCACTTGATCCCCTCGACTCTGCAAGATGAATCCCCCACGTATCAAGATGGACTTTTATTGTGACATTGCGTCTACATTTAGCTATTTCGCACTCGAACAACTCCTTCGCTACGAACAGTTGTGGAACATCGAACTGGATATCCACCCGGTACGTCGGCTCACTCTTGGATATATGCCAGGTCATTCAAGTGTCATCTAACATACTCTAGATCTATCTTGCTTCCATTTTCAAGATTACCGGTAACCGTCCGCCCATCATGGGCAGTCCACAGAAGGTGGTCTACACGGTTTGCAGATTTCGTCAAGCGACACTTGTGGGTGACTGAAGAATCGCTAGATGAAAGATACAGCGAGGCTCTCTCAAGAGTACCAAGGTCTGTTGTCGTTGATCTCGGATCCCTCCCTCACCCTGTACAGCCCCCTTTCGTACTGGACCAGAGTTTCCGGGGAATACCCTCCGTGTCATGAAGTTGTTGCGATATCTGAAGGAGCGCCTCCCGCGCGAAAAGTTTAACCAGGCTGTTCGCCATTATTTTGTGCGTATTCTCTGTTTAGGTGTCCATGCCCTCACTTGCGTCCTTGCAGAGAGAAAACTTTGTGGCAAACACGCGAATCAGCTCGCCAGAGTTTCTCTCCTCACTCCCAGCAGATATTTATCCCGCCGAAGAGCTCGCACAAGCGATTCAAGAGTCGCAAAGCAAAGAAATCTCAGAAATCATGCGAAGTGAATCCAATGCGCTCGTTGAAGAGCATAGTGCATTCGGTTTCCCTTGGATCATCGTCACTCGCACGACCCCACAGGGCAAGATGGAAAGCGAGTCTTGGTTTGGATCAGATCGATTCTCGAATATCTCTTGGTGGTATGTGTATAGCGTAAAACGTCATACAAGTTAACGAGCCACAGGCTGGGACCGGAGTATCCGTGGCTTGGTCCGACACCTTCAAAGTCCCGGCTCTAGAACTACAAGTGATCGTAAAGTGAAATCACACCATTTCATTGACCATCTACGGGCTACTAGTCAGAAAAACGGACAGATAGATTGCTGAGACTGACCTCTATGGCCAATGAGGATGCGCCCCGAACCTTCTGACATTCGGCTTGCACATTCAACCCTTTTTGCGTCGTCAACTCTTTCGTTACGATGGATCTATGCAACGCGCGGAAACACGCCTCCATTCGAAATTCGGTATACAACTGCCGGTTGTATTTTCGCTAACGATGTTCAACAGACATACAAGATAAAAGAAACTCGTCTCCTACCTCTGCCTTGCGTACATCTTCGGCGTACAAATGACTTTGATGTATCAAAAAGTCGTCGGAGAGAACGTAGAAGGAAATGCCAGCGAGGTACATTTCGTAGAGGCAGCTCGCCTTGTTTCCACCGTATCCGATGAACCGCTCGTCGCACCATGGGGCGCTGTCGCGCTTGAAGATGACATACGGCTCGTAGGCATGTTGGTACGCATGCACCTTGTACACATCGCCAGGTGCGGCTTGAAAGTAGCGTGAATAGTCGGAACTATTATGGCCACCTATTCCCGGGTTATCTCGGGCCAATTTAGCAGCGAACCGCTCACCTTCCCAAGCTTGATGGAACACTTGAATCTTCCCAGCATCATGTAGTCGCCGAAGCCTCTGTTTAGCTGGTGAGCACTATTTGATTACCATAATTTGTTTCGCTGACCTCTTTGGTCCGCGGAAAGCTAGCCTCGTTTCCACCATCCTCAGCTACGACGTATTCAAAGGCTGGAACCACAAATGCAGCGTCTCCGGCTCTGAGCATACCCATCATCTCTTTGCTCGCCAACAGTCGTTGTCTGAATCCGGTACAGACAGCAAAGTCAACGTCGAGCATCATCACATAATTTGTACGTGCAAAGAGACGCGCTGCATTGCGCCACATGTTGAATTGGCGGTCAAAATTGTCGAGAATGAGATGTACATCCACCCATTTTGACATGCCGGGGGTGGAAAGGTACAGCTCGTGCAGTTCGTCGAGAATACGGTCGCGATGAGCTCGTGGTGACTCTGTGACGTGAAGAGCGACAGATATTGGGCCTTTTATAACTCATTAATGGCACCTCCCGGTTTGAAAGGTGTAAATACCTTGATATCGTTTGGCTAGTCTGCCAAGGACGGAAAACCTGTTGCTGGTGACGATTGTGAGAAGTGTAATGTCCTCTTTGGCAAGAGTCCCATCCATGCTAGGACCGCTCGCTTTGAAGTAGAACGGAATGACCCTGTTTGGACGCATCGAGTGGCTGAACGCCTTGGACAAGAACAAAGACTCGGGTGTTGCGTGCCGAGTATGGGATACGAAAGCGCTAGAAAGAAATGAGGAAGGCTCCCAAAATATGAGATCTTCGCCCCAAACATCTGCCTTTTCAAGGTCCGGGAGTTTCGTATCCAAGAACCGACGTGTGACCGAGAGAGGAAGGTAGCTTAGGATACAGTATGCACAAGCTACAGCAATATAGGTGACCAGTATGTAGTATGAAAGAGCGCAGGCCGCCCTCAGTGAAGCGGTGGACCTCATTGTGGGGGAGTCCAAGGTATTACTCGTGACATTACGAGAGCAACTCAAAACATTCATCAAAAGTTCGATACTTTGCATCCACTCTGGAATATCCATCTCTCAGGCAGTCGAAGGGGGAGGGCGTAAGTCCAATTGCCACAGCTCGAGATCAAGAGACACCCCATTCTTCTCTCCGACTCCAGGCATGAATCCTGTTCTCTTAAAACCTTCTCGAGCAAAGAATCGTGCTGAACCCTGGTTGGTCCCAGAAATCCCTGCGATGACGACATAGTAGCCCATAACTCGAAGCTCTGAAAGCAACTTTTGAAGGAGGTGATGTCCCAATCCCTTTCCAGTATAGTCATTTCGACAGGCAATGGCACACTCCACTGTCCTGGGGGTAATTGTTTGGTGAATAGAGCGACTATATGATAATTGGATACATACCTATCATAACCGCTTCCATATCTAAAACTTGAGGCAGACGTGAAACCCGCCAGGGCACCAGAGGCTTCAAAGATGCCAAAAGCGGGGTATTTAGGCAGCGTATTCTTCAACCACGTCTTACGGGCTTCGACAGTATCTGGCTCCGTCCTCCAGATAGAGAGCGTATTCAGAATGACATAGTTGACGATCTACAGCTCTTGAGGGGTCTTATCAAAGAGACTTGGATGTGGCAGCTGACCTCGACGACTTCTGGGACATCTTTTTCTTCCAAAGTTCTTAAGTAAAATCCGTCCGGTAGTCCGTTAGCCATTCAGGACAAGTCTTGATGCGTAGCGGTGCGGCCAAAGTCTAGCGTGGCACTGGTGATAATCCTGGCTTTAAATAGTCGAGTGTATAAATCGCTTGGTTTTTATTGCAGAGATATTCGACAGCGAGTGCTAGGCGACGTGGTCGGCAGCAAGAGCTTGGACCTGACGACAATTTCTTAAATTCCAAAGATGATGGACTCGGACCCAGATGCGAATCTTCCGCCGCTCATACAACAAGTTCAAGACCAGTATCGCAAGTATACGCGTGTCTATCAGCATTATTTAGACCGAACGACGCCCCATGTAATGCAACGCTGGCTCGCGACTGGCGGCATTTTTGCCCTCTTTATGCTTCGTGTTATCTTTGCACAAGGAGTGAGTGTTATCTACACGTGGTTTATGTCGCTTGGGCACTGATATGGATGTAACAGTGGTATATTGGTGAGTCCAAATGCGTTTTGAGGGTGACGGTGCTGATTATCCGCGTGTCTTTTCCGGCTCTCAGTGTGTTGTACGTCCTATTTGTGCTTATGGGATACCTTTTGGCTCACATCCCTTTAGACGCGCATGCAATCTACATGCTCAATCTCCTCCTTGCATTCCTGCAACCGAGATTTGATCCATCGTTAGAAGCTGACCTTATGGATGACGAAATTGAAGCTGGAGGCGGAGAAACGCCCCTTCCGACCTCGGCAAAGGACGACGAGTTCCGACCGTTTGTTCGCAGGCTTCCTGAGTGGAGTTTCTGGTGCGTACACATCGTGACCTACAGCAAGGGCAAGAGTGTTGATCATCTCGACAACCAGGCTCTCCGCCACCCGAGCTACCGTCCTAGCTCTTCTCGCTTCCCTCTTTAGCGTCTTCGACGTTCCCGTCTTCTGGCCCATTCTTGTCGTCTACTTCTTTGTCCTCTTCACCCTGACGATGAGACGCCAAATACAGTAAGTGTCATCAAGCCTCTTAAACTCTATATTCTGATTGACCCGACAGGCATATGATCAAATACAAGTATATTCCCTTCGACTTTGGCCGCAAGGCTCGCTACGGAGGCAAAAAGTAGATCTGTACTGCCACTCGGATTACTCGACATCGTTTTTGATGGTTAACCATGTCTGTAATCGGTGTAAATCTGGTATTTTTTATGCACACGTCTATTCATTTGCCCGTCTTCTGCGGCTTGAGATCAGCTTTCAACTTTGCCACCTTTTGCTCCTGACTCCGACCTTCTCATGGGTATGACGGAGCCATCAAACGAGCATTCGTATCTATTGAGACTCGGAGATGAGCTCCTGCTCAGTATCTTGGAGCTTTTGAGCGTCCGGGACATTTTGTCGTGCTCTTTGGTAAGGAATCTAGAAATCCAGCGACGTAATGGCGACTGTCGGTCCTGACGTCTTCATCTAGACCAACAGCAGGCTTCGCACTGTTTCTAATGCGGCATTTCTCCCCTTTCGCTTAGCTCTCAAACACTATGAGCTCCAATACCACCCGTACGACTCGCCGCTGCAATCGACGCCGGATCGCCCTCTGGGCGAATTGCTAGAGTCAATCCACACCTTGAATCGCAATTGGCTACACCTTAATGTGACCGACAAATCCAGCTTGAGAATCATCGAGCCTATGGACGACATTTACTTCTTCAATCAGAAGGTCATCGTCAGTCGTTATGATGATAGCGACGACGAGGACATGATTGATGATCTGGACCGTCAATGGGACATTGAAGTCTTTGGATACGGTGCACCAGAAGCGGTGGACGATGGGGACATTGTTGAAATCGATGAAGATGGGGCCATCGTAGAAGAAATAGACCCAGAGTCGCATGGGATCGACGTGAACGCAATCGAAACGGACGAAGAGGACTCGGACGGAGAAGCGCCGTCACAGAGTGGAAGTGAAGACTCGAACTCGGACGATATCGAGATCCTAGAAAACGAGGGTATTCATACGACGGGCCTCCTTCGGGTGACAACTTCGACACTACGTACGAATCAAGTCGACATCACTCAAGACCTGATCATCACCGCCGAGAAGTGGCTGAGGAGTAAAGTGTAAGTTTCACAATCCTCACAGTCGCCTTCGAGCTTACATCAAGTAGTAAAAAATCGGCACGAAGACCAGTCCGGGGCGGTCTCAATTTTGCTCGAGAGACCCATTTCTTGCGGTGCTTGTCCGTGACGGATCTCAAACCACATCCTGCTTGCAATGCAAATCTTGGAGCGATAAATGTGCAAAGTTTGTGCACAGTCAACAAAGAGGACTATGAAGAGCCACTAGACTTGCGAATACAAGGCCCCCTGGTGGCGTTCGCTGTCCGACATGCACAGTTAGATAGGATTGTCGTCGTGAACTGGCAGAGCCCTTTGCGCTCGATCACGGTGAGCTACTGGCCAGTGTTTGGATCCCTTGCTCACCTGTGAGCAGATTTCGCTGGTCAAAGAGCTATATATGGACATTCACTTCCTCGCTAATGATCTGCTCGCCATTCTCGCTTGTCCAGTCACCGACGCTGACATGCTGCGACGAGGGTTGGACGACGAAAGCTTTCCCATACGACCACGGGGTGGCAGGTTGAAACTTTATATCTACTATGTTGGACCAAGTAAAGGTACTGGACTCACAAGTCCTTGGCTCCTTCAAACCCTCCTCCTTCCACGCTTCATCGACCGATTAAGCGTGGACCTCGAAGCTGGCAAGTTTTTGCCACAGGCATCTGAGCACTCGTCACAACCAGCCAAGGGAGCCCCAGCCCTCGCCGACGGGCTAGCGTACCGGCATACAAATGAGGCAGGCGTAATTGGCATCACATTTAGCGGCTTTGTGCACAAACGGACAGCAGCCTCTGATGAAGACAACCCTGACTCAGGAACCGAGTGGATTGTAGACATTGTGGTTCTCAAATCCCACTTGCTCAAACTGGCAAAAACCGCCATGGACCAAAAATCTGCCGGCGAATGCGAGTGGGATGAATGGATCGGGAGCAATGGGGAGTACGTACGTGTGTTCCCGCATAGTGAAGAAGGTTGGCTTGGCTTGCCAAAACTGTATGAAGCAAGTGGCTACCGATTAGCCAGTATCACACCTTTACGACGCGGTGACCAGCAAATCGAATATCCATATGCGGTAGAAGCTGGTGATGGGACAAGCGACGCAAAGCATATAGTCCAAGCCGATCGACGGATGGACGTACTCGATTTTTGCCCTGCTCGAATCGATGGTGCGTCTAACTTATACAGAAACAGAACATTGACACATTTTTAGATGTACGGGAGGCGCTAGCAGCTAAAAGAAGGCGAAAAGAGTTGGAGGATGCCAACGAGGACCCAGAGGAACCAAATTTGGGCATGTTCGGCGTCGATCGTGCAAGTCTGCTGGACGGAGAAGGATCCGAAATAACACTCGTAGAGGCACCCAGTAAAATTGAGGGTGGCCCATTCGTTGGTGCCGTGGAAAGCTCTCTGCCGTATATCCTCAGTCGTTTCGACCTCGACAGGGGGAGGAAAGCAGATGGAACACTGCCTCTTCCCGAGTCGATATGGATGACTGAGACAGAGCTTGTCCTCCAGGTGAGAAAAAAGACTCGTATAGCTGTCTGGTAGCTCACCGTCTCTTAGGTTCGTACTGGCGATGACGAGGAAGCTCCGTATCTCTGTTTTGATAGATATAGTCTAATATAGACGCGACGAATATGGAGCTGGTCCAAACGATGCATTAATGTGCCTATGATATGGAAAGCAGAATCTACTCCATGACAACCTTTGCCCCTAGGGCTTCGAATGCCGCCTTGAGCTTCTCGGCTTCTTCCTTTGGGATGTTCTCTTTTAGCGTTTGCGGTACTGATTCTGCAAACTTCTTTGCCTGGACAAAAGTGAGTGTATCTTCTTGGTAGAGAAGAGTATACATACTCCATGAGATTCATATTTGCAAAGGTTGCCTTAACCTCACGAATAACCTTTGCCTTGCTGGCAGCATCAAACGACTCTAGTCGGAGCGTAAAGGTCGACTTTTCCTTTGGCTTCTCCTGTAGTGGTGTTAGTGGATATACCAATATATCAAATTTACATACCTCTGGTGGTGCTACTTCTTCTTCGACAGGAGCGGCAGCAGCAACTGGAGCAGCAGAGGCTGCCGGCATGGCAATTTCGGTAATGTTTAGACGCGTCTGTTGGAGAAAAAGTAGTGTCAGCACATTACGAATATGATTGAGCAAGTAGCGAGCGGTCCAGAGACATTTGACAATGCGATTTCGACCATCTTGGACCGCGGCGAATACGACGCTTCAACTCACCTTGAGCAACGAGACGAGATCTGCAGCTTGAAGTAGTGATAGAGAAGAGATGTCGTCCACCAGTTTATGGATTTTCGCATCCCCTGCTGGAGGAGGGGCTGAGCTCGACGAGGTTGATGCTGCTGCTTCTGTAGCTGCGAACCGTCGACATGAGTTGGTTGAAGTAGCTGATATTGACTGCCTGGATGCTCCCAATGGGCGGATTACTTTCGCCAATGACCTGGTCGTCGTCCGTATTGAAGCCTGCAAGGCAAATGTTGAGAAAGTGACCATGTTACTACGCGTTTTGAAGGCTATCTAACCATTTTCAGATTGCTGGAAGGTAAGTCGACAAAGTGCACACGCAGGAGCGCGACGAGGCAAAGGTTGAAAAGTTGATCGGCCAACGCTATGCGCCGAGACGGCGTCTGTGTACTTTGGACTCTACCAAACACTAGAATAATTGTGTGGATATTATTATACGGACAAAATGCTCCGACAATCAAAGTTGCCAGCGTCTTGGATCTCACGCAATGCGAATCATCGCGGCAGCGCTTCTGGCGGGTCTCCACACACCACTTCAGACTCGTCGACACCACAGACTTCATCCTCTTCCCACTCTCCTAGGTCTCCACCGCAAATGGACGAACGAGAGAAATTACGCCTGCTCGCTCAGCAGACGCTGGATGTCATCGCCAGAGGGGTCTACACCAGCCCCTCCGGACAGGTAATCCACATACGCCATATTGTTGAAATGTCCATGAGAGGCACATTGTTCTACTCACCGCAAGCTTTTGACAATTGGGAAACCCTCCGAACCCCGAGCGGCCTCAACCCCATCCATACCCGCTTTAGCTGTACAGAGCGAACGACGCTACAAGCGGCCCAAGAGTTTGCAAACGAAGCTCGTCAAGTCGCAGCGCAAGCACGCTCCAATGCTCCCCCCAGAGTGGGCGTCCTCAATTTTGCGGTGAGGCATTCTTGTCTTTGTGGGTCCAAGCACTCATCCGTCGCAGAGTGCCACAAAACCTGGAGGAGGGTTCAAGAACGGTGCAAAGGCTCAGGAAGAGTCCATCGCCCGTGTATCAGCTCTCTACGCATCACTCACGACGCCAACCGGTCTTCAATTTTACAAACGCGATGCCCGTAGGCGACAAGGACCAACTTACTCGGACGCCATGGTTTACAGTCCACATGTTCTTGTGTTTAATACCGATGAGCTCCAGCTACTGGACGAGCCTTATGAGATTGCGGTCGTAACCTCGCCAGCAGTCAACGCGGGCGAAGTCAGAGATCAGAACCGGCATCAAGACCAGGGCAAAGTAGAGAGAGCAATTGGTCGACTTGTAAGTTTTACCTCTCCCTTGGAGTGCCCCGGCGCGCGATCGAAAGGCTGACATCTGTTGATGCCGTCCAGATGTACCAGCGAATGGCACGCATCCTCGCATTATTTCAAAACCGGGGCGATAATTACCTCGTACTTGGCAGTTACGGAACCGGTGTCTTTCGCAACCCAGTGGAGACAGTCGCGTCGATTTGGATGGACTTGCTCGTTCGCCCCGGAGCTCCGTTCGAAAACGTCTTCGAGCGCGTCGACTTTGCTATCATTGGCCATGACACTTTTGAACGCTTCAATTCTGTGTTTCAAGCCTCTATTCAGCTGCCATCAGCCGGAGCTACAGGCCGTTGACATGGTGTGATTCCATGAGTGGGTACGTCCGGAATACAGTATCATATGGGCGCATTTATCTATATGGGGAGTTCATGCCCACTTTGGAGCTCTGGGATGGCGGAGCGCGGACATAGAATGGCGCTGTCTCGGCGATGGTTTGGTTCCGCGAGGAGTCTGATTGAGGATGCCTACGGTAGTCAATTTGCCTGTAACAAAGCATGGAAATACCCTGCTTCTATACTCTTTGAACCCTTGAGGACGTCCATCCTGTCAGTTCTATCGAAAGGGGAAGGAAGCTTTCACCGATCGGGCGACTGGGTAAATTGACACACTGTTTGGTGTGTTAGTAGTCATTCTTTTCACCAGATCACTCACGCGTTGCCTCTGGCCTCACCGATACCACGACTCCGCGAATGTTGAGTACTTGTACGGTCCGAGATCGCAAGGGCCGATGCTTGTAATAGGCCAATGAGAGCTCGTGCGCCCACGGGAATAGCTTCTGCGACCGGATTGCCAGTATCAAGGACAGGGAAGCTCCTCATAGCACAGCCAAAAGTGGCAAACGGAGATTAGTAGTCTCACGTGAGTGTCACGACCACTGTCAAGGGAGTCATGTTTGGTATGAAGAGGAAAGATATATATTGCACCTCCCGTGGCGCAATTGAACAAGTAAGGGAGCTCTGTTACCCACCGCAAAAAATGAAAGTCAACCTTTTGCATAATATCTTCCAGGAAAAGATTCGTGTAAATCCACATCAATTTGATGAGCGAGATACAGAAAGCCCAGGGTTCACAGTCATCATTATCGTTCCCTAAAAGTCTTTCATAGTCACTGAGCCTTCTTCCTCGCTCCCGGTCTAAATCCGCAATTGTGCGCGTTCCTTCCACGAAATCGCTTGAAGATCTCTTATATATTTTCTTGGTGGCTTGGGATCTCCCATCGCTACCTTTCACTTTGCTAGTGCTGAGCCTTTTTGTCCTTCTCTCCGGCCATCGCTGCGTTCTTGTGTGCCTCTCCAGTGGCTTTCTTCTGTAGCTCAGCTCTCCTTTCTCAGATCATATACTCCTGATGATGGTACTCATTAAGTCGGACAGGCTCTGTGCTGTTAGTTCACGCACACACATTTGAAACACAGTATTGACATCATTTAATGCGCTCAAATAGGTACGCATGCACTAGGGTGATCTTTATTCGGTACAATTGTTGCATTGGAGCTAACCAGACACAGACCAAGCTACTGTAAATAATAGATCCATTCTCGACCTGAGTGACAATCTAAGGGAATTTTGGAGTTCTTGCACCCGCCAGGACTGAGTTTGGGTACGGCTGGCCAAGGATGGAAGAATCATACGTGGAAAAACTCATCCAAAAACTCTGTAAGTACCGCCAAATAATTAAATCCGTGTTAAATATTTTAGATTGATTTATAACCGGATTGTCTAGATTGAATTCGCCGGATGCCACGAGTTGCTGAATCTGGTGCAACTCGCTCTCCACTGCGACGAGGTGTGCATATCCGCGGGTAGGGACTGGCTCATTTTACACCTCTAAATCGTCATAATCAACGAGATCGTTGTGACTGGGTGCCCAGGGAATGCCTCAGGGCACTGTAGACGGCGAATGGACAGCAAACGAGCAGACGGAGACGACTGGACATACGAAAGGAGCCGGAAGAAGACGCAGAATATGGAGATGGCTCTGGCGTAACCTCAACTTCTACCGGTCTGCACATTTTTGTCAAACGTTTGAAGTTGTAGCTGACCCAGATACAGCGTGCACCTTACGGCTTTCATCATCACGCCGATACTCGCATCAATAATCTTTTACCTTTCCAACGGGCAGTATCATATCTCATATGTCGACTCACTTTTCCTGTGCGTCACCTCCATGACAGTCAATGGTCTTAGCACCATCAATCTCAGCACTCTAACTGGTGAATGCTCACCGATTCGATCGATAATAGATCTAATTATCTAATCCTTTCAGGTTTCCAGCAAGCCCTTATGTACATCCTCATGTAAGTGGTCCACTCAGAGTTACCGGAAACGCTCATGCCCTGGTCAGGTGCGCGGGACACCCCATAGCCGTATCTCTTATCATCATACAATCACGCATGTAAGTGTTCCTACACCGTTCTCTCTGCGAATCGTGACATTTATCGCAGGTGGATGTTCGAGGAACACCTTGAACCTCTGGTTCGGAAGCGAAGAGAAGAGCGCGAGGCACGCAAACTACGAAGGGGAGAAAGTAAATGGTCGACTCGGATACTAACTCGGATCAAAACATGGACCAAACGAGATGAGGCAAAGGTCGATGTTGAACTCGCCGAGACGGACGGCGATTCGACAAGCGTGAAGAGGGGTAGACTCAGGGCCAGTATGATCAGACGCGTCAACAATGCACCACAAAGAATTAACCCGTCTGGTCTCGTCATGGACTCGCGAATGGCAGAAGCGGTTTCCCAACCTCCCCCGACGATCGAAGCATCACCCCCAATACTACATGAATCCCCCAGATCAATGCCGACGCAGATATCCCAAGAGTCTCCACCGGCGATAGAGATCCGCCAAGCGACTGGGGACAACGAGGCATCTCCTGGCGATTCGACGGTCATGTATCGTTCCCCCACAATCTCTCTTGCAAATCGTAGACCTACTCGTGATATCCGGCAAAACTCGATCATGGCTGAAGACAAGGCGACCACCTCCGCCTTTCCTCACAGTCAAACAATCGAGTTTTCTCTCTCAAAGCCAGCCAGAACAACCTCGATTGATAGAGAAGCAAAGCGAGATTTTTCTTCATTCTCTATGCAGGGTCACAGCGAAAGGAAGGAGAGACAAATGTCACACCCTGTCGATACAATGTCGCGCAGCTATGGTGGACCAGGCCTAGACCGCTGTGAGTCCTCTTTAACAGCCGAGATTTTGCTCAGATTCGCAAATAGATCCTTCAAGAGTCGCAACTACGTTTCCGAGAACGATGACTGGTGCAAGTCAGCGCCGTAAAGGTAGCAAGCATACTGGTTTTGGAGGATTCCCAACCCCATACAGACTTTTGATCAAGTTTGTATCATGGATGGCTCCCGGTCTTGCAGAACGAATTCGACTGCGACTCACTGTCCCTCGTACACCATCGATGGCGTTCAAAAACACGAAGTCCATGGCGGCAGAGACAATCGAAGCCGCGCTCCAAACAGAGCACAAATTGATTGAGAAAGACTTGGAGTTTTTGGGTGGCGTCGAATACAAATCTCTGAAATTGCTTCGTCTCATTGTCCTTTCAGTAGGTTCCTAAACGCTACTGAATATGCTACTAAACCATAGTAGTATCATATTGGGATCCAGGTGATTGGAATGGCCATAATAGTGGGAGAAGCTTCTCGTAAAAAGTGGTTGCCGGCTTTTGAGGCCCAACCAAGATTCGTCCCACCTGCATGGTTCGTCTTTTACGTGATTCCCAATATTCAGCTGAATACCACAGGTTCGCAGTCTTCCAAGCAACGTCGGCCTACACAAATACGGGAACGTCGCTCATGGATCTTTCCATGATCCCTTTTCAGGGTGCGACGCTCATGATTATCACCATGTTCATCTTGATTCTCGCCGGAAACACTGCCTTCGTGCGTCTGTCATCCATACAAACTCCATGTTCCTAACCCACTCCAGCCTATTTTGTATGTTTTCTCCAGCCGATCACTGATTGACTGACAACCACTTTGGCCAGTTTGCGGCTTATCATGTACGTCATTTTCATATATTCTTCAAGCATCAAGGCTCATTGTGATCACTAGTTGGGGTATCAAAAAAGCTACGGATGCAAACGCGCCAATTCAGTCCCAGCTCCACTTTCTGCTCGCGCACCCCAGAAGGTGCTTCATCTACCTTTTCCCTTCACATCAAACATGGTTTCTCTTGACGATGATTGTGACACTCACGTGAGACTACTCATCTTCGTTTGCCACTTTTGACTGTGTTGCAGGATCACGGATTGGGTTTGCTTCCTGGTCCTCGATATTGGCAACCCGGTCACGGAAGCTGTTCCTGTAGGCACACGAGTTCTCATTGGCCTATTGCAAGCATCGGCGGTGCGAGCTGCCGGCTTTGCGACGATCAGCATCAGCGCGTTGGCTCCTGCAGTCAAGTAAGTTTCCTCCGAAATTATACAACTATATGCTCAATTATAAATCCATCAGAGTTCTCTATGTGATCATGATGTAGTGAGTGAACCATCTTCAAAGATCGCGAGCGATCTGGGGAGAACGCCCGTGCGTTAACCGACTCTCCACGAACTCACGCGTGAGCGGTCCAGTGAGAACAACTAGAGCTCACGCAACGAACAGTGTATCAATTTATCCAGTCGCGCTCTCCGTGAGAGCATCGAATGAATATGAAGAACGCTCCTTGGGGATTTTCGTGGAGCCGGATAACGACTCGGAGAGCAGCAGTCTACTCAGCCAAGAACGCGAGTTTGGGAAGCGGACTGGTGTCAGCAGGAGAAAGATTTGGGGTGAATACCTCGTTTGGCATGCTAAGCAACAGCTCGCATTTGACATGTGGTGGTTGGCTCTGGCCCTCTGGCTTATATGCATCATTGAGCGAGGGCCTCTTTCCGACAACACAGAGTTGCGTTGGTTCGACATTTTCACAGTTAGTAAGTACATATCCCTGATGCCGAGCATGTCTTAACAGTACACATAAGTCTTTGAACTGGTCTCCGCTTACGGCACGGTTGGTCTGAGCTTGGGCGTTCCCTTTGTAGGCCATTTTATTCTTATATTGGCTCATCTAACTTCCGTCAGGACAACTTTTCTACCAGTGGTGCCTTCAAACCGTTGTCCAAGTTGATTATGTGCGCCGTAATGGTCCGTGGTCGCCATCGCGGACTCCCTGTCGCTATTGATCGGGCTATTGTGCTCCCGAGCGAGTATAATAAGGAGAATGCATTCATGCCACCGTTCGAGGGGTTCAACTCTCTAGGAGCGGGTGAAATGTCGCATGGGAGGGTTTCTTCCATCAAACCGAGCAATCCACCCGTCGAGCCAGAGCCACACATTCCCAAGATGCACTTGGAAGCAGTTCCTGAGTCTGGGCAACCTAGTCCAGCTATGAAGCCAATGCAAGATGGCAGACCAATCAGCCCCTCCGCGCTCTCCTTCTCGACACAAGATACGCGCGAAGCATCCACAACAAGGGATGGGAGCACACCCCAAAAATAAAGTCCAACGTCTCCCCCCAATAGATCACATAGACTTACTCAGCAGATCGTTTAACTAATTCGTGCAATGGGGAACAAAAGTTGAAAGAGACTCTATGTTCGCGTCATGATTGGACTAGCGGTACAGAGATAGACAAGAAAGCACATGGAATGCAGAGACATTAGACAGATACTCGGAAATAAGTGACAGAGTGTGATGCGACAGTCAGCATAAAAACACATGCAGAGGATGCAACAAGGGGAGACGGTCCATGCAGATGTAATGCGGAAAGGAAGGATGACCTCTTGGATTACGGATGGTGATGTGTTATCGTATCTCAGAGAGATTTGTCGAATACATACCGCGCCATAGCGACCGTGAGAGTTGGCGTCAACGAAAAGCTGTACATGTGTCCATGCTCTCAGGTCGAGAGGGCAGCATATTTGCGAAGAAGTTTCTCCCTAGGTGTGACGGCCATCTCCCCTTCCATGATGATTTTATCCGCAAGTCTGATATATTTTTCAGTATATGGTCCTTCAGGTAAGACGTAAAAATGCTCACCTTTCCACGGCATCTTGTGAGAGCTTGGCCGCCTTCATCAGCGTAGCGACGTTTCCGTATGCGTTTGGCGAGTCCGTACTGGTATCTTCGAGATATTCCATATCCGATGCGAACCCCTGCGAGAACTGATCCTCGTCAACGAGTGATTTGGAGGCGGCCATAGTGAAGACATCCGCGATGAGCTGCACGTCCGCCGGTCGCGCATCAATGGCATGATGGACCAATTGCTCGACGAGGATCCAGCGGAGGTCGGCTGGCAAAGCAGTAAAGTACCCCTCTGCCTCGCCGAGCTGACGGAGCATAAATAACTCCTTCACATCCTCCTTGACTCTTCGCTTCGCTTGATCTGTTGTCATAGAGGCAGGACCCTTGTTCTGACCGCTGGCACTTGCAGCAGTGCTTGCCGCCTCATCGTCACCCGTTTCCGACTGGTCGACTGTGGAAGCGACCTCGTCTCGAACCGATCCTGCGTCAGAAGCGATATTCTGAGTACGAGGGTGCAGCATGAGGCGCCTGCGCTGAGGCTCGGCCCCAAAGTCAATGCTACCCTTGCGACTAGGCGGTCGGGTCGAGTTGGCTGTTCTCGAGCCGGCGGATACTGCGTCGGGGGTGGCTTCGCTCGAGTTGAGGGCGGCAAACATGTTGGACGATGAGCTGGCTCGGGTCACGGATGACATTGAATCACGCTTGTCTTTCTTGGAGAAGACGCTCGTGGGCCCAAATTGCATGTTCGTAGTCTTGGAGATTTTGCCAAACTGAGACATGTCGCCAACTTTGGTGGCTGCCGCCATTCGTTGAGGAGTCGTCCATCCATCAGCGCCGACCTGCGGTGGTCCATAATCGCGAGTATCCCCTCGTCGACTTCCTCTGAGATTGTCACGTCCTCCTGCTTGTCGCAGTGCCGCCTCTCTCTCAGCCACTTGTCGATCTCGTTCGGCCTTGGAAGGTTCAGCCTCTAGCCATTTCCCGAGAGTAGGTTCATACCTTTTGGTGGACTTCCGCGATCGTGGTGGGAGCCGCAGCTTGCGTACGGCTGACCCACTTGCGTTGCCGTAACTCGATAACATCCTGCAACTATATGAGGCAGGAACAGGAAGGAAATACGGCTACGCACAATAAGCATAAACTGGATGCGGGAGCTGATCTGTCCACTGTTGGCAAGCTCTTGCATACGGGTGAAATAAATATCCATATGATTCCGGGCCTTTGGAGTATCGAGTGCTTGTCCAACAGTTGTGAGGAGTTTGCACAGACTTTCGATTTCTTCCTCTTCGGGGTTCTCGACATTGCTGAGCAGCTTCTTGATACATTCATGCATGATTCGCTCTGTAAGCATTTGCAGTTTGAAGAGTTCACCGATGAACTTGACGAGACCGAGACCACGACGCTTGGCCTTTTGCGAGGCATAGTATTCGTCCGAGTAGAGGACTTCTTCTCCAGATTTCTCTGCGGCAGCAGCGGCCTTCTCGTCGTTGGCCTTGTTGGCAGCTGCAGCTACGGCAGCCGCCTCCTTGGCCGACCATCCCCGCTCAAAGTCTTCCTGACAGCGGTTCAGCAGGTACTTGCGGAAGAGGTTGCCTCCAGCAATTGGTTTGCCGTCAGCATTCTTGATACCCTCGTCACGGACATCCTGGCTGATACGTTCCATGAGGAATCTGCAAAGCCTGGCATACATCTCCGACCAAGTGGCCTCGTCGGTTGCTTTTTCGAATACGAGCCGAATGACTTGAATCAACGTGCGACCATCGTTCTCGTTGACCGACCTGTTCGCCCATTCCAAAATCTGCTTCGAGATAGAGTCGAATTTTTCCATAGTAAGCTTGTTGAGCAGTGCCTTGACCTTTCGATCAACGTATTCGGGAGTGTTTTGATCCACGTTCGTCGGCTTGCGCTGGGCAGACCAGGAATTTTCTGCGTGATGTAACTCGAGCTCTGGCGCTGTGAAACTTTGCATAGCCAAAGGAGCGGGACCGACTTTGGAGTCGGTGCGCTTCATGCCCTTATTGCTGTGACTGCGCTGAGGTGTGTCACGCCGACTGCCGGGTCCGGACATCGGAGGACCAGTAGTACTATTCGTACGGCCAATTGGACGGCCAGGAAACGGTACTTGGCCAGATGGAACGCGTTGGGAGGAGGCAGCAAACCGTTCTTCCGAAGATCGACCAGAAGGAGCTTGGAACTGACCCATGTTGCCAGCACCAAAGCTCTTTCCACCAAACGGCACTCCACCAGGTCCATTGAGGCCCAAACCGACAGAGCCCCTAGCCGAGCCCGGTCCCCCGATCGGAGCACGTCCTCGGCGACCGCTAAAGCTGCCCTGTTGATCTGATGGCTCGAGGCCAATTGCGTCCAGGGATGGCATGTCGTCTGGTTTCTCCTTGCAGACCTTCATGAATTGCATCAAGAAATCACGATCATATCTAGACAGGGTAAGAATGAATGTAGGGGGAGGAAGGAGGCTGCATACCTGAATTTACCACTGGTGGCATTCACGTTCAGCTCACTGCTTGGGGCCTTGATTCCCTCTGGGTAAGAGACCTTTCCAATGTCTTCAATGATCCGTGCACTGGCAAGAGCGGATGGAAGAGGTTGCGGCAGGTTGGCACTCGATGTGGCGGAAAGATCCAAACGGCCGGGAATTGGTCGACGCTTATTGGCGTCTAATAATGGTGGGAGAGCGCTCTTTGGAGGGAGCGCTGATGAGGACTGAGCAGGGGACGCATAAGCGGGCGTCGATCCAGCGGGTGTCGAGCTTTGAGAGGTGGCTTCGGCCGTAGAAGGGTGAGCGGTCGCCGCTGTAGCCGCAGCAGCGGCAGCGGCAGCAGTCTCTTGTTCCTCCTTTTCTTTCGCCAGTCTGGCGTCTTCAGCCTCCTTGGCCTTTCGCGCCGCCTCGGCCTCAATTCTTGCCTTTTCTTCCTCTTCAGCTTTGCGCCTCGCCTCTTCTTCCAACCGTTTGGCCTCTTCTGCCGCCTTCCGCTTCTCCTCCTCTTCCTTGCGTTTAGCCTCCTCTTCCGCGATGCGCTTAGCTTCTTCTTCGGCTTTGCGTTTGGCCTCTGCCTCTTCCTCCGCCTGACGTTGGGCTCGCTCCTTTTCCTCTGCCTCGAGGCGTGCGCGCTCCTTCTCCTCTTCAATCTTGCGTAGTCTCTCCTCTTCAGCGAGTCGAATCCTATCTTTCTCACGTTGCTCAGCCTCTTCAGCTTCGCGCTTCACCTTTTCCTCTTCTTCGACCTTTTTGCGTTCAGCCTCCTCAGCCTCGCGTCGACGACGTTCCTTTTCCTCTTGGTCTCGCTTTGCGCGTTCTCGAGCCTCGGCATCGCGCTTCGCCTTGGTCTTTGCCAACTCTTCCTCCTTACGGAGCCTCTCCTTTTCCTTTTGCTTCTCCTCTTCAATACGTTTCTTATGCGCATCTTCTGTTTCCATTCTGATGGAAACTGGGCGTCTCTCCGGTGTCTCATCCTTTTTGACGGCTTGAGTATTTTGAGCCTCTTCAGGTTTGGGAGGTCTCGAAACCTTGGAGAGATCAATCTCCTCGCCCGCAGAGTTTTTAATGGCGATTGGCCGCCTGGGAGCTATGTAGCTCCCTCGTTGCCCGGGCGGTGCCTGGGCGAGAGCAGTATGAGGAGTGGCAGGGGTCGGAGGAGCAGCAGACGATGGACCAGTAGGTGGAACGCGAGGAGACATGGGCATCGACATTGGTGCCGTACTAGGAGTGGGCATACCGGACGGAGGGAGTGGGATCGTTGCTGGCTGCTGCGATCCGGGTGGAGGAGGATGAGCCCCCATATGGGGCCCGGGTGGGGGTGCATGCCAGTAGTATGGTTGCATAGGGTCAAAATGGGAGGGGTACTTGTAAATACACTATTAGTCGACGATGTTTAGACAAATGGACAAACTCACATAGTATGGCCACATTGGAGCACCAGGAGGCATTCCCATGTGGGGAATTTGACCAGGAGGCATAGAAGGTACCGGCATATGAGGAGGAGGATGTGCAACTGGTGCGTTGGGAGCGTTCATCATTCCAGGAGGTACGCCGGGTATTGGCGTTGGTACAGCTGGGGGAGCCGGAGGAGCGTTTGTCGATGGGGGTGGACCCATGCGCGGGCTACCAAGTACACCAGAGCCTGGTGCGCCAGGAGGACCGCGCATGTTTCCATTGGTCATCGCTCGGCTGATGTTAGGAGAGCGAGGAGGATTTACACCGGGTCCAGCAGTACCTCCCTGTCGCATATTGGGAGGCGTAAAGTGGTATGGAGTTGGATTTGGACCTGGAGCCATTGGTGAAGGCATTTGATTAGGCGGGTGATTTACGACGGGCAGTGGGCTATTTCGGATTGAAGGAGAGTCGTAAGACGATTGGTGAATCGCTGAAGGCCGCATAGAAGGAGTCTCTGGGGGAGCCTGGCTGACTGGGGTCTGTTGAGGTTGAGCGGGCGGGATCGTCGAAGGGGTTACTCTGGGCGAGGCAGTCGGTCCTGTTGCAGGTGAAGCAGGGGCCGTAGGAGCTGCAGAAGTTGCAGCCTGTTTTTTCTGGAAGAGGCTGTTTATGTCAAGCTTCTTCTTGACTTTTCCAGCCGGAGCGGGTGAATCAGTCCGTGAGGGAGGGGCAATCTTGCTCTCAGAGCCGGATGGTGGCGTTGCATCGCCAGTCGCAGCAGAAATGGAGCCAAATGACTTGATCTGTTTTATATCAGCCATTGTAGAAGGTGCAGCAGGAGATGTCGATAGGGTAGCGTTAGTATCATCAATCGATCCAAATGTCACATTATTCGGCTTCGCCGGCAAAGGCGACACTATTTCGAGAGAAAATCAGTAAGAGATTATCCTTTAGGGAGGGGAAAGAGGAGATAATCTAGGTCTTTTTTTTCATCGCCTTGCCGTGGGTGTGAGCCACACGGTCAAGTAGCACCTCCGGTGGTGCTGAGCGACGGAAACAAGTAGAAGAAGAGTCATAGAGACGTTGTGCATCGAAATGGCACTTACCGACATTCTTTCCGACCGCAACTGGTTCTTTCAAAGTCGAGGGGGATGGTTGAAAGGAATTGGGAAAGACCGCACTTGAGCGCCTCGAATGAGATGTTTGACCATTTGTTCGGGGACCAGAAGGTGCGGTTGATGTCGTTGGCGTCGAGACGGGAGCAGGAGCCTGCGAGGGCGCTGGCTGCGAAATATTCGTGGAAGGTGTGCTCGTTGAGGGAGGTCCCCGAGCCCAAGCGTTTGTAGACGAGTTCCTTTGGGAGTTTACAGTCGAGATTTTGCTCATGCTGCCGGCGACGCTCAGCTCAGCACTGCAACCGCGCGGCGTGCAGCCCAGGGGGCCGCTGGATTGAGCAAAACACTTACGAACGAATAGAGATCGAATTCGAGCGATCTTCGCTGCTATGTACTTTTGTGTGAATTTTTTGCGAGTTGGACAGGCCGGAATCGGATCCAGGATCTCGTGCAAACGGTTCTAAGAAGGAACCCGCCTGCAGGCAAGCAAGGAAACGAAAATTCAAAGATATACGAGCCCGAAAGACGAGCCGATCTGCGTAACCCTCAGCGACAGGCCGAGGATGGTCAGGACCAGGGTTGGAAAATCTGGAAAGCAGTACGTAATAGACTATAGCTAGAGGCTGAGTAAAATACGGTCCCCAATGCCCGCTAATATTCAGAATGAGACTATAGAGACACTTATTTAGATGCGGAACGATCCATCACGGTCCTGCCACTGGTAAGCCAATATTGGTGAGAGGCCAGGATACTTGCCAGTTTATGAGAGCTGTTGAGCTGAAGCAAGTATAAGTAGCCGATAGATAGGTATCATAAGTCCTCACCTGTGGTGTTTGGTGAACTTCCCACCGTTCAAACAAGTGTCTACTCCCGGTCAGATTCACGACGCCAGTAAATCATGACAGACTCACTCTATCGATTGAAGCAGCTGTCTGTAGGTTTGTTCAGGTGTATGACCTGCAGGCAGAACTCATGAATGTCAGAGTAGCATCCAAGCAACGGAACGCACGAAGCGACATCATAAACGCCTATGTAGGAACCTTTAGCATGTCCTCATCTTCAGTTTTGGTACCCACGTGAGATAAAGCACCCTTATTGACCCCCTCATTCGTTACGATCTCGTGCGAGCTTGCCTAGGGGCGACATTAGTACCTTGTCGGCTCTGAATAAACGACATACGCTGTCCTGACATGCGGACCACATGACTACATCCCCATCACTATGCTTCTTTCGCCCTTTTGTCTCAATGGGGACTACGTTGACGGTGCCGTCCGGAGCCGCCTCTTTGGCAGAAAACTATAAGCTTTTAGACTCGGAGAAACTGTAGCTATCCTTGCGTACACTATGAGGCAGGTCTAGAAAATGTGAGCAAAAGAAGTCAATTCTTGGAATGAGACTCGCCTAGTGCACCACTCGCAAACGTAGCATTGAACTGAAGTTCCCGAACCTCGCGGTTGGCGATGCGGGGAGAAGCACTCGGAGTTGTACCCATTGGAGTTCTCACCAGGTCTGAAGGAGACAATCAATCTTGTGGATAGAAAGCTGATGGCGCAATACCCAAGCCAGTACCTGTCTCATCATCAGCATACGTCTTTAAGGGTGCATGGCACGTACCACTCGAGCAACAGTCAAAGACCGCCACCAGGCTGCATCCCTTCGGAAGTGGTTTCACCAGAATATCATGTAGTTGCTGATGGCAGGTAAGTGGGTGCAGGGGGGAGGGAACTACTCACATCGTCAACAATGATCTTGCCGTCCGCGCAGCATATAACTGTAAACCAGATAAGCGCACCCCACGCTAAAGAGTCTACGTACCCTCATCCAACCCGTCGGCTTCATCCCCATCCAGGTCTTGTATCTGAGAGCCATGGCCAGCAACTAAGCGCGGGTCAGCGTATTCCTTTACAATAATGATCTCACAATGCATGAATAAATGATCTCCCGGTTGAGCTTCGTGTACGAGCATAAATAAATGGTCAAACTGGTAGTGGCAATGTTTAGCCAAGGGAATCGAGAGGGGTAGTGGTACATACGACGACTCTCTGGGTCGGATAGTATATCGAATGTGAATCCTCATCCTTGAGCATCATGATGTTCCTTTCCGGCCAGTTGTAGTTGTCTGCCCTCTCTTCAGATGAGTGGACAGGTCATTGGGTGGAACTCACCAATTAGCAGTCTTTTCATATCTTCCACATCATTATGTGGCCCCTTCAGTTCAGTCCCCTTGATTCCAACCTTGCGGATGGATCAGAAGAGGGCAGAGTACAATGAACAATAGACGGCAGACCAAGAGGGCTCGTTGCTTGGGCTTGCCTACGGTATCGCTGAATTTATATCCGTAATGTTCCACGAGAGCTGGGACGTTAAAGTCACTCGGATCGACTTCAACAACGCCTTCGGGAATCGCTAATCAAGTATTAGAAGTGGTCCATGGACTGTACACAAGACCTCTCACGAAAGTTTTCCTGTAAGAATCTGTTTAAACGTCATCAAGTGTCCAATAAACCCAATAGAATACGCACCGCTCGCTCCACGGCTCGAGTGGGATAGCAAGGTCATCGTCGAGGTCGAAGACCTCCTGCTCCTGTGCTTCTGTAGGAGGCTCCTTGAGCTCAAACTCGAGCCCATCGTCAATCTGTGGCCTCGTTGACGAGCAATTATCAGCCCAGCCTGAACTCGCGCCACGAGATTGTGCGTACTGTGGGTCGGAAGAGAGCGGGGAAATGGCCTGTACAATGCGTTCGTCATTTCTTCTCGTGGCTCCTCTCGCCGTCGTGCCGCCTTGGGCGGAGATCGCTGACATCTTTGACAGAAGCGTCCTGGATTCTGAGGCTGTTGATTACACTTTAGAACCTTGGCACGATTTATTATGCAGATGCAATCTTTTCGAGGTGATGTCGGATTCCAAGAGACTCAGCGCTTCTTCCAATTGTAGATTCGGATTGCTGGGTTCATTCACTCACTTATCCTACAAGTACGGCTATCCTACAAACGCAAACAAACCAAGAATAGGACCAAGATGATAGTAAGACAATTATAATTCCTCCGAGTGTGTCCCAGGCGAGTCTTCACTCGGAGCAGGTTGGGGTTTGATAGATGATGATGACGGGTTTGGGTATTCAGGAAGGGCACCTTCGACTCGGTCCAAAGGAGGCGTTCGAGGTGTTGGGGAGGATGGTGAGGAAGACTCGGAAGCCTGCTCCGCAGGTTCCAACCTAGGGGACGGCGCAGGCTCGGGGGGTTCTAATAGAGTATCGATGAGCAGAGGGCGTTGTCCGAGTTCGATTTGCCGTTGCCGCCATCTGACTCGTACGGCGAGATCCACCATGAAATCCGGATGGCCGTACCGAAGAGGAGGACAGAGCTCCGGTAACTCCCAATCTGGTGGAAGCTCGAGACGCGTCGTACCATCCTCGCACTTGACGTGGACGGGCCGGAATGTGCCTATTGTACTTTTGTGCCGGAACGGGATAAGCTAAGATGCACGTCAGTCAAAGGTGCTGGGAGAGGAACCGATTGCGCACTCCAAGATTTTCCATGACCCTTCGGAATAGGAGTGTATAATCCCACTTTAGACCCATACTCGTTGCGTGCTTTGGCGTAATGCGCTGCAAAAGTTCTGGACGATCACCGAAATAGCGCTTGAGAGTCGCATGATAATCTTTGCATATTTGGTATCGGTGGGATTGGTCATCTCTCGCTACATCCTTCAGCCTGTGCCACGTCTTTTGTGGGTACCATTCCAGCAACCAGTATTGCCAAGGCTGATCCGAGTTGCCCGTAAGGACCTCGCATGGGGTGTACCCACAAGCATGCGAGAGCGCACACGGGCTGAGTTCGGTGAAGATGATAAAAGGAGCCTCTGGTTTTGACGCTTCAGCCATGTCGAGAAGAACGGGCAGGAAGGGTGTATGTCTCGGAACAAGGAGCTCATTTTCCTGTTCAAAGATGGCATTCCTGACGCGTATCGCACGCTCGCGTTGTTCTTGTGATTCCGTAGTCTTGATCCAGGTTTCAAACATCTCGCGAACATGGTTCATTTCCTGGATTCCAGTGAGCTCACGACCAGGATCCGAGCAAAAAAAGTAAACGCACATTTATTGTAAAGTGGCGTCGATTCCGATACCGGTTTTCCATAACCACATTGTACTCCTGGCGATGATAAAACTGTATATCGATGTGAACCAGGTATGTCGCTTGATGTGGGGTGAGAGCATACCTTTTCGACCTTTGACCATAATCCAGCTCCCACTTCCTTGATAGCTGGAACTTCGACCGTGGGGAGGAAATGTTCCGAGTCGCATTTGACGCAAATACCGAGCCGCTTTTTTACTCGTTCTAACGCATAGTTGGGTTGGAACACCGGGTGGTTCAGCAGGGTATTCTGATAAGTTTCGCCAAAATCGTTTGTAGGCGTCATCTCCATTGGTTCCTGGTCGCAAGAGGTGGTGAGTACGAGCGCTTGGTCGCACACACGAGGTTCTCGGATAGGAGCCGGCTACGGAATATCACTATCTGTCGCGAGACACACAAATGGAAGACGTACGGGTGGAGAGACTTTCTTCAAAACTGAAGGCGGAAGATTACCAGCCGCGACAACTGCAGTGACCTTTGCAAGCACATTGCGGTTGTTCTGCTCGGCTTCTGCGAGCATTGAGTGGCAATTGGCAATTTCAGCTTTGTAGGCGCTTTCAAGATCGGCTATGCGCCGTTCATACTCGTGCACTTTCACCGTCAGTTTTGCCACTGCCTGTTGGGCCATTTCTGACAGTTCGTATGTCTTCTCCGAGTCGCGTTCGTATTGTTCGATGGTATCTCTCGACTCCTCGAGATCATGTAGGTATTCGAGCACGCGTGTGTGACTTTCTGCCCATCTTGCACGATCCTCGTACATGTTTCGCTGGACCCGGAGCGCCTGCTGGTTGAGGCTCTGTTTGGAGGCGAGCAGCTCGGTAATATCCTTTTGCATGGTCTCCTCTATGGCCAGGGCCCACGCGTGATCGACTTCGAAGAGGGACTTGGGAACCCAGTCGGTGACGGCAACCTTGTCCAACTGGCACGCAATGTTGAAGCACGGCCGCACAACATTGGTCCCTTTTTGTAGCTTAGACATCTCAATCTCTACTTTTCGATCTAGAAAATGGTCCGGGCAGGTCAGTGGAAGCAGTTGTCAGCGTGGAGAAAACTTGCCGTGTCGACGAATGGTCCAACGGACCACAAATGCCGCCAAGGAGCACGTTGTGATCAAATATACCGACGCGATGTAGAGGTCGTCCCAAAATTCGGCTGCTGTCTGAGGAACGGTCTCGGTGTGCAGCGTATACGACCCCCACTTCCAGAAATAAGCTCCACTTGGACTGAGGCTCGTGGCAGTGTCAATAGACACGCGAGTGAACCACAATCGCAAGGCGAAGCCGACTATCCGGACTGTCCAGGCCATGAGGGTGGCTCGGGGAGAGGGGTCGGGGCGACGACGACGGAAGAACGCGTAGCAAATGACAACAAAGAGCTCGAAAGCCTCGTAGACGGCAGCACCGCGAAGCAATTGGGCGACAACACCGTCATACTGGCCAAAGGGGACTTGGCGAGGCGGCAGGAGCGGGCGAGCGTACCCGGGGTAAAAGGTGACCAGGGGAACATTACCGAAGAGAGTAGTGATGAGGATTAAGACGGAGATTGGACTGGTTGCGAGGCCACACCAGGCATTGGACCGGCGAAAAGACTTGGGCACGACGAGCAAGTTGGTGATGAGGCCAATGGAAATTGTCGCAAAAATCGGAATTGCAAACATATAAGCGAGGAAGGTAAAGTTGTGGGAGATGTTTGTGGTTAGCTTCCATCCGGCATCGATAAACTGTCTGATGTTGGACGGTGAGGCAAAGGTCGGATTGCCGGCGAGAAAGTCCCATGTCGTAAAGGGAAGATGAATTTCAGGTTCGGGTGGAAATTGGTCGACGCCAAGAATAATGCGCTGGAGATCCTTGGGCTGACTGGCGGTGTGTTTCTTGATAAACTCTGCGACAAGTCGCAGAATGTCCTCTTTGGAGGACATTGTTGGCGATAAAGCTGCTACCCTATCGTTTGTGGGATTCTGGAAGCTGGTTTCGCAATTGGCGCGTTGTTGTTGGCTGCCCGAGGATGGGATGGGCAGGTTCCAAGAGACGCTGGTTAGCTTGGTAGCAGCCACACTTTACAATTATGCACGAACACGGCGCGATGACTACTCGATAAACTGTGAAAATACACTATCAAGAAATATTCAACATGTTATTGCTCGCGCAGCTACGTGTCTGATGAGCCGAAGAAGGAAACCCGCCACGACCTTTTCAGCGCCATTTAACACGTGTTCATCATCATTAGGAGTCAAATGAAAACAGGTTAAACTTGAAATGCAGATAGTCCCGGGGTTGCGGTAGCACTCTTCGACCTCTCCACATTTTCCCCGTCGGTGGCCCGGCTGTCTACGGTATCCTTGATTGCTCTTTAGAGAGCCATGCAGGCAGAGCAAGGCTCACTGGATCATCTGCATGACCCAATCGTCGCTAGTCCCATCACGCCGCGCGACATCTATGACGAGGCAGAAGCCATTCGTGGGCGACGACGAGTGCAATGGGGACCCAACCAGAAGAAGACGATGAGCAAGGATGAAACTCTGCTCGACGAGGCTGCAAAAAATGTTAGGAATCAAATCCGTACCTCTCAAGCTGATAACTCAATGCCTTTAGACGGGTGTATTCTCTACTCTTCGCAAATCTTTGACAAGACACCAAGATAGTCTGGGACGGAAGCCCGAGACATCCCCTTCACGCCAGCTGAGCGTGTTTGTCGACGCCGACGAAACAGAGGGTCTACCCGCCTTGACCCAGACGGACACGGAACCCGAACAAAAGAGTAACGAGCCAGAAGGTGAAATGTCGACGTCTTGGCCACGACGCCGTACAAGCCGGAATTCACGGGCCGACCCAGAAATCGGAACGATCCAAGAAGGAAAGCCCGTGTTAGACACCTTTGAATCGACGCTGAGCAAAAGCTCGGGAGTGCTATCTACACTCCTATTCATGCACGACCGCCAACCAGGCCAACCCTCGCCGAGCAGCCCCTCTTCTTCGTCGGACACACCACTCCCACCAAGCTCTAAACGCGATGCCAAACGTTCGTCAAAGTCCCGCTCTGAACGACCAAGAGGGATGCACTGCGCCATAGCATTGAGAATGTGTTTAGCTTGCTCCATCGCGACGACGTTCCAGAAGAAGCCGGGACGGGTGCGGGCGTGTTTGGACCACTAGTTGCGGCGACAGGAAACCTGGCGAGCGTAGCAGCACCGACGAATGCATCACTAGCACCAGATTTGACGCGTCCGGGCTACCGACTCTCTCGTTACTCGCATGCAGAGAAGAGTCCACCATCTTCGCGTCCACAAAGTCTTCGTCGGGAATCTGGCACGGTGTCTCCTGATAATGGGGGTAGCAGGACTCCGCGTACACCGTCACATGCAGTTCATAGCGCACTCAAGGCGAGCGGGATCTCGTCTGCACTCAAGTCGATGACCCCAGCGAGCTCGAGACGCAACTCGCCTCATACGACGGACACTGAAGGTGAGGTACAAGAAGTGAAGCGTAAGCGACGGAAAACAAAGCGCAAGCGAGACGACATTTATGTGGGTTGGTTGTCGAATGCGTGAGGGAGGTTTGCTGACGAGGTGAATAGATTACGATGCATATCGCCAACATTGTCCACCGACAAAACTTTATCCTCAAGCTTGCACGGGCCTTTCTCATGTGCGTCGTTTATTCTTTGCCACTGACTGTCCTCATCGTCGATAGGTTTGGCGCACCGTCGCATCGAATTGAGAGCCAGATCCAAGCGACTGCGCGTATCCTAAGCCTCAATGTGTCGTCTGTATACCTACCGAATCTGGTGCTCATCTCATTCAACGACACTGCGACGGGCACGTCGAACATCAAGTTTATCAAACAGAGCCCGTCGCTCGATCTGGGCAAGCTAGTTGATGCGTATGCGCTATATTGGTGTGTAATACATGACAAGACGAGCGTGTCAGAGGCATCAGAGCAACTCGACGTATTGATGCTTCGACTGCCGATCTACAGAGGCCCGCTTACGGTGTTGATTGGCGGGTTCTGCTCTGCGTTTATCTGCCCGATCGCATTTAGGGGGAGCTTTGTGGATGCGCTAATCGCATTTCCGCTGGGCGCGCTGCTCGTGTATGTGCAAACATTATCCGCAAAGAATGAGCTGTACAACAACGTATTCGAGTGCGTGTCCCCTTTCTCGACGAAAGAGTGTTTGGGTTGACAAAGGAGATAAGGCTGGTGATTGCGACGCTCATGTCTTTTCTCTCGGGCGCGCTAGCGTCGACAGGCAAGTTTTGCTACTCGGCCGTGGCGTCGGCATCAATTGTGCTCATCTTACCGGGCTACATTGTGCTCTCTGGTTCACTCGAGATTGCGAGTCGGAATATTTCGGCAGGGGCGGTAAGAATGTGCTACGCGGTGATTTACAGCCTGTTCCTCGGGTTTGGACTCGCGATGGGCGCAGAGGTGTATCATCAAGTCAGCAAGAGTGACGTGGTTGGTAATTCAGACTTTCTGTGTCAATTGTCGCATCGGCCAGATGGGCCATGGTGGCAGCGCACGCCGTCAGCCAAATGGGGTGAGTTTGGAGGATGTACCATCCATTCTGGGCTCATCCGTTGATAGCATTTTTATGTGCGCCGATGTACTCCCTATTCCTTACGTTACGAAACCAGGCGCCGTTTTGGGAAAAGGAGCTTGTAAGTTCTATCCCACGCGACAAGCGAGGCGTGCTGATGAATTGTAGTACGTGTCGGTATTGATCGCATGTGGAGGGTGGACAGCGAACCATTTTGCGTCTGCGCGGTTTGTGAACCGAAGCGATATTAGCTCAGCCATTGGGTAAGCCTCGTGTGTGTGTGCTCTACTGTCTAATCGACTGACGGGATGACAGGGCATTTGTGGTGGGGGTTGCCGGCCATCTATACGGGCGATTGTTCCAAGGGAACGCGTTTGTGGTTATGTACGTGGGTGCCAGGTTGGTTTGGGATGGTTGGCTGATATATATATTCTATCTGGTCAGGATCACGGGGATACTGTTTCAATTGCCGTCTGGGCTGTCGAACGGGGGGTTGCTGGCGTTTGCGAGCCAGTCGACCGAAGGCAGTGCGACGACGTATGCGTCTGGGTTCGGCGTGGCGGAACAATTGGTATCGGTCGCAGTGGGCCTGACGGTCGGGTTGTTCATCGCAGCCGTCGTGGTGCATCCGTGGAAGACGTCGAGGCGGGGGACGGCCCTGTTCGCGTTGTAGTATCGATTATGGGTATTGACTATTTTGGATATTTGACAGATGATTTCTCACGGGTTCGCTCGCAGCGAAAGAGCGCAGCGGATCTAGGGAATGAGAATGGGCCCGCAGATAGTGTCACTACAGGTGCTGTAGACTGTCAACTGTCGACTGTCGACTGTAGTGCTGCTGCAAATGGACCGAATTGCTGGATACCGGTCTCCCAGCATTTCGAAGTTCTGGCTCTGTTGATTCGACGCGAGATGCTGACGGGGCAAAACCCATTCAATTGCTGGTTAGCTCCGTCCTCGTGGATCAAGTTGATAGGGGCTTTCAGATTAGATTCCACGCAAAGCTAGGACGTGTCAACCATTGAGGCTACGTTGTGGCAACATGTATAATGTTCTAATAATCGAATCCGAAGAGGCGGGCACAGGGCCAACTGAATCGGTGGGCGGGCACGGGTTCCAGGCGGGACCGATGAGGCGGCAAAGAGTCATTGGCCAGAGGTTGTGCTGGGTGACTTTGGCTGTGCCGCAACCTATTGGCCCATAATATAAGAAAGACCCGTCAAGGCTGGTCGAGATGACCACGTAGCTACACCTCTCCCCCCTTCTGATTTACAACTTGGATTCCAACCACTACTAGCACTTATGCCTCGCAGCCGCACTCGCACCTCGTCCTGCGCCATCCCCGCGCCCCCACGCTCAAAGGCGGGCTGCTGGACATGTAGGATCCGTCGTAAACGCTGCGACGAGCAACAGGACGAGTCTGGAGCTTGCCAGGCTTGTGTCAGGCTCGATATCGACTGTCTAGGATGGGGAACTCGCAGACCAGACTGGTGCAGGGTACGTCCGCCTTCGTCCCTCCGCTGCAATTACTCACAAGTCCCCCTCCCCCCCCACAGGACAAGGACAAGCTTGCAGAATACAAGCTCAGACTCAAGAGGAAACTCTGCACCCGTGCTGGCACACGCCCGTCTGCAGCTCGCCACGCCCAGCCCACTCAAATGGCCTCGACGTCGACCACTGAACCCGCGGAAGAGAGAGACCAAGTCGAGTCCCAGGTCGATGAAGACGAAAAGGACACTGGCAAGTGCGACCACTCCCGATCCGTACGACTCTCTGACTTATTCTGCGCACGTCCAGGCTTTGAACTCTTTGACAACCCGGAATGCTGGCAGTTCTCCCCCGAGTTTACGCTCCCAACGTCCACCTGCAACCTCCAGGCGACATACTCCAAATCGGCCTTGGCCAGCCTCGTCCCGCATCTGTACTCGCTCACCCAGCCCGTCCCCTCTGCCTATCGCACCCTCCTCCACCAGATTCTCGATTTGCATCAATATAAATCCTCCGTCTGCGCCGCACCAGAGACCGTCGCCAGTCGCGCACGCGCAGTCGAAGAGGCACTCGAGCTTCTTGCCCGCCGCGCCCATTTTAATACCGCGTTTACCTCTCTCACCGGGTTTGAATTCGATCCGACGGCATTCCTCTTCGACTCTCATCAATCCCCGCAAACAGCGACCATGGCAGGCATGTTTAGCCCCTCGACCCCGTTCTCGCCCCTCAGCGACAACTCGTATGGTCTCCTCTCGCCCGCGACGACAATGTGGAGCCCAGATCTCGTCCCTGACACTCTCTCGAGCGCCCCGACGTCCCCTGCCGTCCCCGGTCTTACGCCCATCATTCCGACGTCCAACCTGCTGTCCAACGTCAACGACTGGTTTGCTGGTTACGACCATTTCCAATCTCCGACCTATATGGCACCAACCCCTTCCACTCCGGCCCAACAGCACGCGTCGCTCGACATGCTCGGCTTGAGATTGGGATTGGATGGGCTCGAACTGGGCATTGACGGTGCGAACCATGGTGCGAGCGAAGAGTATCTCATCTTCCAAAACGACCACCTCGCTCACCCGCAAATCTCCCTTTTCCCACCTTCGCCATCGCAATCCAAGTCGCTTCCTTCCCCCGCCGCGGCCTCGTCGTCTTCCATGCCATCTCCTCCTCCAGTACACCAACCATACTCGTCGCCAAGGTCCGAGACGGAGAATGCAGATCCATTCGGGATCCACCACAAGACGTGCTTGCTCCTCTTGCACACCCTCGTCCTCGGTTCTCCAATCCACGAAACCGAGCGTCTACTCCAAGACTTGACGGCGCAGTTTTCGGGTCTGACGACGTTGGCAGGGTGCGTCGAGTATGCGTTTGCCGCCCTTCTTGCGGGTGCATTGAGCACGTCGGCGGACCGACGCGCGCTCTTCCGTGACGTGGTCAATTCCATCGAGTCGACGACGACGATGACGATCAACGTCAAGGCGACTGGGCTTGCTATGGGCCAGTGCGAGAGCTTGCTTTGCGAGGCGTGGAATGCCTGCTAAATCAATCTCATGACCTGGTTTAATTGGATGGACGATAAAGTGCTTACGACCATTCCGTTTTTTGCCTATTCTATATCTCCCATGTCAACTTGTTCTCCGTGTATTCTTGTACAATATCTGGAAACATTACGCAACGCAATAGACATACATCCGTCTACATTCTTCATCTCAATGAGCTTCACTATTGGAATGGAATGCAGAGATTCACGCAAGCAATGAACTGGTCTGTGCGCTCGCTTCTTTTCCAACGCTATATAACCCCGTAAATTTGCTGAAATGGGCTCGTTAACAACTTGCTTTCCCTCTCCTTTTCTACTCTAGATCGTCTACATTAACACTCTGTCACTCGTTTCTCATGTTCAAGTCGCTCCTTCCATTTGTCCTCGCCGCGCTCGTCCTCGAGAGCGCCGCACGGCCAGTCCACGTACGCCCACCGGATATTCTCTTATTGAGCGGATACTGATGCGTCCAAGCTGCCGTCGGACGTGCCTACGGGGATGATTCCTCGCTCGTCGAACAACATTTCTACGCCTCTGGATGCTGCCAAAGGACACGCACCTCTTCCAATTGCTCCTCGCAAGGCCACGAGCCACGGTGCAGCTCCAGCGCCACAGGCTCCTCTCGCTCTTGTGCCTCGTCAAGATGAAGAGGAGGATCAAGCAGAGGTACGCACTTTCAATCCCAATCATAATATACTGACTCTGTATTCCAGTCGACGGCCAGACGCCACTCTCACCGCAAGCCTAGGCCATCCAAAGATAGCAAGCCCCTCGAGGGTTCGATCCATCTCGGACCACGCGTAGAGTCCAACAATACGACGCTCCCCGCTCACGTCCCGCGTTCTCAAAACTCGACGATGCCCATCAAGCTCCCTCGCTCGACGAATTCGACGACCACGCCGACGACACTTCCCCTTCACGTCCCCCGCGACCACAACTCGACGCTCCCTGTTGTCAACTCTCGTGCTGAGCACAACTCGACGATGCCCATTCACGTCCCACGTTCGTCGACGCACTCGCCCGCAGAGGCCATCCTCCATGACGCACCGCACCATCCCCGTCCGCGCACAACAGTCGAGATGCATGTCCCAGCAGAAAAACTCGCCCACGTCGTCCCAGGTCATCATCGTAGAGACAAGCAAGAACATGTCGACGACGACGAGGAGCACGACGAGGCGCCTGCCACCCCCATCCTCGTCCCCCGCCACTCGACGGGTGTCGAGGCTGCGGACAAGATTATCCATTCTTCTGCCCACATGCTTCGTCAGGAGCTGGACGAGGCTCGATACGAGTGTTAGTGTTGACGATCCCAATGACCTAATGTAGCCCTCGCGCTGAAATATTCATTCGTTTTGATTTTTTTAGTCAATGGCGTCTCTTGAATCGTTATTCACATGAAATCTGCCATCACTTCATATTGGCGAGCAGATAGCGTACGCCTGCCCACGTCTCGATGCCCGTCGGGTAGATTTGATTCGCTGGGAGAACAAAGCCATACCTCCCCGTATCACGCAGCTCTGCAGAGAAAGAGTACTTGACGCCACTATACGAACACGTCAGTTGACAGAATACATCATTCAAAAGGCACGTACGTGACGACATAAGCATAATCGTCAGAGCTCCCAGTGGTCTTGTAAATCGTCTTGCAGCTCCCTCCATACGTATACGACGTGCCATACACCGCTTTAAGACTCGTCGTGAATCCCTTGGCGAGCGATAACAGCTCGGTATTGTCCGGCGGAATTGCATCGCAGTCGAATCCGTACGGTGTGAAAAACATTTGACTGTAACTATGCCAGTCCACGTACATCTTCATCCCCTGCGTGCTATTCTTCTTCCCATTCGAAAACGCTGCGAGCCATTTCGTTTCCGGTGCATCAGCAGGCGCGAGACCCCTATACGTCTCGTCACATGGGTTTGTCGAGGCTCCTCCCGGATCCGACCAGTGAATATCCCAATTGCGATTAATATCCCGCCCATAGCACGAACTCCCACTTGGAGGGGATTGTCGGTTCTTGCGCCACATTCTGTTCGTCGTTTGAGAGTAGACGAATCCATCCGGATTGACGACGGGGAAGATGTAAAAGTCGTACTTGTCCACGTACGATTTGATCTCGGTCGAGTTGGCATAGTTGGTGAGCAATTGATATGCCATATACTCGACCGTCATGCTCGTGATCCATTCGCGTGCGTGTACATTGGCATGCCAGACAATGGCAGGCTTGACGCCGCTCCCGCTGCTTCCAAAAATGTTGATGCCCGTGATCGCACGACCTTGGACGGATGTGCCGGCGGTGACGACTTTGGCGTTGGAGGGATAGGCTGCAGCGAGATCATTGAGAAAAGTGAGATGATCAGCATACGGGTGGTATGCGTTGAACCATGCTGGGGTCGCGAGACTTGCTACATTGTGTTAGTTATGGATGGATGCCGAACAAAGGAGACGACTCACCAGCTTTCATCATGCGGGCGGCATAATCCTCAGATGTTGAGGACTCTTCCAAGATGCTTTTTCCGAGATCTTCGTGCATAATCGTGACGGGCTCGAGAATGCCGGCCTGGCCTTGTAGCTCTTGTACTGCCTTCATAAAACTATCGTAATCGCCAGGAGGTACTTCGACGTCCACATGCGAGTTGATCGTCGGGGTCGTCGTCCAGAGGTCCAAATCGTGCTTTGCGATCAAGCTTTGAAGTCGGGCGAGTATGTCGACAGAAGGACCGGTGGGTATACGCACAACCTTAACACCCATGAATTGTGAAGCAGGATTGTCCCGCGGCTGGGGAAGGGCATGGCCAAGTGCAAAGAGCACAAGGAGTGTCGAAAGGAGCGCGAGGAGCCTCATGGATGGCGAATGAGGGGGGTAGGCGTCAAATAGGCTTGAGCGAGTGGGTTTTTATAGCTGGATATCGGCGCTAGGGCCCGTTTGCCAATAACTACCACTGGCAACCGGAACAGCGTACGGCGCCGAGTGGCCTTTATATCTCCCGCCAGTGTCGGCCGTCACCTGTTTGATTATCAGTATACACACGCAAAAGGCCCTCAGGACGCCGCCGCACTTACGTCTGATTTGCGATATGCACACATGGCCCGCATGGCTCGCCATATGGAGTAACAGAGCGACGACGGCTTCGCAGGTGTCATCGGCATAGGTTCAGATATGGTGTGGCATACGGGATGGCCGCTTAGCGATGCAAGAACGCTCTGACACCGGACGAAGTAGTTCTTGGAGCGCTCTCGAACCATGTACTGGCCAATCCTTGCTGAGTAGATCCAGATTAGTTACGCAATGTGACCATGTGGGCCTTCAACGACTGCGTCTTGGGCCATACGACGAGGCCGGAAGCGCCGGGCCAGGACCAAGCTGAAAGTACATAAGGAGCTCTTTTAGTGATTCTTGTTTACGGAAGCGAGAATGGTCACTGATATTGTGGTCGAATCCAAGGTGTGCCCAGTATAGTCGAGATAATAAATCTCGGTCCTGAGTCCATCCGACGTTGAAGACTTTGGATAAGAAAGTCTATGAAAAATATATAGATTATGTGAAGAATCTCCGCTGACTGCAGATGAGCGGTGCCTTTGCTTCGTCGACGCCGCCATCAAGGGCTTTCGCCAACCAACACCAACAGAATACTCGACACGACATCGGAACGCGCAGTACACGCCGCATATATAGTCTATAACGAGAAAATAGAGCCATGAAGGTACATCTCAACGCCGAGCGGCTCTCTTGCGAGACCGGCGAACAGAGTCGTGCTGACCACGAAATCTACAGCACCTCTTGTCGGCGCTGGCTACTCATAAAGTCGGCGTGGATGTAGACGAAGCTGATCTACGGCGGTTGCTTGCCCAAGCTCACAAATTTCGCGGCGTGAGTCTCGCGTCACTTTGGCCATCCAGACGCACGACGAAATGCTGATGGTCCACCGCCTTTTGTATATCATCTAGGAGAACAAGGGAGGAGAGACCTGGGAAGACACTCTTGAAAAGGTTTTGGTCGAGTTGCGCAGCTCGGTTCGTCGATTACCTTCGCGTTGCCTTGCATGGATTAGGCTCACAGGACACTCGTTTTCGGGCTTGTAGGAGTATGCCGTAGCCTTTCTTAAACCTGTTAAGAAGACAGAAGCCTGGGATTACGATCGAGGCAAGTCTCCTCCGGTCAACCTTGGACGCTGCCTTGCATCGTCCACAGAACGACTTCTACCTGTACAGAAGGACTGACGATGCCTAGTGATCACGCGCCCAATGGACCTCGGTACAATGGGACGCAAGATCAAACAACACTCTTATATGTCAAAAAAGGCATTCTCAGACGATCTGAATCTCATTTGGGACAACTGTCTAACCTACAATACTGATCCCGTACGTTTCTTATTCAGCCATCTACGGTTATGCTCACTCTGAACCAGAACCATCATCTTCGTCGAGCGGCACAAATCATGCGAAAGAAAGCAGACCAAATCATGCGCCGCATTCCAGATCGCCATGAACGCTTTACTCCTAGCATGATTGAACGGTTCAAATTCACTACTCCAGACTCTGCAACAGAGAAGCGAGGCGTTCTCACAAATGGAATCAACCATGATGGTTTCCGAGTCAAGAGAGAGGGCACACCTACAACCGGTCTGCTACGAGGCGACTCGGTCGTGACAGACCTGACCTCGGGTCCTGGTGCAGCGGAGGATACTGCCTCTCTTGATATTGGTCCATCGAACGACCAAACAGTCGCTAAACCGAGCGAAGAGGTTCGGTTTGAGGACACCCCCGCTCTGGAGCGCTCATCAGAGGATATGGCGGTGTTTGCGTCCCTCGATGCACAATTGCAGGCCCTTCTGGAGAATTTGAACATTTCCGACCCAGAATCTGCGTCGCTGGCTCTCCAGTCAATGTCTCAATTCAACATGGAAGGGGCCGACCTTCACGAGCGATTGAGGCAGCTGGCAGAAGAAGACGAGGAACCTGGGGTTGGAAGGCCGAATCTGCCCGAGACTTCAGATGAAGAGGTAGAGGTGCCTATACTGGACGTTGTCGTCAAGCGAGAGAATAGTGTCGATTCTGCAACTAGCGAAGCTAGCAGGAAACGAAAGCGGTTAGTTGGCTATCTCACAAAGCATTGATGCTGACCAGCGATATACAGTCTCGATACTATATCGAACCCTAGAAAACGGAGCAAACGGGAGAGACTGGCCGAGCGAACACTTTTGGAGAATTGGTGGATGGCCATGGCATCGTCATCATTGGCTGCCAATACTATCCCCCCCACATTTGATTCGGCTCAGATGCCCAACCCTCTTCACCCAGCCTTCCGGCCAGCCAATGCTTCAAGCCCCGATGTCATGGCCACCAGTCCATCCAAGTACGCTGAACCACCAAGGAAAAGGTTAATTCCTGTCATTATTCACTGCCTGTGTACTTACCTACGGATAGCAGGACTTTGCATCGTCTCATGTCAGAAAATGTTCGTGTACGCAAGAGGGCGAGAGACATTGCAATCAGGATCGCAGACCAGATAGAGGATGAAAAGCAGGGTGTCGATCCAGAGGATTTTAGCCCATTGGTTCCAGCTGAAGCCGAGTCTTCTCACCAGAGCAGAAAACCATGGGCGCAGCGAGCTGGCCTCCTACACCGGCGTCGCGAGCCCTACTTGGAGACGGATATTGGAGCCATCGAAGCTCAGGATTGTATGGAGTCGGTCGCTATGCTCGTTCTCCAGCATGCAAACTTTGACAGTGAGTCCCACCATGAGATGTCGGATGTGCTCAAGCTTATTGGTTAGGCTCCTCTGTGAACGCTCTCAGAGTGATGGGAGACCTCGTTGGACGCTGCATCGAGAATCTTGGTCGCTCTCTAAAATTCTTACATGAAACGCATTCGAGAAAGATGACTGGAGAAGTGAGTATGTCACAAGGTCTTAAAAATGCAGCTCATTTTGCTTTAGGAAATGGTATTGCATGCGTTGTTCGCCAATTCGATAAGCAACATGCACGAGCTCGAGGTGTATATCAAGAGCGATATTATCAAATACGGTGCATCTCTCTCTAATACTCTGACCTCTCTCGAGGAAGTGGTAATTATTTTCATATAATGATCGCATACTCTCATATGTTCTCAGGCCGCGAAGAGGGATGAGCCCGTCGACGAAGATGCCATTTTCAGGGATGACGTAGAGGTCATGGAGTACGTTTTTGTCACACTGCCGACCGCGTCCACTGACGAGCGATCCAGCGCTTTGGGACCTCTAGGCGAAGACATATACGGATTCAGAGATCTCGGACTTGATACAGAGCTAGGTCTCAAAAGCCTCAGCGTTCCAAAGAAGCTACTCAGACCGAAGGCCAAAGCGGTCGCAGCTGCAGAGTACGTTAGAATTTTAAGCCGGCAATGGCTCATGGCCTATCTAGGGGCGCCGATCGTGAGGCAGTCAAGTATCCTCCACCACCTTCATACTTGCCCTTGGAGACACAACGAATTGGGGCCCAGATTGGTTTGCTTCGTTCATACTACGAGACGCGAGTCTTGGCTCTCATCCCACCGCCACCACCTCGACCAGTAGTGCCGGTACTCGCCGCTCCTGTTGTTCCTCGTCCACCTACTCCGCCTGCACCCGTCCCTACCGAGAGTGTTCCGGCAGAATCATCCTCACCTCAAACTCAGCCTCAGGAAGCTGCTCCTACCTTTGATCCGTACAACCCATCTGCACTTTTCATTCAAGTACCCAAGTCCACACCAACAACTGCATCTGCACCACCGAAAGCGCCGTCGCCCGTCAGGTCTGCAGAGATGGAGCTTATGCCCATTGACGGAACAGCCGGCGCGGTTATTCCCCTGGCTGAGCCACCCGTTCCAGCGGAGATACCTCCCATCCTCGAAGACGATGTGCCAGATCCTAGCCGTGTCAAAGTGGGTCCACTGGGCCAGATTCAAGTACCCTCGGCGGCAACAGTGGCGAAGCAGAAGCGACAGCATAAGGCTGCTGCTCAAGCAAAGGCTGCTGCTGCGGCTCCTCCTGGAACGCCTGTCGCAGCTCCTCTACAGTCGCCGGTCTCTGCGAGCAAACCTAAGAAAGTCACGCCAAAGAAACCCAAGCCAGCCACCGTCCCGTCTTCATGAAAGACGACTAACTTAATCATGCTCATAACTTACAATCAACCTTCTTGGATCGAAATGTTGTCACTTGATCATCACTTTTCCAATACCGTCCTCTATCAAGAACATTTGTGAGTTTGACCACGGGACTTCGTGCTCCCAATGCGTGACGAATATGATCGCCTTCTCTGTAGCTACCTCTTTTTGAAGATACTCTCTTGCCCTATTGATCATACTGTCGTCCATCCCGGCGAATACTTCGTCAAGAATGAGGATAGAAGCGTCACTGACAAGCACCCGCATCAGCATCACCAGTGCCTGTTCAGCTGGAGGCAGAGTCGCGAATAGCTGCTTTCCCCAAGCCAGGCGGTCTGCTTCAGTGTCTCCAGGGCCTAGCTTTCTTATCAAGCTGTCACGTTTTAGCCTTTGGCCCTCTGTGAGATGTCGATATGCATAAGTCCCCTCGAAACCAGTTCCTATCGCATCTGCGGCGGTCATTGCACCTGGCCCAGAGCGACGAGGAAAAGCCGCAAAAATCTCTGGCGTAGATGAGGCAATCTGGCGTTGGATGGAGACTGTCGGAACCTGTTGGCGTGGCTTCCCGAACAGTTCAAAGTGACGTTGGGTGTAGGATTGTGGATGTTCTCCACTCAAGAGAGAGAGTAGAGTCGTCTTTCCGGAGCCGTTGGGGCCTCGTAGCCACCATCTATCGCCCTTACGTATTGTCCAGTTGACCTCTTTGAGTACCTGGTTTTCGTTTAGCCGCATATTTCGAGGGATTGTAACCTACTTCTCTTTCGCCATATGCTACCCGGACATTGACGAGGCGCGCGAGAATTGGCGCAGTGTTCTTCATTGACAGGTTGGGATTACTCGGCTGGGATGGTGTAATGATAGCATGATCTTCTGCTGAGTATTCGGCTGAAGGTATTGTCACGACGCTCGGCCCATCGACAATGGCAATGTGTGTAATCCATTGAGGAACAGGATCCTGAGGGCGAAGTTCAATAAGAACAAAAGGATCCTCGTTGGCATTGAGGCTGTGAAGCAGCGTCGACAATAGTGGTCGCTGCACGACGTCCAGACCGGCTAGTGAGAGTAAGTATAGCTACAACTCCTCAATCAAGATACGCACCAAATGGCTCTTCAAGGAGTAGCACAAGAGGCTCTTTGATGAGCTGCCGAAGAATACGAGCTCTCCTTCGTTGGCCATTGCTCAATGCGATCATCGGAATGTCGAGTTGAGGGACCAAGCGAAGTCGGTCAGCGAGGACATCAATCTTGGAAGCCTTGCGTTTTATTTCACCAACTGAAGCCAATAATTGTACTTCTGCCGTGCCCGGGATGTCGAATTCAGTCCGTGGGCGGGGTGGGGGGTCCTGCGAAAGACTCTCCACGAGGTTTTCGCGCAGCGTTTGACCATCTTGATCCCTCATGGCACCGTATCGTGCAGTATAATCAACAAACTCGCCACCGGCAGCAACGTTTGCTTTAGAGGAAAAGGCAACATGAAGGATGGCATCCCGTGCAGACGATTGCTCGGGCGTCCATGATGGAAAAATCCCGCTATTAGGGATCTGATGTATCCTTCGTCGACCCAGCAACGCCTTGATAGCTGAGTTCAAGCCAAGGCACAGTAGTCATCCATACACACCTGGAACAGCTCCCCTCTTGTGCTATTCGATATGCTAATAACTGCCCAAGCTTCTCCCCTATTTATTTCCCACGATACATCTCGCAAGACCGCGTCGCTGTCCGTTGCGGAGCCAAATTTGTAGATAGCTGCATTTTCAAAACGAACGATTGGCGCCGTACGCGAAGGAATGTGTATTCCTCTAGTCCTAAATGCACAACATATCCACTTTGCCGACTTCAATAACGGGTGCCCCATGGGTCAAGGTGGAGGAAGGGTCGAACGAGTAGTGATGACTCGAGCGTTCGCCTTCGTTCGGCCTACTCGTCTCCCTCATCACCACCTTCATCTTCGGAAACCTCCAGTCCAGCCGTCCGCATCATGGCTTTGTCTCGTTTTCGCTTTTCACTAACCTCCTCCAAGAAGACCAGAAGATCCTCATGCTCCTTTTCCTGTTCGTCTTTCCTCTCTTTTAGCTCTGACAGTTGTTGTGAGAGTTCTGCAATTTGCTGCTGCATTGCCTCTTTCTGTGCCGAGCTTGTCAGTCTTGAGACAGTCACTACGCAAATGGCACTCACCTCTGCTTCACGTTCAGCCTGCAGAGCGTCAAGCTTCTTTTGTAGACTATCTGAAATCGTCTGCTTGGCAGCATTAATCTGTTGTTGCTTTTGTAGATTGGTGACCTCCGCTTTCGCGGCTTGCAACTCGTCAGCTTGCTTTCTCACCACGTCCCGTAGCGACGCGATCACAAGCTGAAGTTCTGTATTATCGCCTGCAATAACTGAGATTCAGGAACTAGGACTATGCGCTACCTACCTGGTCCAGAAGCTACGGTGTCGGGGTCCGCACTCAGGCCTCGTTGAGCGGTATCTAGAGCTGATTTCAGACACATCATGAAACTCAATATCTGTCTCACAGTAGTTTGCTTTCCAGAACTCCACAAAGCCCCAGTCCAGCCATATCTCTGCCTCAACGACATCGCTCGTAGCCATAACCGAATGTGGTATTGGCAAAACGATCGATTCTGGAGTGACATGCCGGAACCTATCGTCCTCTCTGGCTCTCGACATTCGCGATACTAATTGTTCAGCGCCAAGGCGAGAGATGATTGAGTGAAGTGTTTTACTACACAACATTAGATGAGAATGACTGAACAATCAAGAGACATACCGAGTAATCTCTCCAGGTTCTCGATTGAAATGGTAGCAGATGGCGAACAGGAAGCTACAGAGACCCTGGACGAGGACATCTACTCCACTCGTCTGTGAAATTGGCTCTGCCAGCTACAGATCTCAGCAATGATAATCACTGGCAGCGTAGGACCCACCACACCAATGCCGCCAGCCTCCAGGAAGATTCTAACACTTTTCGGATCTTCCCATAGCCAAGTACAAAGTAATGCGAGGTATGCAACTAGTACTTTATCCCATAGTCGTGATTCGGCGGCATCGTCTGTAACTTTGGATCTTGCCAGCATAGACAGACTGAGATGCTCCGTCAAAAGCTGTAAGAGTGACGACGGCGGGTCGTCATCGTCGTCTTCGCTGAGCTTAACCTCATTCGAAGAGGGTGGTAGAGCACCCCCATCTGCCGGGACAAAAAAGTTGCCACCTGTGTCGGACGCAGGAGCTGTGCTGAGCCCTCTTGCGATAGCTTTTGGGGATGTGCTGGAATTGTTCGGTGGGCCATGGAAAAGGGATGCGAACAAAAGGCAAATAAACTGGAGGCGAGTGGCAGTTTTGGATGAGAGGGGGCTAGTTGGTAATATGGCAATGCCATTGAGGAGCACGTTTGATGCAGAGGTTGGAGGTGAGGATTGGCGGCCTGAAAGCATTCCATTCAGTATATCGGTGGTGACTTCTTCGTCCTTTACGAAGTCCTGAACAAACAATTAGAAAGCGGGGGATGCAAGTATGCACGCTTACATCAAATACGCTTAGAGCTACCGACCTGAGCTCGATACTTTCTTTACTTGTTGGAGGGGCAAGACCAAGTCCTCCATACTCGCCGTCCACCGCCGTTTGGACCAGTAGGTCAATGCCTCGACAGGCGTCAAGTCTGTCCCACTCCTCGCCATTGGAGTCCGGTACAGGTATGTATGGTGTGATATTTCGGAGCAGGGGCGGGGCTTGGTTATAGCCTGATAGCAGTCGGAGGGCCTGCGCCTTGACCTGTTGGGGAGCGTTCGAGGCGATACCTAGCTCAGTAAGTAATCGAATGTGTTCTGGTGCTTTCTGTAAATTCCATTGTTAGACCAATCTGGAGAGGTGCTCCTAATTTACCATTGTGCCGATAATATTGACTACAAGCCCCACATTTCTCGCCTTGAGCTCGTCCCAGAACTGCAATGCAAACTCTTGAGGAGTCTCTTGATCTGATGCTATACTTGGAGGGAATAATAAAAGCGGTGGGATTGATGGGAGAAGTTGACGAAAGTACGTCTGAGAGCGTCAACACAAATCGGACGAGATATTATATGAACACACCTGTGTGGAAGAATTATACTTGAGTAATCCATCTATTGCGACAAGACAGCCATATGCAGCCACGCCGCCTTCCACGCCACCCTCTTGCGCGATGATACGCAGGAGCGATTCAAAGGCGCCACCAAACGCAAATATGGTCTGTATGTCCGTATTTTGAGAGACGAGAGACTGGAATAACTGCAAACCCTCTATATTTCTGTTAGTTTTGTTCGATGCCCCACGTCGAACGCACCGTTTCGTATCATGTCGCGCTTCTCCTCGAGCAAGGCGGTCACGGTCTGTGAGTATTCTGGAGCGTTGACAAAATGCGCTTGCACAACGCTCCGTCTGTTTGTTACAAGCGTGTTGAGGAGCTGGAGAGTGCCATAGCGCGTATAAAACGTTGTATCCGTCAGCAATCCAAACAGTTTCTGTGTATGTTTTGGATCCTGGAGTACATGATCCGTATTCTTTAGTGCCAGTTCACGCTGTTCGGCGCTGTTGCCCTCCATGCTGCCATCGACTTCGACGAGCGTGTTCAACGTCTGGAGGACGGCCTTGGCGACTTCGGGGTCTACCTGGGCGTCACCATCGAGCACGGATAAGAGTGCATCGAGCGCGTGGTGCGAGACTTCGGCTCGGTAGTCGCGCGAGAGGCCACGAAGGGCAAAGAGGGCGGCGCGTCGGTCCTCGAGCTGTGTCGATTGCGCGAGACGGTCGGCAAGGCGAGATACGGTATCTTGTGGGTTTTGTTGTGGTTCTCCTGTGCCCCGTAGCGCGACAATCGTCTGGTTTAGAAATTCCATCGAATGTGGTGGCTGCCAAGTTGGGAGTGGCTAAGCAATACCAACTCTACGTAGCTCAATACAGACTAGGATATCGACAATGACTATCGTCTGTCAGGCGTTTACAAGTTCAATATATACGATCATTGCCCGTGTTCTCGCGCTTCAAGATGCTGCTCGACCAACTCGTCGATAAGCTCCCGTGGAGGAATCATACCCTCTCGCAAAAGACCGGGACCACCCCGTGCCTCCCTTTGAGCTCTCATCACCTCTGCCAAGCGTCTCGCAATCGCGTCGACATCATTCTCCGAAAGATTCCTCGCGTCGGGTCTGGAGAGCACATCTTCGGCATACGGAGGAAGTGTCGAAGTTTGTACGTCCACATTTTGTGGCGGAAGAGACGATGCATAAAAGTTGTCCGCTGCCCATCCTTCCTCTTCTGTCCCCCCGAGCACTGGTCGAAACTGCGCAGGCGGTGGTGTAAGTGGTCGTGTTCTAAACGACGGTGGAGGCGAATGGAGCGCCTGTCCTGCTCCCACACCGGGTTGCACAGCCGTCTCGGATGACTGTGGGGTCGTGAAGGACTGCTCGCGGCTCAAGCCTGAGCTGGTGATGGATTGCGGGGTCGGAATGACAAAAGGCGAGCGATGTGACGAAGATGAGACTTCAGACGATGTATTTCCCGCACCGCTTCCCTCGGCAGAGAGGAGATGTTGGCTGCTCATCCCCATTGCAAGCCACCGCTTTTCGTGGCTGGCTGAAGGAAAACTCGGTATTTCTGCAACTTGATGTTCTTGTTGATCCTGATGTTCTTGTTCTCGTTCCCGACTGCGTTGTCTGCGGAGACAGAAAAATATAGCGAAGCCAACCAAGATGAGTGCTGCGATTCCACCGATTACGCCGCCTACAATACTCGGTGTATTTGGTTTACTTGTAGATTGGCCTCCTACATTAGCAGACGAGGCCAACCGCAGGCCGAGGAAATCGAGTGTGCCCTGTCCACCGGATGTTTGACCCCTATTCGTAACGACGAGGGTATGATTTGAAGGACCTAGTCCAGACACTTTGAAGGAAGTCTCGACTTTACAACTTGTTGACGAGGACGCGAGATATGTATCGTACTCCCCTCTGTCATTCCCATCAATCGACACGGAGTATTTGCCTCCACGAGCATTAGCTGAAGTGTACACCCATATATCCGTGCCTAGGAAAGTGAGTAAGTGGATTGAAAGGAAGATTAGACGGACCAATAAAGGAGAATGTAAACGAGGCTCCTTGGGCGGACGACGACTTGCTAGGCATATCGCAGGTTGTGTTCGTTGTCCAAATGTCTCCGGAAGAGTAAGCAATCCTCGAGTCCGAAGGCAAGATTGTTGGGCCGTCTGACGCCCCATCAACCCCCGCGGAGATTGTAGGCTCCAGCGTGATCAATGAGCCAGAGACCGTAGTTGTGATAATGGACCTCGTTGTAGATACGCTCCCAGAAGTAGACCCGCTCGTTCCACTTGTCGAGACACTCGAGCCCGAATTTGACGAGCTTGCTGGCGTCGATGGGCTACTACCACTAGAAGATGAGGCCTGCGCTGGTGTGAACTCGATATAGTCCAGTGCAAAGATGGCCGCCTGATACAAGACAGTCGCCCGGATGGTATGCTGGGTGGGACTCAGCCCTGATTGGGAGAAAATTGTGTAGCCGTATTGTAGGTCCTCTGCCGTTTGGACCTGGTTGATCTGATCCGAGACGTCGAAATCCGCGAAGACGGGTGTCCCACCGTCTATGGATACGCTGAGACGAGTATTGCCGCCTTTTTTGCGCACAATGCCGACAATGCTAACACTAGTACCCGTAAACGTTGTTTGGAACCATGATCCGTAGGAGAGCGATTCGTGCCAGGACCCTGACGGCGTTTAGAGTCAGACTGGGATCGGGGAGGCCATTCTAAATTCACCATCCGAAGCCCCTTCATTATTTCCGGGCCATTCGACAACAACTCCTATAGAATATTTAGCCCAGCGTTCCGCTTTTGACCAAGAATTACGCACCAGGTTGTCCGGCATTACACGTTCTCCATGAGGGCGAGTTCGAATAAGTAATTCTAGGTAGAATCATAAGCCCAGGAGATCACCAGAGGCATCCGAGAGGCGTACGAGTCGGAGGTATCGTCTATTCTGTCCGCTCCCACGAACGCGAAGAGAAAAGTCAAGAGGAGATAGTGGATAAGACCGTTAAACATAAAAGAGGGGCGATGAGGAGCACAAAGCTCCGACGTGGTAGAGGCCAAAATGTATGCAAGCTTACGCTGTCTTTACCCTTCGGTTGTCGGCCAGCGCGCGCTCACGCCAAAGGCTGTTCCCAAGCCTTCACCGCGGCGCACGGAGCGCCTATAGAAGCGTGGCGTTGGTACAATTGGAACATGCTATGCCCTTGGGAGCACTTGAAGCCGGCTTGGCCGATCAGTATGATGCGGGAGGGACAGTGACATGTATAAATGTTGGAAAAATAGGAATACATCACATACAACCCTTCAATTGCAACTCGTAGTCGTGTATACTGACATTGCAGAGATGTTCGTTGACTCGTCGAGGGAAACTCACTGGTGTTGTGGGTCGGCGTCATTTCGCATCCATGTCTTTGCCACGGTCAATACGTTGCAGATGACGGCGACGAGACTGGTATGCGGCCATCAGAAACAATGCAGCGAATCCCACGAGAGGCAGGTCCGCAGTCGAGTAGTCAAAGAAAACGACGGGAGAAGTGAGGTGATTCGCTGATTGACCGTGGTGGCTTGGGGAAGATGGCGGTCGTGAAGAGGTCGGTGGAGGGAGCGGGACTGACTGCGGATCGGGAGGGTGTCCGGACGGGACACCTGAACCAACTGGGGCTAGACGCAGCCCGACAAGCTCAAAGTTCGAGATGGACGAGATCACCATCCGGTGTACTGAGGGCGACAGATTGTCTACGGTGAAGGAAGCATCTGGGGTGCAATCCTCACGTTCGGGGGAATCGGGAAGGACGACCACCTCTCGATCGTCGAGAGAGACTTTGTAAGAACCTCCATTTGTGTACAGTGTTATTGCGGTACCTATACAGGTGTCAGACCAAGCGCAGTTTTACCAAATGACCCACCGTTAAATTCGAGAGTGAGCGATGATCCAGACTCGTTGGCTAATATGCCACCACAGGGACCAGGCCACCAACGACCTGTTGAACGTATCGTGGAGTGGGTAGGTGACACGAGGGAGTTGTCTGTGGACAGTCCCGGAGTGTGCAAGGACGAGGGTGTTGTGAAGAAATCCGAAGATAGAAAGAATCGTGATGGTGCATCAATTTGTGCTGACGTGGTATCGTATTGGATCCTCTCTCCAATCGCCCTCGCTGAACACGCGCCAACGCATGCGGTGAGGAGGACTACCCTCTTCATTCTTCGTGAGGTCCAAGCCGCAAAGAGAGACGGGATACAGAGCTTTTCAATGTGGTTTAGGCTTTTGTACTGCGCAATTCGCCGCTATTCGGCTGCGAGATCTGAGAATTGAGCTGAATTCTCCAAACAGTGTCAGGTGATGAGCCTTCTGTCCCTGGTGTGATGTATTTCATGATCCTCGTAGCGTTACTGGAGTGTGGTAGACCGGACCGCGGAAGAACGTCTGGGGAAATCGGCGAAGCTCGGAGGATTCGTTACATGCTTCACTACGATTCATGACCTTGTTTGTATGTTAAAGCGGTGCACCTCTCCAAGTTCCAGGCGATGCTATTCTTAAACAGCATCGAATTCCTCGCCGTTTTGCCGTTTTGCCGTTTTGCTGCATCGGAAGCGTAAATGATGGTGAGATCAAGATCGAGAACATGACGGAGTCCAGGTGTGAAGATTAAATACGAGAACCGCCGGCACGGGGAGGAGCAAGGAGGAGCAGATGACAGGATTATTGGGACCCGACGACTACTTTGAGACAATCCTTGACAAGTCTGCACTTACTCAAAATGGCACAATCTAGAAGAATTGCGCAATGATTCGCTGGATTTCGTAATTGGCGGCTATTCATACCCCGTCTAAGGATAGCGACCGTCCGCCGATCTGTTTATGCACGCTCAAGAGCGTCAAAGATCAAACCGTCGATATTTTTGGGTCCCTCTGGGCTATAAAATCTACGGCTTTCCAAATATCGCTCCCTCAAACACCTTATTTCCCTCTCCACGAACACGTAGAATTCGACGACATGGGTTGGTTCGATAACGACTCCGACGAGGCTCAAGCCTACGAACAGGTACGGTCACTCTGTTCTCCTTATTTACCATCTCACATCGTGCAGGTCAAGCACCACAAGGCCTCGTTCACCCACGAACTCCTTGCTGGAGCCGCCAGCTACGAAGCCGCCAAGGCATACGAAAAGCACGTCGCTGAGAATGGACAGCCAGCAAGTCATGCAGAGGCGAAAGAGCTCTTGTGAGTCCCCAGCACCTTCGTCTTTAATATCATGGACTGATTCGACAACGTACAGGGCTGGCTTCGTCGGCGCATTTATAGACCGCGAGGTAGAAACCAAGGGCCTCGATTACATCGACGCTGAAAAGGCAAAGCGTCATGCACGCGAAAATGTCCATCAGCAACTCGCCGATTCTGGAGACTATTAGATGAGATGAAATGTGCAGTAGGAATACAAGTTGGTTTCTAGCTATACAAGGCACGAACGCTAAGAATGCCGAATATGAATCCGAAAGGTAACTTTAAATCGTTGGTTTCATGTCAATGGAGATCATTTGAGGGTGGAGGCAGCGCGCCTGCCGGCTTCGTCTCAACCGGAATCACGAACCGCGGAAGACGCAGATACCCGGTCAAAGATGACGGATTTATCGGAACCTATTGTGCCCCAATCTGTCAGGTACACTCTTCTTCGAACGCCGGGAACTTGGCAAAAAGGGGCAAACACCGACCGTCGTCCCAAAACATACAGCCTCTAGCGAAATGATCTCTTCGGGTGCAATGACATCCAAACGCCGCCGAGCTAGATCCAATGTTTAACTAAGAAGACAGCCCTAGGTTATCCGTTTGGGTCCCAGTACTAAGAACGCTTGACGCGTGACAACTGGATTCAATCGTTCTTATTGGCTACAGACAGCAACACCGGCTGGCACGAAATGAGAGCCCGAACCGAAACAACACCATGGCAATCAGCGAGAGTGGTACCTCGGGGCATATGGATCAACTTGGCGGATATAAACATGCACTCTATCCGCTTCTGTCGCGTGTTACCCCGATTCCGCCTCCCCCCGCCCTCTACGCTGCTCCAGCTCCTCTCTCGAATCCGCTCCTAGTCCCGCTGGTCTCATGAAGAGGATGTCAACAGAGACAGCTCTCTCGGACATGTCCAAGCCACCCTTCTACGTGAAGACGAGCGAGAAGAGACCAATACCCGTGCGGGCGCTACATGAACACCTGGATGGAGACATCGAGGTCGAAAGCAGACAATCTGTCGAAGAACTCGTCTACGTCCCGAACACCGCCGTGGAGAAGCGAATGATGTGGGTGCGATCACGTAAACCACTTGTCAATGTCTGATAGAGCCAGACGAAAGGTAGATCTGCATCTCATCCCTATACTTGGTGCACTCTACAGCTTTGCCCTCATCGGTATGCCTGATGTCCTTGATTCTCGACAAGACAAGTCCGCTCATATCACTGTAGACCGATCAAACCTAGGGTATTTGTACGTCTCGGGAATGGACAAGGATCTGGAGATGTACAAGGGCTCCCGATATTCTATCTGCCTCACTGCTTTTTTCATCCCGTATATCATGCTTGAGATACCCGCTAACATTGTGAGGCCCAAACCAAGAAATCTAGCGCAAGCTTTGTGTGCTAAACAGAGTTATAGGCGATTCGAATCTTTGGTGCATCGAGGTGGCTGAGTACCATTGCGTTGCTATGGGGAATCACAATGTTTTCTATGAGCTTTATCAACACATGGCAAGGCATTGCTGGAACAAGAGCATTGCTAGGGGCTCTAGAAGCTGGTAAGCCACCCCACAATGTCCAACCACTCGTCGCTCAATGTCGCCTTTCCAAGGATTCTTCCCTGCGTGTGGTAAGTGGAGTACTGTTTTGCGATTGAAAGGCACTCACGAATGACCAGCCTATCTCATTTCATGCTGGTACACACGCAAGGAAATGCAGCTTCGCTTGGCGTGCTTTTATCTCATGAGCGTGTTGGCTGGAGGATTCGCCAGTATACTCTCTTATGGACTATATAAACTAGATGGCCGTAATGGACGTGCAGGCTGGAGGTGCGCTGCTCCTCCATGACGAACAAACTCAGTCAAACTGATCCTGGTTCAGATGGATCCTGTTCGTAGAAGGACTTATAACTGCTGGTTTGGCAATTGCAGCATATCTATGTGAGTTCTTCTCCCATTCTCTTGCACAAAGCTGACCAGACCTAGTGATCGCGGACTTGTAAGTCCATGGCCATGACAAGCTTTTATTGTCTCAAAATTACGCAGTCCAGACAAGAACCGCTTCCTCAGCGTCGAAGAAACGAAGCTTGTGATTCAACGCATCAATGCTGACAGAGGAGACGGTAAGGCTTCGTCCTCTGGCCATAAAGTCAATCCCCGACATTTAGATAGCCGAATATGACCAAATGACATGGTCAAAACTACGCGCCTACCTCTGCGACTTTAAGATCTGGGTGTTTGGTCTCCTATTCTTTGGGAGTACTGTGCCCTCTTACGTGCGTGTTCGTCTGATGAGCCTCTGACAAAGTCGCTCACACATGGCTTTAGGCAATTGCATCTTTCTCACCTATCATCCTCATGGGACAAGGGCATTCTATTGTAGCCTCGCAGCTGCTTTCTGCACCACCATTCTGCGCGGCTGTCGTCTACGCACTCATCTCTGCCTATGCATGCGACAAGACCGGGGCGCGGAGTGCGTATATCATCGGCCAAGCCATCCTCTGTGTTGCTGGCCTAATGATGATTGGCTACGCCAAAACCTATAATGTGAGATATGCCGGATTGTTCTTGTCATTGATGGGTACGTCCTCCGTTCCTTTTCCTCCACCGCTCATCCTTTTTGGGTTCAACAGGCTGCCAAGCGAATATACCCGCCGTACTTGCATATGTACGCTCCCAACTGTCCAAGAGGATCAAAGAGCTCATAGATTCTGTAGCAATCCACTAACATTGTTCGTCAATCTAAACGGGCAATATCAAACGCAACCGTGATTGCGTTCGGAGGCGTTGGTGGCATCTACAGTGCATTTACTTTTCGATCACAGGACTCGCCAGACTATATCCCTGGGCGTGAGTGCGGCTGCTGGATTCACAATAACAAGCTCACACCTTTGACAGTATGGGCGACATGCGCTTGTGAGTTCTTGATTGTCGCCTTGACGCTATGGATGGCATACTACTTTGCGAGAGAAAACCGGAAGCTGAAACGCAAGCTACGGGGTCCAATCGAGGTCAGTTCATGGCAGGCTTGGACGGGAACTCTCCACTGAAGGTTTCCAGGGTACAGAAGGGTTCTATTTCACCATCTGAGGCATACTGTAACATAAAACATTGGTGTTTATTATCGCTGGACAATACATCCCCTAAAATCCCAATCGCCGGACTTCAGCGACTGACCAGTACTTGCGCATATTTTCCGCTGAGAGGTCCTGTACTTCCTCTGCAAGGTGTCGATAAAGGGGCTCGCGAAAAGAATCAAAGGCCTCGCGCATCTCGACCGGGTTGTAGCTACTGTTGTCTTCTTTGAATCGTTTAACAGCCTCCTCTATCTTATCCAGCCCGTCATGAATGAGCTTATGCGAGTTCTTGTGCCGCTCGTTGGGACGAAACTCGGGCATACGCTTGGCGAGAGTTGGGAACACGTGGGCCTCTTCGATATCATGGTGCATCGTTATGTCTATGCCATAGGTTGCGTTACTAAAGGGCCATGATAATATACCGAGGACTCACGCATTCGGAACTGGTCTACAAAACCAAGATATTGAGAGAGGGACATGCCGCGCTTGGTAAACTTCCCGTCAGCGAGCTGTTTAATAATAAGAGATGAATGCTTCTAGTTCGTAATGACGGACCTCGTAACACTCCTCATCTGGCAAACAGTTAGCCAAAGGCTCAGAAGCGACAGATCAGGACACACATTCGGCCTGTAGACCAGTATGAAAGTACTGCATCTTGGTCGCGAGCTATAGAGCTTGAGAATTCGCCCTCTGGCCTCGGGAAAGACTTACCGAGTTGTAGATGCGTTCCTCATGCGCGGTAAGTGGTGGCAGCGCTGCTTCTACACCCGTAGACTGCTCTTTTGAACTTTCCATGGAATAAAGACGCGTGTTTCTGAGACTGGTGTTTCTTTGTACGACCAGACTGCCGAGAGCCCTCCGAAAGGACGGAATGGACGCCAGGGAGACGAAGAGAAAGGGAAGAACTCCCAAGCCAAATATCGGACGCGTTTTATGCATTTGAGGAGCGCTTGCTGCTTACCTAATAGGCGTAATCAGTCTTACACCGAACTCCGAGGACGCGCCCCAACTCTTTTTGCCGCCTGCCACATTACTAATGCCGCTCCAGGGACCTCCCACGGCGTTCACCAATGACCAGGCCGCAATTACGCGCCCACTTGATTTAGAGGAACAGGCGCAGCGCATAGGTGTACAAAGACGCGACCAGTCGCTGGCCATCGAAGAATTTTATGAGATTCACGAGACTGCGTTACAAATTCAGCACCATGGATTCAGGAGAGTATGTAAAGATCAATAGAGCGAGCTTAGGTTTCACGATTGGTCAGATCGCGATGCAGTTTCCGGACGAGATGCTTCGAGACTCGGTGGCAGTCTATCTCGCTCTGGGAACCCAATTGAAACAGCTACGGCATGAAGAAGCGCAGCTTTTTGTCCTTGCAGACACTTCCTATGGCAGGTTAAACCGCCCTCCGAGTGAAAGAGAATTGTCCTGAATACTAGGCAGTTGTTGTGTGGATGAAGTCGCCGCACAGCATGTCAATGCGGATGTTGTTGTGCATTACGGACATGCTTGTTTGAGCCCGTGAGCGTGGCGTCGTCTTGTTGGGCAATCTGACTAGGTAATAGAACTACAAGGCTACCAGCGATCTATGTATATGGAAACGGCCCCTTGACGTGCATAGAGTGGCTTCGTGCTTCAAGGATACATGTGGATCGGATATCCCAAAAAATTTGGCCATCCAGACAGACGTTTCATTCAATCACCTGACTGGCGAGTACACATCTTCTTTGCGTGCACCTACTTATTCTGTAGAAAGTCTATCCGACTCCCTGAAACGTATCCTTCCGGAAACGCAGGTCCACCATCGGATACTTCCCCGGTACCAGGCACCACGTGGCTCGACAGCCGTGAATACAGATGGCGGCGAAATCAAATCCTCAGAATGCGACTCTGTCCTATTCGTTGGCCCGGAGACACTCGCTCTTACAAATCTTTTGCTCTCCCGCAGCACATCCAAAGTCTATCGCTACGATGTTACCACCAATACCTGCATAATATCCTCCATCCGAACGAACAAACTATTAATGCGGCGGTACGCGACGATGCAACGCGCGAGAGACGCAGACGTCTTTGGTATTCTAGTCGGAACCTTGGGCGTGGCATCATATTTGCACCTCATCAATCAATTGCGCAGAGCATTAAAGGAGAAGGGGAAGAAAACGTATACCATTAGCGTTGGGAAGCTCAATCCTGCTAAATTGGCCAATTTTGCTGAAATTGAGTGCTTCGTGCTGGTCGCATGTCCGGAAAATAGCATCGTCGAATCAAAGGTATATTATCAATGTCATTCCTATCTGGTTTCGTTTACTGATGTCCCGTAGGACTTTATGCAACCAGTCGTCACACCGTTTGAGCTCGAGATTGCACTTGGTCTCGTGGAGCAATGGAATGGAAGGTACATACTAGACTTTGATGCAGTACTCCAAGAAGCGAGCGCATTCAAGTCCACGGAACAAAGAAGTTCTGACGAGGAGGACGCGCCGTCATTCTCACTTGTCAGTGGCGCGTATCGACAGAAGAAGAAATATGGGGGGACAGGCAAAGAGTACCCTGAGACAGAAGGAGAGGGAGCGATCGTTATCCGTAATCAAGAGAATGCAGTTGGCAATATCATCGAGAGTGCATCCAGTATGTCTCCTATCCCTTTCTTCAGCAAGTAGCGACTAATTGTTCTGGGAGGCGAGTTTATGCAGCGACGCACATGGAAGGGGCTCGACACTCGGACTGGAGAGGACGAACCATCGCTCCTGGAGCAGGGTCGCATCGGACTCGCAAAAGGATACCGTGAAGTTGATCATATACCTCCATAATTCATTTGCTTCATCTTGCAAACCTTACTCTGAGAGATCACCAAATGGCTGGTGGCAGCAACGGTGGCACACCTTGGACACGATGTTGTTCCAATGGCTCCTGAGCGTCATCTTACCGCCCATCCCAATCCGTCTTATAACCCATAATGTGCGCTATGCGAATGACTGGCCTGTAACCGGTGAAGGTAAGCTTTCCGAGGTAATGGTTCGCGCCATCAACCCTTTATGTTTGCCAGTCAAATGGGAGCAACGGAGAAACTTTGTCACCTCAAACTTTGTGCGTTTTATTTCGACGCTGTCAGAAGTACCTGTGTCTCACAACCACAGCTATTTAACACGCGGTATATTCCAGAGGCGTTTATCGGCCTGCAAGAAGCCTACTTCAGACAGGTTGAAGATATACTCGAAGGTTTGAATGACGGAACGCCCGAGGTAAGTGTCACGCCATAGTTCATCACCGGCAAGTTGACGTTTGCTCGTAAGCGGGATTGGACATATATTGGGGTTGGACGAGACGACGGCAAGGAGAGTGGGGAATACAGTCCTATTCTATACCGCAAGGGAACCTACGAGCTTCTCGACTTTACGACTGTCTGGTTGTCACCTACTCCCGACCGACCCAGCAAAGGTACGTAAAGAAAATTTTCTGTATGTCATACTCAACCAGCGTCTGATTGGTAACAATAGGGTGGGATGCGCCTTACTGGAATCGGATCCTCACCATTGGCGAATTCAAACATCGCAAAACAGGCCGGCAGCTTGTCGTCATGAACACGCACCTGGACGACCAGGGCGTTGTTGCACGTCAGAAGAGTGCCGAACTCATTGTCAATCGTACCAATACGCTCCTCGACACCAAGAAATACGCCGGAGTGCTTTTGATGGGAGACTTCAACTCTGAAGCCAGCGAAGATGCATACAAAACTATTGAGATTGGTGAAAATAGCCCGTTCGTTGACGTCGCAACGTATTTCAAGGTTGGTGAAGTGAAAAGATATGGCCATCTTAACACGTTTACTGTGAGTGAATAAATTCTCAACGTTGAGTATTTTAATCAGAGTATTTCTAGGGGTTTGACTGGAAGCCTCTGAAACGTATCGACTTTCTCTTCGCTGCACCCCGAGAACCGTCGCGTTGGTCCATGCAAGGTTACGCGGTCATGGAGACAAAGTATGAAGATGGCGTCGCCAGTAGTGATCATAGACCTGTCATAGCCGACCTCGTCTTAAACTGACGATCTGCAAGTCATCTACGCCGTATCCTATCCGGAGTATCGATACAGAAATGTTCTAGGTAGAGGGAAACATTGGAACGCGAGTGGTATGTCGAGTGAAACATATCGGTATGAGTGTGTAGGACGTGAGCAGAAACAACAAAACGCCTCCGTGAGATAAAACAAGGGCAATAGGAACTTGTCATCGGAATCCAACATCCAGAATGGAAATACATCCTGCAAACACCATTTCAACCACGCTCTTCCCGATGGGCGTGAGCGGTTGCTGTCGCGCCTCGAGCTCTTCTTCGAGTGCGGCGCTGTCCCTGGTCATGGCACCGAATGCAATCTTCTGCTCATCAGCAACACCGCCTTTGTTCTTGCGCAGCCCAAGCTTGTCCAAACCCTCAGTGACGAGTTCGACTCCCGACTCTGCACCATGGCACACTGCAATAACGGCAGAAAAGTTTTCGCCAAGAGCATGGTAGGAAGGGTTCCCCAGCAGGGCATCCGAGAGCGATCCATGAACGGCAAGGCCAAACCTAGGGAGCTTGATGCCACACTCGCGTACGTCGCTGTAGCTGAGCATTCGCGCAACGACGCGGAAAGCACACTTTTTAGGTTTCTTCGGAGGTTGTGGCGGACCTGGGACATCTTCTTCCGTCAAAGACGACATTGGATAATCGGAAGCGGCAAGAGACTTCTTTCTGTTGCCACGATCCCGGTCGCCTCTCGTTCGCTTCTTGCTCGATATGGACGCTCGTGACTGCTCGGTTGGCCGTGAATTGTCGAAAGGAACATAGTATACGAGCAAGTAGGTGCGCTCCGTCATCGGGACGTGATGCTTTGAGACACTTTCCACTGTACCACCTTCTGATATCCACAAGGGCATTAACATCATCATTGCATCGCGAGGAATGCTATCGATGATCGGTGATCGAACTTTTGGTTTTTGCGCCTTTTGTGATGGTGAACCAGGGGGTCTCGATTTGGGGGTGGGAATGAGTCCAACGGCTCTGAACGAGTCGTTGAGATTGGCCATGATTCGTTCCTCCTCTTGCTTGACCGATTGTGGAGCCATGAGAAGCCACGGGGGAGAAAAGGTAGAGTCGGATGTGGCAGGAACGGGAGGATGGTGGGAGTGGGAGTAGCGAGGCGCAGTTCCTACTGCTCTGCCTGTCCCAAAAGCACGTCTGAACCATTCGAATCGGGTGGTGGATGCTCGGTGGAGGGCTTGAGAAGCAATTAGCTTGGAATCAACCGCATCAAATGCCACAGCATGCGGGGTGATACGAGGTGCCGGCGTATACGTCGATACGGTCCCATTGGATCCATCCGGGGGTACATATCCATTCAGCTCCGACTTTGGTATCTCGGTTGGCGCGAAGGATGAAGGACCAGCTCGCGGCGGCTGGCGAAGCAATTCTTGGGAAGCTTTACGAGGTACAACGCGGTCCGGGGTGACTGACGAGCGCTTCATCTGTAATTGGTTAGGTGCAACTGCGTCATGACCACGATAACGAGCACGAGGCGTATCATTGTCATCTTCGACGAGCGGATCCATTTGGAGCTTCTGAACCTCTGGATCGTCTTCGTAAGGTTCGTGCGGTTTAGGAGGCCTATTGTTGGATTTGTACTCCGGGGCGTTGGCAAAGCTGTACTGAATAGCCTTGCTAGACAAAAGCATGGCATGTGAAGCCAATATCTTCTGTCCTTTCACTTGGTATCCTTGGAAGATAGAAAAGGCATGACATCGAGAGTGTTTGTGAATGAGATAGGTCGGTCCTCGTTGACCTCTGCCTTCACCAGAAACGGCGTAGAGTACAGAAGGGCGCTTGTGCTCCCCTGAAGCTGAACAATTTGGTCAGATTACCTACCAAGACATATGGAATTGTTACGTACTCGTCCGTCCTGGCCACATTCCATACTGACCAACGTTCTGACAATTCCACATGATCAACTCTGGCTGTTCCTTTTCGGGTGGTTTATCATCTGGTGCAGAATTGTCCCCGACCGGCGGGTCGGAAAGGCTCCGCGGTGCATGCACCAATCGGACGGGCTTCTTTACTGTTTGGATCTTCTTGAATGTCCAGGCGTAGCGATTTCGGTTATACACGGGGTCGAGTTGCTCAATCATTTTCATGAACGGGTCTTCGATACTGCTTCGTGGCGATATGTTCCCAGGGATGTGAAAGGCGGTCCCCCATTCGTGGTCGAGAATGGCCTGAAAGTCGGCGGATTCCATCACGCCACCGGCCGCGGGGGACGATTCACGAGCACCTTCAGCGTTTTCTGGAGACGGGGCGTTCAAGGCCTCTGAGCCCAGCCTTGGGGATCCGTCCGCGTCATCTTTGGGCTCAGAATCAAAGTGGTGAGCCGCGTCTCCGTATGGATAGACGGCTGCCTCGAGTCGCGAACGCAGGTCTTGTTGCGGTAGTTGCAAGAAGGGTGAATCCGGTTTGAGGTTGCGTATAGGACTGTAGGGCAGTGCGGGAAGTTCCTTGGGTTCCAGCCGAGCAGGAAGAGAGACCGTCTGTTGCATCGGCTCCTCCGGCACACCAATAATCGACATTGAATCGCTGCCATAAGAGGCCTTTGTTACAGTCGACCGACGTCGGTCAGCACCCGGTGGCAGATTTATTGGCAGACTGGGTCGTCGGGAGCCGTCGTCGAGGGCCCTGAGCTTTGCGCGCTCAGATCGTATCTGCTCGTCTTCGTCCACCTCTTCCGCAGACATTTCCGTCTCATCTGCCGACTGCGAGCCAGACCGCGGACGTGAGGGGCCAGGTGCACTTGTGGATCCAAACGTCGCACTAACTGCGGATCTCGGTGCAGATGTCGATGGAGGTGCTCCAAATGTAAATGTGGAGAGTTGCTCGTATATACGTGGGTCATAGTTAGGCAGCGTCGCCGGTTGCTGCAGCTGTCCACCCGGCGGATGCTCGACAGGACGAAAACTGACAACTGGAAGGGATCCTCGGCGTTCTTGATACGAACTAGCGTCTGATTTTCGCTGGACATCGATCCTTCGCCGCCTAGGCGTATTTGAGCTCCTCCGGGATGAAACTCTGGAAACGAGGGCGGGCGTGGATCAGCAAAAGGTATGATTGATCCTGATAAATTTCTACGAGCTTACTGAGATGAGAAAGACGCTCTTTTCGTCGGATCCCAAGCGCCGGATGGGTGAGGAGACGGTGGCCTGAAGAGTGCGACTGGAGATGCCCTTGCGATTGGTTGTTCTGGACCATCGAGCTCCATTAGAGTGTTATCGACCCGCCAAACGCTGGCGGGCACGGCGAGAGCGAGAAACAGCTGGTTGTAGTCACAGCGCAGACTTATGGCAGCCCAAATAGGTCAACTCTTGTTCACATCGCAAACAGTTAAATCATCACTCTGAAATCGGATTCCACAAGATAATAGTCTCTGTTTTATACCAACAAACTTGTGTCGCCCACGCGAGCCAAGGCCACGAGGGTGATCGGATTCCGCCGTGTCACAGCTATGGCGCCCCGACGGTCAGAACATGCCCATCGCGCCCGCATACGCCATGGGTCTCATCGGAGGATGAGGAACTGCCTCGTACGTCTGGGAGATAATTAGGAGGCGTGAACAGCTGGCCGGAGAGGACGCACCGTGTATTCTCGAGTACCATGAGCATCAATCCGCACAAACGCCCCCTTGTTCCCAGTCTGATCCACATAGTTTGGTGCACTGAAGACGGTCGTACATAATCCGTCGTGCTCAATGGCATAACCGCCTTGGGACGAATTTGTTCAGTAGAGGGCGCCATAAATAGCGATGATATACCTTGCCGTACTTCATGGCTTCTCAGAACGCCCGTGATTCCGTTAAGCTTGCACCAGTTCTTTGTGACATCAGGTCCGAAGCCAATCCCCACACCTAGCCAACTGTCAGTGGTCGCGTCCACTGAATCGGCCACTGAATGCACTAACCGCGTTTGCTTGGCCCCCGACCGGGTGTCTCCTGTGGATCAGTCCATAATAACTCACACATCAGTCCTTCATTCCCTGGCTGTTTTCCGATTCGTGGAATCGCCCGGATGTCATCCAATGTGATGTTGTCCTTGCTGAATAGTCCCCCATGAGTCACAAAGTACCTCATTCGGCCTTCTTTGGACAGGATCGGCGCTTGACCTTTGCCAACAGCACCAGCCAATGCTTTCGGAGAAGGCGGCAAGGCGGGTGAAACGAGCGTTGCCAGCGGTAGCGCCGTAAAGACGTGTGCAAATAGTTTATACGCAAGCTCTCCGTGCTTGTGCTTTACCTCTCCTTCGAAACCGTAGACCTAGCATCAATCAGTCATAGAGCTCGTCAAGTTTCAGAGGTACTCACCTTGTTCATATCGTTCGTTTCATGATTCCCTCGGTTGAGCAGTACAGTATTTGGGAAGAGCCATTTCCAAGCCATAACTGTCAAGGCCACTTCGACCGACCAAGACCCTCGATCGACAAAGTCTCCATTGAATAAGAGACAGTGTGTCTTAGAGGGCTTGCCAGTGAGAGATAGTAGATGAAGAAGATCGTAGTATTGGCCTAGATGTGTTTATGACTCGTCCAGATTGCAGAATAGCGCACCTACCATGCGTGTCGCCAATCACATCGCACGTCATTCCCTCTTCCAGCACGATTTCGTTCAAGCTTTCCTCTTGTAAACAAGCATCCCAGCAGCCGAGCACTATTTCATAGACAACCTATGTGCCATCAGTAAATCACCAAGCAATAGTCACTCTCCCTCACTCGTTTTGCAAGAGTTTTTCCAGCTTTGAACCATTCTTCCATCTTTGTGATAAACTCTTCATTGATACCATACTTCTTCCCCTTTGCAGCCGCTTCCTCTGACGCCGGAGGGAGCCGCGGACCAGCATACGAACTTTCAATATCGAGTCCTGAGCGAATTGCCTCCATAACGCGCTCAACGGCTGTCTCTTCTTCATCCTGCTCGATGGCCTTTTCGAATTCTATCCGTCGTTGCAGCTTTTGAGTCGCTTCCAGCTGCTTCTTTGCAACGGCATTCTGCGGGTCTAGTGCCAACGTCTTCTTAAAGTCGGCAATTGCTTGAGGGTTCTTTAGAATAGATAGATAGCAAAGTGCTCTGCGATAATATGCCTTGACATAGCGTGGATCCCGCTCTATTGCCTTGGTACAGTCGTCCAGCGCGTATCCAAACTCTTCCTGCGTTTCGATCAGTTATAAACCACGGAATAAACAACGAAATCTCACCAAATTCATCCGTGCAAATGCCCTATTACACCATATGGTGGCGTCCTGGTCATTTTTCTCGAGAGCCTCACCATAGAGCTTAGCAGCTGCTATAAAATCCTTATCTGTCGAGTATTCGATCAATCATCGGCCACAGTCGGGGTGTCTGTTACAAACTCTTAAAGGCCTCATTGGCCTTTGCCTTGATGGCTGCCGCTGCGGCCTTGTTTTCCTCTGAAACTGTCGACATTGTTGTTTGTGTTTCCTCACCGTTCCCACGTGCGACTGATTAACGATCAGCGTCGTGGGCGAAGCCAAAAGTGGCAAAGCAACTCTTTGCCCCCTGCCATGTCCACATTACAAAGTATAAGCTCTCAAACCGACGATGTATGGGGAAGCACAGACTATAATGCCGTAGACAAATCCTGGGACAAGATGCAAGAAGAGTTTTCAAACGTATGCCGCCACTCAATATCCAGAGCTACATTCTCAAACCATTCAAGGCTGGATATCGAGAAGGAATCACATTCGGAAAGGAATCCGCGCTTCAAGAAGGGTTTGATACCGGATTCGCGCAGACAGGTGCCCCAATAGGACGTCAGCTAGGCGTCCTCAGGGGTCTCGTTGCGGCTCTCAAGGTAGCGACGCAGAAATCAATAATGTTCCAAGGATCAGACGAGGTCTCAGTATCCGTGGAAGACTTGCAACAGCGTTTGAATAGATTAGGTCTAAAGGATCTCGCTCCTCGAGACATGCAGGCCGAAGCCCATGCGCGGGAACACAGAGATATTGAAGCAGAGGGAACCGATGATGCGCTCGCGAGCGCGTTCATGTCGTTGGACACGAAGGAAAGCCTGGATGGCAAGGAAGAGCTGCTGGCCGTAGAAAGGGAAGTTCACCAACTTTTGGACAAACTAGGACTGCAAGTTTCGTGGCCTCTCTGAGCATAGGTTCATCGCACCTGGTGGTATGTTGCATCAAAGGATGTTCAAAAATACAGGCGGGAATCGCCCAGTAGGAAACTGAGACATTTGTATGCATCTACGGGTTCATTTTCGCAGCTACTCTATAACAGCCCGTTCGTCTCCAACAACAGAATGATGCCTGAGTCTGGTCAGCTTCGTTCTTTGCATTAGCTAAGGGGACGTACTGTGGACAATTTCCGGAATGGTTTGCTGAGTGATATCAACGGTTACATCCGCATTGGTAGGCTTCTCGTATACATCATCTATACGGGGTCAGACTATCAGCAACCTCGGTGAGGTCCCTTACTCACCGATACCTGTGAATCCCTTGATCTCACCGCGTCTCGCCTTTGCATAAACGCCTTTACGATCGGTCTTCTCGCAATGTTCCAGTGGAGTCGCGACATGGATCAGGAAAAAGTTGCCTCCCGCTCCACCTGAACTTTGCACAATATCTTTGGCGGCCTTACGAGCACTCTCGTAAGGAGCAGTCGGAGTTGCGATGACCGCGGCACCAGCACGAGTGAGCTCTGCAGCGACAAAGGCGATACGAGCAATGTTTTTGTGACGATCTTCTTGAGAGAAGCCAAGCTCTGATGAAGCACGTAAGGATCATTGTGATTTGGGAAAAAGTGGCATACCCGATGAAAGCTCGGCTCGCACTGTTTCCCCAAGGAGGAGAGAAACGCTGCGTCCACCCTGCTGATTGAGTGTAGTCTGTAGGGCTCTCCCGATAATGTCCTTTCCAGAATTGTGAAGGCCAGTTAGGAATATAACGAACCCTTGCTGGGTTCTAGGAGGATAGCTCTCTCGAAGTGTCTTGACTACAGACCTAATAAACCATCGGCAGACGTCACGCAAAGGATGTGAGTTGCATACTCGTAGCTGAACCAATCCGGGATAGGTGCACCAGTGCGGAGTCTTCGCCTAAGCTCGGTGCCACTGATGTCAAGCGTCTGAACACCCTTTGGTACTAGGCAGGGGTAAGAGATTGTCTAAAAGGTAAAATGGTGTACACACCCTCATCAACTGGTTGATACTCGTCCGTGCTCGGCAGGTAGGTCATCTGCTGGAATGGTACCATTTCGATATTCAGCTCGTCCCTGTATTTCGATACGACAGTTTGCGCGTCGTATGGACCATAAAAGTCGGCACCCTTCGAATTCTTGCCTGGACCAGCATGGTCACGACCCACGATAAAGTGAGTGGCACCAAAGTTTTTGCGAATGATTGCATGCCATACTGCTTCGCGAGGACCTCCCATACGCATGGCCAGAGGAAGCAGAGCGAGATGTGCCATTCCATTGGGGTATTTGGGCATGATGGCCTGGTAGACACGTACGCGCGTGTAGTGGTCGACATCACCTGGTTTGGTAAGGCCAACGACGGGGTGAATGAGGACATTTGCGTAGCGTTGGCGAGCAGCGCGGACCGTGAGCTCTCGATGAGCACGATGCATCGGGTTGCGTGTTTGGAATGCGACAACCTTGCGCCATGCGAGTTTCTTAAAGTGGGCACGCAGTTCTGCAGGTGTGACTATGGAAGATTAGGTGCTGACAGTGTCAGTGCTCGTAAAGGACACACATCGCAGGGCAACATAGTCAAAGTGCGTCGGAGGCTGGATTGCTTGGACTTTGCCACCAATATAGCGGTCTTTGACGCGGTTATGAAGATAGGCAACCGCGGGATGGGCCAAGTCATTGTCTCCGAATACTTTGGTGGCCTCGACGACCTTATCGGGAGTGTAGATGTCGTCGACTAGCAGGTCATTAGTTTGATGTAACAGAAGCTTGTGATGGGTTACGTACCAGTGATAATCGCCAAAGGTGCCTCGTCACGCGGATCCCTAAGAACGATACGGGAACCCGGAGCAATTTTGAGGGTATCAACTTCTTCGCTGGAGACATCTAAGTTGATTGGCATAGAGAAGAGTGTGCCATCCTTGAGCCGCAGAGTTTCGACGACGCTTCCAAACAAAGTCATTCCGGGTTTTTCGCGTTGTCGGTAAGCCAACGAACCTGTGGTAGTCTTGGGCATTCATAAAGCCCTCCAATGGGCTGAACCCGCCATTGGTGATGAGCTCGAGGTCGCAGAGTTGTCGCTGTTTACCGGCACATGGAGGTGGTAGAGACGTAGTTGGAGTTCCCACCCGCGGATAACATACCACAAAGACGAGTAATCATCAGTATAGAGTCAAAATGTTTGAGAGATGCTTGCCTCTGTGAGGATGAGCTCTGGAAGATTTTGAGCCTCTTCGAGCAGCTGAGCACGCAGGGGGAGATCGCGTTGGACCAGATCCTATTTCAAGGATTGGATGTCAATTATCACCCCTAGAGTGTCGAGATGCGCATTACCTTGAGCACACCTCCGTGGGGAGTATTCGCCATTTGGATGTCTGAGTGGGAAAAGGGGGGCAAAAGAGCTGGGGATACATCTTACGTGTCCTAAAGCATTATATACAGCCGACTCTGTGGTATTAGCAATCGCCCGACTAGCAGATTGCGTGATTGAGGGAGCGCGCGTCGGGACATCGATGATTATCGGAAACGAGCCGACGAACAATTCCCATATCAGTCCATCAAGCTAATACGAGCGCAAAACGAATTCCAGCGACTAGGTACATCAGTCTCCGAGCAACACAAGACCCGTCTCTCCTTCGCCCACCGTGTTGACAAATACATCGCTTCTGGGGCGGTCGGGCAGAGAAAATCGGCCCCAAGAGACCTTTCCTTCGATCCCATTGATCTGCGAGGGTAGCGTGTGCTTCTCCACATACCGAATGCCACCTTCGTCGTCGGTAGCCTCCTCGCTCTCCACAGAAACAGGTGTAGAGGAACCCGGTGCTCGTACTAAAAATCGGCCCTCGTAGCCAGTATCCAGTGTCACCACACTATGTGTCCGGCCGAGGGAAAGGGTATCTTCGTTCGTCACATTGATGTATAATGACGAACCTTGCTTGGGAGCTGCGTGCTTAACCTCTAGCGTGATTGCCGCGTCCTTGTTTGCCACGGAAATATCATATCGACCGACCTCGCCATTACGTTGCCACGGTCTATCCGTTGCTCGTTCGCATAATACCATCTTGGCATCAATGGAACTAAGAATCCGCAGTTAGCTGGTACATGGCTGGAGAAAGACAGTGCATACGCTTGCGACGAGCTTAATCGTGCCCAGGCCGGGTAGAAGTCTTGGCCGTCATTGCAAAGGTCTGCAGTGATCGAGATAGGCCTAAGACGTTAAATACGCAATTGCTAGCCACCATGACGCCACTCACTTGGAGGTCGTCTCGATCCCCAGCCTTCTCGTGGTCGAGATGTATCCGTCAACAGAGCCACCGACGTTAGTCACGAAGAGCGAATCTGCATAGACGCGTTGGAAGGATATATCGCCCTCTTGCCCATACAAGCTCATGAACCGGAAGCGAGATACGCCACTGTCATCAAAGGAGTGGGCAAACCGAGGTAGTTCGGTGACGAGTCCAGGCAAAATTGGCTGCTGAGAGGATAGAGAAAGAGCAATATCAAATTCGGCTGTATTTGTGAGATTTCCCAAAGACTACCGAGTGTCAGACAAAACCACACTAGCTGCGAGGTGCTTGCCTTTACGTCGAGTATAGAGCTGCCGTCAAATCCACGGTCTACGCAGATTCGAATCTTCTTCAGTTCTTCTTGTGAGAGCTTGCTGGCCGTGACGTGGACGGAAGCTTGCCCAAGTTCCAGTTGATCCACAAAGCTAACTCTTAGGTGACCCTTTGCCTTGCTGAGCGAAGAGCGCATAAAGATGGGTTTGCTAAAGTACGAAAGGGGGAATGTCGAACTGATATCGGGGAAGTATGAGCAAATCGCCTATATGTAACACTTTAGAACACACTTACATGAATGCGGGGATAGCTTGTTCGCCATCGCTTATCTCAGTCGACGTCCAATCGGCGCAAATTGGCTGGGCTTCGGGGTCCGGAGGAGGAAACTCGGGACGACCGTGACCTTCGCCTTCCGGAAACCGGTGAGGTTCTCCGCGATCACCTCCCGGTCGTCGTTCACCTCCACCACCCCCGCGAGGAGGAGGCCAATGGTCAGGGCCTCCCCGGTGGTCATCAGGACCCTTCCCTGGGTATTCTCTCCATGGTGGGGTATGATTTGGATGATCAGACGTTGGCTGTGGTGAACCCGAGGTGGTCGTCGATTCCGAAGGCTACCATTCAATTGTCAGATGTGCTGCGCAGCCAGAAATATGTGACCGCTGGCGCACCTCTGTAGCAGATCTGGAGGAAAGAGTGAGTTTGAGAGTGATTATTGTTGCAGTAGGAATAGCAAAGAGCAGGAACGCCACGCCCAGCGCGAGGCAGAATCGTCTGCGAGCGCGTTGGCCACCATACGACTCCTCCTCCGATTTGAGTCTTTGTTGAAACACTCTCACATCACTGTAAGATGGTGGTGGGTCCTGTCTAATTAGCGGGACCACTTCTCCGCTCTCACTATCTGTGGTTGCAAGTTCAGTGAGGTCGTCCTCGCTGATGCGATTAACAGGGGGTCCTGGATGAATCGCAAGCTTTGCATTTGGATCGTCTGCTTCCTCTAGGAGAAGCACCATAGTTAAGTCAAACGAATGGTTGAGTTGGTAAGGATCAAAAGTGGGGTCAGAAAGGCGGCCGGCACCCATTCGAACTTGGACTCTTCCTCGTTCAAGAGTAAATGTTCAGACGCACCGTCGCCTCCTTGAGCAGGCCTATTGCATCAAAAACACGTTTCCAACCACTCTCCATCTCTCTTAGAACTCCTGGGCTTCAGGCGCGAACCATGAGCGCACATGGCTTTGGCGAGTCCACCGTTCGACCGGAACCAGATAAGGTCCTGCAAGACATTGCGGACTACGTCCATGACTACAAGGTCACTTCTGATCTTGCTTGGGACACTGCAAGACTCTGCCTTATCGATACCATTGGATGCGGTTTAGAGGGTCTTCGTTTCCCTGAATGCAAGCGCCTTTTGGGACCTGTTGTTGAGGGAACTATTGTTCCAAACGGTATGCGTATCTTCAAAGCCCGCGTTTTTTTCTGAGCCATTCTTTAGGTACAAAGGTTCCTGGGACCAACTTCCAGCTCGACCCCATTCGAGGAGCGTTCAACATTGGTACCATGATCCGATGGCTCGACTACAACGACTGCTGGCTTGCCGCAGAATGTAAGTTCCGTCTCGACCCACCGGATCCCGGGCTTCATGTGATATCGCGTGACGTTCATCCCCAACTAACTCAACTCTATAGGGGGCCATCCGTCGGATAACCTTGGTGCCATTCTCGCCGTCGCCGACCATTTGACGCGCCAAGGTCAAAAATTCACCGTCAAGGACATTCTGGAGGGTATGATCAAGGCCCATGAGATTCAGGGCTGTCTGGCACTCTTAAACAGCTTCAATCGCGTCGGTCTTGACCACGTTGTGCTTGTCAAGGTTGCAAGCACGGCCGTGGTCAGCAAAATGCTGTAAGTTGAGTCTTTTTTCACATGGTCGCGTCTCAGCATTCAAAGGGGTCTTTCGCGTGCCCAGACCGTCGATGCGATCTCACAAGCGTGGGTCGATGGCCAATCTCTTCGTACCTACCGCCACGCGCCCAACACTGGCTCACGCAAGTCGTGGGCCGCCGGAGATGCATGTTCTCGCGCAGTAAACCTTGCTCTTCTCGTCAAGAAGGGTGAGATTGGACTTCCTTCTGTCCTGACTGCCAAGACATGGGGCTTCTATGATGTACTTTTCAAGGGCCGTCCATTCGAATTCCAGCGAGGATATGGCTCCTACATCATGGAGAATGTCCTCTTCAAGATTTCTTATCCAGCCGAGTTCCATGCTCAGACTGCCGTCGAAGCTGCTCATATTCTCTATGGCAAGCTGAAGGAGATGGGGAAGTCTGCCGCTGATATCAAGAGCGTGGTCATTCGCACTCAAGAGGCCGCTATTCGCATCATCGATAAACAAGGGCCACTTGACAACTTTGCCGATCGAGAGTGAGTTGGTTATCTCTGGAGAGACATGATTCTCATCATCCATAGCCATGCAATCAGTTACATGGTCGCTTATCCTCTTATTTTCGGTGAACTGACCTCCCAGAGCTAGTAAGTCAGCCTCAATGCACCGTCCTGGGACTAAAACCTCGTCTAGCACCGACGCTGCAGCCGCTGATCCACGCATCGACGAGCTTAGGGCCAAGATTCGCTGTGTTGAGGAAAACAAGTATAGTGTCGAGTACCACGACCCAGAAAAACGTTCGATCGGCAACGCAATCACGATCGAGCTCAACGATGGCACCAAACTCGAAGAGGTTGAGGTTGAATACCCGGTGGGACACAAGCGCAGGGTATATAGACAAGTTTGTTTCGGAATTCGCACTCATTGCCTTGTACAGCGTATCGAAGGTACTCCATTGCTCATGGCCAAATTCAAGCGCCATATCGCACCTCACTTCGACTCTGCTCACCAGCAAAAGTACGAGCTGCATTCTCAATATGTAAATTCGACTGATCTCTGGCAGGATTCTGCAAACTGTGGAAAATGCCAAGGCCTTGTCGGAAATGCCGGTCGACAAATTCACCGATCTCTTTATCAAGGCATAGAGCGTTTTATGTCAAACCGCTGGTCAATATCATACGGAATATACATCAATTTGAAACGCGAAGTCGATACCCGAACGTCTTAGGCGAAAGAATCACTATGCATAGGCTCTACTTATAGGCAGGTTGTCCGAACAAAAGTCCTTACCCAAACAGTTGGGCACACATAACGGATCAATTGGTTCCTTTGGGGACGAGCATCCTCCTGCGAGCATTAATATTCGACGACGGCTTTTTGTTCCTCCTGTTCTTCTTCTTAGGAGTCTTGTGAGCTTCCAGCCCTTGATCGTCACTGAGATCCATTCGTTGACTGCTTGTGCTCGTGGTTTCGGAGCGCTCAGTAATGGGTGTCAATGAGGACTTTCCACGTTCGAACAGAGCGGGGGACGACCGTCGTCTGAACGATGAAGTAGCCTCTGCTTGGGAGCATGCCTCGAGCGATGGCGCGTGAGACGAGGCGGGCGTACCAGCGGCTGAGTAATTATCCAACTCGCTTTTGAACCGGGATTCTGGTAGTTCGACTGGTGTCAACTCTATGAACGGACTGTTTACCTGTAGATGTTTAGCGGAATGAGTGCATCTCCTATAGGACATACCATGTTCGTTCCCAGCGACGGCAGGAGAGTGGGATGAATGATAGTAGAAGGGGCTGGAACATAGCCTGTATGCCAGAGGTGTCTCGGGCCTATATTTACCATCTGTTGCTCCCGGTAAGCGATGGGAGCTACAGGAAGATACCCAGGGTCGAACAAAGGGTAAGCAACGGGAGGGTGAATGGGGTAGCCCTCCGATGGATAAGTGGGCCGTTCGGACAATGGTGTCTGTCCGAGGTGTGTGTAACTATGAGAATGTGGAGCAAGGAAGACAGCTGGTGGCCCCGGTTCCAACCGAGGCAAAGGAGGGGGACCGAACTGGTTGGACCATTGACGCAGTTGCGAAATGTCGTTCCGTATCGATGCTAGTCTTTGTGTGGATATATTATTTACTGCTCCGAGATAGGGATGGAAAGGATTTAAAGTCATCACTGGCTCGGTTGGGCGATGCTCCGAGGTATACGAAGAATTGAGGCCAGTTCTAAGTGATTCGGAGTCCACTGGAACAGAATAGGCTCGTGGGCGAGCAAGATCTCTGGGCATGAAGGGTGGCGCATGTGGATTTAGAGTGCTGGTAGAAGGAGCGGACTGGCGGCGCATGGCTGCCAAGTCGATAGGAGCCTCTAAATTACTTCCAGAGGGGCCCTGAGCCTCGCGAACTCTATACTTGCTGCGTCGTTGACTTCTTGAGCTTTGAGCGGGTTCGTGGTTTTGTGGTCGTGGTACCTTGGGAGGCGATTGCCAGTGGTTTGATGGCAGGTTTGAGAAATCTGGCAATGAATCGATGCCTTCTTCACATTCGGACATGGGCTCTGGTGGTTGAGATGACATGTGTATTGGCACCGGTCTCAAAAGAGGTGATACTGGCGCAGAGGACACTCTTAGTGAATCTATTCCTGAGCTTCAACCATGATTTAGATCTCTGATATATTGAAAAAATCCAACTTACCTTTTTCTAGAAGAAGTAGGAGACCTGAACAAACCGAGACCTTGGCTCAGCTCATAGCTTGACTTGCAAAGGCAACTTACGGGGCCAACGATGGTGAAGGATAACGCCACGAGTAGTATTCTGTAGGAAAATGAGTCCAAAGTGATTCTTGCGAGAAAATCTCATACCTCCGACACCTTTGACATTGGCGAGGTTGTCCATGATCCCCTTCAAGCGCGTAGGAGCAGAGAAATGTCTCCAGTAATTTGTACAGACTGGATCGATTCTTCTGATTCGTCAGAACATGGGCTTGCGTTGGCCCTGGAATCCGCCGGCCAAGGGTCCAAATTAGCGGACTGCTTCGATCCATCTTTGAGTCGGATAGGATATGAATGAGGACGTTGAATGCTCTGAGATGCCACTATGTTGAAAGTCGTGTCTCTGTCCTCCGTTGAATCTCGGGTACGTTCTGGCAGCTCGACCGGGATCAAGTCTCCTACTCCTGATCTCAAAAGAGGGCCGTCTGTACTCGTATTTAAACGTTCAAACGAGTAGGACTGTTCATCGTGGGCAGTCGCCATACTCGAGACGATGGAGGCAGGAGCAACCCACTTTGGCCACCAACTTCGATGGAGCACGGTCGACTCAAGGCACTCTTCAACGCCGAGGACCGCGATAATAAGATATCTCAGGCATTTCAGGCGCGAAAGGGCCCTTCTGTGAACCTCTAGACAAAGCTCATACCGTCTCCCACTGCAGAGAAAGCCGGTAGACCAGTCAAAGGTCGTAGCGTTCACCCAAGCCAGTGCAAGAAAGTCCAAAAAGGAGAAAGAAGAAGAAGCCGCAGAGGCAAAACGTAGAGAGCACGAACGAGAAGCTACACAGGTCTTTGAGGAATATGTCGCCGACTTTGCTACAGCGCCCCGTGCGAGAGGGGCAATCGGATTCGTGAAAGCCGGCGAAAGTGCATCTGGTGTCAAAATATCGACGTCCAAAGTCTTTGATGATGACGTTGAAATGGTCAGCGGCCTCACCCTTTGCCCGCTTCAACGTTTATTGACTCTTCGAAGAAAGCGAATAGTTCTATTGCTCAGAAACCCAAGGGAAAACGCGCAATGGACGCATTTCTTGAAGAAATCAAGAGGTTTGTCACCTTGCACGGCGACAAACAAGGGTTGACCACTATCAGAGATCAAGCCGCTCGTGAGCAGCGACTAGCAAGACAATCTGCAGGTAAATTGAATATAAATGTATGCGTACATCTACTAAGCGATGAATCAGTGCACGGCTCTTCAATAACCTCCCTGGCTGCAATGGAAATACAGGGAGGCAGTCGCGATCGTGGTGACCCTGAAGTCGGTTTTCTACACAACATATCTACCAAATCTCATTCAACATTCTCAGACTAGCAACCTATTCGTAGCTCACCTCCCTGACGATGTAACCGAGGATAGACTCGGTGAGTATTTCGGACAGTGTGGAGAGATTACCTCTGTAGGTATCTTTTAAGGATGCTTATTTCGTTGCTGAAGTTATCATAGGTGAAGATTATGTGGCCGCGGGGGGAAACCGTAGGGGATATGTCTCGTCGCAGCAAAACCACTGGCCTCAGCGGATTTGTCTCGTTTAAACGTCGCAAAGATGCCGAAATGGCATTGCATCGGCTGGATGGTGTCACCTGGGGAGGCTCCGCCCTACGAGTCGGATGGAGCAAAGCCGTCACGACAAGCGGTAGAGTTCTATACGGTGAGTCAAGCATAGTCAAAATTCACTACCACTCAATGCGATCACAGGCAGGAGAAGCTCTCGCTCTCGCTCCCCTTCGCCGCATCGTAGCCATCGTCGTCGATCTCGGTCACGCTCTCGATCTCCTTCGCGTTCACCCGACTATGGGCGTTCACGTCATAGCCGTTCCCGCTATCATGACGAAGACCGTTCGAGATCAAGGAGCCGTGACCGCGCACCCCGAAAGCAGGCCCTGGTACCCAAGGCTTCACATCAAGTGACCAAGGATGAAGAGGAGTTCATTGAACTCGTCGCAGCAATGACAAGGGCGCATGGCAGAGCCTTTGAAAGCAACCTCATGGAGAGGGAGCGAGATAACCCGCAATATCAGTTTCTTCATGCTCCACGGGTGCGTTTATGTGACGGGTGGGGAATAAAGCTCATCTTTATAGTCCGCGGCGGGAAAGTTTTATGACGAGCTCCTTGATCCAGAATACTCCAGCCCTGAAGGATTTCAAGACGATGGGGATGATCAAGCTTATTCAACCGACAACGAGGAAGTCAAGGAGGCGGATTATATCGGCAAAAATAAGCTTGGTTCGTTGGCTAGGAAGCGATTCAAAGCTATGCTACGAGCCATGAGCGGAAAGAGGGGTGAAGTCGCTCGATGCATGGCATTCTGCCTCGAGCATGGCGAAGCCGCTCCAGAAGTTGCCAATATTGTCATCGCCTCTTTGCTTGTCGACAGCACGCCCGTACCAAGAAAGATTGCACGACTTCATCTCATCTCGGACATCATCCACAACTCTGCTGTGGCACTTCCAAGTGCATGGAAATTCCGGCAAGAGTTTCAGCAGCGTCTGGGCCTGGTATTCGATCATCTTTCAACCATCTATCACTCCTTTGGTGGCCGAATGACTGCAGAAACTTTCAAGAGACAAGTAGTTGCCGTCATCGATGTGTGGGACGATCGCATCGTGTTTCCTCCAGAAGAGACGTCTGTATGGAAAGATAGGCTGGATGGGAAGCAGGCGACGAGGGAAGAGAAGGTCCAGGTAGAGGACGTGCCAGTCGTACAAGAAGCGCCGCAGGTGTCTCGATTTAAATCTGCTTTCAAACCTGTGACCGATCCGGATGGCGAGCAAGACATGGAGTTGGACGATGACGAAGAACCGCAAACAGCAGCTCCCGTACCCCAGGTTGAAGAACAGCCTGCGGAGGACGAAGAAATCGATGGTGCTCCGCTCGAGGATGATCTCGATGGCGAGGAGCTGGCAGAGGACCTTGACGGCGCACCAATTGAAGACCTTGATGGTGCACCCTTGGAAGAAGAAAACCTCGACGGCGATCCACTAGACCCGGAAGATCTATAGTCCTTGTAGTGTAGGGATGATATTGACTTTCCCGGGTTACAAGCTAGATTGATTGCAGAGGGAATAATTCTAATAAAACATATCAGACACGTTACAACAAGGTGATAGGGGATATAGTCTACAAAACCCCGAAGGAAGATGCAATGGACAGATAAGCATGTGTGGACAATGGACAAAGAGAGTGTATAGAGGTCGGAGTTATGTGACGAGGCCGACATCTCGCACAGCCTAGGGAGCGCCCAAGGATGACGCAACATGATCGACGAGTATAATAGAAAAGTCTTTGTGTACGCGCTGGAGCGCGTGTCATATGACTTCGACAGATTAGATCGGAAGACCAAGGTCACCGAGACTCAGACAGCACTGGGTACTATGGAAAGTATGACCCACCACCCGCGCTGCGTTGGCTGTTGTAACTTCCCACACCAAGCTCGTCCGCAATGGGTGAGTCCTGAGGGCTGAGATTGCTGATAGTTGTAGCCAATGTGTGGGATCGCGTTCGTTGATGTCCGAGTCCAACGGCAGGCATAGATGCATGCTCCAGAGACCGCAGAGCATTGGTATCGTGCGTGGTCAAGGTAATATCCTCTGAATGCTCGAAGGTGGGAAGGATTTCTCGGAGGCCAGGAAAGTCCGCTACCTTGGCCGCTGGAGCGACGACGAATCGCAGAGCATACTGAAATGGTGGTAAGCGTACCATTTCAGAACTAATGATGACATACTTTGATTGAAACAATCCCGTCGACGCTCCAACTCATCTCCTCGCCTGTTTTGCCTGCCCTGATTGTGCCTTCAATTGTAAGGGTGCCTCCTCTGGTGTCACGGTCCCCAGTCCCTGGGCGTCGGGTGCTTTGGTTCTCGGCGGAGGAACCCTGGACGAACCTGCGCTGAGCGTTTACTGCTTTGGCGATGACAGACTTCTTTTCGAATCTTTCCCCCTTCAAGAATACTTCTGAGGATTTCACGAGGGTTACCTGAATGTCCAAGGATCCCTGCACGGTGGTGTTTACGGGCGACCAGAGGTGTATCATGTAGGGCACATCGGATCCAGAGGCATATATCTTTGGGCGCAAGATACAGATCTGGCAACTTGTCAGGATGTTTCTCTGTTGACAAAACTGTTACTCACTCGTGTATTGAATATCGTCGGCACTAATGGCCGTTCCACAGCAAGATTCCCCATTGGCCGCAGATTTGTATTAATCTCTAGTGCCAACCAGCGTTTTTTCTTTGGTTGTGCTCCATCTGGTGAGGTTGGGGAAGGTGGCGCGTTTCTAGGATAGTACTCGACTTTGGCTAGAGCTCTATGAACCACGGTTAGCGGTACTTTTAAATACAGAGGATTTAGAGCCCACTTGTCATCCTGACGCATAAATCCACTGCGTCTCAAGTCGACTCGGAGTGTATAGACAACCTCGGCGCTTACCCCCTGGGATCATGGTTCAGATTGCAACACATTCATGAGAGCATCAACGCTTACTGGGCAGTTCAATGACCAGGTCGGCGGTAGGGGCGTCTGTTTACCCTCACAAGTTTCCGGGAAGAAGAAGCTGAAATGATGTGTATGGGTTGGTTTTCCGTCGGAACGTTCGTAAATTGTCCGTTTCGTTGAGAAAAGGGATTGCTCGGCGTGATTATAGGCCACGCCTTGGGCGAAGTAGGTCACACTCAGAGTGCCTTGGAGCTGTTTATACGAGGTCAATTGAAACCAAACTTGGCCAAATCTATTGCTACTCACGGTAAGGTCGATGCTCGCAATGTGGTCCAACGTCTTCAAGTCGACACGGCCTTCTACTACCTCGCCCCGGCCATAGGAAGGAACGGTGGACCCAGATCCTTTGGCTAGGTGAAGATCAATGTATCTGCTTGCCACTGTATGACCGAGAGCTGCATGGATGTTAACAGTAGTATGAGTCTGCTGAGCTGCTGATGCTAGCATCTCCGGAGTCAAGGTCGAGTGTTGTGTGAGGCCTCCGTTTTCAGGAATCATAGCCCAATACGGCGGATGTGATGGATCAAAAGATATTGCGGACAGGCGACTGTTGGTAGAACCTTGGGAACGGGCGGATGCGAAGGAATTGTGGGTATGCCGACTTCGAGAGCCAGATGAAATTGTGGATGGAGTGGAGGGCATATCATTATCGGGTATCACAAACGATTGGGCAGGAGATAGACTGAACGGAGGCGGGGGCGACATGTTTGGTGAGGGAGTACCATGATACGAATCTGTCATAGAAGATGAATGTTGGGTTGAGCTTGTAGTCGCGGTTGTGTCTGTGCGAGTGGGCAGCGCTGGTTGTAACGGTGTTCGAGGCAAAGGCCGTCTAGGCGCCGGGCCGCTCGAGGTGGATGGCCTGCATGCATTATCTTGCGCAGGACTGATGTTGGATCCACTGGACTGTGCATGAGCGTGCTGTGGATGTTGATTGACGATTGAAGTGGGCGGCTTCAAGGGTGGGGGAGGGCCGGGAGGCATAAACCCTGGCCATACTGGAGATGTAGATATCTGTATATTATTTCCTTGCGGATCTACTGCCCAAGATGTGGGCTGCGTCTGATGTGACATACGGCAGCGGTCAAGTCCACAGACCAACAGGCCAAACAAGCCCTCATAGCTTGGCTCCCAACTGCCACAGTACACTGGATTCCTAAAATCTTGTCCGTTTCTACACACGCCGGTTTTTTCTTTTAATACCAGGTCACTTTTCCTGTCCATGGTCTTGTCCGCGGCCGATCTCCAAGTAAGAGTGTTTTTGCGCTGTCACCGCGATTTATCCCCGCTGACGCCAACGGATCCTTCAGAAGCAGCTAGAGGGAGCTCCAGATCCCTTTCCTAGTCTGTCTGAACCTCAGCCAAGGGCCAGCGGATCCGCGTCGACAAATGTCCCTCTGAACACCGACTCGGAGACATTGTTCCCGTCGCTCGCGACTCCTACGGCTCCAAAGGCATCTCCAACGTCCTGGACGCCTCGAGCGGTCAAGCCAATCTCGACCCCCGTCTTCTCGGACACGTTCTCCCTCACTGGCATCGATCTCACTGCCCAGCACTCCAGAGATGGAAAACCACGGACGTTGGCAGACGTCATCAAAGAGGCACAGACAAAGTTCAAGGTCAAGGTCGACGTCTTTTCGCAGCGCACCAGCAACCAGACTTCTTTTACCATCACTGGTCCGTCTGATGCTGCGGTCGAAGGTGCTAGGAAATCTCTAACGTCGAGCTTGAGCCCCGTGGTATGACTTAAAGTCAACTTTAGACGGATAAATTAACCCTGTGTAGATCTCTGTCGTTGTCCAGACCCCGGCTTCAATCATAGGTTCCATCGTGGGTGCCAAAGGTGTGTAGTGCACCTGTAGCATCAAAACCGTATCTAACGAGCTTTCAAGGTGCAAATCTAAAGCGCATTCGTGATCAAACAATGACCAGGATCGACATTCCCCGACGTGATACCTTGGGTGTTTCTACGCCAAATGGTCAGGATGAGACTTCGCGCTCTGTCAGCCCAGCGCCCGCAGGATCTGTAGACGAAAACGAGCCAACGATCCCAATCACGATTTCAGGGCCTGCTTCTATGGTACACGAGGCACAGGCGATGATCCAGGACATTATCTCGGAGCGCACTTCTCGGTCTACGCAAAAGGTCAAAATCGTCCCAGAGCACGTCTATCCATTTGTCCTCTCTCGTCGCCCAGACTTTTTACGCGTTGCCAATGGTGCAGAAATCACTCTAGCCCGTGACGACGCGACAAAGGAGATTATCGTCAGTGGAGATCGTGAGGCGGTGGCAAACGTTGTGGAGAGCATTCGCTCTTGTGCCAACTTTTACGAGGGAGATGTGAACCAGGTCAAAATCGCACTTGCCAAACGCCAGCACAGACTACTCGACGCCAAGGCCCAGGACCAGATATTCCAAAAGAGCAAGTGTAGCGTTGTCGTGCCGTCTCCTAGCGACCCGAGCGAGGATGTTATCGTTTGGGGTAAAGCTGCCAACCTTGGAGGTGGTCTCCAGGCGGTCATGGAGGTACGTCGTTTGACGCCTTGATGCCTACGGTTGGCTCAAAAATTTAGCGTGCAAACTCTCAACACACGCACTCGTTGCCAATTCGTCAACATCCCAGCCACGTTCTCACCCACATCCATCGCAGTGGTTATGGAAAAACCTTTGGAAGCACCCACTCAGCTGTCGATGTTCATTTCCCGTCTCCATTTTCCGGTATCTCCACCGTCGACTTTGCAGGCGAACGTGCCGCAGTTGATGCCGCGCAAAAGGAACTAGTGGCTTACCTCAAGCTCCTTGAAGGAGCGACTAGGGCCATCGAGGTTGATTATTTGATTCACAAGATTTTACAGGCAAAGGCAGCCAAGCAGTATGTCTTTTATATAGATTCTGATTTGCCTGCTAAATGTGGCTCATAGGTTGCGAGATTATCACTCTTCTAGGAACGTTTTCGTTTACTTCCCCTCGGAGGCTGACCAGGCTTCCAACGTGATGCTTGTCTATGATCCATTGGCGGCTCAAGCCGCCAAGGAAAAGCAGGCTGCTTTGGCCGAAATCGAAGCAGAGCTCCTTGCTCTAGTCTCGACTCTTGGCCAAATCAAGACTGAAACAATTTCCGTCGAAAAGAAGTGGCACGAGGCCGTCAAAGGGAAGAACAACTCGAATCTCAACTCGTACGTCTCATTGAGCACTTTATACATAGTCTAGAACCCTTGCAGGTTGATTGGTGAAGGCCGTGCACTTGCTATCGAGGTTGGAGGGAACGGACAGGAAGATATCGTCGTCATCCGTGGCTCGGCAGCAGACGTCGACAAAGCAACGATGGAAATCCTTCGTCTTGTGGAAGAGGCAAAGAACGATGCTATCGATAGCAGCTATGTCACCGAGTTCCAGATCCCTCAACAATACGTCGCGAGGATCGTTGGTGCTGCTGGCGCTGGAATTCAAAAGTATCGAGAGCAACTGGATGTCAAGATTGACATCGAGGATCTTAGAGACTCTGCCGAGCAAGTCGTCGGCAAGAAGAAGAAGACCACCACCTCATCACAGTCTCTCGTCAAGGTTTGTCGTACTCAATACCGCTAATCGTCTCTAACGCGCCTTTCAAAGATTACCGGTCGTAAACATAATGCAGAAGAAGCAAAGAAACGCATTCTCGCCCAAGTGGACAAGATGGTTTGTACGCCCATCTAAGACCCCAATGATCCTGACACCTCTCTAGGCAGATGAGACCACGGAGATTCTCAAGGTTCCTCGCCAATATCATTCTGCCATCATTGGGCAGCAGGGCAAGTACATTCAACGACTCCAAGACAAGTACGGTGTGAAGATCAACATGTCCAAGGACTCGAGTACTTCTCCAGACGAGATCCAAATCCGTGGAGGAAAGAAGGGCGTCTCACAGGCGAAAAACGAGATTAACGAGGTACGTACCTAGTTCTTCTACTGAAGCTTGTTACTGACCATATAATTACATGTTAGCTCGTCGAATATGAGAAGGAAAATAACCACTCTATCAGTATCGATGTGTCTAGCCGCGCTGTCCCCCGTATTCTTGGTGCCAAAGGAGCCAAGATTCACGAGATTATGGAAGAGACCGGTGCTCACGTGGATGTCAACGACAAGGACAAGAGAGAGAAGGAGGAGACAACTTCGATTACTATCCGCGGAAACAAGAAGTCGGTGGCAGCCGCCAAGGCGCAGGTTCTCGCCATTGCCAATGCTGTAGATGATGAAACCACTGTTGTCTTGCATATCGAGCCCAAGTTTCATCGTACAATCATCGGAGGTGGTGGAGTTGGTCTCCGAAACCTTCTCGCGCGAGTTGGCGCACCGAGCGATCCAAAGGAGCAAGCGGGACTCGTTCGTTTGTACGTCAATCTCTCTTTTAATTGGCTTCGTATCTAATTTCCTGTTTTCACAGCCCTCAGAGCGGTGATGAGGTTACCCTTCGTGGAGAAAAGACCCTTGTCAAGAAAATCCAGGCAGAGCTAGAGCGCGTCGTTGCCGGGTTGCGCGAGCGTGTCGTCATTGGCGTGTCGATTCCTGCACAACAGCACAGGATGCTCATTGGGCATGGTGGACAACCGCTCATGGAGCTCGAGAAGAGAACGGGTGCTGAAGTCCAGTTTCCTGGCTCACGCTCCTATAACCAAGTGGCAGCAGCGGAGAATGCGTCCGAATTAGAAGACGCAGATCCAAAGGATATTGTCAAGGTTGTCGGTCCCCGTGCAGCTTGCGAGAAGGCAATTGCCGAAATGCTCGAATCCATCGCCAAGGCCCCGAACCGCGAGAGGAAGAAGGAGGATGGCAATCGCGAGCGCAATGGAACTGGTGCAACCGCCACCGTTTCTGTACCTTTCAAGCACTACCATCTCCTTCGACCTACCGGGAATCTTGTTCGCGACTTGCGTGCGACAGGCGTCAACTTCTCGCAAGATGGCAAACCGAAACAAGAAGATTTTGATGTCGATGCGCGTATTGACGACGAGGTAGAGGTCGATTCACATGGGGTGGAGTGGAAGCTTGTCGAATACGGCTCTGGTGTGCAAGATGGCGCGACAGAAATTACACTCAAGGCGCGCGATGCGGAAAGTCTAGCGTCAGCTCAGAAAGTCGTTGATGACGCGCTCAAAAAGGCAAATAACATCACACATGTGGGTCTTATGACCTTCCCCGATCGTGGGGCGTTCCCCAGGATCATTGGGTCCAAGGGAAACACTGTCAACCAGTTGTGCCTCGAGAACGACGCTGAGATCATAGTCCCGAGGGATGACTCTACTGTCAAGATTTATGGTATGTACTCGACTTTGGAATTACTCGGCCTGTGACTAACACGGGTTCAGGGGCCGAAGATAATGTCAACAAGGCGAGAGCAGCAATTACTCGCGTTGCATTTGGTGGTCGTGGACGTCGTGCCGACGACTAAAAATCTGCCAACATCTTTTATACTCGTTGTCGCTGTATTCGAGCACTCGTGAATACAATATGGAGGTTGAAGAGGAAGCAGAGCTCTCTAGTCAAGAGGGAAAGGGTAAAACTATTACATCAGGGTCATCAGACGGACCCATCAGAGACCAACACGCCGTGCATAAGCGTGATGGACTCTCGCCCAACCGGATATCACCATTGACGACCCATGCCACAGGGTTTCGACCGCAATGTGGACAGGTCGGATATGACCATGTGGACATGTATAGGGCCAAAGGATAGCTATATTGGTGATCAGAGGTATTGCAAAGGCTGAAGAAACCTTAGCGTGATCGTTGCATGCTGTCTTCACGTACCGAACGCTCTCAATAGTCCAGCAATGAACACAACTTCCATGGTGATACAGCCAGCACGGTTGTTGTATCTTTAGCGACAGTGCACCAAGGGTTTGCTGAGACATTGGAATGCGGCTCGCAGTAAGCTTTGCGGTCGACTCTCTTTGAAGCTCCTGGATGCTTCTGAAAAGATTCAGGCGTCATCTCGAGGCGCATTCTAAATCTTACCGGAGCCAATAATCTTCCCCAAACGCGAGTTGGTCGACTATCATGCCAGCCGAGTTGCCAGGACTGATTCCATTATTCATACTCCATTGGTCACTCTTGATCGTATTTGATGAGCACAGGAGTGCGTCCAAAATGCATTGGAGAGTTTGTGTCGATAAAAAGGATTGAACGCTGTCTAGAACCCAGCCGTCTGCCCAGACTTCGTTTCTATCAGAAGCCTTGGTTGGTTTAGAGTGGAATGATATGGTCAAGATGGCAGTTGCGTCTGCCACATCCCCGGCTGACGCCGACGTTTCCTGAAGAGTGTTTATACCATCGCCAATAGGAGACTGTATGTCACACACGAGTGTCAGAATGGAATTGATCTCTGTCTTTCTGTTCCTACGAAAATAGTGGCCAGCTTGTTTTGGAGGGCTACTTGGACATTAGGTGCCACCTTTGGTAGAGGAAGCGGCGTACGGCCAGTGCCTGAGCTCTGCTTTCTCCAGTGTTCTCAGCAGCTGCGTAGTCTTCTGATCTGCATCCAATGAGTCGTTTCGTTGCTGTTTCTGTTGTGTGGCTCACCAGTCCCAAGGGGTGAAAGGGGAGATCCTGGTGAGTGCTTGATGGCATGCTCTTCATATCGCTTGCTGAATACAGCTCGGAGGTTTGAACGTGACAAGATGTTGGCTATCATCGGATCCACCTCTGTGAGACTGGCGGGTCAACTGCGCTTCCTGTGGAGTAATCAAGAGAGTTTACTTCATTTCCTCGCTTATAGACTGCTGCTGAATATCTGGGTTCTGCTGCCAGAGGTCGTGGACGGCCTGTATAATTTCTGATTTGGAGACGGCGGCTGTCTGTGCAAACTCTGAGGGAGAAAAGGCTTCCGAAGGTGGCCCAAAGGCTGTGCGACGATGGAATTTGGCATCGTCTGGGCCCATCCAGGCGTTGGCAGCGTCCAAGGCTTGTACCAGGCCCGATCCACGGCCAGGCTTGCCAAAGCTTTGACCCCGACCACGTCAACTCCGCCCGAGGATGAGGACGCTATCGCTCAGCCTCTGTTCTCTTTTATCAATACTATATTTATCATCAACTGCATTCTCTGCTGCCGCCGACACATTCCTTAACCCGCCTGGCACTGGATGGAAATCTTCGAGCACGGGAGATAATGCACAGCGAGTCCTGGAACACTCCCCAGTCAAAGATACAGACTGTAGACAACCCGTACGTCGTCTTGGCGCCCGTCTCGTCGGCTACTTTTGCTTACCACGCACGCCCTTGTAGCCACTCGGCCCTATCGAAACGACGCTCTGCAACTACGAGACAGTAGAAAGTGTCAACGACGAGCTATTCGAAACCCTCCATCAGCTCGTGGAGACGCCATTCTTTCGATATTACAAGGTCCGACGACCGTTACCCTCCACACCCGTAGTGGCTGACGATGTCCACCAGGTCGACCTCTACAGAGATTGCCCGTTTTGGGAAGACGATGATAAATGTGCAAGTCGCGACTGCGTTATCCGAGCCGTTGATGAGGTAAGTCGCTCGACGTGGCCGTTTCGTCAACCTTATGCCTCTTGCAGAGCAAAATACCCGCAAAGTGGCGATCCTCTACTCTTTCCAAGGTGGAAGAACCTTCTTTGGAATTGGTAGGTAGCCCCAGTGGCACTGCATTCCTCAACTCACCAACTCTATCAGAAAAATTCGCTGCCAGGATGCTACTACCGAGATTCGGATTACTGTTACCAAGACGACCTTTCAGAAGGTGGCGAATTTATCGATCTCATTGAGAATCCTGAGCGGTTCACTGGCTATTCTGGCGCACCTGCGCGGAGCATCTGGAAGGCCATCTACGAGGAAAACTGCTTTGGTCAACTGAAGGAAGCCATTCAGGCAGAGACTTATTCTCCGTTAGCTATGAACCCTCTACTCAAGTTGTCGCCGCCAGAGGAACGCGAACCGGAGGGTGAATGCTTAGAGAAGCGTGTCTATTACAAGATCATCTCTGGACTACACGCTAGCATCTCTACTCACCTTTGCTATGAGCATCTCAACCGGGAGACTGGAGAATGGGGACCGAATCTCGAATGTTTCATCGAACGTGTCGCATCACGCCCGGAGCGACTGCAATACATCTACTTCAACACGGTCATACTTCTCCGAGCCATCGCCCGTCTTGGACCGTATCTCAACGCGTACGATATCTGTTCTTCAAACGAACATAACGACGGTCACGCGCAAGAACTTCTCACTAAAAATCAGATTCGCTCTGTCATCTCCATCGCAGATCGCGTCGGAAAGTTTGATGAATCGATTCTGTTCAGAGGAGAGAATGCGGTGCTCAAAGAAGAATTCAAGCAGCACTTCCGCAATGTCAGCAGCATCATGGACTGCGTTGGATGCAGTAGGTGCAGACTCTGGGGTAAAGTCCAAATTGGTGGGCTTGCTACTGCCATGAAGGCACTTTTTGAGCTTGATGAGAAGACTCTCGAGTGAGTAACACCGTTTGGTGATAATAGACCTGAGGCTCATCTCTGGCCAGCTACAAATCAAATCCTCTCCTGTTACAACGTTCGGAAGTGGTAGCTCTGTTCAACACTGCCCATCGATTCACTGAAAGTCTACACTATGTCGACGAGTTCCGTCGTCTATGGGCGATAGCGGAGAACCGAGAGGTTATTATCAAGAAGGTCGAGGAGAATATCAACGTAAGCATCTTTTCACCGTCTCCATATTCCGCTCACGGGATGTGTAGAAACCACCAGAAGAGGCGAAACAGCCGCGGCCGTCGCCTCGCATAGGTCACCCAGCCATACCACGAAGGAGGCCTGCATCCGATTCGCTGTACGATCGCTGCGTTTACATCGCTCAATTATGCAAAGATGGGTCGCTGCAGTGTGTGCGAACGATTGCTTCGTACATTGTTTCGTTTGCGCGGATCGTCGCCAGCGCGTTTACGCTTTCGGGGAAGGATGGATTGCCGCATGAAGATTTTTAGGGCAGGTACTTATGTCAGGTATTTATTTTCGTTGCATTTATAGGTCCTCCGGTGCCTTGCCCGAATGGAAGTCGTGTGTATAAAGAAATTTCGCTACCCACAGTCTGCGTGATATGAAATGCGAAGATAGAGCAGGTGGAAGCAAGGACCAACGACAAGAAAGTGTAGAGTCCCATTTTGATTATCGTCAGGTGCAAATGAGTTGGCCACCACTATAAAACCGAAAGGTACTATAGCGAATGTAGATGTTATTTGGAGGTTGCAGGTTTCTTGGTAAAAAAGGACGTGAGTTTGGGCATTTTTGAAGTGTCAGTCTTTTGTAGTTTCTGGGCTCCCTTTGAGACCTGAGTGTCGGCTTTTCGCTTCTTGGAGTTTGTCGCTCCCTCTGTGTTGGATGATTGCTTCGCGTCACTGCTGGTTGTTTGGGTGTCGCTTGCACGAATGGTGCGCGTGTAGGCGTCAAGGCTCGTGAAACTGACAAGACATTAGATTGAAATGTGATTTGTTGTCGTTGACGTACTCGTAGCTCTGTAGCAATTCTTGATAGATTGCGGGAGGAAGATATTGGGAGAGGATCTCGCAGGCCATTTTCAGTCTGCCCGCTTGCATCATCTTTAGTATGAGAGGGAAAGTCAACCAGACGCTGCGTTTACCTTCTTTCAACTTTTCATCTGCTTCATCATCAGCACCTAGCCCGTCCTTGGCCAATGCACGGTGGATTGTTTGCACGGTGGACTGTATGTTCGACGCAGCCAGCCTCGATGCCTTCTCTCGAAGTTGCTGGACGAGTTTTTGTCGAGAGAATCGGTAGAGTGTGATGGAATCGTCGAGGGCTGCTATGGTTGAGTCGATACGAGCGAGTACAAGGACATACGTACTCTGAGTTTCACAAATTCGGGCAATTGCAGTAAACGTGCATGCAAGAGAACCCAAGTTGAGAATGTCGAGGCTGAGCACCGTGGCGCCCTCTTGGTGACTTTTCTGCTCAAAGTGCTGTGATGCGACGCTCAAGAAATCATCATAGGTACGAAACTTTTTTGCTTCGTCGCCCTGTAAAGTTGTTAGGGGAGAAAGGGGAGTCTGGAAGCAGGTCCTTACAGAGGCAATGTCAAAGATGGGTAGCAGCAGAAAAAGAGGGTCGATCGGTGTCATAAGGAGAAGTTTACCATCTCTGGAAGGTCAGGTAAATCTCGAGGTGACTGTAGTGGCATTACCTTCGACTATATGGTCCTGCACAAACCAAGACCGAGATGCAGGCGGATTCACGGCGTGAATCTCCAAGATTTCCACCACCTTTTCAGTTACACCTTGTCTCTCATACGGAAGAAAGAGTGCAGGATGGCCTGCAAGCACTAAGCAACAACGCCGATGTCGAATCCAGATGAAGAACATACCGGTCCTGGGGTGTGGTAGGCGAAGAAGTGGAAACGCGTTGGCATCTTCCGCTGCTGATATTTCCTTGGAGTCACTGCTGTGAGAGGTGCCGAGAACGGCTGGCGGAGGTGAGAAAGAGTAGAAGAGTCCTCGGAAGAGAGGTTACCTCGAGGTAAAATGGCAAATTTCATTGCCATGACTTGTGTGAACTGGTGTAGTGGCAGGGTCTAAGATGGCATACACTAATCCCATTTCGTTGTTCACCGTTGTTCTCGAGGACAATGAATAGAGGGCGGCACAATCGGACAGCAGGGATCTGATCGACAGCAGGATAAAGCAATTGCGTTGGATGGCAATTCCAGACTCAACCTTGGAACTCTCCTCTTCACCCGCTCAGCCGTCCCCTCGACGGCGAGCATGATGCCACGACGAAGTTCACATGTAGACGGACCGGATCACTGGTCGATGATCTTTCTACACAATAATTCGGGAGAGTTTCCGCCGTCGGGCCTTGCACCGTTGGATCCAAGAGCGCAGGATCCAGATATCGCACCATGGGCTGAACTGGCACCAGAAGACGAAGCTGGCTCAGTAGTACGTATGGATTTATTGAGCCGAACGCAAAGGGAGCTCACGACTCTTGTTCCGTCCTAGGTCCCCTCAACCTCGAGCGCTGCAGGAGCCCCAGGCTTGTCCGGAAAGCGTACGTTTTATGCAAAGACATCCTCCTTCTCCGGTAGTCTGTTTGGACGACAGCAGCAGCACAGAGACAGCGACGTCCAGGATTCCCAGAGTCTTGCCGCCAACGAGAACAAGAAGTCCTTTCTAGGCGGTTTCAAGGGTCTCCGGAGGAAGAATAGCAAACCCTCACTTGCAAAGGAACCATCGTTCAGCGGTCAGTCTTCCCTCCCAAGAACGTTCTCACTCAGCTCACCACCAATAGTTCCTGCCCAGCCTGTCCCACCGTTGCCAAACTCGACTTTACCTGCCCCGCGGTTGTCTCCATCAATCCCCGTGACTCGCAAGCCCAGAAAGGCAAGCAAGCAGAAGATGGCACCTCCAGTACCACCAAAGGACCACACAGACGATATCTATCTCGACACCAATCTTGATAGATTAGAAGGCATTGTGGATCCCTCCCGGCTAGGTGCCGATTCTCGAGTCAGCTTCAGCAACGAGGCCGCATTGGGAGGTGCTAATGATGATCCACTCAATGGACCTTTCGATTCGTACCGACCAAGGGCATCGCATTCCGCTCACGGTCATGGTCCTGGATCCAATGGCTCGAACGATCTCTGGAACGGGCATTCCAACAATCTCGCTTCAACTCCTGCCATGTTCAGTATACCCCCCGCATACAATGGAGCAGCATTCACCAATCCATTTGCTGGTGGTGCTTCCAACGCGGCTGCAGCCAGCAAGCGACCGCCGCCACGCCTTGCAACGACGTCTCCAAGAGGAAAGGCAACACTGCTTCCTCCATCTCATTTAGAACCAAACGGCACATTCCTTCACCATACGAGTGCCATCAGTCCGATAGATAAACGAGATCCAGCTGACCCTGCGAGTCCCTCATGGGTTGCACCCGAGAGTTGGGCCGTCAAGATGAACATGGACGAGGAAGTACAGTCAGACTCCGGAGAGAGTGATAACATGCAGTTGCAAGAGCCTACTCGACACGCTGCCTTGTTCAACCAAGAAGAAGAGCAGTCTGTTCACGACACTACGACGGGAGCGTTACGTTCTGTGAATGGCGGCACCGGCGCGATGGAGTATAAGATTCGCATCACCTACGAGACAGAGGCCGGGAATCCTCACTCCATCTACAAGATACCCTATTCAGAAACAGCGCAGAGCTTTATCAAGACCAAGTTTAACCCCAAGATGCGAATCGACGGGGAATGTCGCCTATGGATACGCGATCGTGGTAAAGGTATGCTTTTCGCGCATCCTCTTCCTTGATCGATGAATTGACACTTGCCGCAGATAGAATGTTAGCTGGGACGGAGCGCATTCTCCCACTCCTTAGAAAGCGACTGCTGATGGCCGGATACGACGACGATGAGCTCCCAAACATCGCTGGAGAAGACTTGGGTCATATATTCAAACTTATCGTAAGGGACGTGGCTTGGAGGGCGGATGTAAGTCTACGGTGCCCAGGATTTCTCAGCCCTCTGATACTTTATAGTCTGAAGAGCCGGCCAATATCACAAATCCAGCATTCGTGGATCTTACGGGCATGAACCTGACCAAGGTTCCGATTCTTCTCCACCGAGTCGCTCAACACATTGTGCTACTTAACCTCTCACGCAACATCGGCATCGACCTACCATCGGATTTCATTCAGAGTTGTGAGGCTCTTCGCGAGCTCAAACTCGCTGGAGTTGGTCTTCGCAGGGTACCGCCTGCCATTCGACATAGTCGACATCTCATGAGGCTCGATATATCTTCTAATCGGATAGCGGATTTGGAGGATTCGGGTCTGGATTCCATCCCGACATTGTCTAGCCTCAAGCTGCAATGCAACAGGCTCACCAATCTTCCTCATTACTTTGCCGCGATGCATGCAATTACAGATCTCAACATTTCCAACAACAAGTTGGATGGCTTCCCCGACGTTCTCTTTTCCATGTCCTCTCTAAAGGACCTCGACGTGTCCTACAACAACATTTGCGCTTTTCCTCCCGGGATTGGCAAGCTGGTGAACCTGCAAAGGTTGACTATCATCGGAAACCAGCTGACAGCATTCGTTCCAGAACTCTCAAAGTTGACCAATCTCGAGGTCTTGGACTGCCGACGGAATATGATCACCGACCTTTCCCTGGCAGCTTCACTTCCAAAGTTGAAGCAATTCCATGCGCATTACAATGCGTTGCACGCTCTTGATATGACTGTCGGCCCAGCTCTCACAGAGTTGAAGGCACCTCACAATCAAATCACCCGCTTCCGACTCCTGAGTCCAAACAGCGCCGTTAATCTCATCCACCTCGATCTGAGCTATACCAAACTCTCGTCACTAGACGAAGATGTGGTCGCTCAACTTACAAATCTTGCTACCCTACGACTGGATCATAATCATTTCAGAACACTCCCTGCTTCACTATGCAAACTCACTTACCTCCAACATCTTTCATGCTCGAATAATGTCCTAGACGAGCTACCAAGTGACATTGGTAGTCTTGACAATCTCCAGATTCTCGACGTCCACAGCAACTCCATTCATCAGATCCCGGCCAGCATCTGGCAATGCAAGAGCCTCTATCTCTTCAACGCAACCTCCAACTTGATTGATGTTTGGCGCAATCCGCCAACGGGAACCCAAGGGTCGACTTCCGCACCTGTGCCGTTTGGATCAATCTCAGATGTCGCTTTGACGGCCAACTCTCCAGACAGTGAACGAAGACCGTCTCAGCCGGGGCTCTTCAACGGGCGCCCGAGTAAGCGAGCACTTCCACTGGAGATGTCACTGCAAAAGTTGTATCTGAGCGACAATCATCTTAGGGACGATTCGATCAACTTCCTCGCTCGTCTCACTCAGCTTCGGGTGCTCAATGTCTCCTTCAATGATATCCAAGACCTGTCGTCGTCTTGGCTATCGAAGTTGACTTTGCTGGAGCAGTTGTACCTCAGTGGGAACAGGCTATCGGCACTTCCGGTGGAAGGCCTTCAAAACCTGACAAGATTGCATACACTCTATCTCAACGCTAATCGACTACAAACGTTGCCCAGCGCCCTCAACAAGATTTCCTCGTTGACGGTTCTCGACGTTGGTAGTAATAATCTGAGATACAACATCAACAACTGGCATTTCGATTGGAACTGGTACGTGGATAGATGCGTACAGGGCTATTCATCTTACATCCTTGCTAGGAACTTTAATCGAAATCTCAAATATCTCAACCTCTCGGGGAACACGCGTCTGGAGATTAGACCCGACTCTACCAAGCGTAATCACCTAGATCGCATGGAAGGCCCCGTACTCCACGAGTTTAACGCCCTGACCCAGCTGAAGGTCTTGGGGCTGATGGACGTCACTATCGGCTTCATGAACAGTATTCCAGACGACAACGAGGAAAGACGTGTCCGGACGTCTGGCTCCGAGGTCAATGGCATGGGTTATGGCATCGCCGACTCGATGGGCAAGCGTGACCAGCTCAGCATGTTCGACATTGTCGTGCCGTCGTTCCGAATGCATGAAAAGGAGTGCCTGTTTGGAATGTACGGAAGGCCCGAACCAACCCATGGCAATACTCGTTTGAGCAAGTTTGTTCAAGATCGATTCCACAACGAGTTGATCATGAAGCTCAATCAACTCAGACCAGAGGCGGATGAAGGCGTTGTGCAGGCATTTCGGAGAGCATTCCTGTCCATGAACCGCGAACTTTACAAATTCCTCACCAATAACAGTTTCGGACAGTTCTCCAGGAAAATGTCTGCGGCCAGCTCCTCGTCCACTGGACCGAATGCTGGCATAGACATGACAGTCCTCAAGACTGGCCTCTCGGCGATCATCATTTACATCGTCGATAAGACTATGTACGTCGCCAACGTGGGTAATGCACTAGCCGTCATGTCTCGACAAGGGGAAGCGCACCTGGTATCGTATCGACACGATCCGCTTGACCGCAACGAGTTGTCGAGGATACGTGGGACAGAAGGATGGGTTTCACCGAAGGAACTACTGAATGATGAGCTCAATGTCTCTCGTGCATTCGGTATGTATCACCTTCTCCCCTCGGTCATTGCGCGTCCCGCCGTCACGGAATGGGATATCACCGACCAGGACGAATTCGTTATTGTGGGAAACTGCAACTTATGGGACTATCTGCCGTACCAAAACGCGGTCGACATTGCCCGCGAATGCCAGGATCCCATGGTTGCCGCACAAAAGCTGAGGGATATGGCAATCAGCTATGGTGCCGATGGCTCGGTCATGGTCATGGTCCTGTCCATCTCGGATCTTTTCCCTGCCAAAGCAGTGCAGCGCAAGAATGCGATGGAAACGGGAGAATTTGGTGGATTCAAGAGTCCACTCAGAGGAAACCACGAGCCAATCAGCAGCAAGATGCTCAACAGACTCCCAGACGAGGTGGATGCGCCCGTTGGCACTGTCGCTCTCGTGTTCACGGATATCGCTAATTCAACCCACCTGTGGGAGAAGAATGCAGGAATGCGCACAGCAATGCTCATGCACAACGAACTGCTTCGACGCCAACTACTCAACATCGGCGGATACCTGGTCAAGACGGAAGGAGATGCGTTCATGTGTTCTTTCCCTACTGTGGCGTCAGCTCTACTCTGGTGTCTTACTGTGCAGCTTGCACTGTTGAAGCTCGAGTGGCCGTTGGAGATTCTAGAGTCGCAGGACGGGAGAGAGATTTGCGATTCTGATGGGACGGTCCTCGCGCGTGGTCTTTCCGTTCGAATGGGCTTGCACTGGGGCGCACCGTTGTGCGAGCCGGACTTTATTACGCATCGAATGGATTATTTTGGGCCAATGGTGAACCGTTCCGCACGTATCTGTGGCAGTGCCAAGGGAGGGCAAATCATGATCAGCAACGACGTGATCAGGGAGCTGTCACAGCATTTCTCACTGGACGATTCGTCTCCGCCTCCGGCTCCGCCCAAGCCAATAGACGCAGCCGCGGTCTCCGACCCTGCTGCCGTGCGCGAACGAAACCATATCGAGACGCTGCGTCGAATGCAGTTTACCATTACGCCAATGGGGGAGCGCAAGCTAAAGGGTATCGAAGCACCTGAAGCTCTGTCACTCATCTGGCCAAAGGAGCTCGAGGGCCGCATGAGTCTGATGCACGAAAAGGAGGACGAAGAGGTATCGGCAGCAGCAGCAGATGCCAACTCGCGCGTACCATTTAGCATTGCGCAAATGAAACAACTGGCGATGCTCTGCGTGCGTTTGGAGACGCTGACCTCTGGTCGCGTATTCAAACCGACAACTGCACGAAAGAAGACGCTGCCTCCACCGGCCGGAGTGGCGACAATGGCCATAGTCGCCGAGGAGGTAGAGGGCCCAATAGATATTGTGCCAGATGTGAATGGGATTAGGACTCCGGATGTCCTACAACGCCCGACGGTGATGGAGGAGCTCGAGGAACCATCCGTGTACCTAACGGCAAACCCCGAACTGCTGATGCCATCCATCAAGGAAGGCGCAACGGACGAATACTTGATGCTGCTACTCGATTCACTCTCATTGCGTATCGACAATGCTCTGGCGTCTCTATACCTGCAGCAGATTGGGGGCTATCGACGACTAGCGCCGCCACGGATAGGGAGCATCGCTGGACTTGATGGGGGTTTGCTACAGTAACTTATGTTACCTTAGTTGTTGTACGACTGTTGGCTAGAACATTTATGGGCAATTGATTTTTTTTTTCTTGGGGGGTAAACAGTGGGTTGTCGACCTTGTCGCCAATCACAAGACGGGAATGCAGACGATGGACCACCCGCAGAGCTCGTTCTATGAACCGACGATGTATGAATATCCTGGTCAGTTGTTCGTCGTCGTTTGAGCCCAAATTCTCAATCAGTCGTCCTTGTGCAGGCGCGTACCGAGGCCCTCACCATCAATATGGGCACCACAATCCTCAAAATATGCAGAATGTGCCGCATATTCCGCAAGCAACATCTCATCATCGCAGAGACTCGAGTGTCAGCATTGGTCTCGAGCACGCGCCATCCCAAGTGTCGTTCGGCCATCAACCTCAGAGTCCTCCTCTCAGGCAGCCTCAACAAGCACAGCAACAGCAACAGCAACAAGCATCTCACCATCACCACCAACACCAGCCATCTATGAGCTCGCGACCGCGGTCTACGAGTGCCGCCACCGTCGAGCTGTCGGGCGCAGGCTCGAGCTCGATGATGCACGACTCGCGACCGCGAGCGCATTCGTATGCGGACCCTCGAGCCGCGGCAGACCAGCGAAACAAGCAGCATTCGCAGACGGCGGGCGTCGACGACGTCGGCTTTGGTTCGACAAACGCGGTGCAAGAACTGGACGAAGAACCGCTGTATGTCAACGCAAAACAGTACCATAGGATCCTCAAGCGTCGGGCTGCACGTGCTCGTCTTGCAGAGATTCAAAAGCTCTCGTCGCAACGCAAGGTTCGTTTTTGATGATTTCCGGGGGAATGCCAACGTTTACCCCGCGTGCTTCTCTCAAGTCACTGACGATTGACCCATTCCCCATTGCTCGTTGCACAGCCTTACCTCCATCAATCGAGGCACAATCATGCAATCAGACGTCCCAGAGGGCCCGGTGGTCGCTTCTTGACCGCAGAAGAAATCGCTGCTCGCAAGGCCCAGAGTCAAAACGAGCAAAATGGTGGCGACGACGACGGGGGGTTGAATGAATCACCCATTTCCCCTACCCAAGAATCCGTGTCGAGCCCACAAGACGACATTGCAAGTCCGCTGTCCCCTACAGGCGACAAGTCGTCCAACTCGCTGGCGGCCACGGCTTCGGCAGTGTTTGGCTATTCAACCAACTCGGCAGACGTAAAGACGGCAGGAGAGAATGGAGGAGGCGTCAATGGGCTCACCTTTGACGCGGATGGCCTGAGCTCCATCTTGGAGTCTCCTGGCGAGCTGGCCCTCGGCGGAAACTACAATTTTGGAAGCGGGGAGCAATAAGGAGCGACAAATTCAAAAAGTGTAAACCACCCCCTCTCGGGAGGATCCACCTCTTGCCTCAAGCTGTATCAACGAACGTATGCGCCTCGTGTTTTTATTTCCCCTTTTTTCTCCCTGGTTCGCTATGTTTTCTTTTCTACAGAAATGAACTGGCAATGTGTTTTATCATCTACTTTTTCTTGGCTGAGAATGAGGATGGCTGGCCTGCCTTTTCCGGGTGTTGGCTGCACTTTACTTTGGACTCGACCTTGGAGGTGCCCTACGTCGCCTTTGCCCGTGCGCCGCCTCGCTCAGCGCAGACGGACACGGTTCGCAACTGTTGAAACAAAATTACAAAAGCTACAATAAAAATGGCAACTCTTATCCGCATCCTCTTCTCCTGCTGCCTGGGAGGCCGTCGCAAGGAGGTTCGTGCGCGCTCTGTCCGAACTGTCGAACTTACTGACTGTGGTTCTGGGTCTTGTTTTTGACCGATTTCGATGTGTATCCAGGACGATAATGGCGAGCGAGAGCGGCTGCTAGGCCCCACGGGCGTTAATGGGCTGAACACTGTCCAGTACACGACCCTGTGAGTGTTCTATGCTGGTATTGGTTATGCTGAGCTAATCCCATCCCTGTCGCTGGCTCCGTCCGCGCACCAGAGAGCCCACTCCGCGCGATACCGAAGACGAGCTGAACCAAAAAGTCGCAGACTTGGTCTCGAACGGGACAAAGTATGTATTTTGCATCTCGTTTGTGGCTAGACTTTTGGCATTTGTCGCCACTTGTGGTATTGAACCCGCATGACCGTCCCAGTCGCCCTACTTGTCTTGTGTTTCCACTGTGTGCTAACGACTCCACGCTCAGCCGAATGATTGGAATTGGGCCCGGACGTTTCCAGCCGCCTTACTCGTCCGTCTCGGCTCAGCTCAGCAGCTCACAAGCTCATCTTCACGCGGACACAGCGCACATTGACTCGCAGCAGTCGAGCCATTCGAGCCCACACTCAAGCTTGCAGCCCAGTTCCGCCTATCCACACGCAAACTTGGAGGCACAGACGTCCGAAGATGGTGCCTTCAACGCCAGTCAATCCGTGACGTCGCTTGCCCAAAACAACCCCTCTGGTCCGAGTGCTCTCGCTCCCTTGGGCTTTGGCACTGGCGGCGCAGGCGCAGGCGCTCCTACTGCTATTGGCCGACGCTTCCAAATCCATCGAGGACGCCCACCTACGAGGAGGGGTGCGGCCGAAAGTAACGACGTTGGGACAAGGACCCAGGCTAATGGCGTGCTGTCACCTGCTGAGGCAGCTGACGAGGTGAGAGAGCTCACTTGGAAAACCTCCCGATTCATCACTCATTTTCATCAGCATATTCGCACGTCCGAAGCATCGCCGTTGCGTACAGCGGATGTCGATCCACCACCAACCCCCTCGTCGCCCCCCCTGCGAATAAAGAGTGCACAAGGTGAATCGGCAAGCCGAGAACGAGTGAGTAAACCTTCCATTTTCTTTACCCACTTCCTCCCCCTTTTTTGTCCAGAGTGGTCCTCATGTGCTTTTTCGCATACGACGCTCCTGTCAAAACTCTGCCCATGCTTCCGGCTTCAATACATGCCGCTCGACCAGACACCTGACGATAATGAGAAGAGGCAGGTTCACTTCAAGCTACCACCACAAAATGATCTCCTTGTCGAATTCGATCCGTGACCTTGAACGGACAAGGCCCTTTCCATCTTACGCCCTCTGACGCCCCCCATTCATTCCCAAAACACCCCCTCCACTCCATCTTCGTTCAGATCAAACTGTTCAAAAATATATCATCTGTCGTAGACCCAGGTAGCTGCGACTGTTATTCTCCTTGTCATTGTCGTGCATCTCTCACTCTGTCTCCTCGTTTCCCATCTACACGTGTAGATAGCCAGCCCTCGTTTTGTACGCATTTCTGTTACTCACATTACACTGCTTTCCACCAAACTCGTCTCGTGACCCAGCCAGCTTCAGCGTCCCGAACAGCGGCGATAGGCGAATGAAGCATTCGATATTAACAAGTCAACTATACACACGCTCCGATCACTGTCATGTGTCAGAAATGATCAAGAACAATGGGGTCCTAAGCGATGACAACTCCCGGCCTCCACTTTCTTTTCATGAAAAGGCGCCCGCGAGCGACGCCAGGAGTGTGATCCACCAGCCTCGAAGAAGCGTCTCTGGTCCCTCTTCTTGCAGTATGCTCTTTGCACAGTGGAGGAAGCCCTCGTATGGATCCTCCTCTGGTCGAAGCGCAATGACATCTTCCTCTCTGCCTGCATACTCAAGTTCTGGATCTTCCTCGTCTTGTGGTGCAGGACCAAATCCAGCCGCTTCCGAGTGGTTCCGTTGGACAGACAGACGCACCGAAATGACTTCGAGCGGTGTCAAGACGGCAATAGATGAGAGAATGACAAAGAAGATGTAAAATCCCAGTGCGACTGGGGACAACTTGGAGAATGTGTCCGACACGTCGTTGTCGGTGCCGTCAAGGATAATGTCGGTGTTGAGTGAAGGCAAGAGGATTCGGCGCACGCCGCGTTGGACAAAGACGAGCCAGGAAACGTGCAACGAGCGAGCGATGAGCAGGCCAAATCCGGGCTCAAAGTAGAGCATCCATGGCCGATGAAGCTCATAGGGTGTCAACAAGACGCGAAGCGACTTTCGCAAACCAAACCACGGTAGTCGATGTGGTGTCGTGATGGCTCTGTAAAATGATTAGAGTTTCGAATAGTACTTTCCAACTCCATGCATACCGATTGATGAGTATCGTGAATGGGGTCGAAAGCAGGCTCAGAAATGCGGCGTAAAGGATCAGGTGGAAGCTATTGACGACGGTGATGGAATGAGAAGCCCCGGGGGTCTTTGGGATCGTGGCCCCTATAAATCCAACGAATATAACCACGAGAATCGACGATATGGCGCTTGGTACATATCCTTTCCAAAAACCTGGCCATCCCTGCCCATATATCTTTAGCATTTCTGTACTTGGGATGAATATACCAACCTCTATTCTTAGTATTCGCCTTAGCATCGCAAAGTAGCTGCACCTTACGTTAGCCATGGACCACCATATTCACATTTCGTAAACGTACTTGGACACTACTGGCCCAACATATGGCTGCGCCTGTCCCTCGCTATCGAGTTGGAGTCCCTTTGGCGTATAGTTTGCTCTGAGCAGTCGTCAGCGCGACGTCAGTACGTAACTCTGCGCAAACCATACCGGAATCGAATCAAAGCGCCTGTGAACGGAACCTGTACGAGTAATCCAATCCATCCAGCGATGAGCACTATTAGCAGAGGCAGTATGATGTCGGCCATGGTCGTGGTCCGAGTCCAAAGTTTGCTGCGCGCCTCAAAGACTGCGGGACGATGTGTCCTTAGGGAATGGCTACGTTGGTATCCCAAAAATATACACGATTTATTCATCAAGACAACGACAATTACAACCGGCAACAGGACACGTCTCGTGCGTCCTCCCCTCACCAGGCCTGGCCGTCGTGGCTCCCAGAAACCAGGGCAAGACATGGCGGGCCTCACCGCCATGTCTACAGGTTTGACAAAAGATGAGAGACTCATCCAAAGTGTCTGCAAAACCTCAGCGTGCGCCTCTCTATCAGGCAGTGCCTACCGTGGAGAACTGGGTTATGCAAAAGTTGATCCACGGGCTCACCGGGGAACGACATGTGCTGCCTACATATTGTACACCGTGGTAGTCTTACTCCACATTGAGGACATGCAGCCACCTACAGCTCGTCAGCCTAGATGCAAGAAAGAGGAGACCGGCTCACCGTTGCAGTGTTCGGAGCGTCGGAGGATGACTTCGGCCCTCCAGCGCCAATAGAGGTACCACATACAGTACAACGTATTTCGATTTGTCGCGGGATCCATTCTACGGGTTCGATCGTGCCTTTGACCATTTCTCCTGTCGAACTCCCATCCGCCTCCTTGCATGCTTGCCGTGGACTCATTGCAATCGAGACATGCTGTCCTTTGTCAATATCAAACAATGCCCGATATCGAAAGAGTCTCCACTGGTCTAAGAGCTCCGAGTAGGCTTCGAACCAGCCCTCAATCTGCGCTGCGATAACTGGATTTGGACCAAAAGCATCCACTTGCGGTCCAATGCCTCTTTGCCTCTGTGATCGCTTGTCCTGAACGTAGAGTTTGGGAGCGAGAGCTGAGAGGACAGCAGCTGTTTGTACGTCGCCAGTTTGGTCGACATAGCTTTGTATAATTGCGATTGCTCCCTCGTGGGACATTCCCGTGAGCATCAGTGCCTCTAATTCACCCGTAGTTGAGGCTTCTTTGATCTTCTCTCGAAGAAAGTCGGACACGTCCCCATCGTCAAAGAATCGAAGAGCGATTCCAATACTGTAGGCAGATAAGGAACCATACGCAACCCTGGGTATCTCATACCGTTCGGCAAGGGGAATCGGGACGTCTTGAATCGTCTCTCGCCAATCCTTTGTAATGAACCAGGTGAGGAGGATACGTGCGTAAGGATCATCCAATCGCGTCACAAGAGTTTGGCATCGATCTCTCCACTGAGAGTAGGCCTCGGAATCCGGTGTACTCTGAAGGTGAAGCCCTGTCGCCATTACGGCTGACAAGAGTCTGTGTCGCTCGTCTGTTCCCTGTCAAGCCTTTGGAGAAGAAGAAGTATACGACACACCATGGCTGTGGCTAAGAATGTCGATGCCCTGCTTCACGTTGCCCATAAATGCCGCCCAGCAGGCTGCCCGACCTGCAGCACGGTCTTTCTCCCAGCTATAAAGCGTCAACTCGATGACATGGACGAGCCCATATACACACCTTCGTATGAGTTGATTTAGCTCTGCATCAGTGTAGTTCCAACCGACCAGCGCCAGTGCAAGCTCGCGCTGTGGCTTCCTCTGGCTAGATCTTGGAAACATGATCATATCAATGGTGGCTTTCCCTCTGTTACGTTTGTTGAGCCATTCAACCGCAGTCGGATAATGACCAAATTTTGCATCTTGGAAACCACGCGGAGCTGTAGCGGAGAGTGCAGACGACCCCCGTCGCTGGCCACGTTGTACAACAGGCCTCCACTGCGTCGGTTGGTTTGGTGGCTCAGATGAGATGCGCTGCAGGGGTTTGAACCCTTCCCAAATAGGCTGAACTCCTTTCAGGACAAAATCAAACCCGTGAATGTGCCTGAAAGCGTCTTCGACATCCGCTTGTAAAAGCTTATTGCTATCTGTTCTCTAATGAGCATCGAGACATAGACTATTCGTTGGACGTACTATGCAGCCATTGCCAAATTTCAGACAGAGCGCCTGCTCCAGGATCGTCCCTAACAATTTCGCCGTTATACTTTGCCTGTAGCACTTGTTTTAGCGGATTAAATGGGTTCGGTAGAGCTCACACTATCCAGACCGTAGCCTTGAAGCACTCGTCGACGAATCAAGGTTGAAATGTCTTGCGCAAGCCCCTTTTCCGCAATGGATAGATCCGGCTTGCGGCTTGGCCTAGTTTTGGATAGATTTGGCTTATTGGGCGTTTTCGTATTACTCCCTACAACTTCTTGTCGCTTGAGATTGATCGCATCGTCTGATTCCAGAGGCGTGAGGTTGGGTCGAGGGGTTGAGATAGAGCTGCCTGGTCCAGGTTTGCGTTCATAGGACGCGCGTACGACGGAAGAGGGACTGATCCGTCGCGCAGGCTCTAGTTGCTGCACGCTGAGAAGGTCGTCACGTTTCTGTCCTTCGGTGGATTGCTCAACTTCGGCGGACTCTACTGGCCCCGGCTTGTTGGTTTCATCATAATCCGCAGGATAAGGAGTATACCAAGGCTCCATGGCTGGGTCGCCACTGAAGCCGACGTGCGTGTGGATGATCTTATAAGTTTGCCCGACCGAGGCGGCTAGGTCACCACGAGGGCTCCATTGGTGCCGCGGCGAGTCTCTCAGCGCGAAGAGCCTGGCACTTCCAACCTTGTTGACTGTGACGACGTAAGGCGCTGAATGAGGAGTTGCACTGCGGGGGATAAAGTCGAACGAAGCAATCGTAGTCTTGAATATTTTTGCTAGAGCAATCATAAGCAGTGGGTGAGAATAAAGCTGTTTGAACTGACATCTCTTGGTTGACGAAAGTACCAGACCACCATCATCTACGGACGCCTGACGCCTTCCGTCCGAGGGTGTCGTCCCTTGCTCGCCCCAAGTCCCATGCGATGCCCACTCGGAAGTTTGTTGTGGATTCGTGCTTTCCGAGTAGTCGTCACGGATATTCGCGTCATCCCCGTATGGTTCGCCGTCTATCAAGTTCCACAAACGGACATAACACCCTTCACGAGTGATTGTTCCGAGTACATTCCTCCGCGTGTTGCAGAACTCTACTCCTGTAATTCTCCCTGCACCTTGAGGAGGCGCTACAGTTGTCGGACTAGTGAGAAAGGTCTGAGGGTCCAAACCTGCATCTTCTTCTTGAAAGACCATGACCGGCTGCGTATGCTTTCTTCGATCCCACACATGAACGCCTACTTCATCCAAGCTCGAAAGCAAATATCCACCCATAGGATCGCAACAGATACCCCTGACGGCTTTGGTATTCGCATCTCTGACGGCCTTGGTGCGCACCCGGAGATCGAAATAACGCATCAATCGGTTATTGACACCAGCGACAACCTCCCACGATGATTGGTGAAGGAACACGCAAGAGTTAATCCCTTCTCCTTCGCAATACTGGCCACTAGGATGCGTATTATCCTGTGGGTTCTTCTGATAGGCCGACTTTCCGCGCGAAGGTACACGTATCACGTCGTTACCTACTCTCCCACCAGGCATAGTCGACGAGCTCGAACTGGAACGCGGATGCAACGTCCCTCTACCCATCCTCGTCGGATAACCAGCCGGGTTCGGCAGAGGACCAGTGAGCCTATCGAAATGGTCGTCTATAGCTGACGCTTCAAAGACTGGAGCAGATTGCTCGAGGTCCCAAATCACGAGCGAGTACTCTGTGCGAAACTTGTCCAAACCGCTCGCCAGAAGGTTTGGATTCAACCCGCAAAACGCAAGGGATGTGCATGGTCGACGATTTCGAGCAGAGATGGACAACGAAACAGGGACCTGCGTGGCCGGAAATGAACCGTTCAGGTTGGGCAAAGTGTTGTCCAGTCGACAGATATCCACGACACCATGAGCGAGTCCAATCGCCAATAAATCGTTGTATACAGAATGCGGAGACCATGCAAAGCACTAGCGAGACGCGTTAAAACATGAGGCGGAAAGGCAAGATGAACGGTGGCTCACGCGCATAGCTTGCAGGTCCCCTCGAAGGCCAACTTGTTTCACCAGGTTATTCTCCCACTCGAACAGCTTCAATTCGCTACCACCGCCCACCACAAACCTATTCGAACCGCGTGGATCCCATAAAACCACACGAGCGCTTCCCAACGATGCTCCTTGATCCATTAACCTATCCTAGAATCGCCTGTCTTAATGGTTGAAAGAGGCAAGGTACGTTAATCAGTCCCCCGCTAGAGGCTGGTAGAGGCCGCCTCCAAGGTTTCAATTCACCAACTCTTAGCCGCTCAATTTTTGCAATCAAGTTCTTTGTAAACATAGCAGCATATATTGGGATCAACCACCTACAGGCGGACGGTATACAACGTAGCGACCTCGAGCGCATTGCACAGAGCACAAGAGTCACGGTATGGACACCGAGCTATCTGGAGAGCGAGGGCGGTGATCTACGGATACAAACAACAGCCAGACATGTGCTTCTTCGTGCTTCCGTACACACGAGGAGAGAGAAGCGATGTGGCATGAGAGGAGAGAGAGAGAAGAAGGGGAGAAATGATGACAAGAAGAGAGTTCGCATTCCAGAGACGAGGAAATGATATCGGCGAAAACTTTTGATCGATTTGAGCGAACTCGCGAAAAAAGAAAACCATAGGGGTGACTGCGAGAGCGATGACCGTAAACAGCGTCACGTGTACCGAGCGCGTTGGAGAGGTTCCGCTGCGTGCGAGTGCATGCGACAATGGCCAGGTCTTCGTCCTATCTCTGCTCGTCGTGTCCCATGGTCGACTAGCGCGTGAGATGAGTCGCGAATCCAGGGCAACAAGACTTGGAAATGGGAGATGAGATGAACTAGTGAGAGCCTGCGTTTTTTTTTTTTGGGTTGCGTACGATGCATATGCCTACTGCTCTATGTGGAGCGAACAGGGCATGTTTGATACCAAGTCACGAGCGATGAAGGTCGACCGTGACTATCCCTTGAAGAAGAGATGGACATGACTAGTTGAAAAGTCACTCGAGATCATCCATCTCTTGCATTGGCGAGCGTTGAGCGGCAAATGGAACTTCAAGCCCAGCAGAGCGAATGTACTCTTCGAGCTGTGCTACTCGCTCCGACAGCCATGCAATCTCAGACTGCGCACTCTCCATTGCCTGCTGCTTGCGTTGTCTTGAGCGGCGGGCAGAGTCGCGGTTCGCGGTACGCTTGGCGACAATCTTGTCTAGGATGATTGCATCAGGCTGTTCGCCAGGTTTGACCTTGTATGACGCGGGGATATCCTTGCGCGAGGTAGACGACTCGGTCAGGTACGTCTTGGTCTGTGGGGGAGCGCCAGGAGGAAGCAACTGATCCGACGAGATGCCAGGTCGGGTTCCAGTGTGCTTTCGCTTCTTGCCTGCTTGCCCCTCGAGTTCGAGGTCGTCGGTCCGTTCGCGCTTGCCCTTGAGCGACGTGGGCGTACCGACGGATTTGGGTTGACCGATGGGAGACGCGCGCTTCTTGGACGGCTGCGCCGTACCGGTGAGGGGTAGAGTCGGATGACCAGGTGTCTCTAGCAATGGCGAGGTCGTTCCGACGGACGGCGTATCCAAAAGTTGATTCGGCGTATAAAGACCGGGAGTGAGCGTGGGGAGATAGGTCTCGGAAGGCGAAATAGTGGAAGGAAGCGATGGCGGAGGTTGAAATGTATTGACCATCTGGAGTAGGTTCTCAAATCCATTCTGGCCGAGGTTCAAGCCGGTCGAGGAACCATCGGACTCGATGTAGCCAAACTGGCCTGGGAGATCGTAGAGACCGGTGGCATTCGTGTGCGGAGAAGCCATCGTCGGCGTCAAGGTGAGATTTGTGCCTATGCTGGGGGTACCTTGGAGACCCTTGCGGTTGGCATAGACGGGAGCAATGAGCTCGAGATCCGGGGAAGCTTCGACCAAGGACGGGGTTTGATGAAGCTGAGGAGTCGAGAAGACTTCGGGCTGGTTCATCAAGAGCGTAGCGACTAGAGACGAGTAAGACGGGAGTCGCTGGTGACTATAGACTATCGTACCATCTGCGGCGTTGGGTCCAAAGACTCCAAAGTCCGGGAGGTCAATGTCGCCAGCCTTTGATGGCGACGCGAGCCCTGAGGAAACGATGGATGAGCGACGACGATGAGAGCGAGCGTAAAACGTACCGAAGAGCTCCTGGAGCTCCTCGAGGGAGTTGATCGAGTTCATTTCTGGTGTTGCGGGCAGGGGGATAAACGGCTGATTGGCGGAAAGGGGTGAAGGGGATGTGGTAGTGGCCATTGGCGGCGGACCGAAATGGGCGGGGAGCGATGTACGACGATAAGTAGCTGGGTTTGGGGGTAATCTGAAGGTCGGTCGGGCGGCTGCAGAACTGCCACGGGTGTCTGGTGGGGGAGGAAGGACGGGGAAACTGAGACGGGCTAGCGATTGGCCTCCATTGTGAGCGACGGGTGCATTTCTCAGCTTGGTGATTGCATCTTGGAACGAATCATGTTGGACGGGCGCGCGGGGGACCTGGCGATGACTGCTGGGTTGACTTGGATCGGCAGACGGACGGGCGGCGACGGAGGGCGCGTTCAGAAAGACATGGTCGAGACCTGTTGAGTAAGTTCCGGTGTTGTTGTTATGGGTTTGGGAAGAAATCTTGGCTCTGGGAGATTCCATCGGGGTCAATATTGACGGAAAAAAGCGCGGACGGCGACGAGGACAAGGCTGATGGAGACTCACTGTTCTCAGAAAAGAAGAGAAAATGCCAGAAGAGGTGCCAGAATCAGCTACGGAGTGGACGTCGCGGCTGATGAAGGTAGAGGTCGGGTCCAAGTCTGAAGAGCTTGGGGCCCGAGTCAGCGCTTCTGCTTTAGTCAGCTTGTCCAGCCTCTTACCGCGGAACCAAATCGGAGCGAATTACGTGTTCTCGACTTTTTTTTCTACTTTTTCTACATTTTCGACAGACGCAGCGACGGCCACTCGGGCTGGCGCTTAGCCGACTCGACTGAGGCCATTTCTTTCTAGAAAATTCATGCAGAATGGATTCAAGCTACATTGTTGTGATTGGCCACAGGATGTTCTAGAATAACTTGTGCTTACTTGTGGCCTTTGATGCGCCCTCATTAGGACTATCTGCCGGCCGGTATGCCCACTCTATCATTATTTAAAACCAGTTCCCAGGTCGCGCTGCATCTCCTGGCGGCGCATCGCCTTTGATATTATCTTGAACTCTGCCTTGTCTACAGGCGCTCCTTTTGTTCGCACCGGCTGCGTTCTTCTTACTTTTATTATTCTTTCCATCCACATACAACTTGCATTCGCCCTCTTTCAACGCCCAAGCACGCTCTTTCAGCATCCGACGGACCCACAGCGACAACGCTCCTATTTAGCATTATCCACGACACATCTTCAAGCTTCAGTTATTATTTGAGCTATTTCTCCCTTTTACAATCATCATGATTCCGTCAACCGCGCTCGCCGTTCTCACCTTGGCCGTTGGTTACACACAAGGTGAGCCTCTTCGGCCGTATATTCAACAATATTCAACATCTCACTTATTCTCTCTGCTCACTTGAATCTCCAGCAACACGATTGCAGGCACGACAAAGTGGAGGAGCGGTCATAGCCAATCTCCCCTCATCTTGCTCAGACATCTGCTCCGTATTCTCGACACTACAGGTAAGAACTTAAACTCGCGTGGCTCCTTGTCTCACCGTTTCTAATAGGCCAGCATTGAGCCCTCCAAGCTCTGCACCTCGACAAACAGCGCAAACGTTAAGAAATGTGCAGACTGCATTCTACTCATCGGAGGTGATGATGTGCTCAACAACGACTCGCTCATGGGCCAGACGCAGCGCGCCGTCAATTGTGAGTAGTTGTCAAAGTATGCTTTCCCGGAACATACTCATTGTGTGCGATTTAGCATTCGTGACTGCATGCAGGGATGCATCGCTACCTATCCCTGGTATCCTAATCGCCAACCCGCTCACCCAGAACACCACCACTCCTTCGTCGGCCAATAGCGGTTATCACCCTGCCGTCGACAGCAGAGTTCTGTTCGCAATCACCGGTGCCGTGGGTCTATTTGGCTCATATGCTCTCTTCTGAGCCCAGTTCTTGGTCTTGTGGGTCTTTTGCGTAGGGCAAGGTGTATAGCATCAAATATCTAATATAACTATTCATCAACATCGAATTATCGTACAGTATGCCAAGAGGTTGGTACCAAAAAGTTGTACATCAAGAAGTCACCAAGAAATCGCTGCTGTGCAGTCCTTTTTTTTGGGGGGGGGGGGGGTTAGGGGATCAAAGCCAGAACATCCTCTGCAGAGTCGCTCGATGAGGATAGACGATGTTGGGCTTATCTTCGGTCCCCTTGTGGTAGAAGAGCGACGCCCATTCTTGTGGCGTCCTGCCGTCAGACGAAAGCGAGGCCGTGTCCAGCTCGGCGGTATGGAACAAGATTGAGCCGCGACCTGCAACTTTCTATTGCAAGCATTAGTTCAAACGGTCATCCAGTGAAAACACACGCACATCTGCATAATAGACCGGAGCCGGAATCGAGACACTCCGCGTCGCGATCTGATAAACATGGCATAAGTCATTCGAGAACTGCTGCAAATCGTCCGCGGAGTAGCCACCATCGTCTCGAAGGACGGTATAATGGGCCGGGCGCGAGGTTCCTCTAGGCATCTTGAGCACACAAACGAGTCAATAGTAAGCTACCTACATCAGTGCACCGTCTAAACCGCTTGTCAGAAGGACCCTATTCGCGAGCGAAAGGCGACTCACGAGAGCACATGTAAAAGTCGAACAAATTCGGATCCGACGTCGTAATTTGAGTGTCGACGACCGTACCAGGGACTGCATTTCCCGTCTGATCGCCAAGCCTCCTCTCTGGGAAGAATCGAATATGACTTCGAGGATGAGGTATTGTATCACGCGGCGCTTTCGAAGAACTCACTGTTTCTTCCCGACAACGATAAAAGTCAGCTTGGGCCTCACTCCAACAGCCTTTTCCATCTTGTCGAACGCCTCTGGACGACCATGAGCCTTATGCCAAGGAGCAACCTAAAACTTACGGTAAATCAAAGCAATCTCCTTGTTCGCGACCTCCTCAAACTAGAAACGTCAGCCAGGATGCGTATCAAAGGCGGCGGACCTACTTGACCCTCCGAAACGCCATCACTGTCAAGGGATGAGTTAACATCCATCTTCCATTGTGAAAGCTTACCGGTAGAATACAACTCGCGTAACGATTCGGGAGCCGGTCCTGGAGAACTGAAACAACGCGTCCTATCGGGAAGGTCAAGATATGTCACATCATTGGTGAAGAGTGGTCGACCCACGAGCATCATTTGGCCAACCGTACTAACGATCTCCACGCGCGGTGGCTGTACTTGGATCTCAGCCCGGTAATCGACTCCTCGAGAGTCGACCGAGTACACGAAGCCAACCATAGTCGGAGAACTGCTTCCCGAAGGTGGATGCGACGTATCAAGACCACAGACCATAGTAAACCCAACGTGTTGGGAGCCTTCGCTCGGTCGCGGTGGTGGTGGAGGCATGATACTGGCATTGGGTCTTGCCGGGACCATATTGAGGCCGCCGCATTTCGCGTTGATCCTATATTCAAGATTAAAATTCATATGAATTCTGAAGCGTGCTTACTTGAGACCCAGGTTTCGAACGTATTGGTCGAAGCCTTTCTGGCCCATAAGCTTAGAGGCCTTCTTTCAATAATTTCAGTGACGGCGATGTTAAATATGGGCAACTTACAACCACTTGCGTCGGTATCCCTCGCTTGACATCCCCCCACCACTTTGAACGGGTCATAAATGGGGTGTCACAATACGGCGAAGTGAATAAGTACCTTGACATATTCTCTGACCGCTTTTGCAGAATCTTGTACAAGCACTAATACCAGCACGTCGGTTGGATTGGTGATTGCGGGATTCTGGTTCCTTATCTCGGAACGCAGACGATCAAGATTCTGCTGAAGGTCGAACGGAGATAAGACGTGTGTGGAGGTTTTCTCGAAGCCTAGACGCTTTTAGCCGGCTGTCTGAGGACATGCAGATGTAACATACGGATGCCTGAAAATCGGTCAAATGAAGAATAGTTCTGAGATCTCGTGAACATACCTATTTGATAGAGAATGCCTTTCATCTGATGAATAACATCCCCAAGTCGCGGGCCATGCGCGTTGGCTGCATCTACGACGGCCAAATGTAGAAACCGCGATGCTCGATACAGAACTTTATCCTTCATGTTCCAAGCCCCTTTCGTCCTGTCCTCATCGCGCGAATTCCACTATGAGAGTGTCAGCTGGCAATTAAAGCTATGGTTCGTATCCCACTTCTATCTTCCTTTGGTAGAGTTCAAGGACCGGTGGGGTCAGGACGCGTGCTTCTATCGACAGATGATTTTCATCAATCCGCATTCCCGCATCTCTCAAGTATTTCGAATCGTTATATCGGAGGTCCTGGAGGATGAACGGTCAGCTTGAGTGGGCCAGTGGGAGATCACGAACCCGATATGCATCTCGAAGCATATTGAGGCGCTCTTGCGGTCGGTGCGTCGCAAATTTCAGAAGTTCTGCTTGCACGTTTTCCGGCATAGCACCACGATAAAACTGGCCACTCTCAATCTTCAAGAGCTCGATTGGAAGCGCAGCTGAGCCAAACGAGACCATGATGGGAACGGACGGATAGTTGAGCCTATGGCCCATGCCGGCAAAGTAGTCCTGGAGTGCAGTTAGTATATTATTCAACACGACGAAGTAAATGACAAACCGCTACGGACTGCTCCTTTCCTAGCTCATTATTGTCAAAGGTAAAGGTCGCTGGGGCCTCCCAGATGAATTTATCGACAACTCTCGACGCTGCAGTCGGACGATGGCTAAATTTTACCCTTATACCCTTTAAATACCGCTTTATATCTCTCTCCACCCTTTTCCGTTCATGGAGCTGGCCTCGAAGAATCACTCGTTTTAGCTCGTCAGGCGACCGACGTAGCCATTTCGTGATGGCTTCCAAAAGATTAACGGATGGGTATCTGCCAGCAATTAGGACGTGAGTATTGATCGAGCCAACTACTCACACGAGGGCGACGGCCGTGTCCACGTTCAGGACCAGCCCTGACGCCGACGGTCGAATGGATCTATAACGTACAAGTTAGGGATAAACTGTCGAGTACTGAGCATCTTACTGATAAAAACCGCGCCAGAACTCTAGAGTTCCGTCCTGGGAGAGCTGGCGACCCCTTTCGGTGAAGAATGATCTCCCTTTCAAGAGAGCACCACTAAGGAAAGTTATTCGCTGTTCGAAAGAGATGCGTGCACCCGTACGCGCTAGTGGCAGGGCCCATCCGGACAAGGACATTGAGCAGGGTAATCGCGGTAAGCCTCTGGTTTTTTTCCTCCAAAGATGCGTTCGAAGCGAGATTTCGAAGGTGTCTAAAAGGGATTTCAGATACCCAAGCTCGTACCATCCTTCTTCACTTACTGCGGGTAAATCCGAGCAACGAGAGTCAATGTCACGCCATATTGCTTCCTGCCGCCTTCCATGGAAACGGAGAACTAGTGTGAGCGTGTCAATAGGTCTCTCACGGACAGAGGTGTGGCCCTACTGTGCCAGACACATCGTTTGGAAGGGCGAGTTGAGTGGATGAGAAGATGTTCTTCTTCCCATCAAACAAAGGGAACGTCGGAAATGCCTGAGGGTTCTGTATTCGGACGCGATCGACGAGCTGCCAACGAGCTCGATGGCTCTTGACGCTTTCGTCGAATGCTAGAAGCGATTAGGAGAGTCTCTCTCAGGCGAGTGGCAAGATACGTGCCAACTGGGAACGTCAGGGTTTTGTCAGGCTCCCACTCAGCGGGGTACGTACCGTCATAATGAAAATAGACACGTGATGGTGGACTAATGACTGGAAGGCAGTTTACATCGACTCTTCCTTTGAGCCCGCGCTCTCCTGGCTCTGGTTTTGTCGTCAGAAAGGCCATCGTGGTCAGGTCGACGTTTGTTGTCAGAACCGCTTACGCCGGTCTTTTATCGCCACTTGTCTCTCTTCGCCGACAGGCATCGGCGCACGTCTTGACGAACAGGCATTCTATTCGTGCCAAGATAGTCTTCAGAAGCATAATAATCTCAAGATCCGTCGTTTAAAGCGCTCCAAACGGTCCGCCAGATGATCAGAAACCAACGGGAGCACATCGACGTCGGTCCAGTAGGGAATAGACGCAAGACTGGGCATGTTACGCGTGCTTGTAACACATGTAGGCGAAAGTGGGTACACCGGTCCTATGAAACGCGGCGATGGGACTCTAGGCTGACGTCCAAATCCTTATCCACTTGGATGAAACCACTTTATTTGTTCCAGAAAGTCCAAGTGTGATGGTCGTACTCCCGTATGTAGCGCTTGTCAAGCCAGGTGAGCATCCGCCACGCCAATCCTTGACGGCCTTCTAACCTGCCTCCAGTGGACACGATGTGAGCCATAACGCTGCTATATGCAATGGATCTCATCCAAGATACAGTGTACATGGACTGCAGATGAAGATTCTCGCAGACCAGCGACCAAGCAATACGTCGAGTCTCTCAAGAACACCAACAAGGTTCAGCAAGAGCGTATCCAACGTTTAGAAGCTCTACTCGCTGCAAATGGTATCTCTGCCGATGGAGGAACCGCTGCCCAACCTGGCGCATCGCAACCAGCCGTCCTCCTCCCTGGAAGCAGTGGACCACGGAGTCAGACACACTCTCCGTCGGGATCTTGGACTGGTGATCTGCCTCCTGACACATTCTTAGCTCCTGGAAATGATCCAGGTTACGATAGTCTCTCCGACACGGAGAGTGTCGCTGAGAATTTGAGCAATGCCGCCTCACGTCTTGTGGTGAGTTCGACAATGAGACATACACACATTTTAACATTCATACTAGATCAATGACGGGGATTTGGCTGTTGTCGGTCCTTCCTCCCTTCAATTCCATCGCCCTTCTCCAATAACTCGAACGATTCCTCTCGAGGACGACTCACGCGATGCACCAAAACATACATTACATATTGGAGAGGACGTTCCTCACAGTCGCAGTCACTCGAGGAACCCTAGCTTTAATCATAATCGATCTAGATCACACTCGCAAGCGCGCTCCGTCGGCCATTCTCGCTCTTCCTCCGTCGCCCCCCACGGTTTAACACCGCCCTCTCAAGTGTCAAACTTTGCCGGAAATGTGTCACCTCCGGCAGGCGCAGGCTTATTTGCAAACCTGTCCCCTCCTCCGGGATCAGCAAGTGTAGGCTATTTCGACCCAGCATCCCCAGGAAGCGATCAAACGGGCCAGGAACCGAGTACCATAGATCACATTTTCTCAGCAAGCAACCCTCGAGGGGCATTCTCGCCGAATGCTGTGGCAGATGACGACGACGATGATCACTATGACTGGCGTCTTGTCTTGCCCAAAGATATAGATATCTCCCGAACCGAGCACGACACTGTCCTCGACACATTCTTCAAGTTCTTCTCAAGCTGGTGCTATAGAACCATTCCCGACCTCTTCCTGCGAGACATGAGACGTTACCTCGAAAACTCTCAAGTCCTTGAAAAGTCCCAAAACCTCGAAGATGAGAAAGCCACTGTCACTGGACCGAAGACCGTTCATTATACACCAATGTTACACAATGCCATTCTGTCCATCGCTCTCGCTTACTCGGAGGATCCAATGCTATCTAGCCGCTCGACCAGAGCAAAGTTTGTTCAGCAAGCCAAGAGCACCTTGGAGATTGAGTGCTCCAGACCCAGTCTGGCCTGCGTACAAGCACTCGCGTATATTGCAAGCTTCTACTCTGGTGAAGGCGAGCAGACACTCGGATTCCTGTATTTTGGAATGAGCATTCGCATGAGCCAAGCACGTGAGTATTCTCTCTGTTACCAGCAAGTCTGCGACTGACGATCATTTCCAGTCGGTTTGAGTATCGATTGCTCAGGTTGGGTACGGTCTGGGCATATCTCTGCATTAGATGAAGTGGATCGTGTGTGGACCTACTGGGTCACCTACTCGCTCGACAAATGTTGGGCATTCTACGTCGGCCGCGACCATGGGCTACCCAACCCTCTTCTTCGCGCCTCGCAGCCCCCTACAGACCCTACAAGTGCGACTTCTCAAACCTTCCTGGCCCCTCCGTCGTCTGCTGGATTGCGCTCACCAGTACCCACATTTGATATCCACTACCCGTTGCCAGACGAGAGAGCCGACAACCAACCTTGGGAATGGAAGTCTCCGCAGAGTTGGGGCTCTGGGCTTCTTCAGCAGCGAAAGTCCTCACCAAACTCTCCGAGCAATGTCTCATCAGCCTTTTATCAAACCTCCAAGCTCATGGTCCTTGCTACAAAAGTGATGAACGCGATGTACGTTGCCTGTCTCTTGCTGTTTCTTTCCTGAACATCAAGTAGTTGGCGACTTCCCAAAAATGCCAGCAGTGAATCCATAGCATCTCTCGCGTACGTCCTGCACAGTACATCTGGCGGCCACTCATCTCTTTTAGGCTTGATGTTGACTCGTGGTTGGAAGAGCTTCCAGACTCGATGCGTATTACCAGACCCAAGACGACGCAGGCACTTCCGCACATTCTCATGATCAACATGGCGCATCAATGGATCCAAATCGTACTGCATCGACCCTTTTATCGCCTGTCGCAGAACAAGGCGGACCCTTCTATCAAGCGCTGCGATTCTGGAGCAGAGAAGATCCTTCAGTATCTTGCAGCCTGGCGTAGGCTCTATGAGCTGCGCTATGTTCCAATTACTGCCGTTCAAATTGCCTTTGTCGCGGGGACGACTTGTCTCTTACGTGCGATTCAGAGTGTCAACATGCCAGAGAAACGTCGAACCGCACTCGATGGCGTCAGAGAGATCATTCGTGCGCTCAACGAGATGGGAAGAACGTGGAAATCAGCCAAGCAAAGTGCCGATGCTCTTAAGGTGCTGCTCCATGAGCAAGTTTCTGTCAACGAGAGGTCACCCGGTCCAACGAGGTACGTGTAATCCCGCAAGAGAGACTCTACTTAACACTCTTTGCAGGCATCCGACTGTAGAACTCCAACCTCCATCGGTTGCCAACTCTCGTGCTGGTACGATGGACATGGCCTTTGAGATTCATTCTGGCAGTCGCATGCCCCTTGGGGGACGCATACTCGAGGAAGTTCGCTTTATGCACGAACCCCATCCCGACCTGGCAATGGGCGACTCGTTGTTCCCGGGTGGCTCTTTTACCGCTGATAGTCCCGGAAGCAGTCATAGTGGTCAGTACTTCAATACGGGTGACGGAATGGGAATACACAACGCTGGATACGATGCGACTGGCCAAGGTCACTTTGCTGCGGAGAATGCGCTGGGGCTGCCTGGACTCAACATGCAGCCAGGAGTACTTTCACTTGGTGGGCAGAATCCTGGTCTTACGAATTATGGATTCCCGCAATTTGGACAGTTTATGGATGCCAACCAAGCTCGGCTCCGAGGTGGCGAGTCCTTCCCAAATCACCCTATTGGGCAATTCGGAGCCACTGGTGGACACGGTGCATCTGCGAGTCTTGGAAACACTGCCGAATGGTTCAGTTCCGAGTTTTCATATTCTGGTGTGGGTCCTCAGCAATCGAACCAGCAGTTTTGGGGCCAATAGTGGCGAGTTGGGAATCTAGAAGGTTTTGTATATAAATGGACTTGAAAGATGCTTTGCACCCTCGTGTCGCTGTCCACCTCGTGAGATGTTGGCTTTATAACTTCGACCTGGCGCCTCCCGATATCGTCCTCGGAATGTCCGATCGAGCGTAAGTTGGTTTGCTGTCGATATACATTTCCAATTTCTGATTGCATTGTGCGTTGTAGACATTCGCCTCCTGCTCAAACGAATGAAGCGGTTGACACACAAGAAAGAGGCAAGGTTCAAAGCCGGCCAGACAGGACGAGAAGGAAATTAGACCTCAGTCAAAACAAACGGGGGGCGTTCTCAGTGCTTCTTGGAACTCTGAGCAAAGCAAAGAAGGAGGACAAGATCAGGAGTGCATCCGAGGCGGTAAGCGGACAGCTCTTGGGTATTATCTACGCATTTGAGTGCTCATGACCCTTCTTCTTCTCCTTTATAGGCGCAAAAGCGGGCATTGTTGGAAAAGCGGCTAAATGCGAAACTGGCCCGCGAGACCATATCCGCAGGGAGAGCGGAACAGTCAAAGAGGATACAGGGCACTGCAAATAAACGGGAGCAAGAACTTGCGATGAAGCATAGTCTCGTGGGTTACACCCCTCGCCTTCCAGAAGTTGTACTGACACGCAATGGACAGATGCGACACCGGCAACAACAGTTTCCATCACTTGCAAAATCACTCTTGTCTTCCGATAATACAGACACCGACCCAGAGTCACTAGATTGGAAGGAAACTCTCTCCACAATAAACCCCCCTCGCCGGCACGGTGCAAAGCCTACTTCTACTCGCTCTGTAATCTTTTACAAGCCCAAAATACTGCTAGGGTGGCAGGAAACGCTCTTAAACAAGCGGGAGGCGGCAGTGACAAAAGCCCTGGCGGAGGAGTGGAAAGCGTGGCAGACAGAGTGCTCGGAAGCTCGCGAACAGATATCCCGTTTGCGAAAAGAGGCCGAAGAGCTCCTCAAGGAACTTCCTGCCGCAGACGAAAACGATGAGGAGATGAAAGATGCTGTCGAGCCTGCTGCAGTTGGCGAGAGTCAGCCTGCGGAGTAAATCTCCACGTAAGTAAGTTTCCGTGTCTAAGTGCTCATTTCTTGGCTTGAGGGTCGGCGCCCTTTACTGTTCTATCTTGTGAGTGTGTCTCATACTGGCTGGGCTATGCAATTTGACCACCCATCAGTTCCATACCGATATACTTGTAGGTACGATCACTTGCCTTACAAATTGAAGCCAGTTTCGCTTTTAAACGACGAGATCTGAGCTTGAACAAGGACTCGATACACATCATCCAACAACCATAGCTAAAGGGATCGCTATCTTTTCTTCTTGTTGCTCTTTCCTCCCCCTCCTGACTTTTGTGTCGGTTCCGGAGCCGTACTTCCCTGCGTCGCGCCGCCCTTTTTCTTCTTGTTCCCCGTTTCAACGCGAGTCCGCTCACTCTTCTTGATCCATCTCTCTGGGTCAGGTGGTGGTGTTACACCTGGGATGACCCCTTTGGGAATCCTCGACTTTCTGGGCGCTTTTGGTTTCGGAGCCGGTTCCACAGTGGCATCGACTTGTGTCGTATGCGTAAGATGTAGTGATGGTAAGGGTGCATCTTCCAACGATTGATTGCGCGGTAGCGGTGGAAGTTGCTGGATAGACGAGAGAAACCCTGTTTGCAGAAAGCTGAGATGCGTTTCCGCAGCCGTCATGTTGGTTTTAATATCCGCGTATTCATCTATATGGGACGTGGATAATAGGCTATTGTAAATTTCCAACGCGGCAGAATAATCGCCCCTTCGATAATTCTATCCGAAACGGTCAGGGGCCAGATGGTCAGACCAAATTGTGAGAATACTAACGATTTGCGCCTGTAGTAGCATCCCCGCTCTATCGTCTTCATCTACTTCGCCTAAAAGCTCATAGGCCTCTTGTTCGCGCTGGAGCCGGTAAAGAGCGTATGCTCTCTCAAATCCAAACTGCTCTGGGTTTGCGTCTGTTACCTTTAGAGCTTCTGAATATTGCGACGACTTGAGGAGGAGAAACAATTGCGTCTGCAACGCCTCTTCATCTGCTGGGTCGAGAGCAAGGACTAGTGGGATGAGATCCCCAGAAGATGTGAGAATAAGGTCAACTCACGCTTCTTTGTCGTCTTCAACGCGTTTGCCAGATGCTCGCCCTCGAGCTGATCACACAACGAGCCAAAATATCGCCGTTGCTTTTCTTCTTTGGAGAGAGCGGGCTTTGGAGGAGCCTTTTTGTATTTAGTATTCTTCTGGGGGACCTTTCTTTTCTGGACTGCGCTCATCCTGGTTTAGGCGGAAGGCAAGGAACGACCGAACTAGCGCCACTCGGAGCCATGACCCCTCGGGAACTATAAGTTGTGATTTATCGGAAATGATTACAGCAAGTCCAATGGTCCACGGTGGCGCGCTGTTTCTCGCCACCACCATCACATGTACACGTACCGGGATACCGTAAACGCCAATCTAGTGAGCCGTTTACGCATCGCTTAATGAAGGGGGATATACTGAAGTAAATTCTAGATATGCTGCATTTGCCGGTTCGTCCCTTCGTCTCTCGGAATTCACGCTCAACCGGTTCAGCCATCCATTCGTCAACCCAATTTCTACTACAATCTGTAGTCATACTTTCTGTACTGAATGCATCACAGAGGCGCTCTCTCACACACCTCAGTGCCCGGTGGACAGATCATCTCTGCAGAAGTCCGACTTGAAACCAGCAGATCCGATTATTCGCAACGTAGGACAGTTTTCTCATTCTCATACGATTTCTGAATTCACAAAGCTCGTTGACGAACTCCTCGTCGAATGTCCAAACAAGTCCAAGGGATGTCAGGAAACGCCCCAGAGACACATGGTCAACGCTCATGCAAAGGACGTGTGTGACTATGAAGAAGTAGATTGCCCTTCGGCCAAGTGCAAAAGCAAACCGTTGCGCAAGGATCTCAGCACACATCAACTGACCTGCGACCGGCGGACCATCCAGTGTGCTGCATGTCATCAGACAATCTCCTTTGCAGATGCAGAGGTTCGAACCGTGATCATTTATCCGTAGCATCTTCTCACTATGTTCCCAGGTTCACAGAGAGAAATGCCCCTGTGCGATTACGGCCTGTCTCGATTGCGGCGTCGACATTGTGCGCGAAGAGATGCAACGCCACGGTGAAGCTTGCCCTCTTGCTACCATTACCTGTGTCCATAGCACTACCGGTTGTGCGTGGGTCGGCATTCGGGAGGATTACACAACCTTTCATCTTCCTTCATGTCCCTACGAGGCATTGAAAGGATTTTTTGCCAACCATGCCAAAGAGAATGCCACATTGAGGCAAGAGGTCTGCATGCTCCGCAGTGGACTACGGGAAGTGACCGACGAGATGGCGAAGGCGAAACAAGCCCTCGGTCCATGGTTTCGATCGTCTCCTCAGTCCACTATATCAGCTCAACCTCCAGAAAGGCTACCAGGAAGGAGGAGACTGTCCAGTCCGTTTACGAATGGTGTCCTGGGCTTTGCAGATCCCCAGCGAGGGACGTCGGAAATTGCGACTCAGCCTTCTGAAAGGTCTGGGCCGTCCATGTCTCCTCCACCCATGGAAACTACGGGCATGCCTTCTCTCGTCTTGCAAGACTTTACGTCCAGAGCTCAACCTCACACAATGGTACCACCCGTCAACGTTGAAGGCACGCTCGAAAACTCGCTTTGGTCACTCCGAAATTCAGTGGTTGCGCTGTCTACAGAGTTAGAGTCGCTCAGTCGAAGACAAGAGATGCATTTTACGACTGAAATCTTGCGGTTGCACGAAGAGGTGGCTTCATTACGAGCTACCGTACACGGGTTGCGCATGCAGGCACGTCCAGAACCCAGAAGTGAAAACGAAAAAAAAAACTAACGAGTGCGTGTATTAGGTCCATACGTTTATGAGCAGCAATGTGCTCAGCGGAGGGGTTGGATATACGCAATACGGAGGCGCGGGAGATTCTGCCACTGTGCGTTATTTGAACCAGAGTCCGCCACCGACAACCGTCATCAGTATCGCAACGCAACATCGCCGCGTGACCGAGAACAAGTTGTAAATGTTTCTATAGGGAGGATATAGAAGAGAGCGTAAACGAGTCAGAGAGTGTGAACGAGTCAAAGAAATGAATGGAGCTCCGGCCAAGCTCACGAGCCAGATGTCAGTGCTGTAGGTTTTCTCCGGCGTAGGAGAACGGGCAAAGGGGTCTCTGCGTCGTCATCGGAACCGTTCTGAGGCTGCGCGTGCAAAGCAGGTTCCTGAGCTTCCGGATGGGGTGTGGCCCCTTTTGGGCCATCGATAATGGACCCTAAAGAGACTTGAGATGCAAACTGTTTTGCACTCGACCGGCGAGTGATCGGAGGGGAGGGCGTCCTCGAATGTGGCGGACTGAACAGACCGACGCCGGCCAACTTTAGATTTGCAGCACCTGGGGTCGTGAAATAAATCTGTGGTGGTGTCCCTGCATCGAGTGAAGGTGGTGGAATCGCTATCGCGGATGGCTTTCGACCTTTGCCCTTGATGACCGAGGCAGAGGCCGCTGGGTCCGCCTCGAGGACGGGAGTCGAGGATTCGAGGCGTTTTGAAGACGTTGGATGGGCATTATCAATGCCGAGAGTACGGACGATGGCATAGCTGGTGAAATCCTAGAAATGAGACGGAGACGCAGGAGACGCCGTCAGCCTAGAGTCCAAAACAACGAGTGTTAATGCAGAACCGACTACTCACCAATGCTACAAGGAGAATGACGGGGCTCGCAACGGCAATCGCCAAGGCATAGAAAATGGCGGCAATACTGGCAATCCAAGACGAGTCTGATGGATTCCAGAGATGAGCAGCACCAATGTTGACTTGTCTGAGGACGATGTGGACGTCTACGGACACCATGAGATCGTCGCTGGACAAGGTGGTTGATTCCAAGAGTTGACTCTTAATTCCACTCTCCGGCTACCCGGTAAACTGCCCCGCTGAGCACGAGACGCTCGTTAATCTTTAAATGGATATTATTCATGCTATTCCGCATCTCTCGGCATGGCCCTACGCTGGTCAGTGTCCGACCGCTGGCAGCAACAAACGCTCACACAACGCTCGTCTGCAGCCGCCTTGGGTGTACTATTATTAACAGGGCTGTATACGGAAAGACCATGTCATCTTCAAAAACAGACCTGCTTGTCAAATGGGGACGCGACCGGTGAGAGAAATCGACGGCCTTTTGGTCACACCACTCAGACTAGCTATCTAGCATTTCGATTCCACTCCCAGACGTCTCGATTACACTCACGGCTCTTAAAAAGGATCTCGCGGACAGAACGGGTCTCGCCATCAATCAGTTCAAACTCGTTCATGGAGGTGCAGTGCTCAAAGGCGACAATCCCGGTCAGCAAACTGCACTATATCCTCTATAATCGATTAATGTTCCTATAGTCTCTGCCTATGGACTCAAACCTGGCTCGACATTGACCCTTATCGGCTCTGCGACGCCAGCTCCGACAGCACGAGACACATCCGTGACCAAACCCACACTTCCTCGAACCCAAGAAGGTGTCCTCGTCACGATCAAAACCGAGCTAGACCACGTGCATGATAAAATTCATCCAGGTCTCGAAAAGTTTTTAAACACGCTTGCACCAGCAGAAGAGGCCCAGGAACCGCGAATGGTCAACCCGAGTGATGAAGACTTGCAACAGGAACATGCGAGACTTGGAGAGTTGCTTTTGCAGAGTCTCTTGAGGCTCGACGCCATTACACCAGAGAGCGAGTGGGAGGATGCGAGGAAGGCGAGGAAAGCTGCGGTCAAAGAGGTTCAGTCCGACCTCGACAAGCTCGATGCGAGCTGGAAGGCGTCTCGTGCAACTGTTCCTGCCGTGCAGACGAGTCCTGCACATAGTACCAAGCCAAAATCAAAGCGGAGACGGTAATCTGTATCTTAGATACCCGCTGCTAATATCACCGAGATCAGAGACGGTATTAAGATTGGTAAATAGCTCGATCCTCTATAAAACAGCACAACATAGGACTCTACTCCTCCATGTTCGTCAGCCTAGCGTATCGTCCAGACGAATTCCTTGGTGGAACTCCAAGCGTCTGTCGAAGACGCTTGGTACCGAAAAACCAGATGCAGGCTCCAACAGGGACAGAGACGACGAGGAAAGCAAGGAAGAAGCTCCAAGGAGAAGTGAGATAGGAATAATCTGATGGAATGCTATTTTGATTGACCGTGTTAGAGGAAGGAGCCGGTGTACTCTCCTCGTCCTGAATCAGTGGTCAGTGGCCATATCAACTGGTGTGAAGGAGAGAAGACTTTTTAAAGCTCCTCTCGGAGAGGCACCTCGTTGCCGTCAAGATCCTTGACCACGGGCATCTCAAGCTATATTTGACATTAGGTTCGGTTTGTTGATACAGGATTATACATACCTCTCCGGAATCTGAGATAACAATGTCAACGACGGGCTTATCGCCGGCGGAGGTTTGGGTAGTCTCTGCGCATTGTTTAGACGGTAAAGAGTGATGATACTCAGCATACCAATCTTGGTCACGACGTCCATTCCTTCCAAAACCTTGCCAAAGACGACGTGCCTGCCATCCAACCAGGAGGTCTTGACGGTAGTAATAAACTGGAGAGAGGTCAGTAATGGATCAAATATAGGCGGAGAGACGATTCAGAGGTAAAGAAACGCATGCGTGGCCGCGGGCCCTCACCCCGCAGCGCCGCTTTCTTTCCAAACCTCCGGGGACGTCTCTCCGCGCACGGGGAACGACATATCGTACAAATTGACTGCCGTTGGTGTCACTTCCGGCGTTTGCCATCCTGAAAAAAAAACGATTTCAGCGTCCCCGATGGCTAGCGAGGGTGCCGGGGCCGCCCCGGAGGCGTAGGACGTACGAAAGAATGCCGGGTCCTGTGTGACGAAGCTTAAAGTTCTCATCCGGAAAACGTTCGCCTATATATGGTGAGGTTCGAATAGGGAACGCCACGAAAGGGTAGGACGAACCGTAGATCGATTTTCCGCCGGTACCATCTCCACGAGCTGAGACAGCGTCAAAGATGAACTCTTTGGTTACTAGAAGACCTACTAAAGTCGCCGCCCTGAATCCTGGACGAGGTTTAGTGCGGGTGGGGTAATATGGACGAAACTCACATGAACTGCTTGATCACTCGATGAAACTTGGATCCCTTGTAACCAAATCCTAATTCTTTTCCATCCTTGTCTTTGCCAGTAGCAAGTGCGCGGAAGTTCTCCGCCGTCTTGGGGGTTGTCTTTCCGTGACGTGTCAACCAGTCTGTCCTTGGGCCATAGACCATAATAACCACATACTTTGCCAAACAATCCAATTACGACTTGCAAACGACAGTCAGGGATATGCTACACAAGATTCGAAGAGGACATACTCCGACCAAGTTCTTGGTCACCTTGCTTGATGTCAAAGTAGACCTGGTTTGTGATGACTGGTCCTTTAACCGCTTGTACAGTGGTCAAGAATGTTGCAAAAGCAATGAGCGCGAGCGGCAAGAGGGTTTTCAAGGAGAACATATCGACGAAGGGTTCAAGTCACTTTATTTGACAACCGGCCAAGACTCGTCGCGCACATACTGCCGCGACTCTCAGTAAAAGAAAAGGGACGACCATAAGACGAGAAGGACATTATTGAGCTCCATGGATTTAACTACTATGAGAGCCACTCGACAAACTCTCACAGGAATCTGGTTCAGAACGTGTACATGTCCATATCAACATGCCGTCAATTTATCCTCTCAGACACGTAATATTTATCATATGGGAATGTAATAAAGACATTGATACTATAAATTACGGAAAGGAAGGCCCGCATTTGCCCGTCAAGCACTTGATACAATACGCAGAATCTTCTGCACATTGGACCTGATAGCTGGCGCATTCCGCGTTGGCTGGAAAGGCGACAGACTTGTAGCAAGCCCAACTATTGTTCCAGCATTGAAGTGCAGACGCTCTAAACGAAGTAGATAAATCTCACTGCTTTCAAATTGATTCGAAAACTTACGTGCAAGTAGAAAAGTTATTGAACGTCGGGAGTCTTGCCGCACACCAGTTCCCGATTTGGCGTGTGGTACACGTCGGGGTGGGAGGCGTCGGTGGATCGACACGGGGCGTGCAGATCTTGACTCTCGAGACAGATGGATCGTGGTCCGAGGTACGTGCGCTATATTTGACCCAGTTGTTGATATGCAGATGCTCGACTTCGGCACCTTTCTGGAGTTTGGGGCTAATGAAAGCATGGTCAAGCTGCTGAGAGTTCATGTCAAAGACATAGGTATAACGCTCGACGGGTGGCACGCCAGCAGCCTCGTCAATGTCTTGAAGATGTGCACGGAGAGAATCAAAGACAGCACCCGTTTGTCCGTACTCGTTAAAGTCTCCAGAAGCAATGATGGATGCGTTCGCGTTGATACTAAGGATTGAGCCCACAAAATCCTGTATAGCGAGTAAGACTATGCACGAGAAGACACAAAAGACGCACAGCCAAAAGCTTGACTTGTGCAATGCGTTTGTCGACGACACCATTAACCGGCGGACGAGCATCTCCATGGATAGAACTGGAACCACCTTTTGACGACATGTGAACATTGATGGCAAAAATGTCCTCGCCGGCAGGAATGCTTTTGAATAGTGCGACGAGTGGTTTGCGAGTGGCCTCCCAGGCAGTATTCGTTGGGTCAATACGACCGGGATTGAACCTATACGCGGTCAATTATCGCATTAATGCAACTCCTTCGCTCACGTCAGTCCAACAGTTCCATTGTTATTGACGGCTTCGGTCTTGTCAGTCGCGCTTCCATAATTTGGATTGACAAGTTGCAGACGATCTGCCTTGTACAGGAAAGCGGGTCGAATGTTGCCTCCCGGCTGACCTCCATCTTGGTCATTAGAGGGTGCAATATACGCAAAGCTGTATTTATCTCCGCTGTGAGCCGAGATGGCGTCGACAAAGGTCTGCAGCGTCTTGTTCGAGCTCACGACACCATCATCTGTTGGACCAGTATCGTCCTGGATTTCTTGGAGGAACACTAGGTCGGGACTTTTGAGATAGTCCCCAATCTGAGAGGCGGCAAGCGGCAGATGTGTCGAATTAAAAGTCATGTTCTCCACGTTGTAGTCGCCAAAGGTGAGAGTGCAGTTGGCATCGTCAGCGGGGATGGTCAAGGTGGTTGGTCCTTGCAGGGTGTTATTGTGTGCAATGACTTGTGGCGCGGTCAGTGGTAGAATAGTGTAGAATCCAAACGTGTTCGTAACGACACCAACAATATCAGTGACGGTGGTTCCCATCCTGAAATTGCTATTAGAACCTTTTGGAGATGGATAAGTATGAACGCACCAGACATCGGGGTTCTTCGTTCCGTCTAGAGGAGCACCAATGACCACAGTTTCAGGGTTAAGATCAGGGAGTCCGTCGTCTCCTAGCCACAGTTGATGAATATGCCAAGTATCCAAGGACATTGCTCACCCTTTGTGATGGTCAAGCCTCCGCGAGAGTTTAGGCCCGTTACGGGCCAGTCTCCCCTGATCCAGAAATCCTTGTAAGAGTTGGGGTAGGAGATGGCGACAGGGTTGGTAACTTTGACGATTTGGCCGGACAAAGCTTGCCAAAAGTCGAGAGCATACTTGTCAGGATTGAGCGTCGGGTTAGATACCGACACTTGGGTGACGTTGTTTGGAACGCTGAGAGGGCCTCCTACATCCAACGATGTAAACTGTTGCGTAGGAGGATGCAGGCCGTCCTTGCCCAATAGTACAGGAGTCACTGCATTACCAGAAGACAACTTGGTGATATTGGTGGGTGATGTGAGCTCCGTGAGATAGATGTATGCCGCATTACTTCGGTAAGAGGTGATTTTTCCTCCGAGACTGACAATATCTCCGACGGCAACCTGACTCAAGACCGTCTTGCTGGTCGTGTAGACATAAAGGCCATTTCCATATGGGGAGCTCGAGTTAGTCGCAGAAAGATAGAATCCAGAGGAAGAGTTGGCCTGAGTCCGACGTGAGATGGAAAACAATTGAGCAAAGGGAACATACAGTCACGAGCCCAGTCACACTAGTGACCGCCTTCCCAGCATATGGAGAGACAAATGCGTTGCCTAGAGGTTGTGAGGCTGATTCCAATGCCTGTTCGAGTTTCCCCACCTTGAATTTCGGCAATCTCGACAGCTACGACAGCTGGGAGTAAAAGCAAAAGAGTGCTGAAAATCATTTCCAGGGCTTATCTCTGAAATGACTGGCTTGCAACTGCTACGGACGCGCAGCACAACTCGAGGGAATGAAGGGAGGAAGTGAACCTCTTGGCATTTTGATCCACGTTCATAGTGTCTCCTTTATACGGTCTTGTGGCCGAAGGAGTTCCTGAGCCGCATGCTCCTTTAGCGGTGCCGGCGTCACCATATCGTCCGGACGGCGATGGCAGCCTCACGTTGGGCAGATGTACATTCATGTCCTTCAGCGTGAGTTTCTCGGAAATGTGGCTCGGGAGATAGACTGTTCTCATGGAAATACTCAAAGAGATGGGGGCCAAGGAACGTGCGGCCGCTCATGTGGAACAACACGCGGGGCATGAGCGTTGCAGATGTTCTTTTCACAGGACTCTGTATACTCAAAGCAACGTGCATGAATGTCGAAACCTCATTGAAGATGCTTCCTGATGCTGTCTCGGCTCTTCTAAAGGCAGTCCCCCCGACTAGGAAGACAAAGTTGAGGGACCAGTTGCTTCTCTGGTCCCTTGCGGCGCTTCTGGTTGAATGAAGATATTTTCTCGATACCATTGGAGTTCTACTATAAATGAGTATACCCTCTCTCCGGAGTTCTTTACTCACCACGAATGGATGCTTGTATATCGTCTAGTGCTCTATGTATAAATCTTAGAGCATTGTGTGAGTTTATAATTCTAGCTCACCGATGTTGTACACCGTTAGATGGATAGTCTTCGGGCTTGCGAGAAATGTGAGGATACCACCTTTTGTTGAGCTCCTAGTATACAATATATGTATTCCATTGCAAAGTCAAGTTGTCCGGGAGCATACCTTGACTGTGCTAACGTCTTGTCGCCGATTAGCCAGCGCGTTCTGTGCCTGATTACGGCTTACCAACGATTCTACGAGAAGGTTAATTCTGATGCACAAGCACGTCATGTCACCTGCCGATAGTGCAGCCACTCCGTGATAGATGGCATATGCTCGACCAGGAACGCCCTGTACTCTAATTCAGTGCGTCTGGAATATTTCTTGAGAAGGACACCCGACCTATCCGCATGAACAGAGCTTCCTGCCAACACTCCTGTCCATTTCTCCGGAACCCATTTCTTTATGTATTCGAGCGCTTTGGCTTCGACCCATTCATGCGAATAAGGAGACTCTATGCAGGCTTTGGTCAAGCCGGACTGGAGCACGATCAATACTAGAATATATTTCCCTCAACCCTTACCTCTCCATGGGTCTTGGTGCACCATTCGTCCATCCTAGGAACGGGAAATACTCTGAGGTATATGCCAGTAGGGTTCGTAGACTCACTCGTCCAGTCTTTTCTTCTCTGTACGAATCACATAGCTGAACGGCTGGTCGACGCGTTCTAGATCCCCGTTTGTAATAATAATAGCGACTTCTAGTATCACATCCCGTTTAAACTCTAGTCCTGTCATCTCCAGATCGACAAACACAAGCGGGCCATCTTCCGCCCGGAGAGGTCGCGGCTGGGGCATTTGCTTGACTGTGAAGGACATCCCACGCACACTTTGACGAGAGAGAGGTGGCGAGGGACGTTTCGTAAGGAAACGGCGGGTGAGGTTGAGTCCAAGCATCCGAACAGGGCTTAGACCTCACCTCGTCCTACGCTGCTTGGGGCGGCGCTGCCAGCGCCCAATTCTCCATTTCATGGAGACCTCTGATATCTCCAGAACGACCGCGCAACAATCTACGCTCCTTTCTTTGCCAACGGAACTTCTCGTTCCAATAATTTGCGATATTCTGGCCAATTTCCTACACGCCGCCATTCTTCAGCCATCCAACATGAAACTATGGAATGGTCTTCACACACTGCGTCTTGTCTCGAAACGCATCAAAAGCACGAGCGACGCATGCTGGACGAAATCCGTGGGGCCCCCAAGCGGCGACGGCAGCAGTTTTTGGAAGTGAGTCCTTTGTCTCACTAGACAACTTTTTCTCAGCTGTTTTCATGACGTGCAGACAGGAAATTGCCGTCTCCCGTGGCGTAGTCCATTTATGGAGCCGTTCGCCTCAAATGCCGATACCAAGCGACTGCACCATGCCTCTCATGGCGGCATACCGCGCTTATGTGCTCGGTATTCTTATCGACCATAAGTTATTGCGACTTATCGCCCAGGATGATACCCCGTCGGAGAAGCAGAGACTCAAGGCCACGTTCTGGTTCAACATTGGGCTTGCTGCAGCGCAGAAAGTTGTCCCACGAGAGATGGGTGCGGTGATAATTGCCAATCTGAGGGACCAAGTGTGGCAGTCTCACATCGGTAAGGCCCCACGAACTCCTCCACCCATTACGGCCTTTTAACATTGGCAGATTCGATGAAGAAAGAAGTGGAAGACTTGACCGGGTGGCTGAAACTGGAGCCGCAAACCACATTTGACGACACGAGGGTGAGCGCACCGTCAATAACGGTGACATCTCGACTGATCTGGTCTCGCCAGTCGCTTGTCAAACTCGAGCCTCACATGATGAGGCTCCTCAATACGTTCAAGTCGACGCCAGACTTTCTTCGCCATCTTGTACGGTTTTCAACCCGCATGGGACGTAGCACTTCCACTAATCGCCGCTTTCGGCCAGGGTCGCGTGCCGCTCTTGTCGCTCAGGGATGCCATCATGAGCCTTTTCACTCAAGAGGACGACAATTCCGCGGCGTCGGAGACCGCTCGGAACCGCATCTCCTCTATAATGGAATCGATTTGGGAACAGTGGAACGACTCACAGCGCGCTGCGACGATGCACAGTCGCGTCATGCAGCGTACAGTTGTCTATGCAAACCTAAGGTAGATAGTTTATGGTCTCAGTTGTTGGTCACGACACGTGGACGCTGTACTCGTATACGCCCTTGTATGCATGTATCCGGTTTGACGCATAGATTTCTTCTATCACTATATCTATTGCTCCTGTGCGATTTTGGTGTGATGCACCTCAGTTTAAAAGTGGGGCGAGTGAGTGGCAAACACTCGACCCAACTTGCCTTCCAACCACTTCGCTCTCCTTCGACTTCGAAGCCCTTTTGCCCTATTTTTACATTTATTCGTTCTTATTCTACGTCTAGACTAGTTGATATAGTTTGTAAGTGTCCTCTTCGCCGCCTTCATGGCTGTTCTCAACATGCCATGCTCGCTCTCCCCCTCGCCGTTGTCCGCGACGTTCCAGCCGTTCTTCAGCACATCATACCACGCACTATGCGCTCCTTCGTCACTTTTGCTCTCCTCGCCACCCTCTTCGTCGTCGACGCCACGCTTGCCCGTCCATACCGTGAAGCCGCCATTGGCAGCGACACTGCTCACTTGCGCGAGGTCAACGGCGTCAAGGTCGCTCAGCTCCAGGGACAGACGATGATGGCCGCCTCTTCTCGTCGCAGCGAGCCCCTGCCCCGTCTGCTTTCTCATCGCAGCGAGGTGACATTGCCAAACGGTCGTCGTCCTGCAGACTTGGGAGCAGATGACTGGACGAAGGTCCCCCGCGGCGACGAACCTTCCATTGATGACGAGGATCTCGATTACGGTCTGGACAAACGCCACGATCGCGTCGACTCGGGCGAGGCAGCAAACGAGGCATCTTGCAATGTAGGCGAAGCTCAATGCTGCCAGAGCATCCACCAGAGCAACGATCGCAACGGACAGTTCCTTCGCTCTCTACTCGGTCTGGCTTTGCCTGCTGGAGGAGGCATGCTTGGTGCTCAGTGTACGCCACTGGCCAACTTGCTCGCCGTTACTGGAAGCAGCACCTGTCGTTCGCAGCCCGTCTGCTGCACTGGCAACGAGTAGTACGTCTCTCCGTTACTCCCAACCTTTTATTTACTGATGCCACTCCAGTCGTGGTCTTGTCGCTGTCGGATGTAGCCCCATTTCCGCATGATGAACATATCATTAGCCGTGACATGTATTACTTGTTTTGTATACCATTCTTTCACAGTAAATTTCGTCACAATTAAACCGTGTAGTTTACTATTTCAAAGACTTGTGAGATAATGTGCCTAGTGAGTGATCAGAGGCACAAGCTCAGACGGTGCATGATTCAAAGTTTTGACGCGACGTGATCTGCAGAACAAGCTTCATTCCATCTACCAAAAGATACACACAAATGACTGTCGGTAATCCTCAGCGCTCACTCTACGCATAGTATCTCTACAACCAAGAGGGAGAGATGGCCATGAGTAGGGGAGACAAGCATAAAGACTGACGACGGTATAGTGAGATGCCTCAGGAGAGAGGGTGGAGGTCGCACTGTAGGTCCAAAAAAAAAAGGAGAGCCTAGACCGAGACAAGAGAGACAAGATTGGTAAATAGGATCGCCACCAACACACTGTAGTCGACGAGTGAATACGATGTTTTGAGAATGTTTCAGAAAGCAGCCTCGTTGAGCCAGCTCCAGTCGTCCGGGTTGGAGATTGCGGACGCGAGACCGGCGTCGAGACCAAGCTCTGGGGTAGTGGAGGGCAAGAGATCGAGAAGACGATCCATCTCGCTGTACCCATGTTCCAGAGAGATCAGGCCATTGTCCGCGCTGTCGACGACAGGGGTCAACAACAGAGAACATTGGTCATGATGGTCGTTGACAACGGGAGAGGCGGGCTTTTGATTGACATTATACATCGTGGTTGTTCCAGTGTGTTCTGCTCCGACAAGAATCTGAGGATCAAAGAGTGCTTCGAAGGAGGTACCCGCTGCAGGGCTGTCTCGATGGAGACAGTCGCGAACCGTGCTAGTTCGCGAGTAGACTCGGACGAAGTGGGCTCGATGGGTACATCAGACGCCGACAAGGACGAGACGGACGTCGGAGCTGGGGACAGTGGGAAGTTGAGGACGGGCGACTTGACGGCTGATCGGTCAGCTTGAGGAACCGGAATGGCCATGGAGCCCAAGATCTTGGTCATGTTTTGCCAGGCCAGCTCGAGCTGCTGGACGCGGGCGCGCAGCTCTGCGTTTTCCTTTGCGAGGGCAGCGTCGAGTGCATTGGATGCAGAAGAGCCCGAAATGCCTAGTCGAAGGGCACGGTTCTCCTCCTCGAGCTGGCTCACGCGTAGGCAGAGCTGGTCATGCTGGACCTTCTTTCGGTCTCTGGAAGCCTGGGCGGCGAGTCTGTTTCGGTGAGCTCTCGCCTCCCTGCGCTCCTCAGCCGTCATTGATCCACGGGCCCGTCGCTTTGGCGGAGCGGATACTGCGGTTGGCTCTGGGGAGTAGTCCGACGCAGAGTCCACCGAGGGATATGGTGAATACGATCTATGAGCCATAGCGAGTTCTGTAAAGTATGTCAGAGTTTGTCTTCTGGAACGTCGGATGACATACACGGAGCGGGCGGGGTCCAAGTTGTGAGGTTTTGCGCCATACGTGGCCACCCAATATATGTGTCTCTGAGGCTGGGTCAACAAGCGCAGACCTTGAATAAAGTTCGCTTTACACGGTGGGAGCGGCTATCTTTTCCCGACTGCGGCTACGTGGCCTTAAGTCACGTGATCTCCCGGCGTAAATCCGTGCGACAAACGCTACGTGTACCAAGAAAGAATACAATACAATGGGCAACGAGTCCACGCAGACGACGGTTGCTACCGACTAGTTTGGCGTTGTTCTACCTTTCTAATCTGCTTGGCCACTCGTGAAGATGCATCACTTGACGCTCCGGAGGTCGAGCTAGAGGCAGGAAGAAGCCGGGCGGTGAGGTCGAGTGCTCCAAAGCCACCACCGTATGATCTTCGTCGAGAATGAGGCCTATCTGCTTGCGATGCTTGCGCTTTTCGAGCCTGCATTGCTGCCTTGAGACTGTCCGGTGACAGCCACTGGCTGGCTGTCAGGACCTGTCGCGGCATTTTGGAGGGCCGTCGTTCGTCCCTGTCCAGTACGCTAGAAGCAGTCCCAATGTCCTCCTCTGACTCTCTCCGTGTCCGCTTGCGGGCCTGTCGCGACGTAGATGGCTTTACGGAGAATGCGGGTGTTTCATCAGATGGCGGAGAACTGTCAGCCGTCAGGTAGTCCCCTAATTCCTTGAGCCTTTCTGGAGGAGTAATAGGGCGCACGGCTATCTGTCTGCTTGGTGAGTGATGAGAGATGCTGCGACCAAGAGGCATCAAGTCAATGTGTTTGGACGAGCCTTGTTGAGGCGAATGCTGCTCGTCGGGGGAATCTGCATCTAAATTCTCTTCCTCTATTGTTTCCGTATCGGATGTAGACGCTCCAAGGTGGCTGAATTGGCTCGGTGCTACAGATACCTCTCGCTCGCCATCTGCGTCTTCTGAATTAGTCAAATTAGACGAGGGCGATCCGCAGGAGTAGTCACTCCCGGTAGGCTTCCTTTGCGCAGCTGGGATCCTCGAGGAAAGGACAGCCTCGTTAGGTGCACTGGCTTGTGCAGTCGCGAGCGATGATTGTGACCGTTTATTCCGAGTGGCACTGATTTGCGAGCTTTCAGTCTTGAGCAAAGAACTCAGTGACGGTGGAATTGATTCCTCGTTCTTCCCATCACCTGTACCAGCGTCGACTCGCAAGGCGCGGAGAGAGTTACTGAGACTGGCTTCCTCCTTTGGCGCAAGTTGAGACGGTGAGAATGATGGTAAACTAAGGAAACCATCGCTGGAAGCCTGTGAGGGATAGGCTTGTGCTGGCGGTATAGTTGGATCAGGAATCTGCTCCTGAAACTCGCGATCTTCCTCCACATCGCTGACACTCTTGATAGGTGAAGGTGGGTTACTTTGCGACGTTTGGCTCCATCCAGAAAAGGCTTCAGTGATGGGACTAGATGGCCTTTCCTCCTGAATGTGAATAGGTTCTTCATAGGTAGCGCCAGGCGTTGACTCTGGTGTCCACATATCTGCACCATCATCTGGAAACTGGTCAACGAGTAACGGGCCGTCTGGCGCGTAGTCATCTCGATCTTTTGAAATCATGAGCCGTAGCCACTCGACAAGCTCGCGACGCGCCTTGTGTCTTTTTCTCAGCGTCTCTGACTTCTTTGGGAGCACTCCAGTCATCACCGAAATCTAACACCTGTTGACTTTGAGACACGACCTTTTGGGTACGAGAGCCCTCACCATGTTCCATTTTTGAAACCGCGGAATGCCAATTGATACGGGGCCATTGTATGCTGAAGAGCCACCTTCCTCATTTCCTTGGTCTTCATCTGGAGGTACACCAGAATTTGACCTCGACATCGACAACTTTGGGTCGCTAGCAGGCAACTTCGCGCGCTTCTCTGTTTGAAGGATCCGCCTATGATTTATCAATCGATATTCAAACTATGTTGTCCAATGTACGTACCCATTTCCGCTCCGTAACCCTTCCAACCACCTCTGAATATCCGGGTCCTCTTCAACGTCGAGCAACCTATCTCGACGACGCACTTGACCGTTTACAGTGAGTTCCTCTGTCCAGATTGGCTCTCCCTCGGTGTTCACTTGGGTGATACCTGCTACGTGCAGAACAAGATGTTCTTCGGCGCTGAGACCGGCTTGACCCTTGCGCGGAATAGGAGAGCGTCTGAGAGTAATATCTTTGAGGATCATGATGGCACCCTTGAGTGAGGTGAGTGCTTTGCCTTGACTTCTGTCGTTCGCTCAGATGCAGCCTTCTCCAATTGAACGTCGACTGAACCATATACTGACCGCTCGAACCGCGTCGTTTCATCAGGATCAAAACAGGCAATCATCTGATGTCGTCTGTCTGATACATAGCCCCAGACTTTTGCCTCTTTATGTTGGTGTCGGTCTGTGACAAACTTGGGGGATAGTTATGCAATCTTCTTCTCCTAAAACGGATAGGATATGCGTACATCGACGAGTTGACACCGTTTACCTCCCTTGACCAACTTTTGGGACATATTGCTCCCATGATCGCACGCATAATCTATCAAGCTTTGTAGGATAAACGGCTTTATGGTCTCTGACATGGCCAGTGAGCGTCCTCGAGGGCTACCACGAGGTAAAAGTCGGGAACACGATGAACACTGCAAATGACCACTCGAGGGCAACGAGTTTATTCTAGAAATCAAGGTTGTTAAAGACGTCTGATTCATCAGAAACCATAGTGAGAAGCACAGGGTAATCGATGCTATCGAGACGATATAAAGAGCGGATGGACAACGGAACCGAGTCAAGAATGGAGAAGATGTGAACCGGGGGGGAAAAGGTGGAATGTAAACATCGCGGTCGTTCATGGATGAGCATGTGGGGGGGCAGACGCATTCAATCCGGCAGAGCATCTACTTCTGGGGCTGTCGGCGGACAGTGTTTGATAGCCATTGAAGGCCTTCGAAGAGACCCTCTCCGGTGGTAGCACAGCTGCAAAACATGCGTGAGATGGTTGCTTCGATAGAGCAGAAAACCAACGACGTACCTGGGGTGAACGTACCACAGCCTGTCGCGCATTCTATGGAGACCGAGCTTCTCTGTGACCTCGGCGGGGGACATGGCTAAGTGGGGAGTAGAGGTGAGCTCAGTGATCGCATAGGGGTGGTGCTTTGACAAACCTCCGGGCAAGTCTTGCTTGTTGGCGAAGACAAGGAGAAGACAGGTGGCCATCTCCCGGTCGCTCAGGATGCGGTGGAGCTCCTGACGAGCTTCGTCGATGCGTTCACGGTCGCAGGAGTCGACGACGTAGACGAGGCCCTGGGTTCCGGTGAAGTAATGTCGCCAAAGCGGGCGAATCTTGTCTTGACCGCCCACGTCCCAAACGTTGAATTTTACCTAGAGGAGGTGTCAGGATTGTTTTCAAGACTCAACAGAGCGAGTACTGACATTCTTATAGGTTACCGTCTCCACATTAAATCCGACTGTTGGCGGTAATCAGGACACGGGGAAGAGACGATAAGGAAGCACAGACCAGTAGGAATTGTTGTGACAGATTGATCGAGCTTTAGTTTGTACAGAATGGCTGCAAGACGAGGTGAGCGCCTGAAGCGCGGTGAGTTGTAAGCTGAGACTGACTTGTCTTTCCCGCCGCATCGAGTCCGAGCATCAAGAGGCGCATTTCTCTGCTCTGGAAGAGCTTGCCTGGGGGACCAGAGGCCGTGTTAGCGGAGGCGACGACGGGTGGGAGCTCGCGGAGAGGACACGAACCTAATGCTTTTGATAGATTTGCACCCATTTTTACGAATCAGTCCAAAGGAGCGGCGGGGAAAGGCTGACGGCTGAGGTGGTTGGAAGCAAGAAGATGAACCACTGACGGTTCCCGCGAAACGGCTAGCAGAAGCATGCTCACATAATTACAGGACAATGTTTGTTAACATTATCAGCTCCCGTCCCGACTTTGCCTAAAGATTCTACAGGTTTTGATGGAATTCTCAGCACACGGCTGCCACGTCTCCGGCTCTGACCGCCGGACAGTTTGGGCAGAAACGAGCCGTTGTTTGACACTCTGAGACGAGGGAATCCTAGACGGTCCCGTTTGCTGCTGGTAATCACAATGGAGCGCCCGTAGTATGTCTATCACAATAAATATACATGTCCTAGAACGATTTATCGCACTCTGCGCATTTTTCTGCGCATTTTGGTAAAAAAATCGTTGGCGGAATGTAGAGTCAGTGACTTGAACCCTAGCCACCATGGTCTGTCTTTCCACCAGCCGCGTCTCAAACCAACTGACCCAAAAGTGTAGAAAACAACACAATGTTCTTCATGCGGTGGTGTAGCAATTGGAACAGACTCGACGCTTGGTTCGACCTTTTGCATGGACTGTGGCACCGTTCTCGAAGAGAGCAACATTGTTGCTGAAATCGCGTTCCTCGAGACTAGCTCTGGCGCTGCCGCCGTATCTGGGTCTCTTGTTGCACGCAATGCCAGTAAGTTTGTTGACCGAGATACCAAAGGCGCTCACTGAGCGTCATTTTCAAGCGGCAAGCAGAATCAGCGGCCCAGCAGGTCGATCAAGCGGAATGGAATCCTCCGAAATAACAAAACAACGAAGTCTTGCCCTTCTCCGAAACTACCAGCAGCCCTTTGCACTCCCAGACTCTGTGATTTCGACTGCCGAGCGACATTTGACACTCGCATACCAATATTCATTCACAAAGGGACGCCATATAGAGCACATCATTGCCGTATGCTTGTATATGGGCTGTCTAGAGCAAAAGACTAGCCATATGCTCATCGACTTTGCTGATATCCTACGGGTAAGCCGTAAGGTGTTACAAAAGATAATTCTCATCCTTTGCAGATCAATGTATACGCACTTGGATCCACGTACCTGAAATGGCTTCGCACCCTCGGCTGGAAGCCTCCATTGCTCGAGCCCTCCATATTTATCACCCGCTTCGTAGCACTCCTCGAGTTTGGCGAAGACGAGCGCAAAGTCGCTGATGACGCGAACCGGATTGCCACGCGCTTCAAAGACGACTGGATCCACGAAGGCCGACGTACAGCAGGCATCTGTGGTGCCGCCATTTACCTCGCTGCTCAGATGAACAACTACCGGCGCTCGATCCAGGAGATTATGCAAGTCGTCAAGATTGCAGACACTACTATTATCAAGCGACTCGAAGAGTTTAGCGCCACGGCATCTGCAAATTTGACAGTTGGCGACTTTCGCGTTACGGAACATCCAACAGAGGCCGCTGACCCACCGGCGTTTACGCGTGCTCGACAAATTGAACACGATTTGGCTCTGGGCCGTGGTTCAAAGCGCAAACGAAGGAAGCGGTCTCGCAAGGAGATGGAGGAAGACGACGCAGATACTGTTGTCTCAAGTCAGCCTGATGGAAGCCGTGCACGTTCTCAATCAATGGACCCGAATGGGGCCCAGTTGGACGATTCTATGCCGGCGCCGGAATCTCCTACCAATGAGAGGACGCCAGAGCTGGTGGCCGACGAGGTGCTGGGCCGTGGTATATTTGAGGATATCCCGGCAGAGAACCCCAAGACTGACCTCGCAACCCTCAACGACGAAGGTTCAGGAGAAGTAAAGGACGATGACAAAGTGGACGACAAGGATAAGGAAAACAGTGAACAGGTCAGGAGAAAAGTCATTGCCGACATGATTGCACTCGACCCTTCACATGTGCAAGAAGTACAGCAGATCCTGGAGAGCGAGGCCGGGCAAGAGGCTTTGGCCCTTGTGCGATCTACGAACAATGCCGAGCGAGGAGAAGATGATGATGATGCTCTTATGGAAGAAGATGATTTGACCGGTCTCGACGAAGAAGAACTCGACGCGTACATCTGTGGAGAAGACGAAGCGCAAATGAGAGAGCGCGTCTGGACGGAGCTGAACCTCGATTACCTACGAAGGCTTGCTGGTGAGTGTCTAGAATTTGATTTTTGCGCGCTCTGAACGTGTACAGCGAAACGTATCCGTGACCAATCTGGAGAGGATCCAAGGCCGAAGAAGGTAAGGGTCTGGAATTCATCGCTCGTGTCTCATACATTCCACGCAGCACAAGCGCAAATCCAAGCCGAAGCAGTCGTTTACGCCGGGCAAAACCGCGTTTGAATCCGTCCGGGCGATGGCTCAGGGTAACCGAACGTTCAGCAAGCGCATTAATTACAATCTCTTGAAAGAAACATTCGACGAAAACAAGGAAAACGAAGATGGGGAGGAAGATGTCGAAGATTTCAAAGAGGACGAAAAGGCGCAGGACGATCCGCTGGCGACTGACCTCAAGGAGTGGACGAGACGCATGGGTCATGATGGCGTTGATGAAGACGAGTATGGAGACTACTATGAGCAAGAGGCCTAGTTGTTCGGACGTCTTTGTCGCTTGATTTATCGCGTATCCTTATTCTTTTGTTCTGGCTTGAACTTTCCCTTGTATATGGTACGAAACAGCAAACTGCATACAGTAGAATTAAGACTTTGGAGGAGATGTTTGACCGTAAAAGTGATCCATGATGTTGGAAGCCTGGCTGATCAATAGTGTGAAGACGGGGTGAATGGCATTCTGAAGTGTGCTCAGCAACGATCATCAGCTATATAGTCTGGCATACCACGCGATTATTGGGACTCCCCACGTAACGATGAGAGCTTTCGTCCTCCTTCCATGACCGCGCATTGATCCACAACTCTTTACGGGTCGCTTGCCGTCGGTCATCCTCGCCTTTGGCCGTGGATGGTGTAAACGCCTCGGAAGGTTTCCACTTGTTCCGTAACGACCCTTGTAGAGACTTGGATTGATACACTCTATGCTGTGCTGTGGAGAATCCAGCGAGGGAATAGAAAGTGTGATATACATCGGCTCTCTTGCTGGGTTTGTCGCGCAGACCACCGGCATTATCTTGTCCGAGGCCGAGAATGTACTCTTGGAGGGCCTCTGTAATAGGGTGAGAGAAAGCCGAGTGTACGGTGAACGTACTCACTATTGTTATATAGCCACCAGTCTGTATCGACCCACTCGTCATCCCCCTCGTCTTCAATAAACTCGTCTTCATGTCCCGTCTCCTCTTGTAAATCCAACATTGATTCCACGATGGCAAGCGACTCTCCGCACCACCATGAATAGCAATTATCTACCAACTTGTTTGACCTTCCTCGGAATCCACCATAGTCTGCTTGCTCGCCTTGCATCCAGACGAGCCAACGCAAAAACTTGTCAACGTTGAGCTTCTTCGACTCTTCTTCTGTCATAAACGGTTTAAGTAAGACCCAAGACGCAATGGCGCATCCAGCATATCCGCCGTGTGCCTCTCCCAATGCTGGTCGAGGCTCATCCATCAATGTGTCCGCAGAGATGTAGTAGGGCGCAGACGTCGAGGCAAAGCCGCCTTCATATGTCTGTGTAGAGGCAATAAACGAAGCTGTACCAGCGACCAGTTCGGGTGTCATCATGTCTAGCAGCGTCGCGGTGACAAGAAGCGAATAGATGGCGCGCACGTCAATCTCGGCATTCCTCGATACGAGAAAGGAGCCATCAGGTTGCTTGAGCGACATGAACCAAGCGTACATCTTCTGTCTAAACGGGGGTATCAGAGGATACGCCAATGTCGAAAGGATAACGAGGGGACTCACCTGTCGATCTGATCCCAGCCTCCACCAGGACCGGGATGTCCGACACACGCAAGTGTAGATACAGCCGCATATGTAGGAAGTAGCCCAGGCGCTTGCTTTGGTCCTCCGCCAAAGCCTCCATCGGGAGATTGGCATTGCATCAAGGTGTCGATGGCACGCTGTTTGGTGGCTACATCCAACTGTACACCCATGAGCTGGAAACTGTTGATGATCCAGAACATGAGCCATGGTTGGCTGGCATCTTGAGATTTGTATCTAGCGGGCAGTCCTTGGAAGAGGAGGACCTTGAGCCATTGAAAGTGGCGCATTCGCTGAAGGATCAGAGGCTTTGGGAACGCTGTCATAGGCTTCTTTGAGTTCCTTTTCCGTCTTTTCCTGTATGAAGCTCGTGGCGGTGGGACATCCATCAGGACCGTCGTGCTGTGGAATGACGCGGAATGGAATCATGAGTAGTGTCTGATGGTAACTAGATGTAAATCGAATCAAGGATCATACGGGGGTCGTGGCGAGGAGCAAGGAAGAGTAAAGAAAGGTTGACCAATTTGGGTGCCTAATATGTAATTGAATCATATAATCACAAAACTTTTGATTATAACTAACACATCGGTGGTGAAACGGTATCATGCTTGCCTTCCATCCTTGAGATCAGCAAGCGGCACGGGTTCGACTCCCGTCCGATGTATCTTTTTGCGAGATTTGCTTATAGGTTTTGTGGATGACGAGAGCAAGCATCGAACTAAATGTCTTTGCTTACTTTGGTGTTATTGACTGGTGTATACTGTAGATAAGCCAAGAAACAAGAAACAAGTGTGGGCTACTCTATGCACCCCCGGGGATGGCTGAGAGGGCTTCATGGTACGTGTGGGACGCAGCAAAGAGCTCTTCATCTTCGTCCATTAGATGTTGTTCGACCATTTCGACGTCTGCATGTTCCTCGACGTGAAACTTTCCAAACTCTTCTGCGCGATGCTTCCACGCGTCGAGAGCGGGATGCACCCAGTTGCCTTTGAGAGATTGCTCTCTCTTGACGACTTCACCGACAACCTCGTGCCAGATGCCCAGACCGGGTCTTCCAAGGCGCTCCCAACCCATCTCGATCCCTTCCCGCGAGCGAATGCGTATTTTGCGAAGAATTGATTGATTCTGTGCAATAGGTATCTGCTCTTGATATCCAGCCCCGGTCAGCGCACGCAAGAGGAGGGTCAAGCAGCTGTGGCGATGGAACAAGAGCGCGAATAACAAAGAACGTCAGGTGATCTCATCTACGAAATACTTTGTGTGACCATCCTGACCTGAAGAAGGCAAGCAAAATGTAGCGGTTGCCGTGTCTTGCATTCCTTAGACTCCTGGCGCCGATGTGCCTAGCGTAGCTAACGAAGAGTTGAACAGGTGAATAAGCATACTTGTGGCTACATACTTGGACGACCTTCTGAGCAAAAGCATTGGTGGTGGTTGGAATGGCGGTTGCGGTGAAAGACAACGTTGGATCGCAACCCCCACGGCTGATCAGAATCCACTGTTCAATGTAGCATCCTCAAGAGATACGGAGGATTCAAAATGACTTGGAAGTAATGGATGTGCTGACAGGTCTGTCGAGGAATGGACCGGTGCAACTCTTGTCCAATTTTTTCTGATGTTTTCTGTAGCAATTCTGTGAATTCTGTGGTAGAAGAGTGACCACTAGAAAGTTTGAACGGAAGCGATGGTCGATGGCGCAAGAATCCGAAAATCCATCTAGGATTCCCTCAACGCTTGGAATTTATCGGCCTTGCAGAGATCAAAATAAAAAATGGCATTGACATCTATCCGTACCAACGGCGATGACATTGAGATTGTCGACCAGCTGCTGCTCCCTCACACAGTGGCTTGGGTGGCAATCAAGAGTCCGGATGATGCCTACACCGCGATCAAATCGATGATGATTCGAGGTGCACCAGCAATCGCGAGTCTCGCGGCTTTGTCCGTATCATCTTACCTCTCCCGCGCACTCGAAGAAGAACCCCGGCCAGCGTTTCTCACATCGTATCAACTACTCGAAGATCACTTGTCGCCTATCCTCGCGCATCTGTACGCTTCACGACCCACGGCTGTCAATCTAGGCGCCGCCATCACGCGTCTTCAAGGGGTACTGGCGGCTGGGCGCGCGGAAGCACGCAAAGGCCCCACCGATGAGCAGACTTCTCTTGCTATCACGGTCAAGAATCTGATCGCAGAAGGTCGAGCCGTCGCAGACGAGGACGTGGGCAGGAACAAGATCATGGGACAGCTGGGAGCGGATTGGATTCTTCGCAAGGCAGAAGAGAACCACCAAGACATTACAGAGGGACTCAACATCTTGACCGTGTGCAATACCGGTAGCCTGGCGACTTCGGTAAGTAAGCCGCATTCGGAGCAAACCGGAGTGGCGAGGACTGGGTGGTGGTGCCTTGAGCTCTCGTCGGGCCTCGTCCTTCTTCTCCCTCAGCCCAGAGTAACGGTATTGAATCCAGGGATATGGAACCGCTCTTGGAATCATCACTCGACTCCACGAAATGGGCAAGCTCAAGCGGGCATTGTGCGTACCTGTGATCCGGTTCCACGCGAAGGCAACCTCCTCTGACCGGGTCGGGCTTTAGCTACACTCAGTCGACGCCGTATCACCAAGGGTCAAGGTCGGTGGACGGCATTTTGCGCCTCCTTTTCTCCAGCTACGAATTTGATATGTTGCCAGGCTAACCGCGCTAGAGCTTAAAACATTAAGCATTCCATCCACAATGATCTGCGATAGCATGGTGGGCTCTTGTTTTCAACACTATCCCATCCACGCAGTAGGTGCGTCAACCCCCCGCTTATTGGGGGCCCGTATTCCCCGCGTTTCATGTTAATTTACTTCTCGGGTACAGTCGTGGGGGCAGATCGGGTTGCAAGCAATGGTGACACTGCAAACAAGGTAAAAAGTGGGGTCGATTCTAATTCAGTCGTACTGATAAGGAAGCCTCGTAGATTGGAACGTATAATGCTGCGGTGATTGCAGAGCGCCATCGTGTGCCATTCGTGGTTGCCTGCCCAGTCTCAACCCTGGACCTCTCGATCCCAGATGGGTCCGCGTGAGTGAGCAAGCTGACGTGCGTTGCCAACCTAACCCTGGCTTCTCGCTTAGCATTCCAATCGAGTACAGACCGCCGATTGAGGCCTGTCTAGCTCGTGGGCGTGTCGTCGGCGGACTCGATCCAACCATCGCACCCAATGCACAGGCCGTTGTTCAAATCACTCCTGACCTCGCGTTGAACGATGGAGGAGTGTTTAACCCTTCGTTCGACGTCACTCCAGCCGCCCTGATTTCGGCCGTCGTGACTGAGAAGGGAGTCGCCGAGCGGACGGCGGAAGCCTCGATCATCCAGGTCGGAAACATTTCCTAGGCGGAAGCTATCTGTGCGGCTGCCTACGAAGGACTAGGAGACAGAGGGGAGAGGGGAGGCGGCATGGAGAGGATATGAGGGGAGGCTTCATTAAATCTATGGGCCCAGGAACCGAGAGCAATGTCCAGGATTAGAAGGACCCACCAACTCAGTTGAATTTTGTCTCATTTAAATGCTAGACAAGCGACTGGGTCTTTAGCCGATGCCCACCTTTTCTGCCTCTTGGACTCTGTCGAATCCGTCTTGAGTTGCCGATTCGCGTTGCGCTGCGCCATCTCGTTGTACAACGAGGACAATAAACCACGCCAAAAAGTCGTCTATAATGTCTGTTTTCGTCTCGACGGCCTACACACCAGAGCACATGATGGGGTCGACCGTAGAATGTCCACCGAGTCCTCGACGAGCCCACCAACAACACCAGTAAATACTACTATCAACAGAATCACCAAGAGCCTCAAACGCAAGCGTCCATCTGGCCTATCGTCGGCACTGGGAGGCGAGGCCACCGACGCTCCCAAGAAGAAGAAGGCGAGCAGGGCCTGCCTCAACTGTGCGTACTTGCACAATTCTATAGGGCTTGGTTGCTCATAATCTCCCCGTTTTAGGCCAGCGCGCCCACCTTACATGCAACGACGGTATGTTCCTTGGGTAAAGTAGGCAGAGGACTGGCTCTGAGTGCACACACAGGACGTCCTTGCCACAGATGTATCAAGAAAGGGATTGCAGACTCGTGTACAGAAGGTCATCGCAAGAAAGCGAAATACTTGTTGGAAGACGATGAACTCGGTCAGTCACGGGTAGCTCCGGCAGCGACAATAACTGACAATCATCACCTCAGAAACACTGAAACAGACTAAACAAGAAGCAAATGGCACAGACTCGGGCACAACCGGCTTTAGATCCTCCATGGGTGCGTCCACCATCCTTCTCCACACCCCTGGAGACGGCCTCCACGAGCTCATTATCACCCAGAGACGACATCTAATGAACCCGTCATTCACATGAATTTTGATCCGACCTTTACATTTGGCTCAGAGGCAACCAACCTCGAATACACCATGCTCTCGGCCATCCTGGGCAATACCGTCGATGACCAGCTATTATCCATCTCTCCACCGAATTACCCTTCCATAGGACATGCGCAACCACCGGCGCAGCAACCAACAACCCCGTATCAGCAGAGCGGTACCGACTCTTCATCATCATGGGCCAATGGCGTTCCCCCTCGGCCACCATCTTCTGTCTGCCAACCGCCGGAGACGCCGATAGACCTCACTTTGATCTCACCAGACATCGCGACGCCGCAGCCATCCTTGCGCTCTTCATCCTCGTATCCACAGCTCCAGCAACCGAGACCACCGTTCCCAAGGCAGACGACCTCGTTCGCAGACCCCAATCCTCAACAACCGCGGCAAGAGTACTCGGCACTAGCCAACGACGGACCGCTGTCATCAGCGCGAGTGGAACCATCCCATCCGCATGGTGCTCCCAGCCCTGTCACCCATTCAACCTCTCGGATAAGCGACATATACAGGGGCACAACACGTCCTTTTGACTACACACAGGTGATTACCTTTAAATTCCTTGCGCACTCCATGTGCTAAACCATCCTCTTCACCCGTGTTTGCTTACGCAACGAAACCGGAACGGCAGGGCTATCGTTTCTTAATGGAGTACCTTCAACGCAACTTTGACAAGAATGACATGCTTCGCGTCGTCCGCGCACTCGCTATATTCCGACCTTCTCTTATCGCATTGCAAATGTCGCTGACAGAGGAAGACGAGACGTTTGTTGAGAGATGTGTGCAACGCTCCTTGATTGTAGGTAGCGTTTCACATCCTTGGAGATGGGTCTAACCAGTGATCGACAGGAGCTGGAAAAGCTTATTTCCTTTAGTGGAACCCCGACGGTTGTCTGGCGGCGTACTGGGGAAATCTGCCTTGTGGGTATGGAGTTTAGCATGCTCACAGGGTGGAGCCAACAAGAACTCGTCGGGCAAGGAAAGTACATTTATGAGGTGAGCACTTGGCCGGTAATCGACTACTTGAGCTGACCTGTCGCAGCTATTTGAGCGACAATCGCTGATCGAATACTGGGAAAAATTCTCCGTCAATGCCTTTGTACGTGGAAAAACAGAATGGCCTCTGTGCGTCGACGCTGACAGGTTGTAGGAAAACGCGACTCGATCTATTTATTCTCACTGTGTTCTGCTTAAACCATCAGGAGAGCCGGTTCCATGCGCCTTTTGTTTCTCTATCCGACGGGACCTCTTTGACCTGCCCAGTCTGATCATCGGACAGTGGTTGCCCCTTCTCGGATGATAATGGACGCTCACTCTTCTTGTGCTTTCTACCGTATCTTTATTGTCACAACTCGTGTCTCTTTTTTTTTGGAGCTGTTTACGGTTATTCGTTGTGTACCCATACCCTTAGCGGCACTTGGATCAATAACAATAATAATATAATCGTTCTACGCGATTCACCGTAAGCATACAGACCAAAGCCTAGGGATGTGGTCGTCTAAGGTACGCTAAAAGAGGCCACCCAAAGATTTATACAGCTTCCTGGACAGTGGCGTATTCGCTCTCTACACCAGGTTCATTTAGGCATGCGTGCGTGAGGATAACCTAGAGATTCGTCAGTCACGGGGGAAAGATGATTGTCCGACAAGAGCGAAATCTCACCAAGGCGGACGCGCCAACGAGCCAAAAGATTGTGCCAAAAGGCGATGCAAAGATGAGAAGTGGGATACCGATCACAAAGAGACCAGTATAGAGGTGTTTTTGGGTAATGGTGTTTTCGCCAATCTGAATGGGCTCTGTGGCGAAGCGGTTGATGAGAGAAAAGCCACCGATGAGGAAGATGAGTGCAATCAAGAGTGTAGTATTGGCCAAAACGGCATAGACGGCGAGTGCACCGATGATAATCAGGTAATTGCCTAGTAGAAATGACAAGAATCAGCATCGTCAACACTTGGAAACTGCTATTAGAAACATACCGCTAAAGTGACGAGTGTTATAGGTGATACGAGAAAAGGCCTCGTTGGTATTCGCTGGCCGTGAGATTCGGTGGATGTCGAAGAACTCGCCGACCGGTCGTAGTGTGCTCAGCTTGGTCTCCTATAGTGGAATGATGAGTAAACAACCCGGCGTGTGATCCCAATGAGCGCACCCTAAAGTTTCTCAGCGTGTCTTGGGCACGGAAGAGGACTTCCATCGTGAGCAATCGAAGTGGAACAAAGAGGTTTCTAGAAAGGACGAGGTTGCAAGAAAGCTAGACGACAAGGCAGGTCGTGGGCGGGTCTTAAGAGTGATTGAGCGGTGCCCAAATAACTGCGCAGCTTTGGCTTTTGGGACACGTTGCCGCAGACACTGAGAGCTCCGTGCAGCGCCGTAGAAAATGCTGCGACGAGATCCGACACTAATCCAGATTGACCAGTCCGCCGTCAAGGAAGTAAAAGCCGCGCTCGATGCTAAACTCCAAGAGTCGTCTATGGTAGAGGACGACAGCATGCTCCTCGACGCATCAGATGCCACCAGGAAACCTTACAACGCAGTAGAAGAGGAAAAGAAGCGAAAGGCAGCCCTCAGTCGAAATCAGCGAATGGGAATCGCAGATGGTCAGTCTAATATGCACTAATTAGAGCCATACTAAACGACAAATAGCATAAATAAGGAATGCTTAAGGCATCTCAAATGCTCCACGGAACGCTGTGGTCAGGTTAGATAACTGTTCCTCTACAAGTGTGCACCAACGCACCCAAAAGATCACGCTTGTCGCAGATTCTTGCAAGATCCTGGCGGTGCATGTATAGGCAGACGTTGCGAAGTGTATCCCAAAGCACCGAGGAACCGACACCTCTCTCCTCTGTTTGCAATCCATCATTCTCTTGCAGCACCAGCGCGTCCAGAATGTGACCCGCAGCTTCTTCATTTTGCTGCCAATACGTCAGTATGCAAAGGATGCTCAGAACAGATACGCACCTGCAAACTAATGCAGGAGATTGCCATGTTGAATCGTGCTCGAACATAAGACGGGTTCAAGGCCAATGCTTTGTGATAGTAAGGTAAAGCTTCTCGCGGATTCCCGTGGTTCGCCATTGTTGCACCGACGCGGTTATAGAGAAGGTAGTCGTCTGGCCGAACGTCCACGGCAGCGAGGAAGCAGTCTTTGGCCTTGTCATAATCCTGGAAAACTATGAAACCTGCTCCTGATTTCAGAGTATGCGACTCACCTCGGTTGTATTTAGTAGAACCCCCAGCGCGATTTGAACGTCGGCATCCAGCTCACCGTCCGGTACTGCCCGCGCCATGCTGACTAGACAATCTATCAAGTCCTCCACCAGAGAAGTGGACGATGTGGATGCCCTCCCTGCTTTCCATTGCGCGACCACATCCTTGTACTTGGGATTGCGGGTTATCCACTCGTTGATAGCGACGTATGCGTCGTTTTTGCTGCCATCATTGGTGTACGAGACAGAGAGTTCCATCCAAGCCGGTAGTAGTGACGGATCTAGTTCTACAGCCTTTCGCAAAGCTTGGATCGCTTTCGCTTCCCTCTCGTTGGCCTGCTGCTTGACCCCGAGGTTGTACCAGGCCTCCGCGTTCTGAGGTCGTTTAAAACGGCTGCTTCTCTCTCTAGGATTCCCTGCCGTTGCGTCAGTGTGCTATAAAAGTCCTGGAAGCTGACACCCACCACGTCCGAGCCAGGAGCAGTACGCCAATCGGATGTCATCAGCCTTTTATCAAAGACGTATGGGTTGTTGGTTTGAAACCCGTAAGTTGGGGCTGCAACCTGCCTGACACCAGAAGAGGTCGCTTCCCAGCTATCCCAAGATTCTTGAAGTTCACCCCACTCTCTCTGCTGGGCAGACTCTGCTAGTGGGTCGATTGTAGAGGCCGACGGTAGTGCTGCTGCCTTATCCCAGTAATCCTTGTAGTCTCTATTCTCCGCTTGCCAGTACGCATCCTCCTCGCTCATTTCGTCGGGCTGGTTCACGATGCTACTTGTCTCCGTGACCGGATTGAAATGGACAGACTTCATTGGCCAATTATCCACGCTTCCTTCCCTGTCCCGCAGTGTCGGAGATGCAGAGGCATGTCTGCCCCTAACTGTGGTGGTAGTGGCAGCGGATAAATCGGTAGCCGTGGTCACGATCGCTGTGGCTTCCGAGGCCGGAACGATTTTGTCGCCTTCGACAACCATCTCCCGGTCCCGTATCTGTCGCATGAATCCCATGAACGCGGATTGCTTGAACTTTGGGTTCGTCTCGTCCTTGAGCGTCTCAATCAACAATCCTGCAGTACGTGAAAGTTCGTCTCCATCCACCGGAACTGGATTTTCTGCTGTTTGACCTTTGCTCTCATCCATAAGACGGGAGAATTCTTGCTCCCAGTCGGCTATGATATCTCAGTTAGAGCTCGTTGGAAATGTAATGAGAATCCCACCAAGATGAGAAACTGGCTTGTGTACGGGATCGGACGCAAGTGTAGGCATTGGGCCAGGGGGCATGGTTAGAGGCCCCATAAATCCAGGCCCCCTGAATGCGGAGGCGATTGGTTGGACTATCAAGTATGAGATCAAGAAAATAATAGAATTGTGAGCCAACCTGGATGTATGGATGTCGCTTGTAATGATGGGTGCGAAGACATTCGGGGCAACGCCTGACCCTGAGCTTGCATCATAAACTCGGCAGCCCATGCATCCGCATTGCCTTTATCTTGCTGTATTCGTTCTTGAAATGCTGGTGTGAGTGAAGGCAGCCCCGCCATCCTTTGCTCGTGCGGAAGCGCGCCATGCATGTCTCCAAAGTCGAAAGCTCCTTGTGCTGGAGGGATCCGATGAGCGTTGAAGAAATGTGCTTTCTCTTCATTGAGCTGAGAATCTGGCGCAACAGCGGTTCGGAAAGTCTACAAAAGGTCAGATTTAGTTGACCTGTACATTGTAACGGCGTACTTGATTAGATGGTCCAGCCCTGCCAGGTCCAAAGAAGTCCTGCAAATCGGGCGGTAAGTAAGTCGCTTTCAGGCGTTCCCAATACTTCATACCTGTTGCAATCCTCGGTCCCCGCCAACGCGCTTTGTCAAACTCTGAAGGGCATTGGAAGGACCACAATCTGCTCCAGATATAAGCGTAGAAAGCGACATTCAAGCCAAATGTTTGCTTTGGTTGAAGTTCAAGAGTCTGAGAGGCTTTGGCCGGAGTCAAGTGTGATACCGGCTAAGTGGGTCATACCCGGACCCGAGCTTAGGAAGCAAACCCGCAAAGTTTGCGTTCAAGAAGCATCAAATATCTATGGTGTTCGACAAGAGCATCACCAGAAGGTCGATACTCGGGACTCTACAAAAAGGGCAAGAAACGTTATGGAGATATGCTATCAAGAGTAGACTACCTCCCATCATAGTCGCTCTCACTTCCAGTCGAGACGGCGTACTCACGACGGGGAAGGTTCCTCGAAATAGGTCCTCGGACACTCATGGATCCTTGTTCGAGTACAAATGAGCCTCGAGAGCCACGTCTATAACAATTCTTCAGTCACAAGTGGTGGGTGTTGCTAGAGTGAGTACTGACCTGACGCGTGCCAATGCTTCCGGACCAGACAGCGACGCAAAACTTGTGGGGAAGAGTGGGCTGTCTACAATAGCCTCTCCATCCGACGTCTCTCCGCGGTCAATGTACTGTTGCAACGGGACATACTTTGAGTGGGATATAAAGGTGAGTCCAACCATCTTGGAGGTATCCAAATCCGCAGGTTCGGCGTTCTTCTGCTCGATTGTTCCTTCGCCTTCTGCAGCATCGGTGGCCCCAGACGCTGCCTCTGCTTTGGGCTTGGACGAGGCAGCCTTTTCATCGTCTTCCTCTTCTTCACCGATAATCTCCATGCCTCCACCAAACCCGTCGACCCCATCCCGCTTGGAGGGCGAAGAATGAGCCTGAGGTGGGGACTCGGGGGTGGCAGACGGATAGATTGCCTCCATTACAAGTCCAGTAGGGCCAATATCGATGTATTCTTCCTCCATATCGTCACCTCCTTCTGCTGCCGCTGTGTTCATCTCTTCTTTGGGGATCCCCATGGGTCGAGAAGTTTGGGTAAGGGGCGACTTTGGTGTCACGTCCATGCCGGCAATAGAACCTACGACAGCGTCGAGGTCCTCATCGTCGCTATCTTCATCATCGCTAATCTCCAATTCGGGCGGAACCCCAAGCGCATTCTTGAGTTTTTCCCAAAGAGGCTCGCTCCTCCTACTGATGCACATACGAGCTTTGTGCACCCACACACGGTCGCTGGCTTCATGACGATCGACTTTGAACATCCACCGCTCGAGCTGCCAGAATGGCCACTTTGTCGGATCTTCGGACTCTTCCGTCAGCTTTGTCGGGTAGATCTGTTTGATCAATGCCCATAGCCGACGAGGTGGTCCCTGAGAGAGGAGCTGCTGTACCTCACTCGACCTCACGATGAACGGCAGGTAGTGGTTTGGAGGGAGCGCTGTGAATGCTGCAGGCGTCGGCGACGTGACAGGTTCTCCAGGTTTCGGACTCGCTTGCTCCGCCGTCGTCCGCGGGTGAATAGACGACATTGCGAGGTCGTACAGTTGCTGTGGCGCGAGTGCGCCCGTCTGAGACGATGGATGGATTCTCGGTCGCATAGGCTGATCAATAGATGCAGAACGCGCATTGTGTCCAGCAAAAGAGACTCGTTCGCCGCTCGCTGGGGTCATACTGAGCGACTTGCTGAGCCCTGACGAGCCCCAACTTCCACGACGGGACAGGGTTCCGTGCTCCTTTTCGTACTTTTCCAACTCTTCTTTTGTCGGTGGAGGGAGACGCACAATGTGCAGACGCGACGTCGAACTTGCGGGAGTATCAAACGTTGCAAGTGCCCATGGATCTGGCGCAGATGTTGACCCACGACGGCTGGACGAAGACAGTTTGCGTCTGTGCGTCGTGGTTGGTGTCCCGGGCATTGATGTGGACAGCGACGGCGAATAGCTCCTGACAGACATTGGCGACTACAAACTCGTCTGCTGGATGTGCACATTAGCTGAATCTTGCATCTTATTCTACAGCGATATCGGAGCATACCAACACGAAACGCCTTGCAAACGTTGGTGGAGGAGGAACAAGAACTGAGATCACCGCCACTCATGTCACATAGGATACCGGACTCGCTCTCAACGTCTTACAGCAGCAAAAGGAACGCATCAATTCGCTTCTCATTAGCCATAAATCTAATTTCCACAATATCTTTATGCAGGTCTGGACGGTGGGTCAGTCAAGCAATTCGGGGTTGAAGATCACAACTCACATCGTCCAGACACCCTTGATGGTAATATCCTTTGACTCTCCCGCAGGCTCTGACTCACCCTCAGTTTGCGGGCTGGGTGTCTCGCCAGTTCCCTCGATTGGTGTCTGCGTAGACGAGCCTCGGTTCGGAGTCAGCGTTCTATTCGCAGCACCTGTCGGCGTCTCCACAGCGATACCCTTTGGAACAATGAATTGGTTTAGCTCTCCTCCTTCTGGGTCGACCCATGCGATCGCAGGCCCAGCGAGAATCGAGGCTGTGTTCTGCTGCAGAATATTGGCAGGCAGTGGTGTTCCATCGTTGGTGATATAGATGTACAAGGGCCCGTTGATTGCATCTACCGGCATCGTGCAGGATTCGAGCGGCTGGGCAAGGCCTGCCGGTTGACCGCCAATCAAAATTTGACAGAATAGCTGACATTGGGTTAGAAACCGTATGAGGAGGAATTTGGCACATACTGGCTGATCCCGTGGAATTCCGGTCTTGTCAAACTCGAGCGTGATTGCTTCACCTTTTCTCAAAGAGTTCTTGATCTTGAGAGGTTTGACAGCTAGGTCGATGAGTAGACGCCACAAGGGGGTAGGAGTGCTTACGAGGAATGTCAAGATTGCAAGTCATATGCGGCGACAGGATCGAGAGGACTTGTTCAGGACGCAAAGCAGTATCGAACGACTGGGGCATCACAGAGGACCCGCTGAGAATGTTCATGGTCGTTTCATGTCGTGCTTCATCGGTGAGAATGCTCGCGAGAGCGATGAGGAAGTTCTTGTCCTCGACCAGAGTGACTGCACCTAGATATGCGCTGACACTCACTGTACTCCAAGTTAGATGCGATAACATACTGCTACTCGGCCCATACCTTGCTCCAAGGTGCGGGCAGCGAGAACCGCCGACTTTACGTCCTTTAATGCGTCGTCAAAGGTGAAGGTGCAGCCTCGCACAGCTTGGCCTCTCAACCCGTCGGTGAGGCTAGAGACGAGTCAGCGCATCCTATCTCACGAGCTATAGACTCACAATGAAGTATGAATGCTTTCATCGTTGAATATTTCCCTATCAAACGGTGAATACTCCATTGTGGGAACAAATACGCGAAGAGGCTTACAAGAGAAGCCGCTTAGGAGCATTTGCATCAAGGAATCCTGCATTGATATAGTCCTTGTCTTGGAACTTGGTCTGAATTTGCCAATAAAACTCTCGTTCCATTTGTTCCATGGCCTGGAGGAACTCTGAGGATGGCGGGCAAGTCAGCTGGTGCTCGAGAACATAGTACAGAGAACATCTCACGGAGAATCAGAGTGTCATCGACTTCAGCACGCTTGACGATGGGCGCTGCGAACGAGCCAAATGGGATGGCGAGGAGGGCGGTGAAGGCTGATATCCAGAGCATAGTAAAGAGGCGTGTAGAATTAAAATAAATGGCAAAAATGGTTTGTGAGAAGAGAAAAGCAAAGTGGCCCAGCCCTGGGATGAAAGAAAGAAAAGGACGAGCACCAGCTCGCAAACGAAGTAAGAAAAGGTCGAAAGCGGAAGAAACTCACTGGTTTCTCCATGTTTGATGGGTTTTATATCTCTGCGAATGCCGAGGCGAAGCTTGGGAAGATGTACTGCCTCAGGCGTTGCTGTCGTATCATCCATCCATATACCCATCACTGCATTCTCTGCGTTTGTTGGACAGCTTTGAGCAATATAAACTGGCGTCTGCCCGTCCGCGCCTGGCTATCCACCTTGACTACGGGATACTCTCAAGGGACACCGATATTTCTTGTAAACATGGTCGGATATATTTCTCATATACCCCAAGGGTAGCCCTCATCGGCGCATACCCGACGGGGTAAAGTCCAAGTTCCAGTGACTAAATAACCCACACCAGCTACTCTTTCGATTGACCCTCCCGTTGAGAAAGATGCGCTAGCCATGCATCATGTCGCTTCGCTTGTTCCTCCCAAGCCTTTGCGAGCTTTTTGCTCTGTCCCTTGCTCAGCTCCTCACCCTTTCCGTCAAGCACCGGAATCCCCTTTGCATCCCATTCACTATACGTTCCTTCTGGGACATTCGGTGGCTTGAACATTTCCTCTGGACTCAACTTCCCCTTCTCCAGTTTGGCCAATTGTTGCTGAGCGGCGGCTGCCTTTTGAGCCGCCTTTTGAGCTGCTTTAGCCGCGAGGAGTGCCTTCTTGTCGTCTCTTGCTTTGATGAGGACAGAGGGTGGCATGAGCTTGACGAGTGCTTTGCCATCTGGGAGATCCATTCAGATTCTAGGGATCATCATGGGCGAAGGTCGCACCTTCTTGATCGTCAAGGGCAACTCCGAGAGGAACAAGGTCCTCATCTCGTAGACGGTCCGTTAGCTCTAAGAACTCTGAGTGCGGATCCTTTGCCATTGCCTTTTTGCGAACTTCGTCCCGGAATGTTGACAATGCTCGCAGATAGGGCATGAGTACTGTCTCTTTCTAGGGCAAATGAGCGATATCGAGGACGTTGTAGATCGACTCACATCTGCGCTGACATCCTCTCCACCAGAAGCGGAGGTTGAAGCACCCCATCCAATCTCCTGTGGCGACCCTTCACCGAGACCAAACATGCGTAGCATCTTTGTGATCCACCCAGCGACCTGTCGAATGGACGAAATATTCGTAGCACTTCGCCCACGTTTGAGGTAAACATTGGTATAGGAGACGAGATCGTTCAAAGCCTGTACAGCTTGAGGTGTGTTGAAGGAATCGCAGAGCGCCGTGCGGAAGGTATGCTGCGCACGGTACAACCTAGACGATAGTAAGTCATCCGCACGTAAAAATAATTGAACGACTGACTCTGCGGCCAGATCCTTCTCATCTTTGCCGTACTTCCATGTACCGTTCTGAGGGGTCGGCGCAGCATCCCACTCTGACACCAATGCTTTTGTTTGCACGAAGAAATTCTAGCAGAATTAGAGTAGGAAAGTCGATTTGGACGAGGGCCCACATCAAGTGCTGTTTCTCGTGCTTTGACCTCTGTCTGGAGACTTTCGTTCCAATCGAGCCTGCTGTTCCATAGCTGCAAGAGGAAGGACAGACGAACTTGACGTGGTGTCCATGTCTCCAGCATTTCCTATACATTGTCAATTCTATGTCATATGAGGAGAGCTTGCATACCTCGATGGTGATAAAGTTTTTGAGTGATTTGCTCATCTTCAAACCAGCGATGTGAAGATGACCAGTGTGTAAGAAGTAGTTGACCCACTGAACGTTGTTATGATACGCCTGGACACCAGTTAGCGAAGCCTGACGATGGGGTGTCCATACCTCTGATTGGGCGAGTTCATTATCATGGTGCGGGAACAAGAGGTCTATGCCCCCCGAATGAATATCCATGGACTCTCCAAGAATATCAGTAGCCATGACGGAGCACTCGATATGCCACCCAGGTCGTCCTTGGCCCCATGGTGACGGCCAAGCTGGCTCTCCTGCTTTTGATGCTTTCCAGAGAGCAAAATCTTCGGGTGATCTCTTGCTCGAATACGATGTCAGGGCACCTAGTAGACTTTGAGTCTCGATCATAGCTTGTAAAGAGCTTACCTTCTCCTTCAGCGAGTAGTGCCTTGTTTCCGCGGCTCCATGGCGCAAGTTTGGCGTATTCATGCTTCCATTCCTGAGTTGGCGCGCCGTCAAACGCGGCTTTATCAAACCAAACGTTGCCATCCTCGCCACTGTACGCAAAGCCATTTGCGATAATCTTCTCGATAAAGGTGACAATCTCAGGGACATATTCTGTGACTCTGGTCAATGTGGTTGGAGGCTTGACTCGAAGACGGGCCATATCAGCCATGAACGAGTCTTCCCAAAATGCTGCCGTTGATCGGAATATAGCCGGATCAGACACAGTATGCTTGAGCTAGAAACGTTCTTAGCAGTATGTCTCGCTTTATCAGTAGGCCCATACCTCTTCGTCTAGCACGAGAGCCAGGGTATCTTTCGACTTGTCTATCAGGGTCGCAGCTGCCGTCTCCGACGAGGATCCTGCATTCATCTGCATCCTGGCTACCTCGAGGGCAGAGAATGAGGTTTCCTATGGTTCACTCAGATCAACTGCAGAAACAGCCATGTGTCGACCGACCAGGGTAGTAATGTGCATTGAAAACTTTTCGTCCCTCTGAAGTGCTTCCTGTAGCCAGCTCGGATCAAGCACACGAGCTTGGACGTACTGCCACTGAGCAGCGAGATGACTGGATTGCGCTTCAAGCTCGGCTGAGGGGATACTCTTCAGGACCTTTCCTTTGAGATATTTCTCCCACGAGTCTTGAGTCATGTCGATGAGCTCCTGATTGAGCAAAGGGTTTCTCTTCTTCAAATCGTCAATCAGGTACTGATGTCGGGCTCGGAGGATGATCTAGCACTGTATATCAATGCAGGTATTGCGCAATATGACGACATGTGTACCTTGTCGTCGATGTCGGTGATATTCATGACTAGGTGGACATCGTAGCCAAAATAGTCCTCCATAATGCGTCGCAGAATATCCTGGGTCACATAGTTGCTATGGAATGTAAGTAAACCCCCATCTTTAGTTACAGATAACTACCGGGCGTGGCCCATGTGCGAGGCATCGTAGACAGTCGGACCGCAGTTGTACCATTTGACGAGATTTCCGGCTGCAGGGATGAATTCTTCCTGTATAAACATATTGAGGTCCGAGTGAGCGAGCCACGACAGAGAATATCGCACCTTTTGACGCGTCAACGAATTGTAGACCTTGAGCGTTGGTTTGGGCGTTGTGGGCGCTGGTGGGAACCATTTAGCCGCGTTTGAAGTCATTTTGGACGTGCTAAATGACCTGGAGGAGATCAAGCTGCGGGAGAGCAGCCGGCCAAGCATCCAAACAACAAGTGCTGACTTGACCACTGACCGTGTCTTGCATTTTGAACCCATCCGAAATCATGTCCGACAGCTACGACGACGATGAATATATGGAAGAAGAAGAGGAAGATCTCTTTGAGGACGAGGTGATGAGCGACGACGATGCTGGTGAGTAATAGCCCGCAAGAGTGTGGCGAGCCCCAGTTCAGAGGCGCCGAGCTCACTGTCGCTGCAGCTATGGACAACGAAGAAGGGGACTATCCAGTCATTCCCGACAAGGACAAGCCGAAATCTTATGATGTCGAGTCTAAGAGCCTCAGCGTCGACGACGTGCAAAAGGACATGCGATCGCAAGTCGAATACGTCGTTTCCGTCTTTGGATTAGAGGTCCGTACTCTCTCATTTCCCTCTTTTTTTCTCAAATACTCATGTTGGCGCCGATGGCGTTGCTGCCTGAATCAGCCAGATACGGCGCGCATGCTACTACGCGATTACGGCTGGAATAGAGAACGCATGACGGAACAATACATGGAAGACCCCAGCAAGGTCCTCATCAAAGCAGGCATCGAACCAGACGCGACCAGCCCGCGCTCTCCTATCCGCTCAACCTCCAGCCAGCCTCCAAAGGAATCCTCGTTCAGCTTCAGGCGCTCCACACGCAAGAATCCGGTTCCTGATCCGGTAACCGAGTCCAAGTTTATGTGCCCAATTTGCTGCGACGACGAGCCGCCGTCCACCCTGGCCCTGGCCTGTAATCACCGGTTCTGCAGCGACTGCTGGAGCCAATACCTAGAAGGCAAAGTACGCGACGAGGGCGAATGCGTCGTACGGTGCATGAAAGATGGATGCAGCTTGCTCGTCCCAGACTCGTTCATCAAAGAACATTCAAGCGCCAAAACATATGACCGGTTTGAGGAACTCGTCCTTCGGCACTATGTATCTCATATCGCCCATCTCAAGTTCTGCCCAGCACCCGGCTGTACAGACACCGTGTCATGCACAGCAGCCGCGACAAAATCCGCTCTCGACACCGTCGTACCCTCAGTTTCTTGTGCCCATGGACATAAATTTTGCTTTGGATGCTCCATTGATGCCGATCATCGTCCGGTCCTCTGCAAGGTAGCTAAGCTCTGGGTCAAGAAATGCCAGGATGATAGCGAGACTGCGAATTGGATCAAGACCAACACAAAGGAATGCTCCAAATGCCAGAGTACGATAGAGAAGAATGGTGGCTGCAAGTGAGTAATCGTCTGCCGAGCGATGGATCACAGACTAAATTTGAATAGCCACATGACCTGCAAGAAATGCAAACATGAATTTTGCTGGGTCTGCATGGGTCCCTGGTCAGATCACGGTACTCAGTGGTACAGCTGCAATCGCTACGACGACAAGGCAGCAATTGAGGCTCGTGACGCCCAATCCAAGAGTCGTATTTCATTGGAAAGGTACCTTCACGTACGTATCCTAATCGCGGTAACATTATAGACGCTGAGTGATTGTTTAGTACTATAATCGATGGGCAAACCACGAACAGTCCGCCAAGCTATCTGCGGAGTTGTACGTCAAGACGGAGAAGAAGATGGAGGAGATGCAACTCACGACAGACCTGACCTGGATCGAGGTACAATTTGCAAAGAAGGCGGTCGAAGAGGTCTTACGATGTCGAGCAACGCTCAAGTGGACCTATGCCATGGCCTATTACCTAGACAAGAGCAACGAGAAGGAGCTCTTTGAGGACAATCAAAGGTTTGTCTTATTGCCCTATTGGACCCATCTATTGACAACAAGCACAGAGATCTTGAAAAGGCGGTAGAGGATCTTTCAGAACTCCTAGAGTCTCCTATAGAAGCCGAGACTATACCAGAACTACGAGCCAACATGACGAACAAGACTGTGAGTGTGTCCGGTTGGGGGGTTTGGATGAAGTGGCTCATACCTCGTGTAGGTATACGTCCAGAAGAGAAACGAGATTATGCTCGAGGACACTGCTCAAGGGTTTAGGGAAGGCAGATGGACGTGGAATGTCGATCTACCTTAAGGATCATGCTCTTTTTTCCTCAACCGTTCGACTGCCCTCAATCACTTGCTCAGACACTTTGCTCTCGTCGGCTTTACGCCTTTTGTATCTTTGGCAGATCACTCGTGTTCATAATATAATCGCTGACATTGTTCACATGCTGTGTGGGTCATGGATGCATTATGGAATAACTAATAGTTACACGTCGAAATAAAACTCGTCAATCGGATCCTCGTATCTGTCGAGATACTCTTGCAAATCCGACAGGTCGTCGTCGTCGTCTTCCTCTGCCGGTACTTTGTCCTTCCCCTTTGCTTGAGGTGCGGGGAGTTTTGACGTGGTGAGGTTTCCCCTGCTCCGAGTCGATCTGATGGTGGACGGCTGGCTTCGCAGGGCTGTACGTTCTGTCGAAGTTTTGACGGCTGCAGCCTTGGCGATTCGCGCACTGCTACGGGTGGGGATTCCACTTGGAATTCGCGAATGAGTGCGCTTGCTTTGGGATACCTCGGGGATATGCACGGCTGTTGCAGAAGTCGAGAATCCGACGTCGTCCTCCGAAGCCATAGAGTCCGGAGCTAGATAGAGTATCAGCTGAGTTGAAGACTTGTTGACGGGAATGGTACATACTCAGACGTCCAAGCGGAACGATGAGTTGGTCTTCTGGAATCAAGAATGCTTCTTCCTTGAAAGATACGGGGGGTGCGCAGTACCAATGGAATGGAATGCGATCAAGCTCGAGCAAGACTCTTCCCATGTCTGTGCCGCTCATCAGGCCGAAGTCTTCTCCCGAGATCGGAGGCACTGCTATGGAGTGAGCCCAATGACGAAAATGACGGGGATCCGGACATACCGACAGCGGTAGGAGGCATATACTCTGGCTCGAGGTCTTCCTCTTCTTGGAGATGGAGCTCGGGTGCTTCCAGCTTGCTTGCCAGGTCATTCTGTACCGTCTTGATTGGTGTGGAGGACAGTCGGGGTTGCTTGATTGATTTTCTGGATGCAGAAGCTGGTTTTTCCTCGATGAACAGAGTAGATTTGCCGTCGAGAGTCTGTACTTGGAGCTGGAGGCCTCTGTTCTTGAGATGTTTTCCCGGTGTCTTGTCCACCAGACCCTTTCTGGAGCGTACTTCTGTGGTTACAGTGGCTTTTCCTGGTGCTGTCGAGTCGTCAGTCAGACCACATGTTAAACCGCGTGTTATGGCATGTACCGTGGACAGGCAGAGGCGTCTTTGAGACTGTTTTTGCGAGTGTGACATTGTTTTCGTTTTTGAGTTTTGCATGAGGAGTCTTTGGCACACCCGAATGCAGCGAGAGCATAATGGGAGGGTGCAAGTGAGATGGCCGGGCTTTGCCACTGTCGCCATTATTTCATGATGGTGGATGATAATACTGGTATATTGTGCCTTGTGTATCCTGGCTGTGGATGCGGATGCTAATCCCGTTGGTAGGGCAGCGTATGATTTCAAGCTAAGGGCCGCCGCTGTTTTGGACCTGACCCTCTCCGCCCGTTTACTCGCCTTTCGTTTCTTCACAACTCATTTTATCACTCGTTATCTAGATCTTTCATCTTCTCCGGCTGTCTCCAGTCAGACAGTTTACCTCCCCCACCGCCGTAGTCCCCACCGGAAAGACGGCGTGGACCTAACCTTCTTGATCCCCCCGACATCCGCAAATCGTTTCACACTCCCCGCTGTGGCATTTCCGACTCGTCTGTCGACGATTGGAACGCAATGGCAGCCAGAAGTTCTCCTAGAATGAAGCATCTCTCCCTTCGATTCAGTGTCTTCGAGCTTGCGGCCGACATTGGACTCGAGACGACGGCACTCGATGGTAAATTTGACCCAATCGTCGAAGAAGACGAACGCGAGGTGTGTTGAAGCACACCATTTTCTCGTCGTCGTTGCTTACCACTGCTCTCGACGCATCGCCTCTAGCCGTCGAGCGCTGATAGACAGCGTCAGACTCATTCTTCAGACGAGCTCGCAGACTCTCCATTCCCGCTAACACCCCCGAGCTCCAACGATGTAAGCTCGATCATTCACCAGAGTTAACCGCACCCAGAACGCTAAAAAATATTTTCTAGGCCTTGTCTGCAATCCAGCCCCTCGCGCTCGGTCAAAAGCGTCAGGAGGAACGTCCTCGGTTTATCGAACGATTTCCCTCACCGTCTCCGGAACTCGTCTCGACCACACCCACACCGCGCACGCCGCCTGCCAAGCTCCGAAAGACCTACACCCCGACCGCAGGCACTCCCATATCCGAACCACTACGTTTGGACTATAACACTGATGGCGAACGAGATCGTCCTAAGCGAAAGGAAAATGGCAAGAAAAAGGACCGCGATGACGAAAGGGAGAAGCAGCGGCAGGTACAGACCGACGTAGACGAAGAAAAAAAGTTGCTCGGTGGCTTGCTCCGTTTCAGAGCACGCTCAAAGGAACGGAAAACAGCTGCAAAACAGGCTGTTCAGCCAGTCCCTCTTCCGCCGCCGCCAGAGACGATGCCCGTGAAACCACATACACCGCCCCCTCTTCCAATTGCCGAGCGCTTTGTTCGCCCGAAGGATGAGATTTCGTTTAGAACAAAGCCTCGAGAATCGGGCTCGAGTCATGGTGGAAGCACGAGTGTCGGGCATGGAAGTGCCACCAGCCACGCAGAAAGTTCAGACGCCCATGAGCCATACATTCGGCCCCGGGATCGTTCTTCTCGCTATGAACGACCGCATCCTGCATGGAGGACTGCACCGTCGTCCTTGGGAAATGTTGGCCTGGCCTCAGCTCGAGGTGCCATCGTCGAGGCTCCTCTTCCAAAGGAGATACACGCCTTTCCTCCCGGCCAGTCGATATTTGATCGGGAACCAGTCAAACCCAATGTTCGTCGCAATAATTCAACAGAGTCTGAAGATGGCAAGACCCCCACCGTTGACATGGATATGGTGAATCGATACTATGGGATAACATCCGCCGAACCTCAAACTTCAGCCACCGTTCCATCTGTTCCGAGCCCTCAATCGAGATTTGCACTCGCACAAGCATTGTCGCCGATCGAGACAAAGCCTACACCACATGAGGGGGCATTGCGACCGTCTCCAGCCCCGACGACGCCGCAGCTACCTGCCTCTCCCTCGCCGTACATCGTACCCTCGCCAAATCCAGGCCAGACAGATTTTGGTGCGCAACTTCGAGCGAAACGCGGACGGATGAACATTCCCCCGCCCATGGATCCCATTCTTGTCCCTCCGAAACGGCTGATGGGAGCATTCAATCCGCCACCCACACCTCCTCCCACTACGGAGCTTCCCCCGATACCAACAGAACTCTCCGTACCGCAGGTTGCCTCTGGTCGAACTGGTTTGCAACGGCCCCTTGGATCACCTCAGCCAATGGTCCTGCCTCCGTCTGCCGCTGGTGGACTCCGCCCTGGTCAACCGACGTCACCGTTGGGAATGCGCTCTTCTAGTCCAAGTTTGAGACCGGAGCCGTCTCGTCTGTCACCATACCCAGAGCGACCAGGCACCGCACCCCAGGAAGGCGGACCCCCTGCGCGCGCAGCATCTCCTATGCTCAGGGGACGTGCGCCAGCATTCCCTACGCGCCCTGTTACGCCAACCAGGGCTCCTCCTGCTCAGCAGCAGTACCGACCGGTGTCGCCAGTTCAGACGCGACCTGCACAGCGTCCGGCCTATAGCCCAAACCCAAGTTCTGGTCCAGGAAATGGATTTTTAATCAACCGAAGACCGGAATATGATGTCACAGCTTTGAACCGAAATCGCACGACATCCCTGGACGAAAACGAGGGCCCAACGCGACCCGCTGTGAGACAAAGGCAACCATTTATCCAACAGCAGCCGACATATCCGTCCCAAGCGGACCTCTTCTCGCCGCAGCAGCAGCAGCAGCAGGAATCGTCGTATGGATCGAGGACGACGCCCCCTCCTACTCGTAAACGTTCGGTCCGAAAGACGGCTGCGAATCAATCTGGGTACGATTCGGATGACTCGCGGTACTCGCGGCATTCGCGCGACACATACTATGGTCGTGATACAGTCTACTACGATGACCAGAATATGCCGCCGTTACCGGGAAGTAATGTCCCTCCGCTACCACAACGGGACTTTAGCAACATGGAAAAAGAACGTCAGGCTGGTCGGGAGAGACTTGTGCGAATGCTTGCAAATCGCGAGATATAGCGCTCATCAAAACCATCTTTCCCCTTTTCTTTTGCAACCCTATATTCACGGTATACCTTTATATTCCCACTTGGTCATATCCTACATTTCTAGATTCACTTGGTCCCATCTAGAATGATCCCTTGCTTTTCGTGTACATCTCACGTTTATCACCTCTTGTCGCAATTCTTTTTTTCTTCTCCTCGCTGTTTGAACCTGGCAGGTGCAGTGCACGTCTGTATGGTTCAAACCGTTGTATACCTACTCTCATCCCATCCCGGGTCTTTCATATGGACATGGCCAATTCGATAGGTAGTAACCCTCTCGACTCTCGTTGCGTATTTCCGTTGTTGTGACATACCAATAAAAGCATAGTCGACGTTGATATATCGGGCTCGGTCTCGGCCATGAGAAGCAACAAGATAAATTAATCGCTTGCTAGATATACAGATGCTGTTCAGGGCTGGTCGACATGTCGGAAGACGGTCATGATGCTGGTCACCAGATTGAAATGCTGAAATAGAAAAGTATGCCGTATGTGAGATGACAGTTGCAAGGACGCGGGTCGCTCGCAAGAAAACATGCTGGGCGCTCTTCGGACGTTTCATGCCATGATCGATTCCTCCAGGCAGGGAATGCAAACTTTGTGGCTGGGAGCGAAACAAAAACGTCAGCGACAGACCGGATGGAAAGAACGTCGGAGATAATGGAAGGGGTGACAGTCATTGCGTGCATGCGGGGGGCGTGACGTGGGAGAAACAGTGTCTCTTCTACCGTAAATGAACGGCTTTTGATCACTGCTATCTTCCTCCCCCCGGTCTGAAGCCGTTCGGCGGTCGCGATCGGAGAAAGTGGACACATACCCGTCTGCTGTCTGCACGAGACAGTTGAGGCACAACCGTGCGTTGCAACCGTGCTGTTCCTCCTCTCGCTCCTTGTCGTCGTCGTCGGCCAGGTCCATTTCAACGTCACTCGCTAGCATGGTCGATGGCCGGGTTTGGTTAAGCGCGCTTGGTCGAGCGTCTGTATGGTACAGGCAAGATGAGGACGGGTAAATCGGGGAGAACGCACATGGCGCCTGTCGAGCAGAATGCGAATGAAATCGGCTCGATTGCTGGTGATGCTGGGAGCTGACAACCGACAGTTTGGCGTTTGTGCTATTCGCTGCCGCCGAGGAGTATGAAGCCAGGGAGGACGACATGCTTGATTCAGTTCGTTTACGTTTCTTCTGAATGGGCGGCATGCCAGGCCGTTGCTGGAGCTGGACGAGGAGAAGCTCTTGTCGCTGCTGGAGAATCAAGGGTGGGAGGACTGCTGCTTGTTCGTGGGCGGTATTGTTACTGAATCGGGCATCAAACGCGTATGCGTGCGAGTGAGGGACGACGTGGTGGTGATGATCATGGTTCTGGTTCTGACCTCCCATGACAAGACCCGTTTCGGCGCGCGTTCCATTCCCCACACGCATTTCTGTATCCAGCACGTGCCTGTCAACCACAGACGAGCGTTGTTGTTGAACGGCGGCCGCCTCCGCGGCGGCGCTGAGCAGTCGGGCGCGCAACACGTTTGGATCAAATGGCTCTGGAGTAGAGAACCGGTTTGGCGTTGATGGAGCAGAGCCTGACGAGAGTGAATCGTCGTCTAGCAGCGGGGGCGTACGCTGAGGTGCGAGTATCAGGGCGGCGTCGCAGTAGCTCAAACAGCGTTGGCAACACATGTTATTGCATCTAGAGTAAAGGCGTCAACACCAGGTTCTTGTTCTCCATGTTGCGAGGGGAATGAATCATCTCGCCGCCGCTCAAGGACGAGTCACTTACGAAGCACAGTAGGATTCTTGCGCCTTTTGAGCTCGAGAGAGCGAAAACAGAGAGCTGCAAACGGAACATTGCTGTAGCTGGCTCGCATGTTTTGAATAAACTTTGTCGCCGCTGGGAACCTCGACGCGTCTTCGTTTGCTCGGGCGAGCATCTTGCGAGGAGAAAAGGTTTACATGAGTATATTCGATATTATTTTCGGTAGGAATCGCAGTACCAGCCCAGCTGAGCATGAGCAAGCGAGAGATGGAAGTGGAGAGGTCCAAGCCCGATGGACACTTTGACAGTTGGCTGATGCAGCTTACAAAACGAGGTCAAAACTCGTCTCATCATTATATCCTGCTACTCTACAAGAACAATATCCGTTCTCGGGCCAGCATCCGGAGGGTCACTGGGGAAGTACGCATGAAAGAGGGTGGGACCTCTTTGAGCGCTAACGCTATTACTACAGCTTGTTGGTGTGAAAAATACACACAACACAAAGTCGCGAGTCCATCTTTTGTGGGTTTTGGTGTCATCCGAAAGCACTAGCGTTCTCTCGGTCGAGAATCTGGGAGAAGAAGAGTGCGCCGTCGCTTTCGCGGCCGCTGGTGATCACTTTCCATTGATAGGCTCGTTGAATCCATTGGCGTGCGTGATCATTAATTGTCATCACTGTCGTAATCGGGTCCCGATTGGCGGATGGTGGGTAGTTTGAATGCGCCTCCGTCCTCAGAAGCACGCAGAATTGATATGCTTCAAATGCGAAAGAATCCAAATACAGATTCAAGCGCTCGGTGTGTAGTGTCTGAATCGCCTGTGTGGCCTAATCGGTGGACACCGGCAATGGTGGTAAGCCGACAAGGGGGGGGGTAGCCAGTCAGTAAGGGCCAGATGAGGTTCTAGAGCTAGCCACAAGGCAGAAGGCGGAGGATGGACAAGGGGTGACAGGTAAAATGACAGGATATAGAGTCAAAAAAATAGAAACTGTGTGTGCGTACCGCTCGGATACCAGCAGGAGCATCGTGTCCAAGGAAAGGGACAGCTTTGAACAGACGGCATAGTTCGGTTCTTCGTGCGTCACTGGCCTTTCTTGCTTCTTCGTCACCATCCTCGCGTTCGCAGCACGCACAAGTGCACGTAAAGTTTCGTAAATGTCGTAGGTATTCACGTCTCTCGTTGCGTACGGCGAACAAGGGCTGACCGTAGCAAATCGTGAGTTCATCACCAGCGCGGATGGGTTCAAGGGCATGCACGGTCATCCGCCCGCGCCTTTCGTCCCAGGTGATGGATGCATTTGGCGTGCACGAGTTGTTGAAGCGCGAGAGCTGGAGGAACACGCCATGGGCGAGGATGCGTCCGTTCTCATCAGAGAGAGAGCGCGAGACTGGCTCGACCGGAGCCAAGGGCAAGCAGTTCGAGTTGAAGATAGCCAAGATGGGATCTTCGGGGAGAGACTCGACAAAGGCATTGTGCAAGTTGAGATATGCCTGTGTGAATGCGGTCGGGTGCGCGCAAAGGTTGGAGAGGATGGACTGGCTGTTGCGCACGTCTTCCTGAATGACCAGCGGCTCTTCATAGTGTACGAGCTGTCCTGGCTGTATCGGTCGAGTGGCGATTGCGCCTTGGCCGTGTCGACGAGTTGAGCCTATGCGAAAGAGGGGAGTGGCTAACATGCGACCACTTTATTAGACCAGGGAACTCAAGCACGCGACTCGAAAATACGCACCAGAGTGAAGAGTCATCGACGACGAGATCGAGATGGGCTGCAACGGACAAGAGGCAGCAGGCGGTATCGAGAGGAGTCGCGTCGACGCCACTTGCATTCGTACTGAGCTTGGTGGATAAAAAGCAGCGAGGTTATGTACCAAAGGAGAGTGTAAGAGGACGGAAGCGGAACAGACGTAAAGTATGAGACAACGTCAAGCCGCATCGACGACGCCCGATGAGGATGGTTATAAACGTCTAGCCACAAACAATTACCGTCGCTGATGACGCTCATTTGAATTTCTCTTTGGCCCTAGAAGGGCGCGACTTGTCACGGAGAGTGGGATCCCCCGGTCCTTGGCCATGGTGGACAACAATCGAATCACATTGCTCTGCTCATGAATTGGTTATTTCCTCAAGCATGTGTAGCACACGGTCCGCAACGGACGGCTGTGAGGAAGGACAAGAGGGTGCGAGTGTCCCGAGATGGGTCCAGAGATCCAAGAGCGGGCATGTTACCGTACTGATCTCATGCCTTTATTGCGTCCACGCCCATTTCTAGTCAGATTTCGTGCGCCACCCTCCGCTGTTCCTCTGACGGCGAGTACGGCGAGCTGCGAAACCAAAGGCGGAGAATGACGAGAAGATGAAAGCCGCATGTATGAACCATTGAAGGTTTTTCACTTGGAGTGTGCTGAAATGTAGTGGGCGGTGTCAAAATGTCACCCGGAACAGTGACAGATCGCTCAAGGCGCATTCTAGCGTGCATTTCGGACTCTTGCGAGGTTTCAATGGCACATTGAGACGTCCAGGCGTTTGCAGATGTGCGGCATCCCCGCCTAAGGCGTTGTCGACAGCGGGGGGTCTCGTCGAGCTCGACGGTGGATGGATAATACTACTTTTTTTAGCCTTTAGTTCAAGACTTTTGACCTGTCACCGCCACCAGATTGCTGTAATCGGTCGCAACCCGGCCAGCGCTGACTCCGAGACGTCGAGCGCTCCAAAGTGTAGAACATATTCGGATCTACAGTCCTTGTTGTAAATCTTGTCCTCGTCAGCACCCGGACAAGGGATCGAGGTAGCTCTCCAAAAGTCATACGCCACAAAGAAGCAAGAAGCGAGATCCGATTTGTGCGAGAATAGAACTACCAACGAACATACGATAGCACACAGTTCATGCCGCAAACGAAGAGACCGTTCGTAGTGATTGGCTCACATCCATCGCTCCCGGTGAAGGCATGACCGCGTCGCCATTGACTGGTGGAGTCGATTCTGTGCGTTGAGAGGCAACTGCAGCCCGACAAGACGAGCCTACTTCAGATTTCACTGTCCCGGCCCATGGTCAGTGGACTTCTCTCCCAAATCTTTATCCACTCACTATGTCTGTTGAGCGCATCTGTTCTCGAAAACGTCTTGTTGCATCCAGGACACACATGGGTTCCTTGTTTGGCCGTATGGAGCGCAGAGTGGCGCTTGCAGTCGTGCGAGCGGGCAAAGCCCTTGCCGCAACCGGGCCAGTCACAGACAAACGGACGTTCTTCTGTATGAGATCGCAAGTGGCCTGCAGGGACAGCGAGTCGTTTGTTAGCAAGAGCTCCACTGCGCCATTGGTCGAGAATGAAAAAAGAGGCTGCAAGCGAAGCACAAGACCCATGGCTACGCACCTCGGAGATTGAACCTTCGGGTAAACGTGCTCCCACATCCTGGAACGGGGCATTTGAACACTGCTTCGTTCTTCCTCCTCGTCGCGCTAGCGGCCTGAGTGGCCGTGGTCGTAACATGCTGCTTTTCTACTTGGAGGATCGGGGGGAGACGCATGGACCGGTACTGACCACTCCCGTCGGGACCACCACCGTCCGACTCTGGTGATGGACTGTCGCGCATGAGCATGGTCTGCGGACCAGGACCTGCAGCTGCTGCCGCACTCTGGCCAGCGGCCATGAGCGCCAGGGCTCGCGGGTCCTTTGCCATTTTCGCTCCAGCGGTCGCTGACGAGAGTTCATTGTCTCCTTCATCGTCTTGCACGTTATCGTGGTCGCTCAAAGGGCCAAACGTGTGGTGTTGTTGGCTTGTGGGGGACGAGTGTCCGTTGACAAAGGTGTAAGCGTTTCGCAAATAGTTAGAGTTATTGTAAGGTTGTATCAAGAGGTTGTTTGTGCTATACGGCGATGGCTCGCCCGACGCCATCAAGGCCATTGTCGCGCCGACGCTGTTGGGCCCCGTGTCGAGCGCTCCATCGACGTGGGGGACGCCAGAAGCACTCTCGAGACATGGATCAACTGCCACAGCGCTGAGCCCGTGCTCGGGGACGCCGTGGAGCGTGTGGGCGACGCCATGCACGTCGCCGTCGTTGGTGAGCTGCTGTTGCTTATGCTTGGTTATCAGGACGCCTTGTCCGCTGGACTGGGATCGCATTCCGGGCACACGAGTTGGTCTTGACCATCAGCTTTGGAATAATCGACGTGGGTGTCGGGGAGAGACTTTCGAAAAAACCACCTTTGGCATTCTCCAGCCATGTAAAATATTCACATTCCTACTCGAAATATTATCGTACAAGCATCTCACAAACTGGCTGAGTGCTACTCTATTGCAGCCTCGAGCCTTCGTCGCCTGATGAGCTCGGCCTCGTCCAACAAGCCTCTGAGCGGCTTGGTGGGCACTGTAGCAGGAGGAGTACCCACAAGTGTCTCTCCAGACGACACTACGACCTCCATTCTCGGCTTCTCCGTTGCAACAGAGCTAAAACTCGGAGGAGGGCTCCGTTTGCGTGATCTAGACGGCATGACCAGTCCCTCTGCTTCCGTCTCCGTCTCTGAAGACACGATAATCCCCCCAAGGTCTGGAGCTTGCCTCCGGGAGCTCGCCTTGAGTTCTGCTGTCGGCAATGTGGTGACAGTCCCCTTGGCCTTGTCCGAATAACGTCTCGAGGTGGGACTCTGTGGCGTCGGTGGAACCCTTTGTCCGTACTGGACAAATGCCCTATCGATCCACTGGCCCATTCGGACAATGGCTTCGACAGCCTCGCTCATCAACGCCGCCATTTGCAGATACCCATGACTCCATCCCTCAAACAGCTCCATCTGCACCCAATCATCCTCATTCTCTTCGAGAATACGTGTCTTACGCTTGTCAGCTGCGACAACGTCGTACTCATCCGCAGCCCTTCACCAAAGCGTGCGCTTTTGCCGGCGACCTCCATCTGTAGTGCAGCTTTGAGTGCGCGCTTCGCTTCTCGGACACGGCCAGCGAAAATGACAGTATCGTCAACGAATGGATCCTTTTCTCCACATGTCATCAAGATGGGCGGAAACTGTGCGAGCAGGGTCGATGGAGCGAGAATAGGGGAAATGTAATAGTCACGCTCAAAGTCTGGATTCGCGACCGGTCCCAGATAGAGAATGGCCATGGCTCGCATCTGCCACGAGCGGTCAGTAAAACACGTCTGGGTCCCCTCGAGAGCCACTCACCATGGCCGGTGTGATAATCCGGTCCGCAAAGAACCCCGAGCGACTCGTCATGGTCAGCTTTGTTCCTGCACCCGCGCGCGTCTTGCTAGCCTCCAAAGCCCTGGTCTTTTCCTCCTCCATAACGACTTCGAGCTCAGGTTGCCGCTCGCGCACAGACTCTGCAGTCCAAAGTACACGCTGTGAGATGGGCTTTTCGTGTTCCTCCAACGGATAGTACTCGTCGTCTGCATCATCATCCTGCGATGCTGGTGTCTTGTGTGGCCCAGTCCTCGCACGTTGCAAGGATGGACGGGCTTTGCCGCCACGTGGCGTAGTCTCCCCTTCGTCCAATGAGCTGGATGATAGTCGGGACGCAAGACCTGTGAGGGAGAGGCGACCCCAGCTACCCTTTCGTCGTACTCGGCGAATGCTCACGTCTCGAACAGTCGCCAATGGCGATCGATGATCCGTGTGCGCCTTGGATTCTTCGACACCCTGGATATGGCCTGATGACGCTTCGGCGCGAAGGACTCGCAAATTGGCCGGAGTCATCCACGATCCAAAGTTGAAATCGAGGCAGCTACATACGTGAGTGACGAAGAATCAGGAAAAGCTCTACTCACGCATAATTGAGAACCAGTGCACATGGTTGTTGCATCTTTGGGGCAGTTTCCAGCAGCTTGAACATTACGCCACAAATGATATTTGCTCCCCTACAGTGCCGTTGAGAGACAGTAAAGAAGAGCTAGAATTACGTACGCGGAGTCTCCCGTCATGATAATGTTTAGGACCTTGCCCGACATTCCAATAGCAGCTCCTCGCGACTCGGCGAGCAATTGGTAAACATCAAAGCATTCTTCAATGGCACATGGGTAAGGATCTATACAGAGTGAGCGCTTAAACCATGCGGGGCTACGTGACGTACATTCTGGAGCCTTGCCATAGTCGATGGAGAGCACAGGGCGACCGGATACAAGCGCCCATCGACGAAGTCGTTCCTCGTGATGTCTTGGTCCCAGGCTGACGAAACCACCTCCAGGGATATCGAGTATTAAGTCGGTCGTGTTCTCCAGCTCGTGTTCCGGACGCGCGAAGAAGAGCCATGCTTTGACTGGCTTTCGAGAATGAGACTGTGCGGGCCTTGGGAGGAGTATCTGTCTCGCGACTGGAAGACTAGGGCGGTGGAAGTACGTAAAGGCGCGAAGCTACAGCAGATGAGCAGAGGATTTTTAGGGTCAGGGGCACCCACATATGGATTCTCCATCTTCTCCCACGTCACTCGAAGCGTCTCGACGGTACACGTGGCCCGGTATTTGCGAAGCTGATACAGAGAGGTGAGCATCATAGTTTTTGATGAGCGGGAACCGCGTACCTTTTCGTCTGCAGCATTTGCGTAAAAGAGATAGTAGAGCGAGAATAGAATAGAGCAGATGTCTCGAAGAGGCTTTGGGTGAATGTTCATGGCCTGGCAAAAGCCAACATCGAGCGCGGTGGCAACATAGGTCGCACGGTAGTAGGATCGTGAGTACTGCAAGGTGCGTGAGTTTTTACGGGCGATTGCTAGCAGTAAGAGGCCGAACAAGCCTAGCGAGGGGCTCGGGAGCTGAGGGTTTGTGAGACGCCACCCGGGCTAACGTTATTAGACCTCACCACCGAGTCCTAGAATATTATCCAAGTTCCGTGCGGCATATGCAATCGTAAACGAGGACAGGATGATCTGCCAGGGCGAGAACCGTTCTAGAGGGCATTCACCGGTGATCAGACACGGGTGGGTGGGTTCAAATGGCACACACTTAGAAATCTGTTGATCTTGGCTATAAATTCAGGACCGGGAGGGTTCCGTGGACCGTTTGCGATGATGCCGACCCAGAAGAAGAGGACGAGGAGCACCTAGAGCCATCCATCAAGGTCTATTCGCTCTACAATATCCTATACTTTACCTGTGTGCGCTTCCAGGACTCGCTGGGACGCCCTAGGACATGATCTATCATCGTAGTTGCTACCAAACGATCGTGTTCACGTGACGGGTGTCCCCCCCGTGATTGTCCGGCATTCCGCTCTCGTCTAGGAATTACGCAAAGTCCACTTACAGTGGCTAAACTCGAGAGTTTAGAGTTTGTTGGGATTCCTGGAAGAGCCCGAGTCGTATGCCCTTGTGACCGACTGAAGAGACACCGGAACTCGCACATTACAGCATTCCTGCGGCCATTTTAGTCTTCTAGAAACAAGTCTGGCGATCCACTTGCCACCAGCCGCGTTGGTTTCTCCGCAAGTCGGCTTATCGGAGCCTCGTCTTTGCTCCTCGCCACGACGCATCTACTCCTCCAAAATGTCCGTTACAAAATCTGAGAGCTCCTTTGATCATCTTCCTATCCAAGAGTTTGCTCGTTTGAGCTCTGCTGCTACAGGCAAGTCGACCTTGCATGTCTACAAACTCGTCTCTCACCCATTTGGTCGCTAGAGATTTCGTCCGTCGCCCTTGGTGGCCGTGTTCTGTCTGTCTCAGATGACTTCTTTGCAGAGGCTCATCATCTCCTCTTGGTCGAGGTCAGCTCTGACTCTTCACGACCCTTTGACGCATTCCAATCCATTTTGTAGCCCGCTCCTTCGTTAAAAGGTCAATATGGACCAAAAGGTGCCCTTTTTAGTGGCTGGGAGAGTCGTAGACACAATCCAACCTATGACTGGTCTGTTTGCAGTTCCCACAGAAAAGTTTCGACTCACAGGGTATAGGTGTATCATCCGGCTCGGGATCCCGGGATTCATCCTCGGCTTTGACATTGACACTTCTCACTTCAATGGCATGTCGGGCTTTTATTCTATGATCCGGTCACTAATGCTAATTCCGTCCAGGCAACGAAGCGCCACAGTCATCTGTCCAGGCGCTATTTTCGACCGATGCCGCAGATCCAACGCCAGAAGACGAACGTGTATGTCCCTCAAATGTTCTCATTACTTGTTATTAATGTAGGCAGTGGGTCGAGCTACTACCAAAAGTGAATTTGGGACCGAGCTCTCGCCATTTGTTCACCATTCCACAAACAGATAAAGCCTACAGCCATGTAAAACTCAACATGTACCCAGACGGTGGAATTGTGCGTCGATCGCTTACGGATATATCTTTCTCCCACTAACCGGGTTGTAGGCGAGATTTCGTGTCTATGGCCTCGTGTCGCCCATCTTTCCACCACTCACAGAGACGTTTGACCTTGCTTCTGTCTACTCTGGAGGGCGTACTGTACTGGTTTCTGACCAGCACTTTGGTGTTGGTTCGAACTTAGTCTTGCCTGGACGAGGTAATGTTCTAGTCTGTAAGTCTCTCCACCGCATTCTAACATTCAATTTCAGGAAAAGATATGCGTGATGGATGGGAGACTCGAAGAAGTCGAACGGCCGGTCACAAAGACTGGGCGATAATAAAGCTGTAAGCATGCCATGTAAAGTCTAATATGCCAGCGTGGATATAAACTCACGATATTGCACATAGCGGTGCACCTGGCTATCTAGAAGCTCTCGAAATCGATACGGCAAACTTCATGGGTAACTATCCTGAGAGCGTCGAGGTTCATGCTGCATTCTGCTCGACGGTACGTCCTGCTCCCACCAAATGCAATCGTCATATCCCGCTAACATATTCTAGGATATCCCAGACGTTGGCGAGGAGACGTGGGTACAAATCCTCAAACGCACCAAGCTCGGTCCACACCGTCGCCACCATTTCCACGTCGAGAATGCGGACGACCTCGTGTTCTCGCACATTCGCGTCACGATCCATCCCGACGGTGGCATCAAACGTGTTCGTGCTTACGGTAGACGCGCGCAAGCAGAAGAAGGCGAGACGACTATTGACCTCGAGTCAAGCACCGAAGAAGCAATTGAAACGCCGACAGATCGTCAGAGCCACGCTCATGACGACTCGATCCCCAATGGAGTTCACGTGGGTGGCAAGCTCATTCCGGCACTCCCACTGACACCAGAGGGATTTGCACCGTTCGGACATGTTGTACAAGCGTATGATACGCCGGAAGCCGCACCGCGCGGCGTTAAAGTCACCGGTGCTAACCAAGGCTCTGCCATCAAGTATCACGCGCTCGCGCCCGTCAAAGCAAGCTATCCATCCGACGTGGAAGCCAAGACGGCGTTGTCGGTCTACAGAGCGAAACCGATAGACGCGCGTGTGGGAGAGTTGTTTGATGTCAAGCTCCTCGAGCGCCATCCATGCACGAATCAGGCTTTTTTCGCGTTGGGCGCCGGCACGGGTGTTGGCGAGTACTGCCTTGAGAAGCAAGGCAGAGCGTATTTGGTCATCACAGCGTTGAATGGACATGGTGAGTCGCGTGTCTCAGCGGGTCCGTGACGGTTGCTAATTGGACGTGACAGATGATCGTCCGGATTTGTCGAGCTTGCGAGCGTTTGTGGCTAGTGTCTCACAGGGCGTCGTGTATGACACTGGTATCTGGCACCACCCGCTGATATGCTTGGAAACGGTGAGCGCGTTCTGGTTGATTTACATTCACTGACAGCCAACTAGAGCATTGATTTCGCCTGTGTGGAGACACAGATAGGAGGGCATCCATTGGACTGTGAAATTGTGGAGTTGGACGCCTCGGCTGGACTTCCTCGTGTTCAAATCCCCAAGTTTTAGTCACATATCTATCTCTGCATAAACCCAATAGATTTATTTCTTCATACAGATTCGTTATCGATGTCACAAGTGTATTGGGAGATTTCGATGTGGAATAGAGTATAAAAACAGACTTGTCGTCTGAAGCCATATCGAATATTGCGCAGAATAGGAGAAAGGTAGTTGTAACCTTTCCTCCATGTTTGAAGTATTTCTTGTGCATCTTTGGGATACACAGGAGCCTGTATATAGAGATGCCCTCCCGGTCTGTCACTGATGGCTGATAGGGACAGCTGCCAAAGTTTAGATGCCCAATACACCTGGAGCATCCTGTACTAATGAAAGGTGTCAGCGAACTCCTGATTAGTCGACAGTTGCTCACATAGCAGGATCGAGCATGCACTCGAGATTACCAAGGATTGATAAATAAAAGTTCGGTGGTCTCGGAGTAATATATCCCCGAACGAGACTGGATAACGGACGAACGATAGAGGAGGGGATAGGTCCATGAAATATAACTCGTTTCAGAGCACAAACTCCGTCCTTTGCAGCCAAAATACGGTTCTCCACCATGATAAAGAAGATGTCCCATTCGGGTGCTTCATAAAGTTCGAGTTCGCGGAGTGCTGGTAGACTGTGTGGACGACAGGCCATATCATGGCAAATCACGGGGATAAAGTCGGGATGAGATAGTGTGAGAGCAAATAAATTTGTAAGGTCCAAAGATATGCTCATCGGAGAGACTCTCGTATGACCACCGAGCTCCAATCTCTCAAGTCGCCGCCAGTGGTTGTTGGAGAGGGACAATGTGTTCACATCGTCATTATTGTTTGCTAGTTCGAACTTTAATTTAATTGCGTCCGAATGAGCAAATGAAATGAGGGCCTTTGTCGATCCCGATACAGTAAGGGACTAGATGCCCTCAGATGTGGTCCACTGAAAGTTGCCAGGACATGCTATGTTTCCGACGAAGATGTCTGTAAGATGCTTGTTTTCCTGAAGAATATTCAAATCAAATTCGTGCTCACGTCCTGAATAGAGCTCGAATCCGTGGAGTTTGGGAGCAACTCGAAGGAAGGCTAGAACTACAGGCTGAAGAACGCCAGGTAGAGCATCCGTGTAGTATGTGAAACCTAGGCGACGAAGAGATTCCGAAAAACAGTCGGGTATGTCTCGATAGTCTTGTGTCATTAGGCGAGTAGTAAGGGTAAGCCTGAGGTTGAGGTCGTGGAGAGAAGGAAGTTTAGGGAGTAGCTGGATGCATTCTTTAATGTCTGTCGTGTCGACCTCCATCCAGAGGTTGACTATAGTTGATGCTGAACGGAAAGCAAGTTGCGTGCCTATTGCCAATGGCATTCCGTGGCAAGTTAACTCTCGCCATGCTAGCTAGCATACCATCGGACATATCCTCAATAGTGCGATTTATATTTTCTTTTAGGGTGGAATCGTCCATATGGGTCTTTCTGCACCTGATGGAAACGCGCAAAAGAGACTCTTGAGATTCTGTCCACCGCATAACTGCACTAGTATCCATCAGTGAGTCAAGATCAACTTCGAGGCCGGTAATGCGAGAGTTTTCGATTTCAAGCACGAAAACTCGGCACCCGCCACCGATCGAGTCGGCAATACCACAGGACGATAGTGCTTGATGCCGCGAGAGGAACTGAGGCAGAAGAGGTCTAAGGCAATCAAGGCTTCTGAATTCCACAGAGGTCACTGAAGGGAAAGTGAGCGTTAAGATCGCCCAATCTTCATCAACCGTTTGCATGTACCAATACTTTGTGACCAATGTAATGCGATGAAGATGAGGTTGCAGGATGGGAAGTATCTGCAGAAGACTCTCATCTCCGTGATAATGTGTCAGCGAGAGTTCCAACTGCCCAGAGAAGTGCAAGCCGATGGCTATGGTAGCCTGAAGGTCCGGTATATTATTCGCGATGCTGAGTGAAGTCCACATCAGAGGAGTATTGAATAGTATAGTGCTCCATCGTGAGCAAGCATTTCCAAGGAAAAGATTCACTCGTGCGGGGACTCTATATACATCGAACCATTGAGCCTCACGGAATATTGCGAGGAGTATCTCGTCTGGTAGATCATCGATCGTCGTCTTCGCCGTTTGCGTAGAATTCACACGTTCTAAATGCTTCATTATGTTGTTATATTGCCCTAAAATATCCGGATTTATCTTTGATACGTTGCCAGAGTTATCGTAAGTGGTATCAATAAGACGCAGAAGCTCGATTCGCCTTCTTTCAAGTTTCATGTCGTCTTGCATCATGAAAGAGTCCAAAACTGGTTTATCGCTCATGCCGTACTGGTGCTCGAGACCTTATACACTTTGCCATAAGGTCAAAGTTCTACCAACAACTCGGCTCCAATGATACGTTATCCGTACCATTCGTTCTCCTTCTGCTTCATTGGAGATTCCTGTAAAATCTAGCGCCAATCATATTATGCAATTATCTGCTGCTAAGTCAATAGAAATGAATTTAATGACTATATAAGGTATACCAAACCAAAGCGGGAGCTATTGCTCAAGGGTCGCGTAGGATTGAATTATACCGAGAAGTTTGGAGGAGAAGCCTCGTGTTACAATGTGTCAAATCTCAGTCATGACAATGCCCCTCGGTTTGAATGGATGCATCTTCCTAACCATCAATGGTAGGTTGGATATTGCCATTTGAATGCTTGAGACCGGGTTTGCAAGAGTGTGATCCGAAATAATCGGATCTAACAACCATGAGCCTTAGTTTCTATGACTCTGTGGCGTCGTGAACCAGCAGTTCATGAGTCAGCGACAACCATTGACAGTTGGCAAGAGTAAATGGATATTAAGGGGAAAGAACACACTGCTACTGCTCACGAGGAACTGGCTACGACGTTATTCTGAATATAGAGTCCGCCGAAGTGGGGCGGGACATGATATAGGTGCCGAATCTTCGGGACGAGGATTTGATTGCCAAGGGTAATCTTCGGGTATTACTAACACGCCTATGTTCCTCTTAAGGCTAGCGTTTACCAACCTCGGAGGGGGTGGCTTGAGAACGCGTTGAGCAACTTTTCATATACCATGAAGTTACATCCTATAGACTATATGTTACGGAATTCGCGGTAGTGGGATCGCGGCGCCTAATGCTGTGTGTCCCACGGCGTTGGCTGAAACATCAAACCAGCACAAGACTCTTGACCCGGACCTCGTATCCCACCGGATGGAGGAAGGCATATGAACAGAAGTAGTAATCGCTTGTATGGTCAATTAGCAGAGCCATCGGTGAGAGAGAGATATCCTAGCAGGCTCTGCATGTGCACGTAGCACCGCGACAAAGCTCACTCTCAGGTTTCCACATATTGGTCAATGCAGATACATTGTACAGAATCGTAAAGCGAATATGAACAACAACATCAGCGATGGTGACACGAGGACGACGTGACGGAAGACTACAGCCCGAGCATGGGAGAGGGAAACACGACAAACGCGAAGCCGACAAACCAAATATGTACGGTAGACGGGGGGCTCTATACGATAAAAGAAAGGGACCTGGCGCAGCGTCTAGACAAAGCTTGCGTTTGCGTATGCCCATCCGAGGCGGATGAACTGGTGCCAATTGGCAGGCATAGCGGTCCATTCATGCGAGACGGCGTCATGCTTGGTCTCACGGGATACAGATAGCGAAGCTGACGCTCGTGGTGGAACGAGCTGCCATGCAGACCACTGGAGTTCGATGAGATTCAACGAGCCGCCGCAGGGAGTCGCGTGATCATGCAAGGTTGATAATGTAGAATGGTATGCGAGAGCCTCTGCGTTGACTTTGGATTGTCCCATTGTGAATGGCAAGGAATATGCAAAGGACAGCGTGTGGAGGAGGGGTAGGTGAGAGAGAGCATCGTTGAGAGACGTCGAGAGATCCTGAAAAGCAACGGACACGTCAGCAGGAGCAGACAGCAGTTTTTTCTAAAAAAAGAGGTGCTTACCCAAGTAGTTTCCATTTGCTTCTCTCCGGTGGCTGTCGACTGCGAGCTGCGGGCGAGAACGTCGTAGGAAGTAGCCATGAAATCTAGTACTTGCTCCTCTGGTGAGCACGGATAGACGTGCAGACCCAGCAAACGTAGCGTGGGTAGTCGTCGGGCAATTGTGGATGCCATGGCGCTTGCCTCGTCAGCCGACCGGCATTGCAGTCCAAGCTGAAGCTGCTCGACGTCTTCAATAGATCGGGAGTCTGCTTGTGATTGTGGCACAAGCGCGTTCAAGAGATTGTCCAGAGTTGCCGCGTCCAAGGGATGCTGGAAATCGATTCGCAAGACCGAAAGCGGTGAACGAGCGCTCGGGGTTTGTAATCCTCGATCAATAGCGTGTATTTGGTCGTGATCCATATCCACGTCTTTCCCATTCCAGTCGACAGAGGACGGTAGGCGGTCGTTCCCGCGCATACCACCAGCGTCTTGGTGGTGGTGTTGCTGTGTGATCGGTGTCGATGAGATGCTATGACGCGCGCCTAAAACCCATAGTGCCGTCTGTGTGTCGAGGACATTGAGAGCGGCTAGATTGACGAATCCTTGCGGCTCTGCAGAGATTGGTTCGAGATTGGAAAGTGCTCGGACGAGTGCACGTTCAATGGGTATGCCTAGATTGATTTCGAGCGACACGAGCCCACTCTGCATTCCGTTGAGCGCCCGCGCTAGCAATACAACGCCGTCTTGGCCAAAACACGGCAGCCCACGAATCGCGAAATGACGGACAGAGCGTGCGGCGGATGGTCGTGTTGCCAGAGTGTGGATGAGTCCCCATTCGCTGCTGCCCGAAGTTGCCGTTGCTGGGGTCGATAATGTGGCCTCGTGTAGATATACCGCGTCTGGAGGTGAGTAGAGCTGGATGTGTTGGAGTGTGTGGTACAAGGCCCGCTCGCAAAGCGCGTGCAAGCGGGAACACACGCGCATAACCGGCGGAAGGCATGATAACGGCAAGAAGGACAGGATGTGGCTTAGCGTCTCGTTTGGGAGTGTGAAGAGCATAGACAGGCTGCGGTCTCGACCGTGAATTGCCTCGAGCGGACGGGATTTGAGAACATCCGGCGTCTTTACCCGAGCTGACGGTTCGCTGGACCAGAGGTCGTGGTGCATCCCTCGACGAGAGCTGCTGAGAGGAGACGAGGGCGTCAAGGGAGTCGGGAGCTGACTAGTAGTGTTTAGTCGTTCTAGCGGCGAGGTCGGAGGAGTAAGAAGCACTGTGTACAATGCATTTGGCTTGTCATTCTGAAGAGACGCGCTCATCCTGTTGTCGTTGCGGAGATGGCTGCACGAGGCACTCTGGGATATGCCGGACATTGTCGGTTTATATACCGGGGCAGAATCAAAGGTGTGGTCTAGTTTGCGTGAAAAAGCCAATGCCCGGTCGTGTCTCCCCTTGGAGGCAGTCTCACTGGGAGCTGCTGCTGATGCCTGTGGGAGCACCGACGGCGGACGGCAAGCACTAGCAACCACGCTACAGCTCTCTCCAGCGTAATCGGCGGACGGACAGGGCAGTGGCCAGCGGTGCTGGGCCACGATGGGCGAGATTGGCGTCGGGAGCGCCGTGGACGATGCAAGCAGCCTGGGAGTCGTCATCTGGATATGGTATTCGAGCGTGGACGAGACCAAACGCTTAGAGGGGCTGTGGATCCCGTGCGAGCATGGGCATGATTCAACGGAGATTAAATTTGGGTGCAAAATTCACAGAAAATTTGTCAGAAACACCCCGATTAACGTCACAACAGATGACTTGCCTCGAGCGCGCCCCGACCTCTGCGTACACCCTCGTCGCTGCACAACATGGACAGCCGTCGTAGTGGACGTTGTCAAGTCGCGGAATGCTCAGAGTTGGAAGGGCACTTCTTGTAGCTGTAGCCATGCTGTTTCCTGCTGTCGTCTGGCCTTTGACTGCTGGCCGCGTCGTTGCAAACTGAGATTAGATTATTTCGACGAGGCAAATGGGGAACCAACAGACCAGTCTCTGCAAAAACTTCGTGGCAAGAAAAGGGATTTCTGAGCGCTAACACGGCAATTTTATGCGCAAGAGCCCTCTTCCGCATCCGAACGCTCCTCTTGTAGCGCCCAATCAACACCGCCCTTGGCGATTGCCTCAAACATGTCGCTCAGAAATCCCCCGGAGATTGATCACATGCAAGATAGAGATCAGGGACAGAATGCAGACAGTGACCAAAGACGCTATCTAACACGAATTACTAAGACCGATAACTACAGAGTTCTCTCCGAAGTAATAATGACCACCCATAACGAGATGAAATTATCGAGAATCCAAACTCCAAAACAGGCTTGACTGGGCGCTACCGAACAATGAGCGCCTCACCCCCCAGCGAGCGCTCAAGATGTCAACGTTGTCGACTCCCCCTTCCCTGCGCCAAAAAGCACCGATGAATGCGAACCACCGACACTTGCTAGAGGTTTCCCAACGTGGCTATTTGATGCGCCTCTGGCCCCGATCGGTCCCCCTTTCAAAGAACGCCCGTCCGTAGCTCTTTTTTTCGCTCCCACCCGACATGACTTCTAGTGGCTGATGTATTGGAACACAAATGACACCTCTGGCAGGCCCACTTCTGCACGCAGTAGGTCGTCGTGGTTGTTCTTGAGCTCGCCATTTGTAAAATGATTCCAGGTACTCGCGTCTCCATACAATAGCGCTGGCGCCTTGACGTGTTGAACGCCATCTTTGCATCGTTTGCATTTAAACGTGTCATGTGTATCCGAAAGCGTCGTTTCCGTAAACTCGAAGAGCTTGCGGAGCATGTCCAATGAAAAATGTCGTTCGGTATCTTCCTTTTCGTCCACGACACAAGACGAGAGCGCTTGTTTCTGTGCCTGCCGTTGGAAAATCTTCTCCTCGATGGAGCCCGTCATCACGAATCGGTAAACGAAGCCTGTTTGCACCGCGTGAGATGGGCGCTTCAGACATGAAACCAGGCGGCTCACATTCTTTCTTCTGGCCATCACGCCATACACGCGCCAATGCCTGCTGATCCGCAGCCGGGTTCCAATCTGTTCCGTCCCTTCATGTCAGCTCTCCCGGAAGTACGCGCTCAATCACCGGTGCTTACCAGGATCAAAAAGGATCAGTCTGTTCGCTCCAATAAGATTTATCCCGCATCCACCGGCCTTGCTACTCAGCAAGAAAATAAACTCCGAGCCCTCTGGATCATTGAACCGATCCACAAGTTTCTGCCGCTTGCTGATGCCCATCTGACCATCGAGCCGGAAATATCCGTATCTAGACCATATTCAGCCATGACGAAATTGCTACATTTTAATAGCAACGCACCCTTTTGCCCGACAAAGTCGCTCCATGAGATCTAGCGTGGCCGTATAGTTGCTGATCAGTACAATTTTGTCCGTGGTCTGCGTTTTGATGTGATGAAGCATGCGTTCTAGAACAATAAATTTGCCGGAAAGTTGGCAATCGAGCATTGCTGGCGCGCGCTCCCTCCCACCAAGATTGCGCGTCGAGTTACCCATTCCGTAGCCCGGAGGAAGCAATTCTTCCGAACCGGCAAGCTCACCAGGAAGATCCAAAAGCTCTGGGTGATTGCAAAGCTTCTTTAGCAACCCAATGGCTTTGAGAGGTTGTGAGCCCTTGCCGCGTAAGAGACTCTTGATTTCGGGAGAAGTGATAAAGAGTCGATACAGGGCCAACTGAAGCTCGGAGGGCCGGCAGAATACAACTTGCTCGTACTTGATGGGCACTGTAATGCCTGTAAGCTAACTCGTGTGTGGCTCCACCATCGGGACACGTACAGTATTTGGAAAGCAGTTCATTTGTCCGGCGAATGATGAATGGCGCAACCAGTGCACCCAGCTCCTTGAGTTTCGCCTCGCTCGCGTCTTTGACCGCGTCCGTCGCGTCGGCATCGCGTCCTCGGATAATGGTATTCTCAAAATTCTTTCTAAACTCGGCCTGAGTTCCGAGGTAATTGGGATTTGCAAAGTTGAGAAGCGAAAAGTATTCCGAGAGATCGTTCTGGATGGGTGTTCCGGACAAGATGACGCGACGCTGGACTTTGAGGCTCGTGAGTATCTGAAACGTCTGTGACTCTCCATTTTTGAGGCGATGACCCTCGTCGCAAATGAGCAGCCCAATTTCGCAGTTGGCCAATTCTTGTGCCAATGTTCGAAGCGTCTCATAGGAGCAGATCATGACTTGGCATACTGTTAGTTCGAGCTGCGTCGGTTTGATATGCTCGTACCTGGAAGCGTGACGTTACGACCACGAGCAGCGACCCAGCGCCGAACGCCTTCAATGACCTCTGCCTTCTTGCCACGGCCATCCAACGCAAAGCAGCCAACTGTGCCCTTTCCAAGCCATTTGTCTGATGATGGTTAGCGAATGAAATAGGCGCTCTGGTCACTTACCCAGTTCGTTTGCCCAGTTGCGGACCAGACTGCTGGGACAACTGATGATGCACTTTTCAATCGTGGGTTTTCCAGCATGCGGAGATTGCTTGAGAAGGGTCCATATCAAAGAAATGGTCTGAAGCGTCTTGCCTGTAGCATGTGAGCCGAGACGAGGAAGGACCTAAAGACATACCGAGTCCCATGCCATCGGCCATGATACAACCGTATTGATTCTCAACAACCATTCCAGACGTGCAGCGATAGAGAAACTAGGAAATGTAAGAAATTTTCACACGAGTAAATGTTGTAGATACCTTGACGCCCTCAATTTGGTGAGGTCGAAGGATTTTAGAAAGGACAGGATCAATCACGACGGGAACCTTTTGAGAAAGCTTTTTGCGCGTTTGGTCCTCTCCAAGAAGCTCTCGGAGGCTCTTATGGGGATTGTAGAGGCCTTCAATCTTGGCCCTAGCCGCCTTTCGTTCTTCTTCCTTTGCTTCCTCTCGCAGTCGTTCCAAGCGCTCCTCGTCCGATTCACGATCGTCGATTGTGGGGTCGTAAAGAACGATGGAATGCTCAGCCATAGGATCATGTAGCGGGCGAGGCAGGAGTTTGACGATTGGTCGAACACCTAGTGCGGTACCCGACAGGCCAACGCTGATGTACTTGCCATCCTTGGTCTTCATCCCTGGAATGGTGAACCGCTGAGCAAAGACTTTATCGCTCGGTTTGGGCTCGTAGACTGGGAATGACTTGTTGATGTTGGGTGCGCGTTCGCCGAGCGGGTCGTCCTCAAACTCGTCATCCTTGTCTGTCTTCCGCTTCTTCCGTCGATAATCTCCTTCTCCCTCATCTTCTATGGCGTTTTCTTTGTACGAGACACGCTTCCGTTTGCGCGTCGGCTGCTCGCGCTGCTGAAGAATGGCGGAAGCGGGCGTCTTGAACGGCTGGGCGAATTTCATGTCGCGTATATGAGCGAGAGCAGGATCCTTGTGTCGATTTGAGCGGTACATAATGGTCCAGACGCGTCTCAAAGAAGGGGTCGCGAAAGGTATTTGGTCAAACACGAAACTTTGTTTGGCCACAAACAAAGGACCACGTGAAGTTTGCCACACCGCAAATAAAATAAATTCTATTGACTGTACAGTTACAGAATCCAGATTGACAGTCACTCAGGAGGTGCGACCATTGGTTGGCTCTAGAGACCGCTTGGCTTCTGATGCGACTGCGAGGTATCGTAGGCACGGATCAGTTTGGCTTGGTCCTGTCGACCAGCGTCTTCTGTCTGGCTAAACGCAAACCCACGATTACGCCGCATCCGCTGCACCGCGCGGACCTTTTTGATCGCCTTTTGGAATCTATGCCATTGTTAGATATGGTTTACTCCTTCAGAGGTACACTTACTGTTCCTGCCGCGGGCGATAATCCGGAATATTGTACTTTTGAAGCTCTTGGGCAATATGGTAAGAGAGCGGCCGATATGTCCTTCGCCAGCTAGACGAGATCAGTAATTTGTAAACCATACAGAGATGGGTACCCACTATTTCCACACAAAGTCCCGCACGAGGCAGACAGCCGGCAAGAGGATGAGTGTAAAGTAGAAGACGCTATTGGTCCAAAGTTGGGGAACAAGGCCGTCGTACTCGGTCGAGAAGTTGAGCATGGGTGCAATCCAGCAGTAGAGAGGAAGGAATATCATGGTGAAGACGAATGATCCCGGAATCGCGGCCACAGTGTATTTTGTCCACAGGCTAGCAGTAATGTCAGCCCATGCGAAGTCAGATATATCAAGACTCACTCAGATACAAGTGCTGCTTTGCCCAATACTGTCAAGAGGACAGCGAGGTATAGCGTAGTGCCCCAGAACCAATGGCCAGAGTCGAACCCATTCGACTCTTTTAGATCACCCCAGAACAGGATTATAGAAAAGCCATAGAGAATCTAAAGCAAGTTAGCCGACTTCCTTGGGAATTATTCTCTACATACTATACTGTGGTATAGCGCGTTGATAATCCACATCCAAAACGCAGTCTTGGTGAAGAAAGTATTCTTTTGTCCCAACATGTAGAGTTGAGGATAACGATCGAGCATGCGCGCCGAAACGAATTGGTCGAAGATGCCAATCACCAGTGGCGGAAGGACGGTAAAGAACACGTTGTAGAATGAAAGGGTCCATGATTCGTTGGCGATTTGTCCCGAAAAGTTGTTACTGAAAGAATACTAATGCCAGGTTAGATCCGATGAGCAGTCGACGTAAAACCGCATACCCAAAACTGCGTCATGTACAAGACAATGTTTTTGTAAAACGAGTCTATAGAAGGTCAGACTTTGCTATCGCCATTCGTACAACTTACAAAGGATGAGTTTACTGAGTCGCTGATAACTCCAGGAGCCATGGACCAGCAAAAGCTTCTTCAGATAACGGAATTGCGAAATGGCAACGTCGGCAGACCGTGCAGCCTGAAGTCCTTCTACACCAGAAATACCGACGCCAACGTGTGCAGCTTGAATCATGCTAACATCGTTGGCCCCGTCCCCGATCGCCAGCAGAATGGCCTCGGAGTTTTTCTTTACGAGCTTCACAACCAAAGCCTTCTGCAAGGGCGAGACACGACAACAGATGACGGCTTTGCAGAGGATTGCAAGTTCGAGGAAAATCTTGGAAAGCGGCTTTTCAAGTGCAAATGTCAGACTCTTCCCGTCTGCGAGTATATCAGTAATCATGACCAGCATCTTGACTAGCGACATACCGATGATGAGTGCCAAATCTTCTTGCTCGCCAGTATTACGTTGACTTTTAATAGCGTTGAGACGCTTCGTGAGGAATTCCTCTGTTCCTTGGGCATTTTCTTCATTGACGATCACCTGTGAAAAAAATTGAATAACGGTAATGACAAAAACAAGCCAGTTTACCAAGTTCATGGATTCAGATATCAGTCGACAAGACATTCCGATGTTGATAGCAGTCTCTTGGCGATCGCCAGTGAGCACCCAGACCTTGATCCCGGCCATCTGGAGCGTATGGATTGTATCCGGAACACCATCCTGTAGCTTGTCTTCAATAGCTGTTGCGCCAAGCAGGAACATGTTCTTTTCAATCATCTCCGCCGCGTTGTCCAATGCTTCGCCACGACCGTTGATAGTTTGCGCTGCCTTGTCGTAAATTTGGGACCACTCCCGATATTCCGACTCTGATATTTCCCGGGAAGCGATACACAGAGTTCGCAGGCCCTCGGTCGCGTATTCCTCCAGATGAACAAGGGTCGCTTCCGTGTAAGGTTGTGTAGGGCTCAAACGTTCGAGAATGACCGTATCCGCGCCCTTGCAGTAGAGCTTGATCTTTCCATCCGGACCTCGCACGACTGTCGACATTCGCTTCCGGGTCGAGTTGAATTCGCACACATTCAGGATCTCAAACTCCTGCGTGGTACCAGCAATATCAACGAACACCGACTTTGGCTTGCGAGTCTACGAAAGTGGTTAGCGACCATGACTGGCCGTTGTCGTGGTACCTACGTGGAAGCGATACCCCAAAAGTTCGGCACCTGCCACAAGTGCTGCTTCATCAGGACTGCTCGCTTGATAAATCACCTTGCCATCATCCTTGACTTCCGGAATAACGGTGTGACAGACAGCAAGCAGGGACAGGAACTCTTTGAGTACCTCGCGGTGAACGGCGTCCTCACGAGATCCAGCCTTGAGGCTAGACAGTTCCAGTTCTAGGTCCTTGAAAGACCTCCAGGGGCCGCCGCTGGCCTCTTCGCGTCTGGAATCATCGACCGTCTCTGCATAGGCAACACCCCCGACGCTACACATCTTGAACACCATTTCGTTGCATGTCAGCGTGCCGGTCTTGTCGCTAAAGATATACTCGATCTGTCCCAGCTCTTCAACCAAAGACGACGTTCTGCAAAGAGCTGGCGTGTCGGTCTTCTCATGGTACATGTCCAGATCGAAGTTGATGAGTTGCGCTTGCTGAAACTTGACGACCTCCATTGTCACAATCAGGCTGGACGAGGTGTTAGTGGTTGATGAGGAATTGTGACATAAAACCGCACGAGATGGGTATCAGATTATTATAAAGAATAATAAAGGTTAGGATGTCTGTCTAGTGATCAGATACCTTGCTGTTTAAGGACGGCATGCGGACCTTGCACAAATTGACTCGCTGGCGGCAGATTAGCACCAATAACAGCGCAGAATCGTGACTAACCTCGATTGGATTGCACTTCCTTCAAAAGGAGATACCATTGTTGGCTCGAGAAGAACCACTGAGCGACAATGAGTGAATACCCGACGAGAATGTTTAGACGTACCGATCGAACGGCACTTCCAATACTACTGGCCAAACTCAGTGCGAGGAGAACAGCGAAGAGGAACAAAATGTGAATGTTGACTTGTCGTTCGACCTTGGTCCTCTTGATAGGCGTTGCGGTGGCGTTCCGCATGAGCTTGGTATCATGACCCGTGAAAACGACAAAACCGTAGAGCCAAGGAGTATTGCGAACTTGTGCTCCACGGAGCAGAACTTGGTCAGGTCCCAAAGGTATTTGGCGTTCGCCAGTTGTAAATCCTGCCAACGGCGAGGGTTGAATCGAAAAGGTCCCCTCGTAAGTGTAAAGCGAGTTATTTGGGTGCTCAGAACGAAGCGTGCCCTGTAGTGCCAAGACCGATGAAGGGTTTGTCAGGTGAGAGGTTTGCGGCGAGGCTTGCTTGATCTTGAGGTTTGTTTCCCTGTACGATAATGAGCATACAGATGGGAGTATCAGAGTACGCACCCATCTAGATTGCTAGTTTCAATATAGCATAATCCTTCTGGTTCGCTGCTGGACAAGAGAATGAGGTCCGCCGGGATGAATTCGTTATTCTGTAGGCGAACAATGTCTCCAACACGAACTTTCCGCCATGGTCTCTCAACAAAGGTCCCAGTAGACGGGTCCAATACGAGTGTGCGGCGCGCATTCAGTTCACGGTCGGATTGATGCCGTTTCTAGGACGAGTTGTTAGTCGGGGCTACGGAGGCGGAGCCGAGTAGATAGTACCAGGTCCTCCTGGGTCTCCTTGATTGCACTTGCCAGCAGTACGATTGCCAACGGCGCGATGGTGGTAAACCGGTTTGTTGGTGAAACGCCGGGGATCTGCTGGATGAGGGCTAGAAGCTAGTGTCAGACATTTGGTTGTAAAGATAAAAGAAACAGACCAGTAAAGAGGAAGAACGTATTGGCGTATTTTGAGAATTGCTCTGCAATGAAGAAAATGGATTAGCCGAATAATCACGACGGTGTTGCCGAAACGCACCGAATAAAAACTTGGGGATGAAAGTCACGATATTATACTTGCTGGTGCTCACGTAGTTGGAGACGAAACCGGACTCGGCATTGGCACCTTCGTCGTTCAGAATGACGATGCGCTCGCCGACAAGTACCTTCTCCTTTTCCCATGGCCATTTCCATGTCTTCTTGAATTTGAAAGACCGCCGCTTTTTGCCTCGCTGGCCGCCGACACGTAGGCCTTCGGACGAGTCGTTTAGAGACCCGTTGAACACTCTCGAGCCAGAGAACGTGGGACCATTTCCACCGACTTGGAGGGTCGACGCATTTCTTGAAGGTTCATCCGAGTCGAATATCCATCCTTCCGGCTGGCCGCTACCATGAACAGAACGCTGCGATTTCGCAGAAGGCTCTCGTCCGAGCCGTGTAGGTTGTCCGTACGAGGTAATAGGCTCGTCGAGCGGATTAAATTCTGCGTTGGGACGTTGGTTAGCGTACGAAGGCCCCGAGGATCCTGCCTGATAGGCTTGGCGCGATGCAAGCCGTGGATCAGTTCTCGGGGTGTCGTCAAAGTCGTCAAGCTCGTCGTCAATGAGGAACGGGTTCTCGTGATTGAGCGAGCGCCGTGGGGGCTGCTGTGGACCGTTCGCAGGTTGGGAAGGCCGGTTCGCAGCGGGATTTGCAGAGGAAACTAAGCGTTCAAAGTCTGAAGACATAGATATCCAGTATCTCGAGGTCTATGGGTATTGTGAGCGGGCGAGTTCCGCCAGCGAATATCGCGATGAGGTCCAAGAGAATAATATTGGCCGTAGACTGCGGCATATGCACACACAGCCGGCCGTGGGTCTCCACGACACTGCGAGGCCAGGATTAGAGTAGTGAGCATACTAGACTCGGTGAAGGATATTCCGTTGGCTACTATTTGTCAGGCTGACTACACCAAAACTTGGACTCCTCCGCAACCCTCAGATCAGTCATGGCAACTACAATGCTGCAAAGCACGACTGGGGAAATGTTTGATGCATCTACAATGTTCACTTGCTTGAGCTGCAGCATCGCGTTTCCGTCGGCAGATGATCAGCGAGCGCACTATCGCTCAGACCACCACAGATACAATATGAAGGTGCGATAGAACTACTCTGAGATCGAACTGTACTGACGATATGCCTCGTAGCGACGCGTAGCATCATTGCCACCCGTTAGCGTTGCAGTCTTCAACCAAAAGGTGCTCGAGAGAAGAACCGAGACGGCAGTAATGTCTTCTACCAAGGGCTCTACATGCACTATATGCAAGTGCGTGTTTTTTCTAAGGCTCATGGACGAAAACTAATGCCTTTATAATAGCAAAAGCTATGGATCGGAAAACGCCTATCGATCCCACATCAACTCGAAGAGACATAAAGAAGCAGAAATAAAATACAATGCCGGGATCAAGGATGAGATGGATAAGGCCACCACCGAGAGTGCACAAACCGTAGAAGCGCCCGCTCCAAAAGTCTCTACACAAGCACGCCCAACTACAAACGAAGACGAGGATACCGAAATGTCAATCGACCAAAAGATCGCTCGGGCGCGAACCCGTCTCACGCCGTCGGACTGCTTGTTCTGCTCCGCTCGATCAGACTCACTCGCGTCCAATCTGACACATATGTCGGTCGAACACGGCTTCTTCATCCCCGATGCAGAGTATTTGGTTGACGTTGAAGGCCTCATCTCCTATCTGGGCGAGAAAATTGCCATCGGTAATGTGTGCATCTATTGCTATGGAAAGAGACGGAGACAGCCCAATTCGAAAGGCCAGTCAAGAAAAGAGGAGGCAGAAGAAGAGGTAACAGGGAGAGAGTTCCGTTCGCTCGAAGCGACACGGCGCCATATGCTTGACAAAGCACACTGCAAGATTGCGTTCGAAACAGAAGAGGAGCGACTCGAAGTATCAGACTATTACGACTTTACATCATCATATCCAGAGGCATCCCGCCGCAAGTCTAGAAAGACAAAGGCTGAAGAGGAGTGGGAGGATATGGATGGCGAGAGTGGCGGCGAGATGGATGAAGTGGTGGAGGACGACGAAGAAGATATGGACACTGACGGTGACGAACATTTACCAGAATCTGGAGTTCGACTTGGAGACACACCATACGAGTTGGTTCTGCCCTCGGGTGCACGAATCGGGCATCGTTCGCTACGACATTACTACAAGCAAAACTATAGAGCTTCGACCAAGGAGGAGACACGGTCGGAAGAGGATCCCAAGTCGGGGGCTGCCCTCGTTCGGGAACTGCTGTCCCAGAAAAATTCGGCGCTCGTCCCGCGAAAGGGAGGGTTCGGCGCCTTTGGTGAAGGTGGAGAAGTGGTCAAGGCGCGCAACCCGGGCGAGGCGAGGAATGCAGGCCGACACGTCAAGGAGTATCGGGATGTGAAGCGACGTGAAGAATTCAAGACCAGAATTGGATTCATTTCCAATAACCAGAAGCACTTCCGAGAACCTTTTCTGCAATGATCTACCTGCAACGTATATCAGTGTGGCTTTTGCATAGATGCTTCTTGTGTGGTCTCTTGCGTATCAACCAACATTTTCTCCGAGTTTCTCACTACAGCTTGAGGTCTCCAATGGGTCGCATTCAACGATTGAAATTCAAACTTAGTTACATCAAGTTTCGACCCGACAACATTCACTGGGGCTTGGCCAGAAATCTGATAAAACTCCAAATAGGAAGCAACAAACCAGTAATGGTACTGCATACTGTTTTTAGCTGACCGCACATCCTGAACATCATATAGAACAGAGCACGCAAGAAAAGCAGGTCCATTGCCAATGTAGCTGAGCTCAATGGGGACCAAAACACATCCACAAATCAAGATACATCTGCTTCTTCCACTACGATTGCTGCCTATACCCCTTCCACCGAGACTGCGGCTTCGCAGTTTGCTGGAAAGTCCCCAAGCGATATCCTCCTGCCATCCATGAGCGACATCGAGAAACTTCAAAAGCTTAAGGAATGGATTTTGTCTGATCAGCATCCCATGTTCACCAGCGCCCCTAAAGTGGCATACTTGCTTTCTCTGCGTGTGCCGGCTCCCTCGTGGTCTGCTGCCGACTCAAACGGATCTTCAAATTCACTTGGAGGGGATCAAGAGCGTCAAAGTGGTGCAGTTCCGCTTGCTGAGCGTCTGTCTTCCCCCAAGATGCAGCCGTATACAGGCGACGACCAACCTTTCAACGATGCATACGGAAATGAGGATCAACATGGGCAGAATGATCATCAAAGCACACCCTTTCAGGACAATCAAAACACTTCTGGTCCATACGAGGGCACTCATGGACCTCCTGGGTCTGATTCGTTTAATGACGTCGAAATGGCGGATTCACGAACACAAGGCTCTACTGGTCCTGTCCTCACTCCTACTCATACAGCACACCCATATCCTCGACACTATTCACGGCCTTCGGACGATCAGCGACGGTACGAGCAAGGAGAAGATGGGCGTCGCTCACCTCGCAATGATACGCGGCAATGGCAAGAGAGACGTGGACCTGCCAATGGCAACTACTCGCGTCATCCAGCTGGAGATGGCGGACGCTATCCTCCCGGAAACTACAGAGGTGGTTACCAGAATCATGGGGATCGTCGTTACTCTGGCAGTGATTATCAGCAGCATCCAAACCATCGAAACTATGAGTATGATCGGAACGCTGACAGGCGCCCAGACTACCAGTCAGATGATCGACACGGTGGAAGGCAGCAAGGCTATGGATCGCGTGGTGGATATTATCAGTCGTATGGTCCCCGGCAGACTTACGAAAGGAAGGGTGACTATAATCGTCCATCAGGTCGCGAGCCGTCTCTGCCATTAAAGACGGATGATTTGGATGGTGCTAAGCCCACTGAGGAAAATACCTCCCCAATGGAGGTTCAGGACGCAACAGAGAACAAAATGATGACTGATGACCAGAGCGCACCAGAGAAGAGTGGAAATTCCGCAAACGTCACTTCTCCACCGTCTCCATCTTCCGCAAACGGGGGACCACCTCAATCTGTAGGCGAAAGCGCAACCCTTCCCGGCCTCGGGTCACCCCCAAGATCTGAAGCTCAGCTGGAAAGTGTGCCTGGTGCTTCCGCACAGGACGAAAAGGCCAGTGGGACTGCTTCACCATCTTCACCCCTTGAAGGCGACGATGCTGGACGGGATCCCCAATATCGGGACCAAGACGGCAACTACAAATCCAACCCCGGCAACTACACAGGAAGAAACCAGGACTATCGCCGACAACCTCAGGATACCAGACCCAGGGCAGATAGCTATCAGCGTTATCCCCCTCATGAGCGAAGCTATGAGCGTCTTCCAACTCGTGATGACCGCACGTATCCACCCCGGGACACTTCTTACCGTCCGAATTACGCTCCTCCACCCGCCGATGGTCGCCGCTTTGTTCCTCGGGATGCAGGTTACGCCGACGAGCCATATTACAGAGGTCGTGACTACCGACCACCAGCAGATTGGGATACCAAGAGGCGTGAAAGCGAGCGGGTTCCAGACACTAGACTCTATGAGCGTGACAGAGAACTTCGCCCGGGTCCACCAGCTGCACACGGACCACCCAGACATGTCAGTACTCGGCCGTACCCGCCTGCTGTAGACAGAGACAGCGTACCCCCAAGGCAAGCACCTCCCCGAATGCCTGCAGAGGCATATCCGGTTCCTAGTCGTTATGATCCAGAGCCTTATCCCCTGCCGCACTCTGCACCACCGCCACCGGGATCGTATTCACGTATCCGTACGAGAAGCATGAGTCCTGTTAGACGCGACTACCAGCCGGAAGACCGTCCGCCACCGAAGCGGGTAAGAGGACCTGATGAACCATATGTAGCAAGCGTGCCACGACCTCGTACGTCTCGTTTATATATGTAACCACGCGCATTCTTCTGACTCGAGCTCCTCAAAGCTCAATATGGCGGCCAATACCCACCACCACCACAACGTCGACCTCAGGACTATCCAGATCGCCGACCAACTGGTGGAGCTCAGGCAGCTTACTATCGTCCAGACGACCGGGGCCCCCCACGTTACTGAGCTCGGAAACACAGCAAACACAATCTCATGCTCAATCTACTTGCATTTCCGGTTAGTTGTGACTGTGATGTAGGAATCGAAACAAACAAGCTTCTTTCCTGTTCGACGTACAACGTAAAGTCTAGACTGGAAACGAATTGTCCATAGATTTGAGACTGTGCAGCTCCTAAATACCCGACGAAAAGGAGAGTGGAAAGTATTTTGTTAAAGATAGCTATAGGGTATGGGCGAGGGTCGAGCATGGACGCTACTTCTCCGACTTGTCTGTGGGTAGCGTCGTCTGGTCCTCGGACGGTGGCTTCTCGATCCGTATCGCGGGTTCCTCCACGGAGTCTGGCTTTTCCTTCATGTCTGGCATGGACATTGGGCGTGACAAGTCTGGTTGAGGCGGTGGAGCGGTGGGTGTCGTCGGAGTGCTCCTCTTGAACGACCTTCGACCACCAGGAAGTTTGATTCCCAAAAAGCTGGGATGAGTATTCATCGGCTCTGGAGAGGTTGACATTTCCTCACGCCGGAGGAGCGTCGACATTGTCGGTTCTTCTTCTTCTCGAGACTCTCGTATCAGTGGCGGCGTGGACGGGAACGTGACGTGCGGCGGGCTCGGATGCGCAGAGTTGGTGGTCGGATGCGGCGTCGCGCTCGCATTGCTCGCAAGTCGCTTCCGCATTTGAATAGGTGAGTCACGCACGCTGCTGTTGTTTCCATTTTGAGAATACATCGTGCCACGATTTGAGTAGATGGTTGCACGTCGGACGACGCGCCCGTTTTCGTCGTATATCGTTTGGCGTCTGTTCCTCACAATAGTTCCAAAGGTACCCAAGCCACGGAGGGCGTCCATTTCTGATCGAAGATGAGAATACAGTCGGGAAATAGTAAATTTGAGCACTTACCAGGAACCTCGATGGCTTTCTCTGGGTCCTGATTCTCTGGGTTGTCGATTTCTTGTTGGTTCGCCGCAAGCAAAAGGTTTGTCTTCTCGTCGACCTGGAGTTTGCGAGGGTCGACCTTGGAGAGTTGGAGTAGTGTAATGCCGGCGCAAATGGTCAAGAAGGCAAAAACAAGTGTGATAATCTATACTTGGTGAGGAATTTAGTCTTTGACATCCATATTCGCTTACCGTGGCAGCGCTGGCCTTGAAACCTTGATAAAGGATCTACGAAGGGTGAGTATGGGTCTGATGAAGGATGTGCCCTCTTACAGCGCTCGTCACAATGACGCAGAAAGTGAATATGACCTAATCTGATGTCAGAAAAGCACTTAAGTATTGCAGTAGCGCACGTAGTAAGTCGGAGTGACCATGGCCGTGTTGAAGAGTGCGAGCCTTGTTGAGATAGAAGATCTGAGGAGAGATATAAGTGAAATATACAAAGGGAGTCACAGTACCTCTAGTAGAAGCATCACGATAACAAATGCAAGGAGAAAGTATGTGAACCACTGCTTGAATTGATTCTCGCCGCGGATTCTTGCCATGAAAATGAGTAAATTTTGATAGAGATGATATGACATACGTTGTGAGGATGGCCATTCCAAGTCCTTGGATGCATGAGACCGAAAGTCCGCCAAATAATGAGCAAATGACAATATAAACCAACATAGTCTTCTCTCCGTAGCGTGGGGCGACGAAGAATACCATGATCGTGGCCACGATAATGCATAGAGAGCCCCAGACTAGGAACCAAGGTGCAAGAAAGATCCCCTTAAAATCGTGGATCGTCGCGACGGCTTGCTCCTTGGGACCATTGAGAGCAATCTAAAGCACATGTGAATGACTTGGTTGAGGTGAGGGAAAACGCCGTACAATCGTCGAGCCAAATATACATTCCGCGCAAGCGAGCCAACCGAGTGTAGTGAGCTTTTCGCCGAGAAACCAGCTAGACATTATGGCGCAAACGACGACGGACAGTGCACCAAGAGGTGTCTATGAAACGTTGTCGGTCTATTTGTGGCCTCTAGGTGAGGAGCGTTACGCACCACGACGATGGCTTCTACAAAGGCATATGCGCCCTATAACGAGCGTTAATGCGTCTCGAATCTTCGTATCAAAGGATTCACAAAATTCATAATCTCTCCTGCGATCATCTTGGCAAGGCGTGAGCGTCGGTCGGATCGGGCCAGCTCTTGGTCACTCACCATAATCATGCCCGTCCACCAAACCGCGTTTTTGAGATACTCGACGCCTTCACCTGGAGCGTGTGTTTCTCCGCCCATGCTCTGGATGAGACCCTGAAACGACAAGGTCAGTCGACGGATTCGACACGGGTGCTGGCAACGACCCAACCTTTTTCTTGACTACAAAGGATGAACCTATGAGCAAACCAGAGCCAATGGCGAGAGCGATGCCAACGCTATAGGAGGAATGAAGTAGATAAGCGGCTTGGAATGGCGGCTTTGACAAGAGTCTAAAAAAGGACGTACGGACGATATTGCGGTGGGAGATCTGTGCCCGTTGGAGAGTGCGCCATGGCTGCTGGCTATGGTGGTCGGGGACAAGGAATGGCTGCTGCCTCCAGTGACGTCCTTTGACTCTAGCCACAATGTCACAACCCGCAGAAACACAGGGATATGGCTTTAACCATACAATGATCAGAGTAAAAGATCCAAAGGTGAGTACTCGAGCTCGGTACAACGCTGCTGCTGAACCGGGCTCGAAAGCCGTCTCTCGAGTTTTACCAGGTATGAACCGATTCTACCGCGTGAATACATTCTTAGCTTGTATCAGAATGTGCTGGGCATGTCCCTTATTCGCGGTGAGCACACGGCCTCGTTTGGGTGGCCTCTGTCCAGATGCTGAGCACAAGACGTGCGCGCAGAGAAAAAGTATGAGACCTTTACACTCTATTTCCTCGGCTACGATCGGGGAGGAGATTCTCTCAAGGAATCCCACATTATGGAGCGTGAAGGTTAGTATCGATGGGAGGCCTGAACCCGAATCCGTACAGCAGCGATCAAAGGACTGACATCAACTAGCCATCCTGGAGCTCACACATAACCATGGGACGGAGACGGATGAGAATTTCCAAGGATATGCATCTGGGAATACCGAGCCAGGAAGAGGATTTGGTCATATCGCCATCACTGTACCCAACATCCAAGAGGCCTGCGGACGCTTTGAGAGGCTCAATGTACCCTTTAAGAAGCGTCTTACGGATGGAAAGATGAAGGAGATTGCGTTTATTCTGGATCCAGATGGATACTGGGTTGGTGAGTAGCCTACTTGAATCTACCGTTCCTATTGACCAATTTGACATCAGAAATCATCCAAAAAGGCCTCCGACTCTGATCACTCGACGAGGTTAGCCCCGAGAGGAGAATCCCTCTGAGTAATGCTCACTTGTAAAGACAACAAGTGTGAATAAATGTTGTCTGCCATGTAATGTACGACTTTGAGAGTTGCGTCTTTGCTCAGCGGTGGCAGCCGGCCGTTTCGACCAAAACTTGAACCTCTTCAACGATGGCGGCACTCCGAATGCTCGCCAGCTCCATGCGAGTGGCCCGACCAGTCATCTCTAGGAATACACGCACATATGCTACAGCTGCTGACAAGCTCAAGCTGTCCCTCGTTGTTCCGCACCAGGTATGTAAAGCCCCAATGAGGATGCCAATCCACCACGAAAGCTCACCAAAGCGTCTATTTGTACTCTCTAGTCCCTTATTTCTGGCACTGAAGTCTCCCAAGTCAACATTCCAGCCGTGACGGGTGACATGGGTATCCTATCGAAACACGAGCCGGTCATCGAAGAGCTCAGACCTGGTGTTGTCGAGGTCAAAACACTCGATGGACAATCCAAAAATGGTTCGGTGCGTCTATATGATTTCCTGCCAATTTCGCTGGGCCCCTTGCTCATCCTTTTCTAGTTAGCGGCGGTTTCGCAACCATGCACCCACACAACGAATTGACCGTCAATGTCGTCGAAGCTGCTCCTCTTGAAGACTTTTCACCAGAGGTACGCATCCCGTGTGCATCCCCGCTTTGCAGCTCCCTCATGATTTTTCCCCATCCCTAGGCTGTTCGAGCAAACCTTGCGGAAGCTACTCGTGTTGCGAATGGAAATGGTCCAGAAAAGGACAAGATTGAGGCCCGCATAGAAGTCGGTGTCTTGGAGGCTCTCCAGTATGCGCTCAAATAGACGATGGGATATTCTAGACTCGGTTGTCCTATTTCAAAGACTTGGCGCTATACATGCTTTGGAAACATTATGCAAAGGAACTATGACAAACGCGACGTGAACAATGTGAAACTCGGCCAGGTTTATGTGTCCTCGTTCTCTACGAGCTTTCCAACAACGATGTACTTGTATCTAAAGTGAGAGACCCAGCCTGTTCGTTTCCTGTTAGTTGTACATCGCACTTGACCCAGTAGAGGCGTACCCTTCATGTTATCTCTGTGACAAAGTATAAGACTCTGGTAGAAACGCATAGGCTCAACTCACATTTCGGTTTGGTCCAAGTCTTCGAGTTTATCAATCGGTTGGTCGACAGGAGTGAGCATTTCTGCCACAAGTTGTCATCACAAAGATACAAGACTCCATGTAGATTACATACCCATGTCAAATGACTGCTTAGCCATTCCGCGCGACGCGTCGCGGCCGGCAAAGTTGCCATACGCGCCCCCTGATTCGGAAAGAATGAGCTGATTCTGCGGTTATCTCACTCTATTCTCGCTCGTACCCGGTCCGTAAAAGCTACGCCCGCTCGTCACGTCAAAGACTTCGCGGTCGATTGCGAGGAGGATACGGCTCCCATTCTGTCCGTTGAACGGTTCCAACGTCTTTGGTGTGTAGTTTTTGAAGACTAGCGTCTCTGGATGGCGAGGGGGAAGCCAATTGTAGGCCTCTGAGTGTGTGCTCGGGAGCTTCTTGGGCAGGTCGACTGATGGCCACAAAATCCGAAATGTGCAATATGCAATAGAGGCAGCAAACAGAGTGTTTAACGGCGTTTCAAGCGGATTAAACGACATAGCTTTTTGGCGACCGAAACGGTATCGGGTCAAGACATGAATTGCCACTCGGGTCACCCACCTCACTTGTCCTCGACCGCCTCAGCGTTTAGTGCTTTTTATTATGGGATTACTATCACTTGGTACACCTTTGACGTGGGAAGAGGCTTCCAAGTATGCAGATCACGTCCGTGAGCATGGGATCACCCAGCTGCTCAACATTTGGAACCGGTACAAGGCGCGATCAGGAGACAAGCTTCTCTGGGGTGATGAAGTGAGCCTGTTCTCATTCCTTGTTTGTTTTACACTGAACCGACCGATTTTCAAGATTGAATACATCGTCGTCGCTTTCGACGATGAAGAGGGGGATGCCCGTCTCTCTCTCCGACAGACCGAAATCCTCGCAAAACTTGCGCATGTATGCGATGATCTCCCGTGTGGACCCAAGAATGCGTCAGCAACGTCGCTCCACTCGGTTTCGCGCTGACTAATTTCTCGTCCAATTTCCAACAGTCCGGTCCCCATCTTCCACCCAGAGTATGGACGCTTCATGCTCGAGTCTACCCCTGGGGCCCCATACAATGGTTCCGTAAACGACCTTCTGGGCGTCGAGAGTAATATGCGGTTTAGGTGAGCAATGCGCACGCCATCGCCGACCGGCCCTTGGCTTAACTGTACACCCAATCAGGCGTACTCTCGCAAAGAAGCACCTCAATCCCAATGAGCTACCCATCACTATCACCTCGTTCCCGAGGCTGGGTGTCCCAGGAGTGTTTACGGATCCCTATTTCGATCCCGCCAACGCCCAAGCCAGCCACAGTCTCTTCCTACCGGACGAAATTACAAACCCACATGCCCGGTTCCCGTAAGCCGTTTATCTTTATCAGATCCGTGATGCAAGGAGTGACCCCCAAATTCAATAAAGGACCCTGACCGCGAATATTCGCAAGCGACGAGGAAGCAAGGTCGCGATTAATCTTCCAATCTATTTCGACACAAACACACCCAGACCGTTCATAGACCCAACGATTCCAAAAGATAGAGGTATCTTCCCAGAGGATTCAGGTCTGGCCCGGATTCTGTCCATGGCAAAACTCCGGCTTATCAACCAATAGAAGCGCAGAATGGAGCTGCACTTGAAAATCATATCTATATGGATGCTATGGGCTTCGGAATGGGATGCTGCTGCTTGCAGATTACATTCCAGGCCTGTAGCATCGAAGAAGCTCGACGAGTGTACGATGCGCTCGTACCCGTTAGTTCGATAATGGTACGCATAAGGTGCAGGAATCTTTGGATGCCATGTCAATGTGTAATTTTGTAGCTTGCCCTTACTGCAGGCAGCCCCTTTTGGCGCGGTTACATTGCCGATGTCGACTGCCGGTGGAACGTCATTTCTGGTGCAGTCGACGATCGTACCGAAGAAGAAAGGGGGCTCAAGGCAAGCTCTTCCAGTAGTAATTTGTACCATAGTCCTGACTGCCTGTAGCCATTATCTCATGCCAGGTTCCGGATTCCAAAGTCCAGATACAGCAGTGTGGACAACTATATATCGCAGGATAAGATAAACTGTCCGAGCTACAATGATCTGAATGCGCCCTACGACAAGGATATTGCGGCTAGGCTCATGGAGAATGGTGCGACCAACTGCACAAACCCCCTGTTTGCTAATCCTGATTCAGGGATGGATGAGCTGTTGTCTAGACACTTTGCACATCTGTTCATTCGTGATCCACTGGTCATTTTCTCTGAAACCATTGATCAAGATGACTCCGTCATGTCAGATCACTTCGAGGTGAGCATTCTCTGCTTACCTATAACATTGAATGACTGTCGCAGAACATTCAATCTACAAATTGGCAAACATTGCGCTTCAAACCTCCACCACCAGGCTCTTCTATGGGATGGAGAGTAGAATTTAGGAGTATGGAAGTTCAAGTAACAGACTTTGAGAATGCGGCATTCTCCATTTTCATTGTTCTTCTCTCTCGAGCCATCTTGACATTTGGACTCAACTTTTACATCCCTCTTTCCAAAGTAAGTCTGCTAACATATCCAGAATCCTTTCTTACCGTCTTTCGAGGTTGATGAGAATATGGAGCGGGCACAGAGACGCGACGCCGCTCGCAAAGCGCGTTTCTGGTTCCGTACGAAGATTTATCCCCCAGGCGAGGAACGCCCAAGGGATCCGACCAATGAAGTAGACTTGCCTACGCCACCTTCTGAACGAGCAGATGGTGAAGATGATCTCATTGTTCGACCCCGTCATAAAGGGGATTGTGGTGGCTGTCAGACACACGGTGTGTTCCTTACGGATGAGAGGCCTTCGACACCCTCTGCGGACGAATATGAAGAGCTCACGATGGATGAGATTATTAATGGCAAGGTTTGTGCTGTCTATTTGAACGTCGGACCAACCTCACCATGAGCAGGGCACTCATTTCCCGGGTCTCTTGGGTGTGGTGAATGAATATGTGAGGACACTCGACGTCGAATATGCAAAGAAGATTGCCTTGCGGAGATATCTAAATGTCATCAAGCGAAGAGCTGACGGTAGGCAACTTGGGTTGACTTTGGCACCGCAACTGATGGACACTCGACAGGCTCATTACTACTGCAGCTACCTGGATGAGGCAGTTTGTAGCCTCTCATCCAGGATACAAACACGACTCGGTCATCACCAAGCAAATAAATTATGATTTGATCAAGATGGTGGACTCTATGTTAGTTCTTCAACTTGGTAGTTCTCAGCTCTGACAGTGTTTACAGAGAAAAGGGAAAAGTCAAGGCGCCTGGGTTTCTCCCAGAGGACTATGTGGGCAGTATCCAGGATGACGGAGGATGTCCTTGACTATACTCGTCTTTGGTTAATCGCTCGACAAGATCGCATACAGAAGTTCCATTTGTTGCCATTGTCAATAAACAAATTATTTTCAGGAAATTTCCAGAGAGCCATCGATCGAGTCAGATCGGGGGGAGCCACCGAATTCACTCAAATTTTGGTGCCCATGGCCTATCGGATTCTCAATCTTAGATTACAACCACGTCTTCCAAGACCAATCTTTACCGTAAACCAACAGCAGACTCGTAGCTTGATGGCCTCTCAAAGTACTTCTGCTCTTCATCTCGACGAGGTGACGGGCGAAATGGTCTCCAAGACGTGAGTGTGCTATCGGACATGGCCGCACTCTGCAATGCGACGTGGCATATTCTTATCTCGTTTGTTTTAAAGCGAATTGAAGAAGCGCAAGGCCGCGAGGGAGCGCGAAGAGAAGAAAAGGGCGGCAGCAGCGGCCGCTCCTCCCAAGCCTGAAAAAGCGCAAAACGATGATGATCTTCCACCTCACGTATGTCCAAAACTGATCCGTCAACCACGATAACTGATCATCTTGGTAGCTTTACTACGAAAATCGCTCCAAGCAAATCCTCGAGCTTCGAAACTCGCGGAATCCGGACCCATATCCACACAAGTTTAATGTCACTACCTCATTGACCGATTATATCGAAAAGTATGGTCCGGAGGGAGTCATCGCTCCCGGAACCAAGCTCGACGGGCCTATCCATAGCGTTGCTGGCCGTGTTCACGACGTGCGAAGAGCTGGCAAGCATCTTATATTCTACGATCTTCGTGGAGAAGGTGTCAAGATTCAGGTCATGGCTGCCTCACAGTACGTGCAGTTGATGGCTCGGCGTCGTTTTTTTCAACTGACGAATTGCAGAGATGCCAAGAGCGTCGAAGAATTTGAGAAGAGTCATGAACTCATCAAGCGTGGAGACGTAGTTGGTGTCACCGGTCGTCCGTCTCGTACTCAAAAGGGCGAATTGTCCATCTCCCCCTCGGAGATTGTCCTTCTCACGCCCAATCTTCATCAGCTACCCAAAAGTCACTTTGGATTGAAAGATGTAGAGACTCGATATCGCAAGCGATACCTGGACCTCATCATGAACGACAACACGCGCCACATCTTTGTGACTCGCTCCAAGGTTGTCAACTATATCCGAAGATTCCTCGACTCTCTTGGTTTCCTTGAGGTAATAAGTGCCCTCCACGTCTGACTGGATTTCTCATATCATGCCCTAGGTAGAAACGCCCATGATGAACATGATTGCTGGAGGCGCTACAGCCAAGCCCTTTGTTACTCACCACAACGACCTCAACCTTGACTTGTTCCTCCGTGTAGCTCCAGAGCTGTACCTCAAAATGCTCATTGTTGGTGGCCTCGACCGAGTATACGAAATAGGGCGTGTCTTCCGTAACGAGAGCATCGACATGACGCATAACCCAGAATTTACCGTCTGTGAATTCTATATGGCGTATGCGGACATGCACGATTTGATGGAAATCACCGAGGTCATGGTCACCGGCCTCGTCAAGCAGCTTACTGGCGGTACTAAAATCGTATACCATCCCGACGGCAAGGAAGTCAAGGACGGAAAGGAGCCTCGTGCGCTGACCATGGACTTTACGAGACCGTGGAAGCGCTACGACATGATTGAGACTTTGGAGGAGAAGCTCAATGTCAAGTTCCCTCCCGGAGAGCAATTCGACAAGCCGAGTACACGTGATTTCCTTGATGCTCTATGTGTCAAGGTATGTGATGGGTGACATTCTTCAACACGGTATTCAATGCATTCCAGCACAACGTAGACTGCAAGGCTCCTCGATCGACAGCCCGACTTCTCGACAAGGTGAGATCGAACTTGTATGATAAGGCTTTGTATCTCATGTCCGTATAGCTCGTCGGAGAGTTTATCGAGCCGCTGTGTATCAACCCCTCTTTCATTGGTACGCCCTTACTTTTACAGGTTTCATATGGGCTGATTCGATCCTAGTCGGACATCCCCAAATTATGTCGCCTCTCGCTAAGCGGCATCGTGACAGACCGGGATTGTGCGAGCGGTTTGAAGGGTTCATGTGTGGCCGCGAATTCTGCAATGCCTACACAGAGTTGAACGATCCCTTTGATCAGAGAGAACGTTTCGAGGATCAAGTCAAACAAAAGGAAGCCGGTGACGATGAGGCTCAAGGGATGGACGAGACCTATATCAACGCGTAGGCTCGAGGTTCCGTTTTGGGGAGATTGCGCTCACCATTTCTCAGGTTAGAACATGGACTTCCTCCTACCGGTGGATGGGGATTGGGTATTGATCGTCTGATAATGTTCCTGACAGACTCCACGAGTGAGTACTGTGCGCCAATGTCAATCCATTTTAAACCGACGCTCTCTATAGACATCAAAGAGGTCTTGTTATTCCCGGCTATGAAGCCAGAAGTGGGAGGGGCTACTGCGCCGCCGGCAGAGACGCCCATTGCGTCTACATGAGGAAGCCTGTATCCAGTTTGTACGACTTGAAATTGGGGAAGCAATGCAGAGACACACTCTCCTTGGCGATTTGTCAAGTTCCCATGAGATATCCGTTCTTCCGAACACGCAAGCGGTCTAGATTGTCTTAGGTGGATGCTGTCTCAAACGACCGTCTAATCTATCCCGCCATAATCGTCAAGTGTTGATGGACGAAGAGGCCGTCTTTCAGAGAAAGAACGGCAGTGAAGAGACTGGTGATTACATAACCAAAAGCCAGGAGTGGGCTGCATGAAAATGAATATTATCAGCATTACATGCAATCTGATGCTCAATACTGGGAGAATGAGCGCGGCCTGTATCAAAGACGGTGGGTCGGATGGGTCCAAGAGTTGCGCCCGCCAATCTTGGATGACTTCCACATCAACGAAAGAAAACTCGAGGCCTCCAAAGGGCAAGAGACGCTCAGTTTCAGACGCAATGTCCCCAACCGAGGAGCTAACGAATAACGCAAACGGCACAGAGCATTCGGGCACTAGCTCTGTCAATGGACGCGGCTCGAAGCGCGTCCGAGACGATCCAGAAGAGGCTGTCGAGGAAAAAAGGCCTCGGGGGACTAAAAAGATGTCCAGGATGGTCGACGAGAGCGACATGGCTGTCGATGGCGAAGGCGACGGCGAAGAGGACAGCGGCGACACACGCTGCGTCTGTGGAAAATCTGGTAAGTTCCCCAGCCTCGTCTCATCCGCGCAGTGGCTGATGCTGGGCTTGACGACGCGGCCGACGACTCAGACGGCGACGAAGGAGGCTTGATGGTTATGTGCGAGACGTGCAAGGTCTGGCAGCACACCATCTGCATGGACATTCCCGATAATGCCGTCCCCGACCACTATTATTGCGAGCTTTGCGAGCCAGATCTCCATACCGAGCTCCTCAAGTGAGTCCCCAGTTGTTTGCATGTAGCCCAACGCGTGGGAACACTCACCACTCTTCCCCCTTGCCCATCTAAACAGGAAACTCGCCAAATCCCAGCGACGCCCTCGTCGCCGTTCTTCTGCTACGCGCACATTTCAGAAGGCGCAGTCAGCGTCTCCTTCACCTCAGCCTATGACTACAAACAGCAAAGTGTACAAACGGCGCAATACGATGAACAGCCGCGCGACAACTTACGAAGAAGAGATTGCGTTGGCCATCCAGGCATCGCGAATGGGTGCAACAGATCCTGAAGAGGACGAGGATACACCGCCAGTGACTGCAGGTCCACGCAACAAGCGGCGCAAGCGAAGCCCTACAAGTGTACCGGAACCAGAACCTTCGTGAGTTTTTGCCCTCTGCCGCGCCCGACCCGTCTTCGTCGCCACTACGATTTATATTCCAAAAATTGACAGGATCGATAGCAACCCGCCGACGAAGCATAGTCGCTCTGCGTCTGTGACGTCGGAACATCCTCCTCCTGTTCGGGACGCCACACCCAACCCACCCGCGGTCGAAGTTGCCGAACAACCTGCACCTGAACCTTCTGACGAAGAGGTCGCAGCACCTCCCCCACCACCCACGCGGGGAAAGCGCGGCGGTGGTCCACGCAAAGGCACACGCAAAGTGCCTACACCAGGCATATTGGACGATAACGATGGTGCGTAACGATAATGCAATTTTTATCAAAATGTCTGATTATAGTTTCAGAGGCGCCCGGTCGTGCCAGCACGCGAGGTGGTCGACAGCCTAACCAGTATTCGCGGAGAGGCGGGCATGCAAAGCGAGGTGGCGGACATCATGGGATGAATGAATCTAACAAGCGTCTCAATAACCTTGTCAACAATAAAGCGAGTCGCCCAGCGTCCCCTCCTCCCTTCCTTACAACTTGGCATCTACCCGACCACCTTTCCCATCTTCAAGATTATCTGCCTTCGGAGATCCCAGAACCGTTGGACGTCCGAACAGGAGCCGGCTCCGAGACGACACAAGAACGCGGAATCAAGGTCAAGTGGCCGACGAAGCGCATGACGATTGGAGACATGAACAAGCGCGTCCGAAATATTTTAGAATACGTCACGCGAGAGCAGGCCAATCACGTAGAGAGACAGACTCGAGTCGCCGCGCTTGATGAGGCCATTGCTTCTGGGAGATATAGGCCGCTCACACCCGAACCATCCGATCTGATGGACGTGGACGCCCTGCCACTCGCCATGGAGGAGGATGTCAAACCAAAGATCCCCAACGAGGTGGATGGCGCGAAATCATCACTTGAAGTGACGGCCAATGGTCGGTCGGTCGTCACAGACGCTGTGTCGGACAACCCGACGGTTGCGTGGATGAAGAAGAGCACAGATGACATGCTCGCTGATCTCGTCTCGGACCTGATCAAGTTTCAAGACCAATACCGGCCGCGGTCTCGACGCCATGCCGGTATCGTAGCATAACTTATCGCGACGCGAGTCTTTTCGTACACTTGGTGTATTTTCCTCTAATACCAATGTAATTGCAAGCTTTCCGCCGTGTGCTCGGTTGCCACTGCCTCTAAATTTTTTTCGCCACCGCCATCTCGCCCATCAGATTGTCGCTGGGATGCTGACGCTTGCTGGCCCGTCTGTATTCTCAAACTCACGTCGAAAGGCGTTGCTTGGTCAGATCCAAGCCGTCATTCCTATCGTTGCAGCACTGGAGGCCGTCTATCTGCACTTGGTTCACGCCACTTCTGCTGAATCTGAGAATGCCCTCTGCACGGACGGAAGCGAAGAAAAGGTCATATTAAAATCTATTCTCGAATACGGAGATTATCTTGTGGAGGATGTAGCGCTGCTTGAGCGGGCAGCAAGCAGTGCAAACGTCGCCTATGTGATCCCTCGTCCAGGATCTATATCTCCTTGGTCGAGCAAAGCGACGGATATTGCTCGAATGTGTCATTTAGATGCTCACGTCGCGCGACTTGAGCGAGGCATCCTCTACCAGATCAAGACGAGCGACGAGTCGGACCTCACGGCGGACCAATGGAGCTCCATCTCTCATTTGCTACACGACAGGATGATTCAGTCCATTCAGTCCACACCGCCGCTCGAGAGCCAGGTTTTCATTACCCAACCGCCTCGTCCTTTGCGCACCATTGCGCTCTCGACACTCTCAGAAGAAGAGGCTCGATCAACTCTTCGCAAAGCAAATGTCGAGCTCGGATTGGCGCTCGCCGAGGACGAGATCACCTACCTCGTGCAGGCCTATGTCTCTGGTCCAGACGCGATGAAGCGAGATCCTACAGACGCCGAGCTGTTCATGTTTGCTCAAGTGAACTCTGAACATTGCAGGCACAAAATATTTAACGCCAGTTGGACCATTGATGGGAAGCCACAGGACAAGTCGCTCTTCTCCATGATCCGTAACACCGAATCAGCAATACAGGGCCAGCATACCATTTCCGCCTATTCTGACAATGCCGCCGTGTTTGACGGATACACAGCGAAACGATTTGCGCCCTCCGACTCGCAAGTACAAACGTACCTGTTTTCCGAGGAACAAATGCCTATCCTCGTCAAAGTCGAAACCCACAATCACCCAACTGCGGTGTCTCCTTTCCCAGGTGCTGCGACTGGCTCTGGAGGCGAGATTCGAGACGAAGGAGCGGTTGGCAGGGGTTCGAAGCCCAAAGCTGGCCTCAGCGGGTTCACGGTATCGAATCTACTCATTCCTGGATATCTCCAGCCATGGGAGACGGATTTTGGGAAACCAAATCACATTGCTTCCGCCTTGGACATCATGATAGATGGTCCTCTCGGTGCTTCTGCATTTAACAACGAATTTGGCCGTCCAGCACTTGCTGGTGAGTTCGAAATAGATCAAAAAGCGCGTCTTACCTATTTCTAGGATACTTTCGTACCTTTTCCGAGTCGGTACCGTCAGCATCCAAGCAAGAAGAGGTGCGAGGGTATCACAAACCGATCATGATTGCTGGTGGTGTCGGAAACGTTCGGCCCAACTTCTCAAAGAAGACTGGTTTCTCGGCTGGAGCCAAGATTGTAGTGCTCGGAGGACCGGGTCTCCTCATCGGACTAGGTGGAGGTGCCGCATCCTCACAGGCCTCCGGTTCGAGTGCGGCCCATCTCGACTTTGCATCAGTCCAAAGAGACAACCCAGAAATGCAGCGACGATGCCAGCAGGTCATCGATTCGTGCGTTTCACTCGACGGGATTCCAAACCCCATCCTGTCGATTCACGATGTCGGTGCAGGTGGTCTCTCTAACGCTCTTCCCGAACTCGTTCACGATGCTGGATTGGGAGCTAGATTCGAGATTCGAGACGTTCTCATAGATGACCTTTCCATGTCGCCAATGGAGATATGGTGCAACGAGTCACAAGAACGATATGTCCTTGCAGTAGACCCGGAGCACTTCTCCACCTTTGAGTTCATCTGCAAGCGGGAACGGTGCCCGTACTCCGTCGTTGGTGTCGCCACATCCGAGGAATCGCTAGTGGTTACGGATAAGCTCCTTGGCGGAACCGTAGTCGACCTCAAAATGTCGACCCTTTTTGGGAAACCTCCCAAAATGTCACGAACCGATACATCCATCTCCCCTGCCTTCCAACCGTTTGAGACGACGCTAGGTAGCCTTCTTCCAGCACAGCTCACACCAGCACTCAGACTTGAGAATGCTGTTGAGCGCGTTCTTCGTTTGCCGTCAGTTGGGTCCAAATCCTTCTTGATTACGATTGGCGACAGAAGCGTGACAGGCCTAGTCACGCGAGATCAGATGGTAGGACCATGGCAAGTTCCCGTCAGCGACGTCGCTGTAACACGGACATCGTACGGCTTTGACGTATTGACCGGTGAAGCCATGGCCATGGGAGAACGAACGCCACTAGCCCTCATCAATGCCGCTGCATCTGCTCGAATGGCTGTTGGAGAGGCCGTGACGAATATTGCTGCGGCTTCGATTGAAAATATCGGTCGCATCAAGCTCAGTGCCAACTGGATGAGTGCTGCGTCAACGCCAGGAGAAGGAGCTCGCCTATATGAGGCAGTCAAGGCTGTCGGAGAAGAAATCTGTCCCGCCCTCGGTATCGGCATTCCGGTTGGGAAGGACTCGATGTCAATGGCCATGCGGTGGAAGGAGAACGATCAGGCCAAAGAAGTAGTTGCCCCCCTTTCCCTCATCATTACCGCGTTCTCCTCTGTCGATAATGTATCCGCTACCTGGACACCAGAGCTCAAGAGGGCGGATGACCCTACTATTCTCGTCTTTGTCGACCTTGCGTGTGGAAAGAGGAGACTAGGAGGCTCTGCCTTGGCGCAAGTCTTCAAGCAAATCGGCTCAGAGACACCAGATGTGGAGAATGCGTCGATTCTCAAAGCCTTCTTCAATGCATGCCAGGCTATCCGACGGGCGCATCCATCGTTGATCCTCGCATATCACGACCGCTCTGACGGTGGCCTCTTCACCACTATTGCGGAGATGTCGTTCGCTGGTAGGCTAGGGGTGCACATTGACTTGGACGTGCTCAATCTCACGGACTCGCCAATGACAGCGCTTTTTGCGGAAGAGCTTGGAGCCATAGTCCAAGTTCGAAAGAACGATGCTCAGCTTTTATTATCTACATTTGTCGACCATGGCGTTCCCAAGGATCATGTTCACATCCTTGCCACCGTCACCATGGACCAGACAATCCAAGTAACACATGGCGACACTCTTATATTCGCCCAACCCCGGGCGAAATTACAGAAGATATGGGCAGAGACGTCGTATCGGATGCAGCTGCTCCGTGACGACATGGAATGTGCTCAGGAGGAGTACTCGCTAATTGACGATCCTGAGCATACCGGGCTGTTCTACGAACCCGCCATCAAGCTGAATCACACTCTCCGCGCAGACCTCATTGGCAAGCCACGAGTCGCTATATTACGCGAACAGGGGGTAAATGGTCACGTCGAGATGGCATGGGCATTTACAGCTGCCGGCTTTGAAGCGGTCGACGTCCATATGTCGGACATTCTATCGGGTCGAGTGGATTTGGTCAACTTCAAAGGACTAGCTGCCTGCGGTGGCTTCTCCTACGGAGACGTCCTCGGAGCCGGCAATGGGTGGGCCAAATCCATCCTTCTCAGTGCCTACGCCAGGGAGCAGTTCACCCGATTCTTTTCAAGGAGTGACACATTTGGACTCGCTGTTTGTAATGGATGCCAAATGTTTGCTCACTTGAAGAGTATCATCCCAGGGGCCCAGTCATGGCCACTGTTCAAAGGAAACCGGAGTGGACGTTTCGAAGCCAGAGTGTGTATGCTGGGAATTGAGGATACTGCAGCGACAAAGCGCTCTGTATTCTTGCGGGATATGATTGGATGGAAGATTCCGGTTGCGGTCGCACATGGAGAAGGACGAGCCACATTCGTTGATGAGACTTGTGCTCAACAGTTCCAAAGAGAGCAACTGTCTGCACTCGCCTACCTCGACGCTAAGGGCCGGGCGACGATGCAGTATCCACTGAATCCAAATGGAAGCCTGGATGGCATTGCGGGAGTGCAGACTGCAGATGGAAGGTTCTTAGCGTTGATGCCTCATCCGGAAAGAGTGGTGACGATGGAGAGTAATAGCTGGCATCCAGGATCAATGGGAGACACGGGACCTTGGTTCCAAATGTTCAAGAGTGCTCGAGAGTGGTGTGCTGTATAGTAGTTGCACCCGTAGAGAATCAATTTTCGTCTAAACAATGCCAATTGCGAAGGAATAAATGGAATATAATATTATGTACGGTGTCGAACAATCAGACTGACTGGTAACCTCCTCTACTTGGACCCCCACGTAATGCAGTGACGAGGTGATATCCGAGATCCCGTAGCAGGTAAGGAACTTCTCTCCAGAAGTCTCGGTGACTGGGCAAATCAGGGCGAAGTCTTGGTGGTGTAGGAATATACGTACGGTATGAGATCCCATCCCGAGGCGCCATAATTAGTATAGTTGTGATAAATACCGATGAGGAAGTATGCTGCCAACACCAGGAAGAGTCTGGAGGAAATGTTAGAAGGACCGCCTCCTGGACTTTGGGTATCCTTACAGAAGGAAGAACCATCCGATACCACTACCTGGAGGTGAGGAAGGCTCATGCGTTTCGTCTGGCTTGTCGGTTGGAGGAGGGTCTCCTTTCTTCTTGGGACAAGCCGCGGGTGTTGACCACTTGACCGAACCGAGGCCATTGTTGTAGTCAACAAACGTTGGGTCACTAGCTTCTTGACTGCAGACAAGAGTAATATTGAAATTTTGGTTCGTGCCGTTCTCAGGATACGCTTTTCCATGAAGCAGAACCGTGAAACCATCACTCCCTATACGCAGCACCAGAGTTAGAGGTGATATATCGACTGTTTGGAGGCACACCTGTCAACGCGCTATACTCTGGACTCGCTGTTCCCGTTGTCGCAAGTGGAATGACGGCGATAATTCTGTCTTGCTCTCCTTCTCGTTTATTTGTCTTCGTAAGACACGCTCTAGTACCGCCTGGACACTGGACAAGGAGCATAAGCCAACTTCATACGTGCGAACACGGTAGTACCTGGTCTTGTTCTGGGAGGTCACTCGACTCAAGATCAGCACATAAATTGAATCGGATCGAGTCCACCATGGTCGTCGGGGGTGTGTTCCGTTCGCGGCTCGCACTGCGAGCAGCATTTAGACTGGTTAGGTCGTATTCGTTGCCTTTGATTTGCGTGTTTTCTCGACATTCAAAGTCTTCTGCAGCTGCAACAAGCGCTGAGAGTAGCACAAGCGCGAGCTGATACAGAATCCGAGGCGCCATCCGAGACCAAGTTTTAACTTGCCCGCAACCACCATGGCTGATCGCTTGCGGCGTGCCATTTACCACGAAAAGGCGAGCATCTCCTGGATTGTAATGCATGAGTAATGACATTTCGATGCAGCAAGAGCCAGGCTCTAATTTGTGTGCTCAGCATGCTCTCAACTCTTTGCTGCGTAAGAGATTATTCACTCACTTGCATCCAACTAACGTCCTGCGAACACAGAGCAGCCTCTTGTGAGTCTTGCCGTCGCTCAGCGTCTCCGCCACAACTGACAGAGCACGCGTCTTGGCTCTAGTTTACGGCGACAGATTTGGCGTCGATTGCTCAGAATCTCGATGCAATGGAGCAATCATACGACGAGAACCATCGAGGACGGAGCACCAACATGGACGATAGCGGTCCTTCCATTTTGCCCTACATCCAAAACCAATCTGATTTTTCTTCAGGATTCTTCTCGATCCAGGTCCTGGAAAATGCTCTACAAGTCTGGGGACTAACGTGCGTAAGAAGGCTGGCATGCGTTACTTTCGTGCTGACACAAAACAGGCTGGTTCGATGGCGCTCACAAGAGATGCGACCTTATCTGGATAAACCATACACGCAGCTTGCTTTTATTCTGAACCTTGAACTACACTGGTTTACCCTCCGCCGCTTCGGTCCAGCTGAGGCAGATGTAACCCGTGACCCGGGGGAAGGCCATTGGTTTAATTTGAACTCTTTCTTAGAGGAGCCCGAATGGGTCTCCAAGACCTATCTTGGCATGGTATTGCAGCAAGCCGAAACGGAGGGTTAGGCTTTTACCTTGTCGAGGCGGACCCTTGCTGATCTGGACCTTAGGATATTCGGTCTTTGTCGTGTCGCAAATAGATCCCATGGCACCACTCGCACTTACACGAACAACGGCTGACGAAATTGCGGCATCCATACCCGATATCACCAGTGGCGGAAGGCATCTCTCCACCTCACGCACAGCATCCAAGGCCTCGACGTCGGCTGCGAATGACTGGGGTGTTTCGGGAGCCGAGGATGAGGATATGGAACTCCAGGCTGCGCTCTTTGCCTCGGTGATGGGCGAAAGCACCCAATCCTCCACTGCTCTAGAACCAGCGCGACCTGCACCTCGCCAGGGAACTTCCGATGAATGGGATATCAACACGTCTTCCTTTTTCGGTAGCTCGCGAATGGCATCTTCGGCAGCGGAGAGTTCGGTTGAAGCCAGTGCGCGAAGAGCCCGTGAAGAGCTTGCTCGGTTCCAGGAGGAGCAAATGCGGGCACTGGATGAACGCACGGACTCCGATGATATGATTGCAGGTGTGCTTGGACGAAGACGGAATGTAGCCAGCGAAACCATCGCGGCTGAACCCCGTACGAGGCAAAGACGACAACAACAAGATGAAGAAGAAGAGGAGATGATACGGCGGGCAATAGAAGCGAGCAAGCGTGAAGCCCAGGAGAATGGCCAAGGGGATGACTCGGAGGAGGAACCCATGAGCTTTGATGACGACGAAAATGCCTATGATGAGGAACATGAAGAGCGGGAACAACTCGAAAGGTTGATGCAAGAAAGGAGGAAGCGACAACGCGAACAGGAGGAGCAAGAGAGGATCCGACGTGGGTTCGTCGATGCAGAGGACGACTTCGGACATTTTGGTGCAAATGCGGAGCATCTGGTGAATCGAACTTATGACGACGAGGATGCAGAACTCCAGGCCGCCCTCAAGGCGAGCTTGGAAGGAGGTACCGAGAGTCTCGCCATTCCTTCACCACCGAAACCAGTTCGAGCACCCACGCAGCAGGAGTCGAAAGAAACACCTGCTGCATCGGCCAGCCAAACTGCACCTCGAAAGCCAGACTCGGATGAAGAGGACTCGGACTCGGACGACGAACCAGAGACGGAACAAGAAGCGCCACCCAAGCCTCTTACCGCTGAAGAATTGCGTAAGGCACGACTCGCAAGGTTTGGAGGCGCATAACTTTTTGGCTGAACGAGTGTACCGGGTTGATAGAGTAATATGCAAGAGTGGCGATGATAGTATAAACAGAGGCGTGCAAAAAAGAAGTAAATCAAGCAACAGTGACTGGCTGTTGCTGCCCCGACGGTGATGGTGCGTCTATGACAGACCGTCAGCAAAAGACGATGGGCAAAATGGTATAAACTCACACTGCGGCGCAACCGGTCTGTTTGCTTCACCCATTGTTCTGTTTAATAGCACACCAACTCCCTCAAAGACTCCCAGCAAAATCCCGCAGGCGACCGCGCTGCCTAGTGTTGCCTTTGGACCACCTGGCGATAACCATAAGGAATCGAATGGAGATATCCATTCTCTGTAAACTCACTTCGTAGTGCTAGACATCCACCAGTCATGAATCCAGAAATGATTCCATTCCAGGCGTCCTCCTTCTGTCGATAGCTCTTGACTGTACAGTCAAACGTCGAAAACATTCCTCCCCAGACTCCAAAGTTACCGCCAGTGACGGGTGCTCGCGCTTTTATGGATGACAGTGCCCCAACCAGGCGTTCTCCCTGTATGACATGGCCGAATCAGCAAAACAATGTCCCGGAACGTGAAATGGATGTAAAACAACCCTTGGAGAGTTTCTCGAGCCTTTTATTCCATGCCAGATGCCTCCTCCGATAGCACCCATCGCAAACGCACCGCCAAAATCGTTGAGAATGACCCATGGGCTACAATAAAGGGTGAACCAGGAGCAATAAGATACTGAAAAGGAGAATACCAGGGGTCTCGTGTGTGGTCAGCGTGCGACATGGGATTCAAGGGTGCAAGGTCAGGTTCCAAGTTTTTTGTCTGGCGTTTCTTGTCGAGCACCGTATGGCACATTTTACCGGCTTTGAGGGCAATCTCGCGGATACGACGCCACTAAAGCTCAATACGCGTCATGGAGGTGATGATATGTCTGTTTCTGATCTCTCCACGACGCCTCAGTTTCGATGGATGGGCGACGCCGCTCCAGCCACTCCAGGCAGCGTCCAGGACGAGAAAGAGGCCAGCGGGGATACATCTTGGATGCATGAACAGAGCCACGATGTGATAGAGCAGTCATTTGATGAGACGCTGCAGTTTCAACAGACGACAGTCGACGAGGATGCGGATCGCAGCGGGATGCACACGCCTGTGGCACCCGGTCGAAACAACGAGGATCAGGAACTCGAAGAGTTTGCTTTTACACTCAGGAAGATGAGACGGACCATCAATGGCATGACAGACGTCCTGCGGTCCACAATCCCAGAGTATCAGGTACTCAGGCGCTGTTAGTGAGACCGAGAAATACTTAGCTCGTGTACAGAGGATGCAGAGAGCGATTGAAAACTGGGATTCTTTGAGCAAGCAGTACAACGCGATCATGATCGAAACCGAGAAGACTGCAAGGGTTTTGGAGGACCCGTCGTGGCCAGGACGTGATTTGGTACGTATGATTTCCGCCAGAATTTGAGTCCTCTGACGTGATCGTAGGAGGAACTACAACTACAGCAGGCTCAAGCAGCCGAAGAGGAGCGACGAAGACTGGAAGAGGCGGAGCTAGAACTTCAGCGTCAAAGAGAGGAGGAAGAGCGACAGGAGCGGTTGTTGCGCGAGAGACTAGAACAGGAAAGACTGGCCAAACAATCATCTGTTCGCGGAAGGGGCAGAGGGCGAGGTGTTCCCCCTCCCACACGAGGATTGACAGGTAAATATCCTCCTCGTGACTCTATGTAATCTAAAATTACCCGCAGGTTCTACGGGCTCGTTACGTGGAAGTAAGATCGCTCGAGGGGCTGGCTCCTCAGTCTCCTCTCGTGGTTCAGTATCGAGTCGTGTATCAGTATCTTCGGTCAGGGGACGCTACAGCTAAAGTATTGCCTAAACTTACTGGGGCTCATGTGTACACTTTGTTTGTATTGACATCTTGTACCCTACCATCCCGTCCCCTCCACAAAACTCGACGCATTGGCTTTGATTCTCATCAATAAATGAACGCATCGACCAAACCTACAGGGATTCTGCTTAGAGGGCGGATATTGCCTCGTGCTCTGCAACCGTCACGAGTCATACGGTCGAGCCTCCCAAGGCGGTCGTTTGCAACAAACGGCGACCCCCAGGCCAAGGCTGCAGAATTAGTCTCCTTCGGTCAAAAACACGTAGCCAAGGGTCTCAACAGGCTCGTGGACGACGTCATTCAGAGTGCAGAGGGTAGTTATGTGACTTTGACGAGCGGCAAACGCCTTTTGGATTTCACGACCGGTATTGGTGTTACAAATCTTGGTCAGTGTATAGTAAATCGACTTGTTGAGTCTCTCTAATGCCACCGGTTCCGGAAATAGGACATTGCCATCCAAAAGTCAGTAAGGCGGCAGCTGAGCAATGCATGAAGGTTGTGCATGCACAGGTAAGTTGATGACTCGATATATTTGCTTGTCCTTATGTCTAGTAGTGCAGTCTTGCATTCCATGAGCCCTATCTCGAGCTGGTCGATGCTTTACTACCGGTCGTTCCCAAAGGACTAGACACATTCTTTTTCTGGAATTCTGGAGCTGAAGCTGTGGAACAATCCATCAAAATCGCCCGCGCGGTCACCGGCAGACAGAATATTATAGCAATGCAAGGTCAGAAAACTGCTTGCTTCCCTCTACTCGTCCAACTTGACCACAGGTGCCTACCATGGACGTACTTATGGGACAATGGCTTTGACGCGCTCAAAGACCATTTACTCTGAGGGCTCGGCTCCGCTTATGGTAAACCCTTCTGGACACGAGCATTACATCGACTAACTTTCATTTCAGCCTGGTGTCTTTGTTACTCCATTTCCCTACTGGCACCAAGCAGGTTTCCCACAGAATGTCGACGAGAAGACGCTGGTAGACCATTGCTTGCACCAATTAAGCCTTGTCTTTTCCCAGCAGACCGCCCCCAAGGACACGGCGGCGATCATCATTGAGACCGTCATTGGTGAAGGGGGCTATGTTCCAGCTCCAAAATCGTATCTCGAAGGGCTTCGCAAAGTGTGTGATGAGCATGGCATCGTTCTCATCTTCGACGAGGTCCAATGTGGGTTTGGCCGGACGGGAAAGTACTTTGCACAAGAGTGGAGCGGGGTCCAACCCGACGTGATGGTCTTTGCTAAAGGAATAGCAAATGGATTCCCACTGAGTGGTGTGGTAGGCAAGAAACATCTCATGGACAAGATGAAACCAGGGAGTATGGGTGGGACATATGCGGGTAATGCCGTCTCCTGTGCGGCCGCAGTCGCGTGTTCCAAAGTGATGAAGGTGAGCTGGCCATTTCCACCGGGTGGGCCCTGACTGAGCGCAATGAAATAGGAGGAGAACATCTTGTCAAATGTCGAGCAGCGTTCGGCAGAGTTATTTTCAACCCTCCACAAGATGCAAAGGGACCCCTCGCTGCGGATTAGTGACGTACGAGGAGCCGGGCTAATGGTGGCTGTCGAATTTGGCACGGGATCTCATGCACCAGGGGCTGAGAATGCTCTCAAGGGTGTTGCCGCAAAGATCTCGAAACGGTGTGCGGACAAGGGATTATTGATCCTGTCCACGTCTGTGTTTGAGGTCATTCGGTTTATCCCAGCGTTGAACATCAGCCAAAAGGAGCTTGCAGAGGGTATCAAGATCTTTGAGGAGGTTGTGCGAGAGGTTGTGGCTAGTTCACATTAATTGCTGCGGAATGCAAGGATTCTTCAACAAAATTGCTATTATTGGCGCAATTGAATTGCATACGACGTAACGGCCTCGACCTTGTGCCCGACACGGCCTCGCTTGCAAAGTTGGACCCAACGGCTGCCAGAGTAGAAAATGGGCAGATATTCATTGGCAGCGCAGGCCATCTGCCTCTTATCGAGCATACACTCTGCTCTCGCATATATTCCAGCTAGGGCTGCAAACATTAGCCAGGGTCTCGGCCTCGACGTCCACGACAATTCCAAGGTCACCCTGACATGGAACCCCAGCGGAACCTATGAGACTGTGGTTTCCTATCAGCAGATGGGCAATAATTCTCAAGGTATCTCAAAGGTATGCCCTCGAAATTTTGTTCGCGGCCGTGAGCAGTTGGAGATAACCCGCCGCCCTTTCCGTCTAGGGCGCGCTCATTCCAATCCGCGAAGAAGATTTTACAAATAATGATACCAGTTCGTTGCTCACATTATCTTCCAATTCTCTTTCTTTCTGCTGACTGCTGGCTCTTATTAGCAACCACGCCCTGGATTGCGCTTATTGGATGCGACTACAATGCCACCAACGCCTCTATGGAGCTCGACATATTCACTATGGTTCGAGACCGAGGCGCTAGAGCCGCTGTAAGGCTCCCCGATGGCCGATTCGTCCTTCTTTCTACTGACACTCACACAGCTCTTGTATTCAAACACCTCGGACGGCTGTTTACTCAATGAAGGATATCGAACGGGAGATTTTGAACAAATCTTTGATATTTTCACATCCAAAACGGCCGCTAATTCTATGTCGGTGACCCTTCGAATTTTCCCAGCTCCGCTGACTTGTCGCAAATTCTAGCATCATCCAGTCCCAGTTTCGCATACTCGAACACAAGTACACCGTATGGGATCCTGCTCTTCTCACAGCCAACAACCAAAGCGTTACCTCTGCCCTTTATCGTAATGCACTCAATACCTCGCCCTATTTGGTCGCGGCGCTAAGAGCATGGAATGCGACTGGAGAAGAGAGTGCAGATGATCCGAGCGCTGTTCCGACGACGGTCTATAATCCTTCAACTACGCACGACAGCGAGCCAAGCCAGAGTTTGGCTATGATCATTCTCTACGTGATCATCAGCTTGGTATCGGCGCTTTTTATCATTGTCATTGTCTCGGGGGTAAGCGCTCTCTTCCGTCTGTTATCGCCGCTCACGCGCGTAGGCTGTCCGCGCTTTCCGCCACCCGGAACGCTATGGACCAAGACTGTACGATCCGACACTGGAAGGAGATGAAGGTCAGCCGCAAACAAGGGCAGCTGGACTTACCCGCGCGATTCTCGAAACGTTCCCTGTCATCAAGTTTGGCCGCACCAACGACCAGATGCAGAACCAATCTACACGCACTTATCGTCAAGAAATGAAGAAGTGGAGTCTGGAGAACGGCGAGCAGCCATCACGAGACCTCTTGCAGCCAGCGCACGGGCAACCAAACTCGGTCTTTGATGCCTCTCGACAAGCTTCGCCCATTAGACATAGTTCCGAGGTTGCGAATCGTGCTATGAGACCTCATTCTACAGAGATGGCACCGTCCACATCGGATGCTTCTGATACGCAGCAGCTCGATCCCGCCGCCATCGGAAACCAAACCTGTCCTATCTGCATCGTCGATTTCGAAGAAGGCGATGACGTTCGCGTACTACCGTGCGAGGGGAAGCATCGTTTCCACAAGGATTGTGTGGACCCATGGCTGTTGGAGCTTTCGAGTTCTTGTCCCATATGCCGTGAAGGTGCGTCTGCTTGCTAAGCTCGTGCCGTTGGCCTTATACTGAAATAATGTCTTAGATTTTCATGTGTTGGAAGAAATGGCCGTCGCTGCGGATGGTCGTGACCGTGAGCGTTCAGAATCTGGTCACAGAGAAGAGGAAGACCATGTCCCGCCGGCAGAACACCATACCTCGTCCCGCTTCACGCGCTATCTTCGGTTCGCGAACAAGAGGAGACGAAGTCAGCGCTCTAGCCAGCAACCGCCAGACAACGCAGCGGTGTCGCCGACCCCGGCGTAGATGACATTCGCCTTTATTTTCTGTATTCCCATCCCACCGTTTAGTATGGACTTTGATCTCAAAGAATCCTTCGTATCCATAATTCACCCTCATTTCCTATCTACTGTGGACGTTGTTGTGTACAATGCTCTTTTTCAGCCGTTCTCTACTTGTTGAGTCGACGGAATCCTGTTTAGGTTACAACTTGAAGCTCGCAAATGCTAAGTCGTAACCAGCAAACTCGTACGTGATCTTATCCGTGCGTTTGTAGCCACGAGAGTGGAGCGCCTTTTGAAAGGTCGATTGGGCCGTTTCGATGGGTGAATTGTGGCTGGGTGGATTGTTGGAAACAAAGAGAGTGACAGAGAGGTTTCCGGGTTGGAAGATGTCCACTACTCGTTGAATGAGAGTCAGCAGACTAGGAAAAGAGGAAGGGAGGTGGGACAGGTCCTCTGGGGATGCCGAAGAAGGAACGTTGCATTCAAAGGAGGCGTAGCTCCACCCTTCTTCTGGTGTGACATGAATCGTCCAGTAGCCTTCACCCATCTGCGGATTCTTGGGCGAGATGACCGCGTTTCCGCTGTAACCGCACGGGTCGAATGCGTATGCGTCTAGTTGGCTCATTGAAGGTGGGAAGATGGAAGATATTCCGAGTTTTTCTGAGAGCGCGAGTGCGCGCTCATGAGGTGTCGGTACAGGTTTGTCCTCGTCATTTTCGGTTGCGTCGAGAGGAGGGAAGAAGAAATTGTCGCGAGAATTTGAAGAAAGGTTGGACATGAGGATCTCTAGGGTATAGTCCAATGGCTCCTCGGACTCGGAGTCGGCGTTCGAGTCTGGAGGGGTGGTCGGGAATGGCGTAAATGCGTGAAAGGGAGTCGAGGGAGTGGAATCGTTGATGGAGGTGGTGTTATCGATGAACCACAGTAGCCAATGGTCACCATTCATTTTGCCGACAGTATACGCTGCGCCACCTGGAAATTGTTTCTCGAGGAATGCGACCTCTTCTTTCCAGTCCCGATGAGGTCCAGATTGTCGTTCTGGGAACATGAAACTCTTGCGCGAGTAGAAACATTTCGTGACCGTCGTGAGCTTGCACTCTTGGTCCGCAATCTCCAATATCCGAGGGAGTCCGAGCAGATTGAGCGTCGTGCCACATGTCTTGAGAATAAGTTTGTAGGGATAAATAAATAGGGAGGATTCACTAAGCGGTGTACATTGGTTAGAGATTCAAGTGCTCTGGGAGACCTTGATACCTCAGGAGATAGGCGTCCATCTCTTTGCCTTGTATGACGCTGAGAACCTTGCAGCGCACAATATCCAGCATCTCTTCCCATTTTTCTCTCGAAACTGCTCGTAACCCAGGCCTTTGTTGGCCGCTGGCATCTCCATCCGGCGCCTGGAACCAAATCTCGAGCAATTTCTCTGGGCCTTCAAACGGCGCGTTCATCGTCTGCTGTTCGGTCGAATCGGCCCTAATTTCTCCATCTTCGACAGTAGACATTGATCAGTCGCGACTTTACCAAAGACAAGGAATCAAAGTCGGTGGCCAAGCAAGCGGCCCAATCAACGGCCGGCTTGGACTCTTTCCATAACCAGAAGGCAAACGCGGAAAATGCCCTCGAAATTGAGCATGCGTAGAAAAGTGCTCAAAACGATAATGAGGAGCTTTAAATTCAAGATGCCGCGCGGTTTGGAGCTGCCAATTCGTCTACGCCCGGTGCGGCGACACCTGGCTGCCTGCAAACACCCAGACTGACCTTCTTCTGCAGTGGTTCATGGGCCTCACCGCTCTCGTTTTGCTTTTTCTCGCTCTACTTGGTATATACCCCTCTCGCGCTGCAGAATCTCCACCATTTATGACACCATCTGGCAGGCTTTACGAGCATTGCCGACGAATGGCCACTAAACGACAAGATACTTCATTTCCTGTGCTTCATGGTCGCAACAGCCGTATTCTATTTCATCCTCGACGTCGACGAGTAAGCACATGTGCTCCATTATCTGGCAATGGTTACTCACTCATATTGCCCTGGCAGCGACGCAAAACACATATTATGGTGGCGCTACTTTGGTCTATCGTTCTCAGGAACGGTTTGCATATTGCTTGGAGGCATAGGGAGTGAATTCGTCCAGTCACTCTTACCAGTGGGCTCCATCTCCTTGTCATTTGGACAAGAAATCTAACTTGATCACAGTATAAAACATTTCAGTGGGGCGATGTAACTGTAAGTCGAGCCACTATCTCCTTGACAGCTTCTCAAGCCCTGTCACAGGCAAACGTCCTCGGAGCAAGCGTCGGTCTATTAATCGCATACCGACTCGAAAAGTATTATAGATTCCGTCGCGAAGTCGCACGGTTATATCAGCCTCTAGGCGAGTCTGACGCCGAGGAAGACTCGGAGGAGGAACTGTTGCCAACGCATACCGCAAAGGGAACAAAAGGCCGCAATTCAACAACGCGCTCCGACCATCCCAGAAATAAACCACGATTGGGCAATGTCTGGGATGCTCGCGAAGACTTTGACATAGGTGACGCCTCGGATTCTGCTTCTGACGAGGAGGAGCGAGCGGAACGAAGGAGACCGACCGAACCTTCCACTCCACATATCATCGTCTCACAGAGCTCATAGCCACATTTATTTTCCTATTTCTGTTTGTTGTTGGACCCACGGGGTACTGAACGAATCATAATAGCTTATTACGTGTTAAAGATACAGCAAGTGAGATAGACAATAATTCAGTATCCGGCATGAGCTAGAGCTGCTTCCAAGCAAGGCGAATGTCCGGTTTGCTGTGCTGAGTCGCTTTTGGCTTTGGTTTTGACCCACCGGCTTTGGAAATTGCTTTATTTTGCGTTGATACTGGTTTTCCATGTCCGGCGTTGAGAGTTTCAGAAGCCGACGCTTCCAGAATTGCTGAACGGCTGAGACACCAGTCAATGTGTTCGTTTAGCCCTGTATTATCGGTCTGAAGCGTCTTGGAGCAGATAGGGCAGATGTGCTGCTCAGACCGTAGCTCATCCGGTTTCTTTCTGCTGGTTGAAGAATGGTCGGGTCTTGTTTTTGCTCTTTTGGATGGCAACGGTGATGTGTCTTGGGAAGGCATTGGCTCATGCGAGGATGCTCGTGGAGCCACATCTGCGTCTGGTAATATCTGACTCCTTGGACGTTCCGGTGTCGCTGTAGCAGCCCGTTTTAAATCTTTACGGCTAGTACCGGCGTCTACGTCGTCTTCATCGTCAGATATCAAGATTGACCCGACCACTGTCGTGTTGACTTCTTTGTCGTTGGATATCTTCCGCCTCTTGAGCGGTCTCGTATTGGGGTCATCTGTTTGACCAAAGAACTATCACGGATATAAGAATGGAAATAAAGCCCTGAGTAGCCACGCACTCGTTTGATCCCTGATTCTTGCGCTCGCAGATCCTTCAAGTTTGTGACTCTGAGTCCGAGGAGACGAAGCTTGAGAGGAAGCTCGTGGGCTAAAAGCTCTTGTCCAACAGAGAGAAGCTCGTTGTACTTGCGAATGGGTCTGTGCACTGATTTTGCGCGGCTACGGACTGATCGGACTGATCAACCAATTTCACGCCTCTATGCGTGATGACTTGCCTTCGAATGTATCCAATTTGAGCTTGAGCGTGACAGTGTGACCTGAATAACCGAGTCGTTCCATATCCTCTTCGAGCTCCTTTGCAACTTGCTCGAGCTTTTCGTTGATGCGTGCCGGGTCGCTGATAGCATGAAATGTTCTGACTCAGTGACATGTTGAGCAGCGTATGTGCCAGCAGGACATGACCCACCGCTCTGATCCAACACTCTTTCGGGCTTCGCGGGGCCAAGGTCGGACGACATTGGAGCCTAGACCGAGATATATCTCAAGCTTGTCATGCATATGAAAGTGCTTGTCCATGAGTACGAGAGTAGCTCGTTGTGTGTATATATCTTCGCAAGTCTTGATTCCGACCGACTCGAGCAGTCGTTCGGTCACCCTTCCAACCCCAGGTATCTATACAAGTTGGTGAGATTTCACCCTTTCAGAGTGCAAGTACATACTCGACGAATCGGGAGACCCTTCATAAAATCGCGAATCGCCTGGGCATCGAATTCAAGCTTGAACAATCCGTTCGGTTTGTTGCGCTCTGAGCAGATCTGACTGTGTAAACAAAATTATGCGAGAATGTCGATGAATACCTTTGCAAGCATCTTTCGCTGTCGTCAGTCAACACTTCAGAATTGACTATGAGAGCAGACCTTGTTTGGGGCAATCCCAGCGCTTGCAGTGAGTTTCGTCTCTTGAAATATCGCCTTTCGAATATTTTCAGTGCACTCCTCTGGAGTAATCTTGTTCGCTTCGCAATAGTCGGTGATACTATTCCCAATGAGCTTCGAAAACGTCGATATGAACAGACCTACTTGAGGTAAGCCTCGTCGACCCCAACGGGATTCATAGTTTCGTCGTAGCGACGAAGGATAGTCATGACTTGCCCAGAGACTTCTGAATACCGACTGAAGTGATTGGTGACAAAGATGAGATCTGGAGCGAGCTTCTTTGCAATATGTCCTGCCATACCAGAACGTACTCCGAGCTTTCTCGCTTCGTATGAAGCCGTGCTCAATACACCGCCTAGGCTACCGACTCCAAACGCCTTTCCGACCAGACTAGGATTGTCGAGCATCTCGACAGATGCGTAGAAAGAGTCCATGTCGATGTGAACGATATACTGGCTCAGATCCCGGGTCGCTTCGAGCTCGGCGATGACTTTATCCGCGACCGCCTCGAGTCTGGCTGTAAACGGGGACGTGTTAGACGCGTTTATCCGACTCGTATCACTCACGGATATCAGCCATGGCCATTAATTCGTCACGTTGTTTGAGCAACGCGTTGATCTTACTGGCAAGCTCTTCGTCCTTGCGTCTCTCGTTCTGCCGATTCGCCACATCAGCACGAGTGTGTTATTTGGTATGAAAATGCCACCTCGTAGTATTTTGAGCCTTTGCTAGCCTCTGCGATCCGCTTGTTGATCTCCAGTTGGTCGAGGGCGAGGCCTGCCTTCATAGAACTCGGCCCGGCAAGTCTGTGCAACAATGACGCGTCTTTATTCGTATCATTTACTCGATTTGTCGTCTTTGTTTCGTCTCTTTTGCTGTCCGGTTTCCCACTCGTCGAGGCGCTCATGGCCAAGGTGGAGAGCCGCCCTGCCACCAGCTCAACCTTGAACTCGATCTCCATCCATCGCCAATATTATCCATCATGTCTGAAGCATCCAACACTCATCCAATCCCTCAATCCACAAAGGAAGCCCTCGAAAAGGCGCTCAATCGACGCTCCGAGCGCGAGGAACTCATCGAGCGCAACATCTTGCCCAGTATGCACATTCCATGGGCGAATTACTTATTCACACTACACAGGCTCCAATGTCGCACCAGCTCTCCAAGCCGCTCAAAAGGCCTTGGAACGCTCTCAGCTTGAAAACTCGTTGGAGCACAAACTGCAGAAACGGCCGACAGCCGCAGAGCTCGTCAAAGAGGGTATTCTCGAGAGTAAGTCTAGATGCTCAGAGCCCATAGACTGCGACTAATTTCGATCCCAGAGGACGAAGTACCCCCGTCCTAGGTGACCAGAGTGACGTAGTGTGTAGAAGAAAGCGTGTACAATCAAACAGGAAAATGGAATGAATAACGTTACAATGCCTGTGAGTACGCAACGAGTGGGGGGAGAAATATTATTAGCAAAACAAGGATATTCATCATCAGTCGGCATTGCGCTTCATCCTCTCCCGCATATGTGAAGCGGCTCTCGTCGCTCCCCGGGACCGGTCCAGCCCCTCATTCGGAGCCAGCGGACAAACTTTGGCGTGATGGCCACGGTCAGTCCCGCACGTATGGGCATGAAGAGGACCTTGTGAACGGTGTACGCAAGGATGATCATTGCGTAGAGATCCTCTCCTCCAGCCGTGGTTGCAGTCTCCTTGCCATTGATTTTGCCGTCTGGGGAATCGTCGGGACTCGAGCGATGGATTATATCATGGATAGTTCCCTTGACATAGGCCGTCACGCGTCCTACTTGCTGAGCACCGAAAAAGTTGATGGCAGCGAATGCAATACTAAAGTCGATGACGCTCAGAGCTAGGTATACGCCGAGCGCATACCAGCCATAGGATTTGATGAGCATTTTGAGCTTTGCAGTCAATGTTGTATTTTCTGGGAGCTCTGACGAGTTGAGATCTGGTGAGGGGGGAGGAGAGTCTCTTCGGAGAGGAGCATATGTCCTGAATCCGCGAGATGTGGTTGGAGATATTCGCAGAGATGTAGTGTTTCTATTTGTAGGCAGTATTGGTGGTTTGCTGAGTCGTGGCACGAGCAGTCGGAAGAAGGGCAGACGTGGCATCGTCGCCCGCTGCATGGCGGTGTTTCCTGCAATCTCCGCAGCTGCTAAAGGAGCTCCCAAGGTCTTTTTTGACGATTATTCGGGAGTAGCTTAATGGCGAGCACGGCCAACTAATCCGGCCGGCTTTGGAGGTCAAGGTCAAAACCCGTTCGGCGGCCAAATACAAACTTGCACTTCTTGGCCACCGACCTCGTCCAGCTCTCCCAGCTCCAGAGAGCAAATGGCATCCCAATCCGCTCCTTCAGCATCTCATGCCCTACCAGAAGCCCTTGTCATCAATGGTTTCCATTTGTTTCTCATCAATTCGCTTTCCCAAGTGCGTCCCAGAGGCTTGTAGAATGCCGCCAACACCGATTTGACAATCTCTTTCCAGGCAAAACTCGAAAAACTCATCGACGAGGATACACTAGCGTCTGCAGAGACTGATGTCATGATTAGCGGTTAGTGGTTCAGCAATCCAGGGTCAGACGATCTCACTTCTCTCCATGTAGGACCGGCTCTATGTCTCTTCTTTGCAGCTCTACGGTCACAAACGACCCCTCCAAGCGTGCCTATCCCTGGCGCACCCGTCGTTTTGTCCATCGAGACATGTCCACCCATCTTTCAGTCCTTCTTCCAGCTCTGGTCGCGATGTGTACCAGAGATCCAAGCTCTCCCCTCCAACTCGCAACACGATCTCGCCAGAGTCATCTGTGATCTTGAACCACTCACCCCCAATCCTCAAGTGACCCGTATCGCAGCCGACATTCGCTCAGTTGCCATTGAAATCACACAGCGACGTACATTCCAAGAAAGATATAGAAGTGACTTGCAGAGCGCGCTAGACGTTGGCCAACCGGCAGGAGGCGAGAAGCGGAGAGTCGCTGCCTTTTCTCCGCCGCCTTCCTATGAAGAAACAAGTTCCCAACACTCACACTCTCCTCACTCTTCCGTACATTCCTCTCCTCAGAGAGCGCCCGTGCCTCTACCCTCGACGCCCAGTCGACTTAATGCTGCATTGCCGCCTACGCCCCATGCACCCGGTGGCTCGGAGGGAATGGCGTCTATCGAGAGTACAATCTCGCACCCTCAAGACACTACACATCTCACAGTCGGAACAAATGCTGCATCTTCCACGACTAGCGCAGCCACTTCATCAAGCCGCTCGCGTTCCCCATCACCTACACTCATACCACCAGATTCTCCCGCTATTAACCTCATCCGAGAAACAGTGCGTTAATTTCCAATCTAGCGCGCTCATAATTTTGCTGACGGAGATACACTCACAGCTTTACGCTGCATTAGGCGAAGTCATTGCCAGCACGCCAGGAATTGTTCCGCTCATGAAGACAGATCCAGCGCGCGCCTATTTCAGTGCAGTTGGCCTATCTATTCTCACTGTTTCAACCGACTGCATCACAGTCGATGGGGGCGTCATTACTCCGATAGGCAAAGTCTTGACGCTCGCAGAATGTCCAGTGGCTTACCGCCCTCTGATGAGCGAGCTCGGGCGCATAGGTGCTCAAGCCAAGACAATCATCGAGGAAGACAATGATCGTACTATCGCTGCTGTTCGCGCGGGCGAGGTACCACCACAGCCACGGATGGAGCGAGTAAGGAGGATGCTAGAACATGGCGTGGCTCGAGAGGAGGCTCGTTATGACGAGGAAGGTGCAGCTGGGGCCAACCCACCGGCCCCTGTCTCCAGCCGTCCCCTCGTCTCCTCGCCACCTGTCTTTTCGCCTCCAGCTCATGCGCCCCCGATGCCAGTTCCGACGATTCCCAATGCTTCTGGGCACTCGGTGCCGATAGTGACCTCCCCACCACCGCAAGCAGGTCCACGATCCAGTCTCGAGCAGGATCCATACCTTGCTGCGCCAAATGCTGGAGCATCGAGCACGACATCATCACCTCGCTCGAGCGGTGAACACTCGCGCGGGCTGCGCAACGTATTGCACAAAACACGTCCAGCAACCGCACCTTCATCTACCCCACCACCACCCGTTGCACCGAAACCGACACCCCCAAGTTTGCGTCCACCAACGAGTGAACAAGGGCCCGGATCATTGTCTCCTATACCTTCACCTGCACGATATAGTGCACCGACGACCCCACCTCCTGGACGTGAAAGTTCTGGCGACTCGGCTGTGACCGTCAACATTGCAGGGATCGGAGCTCGTCCGGCCAATATTACGACCAACAGTGCGTCGGGCGTACCAGCTCCTACCGCGGCGATGATGGCACATCAACCAAGTTTGTCCGCCAGCGGCAATCCATATGATCAGGCAATGGGAAGCGGCGCGAGGATCAATGCTGGACATGGGAACGGAACTCCACATGCTCTGGCTTCGGGTATGAGTAATGGTGGAAACGGTCAACAACGACCACCACCTACGCCAGTTCAGCAGCCACCGATTGGGGGGCAACAACAAGACCCCAACGTGCCGGTTGCAGGCGGATCCGTCACGAGAGAGCCGAGTGCTCGCAGAAGTTTGGAAGGCACGACGGTTCAATTCGCCAATCGTATCAACGGGTTAGCTCTGGCTCTTACACGGCTTCGTATGTTCCAAGAACGACAGGATATGGTTTTCTCGATACTGGCTAGCGTTCATGACTAGAATAATGTACCCAAGGGATGTACTATAGATGATTTCAATCCTCATCTTTATAGAGTGTCAAACGCTGGGAGCTTTGTTCATATCCAAACGGTACAATGGAGCAAGGATGTCGATAACAAGGCTTTGTGAGATGGCCGAAACCATTGCATGCGACTGTCAAGGTAAAGACGATGAACATCTACGTTGCTACGTACGAGCGAAAGGCAAATGCAATCGTTTGTGGTAGCAAGGGAGATGCGCTTCGTGTAGTAGCCGTCCAGCTATCGCCAAAGAACTTGTCCAGCACCTTTGGAGAGTGAAGCAGTAGTGGTTGCCGCAGCCGGTAGTCAATTCGAGAAGTCGAGGAAAGGGTTGCCATGTTATCCTACATAACGCACTTTGATACCTTGAGAGCGCATGCTGGATTCCAATGCTACAAATTCGTTCACATTTAGGGACAAGGCTGCAAACGGAGGTCCTATGATTACTCACCTTTCATTTCAGCAAGTTCTTCCCTCTGTTCGTAGTTGAGCACGAGTCGCTTGAGCTGTTCCTGCTCCTGCTTGCTTTGAATCTGAGCAGAAAGGGTGTGTGCAGCCAACGCGGACGACGTCGGGATCTGCAACTCGCGATTCTGCAAATAGAATGTCGATACTTGGCTGCCTTCAGACACAATCCTTACGCACCGGGTTCTTATTCGCTCTCTTGCTGAGTACCGTGAAGCGCATCATTCCCGCAGTGTCGGTTGCTGGCTCGCTTTCCTCGCGATCAGCATCTCGCTTACGTCTCGCGACTCCTCCAGTCGTCGTTACGCCAGTATCCCATGCGGACAGTGCAGCTTTCCGGTCAACCTTCTTTGCGTCGGCCGCGGCGTCTGAGAGCATTTTGGAGAATTCTTTGTCGAAATCTGCCTCCTCTTCTTCGGTTGGTCCTAAATGTTTCTTTGCATCAAGGAGAACGAGATGATCTGGAGATGTGGGTCTCTCCTCGGCCTATTGCGAGCGTTAGGGTACGAATGATCCTGTTAAATAGATGATACGGACTGCCTCATCATTTTGGGTGTTTTCCTCTTTTTCGTCCACCTCTGATCTTGCCTCGTCATCATCGCCGCTTTCGTCGCCACTATCTTCTCCTTCAGCCTTTGTGGCCTCGAACATCTCGTCCACGGCAGAGGCCGCCTCTTCAAAGGTTTTGAATCTAGTCATTTTGGGTCGAATTTGCTAAAAGCAATCAGATGGACACTGAGAATAGATGGGCAGACGCACGTCAAGCGTATCGCTGATCATAAACTCTACATCCATCGGCAGGTCTTCCTTTGTTAGAATATATAGCTTGCAAACGTGAGTGTGATTCTTTGGGAACATCTTTGTACCCTTACTTGGAAGAACGTGAGAAAGCGATCTAGCTTCCGCTTGTAGGAACCCCTGTCAAAACACATCCCGCATGCATCAAGGAGCGTGCAAACAAGCCTGATACGGAAATAGTCGTCGGGACTATCAATCGCAGAGACTTGGCCAGGTAGCGGTCGACCCTCATCTATGGAGAGTTAATGATCCGTTGTAAGTGAGCTGGCTAGCTTACTGTGTCCAAAGGTGACCAAGCTCCAGAGCGTATCAAAGATAACACGGGAATTGACGAGGCGATAGATGTACAATTCACCGAGATATTTTACGGTGGCGACCCGCTTCTGGTTGTTCTTGTAGATGTTTTGCTCCATTCCTAGACGAATATTCTCCATCACTTGATCCACTACATCGACACAGAACTTGGAGTGATAGCGTTGGAGGTCATACGCAAGGATTGCCATCAGCGTTATCGTCGAAAAAGAGACTTTCCATGGTTTGGTAAACATCTTGAAGAGTACCCTCTCGGTCTAGTCACAGTCAGATAGGCGCATCGAATGCAGTGTTCGTACCTCGGTATCATCCCAATTCAGCTTACGAAGGAGCTTGAGGACGTTATCCAGCGACTTGCGAGTCAATACGTCGCAAAGTAAGTGCCGTATGAAGAGCTCGATTGTGGAGCGCTGCTTGTGCTCAATGGGTCCTCTTTCAGGGGGATTACACTGTAAATGGTCAGACTAGCCTCAGCGATATTGTCTGACACACCTGATAGTAGGCATTCTCGAGGAGGAGAATCTGTCGTTGATCAAACTTTTGCAGACTTTGCTTCCTCTTCATCAAGTCGAGCTGAAGATTCTGTTAGATAACCAATGCGTAAGCTGGACCATTACCATCTCTGCAGTCTTCTTTCCGGTGTCTGATCCACGCAGGAGAAACCTGCCGCAACCCTCAAGCAAAGTCGCCAAGCTATCCACGTTAGTTCCACTAAGATCATCCAGGAATACGCGGAAAATGTGGAGAATAACGTGAGGAGGAACCAAGTGAAACTTTGTGAGGACAGAGAACCATGTAATATTCTGCAGACGCGTGAGAAACAGTGTTGTAATGGGATCAAAGGCCAAACCTTGGTGCGCATCGAAGCGAGCTCCTTCACAACCTTTTTCTTACGTTGTAGATACCGGAACTCATCTTCTAGCTACATGCGAATCAGACCATGCCACATAATTTGACGCTTCGCTTACAGCCTCGAGCAACTCTTTGGACAGATCGGGCGCGTATTTACTGACAGTTGCGACCAGACGTCCATAGTATGGGATGAGATCCGTCCTTTGCTTCGGAGAAGACATCAGAACTACGACATTCATTCAGCTGGGTTCGTGGTGTCGATCAAGCTCACCTTGACCAAGCGCTTTCTCGCGGCTTTTGAATTCACGAACATGAACTCGGTGGCAGCTTGATCGATACTGTCCCGACTCGTCGCATCCGGAAGCTTCCCAAGGATAACAGTGAGAGCCTGTGACGGACCCGGAGCAACAGATGCATCAACCTCTGTCACGGGGGAGGGAGAGCGACTCGTAGGCGCCCTGGGAACGTTCAGTTGGAAACCATAGTCGAGGAGGGGGCTTACTCGTATACCGAGTCCTCATCCGCTTCACCACCGAGATCGGTCAAACGCCCAATATCCGCATTTTCGCCCTCGGCGTCAGTGGCAGCGGAGGATGCGGCATCTTCCTCTGGTACGTTAAGAAACGAGCGGGGCACCCAGTCCTTTAGGTCCATGAGATCCTCGTAAAACTTTCTATCTTCCTCGTCTTCAAATTGGCTTGACCTTCCCATCTCGACTTCGTCGCTGCGTATCCGTTCCCCCGTGGAAAGTCCAATTGTGTCTGCTTTGGAGGCTGCGGCAGGCAAGTGTGGCATAGGCTGGTTTAAGAGTTCGGATAGGCTGCATTGGCGTCAGTCCTCTGCTGAGCGTGCATAGAATTTCTGACGTCTGACAGTTTTGCAGTAGCTTTTCGTAGTTTTTCGTCATCTTCTCGTACGCTTGCTGTCTATCTTCAAAGATTTCCCCTGAACGGATGTATGCCTCGTGATTGCGACGATCTTGGTCTTGCAGACGCTAAAATCTATAAGCCACAGGTCAACCATTCTGGATTCTATACTTGCATGATGTTCCTTGACGAGTATCTTTGACACAGTCTCGTAATACCCGTCACACATTCGACGAAATCGTTCTCTGATTTCTTTTTCGACTAACTCTTCTCCTTCTGGAACGGTATCCTGAGAACCTGGAGTAGGACCTAGGTATGGGCGTCCGTATCCCTTCAGGAATGTGATGAGCAATGGTATAGACGAAAGTGACATGTCATGAGATAGCTAGAGGTGGGGAATTAGTAGTGTATTTGACGAATAGCCGATATACATACGAGGTCTTTCATCGCTTTCATGATCCATTCTCCCCCAGACTTGGTCTCGGAGGTATTCGGCCCAATTATTCCAACCAGAGCAAGCTCCGAGCATACGCGTAAGACAGGTCGCTGACGAGAGATGCGCGCAGCTACCTCCTTTTCTTGCAGCTCGGAGTTGACCGTGGAAGCGGGAGGAACGACATTCTTTGGTGGTGGAGCCAGTGATTGATGAAGCATATTGACAAATTTGGGTGTAAATGTGGATCCTAGTCGTCGGTGAACGGCGGATATGATCTAAATTGGGTAGGTCTAATAAGCCATCTAGACTGAGCAACAGGAGCAAAATACCTCAGTTGCAGACCATATATCCTTGTCAGTCTTGCATCTTGCAAGGCCTTCGACCAAGCTGGCGGCTATTTCTTCAACATATTTCTCCAGAGTCAACGTCTCGATATCCTTCAGGATCTGATCCCTGTTCTCCATACCGATGGAGAGCTTTGCGCGTCTGATGAGTGCTGTGTGCCGCTTCAGAGAGGCGTCAAGGGCACCTTTGCTGCGAGCTGGACATCGTTGGGAGTATCAGCCTCCGTCCAGTCTCATAACGGGATTCTCAAACTATCAAACAGTCGACCTGGAGGTACTCACGTGCTTCGGAAGATAGATTTAACTCTCTAAGGCTACGTCGCCGCGCTCGTTTGGCAGCTTCTTCATCGTCTTTCGTCTCACGAGCGGCATCCATATAACTGGGAACAAGAGGGTTTCCAACAATTTTTTACCCAAGAGTGTTATAGTTTGATTCAAGAGTCACTCTCAAAGTGGCGGTCGCGGTAGAGGTCAAACTTGGAATTGTGAATCCTATATACAGGAAATGAAGGCTCAGGTAAACTGAGAGAATTGGAAAGAGATAGAGCATCGAATGATGAATACTAGACCCGAATTCACTTTCTCACTGGACTCGGACAGTGGACACTGAGCCTTGATCTCTAGATCCACTGACTCTTGTCCCAAGATGGGTCTTGAAGGAATGCGCACAAGACCTTGCTACCCGTCTAAGAGGAGCGTCAGTTGTAATTCTGGGGCGTGACAAGGAAAATGGGTAGAATAGCCAGCGGATATGAATCTCCAACGGATCAAGGAAACATACCTGCAACAGAGGATGGCCAGCGACGATTCCAAGGAAACGCTCGAGCCCTTCACGACGCGCTTCGATGACTTCATCCGAAAAGCGGTTGGTGAAGACCTTTCCGGGAAGGGGGGGAATATTGACACGGGTTGATTCACGCTCTAGAATGTCGCGAAAGGCTTCAAAGTCGGAGTAGCGGCGTCGTACTCGGGAGTGACGAAGTTTGAATGCGGGAATATTGGTCTATTGGTGGATTTGGCAATTATCATGGTGTCGATGCGTGTAGCACATCAGCCCTTGGAACTGGGGGAGCACTCCAGCAAATAGGAATACTCGCCTTGCAAAGAATCTCGTAGTCGGTGTACATCTTGCGCCCATATCCTGGGGATTGCGAGGCGCGCGTTAGGAGCCTTGTCTGTAAGCCACTGGGCGGTCACTCACCGTGAGTCTCTGGATCACGGACTTCAATCTCGAGGAAGCTTTCGGGGATGCTGTACATCTCCTCGATCTGATACAAGATGTGAGAGCAACACGGCGTCAGCGCTGCTGCTTGGGTGATCCGCACGCTCGGCGGCTTTGGCGCACCGTTTGCTCTCTACCTTCGAGACGAGTGTCATCGTAGACTCTTGCGAATGGGGAGACGCCAGAGCTGTTCATCATGTGCTCAACGCCTTATCTGCGCAGTGTCTTCAACAAGCCGGGGAAAAGACGGGTTCAAAGCTTGACGCAACATGGGCCCAGCGTCATTAGCCCTTGAAGATTTGAATATCCTCAGGACTCGAACAGCATTCGTTGGACACTTGAATATTGCACTACAAAGGAGATACAAAAGTTAAAACGATGGAACATATGAATTCTAGTAGTAAGGGGTATACCAATACATATCCATGCAAGAAACAGGCCTACTACCGCTTATGCGATATCCTCCAATGCATACAACGCCAACGTCCACGTCGACGGCTTCAAACACGCCCAAATCCACGCCATGCACGCGGTGGGCAATGAAATCGTCAGCCTGCTTCTCAAATACACACAAGGTTTCCTGGTCTATGGCCCAAATGTGGTCCCCAGAAACCTCGACGCGTTCGAGTAGGTTTGACACCTTGATCGCGCCTATTTCAACCCTGTCTGGCAAAAGCTTTGCTTTCTCACTGCATCCTACGGACTCCTGCCTTGGGCCACTCAAGAGCCACATACCAGAATCGCAGGCACTTCCTCTTCGCCATGCCATGCAGCCCTGGTCAAACGATGCTGGTGTGACCTGTGGTTGGCCCAATAGTGGTATCTCCACAGATACTTCTACCTTTTCCATGACCTCAAAGTCGTCGGTCGCTCCAGTGTCGGGATTGGGAATACCCAAGACGGCCATATTTTGCGATCCGTCATCACTTTGTTGGATGAAGAACAGAGTGTTGCCTAGTAGCCTTGCTTTGCTGACGGTGACTTCGTGTTCGTCACCCAGCGCGGCTCTAAACTTCCCCGAAGGGCTCCATACGACCGCTGCGCTCGACTCGTCTGATTGGACGATATGACAAGAGAATATATGTGTCTCTATAAATCTGATTCTCAAAGTCAGCTTTTCTTTCTCCATTCTGATGCCCTCGTCTCTACCCACCTGTGGTCGAGCAGCCGTTCCCCTGAGACTGCCACCCGGAATTGGGTGGAAGAGATCAACTCTGCGCCGACAAAGTACTTCGAGAGCTTGAAATCGAGTATCTGCCGCCCCACAACTAACCCTCGCCGCACGTCGACGCAAATTAATTCTTGTGCGGTATCTTCTGTAGCGCCCAAGAGACAAATGAAAAGTCCAGCTCCGTCGATTAGAGTCTCAGAGTTTGGATATATCACTCCATCAAACGTGATGCTGCGGGTTGAGAAGGGTCCTTGCGCATGCTTGCTGTTTAGCAGTCGGTTATGGCATGCCCTCGAGGTTGCAAGGCGTAGTTCGCGAGGGGAAAGGTCGTGTATCGGAGTCAATCTGGGCAGGAGTCCTGGGATCACGGCGTGCTTCCAGAATAGGATACTGCTCTCAGAAAGAGAGCGAAGCGTTCTGCAAGACTGGGCAAAGGTGAGCGTCCTGTGTGCCAAATTTTGAAAGATACTAACAGAGGACAATGATATCAGGTCTCGGGGTTAGAGATACTGCACGATGGCGAAGAGAACTTCGTCTGGAAGATTCATCAACGCCGTACGTGATAGAGGCAGCGGTTTGGGTGACCATATGAGTGCATTATACACCCTCGCTAGCTGTGATAAGAAAGTTCTCCATATGCCCATTGACGGCTGCAACGGTGAGCACGGGCTGGTACGAGCGAGATGGCCTTGGGGAGTCTGCATCCTAGGTGCAGAAGCAAGACAACGCCAGGGCAGCGGTATTATATACGGACTCAATTATTTCTGCTCAGTGTGTTGGATACCTGCCACCCAGCGGCACGCCAATTGACTTGCCCCATGCAATTTGTTGTAGCACCTGTTTCATTGCCACAAATGAACCCACGATAGACGCTCTGGTGATTTCCGGTCTAACCGTCTCGAGAAGAGCAGAGCCTTCCCCTCCTCTGGATTCAACATGGTAGATACCCCGCTCCGAACTAGCGCCACGCGCGCGTTAATATCACACATGGTTTGGATTCGAATACTAGGTCGAAGAATAGAAATATAATTACAAATACTCATTTGCCCTGGCGTTTATCAGCACTCGTGAACCCTCCAAAGTCGTCGCCATCATCCCCATCCTGCATAAGTCCACGAGCCTCTATCCGTCCATCATAAGGTAGCGTCCGTCTCTGTGAGCTCTCCGGGCTCATTATCGGTGCACCGCTTTTACTGTTCCTCAAATCTTCGTCTTCGGAATCTGTCTCGTCGCCAACGTGCCACGACGGACCCGGTGCTTTGTCCTTGCCGCGCTCAGTCAGCGAAATCTCATCTTCTTCATCACCACGTTTGGAAGCGCTGGTGCCTGGGAATCGATGATTCGAAGCACCTGGTGTCTTTGGTTTGGGCTTCTCAGGCTTCTTGAGAGTGAGCAAAACGACGCCTCCAATGAGTACCACGATCGATGCAAAGATGAGGAACAGAGTCTATATGCCTGGTTAGCAAGCTAAATTCTTCCCTTGACTCGCAAAGACGTACCCAAGGTTCATACGCATCGATTTCGTCGTTGAAGACAAGCGAGTCGAGAAATCCGCTCGCTGTATACACTCCATAGAAGACGGGAACGACGAGAGTTGAATCATATGCTCGTAGCCCACGGTTAAGGCAAAGGATTTGCAAAACTGCGGTGACCGCCAAGAAAATGAAGGTGAATATAGCCGCAGGATGTCCGAATTGATTGCCAGTGTTACGATGGCTCAAATAGCCAGACACCATCTTGACTCTGTCAATAGTCAGTGTCGCTCTATTCACATTCGCAGAACTCACGAAGCTTTGGCAAACACCAGCGTTCCACCAGCCAATGCACCACCGCAACACGCCCAACAGATGCCCAGGGTCCACGCAAGAGTCTTTTCGCTCTTATCTCTCGACCAGCGTTCGATCCATCCTCTTGTCCAATACGTCATGTTCCTCCAACGAACCCTGATGCCTTCCCAGAATCCGACCTCTGGCTGAGGGCCGCCACGAAAGGCTCTCCATCCTCCTGAGCCAGATACTGATGTTGTGACCGGAATAGGCGTCATTAATGGATCCCCCATGATGTCCATACGATCGAGAAGGATGGTCTCGAGTTGCGAGGCGCCAAAGTAGAGAAAAAAGATGGGCAGGATGCCGAGGAGGACCAGGTAGCAAAGCCATCCAACTCTCGACCAGAGACCGATCAGGATATCCAAGTTCATGTGTGTATTGAGGCCCTTGTTGATTGAACCAAAAGCGACAATGCCAACGACTCCAAGGATCACAATAATGGTCCCATAAATATCCATCCGAGTCACAGGAGTCCCTACGAGCCATCTAGCGTATCGCATTAGTGCCAATTGGGTCGCATAAGAGACGCATTACCGAGCGAAGAGAAGTTGAAGACCAAGCTTGAGCTTCCAAGTGGCGCGACATATTCTACCACTTGTCAGAGACATACTACTATCAATAAAAAGCTTACCCGCTCGTAAAAACTCGAGTGCCAGCGTACTGCCAATGAGCTGACTGGCAATGTACAATACCATGCCAATGAGCCATAGAGGTCTCAGAAAATCTTTCCGTCTTTGATGTCTTGGAAGCTCCATCGTCCGTATCATGTCCATTTTGACCAAATTCAAACCGCCTTTTGGGTGAACGTGTCAGTCATGCGAGTATACAATGACGAAGAGAGGCGCACCAGCGTTCATGATAGACGCAACAAGTATAATTGCAGTCCCAATGATAAAAGATATAATTGGATTGAGATCATGATCGACCCTCGGCAGCTCAGAGGTTTCTGTGGGAGATGGTGTCGCGCTGCGAGTCGAGGACGGAGTTGCCGAGGTCGAAGACATACAACTAGTAGTTAAAGTTGTAGTTTATTTGATTATTGGAACTTTTAATCGTCGAGTCGTAGAGCGCGTCAAGGTATGAGAAATTATGGCCAGCACCAAGTTATAGTGTACAGCATTGTCTACGGGTGCGGTCGAGGACAACATCCCAAGATGTCACGGAATAAGGAGTGGTGGAAGTATGATGTATTATAGACGCGACGATAGAAATACACATAAACAACGAACGCCTGTGACAACACAGGCGTTTTGTCCTCTCTAGACTGTCCCACATCTACTTCGAGATGCCATGAGAGCCACTTGCGCTCGCTTTTGTAGTTGTGATTCCGCCTGCTCCTCCGACAGGGCCACCGGCAGAGGGTGGGTCGACAATTGTCGGAGGAAGCGGGCTTGACGGTGGGTCGATGATCGTCGGTGGCCTTCGGTTCCCTTGAGGAAGCGGTGGTGGTGATCTCGGGGAATCCGAGGGTGGGAGTGGAGGAGATTTGACGCCATCCGATGGTGGCAAAGGCGGCGGAGTGCGAGGAATCTCGACGTCATCCCGCGGTGATCCCGGCTCTGGGATCGTGTTCGAAGGTGGCTCTAATCCTTCGCCGCCTGTCGGGGATGGCGGCGGGTCCGAAGTCGAAGGATCAGAGGCGCTCGGCTCAGGTTCATCTCCGTCATCGGCGAGTTCTACATATGTCCAGAGAAGATATGTCAGTAAGTCAAATTGTGGCGCAGGGCCATATGGCCCAGAAGCAGTTTCATTTGACACACCTTCTGCGTAGACGTCTGGATGCTCTCTGAAGCAGTCTTGCATGGCCCTAAACTTTTCCACACAGTCGACTCCCTTTGGCTCTGCTTCTGAGAATACAAAGCAGGAAAAGGCTTCACGGAATTGAGGCCCGCATGGTCCGTGCGCCATGCCGCCTAGACAAGGGCAATCCCAGTTAATTTCGCCCGTCTCTGGATCGAATGCGCCAGTGTTTTTTCCTTCTTCCGTCGTAGCGGATTCCTCGAGCTCTCCTGCCTTGTTTTCTACGACGACCACGGCGGGCTCGGGCTTTGCTAGACTCTTCTGGTGATTACGGGAGTCTGCTTCTGTAAAAGTTGAGATTGTGTCAGACGCCATTCAATGGAAAGGGGACTAACGAGCTTTGGCTATTGGGTCGAGGGATTTGGAAATCGTTGAGGAGCGGAGCGCGGAGGGAGGAGGACGAATAGAGTAGAGCCATTGATAGGCGCGTGATGAGCAAATCGTCAGAAAGAAACTAAACAAGGAAACAGGAGCTAACCAATCGCCTCTGCGTGTGCGTCTGCAAAGTTGATGTCAGCACGCCGAAAATCGCAAACGCTTTGTGAGACGTGCCTTTTCTCCGCTGTCGAAGTTCTAAACGAGACTTCTCATTCATCTTCCAGGCCACGTATGAGGTCCCAGCCGCTGCTGAGCCATACAGCACAAGTCTTGCAGAGCTCGACGTCTGTAGACGCGTCCCCAGTGTTCGCAAAAAGCCGCTCATCGTCGTCGACAGTCAGCAGGTGTGTTGACGTTGTTGACGTTGTTCGCGTTGTTCGTAAGTGGGAAGAGTCGAGGTCGAAGAGCTTGTTCCTCGACCACCTCGGCCACGTCCGCAGAGCTTAACCTTGGGTTTATCATATTTCTGCAGAAATTCCAGGAAAAAACAAATCCTCATGTTATGCCTCTTGGATTCACTCCCCGATTACCGTCCCAGCCACGGCCAGGGCTGATCCTACTCGGTTCCCAGTTGCACCTGATTGGCCGTAGCACTTTGTACGGATTCTGCTGCTAGTTTAAACGTCGTCTCCTGCGGTCCTGTGGCGGACAGCTTGATGGATTCTGTGGCACCGACGGCTCCTGTTTCGGGCTTCGGGTGTCCTCGCAAAAGGTGCGCTTTATTCAACTTTAACCTCAACCCATACATTTTCTGAACTGCTTAAAAGGGCGCCCTATCTGCTGCCGTTGACCGTCTTCGGCAAAAACTCGTTACCCCCCGCAGAGTTTACCTTCCGAGACTCGAATGTCCCTACGGCCTTACCTTGGCACATTCTTCTGTCAATCACTATAACAATCTCCTCGGGCCTGCCTCCTGTCGCTCGTTCTCTTCCCATCCCCCCCTCCCCCCCACACCCGTGGCTGCTGCCCCTCCCGCCTTGCAATGGCTAGTCCATCTGCAACCCCGACACCGTCTCCTTCAACCCCAGATTCGTTCGACAGCTCTGATGCGGCCACCACTTCAGATCTCGCCGTCAAGATCTCAAACTCGATTAGCCTTGCCGCCTGCATTGCCGTCGTCGTCTCCTATTTCTATTTCCGACGCAACAATAGGCGCATCATGCAACGTACATCACTCGTCCTTGCAGTCTCCATGGCTTCTGCAGATTTACTGCTTCATGTACGTAGATTCCCTCGACCCTGGGACTCGCTCACCCCACCTCTTTGTTGTGCAGTTTATCAACATTTTCGGTTATGCACCTCTCCCCAAGAGCGTCTGTGGGTTTGTAGGCGGTTTTCTCTACGCATGGCCGACATTGGTCTCGCTCTTCTACTCGTTCTCTATCGCACTCAACACCCAACTCGCATTTGTATTTGGCAAGCGGCCCGGCCAAACCAAACTCAAATACTATATTGGCATCCCCCTGGCTGTCGCAACTTGTATCAGTAAGAGCTTCCCACCAATTCTCCGTCGACCTCTGACCCTTTGCAGCGGTACCAGCATTGGCAACCGGCCTCTACGGACAAGATGATAATTGGGATATGTGCTGGTACAATACCCAGGGCAAAACTGCACAGCAAGTGCTTATCCCATACGTCTTTACGTTTGCTTTTTGGTGCCTCATCGTCATCTTCTATCTGGTCGTCGCTGCAGTGACGATTATCGTGGCAGTCTTCTACACGTCCTCCCGTCTGAACCGTCTGGCAGCAAACTTCACACGATCAAACAACTCTCGTCCGTCGCATTCTCAGCCCCAGCCCCGGGCCGCGGCATCCCTCGGGCAACCGCGGTATCTCCCACAACGTTCTTATATACAGTCCGACCTCGCAATCACAAAACCGGAAATGGAGATAGAGCCCGTCCTGCCTGTGTTGTCAAGGTCGAGTGATACCCACGATCGGAGTGGCAATCAAACCCCCTCACGCGCCCTGTCATCCCGCCCACCACACGTCCAAGATGTTCTTCCCCTCTCTCGCCGCTCGTTGGCAATGCGGGCCCTCGCCATTCGATTGATAGGGTACATCATCGTACCCGTCTTATGCATCGTACGTATTCCGGTTATCTCTCTCTTTCATTTTACACATTGAATTATTTCCTGTGCTTCCCCATTCATCTCGCCCCTCTTACTCCCACTTCTTGGAACTGACAGTTTCTCCGGCATATCCAGCTCCCGGGGGTGATCAACGACCTTCTCGCGAAGTCTAACCCGACCATTGTTGCAAGCATTCCCGAGAGCGTCACCACCTTTTTCGACACACTCAACGGGCTTGTGGGCACATTCAGCTCTGTACTATACGCTCTTGACCCCGCACTACTTGCGCTCTATTCGCAGCTATGGCACCAACGTCGTCAAAAGGTTTCTGCCAACGCGACAACCGATCGTGCGATCGAACTCAACAATGCGCGTGAACAAAGTGAAATTTCAGACTACAAAGATGCCGACGGCCAGCCTCGCGGCAGTGCAGCTGGCGGCAGCAGTAGTGATACCAGAATTGCTCACTTCCGAACCGAAGGGCAGCGGTCAAACCTCTTCCCCTTGCATATCGGACGGCTGAAGAAGCAGCGCAAAATCCCCCGCCAGTCAATGATGATGGGTGATGGAGTCCTCATTCAAGTTGAAGTGCAGGTGAATCGCGACGACGACATTGGCCGACTGGAGAATTACCTTGATGGTTTGTAAGGGGACAATGGCACAATCCTCTCTCTCTCTCTCCTCTCTCTTGTAATGATTTTCTAACCTTATTACCGTATACGAATCCTCTCCGAATGTCATTGTTTCATGTGATTACGTTCGACAACCCCTTGTCCACCGTTGTATCCTCTCCTTGCTAGAATTTGAAACAAATACGTCTCGTATTTCAAAAATCTTCGTATCTTCATCTCTCAAGAGAATGCAATCGTAGCCAGAGGTAAGCGCACTCTCGATCAACTTCCCGACCCTCCTATTGTCTTACACTATTTGATTACTGTATCGGCCGAAACCCGGAGCAGCTCGCAACTGAGGTCAAGCTTGAACCAAGCCGCCACCGTGAGCATCTCAAAGAACCCCTCCTAGGATCCAAAGCAAACCCTCTATATTACCATTCAACACTTTTCATGGCGTTTTCGGGCGCAGTGGTTTGTATAATCTATGGGGGTTGTTCGAATTTTGATTGCTATAGACCTTGACGGACCTCAACGATTTCATTACCCCATCACAAGCATGTATCAAGCCTGTAGAAGTAAAGAAAGCTCCAATTTCGGATGCTAAAGGGGCTGCCTTGGTTAGTCAGATCGCCTTTGACAGCATTCTGACAGCGTTACTCCCAGACCGATATTCGTGTCGATGATACAGGAGCGTACTATGAAGTAGAGATTGGCCCCAAGGCAACTGGAGCTCCGAGCCAAAAGTTGACCAAAGCTGAGATCAGTCTAAACGACTGTCTTGCATGCAGGTGGGACGCATTGCCTACTTAGCACCACTTTCACACTGATAACGTTCTAGTGGATGTATCACCTCTGCGGAATCGGTTCTTATCACGATGCAGTCGCATGAAGAAGTCATGAGCTTTCTTCAATCAAACCCTCCGCCAGGTGACCCAGACCACAAAATACCGGTTCTATCGATATCACCTCAATCACTGGCCTCTCTATGTTCCGTCTCTCGCGCCAAGTCATCTAGTGGATCTCCATCTATGCGAGGTGTACTGGACAGTGTCAAGGCGTTTGCGTCGGCAGAGCTGGGATTCGAACATGTCTTTGATACAACGTTTGCACGTCATATGGCACTACGAGAGCACATATTAGAATACGAGGAGCGGTCTGCAGCTTTCAAGAATAAGGAAGAGGGATCCCTGCCTATGTTGGCCAGCGCATGTCCCGGATGGATCTGTTATGCAGAGAAGGCGCATGCGGAAATGCTTCCATTCATCAGTAGAACAAAAAGTCCGCAGCAAGTGATGGGGACACTCGTCAAGGAATGGCTCGGGCGGAAGCTCCAGAAGAGGCGAGTTTTGGGACATGGAAATAATAAATCCACTGACTCTTATCAGCCCTGATCAGATTTATCATGTTACGGTCATGCCATGCTACGACAAAAAATTAGAAGCGTCTCGGCAAGATTTTTACAATGAGCAGTACCGCACCCGAGACGTGGATTGTGTTCTCACGACAGGAGAATTGGAGAACCTAATGAGCATCAAGAGATGGAATAGTGATCATCAGAATCATTCCCCTGCTTTGGAGACGTTTGGCATCCCTGACCTATTCATGCCACCCGGCTCGAGCTCAGGAGGATGGCTACAAGCCATTATCGACCACATAGTCGAGAGGGAGCGGCTCCAAGGCAGGACATGCAATATACGAACCAAGACCATTCGCACGTCCGACTACGAGGACGTCGTTGTCGAAGCTGTCAATCAGTTCAACCAAACCGAGGTTGTGTTCAGAGGCGCCAAATGCTACGGATTCCGAAATCTACAAAATGTGGTCAGAAAAGTTGCCAAGGAAGCAGGAGTTAAAGGATCGGGATCAGCCGGGAGAGCGACGCGAGGTCGTGTCACTGGTGTGACTGCGGCATTGCGAGCTCGTCGTGCAAGGAAAGGAGAAGAGGCATTGACACAGACCGAGCTTGGCGATGATCGGCCATACGACTATGTAGAAGTAATGGCCTGTCCGGCAGGATGCGTCAATGGCGGTGGACAAGCTCGCAGGCCTATCAAGGCAGAAGAAAGTGGAGATGTAGTCAACCTAGTGAATGGGGATACCGCTGGGATGGGCTCTCGCTGGGGAGATAGGGAATGGGTCAAGGCCGTCGAGGAGACGTATTGGAATGTCGACCAAGACAATTCCCTATTGGACCGGATGAATTCCCTAGCCGAACTTGTGGTTACAGAGTTTGGTCCACAAGATTCGACTGAGCCCCCCGACGTTCGCAGACATGTGGCGTTGCGGACCCAATACCGCGAAGTACAAAGCGATGTGATCGGCTTGAATGTCAAGTGGTGATAACAGCTCTCGTAAACTCGCGAGCGCTCTTCGCCTTGATAGGTTATGGACGACGTCATTCAAAGAAGCACGCAACCTTCACCTCAGCCACCTCTACGTAACAGTAAACGCCTAGGTGACAACGAAGGAAGATAAGCGAGGATTGCACCCGATAGCTGTATAACCTCAGCGATCAGATTGGATCATAGGAACCTACCACTTTGGGTGCTCTCATAGGCTTTTTGCCCATGCACCACTACCTGCGTGTCTATAGATCCTTGTATGTGTTGAAGGTTTCTTCCACCTCGACCGTATTCCTCCCTGCGGACCCATACAGTATCAGTCGATAAAGTAGCGCAAGCGAAGCCGATCCTAAGACGCGTCTTCAGTGTCAGCATTCCGATTCGTACCAGTAACGTCGAGCGGTTGTAACTGGCTGTAGTCAGTTTCCATCTATATAAGGATCGGCCATCCAGAGATTCGCCCACTCAAATTCAACGTCTACAATGGCTTCCCTATTTCTGTCTGAAAGCGACCAAATTCCCGCTAATATTACAAACGAAATTGACCGTGAGTGGGGCTATTTCGACTGCACAGAGCCTGACGGACTATCTATCACAGCTGGACGTCCAGCCAAGGACTCCAAAACATTCCCTCGTGGATCCGGGGACCTTGAGCTCGTCTCTACTGACAATGTTCATTTCAATATCCACAAATTTCTTCTCCAGCACACTTGCGGCTTCTTTGCAGACATGTTTTCTCTCCCTACGCCTCAGAACGAGGAGTTGCAGGATGCACAAGTCTCGAAGAAATCATCAGAGGTCATTGAGATCAACTTGCCCTCCAAAGTCCTTCACGAATTCCTTTGCCATATTGAACCTAACGAGCCTCAGCCCAAGGTCGATCCGGCCACGGTTGGGGCACTGATCGATGCAGCCCTTTTCTACCGCGCTCCATCCATCATCTCATGGTTCATCGACGGCATTCAGTTGGACTGTGTGAATCGAGTTACTCAAAAGCTTCACCCATCCCTCCTCGCGACTAATCCTTTATTGACTTTGGCCCTCTGTCACAAGGTCGGAAGCGAGAACGGAGTTAAGAGTGCCATCAAGGAGCTTACTACATGCGATTCCATCTTTTGGGACGAAGATGTCGAGCTCAGCGGGCGCTTGCTTCTCTACTGTGTCAAGCTCCGGCAAGAGAGGACAGCACTGTACCTCGACTTGGCAGACAATATGGCAGACTTCGAATTCAGCAACACTGGTAATGTCAAAGAGAGAACCCGGGTCACTTGTATGTCATGCTCAGTGACCCTAGCTCGATGGATCAAGTCGCTCGCCACTGCGGCCAGTCAGTGGCCAAAGTGGGACAACATCCAGGGAATCGTTTGTCCTGCGAGCTGTCGTAGCTGCGAGCTGGAGTGGCCCGAGTACAAGTCCAAGACCTTTAATAAATGGGTCAACATCAATCGTCCCGACAGGAAGGAACAATCTTCGCTTTTGATTCCAGAGTGGCTCAGCCGTGACCTCGTGACCAATGCAAGTCTCGTGCCCCTCACCAGAAAGCACAGAGGAGCCTTTTAAGTCGATAAATCGGTAGGTATAATGACTATATTTGTGAAACTTAGACGCTGAACTAGCCTTTAGCTCTGCAAATGTGAAGTAGAAACCCGAAAGCGGGCTGTAAGTAGTTTGGGAGGGAAACAGGGTTCAAGTTCTGTAGCGAGTCCGAGTGAAAAGTGCTTTCCGATTTCCTCTTGTTGAGCTGAGTAAGCCGGCTCTACCTGACACGATTGGCCATGAATGTTTGGCTCCACATGGGCAATTAGAGGATAGTCCCGTCCACGACACCACTACCAATTGCCTCGATCAAGGGCACTCTCCATCAAGTCCTAAAGATTGATGGAAACCTGGACAGAGCCACATCCACGACGTCTACCAACGGAAGAGGAGGCGCTTGAGACGAGACTTGCAATTGAACGTTTGGACAATGAGATTCAAGATGCCACGAACCAAATTAGAGCTCTTCAGAGTCACTTAGAGTCCGTTCAAACGGCCAGGGCTCGGAAGATCTCCTTCATCGCTCCGTTTCGACGCATCCCACAAGAGTTACTTGCGAGGATCGCTGAGTTTTGCATCGAAGAAGGGGACTCACCTGCGATACTCAATGCCGTTTGCTCCTCATTTCGCAGTGCCGTGAATGGGATGCAGAAGCTATGGTGTACTATCCATATTACACCTGCACGACATAACTCGAGTCAGCCAGAGCGTTCTGAAGAGCGGGAGGTTCAAGGTCGGCTCAGCCGGCGGGGGATGACCAGAGATTCAAGACCTCTGAGCATCACGCGCTCTTCGTACCGGGTATAGCCTACGTTGCTGTCTTGAATTGTCTGACTGGCCATATAGGAAGGGAATTTTTGCATGTCGCTAGACCATCTCGAAATACTCCTCAAGCGTACTCAGGGTTCTCCAATCGACCTCTCGATGATTCACCCTGACCTGATTCATACGGATATTATTGAGAAAACAACGCTTCATTCTTCACAACTCAGGTCTCTAGCAATTGTCCTTTCTCCAAATCGGTACTACATCCCTATTATGGAGCTTCCCCAGCTCGAAAAGCTGCAGATACACTCCAACCATCTCAACTCTAGCGTGAGACATATTCTTAAGATCGTCAATGACAAGGCACCGAAAATGGTCACCCTCTACCTAGAGTTGCATGCGTCCACCGACTTTCCTCTCGCAGAGGTTGCTCGCCACCAATTCTGCTACCGACTGCGTAACCTGTACCTTTCCACAGGTCAGAAAGATCTGATGTTTTGCCTCCTCTTCTCATACCTTGACAGGCTCGAAAGGTCCATCGGATCCATCTGCGCCAGTCATAGACTTGCCTGAGCTCGAGACACTAACCCTGATAGGAAAGCCATGGCAGCTTGCCTACATGACATTACCGAATCTATTATCACTGACAATAATCGGAGGAACGAAGAAACGGAATCAAAAAGTGATACCGCCACATTTCCCGACCAGTATTACCAAACTTCATCTGGACCACGTTAGATTCGCAGCATATACCTCAACAGCGGTGCTACTACCCAACTTGACGCACCTCGACCTCCGCTACCCATCCATCGAGTCGACCCTCGACCCGCACTTTATGATGCCCGCACTAGAGACCATGCGCATGGATTCGATAACCTATAACAGCGCATTTCGCTCAGCTCCGGAACAAAGTGCGCTTTCCGCCCTCTTCAGCGGTGAGGGTGTCTTGCAGGACTTGTACTCGCTCCGTCGCCTGCTCTTGGAGGAAATACACCTGGAAACCACGAGCTGCACTGTATTCCGTGGTATACCCGCACTGGAAGAGTGGGAGCTCCGCGGTTGCTCACTTCCTCACGACCTGGCGGAGACATTGGCGGGCAAGGCTACGGGCAGAGACACGAACCTGCTTGCTCGACTAGAAAGACTGCACGTGAAGAAGTGTTGGTCCATGTCGGAGACGGCTGAGCAGGTCGAGGAGCGCGTGCGTGCCACGAGCGCGCAGTTCCGACCCAATCTACAAGTATTTTTTACGGAGAACCAGACTGAGATCATGTGAGCTTGTCGTGTATTTATATATATTCCTCAGTTGAATCTACTTGCATCTGTTGTCTGATATTGTGCGCCACCTATCTAAGCTTGGCGCCTGCCGCAACTATGTCGAGCTACGTCTACGAGCTTCCGACGACGGGGAACGTCGTATTCAGCGAATTTATACTCGACCAAACGGGTCAATACAGCCACGCTATAGGAAATGCAACTGTTGCGCGAACCAATCTACGCGCCGTGCTCAAGGAGTCGAAGCGGACCGATGAGGGGGAAAAGGACTATCTCCGAATTGTCAAGGTAAGATGCAACTTACTAAACAAGGGCGAAATTCTAAGTATTGTAGGTCATTGATGATTACCTCCCTCATCTATATGCGATCATGGATTGCGTAGACTCGGATGATCTTTCGCTTAAGAACCAGCCAGGTTAGTTCATATCTGACCTTTGGGGTGAAATTCTCACGAACAGTAAAAAGCGTTCAGCTGGCGATCGACATTCTCAGCGAATCTTCTGAACAACTCCCCCCGTCAGACAGTGATGGGTCTGCACGCAGAGTTAGCGTTCACACTTCTCACATATGGATCAGCACTGGCGAACCTAGCCGCATCATGTGTCACTTCGCTTGGCCAATACGAGCGAGAACGAGCTATTACCGACGCACTGCGCAAGGTCAAGGATGAGAAGCTCAATTTCGCTGTGCAGCTTCTTTTGAGAGCAGCTGGTGTATTTGCACATACCGCAGAGGTGGTGATACCACAGTGGGAACGCTATCTGAGTGATGTTGGGAGCGTATCCAATCCCTTGACTACTCTCAAACCGGTGGATCTCAGCAAGGAACTCGTCTTGGCGCTATCAAAGTGTGCAGTCTCTTGGTGAATCCAATCGCGTTTAACATTCTTTATAGGTTCTCGATGGCAGAAGCCCAGACGTTGGCGGTGCGCAAACTAATGTCCAGGTCCGCATACGATTCTACGCTCACTCCTGGACCGCCGCTTCCAAAATCTCATCCTAGTCCAAAGTTGATAGTGAAACTCTCTCTGTTTGCGCTTGAGAGTTACGCTTCGGCATGCTCACTCGCGAAGAGCGCAAGGGGGGGCATTCAAGGTGGTACTGAAGTCACCAAGGATTTGACACGATGGCTAGCAGACGAAACGTCACTAACCTCTGCGTTATCCCATAAATGGCTAGGAGTCGAAGCGGGCGAACAATCGTCAACTTCTGGCAAAGCAGGCGAAGCAGTTGGCTTCCTTCAGTGGGCAAAATCAGAACTAGAGGCGCTCAAAGATGGAGGGCATGGAATTGCTGGCCTCAGTAGAAAAGCCAAGCGAAAGGAACGAGTCGCCGAGGAGATTGCGAGCACCATGGCTTTTCTTAGCCACTATAAGAAGTTGAACGATACTGTCAGTACACTTATTCCGATCTCTTCCCCATTCTCATACCTCTAGATCCACTTTGAGCCTGTACTTCCGGTGGCGACTCTTCAGTCCATGATTCCAACGGGCAAATCGGCTGTCGAGATGAAACTATTCACTCCACCACCACCCTCATTTCGATCCTCGAGGACTGTGCAGTTTTCGGCTCAGCCACCAGAAATTGTCGGAGAGGAAGCGGAAGTCGCTGCACCTCAGAGCGAAGGAGTTTCGCCGAACCCGACTACGGTAGCACCTAGACCCGCATATTTTTGACATTTCATTATCATCTGTATGCAGCGAGTAGGGCGCCCACATGTGAGGCCGTTACCGGACACACTTTGCCAAGCCGTCTCACATACACTTGACCCCTCCCATCACCGTCTCTGACCTCGGTGGTTATAAACCAGGCAATAAATTGTTGTAAATATTGTCGACAATGTCCCGACTTTCTTTTGTCGCTGCTCTCTTTGCTCTGGTCGCCTCTGGTACGCTCCGTTTCCGCGGCGAATTGGATCCGACGGGCTGACGGTTTCTGGAACACTTTTAGTCAATGCTCAGAGCACCTCCGTTGCGAATCCATTTAGCGGAATCCCCCCTCTCTCCGGCTTGCCAGTCGTATGTAGTTCTCTGCCGCGAGACGCTTCCGGACTGACCCTCCTAAGTGCAACACCGAGTGCGCTGCAGTAGCCCAAATTCAATCAAGCTGGAATGGAGATTATGTATGTATACTCTGTTGCCAATCCAAAGCTGCCGCTGACTGGCCTTTGCTAGTCGTCTGCATGCACAACCACCTTTGCCAACAGCCTGACGTCCTGCATGACTTGTGTCGCCAATTCGAGTCTCGGCCGATCCTCCTCACGCCCGAGAACGAACAATTGCTCTCCAGTGCAATCACAAACTACGAGAACTCCTGTCAGCAAGCCGGCAGTCCTGTGACAATTAATGTATCGTCCATTCTTGCCGGTCCAACTGGCTCAACCTCTTCTGGTACGGGCACTGCCCGTGCGACGAGCTCTACTGCGTCAAACACAGCCGCACCTGGCAGCAATAACGGTGCATCGACTGTACATATCGGATTCGGTGCTCTCGTTGGAGCTACTGCTCTCGTCTTCTCCGGCCTTTACTAAACGGCCGTGGGTGCGCCAGGAGGGCGACTCTGTATATGAGTGTCTTTGATGACACCCGAGGCATCTAGGATCTTATGGAGGATTTGCTCGCTGGCGAACTGTTCAAATTGACAACTCTCTACTCTCGCCAAGGGATGCATCTGGGATCATCGCTTTGAGTCCCAGACGTGTATCGCTGGCCTTTGCATCGTCTGGTGCTTCCACTCCTTTGAATATCACACCATTATTACCCGTTTCTAAACTATCTCTGAGCTGTTCTGTCTCTTGCTCAAACGAGATGTACAAAGTTTCTGTAAGACCCGTCATGTGCATATTGTACAAGAACACTCGCTTGGAACTGACCTCGCCACTGTGGGCCCAGAAGGTCAGCACTACGACGGCAGAGACAAGGAAATAAATCTCCATTCGAACAATTATGGTGAGTATGGGTATTACCGCATGCCCGGTATCAGCACTTAAGATTTTTTACTCGCGCAAACGTCTTGAACCCTCATCCACTAAAATTGGTCAATCACATCACATACCACGGTCCTTGGCGTCAAACTGTGCAACAATGGATCTTAATAGTTACGAAAAGTGGCTCGCGAAAGACGCCAGTTGGTATACCAACGGTCTATGGAGCAACAGGAGCGCGCGATCTATCAGCGAAAACAAGCAGTCAAGGATGCTCTTGCCAGCGGTTAGGGCATTGTTCTTCAGTTCTTCTATGGCCTGACCTACTCGCAGGGAAGAATCTACCCACTGAGCTCCGGAAACCTGCGGTTGAAATGAGCAAAGATATCGCTTTTGATGCAGCACAGGAAGATCCTATGAGTTCAGTCGACTACGAATACTCTAGAGCCGGTATTCGAGATCCCAAAATTGTGATAACGACGAGCAGAGACCCAAGCAGCAAGCTTCTCCAGTTTGCCAAGGTACAACGTTCCTTCGTTCGATTTCATCGACTCATGTTTTAATCATAGGAGATGAGACTGGTGTTCCCAAACTCCCATCGAATAAACCGAGGAAATTACGTCGTGAAAGAACTCGCCGAGGCTTGCAGAGCAAACGAAGTGACCGACTTGATTATCCTTCACGAGACTCGAGGTGTACCAGGTACGTTGACATGAGCTCCCGTACATCAGGAGTCGTCGAATGACTTTGTCTACAGACGCTTTGATTGTTTCTCACTTCCCTCATGGCCCGACAGTCTTTTTTACGTTGCATAGCGTTTCCCTACGACACGACCTGCCTAATTCAAGCAATAGCACGGTCAGCGAGCAATATCCTCATCTCATCTTTGAAGCATTTGAGACCAAACTTGGTGAGTTGGCGTAGCTTGTTATTTCTACCGGCTTACCTCGAAAAAGGAACGCGAATACGCGATGTTCTCAAGTATCTCTTCCCAGTGCCAAAGGAAGATGCGACCAGAGTGATGAGCTTCATAAACGAAAGTGACTTTATCAGTTTCAGGTATTAGCCTAATTGGGAACACTCCCAATCTTGCTCACTATCTCTTCAGACATCACGTCTTTGCCAAGACGGGTAAAAAGGAGGTTCAGCTAGCCGAAGTCGGACCTAGGTTCGAAATGAAGCGTACGTACTCTGTTTGCTATGGTTGCCGCTTATCCTGTTTGATGTTTCTTGACAGCGTACGAGATTCGATTGGGGACAATCGAACAGGAGGAGGCCGATAAGGAATGGGTACTCGCGCATTACACAAGAACGGCAAGAAAGCGGAGAATGCTATAAAGTAAATACATCCATTTTACTGTGAGCTTAAGAATTAAGCGATCATAGAGACTTCTCGACAAAATTCTGCTTCTAGACGCCGATTCCATAAAGTAATGAACCTGACGAAGCTACGTAGTCCTCGGTCATGGCTTCGATGCGATATTTGAGAATAGGGGGTGGATACAGAGTTATCTCACGTAGCAATGTCATTGTGACGCGTTCTGGGCTCTAAGACTGCATCGCATACAGTTCCGGAGGAGAACGGTCTATCAGTACGATATCGCCGAATGAAATTCCCTAATATACCCTCCACAGCCAATAGCTTGCTTTTGACATGAGAACTGGCCAGTGTGAGGTCCTGTACCGAGTGAAGTACGTGAGGGGTTACCTCGGCGTTGCCAACTATCGTTTTGATGATATCGGCGATAACGCCTCTAAAGTGATTCAACGCATTTATCATAATCCGGATTTTACAGAGGGACTCCGGTCTTCACAGCCCCTACCAATTATATAATGGACGAAGATGCTCGTTGGAAGTCCTTACTTTTGACCTTTTTCTCTTCTTTCAAAAGTCGTCGCTGGCCGGTCCAGATTTTCTATCTTCTTCAAATAGTCATGAAGTTTTTCTTGATTGCCATGGCCATCTTACCATCTCTAGTGATGGCTTTGCCAAAAGGTGCTGCAAAGGGAAGTCCCCCTCCCCCGGCTCCGCCACCTGGCCATCCATCACCTCCACCTCCGCCTGCGCCTGCATGCTGTGATGGTGACAAATTTCGCATCTGCAATGCAATTTGTATGATGGGATGTAGGACTCCTGGATGCCCTACTTGTGAGTACTTTCATTGGCAGTTTGGGATCACCCCCCGACGCATCCTAGGCGGTGGACTGTGCATTGATCGATGCAAACACTCCTGCTGTGAGTATCTCAATTCAACAACGGATTTCAGACAATGAGCTTCTTATACACGGTGTTTCGCAGGTCGCGAGGGTGAATTCTGTGGTAATTAGACATCAACCCTGTAAAACGGCGGTGCGGACTGTACTCCACACACATGTTCTCGACTATCTTGTCCACCTTTTCAATTCAGCCACTGGTAGCAGTTATAGTCGTTGTCCACGGGTATCTCTTCCTAAGCAACAGGTATCCTTGTCTGCCGCCATTCGCGGGGTACTGTCAAATGTACGAAGTCGTTTCGACCAACAGTCTAGCTCTCAACCTGTGACCTGATAGGTCTGCAATTTGGTGGCTTTATGAGGCTTCGATGGGAGAGAAAGAGACTGTCCATAAAGCAAAGGCGGATGTGCTGATACATACATTGCAAGATGTGTAGCGATGAGCAGAAAATGAGCAAAGAGATATTATACCTGTAGCGCACACCCAGAGGCATGCGTACCTCAACAAAGTCTGAACCATTGTTCATCCAGTGATAGCCATGGTGATCATGAACATGGTTGAGCCAAGGAAGCGGATGATGCTGGTAATGCCGACAAAAGCGAGCACAAATGTCATGTATGCTCGAGTCCTGTCACCAGCAGGAGTGTTCGAAAAGGTATCGCGTGCGCTGACACCGTTGAGAATACAGACGACAAGCAGGCTGTTACTGAAAGCCCAAGCAAGCAAGAGCTAGAGATTTCATGTCAGCGTGGGCCCACGATGAAGTCTGACAATACCGTACATTTGTTCGAAGGTTTGCGTAGTAGTCTCGGCAAATCAGATCCTTTTCTGACTCCGAAGGACCACCTTTTCGTGGGATTGGTTTGCGGGTCTTCAAGTTGTCCAACGCCTCAACATAATTGGTGTTCGGCTTTTCGAGTTCAAGGACAACGACAACTTCGTTGGTACCCTCTTGGACAACGCGACCGAGGTCAGAGGGAGGAGGCGCGACATCGGCGCCTTTGGTTCCCCAGGTTATATCGTCGAGATTGGCAAATGCGTAGCTGGGGGCAGTAGTTAGATTCGTCAATCTGAAGATAGCTTGCACGCACATGTTCAAGACTATCACATAGAGCGGCAGTAGCAGCGTGTACTGGCCCATGCATGTCACGAGATGCCACGGATCGAGTGCGAGTAATGCTGAGACAAGCCATGCTCCATAGGTGACGAGGATGGAGAATATCATATTGCGGTACGATGCAGAGTGATGAACTTGGTCAATGGTACGGATCGCACACATGATGCCACAGGCAAGCATGTACCCTGTCAAAATTGCGAGCACGATAGTGACTGTGTTATACTTCCAAGGAGCACTGATGGAGTTGCGTTAGGAGAAGGAGCGATGGATGGCTTTCACATACGCTTTGGGTCGGTTACCCATCGAAAATAGTAAACATGCCATGATACAGGTCGCCAGAAGGTATTGAGTCGCGAGGTTGACGAAATGAACCGTAGTTCTTGGCAACTTGAATACTGGATCCTCAATGGACGATGTCAAGATAATCTTGAGGTCGAAGGTAAGAAAATGTAGAATGAAAGAGATGCATACTCACGAAGAAGATGCAGAAGTTTCCAATGGCAAACCTGGAGGAGTATAAGAGAGCATCAGAGATAGATCCAAGAACATTACGCACCAAGAAAACACCAGGTTGATGGCGTGGTACATAGCCTCGACGCAGAGCCAGAACTTTCGCAAGACAGAGTGCCCCGATGAGAGCATCTGGCCAATATGTGCAAGTGAGTAGATCATTGCAAAGAATGAACCGTTCAGCCATCGGCGACGCTGCATAATGAGCTCATCAAGGGAGTCTGGGACGTCCGTTTCACCGACGGAAGCCTTGACATATTTAAGAATCCTAGTTAAAGTGAGCATTGCCATCCTGGCTAATCGATGTGGCGTACCAATCGGAGTTCGCCTTTGCCACGAGTTCGAATGACAGAATACGATCTTCGGCCAAGTACATGTTGGACGTGAAGATGTCCGCCTCACGACCCGAGAAGACCTCTCCCTTGAAGTAAGAAGCTAAGGGTCCACGACCAGTCTTGTCATTTTGCAGAGCAATGTATCGATATGCTGAGAAAGCACCAGGCTTTAAATCGAGGTAAGCATCAGAATGAAATCTGAGTCGGTGGGCTAACCAAGACGCTAATATATCCAAACATTGATTCGTTGGGTTTGTCCAGAATGTTGCTCATCTTGTATTCGTAGTTTTGGGCAGCAACGAGAGGATTGAGGAGATGTGTCCAGAATGGTCCTTTGTAGGCAGCGATTTCACCGCATGCACTTGGGGACGATGAGCGAACTGACGGGTTAGTATGCGAATTGTACATACCCCCCAACGTTGGAGTTTCTGTCAAAGACCTTCCACAAGTGATAGAGACTATTCGGTCCCGGCCTCGTTCCGACGTCGAGCAAGACGCAGACGTTGGGCTGGAGTATGGGACAGATGGCGTTGAAGAACCAACGATGAGAATTGATTTTCTTCTGGTTGTGTTCCTTCATCAAGAAGATGATTTGAGTGGGTACGATGCCTTTATCAGGGTACTTGAAGTGTAAATCGGGGTCGATAGCGACTAGAAATTTGTCAAGGTTGAGGTGCGTTGATGACGGAGAACTTACAACCACAGGTATACTCGAACATGTGTGCGTTCACTTTGATCTCCTTGCCATCCTTTTTTATGACACCTGTCATATTGGGGCTCTGGTAAACTCCCAACGCGGTAAGGCAGTCGATAACTCGAGGATGAATCGCGTGACGACCATCTGCGATGATGCAGACGACGACCTTCTTCCAGCTGTCCGGGCCCCAAACTTTGCTCGACTTGCGCGCTGTAAGGTGGGCAATATTCTTCATTACGCCGTAGAGTGTCCTGCAAAACAGGATCTCGTTTTCCTTGTTACACAAGCATCAGACGGAGTGTCCAAGTGGAAGGAGGTACCCACGTTATACATTGTGATGGCAATAACTAGTTCAGTCTGCCTGCCGTATTCCACCTGCCGAAGACTATACCGCTCCCGGACAAAATCATCTGGATCACAGGTAATAGGCGTGTACCTGTATTCGTTAAAAACACTAATTGAGGCCTCCAAAACGTACATACCGGGTCTCGGACATCTCCCTGTGACCTTTGTACGGCAAGACAAGGCTGATGGCTGTTAGGAACATGTATATCGAAAGTAGTCATTACATACCGATCGGGGACCTGGTAGTTGACGACGAGATGACCATTGGTCAAGGGAATCATCTTCCTGGCCTGCGCGCGACGGGCCTGGCGTCCGGGGGCTGGACCATAATGAAGAGTGCTGACGGGATATGCCTTCTCGACATGATCCATCTTGTGAGCGGCGATGTCACCGTCAAGTTTTTCGTTGAAGCCGGCGTCGACCGCGGTGTATTGTGAGTATTGAGAAAAGTGGTGGTTATGATTTGCAGTAGTCTGCTCTTCTTCTTCATCATCATCTTCGTCGTCATCGTCATCTTGACTGGGTGATGAAGACCGGGAATGCGAACTCGTGCGCTGGTACGGATCACCGCCATTAGACATGTAACTATTCCTTAGGGGAGATTGATTGGTTGGATTTCCGTATGGGCTTTGAGATGGCCATCCGAAGCCGGTACTGGCAGGGGTGACGACAGAGGGAGCGCGTGTGTGGTCGTGATAAGTTTGCACAGGAACTATTTGGGGGCCGGATGCAGACGAAAATGGGCGAGGAGCGGAGTAGGGTTGTGGAACCTGCTGGTAAAGAGGAGATGTAGACGGAATAGGTGGTAAAACATTTGTAAATCGTGGAAGAGTTTGACCGGTGGGTTGTTGCTCCTGATGTTGTTGGTACAAAAGCCATGGGGCGTAGTGAGAAGACTGTTCATTGTTATTTGTTACATCGTCTGCAAGCGTGTCCTGGCTGTGGGCGCTACTAGACGAGACCGAGCCATGTCGCTGCGGTGTTGGGGACGCGATGGACGCGTTGTGGGACGAGTTTCTTGTGTGAGATGACGCTGGAACTATCGGAGATTGGAACTCGAGCATTGCTCTCTCCAAGTTGTCCGGCCCAGACGAGCGTGTTGGTGTTGTGGGTGGCAATTGTCTTGCGCCTGCATTGTGCGAGTATCTGTAGCGCTTTACGGGCGTTTCGTCAACGTCAGCGTCGCTGTCGACGGGTGAGTAGTGGCGAGACATGGTCGAGGTCGAAGCCAAGTAATGTTCAACACGGGCGTCGCTAAATTTGTCGGAGTTGAGAACATAGGGTCACGTGATCTCCGGGGAAATTCAGGAATAGTCACAACATCTATAATAAATTGTGTTTATACTCTATACGATTTATGAGATTTATTGGATGCGAAGTGTTCGGACCCTTTTGATGGTTGCCGTCGGTGAGAAGACAACTCTCACTCTCTCTTGGACACCTACCACGACATCCCGCGCAGTTTGCTGGTGAAACCAGGCGTTGCTCCAGTATTTTCAAAACTGTTCTCGCTCCTTCACCTATCCCCCGGTACTCCAGGTTCCTCTTGATAAGCAACCAAAATGGGCTGCGTTCAATCTAGTGGTGTTCACGACGAAGCAAAGGCTCGTATGTATCTATTTGCTGGTGATTATTCTCCCCGCTTGGCTCACAGCCCTTCAAGGCAACGATGAGATTGAGAGCCAACTCAAGCGGGACCGTCTCATGGCCAAAAATGAGATCAAAATGCTCCTTCTCGGTGCTGGTGAATCTGGAAAGTCGACCGTGCTCAAGCAAATGAAGCTCATCCATCACGGTGGATATAGCGAACAGGAGAGAGATTCCTACAAGGAAATCATCTTCTCCAATACCGTCCAGAGCATGAGGGCCATCTTGGATGCCCTTCCAGCCTTGGACCTTGCCGTTGCGCCCCAGAATTCGACGCGGGTCACCATTATTCTCAGCCTTCCCGTTCAGCTCGAGGCGGATGCGCTGCCACGAGATGTCGCCGACGCCATCTATGGTCTCTGGCACGACCCCGCAATTAGAGAAGCTGTCCGCCGTGCCAGAGAGTTCCAACTCAACGACTCTGCCACCTAGTAAGTCGACAGCTGTCCCACGCACGCCTTTTCACGAGACGCCGACCCTGAATGCGCTTCCATCCTCCGCTGTTTGCCGACGCCTCGTTTGCTAACCGATTGACGCAGCTACTTCAATTCAATCGAACGCATGTCCAACCCGAATTACCTGCCAACTGACCAGGACATTCTCCGATCGCGTGTCAAGACGACGGGCATCACAGAGACCATGTTCCGAGTTGGAGAGCTCACATACCGCTTATTCGATGTCGGCGGTCAACGCAGCGAGCGCAAGAAGTGGATTCACTGCTTCGAAAACGTAACCGCGCTCGTCTTCCTCGTGGCCCTTTCCGAATACGATCAGATGCTTTATGAGGATGAGAGCGTGAACCGAATGCAAGGTTCGTATATTTCCACGTTCATACTCTGCTGCCATCTCACGCAACCCACCACTTCCCAGAGGCTCTCACACTCTTTGATTCAATCTGTAACTCTCGCTGGTTCGTTAAGACCTCGATCGTGCGTCTCTCATTATACAGTACAATGATGACTGCTAATACATATAGTAGATTCTGTTCCTAAACAAGATCGACTTGTTCGCGGAGAAACTTCAATATTCGCCACTCAACCACTACTTCCCAGACTACAGAGGAAACTCATACGACGAGGCTTGTGACTTTTTGCTCCACAAGTGAGTAGGATATTAAAAATATCCTGAGCCCCGCTGATAGCGCACAGGTTTGTGTCCCTTAACCAATCCGCGGCGTCGAAGCAGATCTACGCCCACTACACATGCGCGACTGACACTCAGCAGATCAAATGTGAGTGATTTACGACCCTGCTTCGGACTCTGTCTCATGATTGCCAGTCGTCTTGAGCGCCATTCAAGACATTTTGCTTCAGCTCCACTTGCGCGAGTGTGGTCTGCTGTAAACGCCTTTTGGTTGCCGCCTCTCTCCTTTAGAAAAGAAAGAATGGATATCATCTGTGGAAACTGGGCCTGTCACGCACCAGACTGGAATCCTCTCTTCCGCCTGCTAATCCTGTGTACTATGCACCCCCCTTTTCACGACACCCGACCTACGACATCCTTCGCTTGCGACAGATGCTCTGCGTAGAACACGATCCTTACCTCCAGATGCTTTGCCCCACGATCTCCTTATTCTTCTCCTTCCCCCCATCTTTATTTTCAGCGTTCAACGTATGTCGCACAATCTCCTTACCTCTTGTGTCCTATTTCGCTGTATCATTGTCCGAATGCATGGTGTTTGGACACTTTTCCCGACCACACTGAATCACACCACGAGTGTACCTGAATTTGAACTTGCAATTTCTGAACTAAACTCATTTACGTCTATTATACTGTGGGTTGAGAGACAAAACCTCTTGCCCCTGACCACCTCAGGATGAGTCTGACCACAGCCGCACTAGTCATTATAGACCTGCAGAATGATTTTCTTGCCCCCGACGCGCCATTCGCGGTTCACCCAGAGCCCCGAGAAGCCATACAACAGAGTATCTCGTCTCTCGTGCCAACATTCCGCACGGCCGGGGGACATATCATCTGGATCAAATCGAATTATCAGCATGGGATGCCCTCGGGAGAATTAGAGAGCGTGGAGCCAGAACCGTCGAGGACGTCTCACAGCGTTCAGCCTTTGGTATCCATACCATCCAGTCTACTTTGGGTCCTAGAAGGAACTCATACTGGGAAGAAACCATGTTGTCAAGCAGGCACACCTGGTGCAGAGCTCGTCGACTGGGCAGCTCAGCTGGTGAAAGACGAAGATGTGACTGTCGTCAAGACATACTATTCGGCATTCCGAAGGACACGCCTCCTAGAAGAGCTTGTATCCAAGGGGATTGATACCGTGTATATATCCGGGCTCCTGAGTAATATGTGCGTACTCGCCACAACACTCGACGCCTTGCGTAGTATGCAGTCAAAGGTAGCAATTGTCGTTGATGGATTGGCGTGGAGGAAAGAAACTTCCCATCACAAAGCCCTAGAGACGTTTCGGCAACATGGTGTTCAACTAATTGCGAGCGCGGAGATTCCGCAAGCTGTAAGAGAGTGCTAGGTCAATGCAGGTACTAAAATACAACAATTTGGCATCGCGAATCACAGTCATCTATAAGACACTGGGTAGGGAGTCAGGAAATACATAATCCGGTCCGGGGTGAGACCATTTATCTGTGACGAGCGTAAGATGATATGTAGCTAGACAAGGAGGACTGACCGGGACAGGCGACAAAGTACGAGTTGATTGCCTTGACAAAGCGGTCGCGATACTCGTTGGGTGGTATGACAGTAACCTCCTTCCTGATATTCTGCTTGGCTTTGTATTCCAAAGTCTTCGCAAATGTGTAGCTCCCTGAACCCAAGTCAGGAGACTGACACTAAGGAAGCGGGCTTCATACCTATCGTGTCAACAAGACCACAAGCAATATGCTTTTGCTCCGAGTCCACACCAAGAAGCAGTCTATGTGTAATGAGACCATGAAGAAGCTACTTGGTATCTTGACTCACGAATAATCCATGATATTTGACTGAGCTAGGAATTCGCAATCTTCATGGATGCCTTCCTCTAAAACCGTCTTAGAATGTGGGTGAAGTAGAATGAGCGCCTTCTTCTGGCCTTCACGATATTGTCAATCCCCGTGCACTGTGCCTTGGAGCCATACCTTCTAACCATTCCCCGTCGAAAAGAGTTTGACTCTGGCCACCCTTACTGTTGGGCTTCACCTTGCGACCCTCAATGCCCTTGAGGTCAAATGCTTGGTCTACTCTCCTCTCGAAGAATAGGTTTTCCATGATCAACAAGTCTGTCTTGGATTGGACGACCCCTGTCTCGGGGTTCTTCAACTCTACGGTGTAGAACCCTAGCATCTTCGCCATCACGGATGGTTTCTTGGATGTCTTGTCCATGTAACGGAAATACGAAGGGCCGAGTTCGGTGAGTACTTGTCTACAAGCGGATGATTAGTAGCTTGAGATTGAGCCATACAAACAACACCGACAGATCAGCAACGTTCCATGCATCCACCAGAGTCTTGATAATGAATCGGTCATCTGTCGTCTTCCAGAAGTTGGCCTTGCTTTTGCCACCTGGGAGCATCATTAAATGAGAGCTTGATAGCTGGATCAACTCACCTTCCGCAGCCCAATTTTCCGTTTGTTTGAGGCTTTGAATAAAGATCTCGTCGATTCCGCACCGTCGCCTTAACGAGTCAAATTGCTTGGCATAGTAGACAGTACAGCTGACTTTGAGCCGCTTGCCCACGACACATTCGTAGCGAATATGCGGTTTGGAATCGATATCTGGAGACTCCATAGTCAATAGTCCATGGTGAGGGAGGTTCGGAAGTGGTCGCTCCTCGTTTTCCTTGCCACCGACGGACAGTACAAAACGCATGGCGTTTGCGATGGTCGATGTTAGCGTCCCCATTGCCAGTGTCGACATGCCGCTTTGAGATGGCCCCGTCGGAGTACTGCTTCCTTTTGTGTTACCAGTATACTGACTACTCTGGGAGGTGATCTGACTGAGAGTCTTCTCGACGGTCGGTGTCGACACTGCCGATGTTCCCGGCGTCGAAAAGTCCTTGGGAGGAACAGCAGGCGGAATAGCGAATGAAGATTGAGTCGAGATTGGCGCTGAATTGGCACTTTGAGCAGGGAGGTTTGCCTTCGGGGACGCTTTGATTGTTCCTTCCCCTTCATCTGGCCGTGTGGAGTCGACGGGACTGTAATCGTCACCCCCCGCGTCCTGGAGCAACTTCTCGATGGTATCAGCTGCATCAGGAGTCGGTGGCGCCATCGTGCCGAGCACTTGTTGTGTCGCCATATCCAGCGATGCTGCACTAAACGCAGACGGAGGTGCCTTTGAACCCAGCTTCGAGCTGGATGCAGAGGCTGTATTTGTAATGCCAGAGAAGCGAGACGTGAGTGACGCGGTATCCACAGGAGCCTTGTTTCGTAAAACGTCTCTGAGAGAGAGGATATTAGAACCATCACGAGGATTGTCATGCCGCGACGCATGTGTGCTCATTCCTTCTGGTTCGTGCCATTGTGCAGCTTGAGACTCGTCGTCCGGGTCCAAAGCTGCAGGGGTTGGTTTGGCGGTCGCAAGAGATTGTACATGAGCGACAAGACCTGTTAGTGAAGTAACTGCTGTCTCCACAGATGTCGCATTGCTGACTACGGATTCAGCCCCAGACGTCTTGTGAGAGCCTGCTGTGAAAGTCGAGTCGGTAGGAGCAAGCGAACCGACTTCGGATGCAGCCGAGCTAGCGGCGCGTGGTTTGTTCATATCGTATAGTTCTTGGAGGTAATCCGAAGCGCTGAGAGTAAATGCAATGATACTCGCCCACTCTCCTTCCTTGACGATGATACTCCCTCCGGGCAAAGCATAGGAGCCGTTGCTCCACCAATCAGGCTCCTTATAACCCTGCTTTGCAACGAGGCCATTGGCATGCTTTTTCTCCCATGCCGCGAGTCGATTTTCTGCGGCTTTGGATGTTGAAAGAAACATCCGTCGCACATCGTTGATACGATTGACTGGCGTCGTGTTAAGGGCACTGTAGAGTGATTGTTCCGTTGCAGTAAATGCTTGGCGTAGATTAGTGAGCAAAGCCAAAGAGGAAGCAGATGAGGCAGTAGAGGAAGTGGAGATTGAGGAGACAGATGGAGTCTGTATCTTCTGGATGGCGGAGGTCGAATCATCTGGTAAATCCTTCTTGGGGGGCTTTGGCGTGGGCATGTCGTCCGTATCGGATGGCGGAGACGGCGGGAGGGGCTTCCGAGTTGGGTCTGCATTTTCGCTATCGAGCATATCTTCAAGATTTCCAATATGCTGCTTGACGTCCTTCCACCACATGGTTATTTCTAATCTCAGCTTATCTCGCTCCTTGCTTTGCCAGCGATCTCGAATAGTGTCTCGCTCTTCTTGACCCGTCAATGCACGGGCCTTTGTAATCTGAACACGCGGTATGCGGATTTCGTAGACATCTTGAACCGGCGACATCGTAAAGACAACGACAGAGTCCTTGAAACCGAAGTGATGATCGATATTGGAGCGACAGCGGAGGAGGTCCTTTTCATCGACTGATGTAAGTTCAGTGTGCTCGCAGATCGGCGACGTGAGTCGTATAATGTCTGGAGAGTAGGCGAGTAACTCCAGGTATTTCCCAAAAGACAGCAACCTTGAAAGCGTCAAAATATCAATTTCCAAGCCCAAAAGAGCTCACCATGCGCCGTCTGACATCGGAATCTTAGAACCCGTTTTTCGACACTCATGGCATGATATCCACATCTGCATCTCATCTATTGGCTCAGCATTGAGGTATAGTTTGGCCACTATTCGTGCAGGGCCAGTAACCCAACGTCGTTGATGGCGGTGGAGGGGTTGCAGACACTGAGGGCGCTGACATGTTTCGTTGGCGTGGCGAATCATCTTGTTTACTACCTCTCCCAGAGGAGCATCTCCCTCTTTATCTCGCGAGTAGTATTGATAAGTTCTCCAATGCCTTTGCTGACAGGGACAAGCTTGTCTGTTGCTTGCCCAGTGTCGCTTTCATCCGTAGAGGCCTCTGGCTGCGTCTTGACGTATTCAGAGTAGAGTGTCGTGATGCATTGGTGTCTTAGGAACGCATTTGGTCCCGTTAGTTGGTGGTCCACGCTCCATCCAAGGAGGCTTCTGAGTCCAGTGTTTTGACTGGCAGTCAAATCTGACCGACCTGTGCGTGTCTCTTTCTCCACGAGCTCGTTCAGAAGAGCAGGAGGAGGGAAGTGAACTCCTGGGGTAGTTGATAGGACGGATTCCACCTTCTTGATATCCTGCAGCAGGGCGGTGAAGGGTAGAAGGCGGGGCTCTGATGATATTGACGACGAGTCTCCACTTTGCCGAGGTAAGGGTAATGTGACGAATCCATCATGAGACAACGTTCGAACGCGGCCAAAGATATTCTCCGACTGCTTGGCAATATATGACCATAGTCCTTCTTTAGCACGAGAAGCGCGTGCTTTTGTTCGTCCTCGAGAACTTGGAGATGGGGAAGGTTGCGAAATCTCCACGGGGTTATCGAGAGAGGGCTCTGGAGGAAATACGAGCCGAACACCAGAGTCTCGCAGTACAATGAGCTCGAGTATCATAGAAATGATAGTGTAGGTGCCAATGGAGAGGACTTCGACCAGTCTCTGGTGTTCGCTGACGCTTGTTAAGCCTTGTAAGCGGAAATTGCCTCCAATAATCTGCACATCTTCGTTCGACGGTACTAGCCTCAGCAGTCAGCAACAATTTACGTGTCTTTGACGCGTCCACTCACGTTCTAGACCCGTAAGGATGTGACCACCTTCGCCGCGAGGCGCTCCAGTGTCGTCCTCAAAGAGTGGTAGCTGAAATACTCCCGGTTTGAAGAGACAACCCATAGACTCGGGTATCACCTCGTAGTCTGAATCCTGAACGACGGTCGGACCGATTGGGCCAGCCACCGTGAGCAAGACGTGTTTAGGTGGAGGAGGAGCGACGGTTAAAAGAAGGTGTTTTGGACCCTTCTTTCCATCTTTTATCAACTTGTAGAGTTTGTTCATCCTCGACTGGTGGGTGCCATTTCCACTGAATGACGCATCTGCCGATGCGCTGAGCTCGTCTGCTGCAGAGACAGGCGGATCTGCTTGCTTCGGAGACAAAGATGCTTCTCTAAACTGGCGAATGTCGTGCAAAATGTCTGATTCAGCGAGCCACTGCGCCAACTGACCGACGGCATTCTCCACTGGATGAAGCCAAGCAGCGCTCAGCTGACGACAAGTAATCGCATAGTGTATTATATTCTTCAGATGCGATTTAGCGTCGACGGTCAACGCCGGTACGGCACTTGTGGGAGGTAAGGCCGGCAGAGGTCGTGACATAACTTTAGAGACAACTTCTGCTCTCGCTCCCAGTGGAAGGACTCAGGACAAGGGCAGTGATAATACTGCCAGAAATAAAAGCCGGCCCATTCACATATAGACGCAATGTGATTCTAGGTAAGGAACGCAATTTATGAGCTGAACGCACAGCGAACATGTACAAGTTGCATCTATGAGAACTTCCATCTGAGAAACCTTTAGCACATGGATGGAAGCGATGGCAAAATGTTGCACACCTATTTCCACAGTTGACGCAACTGAAAGAGTATCAGTGATCTGCGACGGCATGAAGGAAAAAAAAGCTCACGTGACAAAGGTCTGATATCCCACGAATGCTGTCAGTTGCTATCAGATCCAAGTAGAGTAGACTTACAGTCATAGGCTCGTCTGCGGAGCGCGTTTGTGCTTGCCTGTAGATGGTTTTGCGCTGACATCGTCAGTAGACCACAAGTTTAACACCACTATACGCTCACCTGTTTGCACTTTCCGCATTGGAATGCATCTGTCTCTGCTTGCTGTTCGCCAGCCCCAAGAGATTTGAATAGGTTCTCCTCTTCGATGGCCTTGTCCTTTTGCTTTCTTTCTTCTGATGCCATATCCTACACAGACACTATTAGCGTCTCGCATATATGGAAATATGTGGACATACCGAGCTACTCATGGTCACCAGCTTTTCGGCAGAAATGTCACCAGAAACGACACCCTGTCTCAACGAAGGATTCTCTTTTCCCTTGAGATTTAAGAAGAGAGATCGCATCTTGTTCCTATAGTCACTATTGGATTCTCCTTTTCCGCAAATGGTGAAAGCAGCCTCTTCAACGGCAATTGCGCGCTTCAAGATAAGTTCGCTCGCTGCCCCAGATAGCGTAAGCGCGGTATCATGGTTGGAAGATGCGACGTACGCGCTCCCGAATCGATACACAGCGCGTTGTAGATCAGAGGTCGAGTACTATCACGCGTCTTGTCCCCCAAACTATCAAACTTGACTCCATCTGCATCTACAGATCGTGGGCCGGTAGGTTTCTTCGACGTGGACGCAGCGGCCGTGAGCGCTGAGACTGGGCAGTTTGGCAGCGTTAACAAGAGACTAGCAGCTTCATAGACCCACCCTTTCTCTTCTTTTCTTCGTCTACTTCACTTTTCCAGCGTTTGACAATCTCCTTTGCCAAGTCCGAGACTTCCGTCGACTCGTGCTGCCGCAGACGACCAACTGTGAGTCCGACTTTGGTGTCCTGTTGTGCGATACAGCTACATCAGCACGTCTTGATCGCATAGTTGATATCCATGTTAGGGAATATGACGTGCTTACACGCAGGGTTTCTTCTGTTGGCACCACCGACTGCTTGAGCTTTTTGAGAAGTCCAACGAGATCCTAGAGGTTGTTTGTTATAGAAAAATAACAAGTGATGGCTAGCATGAGCCAAAGCCACAGCAGAGACGGCTACAAGCGCAGCGAGCAGACTTACAGCAGGCTGCATTATCGCCTTTTGGGACTGAATCTCGTTTACGATTCTCTTTATTTCTGCACGCTCCATTTTGGACTGTTCAGTGATGCCCACGACGGCTTTGACAATTTCCAGTCGTCAATGGTCAGCGTAAAGCTAGACGCCACAACAAAGGTGTATACTATTCGACAACTAGAAGCTACCTAGCAGCTTCTGGACGTTCATGCTGCTCATAGATTGGTTGTGCACCTCCTCTTGTTCCCTTGAACACGTTGACTCTCCCCCGCCCATTCCATCCTTCAGGCTGCGCTCGCTGAGCACAATCTCGCTCCCAAACCCTCTCGTAATATCTCTTGAGATGTGGCCACCTTGAGTCCTGCCACTCAAAGCCTCGTCGCAGCATATATCCAAGAAACGGAAAGAATGCTGCGTCTGCGAGCGTAAAGTCTGAATACGCAATATAGTCTGCTTCAGAAGCATATTTCTCCCAGAAATCCAACTCTTCGTAGACCATCTGAACGAGCGCAGCCCGCGTCTCTTGGGAGAGGACATGGCCGGCATTGGCAGCTTCAAAATGGGCATCTTCAAGATTGTCATATGCGATATGGAGATTTTCTGTCTCTTGAATTCGCGCGAGCACGCGTGCTCTATTCGAACGCTCGGTGAGTGGTGGCAACAGAGGACGAGCCGGTCCTAGGTAATCCTCGATATAGTGCAGAATTGCAATGCTCTCGTTGATGCGTGTCTCTCCATCCACGAGGACTGGCGTCTTTCCGCGGTGATTGATTGCCAAAAACTCTGGCGTCCGCGTCTCCTTTGGGTGGCTCATCACTTTGAGACGAATTTGGTCGAAATCTACATTCTAATACCGTTCAGAGGATGCATATTTCTTGACCCAACGAACCTTTTCGAACAGCGCCATCTACATATATTCAGGGGAAGGCGTGTAAACAGCACAAAAGTACGTACCTGGACTCTCCAAGAGGGAATTGAGCCGTTCACATAATACAGGAGAGGCTTTACAGTCGTCATCGAAGTAGGTTTACTCCAAGTGGAGAGGCGCTAATATCGGCAGCTATAACCGCTCAGGCCGAGTCGAGATACTGCTACATTCCACATCTACTAGGGTTCACTGTGTGGACAAATACAGTATCTATTGCCTACATCCCACTTTGCGACATCTCTTGTAGTTCACTTTGTGGGTTATCAAAGTGAAGCACATCGAAACCGTTACCGTATGTCGCATCCCAATCAAAGTCGCTTTGCTGATTCTCGAACCCAAATGCGTCAATCATGCGCTGCGTCGCCTCTTTGTCGCCGCTTATCGTCGGTCTGGCCTCTTCCTTGGTCTTTCCAGTCGCTCCTTGACCATAGATCAGCTTCTGGTCAGGAGACAAAAAGGTGGCAATGTGACGGAATGTCAACGAGATTCGCTCGCCGTTGAAGGCGAGTTCCTCTTTGACCTTGAGGAACTCCTCTCGTTTATCTTGGCGAATACCATGTAGCCAACGCTTATTAGTTTCGGGACCCATGACAAACATGGAGTTATGTGGGAGTGGAAACCGCTGAGCACTCCTCTCGGGAGTTGGTGTTGACGGGTCCTCACGCGGTGGGAGTGCGTCCTTTTTGGTACGTAGAATCATCAGTCTCTGCGCTCCCAGACTGACATTGACAATATTGCTCCCTCTGACTACGTCGATCGTCTTGTCAGAGTGTTCGGAAATGTAGTCGTTGCCCGTGCGATAATGCTGAATAAGGACGTGGTTCACCGGATGCTTCAACACCTCTTCGACCCGCTCCTTGATTTTCAAGACAGTCGGCGACCAGCCAAGGAGTGGTGGGGATTGATCGCTTGGATGGCGATATATAGGGAACCTAGTAGCGATTTGAGTATTAAGAATACCGTCCATGTTTTGACTATACCATCCGTCGGGTTGTATTTCTCCCTGTATCGCAACGAGACGAGGAACCGCGCCACCATGATGAAACATTGTCTGCCAGCGAACTTCTTTCTTTAGGTTCTCGAATGCATCCTCCAATTCAGGCGGGAGTACGTCAAGGGTCAAGAAAGAATCCCCTGCGCCCAAAGCCTCTCCTGGAGCAACGTACTCCGTCCCTCTTTTCCATTTTGGAGTACCTTTGGTCGATGTCTCTTCGGTCATTATTCTGTAAATGGATCTTTGAAACTAGTAGAGGGTTCGGCGAGGTCCAAAGTGCGGCGCCTGGACACCCGATGCACTAGTCTGGGCCATAGCTTCATTTCGATTTGTGCAGGATAGAAATTGCTGAGTATGGTCCGGTACTAAATCAGTGTTTGTACCACAACTAATCCACAAAGGCGGGAGACCATAGATGCACTACAAAAACTTGTATTTGTCTGTTTTATCTATTCACTGGTCGTTCGACTGGGACTTGCGGGTGGCGACATTGAGTTGACCCACTACTTTCAGCCCTTTTTTTGTTGCAAATTCTGGACTGAAGATGGATCCGCCAAGTAAGTCCTAGTGCCTTTTCCTCGTCTTTGGCAGCTGATCTTACCGAAGACACCAAAGTGCAACCGCAACTGTAGGATCTTTAGGCGAGTTGCTCGGTCGTTTTCCACGTCTACCACGCTTACCGTATCCCGGGTAGCTAAATGTCTTTGAAATTGCTCCTGAACTGTATTTTTTCCCTCTGCTTTTATCGCTAACTTGCGAGACAGTAACACCACGGCTGTTGCCACTTATGCTCGTCAGAATACGAGAGACTCGTATTACAACGGCGTTGCTGGTTATGAAGATCACCCGCCGCTTCTCTATCGTTCTGATTACTTCAAAACCCTCTACCCCACCCCCAGCGGCAGATTCTTCCGCCTGCCTATCAAGTCGATTCATGGAGTTTTTAACACGCCTCTTAACAAGGTTTGGGAGAATGTCCGGTACCAGATTCGCGATCTCTTGAAAGCTCGAAATATCAAGCGGTCAGCCATTGACCCTGCTCGCTTTGTTACCGAGGGACAAGATCACGAGCTGACTATCGGGCCCGTTGTCATTTGGGTCGGTGTCCGTCCAGACTCAACGTCCTCCGAAACAGCACACAACGTATCCCAGGAGATCCTAGCGCTTCTCAAACAGAACGGAGTCGATGATGTCGAGGTCGAGTAGCGCGAAGCGCTAGTTTCGAGGCTCCGAGGACTGCCTTTGATGCCCACTGCCCCTAACATAAACGCTACTGTCTATGCCCGTCGTCATTTCACCACCGCTCTCAACGTGCAGCTTACGACCGACAGACAAGATGCCCAAGAAAGTCTCATCCTTTACTTCTACGACGGTGCGAGCGATACAGTTTTAGGTGTCAGTAACTGCCATGTGCTTTGCAAGAATACCAACACTACTTACGAGTTCGAAGGAGACGCACCGAAGAGGTGGGTTCGAGTCAATAGAATACGTCAATTTCAGCAAGACCTGGACAATATTAGAGCCGATATCGATGCTCGCCGGGTTCGCACCGACATTCAATCCAAGACTATTGCCAAGCTGGAGGTGATTGGGACCCAGACCGAGCAGGAGCAGAAAAAGCTCCGCAAAATTCAAAGGGCATTGATCGATGAGCAAGAGAGTATCATTGAGCTTGAGGCTTTGTACAACGAGGTCAAGAATAGTTGGGAAGATATCGGGAATCGCAACATCGGCCACCTGCGCTATGTCAAAGCCTCCTCCGTTGACTCTCAAGGTGGCACCCTCTATACTGAAGACTGGGTGCATTTGAGCTCATTAGGCAGAAGTTCAAAGGCGTATTTGAGGGTAACTACGTGGATCTAGGTATGTTTTGACTCATATTTGTCTGGTCTAACTAAATTGACCTTAATCAGACCCAACCGTTTCTCTCGCTGTCCTGATTGCGAAGATGAATGCTCAAGGCGACCCTTCATCGGCTTTTGAATACCCTGACGATCGGAAGCACTGGATCAAGAGCGTTGTCTCTAAAGAGGACCAGGCCCGTCCTGTCTTGGATCATAACGATAAATCATCGTATATCGTTGGCAAAGATGGTACCACGACCGGTCGCACGTTTGGACACTATTCGGGCCTGGAGTCATTCATTTGCGATGAAAGTGGCATTGAGTCCGTCGAACTCGGAGTCTACAACTGGGATCCGCAGTCTGGCGTATTCTCTGACAAGGGAGACTCGGGCGCACTTATCTGGGACAGCCTTGGTCGTATCTTTGGTTAAATTCACTCCGGTATCAACAAAGGTGGTTTGACGGAAAACCATGTTACGTATGCTACCCCTGGCTGGTGGCTCTTAGACCGCATCAAAGCCAAATTTCCGCAAGCGGACTTCTTCATCCAGAATTGGCCGGTCATGGCTGGGCGAAAGCAAGATTGAGATCGTTGACAATCTTTTCGTCTCACCTCTACACTTCTTCCCAGCATTCTTTCTGGGGTCTCAGCTCTCTATTCGGTCAGTTATTGGTAGATAGGTTAACCAGTAGACGATGTAAATGTTTTACTGCGGTACTGATAATTGACAAAGTCATCACCCGTGCACTGCGGCATCCTCAGAACCACCTTCGCCTCGTCTATGCTATAAATTGTTGAGACTAGAGAATGTCGGTGAGGCGGCGCTTGAACTAGTCTAGCCCTTGCTTTCTCTAGAAGGTTTATAAATTTACTAGAAATCATTGGGCGTTAGTGCGAGCACCGCACGCACGGCCAAACTCGTCCGCTGCCACGTCTACAACCTTCCTTCGAAAGCAAAACTCAGACAACTATTTACTTATTTTGGCTGTTAAAAGACATATTATACCTCGAAACGAACAACTATAGCCAAATTTGACCATGGGAATCCAAGAACTCTTGTATATCCCGGTCAAAGCGATACAGGAGAAGCTCTCGTTTGTTGAAACGGATCCGCTCCCGTGGAAATCGTTTGCTCTCGCAGTCTCGTGGACTGTAGCTCTCTTTGAGTTGTATCTGCTGTAAGTCAAGTCATGAGCGACGGAGCGCGCCTGACACCGACCCAGGTCACGGCAGTACAAGTACTATTCGAAGCAGGCACCGCCAGCGGCACTCAAAGAGTATGTCCCATTGGATAAGTTCCAAAAGTCGCAAGCCTATGGCAAGGACAAGGCTCAGCTCTCCTTCTTCAAAACGATCTACTCCCAAATCTGGGATACTGCATTTCTCTACTATGGAGGGTATGCCATCTGCTGGAGCGCTGGCGGTCAGGTTATCGCAATGATGGGGTATGGGCCAGAGTATCAGGTATAGTCCTTTGCGAATGACGTCTAATGTCTAAATTGGGGTTCAGATTCTCCAATCTATCGCCTTTTCTATGGTTTTCGCCTTTATCACCAGCATGAGTGGCCTTCCGATCTCGATTTACTCGACGTTTGTGCTCGAGGAGAAGCACGGTTTCAACAAGACAACACCGTCTCTATTCGTAACGGACATGCTCAAAGGATGGGCGCTCGGTTTCGCACTCGGCGCACCGTTCCTATCGGTATTCTTGTACATCTTCAACTGGGCTGGAGACCACTTCGTGCCATGGCTCATCGGATTCATGTGAGTACTTCTATACTATGTCCTCAGTACTGACCTTACTTGCGCAGCCTGGCGTTCCAAATACTAATGGTTTTCCTTTATCCGACCGTCATTCAACCGCTCTTTAACAAGCTCACTCCTCTTCCCGCTGGAGAACTAAGGAATAGAATTGAGGCACTCGCATCAAGTCTCAAGTTCCCTTTGAAGCATCTTTACGAGATTGATGGCTCCAAACGATCCTCACACTCAAACGCATACTTCTTTGGACTTCCTTGGAGCAAGCACATAGTCGTATACGATACTTTGATCAAGAATGCAAAGGTTGATGGCGTCGAAGCCGTTCTCGCACACGAGCTTGGTCATTGGTTCTACTATCATCCAACGCAACTCATGCTGTTGGCACAAATTCACACCATTGGGATGCTTGCATGCTTCCCGGCCTTCCTTCACTCAACGCCTCTTCTGCTCTCCTTCGATTTCCCATCGTCTGTCGCCATTCATCCCCCAGTCATCATCGCCTTCATCCTCTACCAGACCGTCTTGTCACCCGTGGATACGTTTGTGAACTTTGGAATGCATGCGATATCCCGAAAGTTTGAGTTCCAGGCGGACCGATTTGCATGCGAACTGCACAGTCGGTACAAGGTTCCTGGTACACAAGGTCTGGGCAAGCGCCTTGGAGAGGCTCTCATCTCGATCATGGTTGACAACCTCGCAACTCTATGGACAGACCCTTGGTCAGTTTCTCGTACTTTTCAGACTCTACACATCGCTAATCGTTTGCAGGTACTCGGCCTGGCATCATACGCATCCCACCTTGACGGAGAGGCTGAAAGCTTTGGAGAGATACGAGGCTGATGCGAACAAAAGTGTGCCTAAGAAGGAGCTTTGAGAGTTGTCGGTTTAGCTCTTGTACCTCACCCACCTTTCACCCCAAGTTTATACTTGAACCCTACCATGTCCTCTGAGCGCGACGTGAAGCCGAATATTCGCGATGGAGACGATAATGCCGTGTCTCAGGATCCCCAGACGCCGATGAAAAAACCCAATGCAAAGATTAACCTCTCAGTGACCAGTCCAAATGGCCAGAGTCAGTCTTTGACCGTGTTTGACGCGTCGATTCCGTCTCGTGAGCTAACATGCTATCAATTCAGCCATCAAATTTGCAGTCAAGCCGACGAATACGTTTGAAAAGCTGTTCAAAGCGTCTGCAGTACGTGTCCTGCCACCGCCCAGGGTTGCATCTGACGCAGGGGCGGTTATAGGAACGATTCGGTGTAGAACTGAGTATGCCCATACATTCCTAGCGTAAGTAGTGGAGGTGCTAAATGGCCTGCGTAGACCTTGTTCGATTTCTGTACGATGGAGAACGTCTGCGTCCAGAGCAGACTCCACAAGACGTAAGTACCTCACTCATTTGTCAATCTGATTTCTAATGTATGTATGCAGTTCGACATGACCGACGACGACCAAATAGACATGCAACTACAGCAAACGGGCGGAGGCACTGGATTATGACTTGCTTGTAAATAATTTGAATGTCGGTATGTTCTCCGACAGATCTCTGGGCTCCAAAATCTGACTCAATCGAGCCCTTCTCACTAGCTTAACCTCTGTTGTTCAGGATATCAATGTCACTTCTGCGCGTATGCGCGTATGCTAATGAGGTGTGTATTGAGATCATGGAGAGCACTAAGAGTACATAAACATATACCACAAAAATCGCGACCCCACTCGACGGGGTAAAGCCACGCGACCAGACGCGGCAACTAGATAGGATATGGAAGACAATCTCATGTGAATCGTGATGCCATATTCGGGTAGTTCTTGATAAACTGGACCTGAGCTTCAGTAGACTACAGCAGCGTTAGACCAGATTTCATTGAGAAAACGAGCTCTTACGTAGATATGATAAAACGTGAGGGACAGTTGAGGTGCGTTAGACGATATTTGCGTGAGCTCTCGGAACTTGGTGAGGGCCTTGTCGAATTGCTGCTGAGCCAAGTAAATTTGACCGAGAGTGGCGAATGCCGCCTCGCAAAGGGGATCAATTTCGAGAGCCTCAAGGCAGAACTTCTCTGCTGTAGCCCCATCCTTTTTCCATTGGAAGAGCGCCAGACTCTTGTTCACCAGTGGGAGCACATTCATCGGTGGGCCCCTGAAATGGATAAGAACGAAATACATGGAGACAAGAAGCGAACTCACTTGCTCTTTTCAAGCTCAATCGCCTTCTCAAACTTCTCGATGGCGTCCGAGTAGCGCTCCTGATCAAGAAGTACCTCGCCACTGCCAGGCTGTGAGTGTCATCCGGAGCTCGTGGATAGAACGCACTAGTAGTTCGGAGGTTCACTGTGTTTGGGGAACTCCTTCATGATGCGCCTAAATTCGGCCATGCTCTTTTGGATGCTCCCGCTCTTGTAATGAGCTACTGCGAGTTGGATATGGCTAAAGACAAATGTCTTGTCGAGCTCTGTCGAGGTAGCGTAGTCTTCTGCGGCTTTGACGAATTCGTTCATTACGAAATAGACTGAAAACCGATTAGCTAAGGACATGCCTTGACATCAATTCTTACTTTGACCACGATGATAATAGATATCTGGGTCCTTAGAATTATGTTCGAGTGCCTTTTCGAAACAAAGCATCGACTCTTCAAGGTTGTTCTGATCCAGGTGAATATTCGCCATCTTGAGCCAGGTGTGAATAGACTTGGGGTTGAGCTCAAGTGCTTTGGTAAATTGCTCCTTGGCACCAACAGGATCTTGCATGAGATATCTATCCATTTCGCTGTCAGAGAAATTACGAGCCATCTGCTATACGCACCGGAATGAGCCGCTCAGGGTGAGGGCCTCTGCCTCGAGAACTGGGGTCGAAAGTCCTTGTCCAGGTTCGAGTGGTACAAGGCTCTCGTTGACGAGGACCATGGCATGTTTGTAATCCTTTGCTAGGAGAGCCTCAGACGCCAGGAGGAGTTGCTTGTCCGCAATTGTTGGTTCATCAGGCAATATTGGAAGCGGCCGTGGTCGATAAGAAGAGAAATAAGCAGCAATTAGTGAGTCTGCGGGCAGACGGGGTTCGCGCGAGGCAAGAGTCTGGACCGCCTTTTCATCAGAGAGCCTTCGCAGTGTCCTATCTACTGCTTCTGCAGTGTTGGAGTTGCTCATGCCATCTAGGAAGGAAGAAGCGACGAAATCTAGGAGCAAAAAATGAGACGACCTCGGCAGACATTGGCCATAAACATACCGCGGACTGCCTCCTCCAGTCTTCCAAGAGCTTCAAGAGCTGTAGCACGCCTGTTAAGTGCCTTGATATACGTTGGGTCGAGTTTTAACGCCTCGTCGCAATCCGCAACGACTCGCTCGTGTTGGGGAGGTGAATAATTAACATAACCTGGTCGAATACACGTTTCAGTATCAGTACTCGGGCACCAAAGCACAACATACACGCCGCTCGGTTTGAATAAAACACCGCTTCTGGCACCACCGCCATCTCGATTGCCTGCGTGTACAACTGCGCTGCTTTTGCAAACTGACGTTGCTGGTAAGCCGTATTTCCCTTGGTTTTGAGCGCAGTTGCACGTTTTGTCCGTTCCTGCACTTGTGTTAGACGAACATGCAAATTTGTTCAACCCAACACGCGCCTCTGCAGAGAGTCCACTAATCTCCGGGTCTACACCATTAGGGGGTGCTTGAGAAGAGAATGTGAGCGAGTGTATGCACGTCGGGTTGAAACTGCCTACAAGTTGGAACGTCCTCTTTAGGGACTTCTTCCAAAATGGGTCCGTTGGGATCGAACGTGGTTTTGGTCGGACTGCTTTTCTTTCCCTTTGCCGTCTTGGACTTTTTCTTTTTTGCATGTCTCTTTTCGTCGCCGCGTTCCAAGTCGTCCGCTGACAGCGACGCGCTGTTGGTGTAGAGCACGACAGCTACGGCGGTCGCTACAGCGGCTGCAGCAACACCTATTACGAGTTTCTTGTGCTCAGACACAAAATTTTGCACGCTAGAAACGATCCCATCGTGCTGCGGGGGGCTCGAGCTCGGGCCAGACATGACGAATTCACGGCCAAGTTTTGGAAGCCCAAACATTGTACAGTGTCCACACTCCACGCGCCATCACAGCACCGTAAATCGTACAAATTCAAAGGAATCGTAAACAGTAGACTACAGACACCATCCCATGATCTAACGGCGATTGGTTTTGCCCATTTTGCGCTTGCCAGTATACAGGTGCTTGGGCTGTAAACATGTGAGGAGAGAACCAATGAACAAGAGAGAGAGGCCGACCATTTTGACTCGAATAGCGCGATCTGACTCGCCAGCCTTTGCCATCATATTTCGGCTTCGTTGGCCCAGGTTGCGTAGTTGAACTGCTTTGGAGATTTGCTAATAAACATACTCAGTATCACCTATGCGACAGGGAAAAGACAACTTACTGTCGCATCTCGCATACCAATTGTAGTTCTGTCCGTTTTCGGCACCCGCTTGCCGTGAGGTGCAATCTGAGCGGCACCGTTGATGCCCTTTTGCCTCTTTCGTGGCGAGTCGGCATCATCCACGTCCATCATAGTGTCAGAGCCTTCATTTTCATCGTCGTCCACCTCCATCTCTTCGTCTTCGTCTCGCTTCCGCTTTCGTTGGGCACCGCGTGCCTTGGCTAACAGCTGTGCGCGTTCCACAATACGACTTGGATCGATTCCGGCCTTGGTAAGCTTTTCTGACATTTCGCTTAGAGTCGTCAAGCCTGCAGTCCTTGGAAGAATGGGCCTATTCTTCATTTTCTTCTTTTGCTGGGATTCAGCCTTGTGAATCTTGGCTTGCCGTAGCTCCTCAGCCTCTCTCTCGTCATCAGAGTCGGTCTGTCATTTATTCAGTAAGAGAAGGAATTCAACGCAGACATGGCTCACAATGTCTTCATCACTGTCATAGAATCCCTCTGCCTCTAACTTTTCCTCTTCTCTCTCCAAAGCTTCAAGCTTGGCAGCAATGTCGGGATCGATAAAGTCTGCAACATTTTTGCCGTCCATGATTTCTGGGATCGGATCGTCCTTCCAAGATGGGTCGGCGAGCATCCAGTGCTCTAACGCATTGTCAGCCGAGAAGAATACTGTGAGGACTGGATACGCACTCCGCATGTCAATGTTGTAGACGCCTGCGCCCCCTTGCTCTGGTTCAATATCCTTCTCCAATTTGCGTCGCTCTGGGTCGTTGGGATCGTACTTTCGTCGGTTGAGTACTGCTTCGGGGATATACGGCTCCCGCTTAATGTCATCTCTTGGTTTGGGCATGGCGACATGAATTCGATTGGCGACCTGGTTGAGCTTATTTCCCTTAAGTTTGACTTCGACACGGTGTGCGAGTAGAGCATCACATGCAGCATTTCGCACGTCCATTACACCCTCGTCTGTATGACATGAGGCTTGGACGACCTTGACATTGTCGCCTTCGATGATTTGATCAACAAGAGTTCTTGTTTCTGCTGGAAGCTGCTCAAGACGCATGACATCAATCTTGTTAATGACCAACAAGGTTGGCTTGTTGGCAAACAGGGGCTTTATGGAGTGGAATAGCTTGCACTGCAAGAATGAGTATATAGATGCGTAAAAATCGTGAAAACCCACTTGTGCTTCAACCGTGTAGCCACATTGTTCACTGAGATCCATGAAATACAACACTGCACTCCGAAGATGCGCGAGTGCGGTAATGCTCTGCATCTCGATGGTGTTCATCTCCTCCAGTGGGTGGTCAAGAACTCCTGGAGTATCAATAACTTGCCATCGCAGATACTTGTAGTCTAGATGGCCGACGAAGAGAGATTTGGTGGTGAATGCATACGGCTGGACATCGACGTCTGCCCGTGTAACCTTGTTCACGAAAGACGATTTTCCGACGTTAGGATAGCCACACACAAGAAGCGTCCTCGTGTTGGGATCGATTGTAGGGAGACGTGAAATATGTTGTCGAACTTGCTCCAGGTATGCCAACGGATCCTTTTGCCTCTTCATTACCGTCGCCATGCTATTTGCTTGGTAAGTCCTCGAAAGTCCAAGGTAACAGATTCTACTCACCGACCGAGGGCCGCCTTTTTCAGCTGTTTGCAGCGATAGAGGCTGTCGCCAAACTTGAGTAGTCGGACATAGTCCTTAGCTATTTGATCAATAAGATGTCTCGCCGTGTTCAATTGACCCAATGCGAGTTTGTAGTGGTTTTTGTCGTAGAGGACGTTGAGCAGCGAGGATAGGAATGGATGAAGGTTCTGGACCGAAAGTTAGAGCACATGGTTAAATATGCATACTCAAACATACATCGAGGATAGGAAAGTCCTCTAGGATAGCCCCGAGCTTTTCATCAAACGAATCTTGGGTAAACTTGACTTTTCTCATATAAAAGTTCCGTATTCGACTGATCTTGAAGTTTTTGTGAATGACCTGTGCGAAAATAGACCGTCAGCCGTCTCTGTGAAGAATTTTCAGCATTCCCTGGGTGGCTCACCGTCGGCGTCTTGCGCTGCGTCTTTGACAATACGATATCCAGAAAATCATTGGCAGTTGGCACTGGAGCAATCGGCTTTATGCCTTTTGCGGCCATTTTTGTGGTTGCTTAGGATGCGGAGAGGTCGAAGCACTGGCTGAGCGTTGAAACACACAGAGACGTGGCGAACAACATGAAAGATCGTAATCTATTACTATATTATAGTTTCAGTGTCACCGGTGCAGCACTGCTATCCTTTTGGTGGGCTAGGACCTCTACGCTGTGGTCAAGGTTGATCACAATGGTCAGCATAATCGTTGCCTGTAGAGGCCCCTTTTTCTTCTTTCCTGCTCGCGATCCGACGACGTCCATCTTCAAAGCACCGAGTTGAACGTCCTTCTCGATTACTCGGTGTCTTGTCTCAATCTCCTCGGGTTCCTCCTCTTCCTCATCTTCTGGATCCACTTCTAGTTTCGTCTTCTCGACCTTGACCGTTTCGTTGACTTGCCATATTTCGATGCCGAGCGCCTGCTCACCCTCTTTCTCGGCAAGTTGGGCAACAAAGGAGACAGTTCGACGAGCCGGAAGGGGTGTCTCCGAGGCGATCAGGGGAAGGCAGATCTCCTCGGATCCTTCTTCAGACGGGAAGTAGGCGCTGATGGGCTTTGTCGTGACGTGAGCGTCCAAGGCTTTGCAGTCCTCGTGGAATGCCTTTAGAAGGGGATCATTGGGTCCTAGGTTGAAGAGAAGCCCAGCTTGTACCGCAGCACCCCGACTCAACACCTGTGAAGGGTCGATATCCGCTCTAATCTCGGTCGACTCTTCCAACACTGTCGATAGCTGCGTAGAAAGACCTGGCAGAAGCGCGGTTCCTCCAACCAATATGACCTCGTCTAGCAGCACGGGATCCAGATTGGCCGACTCGAGCAGCTTTTTGACCTCGGTAGAGACTGCAGTATAGATAGGCTTCATTTCAATGTCGAACCGTAGCCGGTTGATGGTTCCGCTAAAGTCGAGGCCGTCCTTTAGAGATTCGACGCTGCACGAAGCCGCACCAGGACTGGCGCTGAGCGTTCGTTTGGTGTGCTCGACAGCCAGCCGCAGCTTGGTGAGTGCACGAACATCTGCTGGATCTGAGCTGGTTGGGGAGAGGGGTACTTTGGTTTTCTTGGTGAACTCTTTGGCAAAGAATGCGATCAACCTATCGTCAATCGCATCACCTCCAATATCTGCGATGTGCGACGAGGCTAGTGAATGGACAAGACCTTGCTTCGTCGACAATAATGTCAAGTCGAGGGACGAAGCACCCAGGTCTAGAATTAAAGATGTTCGGTCTTCAGTTGGGTGTGCGGTGAGGGAGGAATAAGCAAGAGATGCAGCAGCGGCATCGTCTAGCAGTTGTAGGACATGAACACCCGCATGCTCCGCAGCTTTACTCAGTGCGTCCCGTGCCTTTTGGGGGAAACGAGCCGGGACTGTGATAACGGCGCCTTGGATTCGTTGACCCAAAAAGTCGGATGCCGAGTTGACGAGGGATCCCAGGACAGTCGATGCAACGTCCGAAACAGTAAGCGTCTTTGAGATGTAAGAGGGCTCTGCCAATTCTGGTGGTGGCGATTGCAAGGGAGTGGGTGCATGAGAACCCTTTGGCGTTGGCTGGATTGATGGGGGGGCCGGTGCGGGTTCTAGCACTTGGACAGTGTACGCAGGTTCATGCTTATGTTCTACAATCGGTGCAGCCGTGGATTTCATGCTTGTGGCTTCTCCATAGCTGGGAGAGGTAACTGTCAATCATCGTTGAGAAGGGGAGATGGGACAACTCACGATTTGCCCAAGAGATTCCTAAATCCGACTATAGTGTTTTTAGAATTCTTGACAAGCTGCGGCTTTGCTTGATTTCCAATGTACTGATGGGCCTCAGATTTCGTTTGCCAACTTTGCCCGTGACACCTACCATTTCCTCGCCGTGAAAAGAGAGTGCAGTAGCAATCTGACGCTCTCCATCTTCATTGGCGATACAATCTGGCACGCCATCCTGATGGAAAAATGCATGAGCCACTTGCTGAGTTGAAAAGATGGACTCACCTTGTTCAAAATGGCGATGGATGCATACGAATTTCCAAAGTTGATTCCAACAACTGGAGGAGCCCTTTGCGTTGTATTTGCTGGCGTTGTTGTGCCATTGACCTGGGGGCTGCTCATCTTGCCAGGGCGAAGGAAGACGAACCAAACACTTTTGACCCCGACCGCGTCAGGAGTTTGCTCCTGCAGCTGCGTACGCCCGGATGAGCGACTGGGTCCGTCGCGCTCAAGTTTACAGTCCAAGTCATGCACAATGGTGAGCATTCCTTGACTGCGAATCCTCAGCGGGTGTTGGTTCATATGGCTGAAACGCTACCAGGCAGTTCTTTGCTCTCTCGCTCGGCACTTCAACTCTATTCTTCCTGTATTTTCTCTACTGGAATCGTCTACTCGCGGCCGTCATCTGCTTTCTGCTACGCTTTACGACTTGGGCCAAGCATGAGCCCGGCAGCTTTTGGATAGAGGCTGGTTTGTCCAACGCTTAGATGAGTAGTCAAACACTCACGTTATGTCCAGAGTCTGCACATATTTCGCTCATCTCGGGGCGTCTCGTCCTACGCGACCTCAGATATTATTCCGCCAATCAGACCATTCGAGCAGTCAAATGCTACATTACATGGAGATATTGGTTCTGGAGAGTACGAGAAAATGACGACATCTCTTATAGCGAAGTCGAGGAGCCAAGTTTGTCACGTCCCTCACGCTCACAACCCCGACTGATTACATTCAGAGTCAAACGTTTCTGCCATCCCGTGCCGCATACTTCTCAGCTTTGAGGGATTAGAGTGGCTCCTCTACAACAGAACCATGGTGTTTGACGAAATACTCAAGCAGGCGACTGCATCAGCATCAGACGAAGCAGGTTACAGCCAGAGTTCTATGGGAAATGAACGCAGTGGATGGAGCCCTGAAACGCGTGCAAGTGGCCTCCCTGCAAGCACAAATGCGAATGGTCAGCCAAAGAGCATCAACGAACAACGCTATCCACCCTTGGGGTTTCGAATTGGACTCCCCAGAATGGACATACCGTCCAAACTATGGGCATGGATCCTTACAAAACTTCCCAGGGTCGAGCTCAACGATCTCCTGCCCATCGCCCTTGAGGCCACCCATGGAGCAATCATGCTTGGAAATGCATCGACACCATCACTCTTTACGGTGACATTTAAGAGTGGGAAAGGCACTTACAGTCTACGTCCGGTATACGCCAATTTGTTCATACGGATGTTAGTCTGACTGTGAGCAGGCGAAATCAAGATTTGACGAGTATCGTCAAAGTTACCAGCTTCGGTTCCAACAGGTTTTACTGACAGCAGAGGACAATCCGGACTATCAAACATCCATGGTGGAGACAGGAAGACAAGTTCATGAGACCTTTAGAAAGGCAAAGCCAACCGGTACCCTTGGGCTTGGGTTCTCATCTTTCCGTGCATCTCTGAGATGGGTTACGACATCTCTGATTGGCATATATGAGACGAAGGAGGAGCATAAACCCGCAGAATGGGTGGGCTTACAAGCGTTCATGACGGAAGCCGAAAAAGAGCAAGCAAAGAAGGACGAGGAAGAAGAAGCTCGCCGTATATCCGAGCGAAAGAAACTGGAGGTTGGCCCAGAGTATGCGATTGAGCGCAGATTGGTGCAAACGGACAGACTCGACTTGCTTTATTATGCCGACGTCGCTGGTAAAGTGCCTGAAAATCCGGTGCCGATGGAAGGAACGGAAGAGATAGTCGACGTCGGAAATGGTGACATTGCACCTGGTTGGGGTATCGACCTTGTCGTTCATGGTGGAACATTGTCGTACGGTCCATGGGCCGATCGCCAACGGGCGCATCTTCAAAAGGCTCTCTCCCCTCCGACGTGGTCAGTCGCTTCTCCCTTCAAGAAACTCAAACCTGGGGATCCTCGCCTCTGTACCCAATTCAAACTCCATGTCGAGTTTGCAGAGGAGGTTCAGCTACGCCTTCCATGCAGGGAGGCATCAAAGGATTGGCAATTCGATGGTTTACCGGACATGGGTATTCATCGTCGACAAGCCGCACAGCTGGGTTTGAAAGCTGCACGCAACTCGACTATCCACTACACGATGCCAATGGTCGCTTCTGTTGCTGGATATCAAACCACCGTCAGGATCGAGCTTCTGAATGTGATCGCCGATTCAAGCCTGAACAATGAATCTTTTCTGGAAGCAGAATCGTGCTATGTGAGCTGGTCTAGATGCTCGAACCCAACTTACTCTACTCCAGATCCGATGCAACCTCCCAAGCCCTTTGCGCTGGGACGAAGCTCGTACATGGGAATTCCTTGTCTCTCTCCACAAGCCGGTTGCATATATTCTGCGAGATCACATTACTCTTTTTACCGATCTAGGAAAGGACTGGAGTGCTGGTCCTCCTACAGCGCTCCCACAGTTTATTCCGATGCTCTATGTGGTCAGGTTGAATCTAAAGGAGTATGCCATTTCTCTGCCTGTCAATGACCAGAACATCGTGGACTCCCTGAAAGACCAAGATGCCAATGGTACGTACCATATACTGGCAAGATGAGAGCTTACCAGAATCTAGTAACGTTTCGACTCGAAGGATCTGGTCTCAATAGTGTTGTGAATATTCCATCACTGAAATACCGGCCCGAGGCTACGACGATTCCTTTTTCCATAGAGTCCACCGACGAACTTCGTCTGAACTTGACTCTTCCGCTTTGGAACACTCGATCAGCCCATTCAACACGTCAAATTACAGAGATCGGTCATGTGAGCAACCTTCGAATTGATGGCGCATATCGCTACCATGCGTCCGTCAAACCCGACTATGTTGACAGATTGACTCTCAATGTCTTTGTGAGTAAAGCGGGCCAGGAGAGTACCAACCTCACATTTGCTCAGGGACGGAGCTGTAGCTACAAAGCGTTTGGCTGGAGCATACGCCACTTCATCTCCTTGCAGGGGAACTACTTTGGTTCATTCACAAACTTTGTACTCTCACCAGAAGCCAACCTCAAGCGTCAGAAAGGCATCACTCTTGGTGATCCCATTGACGAGAAGTATCGAGAAGGGCAGGTACGTTATGCTTTAGTTTATTTGGGCACATTCTTACGATCCTGTTCTGAAAGGCGAATGCATTCGAGGTTTCATTGGAAACACGAGTATCAGATGTCACCATTGCATTGCCAGAGGCTCTCCTCGGATACGAAGCAAGAGATGAAACAGACTCTGCCAGTCTAGGTTCTTGCGCGCTATTGGCTATCCCCGACATATCTCTGTCGTTCCGGCTCCACGATTATGGAATGGGTAAGGAAAACGCAGCTGCGTTGTGTAAATGCTGATCTATGGTATAGAAATGACCCTGAATGTCCACCCCATCAGTGTCTCGTTTGCGGACCACTACTCGGATAAGCAATTCTGGAAAGGCGCAGAAGACCGTCGGAGCAGGAAAGAAGTTTTGAACATCTCTGGTGCATTCTCTATCTTCCCCAAACCATCGTTCTGACACGTTATAGAACTTGATATTGTTGCCAATCGCTTATTTGGGCCAAAACCTCATGCCGCCACATATGTTTGCATGTGGGAGATCATAATTGGGGATGTTCAGGGTGTATTAAGTCCAAAGCAAGTTGGGAAGTTGATGACTGTACTGCATACTTTTGGTGTCAACTTCAAGGACGAAGCAAATGCACCGGCCCAAGAGTTTTTGCCAGAGACATATCCTGACGGTAACTTCAGCAATTCCTCAAGTTCATCTTCTGATTTGCGCCTCTAGTAACATTCCTCAAGTTGCGTCTGGAATCCCTGAGTGTCAACGTCGAAACGGAGAGTGTAGCCGTGATCTTCAGCCTCCCACAGGGATCGCAACTTTCTCTCAACGACTTGCCTACGCAGACCGCCGGAGGCATGATTTCGGTCATTGTCGCGGCTTGCGAAGTCAAGAGTCTTCTCAAAGGTTCTATGGACGGTCAAACATGGTTAGAGGCGGGGACGACCAGCCTTGATGTTGCCATAGACGTCTATTCACGCCCCTTTGACTGGCGGAGGAAAGCAGATAGGCAATTGGACTTTATCAAAACTCAAGATGCATCAACACGTCGCGTCCAATTCATATATGGAGAAGGGCCCATCCAAGGCAAGTTTGATGCTCGAGACTGTGACACGGGCTAATCCAAATAGGTCACCTGAAGTACTCGCAGCACGGTCAATCTGGTTGCCTCATCCGTGCTTCCTTAAACCTCCCGCTCAGCCCGTGCAAGAAGTGAGAACACCTCGGAAACATGCTTCAAGTGACTCCGATTCAGAAGACTCGGCCGATGTGGATGTAGACGAGCAACTCGCGTCAGTAGAATTTGCCGTCTACTCTCCAAGTACTAAAGTGCTTGCAGCTTGTCAAGACCTCCATCGTATCCTGATTTAATGCGTTCGCTTCAGGAATCGAGCGATGCCGATGATTCAGATGAACGGACAAGCCACACGGGCTCTATGCCTGACACCAGAATTGAAACCAGAATTGAGGATGAGTGGGATGGTTCGTGATTCCTACCATTCCGCACGCGTATCTCATCATAAATCAGATGAAATTGGTTGGCCGTATCTAAGCCACCATGCAAATGTGGTACGGCAATACAGGAACCCATACCGTCAGGTCCTCGAGCAAGAGATGCACACTTCACAGTTCGAACTGAGTAAGGTATGGAGGAAGTTGTGTGGGTGACCTCGATGTTAATCAGAACTTAGGATGTCCGCTCCTCTGAACCTATTGGCCCGGTGAAGTTCCGAACAAAGGAAGAAGATAAGGCAAAAAGTACAGACCAACGTAACATTCAATCATCCACATGATGACGACGGTGCGGTTACGGTCATCCAGGTGGCGTCGAAAGCGGGGTTTGAACTCACCCTGAGCCCAATGATCGTACACGTAGTCCGCGACTTGTTACCAGCTCTCTATGGAGCATCTGTAAGTACCTGTCCGCTTGTTTTTACTACCCTGACTCTATCAACAGTCCAGCATTGAACTTGAGATTGATAGTCTCATGGGAAATCTGTTCACGAATGACGGCGACGGCCGCTCCAATTCTCCCTCCTTGGAAATCAACATACCGGTCATCCGCCTGAAGACCGTCCAAAGCATCCTATCTCTACAGGAAGCCGAACTGTTGAGGGAACCGTTTGGGGATATCAGATCCGTAGGAGTTGACATGGACCAGAGAATCATCTCCGTCGTCGATATTCGGATCCTCAATCCATCCACATCGGGGATTTTGGGCTCAGAGGAACGACCACTGATGGTTCGAGCTCAACAGGCGCTCCTTACCTTGTCGACATACGACTCCCATATTCTGGCCGACATGCGCCATGAAATCGCTGGTACACATAGGGCACTTGAACTGACCATCGAGGACTCCCATGCCACTCTCGGGAGCAGCATCGTATCAACATTAGGCAATGTGGACATAACGCTGCAGTCGGAGGCACCAGCCTATGTCCTATCGACGATATCCGTTGCTGAGAGAATTTTCTCAGAGACCAGTAGTATTGTCTCGAACTGGACCCGCCTTGATTCTGCTCGCTCACAATATACTGCGTGGGCTGTCCTGCACAACACCAGCACTGCGGAAAGTGACCCTTTGTCACGGGTAGTGACGTCTCCGCTTGTTCAATCTGGCCGACCGAGCGTGCTCAGAGGAGACATTAACTGGAGGATCCTCAATCATGCTCGACAACGACTCCCCCATCTTCCCTCGGACGTCCGAAATACCATCATCGAAATGAACAAAGCCGAACTCTCCGCCATCCCGGCAGTCTCTAGGGACGACCTGTTGTCGACCCTTCGAGAAACCTGGTCGGACTGGATTGGCGAGCTTGCGGACGAGGAAGTAGAGCAGCTGCCGCTTTTCAAGCTGATCAACCCTCTTTCATCATCTCGCCCTCCTGCAGACATTATGCAGCCACTCTCAATTGAGACCGGGTTCCTTCAGCTTGTTCTCAAGGATACAAAGGAAGGGAACAGTGAGATACGGATAGGTCCCTTTAATTTCAAGGTTGCTGAGCGCCGACCAACTCTTGCCATTCATCAGACTGCCTTATCGGCGGTATCCGTCACAAGACCCAGCAACGCAGCAATTGTCCAGAGTCTACGGCATGTCGGCGTAGTTTGTGATCTAGGGACATTTTCGTTGATCTATCCCCCTCTCTCCTCCCATTCACCGGTCGATTGTTGCGAACACGCCAACATCTTTCAGCTCCCATACGATCACCAACAAGCCCGACTTTTGGCAAACAATTCACTTTACCAGCCCCGACCGCACCAAAAGCCTCGACCCAGGTAGTAATCGACATGTCCTTCCACTTCGAAAAGCTTTCCATTCTCTCGAGGGCCTACAACTTTGCCTTCGAGATCTCGTTGGTGAACCCAACGCTCGCATTGCACTTTCTTTCCCGCACTGGACAACTGAATCCCCGGCCTCTGCTGCAGTTAGCGCCAGATTCTGCGGCCTCGATTAGCTGTGCCTGGGAACGTCTTCAACTCAGAGTTTCTGAACGTGTTGCTTCCCAAGAGCAAAGTGTTTTAGCTGAATTCGCAGTCAACCAGGTCTATGCCACCGCTGTCTGGTATAGCCGGAGTCGAGAACGGCCAGCTGTAAGGGTCAGCTTGGTGATTGGGAAGGTCTACTTCTCAGTTCCGAGACACGTTGCAAGGTTGATACAGTCTGTCGAGACTTGGTGGGATGACTACTTTAGGTATGTATGACCGCGTTCTTGCTCAGCGTATCTAACATTGTAATAGGAATCAAGTCAACCCACTTCTCCGTCTCTTTTCAACTGCATCAAGTCCTCGACCAGCCAGAAGGGTATCGTTCAAACCTCAAGGCGGACTTGGAATCGAGTTTCAGTCCAACGTCACAGATGCAGAGATCCGGTTACACGCCGTACTTGGTGTGTGGCTGGTATGGCAGGTCAAGAACTCAGGAATCGTTCTCGAGGGAACCAAGTCTACTGCCTCGGCAATTCCACATGGAAAAGCAGTCCTTCGCGTCACCTCTCAAGCGTTGGCTTTGGAAACATGGCAAGACCCGCACGACGCAGCAACTATACTTAAGGAACACTCATTCATATTTCCATTTCCCCCGATGCAAGTGTCCGTCCTGCTTGCAAACAACACGCTTCGTTGTCGCGGAACCTTTGAACTCTTTGAGGTTGTTCTCAACGCCAACGCCATTGACGCTTTTGTCAGAGCCTCTCGCCAGCTGGCATCCAGTGATATCGAGCGAATATTTTCCATTGTTCGGAGACCAGGGGAGTCCGCCCCAGTTTCTCAGAGCTCATTCCCATCTCCTACCCGTTCTTCTCTCGAAGATATTCGAATAGAGGCTCAGTTCATCCTTTCTGGCCTGCGACTCGTTCTCGAAGGGGAGTCATCACTTTGTTTGCTTGACATCGGCAACGTTCTCGGGGAAGGATCAGGTATGAACACTTGGGGATTCAGGGTTTCAGATATCTCCTTCTCTCTAGCCCCGAAACATGCAGGATCGATCTTGGACTTTGATCGTCGATCTCGGCTGGCATATATGGTCTTCGATATGAAGGTTCTTTCCTTTTTGGATAAAAATCTTACCAACGTGCTGGATGTTCAGGTGGATAAAGTCCACGCTGTGCTTCAAGCTGCTGCCCTTGTGGTTTTAGGAGATTTAGTTGACTCTTATCAAGTAAGTGACCCTATCATCGGCGCAGTCACTGCATAATCAGCGTTTTACAGGCCGAGGTGATGCGTGGAAGAGAAGAGGTTGCTCGCCAACGACTCATGCGGCGGCAGCGCAATCGTTCTTCGGTATCCCATCCCACACGTCCACAAAGAGTAGCCGCTACATCAACCTGGCTCGATAAACGCATCCTCAAAATGTCAATCAGTAGTATTGGTGCCGCAATCCCTCTCGTCCTTCACCATACAACTTTTCTCCCTTCTGAATCGTCTTCCGTGCCTGCATTCTTACTGTCCATATCTTCGGTACAGTTTGGGACGCAGTTTGGGCAGAATGGCGACGTCTCCGTGAAGTGCTTTGCTCTCCAGTTCCTTGATCAGTAGGTGTCCAGCTTTACTTCGAAACGAGTCTAATGCACATTAGGTTTGACCAGAGCGTACCAGCGCATTTCAATAGCAATTCACATCGCTCCAAGAATCAAATGGTCTACCCAGAGATGCGCGCAGAGGTTAGCTCCAAGCAAACGGTTACATCTCAGGAGTGGATCATCCACTCAAGGGTCAGCGGATTTGAACTCGATTTAGACCCGGAGATAGCCACCTTTACTTTCTCACTTCTGGACGTCTACCGACTGGGACTCTCCAAGTTGGAGTCTCTAGCAGAGGTTGTCCAGTCCCCAGACACCTCAATGCAAGTGCGTAACGACAAACCGCAAAGCCGCACCAGCATCAGTACGAGGACGACACACGTACTGGCGTCTCTCGAGTTTCAAAGCGGACGCGTGCGTCTTCACCATGAAGGACGACAAGCTTCACGACGGAGGAGCGCCCCAAGACTCTCTATTCCTGGAAACCAGTATTCCTCAGAGATATCCGTCGATATTCTCCTCCCTGTGGTCTCCTTGTGGACTGAATGGCGCGCCACACCAGCATCTCTAAAAGGGGGAAGCATCAGTGACGAGGCACCTTCGAGTCTGTCCTTCAAGAGTACGATTCACTCAAGCAAGAACACCGTTCCACCTACGGTTCTTCAATTTGTGTCTCAACTCCTCGCCAAGGTTGAGGCACGGTTGAATAGGCCCAATCTGTCTGCTCCAGTTATAGTTCAGAGGCCACCTGAGGAGACTTTGGATCCAGATGATGATACCAGCAAAAGTCTGCAGACAATGTCGATCAGCTTCAGTCTTCGCATAGACCAGTCCACGCTCGAGTTCACTTGTCAGCCCGATGTCAATGTCAAGGGCTCTTTACAGTGGGAGTCTGGTGGCTTTGTAGCTACAGCATCGCCTGGAGCAAAGTCTATCGCGTTCATTGGATCGGTCGAGAATCTCACTGCACACCTCCGTCACGGTTACCTCAATGAAGACTGCTTTTCCGCTAGTATTCGTGACCTAGCCTTCTCCACTGCCTTTAGCACTAGCCGAGACGCAGCTGGCATTGGTTCTACCCGAACTTCCATCGTAGTAGAGACCGATCTTAAAGTTACTGCGCTATTCGCCCGTCTACAAGACATACTATGCTTCAAGGCGGTGTGGTTTGACAGTATTCCGACGCTAGGCGGTCAGGGTATCACCCCAACGTCACCCTTAACGGCGGCTAGTCGAGAATCTGCCTTCTCGGTTCGCAAATTATCAAAGAGAAGCTGGAAGACCGTCCTACTCCTGCGGGTTCGCAAAATGGACGCACAATTGGACCTCGGTCCCGCAGTGTCGACGTTGCGATTATCGTTAGAACCTGTGGTCTTCCGGACATTACTCAGCAACCAACTTTCGGAGCTATTTTTATCCATTGGCCTTCTGGATATTACCGCATCAGGTTTATTCTCGGGGAGCCTCAACGTGCCAGATTTCCACTTCCGCACTGTTCGGGGCCGCGAGGGAAACTATGAAAGAAAGCATGGCAAGGAGACACTTCTCAACATCGAACTCATGAGTGGCTTCCTCAAGATGTTGGTGATGTACGAGCGGAAGCCAGTCTTTTTGTACGAGTGAGTCTGCGGCTTTGATTCCCTTATCGACGCTGACCTTTGAAGCTCGCAACCGTTACGAGTCGTAACTCTGGACGACTGGAGCAAGTGTCATGTCGCTCATAGTGACGAACACAAACTCCAGCTGCACTTCAATCTTGTGGCGAGCGGGGTCAATATCGTCGCTGTTACCACAGCGCCAGCAGTTCTGGTCGACATGATTCAACGCATTCAATCGCTCCTACATGCTCAATATGAAGGCGCTGCAAAGGAGTCCGAAGCCTTTAGGCGCACCAATGGTCCGAAACGGCATGTAAACGAAGTAGCGACATCCATGGTACATCGCTCAGACAAGACGACGGAAGCCGACTTTGCATGGATGACTGTGCAACGTATGCGAGTCAAGTTGGATGCGCTATTCATTGGCATTGCTCGCGAGAGTCTATCCGATGGACAAGCGTGGGGAGGAATGGCGGCTACATCCTTTGACGCCTGCCTGACGAGGCATGTCAGAGGGACGTCAGATGCGTCGCAAAGCGAGATGGTCATGTCGCTAGGCTCCTTGGAGCTCCACCGATATGCCAGTAGAGCAACCGAGGAGATTCTGACTGCAACCGAATGGCTTGGGAGACAACACTTTGAGAAGAAGGAAGTCCTCAAAGTCCCAGCCATGATGGTGGAGATGAGAACGCGGGAGTTTATCGAAAACGGCGTGCCTGTTCTTGCTTTCGATCTACAGAACGAGCAAGGAATCCAGAGCAGTAATCGTCAGTTTTCCATTGGAACCGATCTTGTCCTTTTCGACTGGGTTCGAGACATGTATCACCTTACTGTGCAGCACGTCACCGAGATGCGCAACCGGAGAGGATCCAAGACGTCCATGGAGTCGAAAGAGCCCGCGCCAGCCAAAGCGGAACAGCTTCCTCAGGCATTCTCACTTGAGCCATCTGCAAAGAGCGCTGCCGTGCAACCGCGCTCGGGGCCTTTCGAGCGTGGAGGAAAGCAATGGAGGCCAGAGTCGATCAAGATGGTTCCTCCCGTGATTCAACAACTCGGAAACTTCTCCCCGGGAGTTGGCTTCTACAATTTGGTCGTCCAAGGTAGCTTGGATTCAGCAGTGGCGATCTGGGTTCATGAATTGGTAACTACGCCCGTGAGCGAGCTAAACAATGTTCTCCTCTCTCTGTACACGAAGCAGTTGCAGATGGATATGGCCCTGCCAAAAGACGAGGAACAAGACTGATTGTATGTATACTTTCATTTATTGAGACTCTCCTGGGAAATAAACCTTGTACAAAGTTGGATAATGGCGCCTTGCGACGTCCGGATGAGACCTGATTCTCCCAATGAGGGAAACGTGACCACTCTCCTCTGTCCCATATTCACTGTAATTAACGGCTGTAGATGATAAATTTGAGATCCAAAGATGGAGATAGAGCTCACAGTCGGACACGGGGTCCCCTCTCTTGTCCCTCAACGCGAGAATCTCTGGTGAAACTGCAAAGAGCGTAAAGGAAGGCAATACGGAGAAGAGACGACAAACAATCGATGACGGAGTCTGCGAGCTTTATGTCTTGTTTGATGATTTGGAAATATGGGACCGAGTATCTGTCAGTTGAACCAAGAGGTGGATTCAAAACCCGATGAGTAGTTGCGAGAGCAACCCGTTGAGTGACAAATTCTAGTCCTATGCACTCTCAGCTTCAGCAAGTTTGACAGAGCTTCTGCACCTTTGCCAATGTTGACTACTAGCGTGTCGTCCAATGGTGGAACGTCGATCCAGTCCCCGTCGACATTTTGTGCTTGAAGACCCCTATGGGACGATGCTTGAAGGAGCTAAGGAATCATTAGGCTCTGTTCAATTGAAAAGAAGAGCGAACCAAGGTGAGAAAGCCAGAGTCGAAATGGGGCCCAACACCTTGCTGCTCGTCGCCGACGGGAGGATACTTGACGACCTAGCTTGGATGAGCATAGGACCGAATACATCAAGATTTTGGACCTTGGAGCGGTGCTGCATGGAAGACATCGGATGATCAAAGAAGATGTCCAGACCGTTTGGGCCCAGACCCAGAGCTTCTGCGACCAGATGCGTAAAGATTTCACTTAGGTCTTGGACTTGGGAGAGGTATCTGGTAAGTGTATCCTTGAATCCAGGCAAATCTTCTTCAGAAGGCCACTTGCAGATGGCAATCTCAAGACCTATTGAACGACGGATCCTAGTAACTTACTTGCGACTGTCCCCACAACTTGCGATATTCTGGGTCTCCTTCCTTCCATACACAGTCGTATGGCGTCCCAAAGTCGAATTGCTCTCGCTGGTCGACTTTACCCTTGGTAAGCTCACTTCCAAGGGAGGAGTAACCCCTAATCAAACATTACAAATGTCAAATACGATATCGAGTAAGGGGCACCAACAGAAAATGCGGGCTGTTGACCATATCCAGCTTGTGCTTCGTCTCGGCTGGCAAAGCGAACAGTTTAGGTAGATATTCTTTTACGCGCTCGATGAGACCCTGAATCACGAGTGAGCTTGGAGAATGGGGAACAATGCCCGACCAACGGCTTCAATCGGCGGATGCTGAAGGTACAGAAAGCCAGCAAAGATCAAAGCATCGCGAAGTTGCTCGAGAAACGCGGGTTTCTGGCCTTCTTGGTAGATTTTCCAGTCGAGAATCGGGATGTGCTTGAAACCACGGGACATGGTGGAGTTTACGAACTATGGCGCAATTCTGCGACGTTTTGGTGGCCAAGGACTCGAGTCAATTGGAAAGTTACAAATACATCTGGATAATTTAGACCACTAGCATAATGTCAGATTTCGTGCAGGAAAGAGGTAGTACACTTACGGAGAACAGCGTTGATGCAACCATCGTTTTCCTGGAGGAGATTCGGGTTAGAATGCATGTCGAGATGCTAAAAAGTGGCGTACTGGGTTGTTGGTGACCTGGGCATACTTTGCCACGACGGCCTTTCCTCCAGTTGTAACCATGCCGAGCTCTGAGACGTTGACCTCGATAATTGTGCCCTTGGTGAGTACACCCAACTGCGTATACATGGGCGACTGTGGATTCTTCTTGACGCCCATGATTTGCAGCTGAAAGGTGGCCTTTAGATCCGCTGGAAAGATTGTTTGTGAACAGTAATATGAACACACTAAAACGTACGATGGGTCACATTGGCCTTTTTGTATCGTAGTGCCATCGGGCGAATGAAGCGTTCCATCTTGACTGGTTTTCTCGTGAATCCTTCTCCAACAAAGGTGGCTTTTGTAACCATGCGCTTCCATGCTTTTGCTTTCGACTTTCCCGTACGAACCACTTTGAACATTTCGTCTTCGGCGATCCCTCGAACCTTGGGCAGCGGCACGGCATATTTGGCAGCCTTGTCTTTGCGTTTCTGCTTGAGCGCGGAAGACAATGCCTTTGCGTCCTTTTGACCCTCGCGATCGAGCAAGTATGTGGGGAGTGCTCCCTCTGGGACCGTGCCAGAATCTGGCCGTTTGACGTTTCGTTCGTCGTGAGCCTTGAGCGTCTTCTTCATCTGCACCTTTTCCGAGTACCGCTTGGCGTGCAGTAGCTTGGCCTTTAGACCGTGCATTTTTTGAGCCACTGCCGATGCACGGTGGGCGGTTCGCGCCGCCTTTTTGCGTCTGGAAAAAGGCATGATTAGCACCTCGACAATCTTGGAATACCCATTTGAACTCGCTTTTTCTCCTCCCAGTCGAGCCGTCGTCCATGCCGCTTGATGTGCTCCTCGATGTACTCGTTCTGCGCTTGCCGTTAGTTGTGGGCTGTTTTACCCTAGCTCATACGCTACCTGAGGCTATAAATGATATATAGTATCAGCGATATGCAGTCTGTGGGCTGGCAGCAAAGACTTACCATGGTGTTGGTTAAAGTGCAACCTTGACGAGCCGCCAAACTCGCAAAGTAAACTTCTGAGGAAAGCTGGGCGCAAAGACGGGCGTCGCCTGGCTCATGTTACGCCGAGTATTCCGACTGCCCACTCTTTATCCTCTGCAACGACTGGGACAGCTGCGGGCAATGGCATCGACGGTGAACAAGACAGCGCATCCATTCTCAAAAGCAAATCTCGATGACCTCTTGCTCAAGCGCTTCTTCTACGCTCCAGCATTTGAGATTTACGGTGGCGTGGCGGGCTTATACGATTATGGACCCCCGGGCTCTGCTCTCCAGGCCAACATTATCGCAGAATGGAGAAAGCATTTCATCATCGAAGAGTCGATGCTCGAGCTCGATACTACCATCATGACCCCAGAAAAGGTCTTTGTCGCCTCGGGTCACGTCGCAAAGTTTGCAGACTGGATGGTCAAGGACAGCAAGACGGGTGAAGTCTTGCGTGCCGATCATCTCGTCAAAAATGTCCTCAATGATAGACTGGATCGCGACAAGCTGGCCCGTAATCCAGTCGCCGATCCCAAAAAGAAGGCTAAAAAGGAGACACCGCTCGACGATGCCCTCGTAGTCGAATACGAGTCGATTCTCAATCGCGTACGTTTGCTCTACATTCAGGTACTCGGTGGAAGCTAACGCCGACCAAGTTGGATGAGTACTCGGGTGTCCAGCTCGGTGAGCTGATAAAGAAGCATGCCATAGTCAACCCAGCAACTGGAAACGATGTCAGCGACCCAGTAGAGTTTAATCTCATGTTTGCAAGCAACATCGGGCCTGTCGGCAATAACACTGGGTGCGTCGGAAGATCTATTCTGTACACCTCGGATTGCTAAACTGCTCCAAGATACTTGCGTCCAGAGACAGCACAGGGTCACTTTGTCAACTTTCAGCGTCTCCTCGAGTTTAACAATGGCAGTCTGCCGTTTGCCTCTGCCCAGGTGGGCAGGTCCTTCCGAAACGAAATCTCGCCACGAAACGGGCTGCTCCGAGTCCGCGAGTTCACCATGGCAGAGATTGAACACTATGTTGACCCAGCCGACAAATCCCACCCTCGATTCAAAGATGTTGCAGACGTAAAGCTCCGATTCCTGAGAAAGGAGATTCAGAGCGCTGGAAAGAACGATATTATCGAGACCACCATTGGGGATGCCGTGGCTACAGGCATGGTCGCAAACGAAACGCTCGGATACTTTGTCGCGCGCATCTTCCAGTTCCTCACCAAGATTGGTGTTGACCCTGCGCGATTGCGATTCCGCCAACACATGGACAACGAAATGGCGCACTATGCATGTGACTGCTGGGATGCCGAAATCCTAGTCTCGTCTGGTTGGGTCGAGTGTGTCGGGTGTGCCGACCGCTCCGCTTTCGATCTGACGCAGCACATGAAAGCTACGGGTCGTTCGTTGATCGCACAAAAGCCTGTTGACCCACCGCGGTTTATCCACAAGACGGAGCCAGAGTGGAACCGCAAAGAACTCGGGCTCACCTTTAAAAAGGCGGCCACATCCGTTCAAAAGGCGGTCGAAGCGCTTCCTACTGAAGAGCTCGAAAAGATTCGGGCTGCGACGGAGAATGAGTATGTCGTACGAATCGTGATAAAAGCGCATGTCGACTAATCATGCCATAGACCATACAAATTGACCTTAGAGAATGGAGACGTTGTCGATGTGACACCTAAATTTGTGAAAATAGTCGACAAGACGATCAAACAGACCGGTGAGTGTCAACTTTTTGTAACCGTTTCGAGGCCTTGACATTTCCACAGTGGAGGATTATACCCCAAACGTCATCGAGCCCTCCTTTGGTCTCGGCCGCATTCTCTATGCACTCTTGGAGCATAGCTACTGGGCCCGGGAATCAGACATTAACCGTGGCGTCCTCTCCCTCCCTCCGCTTGTCGCGCCTATCAAAGTGTTGATCGTTCCAATCTCATCGCAAGAGGCGTTCAAGCCGCTGATTCATGAAATCGGTATGTTCAGTTATCTTGGCTTGCAATTGCTCAATTGACCCCGGTATCAGCAACCAAATTGAGGAGGGCCGGCATCTTCTCCCGCGTCGATGCGTCGAGTGTTACGATTGGCAAACGCTACTCCCGTAATGACGAGCTCGGCACGCCGTTTGGTATTACGGTGGACTTTGCCTGTAAGAATCTACACTCCGCCGCCCATCATAGCTTGACCATCTCTACTAGCTGTCGCAAACGGTACTGTCACTCTCCGGTACGTCCTAACTTGACGGGATATTCAACAGCTAACTCGACACCAGGGAACGAGATACGACGGATCAGCGAATTGGCAAAGTCGACGAGGTGATTGCAGTCGTCGCAGATCTTGTAGAAGGTGTATGTACATGGGACGAGGCATGCGGAAGACTCCCTGCATACAGCGGAGTACAGGCGGTCGACGGTGCTGCTCCGACGTCGTAGTCAAACGGAAGAGGACAGTATGTGTGCGATTTGAATATCAAACTAGAACGTACAGGAATACCCGATAGGAAACTGAGACTATGCATGGGGCGACTGAATCTGGCTGACGGTCCAAGTTGCTTCAGAGAACGCCGATCGTCTGAAGATTCTTCCGCAGGATACTTTCACCGACTGACGTGGACAATGAGACTATGTTACTACCAAGCTTTCTTTCACTCACCATTATCGAGAATCACATTTGTAGCCTTGGTGTCCTATATAATCTTGTTGAGACTCAAGAGAATGCTAAAAGGAGCAACTCACAATGGCAGAGGTAAGATAACAATAGAATGGTCGTTTCTTTGGAGAATACTCTCGCAGAATAGCGTGGAATTTTTCTGTCGCCACTTAGCCCTGGGTTAGGGGTGCAAAGCGTGAAGGGCAAACCTTTGAAATCTAAAGAGCGGAATGAGTGTGATGCATTTGAAACACACCTGGACTCACACTTTGCCGCCGCTTCAGCCGTATTTGGCCGGTCTCGATAACTACGAACATACTTCTGCACCTTTACCCCGCTTCTCAGTTTGGCGCTGAGGATGTCAACCTTGTTCAGAAAAAGGATAAAGTCGACCTATGCAATCGTTGACACGCGTTCACTGATAGCCGCCAATTGACCTACGTCGGCAAGTAACCGATTCGAAACGACCGATTTCCAGAGTAGGAGCGAGTCTTCCTGTAGTTTTACATGAGTAACGCGTTGTGACTCCGTCGATCGAAACGACTTGCCAGTCTGTTGACGGAACGATCCTCGGCTAATTTCTGGTCAAACGCACTCAAAGGCGCTAGAAAGATAACCGCGCTCGCATCATCAAAGTAAGGGATCCATTGATTGCGTTGGGTACGCGACTGGTAGAAGCCGCTTGTCAAAAAGACTGAAAACGAATGGAACGGATCAGACGACTCACCCCGCCGACATCGAATATTCGCCATAGATAGGTGCCCCTTGAACCTGCGGGATGCATAGTGAGCGCCCCTTTTCGAAGAGGCATCTCCCTGGACAGGCCCTACCTCGATCAATGACAAAGGAATAATCCGAGACCCCCATAGTTTTTAGCCGTGCGCGAACGACGTCATCTGCGGAAAAAATAAGATCCTGTACGATGGAAAGCCGCGGCACATACCGTCTGTTGGATGATAGGACTAGCAGAGTCAGCGCAGAACAACACTTTATCTGAAACGCTACTCACACTTGATGTAACGCGCTCGAGGTCATTTAAGAAGCTGCTAGGGTGTCAGAACGTGGTGGGAGAGATGTCGCATGGATGACCCACAAGCCAGGCCACTCCTGCCATCTGACTCTTCTTCTTGCGAGGACTTCTTGGACAGCCAGGTCATTCCACAGGTCTATCATATCATCTCGGCACATCCTAATTAGGTGTGTGGGGTCATTTGGATCACTCGGGTCTATCGGAATCTCTTGGGGGAGGACGCTGAGACGACGTTGTTTGACATTCACCGCCTCTTTTGTTCCGAGATTCCAAGAGTGTGCTTGGACGGCGAGTTCTGTTTCTGCTTCTGTGTCGACCAGATGTTGTTCGGCCGTAGCCGGTCGTGAGCGTGGGAGGTTTGCAAAGTTTGGAGAAAGGCGGGCCTTAAGACCACGTTCTGCGACATCGAGAGAGGCCCTGAGACGCAGGCAGATACGACGGTGTGAATCATGCAATAGGGACGAGATGGGAGGGGGTGCATCCGGCGAAAATTCATCGGCAGAGTCGTCTTCGTCCGCCGCGTCTGCTTGGAAGAGTGCATCGACGACGCGTTGCATGCATCTCACGACGTTGAGTAGGATCACACCTTTCCAGTTTTCACGATCCCGGGCAAACGCCTCGCGGGCGTACATGAGTTGAAAGTCTAGTGATGTCAGTTTTAATGAAGCGGGGGCGAGACGGCGACGCCAGAGTGTACAGAGAACCCTGGGTTCGGACCAGACTAGAACGGGGGAGGCGTACTTTTGAGGACGGTACTCTTTCCTGCCAGCAAATGAGCGTGAATCAAACAAGACGAGGAATGCCATACCAGATTCACTTTGACCTGTATTTGCGGATGAAAATGGCTTGTGAGCGCTGCGGGCATTGGAGAGAATGCAACGAAATGCGCACCCAACAAGAGGATTCTGACGACAGACTTGTGTTTTGCGACCGAGGCGCGTTCTGCCTCGAGCATGGCGTCTATACGGTCCGAGATTTGCTTTGCTTCTGCGGCCTGCTTTGCGCGCGAATGGCGCTCCGAAGCCGCGCGTTTTGGACTTGGAGGCATAGAGCCTAGACTGGGCGTTGAATTGCCCGCTTTACGGTGGAAGAACTTCAGTTTGGGAGATTGCGGTCGGGTGCAAGGGGGGCTCTACACCTGGGACCTGGGCCCGGCTTTGACAACGTGATCGGAGATGGATATCCACTATGCTGGATTATTTACTTGAGATGCCAGGGGCTTACAGCGCTTAGGGCTTACCCGGTGCTTACAAGGGCTTACCCGGTGGTAGTCCCGACTTACAGTCCCCCCTTATTAGCCTTTGCCATGTTCACCCCGCGCCCGTCCCAAGGAGCAGCAGCAGAAGATCCTCTGACGCGTGCTCTCAACGGCCTTATTCCTCCCAATGAATCCCCCGCAGAGCGCGAGCAGCGCCTAGCTCTGGAAGCAAATGCTCGCATGATCTCCGACGCCATCGACGAAAAACTCAAGATAGAGAGACAAGAACGGCGCAATAAGAAGATTGTTAAAATTCTCCTGCTCGGTATGGCTCCTTTTGAGCTCGGTGGCACTCATCCTCATTGACCCCGGGTACGCAGGTCAGAGCGAGTCGGGCAAATCCACCACGCTCAAGGTCCTCCAGCTCTACTATGCTCCCCAGAGTCTGCGACAAGAGGCATTTGCCTGGCGAACCGTCATCCATCTCAACCTCTTACGGTCCATACAGCTCGTCATGGACGCTCTCTCGCAGGCAAATCGTGAAAACGCACCAAGCTTCACGGATGACCTCCGGAGGCTGCTCATCAAGCTATCGCCCTTGAAGCAGGCAGAAGAATTGTTGAGAATGCGTATCTCGCCCCCGCAAGAGGAAGGTGATTCCCAGTTGGTCCTTCCGGAAGCCTCCGAGTTTTCTGTCCGCTCGGCCTCAGGCTGGAAGCAGGCATTCAATAAGATGAGGGGCAACAGCAGTTCAAAGGACGATATTCGATTTGACACTGGCCCCGCAAGTATCCTAGAGGCTTGTTCAGAGGATATGACCGGTGCGCACATTTGCTCTTTGGGCTTTTCTACTTAATTACTGAGCGAGCGACAGCTCTCTGGACAAGTCCGGCCGCCAGACAGATTCTCAAGCAACGGCGCATACGATTAGAAGAATCGTCGGGATTGTGAGCACGTCTCCCCCGATGAATGAGTTTCATCCTGATCACCCTCCCTCGCAGCTTCTTAGACGACATTGACCGTATCGCCAAAAAAGACTATGAACCGACCGACGAAGACATTCTTCGTGCTCGACTTCGAACAGTCGGTGTACAGGAACACAAGATCAGCTTGGAGCTCGGCCCGGAAAAAGGCCAGGATTGGTATATTTACGACGTCGGCGGATCCCGGTCCCAGCGCTCTGCATGGGAATCCTTCTTCGACGATGGTGACTGCCCCGGATATTTTCACTATGTGTCACTCGCTGACATTCCCCATCCTCCTAGTCAATGCCATCATCTTTCTGGCACCACTGTCGTCTTTTGACCAGTCACTCGCCGAAGACAAGAGGGTAAATCGGGTCGAGGACTCGTTGCTCTTGTGGAAGAGTATCTGCTCCTCAAAATTATTGGCAAAGGTTAGTTGTCTCCTTCTCCCTTTGGATGCCCTAACCTTGTCAAGGTGGAACTCATCCTATTCCTCAACAAATGCGATATTTTAGCCAAGAAGCTTGAATCAGGCATTCGGTTGGCCAAGTTTGTTCCAAGCTTCAAGGATCACCCTAACAATGTGGAAACTGTAACCAAATGTGAGTCATTTGCATTGCCTACGATTTAGTTTTACTCATTCCTTTACAGACTTCAGAGGTAATCTATTATTTACTGAACTATCCAATGTCTGATCGTTCGGCGACATCTTTTAGCCAAATTCAAAGGTGCGTTGCTCCTGTATACATGGAAACGTTCTTAACTTGTGCGCAGCAATTCAAAAAGAGTATTCACCTTCACCTCGAATGTTCTATGGCCACCTGACATCTGTAGTCGATGCGAGATCCACTGCCCTCATTGTAGCCAACGGCATGTGATTTATTGGCTCTCTGTTCACGTCTACTGACTCTTTCACGTGTAGTACACGAAGTTATTGTCAAAGCTAACCTGCATTCCGCCAATGTTCTCTGATCCGACGGACAAAACGACTGGCTCGGTCATCCAGGATCCACCCACTGGCACACACACACACAAGCTTGTTCCCGCTCTTTAATCTGTTGGTTCGATACTCTTATTTAGGTGTTCCAGCCTGTTAGACTGCTTGGATAGAATACGTTCTCCCTAGTTTATTGTTATACCTTTGCTAGTACTTGCCTACAAAGCTTCTCTACAGTTGTTCAAACCGACCAATGAATGCGGCCTGGATCCTGATCTCGACCGACGGCTTGGGATCGGCATCAAGGCGTCACTCAACTTTGGACTCTTACCACATTGCCTCATCATGCCGCGACAGCAAGACGGTCCACCAGAAGGCGAAGATTTTCTTCAAAAGGCGCAAAGGAAGATTGTCGAAGAGCCTGCTGTCACGGCAGGTATGTTTGCCTTGAAATTTGCCGCAACTTTTTGGCTAATAATCACCATCCCACTTTCTTCTGGTCCTCGAACGCTGTGAATGGGATATTTGTTCTGATTATAGGGGCCCTGGCGACGGTAGCTGCGCTGTGGATGGCCACTCGCCAATTTCGACGAGGGAATCGAGCTGGGATGAACCAGTGGTTACGATTCCGTGTTGCCGCTCAAGGATTCACGCTCCTTGCAATCTGTTCGTACAGTTTCTCGGTACATAAACGCCGTCAGGCTGCTGCTGCCGTTGGCGAGGAACCCCCACGACATATCCAGTCAGCTGCGATGAAGCAGAAGAATGACGAAAAGGAAGAGTTCGAGAGGAGATTGGAACATGCTGTCAAGACTACAAAGGCGGAAGAGGAAAGCTTGGGAGCAATCGACGACAAGGGCAAGGTGGATTGGAAGGAGGCTTGGAAGGCGGGCATCTTGAGGAAGAATGCGGAGAATGATGAGAAGAGGATGAAGCCTTCAGAAAGAGCGTGAGGTGGTATGTAACCTCGTCCTGTTAGTCAGAGGGTTCTAACAGTTTCGATTTGTACAGATGCTACCTGAATCTAAACTTTCAGCTCCCACGGGTCCCGGATTCACATCCGAAATACTCATAGAATCCTCTACTCTTGCATGGCTTCATCTTGCGCATCCGCTGTCACCTCTTGCTCCTCATCATCTGCAACCGGCTTATCCTTTGGTTTTCGTCCTCGTCCTCCTTCTGCTCCTGTACTCTTCTTCTTCTTTCTTGGTTTGACTCCACTATCCTCATCCTCACTCGTTCGATATCCTTCTGGCCGCTTGAAGAACCGACGTCTCATTTTGGGCAGTTGGGCTGCGTCTTTCCTCGTGGCTGGGAAGAATGCAGATGTCACTTCGCGTGAGACGCCCCCGAGCGTCGTTCGAGGGACACTCTTTTCGCGCTCTGGCGAGTGGCGGCCCGCCTCTGGCTCGTCCTCGGCATCTTCTCTTGGTACGAGACGAACTTCTTTGAACCGTATGCGTTGGCTGGTCATTGCTACTGGTACAAGTGGTCGGGATGGTGTATTGGCAGACGCTAGGTTGTGTCAGTACGAGCCTCGCAAGATGAGGGGTAACGCTGACTGGATGGAGGTTCTTGTAAAAGTACTTCTGTGCCCAATAACCTTTCATGCTCTCCCTTGAATGTTGTCCCGCCTACTTGGAGAAACGGTTCCTCGGTCTCGAGCCCCTGCACGTTGTAAGAGTTAGACGCAATCCTAAGGAGTGACTTGCGATAAGACGATAGAAGTTTGTCTGATTCAACAAACTGGAGCCCAACTGGCCCATGTCCAACGTCACATAGAAGACCTGGTAAGTGGCTTAGTATACAAATCGTGACCTAGGAGCATGAACTTGCCTCTTCATCAGAGTACTCATCGTTCAAGTCGTCGTCGAATGCGTCTACCTCTTCGTATCCCTCAAGAAACGACGGCGGCATCGTTTCGTCGGTGGTGGCACGCTCTCAACTTTTGGACTCTGCTACCACCGTTGTCCTCTCGTCCAAGTCTCAAATCACATGAAATGCTATAAAAATATAGTGACCGCACACACGTTTCATCGAGTAGTACGTTTTCAGCTTTCTGTTGAGCGAAGGATTGACGAGCGTAGGCATGCCATGTTCAGGCTGCAAAGGCTACACAATGTCGAAACTCGAGCACGACACAGGTCTGGCTCAATCGTCAACGACGAGACCCCTTCGTCAAAGCGCGTGGAAACTATCGTTCCCGCTCGGCATTCAAGCTCATCCAAATGAACGACCAATACAATCTCTTTCCAAAATCTACCAAGGCTAAAGGGTCATTTACGGTTGTTGATTTGGGATGCGCCCCGGGTGGATGGTCACAAGCTGCATTGCATCTATTAGAGCAGAAAACCCCAGCACCGGACGAGAACGAGAATTATGTCTCGGATATTGACGAAGAAGAGGTGGAAAGCCCGAGAGTAATCGGTGTGGACCTTCTTGCAACGGACCCGCTCTTGGGGGCTCGTTTCTTACAAGGCGACTTCCTCGACGTGTCTGTCCAACAAAGACTGCAAGGGGATCTAGGAGGTCGCCATGTTGACATGATATTGTCAGACATGTCTCCACACATCCGAGGCAACCGAATCGCGGATATCGAGGCGTCGCTGGAACTCTGTCGCTCTGTTCTTGCGTTTACTCAGCGCCATCTTCGCCCAGCGCCAGGAAAGGACTCGAGGAGTGGCACTCTGATGTGCGTATATGATTTGTGATAGTGATTGGAGGTTGATCCTAGGACAGACTCAAGCACTTTTCTGGTCCAGCATTCGAGGAGTTTCGAGAGAAGGAACTCACTCCCTTGTTCTCAAAAAAGATCAAATACGCTAAACCTGAGGCCAGCCGACAGAATTCTTCAGAAGCGTATTTCGTCTGTCAGGGTTACAAAGGACATACAATATAAGTTCTGACCAGACATATTTAATGGCAAGGTATTATGATCTCACGTTAGATATCTCATCCCAGCCTGTTCTTCAGCAATAGCTGGTGGAAGTGACAGCCCATTTGGAGACACGATATATCCGAGATTATTGAATTAATTCAATTTTCTGACAGTTACCTACTATTATGCCTGCCAGCTCTGTACTGGTCTGACGCAAGGTCCCGGAGCCTGGCCACATCTTTGACCCGTTCAAGATACGCACTTAGGCAGATGAGTATCGCAGAAGAAGCCAGCGTTGACCACCAGACTGGAGAATTGAGAAAGCATGAGCGCTTCTATATTCCCACTGGAGACGTGGAGTTTAAGGTAGGATCCATGAAGTAATTGCTTTCAGCATTCAATGACACATAAAGGTCGAAAATACTCTCTTCAGGGTCCACCAACACTTCTTGAGAAAGTATTCGACCGTCTTGCGAGATATGTTAGATATCCCTCAACCAGATAATTACGAACCAACTCCATTGATTACTCTGAGTGGCGACAGTATCAAGGGGTGGGAAGCCATACTCTCCTCTTTTTACTTGGAGTACCTTCTTTATTTTCCAGAGATGTTGTGCTGAATTCTATGTAGGGATCTTTTTACTCTACCAGCCTTTACCAGCGAGCAATGGGCAGAGATACTTCGTATCAGTCACAAATACATGATGGAGATTCTTGAAAAGAAGGCACGACAATCACTTTTGACGTGTCAGCCGCCACTTGACATGGTAGAGATGATATTGCTCTCACAAGAAGTCGAAGCAAACGAGCTCTACGACCTTGCTTGCAACAATCTGGCCAAGTCTGATATTATATCTCCTGATAACGCTAAGAGGATCGGGGTAGAAGCACTCTACAAAATTATTTCGCTCAAACTTGCGATACCTCCCGAATGTACTGGGTGTATCACTGGAACCGCGTCTCGATGTTCCAGTTGCGTGGCAAGACGGTGCGCCTCAGAGGTCTCAGCTGCCACTCGATGCGCCACATGTGGCATCGGCCGCGCCATTCAGTGCTCAACTTGTATCATCGAGACGAACACCAAATGCTCGAGATGCTCAAACACTGCAGGGGTGGCATATGTATGTAGTAGATGCACACAGCGTAATGTTATTTGTCAAGGCTGCAATGTCTCGACTCCTAGCACCCCATTCTGCCCGACACACCATCCATTTCGTGGACGTGGAGTTGGTCATGGGATATTCTCTGGTAGAGGCCGGCGCGGAGCACGTCCAATGGCTCACTAACGGTCACACTCCTTTAAACGTGCATCAGTGAAAATTCCAGTTAATTTGATGCTATTTTCGGGTCATATGCTCTTCCTAAGGTCGACTTAGGTGAGGTAACAACCAGCAATAGATGAAACCTCCGGAAAGCTCGTCAAAGCTCGTTCTTTGGCCGAACTGGCGCCTTATTGTCTGAGATTAGCTCTATCAAAACCGCGAGAGGGCATCCAAGCTGATTGTGGGTGCCCTATTATGGTCGGGGTATTCTGCGGTATCCATTGTCCCCAATTACCTGGTGAAGGAAAGTGTTTATATATATATGTCACATAGCTTCGAAGCATGATCCGAGCCGTGTTGGCTCTGGTGGCACCAACATAACAGGAGTGAGGGCTGGCAGCCGGTGGAATACGACTTTGATATTGACCGTGTAGCCCATAATTTTTGACAAGGATGAACGACGCAGCAGAGCTCGACTCTGAGTACTTGAATGGGGAGCTGAGAGAACACGAGCGTTTCTACATTCCGACCGGAGACATCGAATTCAGGGTAGGAGTTTAAAAGTGATTATGTCCAGCTCACAACGTATCAAGGTTAATAATGCAATCTTCAAAGTTCATCAGCACTTCTTAAAAAAGCATTCAACCGTCCTGGCAGACATGTTGGACGCGCCGCAACCAGACGGTCGACCTAGTCCCTCACTTACCCTGACTGGAGACAGTATCAAGGGGTGGGAAGCGATACTCTCTTTATTCTACTCAGAGTAATTTACATGTTCCCAGGAAATGCCTCTACTGATATCTCTATAGGGATTACTTTGCACTGCCAGTCTTCACCAGCGACCAATGGGCAGGAATTCTTCGTGTCAGCCACAAGTATATGATGGATAGCCTTGAGGAAAAGGCGCGAGAATCGCTCTTGAAATGTCAGCCACCACTTGACATGGTGGAAATGGTACTACTTGCACAAGAAATCGACTGCAACAAGCTCTACGAGGTTGCTTGCAATACGCTCGCCAAATCCGAAATTACTTTCGATGCCGCTAAGAGGATTGGAGTATCCACATTCTATAATATCATATCACTCAAACTCGCAATACCTCCCAAGTGCCGCGAGTGCCCGGTAGGAACTGCATCCGTGTGCTCGGACTGCCTTTTCGAGCAGTGTCTTGAACATACCATCGCTAGTCGATGCAGCACCTGCAAAGTCGCCAAGGCCACCAAGTGCTCAACTTGCATCAATAAAGAGACAAACCCCAGGGCGAATGCAAAATGTTCAGGATGCTCAGCTACAGAAGGACTCACTCACGTCTGTGATGCTTGCAAGCAACATGTATGTCCTGACTGCAAATTTTTCCGAAACATCAGTCTCCCTTTATTGATTTGTTCATCCATTTTTCTGCCTTACATGGTATATGTTTGGCTTACGTCGCCGAGGACTTCACAAACCCCTAGGTATTCGTCACCACCTCCTCGTTGGTATTAGGGTCTATCAATATATTTGCTTCTACGCGCGAGGTGTATGGGCGGGGTTTCCGCGGTGTAAATTGCCTGGTTCACCCTTCTGCTGGAGCCCTTTGACCTCGGGCGGGACAATCAAAGCTCCCAGAATCAAGTGAGAGCTCAGTTCGGGTGTTCGATCCGGCGGATGCGGGGTGAGACGCGGTGACCGGGCCGTCTTCTACAGGCTTCGCGTCCATAAGAGCCTCTTGTTCCCGACTGCCGCCTCCAAGTCTTGATATCGTATCCAAAATGTCTACTCCCAAAGTTGTGATATGCGGTGGGTCTATATCTTTGACAATGTGACCTTGCCACTCACGTCTCATTAAATAGGAGATATCGTCTGGGCACACGATGAGCTCAAGGAGATGCTTGGCTCTACTACAAACATTGTCGTACGTAGTATTCAGATCTGGGAGATCCTATAATATCGCCCACTTTTCTCACTGATGGTCTTCATACAGCTCATGGATTGCCAAACCAGAGCTCAATTCTTTGAGAATCTGACAGGGAGCGGGAAATATGCCAACGTCGTCGGCTTTTACAGGCACAATTCGTCTGCGGATCGCATTGGCATCTTCGACGCAGAGCTCATCAGCAAACTCCCCGACTCGTGCAAAGCAATCTGCCACAACGGCGCTGGATACGATCAGATCGATGTGAAAGCATGCAAACAGCGCGGTATCATCGTCTCCAACACACCCGGTGCAGTCGACGAAGGAACAGCAACGACCGCACTCTATCTCCTCCTCTCTGCCCTCCGCCAGTTTTCAATCGCCGAAAGAAACCTGCGTGCACTCAAGTGGAAGAGTGGTCTGCCACCTGCACATGACCCCTCCGCTATGACGCTTGGATTGCTCGGTATGGGTGGAATCGGTGTTTACTTTGCCAAGATGGCACATGCACTGCCGATGAAAAAGATCTACTACCACAATCGATCCCCAAAGAAGGATGCTCCAGAGTGGGCAGAGTATGTCCCCACATTGGATGAGCTCCTCGAGAAGTGCGACGTTCTCAGCGTCCATTGCCCACTCAACGAGCACACGGTCGGGCTCGTGGGAGAAGCACAAATCCGAAAGCTGAGGAAAGGAAGTATCATCATCAACACGGCAAGAGGCAAAGTCATCGACGAGGCCGCGCTCATCCGCGCTCTCGAGGATGGACACGTACGTTTCCCACCTTCTCGCAGTGAATATCACTCATCAATTCCCATTAGCTTTATGCCGCCGGTTTGGACGTCTATCCAGACGAACCCAATGTCAACCCCCGACTGATGGAATTCCGAAATGTGACGCTCCTTCCTCACATGGGCACCGAAACGGAAGAATCACAGCGAGCGATGGAAGTCCGCGCTCTGCAAAACCTCGTCGACTACTTCCAAACCGGAAAGCCGAGAGACCTTTTGGCGGAGCTGCGTTCATAGCTGTGTACACAATGGCGAAGTGCAATATATTGTCCAATTCTTCTACCATACCGTATCCCGAGAAGGTGATGATACTGGAGGCGGACTTGATGGATTTTGGGGAGGTTTTGGTGTCATCGGGTGAATTTCTAGTGGTTTACTGCGAGCAATGAGCAAAGAACGTAATTAGTTGGCCGACGTACCGATATTCAATCTTCTCCACTCGTACTTCTCCATCTATTAGTTGGTACACGTATGTCGTGACGATGGGACCTTGGATATCAAGCAACGCAAACGACGGGATCACCTCTCTGAGGGGCAGTGAGTTTAGTAACATACATAGTGAAAACTCACGAAGAGAATGCACCGCTCCACGCCCCCGAGGCGCTCCCTGGGTTTAGGAAGAATCGTCCTTCAACCTCTTGTGCGTGAAATCTAGGAGCAGATTAGCAATATATAAGCAAGATTCCCCGCATAGCATACGTATGAGTATGACCAGACAATAATACGTCGACGTCCATTTGCCTTGCGAGTGCGCTGAGTTGGTCTACATCTCCACTTGGGATACATTGGTGTCCATGAATGGCACCAATTGACAATGGTGGATGATGTATGGTCAAAGAGAGCGGGAAACCGGGGTTCTGGACCACAACTCGTCAGCGAACACGGCCAAAGTAACAGCACAATTCTCACATCGTCGTAGTCGCCTCGTACAATGTGTACATCCGGGGAAACTGTCCGCAAATACTCGTACGTCTCCTTGTCACACACATTTCCGGTGCATATTATTTGTTGAATCTTGCCAGGGACCTGTTTTGTGTGATTTGTGAGCCTGTGGGTCTCCGGGAAGATCATACCAGCAGTTTCTTAAACTTTGCTGGGAGGTCATGCGTGCGATATGGGATATGGAGGTCTCCAATGACCAAAACGAGAACCATCGGTGGGAGGACAGGTCCAAGGTGCTAATTTGAACTGCGACCACAATCTTTATGGCTACAAATCAGCTTATCGATTCTCTTCCCGTAGAAATCATTCGGGATATTGTCGAGTTTGCATGTCGAACCGACTCTGCCACTGCAGCGACGCTCGATTGTGTCTGCTTTGCATTTCGAAAGTGGACAGGTCCACTTCTTTATCAAACCGTCCTTTTACATAGCCCATCGCCTCTTATTTCGTTCATAGAAACCATCATAGCTGCACCGTCGGTGTCAACTGGGGTGCAGCGAGATAGAGGATTCTATGCCACCCACGTCAAGTATATGAGCATTCGGAACGCAAAACTTCCATTGCATCATCTTCACACAATATACGAAATCTGCTCTGGCATACAAACGCTGGAGCTCGATGACGATCGTGGCCTGGAACTCGTTCGTCCTGATGCCGCTCGGCCAAAGGAGCTCATTTTGACGAGGCAGTTGGGCAAACACAGAGAGATTATACCCATGCTCTGCGAACTAGAGTCACTATGGATCATCGAAGCATCCTCATATCCACACATATTGAACAGTGGGCTTCGACGACTGGGTTTCTCTATGCGATTCATGGAACTCTACTGGCTTACAAAATCTGGATGGTTTGAACAGATACACCAGTCATTGCCTATGCTGGATATGCTGGTCATCACTCTCTCGAGAGGACAGTATCTGCACTCCCGAGGGACAGCATCGAATCATGTCTTTACCCCAAGTGATGTCTGGGCATCTGACATGAAAACTGTCAGAGATCCACGCATCTATATCCGCCCTATACATCCCTCTGCAGAGCAGCTCGTGGTCGACTCTAGGGAATTAGGAGTGGACGTATGGACATTGGCACTTCTTGACGCAGTTCAGCACCCGATTTTTTTTTCTGTAGAGTGATCTTGTGACCTAGTGATTACTAGTTCGATAATAGCTCGGTTCCGGTGGTAACCTCGTCTGGAGCCGACGTGAACCAAATCTCTTGAAGGCTTGACGCTCCTACTCGCTATGAGTATAATAAAAGATAATATACGCGAGCTACCACCTCCATTAAAGATTCCTCTATCTACGACGGGAGATGGATCTTTACGGCTGGCTGTTCCGCCAACCATCGAGCAACTGAGGGCACGAACGCGAGATAAAGGCAGTAACAACATGGTACCATCTCTGCTAACTCTCTGCGTACTGCGCCTCGGGGCGCATCTCCATCGAATATCAGATTTGGAGCGTTGCTGGACGCGTCGCTCGTATCACTCCCCGGTGATGAAGATCCTCGTCTCCGATTTATTTCCACATATTCCATCAGGGGAGTTCAATGTGGCCAAACCGGAAATATCTGCCAGTTTCGGCGAGGCCGAGGTCGAAGACGAGTTTCGCGGGACGATTGACCCTTATTTATGGGGATTGGTCAACTCCCTTATCATTCCATCCACACTTCCCTCGGAAATTCGACGTCTTGGTCTAAATATTACCGACCCTGCCGTCCCAGCACTTCAGTATGCGTCTGTGCTGAATACAAAAACCCTTTCCCTTCTGACATGTTTGTCCTTTGATTCTCCAGAGATTCGACTTCGAATCTCTGACGATTCACTGATACAGCTCCGGTCCTTGCCCTGTCTCACCCTCCTCAACTTGGCATCCACGCCAATTACCTCCAGAGGTATCCAGCGCTTGATTGTTGCGATGAAAGCGAGGGGCGACGTGACCTTTGGTCCGTGGAAACTGCGGGTACTAGACTTGCATGGGACCTTTGTCGACGATAACCTCTTCGACGAGTTGAATACCAATCTCAGTATATTTCCTCTGCTATTCGCTCTAGGTTTGTCTCTCATGCTCATTTGATTGGTGAGGCTCAATCTCTACAGATGTCAGAATGACCTCTGTTTGCAACATACAAGAATACTTTGAGTCCTGGTTCGACGGCACAACCGCACCACAGGAACTGCTCTTTCCTACCAAGCTAAGAGATAGAATGGACTACATTTCCAAAAGGATACAAGAGAGCGATGCACCTTCATCAAGGAACGACCATGCAATGCTCTTCATCGACCATCACTCAAGCGACTTTCAAAAAGTATCCGAAAGTGTCATGAACGGAGAACAGAGAGTTCGTGCTGCACAGAAACTGCGCGTAAGCAGTGCTGAAGTATGCGTTCTGACCGGAGACACGACTCTGCTCGGAAACGTGATTGAACCAGCGGATTCAGTGGATAACGGTGCTGCAAAAGCAACATTTCGTCCAACACGCCTTGAAGTGCCCTCAGATGACTTTCGGCAAATGGCAAAGCGTCACAAGCAGGATCAAACTTCTGGTCGACCGGTAGTCCCCATCTCCGAGTCGGAGGATAAGTATATTCTGTGGCGTTTACCACCGCCTACAAGTGCACTCGAAGCGTTTATACGAGAAATAGCCGCACCTTCAGTGGCTGCGCGGGAAGGGCTCAACCCGTCGGGGCCGAGGGCGAAGCGACCAAGGGTGGGCGAACAGACGTATTCAGTCAAACGATTGAAACGACCGACGATGGAGAGCATTTTTGGTCATAACCCGTCTCGTCGACTATAGCGCAGGTGGCTAACACCAAATATTTGGTGCCGCCTTTGAACCCTGCGCTCTCCTGCATTCTTGCATTTCTACATTTACAGCTTCCACAGTATCTTTGTACCAGTAACAATAACCATATGGCACCTTTAAAATCTACCCAGGCCCCTGTTGACGTCTCCAGCGACGAGTCTACTTCGTCATTGGAGGCGATTCGCGAACGGGCAAGTCGTAGGAGGAAAACAGGAATATTTGACGGTTTCAAGATATGTATTATTAGTGTCAAGTTCAAACCACAGGAGATTGGGGAGCTTACCGACGTGTGTGAGGAGCATGGCGGAAGGATGGAAGCAAACGCCGACGCTGCCGACATTGTCCTCACAAAAATTGGAACCAGGGCGCGCTTGGAGCGTCATATCGCTTGGGAGGCTGCCGTGAGCTGTCTTTCCACTATCACGGGTCAACATAGCGCTGACATTCCAGGGAAGCAAATGCGTGTTGTTGTGGGACCAGAATATTTAACCGACTGCATACAGCAAAATAAACTGCTGGACTGCACACCATATGTCGCCGTCGATGGCTTGGTTCCCCCTGCATCTGTACCGAAGCCGAGTCGCTCCCCCAAGAAGGGTTTAGGGACGAAGAATTCGCCAATCGAACTCTCAGACTCCGAGTCTTTCGATGCTGCTGCACTTCCCCGATACTGCTGTCAGAGACAGACGCCATTGGTTTGCAAGAATAGCGAACTCATCGCTCAGCTTGCGATGATTAGGCAGAATCGCTGGCTGGAAGGCGATGATATGAAGGCTCTAGCTCACTCACGAGCCATCGCGGTAAGCTCATTTGTCACTCCCTCAAGCACAGCTGACACCTGTTAGTCGATCAAAGGTCTGACCTTTCTGAAAAGAGTGAAAATTACTGACGTCGGAACAGCGTTCCCTAACAAGATCGAAACGATCGAAGAGATTGAGAAGCTTCCGTATGTCGGAAAAAGCACCCTCAACCGAGTCTCGGAGTTCCTTGGGCGAGGTTTCATCGAAGAGGCTCGGCATCTCGAAAAGAATGAACGCTTCCAAGTGCTGTCCGACTTTACGACCGTCTATGGCATTGGCCCGGTCAAAGCACGGGCCTTTTTGCATCAGAATATTAAGACTTTTGGCGACTTGGAGCGCTATTACAGGCGCCAGCTCATGTCCGGTAAAGACACGGAGAATGCACAGGGAATGCTCAACTCGCTTGCTGCCCGTGAGGATTTCCGACTCAAGTAAGCCTTAAAACCTGTGTTAGTCATCATTAAACGGTTATCAGGATCTCTCGCGCAGAAGTGGAAGAAGTTGCACGAATCATTGCGAACGAACTCGAGATAATCCAGCCAGGGTTTATCCATACAATAACGGGAGGGTAAGTTGTACGTGATCTCAGGCTTGTCTCATTTCTCTCTAGATACCGCCGTGGAAAGGAGGAGAGCAACGATATCGACATTGTTTTCTCCCATAAGGAGATTGGTCATGGTCGAGGGGCTTTGCAGAGCTTGGTGTCCAGACTGAAAGCTCAAGGAATTATCACGCATACTCTGCGTAAGAATGTTCACCTCGTTTATGACTTGCTGTTGATGAGGTTCCCATTAGCCGCAACATCGTTTCGAACGCCTGGCTCCATGAAAGCATATACAAAGGAAAAGGCACTGGAACGAGCACTATGCGTAATCAAGCTACCTGACGACTCGCCATCGTTTCCGTACAATGTCTCTGGGCAGCCACGCAAACTTCGTCGACTCGATCTCATTTTCGCTCCCCTCGAGACTTATTGGTGTGCGGTTGTAGGATGGTGGGTTGGACGTCATATCATGTCTCAGCGTACTAAAGTTATGATGGCAGGACCGGGTCAATCATGTTCGAACGAGATTTGCGCAGTTGGTGCAAAGACAAGCTGTGAGCAATTACTTTCACCCTTCTGATCAGGCTCAACGACACTTAGGCAATATAAGTTTGACAGCAGTGGTCTGATTAGACGTTCCGACCTTCAATGCATTCCAGTACACTCTGAACGGCATCTCTTCCAACTATTGGGGCTCAGTTATGTCCCTCCACATCTCCGAAACTGCGATTACTGAACGGAGCACTTCAAACTGCTCATTCATGCATGACCGCTCAATATCATATTCTCCTTGACGACGCTTATACTCACAATTTCGCATGGACTTGTATAATACTGTGAACTCAACTTTTCTACTTGGTCGAGGGTGGTTGATTCGAGCAAAAACTGTTGGTTTCATCCTCTCCAGTGGCCTCGTATGTAGGCCGAAGAGGACACATTTGATATTTTATCTGATCCTTGGTAAGTTTTGTGGGATTGATTTCCTGGTGATGAGCAAGATTGCCGCCCCAGTCTGAGGAAAACTCGTGCGGACGAGGCAAATGCTATAGCCAAACATTATATGCACTTCTGATCCACTTTTTCTGATCTTTTATTATCTTTTCATGCTAACCTTTCTTCGCAGAGTTCGATTCATAGCGTGCGGAAACAAGAATTCATACCTCGGCCAAAATCGTGATGTATATAGTTTTCTTGTACAAGATCTTAAAGAGTGCAAACACCACTAAAGTGTGTGAGCTAGGCAGGGGTTGGGTCGTCAATTCTTACACTTGACCTCCAACTGCGATAGGCTGATGTCTAGCTCGAGTAAGAAGAAGGCGGAAAAGCCAGATATACGCGATTCTCTCGCGAAACTTCAGACAAAGGTTTATACCTACCCATCACGTTGTTTGAGCCGCCGTTGAACGCTCTTGTGCAGCAATCCAAAGCCACCAGCTCATCAAAAGCAAGCTCTACAAAACAACCAATTGAGATATGTACGTGATTCACCGCGACAGGACGCGTCGAGACTCATGCTGTGCGGATAGCGGACGATGACGAGTTAGCGCATTTGCGAGTGTGTCTTAGCCTTTGTTCGCCCACTATAGTTCAAGGTCTCCTGATTCACCTCAAATCGGTCGAAAACTGGACAAACTTGCATTGCAATCCGATACAGACATGTAATCAGGCGTTCGCCACATACGCTCCACGTCTTGGGCTTATGATTTCGAACAGGATGTCAGTTAAAAGCACATCTACGTATGCCTCTAAAGGCAAGGGAGCTGCGACGGGTAGTAGTGCGGCGGCCAATCGCAAGAGAAAAGCCACAGTCATCGATTCGGATGAGGATGAGGAAGAAGAAGAAGAGGATGACGCTCCACCGCGCAAGAAGGCTGCCATATCGACCAAGCATTCTTCGAATGCGAAGAAACCAGCGACGTCGACAGCAGGCAAGAAAGCAAAAAATATCTTGGTTCTCTCCGATAGCTCTTCTGACGATCCAAAGCCCGTCAAGAAACCTGCACCGAAGAAGGATGCGGTACCTCGTGCCTCAGGCTCAACGACCAAGGCATCCAAAGCCTCGTCTGCAAGGGACGATTCGGTGTCCCCATCAAAACCAGCAAAGCCAAAGTTTGTCGCCTCAGTTCAAGAGGTTTAAGCTGACATAATTGTCTTAGCTTCGCCGCTATACTTGCAAAGCGTGCGAGTGGCCCTGCCGCACCTGGCTCAAAGGAAATTCCAATCGGTCAACCAAACTGTCTGGCAAACTTAGCATTCGTATTCACAGGCGAGTTGGACAGTCTTTCTCGAGAAGAGGCTCAGGATCTTGCGAAGCGATATGGAGGTAAGTACGCCTTTCTCGATTTTCAAACATCCATAGCTCAAATACTATAGCCGCGTAACAACTGCACCGTCTTCCAAGACCTCTTTTGTAGTCCTCGGCAACAACGCTGGACCGTCGAAACTCTCTATGATTGAGAAACACAACTTGAAGACTTTAAGCGAAGACCAGTTCTTGGACTTGATTCGTACTCGGTAGGCTCGTTTCTTGATCAAATCACGCAGCTCACAAGCCTGTAGAAAGGGTGCACTGGATGAGAAGGCCCTGGACAAGCTGCGCAAGGAAGAGGAGAAGATTAAGAAGGATGCAGAGGAGATGGAAAAGAAGGAGAAAGAGCAGAAAAAGGCTATGGCCACCAAACCCGGGTCGAAGCGCGAGCAGCATTCATTGTGGGTTCTCTTACATATGGCTAGCCGACGTACTCATATTTCTCAGTGACCCAAGTTCTCAACTGTGGACCACAAAGTATGCTCCGCAAAACTTATCGCAAATCTGCGGTAACAAGGGAACGTGGAAAAGGTTCAGCTTTGGCTTCATGACTGGTGCGATTATCTTAAATGCGAGTGGACGTTACTCACTTCGCAAAGGCCACAATCACGAAAATCTGGATTTAAGTACGGTGGAAAGAACGCGATCAACGGTTATCGAGCCCTCCTCATCTACGGCCCTCCGGGAATTGGAAAGACGACTACAGCACATCTATGCGCCAAACTGGAGGGTTTTACTCCTATAGAACTGAATGCAAGTGATGCTAGAAGCAAGAAACTAATCGAGGCATGTCGTCACCCCGTTACCCATCTCGCTCTTATTCTCGTTTAGAATGCGACGAACATCAATAATACATCGTTGGATGGTTGGATGTCGCATGGACAGGTCAGTTCAATAGTCAAACGTGATATCTATGCTAAGAATTGAAAGGTCAACTCCGCCGGAATCGAAATCACGGATAGGACGGTGTTGATCATGGACGAAGTCGACGGCATGTCTGCTGGAGATAGAGGTGGTGTAGTGGCACTCAAGGCGCTTATCAAAAAAACTCAAGTGCGTTGGTCCTTGTACTTTATTCTGGCTGACACTCTTAGGTTCCTATCATTTGCATTGCGAATGATGGGCAAGCTCAAAAGCTCAAACCTCTTATGGGCATTGCAGCGAGCATTCATTTCACCAAGTGAGTGCATTGCTGCCGTTGTAATGCGTCGTTTAATGTACAAAAGGCCAACGGCGGCTCAGATTAAATCACGCATAGCATCTATCTGCTACAAGTACGACTTCTCATTATTCTATCCACAACACTGACGCGGTTTAGGGAGAAGTTGAATATCCCTCCTAACGTGATAGAACAGCTCATCGCCGGAGCCCAATCGGATATTCGCCAGGTTCTCAACATGCTTTCGACGTGGAAGTTGTCAAAGGGGAGCATGGACTTTGACGAGTCCAAACGGCTGTACGTTTTACTGTGATTATGGAACCTACTCACAAGTGTATAGTTCTGAAGCAAATCAAAAGTATACTATTCTCTCGCCTTTCAATTGCACAAGCAAGATTCTTGGTCCCTACACATTCTCAAAGACCAATAGAGAAACGCTCGGAGAGAAGATGGATTACTATTTCCATGAACCGGCGCTCATGCCGCTTTTCGTACAGGTACGACTAGGTCAAGTCGAAAGTTCGTCTTTCATCATGGATGCAGGAAAACTACCTTAAGCAGAAACCTGCGAGGGCATCGGATTCAATGGGCCAGGAGTACAATCTCAAAGTCCTCGAACTCATGCGCAAGGCATCTGCTTCGATATCAGATGGTGACATGGTCGACCAAATGATCCGCGGGTATACTATTTCCTTCTTCGAACTCTGTTGGCTCACTTAGCTTGCAGCTCGGAGCAGCACTGGTCACTAATGCCTCTTCATGCCTGCCTGTCCTTCGTTAGACCGGCATCATTCATGTACGGAGTGTCTGGGGAAGGGTACGGCTACAAGGACAGCACGTCTTTTCCTCAGTAGGCTATGCGTGCAGAACATAGTGCGTTCGCTGACGGGAGTAATAGGTGGCTCGGCCAGAATTCAAAGCAAACGAAGTTACAGCGCCAACTCGGTGACATTCAGGTCAAGATGAGAATGAAGGTCTCTGGCGACAAGTCCGAAATTCGACGACATTACATTCCGGCCCTATTCCCCCGAATCGTGCAACCACTCACAGACAAGGATTTGGACGCTAAAGTAAGCAGGCAACACCAGTGAACTTATAACTGACTTTTCGATAGGAGACCATCAAAGAGGTCATCGGAGTTATGGACGAGTACTATCTGAACAAAGAAGACTGGGATACCATTGTCGAGCTCGGAGTCGGGTCACGCAAAGACACCGATGTTCTCAAGAATGTGGCGACCGCTACGAAAACAGCGTTTACTAGGACATACAATGCATCCGACCATCCTATAGCCTTCCACAAAGGAACCGATGTTGGCGGAATCAAGAAAATTGCCGCAAAGGACGTCCCAGATGTTGAAGAAGCGTTTGATGTTGGTGTTATGTCCTTCCTTTGCGTCGGATGCTTATCTTTCACAGATTGACGACGAGGTTCCTGAAGACGATGAAGATGGGACACCTGAGACTGAAAAGACTGCCGTGCTCAACGACAAATTGATCAAGGAGAAAAAGCCAAAAGGCAGCGGTGAGCCGAAAGGCAAAGGGAAAGCCAAATGATCCTCAGCTGTTATTTCTTGGGTTTGTAGATCATCAGATTGCGCATAAGTTATACATTACTCATGCTTTGCATGAACTACACCACCAGTAAGCACATTGGGTAACTCTTGACTGCCGACATTGAACAAGAGACGAATTGCGAAAATGATAATGAGGACAATGGCAACTGAGGTACCAGCGATGAGCGTAAACGACCTAGAAGAGTTTTATGTTAGAATATGAGCAACGAGGAGAAAGAAGCTGCTTACGTGCTGACGTCCTTGGTGTCACAGGCAGCTCCTGACCAGTACTCTGTTCGGTTCTTGGAGTCCTTTGTGACGGCACATTGACATATGTAGCACTCTCGAGCACCCTTTCTGATAGGTACGCATTGGCCGCGTCCGGAGCATTCCGTCGTGCCCTTCTTGCATGCGGACGCGCTGGTGTAGCACTTTGAGCTAGAGAAAATGGGGGCATTTCCGGGGGGTGCCGGGAAGGGTGCTTGTGTGGGCTCTGCATCTCGTGCGAGAATGTTTGAAGTCACTGGGGAGAACACAACAGCCATATTGACCTTGTCCAAGGAGGGCTATGCCGATAGTCAGGAAATATGATATGCTAAAGTGAAGAGTTGCTCACATTACTCAATACCGCTTTCAAGGCCAACAGGGTGGATTGGAATTCATCGCTTGAACGCCCAAACTCGTCCTCCAGCGCCTGCAGACTCGAGACATGGAACGTGCCAAATTTTCGCGAGGTCGAGTGTTCACCTTCGATAAACTCTTCCAATGCATCGAATACTCTGACAAAGGCCTCTGCGGCTGGCGACTCGGTCGCAAAGTCGAAAAAGGTGAGCAACCTGTGGGGCGAAGCCATTTCAAAGCCGTTTGTTTGCGGAGTAGTGTATGTTGCAAAGTTCAGCTCTGAGGCCGAATGGCTATACGACTCTGAGAGCACTTGGATAGAGGCAGGCGTGATGGACGACGTAAAGCTTGGTCTGGTCCATCCACCTGGTAGAATTTCTATGAAAATAAGAGTGTTAACAAGAGATGTGTGTAACATAAAAACGAGTCGTTAGAGACGTACGTGGGATGTCCGCTTCGTTCACGTCCACGACGACCAGGAGCGAGTTGTCCGCCGATTTGAGCAACGACTTTCCCAACTCGACTTGTCCACCAGCTTCCTCTAGCAGGGACTGGAGTTTATCCGTGTCCAATGTTTCTGCAGGCTCGACTCCAAGATGGTGAGCGAGTAACACGTCGGCTTCTTCCGTGGTCAGCTGCGCCAAATGCAGCTCTGACGGTCTCAGATAGATGGATGTAGCTGCATTGCTCAATGCAGGCAGCAGCGACGCCGCTAGTGTGCAAAGGACCGAGATGGCCTTCATGGTATGGGTTCAAGTGCTAAAGAGGCCCCACGCAGGCCCAACTCGTAACGAGGCTTACTATAAACCGACAACTATATCAATTTTTTTTGGGTGGCAGAGATGTTACACAAGGCACGCGACTAGGTACAGTAAAGCCAATCGTGGTACGCAGCTCACTGAGCATTCTTCCAGACACGTCAAGCAGATATCTTTGGGTTGTTGGAGAATAAAGTGACATTGAGGATGGAGCATTTGATGGTTGAAAGGAAGCAAGCACTCGTCCTTATGGAATGGAATGGCCAGGCACCTTAAGGAAAGAGAGCGTCTCGCTATGCATCTGTAGCCATGACAGTGTCACCACCTTCCTTTTCGGCAGCTGGGGCAGTTGGTTCTGGGTCAGCCGGAGCATCTTCACTCTTGTCCGCGGCGCCATTGACCGTAGCCTCTTCGGTTGGCTTTGCGTTGGAGTTGAGAATCTGATGCCATTGAGTGACAAGCTTTGCAGCTCGTTCGCGGAATCGAAACTGGCCGTCGTCGTCTGGAATGTGCGAAGGCTCGAGTTGGGAGATCTTCTTCATGACCTTGCCAATCTTGGAGTACTGTAATACAATGTAAGAGACGTAAAGAGGGTTTGTAAGGCACTTACTTGAAGATACTGGATAGTTAGACCCTGGTAGTTTTCGATGATGTTGAACGTCTCATCATACTCGGGCAGAGACTGGAATCGCGGGTAAGCAAAGCTAAAAAGTGGGCGGAGAATCAACATACACTAGCTTCAGGTTTGGCATTATCACGCAAAAAGGCACGCTGAAGTTGATGCCGCCAATCCTTGATCTTGATTGCCTCTGGGTCGTTGGCTAGTGCTGCAAAGGCTGCTATTATCAGCACTAGATCAACTCGAGGAATGCAACAAGCGACTTACTTTCGTCCTCTTCCTCCTCTTTCTTTGCCTTCTTCTTCGAGGGCTTTTCATCCTCCGATTCTTCGTCCGCTTTGCGCTTCTTGGTCGCACGTTTCTTCTTTGAGCTAGAATCTTCTTCCTTGTCTGCCTTTTTCTTGCGCGAAGCCTTTGGTTCCGCTGCACCCTTGCGTTTCTTGCTAGACTTTTCTGCATCCTCCGCCTGTAGCTCGTCCTCTTCCGCATTAGCCTCTGCTTCAGCCTGGGCGATCAATTGCTTCTTCCTCTCGACCAGCCATGATTCTGGGCTCTTGGCGAGCTCGTAACCCTTGTAAAGCTGTCCCTTTTTGCCATTCTCCAACCATTTGGTAATTTTATCCTCTGTCAACAAGGAAATGTCCTTGCCAGTCGTCCAGCCACTGTAGGAGGGTTGGCAGCGCAAGCGCACACCGTCGGTCAGTCTAGGGAACGGGGTTGCCACTGCCAAACACAAGACGCTCACAAGTCACCCGTGGGCATGAACATGACACAGTAATAACCGGCACCCTTTGGTTTCTCCTTCTTGATCGACGGCGGGACATTCTCTGCGTCCATGATCTGCCAATGTTGCGCACGACAGCGTCGGCCATAAAAGGGCAAGAGACCCGGGTAGACGCGTGAATAGTGCGTGTATGATCGTTGAGAACAAGAGACGACGCGCCAACGTGAGCAAAAGACGCGGGCATTGGGTGAGGAACAGACGCACCACGGACGGCCAAGGAGAAAAGCCCTTGACTTTGGCGAGCACAACGTCTCCATCGTTGAAAGTTGGCACTGGCTTTGTGGCGGGAGGGGTTTTGGACATGGCGTGTCGAAGGCTCAAGAGTTTGGTCGATATGGAGAGGTCTGAGTGAAGTCACCGCTTGCTCCCCGCATAGACGAGCTTTCGGCGGCTCGTAAACGCACACAAATGTTATATAAACATCATTTTATCGCATTTTTGGGTGGTCAATTTGAAGCACCGGACATGCGTTGGGTGGCCTGGGGTCAAGTCGAGAGGAAGCAGTCAAGCACACAGTAAGGATATTGCTATTACATTCCTTGTACATACACACACAGACTCCGGGAAGCTTGCCACGCCATGAAAGCCATCTACGACCCGACCTCGACGATAGATATCAGCGGTGACGACACCAGTGCCAGCCACACCTTTTTGAACCTGTTGCGATAGAGTCTAGGATGACACAAGACTACATGGGAGATCCGGCTTGAGAAGGCATTGGTTGCATCGACCGCCGGGGAAAGGAACAGCGCATGGAACCTTGCGCCGTTTGCAGCTGGAGCATGCCTTGACCTTTCGGTTCACAAATCCTAACCCAGAGAGCGCACCCTTGGGCCCTGCACGTGCTGAACCAGTCAAGGCTGACTGCTGAACAGGGGTTGGATGAGAAGTAGGTAACGCGACGCGTGACCGGTAGTATGAGGATTTGGACGGTTTGATCGCTGAAGTCTCCTGGGTTGCAGATGTGGGCTCGCGCGGAGGCGTCGATGGGTGCGCTGGGACATGGGGAGGCGATGGTGAGACGTGCATGACATGATGGTCGTCTGATCCGCCATCACTCCCCGAAGAGATGTCCTCGTTGGGTGGGGTGCTGCTCGCCCCAGAGTACCAACGAGCAGATTCGTCGAGACTACTGAAGGCGGGGGTAATGTCCATCGGAGATGATGTATGAATGCGTGGCACTGTGTTGTAATCACCATAGACATGCATTTGACCATGGTAATGTTCGCGAACGTCCAAGTCCTTCGGACAGACGCTGTAGATGCAATCAGTGAACTATGACGCGTTGTTTGGTGAAAGGGTACTCACGTTCCATTTCCAGGCGGGTAGGTGAGATGAGACGCGTCGAGGGCGTGGGCAGCAGTGTACGTGCCGCTCGAGTAAAACATGTCGTCGGATGACTCGAGGAACATCTCGGGCTCGAAGTATGGATGGCCTTGAACCATATTAGAAGGATATGAACCCTGTTGGGTCAAAGGGAACGACGCGTCGAGCATCCTCGGGTCGGTGGCAACGCCGTGAGGGAGATAATCCGCGTCGTAGGGAGAGTAGTGCATGTCTGCAGGGTATTGGGAGTAATTGGAGTTGTAATGGGCCATTGATGGTCGTGAGCTTGACGCCGTCGGGAGTAAACAAGTTTTGGTCGGGGTTAGAATTTCTCGCAAGCACGAGTAAACAAGGCTGGACTTTGACTGAATTGATGGAGCGAATGCTGAACAGATGGACTATTTATGTATGATTTCTGAACATCTTGATGATGGGTGAAATTAATGTGAGGATAAATCGCTAAAAAGGCCGGTCTCCCTAGTGGCGACCTGAGACGGAAAGACGTTATGGGGAGAAGAATAGTGATTTATTATGATATATTGCACATATTATACGCTATACACCGACTCTGAGGGTGGGTTTTGGGAGCCGCGCAAACTGCTAAGTCTAATTGGGCCGCATTGGTAGCTGGACGGTGGGCCCGGCTGAATGTGCACCCACAAAGGGAACCAATGCGTCGACAAAACGATGATCCTTTTCACATTCCGCAGTAGTGCAGCACTTTGGCCGCGAGGAATAACCCTTTACTGTGGTTCGCCGTGCGCAGTTCCTTGCAGGTAGACTCAACTCAGGATTCAAATCTAGACCGATCTGCCTTTGACATCTCGTTACCGCGGAACTCCAACGGGACAAAAGGCTGGCAGCCATGGCGCGGTGATAGTGAGCTATTTCTGTAACAAGTATATAACGGGTCATTCCATTGGTGTCGCGCTCCCCTCATAAACTCTGCCTCCTTGGGCGTGCTTTTGCTGGTCACCGACCGCCCGTTCCTTCATTCTGCTCACAGCTATGAATCATTTATTCTCTTTCTTCATCGTCTTTGCGACGGTATGGTCATCCGTGCTGGCCGTCAACGGAGACATTGCGTGCAAGAACGTGCGTAGTTGCGAGTCTTGTTCGCTGATACACTTCTGATTCATGTTCAGGGAATGTGTGTGACTGCAATCGTTCATAGCAACTCGACAACGACCTACGACCTCACCGTCTCCAACTCACAGGTCGGATGGATGTCTATGTGCGTATATATATGCATGTTTACTACGTGTCTCATCTTTTCCCAGAGGCTTTGGATCTACTATGATCAACGCCCCTATGGTCATTCTCTGGAGGGACTCATCCAATGGGAACACGATCATTTCACAACGCTCCGCTTCTTCATACGACGGGCTGACCATCGTGACATCCCCCCCAAGGGTCGCTTCCGCTGTCAATTCACGCGCAAGTTTCAATTCAACAGCCCAGACCCTCTCGTTTTCAATTCCAAGCAATTCGGACATCCGACAAACTATTATCTACGCCTGGTGGATGTCAAATCAGGCGGAGTAACGTAAGCTTATCGCGTCTAGGTCGAGTACTGCTCCTTCGAGCAATAGCCCGGATGCCAGCATAGTCGAGCACGACGACAAGGGAACCATGTCTCTTAATCTCGTCAACCAACTCCCGTCATTCTATGACGAGGTCGGATCCAACTCGACGACCACCATCCCTACGTCTGGAGGGTCTACATCTGACTCTGGATCAAACACCAACTCTGGCTCTAATTCAGGATCTAGCAACAATATTGCCATTCCCCTGACCCCCAGTCAAAAGGTCCTGGCTGCACATGGTATTATTTTGACCATTGCGTTCCTCATCATCCTTCCTCTTGGTGCGCTTCAAGCGCGTCTCTTCAGGACGATTATTCCGGGCAAGATTTGGTTCGGCCTCCACTGGATCCTACAATGGCCTGTTGCTGCCTTGCTAATGATCATTGGGCTAATCCTTGGTGTGGTCGAAACCCACAAACTGAAATTGCCAGACAGCAACCACAAGGTTTGTTCTAGTCTAGTATCGTTTCATCCGCCGTCTCATCGTCAACAGACAGTCGGAGTCATCTTGACCGCTCTCTATGTCATTCAATGCGTCTACGGTGGTATCATTCACTTTGTCAAGCCAGCTCGGCCAAACGGACGACCTCCTCAAAACTATGGACATGCTATTATTGGTATCCTTGTCATTGGACTCTCCTTTAAGCAAGTTCACAATGGCCTTGACGATGAGTGGCCGCGTATTGGTGGCCCCGCAATCCCACAGTCCATTTGGACATGGTGGAAAGTGTGGATTATCGTGAGCCGTTTCATATCCGATTTGAATTGGGATTAAGAGCCTTTCAGACGATTCCGCTGCTATACCTATTCGGCCTTGTCTTACTCCCTCGCCAATATCGGTTGGAGAGAGACCAACGAGCCAAAGGGCAGTATACTGCTCCTGTCGAGCTCAGGGAGCCAAGATGAGAATCGTTTGGGGGTCAACAATAATGAGATAAATTGTCAAGGCAGCCACTCTACGGTCACTACCCGAGAGTACATAAACACGCCACGAGAATACGATTACTGTTATATTACGATAGATCCTATAGATTCTATGATGTACAACGAATCTGAGGGTGCACACAAAGCACCTGGAAGGGGTTGAGGAGCCATGCAAATTGCCAAGCCTCTATTGGTCACCCTGCTTAGAGGACACTGCCATGCTGAAATTCTAGCCAAAAGTAAACCAGGATGATCACCTCATATTCCGCAGCAGCGAAGCACTTTTGGCCAAGAGGGATGCCTTATCATTGCGGTTCACCGTGCGCAGCTTTTGCAAGTAAGTAGAGGTATGATCACACCTGACCGATTGAACGGATTCCCTCGTGCAATCTTCCCCGTTGAGTCGGTTGTAGAGGTCGTCGCGGAATTCTAACGGAGGATGAACAAGTATTAAGCTCAGCCCATCTGAGTATGTATTAGCGCGGGTTTCCCGGTGGTGCGCCGCGCCTTTCTTGATATAAACTCTACCTCCTGGGCGTGCTTGCTGGTCACCAACCGCCCTCCCTTGATTCTCCTCACCGACATGAAACGCTTATTCTCTTTCCTGCTGTCCTTGCAATTATACGGCCATCTGTGCTCGCCGACACTGCATGTCGCAACGTGCGTAATGCCTCGTCATGTTCGCCAATGAGCTCTGATTCATGTTCAGGCAATGTGTGTAACTGCAATCGTCGACAGTAACTCGACAACCTACGACCTCACCGTCTCGAATTCGCAGGTCGGATGGATGGCCATGTACGCAGAGTCGTCGCGAGCATTTTTGGGTCTAATTCTTCCACAGAGGCTTTGGCAGGACCATGGTTAATACCCCCATGGTCATTCTGTGGAGAGACTCGTCCAATGGGAACACCGTAATTTCACAACGCTCCGCCTCTGCCTACAGCATGCCAACCGTCGTGTCCTCCCCCCCACGGGTCGCTTCCGCGATCAATTCGCGTGCGAGCTTCAATTCATCGGCCCAGACCCTCTCGTTCTCCATACCGAGCAATTCGGACACCCGCCAATCCATCATCTACGCGTGGCATGTATACACATGAAAAGCATAACATAATCTTATCGCGTACAGGTCGAGTAACGCTCCTTCGAGCAATAGCGCAGATGCCACCATTGTTGAGCATGACGACAAGGGAACCATGACCCTCAACCTTGCCAACGGATCAGGATCCAACTCTACGACCCAAACATCTGGATCCAGCAACAATACATCAACGCCCCTTACCTCGAGTCAAAAGGTCTTTGTGGCTCATGCCGTCCTTTTGACAGTTGCGTTCCTCATCATCCTTCCTCTCGGTGCCCTTCAAGCTCGTCTTCTCAGAACGATTGTTCCTGGCAAGCTCTGGTTCGGCGCCCACTGGATTCTACAGTGGCCTGTCGCCAGTCTGATGATCATTGTTGGACTGATCCTTGGTGCGGTCGAAACCGACAAACTGGAATTGCCAGATAGCAACCACAAGGTTTGTTCTGGTCCCGTACTGTTTCGTTCACCAACTCACCGTCAATAGACAGTCGGAATCGTCTTGGTTGTCCTCTACGCAGCTCAATGCATCTATGGTGGCGTGATTCACTTTGTCAAACCAGCACGATCCACCGGACGACCTCCTCAGAACTATGGACATGCCATTCTCGGGCTCATCATCATTGGGCTCGCCTTTAAACAAGTTCACAACGGCCTCGATGACGAGTGGCCACGCATAGGTGGTCCCGAAGTTCCCATGTCCATCTGGACTTGGTGGAAAGTGTGGATTATTGTGCGTCGTTTCCGTTCCGCGTCCACTTCCGACTTATCACCTTGCAGATGATCCCACTACTATACCTGTTCGGTCTCGCTCTGCTTCCTCGCCAATATCGATTGGAGAGGGATCAGCGTGCAAAGGCGGAGCACAATGCTCCCATCGAGCTCAAGCAGTCACAGTAGGACTTGTATACTATGAAACGTATAGTCGAGTATCCAATTTATGTTTCCGATTCTAAGCGACCAAATTGGCTGGTGAAAGGTGACGCTAAAACAAACACCTCCCCACCACCAGCTGCGCCAAAGCAGTCGCTGTCCTGGCACGATAGCCTGCCACTTTTGCTGCTGAAATTCGACAATAATGGCTTCTGGCTCTGGATATAGTCAAGGCTATCATCAATTGCCTGGGCAGGGTCAAGGCCCGCGCTCCACTGCGTCGCTAGTGTCCCAAACCTCTTCTGTATGTCTTCAAATTACTTCTAACGTCTTTATTTGTCCATGGAGTTGGCGTTGCTCACATATATCCAGCGAGAGAACCCATTTAACGATTCGTCGCCCAACTCGATTTCTGGTGCGTCAAGGCCACTCGGAGAGCATCTATATTGGACCGAAATTCATTTTATTATTCAGGAAAATTCAACCTCTCACCAGACCCACGCGCCTGGGGGACGACGGCGGGCGCAGAAGACGACGACTGGCTACACGACCCACGGAGAGGCAAGTCGATTGATGATCTTGGGACCATCTTTACGTTCCGAGGACTGGCAAATGTCGGATGCCTTGTGATCCTCGCACTCGGCCTCACAACGCTCTTGTAAGTCCCGAGCGCCGTTTCGCGACACACGAAACCCGGCCGCATCGCCTCCAACGCTAACACACTGCTCGCCTTTTTCCACTCAGTGCTGGATATCCGTTAATCGATTATTTTACTCGCGATAAGCAAACCAATCTTGGTGGATATAATTTGGGCGCCATCAATGCTACAGGTACGTGGTTTCTCTCGCGGTGTTCGGCACAGCAGCGGCCCCTCACGACAAGGCCGACGACAACGAACAGACAGTGGCTGACGAGATGAATCCCCTTTTCAGGACAAGTCATGCAATCTTCCTTTTCTCTCATCGACCCGGACACGCCGCAGTCTGCATATACCAAACCGGGTATTCGAAATCCCTCAGAGGAGCTACAACTCGTCTTCTCGGACGAGTTCAACGTTGAAGGTCGTACATTCTACCCAGGTGACGATCCATTCTGGGAAGCTGTCGATCTCTGGTACTGGCCAACCAACGATATGGAGTGGTATGACCCGGAACAGGTCACCACCACTGGCGGATATCTCAGGATCCTCATGGAAGAACGCCGGAATCACGGTATGAGATACATAAGTGGCATGATCTCGAGTTGGAACAAGTTTTGCTTCACTGGTGGATACATTGAAGGTATGGGCGTTACCCTGTTTGCTTTAACCCACCTTACTCATCTTGATAGCTGCCGTATCGCTTCCTGGTGATCCAACTGTATCTGGTCTATGGCCCGGTATGTTCGTCGATCCACCAGTTCCCAAGCTGATCCGTTTCTGCAGCCGTTTGGACAATGGGCAACCTTGGTCGTGCCGGCTTTGGTGCTTCTACTGAAGGTCTCTGGCCATATACCTACGACAAGTGCGATGTCGGTACTCTTCCTAATCAAACCAATGCCGATGGATCGCCACACGGACCCACACACACGGGTATCGTCCCTGAATTCGACTTTGAGCTCTCATGGCTTCCTGGAATGCGTCTCTCGGCCTGCACGTGCCCTGGAGAGCAACACCCTGGTCCAGTTCACCGCGACGGAACCTTTGTGTCGCGTTCGGCGCCAGAAATCGATATCATCGAAGGTGCGTGTCCTGTTCCATCCAATTACACTTTCTCACATGCTCGTGTGTTTAGTCCAAGTCAACATGACTACACGTGAGGGAGAGGCTTCTCAATCCGTCCAGTTTGCACCATTCGACGACAACTATGCCTGGAACAACGAGACATACCTCGAGATCTATGATAATACCGTATCCTACCTCAACTCGTATCAAGGTGGTGTCCTGCAGCAGGTTTGTAGCTGTCGTTTTCTCTCAGTAAGACGTTACTCATGGCTTCCTAGACTGGCTCAGTTGTGTCTATCGTCAATCAAGACTGCTATACCACCAAGTCGAGCTGCTTTGCCATCTACGGCTACGAGTACAAGCCGGGACTTCAGGAGGATGGTGCCTACATCACCTGGGTAAACAATGGCAAGCGATCATGGACGTTCCAAGCCGGAGGTATCGGAGAAAACCCTCGCGTAGAAATCTCTGCTCGACCGATTCCCCGTGAGCCCATGGTACGTAGTTTCATTTCGCAAGGTGCATGATCTTACTCTGCTTGATAGTATATTCTTATCAACTTGGGTATCTCCGACGGTTTCTCGCCAGTCGAAGCCAGTAAGCAAGCTCCGAGTTGGCTGCGGGCAGATGTTAACGATTCTTCGTAGCCCTCAGGTTCCCGGTTGAGATGCATATTGATTACATCCGAGTATACCAACCCAAGGATGCGATCAACTACGGATGCGACCCACAAGGATTCCCGACATCGAACTATATCAACCAGTACATCGAGGCCTATACAAATCCCAATTTGACAGTGCGTATTCGCTGAGAATCAGAGGTCTCTGGTGCTTATACTTTTTGCAGAGTTGGGAGAAGGACTATGGACAGACATGGCCGAGGAGCAGTCTCAAGGATGGTTGCTAAATGACACGAACTGCATGAATTTGCCTCTTTTTATTTCTCTGCACGGGCGCAACACGGCCCAAAGGACTCGTCTCCATCCCCTTGCCCTCTTTATTATGCAGTCCTCCATCCCTCTCCCTCTTTGTCCCTGGCCAGGACATTCTCCTTCTTCTCCTTGCTCATTTTCTGCTTCCATCATCGTCGTTCCTTGGTTGTGGCCGTCGACAATGTACAGTGCATAGAGTCCCGTCGGTGGGTGTCGGGCGAATAATAGAGCTGTTGCCAGCTTGCTCTCGAGTCTGTCTGCCTCGCTGTAAGCCCTGTCTTGTCCTGTTTTTTTTAAAAAAAGTGCGGCGCTCCTGGCCAGGGCAGCCCTTCACGCGCCCAGCATGAGGCACAGCGCGAGGCAAATAAAGAATTCGACGCGTCCAAAGGCCAGCACACATCTTGCTCTCCACCTCGTCGCAAGACTCGTGGAACTGTGCAATACTCGCCCAAAATGTCTTCACAAAATCCTGTCCGCAAGTCGATGACGGGTAAACATCGTCTCGTGATTGCAAAGCGCGCCGACTTTGTGCGCCAGAGAGCTGGCGGAAGGTTTGTCCATATTCCTCTTATTCGCGTCGTTTGCGTGTCTAACTCTCTCCCTAGTCTCTCCGTTCTCTCCCTCCTCTTTGGCAAGGTGTGTTCCGTCTGCTCGTCCGACCGCCCGTCGATGGCTCCGGTCTCAAAGGCTGACCGCCGTTCTCGCTCTAGGGCACGGTCATCTACCGCATTTGGCCTGCAGTCTTCATCCACACCGTTTTCTCGGCCATTGTCGTCGCTATCGACCTCTACTATGTCAACATTGGCGTCGGAACAATCATGCTCACCCGTGAGTATCTCGAGCGGAGCACGGGCGTCTGTTGCTGAATTGAACTGCTAGTCATTCCAATGGTGCTGGGTTTCGTCGTCGCGCTCCGAGTGACTACAGGGTGCGTCCTAACCGCGGTTGCCCTGTCATAAAATTTTGACTGACCGGACTTCTCTGCAGATATGACCGGTGCGCGCGCTCATTATCCTCCGGAGGTACAATGCCAACTGACAAAACTTTTAACCTAGTTATTGGATGGGAAGAGTCGCTTGGTCCGATGTCATTCGCAATACCAGGACGCTTGGCCGTTTGATCTGGTACCACTGCCCGACCCGCCTAACCCCCAACCGTGAGAATGTGCCACTCAAGGACATTGAGCGTGCTTTGGAGGAGAAGAAGCTCGCTCTGGACCTCCTCGAGGCGTAGGTGGCGAATGACCCACCAGTTCAACCTATTGAGTTTCCCTTTAGCTTTGCGTTTGCTCTCAAGCACCACATCCGTGACGAGCCTGGACCTTATTACGAGGTATGTTGGCTTTTTGTTTTCAAGAGAGTAATGCTTAGTCTCGTTCAGGACCTCAACCCTCTGCTCGCGGCGATGGAACTGAGCCCGTATCACACTCACCGTTTCCCGTCGTCTCCCCCTATGGGCTCCCCTGCCGCTGCCGTGAACGGACTTCCTAGCAATGGCGATCAATACGGCACCTTCCCCACCAGCAACGACCCACACGCTCCTCTCCTCCCGGCTACGCAGAGCAGGCGCACGCGTGGATCTGTCTATGTCGACCTCATTCCCTTTGGTAGCTGGTGGACGGCTTTCAAGAGGCTCTTTAGCCGTCAACCTGCCGCCGGCACCCCTACTGCAGGTCCAGAGGGCACCAATGCTGGAAAGCACGTCGTTTTGGCCGGTGGTGGAGGCAACATCCCACTTGAGGTTCTTCGCACACTCAGTGAATGGCTTTCCACTCTCGAAGAGCGCGGAACTGTCCCCGGAACCACTCTTGGCAGCATGATGGGCTTGGTTCAGGGTCTGGAAGACAGTCTGTGCTCTTTGGAGCGCATTCTCACTACGCCTCTTCCTCTGTACGTTTGATTATCTGATCCTCTTCATAGCTGAACTCGCTTACAGCGTCTATACGGCTCACATCCGACACACTGTTTGGATCTTTTTGTTCACGCTTCCCTTCCAGCTTTGCAATACTTTCGAATGTCGGTGATCATTCGTCCATGCTCAACACAGCTAATGCTCTTGGCAGGGATCACTGTTCCCGGCGTTGCCGTCGCGTCGTTCCTCTACCTTGGTTTCGTCGCTGCCGGTGAAGAGATTGAACAACCATTTGGATATGGTACGTATCTAGCCCGTATTATATACTTGTGCTCATGATATCCAATAGATCGCAACGATCTCGACCTCGACTGTGAGTAAATGCCTTTGGCTTTGCAAGCAAGTTGCTAATTCTATCCTTTAGTCTTCTGCAATGAGATTATCCACGTTGAGCTCGATGACTTGCGCCGCGCTCAGGTTCCCAACAGCTACCTCTCGCTCCCCGGTGCCGTTCAACCCACCTCTACATATGGAAGAGGCGCCATTGTCGATGCCGCGACGCAAGAGGCCGAGCAGGACGTCAAGGACTTTAACCCGGCCGAGCCACTTGCTGGTGTTCCTTCGGGCAGCTATTAATTGTTTAGAGGGAAAGATGGTTGAGCAGGGTTGCTCGTGGATCAAAAATTGGGTTTTCGTATTCTCGTGTTCACATCGCATGCGAACTCTTGGATTGGTTCTCTTGGAGGACGGACAGTTGGATGGGCTTTTACTAATTACACACTGTATGGGAGAGACGCCGTCCGTACACGTGCTTTACCTCATCAAGACTTACGTCTAGACTGTGAAGTGTCTGAAACCAATATTGAGCAGTAGTCATCAAACTTTGACCACCCGAGTGGATGCAAATCACCTACGATATTCAATATTGATGTCGTCAGTGAATGATTTACATAATCGCAGATGCGTCGCCTTTTTACACTATGCTACGAATAAATACCGGTGATGGCTTACAATCTCCCAAAATTTCCAGGGGCTGTAGTTTGTTCGCTTTCTTCAAGTAGGACCGGGGAAAGCATCAATACAGCGTGCTAGTTTGATTGCAAACCTCGATAAATTTCAGAGAGCTGATTCGAGCTGATATGCGCCCTCGTATGGCCGTCAGATGTTTTTCCTGAACCAAATCCCTCGGTCAAAGTGATTTCTCTTCGTGGCATCCAGTGGCTCAAAATGCTATTATATATTCATATCAATAAAGTATTATTTGTGTACATGCACTTTCAGCTCGATAGTAAGGCTACTTTGGACGGTGTAGGTCCACCTACAGCAACGGGATGAACAGTGAATAGAAGATTGGCGGCGATAAGAAAAATTGAGACGCAGGCCTTCTAGACTTTATTTATGTGTTTTATGTGTTTTAACGTCCCAAGCTAAATTTCCCCGACAGTTTTCCAAGCGCATCATCTCACTCCGGGCGAACCCCTGAGCGGGAGGGGCCCTCATAATTTGTGTGAACGATAATATCTCAGGTGTAAATTTAGAGACGCGTTCCTATATTCATAGCGGCCTGCCCCGATTTATGGGTGAGTCCAGGTTTTTGAGAACGACCGTAGTTCTCGGTCTTGGGCCAAGTGGTCTTGAGCGAAGTCCGGGGCTGAGTTAATCCAATTTAATGAATTCTCGTCTGGACAGGAATCGCGCCATGAGCACACCTCGGACGGCTCCGAGCAGCTTGGGGTCGTCTAGCCTTTCGCGATATACTATATAATCGCCACTGTACCTTAGTGCTGGAGATGGGCCGTGTGCATACACCACAGCACTAGATATTAAGCAGGAGGGCGATAGAATAAATGGGCGCCGGAGCTAGTCCGATCTGGGGCCACACTGTCCACAAACCCAAATACCTACTGTCCACTATTTAAGATCCTCTCTGGCATATACACGCTTTACTAGACCCCATGTCCACACAAAATACCAGCACCGTCGACAACGAGGAGCGCGTCTACCTCCATGATCCCTATGCCACCAGACGCGAGCAGCCCCCATCCATGATGCAAGACTACACTGACCCTATGTTGCTAATCGCCATACCGATACAGAATACTAACGCAGTCAACAGTAACGAAGGGGAACGCGTTTACCTCTATGATCCCTATGGGACCAGACATGAGCAGCTCCCATCCATGATGCAAACATACGCTGATTCACGCGAATATTCAAGTCTTCAACCTATAGATAGTTTCATGACAGACCAAGTGCTGCCAAATGTGAGCACTGGAGTGCCAAAGAGCCCATTTCAGGTGTATTCGCCGGTACGTATCAGTTGACATACGCTCCGTTAAACAACATAACCGATATTTGATTTCCCTGGTTGGGTTTGACGTCATCGTCTGTAGACTGCTTTACGGCAATATGCCATAATCCCGGGTAACACCCGTCCACTCGCCCCTGCACCCACGATAGGTTTATCCTACCATGAAACGCTTCACCCGAATATACAGCGCAGGCACTCGTCTTCTCTTCATTCTCTTGCAAGCGCCACCAGTTCAAACGCCAACACGGAGAGCACATTGGTCACTAGATTTCCATACGCGAACATGCATACAGGCGTGGGAGCAAATATACACACTGATGATACAAGAATGAGCAAGAAACATGCTTGTACTGTCTGCGAGGCCGCCTTTGAGCGTAGATACGACCTCAAGCGACACATGGAAACGCATTCAGAGCAGAAGAAATTCATTTGTTTCGGTTGTCAAAAGGCGCTTGCACGCAACGACTCGCTCCAGCGACATCAGATTGTCTGCAAGGCTCGTTGGTCATCGGAGGATCAATAGTTGCATCGTTTCTTGTAGTCGTATCCTTTATGTGGCATGTACTTACTGAACTGAGCGTCTATATAGGCTGGTTCATGCCCCCCCATGGTGGCTCACGTGGACTATAGTCGACTATATTAGAATAAAGGTATCATTCATCTGGAATTTAACGTTAAACGCTAGCTCTATGGTCTCCTCCACACCCACTATTTCTCCCGACGCTTACGCCTCTGATCACGCTCCGAAAGCTTAAGATTCAACGTAAGTGACCCTCTAGATTATTACTGGAAGCGAAGCTGTAAATCTGATCCCAAACTATCCTTAACTGACAACACCTCGTGTTGGATAAATTTGGACCATCTATAGAGTTTAACATTCCACTATTTGACCGGAAAGGCTGGCACAATCTCTATTTGAATTATCGATCCTACCTATATCTAATCTATAGTCCCTCATATGAAGCTCAGTCCTTCCTATATTGTATTTCGTTATCATTTTTTGAATATAAATCTAGCCCAATGGTCACTCAAGGCGAGGCACAGTGGTTGAGCGAAGTCTGAAGCCAACTTTGAGCACCTGGATTTGGGAATACTCGGTTTGGGCAGTGTCCCGAAACCTTGAGAAAACTTTGGGGAACTTGAGCGACTGCTCAAGCTGGGTTGCTAACTCCTTTTAGACCCTCGCAGCGAGGTTATCTGTGTTCATACTGACGGCTGTGTTCAGGTTGCCACTCGCTACCTCTTGCTACTCGGTCCAGCCCACCCTACTTATGACAGAAGGGCCATCGTCAATGCTACAGGCAAGAGGATGGTCAGGATATCAAAGACTTGAGCCCAGCCCCGCCACTTGCCGGTGTTCCTTCCGGTAGCTACTCACCGTTTAGGAGGGAAAGAAGGTTGATAACGGTGACCTTGTGGGCCAACTGTTGGATAAATTGGGTTTTTGTTCATATAGGATGCGAGCTCTTGGATCAATTCTCTCGGAGGGATAGTTGAATTGACATTTACTAATCACACTCTGTACAGGGAGAGAGGCAATCTGTACACGTGCTTTACTTTATCCATATGGCGAAAGCCGTCGGTGGCAGCCACTGACCACGCAGTACCCCGATCGAGGAGTGCCGTGTGCGCAGAATGGACGACATCCCGCGCAATAAGGCGTTGTGCCACGCGATGCACGGCAACTCGAGCAGACGAGCTCCTGACGTGTGCACCCGTTGCAGATGTGAGCGATCCCTATCGTTGTCGGACAGTTACTGCATCCTGGACTTCGAGAAGCGGCATTTTTGAGAGAGACGATCTTGTACAGGGCATCCAACCCGATTTTACGTGCTGTCTCATGAGAAACAAGCTCTTCCTTGGCCAGGTTCTTGCAGGCGAGTTCGTAAAGTTCATCCGCGTTGACCTCTCTTGAAAGGAGAAGCAATTCCACCATGTCGAGAGGGGGCCTTACATAGAGTAGCCCGTTCTTTGCCTTCTTTTCAATGATGTCCATCATATACTTGTGGCTGATCCGAAGCATGGCTGCCCATTGTTCGGCGCTGAAGGTCGGAAGAGTGAACGGATCGCTAGATCTTTGTCAATGTAGTCAGCCTGAAAAATATGATGAATTACTCTGAATAAAACAAGGATAAGATGGATTCCCATCCTCGTATCGTGTCTCCACTGAGCTTTATTGGCGAGTCTCCTTCTAGAGGTTGGGGAGTGTCAAACATGTCCCGTAAAACGACGGAATGCTTGATTAAGAAGTGTTTGTGCACCTTGAATATCGCAAGGTTGACCTACATATGCGATTATCATTCATCGCCCCAGAGTCCGGCCAGCCTCACTTGGAATTCAATGTCTCCAGTGGGGATATAGAATTTATCATGAGTTCTGAGACGGTCGTTGTACTCAGAATCCGGTATTACGGGTATCTCTGCTGCCATTGCCTAGTGAGATTTGTTGATGTAACCAAGCTCCTTTACGCCCCATCGATTAATGGAAGTTCATTGACTATACTTATGAGGTCAGTTCTTTGCGTGTCATAGAAATCTTATTCACGGGACGGCAGTTCCTCTACAACGATATAGGGAGTACTATTCTATTGATCTTACGGGTCTCTGACAACCTGACGGTGACGCCAGTACGATATGCTCTAATGGCGGAGATAAGGCCCATTTCGGCAAGATTATCCTATTCCAACTCCTGGAGCTCATCGAAGTCGATCTTCCTCGCGAGAAGCGTCATCTCAACCTCATCAGATGACGAACTGGTCGCCTTTAATCAGTGTGGTGCGTGCAACTCGTTTCCCCTGACAGAGTACTGTGAGGTGAATACAGATTTAATATTCATTTTTGGCCATCGAACTGTGGCCCCTCTAATAGGGTGGTGGTGTCGGACCGTGCAAACTGTAAGAGTTTATGGGACTTCTTCCAGATCCCTAATAAATCATAGATCTTGTAGAATGCCAGTGCATGCGCAGTATTCGCCGTCTTTAATGACCAAGGAAGGGCATCAATGTGTGATAGCAGTTGCCAATACTGGGCATTGCTCTCGTTTGAGTGCCGTGTAGCTCCAAGTAAAAGCTGACTAGCCATGCTTATAAACATTTTTGCAGTATCTCCAAGAGAATCCGCGATGTATCTCTGAAGGAGTGGATGAATCGAGTAGAAGATGCTTCCAGAGTCGTCGGTGAGTGTATTGATAAAAGAGGCTCGCTGTGCGGCATCAATCAAGGCCTGGAATGAGATTTCATCCCAAGTCGATCCAAAAATCTCCTCGAGGTTGGAAACAACAGCCACGTCACTCTCCGGCGGGGGATAATTCTCTAGAATCGTGCGAGCAGTAAAGCCCGAGATAGACGAAAGCTCGAAAAGAGCCTTTGGAATGCCTGTATGGTGGAAATATGCACAAATCTTCAGTAGGTCCTGTGTCTTGTTTGGCAGCTGACGGAACGAAAGATCGAACGCTGCATATATTGAATACGCGTAGTTAGCGCCCTTAATCGAGAGTTCACGCATAAGTTGATCTCGGTGATCACGAAGAGTGACGAGGTAGCCGCTGAGTTGACGAGTTTTGAAGATATATGGGTTATTGCGAGTGCTAGCGCTCCTAGCTCTCGCACAATCTCCAGAGACGCGTCATTGGATGTAGGTGTGACATTGGCGACCTTGTGAAGGAGGTCGACGGCCTCGCTTTCCGCTAGGCCACCAATGTAAATCGCGCCATCTGGCGCGTACTGTGTGCACTCCTGGTTTCTCGTCGTGATCAAGGTTGCTCCATTGGGAGAATTAGGGATGTATGGGTCAAGGTCGAGCTTTGGTGAGTCCGCATTATCGAAGAATAGCAACCACCCTCTTGCCACGCCCTCGAAATAGGCAACAGTATCCTCCCAAGTTGAATTGGCGTACTCAGGACCGATTGTACGGATTGCGCGTTGTAGGTCGGCCTCAAGCTGTGCCGTGCTGGTGGCATCGACCATGATTATCTGGTCAAAACTTGGAAAATATGAGATAGAGTACCAATTATAGTGTGTCTCATACCTTTTGCCGTGTTGTCTGATCCAATTTGCCGCAAGCTGAGTCTTGCCGGCGCCTCCTATTCCGTGTAGAATACAGCGTGGTTGATGACGTTTCTCGCCACTAGGAAGTAGCAACTGGGTCATCGTCGACTGGATCTCTGGACGCTCGATATAGTTCCTCGAGACGGCGGGGGGAGGCTTTGGCAGGTTGGTTTTGGGTAACGAAGTTGGTACGCCTTGCTTAGTAGCTGGAAGGCTTTTAGCAGCAGATTAGAGTCGCATGTCTCACAAACCTCGAACAGCATCCTCTAGAGACCATTTCTTTTCTATCGAGCTAGGTGCTTCTTTCATCCACTCTTTGAGATACGTCAGAACACACCGATAGTCGCTCTGAGTCCTGTTCAGGAACTTGACCATCTCACAATGGTCAGCGCGAAGTCCCTCTTGAGTCGCTTGCCGATCGCTAGCAAGAGTAGCTGCTTGCCGCGGTACAATCTACACAAAAGTCAGAGGTCGCAAGACCACATACTGAGACACCTTGCCATTTCTTGTCGCCCTCCCACAACAGGAGTCGCATACTCCTCGTAAAAGCAGACAGCATTGATCGTCTCACTAGCCAACAGATACTGTTTCTGTATATTCTCTAGCTCTGATGAGTTTTCCTTGAGATGCTGGAGGATGATATCTGTTGTCTTCATGTAGACTGACAGAAGTTGATTCACGATTTGCAAGAGTGCGACGCCGTTTGTCCCCGAGTGGGGAGTCCAAAGAAGAGAATGCCATGAGTCGAGACGAGGATATCATGATAATGGCTTTTCGAATTTGAGCCATGAGCATGGCAGATAATAAGTGCCTGAGAGGGACTTAGCGTAATCTCGTTATTTACGACGCCACCAACCTGCTTCAGAATGATACCACCAAGACTATGGGCTACGAAGAGAATCGGCCGCTGAAGGGGAATTGAGCCGCATACCCGATGAAGAAACCAAACTTACTCGAGGAGCACCATTGCGTTCTCTTGAGAGCTCCTGAATGAACTTTTCGGCATGTCTGTATATCGTATTCGTTGAGACGCATTCCCGGCTGCGAGTATCCGCATCATATCCATATGTGAGCACTCGTGCCTTGGGTAAATCGAGTGGTAAGAGGTCACGAAGCCACAAAATCCTATTCCTATCCGTCCGTGCCGTCCATGTCTTCTCTCTGTGACCGTCCAAGCCATGGATGGCGACGATGCTGGTACCAATAGTCAGTGCGGCGAGCACATGTGACACAAAGATGGCCTACTCGACGTCGGGATCCGACCCAGCTGCAAGTTCCAGGAATCCATGATCATCTTTTTTCGACTTTGGGTGCGGGCTCGAGCCTCGGCTGTGTTCTGCCATGCCGCTGGAACGACTCGAGTCGGGGGCGTCAATTTGGGACGCTTTGGAGGAGCGAAACCCGCTCTTGATGCGTGATAAGAAATCTGATTTGTGCTTGCTCATTGGTGGTTGGGAGTAAGTACTTGGCCAAACAGCCTGGCGTCTTTCGTCAACCCGCAAGGCAGTGAATGGGCTTGATTCATCTTTGATAAGCACGCTCGTCGATCGACCATTGTGGAGCTATCTAATGAAAACAATCTCGTACAAAAGTGTATGTCTATTTCACAATTAGTCGAGGCTCACGCGTCAGTGAGTCCAAGAAACCCACATTCGGAGCTGTTGCGAGTAAGAAGTCTATTGGCATCATCGTGTCATCATATCCGAGCAGACTCATGTTCTCGTATGCCATTGTCTCATCCTTGGTAACAAGTTTAGCATTGTAGTCTAGCAGTCCTGAAAGTTGGTGTGGTCGAACACCAATGAGGTGCTCCTTTATGAAGGCGGGGAGTATACACTTGATATACATACCACATTCCTGAACAGTAGTACTATTCAAAGACTGCATGAGATTACGCCACCGTAGTTATTAAGGCGTAGTTCCAAGTTTCGACCTAGACCACTGCTTACTTTTGGGACACTTTCATCTGAGGATGCGCCCAGCTAAAGGCTTGGATAATAGAGGCCATCATAATTGCTCAACAGGACTATCCTTTGTGTCCAATACGCGGCTGCGGCACGTCTGACCTTGCCTTTGGCACTTGGGACGAATTATCGGAGACTCTATTCCGGTACAGCAATGAGTAGTCTAGTGTGCTGCGTTATGCAAACTCTATCTTGAGCTTAGTGGTACAACTTGCCTGAAGCTCGACATCCCCGTCGCGGAAATAATATACATGGTGCTGTCTCAGGGCTCCGGATTGATACTCAGCATCTTTCATTCTCGAGATTGTGATGGCGCAGGTGTCTGGATGGATAAGGGAGGCTACAAGTGGTTGTCGTCAGGCTCCCTCTAACGTCGGTTCAAGCGGGATGTACAAAAAGGCAACTACAACATCTAGTTACCAGCTTTATTGCATATCAATGATACTACGACCAGCGCATCTCCCGCCTCGTTCGAGCAAAGTAAACATGCTCCGTCCTCGTAACGTCGTAGAAAGCCTCAAAGCCAATCTTCTCCGCTTCTTCAAATGACAACATCTGATCTCTCTGTGCAAGGGATTGGAGAGCGATATTGTAAAGCTCGTCCGACCCAACGTGCTGCGCCACAATCATGAGCTCGACCATGTCCAGAGGAGGACAAGCCTCTTGTAAGCCTTTCATTGCCTCGATCTCAATAGCCGCCATCAAATACTTGTGAGCGACGCGGAGAATGCTGGCCCATTCGACCGCTGTGAACCGTGGCTGCTGAAACACATTCCTGTAATCATCAGTCTTTCGGTTTAGAATGCCGTCGAGGGCGTACTGTGGGTAGAAGAGTGACAAAATGCATTCCCATCCGCGCAAAGAGTCGTCCTTCAATACAAATGCAGGCGAGTCGTCTTCCCCATCTCCAGACCTTTCAATCAAGTGCGAAGCGGAGAACATATCCTGAAGAACCGGTGAATGTTCCATGAGGAAGTGACGGTGCACTTTGAAGATTGCATTCTCGACCTGCAACTTTTAGCATATCGCACACCAGAAATAAGCCTAGATCACCTGAAACACGAGGTCTCCGGTCTGAAAGTAAAATCGAGGGTGTGAAGTCGGTTTGTTGACTTCGCTGCCTGGTGCCTCGGTAGCTGTCGGCTTACTCGTAGACGTAGACATGGTCTGACATGAGTGGGAGAGCGGGGCCGACTTAGGCGAGGCACTCATGCGGAGACTGACATGGCGTTCTCGTATGCAGGATGCCGCAAGGTTAACCCTATCATGTTTTCACTGCCTCTCTTCACACAACACTGCAAGTAAGGGATTGTTCGTTGGTGTACAATTACCCGAGACGCGACTGGTCTAGAAATATACAGGATGAGCGGGATACGCTCTTTTAGGGATGTCGTACTCGGTGAATTTACACCCTCTTCCCAATAAACTCGCGCCAAGACTTGACCTCTGAAGGTATTCTTCCTTCAGAGTACTTGCGAAGCCCACCTTGGGGGATCTTGCGCTCCAAACTCTCCACGAAGAGTTGGGCGGTTCGGGGGTTGTTGAGAAGTGGGAGACCAAAGTCGACGGCGTTTCTATCCAAAGAAAGTGAGTCAGAGTAACGAGAAACATAACCTGTACGAACCGGCGAGCGACATAGTCTTCATCAGTCGCGTCCTTAGCTCGGCTTCGGGCGAGATTGATGACCGTCTGAATCTCATACTCGTCAAACACCTCTCGGAGCTTGCGCTTGTCGCGAAGGGGGAAGAAAATCTTCTTGACGCCGACGTAGGGAAGACCGTTCAAAAAGTCTTCGACTTCGGTCGACGAGCAATAGAGCTTGAAGCCCATATCAATCAAGCTCTTTGCAATCGTCTTCATCTCTGGCTTGGTAATATCGCCACCGATGAGAACGCCGGAGCCCTTTGAGGGGAGCTTGAAACCAGTCGTGCTTTGCAGAGCGGCCCAATATGCCTCATGAACATCCCGACCAAAGCTGGCAACCTCACCAGTACTAGCCATTTCTATGAGCGGTCAGCAAGAAGGCAAGATTGTCTGTTGGCAACATACCAACGCCGAGGAAAGGATCTGCTCCTCCCAGACGAGTCCATGAGAACTGTGCAACCTTGATAGAGGTGTAATCCCTCGGTTGTGCCATAAGATCTACTGGCTCAGGTACATTGACACCGGTGATGGCAGCCGCAGCAGTATCGATAAAGTTGTGGCCAAGGACCTTGGAGACGAAGGGGAAGCTACGAGAAGCGCGGAGGTTGCACTCGATGACCTTAAGTTCTGGTCCAGCACTACCTTCAGCAGGCTTCTTGATGATCTGCATGTTAAAGGGACCAGAGATCTCGAGAGCCTTGGCGACCTTTTGGGCAATCTCCTTGAGTCGGGCCATGTCGGATTCATCCAAGCTGAATGGTGGAAGGACAAGCGTGGCGTCTCCTGAGTGCACACCAGCATTCTCGACATGCTCCGAGACAGCATGAACGAGGAGTTCGCCCTTGTAGGCGACACCATCAACGTCAATCTCTTGGGCATTGTCAATAAACTTGGTGATAACAACCGGGTGCTTGGGCGAAACGGACGCGGCCGCAGAGAGCTTGTACTCGAGATCTGATTCTTCCCAAACGACGTTCATGGCGGCACCGGAAAGGACGTAGGAAGGACGAAGGAGAACGGGATAACTAGATAGAAAGTCAGGCGGAGCAGCAGCAAAATTCAGATATACACTGACCCAACTCGGTTCGCAAATGCCTTGGCTTCGTCAACGGTAGCGACTTCAGCCCAGTCTGGCTGATCGACACCAACACTGTCCAGAATGGCAGAAAACTTGTGACGATCCTCGGCTCGGTCAATTTGCTCTGGATCCGTACCAAGGACGTTGACACCAGTTTGCTTGAGGCGGAGCGCAATGTTTTGCGGTAGCTGACCACCCACGCTGACAATGACACCCTCAGCCTGCTCGAGCTCGTAGATGTCCATGACACGCTCCCAGCCCAGCTCTTCAAAGTAGAGACGGTCAGCCTCGTCAAAGTCGGTTGACACCGTTTCTGGATTGTAGTTGACCATAACCGTCTTCTTGCCCATATCTCGGAGTTGTCGAGCACATGTAACAGCGCACCAGTCGAACTCGACAGAGGATCCGATACGGTAAACACCGCTGCCGAGAACCATCGTACCCTGATCGTTAAAGTCGAGGTCGTGCTCGCTCGCGTTGTAGGTAGTGTAAAGATAGTTTGTGGTCGCAGGATATTCAGCGGCAAGCGTGTCGATTCGCTTGACAAACGGCGTGATTCCAAGTGATTTACGATGGGCGCGCACTGCGTCCTCCGAGTCCTTGATCAAATCCGCAATCTGGATATCGGAAAAGCCCATTTGCTTGGCGCGACGCATCAACGTTTCGTCGATGGCAGCGACAGAACCAGCATCTCGAATGGCATGGTGTGTTTGCACGATGTTGTCAATTTTATGAAGGAACCACTGCGCACCGATTAGACATGTCATCTTAGAAACTATGCAACATACCTTGTCAATTTTGGTAAGGTCATGAATCTTGTCGACGGTGTAACCTTTGTTGTACATAGCGTAGGCAATGGCGAACAACCTCGTGTCCGTCGGCCGAGTCAAGGCACGATCCAAGTCTTCTGGGGTGACGTAGGCTTCAAAGCCAGTATATCGAGGGTCTACCTGTCGAATGGCTTTTTGCAAGCTCTCTTCAAATGTTCGACCAATAGCCATGACTTCTCCAACCGACTTCATGGCGGAGCCAACCTCTCGGTTGACCTGGCCAGAGAACTTTGCAAGATCCCATTTGGGAATCTTGGTGACGATGTAGTCTAGTGATGGCTCGAAGCACGCCGTGGTGCTTTTCGTGACTGCATTGGGGAGCTCGGGAAGAGTGTGTCCAAGAGCAATCTTGGCAGCAGTGTACGCCAGAGGATAACCGGTCGCCTTTGAAGCGAGGGCACTAGAACGGGAGAGACGAGCGTTGACTTCGATGACCCTGTACTCTTTCGAGGTCGGATTCAGAGCGTATTGGATGTTGCATTCTCCGACAACTCCGAGATGACGAATGACCTTGAGCGCAGCTGTTCGAAGCATATGGTACTCGTCATCGGGAAGCGTCTGAGACGGGGCGACGACGATGGAGTCACCAGTGTGTGTGCCCAGAGGGTCAAAGTTTTCCATGTTACAGCAAATAATGGTGTTCTGCACGCCGATAAGCAAAATGATGATTGTCGGAATGTAAGAAGACTCACATCGGCACCGTCTCGGACGACTTCGTATTCGAGCTCTTTCCAGCCCTTCATACTGCGCTCGATAAGAACCTGAGGACTCAAGCTCAAGCTCTTTGCAGACAGATCACGGAGTTCGTCGGGGTCGTTGGCAAAGCCACTGCCCAGGCCACCGAGGGTAAAGGCCGATCGTAAAATGACCGGATAGCCGATTTCCTCTGCAGCCTTGAGGGCATCATTGACAGAGGTGACTGCAGTCGACACAGCGACGGGAATATCAATTTCTATGAGCGGAACAACAATCAGCGGACTGCTTGTCCAACAGGGATACGAGTGATGCCTACCATTCAGGGCCTGCACGAACAGATCTCTGTCTTCGCTAACTTCGAGCGTGCGAATCGGTGTCCCCAAGACTTGAATACCGAGCCGTTCAAGCACGCCCATCCTGTCGAGCTCGATTCCGACATTGAGGGCACTTTGCCCACCAAACGTGAGCAGAACACCATCGGGGCGTTCTTTTTCGAGGACGTAGGCGACATAGTCAACTGTGATGGGTAGAAAATAAACCTCAGAGGCGAGCTGATGCGACGTCTGCCATGTCGCAATGTTGGGGTTGATAAGGACCGCGTCGACACCTTCCTCGCGGAGCGCCTTGAGCGCCTGAGAGCCTGAATAGTCGAACTCTCCCGCTTGTCCGATGGAGAGACCGCCCGAGCCGACGAGAACGACTTTGCGGACGTCTGGCCTCTTGAGTTTTGGGAGCACGCGCGCCGAAATCTTGCGGGCGAGTGCAGAAGGTGAGCTGAGGACGTGTTCGTCTGGTTCAGGTGTATAGTCGCCTACTGCAGCCTGCGCAACGGCAAAGGCAGGGCGCGAGGTGCATATCGTCGCCACTCGCTGCAGGTTAAATGCGCGACGGGGGACGCGTCCTGGACAGACTTTTAGGAGTGGACGAACAAAAGACATGTCCTAGAGCAGCAGAGAGACTGCAACGGCTGCACTGGACGGCGAGAAAAAAATGTGGTAGAGTCCAATGTCGAAACGCTCGGCCGTCGTCGGACAAGAACTGGCGAGCGGCTCTGATGACTCGGATTCACACGAGAATACTTTAAAAAAGATGTAGAGAGTCTTCACACTAGTATATATCATCTTGAGCACATGAACACTAGACCATTTTGAATAACAATGCACACATATCATCAAGCACGGCACGCGAGACCTCATCGCGCTGCAATAACCTCTGGATTCGAGTCTTGAGCACCCGCACCAGTCGCTGGCGCGCCATCCCCCTTGTCGGCCCCGCCTGGTCCACTTGCACTAGCCTGTGGCGTCCCTGACTGTTCTTTTGGTACAAACTCGGCAGCAGACGTGTTGAACCGCATTGTCCGATTGGCGTGCGCCTTCTCCGGGGCTGGACCCGATAGACCTTTAAACGACGCCGGATTCACGCGTCCAGGCGGGTGGCTGAACATGCAATCCGCACGAGTACAGTGAATCCCAAATTTGCAAGGGATCGCAGATTTAGAGGCAGCGGTTCCAGCCGGGTGAGAATATGGGCAGCCAGGTCGCGTGCAGTTGACACCAAACTTGCAAGGAACTGTGTTGATAAACGACGCTGCCGGAGCAGCTGAAACTGCCTGAGGTCGCGCGTGAGGCATCGGTCCGCTCATATCTAGAAAAAAGACAAGGTAAGCCACGCCTCAAAAAGGAAAGAAAAAGTACATACTCGTCCCAGCACTTGGATGACTAAGTGTACAATCCTTGTTTTGACATTTTCTGCCGGCCGGGCACGCCTCTGTGGAGAGTACGATACCCGACTCGGCCGTCGCAGCAGCCGATGGATGTGACCATCTGCAGAGTGCATTGGTGCAGTTGACGCCAAATTTGCAGAGAGTAGGGGAGATGGGTCGGTCAAAGAGGTCAGGAGGGAGATTCGATGCATTTGCGTTGACCGGTTGCGGAGCCTGGATGGGGCCTGCTCCGGGAGGTCCTTGCTGTTGGTTGTTGGGACCACGATTCATTTGTCGATTACGTTGGTCGGGAGCTCCGTTAAATGGGGGTCCGCCAGGCCCCATTCCGGGCATCCCAGGAATACCCGGTAGCGGCATCTGCATACCATTGGCCATGGTGTGGAGTAGGCCCTGCAGAAGAGCGTTTTGTTGCACCAACATCTCGGTCATGGCAAAGTTTGGATTCATCCCCGCCATTTCCGGATTGAAAGGACCCATAGGTGGCATAGGGCCTCCTGGAGGGAATCGTGGTCCAGGACCCATATTGTTCTGTGGCTGCTCCCGACTAAAACCACCCAGTCGATCCTTTAGACTTCGCTCATTGTTGGGCGGTCCGTCTCTCATGGCGCGAGGTCGCGAAGGGACGTCGGTTCTTCGTGGCATCTTGTTCGGGCTACCGGAAGGAGGTGATTGGGACCGAGTTCTCTTTTGCGCTCCAGACATGGCTTGATTGTACAATCGAGGCGGCGGACCATTTCGACGGCCATCTCGTTCCCGTTGGTCGTTGGCGAGAGTTGGGATCGATTGAAGCGGCTGTGCAGACTCTGAAGGTGTAGACTGAGCTTCCTCCACTGGTGCTGCTGATCCTGGGCTCTCCTTGCTCGCTTCGACAAACAACCAGTCGACAAAAGCGGGGTCCCAGGTGTCTGGCCCAATGACTAGGGAATATAAGCGAGATTTTGGCAAGATTATGAAGATACCTACAATCTGAAAGTTCCTTGTCGACCTGTTCTACACACGAGGAGTTCAGTCAGCCATGCCATGTATCAATAGAACGCTCCAAGGCGGACTCCAAGCATTTCAAACAAAAGTACCGTTCCTTGGAGGTCGCTCAAGGGAATTGATGGAATTTTCTGCTCACCAGGAGATTTCTTGTTGATCAACATGATGAGAACATATTCTGCCATGACTCTGTCTGGAGATACGGTAAGTACATGTCAATGCCACAAGCAGGAGGGATATATTCACCGTCTCCGACTGTGAATCCGCGTGCGACAAGTTCATTGTGGATGGCAGTCTACAGAAATCCTGTGTCAGCGGACGGGCGACGCGTTTTCTGAGCGAGTGGAGCCTACCTGAAGTGCTTCAGCCTTTGGAGTTCCTATTTGTAGGTCTGGGAGTTTAGCCTGCTTTGCCGTAGCCATCGTGTGGGTGTGATGGAGGGAGCCAAGTGTCACTCAACGCCGTTTTGTCCAAACTTGTCTCCCTTCTCTTTCGACTGCGACTGGAAAGCGCTAGCCAAAAAATATACATAAAATGGCTGATACATCAGACGCAACTCAGAAGCCTATTCAAGTCAAGCTGGTTTTACTAGGTTCGTCCATCGTGGCCCCTTGTGCTAGTCAACGCTTGCTGCAAGTCTCCTAAATCGACAAAGACGCTAACTATGCTCGATAGGTGAAGCTGCAGTCGGAAAGTCTTCTGTGGTCATGCGATTCGTCAGTGTTTTCAGCATATTCGGCGCCGTGGCTCCGTAGTCTGACCACGCTTGACGTATGTAGGTCAACAACGAATTTCAGGCCAACAAAGAACCCACAATTGGAGCAGCATTCCTTACGCAAAAGTGTCGACTCGAGGACCGCGTGCTTCGGTACGAGATTTGGGATACTGCGGGCCAAGAGCGGTTCCACAGTCTTGCACCCATGTATTATCGAAATGCACAAGCCGCAGTCGTCGTCTATGACATAACCAAGGCGGCATCGTTGGAGAAGGCAAAGTCCTGGGTCAAGGAGCTGCAGCGGCAGGCCAACCCCAACATCGTCATTGCACTCGCAGGCAACAAGCTCGACTTGGTTACTGGACAGGCGTCCACGCCCGGCACCTCTGCGGCAGCTTCGTCTGCAGACGACGAGGATGAGGCGGACGATGCCACTGCTACGCCCGGTGAGACGGAAGAAGAGGCTGGTTCAGAGAGCCTTCGTCAGGTGCCCAAGGATGAAGCGATGGCATATGCGACAGAGGCAGGCCTCTTGTTCACGGAGATAAGTGCAAAGACGGGCGAAGGAATCGTGGAACTGTTTACGGATATTGGTGCGCACTTGCAGTCTTGTATTCACTCACCATTTGCTCATTCCTCTCTAGCCAAAAAGATTCCGATAGAGCACATATTGGCCTCCCGTGGTGCAGCGGCTGGAGGTGCAGCCAACGCAAACCGTGCTCCAGCAGTCAATCTAAACGAGACATCGGACCCGAAGAATGCCTGTGCATGCTGATGCGCCGACGAGCCTTTGCGTACGCACGAGAGGGTCCGTCCGACGCACATCGTCCGTACGGCCAATGGTATACCAACACCACCAATTTATCAATCGATGATATGATGGATCCGTAGGATTTTATGTTGCTCAAAGGCCCCTGTGATCTTAATTCTGTAAATTCCCCGCTTGTTGCACCCGCTATACTGGTAGCATCTGCACATTAGACGCCCGTTGTCTTTTCCGTGTGTTCCTTGCGTGAGAACTGCTGTCCGCATATTCGGTGCGCCGGAGACAGAACGACGTCTAGATGAGGTGGCACTGCCAAGTGCTCAAGCGCGCCTCGAGGGATACCCCCTTTAAATAATTTACATCTTGGACCCGGCCTCAACATGGACTACAAGTCTCAGAACTCCTCCAACGCGCAACAGGCGCTCCTCAAGTCCTCCCAGCGGACCTATGGCTCGTCGTCGAATGCAAACGGCGCCGTTGCCGCGGAGAGCCGACCAGAGACACTGGTCGAGCCACCTGCCCTCCCAGAGGGACCTATGAAGGTCAAACAAGTCTTTGCAGCCATCGCCGTCTTGCTTTCCGGGGGCGCAAAGCTCGTCCACGTCTGGCTTCACATCTATCGTGAGTCGCGTTTGTTGTTGTCACGCGCGGAGGTTTGACAACGCCGATAGGACATGAGCCCGATACAAACTGGTTCAAGCCGGTGGACGGCATGCTTATCATCTTCTGGATCGCCGCGTATGCACTTCAACTCGATTATATCTTCATGTTGGGCCACAAGGCAACGGAGGAAGACCCAGAGGTAGGCAAACAACAATATCTACTATGCGCCTACTTACACAATCACAGGGTTATGACAGTGTCCGCAGTATCGCCAATGTAAACTTGCCAAAGTTTTTGTTCGCCCATGTTCTCCTCTGCCTGTGGCAGGTATTTTTGGTCGGTGACTATCACTTCCATTAGAACGTTAAAATAACATGATACAGATTATTAAACTTCCGATTTGCGCGTTCATCTGCGTCACATTTACCTTCTTCACGTTTGCCTCGATGTACACTTCCGTCCACCGACTCTGGAAAGAGAAGCATAACTATGGACGCACAGCCAGCACGGGCCCCTCTTTCCTGCAGGGACCCATGTCCGCCTTCCTCGTCTTCATCACCATTATCCACATGCCGTCGACTTTGATCATCCTCATCACGCACTACAAGCCACACGCCAATCTCGACGCTATTGAGTGGCCGCTCGCGTGGTGGATCCTCATCGTCAATGTTGCCGGCGCACACATTGCGACTCGTCGTGCAGTAGAGACCGCCCGCGCCAACGAGGCAAATTCCCAGCTCCGCGCTCAGAGGGCTTCCGCTGGTCTTTCGCGTACATATTCCCGTCGCGGTCCAAAGTCTGTTCCCGTTGATTTGGCAGCTCTCATCGCCTTGTTCTGGGGAACGCTCGCGGTCGCAGCGGGAACGGGTACAGTCAACTGTAAGTACTACAGGGGGTTCCTTTCTTGACACTCATGTGCTTCAGACGGTCCTGTCAGTGTCTTTGGATACATTTCTGCTCTCTGGCAAGCTCTCGCTCTCTTCGGCTCCATGGGTGAGTTCCAACACTATATCTCGACGCCGCTAATGCGGCACTCTAGCCGATTAAACAAGACCACTCTTTCCTTCTCAAAAGGATTGGAACAACAGTTTCCCCTATGGATTTGCTCTATATGTCAGATAGTGTTACCTCTAGATTGTAGTCCCGGTAATCTTTTCACACCACATGCTTTGCAATCCCACTTTCTTTTCATTCCACAACATACTAAACAGATAAACACCTACATAAATAGCCCCATGTTCTGCAACGGCTCGTTTAAGCGATGCTCGGGTGCAGGCGCAGGCGGATGATGCTGTCCTGGCTGTTGCTCGTGATCCATGGTACCTCCTTGCTGTTGCTGCTGTTGCTGCTGTTGCCGCTCGCGTTCAAGGCGCTCCAGCGCTTCTTGTCTACGCTGTTCGTAATACCGTCGAAGTATGATGAGACCACCAATGCCCATGGCCAAAAGCGCGAGCACAACCAGTTCCCAATCATCCTCAAACTCTTCAAATTCTGCATTATCTCCCTCTCCTTCTCTTCCAGCACCACCACCGCCAGCACCGTGTCGCCGTCGGGTCATACCGTCGAAATAGTCATCACCCGGATCCTCCTCGTCGCCAATCCCAACAGCGGCATCGCGGATATTCCGCGCTCGTTGAATCGGGTCTTCGTCGTCGACATCGACAACCTTTTGTCTGTCCGTTGCCGGCTCTGCGTTGCTCGAGCGCCATAGTTTGGGCCACCACCCCTCGTTTTCTGCATCATCTCCCCAGAGGATCAAGCTCGGTTGAGTTCCACCTCGTAGAATGTACCATAACGAGCGGAGGTGCAGTTTGATCAGGGAAAGCACGATTGGGAATTGTGCAGAGTGGTTATAGTCGAGTGCCATATCGTAGTAACGCTTGGCCAGATGAAAGTCCTGGAGGAATGTCAGCTACAGTCCTCGCAAGATAGAGATAGAATACCTGAGGCGCCCCAATACCATTCTCGTACATCCATCCAATGTTCCACATTGCAATCGTACTATATGAATCCGCAGCTGCATGGTAATAACCCGCGGCCTTTTCGTGTCGTAGTGCAGGTGGCTCATCAACGCCGATGCCATGATAATGCAGGTCCCCAAGCTTGACCATCGCATCCACGTCACCCTGAGCAGCAGATCGCGTCCAGTACATAATGGCGTCTTGCGCGGTATGGTTATACTCTTTCGATAAACCCGAGCCTGAGTGGATGGTTCGTTTTTGCGACTTTGCCACTGCATTGTTTCAGTACACACTCTTTCACAGAAAGACTAGAACTCACGCTCTTCGAGGACATACGCAAGATTATTCTGCGCAACTTCTACACCCCGGTCGGCGGCAATCTGCCAACGCACAATTGCGCCTTCTCTCAACGATGGATCCGGAGAGTTCCAATACTTTTCCGCCTCGGCGATGACGTTGTTCTTCCAGCATCCTCTCTCTGCCACTTGCTTGAAGAACGAAACAGCAGTGGTACAAGCCGGCGTGTTGTGAGGATTATTGCGCGCCATGTTTGCATGGATCGTGGCTGCATAGTAGAATGCCTCGAATTGTGACCCGTAGCGAATGGCGTTGTCGAAATAGTTCTTCGCCATGACCATGTTTCCATTCCCTATACGTGTCTTTCAGCGAAGAGCGAAGAAGAGACGTAAACATACGGTAGTAGATCTTCCCCATGTTGACCAATGCCTCTGGTAAATCCTGTGCAGCAGCACGACTGAAATAAACAATCGCCTTGTCGTTCTTCTCCTTTCCGTCCAATAACCCATCACGATAGATGATACCCAACGCATTCAAAGACTCTTTATCACCCTCGAGTGCCCCCCGTTCGAACCACATCTTGGCAATCTTGATATCTTGTCTAATTCCCTCGCCACGAAGATGCATCCTGCCTATAAAATGCGCGGAAAGAATAGCGAAATACATATCCGTCGGATCCACGTCGGTAGCCTTGAACTGGTTGACATTTGCGGGATTGTCCCGTGGCCAGACTTTGCGCGCGACTTTGAAAAAGTAGGAGCGCGATTGCACAAAGTCCTTTTGCACAGTAGCGATGCCTTCGACACCAGCAGAAATACCTCCGGGTGTGACATACATCCCACCATGGTAGTAAATCTTTCCAAGTCGGTAAGCAGCCTCGATGTCTCCTCGGTCAGCGTGGAACTGGACGAAATGTGAGCGAATGCAAAATGGGATAAGGGAACGTACCCTCCAGTATTCGATGACTTCATCCCACCTCTCTCCAGTCTTGAGTGCTTGGGCTGCTTTGATGATAGGCCGGTTCGCCATGAGGCCCGTCGACGCAGTGCTGGCTCCGTAGCCAAAGACGCCGCCAGCCATATCCGTGAGCTTGAGTGGTGTAGGGGGAAGGGTTCGGCCACCAGGTGGACCAGATTGGAAATGCAGCAACGCTGCTAGACGTTAGACATAGCCAAATGAATGAGTAATCGACAAACTGACACTTTTCTGCTGCACTCTCATACCAATCAAGCGCTTGTAGGCAATCCTCCGAGACGCCAATACCCATGAAATATCGATATCCGAGTGCCATTTCTGCATGTTGATCCCCGCCAAGCGCTGCAAAAGTATAGTAGAGCAGTGCTTGGGCTTGATCAATGGGAACGACACCCTGCAAGCCAGTCGAATGAATGAACCCCAGAACTGCTTGAGAGGTCGAGTTTCCGGTTATACTCGCATGCTTGTCAAATGCCAGCAATGCTCGAGTCGCATTTGGTGCAGCGCCTGGAGGAGGAAACTATACGACATCAGCGCTCGAGCCACGAAATTTTGGTAAAAATAGCCGACCAGGGATGACATTCCTAGTGTATACGTCGCCTCGAGGTTACCCTTCTCGCTCGCTTCCTCTAGCAATGCAAGTGCCTTTGCAGCCTGAGAAGACGCCTTTTCGCGAATATTGGGGTTGGGGCGTTTGAAATTGAAAGATTTGAAGACTCGGACAGGGAGAAACGAGAGTTCTTGCTCTATACGACCGAGTATTCTTACAGCGGTGGCGATGGGACCTTCATGGTTGGGGAATAACGAGGCGAGGAGTGATTTTGGACGATTTGTTTCCGCTGCAGCCTTTTGCAACGTTCTCGCGGATGGTAGCGAGGCAAGGAGTTCCAATGCTTTTCTGTACTGCTCGTCTGCATGGCTTTAGCGCGGTTCTTTGTAGTATGAAGGATAATGCATACCTCCATTTGTGGAAGAAATAGCTGGTGGTTCGGCCTAGACACAATTAGCGATGATATTGACGAAAGCTACCGGACACGTACTTGACGTTGATCAGAGGACTGGGGTTGTTGAGGTACTGTTAGCAACTAACGATAGCTAAATAGACGAAATAGTACCTCTTCTTTGCCCGACACGTCTCCTGCGTGATGCTTATTATCGTATGCTGCCTGCACGACGGGAGTGCACGCTGCGAGCGCTACGACGGCAAATGCAAGCCATGTAGCGCGTCGCTGATGAGTCGAGTGCTTTCGCCTCATGGACGAAGCGAGTTGAAGTCGAGTCCAAGAAATCTAAGGCAGGTGGTGCCAAGGTGAGTAAGAAATAGGTAGTATTATTCAGAGTAGGGTTACAGCCAATAAAAAGAAAAAAAAGAAAATCCGCTGTCAGCTCAATGCAGTAGTGTAACGCAAAGGCCAACTTGCCAATCGAGGTGCAAGCAGAGCTCGAAAGGCGACGGCGTCAAAAATAAGATAACCATTAGTGACCGCAGTGCGGTCATTTTAGTGGTTAAACTAAAAAGAACAGATACTACACTTGATCTAAGCCAAAAGGCCAGAGGTGGTAAGGAACCAGTAGCTGCAGCAGGCCCTCCTTTTATGTCTGGCGACGCACAGACCTTGTGGCCAAAGTCTGCAGTGGCTGTGCCCTTTGGACTCCTAGGTACAGCTCCGACTCAAATATACAGTCAGGTTTATGTTTCTGGCAGTAGTTCTGAGTAAATGCGATTGCACGACAGTAAATACAAGTAATCTATTCTTCCTCCTCGTCACCCGTGCTTTTGAGGATTGTCAGTCACGAGTAGACAATAAAGCTGAATACTCACGTAAGGTTGAAGAAGCGAAGTTCGTATGTATCTTTTGACGATGCAACGACTCTAAACTAATCGTCAGTTGCTATACACTCTCACTAGATAAACGTACCGGATAAAGTCGCGGAGGGTACTCTTCTTCAAGTACTTTTTGGTGAGATACTTGAGATATCGTTTCGACAGTGGGACTTGGGAGGTCACCGTCAATCGCTGGTCGTCTATACAGCCCGTTTAGAATCATCTATTGTCGAAATACAAGGCCAACGTACTCTTCTTAATCTCAATCTTGTCCTTGAGATTTCCCTCCTTTCCATCGACTTTGATGTGGTCGTGCAAAAACTTTTCGAATGCAGCCGTGTCAAAGATTTGGTCTGCGGCCGGGCGCGAATAGTCGATGATAAACTTGTGCTTGTAGGCAGCCTTTCCCTTGCCAGCTGGTTTCGATGTCTTTGCTGCTTTGGACTATATTATTTGGGGCAAGAGTGTCAGCATCTCGTCGTGTCGCTCGTCCCCCTCGTTCCCAGGAATTCGCAGAGACAGAGCCCGCCTACTGAGAAGGACACTCAGCAAAGCGAACTAGACGAACCATTGTCAACGTCTCCTTTTGATCAACCGGTCGCAATCGAAACGAATGGGTGGCCCAAGTTTAGGTTTGTCGTTATTTGGCGGTCCAACAAACAAGCCTCTGGCCCCTTTGTCTCCGCTGGCTGTAATATAAGCAAAGATGATACAAATCACCCTTGAATATGGGAAAATAAACTTTCAACGCGTAGAAGCCTCATTGAACGCCTCTGCGTGATCGACATCACAATGGGACGTTGCTCCGCCAAACAGCCCTACGCTAGACTCCCTCATTCTTGGAGCCTCCACCTTGTTTATAGCTCCTCAGCCCTTGTTCGTCTTGACGGACTGTTGGCTCAGCGCCGTCGCGTATAAGAGAGGTCCGTCGCGCGATCCAATCTCGACACAGTTTGACGTATATTCTAGATGGTTACTCTTCCTATAGAGATTTGGATCCAAGCCTTTCGAGCAATGGGCTCCCTCCGTCACTCGGTTGACGTCGTCTCCTCTCCGTTTGACCTCGACATAGCCCAGCGCTCAAGGGACTTTGAGACAGAGTATTTGGATATGATCAGGTCCAAACTCTCTGCAAGTCTCGTATGCAAAACATGGAAGGAATACATGGCACCGTTTCTCTGGGAGGTTGTCTGCCTCTGGCCCGGTACCCGGTTCCACAGTATCGGCAGGCTTCTGAGCCGGGACAAAGTTGGTCACTATATACGTGTGCTACGCCTCCAAGGCTCTCAGCGTTGGACCGTTTTTGACCTTGCCAATGTCCAACGCATCCTCCAATACTGCTCACGGCTCGAGTCGTTCATCCTGCCCGAACCATGGCACGCCCCCCGGGTTGACAATCAACTTGACGCACAACTGGCCACCACCCTTCGAGAGGCTCACATTTCCATGCTCGACGAAGCCGGCATTGCTCGAGTACTGGAGAATCAAAATCTGGCGATACTCTACGCTCACACTCAGCATGCGCCACCGTGCTCTCAGGCACCGGACGTCCTGCTTCCAGTCCTACATACCTTGTCCATACGGCTAAGCGACATGTCTTCGCGTAAAATCCTCGCGCCCTCCCTCCAGCGATGGATACTGCACGACCTGATTGACGACGTCGAATATCAGCACCTCTTCGACTATTACTCTCCGCTCCTACGTACTTTCGAGTCGTATGGGTATTGGTCAGACTATCGGGTCATTACATCCATTCTTGAGAAAATGACCAATCTGGTCGAGTTGGTCATCCAACTCAACCCAAACGACCTCTCCGCCGTCCCTCATCAACTCCCACCACAGCTTAAACGACTAGGGTTCACTTTAGGAGACACGGGCTACCCATGGGTCCTCCGCGGAGACGAGGCGACTTTTGTCTGGTTCCGGGATCACCTCGAGGACTGGATGGCTCTAGCCATTGCAAACGCGCACATACTGCTGCTCATCCGGTTTCTTGATTGGGATGTCATCAAGCTTCCGCCCAAAAAGTTGCCTGTACGGAGAAAGTCGTACAATCGCTGGTGGTTGACATGCCTCAAGTCTGCTGCAATGAAAGGGATTGCGGTCCAAAACGAAAAAGGACAAACACTCGAAATTGAGAGTGATTGCTAGTACGTGTAGTATAACGTATTATACTACTTTGTTTCATACCCTTGCTTGCTGAGCCAGCATTTTGGCCTTCCCCATATCTTTTACCGGAGCGTGCCCTCGACGCTCGTGTCTATTTATCCGACTCATAGAGCTTGATTTATGATGAACACTATAGAGGATCCCAATTTAACGCTCGTCACGCCTACGCCGCTTAGTATCACGCGCGCACCAACCGCAAACTCCTTTTCCGACATAGACGTACCCAAAAATAGATTATATACCATATGGGATAAGGTTGGACGACCGTTTAATGGAATTATACGCGATATCCGTGCTCGTTTGCCGTTTTATACCTCGGATTGGACAGATGCGTACAATTATCGTGTAGTACCTGCCACAGCCATGATATTCTTCGCCAAGTACGTTGATTTGCTTTGATTGAGTTGGTGGAGACTGATACAGAACTGTTTAGCGTGCTCCCAGCTATTGCATTCTCCCTCGATTTGATCGAAACCACGGGACAGTACGGCGTGGCAGAGGTTTTACTAGCGTCTGCACTTGCTGCTGGACTATTTTCACTCTTCGCCGCGCAGCCTCTTTGTATCGTTGGGGTGACTGGTGCGTCGAGCAATGATAATTGCACAGTTGCTGATTACCGAGCAGGACCAATCACTGTCTTTAACAAGACGATCTATGATATATTACAAAAGCAACATAACCCACCACCGTATCTCCATTTCGTTGGATGGGTGTACCTTTGGGCTGCCATCATGCATTGGGTATTTGCCATCTTTAACGGCTCAAACTTTCTCCGCTACCTTACGCGATTTGCCTGCGACACTTTTGGGTTCTTTGTGGCATGGGTGAGCGGTTTAAGCTTTCATATAATCTCAAAGTATAATTGATAATGATAGGTATACCTACAATATGGGGTGCAAATGGTTACCAGACAATTCCATGAATCCGCGACTGAATCCGCATTGGTTTCACTCATTCTGGCTTTGCTCGTGGTCGGAGTCGCACAGCTCTTCAACGTAGCCGCCAACTCGACTCTCTTCCATCGACACGTCCGAAGATTTCTTAGCGACTATGGTCTCCCTATATCCGTCATTGCCGTCTCCGCTTGCGCACAGTGGGGAAGGTTCAGATTGGCGAGCCCGACCAAGCTGCCTGTAGGACAGTCCTTTGAGCCAGCTGGTGATAGACCATGGCTCGTGCCTTTCTGGGAAATGAGCGGAAAATGGATCGGAATTGCTCTTCCATTTGGTTTTGTGAGTGCACTCCCTAAAGTTGTGTCATTTGCTTGACACCGTACAGGCACTCTTCGTCTTATTCGCGTTTGACCACCAGGTGTCAGCGCTTATTGCTCAAGGCTCCGAATTTCCTCTGAGAAAACCGCCAGGATTTCACTACGACTTTTTCTTACTAGGCATCATGACGCTCATCGCTGGGATCATCGGTGTACCGGCCCCAAATGGACTGATTCCACAAGCTCCAATCCATACGCAATCCCTAGTTGTTCACGGTATCCGCATCAAAACCGACGAAGAGCAGGTCGACGAGAAGAATGCGGGCGAGGCCCACATTCGTGGCCTGAACGCCGAGGAACCTATCGCAGTTGTGGAACAGCGCGTGTCAAACTTGGTCCAAGGTGCACTCAGTCTCGTCCTCCTTACGAGCCCCTTTCTCCGAGTCCTTGCACAAATCCCGCGTGGCGTTCTCGCAGGGTTATTTTGGCATATGGGTCTAGATGCCCTCGCAGAGAACGGGATTACAAAGAAAATTCTCTTCCTCTTGCGGGACAAGACGATGCAGAATCCTCATGATCCTCTCCGCCGTGTGCGCACTTCGCGCCTTGTCGCATTTGTGCTCATCGAGCTCGTGGCATTTGGTGCGACGTTTGGAATTGTCCAGAATTCACTATCGGCTATTGGTTTTCCAATCATCATTGGACTGCTTGTGCCCCTCCGATCGCACATTTTACCTCGCTTACCCTTCACCAGAGACGAGCTTTCTATTCTCGACCAACCAACGGCGTCTCCTTTCGTAAGCCGATCTACCCCCTCGTTTTAGTTTTTCTGACTCTAGTTTGAGACCATGGCATCCGTCGGCGGTAGCCCACACTAGACGATTGATTTCACAGGTTCTCCTGGCCAACTACATACACGCATGATCAGAACCTATTCCCAGCTGCCATGTAGGCCTGCACGAATTGGGCGGCAGCGGGGTTTTGGCAACGTTGGATGAGTGCCTGCCATGTCGCAGGACCCGTCCGTTGTACTGCCTGAGACAGTTGGCCCATCAGATACTGCATCGGTTCCCCGGCGTACGCGACCGGATCTGGGCGTGCTATTTCGGATGCTGCGAGTTTAGAGTACGCGACCTGATAGCCCGTTGTCTGCTCTTCGTAATCAATAGCAGTGATTCCGGCATCTGGGTCGTCGTCTTTCTCGGATTTTGGAACCTGAGTACTGAAAAGGTCGAGTAAGGCGCCAAATGTGAGTGGCCTGTGACCGAACTGTTAGGAACTCGATGCGATGCGTGATATACGCGTACCATACGTCGCTGTCTGCCGCAGAAGCAGTCACTTGACCTGCGAATAACAACCTCACGAGCCCAATGCTGACCAGTCTTTTGTCTTGAGGCGGAATTTTCGGAATCACCGGAAGCATCAAGCCTTTGAGGACAGAAACCCAGAGGCTGCAAGATGTCAGCAAGCATCAACGAATTAGAGTGTCGACAAACTTTGCCTGGATTTGATTGATGACGGTTGGAATCGTATCTGGTGTATACCCACCGCTTTCGAGTGACGCAGTGTAGCAGACCCAATGAACCATACCCACAACAAACTTGTCAGTCCGGCTCGTTTGCGCTCGCTTCAAAAGAGTCATAACGAGATCGCCTAGGTATTGCTGCATGGTGGCACTAGTCGATCATCAGCTTGTGACCAATAGGTATAAATTCTAGATCGCGCACGCAGGAATATTGGATACTATCCCTTCCAGAAGCTCAAACGCCCATCCATCGTGTAATTTCGATGGTATCAGCCTTTGTTGAATGATGCCAAAGACAGTCGTAATTTGTCCAGTTTGTATGAGTCGCGTGGAATCCTTGTCCAAGAAGGCCCGAACGAGGCGCACAAGGCCTGGAATACTGCCCTTTTGTTGCCACGGCGCAACTTGTAGAATTCCGGTAAGGAAGGTGTTGTAAAAGTCAGGAATGACTCCTTGGTTGAGCTCGAGTAGCTGAGCAACGATCTGGAATGCGTATGGCACAAACTCTATCGACTGGCCGTGAGGGAGAGACAAAACAGAAGCGAGCATCTTACGATCTATATCCTCTCGGATGATGTAAGTAAGCGGCCCAAGCAAGCCTTGCTCAAATGCAGGAAGCGATGTAGGGGAAGCAGGAACGATGAACCTGAATACCATGGATCAGTAACACCTTATCATCCTAGAGGGTGTCCCTGACCTAATAAGTGCAGACACAGTCTCGAAAGTATACTGGTTAAAGTTTGGATTGCTGGGGTTTCTGCTGACAGCGCCCAAGATGGCGATGATCCTATTCAGGAGTCGGTCATGGGTGCCGGCCAAGGAGCCTCGTGCAGCTATCACGATTCTCATGACACCTAGGGGAGTCAGAAACCGCCACTTTAGTAGCTTCACTTACATTTCATCAAATACTCATTCTCTGCAATCTTCTCAGGAGATTTTCCCGCCTCCATTTTGGCCAGGAGAGCCTCAATTGCAGTTTGAGCGAACGAACTCACGTCTCCAGCTTCAAACCTATCGGAGTTTAGTATGTATAAAAGCGTCCATAAGACATACAGAAGCTTGGTAGACTGGGGTTGTTTCATGAACAGAATACGCTCGATGGCGATTGCGCTGTATGTGTATACAACATAGTTTGGCGAATATAAGTGCTGCACAAGCAATGGCAGAACCGAAAGGAGTTGCTCCTTTGATAGCTAATAACCGCTGAGAGTGTTCTTCTGAAAGCAAAGAAAGGCGGCATACCCGACTTCTGAATGTATAAAGGAAGCGAATCGCGTCGACTTGAAGAACAGGATGGGCAGCGGTCGCACTCTGGAGATCTTGGGCGATAAACTTGGAGAAAAAGTCGACGACATCTACGAGTGGGTTGACAGATGTGATTCCTTGCTGTGAATAGTCAGCATAGCCAAAGATTCAGCTGATGGTACGAAACACCTGGGTTGTCACTCCTCGCGCTGCTACTGCACTAATGAGGAAGATTGCAGAATCTTTGGACTTCCAATTCTCTCCTGGGTCTTTTGTATATTGCTTAGGGAAACTCAATTTCGGTCCTCTGGGCAGAGTATGACAAACCTGAAGACCAAGGTTCACCCACGAGGAGACAATTTCAGTGGCCTGTTGCTCGTATCCATTGTTAACCAGTGACCGTACGACATCAGCGGCTGCCTGTCTTCGAGTTGTTCCATCTCCTCCGCCACTTGACGAGAAGGATGCCGTTCCCGCACTTGATGATGGGAGGGACAAGTCCAGGCGGATGAATTCCAGGGGATCATCTTCGAACTGCTCGACTTCGTGATCTAGAGGACCATTAGAAATCGAAACTGACGAAGGCTACGACCTGACCTCTGAGTTGCACGTTGGGTACAACGATGCCTCTGACGAGTTCTTCCAAGGCATTTCGCTCGTTATATATGTCCTTATATTGCCCAGACCTGATGGTTGTCGACAGTAAACGCATACACTGGGCGATCAGAGGATCGTCTCCAACAGCGGTGTACGCGCCGCCTGATACAATTATCCAAACGGTTTGAATAAAGCTTGATATCGTCGTAGAATCCCCGAAGAGCTCGCTGTATCTCGAGGTGAACAGCTAGAGAAGTCGTCACTGTGTATCAAAGAACAGACCGTGAATATTACCTCGGCGATCTCTAGGACCGTGGTTTTAATACTGGACAAAAGACTAGGGGTTGTATCGTCGGGCTCCCCAGCCAGCTCCTTTGACTCCCATTGGAGGTATCGGGGAAACCATCCCGTTGTCGGGGCGAAGAATTCGTTGAGAGAATCCTCGAAAATCGGTGGAAGATCCTGTGCGGTGAGATCGTAGTATAGCTGAAGCATTCGTAGTGAAATCTGTGCTTGTACATCCAGGTCATTTGGAATCTGTTTCTCGAAGAGTGCGCCGGCAAAGACACGGAACACTTGAAGAAACGGATTGGCGAATCGATCCAGGACGAGGTTGATCATCGTATACAGGTTATCGCTACGAATAGCCGAGCGCCATGGACCACAAATCGAATGCGCTGTTTCCAAGATGGCAAGTGTTTGATGGAGTTGAGTTGGCGAAAGTGAGTTGACGAGTTCCTAGGGCAGTCAGATAACGCAATACTAAGTATGTTTACTCACATCAAACAGAGTTGGCCATTGCGATGGGAAATCTGCGGCTGCGACTAGAGAAACTGACTCCGCAATCTGAGCCCGCAAGGCTTTGTCGCTAGGTCCAGAGAGCTGAATCATTGCCAGGATGAGGTTTTGTCGTAAGCGTATTTTGTCATCCTCGGGTATAGGTTGAACGTCGTCTTCCGGATCCTAATCGAACATAGGTCAGTCCGGCGTTTGGACGGCGTCTGCGAACAAGAAACGTTGCAAGTCGCGGCAAATTATGCTAATCAGATTACTTTAAGAGTCTTGTATATAACGTGCTCTCCGTATACTCGCGATCAAGGCACGAATATGTCCGCCACTGAAGATGATTTCACTGTCAAAGGGTACTCAGGCTCACCAGAGTCCATCGCTTCCGCGCGATATTTTTTAAGTAAACTCCAGAAGAAAGACGGATGGCTCGGTCTTGAGCATTGTCCAATGTGAGCGCGAGTAGGTCAACCGCGAATCCTGGCTGCAGCGAGGACTGTTCGAGTATTGTTTCCGCCTGTTTACGCGTTTGAGGATCCAAAGATGCTTTGAAAAGCGCAGAAAGTTCGGCAATCGCGACCATTCTTGCTACGTCTGAGAGTGTGGACGAGACAAGGAACACAGGGCGTTGTTTGTCCATTCGCATCTTGGACCCGCTCATGTCTAAGAAACTTCACCTCAAAGAAACGCCTGTTGAAAGAGAGCAAAGGCTTCGAAAGGAAGAAAGGAGAGCTCGCAAGAAACAGAAACGAGGTCAGCCCGAACTTGGATTCGTCTTCGAGCACGAGTCTGAAGAACGGCACTGGAGGCTCTCTGAGCCCGAAATATATCGAACTCCAGGAGATGTTGGCGCCTCATATAACTTAGCTGGAAGCTCAGGTGACACCCCGAATTATGCCGACTATAAGAAGATCGAAAAGGAGCTCGAAGAGGCCAAGTTCAGGGCCAAATTATTCGACGCTATGGACGACGATGAGCGCCTGGACTCAATAGAGGCGCGCTTTAACGCATATCGTGTCCCAGAGCGCTGGCAGGATTCTCGACAAGCAACGGAGAACCCTAACGAGATGGATGAAGACGAATATGCCGAGTGGATACGGAGGGGGATGTGGGAGAAAAAACACCAGCGCGAGATGGAAGAAAGGCGAAGAAAGGAACATGAGGCCGAAGAGCGCAGAGCACGCGAGAAGGCTCAACGGCGCGAGATGAGGCGTCTAGAGGAACAAGAGCGTGCAAGGCGCCGTGAAAAGGGCCAACAAGCAATCCAAGACGCATTTGCATCCTACCAAGCGTCCTGGGATAGATTGGCCTCAATATCCAATGATGATCGCATACTCACCTATGCCGACATACCGTGGCCCATATCACGAACAGCACCATCAGATAACGACATTACCATGGACTCAATTGCTCAATTCCTTCTCTCTGAGGCCCACTCTGTTGATAAATCGAAGCGCCGGCGTATTCGAGACGCCCTCTTCATCTACCACCCGGATCGGTTCGAAAAGTGGATCTCTATGATCAAGGATGATGCCGATAGGGAGCACGTTCGCGAGACTGCTGGGAAAGTCGTTAGGCTCCTCAACCTCCTGGCCGACCAGTATTCCTCGTAAACAGGGCATCCTCTCACGAAAGAAAAGATTTTTGAAGAGAGTATATAAAAACGACTGTGAAGGGCGCTAGGTATGAGATATCTGGATCTTTTTTGGATTTTGGCCCTGAAATTTGGAAGAAGAGATTTGAGGAATTCGAAGTGGCTTCACGTCACCTCGACACTTCATCCATGGTCACTGTGAGGCTAGCTCAAGCCTAGGGGATACTTAGTACCCAGTCTACGGCAGCGATGGATCACTCACTGATTTAGGAGGAGCGGGGCGGCTGAAAGACGGAGGAGCACCAGAGTGTGCAGGAGGCGTGCCACTTGGAGGGGGAGGAGGCACGAAGCTTCCGGATGGGTGACCGTGAGGAGGCTTCGAGCCAGATGGCTTGGGTGGCGGAGGAGATCCACTTGGCTTCTCTTCGCGCTTGGAATGTGCTGGAGGAGTGCCCCTAGGTGGAGGAGGAGGTACAAGGCTGCCTGAAGGGTGGCCATGAGGAGGCTTTGAGCCAGACGGCTTGGGTGGTGGCGGCAAAGGTGAGCCACTCGGCTTCTCCTCACGCTTAGAATGGGCAGGAGGAGTACCACTCGGTGGAGGCGGTGGGACGAAACTTCCAGAGGGGTGTCCATGAGGAGGCTTGATTCCGGAGGGCCTAGGTGGGCGAACGGATCCGCTAGGCTTTTCCTCGCGCTTAGAGTGGACTGGCGGCGTACCACTTGGAGGGGATGGGGGAACGAAGCTGCCAGACGGATGCTCATGAGGGGGCTTGGACTCGTGAGGAGGATGAGGCACAAAGGATGCGCTAGGCTTCTCACGTTTCTATCCCGAGAGATGTCAGCAACTATCTTTCAATAAAGTGAAACCCAGACCTCATGAGGCGGTGGGAGTGATCCAGTGAAAGACGGCCTTGGAGGACGCGAAAACGAGCCTCCGGGTGGGGGCGGAGGGAACGACAAACTTGCAGGAGCACTGAACGTGGGGCGAGGTTCAGAAGGAACAGAACCGCTTGGGCGCTGCCTCCTTTCGATCTGCTAAAGCGTCAGAGGGTGTCAAGCAAGCTCTAAGGACGTACCGGGCTGGCGCTGGCAACAGCGAGAACGCAAAGAGTGACGAAGGTCTTCCAGTACATGTCTAATGTGTGCTGTCTTTCAAGGTCGAGCTTGACTGCAGTTTGGTCGAGCTGGAGTCACTGCCTTTATAGCTGCCAGTGGGCACTCTCGGAAAGATATTTTGGCTTACGGAGCGACTTTATCCCGCGAAGTATGCATCCTGAAGCTTTGGAAGAGGAATGGCGGTCACTACGACTGGCTAGCCCGGTCCTTTACGGACTTCAAGTTTGATCTATGCGCAATGAATTCATTTCAGAAGTCTCAAGCGAAGTTCGAAGAATGAGTAATAGTCTCCCGAAGGTAATGCAACCGTGCGCTTCGTTTGGCGTTTCGACAGACCCAGTGACGATGGCGTTCTTGCAATTTTTAGAGTCCGCCTTTTTGCATTGATACTCCTCCTCCTTCTCCGCAGCCCCCGCAGCACGAATGCGATCCTGCATGCACCGGAGGAGCCTTCCACGGTGGTTCCTGGGAGTAATCGAACGAGCCGGTGGGGAAGCGCCAAAGCTGAATGAATTGCACCAGAATCCATCCGGTCAGTCATTGGTCACCAGCGCGGAGGAATATGCGGACCGCAAGCGACGTGACGGGAAATTGAATGGCCACTGAGCTAAATGTCAAAGTATGCTTCTATGGTCCGCAGCAGTCGAGATTGACCCTTGTAAGTCTTTGCGGTCCCGCTCAGTCAGTGGCAAAAAGGACGACTAGCCGAAGGACTCATCGATGTGTGAACAATTGACGTCTAAGGACAATTTTAACTAGATTGGATCTGTGCTGACAGAAAATAGGGATAACGAGGCCTGAATACGGACGGGGCCCTGCTGTGCTTTTTCGGTGCAGCCTCATTTGAACAAGCAGGGTCATTGCGAATCTTCCGAGCAGTTCCCACTGTTTGAGTTTTCATAAATAGCACATAGAGGAAGCTTCCGTAAGCCAGCGAAAAGTTGAAAGGAGTGATCCGTTATGCAGCATTACGCCAAGTCATGGCGTGATTTGAGGCAATCATAGAATCCATATGATCAAATTCGAATACGTCTGTGCTTTACAGACCGCCATAAGTGCCTACCGCAAGCGCGTACATGAACCATGCATTACATCCAAAAAGGGCGGAATTACTGCGCTTTGCACCTAACTAAGTTACTTTGATGTGAAGGAGGAGAAAACTATATGGAATTTGAAGCGAGTGAAGTCTTCAACACAGCTCTCCAAGTATTTCTACAGAACCACGACGAGTACCTCTCACTTCCATCCGATAGATGCGGAAAGCGAAGGGGGTTTCAAGGGACTACATTGCAGTCATGAATTTCTACTTGCTATTTGTGACACCAAATGGGTATGGGCTCTCACTCTCAAAAGAACACGGCGTGTATCACTTGTTTCTGTGGCAGATAATTTTTTCGGACTCCCATTAGATCGTCGTCTGTAAGCAAGGCGTAAATGGAATGACAGTCTGCGAGCAAGAATTACCTGATCAGGAGATGGAGTGGGATCGCTGCTTGAAGGCTGAGGGAACGTTGGGAAGGAGAAGCTCTCGGGGGGCTGCGGGAGCGAAAAGCTATCGGATGGTTGAGGAAATGAAAAGCTAATGGACGGCTGAGGGGACGATGGGAATGAAAAAGTTCCGGATGGTGGTGGAAACGAAGGAAAAGAGAAGCTGCCGGACGGTTGCGGAAACGAAGGAAAGGAAAAGCCCCTGAAGGTTGAGGGAATGGAGGGAATGAAAAGCTCCCAGATGGAAAAGAGAAACTTTCAGTGGGCCCAGGGAAGCTAAACGAGCGACTCGGGAACTGAGTTACCTGTAAGCACCAGTATCGCACGAGACTCAGCACATACTTGTCTCTTGTCCTGAATCTACCGGAAATCGATGAGTCGTCGACTGTGGGATCAGTTGTACGCACTGGAACAGCAGTGGTGGCGGCGACCGCACAGAAAGCGAGGAGGACCTTGAGCTGCATGGGGACTGGCACGGGGATCCAACGAGGATGAGTTCGCAGACAGTGTGAGTGCAGTCTTTTATACTGTGAGCGCACTTGCTCCCGTTGCATACCATTTGGAGCCAAATATAACGTGGTCAGTACTGTCGGACACTTTGTAACCAAGTTCAGAAGTGCGGAAGTCAATACTCGGTGGCAAAGAACAGTGAGCCCGAAAGAAGCTAGAGTAATTAGAGCATGTCAACGCCTTGCAATATTGCAACAGAAAACGTTCGACTGTGGAGAGCTAAAGATCATTTTGGGATTTGAAAATAGCCTGCAACAGGGAAAGGATGCTACCCGGCTTCTCGAATTACTGAAGACGATCACACATTGTCAAGGCCGCAACCGATCCATCCCTTGGATAAAAACCAGGTTGCTAGAGTGGAAGAATGTTGATTACGAGAGGCTCGAGAGGAAATAGGCATCCGAAGGAATGGCAACGTGAAATACTCGCTTTCATTTTGTTGCCCAACGAGGACAGGTCCAAATTATAGAAGCCGAAGAGGCCCGACCTCTATCCGAATTATCGGACCAGATCCAATAGGAATGTTGGAGTATCAGCTTACTGAGGTTTTACCTTCTGGACGCATTTGACACCGTTGTATGAGCATTGGGATACAGGACAGTCATCAAGATGTACTATTTCAAGATGGAGTAGGGTCGTCCAGCTCTTAGTCGGGACTCTTATTCTCTCTACCTACTTCGTCGATGTAAGCACCAGTCTCTACGACCATGAATGAGGGAGCCTCAGATAAGCATGCGGGACAGATTCGAGTATATTCCTACATTCCACAAGGGTATATGTCTCATGGCACGAGCTGAGGCCTGCGGAAAAGCTAAACAAGGAGTATCCTCGCATTTAGGCGGTCTAGAAGATTGTGAGCGGGAGGCTTGGAATTTTAAGTAATGCTCACATGAATGGGAGGACGAGAGGTGGATCCAGATGGAGCCGGATGAGATGCACTTCCCGAGGGCGCACCTGGATGAGATACGTTACCAGGAGGAGCTGGGTGAGATACACTGCCAGAAGGATGAGGAGGCACTACTGTGCCCGAAGGATGAGGGAATGAAAAACTACCCGACGGATGAGGGAACGAAAAGGTGCCCGGAGGGAGATGCGTTCCGGAAGGATGTGGATGAGAGGCACCACCGGAAGGGTGGGGGAAAGAGAAGCTTCCCGAAGGGTGAGGGAAAGAGTGGCTTCCAGAGGGAGCCGGATGGGAGCTGGAGCTGGCTGGAGCCTATGGTCAACTTTAGTATGGCTCCAAGTATCAGAACACGTGAGTTATACCGAATGAGAAGTTCCACCAGGACGAGTAGCAGAGCTCGTGAGAATCTAGCGCATAGGTCAAGCATGTCACAGTAAAAATGGTGTGCGTACTGGACTGGAGCTGGCAACAGCGACGAGGCAAAGAGCAAAGAGGGTGCTGAAGTGCATCCTGGTATGTGCGTTACACGGGCGCGGAGAAAACGTCCTAGGTGAGGATGAGGATGCATCCCTCCCATCCCCACCTCATTTTATAGCTCACAGCTCGATAGCGTTTGCCAACTTTCGGATATTCTACATCACTCTATGAAACTTCTGTAAAGGAATTTCAATACTTGGAATTATCTCCCACTGGTTTGGAGACGAGTCGGAGAATAAGATGAGTCTGTCGGGGAATGTGGAGACCTTCCTCCGACGTAAACGTGCTCTAGATTTGATTCTTCCTTTCTGAAATTGCTGGAAAGAAGTAGATATGGCGCCTTCATCCCAAAATATGCTCAATGGCGGATGTCGTTGGCTGAAGAAGAGCCCTTCTGTTCCCTTGATGTGTCTAGAACGTATATGAGGCGACTGATTTGTCGCTATATTGGGATAGAGTCTTGGAATCACCGTTTGCAAGTCACCACTAAAATCTCTTGAGGATCAAAGGATAGAGCGGATTCTATCACATCATATTGCTACTCCATGTCGCAAAGGTCGACGGTCTGAATTCCGGTATTACACACCGAGGCAGTCCGGGAACCAGTTCATAGTCAAAATCTGGAAGAAAGAAGGCACTGTGGGCTGCTGCGCAAGGGTTCTCGAAGTCTATACGCGGTGGCGCAAGACGGAAATAATTATGCCGGATGTCGCTATGGCCTCTCCAGATCCCAGGGACACGATGACAGATCGTTCAGGTATACGGGTAGCTTCTGTCTTCTTGATGAACGTTTCTTGATGAACGAATACTGACGTCTATTTTAGCGACCAATGAGGATGGGTTCAATTCCCGAAGCTATAGGATTCGAACAAGAAATAGCGTACAAGTACACCCGAATGTCGGAGAAACGTAATAAAGAAAGAATAGCTAATGTTAGAACGCCAGCCTGTCGTGACGTGTCGCAATTGGCCGTGTTTGCTTTGGAACGAGCAAATCAATCGCTCTGCCCCGCTCAGAATGTGCTCGTGATCCAGTTCGCTTTGCTTCATTCGGAACTCTGCTGTAGTCATCGGTAGAACGCCCCGGTGCACGCTGAACTGGCTGCTGATTACGTTCGCTTGGTGCAGATTTGATAATTGCGCGGTGCTGTGTAGACTCGACGGAAGAATTAGATGCTTCCAACACGCGTTGCTCCCACAGGCTCCGCTTTGCCTCGAACCGTTGCTTATGTTCTTGCTCTGTCTCCAACGAAAGGCGTAGGTCGCTCACAAAGGTGAACTCTTTCGAAGGTAGAGGCTTCGACTGAGATCGCTGCTCCAAACCCGTTTGCAGTCCAGCCAACGTGGCCAAAAGTCTGGCGGCAACCTGTCGAACGAATTAGCTTATACAATCACACTCCTTTTGCTGAACATACTGGTGGCATCGCCCGCGTATTCTCTCGTTTATTTCGCTCCTTTTGTCGTCGAGCGAGATTACTCCATCGCTCTCGCTCCTTCTCCGCTTTTTCCTCTTCATGTCTTTGTCGTCCGAGGATGAACTTGGGAGAACGAGGTACGGTCAGCGTGCAAAAGTCGTCCTCTTGGAAGTAATCCCTCCGATGTCTGAGTCTTCCAGCATCAGGAACCTCTTGCTTAACCTCAGTGGGCTTGGGTGCCTCATGGGAGGGTATAACATGGTGCATCGAAGGGGGTTCAGGGGATGGTACCGGTCGTAGGGGCGATGGGCTTCTTTGTCGTGGTAACTGCTCGACAACTACCTCTTCCTTGGGACGACGGGGTTCCGCACTCTCAAAAATCTCTACTGGCTCGCGCCTGAGACGACTAATAGATCCGATTTCTACAGAGTTCTCGAGCACTGAGCCGAAAACGTCCTGACCCTCAATCGGTTGCGCAAGCAGTGGTGCAGGGGCCTTTCGCTCGACAACAGGCTGTCGCTGAGTCGCTTCGACTTTGAAAATCTTTGGGCGACTGGGTGGCTGTTCCACGGGAACTTCCTGTTCGTGACGTCTGGGCTTGATCTTTACATCTTGCGGTGCTTGGATGACATTAATTTGGCGCATCTTCATGGGCTCGGGTGCTTTAGATCGGTCAGCAGCAATCTTGCTCGCCTCCATGCCGACTGCGAGCCGCTTCCTCTTGAGCGAGCGCGTATCCGCTTCTCGTTTAGACGGCGAGTTGTCGAGAGCCCGCTTCTTGGAGACCACCTTGGGCGACGCCTTGACATGCATGGTCTTGGTAGGTTTGGGTTGGACGGCTGCCCGCAGAGGTCGAAAGACTTGTGGTGCAGGATCATTATCAAGGAGCAATGCATCATTCCGCGATACACTCTTGGTAAAGATACCTGTAGTGGGTGCAGCCTCTTCACCAAGTTCTGGGGATTGAGGGTCTGTGTCCTTTCCTCCGCCATCTCCAAGTCGCTTGGGTCTTGAGAATATGTCCTCGAGAGGTTCCGGCATCCGATGAATGGATACCACTGGTCCTGCATTGGCATACTCTAGGAGTTGTGAGCGCGCGGCTGCTTCGAAGATGATAGGTGACGGCTTGAGGATTTGCGGCTCCAGAGGTGCCGGATCGACTTTAGGTTCATCACCCTGAGGCGCCAAAATAGCTGACGACCGTTGTTTCGGGACGGATTCGAAAATGGGTGGCTCCTCGTGAGGCAAAGACAGAGATTCCACTTCGACTTCATAAGTGGTCTTCGTCTTTGGCTTTGAAACAGGCTTTCGCGAGAAAATGGGGATCCTTGGCACGGTAGGAGCTTGACGCTGCTCAGGTTGGCGTGAGGGCTGGGGCAAAGCCTCGGAGGCTTGATCGCTGGTACATCGAAACTTAAACGTTTTTAGCCTGAATAAACAGACAAAAATGTGATCAGATATACCTGGGATGAGCTTTACGGGAATATTTCACTGCGTCGGGCCTCGTTTTGGAACTTTCACCTCTCCTCGGGATCATGGTAGATAATGCAGCCATCTTTTCTTTCTTTGATCTCTGAGTGGCTTGAGGCTTCACTACCTTCACGTCCAAAGCGTTGTTCAACCCATCAAGAACTCGGTTGGGCTGCCGAAATGTAAGGTTCATCAGACGCATTGTGAATTTGACTGACCAGCATCTCAGTAAAGGAAGCATGAGCTGGCTTATAATCGAATGCTCCTGGAATGCTCCGGTGAAGCTCCTCATCCTCACTCTCTTCTGGAGCAGCTTGTGGAGGAACAGCCGAATTCCTTCTCGACTCTTGTCGTGTTTTCGGCTCCTCGTCTTGCGGAAGAACACGATACTGCCGTGGTCGCGAGCGAGGCGTGGCGGATGGGGTGCCGTTTTCGCGTTGCAAAGTCTTTGACGGGGTTGCAGGGGCTGGGGTCGTCGTCGTACTTGGTCGCGGGCGTGCAGGTGATGCGACGACCTTGATAGAAGAAGGTCTTGGTTTACGAATCCGAGGTGACTCTGCGGCCTGTCGTGAGGGGCCTTCGACGATTGGGGTCAACTGCTCGAAGGGCCCGGCAAACGGCGGCGTATTTGGAGAGGACACGAGTGTCTTTGAGCGAGAGAAACTGGCCTCTCGAAGATAAGGTCGGTTGGTATGTGCAGCTGATATGCGTCTCGAGCGGGGGGTGAGGTCCGCTAGTGTGAGGTCACGCTGCTTGACGATGGAAGCGCGTCTGGCAGACATTTTCAAAGCGCCATGTACTGTACTACTCCGTCTCCGTTTGACACTCGATTGTTTACGGGCACTAGGGGGTCGTGGTGCGGGCGTCGCGAATGGATCATCAGCCATAAACTCTGCGCCGTCCTCTTCGAGCAATAGGTCTGCATTCACCCATTTCAAAGCATCGTATTTTTGCTTTCTGAATGGTGTGAGGTTGTTATTGGCCTCGACGAGCGCGTCGACGTTCCACCAGGCGGCAAACGACGTCTCGGCGGTGTCCTCGCGGCGTATGGGTGTCTTGTGACGCGTCAAATGGCTTGTACGACGCGATGCTACTGATTTTCCGGGCGTTGGCGCGCTCGGAGCCATTGCAGGAAATTGGTGCTGACTTGGCGGAGTTCAAGTTGGAAATAACTCCGACAAACATACAGGAGGCGAGTATGCCTAATTGAATGAAACCTCCTAAAATAAATAAATTTGGTGATTTCATTGATGTATACCCTGTTTGGGAGGCGTCGATCGACGAGCGTCTGTCTGGGTTGAATTGGAGTCACAGTATAGCCTTTACAAGTTTATCACCACCTTTGAAGGTCTTATTCGAGCCGCCAAAGGTGGCTACACACTTTGGCTCCGACCTCGACAAGCGAATAATTTCAAACATTCCCCGCGCAGCCAAAATATGGCCTCTTCTCCTCTTCTTGATCGTATTACACCCCTGATTCAGACCATCCTACGCTCTCCAAACGTCGTACCAGCGCAAGTGACAGCCAAAAATGTGCGGAAAACGCTCATAAGCGAGCACGGGATCAGCGAAGAGGAGATGAATCAGGAGAAGAAAGCCGTCAACGAACGTATCCTCTCCATCTTTCGAGACGTCTTCCCGGACATGGCTGGCGACGAGCCCGCGCCCGCAGAGGAGGCAGCGTCGTCGACCAAAACACCCATGAAGCGGCAAACGGACCATGTCACCTCGAGTATTGCACCTAGTTCTCCGGCAGTGCCACTTGTGGATCAGTCGAAGAAGACGAAGCGGAAGCGGACGCCCGAAGAGGACAATGACGAGCAAGTTGCTCGAAAGCTCCATCAGGCTCTCAACGAGGAGAGGTCGACGCGTGGGAGCACGTCGAGTGGTAGTAGGAGAAAAAAGGCGACTGTGACGAGTGACAAGGACAAGAAGGGCAGGGTGAAGAGCAAGGCTTATATCGACGAGGACGATGATAGCGGTAGCGCAGAGAGTGGAGACGAAAAGGCGGACAAGAAGAAGAAGATAAAGAAGAAGCAGAGCAAGAGTGCAGATGGAGAAGGAGCTGGTGCAAAGGGCGGTTTTTCGAAACCGATGATGCTCAGGTGCGATCTTCTCTCATCCCAAGGTTTGTATCTGATGCTTTCTAGTACTGAACTCGCCGAAGTGCTCGATGAGACTACACTATCACGTCCTCAGGTCGTGAAAAAGCTATGGGATTATATTAAGTATCACCAACTACAGAAACCAGAAAACAAGCGAGTCATTCGTTGCGACGAAAAACTGCAAAAGGTCTTCCGAGTACCCGAAATCGACATGTTCCAGATGAACAAGGCACTTAGCAAGTAAGCCATTATCCCGTTCACCACATTGTATTCTAATTGCACCTCTGTAGCCATCTGCGTGGTGTAGATGAATAGAACCAATTGTACATTATAATCTTCAATGGCCACGCATGCTATCATCTCAAAGGGATCCGGTTCTCTTTAATTGCAAAGAGAGTTTACAGGTAATTAGGGTACAGCAAGATGAATTTGGTAGCGCCTGCATACACCACCGTGGTATGGGAGGCAGAAAGATGACAAGAAACGTGGTGAGAATGTGAAATGATGAATACAGCCTCAGAGTCCCTGGATTTGTGCGATCAAAAACTGTTTCTCATCTGTGAATTGTTCATCTGCCAAAATGAGTGAGCACCTATCACCCCTTTCCCGCAGCGACTCACCGTCCTTGTCATTGTGGAAATCTTTGAGAAACGCCAGTAGCTTTTCCTTGTTTCGACGGAGAATCGATTCAATCTGAGGCGGCTTCTTGGGGTTTGCTACAAACACTTTGAAGACGTGAAACGCCTCGAATTGAATATTGCGACTCTTGTCCCTCAGCATATTCATCATCATCTTGAGATTTGCCTCGCTCGCAATGTATCTAAAAAGGTATAAGGACGGTAGTTTCTTGAAGGTTGATCGTACCTGGTCATTACGGTGAAATTGGCCCGGTCGAGCAAAATCTCTCCCAACAGCTTCAAACTTTGCCGCTTGGTGACATAATTCTTGGACAAGACGAGGGCAGTGTACGACGCAAAGAACCTGTCATAATTAGAATCGAGATAGGTGGCGACCATGGGTTTATGCCGTGTGAGCGTTTCCTGGAAATAGAGTGAGAAAAAGTGGGATGCCGAACGTGGAGCCGGACCTTGAGGTTGGCAAACGCGTCGCACGAGACGCTAAATGTTGCATTCTCAATATAGACGTTAAATTGATAGAAGCTGGTGGCGTTGTGAGAGTGAGCAACTACAAAGAGTTGGAGAACATACTCGTCCGAATAGAGAAGAATCTTGGCGAGCGGCTCGTGCTTGAGCATCTCTTTGAGAATCATACTCGTATTTAGAGCGATTTCCTCATTTTCGTATCCTCTGAGAGCGGCAAAAATGACATCGGGCTTGGAGGTGATAAACTCGACGGTGGGAAATCGAGAGCCAATCTGCCGTCGCAGTAAGAGGGAGAAGATTTGAGCGACGTCCTTTCTGGATTCAAATTCGAATCTGGAAATGTGGGTGACGAGATGGTTCAAGAGGTCGGTATTGTAGGCTTCCTGGGCGAGTTGGGCGACGAGTTCTGGCTGTGGATCTGCCAAGAAAGGGATGTGAGCATATTGTGAGAAATCCAGGGGAGGGTCTAAGCTGCATTCTGTCTGACCCGAGGTGTTCTAGCCACTGGCCAGAGTATCGGTCCCAGCGCCGTGGAAATACACGGTTTAGTCGGAAACCCCGAGTGTACGGATCTGGGCTAGTCACAGCGCTTGCGAGCTGAATGACCGCATAGCGCTGGCAGCGTCCAACCATTCCGAGATGACTGACCTCCATCGCCCACGAGGATCTGCTTTATTGATTGTAGATATTTCGTAATATCCTCACCAGCCTGTGCACGACTATCGTGTCAGTAACACACACAGAAGTCCAAGGAAAGCGGCAGAGACCCTACGACGAGTGTCGCCCCCTGGTGTTGTCGCGTCCAGTTTGACGACGGCATCGCGCAGAGCCCTGACAAGCTCTGTTGGCGTCTTTTGTTTCGTCTTGAAAAAGTTCATTTGGGCAGAAGCGCCGAGAATGGGATGGTGGTCGAGTCCAAGAGCCACAAGGGCGTGGGCTGGTGGTCACGACAATGTATAACCAAAATAGTAATATTAGGAAATGCAAAGACGAGCACCTGCAACAGCTCAAGTGCTGGTGCGATTGCAAGTGCGAGGAATGTAAGTGAGTGAGTAAGCTGAGGGATGCTCGATAGCATCAGAAGACGATTAGAAATGGTATAAAGTATGTACCGAATTTCCAGGATTATTTGGCCTCCGGTGGCAGCATCTCCTGACCCCCGCCGTCTCGCCGCGATGAGCACGAGCACGCGCAAAAAGAGTCTGACGACTGGGAGTGCGTCGTCTGCATCGATCAGCGTCGATACTGCGCTTCACATTGACACCCCCGTGGCCATGAACACGATGCTCAACAAGCAGGCCGCGACCTCGCTCTACCAGCAGTGTCTTGCGCTCAGAAACAGACTCCTCCGCGTCCATGACTTTGCTCCGTATCTTTCACTCATCGACAAGCACACCGAGCTCGCCAGTCTCGACGTTGTCCACCGGCTTTGGCACACACTCGCCCTCGGGACGCCCCTCTGCTTCCTCTACAATCTCCTGGACATGCCACGCACAGACCGGCTCAATGTAAACACCGACCCAGACGAAATCGACCTGTACGAGCAAGATCCCGACGCCGCCCTCAAGGCAAAGAAAAAGGCCGCGGCTTTTTTCATCATGGGCATCCAGAAACTTAAGAATGCCGGTAAATGGACAGACGACATTGAGCTATTTACCGTGACCGAGCTCACCAATCTCGACAACAAGGACACAAACGGCTTTGTAAAGGTCGTCGCCACGACCTCGTACTTGCTCGACCAGCTCCCACAGCACGTCTGGATGGAAGATGTCGAGTCACCGCCTCCGTCCGCCCACGAGGAGGCCAGCAATCGCGATTTCAAAGAGGGTCTGGGCGACGACTCGCCTCCGACGCTCAAACCGGCCAATGCCCAAGAAATCGACCGCAACAACGTGATTAGGGAACTCATTGAGACGGAAAGGAAATACATTCAGGATCTAGAAGTCATGCATGTGCGTCCCTTGTTTAATTCGCCGGTCGAAGCGCCGCTCATCCAATTTCGCCCTTTTTCTAGAACTATGCAAAGACTCTCATGACGCAGAATATCGTCGACCACGATACCGTGCATCATCTCTTCCCCGGTCTCAACAAGCTCCTCGACTTTCAGCGCAAGTTTTCGATCGAGCTTGAACAGCAGTATGAGCTTCCTTGGGAACAACAACGCTGGGGTCGTTGTTTCTCGCTGAATGTGAGTTATCTCCTTCTCTTCTTCCACATTCCCTCCGAGGCTATGACCAATTCGGGCCGTTACCATCCCTTTTCCTGCTGCCCGTTCTCCGCCACTTGTTCTTTTGGGTCCCTCGTCTCTTACTGGTCAATGTCTAGGAACCAAACTTTAGCGTCTACGAACCATATTGTGCAAATTATACCAATGCCGCCGAACTCGTACTCGCCGAAGAACCACATCTCATGGTGAGTGCTTGGGATCCCTATGACGACAGACACACTGCCCCCTTGCCATGCTTTTCAATTTACTGATTTTGCCTTTTCTTGCCATATTCCTCGACTTGCCCCGATAACCTCGCAATCTGTTAACGGTCACAGCAATTGACGCATATCATCAACCCAAAATCAGAATTGCCGGCATTCTTGATTAAGCCCGTACAGCGCATTTGCAAGTACCCGCTTCTCCTCGAGCAGCTCGTGAAACGATGCCCCGCAAATCACGAGCACTATGAAGAGCTCGTCGAAGGAGCCGCGTCGTCGAAGCGCATCGCCGATCGAATCAATGAAGCCCAGCGTCGTGCAGAAAACGTGGCCACAGTCAAGCTCCTCGAGAAGCGTGTCGAGGACTGGAAGGGCCATGCTCTCAGCAACTTTGGCGAGCTCCTCCTCGACGATGTCTTCATGGTCACCAAATCTGGCGTCGATAGAGAATACCACGTGTTTCTCTTCGAAAAGATTATTCTATGCTGCAAAGATGCGACGGCTCCAAGCGCCAATAACAAGAAAGTTGGCAAAAGCAATTCTATCCTCAAGAAGCAGTCCACAGGCCCTGGAGTCCCGCCAGGCGGCTTGCTGGCTGGTGGAGCTGCTGCGGCAAAGAAAAAGACGACACCGCTTTTGCTCAAGGGGAGAATTTTCTTGAACAATGTAACACAGGCCACGCCTACCAATCAACCTAGTTCGTACAGATTGTTGTATTCATTGACCGCCCGAAGCTCACCCGTCTTCTAGCTCCCTATTCGTTGCAAGTCTGGTGGCGTGGAGACGATGACCTCGAATTCTTTACGCTCCGTTGCCGCACCGAGGAGCAGGTAAAACAATGGGAAACCGTGATTACTCGCTTGATTCAGGAAGTGCAAGCCAAGCGAGAGGAGCGCAATCAGCGTTCGTCTCAAGGCGGTCAAGCCTATCACTCTTCCCATGGCTCTTCTGCCCACGAACGTATGCCGTCAGAGTCGACATCCTCCGTATCCACTCTCCCACCATACTCTGCGAATCCCGTGCAGAGGCGAGCGTACGGCTCCTATTCGGAGGAAAAGAGCCAGAACCATTACGGCGCCTACAATGGAGGCTCCTACTATGGTCACCAGCCTCAGTCTGCTCCCAGCTACCACAACGGAGATGTCCGGGACGGCTTTGAACGGGACGACGACATTGACGATTATGACAGCTCTGCCGGCGGCTACACGAACGGACGATCCACTCCGGTTGGCGCAAATGGGCGACGAGGTGCAGGGATGAGCATGCCTCCGGAACGAGACGGGCCTGCGGGTTATGAGCGCTCCCGCGTCAAGACGGAGGACGCGTCGACGATGGCTCAGTGGCGACAACAGCATGGCGCCAACGGAATGTCTCTACCCCCTCGCCCGTCTGCGTCTCGGAACATCTCCAATGCAAGCGGTGTGTCGACGCAGAGCTTCCAAACTGAATCCAGCTTTGGCAACGGCGTCGGCACTCGACCAAATCAACCCATGTTGCGCAACCAGCTCAGTTCAGGCCGACTTCGTGCGCAATATGAGAGCGGATATGACGACGGATCGCGGCATTCGTCGGGCAACCCGGCTAGGACGAGAGCTATTTCGAACCCGTCTGCGTCGTATGCTTATCAGCACCAGGCACAGGCCCCGCCAGTGCCTATCGCACCTCAGTGGACGGGTGGTTCTCAGTCGAGCGGGGGTGGTGTAGATCGCTCGCGTATCGCGTCTGGACCAAGCCGAGAGCGCCTCGCTACCAATGGGCGCAATACTAGTTCGCTGGGGATGCGTAGGCCTATCAGTGGTGGTTCGAGTGATACTGGAGAGGACTCAGAACAGTCTCCCATCGGCAATTCGCCCATGAATCAACAGGGCGGAACGCTGCGAGGGTCTAGGAGCCAAGTGTTCAATGGACAACCGAACCACGCGGTTGGGTACGGCCGCAATGGTTACGCATCGGCTACCCCATCGTATGGCAACAATGCCTATCCGGGCTCGAATCGTGGCCCCCAAGAGGAAAATGAACCACCGGTCAAGATTAAAGTCTATTGGCTCGACGATCTGTTTGTCATCATGGTCCCTCGAACGACGAGCTTTGACGAACTGGTTCATCGCGTCCAACGAAAGATTCGCCTGTGCGGAGGCGGGAATACCGACGGGCCGTTGCGGCTCAAGTATGACGACGAGGATGGGGATCATATCTCTCTCTCGACTGACGAAGAGCTTCAGATGGCCTTTGATATGACGCTCAGTCGTAGTACTGGTCAAGGCCAACTGACTCTCCGAGTTCACTGATCGTTCTCCCTATCGTTATTCTGCGGCATTGCACCCCCATTGCCCCCTTCCTCCCCATCACAGTACTATCACACAGTCAGCAGACTCACGTCCACAACTCTTATCTGTATATCTCTCTCTTTACGAGCCCAACCCTTGGATCCGTTCGGTCGCCTTCGTCTCATTCCTCAACTGGAACTTTGTAACACAGAGGATACTACGCTTACTAGCGTACGGTCATCAGTCTTGCTCGTTCTCTGGTGACGAGGCTTGACTGTTCGTTGTCCTGTTCGTCCTCATGTATAATAGCCCCCATCCCAAATCGACTCTCGTCAAAAACTCGAGCCGCATGCAGAGTAATGGACGAGACGCGAGGAGACTTGTTTCTGGTCCGGAATTGCGTGCTTACCCAACACACATCACACCTACATTCTCACTTCCGTATTCTTTGGGTTTTTATGGTACTTCTCGCCTCCCCCACATGTATTCGCGAGGCCTCTCCTCGGTCATTCCTGTGGTCTTCATAGAGCTATCTCATTGAGAAAATATATCGTTTTGTAGTCCAAGGAATCGAGATTGCATTTATACAATTACATCCAGCCTAGATCTTTGTGGTTGCTCAGGCGAGCTGGGACCCGTCAACGGACATGTCTGCAAAGTCCTCCCAAAGGTGCTGAACGGGTTGCCCTTCAGAGATTCTCTCGCCAGTAAACTCCAATTTACCAATGTCCGGTACGTCTTCCAGATTACCCTTGAGCGTATGCTTCCCATCTCTCTTCCTTTGGGTGAAACGAAGGACACCTCTCATTGACTCCCTCGGCGGGTAGACATCGCTGGATGGATTGAATAACCCACTATGCCCGCACCACACGACTTTGCCACTCGCACCGTCCGCACGAGGCTCTACGTCCGCTGAAGAGCGAACAACGCCATTAATGAGATGCAACTTGAACGCTCCAAAGAGTTCGTTTGCGCTGTCCATGCGCACTGTTAACTCGAGCCCGTCATCGGGTACGTTCAGCCTTTCCGTCAGAGAAGGCGAGCTGAGAAGATAGATCCCCTCGATCCATTCAAAACCTGCGTCGTTGGAAGGTTTTGCGCGCTTCTGAGGTGCACTGGCGAGTTCGACAATCTCAGGGGAATAGGCCCGCTTTCGCGATGCGCTGCTGGATGCTGTGGCAGCAGTTGGTTTCGGAGGGAAATTGGAGCGAGGAACAGATGGGCCCTTTCCTTTCGTGGCGTCGGGGGTGATCGGTACTTCTAGTGAATGTCCACCGAGTTGAATGTGAAAAGACGCGCTGAACGAGTGGGGAGACGTAGAGGTCGGGGAATTGGCGGTTAAATTTATAGTTTGTGGGAACTTTGATGTAGTACCAGAGCTACCAGCAGCCTTCTTGGCTTGCGCCGCTTTTGCTGTGGTCACTTTTGGAGGCTGAGGCTTTCCCTCTGTCTTTGCGAAAGACTTTGGCGTTCCTGTACTTGGTCCAGCTCCCACCGATTGGGTTGGCTTTTTCTTAGTCTGTGTCTGCTCCAGGATATGATCCCGAAGCTCATTGTACTTTTGCCTCCCCTCCGCTTCAAGGTTGAGGGTGCGCTCAGGAAGCGACATCCCGGCTGATGAGCGCAGTGCATCCTCCAAGTTGGATCTTAGGGTGGATATTGGGGTCGCTTTTGCTCTGGCGAGGCCGTAAAAGAGGTTCTGTGCAAGCCACCAGTCTTTCGATCTACATCGTTGGCAACTTGGTCAGAAACAGGGTATAAAAGGAGAAGGGATGCATGCTTGTCTCTATCGCCGATCCCATTCACGTCTCCTGTTGGCAACAATAACTTTCTAAGCTCTGCAGGGCTGAGGCGCGCGTGACCTTCGTATAACAGGCCGTTTTCGCCATAAGTAAACTCTTCAATTGGCACTGGAGGGATCGTAAAGCTCGTCGACGCCATTCGTGCACCCCGTCCAAAGTGAGCCTGGCCAAGTTGCAGGTCAACCACTTCGAACAGAGGTCACACAATTGCATTACCAGACAAGGCTTAGGATTAGATCTGTTCGAAAAAAAACAAGTAGTAAGGGTCTTGGCTAAGAGATACAGTGTTCGGAACATAGATCCCAATCCTACTGTCCACAAGGATTTCATAGCGGAGGTACAGGCGTCTTTCGTTTACCAGTTCCCTATCGTTTTATCAATACGGTCTCGGAGACTCAGCACGAGATAGATTGCTTACCTTTTTCTTTGCCCGTTTGACAACGATCGCGTCAGGTGTTTCTAATCCGCTTGGGATTTCAGCTTCCGTCAATGGGGTACCTGGACGAGTTGCAGGTGACGATGCTACTGCCAGATGCGCTGGCGTTTCTTCGTCTCGGTCTAGTTCAAAGTGTTTATGCGCTGGGGGTGGCTGAACGTCTGACAAACGAGATGATGGCCGTGGAGGGGTTACTGGAGGCTGATTTAGTAAATGTTGGGGATAAAAAGCTGAACCTACAGGCGGATAGAGAAGGCATCCCCTCTAATCGCACAACTGGTATTGAGTCGACGTCGGGTGATCCTACAGACTTGGATTTAGGCGCATCTGTCAAATAATACGGGTCGTCTCGCTGTCTCGCTAACCGCTCTGCACGACGCTACGGGGTGTAAGTGACCTGTGGCTGCATATAGGGATACCTCACCTGAGCAGCTTCTTCCTCGTCCTCATTATACTCTACATATCCCTTACTCAAGCCTTCATTGACACGTTCCGCTGTCGACTCCGCTTTCTCCTTGCCCTTCTTCGACTTTTTCTTCTTCTTGCGTTCTCGCACATCTTCGTCAAGCGCACGTTTTGGTGGCGCAGTAATCCAGGAATCAAGATTAAGGCCGGCTGGTATCGGAACCTGCTTGTTCGCATTTACAGCTACTGGGCGCAGCTTGTAAGAGTTGAAGAAGCGCCGCAAAAGGAGCAAGCTTTTGGGGAAATCATTCGTCTGTGGGGTCGGATCCTCGAATCCAGTGAGGTAAGCGTCTTGCTGGGGCGTCTCAACGAAAGGCTTCGGTTGAAATGTTGACAGATCTGCATGAATGAGTGTCACAAGTTGTGCGGCATTTGCCGCCTTGGAATTGTCAGTACGTCCTCAACCACACACACAGAGACCGACCCTCTCTTGCACCTCCATATCCGCATGGCAGCACAGAGGATTAAGCCCTGTGAGTACGGCATCAACTGTCTCCTTTGCCGACTTGAGTTGCTCATTAGACCAGCCCTCCGCAAGGTCATATGTCCAACGAGACAAGACCTTGAGAGTCGCTTGGATGTATACGGCAATAATGTCCGACGATAGTAGCGATATCGATGGTTGTATCAGTCGTGTAAGAACAGTTCGTGGGGATATTAGTTCTCTGATGATTCCGATCAATACTCGCTAATAGAACAAGCGAGGCACATACTCGCTATATTCACCACATATCCACGCTGCTGCCCATAGCACGCCCGTGCATTTTGTGGGATCGTTGGCTCCAAGCACGATCCCATCGTCGTCGAGGAGTTTGGCCATCAACTGGACTGCATACGCTCTCGATGCTCGGACACGAACAGCTACATTGACGAGTTGATCACAAATCATGGCAGCAATGTCGACATTGGCAATATAGATCAAATCCAGGAGTACAGACAGATACCAGTCGAAGTCTTGAACATTTTCGTACATGTTTCTTGAGCACATGTCTATGATTCTGCTGGAGATTTCTTGGCGATAGGCTGGGGTATATAGGCTTATCCCTGATGTGGACTGCCCGTCCGACTGGAGTGCCTGAGCGAGAGTTGCCTGGGCTGAAGGAGTTGATGACGTTTGATTAGCTTTGACCAAGTGAGACAGTAATTGTTGAACGAGATATTGAAGGTTATATGGAGTTACCTGTCCACTCATAAGTCACTATTTTGCGGCTAATCGTATACTCGCCATTGATGATATCAATTCCAGTGCTCTCATCCGAATACTCATATCTAGGTCATCCAAACTGCTCAAAATGACCGCCTGGTGTTCTGCCACCAACTCGGGGCGAACGGGCACAATCTTTACCATGGCCATCAAGGCTATGTATTTCACTGGTAACGCGGATCAGAGTGAAAGCAAGCAAAAGAGGATGATTCTCACGGTTTTGATCGTCATTCTCGAGGAAGGTTGATAGTTTGTTGACGCAGAGACGAGCCAGGGCTAACCCATCGCTTCCGTCGAGCATCCCCCCGATTATGCATGTGTGAACACACTCGTACAGCAGAGAAATGGCTGCGGTGGTTTGGATGAGATCGGTGATGGGTCCTTGCAACTTCTTTGCTAGACGGGGCTCATACGGAGAAATGGCTCCAAACTGACGAGGTTTAACAGAGAGTATGCTTAAGCGACGATGCGTACCAATTTGATAACCTTTATGAGCATCCAGTTGTTCGATGAAGTTGTAAGGATATGGAATAGTGGAGGGGCCAGGCTGAGAAAATCTTGAGGATTCCGCCGAGAGAGTTCGCAGAAGAGATTGACAGTTGAAGAAACGACAGAGAAGTCGGGATCATCAAGTTTCTCTATAAGCCGTGGCAAGCAGAAAGGGAGAGTTTCTGGATGCTGTTGGATGACTTTGAACAATGCAAGAATGACCCGCTTCCGTATATGTGCCCTTGAATGGTTTAACATTGCGTTGAGCTCCTGGGTGAGGTCTCGCGCGAGGTCGGGTGTGACGAAATGAGACAAGCCGTTGAGTGCCAATGCCACATCTGCAGGATTAGAAGAAAGATCCTATCAATAATATGAGTGACTCGTGATCCACAAATGCGATCACCTACCTTCTTGAGCAAATTGGTCGTAAGCATGAGGACGTCTGTCCGTTCAGAGAAGGACTGGGAAGCTGCAAGGTATCCTACTGTCTTTAAATGGTACTTTGTAGAACTCATGACCTCGATAATATTGAAATCTGCCCATGATAGGTCATAACCTAGCATGTCAAGCTATGAAAGATCGCCAGACAGACGACAAGATCAGCATACTGTCAGCTCTATGAAAGATGAGTTGTCACACACGAATGTCATCTTGAGGATAGCGGCAGCTTTGAGTTCCATATCCTTGCTACGTACTTCACGCCGGATTTCCTCGATGGCTTGCGCAATAAACTTGGACTCGTCATTCTTGTTTGCTCTGAGACCGCGTATTAGATCTTGGAGTGTGCGCTCCCACATCTTGAGTGTAGTGGTAGGGTTCAAGTGTCGAAATAGGTGGCGGATGGTGGGTGCGCAGAATTTGCAAGGTGAACGGTGTTTCGGAAATGTTCTTACTCACTGATGGCATTTTCTCGGTGGTTTCCTCTCTTTGCTCTTGGACCCGGCCACATCCTCGACGCACTGGTACACTGGCATTACTCCACTAAGTTATTGTTACTGTGTATAAAACAAACTTTCCGCAGTTCGCCACTGCGGTTTAGCTTATAGTACGAGTGTTTGCCACCGTCGAGGTCGCGCTCACCATGTTGACGCTCACCCAAGGCCTTTATAATCATTCACTGCTGTTTTATTCGGTTCATTCCTCTTGTAATGGCTTCGTCACTTGCGGAACTCGGCCTGCTACCAACGTACGCAGCGCAAACCCAAGAGCAATACGTCGGTGTCGCGATGGCTTGTTTGTGTGTATGGGATCACAGTCAGTGTCCGGATCTGTAATTACATTCGATCTTCTGACCTGTGACTAGTCATCTCATTCGACGAAGAAGTAAGCACCGTTTCGACCTGTATCGTACCTGACAACGGATATCAGGTGAGACTCGTATGGAAGTCGTCTGGGTGGAACTTGGTCAAAGTCTTGTTCCTTGTCATTCGGTATGGCACGACCGTTGGATATCCACTGGGCCTCTACAGTGCGTAGTTGAAGAGAGATATATCCACCATCTGACCAAATTTAGACGTCTTTGAGCGTGCAGACACACCTCACGTATGTCGGCTCCTTGAAGTGAGCATTGTTGACTATCCCCAGATCTGTCAAGCCTTTCGTGTTATCACGGCATTGTTCCTCACTCTGGGACACCTCGTCCAAGCGATACTGTCCTTGCGCGTTTGGGCACTATACAACCGTCATCGAGGAGTTGGTGTATTGCTGTTCGCCAACTTTCTCGCCGTCCTTAGCATCTCGCTCGCGCTTACTATCAAGTATCTCGTGCGTCAGTTTCAAAGTAATGAATGAATTGACTGACGCACATACAGTCGCAAAGCCCTTCTACTCCGCCGGTGGTAGCCGAAGGCTCACCCCAGCTCGTTGGATGTTTGTTGCGAGAGGTTCCAGGTTACTTTGGCACTCTGGTGGCTGCACTGGTATCCGAGGTGTGTAGCAAGTCCGGGAGGAGCGTCCCCTGATCGAGGGCAGACCATCGTAGTATTGATGACCATCTGGAAAGTACTTCGGCACATGCGTCGAGAGCGCCGAGTACCAATTTTTGGTCACCTCCTTTCGTCGTATGCAACGGTATCTTCTCTGGTTCTGAGCTCATATCCTTGTAGAGGTGTAACATACTACGTTGCAATGCTGGGTAAGAACCCCGCATTTCCACGAGTATCTTGATCATGCCCTTCAGTTGTTCTCATGCTGAATATCTTGACCAAGCCCTTTCCCGTGCTACTCATTCCGATCATGTCCTCGAGGTGGGAGTTTCATTCATTACAGAGCGCCCCTTCTAATGTTATTTAGTTCACTTGCAGTCCTACAGTCCGTCGCATGCTGTCGCATTGTTCTCAGTTTGTTGCGACAGGGCAAAAGTTGAACAAGTGCGCCCCCCTACCAGCACAGGAAGAGTCTGTCCTCATCGACGGCTTTCTCACCATCCCGACTGGTCTGTACACAAAGGAGATGATGTTAGATTGGGATTATGGTCTCCCACCATTGGAGATGGCAGATAGTACCTACGAAGACGCGTTTAGTATGCTATCCATGACGGCCATCGAAACGCGTTCGGTGATAGCACAGGTGTGACTTTTGGATGCACCAGATTCTGCTTGATTGGAATTCTCTCGTCGTCTTTTTATTTTTGTCGTCCCTTTTCATTCTCTTCTTCCCCTGCCAAAGGGTTCATGTATTCGTCGGTACTCTTGTACAAGACATACATGATGCATGACTAACATTTGGAATCAAACCATCTGTTTTATAGTCGTTTGATTACTGGGTGGTGTCTGCAACGCCGAATGGTATTCCGTCCAGCCGGATTAGACACTGCGTTATACTCACCAGTGTGACAGTTTACGATAATTTGTAGCATTTTCCCATATATTTGAACGCATTTTGCTTATGGTTGACAGATTGATTTCCAGCCACTGAAATTTCACTTCTCGACTGTATGGGGGCGACTCTAAATATACAAGAGCGTACAGGCTTATCCAAGTTGGATCATACATCAAAAAAACAACTGATAGGGGATAGCCCGAGGGCCAAGGGAACCGTTGCTGAGTGCACAGACGTTAGCTTCCCTCTGCTTCCCTGGCCGTCCGAGACGGATGACTCGCTTATCATTCGTCATTGAATGCGAGGTTTTCATTCAACTATTCCATTGTTGAGGGTGTTCGGTCTCCCCCATTGGGTGGTCACTTAAGGGAGAGGCTTCTGGACCCGCAAGAGGCGGTCAAGAGCAGCATTACAGATTCAAAGATATCACAAGCTAGTATAAGCGCGTCAAGCTTCCCGTGATCCTAACCCTTCACAAGGAGAATCTCGTAAGAATGCACCCAACTGCATTCAGTTTAGGGAGCGTCTAATCTATTTCGTACATCCCTGGCATCTCGGTGATAGCGATATATGATCATAACCGAAGACAACGGACCGTTGATGATGATGCGAGCGGGAACTGCCCTCGGTCACCGCATTTCTTGGGACCGCGCAGACGCCCAATCATTCATATCAAGAATGAATATTTGAATGTATGTCAGCCAATTTTAAGTCTGGTTGTGCCAGAATACCGATGGCGAGCGCTGGACTGATGCATCTTATCATGACTTTACACGTCTGCATTGCCAACCGCATCGAATAACATATTGAACACGGATTCGTAAGTTCTCGAGTCAGTGATATATCTGACGAGGCTCTGTCCTGCGCAGTCATCGTTGTGTATTGCACCAGATACAACAAGAGTCGGTCAGAATGTGATTTAATAGGCGATAAAGAAAATTTTGATGATGATTCTTTATATTTTTTCGTCAGTGCTGGCACATGTACGTGTTCGAGAGTCAACTGCAAGAGCCAGACCTGACTCTACTTTCGGTCGTCGCCGCATGCCCTAGGCCCTCGGCTAGGCGCATGTTAATCGTTCATGAACTACGTGTAAACCTTCTACTGGGAACAGGATCTTGATCATGATCCGCGCGGATATAGTTCAGGCGATGACTCCGACACCCCCACTTCCGAAGAAATTCAGCGAGCTGCGCCGCGTGATCCCCAAATCATCGTCGTATTATTATAAATAACATTTATTATTATATAATATAAGAATTTCTAATCCAGAAGATGGCTTTTGTCTTGGAATAGGGTGGCAACAGGGGCCGAGCAGCCGTACAGCATGCTTTGGTCACGGTGTAATCCATTGTGCCGGAAAGAAGCTCGTAAGTTGCTCCTGAATACGCTCTTGAATCTGTCTTTTTCTGGCTCTATCCCTGGTGATCTCGCCGGGACCGGACCCAATGTTCACCCCTCCCATGTTCAGTCTCTATACCCTTGCGTTCTCAATAGATTCATGTACGCGTGTAGACAATGCGCCGAAATAGAATGGCAATTGGCAGGTCCCACAGGGGATTCTCGGCCTGTACGGGAATGTCCGTCGTAGCCAATGCCACTCAAGTCTCCTTGGCCGCTGAACAATGTGCGCAAAGGACGAGAACAACGTGCCCCTTGCTTCGTTGCATTGCCGCCTCTTTGACCCAAGTACGTACCAAGCTACTTCGCGACGGCGCACGCCGCTCGCCGCTGCATGCTTTGGGTTGGCGCGATCCAGGTTTGGCGTGTGACAATGACTAGTCGCTGTTCAGGTTGGCGCCGATATGGATGTCTTTGACAACGAGGGAGCAACAGGTGAACCTCCGAGGAGATGGACTTGCATTGGTAAAGATCACAAAGAGAGTTTACTCTTATCTTGTCACCCAATAGTGCAGTCGAGGCCGAGACTAGAGACAAACGTATGAATCTAGAGTGTGCCACGAGTCCACTCTCGCCTAAAGTTATGTCCAAGTCGTCAAATAGACTACATCCATCTAGCCACTCAAACAGGCGACACCCATCCCATCCTCCATCGTAACCTCGTATGTCCGCAGCCGCCCATTGCGGTCAGCCAAGATGTCAAGCGAAACACGTACCTGTCCACGTTCTCTTCACGGTATTCGTACTATCTGTTATTAGACGTGTGCCATTTCAGAGGGCGGACAAAGGCGCCGAACTGGGTAGACGCGCGCCCCTCTTGCTTCCCGTTCACGTCACGGAAGATGGAGATCTCCGCGCCAGTTATCGGGATTAGTGAATGACTGAAGCGTCCTGGGTACGTGATAGGCGCTCTGTATGAATGCCAAACACGAAAACCAACACGAACATGAATGACCAGTACTTCAGTAGTAACGAGGGAATAGCTGGCGAGTTATGAATGGCTCAGACGATGGTAAAGTGCTTGAATTGCTGGCGATCCAGCATTACAACGGTACTTTGTACGCGCGTTCGCGCATGAGGATGACGATCCCACCGGGCTGGACGCGTGCCCGTTTTTCTGAACAGATTTAGGTGTACTTGTACTTGAATCGTCCAAAGTGCTGGGATTCTTGTATTCATGGCGTCAGACATTACTCGACATACGCCCATCTTTCAAACGGCTCACAGTGAACCGAATGACTGCATGACGACAACTCTGAATCCTCAATGGGACATTCGGTACGTCTTGTTCTGACGAGATCTATCTCTGTGAGGCGACCGGCCAAATGTCTTGAATACCATTCTCTGTGACGGTGATATCGCAGGCGTCTGGCGTGAGCGCTTCGTCTTGGCCGGGAAAAGCTCAAGGCGGTCAGTCGCCAACCCAGGGCGGTGTGCGAGGTCGAATGCTCTCAGCGCCCACTATATACGAATGCGAATATCATGAGGAATTCACGGGGGTTTCGCGCAGATTTGTGCAACCAGTGTTATCGATACAGTGGAGCCCCTAAATACGTGAGTGGAGTCTTCCAGAGTCAGTGGCCAATCGTGGTAATTAAGCGGTAATGATCAGAAAAGAATTAGATATATTATTTTGGTGGTTTACCAAAGGGACGGTCAGCAAATGAAACCGCCTGAAGGAATGCCCTCTCTCGGCTCGTCCCCTGGCCGTCTAGCTGCCAAGTCCATGTCGACATGTGGGAACTCCATCCTCGAGATCTGTCTTCGCGTACGTTAAATGCCCTCGGAAGCGACAACCGTGAGGGATCGACAAGCGTACTGTACGTGTAGGCTGGGACCATGGCCCGACGGACGCGGCTGCTAAGAATTCTGCCTCGCAGCCAAGTTTCAAAGCCACTGCATGTTCCGGAAATGTACATATCAAATGTAGACGCCTTCTGCTGTCCAAGAGCGACACAATTGACAGCGAGCTAGGGAACTAGAGCGCGGTCAGGATCGATGGCCGTGGCACTCTCTCCGTCCGCTTCCATGCAGTTAACCCATGGTTCATTGTAGTTTGCACTGCTGCTCCTCCGAACACTGGCTGACTAACGGCCGAGGAGCGTCGGATCCGGGCGATCTGCAAAGTGCACGCCGGTCGTCGCAGCCATATTCCGGACATCCCACAACACGTCATATTATGCGTTTTTTCCTTCGTAAACATTTTATTTTCAGGTTTTAATAATTATCCGGGAATTTCTCGTGGGATGCCGAAACGGGGAGGCGAGGTGGGACACACTTCAAGCCTAATCCGTGCAAATTCGCAAGTTGTCCCCATAGGTGGTAACACCAAATACAATCTAATCTCCACAATCGGCGAACGCATCCGATTGTGGGACGACCTCTGACCAACACCTGTGCGTGTCGGGCGGACACTGTCGACGAAAAAAAAAGACGGCGAGCACGGCAGATAGGGCTGTATATGATGAGGCTGAGTATTCTAGTTAGAAAGCCGACGGTGGGATGACGAGGGATCGTGGACGGGATTGGTGTACAAACCTCGCGCGTGCAGACTCGCCTGCACGTTGTCGCCCCCACTACCGGACTATCTAGTCTCGGCGGCGATGTCGCCGTTCCCTCTTTTTCATCGCAACTTGATTCTTATTTATCCCATGAGCAGATTTTTTTTTCTGTAGAACGTGCGTGTGTGTACAATAGTCTTTTTAGGAACATGAGCGACAAGCGGCGCTATCATGGGTGCACCCCGCCAAGGGAAGGATTAAACGACGAGAAGGACCACAAACAAGTCACGATACGCATTGTTCACTTCATTCTATTGTCCTGGTGGGGCTGGTCGTTATAACACCGACGCGGCGCGCAAGCCAACCGACAGCAGCGAGCTTCCAAGGAATCATTCGACAAATTGACATGCTGTCAGGGAGCTTTCACTATCGTAGTATGTAATGCAGTGCAATCTTGTCGTCCACGCATACGGCAGAGGATCGACGACGAGTGTGCATGTTCGCCTCTCTTCACTCTGCCAGACTCTAGTACATGTTGAATTTGGAGTTTGGCTCATTGACTTTTGTCACGATGTAACGTGCTGTCCACGCTGTAATCCGAGCTCGCTCCAATGTCGAGCCAACGACTCGTGAGTACAACGAGTCGGACCGATCGCCGACAGACATCTGGAAGCTTGGATGATCAGGACAAAAGTGCTGTGTAGGACAAGCAAGACAACCTGCACATAATGCTGGCGACGATTCAGCGCACAATTAATGCATGATCCGTCTCTACTCTGGGCGCGGCAGGCGGCATCAAAGAAGCGCAAAGAATTCGAATGCCGACGACGGGACACGATGATTCTCAGACACCTACGTAGATGTCAAAGAGTGTCAGAAGTGTATATAGATGCACTAAATAAGTACGCGAAGCAGCCTTGCGGAACGGAGGATGAAAGGAGGTTCCCACGCCAATCCGCCTCTGCCACTTGTGCCATTCCTATCTCAAGGAAAGCGATTGGTCCATGTAAAACGGCGGACGGAGGTCTCCGCTACCCAGGAAACGGGCGACACGGAGACCAGGTCTGAACGGGGAGACTAATAGAGGGTCTAAGAGAGAATCATAAGAGATACCGTAATGATGTAGCCTAGTCTTTATGTGATTGGTCTCGATATGAATGGCCATCTATGGGTTGCGAGGGGTGAGAAGATGCCCACGACGACAGCTGTCCAGCATCCGAGTCGGGCGCGAGAGAAGAGAGAAAGCGAAGAGATCGATCAATAGGTGGGCGTAATGATCTTTCCTCTTCTGATCGTTTGCTTCCCATCCCAAACTCTCTTGCGATGTTCGAATATGAGGGAAAACTATGTGCATGCGAAGAAATTCAGAGGGTTCTATATGAGTTGTGTATATACCTGTGGGATCGTCTAAGATATCGTATGCGTCACTGCAATCTCAGAGGATGCCGATTCAGATCCCTTTTGTTTGTGGCTGGCGTAGGAGGGCTCGAGGTACAGGAACCAGCGAAATAGCAACAAGCATCTTTCCGAGTTTTCCACTCTTGTGCCGTCTCTGTACGAAAGGCGCCGTTTGCTCGATGAAGCCGTCTGAGGGCGTATGCTACCCACTGAATAGGAAGCCACGGGAAACATCACTTGCGTACCCTACATTAGGAATCCTAACAGTGTGTCGGTCTGCTGTGGCGCCATCGCTGGTTCAAAAGGAGGCAGCATACTGTCGAAACTGAATTCGTGAGATGGTAGACGCTGAGTGCAGCTCGTGGGCTGTGACACCGTTCATCTCGACCGTGGTGCATATCTTTATGAAAAATCGCGCTTCGATGGCTTACTAGCTGGGTAAAGCGGGGGCGGTAACATTGTGAGGATGTGCATGCGAATTGACCGGTGCAAACGAATACTAGACATATTTGTTTGATGGAAAGATACCATTTAGCTAATGGAAGAGCGGAGACAGCTGGAGACGACACGGGGTAACCGAGGTCGAGGATACGCTAGGGGCGCAAGTCGCCGATTGGTTTTTATCAGAACGTAAGCCAAGGTTAACATGGCGTGTAGTGCACGAGGACCCAAAGTAGGGACCAAGAGCAGTCTCGCCCGAGTCGAGATTGGATCGGAGGGCCGCTCCAAGAGAGAAGGCCAGAGAGAGAAAAAAAGATTCAGGCAACTGACAAACGGTCCAGAAAAAGCGAGTGGTGGAGACTGGAGTTGCGCGCGCGTATGGACTTGTCGAGACATATGCCGACAGTGTGACATTGGATGGCGGCTGGTACCAGCCTAGCGTCTTACGACGAGTGTATCGGGCACGACAAGCGCGAGGCCCATTCAACCCCTGCAGGGCATTTGGTCAGAGAGTCTTTCACTGCAGAGCATTATGTCGTGGGGGGTTTTTTCTTCTTGTAGGTCTTGATGGTTTGCCAATCTCGCGGGCAAAGTGCTTGGATGACGGGTTTGGCGCGGGTGGGGAGACGGCAGAGTCACCCGGGCCAACATGAGCGGCGGAAAGCGGGCAAGCTCCAGGATGACAAAGAGACATTATAGCATCTAAAAATTCGTGAACAAGATGTACCGAATGATCCTTTGGCTGTTGTGCGGCGTTGGTGAGTTTTGGAGAATATTCGAGACATTTGTGAGATAAGTTGAATAAGTGGCCATAAGGTCGTTCCGGAGTTAGATAAGTGTCCCAGTCAGTCAAGGAACAGCCCCAATCCAGTAGCCGAAGTTTGAATTAGAAGCAGGTGACTGAATTACTCTGTCCTAGTATATACTGGCTGGGATCCAGCACGGGGCTTTGCGCCCAACTATCATCTCCCCCCCCGTCACTTTCATCGTCGAGCGAGACCTTCAAGACCGGTTCTGCAGACCGCCAGTCTCGTCTCTCTACTCTTTTTCTCATCTCTTTGGCTCTGCCAGAATTTAGAACATTATTTGTCCCCCAACCCCCTCACGTCTCACGATCACCACCTGACTCCGGTCACCCCCCGTTCCCCCTCTTGACCATGGCCTCTACCTCGCTCTACCAGCCCCCGATAAGTAGCGTCGCTGCTGCCAACATCTTTGGCCCCCCTCAGCGCTCAAATTCGCCTGCTGTGGGTGGCCGCCGCAAGGTTGCTGCCTCTGCTGCTGCTGTCCCTGCAAAGCCAGCGCCCGTCGTTGTTGCGCCTACGGTACGCACACGGTGACATGAGATAGGTACTTTAAAATGCTCACTCTCGCCTTTTCCGGTTTTTTGTCGATTTTTGGGATGCGTCCAATCAGGTCAAAGCAACCGGCGACCTCTTCTACGGTTATGAAGATCTCTCCAAGATGTGCGGACGCTTCATTGGAGCTCTCTTTTCATGCCCCAATGTTCCTATGTTTGCTGGTGCCTCGATGTCGGGTACCAGCAATGGATCGTGCCCGCCGCTCGCGCACTTTATCGCATATGCGATCCATCGCACCCGATTACCCGAGGTGGTTGTCTTTACTGCACTCTTCCTCCTTGCAAGATTAAAGGAGCGATTCCCCGCAGCCCGTGGCTCGAGTGGCCACAGACTCTTCATCTCGGCGTTTATGATCGCCTCCAAGGTCATTTGCGATGACACTTACTCCAACAAGTCGTGGTGCATCGTAGGCCAGAACCTCTATACCCTCAAAGAGGTCAACCAGATGGAGCGCGAAATGTGCTCGTATCTCGAGTGGATCCTCCACGTCGAAGCCGCAGAGCTCGAGGCGTTTACCCAGCGCGTCAAAAAGGAGTACGGACCCGAGTGCGGACCTGTTCCTCCAGCATGGGTCTCGTCTCCTGTTGCTGCAACCGCCCCTGCGACCTCTGTCGCTGCCCCGCTGGCCTCGCCAGTCGAGTCGACCGCCCGCTCCCAGGCAGTCGCTCCAAGCCAATCCTACCCATCTCCTCGCTCCTCTCCACCAACTCCTTCGCATTCGAATACCGCCTCCCCGCTACCTCTGACGAATGCCTCACCCCGCCATCCGGCGATGATCAAGCGGCCATTGCCGTTCCATCCGTCGGACCGGCAGACAGTGCCCTCAAGGCGAAACAAATCTCATCCTCGACTGCACATCCGCAGATTGCAGATCCGTCGTTTGCGTTTGCCAGTCGCACCGTCTGGTAGGCCTGCTTCCGCATGCCGCGGAAGCCGCCGTGAGCCTCTCCTCGTCTCCCCTCGGGGGGCGAGTCAGAGGTAGTGATACAGCCTTGCGCCGGCAACAGTCGTCGTTGCCCACACAACGCCTCGTCGCGGGGAATACAAGTACACCGGACCTGGCCGCGCACTTCTGTCAGTGGATTTTGCCCTCTGCTAGAGAAAGAGGGCCTGCGATGAGAGTGCGGCGCTCTGCGCCCTCTCATTTGTTGCTCTCCACTCGCAGGGCTTTCGATCCGTTGACTCGAGCGCGGTTCACCCGTGTTCTACCCTCGCCCTGACGCCAGCAACTCGTCCACCTTTCGCCAACGTCTAGCTGTATCCTATCATCTATCGCGGTCTTGTTTCATCTTGTCGCCTTCATCGTCGTGCAACCTCGCGCATATCTCTCGTCCTCGCATCTTCTTCAGTACACGCTTTCAACCTGACGCACGCACGAAATTCTCTTTCGGATCATACGGACACTTATGCTCCCTCCCTACCGCTCTTCATAATTTCTACAATCGTCTTTTTTATATCAGTACCCGCACATCAAAAGAACATCCCCGCACCGTCCCTCTCCCTCTTCAGCGCACTCTACTTTTGTCGACACTGGTCACGACCCTCTACGCTGCTGTTTGCCACGTTAAACCCGCATCCCTCTCAGCTTTCGACAACAGCCGCCATCGACCAGCGTCTCCGCGCCATTCTGCATCCGAGTTTGATCACTCATGCTCAAAACTCGACCAGCGACACCTGCGTACCCTTTTTGGATCTCAACCTATCATTATCCATTTGTTGTCACATTATCCATTCGCCCTACGCAGGGAGTTCATCGACTGGTTCGATTTTTTGGCACGATTGGACGCGCTCTGATCTTGTGCCTTGTTTCGCGTTCAATGAGGGGGTTCAACGGGTTGAACCTCGTCTTGACGTGATAGTGGTGCAAACCGTGATCACGCACGTTACTCTATGCACTTTGGTGCACAAAGTAGGCCCCTCGACAAATTGCTTTGCATTTCAACCGGACCCACTTGTATCTATCAAACTCTAGCGACACCCCACGACACGCCACCGACCCGTCAAAATCACCACCGACGCTTCGACACTTTTATCGACATCGTAGGACAATCTGTGCGCGCCTTGCAACCTTGAAATTGACTTATTGGGAATGTTCAACCACTCTGCGACGATACGTCGCTCTCCGTTTTGCCAATCTCAAGTATTTGGCTGCACGCATGGGCGTTGCCTCGAGCCAGCTCGCCAAATTTTTTTTGACCGTCAACAAACATACTACACCACGCTCTTTACCTCGTGCATCTTCATCTCATACTCTATCGGGTACCCTCATACAAATTCATACGGCTTGCGACTCTTCTATGATGTCTTCTTTCTGTCCATGGTTTTACACGGTGACCGACCCCGGTTGCGCTTCGTGGTTTTCGCACTTCTTGTACCGATTAGCTAGTAGAACTCAATGAACTCGATTTGAACTTAAAACGCGTGCGTGTTAGTGATAAGTCGGAGAGGGCAGTAAGCTACTTTGGGCGATTGGTCTTGTTTTACGGGTGGGTATCTTAACGTGATTGAGATATCGTTACGTTCTTTTTCTCACGGTGGGGTGTATGCAGAAGAGGTGGGCCACTTACGTCCTTGTGTTGGGCGTATCTTTAGACTGCGTGGATAACAATGATTGCCGGTAACGATCAGTGGAGACCAGTTCACGTCGAGTTTGGCGTGGACTCGAGTCCAGGCGGGTCTATTGCGGTTAGCAGATCGAGCCAAAGCGTCGCGAGCGGGCTGTATGATTTGGACAAGTGTACGGAATATTCGACAGACGTATCGCGTATTCGACAAACGTAGAACATATTCGACAACGTAAAGCTTCAATTGCATACGTTTGGAGAACAGAGCCATTCTAGAGGTCGACATTCATCCACTACGCATATCCACGCCACAGCCAATTCATCGAGTGGCGGAGTAAGGAACGAGAATGCCACAAAGGTACCGCCGGAGCATGGATTATGCGTGTTAATCATTAATATTCTCCCTTTATCGATGGCAGGCATCGCATCCCCTGTGAGTGGAATGAGGCGGGTGAATTGAACACCCTCAAGCCATAGACTGGCAGGACATGTCCCCCGCCTCAGTGGATCCCTTTCCTTCTAATGGTCAGCTCATAGATCTCGTCAGATGTATGTCCTTCTGGTTCCTGCCAGTGCCAAAAGCTACTCGGCATCTCAGTGTCGCGTTGGGAACTCGCAAGGAATGCGACTGGTATTAATTAAATATTTCGATGTAATGACCGTGGGATCTACTATACAGGCTCACCATGCAAGTTGCTCGCGCCTTTGGACGTGACCAGGGCGGTCATTTTACACCCAGGCAAGGCATTACCTACGCAAGATGGAATTATCCGGAGATCAAAGTCTTTCATTTTTAAATCAGCGACGAATCGACCTACTCGAACAGCTAGGTGCTGCCTACGACAATTCTGACCTTGCCGCCGTATGGCCAAAGGTATTCAATGAGTATAATAGTGTAATCGAAGCGATCAACAAAACACTGCAACTATGGCCCCTTGCAAAACTAGACGACTTGCCAGACGAAATACTCCTTGATATCTTCCGACTGGTCGCACTGACCGGACCATGTATATGGAAGGAGCGTATATACATGGTTTTGGCGTTTGTTTGTACCCGATGGCGTGACTTGGTATTCGGGACATCGTCTCTGTGGACAGTCATCCACATCGACGACAATGTCCCAGATCTCCGGGCAACCGTGACTCTGTTTCTCAAGCTATCCGGAGGCTTACCATTATCCCTTTCATACGAAAGACCAATGAAGAGCACTCACCCCGTTTTGTCTCTCATTCTGCCCCATACTCATAGATTCACGTCCTTGGAGGTGAGACTAATGGGTCGTCGTCTCTTTTCCATAGCGGACGACAAGCCTTCCGATCGTAATCTTACAAGACTTGATCGGCTCCTCCGAGTCACCGCATTCTCGTCTGTCACATCATTCTCAGTTACAAACGGGGTTTCGCCGCTTACAAGCCAGACCTTACAGTCTATAGTGAAATCTGGTGATACTATCGGAGCTAACTGTGTCATCCGAGCGTTGGAGGCAGCTGATGATAGCCCGACACATGTCGACTTCTCGGTGAAGCGAATGCAGGAGCTCTATCGCACCTTGCATTCCATAGAGTCCATATCGTCTATAACTTCGGTGGTCGTTGATTCATTAACCCTGTCACCAAACCTATCATCAAACCAACTCTTGGACGCCACGCACACCCAACTATTACATTGGAAGTCCCTTACATGCCGAGTTCTTATTCCACAGACACTCCTATCCAACCTGATAGATCGTTCGGCATCAACCCTAACGTATTTGAACGTTGTTCTCGACACTTCACAATTTGTGGCCATCTCCTTGGCATTATTGGAGCTTTCTTCGCTTCGCTCACTTATAATAGACATACCCGAACAGGTACCTTATCCCTTCCGAAAGTACCCGACTGTGCTCCCTGATCTCAAAGTTTCAAAACTCAGGGTCCTCAAGATAAACCATCGCTTGCTTGCCGACGTTGGCTTGTGGGCTTATATCATCTCACTCCTGAGTCTAGTCCCACATGTCCAAAAGCTCTGCATACCACCGGTCGCACATAACGCTGAGTACCAGCTAACTAAACTCAACGACGAACTGTTCGACAGGATATGCGCGATGAAGTCGCTGAACTGTCTCAAATTGGATGGTAACCTTGAATTGGTGGATAAAGGCGACTCAATGCTATATGCTTTGCCTGTCGTCGAGGATCTTGCTGTTCGGAGCACCCTCCACACGTTCAGAATGCTCAAACTCGAAACGATGCTGCGCTTAAAGTTTGATTGGGAATCATCCATCAGATATGCAAACACCTTTGAACTCTACGGGCATCGACTGCGGGTGCTGGAACTGTCGAGGGTAACACGTCGGGAGGCTGATAAGATTTACATTCGCTTGATGCTACCCAATCTTCGAAGATTGGTAACCAACGATTCAGCGCTTCTTGCCGGTATTTGCTACAAGCTAGCTGTTGAGCCACAGCATTTGCCCGCTCTAGAGGAACTAGAAATCGGAAATGAGGTCTTCCCAGAGTGGGACTTATTCTTCGTCATGCTGGAGAAACGAATCGTAGAGCACAAACGAAGAGGTTCTAGCGTTCGTATGTTGGAGAAACTCATCTTCCATACCAGTCTTTCATCATCTTTACGCTGGGCACTCACGGGGCGCCTCAAAGGCCTCTATACACATAGATCATCGAACACAGAGATTTGTCCTGCAGCGAATTACAAACTTCGCTTAGATGACAGAATGTAAGATGAAGCATCTCACTTACTCTCAGTTCTGACTCGCTTCTAGACCAGGATGTGAACGATGCCTTCGAATTCTCATATCTTGCGATGCTCCGGTCTCTAGGGTTGGGGACGAGAGCGCAGGACTAGATATAATAGAGATAGACGAGGCTATTACAGCTGACGTCCTCGAAGCCTGGCCCACTCGTCGCACTTATTCTCAGGGGAGTGGGAGGAGGTACTCGCAATGTAGGTCTACCATGGGAATGCAGTTGGTCGAAATATCTCGTTACGACGACACGCCGGAACTTGAAGACGATGACGACGGGGGGTCCTCTCGAGTCATCTTCGATATTCTAGGGCACAGGGCATCGGAGAATACAAGAGCACAGAGAGGCAGCCAGACAGTCTGACGGGCGGCCACAATTGAATTTCGTTGCCAGCATCTGCGCGCCATTTGAGTCTCGTCCGCCTTACGGAGACTATCCATCAGACCGCTTTCATAGGTCATCCATTCAAATTACGTGGGCGTGTCCAAACCTTGACCACACTCCCGCCTTGCGTGGGAGACAAGCGCCGCAATTGTCGACAAACGGAGGCCTATCACCGTCACCATCTCCGCGGCATTTCCATTTCTACTCGCGCCTTGAGATATGACGGAGGCCAGCAAGAGAGTGGAAGAAATACGGGACAAACCATATACAAGCAATGCACGCAATACATATATTATTACCCTGGCAGTGGCCATCTATTCAAAGTATACATTTGCTTCAATACTCAAGAGACGCCCACTGGAACCTGTCAGACCGTATTGAGGCTTCCCGAAGAGGCGCCCTGACTTCCCCTTGACTTCGCCATTGACCGAATATCATTATTTATTTATTTCTCGATTTCCTATACGTTGAGTCAACTGAGCGACTGACAAGGCGTCCCCGTTGAGCCTGAGCATTCGAGATGAATGATGGCAGACGCGATCAGAAATGATGCCACTGTTCTCAACCCCGTCCTGCAGGCGGACAGTGTGAGTGACGTGCCCTTACATGGAATCAGTGGGTCTTTGGCTACATGAAGCCCGAGGACAACTGCAGGGATTGGGGCAGTCTCTAGCTAAAAGACGTCAATATCACGACAAATCAGACAAAGCTCTTGAATATGATGTGTGCGTCGACGTAGTACTCTTCGTCCATGCCGTCCGATTCTCGCTTCCGAACCCGCTTTCCTGCGCCCGGTACAAGACCGATACGAGTGAAGCCTAGTTTGTCCCAGATCTTGATACTTGCAGGATTGTCTGCGTAGACGAGGTTGAAGACGGAGCCGCGATAGCCGAGAAGAGGCGCATAGTGCAGGAAGGATTCCCCTAGTGCGTAGCCCAAGCCTCGTCCGCGTACAGACGCAAGTGTAACGAATCCAGCATTGCATATCTATGCGGTATGTTATACTATTATATGCCAAATACCACTGTGTGGACGTACGTGGGATGAGTGGCCGGGATAGTTTGGCTTAATCTATCAGCTGGTTAGTGATCCTCCATAGCATTCGAATTTATGGATCGCTTACATAGTAAAAACCAGCCACAGCGTCTTTCCATTCTCTGTTACCCCTCGCCTGTTCGATTGTATCTCTGGGCACGTTTATTTCAACGAGTCCAACACCCACAAAGACGTCTCTCGCAAAGAAATATGCTTTAAACTCTTCTTCTGTCATCCCCGCTTCTTGTGGATACGTCCTCGCGATATCGCGCTCCAACTCGGCTGCAAATTCTGCATACAAGACTGCGAGGAGCTCTTTTGGGGTACTTGCAAGAGTCAAATGATAGACAGAGATGTGCGTCCAGCTAGCCGATGGAGTATTTAATGTCGAAGGTGTGGCCTGTGTGCTCTGTCGCGGACGAAGCGCATATACAGTCAAAGGAAGAGGTTCCTTGTTCTCAGCAACCGGTTTGAGTGCGCCATATGCTGACATCAGAAGCAAAGTAACAGAAGGTGCGTCGAAGAACGGTCCAAACTAATCTTGGCTCATGAACCTGACAAAGATCCTACCAACATGCTTTGGAGAGAGATATTTACTTTGTATATCAGAATGAACGTTCGTGGACGCTCTCCACCAATTTGGACAGCTTGGACCCTGACCATCCCAGCGAAAGATTTTGGCTCGACACTAGACTTGCATTGTAGTAAACAAACTACTGCACATGATCAAGTCCGAGGAGCTCGATCCGCTTTCTCGTCTTCGCCGGATGTTGTTCAGCCTCTGCTGGCACGCTAGTCAACAGCGGGTTCAAAGTGTAAAATCACTTTGCAGGTATCCAAGCGGCACCAATGGCGCTCCATGAATCACCGTACGCTCTCAATGCCATCGCCGACCATGGAGCAGCCGTATGGTCCGTTTCTAAGAAAAGCTCTCTCCCGCCAGCTTCCGTGTCGACATTTCGATTCCTCAAACGGGTGCTGGCTTCTCCGGATGTAAACGCCGTGCCAGCGTTAGGACCGCCGTTGCCATTTGCCGCAGGCCGTCGAACGTTTGGTCACCAGAGGTATGTTTGTCGCGTTATATAAAGCCCATTGTCCTGTTTCTTACTTGTTTCCCCAGATCCTCGTCTCTTCTCATTTTCGTACTCATCGAGTCCCTCCGAGTGTTACTCCATCCATCGTTAGATCAGCCTCATTCTTTACGACATACACCCTCTTGATCATGCCCGCTTTCCAAACCGTTGTGCTCCTCCTTGGTGTTACCGGAGCCAGCATCCTTCAGGCCAACGCTCACCAGCCCTTCATGCCCGTGGCTCTACGACCAATCCAACTGCTCCAAACACTGCGCAGTGCGCCTCTGAAGCAGATATTCTTAGCTGCTCAGACAAGGTATGCCCTCTGCCTGCCCTGTGTGACAAACTGATAACCTAACCCTTCTAGACTGTCACCAATACCTGTTGCAGCCCGACTCCTGGTGGACTCATTCTGCAAACGCAGGTATGTATTCTTAGCCTCCGTTCTCTCGAGAGTTGACCTCTCGCTAGTTTTGGGATACGTACACTGGCCTCGAGTCCCAAGGGAAGCTTCTTCCCAAGGGTAACTGGACTATCCATGGGCTCTGGCCGGATAATTGCGACGGTAAGCCACTCGCTGAGCAGTGGACGGTGTACAGCGCTCACTATCCAAACAGGAAGCTGGGAATCTTATTGTGACTTTGAGAGGCAGTATGACGAGGATCCAAGGTCATTAAAGCTACGAAATGAAGACGGACATTACTCACTCTTTGATTAGTCCCAAACAGGTCCGTGGAAAGACCGTTCCGCCTTACTCTGGCCCCGGCGTAGACACCTTTATTACGGACGTGAGCAACTCCTTTTTCCCTTGGAGGGTCACTAACAATCGTCAAGTTTGGGCGCAATGACCTCCTGAGGTTCATGAAGAAATTCTGGGTTTCAAAAGGCAGCTCTGATGCGAGCTTCTGGGCCCATGAGTGTGAGTCTTGCTTCTCTGGGAAAGAACGCCTCGTCTGAGTACTCTCAGTCTCCAAGCACGGCACCTGCTTCTCGACCTTTGACACGAAATGCTACGACAACTACAAGCCACACGAGGATGTCATCAACTTTTTTGACACTGTCTCGCAGGCTTACCTCAAAGTATGTACTCGCATGGATACTTCTAGCCGTCTAACCCTTGCTCAGTATCCAACTTACAAATGGCTTGAAGCTGCAAACATTGTACCATCCAACTCGACGACTTACACGCTCAAGGATATGGAAAGCGCACTCGAATCGGCCAGTGGCGCGCTTCCTTACCTCGGATGTCGTGGAAATGTGCTCTCCGAGGTCTGGTACTACTCGCACGCCAAGGGCATGGTCCAGGATCTCCAGCTAACTCCGGTCAAATCCACAACTAAATCAAAGTGCCCCGCAACTGGAATCCGGTATCCCCAACGCTCGAGTGGATCCGAGCAAGCTTAGATGATCGCGCATCATGTATCTTCAAATGCGAATAGATTTGTGACGAGACTAAACTGGGCTGGATAGATAAACGATATGAGATGTGGTGTTTAGAATGCCACCTCGATGCTCCAGTCGTTGACAATTTTGACCGCAGGATCGCGGATCCGCAGAATGGTTGCTGTTCCTTCGCTACTGCTCTTTGCAGCTGCCCCCTCTGTAAATTCCCATTCAATCTCCGCTCCACCCACAGACACCTTGGTCGGCCTCGACTTGAGTCCGTAGACAAGCACATTCTCGACTCTAACACCCTGGATCGCGTCTCTGAACGCATTAGGTGCCTGAGATCCAAAAGGTACAACATCCACGCCGTCGACCACGTTCTTGCCTCCCTGGAGTGCCGCCATATCTTCACTGGTGATCTTGAGGGGACCTTTGGCAACCTTGGACGCAGTAAACTTGCGCCATACGAGATGACCCTTTTCGTATTCGTACGAGTTTCCATCATCAAGGTACAGCTCTCCTTCTGCTTGCTCGGAAGCGTCGAGTGCAATTCGAAGTGTGAACGGGTCGCGTGCCATCAGTGCAGACGAGCGACGCGGGCGCTCACGCGTTGGGATGATGGATCCACCTCGGATGAGAAGTGGAACCTGATACAGCGTAGCAGGAACAGTCACGTTGGTTCCGGAGCGCTTCCCTCGGTAGATCTTGGCCGTGAAGTAGTTATAATATGGCTTCGAAACGTCAGTCTATATATTCTCGCTAGGCATTATAGGCATACCTGCGCCTCTGCAAGATATATTTGGGTCTCTGCGATTCCTGGTGCGGTCACGGGCTTGACAAGTAGACCAGAGGAGCCGATATAGTATTGCTCGTCCAAGGAGAAGCCTTTTGGATCGTGCGGGAAGACGGTATATTGAGGCCTAAGTCAACAGAGTGAGCAACCCTCTTCTCATTTCGGGGTGGACTCTTACCTGAGAACCGGGATTCCAGAAACGCTAGCCTGTCGGAATGCCGTGTACCAAACGGGTAACAACGAGTAACGAAGTCGAATGACGTCGCGAATGATCGACTTAAAAGGCTCATCCAGGAGATACGGTTCGCGTCGCTTCGTGTCAATGTGTGCGTGAGCACGGAAGAAGGGTGCGAATGCGCCGACTTGATACCAGCGTGTGAGCATCTCTGGATCGGGGTTGCCGAAGAAACCTCCAACGTCCGCTTCAATGAGGTTAGATTGTCGTCAGAGGGCCCAGAGAATACAGACCTCCGGAGAAAGTCATGCCCGCTATGCCATTACTGAGCACCATAGGGATCCCGATAGCCATATGCTCCCATGTACCAAGATTATCACCAGTCCAAATAGCGCCAAGCCTCTGCGATCCAGCGAAGAACGCTCTAGAGAGCACAAACGGTCGCTGAGGAGGATCCGTACGATGCATCACGGCTTGTGCTGTTGCGTTTTGCTAGTATAAATGTTAGATGCATCCTGGGCGAGTAAACGTATCACGTACGAAGAGCATCCCGTTGATGTTGTGCACGTCTCGATGCTCCCATCCTCCATGGTGGATATTCGTCTTTGGCATCGTGATCTCGGGTCCATTAAAGACGGAAGGTTCGTTCATGTCGTTCCAGATAAAGACGTCGGTCGTGCTCTGCCTCCAATGGAAATCGCCACTGTTGCCTTCGATCTTGAAGAGGCCTTGCCACCAGTCCCAGCTTGCAGGGTTAAAATAGTCGACCCAGGCACTGCTGCCTGGCCAGCACCATCCATCATATTCACCAGAACCAGACGCGGGTTTGACGAGTAAACCCTTTTCCGAGGCAGACTTATAGACTGGGTATGTTGTGTCCTTCTTGAGATGAGGATCGATGATAACAACCATCTGTATAAACGTGAGCAGGGCTCGTACCACCAGAGCAGTGTCGCATACCTTTCGCCCAAAGGCCGCAACATCATTAAACATGTCGACTGGATCTGGGAAGGTCTTCTCATCCCAGATGAAGTATTTGTGGTTTGGAGCATAGGCGATATCTAACCAGAGTACGTCGAATGGGATATCATCCTGGTCAAAGCGTGCCTGAACCTCCCTCACGTCCGTAGAACTGATATAATTCCATCTGCACTGGTGGTAGGCAAGTGCAAAATGTCTCGGAAGAGCGGGTGTTCCTGTGAGACGAGCATATTGCATGAAGACGTCGTCTGGGGTCGGTCCTGGCAGGAAGAAGACATCCATGATACCAGACTCGGATATCCAGTGAGTCTCCGTTGAATCCGAAGTTGGGTGATCCACATCGACCCACGTCTCTGAGCCAATGGCATTGAACACTCCGACAGTCGAATGAGTGCTGTGGGCATGCACAAGTGGGACAGCACCATACAAGGCCATCTCCGAATCTGCCTCGTACTCGAAGACGTCGAGATTATACAGGCGGTAAGGGTCCTTATACTTGGCATTTTCACCAGTGGTTGTAGGAAGGTCCATACGAGTAGCATGTTCAGGAAGGCCATAGAGATGACCATGCCCAGGGAACGAGATATCGAGCGACAGGGATTCAGGACCTAGATTCTATGAGCTCAAGTGTAATAATGGGTATCGAGACATACCCTTGGGCTTAGTATCGGTTTGACCTCCAAATGATTCCTCCCATTGTGGGGGTTGATCTCCTTCAAACCATGCATTGGGTTTGACTGGTGGTTCCATAACGACCTGTTCTTCGCCTTCTTGGTTCTCCACCGGCGGCTGCTCAGTGCTGGGCTCGTCCTTGAGTCGGAAATGTTCCATGTGTAGAAGTCCGTTCCCATTGAGCACAACCTCCTCCTTTCCATTTCGTGACAAGGCAATTCTAAGAGGTGCAAACTGCACCCTGAATTCGACGCCCGACTTTGGATTCGTCGCCTTGATCTCCTTCTTCGTCTGCTTCCATGAAATTGCATCACTGAGTGTTGGTTCTCGAATAAGAGCCCATTTAGCAGTCTCGTCGTAGCGCTTTCGCAGTCCGTCTACCTCGTCCATGCGAACTCGAAAGGTTCCATCATCATGTGCACGCACTTCGAGCTCGAATTTAATCTCCGGATAGAGAGAAGAGACGACAGAGGCCGTAAAGCTCGACTTTTGGGCCGAAATAGCTACTGAAGAGGCGTCGACGGAGTAAGGCGATTTCCACGTCGACGACGCTGCCTTGGCACGAGCGGCCAGAGCTCTCCCGCGTTTACAAAAGCCAGACTGCTCGCATGTTTTAAAGTCGTGTCGCTTGACCGCTAACGCGTCTGCAGCCAGCAGGACGAGCGCAAGCGGGAGCCACATTTGGGTTGGAAGCAAGTGACACTTTGGACCTCTCCACTTTGTGAGGATTATCAAGGCAGTCGATTTACTATCAAAGCAATACAAGTACAGTTTCCTCAAAGCTTTGCAAACGCCAATCCATCTCGCTGTCGCGGCATCGCCACCAAGTTCGCTAGGATATCGTACATTTCTCCATCACGGATGGCCTATGCACGTCAGAACAAGGTTATAGTATCGTAAAATAGCATACCTCGTATATTCTGGTCACATTTTGGCCAATGCTGCGCCCTGTCGAGTGCATTCCACCCTCGAAGCTCATCAAGTTTTCAATCCCGTGCATTTTGACGCCTAGGTCCCGACGAATGAATTCGTAGATATCCTTGGTCTTGCCCATATATTGGCTGGCTGGTGTCTGTCCCCGGGAGCCATCTAGATATTGGTGTCGCAACGATTGCAAGAGCTCGGCACTCTTGACGGCAAATTCTTCACGTATGTGATGAATCGCCTTGATTGCATCAGTGGTCATGGACAATCCAAGTGCATCCATCAACGGTGCGGCGACATGGTCAGCGACGACCTTCATGCGCGCAACCGCATCCATTGTTGTTGTCTTGTCGAGACTCTCGTTAACGACGTTGGTAACTTTGCTAGCACGACGTCCTCGCGATTCTTCAGCCATTTCGAGAGATGCTGGTTCAACAGGCTGGCCAGTAGGTCGCTGAGGCTCGTCTTGAACTCCAGTTGCATCGTACGCAAATCGAGTGCCTGACATAGAAGATATAGATAGCTTGCTGTGAGCTACAAGCTGTTAGTCTGTGTTGAGCAAGGGAAAGGACACGAACCATGCTCAAGACCTCGGTTGAATTAATGGTCACCCGAGCGGATATCAGGGCAAGGGAGCTATATCATCGTGAGCTACATTCAGCCAACGTCTCGAAAAGGCTTACTTGACAGATTGGTTGTGGAGCTCGGCAGACTGAATGTGCGTCGAGACTGGGTTCGCTAGGTATCCGAGTTCGCTGACGTACGCTGCAGAAGCGATATCCAACCCTTTGGCATGGTAATTAACAGAGGGATCTGTGGCAGCGAGTGACGGCGGAAGTCCACGATTCATCGCAGGATTGACAAGCTCAGAGACTTGGGCAAAGATTATGCGACCGAGATGGTGAAGAGCAAGTCGTGTCTTTTCCATTGCGTTTGTCACAGACATTGCCTGGAAGTTGCCGCCATGGTAGACGTGCCCATTCTCGCCATTAACGAGGGGGTTGTCGGTCGCTACAAGAGTCAGCAAGGGTCTTGAACCTGATTTCAGTGAACTCACTGGAATTGCATTCCTGCGTAACGGCATGAATGGCGTGAAGAAGGTCCTCGATCTGGGGACCGATGAATTGCGGGGATGTTCTCAGTGCATAACGATCCTGAAAAGAGGTGAGTATTTGGTGATATCAGCTTCATTGTGGCTTACCTGTCGAAGCTGATTCTGATCTTGGTCGACCGTCTTTACCTCTTCGTACGCCTCGGTGGCAAACCGACTGCCATCCAACAATCGGGTGACGACTTGTGCCACCTCGACCTGCCCAGGATGTGGTCTCGCGGTCTCGTGAATGAAGGGAACATATGACCCGCGAGTACCGAGAAGGGCTTCGGTGCCCATCGCGGTGCAGACTTGAGCAAGCACAGCGAGCTGTGTTGCCTCTGCCAATGCAAGAGACGCGGCAGCAGAAGAGAAGGCCGTCCCGTTGAGCAAGCCTAGTTGCTCTTTTGGCGCAAGGGTCGTCGCCTTGATACCAGCTTCTTCGATTGCTTGTGGAGCAGGAACGATTCTTCGTTTAGCTCCAGTGCCGCTGTAGACTCCAATGGCCGGATTGCCGTTGATAGCGAGCGCAACATAGGAGAGGGGGGAAAGATCACCAGAGGCGCTAATACTACCTCTGAGGGGGACGACGGGAGTGATTCCATGTTGGAGGAAGTTGGTGAGTGCTTCGAGAATTTCCCAACGGACGGCACTGTGCCCTCTCACTAAAGAGTTGCAGCGAACGAGCATGGCAGCACGAACCCAGGATTCGGGCATAATCGTTGTAGCGGCTGCGTGATTGAGAGGCAAAGATGATGGTGGATTAACGGAAATGACTCCAGAGCTTTGGTGTTGAAGGAGGGCTCGTCCAAGGGTGTCGTATGCCTTGGTTCTCGTGTCCGCTACGAATACGGTAAGCATCTCGCATGGCGCTAAAGCAGCATTGCTTACCTGATCCCCCAAAGCCAGTGGAGACACCATATACGGAAATGTGCGACTTGAGCAAGTCTTCCATGACTTGTCGGCTTTTGGCGACCTTTTCCTTGACTTTGCGCGAGTCATCTAATCTCACTGGGGCTCCATGCCGAGCAACGGCAACAATAGCACCTATCGAAAGGTTATGGCCATCCAAACGTGATGCAGAGCCCGTCCTACGTCGGGTTTTCGTCAGTGGACAGGAGGGGACGTGCAAAACTGGGGCTTTTACCTTGCCGCCTTGATTTGATCGTGGATGGTCAAGAATGCATCGACAAATGTTCCGGGGGTGTCGAGCTCTCGATGTTGGCTACTCGAGCCAGGCTTTCTCGAGCTTTCACGGTGGATGGCGGAGCGACCAAGCGAGGAGTTGTCGACGGGGAACGACATATTGACAGGAGGGAGATGTGGGTAAGTTGGGAATGGGGGTGTGAGGAAGCTAGCTCAGATTTATAGGAGACACTTGCCCTTGACCCACGGTGGGTCGATCATTGGGATAGCTGATCCGTGCCGACGTCGTTGTCATATGTGCGACCCGTTCAGGGTCTTTTATGACGCCTTCACTAGCCCCGTTTGATGGATGGGTCTATGGCACAGGCATGTCGCAAAGGAGACATGACAAGACTATAAGGGTATAATTTACAAGTTCTAGCGACTGGTAGAGGACGTGCTAGATGGATTAGCTAGTTCCGAAACGGTGTGACGAATACATTTCGGATCTTCCCTCTTGACGCATGCAAACCGTTCGGACCGCTCTTCCGTCGTTTTCAAGGCTACCATCAAAGTTATTTACATCTGGCAAGAGCGGCGAGGCTGTAAAGACTGCGAGCCGAACTCAGCAAGCCTCCCTTGATTCCAGCCACAGCCGTCCGTCGAGAGGAGCATGGAGCGCGCAGAGGTCACTGAAGCTCGGAAGCGTATACACGTGTTGATCGTGGGCGCTGGATGCTTTGGGCTGTCGACTGCCTACCATTTGCTCGTGGATAACGAGAGCTCGACGGACCTTGGCGCACAAGGCACGGCCCCGTGGTACAAGGTCACCATTATCGATGCTTCAGATGTTCTCCCAGCTCCTGACGCTGCAAGCACGGATCTGAATAAGATTGTCCGTACGAGCTATAGCGACGGTTGGTACACGCGCTTTGCCAAAGAGGCTATAGCCAAGTGGAAAGAGGGTACAATTTGTGGAAAAGATACATATCATGAGTGAGTACTTTGCCTTTGGTCGTCGGACGGGTCTTGGAGTCCAGGGTCGTATGACCATGCGTTTGGCAAGGACAAGCGCTCAAGATATATGTCCAAACATTCGAAGGCTTACTTTAAGTTTTCAGATCCGGTGTGTTAGTGCTAGGCCTGCGCTATCAATCGACGGAAGGTCCCGACCAGGGATTAACAACGCCGTACGCTGACGCTGCATTACGTAATGATCGTGAAATCAACGCAAGGATCGAAGAGTTTCCGATGCCTGGCATGGCTCGTCGTGCACTCCCACAGGGTGTCATCGGTGGCCACCTCTTCGATGAAGGGGCCGCGTATCTCAATCGAGATGGTGGCTGGGCGAGTGCATCAAAGGCTATGGAGGCTATGCTTGGAAATGTGAAGCGACTTGGAGGTGAGATACTCACTGGCTGCAAGTTGTCTGGGATTTCGCCCCAAGCCGATGGGACGTCCACGGTCAATCTCGAGAATGGGGAAGTCATTCACGCCGATATGGTAGTATTGACCACAGGTGCATGGACGCCCCTGGTTGTCGGAGGGATACCACACCTGGAGAATGTTCTCAAGGACCGCCTAGTAGCGACTGGGTGGGTTCCATAGTGCAGTTGATTTTGTTTCTGAGGCTTTGTAGGCAAGTGGTGGCAACTCTCCGACCTTCTCCATTCTACCAACAGCAGCTCCGGGAAGCACCAGTTTTGCTGGATTGGCAATCTGGATTTTACATGTTTCCAGTAAGCAATTGATTGGACCGGTTTTATTCAGTCGCTTATCGTCCGCAAGCCGAATGAAGAAGGCGTCATCAAGATTGCAATTCACGCAGAAGGCCACACTTTTGCACCTGGCTCGTCGCAAGATGATTCCTCGGGATCGAATCCATCAAACCTTGTTGACAGGATATCACGACCACGGACAGTGCGAACGCACGGAGAGGACGACGGGACGCGGGTCCCTCGTCATATTCTCCAACGTATCCACGCCAAACTCGAGGGAGCGTACCCAGAACTGGGCAAAGTTGCCCTAGAGACGACACGACTTTGTTGGTATACGGAGAGCCCGGACGAGAACTGGTTCATCGACCAGGTTCCGGGGCATCCAACCCTGTTTATTGCGACTGGCGGTTCGGGCCATGCCTTTAAAGTATGTTTTCAATTAATCCTATTGTGGGAACGGTGAGAGCTGAAGTCCGAGGGATAGTTTCTGCCAGTCATTGGAAGACTGGTCAAGGAGCGAATCGAAGGACGCCTTCGACCCGAGGACGCTGTGAAATTTTCTCTGGGCAGGGAGTTTGGGGCTCGCTTCCGCTCTCGATTGGGAGAGCCTGTGGCGTTGGATGAGGGAACGTTGTGGGGACCGAAGGAGTTTAACATTGCAAGGGTTACGGAACAAAGTGTGTGACCTCAGATCCACAGGACGTCTTCTACATGCAGTTTAAAGGCATCTACTTGTTTGTAGTGTGCGAGTCGTAGGTCGCGTTTGCGGTTGTATGCCTGTTGGAACAGGGTGAGAGTTGTAAAGAGACGGGGAGCGACAGCTATTTGACCTCTCGTTCTTGACCGCGTAAATGGCTCGATTCATTTCCCCTTGGAGTCTGAAGTGGACGGATTGGGTTTGGTCTCAATGGAACATTTGCCGAACCCAGACCGCGAGTGGGAGCTTCGTGATTCAAAGCCGGTGGGGGAGATTTATGATGGAGCGGGTGATCTCGATCGGATACAGAGGAATTCGAGAAAGTGCTGGATGATGACCTCTGAAGCCATAGGGATTCTGGGAAGCCGTTTTGGGCGGGCGTCGTGAGCTGCCAATAGAGCGGGTGGCTCTGTCGCCTTAGAGGCGGCTGATGGGAGAACCAAAGGCGCTGTGTTTGAGGCAGAGACTAAGTTGCTGGCAGACATGATTAATGCGAGGTAGGTCAAGTAATGTAGAATAGTGGGTTATAGTAGTGTGCTTCGAATGATTACGAAGGTTGATGGAAAGAAGAGAAGTCTGAGTTTGTCACGGTTTCACCGGTCCAAACGCGCGGCAGCTGGCTGGGCCATGCAGGGGGATGCGCAGGCATTGCTCGGAGCCATTCTTACAGGATTCTCCAAACCAGATGTTAATTATCGAGGCCGTCTTCGGCGCCGGACAGACGGCGAGGGCGCCAGACTCGGTTTACCTGAGAAAAGGAAGCGAGCAGAAGCAGCGCGACGGTGAGACGTCTCAACTTCTGTCCTTCGGATTATTCGTCAGTTTGGACCCGCGTTAACCTTTGACATCGACCACCATCGTCCCGTTCCGTCTTGTAGACGCTGCCGCTCGTCGCTCGACAATAGGACGCTTTTTTCCGTTTGGAGGATTTCCTTCTGCCCGCGCTGCCTGGAGAAAGCCTGGAGAGAGAGAGCGATTGATCAGGACGTGATACGCGCAGAGAGATCAAATAGTAACCACTACAACATCCTCTGAACTCGAGTTTACCAGAGCTCACGGATGCTCCTGTCGTCGCTGGTGGCAAAGGAATGTACATGAGCCAGTACCACGACTTGCCCCCCAACGCGTCTGCTCCTCTGTCGCAACAAATCATCCAAAATCATCCAAATATTCGCCACGGGCTCAATGGCCCTGCCCTCATCGTCCCAAACGACGTGCACATGGCCCAGGCGACTCAGCACGTTCAACAGCAGCCGCGGCCGTCCAAGCAGGACAAGGGAAGGACCACCGTGCTCGCAATTCCCTCTGTTACCATTGTCGGCTCTCAGACGTTCATCGGCGATGCCAATTCCAGTACGTCCTCCCGGCCTTTGCGCTGGCTATTCCCCCGAGCTTACTCTCGCTCCTCTTTTCTAGTGTCAGAGAGATCGTATACACCCGTCAAGGGCGTCGGAGATGGTTCTTTTGGCACAGTCTTCCTCTGCGACTGGCACACCCCGCTCGCCCCGTCCATCGCGCTCGCTCCGATGCAACAAGGCGCCGGTGCAAGGCCAGAATGGCAAGGCAAGCGTCTTGTCGCTATAAAACAGATGAAGAAGCGCTGGGAAGGCGGTTGGGACGAGTGTAGACGCCATCCGGAGCTCGAGGTCCGTCCACTCATTTCTACCAAAACACTCTATTATGCTAATCCCCCCCCGAAACTCTCCAGTCATTACGATCGATTCCACCACACGAAAATGTCATCCCCTTGTATGACTGTTTCCTTCTCCCGAGCTCAAAGGAGCTCTATTTCGTCTTTGAATGCATGGAGGGCAACCTGTATCAACTCATCAAGTCGAGAAAGGGGCGTCCTCTGGCAGGCGGTCTCGTTTCCTCCATTTTCGCTCAAACGTGCAAGGGTCTCGCCCATATTCACGACTCGGGCTACTTTCATCGCGACATGAAGCCGGAAAACTTGCTCGTCACCACCACTGGTATCGCAGAATACACAAACTTTTCCCCTCTAGTTCCTCCGGGCTCTCCACCAGAACGGGATGTCATCGTCATCATCAAACTCGCCGATTTTGGGCTCGCAAGGCAGATCAAGTCAAAACCGCCCTACACAGAGTATGTTGCGACACGCTGGTATCGAGCACCCGAGATTTTGCTCCAGTCAACTGATTACAACGCACCCGTCGACCTATGGGCAGTGGGCACCATCATGGCCGAAGTTGTCAATCTGAAACCACTGTTTCCTGGAACGAATGGTCCTGACCAATTACTACGCATCTGTCAGATATTGGGTGACCCTTCAGATGCCTATGGCTTCGATTCACACGGCCGGCCAGTCGGAGGAGGTAAATGGTCCAGGGGCCTCAAAATGGCGAAACAGAACGGAATCTCGTTTCCAAAGGTCCGTTCCTTCCCCTTGCCTTCAAACAGTTGTCAACAACCATTTTCTTATGTAACCTGACAGATTCAGCCACAAGACTTTTTCAGTTTGTTTGATCAATCCGTGCCGCAGTCCCTTGTCGAGTGCATCTATGCGCTTCTGAGATATGACCCAGAAGCACGACTTACAGCACATGGTTGCTTGAATCACGCATACTTTGTAGAGACGGCGCAGCCGTTTGCGCATCCGACTTTCAATGCCCCACGCCGACATACGAGCTCTGCTGGATCTGGAAACTCGACCTCTTCCCGGCATGGTCCGCTTGCAACCGTTTCACCCCGCTCGATACCGCCATCGCATTCACACTCTGCGGCCGCCCGACACTCCACCCACCATCATACTCATCACCATCACCCATATTCGAATGGACCCGTCAATAGAGCTCCACCACTGCCACACCACGGCTATGCGACAAATGGCGATCTCGACATGACGCCCGCAGATGGTATCGTAGAGGTCGATCGGAACAATCAGCCCGTCAGGCGGCAATACGGTCATCATCGCCTACCGCCGCAGCCAGAGCGAGAGCGAGAACGCAGTTCAATGGACCTCAGTGCGGATAATACCAGCAACCCAACCGGAAAGTCTGGCATGTTTGGGTTGAAGAAGCTGTTCGGTCATCAAGAGAAACAGGTGTCGCTCCCCCCTGTGGAGGAGATTACATTTGCGTCCAATTCTACCCCTTCATTAAAGGACACGCCCTCGACGAGTTCAGAAAGCCGATCATTGCCCGAAGTACACGGAATCGCCTATGCCAATCATCCAATCCCGCCGCCAGTTCCTCTACCGGCTCCAATTCCTCCTCCCATGGACCCAAAGAAGCGGAAAAAGGAGCAGGAGAGGCAGGAGCGCGATCTCGAAATGCAACGACGTGCAAATTTGCAAAAGATGCAACAAGAGCGCGCTCGTGCGGTCGTGGCAAAACGAAATCGACTGGAAAACTCGCGCGACACCGATTTCGAGTTTCAGAGCGTCAATACTGCTCGATTGGCTCAGGGTAACGGACGACCCAAGACGCGGAAGAAGCAGGACAACCCACCGAATGCGTTTAGCAACGAGGTTGTGCCTCTGAGCGTGAGAGCGGCGAACAGCTATGGAACAGAGTCGGTAAAGGGTGGCATAAACGGATCGCGGCAGCAGCAACGGGGTGTACAGGTGCAGAACAGCATTACACCACTGCTTGGTGCACACGACTATCGGAAACGGCGAAAAGATGACGATGAATTGTCCATGTCAAGCTCGGACGTACAGTCGGTCGGCCGCATGTCCGTTATTTCATTTGCCACGGTCGAGTCTGATCCTGGGTCGACGCGGGTACGGCGACGACCGAGTGCGTACAACTATGCGCTCAGCCCGCGTCCGTTGGGGACAGCAACGTCCATTTCGTCCATCCAGAGTTACAGCAATTCGCCCCGCTCGTCGCATTCAGTGGAACCGGGCATGCGGCCCAACGGCGGGTCCCTGGACGCTCAATTTACAAGTGACTTTGAGACACGGGCGACGCTCGCGGCGGCAAGTGGAAATCCCCTGTATTCTCCGGCGCTGCAACCTCCACATTCCCATCGACAGTCGGCGTCTCCCACCGGTCATCCGGATGTTGTCGACTCGATGAGTCCTCCGAACATGCAGTTCCTCACCCTCGCGGGCTCGCCCAGTCATCCGCCATGGACGCTTGAATCGGGCGGGAATAGTCCTGTCGCAGAAGTTGGGAGCGTAGATGGGAATAGTGTGAGTACGCTGGGTAGTCGGAGATTACCGTCGTCGATGCATGGAGCCAATCCTGGTCATCACTCTACCCCGTCCTACGAGTATTTTACCTATACCCGAAGCCATCCGCCAACGCCGCATTCAGGGATTAATCCCATGTTCCAAGTGGTACGGAAAACCTTTGCTTTTGGAGGTTTTTTTATTCTGACACTTCTCTAGGCTCCTCCGGTCCCGCCTCTTCCTGCAACCTCTCACATTGCGTCTGGACAGTCGCTACCCCCCCTTTCCAGTCTCCTTTCCGTGATCGACATGCAAACGCACCCGACAGACTCAATTCATCAGCAGCAACCGCTTGGTCAACCGCCATGACAATGACCGCCCGGCTTCACCTGACCGTCGCGGATTCTTCCGGCCCTGGCTATCTCACGACATTCATCACGTTTTTTCTTGCTAGGCCATGACCCCTTTCTTGCTCGCATCCATCCGAGCCGGCAGATATCCCCTCTCAGGCGCAGCCAGACTGTCCTCTTACGCCGTTTTTTTGGTTTGTTCCACACAGACACACACTACCCCTCTCAACGTGACTTGCCACGCCAGTCTTGTATTTTTCTCGTCTGGACCGCCGTCATCTAATCTCCTCGACTGTTCTCGGCTCGACTACCCGACTCTTCTTGTCAAACTACATTATTACTGCCGGACACCCTACACGGCTACTAATTGATCCTGGTCACAATCATGACCATTGCACGCTCGTTTAGTCTCGATGCTGATGCCTGGATTCGCAACGGCCGCTCGTTATCTGCACTGCATGGCCTCCGGAAGACTGCATGTAGATGACGACGGTTTGAAATCCATCTGCAGTGAGTATTAGATTATTCCGATTCGCTTTCGCTGACATGGTGCCTTTGGCAGCCACCCCACACGCTCCTTTGGTCCCGGTTTTCGAACACCTGTTTTCTACTCCAAAACAGATTCGCAATCCATCACACTCTGCACACGCCTTACGGTGTCGTTTTGGCAGCTTTGCCATATCCCCCTTTGAAGCCCTCCCGACGCGGGCTGTTTGTATTTCTACCTCCAAGGGTCTTGTCCACCAATGGGCTCAGCCGCCTCGTCGTTCTGCCTTGTCGTACGCCGTCCACTCCCACCATAGTCTCTCCTTTCGTCTCGTCATTCCTCTCCTTTACTCCTGGGATGTTGGGTGGAGATTCAAATTTTGCTGCTCCCTAGCATAAGTTGTGTCAATTATAGTATCACTAGCCAATACAAGAACAGTAGTAAATCCTGAATGTGCTCGATAAATTGTGAATCCGCCTTTGCGATCGTGCGCTCATAGCCCTTGGACCCTTCCGTCGCCGCCAACGCTTCGTTCGGCTTTGTCGTCGCCCTTTTGGCGCTCTTATTCTCTCTAGCACGCAGGATCGTGCTCTTCGTTCCTCTTCTTTCATTTTGTCGTGCAACGACAGTCTTTCCCAAATGCCTGTTGGTTCCTCCGATGCCATTCAAGCGTGGGACCTCTTGTCTCGAATTCAACAATGCGTAGGAGCGCAGGATTCATCGAATCGACCTTTCAGTACAGACGTTCGCACCTCGCAGCCATCCACGTTCAACGCACCCTCGAATCTTTCGCTGCCACCACCAGCTTACACACAGCGCCTCAAGCCATGTTTCCCGCCTTCCCTTGCGAGACCGACTCCTCGACCGCGCGTATTCTCCGCACCGTCCTTTTCCAATCGCGTGTCAACGCTCGACATGGAACGTGGTGGCGTAGCTGGGGATAGTTCTGCCTGCAGTTCCCGCTCAGCCAGTCAAGACAGAACCAGTACATGTGTCCCTCTGTCCAGACAAAACTCGCTTCCTTGTCTTGGTAAAGGCGTGGATGGGGAGAGTGGTGGTCTGCCTCTGCGACGTGTCGATAGTGCTGCGTCCTTTGCTTCTACATTATCCTACACTGGAATTGATCCAGATGATCCCCGTATTACTGGAGCCCGCCGCCCGAGCGCAGAAGTAGGATTCCCGAGTGAGCTTTAAACGCAGAGAATAGGGGGGTGCAAAACAAGTTAACACGCGTTACAGGTTATAAGGAAGGGGAAGCCTTTCTCTTACTTCTCACAGAGGCATTGATGAGGTTTGGTGCACCCTCGCATCGAATCGAGTCGCAGCTCCTGTCCGTGGCGGCGTCCCTCCATATCAAGCTCCAAGTCATACATGTTCCTGGCGTGACAATCATGTCGTTTAGCAAGCATATCAAGAATTCTTCGGCCGTCAATGTTCGCTTTGTCAAGGCTTCCACCAAAGTTGACCTCGGACGTTTGCACGACGTCCATGTCGTGTATAAAAAGGTGGTTCACTACGAAGAGACTACGGAAAATGCATCAAGTGCTCTCAAGCAGCTCCTAAAGCGAGATCCAATCTTCAAGTACGTGCTTACTTTGTACAAAACTCGCTATTCTGATTTGTCTACAGTGCACCCGAACAGATCATGTTAGCCGTCATATGTGGTCTGATACTCTCTCCCATGGCATACAAAGGATCCGTGTTGGACCTTGTTGCGGCTGGTCTTTGTTGTGGAGTTATTGCATGGCTCCATCTATGGGCGGCAAAGAAGAATGCAATGTTCTCCAATTTCGTAGAGTGAGTCCGATTATTGTAAGTCTCAGTGTCCCTAAATGCCCTCAAGGATCACGTCTGCCATTTTCGTTGCGTTTACTGCACGCGGTCTGTCAAGTCTTCCCCAAGGTATCTTTTGTTATTCGGCGGTGGCATCTGCAGGCGTTGTGAAGCTGCTTCCAAAATACATGATCATCTGCGGCTCATTGGAGTTGGCATCAAAGCAGGGTGAGCGGCGGACACAAATACCAACCCCCTCACTGACACACAAAAAGTGATGACCGGTTCAGTAAAGATGGTTTATGCCATCATATGGTCCTTATTCCTCGGATTCTCGATAACGCTTGGAAGGCAAGCCGTCGTCGGTTGTGCCTCATCCTTGGCTGATTCGAATCTCAGTGACCTCTACTATCTTATCGATTCGGGAGCACGCAGCCGACGATTCCAAGCAACTCAATACCTCGCTGACGCAATGATTCTTGTAGGAGATTTCAGTCTCGACAATACAACCACCACCTGGGGGTTCCACTTCTCCAACGTAACAGCGCCGCCGTCCACTCGCTTGTACAGTGTCAATGGTTGTTATCGCTCACCCGATTGGCCGTGGTATCTTCAGTCTCCTCCGCCCTGGACGCTGCTATTTCTAGTTCCTCTCTATGCCGTATTCTCTGCGTTTGCAGCCTTTCAGCCACTGAAGAGCCGGGAACTTCCCGTAATGGTCCTGGTCAGCTGTTGTTCCTATGCGGCCAATAGGGTAAAAGGCTTCATTCTACCTCTGGTCACAGCTAACATGCTTGCGCACACATTCTCAGGGCGTTCATGTAGTCATTCCATCACGTGGAGATATTTCTGGTGCCATTGGAGCTTTCGTAATCGGGTGCGTCACTCCTCCGCTCGCCACCGATAACCATTATCTCTGACCAAGTCACGCGGAACAGGGCTATGGGACATTTGTACTCGCGCATCTTCCACGGGACAGCGTTCATAGCCATGTTCAATGGAATAGGCTTCCTGGTTCCCTCGGCTATCGCGGCAACGGGAGGGTTGGCACAAAACTACAGAGGAAAGTCAGGGAATCACTACACATCCAGTCTGGACTTGGCGATGCGCATGATACAGGGTCAGTGTGTTCTCGTATACGACAAGCACATGCGGCTAAGATACAGGGGACAGTGGCTATCGGGACGACCATGGGTCTCTACACAAGTGCCCTCGTGGTGTATTCTGTAGGGAAGCGGAAAAAGGGTGCGCTATGGGCCTTCTGAGCACACGAGTGTAGAGACCTAGGGATGAATACGAACGTTGGATGACGGCTCACACCCGTTTCTGCATGAGCGCTAAGAGATGGCATGCAGAAAACCGACGGTTTGTGACCAATTCGGCCCCTTCGCCCGACAACAGCCTTCAATTTTTTTATCTCACCCGCACGCTGGGTCCCTGGGCCTTATCATCGCTTGCGGAGCAGCGACGTCAGGAATCCTTGTCAGCTGGTGATCGTGGTGGCAACTCCCGAGCCCTGATAGTCTTCGATTCTCGAGTTGAAAGGGCTATCTCTGTGAAATGGCGACCTCTTCACTCAAGCATAGCAGCTTAATGCAAAGCCAAGGAGTCGACACGCATGTTTTTCTGGGCCCTGATAGGCAGAACTTCGCCCCGAGCACCAGGCAATGAGGCACTTCAGGCTCAACGCCGGATTCAAATGACATCTATCGCGCCCGTATGGATTGGTTTGCTACTTGGAAACGAGACCCATTTCCTATTCTGCCCCAGTTCATCCCCAGACGCCACGTCGAGGCCGTTTTTCAATGCACTTATCTCTGCCCTAGCTTATCAGCAGCACGCCGGATTTGCACCTCGTGCGCCGTGCTTGTCGCAACGTGTGACCAAGGTTATTCTTTCCAGCCACCGTATCATCATCATTTGCCAATATTGCGTGGCCGCGGCTGGCTTCCGCCTTTGGTATCCGACCCGTCTTGATCACCGAATCTAGCCAAAGAAATTGTGTGTCACATACAATCCGATCTTGAACCCAAGCGTTTTTCCTGGTGCCCTCTCTTCTCCTTCTTGGCCACCTCTTCTCCAGACGGGCACCCATGGACAGCAGTCTCTTGGATGGATGGCTCGCTCTTGCTGCAGAGACACGACGAGTCGATCGAATTTCATCTACTCTGGGCCGTACGCAGCTTTTCTCCCATCTTCCGAGCACTCGTCTTACCCTTCCCATAGTAGATTTCCCGTCTACTTCGACGTCTCCGTCCAGTTTGGGTTCGTCCTCTGGGTCTTCAGGTCTAAATACTCCATCCCAAAATGCATTCCGATTTCTCTCGCTCCTCAAGGACATGTCCCCAGAGTTGCTCGAGTCGCAGTCCCCTTCTTTGGTTTGTCTACGCGACCTCCATACCTCCTGCCACTTACCGCTGCCGTAGAGCCAGTCCCCTTCGCCACCCTTATCAAGGCAGCGTTCGGGCTCGTACCACCGACATACAGGACTTTCAATTCCGAAATCAACTCGTACTGTCGGTCGACCTCCGATATCGCTGGACACAACCAGCCCTCCGTCGTTTCCCGAATGGCGAACACAGAGGCAGTTCTCGAAGCATCCATATGCGTACAGCCCGTCACCCGAGGTCCAGCGGTCATCTATGCATAGTGGACGCCATCTCTCATATCCAATCTGGCCTGCGCACCAGCCAATCTCCGCCGCGGATCGCTCACAGCCATTTCATGCCCCGTTGATAACATATTCAGCGGGTTCTCCCACCAACACGACTGGTCTCCGCTCGAGCCGGACTGTATCATCTCGTAATCCTGGTGGACTCCATGCCAGTGAGAACGAGTTTGGTTATGTTATCACGGATTCGATATCTCCAATGTTGTCCGAGCCATTTCATCGCCTGATTGTCAATGATGAGGAGGACGAGGTTCGCGAAGCAAGACCGCTTGGCTCGACTGCACCCGAACGTCATGCGCAGATAACCAACGACGCCGAGATGAAAACGGTAGCGGAAGAAGACGAAAATGCTGGCGACTGGTGGTGAGAGATTCTCCTTTTTGGGCTTGTGCAAAATGTCTCACAACCGCGGTTACAGGGAAGAAGATCCCGCTCGGGATTTCACGTTTGAATTTGAGATTCATCCTCATTCTCCGAAATATGGACATGCAGCACCATTGCGTCACACACGACAAAACGCCTGGAGTTCGCAAGTCCATGGGAATTGAGTGGTGTATTGCTGTCTCTTTTTTTTTGGAATACTATATCATCTCTCTTCTTCGGGGTTTCCTGTCCCTTTGGTTCTGGGTTGCCGTTCTCCCACTTCACAACTGACGTTGCTACTGCCCTTCGGATAGCTCGCAAGGTCAGAGCTGGTGATTGGAATAGCTCTAGTGTGACTGTAATTATCTTCTTGGAATCCACTTGGTGTCGTCGTGCTTGTGGTCGGTGGTAAAGTTGAGCTACTAGCCGCATTCAAGGTTGGACCAGACCATCATGTCTGTCGCACGTAGGCAGTCCTCTCAATCGCCCTCGTCACGCTTTGGGCACTCATCGAATGCGACAGAGTTTGAAGATCGCTCGCTGGACTTTTGCAACTCATTCTGGGGGCCAGGCGACGCTGGATATGAGGTCCTCACGTCGCGCATGCGCATTGCAATGAAGACTATCGAGGATCTGAGGAACTTTTGGAGAGAAAGGTGAAGAATTTCCGGCTCTGGTGCCGTCTATTCGTCACGGCGGCTAATAATCCACTGCTGGTAGAGCGGCGATAGAGGATGATTATGCCAAACGGCTCGTACGACTCTCCAAACAACCTTTAGGTCAAGGAGAGATTGGGTGAGTGTTTGTTGAGCTCGCCGAGTCTCCTCCTGGTTGCTGATCAGCTGGCGCAAGTGAACTCAAGAATTCGCTCGATGTCCTCCGGCAAGAGACAGAGCGTCAAGCTGGACAACATCTATCGCTTGCCATATCGATACGCAAGGAACTAGAGGCCCCTGCCAACGAGTTCCTCGCCAAGCAGGCGCACCACAAGAAAACGGTACGTGAACAGACCGGCGCTTGTGGTCTCTAGATGCTGAGTCCCCGGGGTTCCAGTATCAAAATTCGATCGAAAAGACGTACAAAGCGAAACAGATGAATGAAGGTTATGTTGCAAAGGCCAGAGACCGTTACGAACAGGATTGCCATCGCATCAACTCCTTCACTGCTCAGCAGTCGCTCGTCCAGGGACGAGAGCTCGACAAGGTTACTATTAAGCTCGAGCGTGCTCAGGGTACAATAGAGGCCAACAAACGAGATTACCAAAACTTTACGCTGGCTCTTGCCGAGACCGTCTCACGATGGGACAAGGAATGGAAAGACTTTTGCGACAGGTGCCAGGATCTCGAGGAGGATCGTATCGAGTTCCTCAAGGACAATGTCTGGGCCTATGCCAATGCTGTCTCTACGGTCTGCGTGCACGAGGATGAGGCGAGTCATCTCCACCACTCGCGGGTCATTAACTGAGCGTTTCAAAGTCATGTGAATCTATCAGACTGTCGTTGGAGCGCCTCGACGTCCCAAAGGACATCGAAACCTTCATCACTAATCATGGCACTGGATCCGCCATCCCTGAAGCGCCTCCGTTTATCAATTACTCCTCTCCGGAGCCCACGCCAGCCCGACCACCGGTTCGTCAAGCCAATTTCGAGCGGTCATCAACCCGTCCACAATCGATCATGTCACCCGCGATCAGCCAGGTGCAACGCGAGGAGGAACCAGTCGATGCTGGCGAGGCGGGAGTGGGCGCCAAACACGCAAGAGGCGCGTCAGGAAGTTACATTGGAACCCAAGAAACTGGTGCAGGTAGTATTCTCAGCCATCAAGCACCGCCTACTCTCCCGCCGAGTTCGATGCAAGGTGGACCAGCTCCTGGGATGGGCTACCATACGCAAACCGGTAGCATTAGTTCCATACATAGTGGGTCACCTTATGGACAGCCTACTCTGCCTCCTTCCTCTAGTATCAGCAACGATCGCCGCACGTCTTATCAAGCAGGGCCCAATTCTTCTGCAGACCCGGGTACATACGACTTTGCAAAATCCGCACATATTCAACCTGGAGCGCCTAATGACCCCCTCGAGCAACAACTACAACTCCTACGCGGCGGGGGCGGTGGCGGCGATAGCGTTCATCGAGGTAACAGCACGCGAGCACCTGCTTCAACTCATCAGGCCACCAACTCTGTACAAAGTAACAGCCACAGAGCTGTCTCTCCTGCGCCTGCGCCTGCGCCAGCTGCACTGTCCCCACCCACGAGCAGCGCCGTGGATTATTCAGAATCGGCAAATGCCATTGTAGGGCAACACCCTGCGTCTCGTCCCAGCTCCCCGGCACTTTCTGTCGCACCACATCCTGCCATGATGCAACCTGGAGGTGTCCGTGCACCGAGTCCTGTCGAAAAGGTCGTCGCCGAGTATGGACAGGCGTTCCCTGGCGAACGGAGGCGGTCCGGAAGCATCAATACACAGAACCACCAGCGTGGGAGAACAGAAAACTCTGCTCCCGGTCAGCGATCTGTCAGCCCTGGATACGCTGGCGTTGGCGCGAACGGCCGTAGTCCAAGCCCTCAACCGTTCAAGAGACTGGCGTCTCCGGGACCCGGAAATCCCCAACAATCTCAACAAGTCAATCTGGGACAGCAATACAACCACGTGTCACCCCCTCCGAATGCGGATCGTCGAGGCGCGAGCCCAGCTCTGCAACCAGCCACCGGGTCTGTTAGGCGAGCCGCTAGCCCTGCTGGTATCTCTTTAGATGCAACAGGTCAAGTATCTCACGATAGTTTGGCTCGCGACCCGCAGCTCAACAACTATGGACGGTCGGCTGCAACCCCTATCGCGGCCCCAGTCCCCACTCCCATGAATCAGCCTGGTCCAAACTATGCGTATTATAATCAGTCACCAGCGCAACCCCAGCAACAACAGCAACAGCAAGTTGTAGCTCCTATGCAGGGACCTCCGAGCATGCACATGGGACAACAATCCAACTTCGTTGCTCCACCTCCACCGCCGATGAACCAGCAGCAGGTATACAACATGTATCAGCAGCCCGTTCAACCTGTCCATAATCCTATGGGATCTCAGGGCTCGCTTTCTCAGTACGGCGTATCGCAGCAAGCCCAATACCAACCCTCACAACAGCAACAGCAGTTGCAACAACAACAACAGCCACCACCACCGCCTGTTGCGAATAATCAACCGGCGATGTATGCCCAACCTGGCTACGGTATGCCTATGCAGAACGCTAGCAACTATGCCCAACAACAACTGCAACAACAACAACCCCAACAGCAGCAGCAGCAGCCTCCTCAGCAACACCAGGGCCAGCATATGCAAATGGGTGTTGGGATGATGCCTCCTAACCAAGCTCAGCAACCACCATCAAACCCGGTTTCGGTTGCGCCTACCCAGGGCAACAGGGAATCGCCCACACCGCCTACGGGCAATTATATTGAGGATCGTGGCATTCTGTTCTATGGTGAGCATCTCAAGAAACGCTCTTGGCTCGATACTGAGGGCCCTTATAGTCAAAGCGTTATACGACTATACCGCGACCATTGATGAAGAGTTCTCTTTCCAAGCTGGGGATGTTATCGCCGTGTTGGCCACTCCAGATGATGGTTGGTGGCAAGGAATCCTACTTGACGACTCGCGTCGCCAGCCTGGACGAACCGTGTTCCCAAGTAACTTTGTATGTCTGTTCTGAGTCTGTTTTCTCTCGACGGTTGCTGCCTGAGGGAGCTATATCCAGAGTCGATAGTCTTCTAGCCTTGTCCATCTCTGTAGGTCTTTACCCCAATCTTCTTTTTTGGATTCACTGTGTTTCTGAGGGTCTGGCTTCCGCTGCTACATCAAAACCGGGTTTCTCCGCTTATTTACCTTGACCACTGACCTCGTGTACACTTTAATGCTGAAGCGGCGCTCGAAAGCGCCTCCGAGGAGTAACGTGAGACTATTCGGCTTCCTTTACTCATTGACGAGGTATCTCAAGGTTTTTAGACCGGAAATGGCCCGTCAGCTTTCAACGGTGGTGGTTCTGGGATAGAGGTGCGCTCTAGAGCTCTTTCAATGAACTCATACTGATATTGAATCTTCAAAGGTGCCCACGAGAGCAAACACAGTTGGCGAGATTCCACAACTAACCCAATGGCCGGGCACAAATGAGGACCACCGGCGCGAGCGCCATCATGTTGAGCCTCAGCGATACCAATCACAAATTTCCCAAGATTCGGAAGACTCTGCACTACCCTATCTACAAGACGACTCTCCTTCAACTCCCGCAGTGCCTTCACCGCGTCCTCAGTCTTCACCCTTCCCCTTGTTCAGACCCCAAGGGTTCCAGATGCCGCCCAGCGCCCAGTCCTCACCTGGTGCAGGGTATCCACCCGTTCCTGCGTTTGATTATCATGCACAGGCCCTCTCCGTGGTAGGTGCCCATCCATCGACTGGCATCAAGGACAAGCCGGCGCCGTTTCCAGTCATGATGATGGCTCCTCAAAATGTAGTCAAACCTCGGGAGAGCATGCCCGTAGAGGCGGTCATGGCACGATATGGGCACGACATTCGTGATGACTCTCTTCCGACGTTGGCTGATCCACGTAGGGAGAAGAACCCAAGTAGAATGGCCCAGCAAGAACCAAGCCAGGCTGGACCTCCACCATCTCTACCGCCAATTCAGGAGCCCCAGAGACATAGACTTACGCGCCCGTCATCGTCATCGCGCCGAGTGCAATCTCAGATGCCGCCTCCTAGACAACCTCCAATCGAACAAACGCAACCCAAGTCTCAACAGCAGTCAGAGTCACGGGGTTCGGAAGAAAAGAAGCGGAGCGCCTCGTTGCTGAGAAAGTTGACGAAGAAGCGGCCCGCGAGCACGCCAGCGACAAACAGAAATCCCAAGGAGCCAGAAATGCGAGATCCGCGTCTTGATCCAACAAGGCGGAATGAAATCATGCCCGAGATCATGTTTCATGGTGAGTTTACCTACAGTCTCGAGCGACACGGTCTTCTGACTGTTACTAGCGCGCGCCACACAGGATTATGAGATGCAATCATATGATGAGCTCGGGTATTCTGCAGGGGATATCTTGGCCATTACTAGTGCGCCGGAGAGCGGGAGATGGACTGGCTACGTCGTTGGCCAAAACGATGGGCGTCAGGAGCCTCGGATAGTGTACCGTACCTACCTTTCGCTACTCCAACGAGTGGACAGTTCAAGGTCCGCTGGACAGCCTCTGTTCTTTGGTGCGCTCTACCCGTTGCTCAACTCAAAGTCCCTAACACATGTCTAGTGGAGGCGGTTTACAATTATCAGGCGACAAGAGAAGATGAATTCAATTTTGTAGCTGGTGATATTATAGCGGTTCTCTCTACACCTTCAGGGGCCTACTGGGTCGGTGTTAACCAGCGGGCTCGGGCACCATCCAAAGGACGCATGTTTCCATGGAAGCTAGTGGCTCCAGGTAGGATTCGATAGACATTTCTGATATTTACTTCGGACTTTCATTCACTTCGTGTTGTATTATTCCCCAGAACCCCCTGTCTACTCCCGAAAGTGTATGTCTGTCTGTTTCAACATGAATGGGTACCATTGTTCATCTGGTAATGATATGTGTCCTTTCTGGTCCAACGCCCGTTACGCCAGTCTCGCGACCTTACTTGCACCCGACTATATCAGAGTGTGCACGTTGAGGCCAATGTCCACCGGAAATCCCGGGTCACAGCAGGACATCGAAAAGACGTTGGGGCTGTTGGACCTTCCTGATGAACTCTTGGTACAGATTCTCGAGAGATGCTGCACTGTAGACGCCCTCTTATCCATGAATGAGGCGAGTGACCATTCCTCGTCCAATACTCGAGAGTAACTAATCCTACTTGTTTCTTCCTGAAGACCAATCGCCGACTGCATCGTATTGCTGCTGAAATCCTCAACAATTGCATACGAGCTTTGGACCTGCAAGGTCTACGCTTTCTCCCGCATCAGACGGGTCTAAATGTGACGATCGGAGAGCTTTTGCAGACTCTAGAAGTTACAACGTTGTCATGGATTGACGCCAAATACAAACGTAAAGTGAACCGTTTACGGGAAGCTTCTGGGGCAACAGACACGTACATCTTTGATGATATCATGATGTGCTGCAATCAAAAGACGCGAGTACGGAGATTGGAACTTTTTGGGCTTGACGCCACCAAGCAGGATCCCGTCTCGAATTCACTCGGTCGTCCATTGGAGATTGGTCATGATTACAGCGCTGCGCACTCAACCTTTGGACCCATTAGCGTAGAATGCTACGACTCGGGCCAAGATTTGCTGTGCTTGGTACACAAACAAGAAAATATGTTGTGAGTACGTCCTGCTCGTGGAATCTATAAAGTTGACGCAAAGCAGGTCTGGGCCACTGCACATGTCTCTCTATTCCTTACGCTCGCTGCTCCCACACCCACTTGCATTAGAACCAGTGCTCCGAGTACCGGCTCATTTTATCGATGGGCATCTAGAAGCAGTCTTCATCTGTGGGCGAAGCATTGGACTTCTCATCCAGAATTCCAGTGATGGGGACTGCATCGTGGTGTTCAGATGGAAGGGGACATCCATTTTCCCGGCAATCTTCAGATTGACGCCAATCAACGAACAAATACTACACATGATCTTCATGGACGAGGATCATCCACTCGTCTTGACTGCGCCGCGACTTTCTATTGAAGAGCAAGATCATGCAGACGAATTTGCTTTCACCCCAGTCAAGCTGCGCATACTGGAACTACAAGAAGTCCACGGCAATATATCAGATGCACTCACGCTTTATGCAACATCTCTGCTCTGCGAAGGGCCACAATTCCTCTTTCCACCACTCAAACCTCACGTCACATTAGACCAGGACATTTCTTGGATTCTGCCTTATCATCCTTCATCGCCATGTACTTCACTGGCTGTCGCACCACACCTACGACCATCGCCTCTCTACGATCCAGCACCTCATTCTGGCGTTTTCATCATCCACCTTGGCGGGAGTTCAGGTCAGGGGGAAGACGAGGAATGGCAGGTACAAGTTGCCATTCTCAAGTCCGAGTTGATGCCCTGGCGAGATCAAGAACGACGAGAAGTCGAATGGGACAGTTGGTACGCCTTTTAAAACCACCACCCTTGTGTCCATGCTCACATGTCGAAAGGGGAAGAGATGCAACACGAATCTTCCAACCACGGCCAGATATCGATCCCAGCAATGCGGTTGACCCACTCAAGTCTTGTTTCATGACTTGGGTGGAGAACTACCGTACGGCCGCAATTGCATTCGACTACCACAAGGAAATTCAACTTTTTCATGTCCTGGATTTCAATCCTTATACGCTCCGACGTGTGAAAGAATCCGAAGCATGCACTGGAACACTCGTCACAGAGCCATGGGTTTTGCAATACGATTCCTCTCCTTTTCTGGTCAACGTTGAGACATGTCTTCCTTTCTATGTCGTCGACTTTGATCTGGGTGATATCGGTCTAGGAGCGGGGAATGGGGAGCCATGCATGATTAGACTCTCCAGTACGGGCCTGCTGTTTGAAAAGGACAAATTGGATATCGAGGAGACTCAAGTCGGGTTCTGTTGGATAGACGATGGTATCGATGCGTATCTCGACGAACAGGGTGGCCTCGAAAGGAATACCCCAAGCCCGATCAGCAGTGATTCCTCTTCAAGTAGTCCACACAGCGCTTCCGTGTAGTATAGTCATGTAAACTCTGGTTTGGAACAGGAAAATATTCAAACAAGGCGCGAGCACTAGTACATGAATAATACCAAGGTTCGTCAGGAGCGTCAAATATCGTAAGGACCGTTGTGATGCACTGTCAAGCCTTTTGAGCAGGCTTGAACTGAAGCTTGGTCTGTATACCACCCTTCGTCTTTTCAAAGTGAACAAGCTGAAGGTAGTGCAAAGCTTGGACACTCACTTTTGCAGTATTTGTCGATTTTGCATTTGCATTCTTGAGACCCTCCAAGATGCTGCCAGCCTCTTCCTCGAGCGAAATGGCATAGCGAGCGGTATCGGCCTTGTGCCGCTTTTCGACGCATTCGACTACCCATGCAATCCCGACGACGGCTGGTTTTGGATCTGCCAACGTTCGGTATCGTGTGAGGGTGGATGGCTGGCCGGATTTGTAGACGATGTGCGTAAGAGATGATCCAATACGGGAGAGGATCTGCATATCTCTTAGTGATAATGGTTCTGTGAAGTTGCTCACACATACCTTGGCGCCTAATCCACGCAGCATGTCAACAAAAAGAGACCCCGCATCCTCTCCATCTTCTGTCCTGACATCCACATAGATAATACAGTCCTTTAGGATATCCAAAGGGGCAGTTCGCGTAGGTTCATTCGTTGACGACCCGCCCTTGACGCTGCTCTCTGGGGCAATGGGTTGCGAAGCATCGACCATTACTACATCTTCCGACGATCTATCCTTCTCTCCCGAAGTCGGAGCCGCTCTTGGTGCTGCCGAGACAACCCTCCGACCAGATGAAGTTCTATAGGGTGGTATCTGGGGTTTCAACCCTGTTTTGGGTAGCGATTGAGATAGCATGAGAGAGGCAGTGGACGCCCTTCTTGCTTCAACGCTACTTGCGTTCTGAAGCTGAGCCAGATTCGACACAGGAGGCGCACCACGACCGAGAGTCGCAGATGGGGTCTGAGATGTACTGCCTCCCTGCTGCTGTGAGGATCGCGACGAGCCTGTGATTGCCATTGATGTACCAGGCCGAACCCGAGGCATTGCGGGTCGCTGCAACGTGCTTTGAGCCACCTTTTCCTTCTTGGCCCCACTCTGTAATCCAAGACTTGTGGCTGGCCTGGATAGAGGGGGCCGCAGAGAAGCGGATGACGGTGGGCGGGGAGCGTCTAGCTCCTCCAAGGCTTGACTCAGCGTACTGAGCTGTGCCTGCGTCGCTGCGTGCGGGTCAACCGTTGTTCTGTTCATAAGTGCTGCGAGCGTGCTCGATAGCGGTGATTTGGTGCTTGTAATATCACCTTCCGACGCGGACGCGAGACCCATTGCCGGTTTACCTCCCACTCTCCTCAAAATTGACGGTTTCATGCCAACCTTGGGCCTGAGCGGAGAGCTAGATCCACCGGCTTTGGCTACAAAGACTTTGCCTGGCGTCTTTGTCGGCGATAACGAGACAGGTAAAGCGAATGCAGCGGAAACATTGTGGTTTCTTGACTTTGCGGGTGTCATTCGGGGAAGTGGGACTGCGCGGACTGGTAGTTTTGTCGCCGTCTTGGGTGTTTTGGGGACCATTGGTTGCGTCGACGTAGATGGAGCGGCGTGTTCTGTAGTATCAACGGCCATAGCTGACTCTGTTGATTCAACGGGCTCCTTCGTCGTTACAGGGGGTGCGTCTATCACGGACGAAGGGAGGTCAAGATCCGGGGGCTTCCTGAGTGGCGTGCGCGACGCCGATAATCGGGGCTTGACGAAAGCTTTCTTTAGAGGCGAAAACTTGAGGGAGGTCTGCTTTGATGACGATAGCCAAGGCGCCTTCGGGGTCTTTGAAATCTCCAATCTTGCAGCATTCATAGGGGTACTCGGTATTGTTGTTTGCTCCTCTGTACGCAGTGCAGGAGGTGGAGAACCAGTGGATGGACCACGACTCTGCAGATCCTCCATGAAATGGTCGATATTCGGGTTGCTTGACGGTTGTTCTCCTGTAGCAGCAGAGACAGTCACAGTATCCGACTAAAAACTGCGGTTTAGTGTCCAGCTACTCGAGAAAACTGCGGCCGTACAGCGTTGGAGAGCGTTGACATTGAAACGTCTGCACTGGAAGGTGGCTACAATCCCCAATGAGCCTCGTCGCAACCAGAAACCAATGGACTTACCAGTGAACCCTCATTTGAAGTCGTTTCTATATCCACGGCCAATGATTCAAGGGGTTCGACCTGATGGGAATAGAATCAGCACGCACATCACGCCGAAACGCGTCTTTAGATAGCTTACATCCGGCTTGAATCGCTTAATGGGGAGTTTATCGTCCTCTGATTCCATTTCTGGAGGCAGGGCACGCTTGTTGGTGGCGTGCGCACTCGACGTTCCTGCGGGCTGAGCGGCGACGGCAGTCGTGCGGGCTTTGACGGCTACACTCTTCGTACTCCTCGTTACCCTTCCCTTTGCCTTGCCCTGTACTAGACCAGGTTGTCCTCTTGGTGGCATTTCGACTGGCGGTGTTGTATGGCTGACAGTAGAGGTGCAAGCCGGCACTCAAATTCGCAGGAAAGCCGCGTTAAGTAATCTCCACGCGTGATTTACAATATTTAGGGCGGAATAATGCCGTCGAAGCTGACTGTGCGGCCAGTTGACGACCTTGTTGGGACGTGTACGATGAGCTGTTGTTCTGAAGTACCAAATATGACCAATCAATGCTCAGCTTGCGTCGTTTTGACGCGCTTTTGAGCTTATTGTTCACACCGGGCACGACGTCGGGTCGAACCTTCACCAACCGACTTGCCGCCACAGACTCTCCAGAAACAAATCAATCTGTATTTACTATCTTACAGCTTTGACTTGATAGCAGCCCTCCTTAATTTATCGTCTATCACGAGTAAGTCAAATTCTGGCTGAGGATGATAGGCACTCACAGTTGCTTTGGTATAATTCGTTTGCGGGCGGCGAACTATGAGAGCAAAGTGACCTGGTATCTACCATCTCGGGAACAACTTCCTCGATCGTTCTGGCCCCGAGAAGCCTCATATTCATCTCCATTTCGTCCTAAGGCATTTGTGAGCAAGAGAGGATGATAAAGACGAAGCTTTCCTTGAGAATCTGTAATGCCTGGTTGATTCCGTCTTGACCATATGCAGAATAAGCGTACAAAAACGGACGCCCGATTCCAACTGGAGACAATCAGCCCAACACCAGGTAAAGAAGGAGAAGGCACCACAGACCTGCAGTAGCACCCATAGCAACGGCCTTGAGAACATCTGTCGCACGTCGAACACCCCCGTCGATATAGATCTCAAACTTGGGGCACGGCCAGAGGCCTCTCTCCTTAAATTTGGTCACGACTTCTTCCAAAACCTCAATACCAGATCGCGACATGTCTGAAGATCGTCAGAAGTGACAATATCAGGACAAGTAACACACCGAGTTGGCGACCACCGTGGTTGGACAGTACGATACCATCGCACTTTGCTTCCAATGCCATCAAGGCATCTTCCCAACATTGAATTCCCTTCAAGATGATTGGCACTGCTCAATGTCAGGACTCATAACAACAGTCAAATGTAACTCGCTCTTTGTGATAGACCTGAACCAAGGAATCTCGCTCCAATTCAGACCAGGGTCAATGAAGGACTTGGGAGTCGTAAGCCACGGAAGAATGAGGGGTGACAAGCTTACACTGATGGCTCTTGCAGCACCTTGAGAGCGATCTACTGCAGTCCCGACCTGAACATCAGCATCGCCCTCGAATTTCATCCTCATATCCTTTAAAGCGTCAGATAGACTCCTAGGGTCTGTAAGTACAAACCTTTTCTCGGCGACCAAGCTGCGGCGCATCGACTGTAATGAACAAGCCTTTGATGCCTCGTTTCTCCGCATGCTGAACCAAGCGCTTTGTAATATCTCTGTCCTTATTCACATACCTTGAATACTGTCAGCAGAGGCTTCTGTAGTCACGATCACTTACAATTGCATGAACTGCACCTGGCCTGGCTGTGCTGCATTGACAATATCGTCAAAGCTACATGAAGCCAAGGTCGGAATCTGAGCACGGGATTAGACTTTGTCGCATGAATAAGGCGATTTACCATCTGTATAATTCCATGCTTTGCCGCGGCTCTAGTAAGAAGCACTTCTCCTTCAGGATGTCCAAGTTTTCCCAGTGCAGTTGCAGTCTGCGGGTAGTTTAATAGAAGTAAAGGAGGGCAGGATATGACAACTTACAATGTAGATGGGCATTGACGTCTTGTGTCCAAGGATTTTCGTCGACCTATGTACCATCAGATTTTGACCTTGCACTTTGAATAAACGGACCAGTCTACATGCGTGACATCGCGGAGGACACGGGGTCTGAACCAGATTCGCTGGTACGCAAGATGGTTTTCTCGGTTTGTGATCTCGTCGTCTGCTGCAGAACTATAGTAAGCCCAAGCTTTGGGAGGCATAATCTCCTTGGCGATAGCCTGCATGTGATTGTGTCACGGAATGCTCGCCAGCGGTAAAGTAAGGCTAGGAACCCACCTCGAAATCGTGGAGGTTGAGAATCTCTGAGAGGGGAGGTCGATTTTTGACGCGCTCTTCACGATCAATCTCCTCCTGTGTGAGTTCTTTGGCCATTTTGACAATTGTGCCCGGCTCGACTTTGCCCAAATGCTTCTCCTTTGGCAAGTTGTCTATGATTGCGTTTGGAGGGTGAATGGGGTCATATTCCTCTGTTGCATCCTTCCCGGCATACTTGAGAATGATATTACTTCCGCCTGTGATAGAAGTGAGGACAACAGGTTGCACTATGAACGGGCAATACCAGGATGATCTGTAGAGACGTCAATGTAATGTACACTACCAAAGAGTTGTCATATACCATCCAGGAAGTCCGTCACATCATAGACATTGCCTAACATGGGTTGAGTGTCGAAGCAACACTGAACTGGTCGCAAGCATTTACCGTGGACAATGATCCAGCAGCTCTCACGAGTGTTATGGGCAGCGACTGTCTCTGCAGAAAGAAGGTTGTTGGTCATGGTAGAAGCCAAGTTGTGGCACGGCTTGGAGCCCGCGTCCTGAACTATTTAGCCAGAAACAGCCGGTCCAGCGAATCGGCTTTCGATGAATTCCAACCGAAACTCAATAGTCTACTTTACGTGTTCAGCACTGTTGTCAAAGTTCTTTGGCGAATGGCCGACAAGAATGATATTCCACATAGGGATGTAAACAACTAATGTGATTAACCGATAGTCCGACATGGGCAAGCGCAGCCGGCTCGCCGCCTCCGGTCCTTTCATAATGAACTGAACTTGATCCCGACCGCTGCAGTGGCCAACGAGCAAACCCTTGGCCAACAATGAACAAGAACTCCGTGAGCTTACAACTAACGGAGCCCGTCATTTTCCTGCGCACCGGCTCCGATTCGTCTTCACAGTCCCGTCGCAGAAGAGCCGGTAGAGCAGAATACCCGCCTGCCCTTTTACGAGGACTTCTCACGCTCAAGATTGTGAAACCAACACGTATCAAGAGTATAGACGTCATTTTAGAGGGTTCTGCACGCACAGACTGGCCAGACGGTGCGCTTAGGCTGCCCATGATTTGCAGTGGCTCTAATGACATCTTCTGATTCTAGCCGGCAATGGCATCGCTGCTCGTCGAATGGAAATCGCCGAAGAAAAGGTCTTTCTCCACTCGAAGATTGTCCTCTTTCATGCCGAACAGCAGAAACGTTCGAGGACAGTCGGACCCGGCTCGCTACTCGATGAACGCCGACCATATCCAGCCCAATCCACGTCGCCGACAACGGAAGTAGGCGCTGAAGTCGAACAAGCAAGAGGCAGGACAAGTCGTCGAGAAATCAGTGACTCTCAAGGACCGCATCGTCCCCCACTCACGACGTTCAACAGCTGGGATGAACACTTGCCCGTCATCGGAGAACGGACGGGGGAACAAGGCCTAGACCCGGATAGCCAACGACCTGGAATGTCATCTGACTCAGTTCTGGTAGGCTCATCTATGCCAGAGCCAAGAGGTCAGTGAATTATATTCATCCCTAATCTTGGGTACATGTCCTAATCGACCAATGCCCGCCGAGCAGAGTCCCCACCTCAATATTCCTCAGTAGCACCTACGAAGCGTCCAACAACTGTAGATTCTACATTGGACCGCGCTCGGCGGAGAAGATCAGCTCGGCTCAGTCTCTCTGGCATGTTACAGGACGTTCGCGAAATCGTACAAAAACACCCGAATCGGCACAATGTAGAAAGTGAGAGCATTCTCATTTCGTCACCAGTAGAACGGCAAGAAACGTGTGATGAGGTCCCAGATCGTCGCGGCCGAAGTCGAGCTCGAAAAGATAAAGGCGCGTTAGCACGCCTTGGGGAGGCATTGGGCATCGATATGGACGATGACGGGGATACGGATGATGATGATACAAGCTGGAAGGAATTCAAACCCGGTAAGTTTATCCCTTCACTCTCCATAAAGCTATCCTCAGTCGGCCTCAGGAACGTATCATTATCCCATTTCGTTTTCGCTGCCTTCCGACCTACCCCCAAGCATCGCAGCGGACTATGCATATGTACAGTATAAGCTCAAGGCCTATGTACACAGACCAGGAACCTTTACCTCCAAATTATCAACGTTCACCATGGTCGAATTGATTTCGGCGCCCGCAGAGGACAATGCCGAAGGAGATGCAGTTATCATTGAGAGGCAATGGGATATGGAGTTGCGATATCTCATTTCCACCAGCGGTCGTAATTTCCCTCAAGGAAGCGAGGTATGGTATCAAGCAATATAGGACCATAGACTAATCATCATAGATACCGTGGCATATTCAATTGATGCCCCTATCTAAGATGAAGCTCCACCGTATAACTTTCGTTTTGGAAGGTCAGGAACCACCCGCGAGCTGGTGCGTGTGCTGATGGGGATATAGAGAAAACCGAATACACTGTGAATAGCCTGACCCGAACGGAACCAGTCAGACGGTTCCAGTTGCTTTGCATCCGACATCCGCAGTCTTTATCCAATCTGAAAACGGTGGCTCGGAACGCCCCTCCGCTGTTGCCGATCTTACCACAATCTTCTATGGATAACTCATCAGAGGCTGTCTTACTTCCATATGCCGACCCACCCCCTACACTTCTCAGCGAATCAAGTGCGAGTGAGCATCAAGCAGAGGCACTTGCTCACCTCTTGAATGTGGACGGACCTTGGCACCTCACAGGTATGCTGAAGGTGCCACTGCTATATCTTCATGTTTCACACAAGCATCCTACCTCGTTCGTAACCCTCAAGCATTCGCTCAAGATTTTCCTGCGCGTTGAAAGGGGTGAAGACGACGTCGATCCAAAAACGGGTCGCAAGAAGCAATTCGATATCATCATCGAAACCCCTATCAATGTACTCTCGGTGAGCATTTGATCTGTTCGGATCGTCCAATGGCACTAACCTGTTGAAGAAATACACGCGTTCAGATTGGGCATCATTGCCTCCCTACGAAGCACTTGAGCCGCTTCCTCCATCGGAGCATGACTTGCCCCAAGAGGTTCCGACCGTTAGTCGTGAATCCAGTCGGAGCGACTTAGCAGCTATGCCTCTCTCGCCCGTGGTATCCCCCGCGCATCCTTCCCGACCGCCCTCTCCCGTATTTCACCCACATCCGCTCACTCCTCTCAGTCTCTCCCCAAATACGACGCGTACGGCGGAAAGTCCACGTCCCTCTTCTGCAGGCCCAAGCACACCCAACGATGCGATTGAAGATGCGCAAAGGGACTCGCGCGTGTTTGCTGCCCACCGTTTTGCAAGTCTAATGGCTGGGTTTGAAGATGAGGGAGGTCAATTCCCTCCGACCTATTTCGCGGCCACGGGTACACCGGGTACGACCGCGCAATCAGCCCCTCTTAGCCCATGTACAACTATGCACTCCTCTTCGCAGCTTCCTCAGCTTGTTGGTAGTGGGCGAGGCTCCCCACGTGGGCAGAGCGCCAGAAGACAAGCGACAAGAGGGACGACTCCATCAAACTCGCGTAATGCTTCGAGGAATCCGTCAAGAGTGCGTGATAATGGAAGCAGAAACTCGAGTCGAGGACCCGACCGTGGTCCGCCTGCACTCTTCCAAATTGTATAGTTCACACCTCACCAAAAGGACTTCACACGTGTAATGGGGATCTCCGAAATATGAATTAGTGACGAATGTATTCCAATCTTATGTGTTCATGATACAGCTCTATTCATCGAATGCGGTGGGAGTCGATAGTCCATAAGGCTTGAGTGATGAAAAGATTGTGGGATGCAGATGATGCAAATGAATGATTGTGTGGAGGCAATAGTTAGGGGTATCAAACGGCATGATTTCATAAACATTTCGAGGGGCTTTCGGGTCTCTATGTCGATCATCTATTCTTGCTGGCGAGGAGATTCCTTGTCTGATCTTGCAGGCGATGTCGTCCCTTTTTCTAATACAGAGCTGTACGAATCGTCCCTCGGGGGCTCTTCTCTGGGTTGGGCAGGAGTCTTCTTGCCTAGAATCCTTCGCACCGTCGCCGTCCAAGGGAACATGTCCCATAGTCCATTGAGGATGAGCACCACCGCACCAACCGATGAAACAACGGCAATGCCGATTCCTACTGCTACTCGCGGAATCGCGTCGACCGACAACTTTTCGCGAGCAAATGCGAAGAGTGCGGCAGTGGTGATGATCCGCACGATGGAAAGGAAGACTTCGAGGACATCACCGCGCTTCGTATGTGAGGGTCGGAGTGTGATTAGTAGCGCAAAGAGGATGAACTCGAACAGGAGTAGAATGACCACCTGTGCGAATCCTGAAGAGCGCGCTACAACAATGATGAAGGCCTTGAGGATAGTATAGGCGAAGGGCATAATAAAGAAGAAGTAGCGGCGGGTAGGAAGGAATGGACCTGTCAGTGCACCTTCCATCCCTGCCACTATAGCTTCGTTTGTACGAGTCGTCGCGGCTTCTGGTTGCGACGTCTCGTCATCGTCAGGGGTCGGCTTCTTCCGTTTGAAAGAAGACACGACGCTATGGAGTCGAAATAGCCATGACTGCTCAGTCGCTGAAGTGTCCGAACGACGGAATACGCGGTAGCTTGCATAGAAGTGTGCCGAGAACCGTAAGGATAGTGATTACTGATAGCAACGTTGAAAGCCAGTTGTCATGCAGTGACCATTGGAAGAGGGTGAATAGCACCACTGGCGCGAGTGCAATTTGCAGCTGGCAACTACTCAGTACTCGGCGAAAGTCGGGCATATTGTCACTCACAATCCGCAAAACACCTTGTACTACAGTACGCTTCCATTCCTCTCCCCACTTGTGCATAAAGGTTCGTTGTGGCCAATACTTGTCCAGGAGAAAGAGGAGAACCCACGAAGCCGCCACCACCCCTGCGTAGACAAGGAGTACGAAGAGGAGAGCGAAGAACACGGTCATAAAAGCGCTTCCAGTGGCAATGCCGATGTAATTGACAGCTGTCGAGATCCCCGGCTCTAACGTCTGCGAGCTGGAAGTAATCGTGGCCGGATTGACAAAGCTGTGACCAGGTACAACTGGGGGTGTCGTGGAGTTTGTTCCGCCGACGAACGAGCCAATATCGATCTCCTTGGCGAGCAAGTTGTAAGGTGATAATGTGCGGTCAGTGTACGCAGCCGGTGCTTGCGAGCTTTCCGATAGACGCGAACCAGTAGCAGCACGCATACGTTCAATGGCAGACTGGAGCCGCGAGCTAGAGAATTGGCCCATGGACCAAGCAAAATTGGTGGTGAATGCCACGTAGACCGAAGGATAATTGAGATGGAGCATGCCGGTTTGTGCAACGTGTTGAAAGAATGAGAAGAGGGTGAGAACGCGGAATACGGACGGGCGGCTGGCAGAGAGTGTGAAGGAGTGGAAATAGGACGATGCCAAGGATAGAACGCTAAAGACGGCCGTAGCGGTGATAACGGCCGGTTGGTGAAGACTCCATCCATTGGAGAGCGTAGATTGAAGGCAGACTGACAAAATATGAGAGACTTGCACGGGATGTTGCGAACAGGGCAGGACGTACCGGCCACTTCCCCAGTCTCTACTCGCTTGAGCTCGAGCTGGGCTATTGCCTCTAAATCAGGGATACGAAAAGCGATGCTGGGGATTGGAAGGTCGATACTAGAGGGAATCTGGAGATATGCGCTCCCTGTAAAATTGTATGCCGGTAGAGGACAGAACTGGCCACCCAAAACACTGCAAATGTCGAACGTGTACTGTATGAAGGTCAAACTCAAATCTTCTGCAAAAATATGAACACGAACGTTCAACGAGGTCGAGCCATAACTGGTCAGAACCACAGAGGCTGTTGCATTCAAGTCGTCGACTGTATTCGTTGCTGAAAGTGCAAACCCGACGCTTGCATTATTATTAAAGTACTCGATGTCGAATTCCTATGTAGCCGCGCATTAGAACCAGAAATAAGCAATGCTGACGGGGACATACCTGGACCAGCAGGACGTCGGGCGGCGCGCAGTAGGTGATAGAGGATGTGTCTAGAATATGTTAATAGATTGTAAGCTTCAAAATATTGCGTATATGGCTGCACGGGCCATTGCTCCAACTGACATAATATTTCGTCCCTAGCTTGGACCAGACGCCCAAATGCCACTGCGGCAAAGATCAAGGCCCGCATGCTTTACCAGCAACGTTTCTACTTGTCAATCCTTGGTCCGTTTTCCGATGTGTTAGCGGTCAGACTGGACGCGTTTCACTGTCGAGGCCGGCTCCAAGGTGTGTCATTCAAAGAACATCTGCGCAGTCGAGGCCGTAGGAGCCGCAGAGGACACCCGCTTGGGGAATATCTGCAACATTTCCTGGACACTAAGCGGAGACGTAGTTATCGAGGTTGGATGACTCTCAATTGGCCATTTCTCCTTTGTCAAACTAAGGGACGCTTTGCAGCGCTGGATTCACAGCACAGCGAGAATACCGGAGGGATCTTATAACTCGTGAAACGACGATAGTGACGTATTTTATTGGTCGTCCTCCTCATCCACCCTGTCGCTTTACGACATAGTGTCAAGATTTCAGACGGAGCAGATGCCCCGCTCGTCACGGAAAGATCAAGTTAGACACCATTAACTGTGCCATTGAGCCCTCGATCTCAGTTCCGAAGACAGGGCCGAGCGGCAGCGGTCATTCTCCGCTATTTCATTTCTTGTTCTTGGACGAGCCTCGGTCGGTCGCGGTCACAACTTGGTCCTCTCCTCGTCAGCTCTTTTCTCTTGGACCGTTCACTCCGACATTCCTCTGGCGCGCTCTCCTTCTCTGGACAACCCATGCTTGAGAGCACCTCAGGATGTCCATTCGACCCATTGAGATAGAGTCTCTCATCAACTTTCACCAAACTGTCAGCGATGTCGCGTATGATATGGCTCTGGTTCGATGGCTTAATGCAGTCGCCGTCGCACTTCTCTTCTATGACTCGCTCATCACGCTGCCAGACGAGGTCAGTATACCTACGAGCACATGAATCTCAATGTCTGACTCGCTGGTCATCAGGTAGACCTCATTTGGCCGAAGCAATGGAGCGTGATCAAGGCGTTAACCTACTTGGTGATTATTTTTCCATCTCGTTCCTCTACGCTGTTTGCAACAGTCGACACTTGTAGGCGACATATCGCCGATACCGTTACCCCTTGCCCACCCCTGGTTGCCCTTCTACGCCTTGGCGATCCCAGTCCGAGACTCATGACCTCGTTTGCAGAACCGCATCATTACATTTTGCATCATTCCGCTCAACGGCCTGCACTTCATGGCGATAGGTATTGGGACGTCCGACAGTTTGTAAGCACTGCCTCCAGTCCCATACATGGTCTGACGACGAGCCAAGTTGCCGGTTTCTTATCATTACTACGGGATACGCCGCGCTTGTCTCGTTTGCAATGTGCAACTGGATTCTTCTTGCCCGCACAAAGGCATTACTTGGCGAAAAACGTTGGATTAATACCATTCTCATCATTTATTATGTCCTCTCCTACTCAGCAACAGCCGCCCTCGTCACGATTACCGAGATCAAGTTGTATAGTGCGTCCCTTTCTTTTCTCACTCGCTCTTTACTGACAAAGCCAAGAGAAAATGTTCTACAGTCCCAACCTGCAGGTCTGCGCCGTCGCAATACACCCTCCAACCATGGGTAAGTCTTGTCATTAGTCACAGATCACCGTCCTTCGGCAAATCGTACCCCTTTGTTCCTGGCGTCCAAACGCCACAAGCCAAGTGTGTTCACACGCCGAGGGCTGCGGGCGTCGCTATGCGATTGAATATTGATTTCCTTTCGGCAGGCTTCATCTGGATAGCACCTATGATTTTCGAAACCACCATTTTCCTGATAACATCTATGAAGCTCTACCAAAAGGCAAAACAGACGTATTCGATTGGGTCAGAACTGCTCAGCGTTCTGTATCGCGACGGGTGGTATATTATGTTGTGATCATCCGTATGTGCCTCAGCTCGCTTGTTTATTCATGATTGAATTGACTGACTCTTTATCAGTGCTGCGGCTGTACAACCTTGCAAGTTGGTTGATCCTGCCGCCCTCCTTTTCATTCACCGGAATATTTGTCCTCTGGAGCGTTCTTTGCATAGCGGTTATTCGACTTCAACTCAATCTCATCCGTGCCGTAGACCCACGCTTCCAACCGACGACTGTATCCGCATCGTCCTTCCGTGGGACGCGTAACTTTACCAACGAGATTCACACATATAACTCTCGTGCCCGATCTCGCGACAAGCGACTTACTGTCGGGGTGTACACCTCCAGCAGCCGTCCACCTTCTCGTCGACCTTCCCTAGCACGACAAGAGCAAATGCAACCGATTCAATACGCTCCACCTCCCCTCCCTCAACACGTTCCATATCATCCGGACGACCAGACACAGGAAAGTGAGCCGATTCAGATGTATGACCTCAAAAATCGCCCATATGCTTCACATACAGCACTACTCGGGAGTGGTGCCGATGTTTCCGTTATAGAAACGCAGCCACATATTCCTCAGGAAAGGCCTAGTCACCCGATGACAAGAGACTATGGCCGGGAGTCGTTCCCCTCAAACTGGTACGACACACCTAGACAATCCTATGTTCAACCGTAATCGGTACCCCGTCTTCACAGAGGTGGCGACAGTTTATGTTATATTTTCATTATGTAGCCTACGCATTTGTCTTCGCACCATTTTGTACTCTTACAACGACATTTCAATCCACGGGTTTTGGTATACTTCGAGGAAGATTACATGGGCAAGCTTTACTAGTACAATTATACGAAAGAACGAAGCCTCATGTCACGTGTTAGAAGCGGCGACTGGGAGGGAGAGCAGGAACAGGCTCCTGCGGCCTTGTGCTCATGTGCGAGCCAACACTCTGACTGAGCGAGCGTCGTGTATACGTGTGTTCGTAGTATCCATCGACTTCATCAGGGTCAAATCTCGTTCCGCCAGGAAAGATGTTGCTATTGAGCTCAAAGCTCTGCCCACTCTCCGCATCACGCCTTTTAGATCGTTTTCCCGAGACAAGATTTGGCAGCTTCCATCGTCGACCATTAGACATCTCTGCTACACCCGAAATCTCCCTCTCCTCTGTAGGAACTCTTGCCTTTGGGCCAGTCAAGCTTATTGGGATAGCTGGTCCAGGCAGGCTTATCGTGTAGCGAATCGTGTCTGTTGGAGTGGCTGATGGATGAGCAAATTCGATATCTGGACTGACTTTGATGCTTTCGATGGGGACGCGACCCTTGCCTTTCAGATCACGATTTGGTGGAATTACATCGATGCTTTGCTCGTCAAATGAAGTCGTGGCTCCAATAGCTTTCAAATTGAGATGCATACGAGTGAGTAATACGGTGGTGGACGACCAAAGTAAGCTATATTTTCCGGCATTAGAAAGGCGTGTCATCAGAGGGGAAGAACGCACAATATGCCAATATAGATGAGCGATAGAGGTAGAGATGCCCATGCGATCAAGTTGAAGAGTCTCAATGTCAGAATCACAACGAGATATGTGATTCCATCCCGGTAAAGAGTACGTATGAGACGCGTAGTGAGACCCGCGGAGGTTTGACGAGCGTGTTGAATAAGTTTGGTCAAGAGAAGTCCGAAAAGGACCATCTCGAATACCACGGATGGTACCCAAATCGCTCCAAATGTCGTCGGTCGGATGAGGACGGCACATGTCTTGGATGCCGGGGAGTAGAAAATATTTGCTACCGGGTCATGATCAGTATCGTGGCCAAATGTTTACAGAGGAAACTTACGTGTCAACTGTAGACTGGCGACTGTGGCCATTGTAATCGTTGCCAAATAGCTGACGAGGAAGAACATGGTCATGGTCCAAACAACGTGGCGAGAGTTCCCCCATAGGGCGATTGCTCTGGCCAACAGTAGCCAATTGGTCATACCAAAGCAAATAATGGCGCCGTAGCCAGTAGTGAGGATGAGGACTTGACAGCTGTAGATCACGCTTAATATTTGATCTCCTAGGGAAACGAACCTACAATGTTTGGGAGAAAGGGGGAGCAAAGCCTGTGAGGTGATAGGTGTTGATGGAGATGAACCAGAAACTAAGCACTCTATTCTTGTGCCTTGTTCAATTAATCACCCAAAGAAATGATTGAAGACTTACGACGTAGAAGAGTACTTTGACAATGGTCCAGCGCTCGTCCCAGAGTAGTCTTACCTCATCACCAAAGGTAAGGAGGGAATCGTATAAGAGAATAGTGAATCCAATAGCTACGCCGCTCATCAGGTGTAATTTAAGCGCTTAAGTTGGATTCACTGACCTGAAAAGTACTTTGTGAGTTCGACATTCGCAAAGATGTCGGCGAGTTGGGCGAGCGACATTATTTGACTGAAATCCCTCAACAATAGGTCGTGATTGGACTCCCAGAGTCTTTTATTGTTGGGTTTGGTCGGATAGAGCGCATCTATGACGCCGTTGGGCGCAGATGAAGGGCGCTTTGGTCCTACCTAGGGGTGGACGGCGTGGGGTTCAAGAGATGCTGCGCTTTGTCGCTGGGCAAGGAACACGCCCAGGAAGGCCGAGCGTGCGAGCTTGTGTAACTCGGCTAGTGCGTGTGCGTCCCCGACCAAGGCGTTTCGGTTTTCCCCCTGTCGCGTGCCCGTCCTCTGAGTGGATTCCTGTGGTAAAGTCCGGTTCATTCAAAGTACATTCAGATGAAAGCGCATTGGCTACCAAGACTGCGGTTGTGTCCACGACAGGGTGACCCATGCGTTGCAACCGGCTCGGCTCGTCGGGTTCATGTCCTACCCGGCGCAACATATATATATTGCTAAATGGCGAGTTCCAGATGGAAACGGACGTTTGAGATATGTATCGCGCGCATGGAGTTCCCAGGGCATTGTGTCTTCCTGGGCTGTCAATGCCGTAAGAGGTGGCGCATATACATCAATAATAAATTGTTCCTTGCCATATACAATTCGAAAATGGTAGACAACATCAGGCTCAGCTATCCCTCATTGATCAGCGATCATCTGACTGGCTGCCGTTGGCGTAGAAGTCCTGTCAGCGTCGAGAATGTGTTCCGGAGAGAGAATTTGCCGGGTTTGCGTAACGTTTTTCCAGTAATCGTTCCCGGCGAAGGTCATGGAGGGAGTTCAAGATCGAATGTCACCATCAAACCTTGAAGAGGGCGCTCAAACACAAGCAGCGAGGAGCCATTGGACTCTTTTCGACACATATACATTCTAAAATCCAAGAACTATAGCATTGACTCATACCCTGGACCTCGCTGCATCTTTGGTCATGGCAATAGTCACACTACTCTCCTTTAACGGTGCTAATTTCAAACATGGACATTGTACACTCTCGATGCCTTTGGATCATTTTAGTTGCCTGAGCGTTTGGAATATCTCGAAGGGCATCCACCCGTCCTGGATGTCCCTGGATAGGAAGACCTAGGTCTTAGAATCTCATTCGGGACATAGGCACCATATACCATCAGATTTACCGTTGGTGACGCGTTCTGGCCCCTTCAACAAGCCGGGCGGAGATGGAACGACCCTGACAGGCCGAATGATGAACGAATCATATTGAATGGCGGGATACGAGTCTATATGGAATGATGTATGATGCTCTAGTACGCCCCTCACCTTTCTTCTGAAATGATACATCTGACCTGAGACTATTGTTCAATCCATACTTAATCCGAACTCTTGTAAGCAAAAATCACAAGCCCTGGTCCGGGCGGGCCGCTTGAATGATTTAGAATCGTGTTCTTGAACATGAACTCTTGAATTCTCCCGCTGAGTCGACCCGACGCGCATTCCATTGATCCATGGTGCACATCAGGCGTGGCATTCTCTCAATTGTCAACAATACATCCACGTTTGCGGTGACATTCACAATTAAAACCCTCCCCGGGAGTGTCTGTCAGTGCTATCCGCTTTGGGGCTGTTTACAGTACCTCCAGTGAAGCTATTACACGGCATGTTTGCGATATTTGCTGTGGGGAATCGGATCAAGTAGACTCAGCGGTACTTGGCTGGGCGAGGGCGCCGTTTCCGAGCAGGGGATAATGTCCCCGTGTTCTCGTGGAAGAACTGTATGTCCCACGAGCAAGGCATGCTCCCTATCTTCCCGAAGATCTACGTTGCCGAGTCAAGCGTGCTGCTGTCGTCCGGCACGGAGGTCATGAGGGTCGAGATTTGTTGTCGCTCAACGACCTCGGCTGAAACACGGAAACTCAGTTCTTAAATATGTTTGATGATAGCGCATTATTCAGAGCCATTTCTCCGCGCCTAGGGTGGGCTATCTCTGTTGTGTATATAAAACCTGCTGGGCCCGTCGTCGCTTTCCCAGTCGTCTTTCAACCTACGCACACATGTGGTCGACACTACTCTCTCTTGCAATTGTTGCCTCTCAAGCTCAAGCTCTCCTTCGCTTTCCGTGTGCGCAGCTCACGGTTACACGCTCGGACCCGTGAGTCTAGAGATCACTTCTGACCTCTCTGACGAAGAGATGTTCAGCCTTGTTCAGCCTGGAACTGTTTCAGGGCATCTTCATCAGGTATGTAGTACTATGGTTTGGCATTGCTTGATACCCACTTCTGCTAGGTCGTTGGCGGGGTATGTACCACTGTTTCCTACAAATCTGATTGTAGAATAAGCTGACGACACTATTCTAACAGAACTCGTGAGTCTTGTCTTACTGTCTTGCCGTCCGCCTCATCCTTCCTAGGTTTGATTTCTCAATGCCTATCAATTCGACAGACCTCGAAAAGTCGGCTTGTAGCAGCTGCGCAATAACACAGAATCGTTCGAACTATTGGACCCCGTAGGGGACAATTCTCTTTACCCACAACGGGAGACTGATTCTCGAGCAGTACACTCTACTTTCAATCTCCAATCAACGGAACTTTCAAGAGGGTCTGTTTCGCTTCTCAATGTTATGACAATGCAACAAGTTTGCTGAAGACTCACAGGTTAGGCAAAGACCGGGACCGCTGACAGGCAGTCCAAATGCTGGCATGGTCGTCTACTATATCCAGATTGGTACCGTCAAGTCGTTTCCAAAGGTATATAGGATAGAATCGTATCATCTTCATATACTGATTCGTCTCTTAGGGTAACAGCTTTCCTATTCGAGTCCTGCAACATTCTGAGGCACTCTACGCTAGGTTTTAGAATGATTGCGGGAGATCCTATGCTTCGTTCTTACGACAGCAGTATCAAAGACTCTCGTTCCATCACGTTCAGATGTTTGCAAGCTGATGATTCAAGTGGTAATGGCCCAGACACCAATGGCATGCCGACGCAAAACTGTCCCGGCGGTGTTCGCTCTCAGATCAACTTTCCAACGTGAGGTTCAATTTCCCCTACTGCTTTCATTCTCTGACACGAACAAAGCTGCTGGGATGGCAAGAACCTCGACTCTGCCAACCACAAGGCAAGCTGACACCGATTTACAAACTAATGACAGAATGATGACGTGCATATTATAGAGCCATGTTGCGTATGCCAACGGCGCGAGCTTTGGTAACTTTGGTACTGGCTGTCCGTCGACCCACCCTGTCCAACTGCCACTCCTCTTCCTTGAGACGTACTGGGACACTGCTCCATACGCAAAAGAGTGGGTCAACGGAAAGTCTCCATTCGTTTGGAGCATGGGCGACCCGACAGGCTATGGATACCACGCCGACTACATGATGGGATGGCCTGAGCAGACTCTTGCCGACGCCATGGCCAAGTGCACCGACCAAGGCGGCCAAGTCTCTTCATGCTCCGTTCTTTCCCAGCGTTCAGAGCAAGATATGAACGACTGCGCCATTCCAAACCGCGTTGATGAAGAGTTGGATAATTGCGAGTTCACTCCCTTTGAAGCAAATATCCTATCGAGTTAACCGTTGAGCAGGGCTCACCACTCTCCCTGGTTGCAATCCGGTCCAAGCAGGTCCAGGAAGGGCGACCATGTCCAGCGGATGCGGCGCGCCCACGACATTCGAGGCAAAGAATGATGTCAGTTTCCTCAAGAAGGATATCCCCGGCTGGACGCCTGTCGGCTGCGCGAGTGAAACTTCGAATGAGACGCTCCTCAATGGCGCACGTATGACGATTACGGGGATGACGATCGAAAAGTGCGTCAATTATTGCAACCAACAAGGCTTTACGTATGCTGGGACGAAGAATCGCAACATGTGCACGTGCGGCAAGACGCTCAATACGTCCAAGGTGTCCAGCAACTATGCGTGCAACCTCGCGTGTGATGGAAATCTCAACCGTGCGTCCTTCTTCTTTTGTGCTTTTTTTCGAGTGTTTATGCCGTTTAGAATACTGCGGGGCGGTGAACCGTGTTGCTGTTTATGGTGGAAATGGACCGATCGACATACCCACCTCGACTGAAGTTCCCCTACGTCTACAAGTGGACCAACAACGTCCAGTCCTCCTCAAGCATCTGCACCACTTGTTACTCATTATGGACAGTGTGGAGGAAAGACGGTGGGTATGAATCCCCTGGATTAGCTGTGGCTGACCCCTCGTTAGTGGACGGGAGGAACCCAGTGCGCTCCTCCATACACGTGCAAGTATAGTAACGACTGGTACTCACAGTGCCTTTGAAACGTTTGTTGATGAGATTTGTTTCGTTTGAAATTCCAGTTATATATCCTTCAGTAAATCGTCCCTTCTCTACGTCATCTTAGAGAGCTCGCAAAGCTGAGTTTATGCTATTCTGTTGTCGAATTCTGTTGCATTATAGCATAAGGTTATGAAAGTCCTATTTACAATGCTTGGCCGTTGCTCAGTACTTGCGCTTTGGGTATTCCTTTTCGCGGTATTGTTCAGCAAGATATCTAGAAGAGTGTGAGATGATTGGCGCAAGAAAAGGAAGCAACGTACCCCTGGAGGGTGAAGAGGGCGGCGGTGCCGGCAGTCAGACCTCCAACGTAGCGGCGATCCCATACGGGCTCATTCCAGTGGCTGTAAGCGAGATAACCAAGACTTCCCAGGATGCCAACGTTGACTAAAGATAATGTCAGAAGGCTGGTCACACGAGCATCCCAAAACTGGACGTACCGATGCCAAATAGACCAGAAGCGACACCTGGACGAAGGACGATTTCCCTGGTTTGACGATAGAGGTGACTCCCTTCCTCTTCTGCCTCTTGGCGGAGACGAGCACCGTCTGGGGTGTTGAGGACCGAGTCTGCGTAGGCACCCTCTGCAGTCAAGAGGACGAGGACACCTGCGGCAGAAGCACCAATAGTTCTGTAGTCGCTGCGATATTGAGGCTCGGTGTAGAAGAGGTAACCGAGGCCACCGATGACGCCAAGGTTGAGAATACCGACCAGACCACCTGCGACGGCGGGCTGGAGGACTTTTTCCTTTGTGAGGGCCCAGAAGTCCTTTCCTTCCTCTTCTGCCTTGCGGAGTCTGTCCTTTGCACGTTCCTTGCGGACCTTGTCTGGGTCTGTGCTTGCGGTGAGATGAGGCTCGCCGGGGATGATGTGGCTGTCTGCGGTAGTGGAGACGTAGGACATATTCTGGAGCTGGGAGTGTGGTAGGAGTACAAGATGCGACCGAGTGTTTGGGCCTCTTTAAAGGTCTGGAGGCGTCATCAGACGGCCGTACGTCATTTCGATTCCACCAGCACCACGGCTATTGGCTCCTGCTATTTCACACCGCTATGCTGCAATGGGCCAGACGGGCCTAGCCAGACGACGTGTAGAGAATATATACAAACCTCGTATGGACAATATACATTGTACCTTCTCTGAATATTTTGGAATTTTGCACATGGTCACGCCGTAAACGCGCCTTTGGTTTCTTGGACCGAGCCAGCATCGGCCAGCTTTATCGAGGACCCGACGACGGCTGCACGTGCAATCCGAGCACGATCCAACTTGCTTTCGTCCAGCGCAGCGCCGCCCAACCGAGCCAGGCGTCCTCAAAGCTGCCTGCCCGTCGACCACCCGAGCTTGAAGATCCCCTCTGCTGCCCCCGACAACAAAAGTATTTCTCCAGCTCGTATGCCCACTCGTACAAACAACACCGCGCACGGACAGGACTCGCCAACACTGACAGGATCCGCGACGCTCGCCGCCAACGACGATCACGACACGATGAACAAAGTACGTCCAAATTCGCTGCTCAAAAGTCTTTCCAGAGTGTGCTCACATCACTCTCAACTCTCAGACGACTAACGACAGAGCCGGCAAGCCGCCCAGCAAGCTCAACGAAAACAATAACGACGCAAAGGCAGACAGCACAAAGAAAAAGAAGAAGCAGGGATTCTGGTCCCGTCTCCTCGGATGTTTCAATCCCTCCAATGCATTTGACGACGACAAGCTCGACAAGGCATCGAACGATGTCGGAAAGCAGGCCAGCAAGGATGCGGCGCACCTCCAAGGCAAGAGAAAACCTAGCAAAGATGCAGAAGCAGTTTCAAACATTCCGACAGAAGAAACCGCCGTCTCGGCCTCGTCAACGGCCCCTCCAGCCTCTTCAACTGTCGGTGTGGGGCCTCGAAGACCAGCCGTCCATGGCACGACAAGCTCAACCAGGAACAGCAGTGTCCTCAATAGAAACAGCCAGGTCATCCATCCTCAACTCCTCATTCCAAACGGTCCCGTGGTCATTACGGCCCCGAGCACCCCGGCCTATAATACATTCGACCTCGATGCAGATCCCGATGTAGTGATTCAGCCCACCCCAAAGGGTGCAACGGCCTTGCTGCCCGTCGATGAAACAGAAGGTGTCACCAGTGGTGCCGTCCAACCTCCTGGCGGTGTCGCCCACCCGGAAAAGGATTCCCCTATCGGGCTACTTGGTGTCAGTGGTACGACGGAGAAAGAAGAGTCTGAGCGTGGAACGGTCACCGACGATGACTATCATGATGCCAAGGAAGAAGACGACATTGACGCAGAAGAAATGCGCCTTATTATGAACGCCGGAAGCGGTATCCCCATTGTTGACGGAAAACCCAAGCCACTTCTTCCTCCTATTGCGGAGCGACACAAGGGACGCAAATGCTTGGTGGGTCCTGAACGACTCTACCGGCAGTCTATTGACTTTTTAATAGGTTTTGGATATGGACGAAACGCTCCTCCACTCAAGCTTCAAGGTAAGGACATAATTGGCAGCCACGTTTGTAGAGACCAACTCTTTTGTAGTTGATGCCTCAGCACGACTTTACTGTGCCTGTCGAAATCGAGTGGCAGTGGCACAATGCCTATGTTCTCAAGCGACCCGGCGTCGAAGAGTTCCTTCGCCGCATGGGTGAAATCTACGAGGTTGTCGTCTACACTGCCAGTGTTAGCAAGGTCGGTTGTCCTTTGCATTAGATCCCCACCTTTTTTCTCACAACCAACAGTATGCAGACCCGGTCTTGGACAAGGTCGACGTCCACAAAGCAGTCACGCATCGATTGTTCAGAGAGAGCTGCTATAACCATCGCGGCAACTATGTCAAGGTACGGATGGCCGCCGTCCGTTGACTGGGCGCTGACTTGTGCAGGATTTGTCCATGCTTGGCCGTCCTCTTGAGACGTGTATCATCCTGGACAACTCGCCTGCGTCCTACTTGTTCAATCCGAACAATGCGGTCCCTGTCACGACCTGGTTCAACGACCCACTTGACACCGAGCTTACAGACCTGATTGATTTCCTCACTGACCTTGCCACCGTTGACGATGTTCGTCCCTTGCTTGCTCGCGACTGTTAATGTCGCGCTGGAGAAGAGTCGAATCCGTCTATTCACTTATTTGGTGACGTGTGGAAAATGGATTCCCCATAGAATGAATGCCACGACAGAGACGAGAGTAGAAATCACGACGTAACTTTATTACTGCGTGTAGCGAGCCCTCAAGAGTTATAGCCATTTCGTACCACATCCGGACGCACTCTCTCCCTCAGCCGTGTTCTTTTCCTCTTTCCTTGCATCCACAAGTCTCTAGTCTCGTCTGTTCTTGTCGCATTTTGTACGTGCATGCGCCAGCTGCACTACTACCGTACTCTCCCTCCGTTTCCGCATCTGTACTGTGTCTCTGTGATGCGCTACTTATCTGCAGGCCTGTAACATACACTTGCTAGCCGTTCTCTGGATATTGGTTCGTTTTTGCACCGGAATGCTTGTTTTTCTGTCCGCCCATGTCCGTGCGGTGCGTGCCAAGTCGCTAGCCCAAACACCCGTCTATTTTGGCGAGCATTTGGCTCGCGACTTGCTCCCGGCCACGTTGAACCCAGGTTTTGCACCAGATATTTCTCTTCTTCTATTTCTTGCCATACTTTGCATATCTTGGATTATTCTTTCTGTTTCGACGAGACGGTGCGGCGCCGATATAAGCCATGAACCGCTCCAAGACGCTCCCGGCCGCTACCGGTCTCGCCCCACATGCACCAATGCATCCAAATCTTCACAAAGCAAAGAGCGAGAATGATAAACCCGCTCAGATTGACGCAGAGCTCGCAAATGGCGTGTTACCCATGGAAGATATCGTCGTAGAGGCTCCGGAGCGCCAGAGCAAGCATCCGTGGATCAGGTGGCTTCGCAAGCACTTGAATTTCTTCAGGATACACCTCCTTGTTTTCACATTTCTGCCCTTCTTTGACGCCATTCTTCTGTGGGCTGTCAATGGGTCTTTCAAGATTTCTTTCATCGATTCCCTCTTCCTCGCATACAGTGCATTTACCAATACGGGTGCGTGTACTCTATCTAGCGTTACGTTATCTGAATCCACATCAGGCCTTTCGCCAATCGACCTCAGTCACACCACCCGACTGCAACAGGTGATCCTTTTTATAACCATGTTCTTCGGGAGCACTATTGTCGTTTCCTGGGTCGTCGTTCTCGTTCGTCGGTGAGTTTGTAGTACCTAATTGTAGTGGTTTTGCGCCCACTCACCACCTGGTCCAGAAACATCCTCGCATCTCAATGCGCCCATTGGGTCGCGCAGCGTCGCAGTCTAGCCTCTCGCGCACGCAGTGCACTGGCAGGTGTACGTCGCAAGACCATGCACGACCCACCTACCAAGTCCTTTGCCACGGGTGACATGCAAGAAAAGGGTACACCTCCTACCGTTGTGCCTGCACCGTCTACCACGCCCACGAGTGCTGGTGAAGATGCCCCCAGACGTACGCCTAGTAGGGCTGCGACTGGGATGATTGTTCCCTTTCGAAAGTATTCGATCCGTAGGGTGGATACGGAGCTCAAACTGGTGGATCCCTCTGGGCGTATATCGCGAGGCCAAACGCTTCAAGCTGTTCCACAGGAGGGTACCGATGCCCGGACGCCAAATCCTCAGAGCTTCTTTCACACTATTCCGCCCAGTCCTGATAGAGAAGTCGGGGATCAAGAGCCTGTTGCACCAACAGAGGTTTTCGACTCTCCAAGGTCAAATGCGATTGACATAGACGACAGCAAGCTGCATCTTGACAAGGATGGAAACATGAGAGCGGACGAGGGTCTACCCACAACCGGCAATACCCCAGTTTCACCAGCTCTCTCTTCTCCTGCACCACCCGTATTTGTGACTTCGCCATTATCGATGCAAACCTTTCCATCTGCGATATCCGCGTCGGAAATGGGAAAGAGCACACCTAGACAAGTCGGGTTTGAGTTGCCAGCAGGCAATGGAACACCTCGCACCGTGTCTGTGGTAGGTACGGACCATGAAGGACTTCGTCAACGAAGAACAGCACATATGCCTCAACGCCAATTCACATACACAGAGATTGACGTTCGTGAGTATCTTTGGCCCCATGATCGCCCAATTGTTGACGACTCTAGGCCCAAGAGGAAAAACGATGAGCCAAAATCCATCATATCAGATGCCAAAGGTCGATGAACGCTTTGTTTCAAAGGATTCTATCGGGTTGGGGGGGTTTCCTGGTCCCATTGAGCTTACCAGACGACTATTCCGAGCGCTCTCCGCACGTTGGGATACCACAAGGTTTGGGCGGCTCTTCAGGCCATATCCTTCCGTCCTTGTCCCCATCGGAAGTTCTGCTGGTGCACAATTTCCGCGATCGGAAACAAAGGAGGTGAGCTGGGTGCCAACTTGGAGTCGACCTGTCCTGACAGCTGCGATAGGTCCCTTACTTTTCGTTTGCCGCCATTGTAGGGAAGAACTCTACGTTTCACGGACTCACTGAGGAAGAGCTTGACGAGCTTGGTGGTGTGGAGTATCGCGGTTTGCGTTTGCTCTCTAAGCTTGTGCCAGCGGTTTGTCGCTTACCACAGCTCCCTACTCGTCACTTATTCGTTTAGTATTACGTGGGTGTCCAAGCCATTGCATGGGCAATCAACGCCCCCAGCTTCTCCAAGTCCAAATATACTAGTCTGTTCGCCGGGCAGTGGGCATGGATTCCGCCATCCTGGTCGGTCTTGTTCATTTATGCTCCTGATATGTATTGAATACACACAGGGCCGGGGTTTTCATGGGAACATCTTCTATGACGAATACCGGGATGTCGTTGGTCGATACGGCGTTGATTCCCTTTCAAAACGAGTTTGGAGTCTTAATTATCACCTCTTTTGTATGTACTTGTCCCTATTGCGCTCAGATGGTTAATAACCGACTGTTTGTAGACGAGTCTGGCAGGAAACACGGCTTTTGTAAGTGGTCTTCATCACACTCATGCACCCAACTCACGTTGTTCACAGCCGATTTTGTACGTACCGCGTGGCGTGATGCGACGACGACTGACAGGATGTAATGACATCAAGGTTGAGACTCATCGTGTATGTCAACCTACCTGGGACGAGTGCTCTCTAACATACTCTAAGATGGATCGGAACCAAGGTGACGCGCAAGACTGGTGAAACCTGGGCAACGCTTCACTTCCTACTCGACCACCCGCGCCGATGTTTCCTTTATCTCTTTCCATCCCATCAGACATGGTATGTCGATAAAATACTTATCAGTGTGATCTAATAGACTCCCTAGGTTCTTGCTTATCGTCATCTTCCTTTTAAAGTGTGTAGCCATCGGATGAGACCAGCATTCGCTAACGCACCGTAGCATGATCGACTGGGCTGGATTCATGCTATTTGATCTCGGGAATCCCGCATTTGAGGCTATTCCTGTTAACCAACGTGTTATCAACGGCTTCCTTCAGGCAACCTCTGTCAGATGCGCCGGCGTCGCCAGTGTCAGCTTGGCTGCAGTCGCTCCAGCAACCCAGTAAGCTACTCTACAGAAATATATCCCTGACCAACTAATATAGGGTTTTGTATGTGATTATGATGTAGTGAGTAGGTCCCTGACTCCTATATGTTGCACTGACCCGCATTAGCATAGCGCCGTTCCCGATAGGTGAGCTGTTCCTATTGCACAAGATACATTGTGACTGCTTTTCTGATACCTTTCGATAGCGTTGGCGATTAGATCGTCAAACACATATTTGGACCGTTCTCTGGGTATCTACGAGCAAGATAGTGATTCCGATGACGAGGAGATGGAGGCCCGTTTTGAGAAGGACAAGCGGCCCAGGCACAGAGTATGGGGAAGCTATCTCGCATGGCATGCGAAACGCCAGCTCGAATACGACATCTGGTGGCTCGTGATGGCGTGGTTGGTTGTCACCATTTTCGAGAGAGGCAAGATCTGGAACCCAGCGACGAAGCAGTTTGATTTATTTGGCATCCTATTTGAGCTGGTATGTTGACTTCTACTCGGATTGACTCCAATACGTTCGAAACATCCTCTCACCTTTCAACCCTCTCCAGGTCTCCGCTTACAGCTCCGTCGGCCTTAGCATCGGTCTATCAAATGTAGGTTCTTTCCCTTAAGCAGACTCTTCCTGACCAAATTCTAGGCCAACTACTCTCTGAGTGGCGCCTGGTCAGTGCCGTCCAAGCTTATGCTCATCTTGGTCATGATTCGAGGTCGCTCGAGAGGGCTCCCCGTCGCCATTGACCGTGCCGTCATGCTCCCGAAGGAATTCTGGTCAAAGACTATCTCGCAGACCCCAACAATGGCGCCTCCCGCCAGCGAGAAGCCGAGACTCGAGACCATACACGAGAAACAGTCGCAGTAACAGGCCCCGACTCTGTTCAATTATATGTCGTAGATGTAATTTATTATAGAGCAGCCTGGATAGAGGTATATAACAGGAAATGTTTCCGAAAGCGTGTCGGGAACCGTCGCTTGCTTTCTACTTGATGCCGGTGTGAGACAAGGGACAAGTGGTCCACTTGAACTGAAATATCCAAACATTTCCTATTAACGCTTGGATGTTTCCATTGTCGGTAAGCTCGATATAAGGTGCTCCGTACCAAATGCCTACTAGGAACGCCAGCGCCTCATACACATTATCTAGACTGGCGGTTCATGTCCGAAAAGGGTTATTCAGTACACCTTGGTGCTTAAGTACCTGTTAACTGCCGCAAGTGGGCTACATAGGGATTTGGTACGGAGCACCCTATATCGAGCTTACCAGTAATGGATATTACAGCGGTATCAGCTCAAAGGGATGATTGTTCGTAGGTCTAAAATGAAGTGTTTACATGCTATATACATCTCGTCGAGTAATTGAGAGTGGTCTCCTGACCCACATTAGAATACCTCTTTCGCGCTTGTAGGAGCGAAATAGACTAGAAGACGAAAGGGATGACGGCCCTTCTCTCCGTTGGATAATCCGGAAACTTGGTGTGATACCATTGATGTCCTCGGTGGGCTCGTGGCGCCATCACCAGCATTTCCGCCACCAAAAACATCCAGGGAGGAGTATATTCCCACCTGGGTGAAGCAGCGAGCGCAAAACCAGCAAACTCGACCCATTCACTGAAATAGTTTGGATACGAAATGTAGTTGTAGAGGTAACCCTGAGGAATAGAGTAGCGATGCTTTCCATCTGGTGTAGTAGGTGCGTTCCGTCGAATGTTATACAGAATCTCGTCGTGCAGGATATTTGACACGAAGCCGAGGACAAAGAGCGCGATACCGACTTGGAATTTTCGGTCAGCAAACGCCATTTGAAGAGTCTGTGACTCGGCGACTTTGGCGGCAAGCTTTTGTTGGAGCTTTTGGACTATTCCCGTGAGATTCGTAATGTCGATATCTCTGGAGCGACTTAGTGGGTTGGGACAGTTTCCTGGTGCAGACAGGAATGCGGCGATGAGGGTGCATTGATGATGTTAAAGCCAATGCCAGCAATCACGATGATGATGTGTGACTTGGATCGACCGGGGGAACGTAGGGGTGATATGATGGCGCGATTGACGTAGTGTATCACGAATAGTGCAGCGAGGAGTGTCGAAGGGTGATTGAGCGATGGTGGATTATGTGTGGGTGAAAAGGGCGCGTATAGGTAGGTTGCGATGAAGAATACAGGCGCCACAATTTCCATAAGCATCCACGAGGTGTTGCCTGCAGCAGTTTAGAAACTGATTAGAAATGTTTTAATGCGCACCATCAACCATCCATTTGGAGTCTGCGGGGGAAAACCGCCCGAATGGTGCGTTTATAAAAAGCGTAATAGGAGCGACTATCCAAGGGGCGGTTGCATAGACCCAACACGACACTAGAGGCAGTTAGTGGAGCAATTAAGGGGAAGAATGAACTAACCTTCAAAATAGAGCTTGAACCAGCGGTCAAACTCGTTCATACTCCAGCGCGTCGACAATGATGCAATGTCAAAGTATACAAAAGAGCACGTATATAGTTATAGTGAATGCTGAGGAGCAACAACAAGTCAAATTTGGGAGGTTTGACCAATCACTGGATTGGAGAGAGGATGCGGTCAGGTCGAACTGTTCAAACTCCGCTTGTTGGTTTGGTCCCCACCTCGACAATTGACAACCCGAATCTTAACCATGGAACATCACACACTACCAGCAGACTATCCATATCGTTGGACACCCACTTCGGAATTCACGTTGGACGAGTTCCTCGAAAGGTACCTGGCCTCGTTTGCCACAGATAAACTGTGGCTGACACCACACAGTATAAACCGAGCAGTATTCGCAACGACGTCAAGAATTCAAAGCCGGTGAGCGACAGCCGTTTGGCTTTCGTGAATCGACGACAGAAAGCTCAGTGATGCCAGTTCATCTGCGTTGCGGCGAAGAGCAACGAGAATACAGAAGTAAAGTATACAGAAGCCGTCAAAGAGGCGACAGCGCTTGGTTCGTCTCCTGTTTGCCACAACATTTAGGCGCTCATGGCGGATCCTCAGTGAACGAGGTAGCGAAGCAAGTGGAGGACATTAAAGTCTGAGATTAGACGGGTCCATTACAAAAGCTAACGACTGGCAGAACAACAACGACATTCCAGTCAGAGCGAACAAGAAGAAAGGGACAAAGAGCAAAAAGGAGGTTAGAGAGGAACTTCAAGCCAAAGCCACAGTGTCTCTCAAGAAGATTGCCACGGAAAATGGGTTTGTGAACGGCAAATGGTGCCTGCATTGAATCGGTAGTAAGAATGAGACTGACCTCGGGACGTAGGATTGCATTTGTGGATCAGACACAGGCGACAAACGTGTTCAATAAAGTAGCACACTCGTTGGTGTCAGGCCCACTCTCGCAGACCAAGGCATGGCAAGTCCGCGTTCGGACACTGCCCGTTGACGACCCACAAGACGACAAGCCACGTCAGAGCAACATCGAGGTTCTTTTGCCAGATATCTACGATGAAGAGGCAGCGAGAGAGGTATGTCTGGTAAGGAACCTCCAAGGGGCTGATGGCCGACGTCAGGGGATAGGTCATGAAAGTGCTGTTGCGCCATCACGGGTTGAGGCTAGCTGGAGCGAAGCCTAATCTTTACACGGCCATTGGTGAGTGTGGATTAACCTGAACGTCGAGGGGAGGCGCTGATCGATACGCTGGATGAAGAGCTGGATTCGAAGCATCTCAGCGGCATTCCCTCGACGGTAAGATAGTAACAGTACTTTTTTGAGTCTGTCTGACGGGATCGATAGGTCTGGAAAGGATCAGGTGGCCCAGGGAGTGTGCTGAGTGAGGCAGAAGTTCAGGTACACACCGTTCCAGGGACTTTGTTGACTGGAAAGAAGGCTGAGTTCGTATAGGCGCTGCGAAACGAGTACTTTGCCGAATTGGAGGAGGCCAAGAAGGAAGCCAACGGTGGAGAAGGCGAGGGTTCTGCACCAAAAAAGACATCTGGGCCGATCAAGGCAATGAACAAGGAGACGGATGAAAATCCTTTTGGATCAGACGAGGATGAGGACGAGGAGAGCCGCAAGCCGAAGAACGCGCAACCCAAGAAAGCTGCGCCGGCACCCAAAAGACCACGAAAGCAAGCTCAAAGCGATGAAGATGAAGATGACACTCCTCGTAAAAAACAGGCCAAACCGACGGCAGCGGCAAGCAAACGAGGCGGTGCTGCGAGACCACGACCGCGAGTGGCTGCTGTAAAGGCAAAGATGGAACTTTCTGACGACTCTGAATGAGATTTCTTGATGCCAACGTAATATTTGGTTGGGCTTACGTGGTGTGGTGGCTATGTTTTCCGTGGGAAAACCATAGTCGTTCTGATACCATTTCGCCACGTCGCAAGATGATGTGTCGATAAAAACTCGAATAAATCGCTGATAAACCCGGTAAAATCGATTTGATCTGATAAGAGTGATTTATTTCTGGATGTAAACAGAGGAGAGTGATAGAGCAGGTGATGACGAATATACGACGAAAACAAGTCTGAAAAGTCGCCAAAAATGATAAGAGTGAGTAAACAGAGCTGTAGAGTACGAATATGACTGATTTGAAGCGTATTTCGAAGATTTACAGAGGCTCACCGGTGGGTGGTGCAATTCAGTCTGGGTGGGAGTGGGCGCAACCATAAAATCTGGGGCTTGTTGGCCGACCAAGGTTCTGTTTCTTGCTCCCTCTTTTACCGGCACAGCCACTGGCCTCCTCCCCGCCGCCGTAGACTTTTGGAATATTTTGTCAAAGTCGCCTACAAATTGTCAATGGAGACATCGACAATAGTCCAGCCACCGTTCCCACCCCGCTTTGACTCTATGGACGCGACGAGCCTCCGTCCAGTTGCCGCCACTCCTCCAGATCCAGATTCTATTCCTATTGCTCCTCCAAAGGGAAGTCCACGACCTCCTACTGGTCAACTATTGCCAGACGTCGCTGCAGCAGAGGACCCGTCGTCACCAAACAAGTTGCAGACTCCGCCCCCTTCCACCCCTTCCCCGCCCACTCTGACTCATGGAGAGACTATAAACTCAGAGGTTGCACTCGATACTCCACAAAACATGCATCCAGAGGCTAGTATAGCAGCATTTGGACGACCAGACACGCCAATCGAACCATCGCCACTCCCTCCCGCGATTAGCCAAGTTCAAGAAGCTGCGCCGGTGGAATCAAAACCTATGATTCCCATACCCGCTCCAGGGCCTGCGTTTGGTTCTCCTTCGACCTTTGAGCAAGAGCAAGCACCCATCAGTGCCCCTCAGCCTGCACCGGCCATCGAGGATAAGCACGAACCAGCTCCAGCACCCATCCCAGCCCCCCAGACGGCTCCAGTTGCTCAAGACCCAACGCTGGTGGCAGCTCCAATCTCAGCCACTCCGCCTCCGCAGTCTCTGCAGCAACAACCAATGGATCTCGCCTCTCCGCCTAACCCCATCTTCCACCAAACCGAGCCATACAAATCGGAAACGGATGGAGATGTTGTGATGGGTGAGTCGCATCACTTTGGTCAGGATGCGACGATGCTCGGCAACGGTGACTTTGGTCATGAGCTCTATCCAGACCTCGATGCGCACACTGGATTCGACGACGTAGCGAACCAGTACTCTAGCCTTCCATTGGATCATGATGATCACATTGATGGCCCTCCCATGAAGAGACAAAAACTCGATTCTGTGAGTGGCGCTTCCCTTTGTGAAAGTGCCCAATACTCAGCGGTTCCTAGCCTGCTCCTGGTAACTTGTCAGAGGACATGACGAGCGCAGGTCTCCAGCTCGAATCTCCTGTAGCCCCCGTCGCGCCTTGGGCAAGGCCAATGACCCAGCCGCAGAACAAGTTTGCTCTCTCCATTGTTCGTACACTCCGCAAATCCAAGGACGCGATACCTTTTCTTGTTCCCGTCGACCCGGTCGCACTCAACATCCCTCATTACCCCCAAATCATCACCAACCCAATGGACCTTTCGACCGTGGAGAAAAAGCTTGGTGGTGCAAAAATGGATACGGCTCAGTACGCTCGATACGCCAACGTCGATGAATTTGTGGCGGACATTAAGCTCATCATTGAAAACTGCGCCAAGTTCAATGGACCGGAACACCCAGTGACGCAAATGGCCCTCCGTATGGAAGAGCAATTCGACAAATTGATGAAGAACATGCCCACGGCCGACGAGGTCAAACCGCCCGCAAAACCAATCGCCCGTAAGCCGGCGCCTGCTCGACGACCCTCGACTGCCGGAGGTGGGTTCCCTCGACGGGACGACTCTTACGTGATTGCGCGCCCGAAGCGCGAGGTTCCTCCCCCTCGGGAGCAATACCCTGTGGCACCCAACCGTCCCGTTGTCAAAAAGCGGTTCCCAAAGCGCGACGATGGTACACTGGAGCAGCTTCGGTTCTGCACTAAGCTTATTAACGATCTCTATCGTCCCAAGTATTCGTCTTTCGCCTATCCGTTCTATGAACCCGTGGACTATATCAAGCTAGAGATCCCCCATTATCCAAAGGTGATCAAGAAACCGATGGATATGGCCACAATGTCCTCCAAGCTCAGTAACCACGAGTATCCCAATGCAACCGCGTTTTACAACGACTTCAAGCTAATGATCAAGAACTGCTTTGCCTTCAACCCTGCTGGCACACCTGTTCACCAAGCTGGTGTCGAGTTGAACGCGGTCTTTGATGAAAAGTGGCAAGGACTTCCAAACCCGTACGGGGATAGTGATGATGGTGCCGAAGAGGACGAGAGCGACGCAGAACGGAGCAGTATGTCGTTCGTACGGATCCCTCATCGTTTCTAACCTTTCTTTAGATGCGGTCATGATGATGGAAGCACAGATTCAATCTCTCCATAGTGCGCTCGAACAATTGAAAAAGCCAAAGAAGGAAAAGAAGCCAAAGAACATGGGAATGCCGTCGATGCCCAAACCGCCAAAGGCTCCGAGCAACAAGCCCCCTGGAGCGGGCGGATTCAAGAAGAAGAAAAAGCCAACCGAGGACGAAGATACGTTATCGTTTGAGCAGAAGAAACAACTCAGCGAGACAATCCAGACGTTGGATGGGAATCGTCTAGAAAAGGTGCTTGAGATTATCGACGAGGTCTACCCCGAGATTCGTGAGGTGGGTTGAATATTCACGCCATCCCACTAGATACTGATGCTCTTCTGATAGACCTCGGAGGAGATTGAGCTCGATATCGACTCGTTACCCTCTCATGTGCTCAACCGACTCTACAACTTTGTCATCCGTCCCAATAAACCGCGCGTCGGACGACCTCCTAATGGCTCCTCTTCCTCGAAGGCTCTCGGTGTGGTCGGACAGGTTGCTGGCACGAAGCGGAAGAGTATGAACGAGGAAGAAGAGTCGGAGAAGATTCGCCAGCTTGAGGCGACGCTCCAACGACTCAAAAATGGACAGGCGACCGCGGAAGATGTGATGACGGCCAGCCAGATGAATGGAATGACCACTGGTGGCGGAGGAGACGAGAGTGGGAGTGAGAGTGACTCTTCTGATTCGAGTGGCAGCGACTCGGAGTGAGAAACTTTACACGTTCAGCCGCTCATTATGGATGGCCAAGATTTCTTTCATCCTGGGCGCTTTCCCAATCATCGCACATTATACTCTGTCTAAAAAATGGGCTTCTTTGTTGCTCTCTCTCCCTCGCGTCGCCATCATTCTGGCCTGGTCGCATACGGTTACCGCTTCTGAACTTGTAGTCGTCGTCTTGTATTTCTTGAGAGTCCTAAAAAACAATGAAACCCTTGTTTGTACCATATCCAAGAACGAAGCAATCTCGAGACTCTCTCGACATTCTCTGGAATATTCTTGGACCTGACCATATAACCCGTCGAGCTAGGGTCTCCAAGCTCGTTACTTCTACTCTCAGATCCTAAGATAGATTCCCATCAGTGGGACCGTGAAGACGCATGATGCAGGTTTCCGTCTCGCCACCGCGGCCACGCCCGTCAATAGCGATTCACATCCAGCCAAACGCGCATCGTAACGCGCACCATTTTACACTCCCGAGGAAACGAAAACGCAGTGTGCATTACTCATCTTCAGATGAAGAATCTGGGGCTTCTTCTGCAATTGCGACGAGCACGGCGCTTCATGGCTTGGATGGATACTCGTCGTCTTCGCCTATAAAGGAGCACGAGGGCAGGCTGATTACTCGCAAAGGATCTGGAAGTGGTGGATATGATGAACGAGGAGTACGAGAGGGTGATTTAGAGGGCGAGAGAAGACATCATAAGCGCGTCAAGAGAACGATTGCACAAATGGGTGGTCTCTCATTGCACCCAACTCCACCCGGTACTCAGCAGATTCAGCAATCTTCGTACGAAGATCGCGACGGTTACGGACACGCTCCATCGTCTTCTTTTAGTGGTGATCCTATGGTCAGCCACAGCTCGTCTCACCCATGTCGAATGCGTCTGGAACATCATATGGATCTATTCGTGGAGAAACTGGAGCTGGATACCATGGTGTAGATGGACCGGAGCTGTTGGAATTCGACGAGGCGTTCATGCCGCGGGAGCATGGTCACGGTCATGATCACGAACATGATGCATGGGATAGTTATCGCCACACTTTTGTCCCAGAGATTGAAGACTTGCCTCTCCCGCCTCGCTCGTCCACCTCACATACGACAACAGCCACGAGCAATGATATCAAAATGGGAGGTACAGGCTGGTATGAACCTGAGAAAGACCGTGAGTACATGGTGCTTCTTGTGGCATATGGCTGCCCATATGGAACACTGCATTCTAACATGCACGTTACACAGGAATCGTGATCACAGACCTTGACGACTCGGATCTAGACACAGACGCCAATGCACCCTCACCAAACGCGCAGGATGCGGAGATAATGGACGATGATGAGCGACCGTTTCACACATTCAAGGTTTCAAGTGCATACCTACAGCGATTTGGCAAGCCAGCCAATGCACCAGAAATCCCACCAGCACCGTCAACAATCATCGAGAATGCTGGCTCGGAGTGCCAAGCGTTAGTGCTTTACCGTCCGTCGTTTCCAATCTACAAACACGTATCTGTGGAGCCGAGTATAGATGCTCAGAAGGCGGTGATGGCCGATATTACAACAATGAATGCGGAGACTACGGGTAGTGGCGATGCTATGGAGTTGGATGACTGATTATTGAGGAGGGTTGTCTCTTCTCGAATTGCTTATGCCTGTGCTAGTGCTCTACTCTCTGTACAGTAGTGTTATCTGAACGTGTTGAGCGACCCAACTCGTTTGAAAATAGACTGTGATGATTGCCACTTAGCGTGAACAATTATGCTGAGGCGTTGCCACCAACTTGAAACTTGACTCTCCCAATGGTACGCGTGAAACTCATGGCCAGGTCGGAGAAAAACGATTTAATGCACTATATCTCTAGGGAAAGGCAAAGAAAACGCGCAAATTTGCTACCGTCAAGCGACTACTCAGCCCAAAGGATGCGAGACTGTGCGTCTCCATTGCTGTGCCTGCAAAATCTAACAAGAATGCTTCGATAGAAAAGAAAACAAGGTAAAGCAAGCCGCAAAGGAAGCAGAAGCGAAAGAAAAGGCTGTCAGAAGAGTGTGCGTCTCCTCTTGTTCGACAGATGCACGGTTAATCTCATAAGAGACTAGAACACAAGTCTCTTCTGCACTCTTTTTGTCGCACAATACCTCACTTGGGCCCCCCTACCGCGTGCTCGTCGACACGAATTTTATTAACTTCAGCCTGCAAAACAAGCTCGAGCTCGTGGCAGGCATGATGGACTGCCTATATGCAAAGTGTGAGTATCTAGGTTCTCTGCCACGTAGCAAGATCTGATATTCCTGTTACAGGTATCCCATGCATCACCGACTGTGTGATGGCGGAGCTCGAGAAGCTGGGCCCGAAATATAGAATTGCGCTCCGGTACATATCTTACTCGCCTTTAGAGACTATTTACTGACAGCTAGGGACATAGAGTGGCTCGCGACCCACGCTTTGAACATCTCACATGCACGCACAAGGGTGTGTATGCTGACGACTGTCTTATCGACCGCATCACACAGCACAAATGCTATATTGTCGCCACATGTGATAAGGAGCTCCGGAGACGCGTGCGCAAGGTCCCGGGCGTACCACTAATGTACATTGTCCGAAGACGGTACGCCATTGAGCGTCTTCCAGACGGTGGTGCACCCGCATAACCTGGTACACGTATATACTCGCTGGTATGGTATGCATGTAGATTACTCTTCGTGTTCTTATTCAAGCTACTTGCAAAGTAGGGATCCATTCAACCTCTGCATAAGCGAGTGGGGGAGTAGTTTAACACAAAGGGTAGTATAATATAGGGACCGATGCCTCTATTCGATGATCTTGGTGACAATACCGGTACCGACTAAGGAAGCGTCAGCGATAATAAACATTGCTAGAGAAGTACGAACTTGTCTTGCCACCCTCACGTAATGTGAACCGTGAACCAATTTCTAGCGCGACATCCGTATGCGTGGAAACGGCCAACTCGACGTTGTCGCCAGGGACGACCTACGGGCATAAGTACTCGATCATTGACCAGAGGAGGAGCTTACCATCTTTTCGTGTGCATCCGCTGTACCCTCGGGGAAGTTGAGTGTTGCAGTCACATCGGCGGTACGGATGAAGAGCTGAGGTCGATATCCATCATGGAACGGTGCATACCGCCCACCCTCGTCCTTTGTTAGAGCCTACACACCGTTAGGATAGACAAAATTGCGATAAACTACGGCTTACGTAGATTTGTGCCAGGAATTTGGTGTGCGACTTGATCGAACCAACGGCAGCAATGACCATTCCTCGTCGTACTTGCTCACGCTTAATACCACGAAGCAGAGTACCCATATCATCTCCAGCTTCTCCGCGGTCCAACTCCTTATGGAACATCTCTACTCATATTTAGACATGAAGAAAGATGACGGCGAGACATACCAATGCCAGTAACTATGGTCTTCATATTCTTCGCGCCCATTCCAACGATTTCGACTTCCTGATTCTTGGTAATCACGCCTCGCTCAGCCTGGAACCGTATGAGTTCTGATCAGACTTGATATGGAGGTAGAGTCACCTTTCCGGTGCACACGGTGCCACGTCCAGCGATCGAGAAGGTATCTAAACGATATTAGCTCTTACCCAGACGGTTCTGGAACAACGTACCCTCAATAGGGAGGAGGAAGGGCTTGTCGAGGTCACCTAAAGAACATAAACGCCTGCGCCAATTCTAAGTTCGTGTACTTACGTGGTGGTACCTCCAGCCACTCATCACAAGCTTGCAAAAGCTTCTCGATTCTGTCCTGTCCAATCTCCTTGTCACGACCCTCGAGGGCAGCAAGTGCCGACCCCATGATAATTGGGGTGTTCTCGCCATCGTAACCATATTGCGTCAAGAGCTCTCGGATCTCCATCTCAACCAATTCGAGCATCTCTGGGTCGTCAATCACATCAATCTTGTTGATGAACACGCAAAGCTTTTTGATGCCGACTTGCTTGGCGAGGAGCAAATGCTCACGAGTTTGCGGCATTTGTCCGTCGGTCGCAGATACGACCTATAATGTGTCAAAGCTATGAACAGTCACATAGAGAAACTCACAATGATACCGCCGTCCATCTGCGCAGCACCAGTGATCATGTTCTTGATATCTGAAGATAGCACATTTACTTCTTTACCCCCGAGGCATTATAAACTCACAATCGGCGTGTCCTGCAGATAGTCAGCAGCCATCGTACTCTTGAACACGCTTACATACCCGGGCAGTCGATGTGACCATAGTGGCGTTTGTCCGTCTCATACTCGACGTGTGTCGAGTTGATAGTGATACCACGAGCCTTCTCCTCTGGTGCTTTGTCGATCTGTGCATAGTCGATGAAGCTTCCCCCACCCTTCAGAGCCATGACCTTGGTAATGGATGCGGTCAATGTGGTCTATTGTCTGCATGTTAGCAACCATACATGCTTGCTTGGGAACAGCGGGTTTGCTGAATCGACCGACCTTGCCATGATCGACGTGACCTGTATATAGAAGAAGCCATTGAGACGCTGATAGAATTTCACTCATAGAGCACGTACCAATAGTTCCAATGTTCATATGTGGCTTTGACCTCGAAAACTTGCTCGCTTCGGCGTAGCCACGACGCGAGAGTACTATGGATTCAGTGTAGATCGAAAACAGTTCAAGGAAATCGTGTAGTGTATGCGCAGGTGATAACAAGAATCAGCCTTTGCCCGAACACCTCTAAAATTTGTTTTCGTCGTACGCACCGTTGTATTTGCTAAAGAGTGAGCCCGTGGGTCGTACACGCGCTGCATTACATGCTACATGCGCTGCTTTTTCAGTTGAAGTACAAAAAGTGAGCGCTGCGTGCCAACAGACTGTTTTTGGTCGTCCAACTCACAAGGAGTACTAATCACAGAGCGTAGTCCAACACGAATCATTTTGCTTTTTTTGATAGACTTGCCAACTAGATTCAGAGAAAGCGTGGCTTTGGGCTGGTATTAGGGAAGAGTCGAAGGGATGTGGTCGAGATCAACTCTTGGACAAGTTCGTGGTCCAAATTGCAATACGTATAATCGTCTAACCAGTTATTTATACAAGGATATACGGTCATCAGTTCTGTGTAGCCTTGGTGAAAACCTCCTCAGCAACCTTGAGCCCCTCAGACGCCTTTGCAATGTCAGTACCAACACCCTGCGCCGTGTCGGGTTTTCCACCAGCCTTTAATACATAAGAATGTGATCGAAACGAATGAACTCAACAACCGACCTTGCCACCGATCACTTCCGACACGCTAGTCGCCCAAGACCTTGCGTCGAATCCGCTAGCAGCAAATGATGCAGGCAAATAGTTGCCATGCGTGACCTTTCCGGTCTGTTCATCGACACTAAGCACGTAGACCGCCTTGCCCAGCGTCTTTCCTTGACCGAGGATTGCTTGGATCGCCTATGGAAGCGGTCAACCGCTGGATATCCCTAGTGACGGGGACAAACCTTGACGTTACTGCCGACATCAACTTGGGCAAAGTATCCGAGCGCGTTTGGATTCTCCTCAAAGTACTTGGAGACCGCCTCGACGGCCTGACACAGAGTTAATAGGTAATATGTAGCAGTCCGAAAAGTTCCTTACAGCCTTCGTTGCAGCAGTCTCGCGTGCTTTGACTTCAGCGTCCCAGATCTTTCGCTTCGCGGCGACGCGGTCGCGCAAGTCTGCCTTGTGGACGGCAGGTAAATCTGCCTGATTGAGATCCTAGAGACGAGTCAAACATGTCAGACAGAGGAATAGCAGAGCCTTACTAGGGTAAGACTCTTGAAGCCTTCATCTTTCTCTCGTCCAGACAAGTTTTGCACGGATGTAAATCGCGCCTCGAAGGCCGCAGCACTGGCAATGGCCTCACGTGCCTCTGGGCCTGTTACCGCAATAATACGTCGGATACCTTTGGCGATACCGGATTCCTCCATAATGGTAAACTCTTTGATGTCTCCCGTCTTTGCGACGTGTCTGCGAAGTAGCTCAGCATTTGAATGGGCGATGCCAATTCACTGACGTTCCACCACAGAATTCAACACTTGTTCCACGCCATTTCGGGTTCTCCAAGTCTTTGGCGATCTCATCCACGTCGTACTCGAGAGTCACAACTCTGACCGGGTCGGGGTATGTCTCACCGAAAACTGCACGAAGACCAGGGATGACCCGCGCGGACTTGAGGTCAAGCTCTTTGCTGAAGACCGGTACATCCTTCTTTATCCAGTCTATGCAAATCTCCTCGATTTTCTGGAGTTCGCTAGTAGTGACCTGGGCTTTGTGGCTAAAGTCGAATCGTAATTTGGATGGCGCGACGAGAGAGCCTTTCTGATCGATATGATCACCAAGAACCTCTCTGAGGCCGTAATTGAGGATGTGCGTTGCGGTATGATTGCTCCTTATTGGCCGTCGGCGGTCAGGATCATAGGTAGCAATAACGCTATCTCCGACGCTCAGAGAACCTTCTTCCATTTGCCCAATATGAAGGACGTAGCCCTTGAATGACTGGCAGTTGACGACCTCGAACTTGGCTTCTTGATCCTTGACGTCCGAAGCGATGCTACCTGTATCATATTCCTGACCACCTGCTTCAGCATAAAAGCAAGTTTGGTCGAGAATGATGCCAAAAGGTGCTCCAGCAGGAATGTCCGCGGTAGAGGAAGGGAAATTCTTGTCATAGTATATCGCCTTGATAGTGGCGGATACGCTGCCAGTATCTGGGACCTATTAGCATTTGGCACGCCTCCAAGAAGGATGCTTACGGAATTTGAAGGAATCATTCGTAATGGTGACATCCGGATTATTCTCCAAAGCACCAATATCATGGACGTCCAGCTTGACTGTGTCTTTGGCACCAACTTTGCCAGCTCCCTTGCTTGCTTCCTTGGAATGCGCTTGCGCAGCTAAGAACGCCTCCTCGTCCACTGTCAAGTTGAGTTCTTCTGCCATCAATCGGGTGAGATCGACAGGGAAGCCATAGGTATCGTAAAGTCGCCACACATCCTTGCCGTCCAAGACGGTCCCTCCGCCCTCTCGGGTTTTGGCGACATAGCCGTCAAACAGGCGTTCACCGCGGTCAAGAGTGCGAGCGAATGACGCCTCTTCCTCGTCAAGAAGCTTTTTCACCTCTTCTGGAGAGCGCTTGAGTTCTGGGAAGAAGTCGCCCAGCTGCTGGACAAGGACGGGAGAGACGGAGGAGAAGAATGAACCAATTTGTACTCCGAGCTTCTTCCTGGCGTATCGCGCACCTCTACGCAATATTCTTCGGAGGACATAACCACGACCTACGTTACTGGGAATCCCGCCGTCACTCAAAGCGAATGTGAGTGTCCGGACATGATCAGCCACAACACGGTAGGCAGTATCAATCCCGTCGACGTCGTCGGCTCCGAATTTACCCGTGTACGGGCGTGCTCCAGAGACCTCCTGTATTCTGTCGAATATCGGGCGGAACACATCGGTGTCGTAGTTGGATAGGACATCTTGGATAGCCGAGACTAGTCGTTCGAAGCCCATGCCAGTATCGACATGCTTTGCAGGTAGTGACTTTAGACTTCCATCTTCCTCACGGTTATATTGGATGAACACATTGTTCCAGATTTCGACCACATTTGGATCGTCGGCATTGACGATATGGGCGGCGTTTCTTCCGCCGATACGGTCATAGTGGATCTCACTTCACAATATAAGCTTGGATTTATGTTCGATCTATGCTTACCTGCAAGGCCCGCATGGTCCGGTCGCACCCATCTCTGTGAATAATCAACGAAGGAAGACCAGAGACAGGAATGGCTGACCCCAAAAGTTGTCCTTTGCATTTCCTTTGACAATTCTGTCCTCTGGAACGCCCATATCTAACCAGATTTGCTTGGTCTCTTCGTCAGGCAAAAGACCTTGTTTGGGATCGCCTTCGAAGTACGAGACGTAAAGCCGATCTGCGGGGAGCTTGTAGACCTCTGTGAGAAGTTCCCATGCCCACGATAATGCCTCTCGCTACACGTATTAAATATGAGTGGAGATGACTCGCTGGGAAATTTGATGTTACCTTGAAGTAGTCACCAAACGACCAATTCCCAAGCATTTCGAAGAATGTATGATGATAAGAGTCTCTTCCGACATCCTCAAGATCTGAGGAAGAAATGAATATCTTGAGTAAAGACCGACGGCTTGGCTACGTACCGTTGTGCTTTCCGCCTGCACGAATACACTTCTGACTGTTGACAGCGCGCTTGAGCTTGCTCATATCCGAGTTGGGGTCTACAGTGCCCAAGAAGACGGCCTTGTACTGTGTTCCGGATGCGATTGTACGAGTGGCATGAGCTCAAAGTGTAACGATCGGTCGTGAAAGACATGCCTGATTCATTCCTGCATTTGCAAAGAGTAGCGTTGGATCCTCGAATGGGATTGTGGAGGAGGATGGCCAGAAGGTGTGGCCTTTGCCTTCGAAAAACTCGATATATGTCTTGCGCACTTTGTTGGCGGTCCATGGACCAGAGTAGGGCGTGGTGGACATCGTACGTAGGAATCTGCCTTGAAAATGATAATCACCAAGACGAGGCGGGGTCCAAAGGCTTACGCCTCTTATCGACGAGAGTCTCAAGAGCATTCAATTGGCCGAGTCACATTTCAAGAATCATTATCAGCCAGGATCTCGGCGATTTCCACAAGGACACTTTCGTTTATTTCCTCATTCTCAATCACATTATGTGCTGCTAGACATCGTCTTGAAAGATTTGCCGTCCAAGCGAGTGCTCTTGTAACTCTCTGCGGGCACAGTAAGAATTGGGGCAAAAACGAAGGGCAAGTCTCACTTTCTCCAGGTATCTCTGCACCAGGAGTTGATTCACAATCTTTGAGCTCCGTCTTCTCTCCGACTTTGGTGTAGCTGCTGAGGATGCAGTTTTCAATCCTCACACTGTATGTCTATCAGAAGAGTGATATGCCGCAGATTTACGCACCCGTCACCAAGTTCGACATGGTTCATGATCACCGAGTTGACGATACGGACTTGCTTCCCTATCACACAGTGTTGACCGATCGCACTCGAGGCCACAATCGAGCCTTCTCCGATTCTGCTGGATACCTCCCAGGCAGAATTTGGTGATATTTGCGCCTTTGGGTCGACACCGTCGCGTACCCCTTTGGGCTCGAGGGAAGAGTGCTTCAGTAACTACAGCGGATGAGCAGGCCGAGCATCTCGAGAGGGGATCACATACCCCTTGATTTAGTTCGCGATATGCTGACAGATTGTTCGCACGTCCACATGTCACGCCGTCTTTGCTCCGTTTATGGACCAGAAAGGCACAGCGAAGAGATGGGACAAACGTGGGTTCATCTTCATCAATGTCTCCTTCACTAGCTTCTTCAGTTGAGCTCCCTTCATCGTCCCAAGCATTCTTTTGGGCGTTTGTTGGTGTTCGTGCTCTGGCAGGAATTGTGGCTGACATGGTACGAAAATCAAGCTCCTGTGTGGTGGAGTATTGCAGCGCAGTGAATACACTGATCTCACCCTTATCCTGGACGTTCTCCGCTGTGGTGACTTTTTGTGGAGGGGTCAGGACTGAGGAGCATCAGCACCTGATTGAACGCGATGATACTGCTTACTGTGGGAGAATTTATTTCTCCGCGTCCGCGAATACTGTAACGAGCAAAGAAATGGAACCAGATCCTTCTTAATGGACTTGAACTCTGGTACTAAAGGCAGAAGCTCCAGCACGGAACGCTTGAAGACGTAAACGTGAGAGTCGGCAAGCTGGCTCGTTACACGACATCGGCCAAATCTGCAAGGGGTCAGAATAGAGGGATGTATGGCAGGTTTCCATACTTGGTTAGGAGATGCATGGGTATCTGCACTTCAGATCCCTTGTCGTATGCGACACCCAATATACTCGACTCCTTATATATGGTATTCGGCAATGGTTTGTCTTTTGGTTTCAGAAGAAAGAAATTTTGCCCTGAAGGTTATCTTACCTTTACGCTTCTGCGCTTCCTCGCTTGCCTCGTAGAATAGGGACGCCATGATCGCCTCACTGCTATCGACTCTCCACAAGTTGAGGAGACTGCTGAGATGCAGCTCAGGAGAGGGGACAAAGTCGCAAGAGAGGACAATGAAATCGGACTATGAAAAGTCAGCATCAGTGCCTACGATCGTTGGTCAGCACACACCTGGATTCTAGGCGTAAGCTTCTTCAGGATTGATACAGTAGACGACGTCCCATCCGAGTCCGGATCATACGCATGGATTTTGACATTGAGGACCGGTGAAGTCGCTTGGAAATGATCCGTCAATGCACGTACATGAGACGGAGGGCAGACTATGAGCGCATCTACAGACCAAGGGATCAGAAGCCACCAAGTTCATAGACGAGCCGAGTCACCTTTGACGTCTGCCTCCTCCAGCCACGAAAGTCCGTACGATAAGAGAGGTTTATTCTTTACAGGAAGTAACGCCTTTGGTGTTGGCTCATCTCCGTGAGGCTCGATAAGTGGGCCCAGTCTAAACTTCTTTGGTTACGGCTCCTGCAAGATCAAGCCCAAACGACGCTCACTGAGAGCCAAATCCGGATAAAATGATTGCCTGAAACTCTGGTTTTGCTCGGGATCTGCTTTGCTGGCTAAGGATATCCATCGCGGTGGGTTCAGGGTGGTGGCCGGTACCAAGCGTCCTCCACCACCCAAAAGTTTCGACGAACGGTGCCATGTCATCTCTAAATGCCTCATCAAAGCGACCACAGACCCTGTCTTCTACATCAGGTCCTGTTGGTCAAAAACAAGTGTTGTCGATGGATGCCTGGGAGTCGACAATACTACTGGAAGGAAGACAGCTCGAAAGCATAACAGCATGGAAGAAACAGAGCGATGAAAACCCGCTTCCGCTCAAAGTAAGCTTGGTTCATTCGGTCTTTCACCTTACTGAAAAGGTTTCAGTTTGAAGAGGAGCACATAGCGCCTTCCTCGCGACCTGGGACGCCTTTACGTGCCCTCAAGCAACGAGAGGGGTCTATCAGACCGTCTTCACGGCCTGGAACACCAGTCCTCAACGCGACTGTCAATGCCCGTGGTCCGTACAGCTGCGTCTACCATGACATCGGACTCATCTTCCTAAAACCAAGGTAGACATTCACTGCACCCTGTAAACCCTATCCATACACCGCAGCAATTTCACGATTGGTTCGCTCTGATAGAACGATCGATACAACACTCTCAAGAATCACACTTTCGCACCCACCTTTCGCAACTAACAAGTCATCTGGATAAGTTTCAAGATCTCAATGAAACACTGGATCGTGTAGACGGTCAAGTGATACAGATGCTCAGTGCATGGAAAAGCGTTGAGGATGGAGGCAGAAGTCTCCAAGAGGCAAGTGAGCAACTCGTAGAAGAAAAGGTGGGTGTTCAAACTACAACCTAGACTCTCTAACAGTACCCAGAATCGTTTGGTTCAAGTGACTGATGCGATATCCGCTCGTCTGGCATACTTTCAAGAGCTTGAGCGTGCAACACGCATGCTCAATCATCCTGGAGACGATCTCGTTCTTCAACCGGATTTCTTGATCATGGTTGAGCGGGTAGACATCTGCCTCGAGTTCCTTCAAAGCCATGTGAGCCTTGTAAAAGGAAAATGTATTCTCTGACCACTTGATCAGCGCAATTACCGCGAGGCCGATATCTATATTCTACGGTTTCAGCAATGCCTGATTCGCGCAATGAGCCTGATCAAGATATTCTTTACGGCGTCCATTCGCACTCTCTCTTCAGAGGTCGAGCGACACCTTGCAGAAAAGGTACGCTCACCCAGAAGGCACATAAACGGAGCTTACGAAAATAGACCACGTCTACACTCTCCATTACCCATTCCCTGTACTCCAAATTCGCGTCCCTGGCGACACAAATGGCGCCCCTTCTTTCTGAGTTTGAACGACGCGCTATAATTCATCCATCAGACTTGCAAAGTCTCTTGGATGAATGCCAGGCGACGTATCTCGCGACACGGAAAACATTGCTTACCCCAAGGATTCTCACCGAGGTCAAAGGCTTGGACCCAGCACATAGCGAGATTGTAGAATTGGTGCGTCTTTTCACTGAAAACTCTTTTTATCTAATACTGCGCAGACAAGGACGGGCTGTGGCTACCTCCGACAACTTTGCGAGGATGAATTTACATTATATCGCCGATTCTTCTCATCGGGCGAGGAGAGGCTATAGTCAGTGCCCAGATGTCATTTTGGTGATGCGCTTATCATATCAGTCGCTATCTAGAGACGCTGTGCGACTTCCTCTACGACGATCTTCGACCACGAATCCTGCATGAGCAGCGGATCAACGTGCTTTGCGAAGTTTGCACAGTTCTACAGGCACTGATGGTAATCGGAAACGACATCCAAGGAGATGAAGAAGATGATGCGGAAGAACGCGAATCTGTAGTTCCAGAAACCCCGAAGGAGGTTACCGACTCGAGTCGGATGCAAAAACTGCATATAGCTCCGCTCCTGCAGATGATATTGCAAGATGCACAGACGCGGCTGGTTTTTAAAGCACAAGCCATCGTGCAATCGGATGTCCGTCTACATGTGCCCACTGAAGATGACCTTCGTTATCCAGAGAAACTTATACGTCAGTGCCTACGAGTCGACCATTTTGCGACTGACTTTGAGCAGAATATCGCACTGCTCGCGCTGAAAGACAGAAAGCAAGAGCTGACGCCGAGGAAGATGCCCAGTCCGATGATGATCAAGAAACAATAGAGCAGCGTCGAAGCTGGTATCCAAGTGTTGGTAAAGCAGCATGGATTATGGGCATGCTGCAGGAGTTTGTCAAGGTCTGGTTCAGTCGTCGACTGTGAACCCCTTGCTGAGTCATTCTAGCCTGCCATCTTTCGGGATATAGCACAAGAGGCCATCGCTTTCAGCCGAGAAGCTCTGGAAGTGGCATCGCAACGTATAGCGGCCAAGGACACTCCATCAGCAAAAGTCGACGCGAAGCTATTTCTAATTCACCATCTTCTCATTTTGAAAGACTTGACGACCGAGGTGGACTTCAATGCAGGAAAGCCGGATACCGAGCAACTGCCATCAAGTAAGTTCAACACCGTAACTCGCAACGCTCCTCATCACCCTGTAGCATCGGAGGGTATCTTTGGCATACCTTTGTTTCGACCTGTTGCTCTTCTTGGCGGCCTGGCGTCACTTGGAGTACCAAAGCTTTTGAGCGGAGCAGAGACGCCATTGGTGAGTCCCAACTCGCTCGTCACCGCTGCGTGTAACTTGTGCGACAGAACATCGATCAAGAGCTCAAATTAGTTTGCGAACGTCTAATTTCGGATTGCGTATCCGCTGCTACCCTCCCTGTTCGAACATTCGTCCAGCGTTCCTCTGCATACCTGAACACTTTCACCACTGCACCCCTAAACGAGAAAAGCGACCTGCTGTCACAAGATTTTGCGACCCCTGAACAAGCTCTCGAGACGAATCGGGAATTCAAGCGAGTTTGCGAGCAAGAGGTTCGCACTTGGATCTCGAGGGTGCGCTTATTCTTGGATGATGAACGCACGGTTTCTGCCCTGGTATCGCCCCTACAGCATCAAATAGTCGAAGAGTACGCTCTCTTCCGAGGGCTGTTGACAGGTCGATATGGTCAGGAGCTCCTCCTGGAGACTTACACCGAGATGGGACTGATGAACGAACTTCGCCAGTGGTTAGCGTAGACTGTATATTAGACAATATCGTTATCATACGCTGCTTCACTTTAAGAATTATGCCTAGTTTTAGGAGCCGAGCAAGCTTGGACCCCACCATGCCGCAGGGTTATTCGACTGAGCAGCTACAGGCCCTCATAGCGCAGCAATCTAACAGTCTCCCAGTCACACAGATATTCAAGAAACTAGAAAGAGTCGGAAAAGGTGCTTATGGCTCAGTCTACAAGGCCTTGCATACCGCGACCGGCACCGTAGTTGCGCTCAAAATCGTCGACTTGGATCAGCCAGACGACGATATCGACGATATTCAACGAGAGGTCGCGCTTTTAAGCGACTTGCATGGTGGAGAGAAGAATAATATCACCAGTTATTATGGGTGCTGGCTCGATGGACCGAGAGTTTGGATAGCAATGGACTTTGCCCAAGGAGGGAGTATACGAACCCTCGTACGTAATTATACGTATATTGCTGACTTGATTCTCAATTTGGATGAAGATGAAAGCGACCAAGGGCAATGTTATCGAAGAGCGCTACGCTGTCCTCATCATACGAGAAGTCCTTGTAGCGCTCTCATTCCTTCATCGAGCGAACGTGATCCATAGAGATCTCAAAGGTCAAAACTTTTCCTCAGTTGACATTTATCCAGTCTAAATTTCCGTAGCTGCAAATGTGCTCCTTACCGCAACTGGTCGGATTATGCTCTGCGATTTTGGAGTATCAGCAAGACTCGTGTATAATCATTCCAAGCGGACCACATTTGTTGGAACGCCGTACTGGATGGCCCCAGAGGTTATCACTCAGTCCCAGTACGACACCAAAGCAGACATTTGGAGTTTGGGCATCACCCTCTATGAAATGGTTACAGGGGCACCTCCTCATGCAAAGGAGGATCAAATGAGAGCCCTCCTGATCATTCCCAAGGCGAAGGCGCCCCGATTGCCCGACTCTGTAGGCACCAAAGAAATGAAAGACTTTGTTGCTACCGTTCTTCGAGAGGAGGCATCAGATGTAAGTACATCCACTCGGCTAAGCAGGGCTAATCGATACATAGAGACCCACAGCGGAAGAGTTGCAGCGCTCGAAATGGATCAAGGACGTTGCAAAAGCACGCCTGACTCCATTGCTGGAACTGATAAAGCAGTATCAATCCTGGATAGATCAGGGCGGTATACGGGCGAGTATAGCAGACTACGATGATCATGAGTACGTTGACGGCACTCTAAAAAAGATTGAAGCTGATATCCATAGTGAACTACCGGATCCTCATGAGATTAACCCATGGGAATTTGATACGATTCGCGGGCCCATTCCAGAAAGTCCTGGGGACTACACAGATAACGAGCAGACACCAGTAGACAAACCCAAGGCACCACTCCCGTCGTCCTTGCGAGGCCTCTTCAACCAAGGAGGAGCCGAGGAACAGTATTTTCCGCCTCAACGCAAGATAACGATTCCCAGCTTTGATCAAATGGACAGCTCTTTAAAACCAGTTCAGCTGCCAGACCTCGAGTACGATGACTCACCCTCACCCTCGTTCTTCGATTCTTCGAATATGAATACCGCACGCCCAGATGACTTTGCTTTCATGCGAAGAACGCCTGACCATTCTAGCAGTGCGAGTAAGGGTAGCTACAAAGACTTTGGCCGGAAACCTGTAGATCGACCTTCGATATCGGGCTCATATGCAGACTCGGATAAGGAGGTCTACAACACAAGTCGTCGGATTATCAACGACACCCCGCCGCGCGATGGTAGCCCTCAGCGTGCTCGCCGAAATGGCGGTTCGCCAGGAACCTTTATTTTCCCTCCGACGGCCGGTGCGAGGTCGTCTCCGGTATCGAACTCGTCTCCGACCTCCCACTCTCATGAGAGATCAACAACACCCTCCAGCGCTCACAGGCCGAGGGCCTCCGTTGAGGAAACCCCCTTGGTGCCGTCAATCAATGCACCCCAACCCCTTGCTCGAACAACGAGTGCGACACCATACATCCCGCCAGATAATTCAGGCTTTGTTCGGCCACCTCCACCGAGACCCTCTCCTGCGCGGCAGCAATCAGCTAGCGTACTTGACCCGCCCCATCGAACCCGTCCTAGCCGTAGTGCAAGTACAAGCACCCGAGAGGATGTTCCCCTTAATTCAAATCTGATGGTACCAAAGCCATCTGGTCTACGCGGCGCTTTAAATGTAAGAGCACTTCCGCGTACGTTTGCAATTGCTGACGAAGGCCAAGCTCTCCTACATTCCCGATAGCGGACTTGCCCTTGACATGCTACCTCCCTCACCGTCCGCAATTTCTCCAATGCATCGTCAATTTGTTGGGACACCCGGACCGGCCTCGGACCACTCATTTAATCACTCTCATGAGAATGCGGATACATCGAACTCACGCTTTGGAGACGATGGTCTCTCTCGCAATACCAGTCAATCACCGCCAGATATGTCGACTGGTGGTATTCGGGGCCCCATTATTCGGCCACTTAATTACAGTCTACTGGGCAGCTCCGAAGCCGTTCATGCGGAGTTAGCGCAAACAGTCGGTGACCTCGCCCAGTGGCTGGAGGTGATCGACCAAGGATTGACGAACATTCTAAATCCTCCGCCTGCTGTAGATCTTTCAGACGACTTTGTGGAACAGTATGCATATGAAGGGGCCGCTATCCAAACCGAATAACCGATCACGCAATCTCGCGTATTCATCTTCACATTGGCTATCTGACTGTATCAATATTACCAACGACCGTCGCTTCTGGAAATGATGCGACATGGTAAGCTCGTCTAGATGTATTTATTATCTTGTAGATACTTCACAATAATCTCCACGCTCTCCGCGACGTCTTGTTGGTCCGTTCTGGAAAGCTTGGCATCAAGATTGTGCTGTCGGTTACAAGGAATGCGTACCGTATGTGAATCTCTGGTGTTTCCGGTGCCTCGTACGGTGCGGAGATGCCAGTAAATTCTGCAGGGTTTCATCTGGAGAACGAGATGCCACGCCGATTCACCCACCTTTGATGATGCCTTCTCTTGCTTTCTTATACAGACCTTTGGGATCTCGCTTTTCGACCGTTTCAAGAGGTGCGTCGATGAATACTTCAACAAATGGGATATTCCCAGCTGCATGAAGATCACGAGCCACGGCACGATCGGCTTTGTACGGGGATATAAACGCGGTGATTGTTATCGCGGCTGCATCAGAGAAAAGTTTGGCGACCTGACGCGCCGAGAATTCAGCTGTGGCGATCACGCCATAGTGTCGGAATTGCTTGCCTCTCCAATCCTCCTGATGTTCTCGTTTCTGTCCTTTTCGCTGAATCCAAGATCCTTGTTGAGTCCAAACCGGATGTTGTCACCGTCCAGACGATATGTAAACTTCTTGAGGTGAAGGAGATGCTGCTCGAGTGCACAGGCAATGGTGGACTGCGCGCGGAAAGTAAGGATATGATCTGCATAAATTATCATAGCTTGACCTTTCCACTAGCACTCAGCCCCGTGAGCCAGATGGTCAACCCTTCTGACCGAGCAACTGGCTGCGCTCTTCAGACGATACCGATCCTGCAAATCCGTTAGCAGACGAGTAATTACTCGATATAACGAGCACTACCAGCATGAAAAGTAATATTGGTAGCCATTCAAAAATTCCGAGAGGGGGAGACCGAGAGCCAAGGTGGTAGTTTGTTTGGTTCGGTTCCCTTACTGGCGTCCTCCGCGGAGAACAATGAGCATGCAGGATTCGATGGACATTGACACTCCGGTACCTTTGGTACCAATAAAGTATGTCAATAACCGGGTTCAATTCACAATTCGTCGTTCGTCGTCGGCGCCAGACTTGGGCAAGAAAACCAGAGAAGATTATCATTCCAAGAAGACTGGCTATATCTACGAAAGTGCAATGCTTGCTCATGTTCATCCAACGGAGGATCATCCCGAGCGACCGGCGCGTATCCTGGTTATCTTCCAGGAGATGCAGGCAGAAGGCTTAATAACTAGAGCAAGATCCATACCTTTCAACCCAGTACTACGGAGAGAGGCTTTGCTGGTGCATTCAGAGGATCACTGGAACAAGGTCGAGCAAATTGCCCGTGAGCCTGTCGCAACGTTCCATTGGCACATACTAACAGTTGATTGTAGAGATGACAAGGGAAAACATCTTGGAATCGGTGGCATACTATGAGGGTCTCTCGTTATACGTTTCACCAGCAACGACACATGCAGCCAAGTTGAGCTGTGGAGGCGTCATCGAAGCTTGTAGAGCTGTTGCAAGTGGCACTATAAGGAATTGTTTCGCTATCGTCCGACCTCCTGGCCACCATGCGGAACCAGACGAACATATGGGCTTTTGCTTCTTTAACAACTGCGCAGTTGCAGCACGAGCCATGCAGGTAGAGAGGAAAGCAAAAAAGGTTCTCATTCTTGACTGGTGAGTCCAAAATAATGTCAAATCGAGTATGTGATCTAAAGTATGTAGGGATGTGCATCACGGTGGGCTCATCTCTCGCTTAATTTCTGCTCTGATCCAAGGTTAAGGAAATGGGACACAAAAGGCATTCCTCGATGATCCCACGGTCCTCTACATCTCCCTTCATCGATTTGATATTTACCCGGGTGGCCAATTTGGTGCCGTGACATCCTGTGGTGAAGGACCAGGGCTAGGATAGTGGGTATGCACTATTCCAATGATTTATCCTCACGTCCCGAGAAGCTCTGTCAACATTGCTTGGCCAGGAGGTGGAATGGGTGACGCAGATTACCTGTACGCCTTTCAAAAGGTCGTCATGCCGATAGCGGTCGAGTTTGCGCCTGATTTGGTCATTGGTACGCAGTTATTTATCTTTAGTGGTCATTATCATAACCTTATGTCAGTCTCTGCTGGGTTTGACGCTGCACGAGGGGATGACCTAGGAGAGTGCGATGTGACTCCAGCGGGATATGCTCACATGACCCATATGCTGTCGTCTCTCGCAAACGGAAAGCTCGTGGTTGCACTGGAGGTGGGTACAGGCCGAAACTTGGGTCCCGTTAAATCTCTATAGGGTGGTTACAACCTCGACTCCATTCGAAATTCTGCAGTCGCCGTTATGAGGGTGCTAATGGGAGAGGCCCCGCCGTACTTGCTTCCTATGGTGGCCAGCAAGGCCGCGACCGAAACCGTCTATCAAACTGCAAGAGTTCACGCACGCTATTGGAATAATCTTAATGCTCCGCCGCTGGATGCGCGTGCAATCGAGGATTCTCCTATATCAACTGATATTCCGAGTTAGTCACAAGGCATCGTAGTGACATGTCTGACTCTCCCTATAGCGCTACTGAAGAATATCGGGCTCGACAGCTTTATACACATTGCGAACTCTATCGAATTCCAATCGCCGACCAGGAATTGAAAAGCTCATTTGAGGGATTGGCATTATGCAGGTACACATAACCTTCAGACCGCTCCGAAGAATGATGCTAAAAGGGATCAAGCAACGATATTATGGCCGCAAGGAAGATGATATTCCTCATACATAACTTGTAGGTGATATCTTCTTACTAATACTGCCAATGACGCGGGTTACACAGTGGCGACTTGCACATCGAGACTTTGGGCGAGGCATCTTGTGATATCGATCTCGAGAAGAGCTACATTGTAAGCCTTACATGCCAAGGTGACAAAAATCTAAGGTCTAGCAGATGGATGCGAGCGAACAACTAGTGCAATGGGCTCGGAGGAGTGGTTTTAGCTTCATTGATCTCAACGTCTTCTTCAACGCATCAGCTTATCTTGCATCATCAAAGGAAAGCAGGGTGTGTCATATCTCAGTAGATGGACTGAACTCACCACCGCCGACAGAGAGAAGCAATCGCGCTGCAGCGAAAAATGATCACCTACATTTGGGATAACTATGTCGAGTGGGTGGCTGATCATGTGCTTAGAGAAAAATCTGATACTGGTAGGCTGTTGGATGACGACTGCAAGGTGTACTTGGTAGCGTATGCCGGAGCATCCTACCCTCTATCTGAGCTCTTCCGGTCCAGAGGTGAATGGCTAATATGAGTGCCCAGCTCCTCTTACTCGATGGGTAGATCTCACTAAACGGCTGGCTGGAGTCGTTCAGATTGTTGGGCAATCGCAAGAACCGGCCACTCTCAAACACCATTCCGAAGCATATGACTGGTTTGTCAAGGTCAGTGACGGCCATCATTTTCAATCTGCCGGCTCACCTTCTATAGAATAGCGTAATTTACACTGGCTTCGACCCGTCAGACATGGCGACCTTTTCCCAGAGAGCTGGAATTGGTAGGGCGCAGTCGTTGAGTTCAAATGGTGGATCGATACGAGGCGCTTCGGTGATGCAAAAGTGCATCCCTCACTTGGACGAACTCATCAAGTCAGGTCGACCATTCGGAGCGCCCGTGCCAGATGCCGGCGTTGCAGATCTCTCAGGGCTCTCTAATGGGGCCGCAATGTACCATATTGGATAAATGACCGTTTTCCGACGTAGTGTCATGTCTAATCTATCGTATTGTCCTAGTACGTTCTATCTACAGAATGTCCACCAGACCTTTGGCTCCTGACACAATGGCGACGACTTTGCTGCTGAGATCAAAGACATCTCCACCTTTCCATGCAACTAGATCCGGCTGTGTCTGAACATCGACACCTAGAAGCGTTTCAAGATTGGTGGACACGAGGCCTAATGCAGTCTCCTTGTCCAAGTTTCCGCCCGCCTCAATAGCAGCCCACGCGGCGTCAAACCATAAATTGCGTGCCTGCCAGCTTTCCTCGATACCAAGCCCAACGGTAACGTTGTGAGCGAGCAGACGTGTGACTTGTCCCTCGCTGGAAAGCGGTAGGCCAGGCAAAATGTCCTTGCCTGGCCAATTTGTTGGGAAAGGTCGTGGTCTAGTCAGAATGACCCCGACCCCTGCTTGACCCAGTTCCTCTGCTAGGTGATGTGCTTCTGCTCCTCCTGCAATAGTGAGCTTGATTTTCGCGTCAACAGATTGAGCGAGCTCGTCGATAAGATCCAATAGCGTAGCGATAACATCTGAGTTTTGGGTATGTGCCACGAGCCGTATCTTCCCCTCCGCAGCTTTGGAGAAGTAGTCACCTATGGGACCCTCTCCGTTACCTGAAAGAAGGTCTCGCAGTAAGCCGATCTGAGTTGATACGCTGGGCTGTTTGCTCGAGTCGACAATAGTGACGTGAAGCGCCGCAATATCCTTGACAATAGCGCCCTTTGCGAGCCTGCTGACACTTCCAGTGCTGAAAGCGACGCTTAGACCGCCAAGAAATCCAGAGTGGACTGGAGCTACGACCGCCTTGGTTACTCCATTTCTAAACGCCAGACTGCAAACTTGTGAGTAACATATAATCAGTACCGAAATGTACTCACAGGGTATCTCTGCCCCGGAATTGAAGGCCATCCACAGCTTTGGGGAGGAATCCAGACCCAAGAATGGAAGGAACGGGTTGTTTCAATGGCGCAAAGCCCACGCCATCCTTGGTTGATGCTTCCTGGTCGATTTCTACGAGACCAATCGGTGCACCAAAAGTAAGCATTCCGGGTGCCAGCACTCCGTCTTCGAGGTCTATTTTCTCTATTTTCGGATCATCCATGAACTGCCCGCATTGCGTTTCCAAGCCTTTGCAAACGATATGGCCATCGACTACCACCACCGTTCCCAGCTGTCCGTTCTCAGTAACGAACTGCGACCGAATGGCGGTGTCTTTCTCATAGATCTTGCGAACGTTCAGGAATGCGAGAGATTTGGTCTCCTTTGAGGGAAGTAGAGGCGGAAGGCCATCGTATTCGAGCGCTGCCTCGGCCTCTTTGTCAAAATTGGGAACTTTCGGCTCGACTTGAAAACCGCTAGGCTTCTCGGTAGTATATGGCTTCTCTAGTTGCGGAATTCCGTCGATGAACACTTGCTGCGAAACAGTCAGACAGTATTCTCAGTTGGGTCTTGAATTACCTTTGGTGTCGCACCAAGTGCAAGTGGATGTGAGTCCCAAATGACGATATCTGTGATGTTAAGCAAGTTAAATTACTAAGTTTACGACCTACCAGCATCATATCCGGCTTTGACATATCCTAAACGATGACCAAAGCCTTGTAGTTCGGCTGGAGTGGTTGTGACAGAGGCAAGAGCGAGGTCGTGATCTAAACCATAGTAATGCGCTTGCTGAGCTTCGTAGAGCAAGAATCGGCTGTCCAGTACGGGATGATCACTCTATACGTCGTGAATACAAGTCACACAACCACCAAAATGAGATAATACCTTCATGACCACTTGAAAGCCAGCATCCGACAGGATACGCGGTGCGAATTCTGAGCCTCGGTAGGCTTCTCGTTTGTATCTAGCAAGACTGAGTACGTTTACTCGAACTGTAGAGAGTCAGTCCCACCTTCCGTTAGTCGCAAATAGGGCGATTGCGGGCGGCTTTCCGTACATCTTCTTGAGTAAGTCGGGAACCAGGTAAGCCTCATGGGCGTGATGGAAAGCTAAAATCCTATGAGATGCAGGAGCGTAATGACGATATAGGACTTACCAACGATGGAGAATTTGAATTCATTTGTCAACTAGAGGCCATGTGTGAACGCAAGAAAAGCAAAGTGGGTGACACTGACCCTGATTTGCTGATCAAAGTCCACTGCCTCATAACAATGGTTGTTGACCTTGACCTTTCCGCGTAAAACGTCCACAAGTGCTTCCCATTGGAGGCTATAAGGAAAATCATTAGGCACATCATTCCACAAGCCAGCTTCAATCTTTTCGCAGTATTCGTCTTGCTTCTTCTTGATCTTGCGAGCCTCATTATACGCCTGTCGAAAGCTCCACTGTGTATCCATGCGAGAGTACCCATAGACTCGTGACGGGTTCTCACCGCATGCATGTCTGTCCAATCGTGAGAAACGGGGCTTATGTGTCAGCTCACATACTTCATATGCCTCCAACGGTGCGGGAGGAGCGGGTCTGAGGCAGACGAATTCATCGTAAAGGGTGGCTCTAGGAGCATTGATGAAGGCGAGCGCTCAGCAGTTGAACGTAATTTGATAACATACGCCTGGCCACCTATCAATTGGTAAGCTATTATCAATAAAACAGTCACTTAGTCACCAATAGCATCTGCAGAGCCGGGAAGGATAAGGGATGTAGTCACTCCGCCTGCGATGGAAAGGCGGTACTGCATTGTGTCAGAACGGCTATCGAAATTTCAGGGTACTCACAGAGTCGTCGTGCGTGTTCAGGCCGTCGAGGGATCGTAACCAAGGATTGATTGGTCCGACCAAAGAGTTTCCATCTTGTGCACCACGTAGCTCGGGGGACGAGTAGACACCAATGTGACTATGCATATCGAATATTCCTGGCGTCACCCATGATCCGTTTGCATTGATCACGTCATATTTCTTAGGAAGATCACCCGCGACCACATGGCCGACTTTGACAATCAGACCCCTATGTTATGTTGTCAGTCACGACTCGAGTAGAAGCCTAGGACTAGCCTATCGATAAGAATATCTGCAGACTCGTATGTTCCTTCACTACGACCGACCCAAACAGTCGCATTGACGATAAGTGTTGCTCGTGTTCCAGGCACCCAGCGGTCAGATTCTGTCCGTTTAGAGAAGTCACTTGGAGGTCCCGGAATGAGCTTTATGTCTGCACACGTCTGCAGCAATTGCTCTGCGTGCAAGGGACGTCGATGCAGGTTGACATGGTTGAAAGAGGGTCGAAAGACGTAGAGTGACGCGAAGAAGAACAAGGAGATGCAGATCATAGATATCTTGGCGCGTTCATGACCCCTAAGATCTAGTATTCGCGCCTTGGCTGAACCCATGACGGTGGTCGAAGGGCAAGGTTCATCTCGACTCCGACGTCTATGGCCGCCCGCCCAAAGCCCCCTGTTGTCCAGCCAGGAGTCAGCTCTATCCTCGTGAACCCAGTCCAGGTCAGTTTGTCGCATGCGTAGAGACCGTCAAGAAGTAATCTGTAATGCGCGCAGAGAGGAAATCCGCTGCTCTCGCACATTCGACATGTTGCATACCAGTTTGCAGAGATTGCCCCAGACTACCAAGTTGGAAGCACAACATGTGTTTTGTTCCTGAGGTCAGTGGCGACGCTTGATAAGATTCGACGCTAACGCTTTGCAGCTTGAAATATCATCGCCTGCATCCAGAATACATACATGGACGAATAGAAAAGATCCAAGGCTTATATGGACTGCGCATCTTGCTTCTTGTTTGCGACGTAGTAAGTATTCCAGTGACCCTTGATGCATCTTACGCGCTGCCTCCAAGACAGAACACCAGGATTATATCCGAGAGTTAACGAGAATATGTCTGATCAACAACCTGACTATCATGGTTGCATGGACGTAAGTGCACCCATCAGGGCACACGCTTGATTGACCCAGGTCAAGGCTTGAAGAAGCGGGTGTCTATCTGTCAACTTACAAGCTATTCGAACACAAACCGCCAGATCTCATCAAGGAGAGAGTTGACAATGTGAGCCTCCCAGGTTCTTCGATTTCTTTGCTCACCGAATGCAAGGACTACGACTCACGCATGCGCGCTGCATTTACATCAATTAAAGGGGTCAATAAGACAGATGTGATGACCCTGAAGTCCAACTTTGGGGTATGCCCTTCGTCGAAGTTGTGATGGTGACTAACTTCTCACTAGTCATTTTCGAATATCGCACACGCGACGCCTCAGCAGCTGCTCGACTGCCCAGGATTTGGTGCACTCAAAGTCAGGCGACTGAAGGATGCTATGGAGAAGCCTTTCAAACCAACCGTTTCTAAGACTCTGCGACCGGCATTGGAAGATGAGCGCCGACAGTCAAAAGCGCGCGAACCAAGTCCTGATTGGCCAGAGTTGGATATCGAACTGGATCTGAACTAGGCCGCAAGGCGTCTCTTTGCTCCGTGCCCGACGGAGCTGCTGCTTATCAAATGCAATACAAGCTTGTTCGTCACGGAGTATGGCTGCCGATTTGAGCGCTGTTGACCAATCTATGTTGATTCTGGGGACATAAAAACCACAGTAATTTGGCATGCCTAGTCGAAAACATCTTCTTTCCCCAAGCCCTCGCACATATCATGTCCAAAGCAAAGGAAGTCATTAAGGCTCGTCAAGTCACTGATGGTATTTGGATCTTTTCCAGGTAAGCACATTGGCCGTTGTCAATGCCGACATTGACGGTATCTACTAGGCCATTCACTCGCTTCCATGTTTTGCCGCTTGGAGGCCGCTCAGTCGCCGTCAGACTCTCAAATGGAAACGTTTGGGTGCTCGCATCCACTCCTCCAACTGAGGAGACAAAACAGCAGATTGATAGCCTAGGAACTGTCGCTTATATATGTTCCCCTAACCTGGACCACCACTGGTTCCTCGGTAAGTGGAGCAATCTTCTTATGGAAGCGACTAAATCTATCTTAGGACACTTCAAAGAGGCTTACCCAAATGCAAAGCTGTACGGACCGAAGCCTTTGGGAGAGAAGCGGAAAGATCTGAGCTTCGACGGCTGTAAGCGGCTAATTGCACGAATTATCCGTAATATTGACGACTTCGTAGTCTTCCTCAAGGAGAAAGAGGCACCCTTCGATTTCGAAGAGGAAATTACTGTCATGCAAGTGGTTTCAGCTTCGTTACTACAAATATCTAACCTATTCATCCACAGTCCATTTGAAGGCACGGCGTTGAGTGACGTCGCATTTTACCACAGGGCATCGAAGACACTCATCGTTGGCGACCTCGTTTACAATCTTCCCAATACCGAATCGATGCCTAGTGCATTTGGCTTCCTCTTCAAGACATTCTCCCCCGGCGGTGCCATGCACAAAAAGTTGATCGCTGGCTCCGTTCAGGACCGTGACTCTGTCGTTGCTGCAGCGAAACAAGTAGATGGCTTGGACATTCAACGGATCATTCCGCTGCACGGTGTAAGCCCTATTTCTAAACATCAGGCAGATCCTGACCTTAACTTAGGACGTGATAGAAGCAGACGCCCATGCAAAATGGAAGCTGGCTTATCAGGAGCTGCTCTAGTTTCGGCAATAGGATATGTATACCTAATGGTTGAATCGTAGCTAAATATTGTACGCAAATCTTATGCAGAATCCATGTTTGTTTAATGCTTCAGTTGTCAGAATATAAAGCGCGAATAAATGCCAACGTTCGTCTATATAGGTTGATCGAGACATGTATACAGGAAGTCTAATACTTGAGAGTAGGATTATGCTGGCGGTAGGAAAAGACCCCAAGTAACAAGACTTGTAACTCCCCATAGAATGCTCCAAGCTGCATACCATTTGGCAACCTTTGGGTGTTCCACCCAGAGCCTTGCAACAGCCCAAGACATAAAGGGCATTGAAGAGGATACCCGAAGGATAATCTGGACATGCGAGGCAAATAAGATGATGCCGGAGAAGAGGAGTGCGTGAATGGCGTGTGGTGTGATTCCCGGAGCCAAGAGTGTCACATCACTCGCAACTGGCTCGGAGTAAGAAGGGGGTTCTAGCCAAATGCCAGAATTGTATGCGACGACGTGCAAGTCTGCGAGCCCCCTACGAGTCATATGTGTCCAGCCTGCCCATGTTATCACAGCGAGGGGGGGAAACGCGATAACAAAATTGGGGATCTGAGCGACTGTCCAGTATTTGAAGACTCCGACGTTCCAATACTTTGCTTGAACATGGTTATATATGGAGGGAAGTTGACCACCGCACCAGAGCTGTGGAGAAGGTCCTTCACAAAATTGAGAATATCCTGAATACAGGTGAGCAAGAAATGGAGTGGCAATGAGTCCCGTTAGAATCGTTGCTTTGACAATGGAGAGCAAACTAGGCGTTGACTGAATATATGAGTATGAGACTATATCAACAGAGAGTTACTTACATGCTGCCGGAAGGGTATACATACCAGGCCCCAGACCACGAAACCAGCAAACAAAATGCCGTTGGAACGGAAGAGACCGGCGATGGCAAAATATAGCGCCGCTCGATTCCATTCGCGACGAGTGGAGTGCAGTATACCTAGGGACATAAGTATTTTGGCCGTTTCAAGCTAGATACAGACCTCGAAAGGTGAGAAAGGCAAAGAAGGGCTCGGCATAAGGGGCGTGCAGGAGCGTAGCAGGACTTGTGGTGAGAATAGAGCATGCTGTCGCGAGCATAGCTACTTGCTGGGATCCTGTTTCGAGCAATGTAATCTCGTACAAAGTGAAAAGGGTTGAACACCCTGCGACGAGGAACCAACTACCCCAGAACATCCCACTACTGAGACTCTCACCCAGTATCAGAGAGGATGCCCTCATGATAGCTGGACCACCGGGGAGAAAGGCGTAGAGATGTTCGTAAACATAGCCGTGCCGAGCAATTTCATAAAAGTGAAAGATGTCCCATCGTAGTGTAGTTGATATAAACTTGTCAAAGATGGATTGGGTTGCAGCTCTTGGCCAGATAACCAGGTGGGACGCGTCAAACGGCGTCGCGTAGGTGCAGAAGAAGAGAATGACAATGCTGCATATTTTGTAAAGAATCGCAGAAGTCAAGAGTTTCTTCAAATTTGATGTCGAAGGACTCGGACTTTTGCTCTGTGTAGAAGTCGGCGTCATGGCCTGAACTGGTGTTTGTCTCTACCACCCCGGCATGGCCTCGAACACCGATGCTAGTAATGAACAAAATGAGGGCTCGGATCTTATTACATCACCTTGGGGAGTCGTAGAATCAGATCCTTGTGCGCTGCTTCTCCCTTTTGCACCCAAACGCCGACCTTTGCAGATGTTTTTACCTCTATGATTCAAAGACTGGGCGCATTAGATCTCCAGACAGAAGAATTAATGTCTCTTGACGCCTTAGAAACGACGACCAGGTCGGAATGAACCCATGCAATAACGCCAGCTTGCTGAATCCTATAGTCCACCGCTTGGCCTAATACTGTGCTTCACGTGGACAGAAGACTCTTATAACTGGGAAGACTACGATAACGAGGATCTAGATCCATCTGCTCTTCCATGGTTTGCCACACAGCTCAGGTTTCCATTCACCTTTCTCTCGCATCCTTTGCGTTGAACATTGTCCAGTCACAACTCCTGTGCAACCCTGGCCATCCTCAATGTTCTTTTGAACTGTGATACAGATCTTGGACCAATGCTCTCCCAGCTAAAGGAGTTTTCGGGTGATATGGAGCCTGTGGTGAGTACGACCTTGCTGTGTAGCAGCCCATTGAATCTCCCCCAGATGCGTGGTCTTTGTATCACAAGCTCAAAGGAGCTACGTGATATCCATAATTCCTTTTCTCGGTGCGTTCAATTCTGGTCATTCGGGCCCTCCTCATGTTCGAAAGACCTGCGGATATTCGAGCTAGCCTCGTCAAGACTGTTGAAGAAGTGCTCGATCACCACAAATCTCAGTCAATCACTAAGCGGAAAGGCAAGAAAAAGAAGGAAAGATACGTCGTCGAGTCACCCGATGCATACCACTTTCTTTCCTATGTGCCACACGGTACTCGAGTCTGGGAGATGGACGGACTGAAGCGTGCCCCTCTTGAGTGTGCAGAGTTGGATAACCCCGGCGACTTATGGACTCTGGCAGTGCTTCCAGCTCTACGAAGTCGTATAGAGGCACTTTCAAAGTCGGGGACATACGATTCACTCTTCTTGCCATCAAGCCATCAGCCTACACTGTCGCAATCGAAGAATTCGAGCTCGTGAAGCGACAAATCGGTGCCCTTGAACGCCGCCTCGTACAAACTCACGGTGAACACTGGATTCAAATGGTATTTGCTCCGATTTGCATATCTTGATGTCTCACAATTATGAGGTCGCACCGTCCGCTATGTTTTCGAGGCAAACTGCCTTTTCCAGAGCATGGAACCCTCGAATCAGGGTTGGTTTCGCATCCCGAGCAAATGATGCCGCCATGCAGATCTTGAAAATGAGCCCTGAGACCTTGCTTGATGAGTGGGCAGGCGCCATCGGCCGATTAAAATCTTGGGAGTCCAATGTCCAGGAAGTTATCGACCGAGATATGGTTGAGACAGTAAGTGCGAGGTAGTTTCTGACTAGTACTATCGACTCAGGGGCCTTCAGACGGAGCATATTAGCAGGACGCACGACTATGATCCCTTCATTCAACAATACGTATCAGTAGTGTACAATATGGGGATTCTTCAAGATCTTCTCGAGGTGGATGGACTTGGTCGCCCTCGCCAATCAACGGCCTAGATGGTTGACAGACTATCCCAACCTCATTCTTGGAGTTGATCCATCGAAGCAGTCGCATGCATCTGGAAGAAGAGAGAACTGGAATGCGACATGATTCGTATTGCTAGAGCCATCACTGGAAGAAGTCCGGCTCAGCGTCGTCACCCTGCCACCTATCCCAAAAGAGACCGATACGGCCACTTTGATGATGCCGAAGTTCTTTTCACGGGTATCAAAGATCTGTGTACTGTTTTTCCTACCTTTTTGCTTCTAACAGATACGATGCAAACACGCCGTCGGACCTTGTCTGAACCCACGATCATAATGCTCTTGCATCTGTTTCTCGCCCTCTCCGTCAGTACTCTGGTGAAAGGGACTCTGCAGATTATACCTGGTGCTACCTGGACCGCCAAAGGCTCTAACGCGCACATCCAAGCTCACGGAGGAAGCATTACCAAGGTCGGAAATGTCTATTATCTCAGTCAGTCACTGGATACTTTAAATGATCTGTCTGACCCTTGATAGTTGGGGAAAATAAACTAAATGCTCGTCCCATCTCAGCCTTCACCCAAGGCGACTAACCATTGAGTAGGGGAGCGCTTTCCAATCCATTCGCTGCTACACTTCCACGGACTTAGTCCAGTGGACCTTCTATAATAATCTTTTGACGCTACAGAGCAGGTATGTCAGTAGCCATACCCTCCATGCTACTGAAGATTGGTAGTGGCGACTTAGGTCCTAACCGTGTAGTCGAACGTCCCAAGGTCATTCAAAACTCGTCTGGGAAATGGGTGATGTGGATGCATATTGACGATTCTTCGTACGGCGAAGCCAAGGTTGGAGTTGCAACCTCCGACTCGATCTGTGGAACGTATTCGTACCAACGCTCCTTCCAACCATTCGGGAGACAATCACGCGATATGGGCTTGTTCAAGGACACGGATGGCTCTGGCTATCTCCTCACAGAAGATGTAAGTGCAAAATGGTAGGCAATGCCACTGTATGACTGAAGCAGATCATAGCGTCAAAGCGGCTTGCGTATCATTAAATTAACGAGCGATTTTATGAACGTCGCATCTGACACGTACCTGTTTCCCTCCCGTTACGAGGCTCCTGCGATGATCAAAGTCAACGGACGCTACTTCATGTTCGCTTCTCAGTTGACAGGTAGGCATCAATGCCGATTTCATGGTATCCTATCCACGATCCTATAGGATGGGACACGAATGACAACAAGTATACAACATCGACGTCTCTGACTGGTGGATGGTCCTCTTGGGCGGTGAGTTCCCGAGGGAGCTCCTCAGCTTGCATCTTTAACAGCAGTTAGAATTTTGCCCCTGCAGGAGAAAGAACCTACGACTCTCAGACGACGTTTATTCTTCAGGTTGGGTCCAATTATATGTACATGGGAGACCGCTGGTTCTCCTCCAACCTCATGCGAAGTTCGTACATCTGGCTCCCCCTTACCATCAACGGCTCTTCAGCATCCATTACGTGGTACATCAACTGGATCATCGACCCCAGCTCTGGTTCTGCACGTGTTGGGCCGTCTGAGACGTCTTACGAGGGTGAGGCGGCTTCGATGTCTGGTGGGGCAAAGTCTGTTTCCTGCAGTGGATGCTCTGGCTCTTCTGCCGCTGGCTACATTGGTGCAACCAGTGGATCCGGGGGCACGATTAGATGGTCTTCCGTCTCAAGTACTGCCTCTACACTAACGACCTTGCGTTTCAAGCACCAGAACGGCGATGCAAAGCAGCGTTTTGCCGTAGTCACGGTTAATGGCCAGAGTCAAACTGTCGCATTCCTTCCATCCACCGATGGAAACACTCCAGCCTCCTCGGCTGTGACGGTCTCGCTCAACTCAGGGTGTGTTTCGCTGGTATACTGTCTCTCGCACTGATGATCATTCTTTAGATCAAGCAATGTGATCACAGTCTCCGGGACAGGAAGTGGCTGGGGTCCTGATATAGATCGAGTCATGGTCCCGGTATCATGATTGACGGCGTTGCATCCTCACATATAGAGTACATTGCAAAGTTACACTAGGTCCTGCGGAGCTTCGTTGGATGTGATACCCGTAAGAGGTGTCTGCGCTGCCCTTTCTACGCCTCTTCTAAACTGCTTCTCGATCTTCTCAAGTCTGGCCTTCTTTACTTGCTCACTTTCCCCGTTATCTTCCGACTGGGATCTCTCCGTCATGAAGGAGACAATAAAGTCTCGAGAACTCTCTTCTGAGATTTCGGCATGAGCTCGTTCACCCCACCGCCATTCAAAGTCTGCTGCCTCTTCTGGATTCTCTTTGCTGACGCCGCTACGACCTCGCTTGGCCGTTTTTTGACCGGTGGTATTCCCGACTCTTACTCGGTCCAGATATCCTTGCCTGATGAGGGTCGTGAGGTAGGTGTCCAGTGGAATCGTCTTGGCTGCTGTCGAGATACCGACTTCAATCCCGGTTGAACCCAAAAGTCGGAGCTTTTGAGATAAGACCGTAACCTCGCTACCAAACCTCAGAGAATTGCTCATGCTGAAGAAACTACTTACGTTCCGGAAGGGTCTTGCCGTTGACCAGGATAAGCGACAGAATGACGCATAGAACCCCGTATGCAGGAACCTGATCAGAGGTTTGCCACGCGAGAATGCTCCCACTCGGTCGCGCATTCTCTATTATTAAATCCTCTTCCTCCTGTTCCTGTATTTCTCGATCTGGCATGCACGCGAGTTGAATGAGTTCAGGTTCTAGGATGCTCCGAACTATATATTGTTTTGTAGACGCTAAAGACTGCTCAATCGCTCTGACAGCGTAGTGGAAAAGAGTACAAACCTTTCTTCCTCACATCATCGTCTCCTCTAGCCACAGCTCCAAGCAAGTTCTTTTCTCTCTCCGCTTTCGGCACGAGTTCGACGATTTCGTAGCCGAGTGCCGCCTTTAGACGTCTATTCGCTCGCGCTAGGACTTCAGGAAATGACTTGCTGTTCCCTCCCATGACTGTCAAAGCAAATTAAGTCACCTTGAGTAGCCTAAAGGTGAAAATCTGACCCTGCTTGTTGATATCTTCTCGCTTGAGGATTTGTCTGCGGTACTCGGTGAAGAGAGCCAGTCGGCAGAGCTCGTCGGCTTTTCTTTCGATCTCCTATGACTATTTAATCAAACCCGAATCATACAGGATACAATGTTCCTTACCGCTGGTCCTAGAACACTTCCTGCGCCACCACCTTTGCGACCGGGTTTTGTTCCTCTCTCCCGTGGAGCATCATCATCGTCTGCTTCATCTACATCCATAACTTGCTCCTCAAAATTTTCTTCCTCTTCCTCTTCGTCCCGTCTTGATGCTCTCGCTCTCCTAGGCATAATGAAGTAGGGGTACAAGTCACGAGCATTCGTGACAGGAGCAGTTTTCAGCTACAATAGAGCTCGATTCACTTCAGGGCATTCTATACGGATACATTTAGAGCCATCGTTGAACAACAACACTGTTCTTCAGACCCGCCGCTTCAATAGTCTGCGTTTCGTCATCAAGAACTTTGACCGGAAGCGTCGTTTGGATAGTGTATGGTCTAGTCGATGTACCGGGGCGAGAGCTGTGGAGAATGAGAAACAATCTCACGACGAGAGTGATCGACGTACGCGTTGATAAAGTTGCGAATATCTGCAATGGTATGGGTCAGGTTCATCCTACTAACGATCCTAAATAGGATATTCAATACAAGGACGCTAGTTTGTTGGTGAGCGCTCACCTCGTGCCATCAGCCAAGCGGATTTGGATGCTCGTCATTGGTGCAGTCAAGTCGACTTCAAAGCTGCTTGGTGGTGCAGCTGCAGAGCTCGAGGCTGTTGCTGTAGATGTAGAGGCCGCAGCAGCAGCTGGTTGCGCGGCAGGTGGGACTGGGCTACCCAGGCGGTTTCCGGAGCCGGCAAAGGGACCCGGGGGTGGCGGTACGTAGTCTTCATCAAGTCGCTTTGCAACCCTAAGCTCTACAGGTTGACCGACTCGAACATTTAATGCCTCTGGTGGTGCCAATCTTTAAGCTTGTTAGTCAAATGGGAAATGCCAGGTGATGTGAATCCTACCCCTGCTGAATTGCCTCGAGCAATTCTGCACTCTCTGGGTCGCTATAGAGAAGCAGAGGTCCATCCTGAATCGTAAATCCGGTTCTCCAGAATGTAATGTTGCGGATAGCGGTATCTTCGGCATCGGGTCGCGCATTTGGGTCTGGAACGGTCTGAGACTCGGACTCGTCGGATCCAAGAGTGTTTCCTGTTCCAAAGAATGCGCTGCTACGAGGTGGTTCTCTGTTTGCCATCGAGCGTGATCCTCTGGGCGGCATTAGTATAACTTCTGGTAGCAATGAATGCAACGTACTCTGCTGCTTTGCGCAAGATGTCTCGTACCTGGTTTGCAGCGCCGCCGCTTCCCCGCGCTTCACCATGGGCGGGATTCTGAACTGAGAGGCCACTGTCCGTAGACTATCAAAACCATATTAATAGTATATCTAAAATACGTACCTCCTTTCTCCACCTGCAAAAAAGTCTTGCGGACCGTCTTCGTCGTCATCATCGCGGCGAGGACCTCGGCTTGAGCCACCGGGAGTGTTGGCAAAGTCACGAAGAGATGCAACACGACCTCCACCACCACGAGCGGGTGTTCTATGATAATCATCACGATGAGCTATCGGGACTGTGGCCAGCGGGTCAGACGCTGAGCCGCGCGTACTCACGAGCTGGACGGGCCACCAATGCGTCCAATGCGCGGCTGCGTGTTTCTGTTTGCCCAGGCTGCTGGAAGAGGTTCTGCGTCGCCATCTCCTCCCAAAGAGCGTCCGCCGCCGAGTGTGTGGATATTGCCTGACATGGTAGTGGCGAAAGTGTCGAGTTAACCACATGGGTTCAAACTCACAATAGATTTCAATATAATGCAAGTTTATTATCTGTATAGCTAATGAAACATCTCAAACTAGGCCGACAACAGGATGACCGCTGTCCCCAGCGCGTGTGTAGCACCAGAGAGCAGAATTCGGATGAGGTGAAGACGCTCCCAGCGTTTGACCAGGGAATCAACCTCTGGACGCGTTGTTGTAAGAGGGTCCTTTGTATAAGCTTCATGAAGGTAAAGGAGTCGGTCATTGATGGGCTTCATCATGACCAACGTCCATCCGATTATGCTGAATCCAAGAGCAGAGGCTAGAAGGAGCGGCGTTTTCATGGCCATATTGGGACTGGTGTACGCAGCGACGAGAAAGAGGGTTGAAGCGGTAGCCTTGCTGATTCCAAATTGAATCTGATAGATATTAGATATGACCATCTCTACAGAGGTGAATACTGACTTTGCCTTTGTTAAAGGTCCAGGTCCATGCATTGAGCACTTCACCTACTGTTGGGGCCCTGGTCGTTTTTAAAACAGCCAAGGGCCCTGCGTCTTCACTGCCAAGTTTCCAAAGAAGAAATAGCCTGTCAAGCCTACTCCCAACGTCAAGGAGGCAACATAGGGGTCGACAGTTTGACAGCTAGCTGGTTGACGAATGACGAAGGGAGTTGCAGCATGTCGCACAGGATGTAGTAGGGTCCAAGATCGACGCCAAACATGACGAAGGATAGTGCGCGTGTGCGTCGTGCCGAGGCGACGTGTAACGACGGCATCAGAGGCCTAGACTTGAGTATTACACAATTATTTTATGGACCAATATCCATTTCTAAAATGATGGAGGCCCACGGACAACCTCTGTGAGTTGTCGAAGGTGAAGCCAAGCAAATTTAGACCATTTCGAATCGGCTGGAAGTCATTTAGGATTTCTTAAAGACAGAAACATACCATGGTTTCCTCAGAATGAGCAAAAAGATACTACATCGCCCTCTCTTGACGGTAGATACAAATTTCTTGATTGCAGAAAGATCGACATGGTGTTCTAGGAGGAGTACTGATAATACTTTGCCACCTCGACCCTCCAACTAGGCGGTAAGCAGGATTGCTACCGTTCCCAAAGAGTAGACCCCAAGAATCGATGCCGAGCAACATGGACGCGATATCAGAGACACCTACGCTGGTACTAAAGATGCTGGTATCTAAATTTGAGATTGTTGAGGGACCTATGAGGTGGCCTTGCCCTAATTACACCGCTGTCATGCGGGATATTCACGGTCAGGGAATCCACACAAATGTCGCGGCTTGAGCTGTGTAGCCAGAGGAATTTCCTGGTGGACGGCATTTATCTGCGATTGCCGCCCATTATTCCTGGATGTGCCTGAGTCCAACCTTGGACAACCACCACGCTCGACGGATTTGAGCGCCATGAGCTCCGCAACGCCGTCTGCATCCTCGTCGTCCGGGGCGCATCATATTACAATGCCCCCGCAGTTTAAAATCGTCGGTATTCTCCTCGCAGTCATGTCGGGTGTCCTCATCGGTACGTGCAATCTCTGCCATTATCAACGAACAGCGTAGCCAATGTGCTCATTCTACTCCTACTAGGCTCCTCGTTTGTATTCAAAAAGGTGGGATTTTGTTACATGCGCTGGCCTGGACCTTTGGATCGTTGCTAACTGTCCGGTGTTGATAGAAAGGGCTCCTTGCCAGTCAAGGTATATTTGCATCACTTTACACATTCTAAAACTATTTCTGATATCCTTCCAGGAGACGGAAAGCTCGGAGAGGGCGTTGCCTATCTCAAGTCGGTCAGTTTCTCCGCAGCGCGCCACCAGGACGAGATCGTGCTCATTCGCTTTCACAGGCGATGTGGTGGACAGGCATGATCATGATGATATTAGGAGAAATTTGCAACTTTGCCGGTATGCCCTAGGTTCCCTCACACGTCTCCCGGCTAACCACGCGTTTCTCACCCTAGCATACAGCTTTGTGGAAGCCATCGTCGTGGTAAGTAAACGATTCAATGCGCTAGAATGCCTGTTAACTGTCCTTCAAGACGCCTATGGGCGCGTTATCTGTGGTCATTTGCGCCATTCTTTCACATTTTTTCCTCAATGAGAGCTTGACAACATTCGGTGCAATCGGTTGTGCACTGTGTATCGTAAGCCTTCTTGCAGCACCTCATTTCTGTCATCTCACAGCCCCGTGCAGGTCGGTAGCGTCGTCATTGCCCTCAATGGGCCCAAAGAAGAAACCGTAGGACAGATTTTAGAGTTTCAAAAGCTCTTCCTATCTCCTGGCTTCCTTGTGAGCATCCCATGTCTCAAAGGTCAACAGGGTGGCTGATTACAGAGCAGGTCTGGAGTGGTGTCGTTATCGTCGCGTCCCTTGTCATCATCATTTTCTTTGCACCAAAGTATGGTGAGAAGAGTATGTTGTGGTATATTGGGGTATGCTCGTTGATCGGTGGCCTTTCCGTGTCTTGCACGACTGGACTTGGAGCAGGTGAGTGCCTCCGTTACAAAGTGTTCTTGCTCATACTTCTTAGCCATTGTCACGTCGATCATGGGTGACAACCAGGTGAGCACCGTGCCATCGTCAAATTACAAAGACTGACCTTGCCCAGTTTAAACATTGGTTCATCTACTTTCTGCTTATATTCGTCGCCATTACACTGATCACCGAAATGTACGAGTCATTGACCTGCAGTGAGCCATCTAACACGCCGTATAGATTCTACCTTAACAAGGCCCTTGCCTTGTTCAACACGGTGAGTCTCATCGTTTCCTCATCGCCTCGTGCTAAAACTTTATTAGGCTCTTGGTATGTACTCCCTCACTCCTGACCTTCATCGCTGATCTTCCTGGGAATCAGTAACACCGACTTATTATGGTAAGCACGAATGGCGAGCTATTCATTGATACTTACTCTTTCCAGTGCTATTTGTGAGTCCTTGATCGTCTGACATACCTCGAATCTGACATTGCGAAGACGAGTGCCACACTTATAACGTCAATCGTGCGTGCCCGTTCATTTCGTACTGCGTGCGCCTGACGAGATCTAGATCCTCTTCCAAGGTCTCAAGGCCCCAGCTACATCTATCATTACACTCGTCATGGGGTTCCTCACAATCTGCCTGGGAATCACGCTCCTGCAAATGTCCAAGGTCGACCCCACCTCGCTCAAGTTGGACCGCAGATCGACGATTCTCCTACAAGCAGCAAAGAGACCAACCGAACTCCAGGAAAAGTCGATTACTGGCTTCGAGGAGTGGGTTACTTTGTATAGGCGAAAGGATTAAGCTGACCGTTCGTTAGTCCCGGTATGGATGCCCTTCGCGGTGGTTTCGGCACCGTGGGCAGTATCATACGCGCTCGAAGTATGCGCAAATCTGTCATGTCCCAAGGTAGCTCTTCCCCCGCGGTCGAGCAATGGCGCCAACGACATCCATACGCTTCGGGTGTGGACGAGAATGCCTCTGGCAGCGGCATATTCATGCCTGACATAAAGCGTCATCAACTGTACGACGCACCGGTCCCACGGGACTCGACCTTTTCGAACAACACCCAAGATGACAACGACTCGGTCCGCCCGAAGCGTGGGCACAAGAGCATCAAGTTTGGACAAGAAGATACACGCCATTTCTATCCAACCCCTGGAACGCCAGGCGTGCCGCACCACGATTCGGTCAGGGTGAGCGACCCGTATGCTGGCGCATACGATTATTCAACCGCAAGTGGGAGCATTAACACCTCGACGTATTCGTCGTCACCCAACGTGAGGAACGGACCTCGCCCGCTTCCATCCAACTCTTCTGCATCTGCGACGGCGGGTGGCGCATCGTCGCTCTCGATCAAGACATCGGGAGATCCATTCCAGGATGCACCCTACCGCCAACGTGAGCGGACGAACTCGGGGTCCGAGGAAGACGATCAAGCGGAAGAAGTGCCTCTGACGGCGTCGCTTAACAAGTCTTATCCACATAGCAAGCACCCAGAGGATGATCAAGAGGAGAGCTATGGTCTAGTCGGGCCGCCTGCTGACGGAGTTCGTCTCGTCCAAGCTCGCCGCAAGTAGTCAGCCTCTCCAAACATTAACATGCCAGCTTGATGCTGTGACGACAAATACTCGATTTCTGTACGACGAAAGAGTGTGGGGTCCACATTTGATTGACCCCTCTCGCGGATTTTATGTTTGGTCTGCTCTCACGTGGACTCCTGGACTTTTCTGCTCCTTAGTACCCTAGCTTTCTATTACCTGTCTTGGCTCAATCATCGATACTCGATAGATGCCACTCATGCCATAGATTCCTCACAACTTCAAATGTTGTATCAACGGCCTTGTTGGAATCAAAGAATTTTTGTTGTGCATCCCATACACTGTGATTAACTCTTTCCCAAGTCTACAGAGACAGAGGACTAAATATCGTCTCTGCGGGCTCTCTTCTTTGCGAGACGGTGGTTCTTGGCGTCTTTGGATGTTGCATGTTGGGGCCATTCATACTATTATGAATTCTTTATAGTGCTCTTGCTGCATCTGCCTCCGTGCGCTTGTCCACGGTCGACCGCAACCGAGTTGTCAGCACGGAGCAGATAGTAGATGTCACGAGAAAGTGATTCAAGATTCGACGATTCAGTAATGAGAATAGTGCGTACCTGAGAGCACGGCAGCAACGGATAGCATCTCTGAGATGTTTGTCCTTTATCCTCGCTGCACACGGCTCTGAGCTGACAACAAGACGTTTGGAGACCTAGATGTTCACAAAAGTTTATTAGCACGTGTGATCAGTCAGAAGAGAGTGTCGCAGACGTGCGTGGGGGTCAACCGGGAATTCTGACATCAAATCCCCCAGTGAGGCACATAAAAGTTGAGTGCATATAATGTAGTCAAATCTATGGGCAATGTCAGCTCCATGAAAAGGACTGTACCACTGGTACCAAGCCTCGTCACCTCCAACCACAGTGCCATCCAGGTTTATTCTCAAAATCTCTAGATGAGTCTGTTCTTCCATGTCCCGCTTGAACTCTTCATGTAGAGCCTAATGTATTTGCCTGGTATCGTTCGACCAGCACATCCAGCTCTTTGGTTTGCCCGGGGCGTTGGAGATGGGTACCTTCAGGGGCGGTTCGAGGCGAGTTCGTGAGTCATAGATAATGTAGAGAACGCTGGGTCGACGACATAGACAATTCCGTCGATGGTAAAGGATATTTTTTCCGCGATATTTGTTGCAACAATGACTTGAGGCCTAGAGATCCCCCTGGCCTCAGCAGCGGAGGTGTCGCGTCAAAAATACGTTGTTGCTGCTTGGGGAGATAAGGAAGCGTACAATGAAACGCATACAATGGGCTCCAGGGCTGTAGGGTGTGCCTCACGGTGGAGAAGACATCGGGAGTGGAGGCGGTGGCAAGCTTTTTGGATTTGGTCCCGAACGGGTGAGGAAGAGGAGGATGTCGCCTGGTTTCTCAACTGATGAATTGTGAATACAGTCCGAATCGAGGCGCGGACGTAGTCTGATTCTGGTTCATGTGCATAGAAGGTTTCGACTGGGAACGACGAGCAATGGAACTGGCTGCGCTCGCCCAACAACCTCCTTTACGTCTTCCATGCACTCTTTGTCGTGGAAATTTGAAAGGTAGGATTGAAACTTGTGGAAATCGAGCGTGGCGGATATGACTCTCGACTAGGATGCGCTTGAGCAGTCCGAGAAGTGTATCCGTGGCTAGAGTGGATTCATGGGCTTGTCGAAGACTATTTGTGGCGTACCGGTCCAAGAATGGCCGGTGCATCGCCTCAGACAGGAGTCGTCAATGTAGGCCGTCCCAAATATGCGACGACACCGGGGGAAACTGGTTTGGATGCGAGACTTACATCCCATCTGTCATGTATTGCAATCGGGTCGTCGTGTGATCGGTCATGACTTTGAACCGGATGGTGTATTATCCGACCTGCTGACCAAGCTGAACCGTTCTCGATCGTGGGCATAGGTTCAGCCCTTGTAATGAGTTGAAGAATAAAGAGACACTGTCCATCTCGTCTGCGACAAGGTGGGTAATAGACATTGCTGGGACACGCCGCGGCTGCGTGCATGCGACGAGCTTGTTATTTAATTGTCTGCGGGTGTAATATATATGCGATAAACTGCGTAATCCTGCGTCATTGCCCTACTGAGTAAACCCGCCGCATTCAACGAGTGGTGTTCCTGTACCGTCTCGTCTTGGACAACCATGACCTGATTCCGAGTATTCTGTAAGAGGAACTCAAGATGCATGAATATAAAAGACTTGGGATGGCTTTGAGGATGGATTCTGCGGACATGATGTCAGTGAAGGTGTGGACCGTCTCCGTTAAAGGGTGATGCCGTATAAAACCTTGAGGGACATAAGCGACAGAGGGCATTGGGGCGATGTGATCGTCTGGTGACATTGTGTTTGTGGTCACCGACATCAAATGCCTGCCATGACCGCTATCCAGCGTGCATTCCTCGCCATGCCTAAATTCGCCGTATTAGGAGCCTCGAACGACCAGACAAAATACGGGAACAAGGTCCTGCGCTGGTACAAGACGCGTAATCTCGAGGTCACCCCTATCAACCCCGTAAGCGTGAGCTTAATCCAGCCTAGGTCAGGGCTAATCAACATGCCAGAAAGTGGTCTCGATCGAGGGACTCGAGACGGTCAGCAGTCTAGAAGCCCTGCCAGAACCAAAGTCAACGTCAGTGAGCATTGTAACCCCGAGCAAGGTACGACCGTCCGAAATTTGCCCATGATCGAACACGCGCATTCGACCCGAGATCGGCCCCGCTTTCCTGCCCCGGCGTGGCGTCTGACTAGAGTTGTATCAGGTCACGCTAGACGCCCTCCGTTCCGCTAAGTCGCTCGGCATTCCGTACATTTGGATCCAACCAGGCGCAGCAGACGACGCTGTAGCAGATTATATCGCAAACGACGATTATCTTCAACCACGAGTCGTCTATGGCGGGCCCTGTATCCTCGTGCTGGGTGATGGACTTTTGGGAGCTCGACTGTGATGAATTAAACAACGCTAGACTTTCGATGAGATGAAACAGGAGTGCGGTTCAATAAGCAAGCGCCCGAGCCCGATCCGAGAGAAAAGCTGAGCACCATCTACCAGGATTTCACGTCCCTGCGGCTTAAAACGGTAACACCGGCACATTACCAATGGCTCTCGCACACCCCCGATGCCCATTCTCCCAACACTAGCTTGGCTGTCTACCGTCCCCCTTATTTAACAGCCGTCTCGGCACACCTGTCCCATATTTAGTTTCTCCCTCATGTCTGCTTGGAATAATACTACCGTCGACAGCGACAGCGACGGCGATGAACGCGTTTACCTCTCCGACCCCTATGCTGCCAGACGCGAGCAGCTCCCGCCAATGATGCCCAGCTTTCCTCACCGACATGGATCCCCCAGCTCTCACACTGCGTCTAGTCGCATGATCAACCAAGTACAATCATCATACGTGGATCCTCGAGCACCAAAGAGCCCGGCTTCAATGTATTCACCGGTGCGTTTCGACTGACTTGCCCCGTATAAAACTTGCGCATTATAAAATTGTCATCTGGTTTTCCATGACCTGGGATTGACGTCCCAACTGTAGACGTCCTTGCAGCAGTATGCCATCTTCCCTGGTGCCCCTCGTTCACTCGCACCTGCACCCTCTGCCAGTTCGTTTAGCCACGCGCAGGAGCAGAATTCGAATTTCAATTACAGTCACTCACCCACTCTACATCCTACAAGCGCCGCTAGTTCGAATGCCGGCATGTCGACCACATTACCCAGTGCACATTCATACCCAGACGCCCATACAAATGTGGTGGCAGATATAAACGCGAACAACGCCAACGGTAGCAAGAAACACGTGTGCTCCCTTTGCCCAGCGGCTTTTGAGCGTCGTTACGATCTCAAGCGACACATGGGCACGCATCTAGATCAAAAAGAATTCGTTTGCTCTGGTTGTAACAAGGCGCTTGCTCGCAACGACTCTCTCCAACGCCATCAGTCCGTCTGCAAGGCCCGGCCACCTTCAGCAGGTCCATAGTTGTTCCTTTTTCCTTTGTGCCACGTTTCTCTTGTGTTATACCCATGTACTATATCAGAGCTGAAAACATGTATAGGCTGGTTCATGCGCCTATTGGATGGCTCGCTGATGCCTCAACTGTGTCATGAAGACTGGTCGATCACACATTTCCAGCTATTGTTAACTATATCAGATGCACGGTGGCATCCGTCTGGGCGTTTGACGTTCATCGCCAACTGTTGCTCTCCGCCACAACCCAACACTTCTCCTCGAGGCCTAGCACTTCGGGTGACTGTCCCGAAATTCCTTTAAATTGTCACACGCAAACCTTTTGGATTGCGTTTGGGAACCGAATAGGCTGCAATTGCCGTTACAGAATTATCCCATTAGCGGAAAAAAGTGCCCTGGCTCCCTACCCGACCGTATACAAACCGAATCTATTTCCTCTGGTCGACCGGAAAGACTGCGTATAGCAACTTAATACGCATTCCTTGGTCCAATTTAGGTCGTCACCCTCTAGTCTCGATCCGGATCCCCCAATTATCGATCCCATCTGCATAATCTACAGTTTTTCTATCCACCCTCGGTAGCACAAGGGGACCTATTTTGACCGCTTCGGCAACTTAAATTCCTCGACTCACAGGTAGACCCTGTGGTGGACATCTGACATGAACATTGATTCGGATCCAAAACTGCTCTCTCCAGAGCTCAAGGCAGCCATTGACGCTGGCAAACGATTACTTGAGCTCCTCACCCAGCCTTTGTCGCACGAGGAGATTGCCCAATACCTCGAATCCAAATCGCAAGACGAGATTGCGCTGTGGGTACAAGAGGATGAAACAGGGTGGAGCGTACTCCACTTTGCTGTGCATAGACGGGATCCAGAGCTCACGAGGGCTTTGATCGAGGCTGGAGCGGTCTGGAATCTGGGTGTGTCCAAGCGCTTTTTTTGGCCGCCACGTCTTCATTTTTATCTGATATGACCCTATGCTGACGTCAATATTTAAACTCTTGGTACAGTGGACGCTTGCGGGAATACGGCAGGAGACGTTGCACTCTCGTTGGACGACGAAGAGTGCTATCGACTGATCCGGGATGCTGGTATTCGATCAGGCTAGTATTTTCTTCATTTAATCTCCCTTGCACTAAACTATTATTTCCTCCGTGGCAGAGTTTCTCCTGCACTTGTTGGATACACGTGCCCAAGATGAGGACGAGGAGATGGAGGAGCCAAGTACAATATCATCCATACAAGATATTGGCGCAGACTCGTACTCGGACACAAAAGGAATCAAAAGGAGAAAGGGGAACACGCTCGTCCTGCGTGCCGAAGATTCAACACCCGCCGGGTCAACTGAGGCATTCTTAAACGCCAAGCTCACCTTTGCGACAAATAAACAAGGACAAGACCTATGTTTGGTCGATTCTGGATCCGAACAGGTCGGGGTGATGATGGGTTGGGAAAGGCCCATAAGTAGGTCCTCTCCTCTCTGAGATTGGTATTCATTAACATGATACAGTGGAGGAAACTGTGAGATTACTGCACAAGGACAACGATGATACAGATTTCCGCGTGCTAAACTGTGGTTTTGGATTAGGAATCGTAAGTCTCTCGTCTCCTCTGCACTTTAACTTTCGTGAATTGCACCACGGCTGACACGTAATGCATTGTACACAATATAGATTGATACATACTTTCAAAAATGGCCAACTCCTCCTTCGCTTCATGTAATCATCGAACCGCACCCGGATGTGCTCGCGCATATGCGCGCACGCGGGTGGTACGACATGGCCAATGTGCGCATCCTCGAAGGCAAATGGCAGGACTTTATCGACTCCGACGAAATACTAGGCGTGGGCGGATTTGATGCCGTCTACACCGACGTGTTCAGCGAGGACTATAAACAACTTTACGCTTTTTTTGAGAGGGTCCCAGAGCTCTTGAGGGGGGAAAATTCGAAATTTAGCTTCTTTCATGGCTTGGGCGCCACGAGTATGTTGTCTCTACTTGGTATTGTGATCAAGCTGACTGCTAAACCCAGACCCTCTCTTCTACGACATATATACAAACCTTTGCGAGATGCACCTCAAAGAGCTCGGTTGCACCGTCTCGTGGACAGACGTCGACGTACACACTGCCCAAGCCGACGGAATATGGGGCGAGACGCGCAAATACTTTTCACTCCCATACTGTCGGATTCCATTAGTCAAGATGGATATATAAACCTAATCCACACTCGAAGGTTGTAATGTACAATCTAAAGTCCAAAAACTGAATACAATGAAGCCGGCAAGCGGTGCATGGCTTTTGATTTTGAGAGCGGGTGGGTTTTCATTGATGCATATCAAATTCGCCCGTGAACCCGAGCGATGTCCACATGACACCGACATGTAAATCGTCGACTCCGTCGTCCTTGGCGTATACCTTCTCGCCTTCCTGCACAACGTAATGCCTCTAGGAGACCGTCAGCCATCATCCAGCGGCATTATCAAGTAAAAATTTACTCGTCCGAGAGAAACTTTGATAGCTGGGGGACCATGTACATAGTCTTCGAGCGTCGCTGACGGCCCGTCTTTGATCAGCTTGAAAATATTGCGGGCGGCGACTTCGCCCTATAGAACCGTCAAGCATAAATATTTTGGTTGATTGTATAGTACTTGCCTGATAGTATGCCGTATGGCCCGCCTTGATTGCTCCGAAAGCATCTGCCACATCTCCGACAGCGAAGATATTTCCAAAGGACATATCACCGGCAAGTGTTGCGCTCGAATTGGTGCCTAAATGAGCCGTTGACGGCTGACGGGTGACCTGAAGAGACGGCAAGACGCGTATGAGACCGTTTTGTTGGTTGACCACATCCTGACCAAGCCCATCAACAATAAAGCGAGTATTGGCGACTGTGCCAGTGCAGAGAAGCTATGCACGTAGATGAGAAAAAACTAGGTGCAAGTAAAAGGTACGTACAATCGCGTCGGCAGCAAAGACATGTCCTTTGAGCGTCTTCACGACATGTCGCCCCTTTTCATCGTTATGTGGATGTTTGACCGAATCCAGATCCAAACGGTCGTTGAGAATCACCTGGACGTTGAGTTCTTTTAATCGTCGGAGGCCTGCAAGATATTAGTGGGAGTTGCAGGACGCAAAGAGGCATACACTCTTCATGCACCTCGACGTCGTATAGTGGCATAAGTTGCTCTCTAGAGTGAATCAGTGTGACCGAGTGACCTGGGTATAACTCTGCAATGTCCGAAGTAAGTTCTTTGGGCCCAGTCAGTAACATGTCTCGCAAAATACTTCCACTCACGTATACCCAGTGCACCACCGCCAACAATAATCAGACTCTTCAGCGCAGATATCTGCTGCTGTGCATGTTGGAGCCATCGGACAGCCGAAATCTTTGAACCAAGTGGAAGCGGGATCCTTGACATGCTTCCAGAAGTCTATGATGCATTGGGATCGTATAAAAGCGTGGTAATGCGCACTCACATCCGCTTTATGAGCACCTTGGACGGCATCAACGTCCTTCCATGGCTTCCAGACGTTTATAGGGTCAGGGAGGGACGCTCCCAGTGCATAAATGCAATACTCGAAAGGAATTGTTTGGACGTCGGCCGTGGCGACACATCCTAGTGAACTGAGGATGTCGTCGCGGCGGTCGACTTGGCCACCTATTGGAGCAATTGTCACCGAATGATTCGTCATCGAGATGACATTTGCCTGGACAATTAGATGACGAGACTGTTGTCCAGTGAACACATGAATGTATGGGATAACTAGATAAATATGAGAATTGTCGCCTCAGGAGTAATTCAACGTACAGGCTTTGTATTCATGACCGGGTAAGACCGAGAAGCGAGGAAGGGCATAGAGATCTGCGGTACGCAGTTCCGTGAGCGGAAGACCGTCATCTGTAGCAGTTTTACATACGGTTCATATGCCTAGACAATATTCCTCGAATTTTAGCAACCCCTTGTCACAGTCAAAGAACCTAAAACGCACGAATTTCTCTCAATGACGATGACCCGGTAGTTGGGCATGCCTTCGAGCTGCTCAGCAAGCAGTCGTGCAGCACGCAGACCTTGGATTTGTCAACATTAACCGCTCGTCGACGATGGACGACAAACCGCCATAGGATCCCCCCAGGACGACCACGTTCTTGACGGCTGGCGCGCGAGAGAATGAAAAGCCCATTATGTGAGGAATTTTCAACCTTTTGACAAGGATTTTACAGAGAAAATTGGCTATACCAACGTTGGGGAAATGGCCAAGGTTTATCTGATAAGATGGGGCCTAATAAAGCCGAACCGTACGACCGCCAAGGAACTCTGAATTCACACTATGAACCCTCCCAATCGCTTTAAACTTTTTCTAATGGCGTTTGTCATCGTCTTTCTTCATGCCCGTCACATGCCGAATCGCATCCGCAATCTGGAAATCACACCGTCAGCACCGTCGAACCACTCTTGCACGTCTCAATCTTACCTGTTTGTCCTTGGCTTGCTCAACAGCACTTTCATTGTGTTGGTCACCTTTTCCGAGGACGTGGTCTTGCACCCAGTCGATCGTCTTGTCGAGATGATCTACAAAAGTCAACCTTCATCCAACTGAGAGAGAGTATACGCACCTTCTTTGGCTTCTGCCTTTGCTCCACCGCCAGCGAGCTCATTGATCTTGTCCTTCCAGTCCTTCTTTGGCGGGGGAGAAGGAGTACGCGACCAGGGGTGCTTCTTCACAGGTGCCGGCTCCGGCTCATCCTTGAAGATATTCCTCACACGTGCTCCAAAGCTCTGGTTGCGCTTCGCCTCTTCAGCCAAACGCTGGCGCTCCCTTTCCTTTTCCTTGAGACAGCAAAGTTGATGAGAAATGCTGCGGACGGCTCCAAAGCGCGTACCTCGTCGTCACCGTCAAATACATCCTTGATTTTGTGACGGAAAGATTCCTCGCGACGCTTCGCCTCTTCTGCTTCGCGTCGCTTCTGAATGGCCTCGTCGACCAATCTTTGATGCTCCGCAGCCTCCTTTGCATCCGATGTGAACAAATCCTTGAGCTGAAATCCAGTCAGGATAGGTCTTTCGAGATTCAGACAACGAACCTTTCCTTTGACGGTGGCTTTTTCCTCGGCCTCTTTAGCAGAGATCTCCTTCTCTACGGCTTCCTACAGATCTGAGCACCCTTCATCTTAATTGGCACAAGAGCTTACCCTCTCCAGACGAAGGCGCTCCTCTTCTGCCTCGCGCTTATTCGTGGCACCCCGATCCAAGAGGTCCTTGAACTGCAGCGGGTCAGTCTCACAGCTTCTCTCCTGAGATATGCAACTTACTTTGTCACGCCAGTCGTCACTTTCCTTACGCTCATTGGGGGGTGCATTCAGCGTAGGCTGCACACCTACAGCAGGGAGCGGCGCAGGGGCTTGTTTTCCAGGCGATCGTCCTCCCAACGCTTCCTTGATCTTCGAGAAGCTAAAGCTGTCCTCTTCCTTGTTCACCTTTTGCGTCGAGGCCTCCGTGGCCACTGGCCGGAGCTCATTGATGTTGCCGTGAGCCTGAGGCTGCGTGTGGCCTTGAGCAACGGTCTGAGGTGGATTCTGTTGCTCGTGATGGTCGTCTTTGCCCGTAATCTTATTCCAGATTCCTTCCATAGTCGACGAGATGGATGATGTGCAGGTAAGAGTTATCGATTGCTTTTGGCCAAGAGCCACTTTACGCCGTCTGCGCGCGTCATCATAAGCGCTGCGTAGACGCCTATCTCCGATGGCATGGTTACACCATCCATCAAGCAATGTAGCAATAGCAGCCCTCATTTGTTACTTTGACTCCCGCAAACGCGTTATATCTCTGAAGAGGCAGCGAGTGTACAAAGGAGAGGACTAGGAAATGAACGTCGACTCATAAAGAATGCATTGTGTTTGTTCAGATACCGCGATAGGTGGCGGACTGGGAGGTGGCACGGGTGATCTGACCAGCAGTAAACTGATTCATGCATGGATCGGTGCTAAGGAACAGGTGAATCAAAAGTTGGAGAAGTGGCGGTGAGATATGTACCTGTAGTCCATGTAGTTGTGGATCGAATCTACACCTCCGCCAGAGCACGAGTCTTGTGAACTGGGGCATCCCGAAGTGGCCTTAGATTGCGGTGGAGTGTCCTGTGAAGGAAGAAAGTTAGATGGTGCTGGGTTGAGATGAGCTGACATACAGAGACGTAGTCACCACTGCCTGAGCATCCGCCTTGGAAAACGTGATAGAGCCCGAGCTGGAAGAGAGTTAGCAGGCTCGGCTAGAAGTTTCCAGAGAAGCTTACCCAATGGCCCACTTCGTGGGTGAGGGTCTTGCCTTGGTTATAGCCACTGGTGCCTAGGGCGCGTTAAGAGGATCACAATATAATCGATGAAATACGCACTGCCACCAGGATATGTCGAGTAGAGGATGACGACGCCATCATCGACTGGGTTTCCGCTGTACGACCAGGGGAAGGTTGCATACCCGAGCGTACCATCAGTGAAGCCGACGGTATAAACGTTGAGGACGTTGGCACCACCAGTGTGGAGAGCTTTCTTCATAGCGGTCTGGTAGCTGTTGCCATAGTTTGCATAGTTGAACCAATTGGCATTCAAGGTGCGGGTCGTGCCGGCAAGGGTGAATGAGAATCCGCTACCAGAGTAGTGAGAATTCATCGCGCTGATGGCTAAGGAGGGTTAGAAATAGGAATAAGAATGTGCTTGAAAGCAACATACAGGAGGCAATTGCCGAGTCGGAGATGTATCCGCCGGAGACCGAGGTGGTCTTGTAAATAACGTGCCAATCTAATGACTGTAAACACAAGGCTCAAAGGCGAGAGACTCCACGCACAAACTTGGATGTTTCCGGCACGTTGGGTGGATCCAGCAAAATCGGAATCGACGAGACCGGCATTGGCGAAGTCGTTGGCGAATTGGGCTTCAATGGCAGCAGCTTGTGCGGGAGTAACCGTGTTTGCGCAACCACTAATCAAGATATAAGTATAAAGAGTTACATACGGCCTGTACTTACCGAGTCGTTGCTCGAGTGGCATTGGCAAAGGGAGCGGCGAGCGCAGAGGCCGCGCTGGCGATGAAAAGAAGGGCAGATGCGAAACGCATGGCTAGACCGTATGAGACAGTGAGAGACCTGGGTGACCTGTCTTCTCTCCTCTGGACGAGCAGGCTGCTCTTATACGCAGCAGCAAGGCCCGGACGGTTAGGAGATACGGCAGCTCTCGTAAGATAGAAGGAGAGCCCTCATGGTGTATACCCCTTAAAGTGAGGATAACTGGGCATAGGAGCCGAGATATGGCTGGAAAACGACATATCGGTGATGACAATCCTGGCAGGTACGTTTGGGGAGCATGCGGTGAGCGCATCTCTAGAAGTAGACGCTTCCCGACAGCGCGTGGTTGGCATACTGTCAATTGAGGAGACTGTGTCGGGGCAGCGGCTGCTTCCCAGGGGGGACCATGAGGAACACAGGCCAGAACTCGTAATCGCTGTATCTGAGAGAATCAAATGCGGCAAAGGACTTCTTCCATACTCTGCACATGGTCCTGGCAATGATGTAGGCCGTTCCACGCTGCAGGGCGCTGATTTGTCGACGGAGTTCACGAAAAGAGAAGGCGTGCGGCGAGAACAATCCTCCTCATCCTCATAATGATCTCCCAAAATTATTTCAGTATCTTTTCCAAAAATCAGAAGTAGCGGTTATAGACAACGGCGACGGTGGTGGCGAAAAGTGGTTTGGACCCGACAACAAACTGGAATGGAGTACAGTACGCAGGAGACTCAGATCGCGTCGCAAACGTATACTTCCCAGCGTGAAGATGAACCTAACGATGCCAATTGTTGGGGTCTCCTTTGGCCTATTGCCAGTGGCAATAAGCCAGTACGCTTCAACAAGGACAAGCAAGAGTATACGATTGGACGCGGCCCACAGTGTGATCTGAGGATCTCTAGTCAAATTATCAGTGAGCACTGATGCCATCTTGCTCCCGTGCCTGTCAACGGCGTTGACCAAAAAGACGCGCTCTTCTAAATGGCAGGCAATATACATTGTCGTATCAACTGGGATGGTGCCACGGGATCAAGAGCTGGCTTGACGATCACAGACCTCAGCAGGAACGGGACTTGGGCAAGTAATCGCACTAAGTGGTTTCGACGCGTCCCTAATGACAGCGGATCTAGGTCAAAGGTCGCAAAATCGCCAAGGGGATAGCTACTTTGCTTAACAACGGCGATGATATTGCGTTTGGAGTCCAGAACATCAATTCCAACGGTGAATCCCACAGTAGGTCGTCCCCGCCGTGATTTACTACTGTCCAATCAGTCTCTAGGATACACATTTCGAACGCCAGTCGTGGTGAGTACCTGTTCTTGACGTTTTCTGGCTTCTAAATGGTCGCCAGCAACGGGAACGCAAAGGTGTCCACGTCAAATACGAACTGCAGCAAGAGTACGCGAGCGCTTTCAGTTGTGGCTTTTTATTTATCGCCTCTAGGCTCGGTAGGGGCTCATTCGCGGCCGTGTACAAGGCTTTGCAGCGCGCAACGGGCAAATTTTTTGCAGTCAAGATCATACCTAAACCACAGAGCCTATTGCAACCGAGTACGATCAATATGCTGGACAGGGAGATAACAATACTCAAGCAGCTCAAGCATGTAAGATCACATCCGTTTTTGGCGCTGCCTCCAGTAACAGCTCCTAGCCAAATATTGTCGCTCTCGAGGACGTCATTGGTAGTGAAGCTGAGCTGTGTAAGTCTTTTCTGCAGCAGGAGACAAAGTTTGACCATACCAGGCATTGTGATGGAGCTCATTTCGGGTGGAGACTTATTCGAATACATTGTCACATCACCCATGAAGCACCTCAGTACGATAATACAGAGGAATTCAAGCGCGGCCCTGATTACCTGACAGCTGAGGACCAAACTGGCCACCTGACTGCCGAGATTTGCGATGCTATGGCGGTGGGTGCAGCCTATTTCGTTAACTGGTGCTCATGTTCCCCAGTACATTCACTACAAAGGCATAACGCATCGAGACCTCAAGCCAGAGGTATGCACGAAGCAAGCCTGTGACTGTCGCTCACAGCTGGCAGAATATTTTACTCACTGCTGATAACCCCCCTCACGTCAAAGTGGCGGATTTCGGTCTAGCCAAATGTGTCAATAGTAAAACAATGCTCCGTGTATGTCGTCTATTGCCAAGGTTCTGCGTAAGCTCATCTACGACAGACAATGTGTGGTACACCGAGCTATCTCGCCCCGGAGGTTGTCCTGCAAGGTCCCGGTAAAGAAGGGTACGATCACAAAGTCGATAGCTGGAGTGTGGGAGCTATCGTCTTTGCCATGTCAGTCGCGGCGCAAGTCAACAAACCTCTACTGATGACTTTGCAGGCTGACTGGTCAAGGAGCATTTACGGAAGACGAGAATCAACCGCTCACCACCCGCGTGCAAACTAGACAGGTGACATGGGTTTACATGTCCGAGGTCGGATGTACCAAGGCTGCACATGGCTTTGTCAATCAATTGCTGCAAAACCGACCAGAGAATCGCATGGCACTCGCTGACGCTCTTGGGCACGAATGGCTTCATCCAGCGTACTGGCCGTCAGGTGTCCCATCGTACTTTCCCAATGGTAGCCCTATATCCTTGATCAACGCTACTGTAGGAGAGCCAGTTGGGACGCCAACACACGGTGTCACCGAAGAGTTTCAAAACCTGGAGATTGATAGCGACTCGATATCGGAAAGCCCCGCGTTTATCGAGGTTGATTTCGAAGATGCCAATCTCGGAGGTTCTAGCGGCCTCACACGATCACAAGAGCTTCAGCGAAGCGTCGAGGAGCGAGAGCAGTCCTGGGATATCGTCGAGGAGCCTGGAGCAGATCCAGAGCAGACACCACTAGCGAGACCGAGGCTCCAACTCCTTGAAGAGGAAGCAACAGCCCGTGGACGGCCAGCGGCGGCTACGAGTGTCCCTCCACCGCCACTCTTTCCACAGAAGAGTTTGAAGCGGAAGCTTAGCGGCGGAGATGAGGATGATGAAGATTTGCCAGGATTAGCAAACAACTCGGGTACAGAGTCGACTCGCGCAAAGCTTGGTGGTCGAAAGGCGAGCAAAGTCAGCGAGTCCGACACGCCGACTGCTACTCGCTCTCGCTTTCCGCCACCCTCGGCTGGTAGGAAAACGACAGCTAAAAATGGCAAAGGAAAAGGACCGGTTGCACGGGACTTTGCGACAGAGGCGGACGAATGAACGAATGAACGCTCACATCGACATCTTAAGTTTCATGTACATTTCCTTAGTTTACATATCTGTATCGTCTCTGGGAATCTTACTCGGGTGTTGTAATTCACGCGATTACGACTATTTTGTGTCACTCGAGCCGCAGCGTCGGTTGCCTTGACGGACGCCTCCCCTCGCAACACGTCTTGGACTCTTCCTGACTGATCTTTTCCACACTTTCCCTTCACATTTCTACTTTCTTTCTTTCTTAATCCCTTGACGGGTCTTCTATTGTCGTCCTTTATCGCCCAGCAAATTCTAAACAAGCCTCAAGATGAGTTACATTCCGTTCGGTCTCCAAAGGGACCAAGGAAACATGACTGTCGTATGTTGTTAGCGTCTGTTTAACTTGTAAACTGATACAGTTTAGCTTCTCCACAACGACGAGCCGCTTCCTCCCCTTCCGTACGAGTTGCAGAACGTATATTCTGCCGAGATATGGGTCAGTCGTATACAAACGGCGACTCAGGCTTGTCGGAAGTGGGCTCGTCCGACGCTTGAGAGAATCTATTTCTTCTCCGCCTTCTTGTAAGTAACGATTCGGCTCGCGGAGCGGGAAATTTATCCGGAACATAGGATTCAATTTGTCTTGCCATCAGTGATCAGCAATCTTATCTTGTTCCATGCGTTTAAAGGCCAAGATGACCGGATCCCTCGTGAACGCTTCTTCGCGTTCCGTGCTGCTGGCTTTGGCATTTTCATTGGCATCTTCTTCCTCTTTTGGGCACCCCTTATCGCATGGAAGATTATCGTTAGTATTTATGACTTACAACAGACGAGATGCTAAACGCAGGTGCAGGGCAAGCGAGCTATCAGAAAGCTGGAGAATGAGTGGCTTGTCCTTGACAAAGCGACCTTAGGGAACGGATTCATTCCTCGTTGGACAATCACAAAGCCCGGTATTTTCTCCTCTCGGGCAGTATGTCAAAATGCGTCTGTATTGTGCCTTACTGACGGGTTCATCAGGCTGTTCGTGTGACCTTGCCTCCTGCACCAGCGTACTTGACCGCCTTTCATCCAAACGCGCCCTTGCCCCCTTATGTCAACGCGGCCCCTATGGACGGAGCTCAGTACGGTTACACCTACCCACCAGACGAAAAGGCTGCAAGGGTCTGATGAAGCTGAGGAAGAGCGACAGTGTACGGCGAGCTCTGCGGGCGATGGGCACACACGCGTGTAATGTAGAATGTAGCTCTATCATCACTAGCTCAAATTGCCAACCAGTCACTGTGAAATGCACTCCTTTGACATGTATTGTCGTCCGTAGATGGAAAGGGTCAAACTTGAACTGCAACCACGACACAACAAGAATGCCTCCAAGGCCGCGGGCAACCTGTCAGATTTGCAATACTACGGAGTCGAAATATACATGTCCAAATTGTTTGATCGTCTAGTGCGTTTGCAGCCTTTTTCTGGAAAGAACCGTCGACAACTCGTATCTTGTCCGGAAACCTTACAGCTGCTCTGCAACGTGTTTTAAAGGACACACAAGTAAGTATACGCCAAAAAATTGGGCTCTTGTGTCATGAACTCATGGTGTGTTGGTCGACAGCGACGCCATGTGGAACAACAAAGCCAAACACCAGAAGCATATCAGCTGCTCCAATCGTCTTGGATGAGCCTGATCAAACCAGGTCAGTCTCCACGAGGCTCGGCGACGCATCGGAAGGTTGGCGATTGTCAGGTTTTCTCGAGACAATTGACAAGTTGTGTTGTAGATGCACCCTCAAACTCGGTACAACTCGAAGAGGCATCACTCCCCGTCACAGCTCCGCTTCGCCCACTCACGACCCTCAAATGGCCGAATGTGCCCCCTCCGCCTGCAATCCCTGATCCTCTGACGATGAACGACCCCCAACCTTTACAAATTCCTCAATACGAAGCCATAGGTATGTTCTTACTTCTTTGATTGTCGCTCTCGACTCAATGTTGGAAGCCACATCCCGGAAGGTTCGCGAATTGCTGGTTGAGAGTGACCTGCTCCCGAAAATGCTTCGCTCGTTTGACCGGTTGCAAGGACCGGCGCGGGAAAGAGCGCTCGAAGCCGTTCTGGGTGTGAAGGCGAGCGCAAGCCATACAGACCCGCGATCGCCCCATTTCGCGTTAGGCTGGCTACCAAAGGAGACGACAGACGAAGACCTTGGCAGGTTACGCGGGTTTCTCGAGCTAGTGGGACGGACGGTCGATGAATGCCCTGTGAAATTGACACCGCCTGCGGGATCGGGAAGCCAGAAACCGCCATCGATAGCCGACGCAGCAACGCTAGATCGTAACGTCTCTTATGACACATGGCAGGGGGCTCGGGTGGCGCTCGAGGTGGAGGAACACATCGCGCACGACTGAGGGGGTCTGCTGCCGAATCGCGGGCCAGTCACGCCTCGCCGAACTTCGTCTCGGTCGCATGTGCGCGCGCGAATAGGAGTCGCCGCTTCTATATACGGAAATGAAGCGCGAATGGGTCGGGTCGAGGACGCCCTCAGCTCGGTTCTGCCTGGCTCTTGCCGCCATACGCCCTAGTGCAGTCATCGTCCACCCGTTTGTTGAGCGTGGACAGCAACGCCAGGTTTGCACCTTCTGGACCCGTTCCAGAGTGCGACTAGGGCCCGCAAAACGGTGGCTAAATGGCTTGAACTGCCGAATCGGTGCCGCATTTCCCCTTTGGTTCATGCCGTTATTAGCCATTTTTTCCCTCCCATCAAATCGTAAACCTGATCAACTCGTGTACGCCACGATGTTTTGACGGTCTCTCGGCAGGTCCCATTCGGAAAGGTCGCCTGGCTCAGCCTCCCCCCAAGGTCGCCTCCAAGCCCGTCGACCCGCATTCCGTTGCGATCAAGACAAAAATTACGTACCGGCATCGAGTTATGACGAAGAGGCATGGTCCAGGCCGGGAGCCCGTGTGCGCATCGTTATACAACGCCTCGCGCCACCCCGGATACTCGTCCCGGACGCTATTGGGGCAGCAAAACGCCTCGTGTGGGGTATGGAGCATCACCACGCCACAAATCCGACAAACTCGCCCCGTCACGAGTCGATTTAGAGACGGGACCGGGGATTTACCAGTCGAGACCGCGGCATCTGTTCGACAAATTCAAACGTGGGGGAAAAGAAAACCAGTTGATTAACTATGGAAAAAGAACAAGACGAAAAAGCCACTACGGGCGGACGAATGACCAAAAATGGGATAGAGGAAAGCGACGGAACCGCAAATGGAAAAAAAAAAAAAGATTTGTCATCAAGAAGGGGGAATGCTGGCAAAAGCGTGCCGTAAATAGAGCTAGGATCGATGCAACGACGTGGCGTCTATGACCCTAATTGGTTCTCATGTCATACGTGAGGACAAAAGATTCACGGGAGCAAGTTGAAGCACTTGGCAGGAGGGTGGGGTTCAGACGTGATGAAAGAGAGAGAGAGCATGCGTTTTCGAGGGGCAAACGGACCTTGACGTTTCTTTCCGGTAGTACATGAGCGCCCACCGTTCTCGTCGCGAGAAAGAGCAACAGGGCTGAGCGAAGCCAGAGCAGGGCGAAAACAGGTAGGAGTAGGGGGGGGGGGAAAAGTCTAACACACGACCCGACCTTGGCCTTTCTGAGAGTGCAAAAGAGAGAGGCGCCATGGCTACGAGCTGCCGGCGTTTACAGCGGTCTCGAGCAAGGCCTGTTGAGCCTCCTCGCAACCTATGTAGCCAGAAACGGGATCAGGCCGCTGGTGGCGGAGAAGGGCATCCTTGCGACTAAAGTTTCGACCGCAAATGCACTGACACTTTATCTCGGAGTGCTTTGAGATGTGGTGCCGCCGGAGATCGTGGGCGCGGGTAAACGTTTGTGAACATTGTTCACATAAGAAACCACCCGAGGGAGCTGGGATGAGCGGAATGTTCTGTCGGGAGGTAGTCAGTCGGGTCGAAAAGGCTACTTTAGACGGGAGGGATTCACCTGGGCAATCGGGGGAGGACCAAGAAAGGGGGTGCCATGGTGATACTCTGGTTGAGAAATGCGAGTGATGACAGACGCTGTCGTCGGCGTCGTATATGCCGGGGAGGGCACCTGGGAGCGGGACAGAGGACGCTGCTGCTGTTGGAGTTGCACGTGGGGACTGTATGGAGCGGTAGGTGACGAGGGACCGCTAGAAAAACGAGACAGAGTCGTATCCTGGACGATCCCGGTTGGCGTATGAATGTATGCGTAGCCGCTGTCCGTGTGCGGGAACGGAGCTTCTGGGTCATAGTCTGGCGGGTTTGTCCCCATGTGGAGCAGATTTGGACTGGTTGAGGCGCGCTCCGAGCGGTGAGAGCCATCATCCTCGTTGAGGATGGGGTGCACAAAGTTTGGACGAGAGCGCGAGCTCGACGACTGACTGTTTGGAGAACCGTCCATAGGATAGTGATTATGAGTAGAAAGATTAGAAATAGACGGATCTGGGAGACGCAGACGGGAGACTGGAGAACAAGTCGCAGACGTGGTCGGGGTCAAAGGTCGACGACGGGGGAGCAAAGGTGGCGATTAGAGTCTCGGGAAGCAACGATGCGCGTGGCTGCGTTCAAATTGCGTTTGTTTTATACCCTGGCGCTCCAACGGGCTCCTAGGAGCCTGTGCAGCGTGGCCGCTTACCCAATCCGTGGCGTCGTTGGGCGAAATCTGCTCGAGTGACTTCTAGCGAGTTGTTTTGGCGGAGATTGCCGGTCAGACGGACGCTAGCCTCGAGGACGGCGACATGCACGCCCTCTGGCTGGGCCTCGTTTGCCGTTTCAGCCCTTTGGATGTGTGCTCACGTTTGTCGTCTTTTCTCAGCCTCTGACCAGTCTCAGATTCGGATCTGACCCTTACGGGCCTTTTTCTCCTCGACCAGATTCCACTCTCCAACTCTATCTTGCCTCCCCTCGTCCCTATCGATGGATGGGTCTTTGAGCCCCCCCGCATGTTACTCACCGAGATGGTCGGTCGGTCAGTCGTTCCTTTTTGCCAGAGCCTTTGCGTCCTTGTCAGAACATGTCACTTGTACACTTTGCTTGTTTACACTTTCTGGGTATTCCGAGAGCTCTGCCCTCCTTTGGCTTCCATCCAACTCATCTGCCCCGTCTCCGACGACGCCCCCTCTCCAACGCCACCGCCACACAACGCTAGTCATACTCATACACAACGAGGTCCTCGTCGCTTCGGAACGGTATAATTGAATACGCCACAACCAAACGGACGGCGGCCTCGCGGGCTGAGATCGATGAGTGGTCGTTCATGCGCGGTGGTCATGCCGGCCCAACTGTAAGAACAAACGGTCAGCTGAAACCACACCGCAGTAGACGAAAAAACCCTGCGCACCTTTTCCAATTCTTTTACGACCCCATCAGTCTCCATCTTGCGTGCTTGAGCCCGTTGAAATCTGTACAATCGATCAGTCCCACAAGGCAATCCACAAGGCGGGCAGGCATGCGCCACGAGTACTCACTCGTCGTTCATCTGCTTCTCCAAGCTTTTCACCGCCGCTCGAGCCTCGTGAACTGCATGCCTGGCGAGCTCTAGGGCTCGATCCGCCGCAAGTTCGGCCTGTGAAATTTTTTTGGCAGAGATGAAATTCGAAAACAGAGTCGTCAGCATTCCAAGGAACAAACCACCTTGCAAGGGACAAAACGACTCCCCCGTACCTCGACCGCAAATTGAATTTTCTTCCGAGCCGTCGCAATATCTATTGCTCGTTCTGTTCCTCCGCCCAGCAAATCGTGTCCCTGGTGTCCATCCGACGCCCAGTCGCCACTCTCGTCCCGTTGATCCACGCCGTATGCACGAGAACTCATCCCAAGACCGGCTGTTCCAACAACTGCCTCGGTACCGAGCGGATTAGCACGAAGATTGTCTGCCTTGGCGGAAGGGTTGGTGTCTTGCGTCGCCGTGGCGGCGTGTAAGTTGCTCTTGTTCTTCGTGGCCACCGCATCAGGATCATCTCGCCAGTTCATCAAAGAACGTACACTTCCGTCTTTTGTCTGATCTCCGTTAAATGTAACATGGTAGCCACCCGCACCACCTCGCGCAAATGGGTCATCCTGGGCGGGAGGCGTCGGCGGAAGGGCGTGTTGGACCACATTATGTAGCTCTTGTTCTTCATAATCGTCGTTTCGAATGCTCTTTGGTGTCAATGGAGGCACGGGCGTGCTCTCGTTGGCGTCGGCGTTGTTCTGGTTCAGGCGCGAGGCCGAGCCAGCCATTGCCCGAGTCGATGCGTCCTCTTCAACCTGGGCTTTGCGTAAACTTGTCTTTCTGCCTGACGTCAGCGAGGCACGGCGAGCATGCGGGGATTTCTCGAGCTTGTTATGATGAGCATTGGTCGAGTCGCGCATGGACAGTGAAGAAAATAACGGCATGAGTCTAATACAGGCTGTATTAGCCAACGGATGCGGTCAGGATAGCCGCTTACCGTGCAGAATTCCTGGTAAACCGGCAGACCCTGCGCGCCACCTGCCCTCTTATGCGGGATTTCGAATGAAGTCATAGTGGCGGTTGACGAGACTTGGAATCCTGTCAACAAGCTCCCATGGTCTTATATCGAGTTTAATATAGACTACAGCGTCCCCTTGGTTAGTTCTTTCTCTCTCACAGGATTGTAGAGAATGGCAGGATCAGGATCGGGTAATCTCTTGCGTGATGCTGGCAGAGGGCTATCAGCCTTGACCAGATCACTCGTTTAATAGGGAACAAATTATCATCCTCGAGCGATTCCTCGGTATCAGACGCACCATGGGATGCGATTTCGACTGGCCTCTGTCGTTTCGTCGTAAATGTCTGAGCTACATTGAGGCGATATTGTGATTTAGATACCCCAATCCTTGCTCTTTTCTCTGTCGGTCAGGTCCAATCGACAAGGCAGGAGGCAGAAGTGCTCTCTGCTTTAGCCACCATCCCATTTCCCCGCATAGGCTGTCTCATCACGGCCTTGCGTCGAGCGCAACGATCAAAACCAGATCTTCATCACGAATAACAAACGACATTCATCATGCCTTACGAAGATGCCACCGAGATGGTGGAGGCCTACGGTCAGCTTACAGCGTGCCTAGTTTGGCACTTCGCGCAGCTTTATTCATGCTAACATGTTATTACTGGCTGGAAATAGACTTTCTTTTGAAATTTATCATTATCGGTCCGTATTTCACTGCTGACTGCCGTGTCGTTCTGCCCTGACGCTCTCTCGTGGATTCATGTTGGTGACCGACGTCCCTTTTATGCTCTTTGGATGCTACAGGAGAAGCTGGTACCGGCAAATCGTGCCTCCTTAATCACTTTATCCAGAACACCTGTACGCTTCAACCCGGTCTTGTGCTTTTGTGCGCTTGCTGACAGTGTTGATAGTCAAACAACACTCCCAGCATACAATTGGAGTCGAATTTTCCAGCCGGACTATCAACATTGGCGAGAAGCGCATCAAACTACAAGTGAGCCTGTAGTCGTGCAGCGGGTCATCAGAAGACTGACGGACATGCTGCGAACCGTCGATAGTTGTGGGATACTGCAGGTCAGGAGCGCTTCAGGTTCGTTTTGGGCCCAGGCCTTTTCGCATTCCAGAACAGGATCCTCAACCCCCTCTTTTGTAGATCCGTCACCCGAAGTTATTATCGCGGCGCTGCCGGTGCGTTGCTTGTCTACGATATCACAAAGTGGGGCATTCTCTCCAATCTGGTACCAGGGCGACCACTCATTCCATTCTCTTTCAGTCGACAGACATTCGAGGGCCTATCACGATGGTTGGCAGACGCGCGGGCCTTGGCAAGTCCTCAACTCGTGACTGTCCTTGTCGGGTGCAAAAGCGACCGGGAAGAAGATAGAGAGGTCGAATGGGCCGAGGCAAGCCGATGGGCGGCAGAAAATGGTACGCATTTCTTGCTCGTGCCTCACCATACGATCCCCAAGCTCAACCACAATCCCCTTTGCATATACCAAAAACCGGCTTCCGATACGATAGACCTTCATTTCCTCGAAACATCCGCGCTCAGCGGGGATAACGTCGAGGCGCCGTTCCTGCTTGCCGCACGCTCCATCCTACTCTCCATAGAGTCCGGCCAACTCGATCCGGAAAAGGCCGGCTCGGGCGTGTCGTATGGCGATCGCGGACTTCGGCGGATCAGCAGTTCATCTAGGATGAGCTTTCTTGGCGGTAGCGAGCGAAGGCGACGACGAGATACTATTCTGCTCTTACGACCAGTCAAGAAGCTCACTCGGGGTGAATGCTGCAACTGATTCAGGACCATTTAACCCACTTAACTTTTGAATTCCCGTACCCGACGTATCCGACTAATGCTGTCGATAATGTGTACAATCTGCCGCATACATGGTTCTTTTATGCAATCTCATCTTTTCTCTCTCTCTCTTGGAATGTATACCGCAATCAACTCGTCATATTTTAGGGCGATGGAGGCCGCGAGCGGGCCAAGAAAGTAAGAGTACAAAGTTGCCTGCTCCAAAGCAGATGAAACGCGAGATAGGAAACCACTAGTAACACAAACGAAGCAGAGGGAATACCGAGGGCGTGTATGCCACCCTCGACCGCAAAGTGGGCTACAGTTTGATGCGAGAACCGAATTTGTCGAGGGAAAAAGGGGGAAAAAAACGAAGAGTGGAGAAAAGACTAGCCCGATGATAGTCGACGGTAGTTCGTCGTATGTTGTCCATGAGGTATTAGAGCGAGTGTGATGTAAAACGAGTGGAATGGAGAAGAGATCGTCAAGAGTTGATCATAATATAGATGAGTCTGGCGAATAGGCTGAGCGGTAACGTAGTTTCCGGGCCGAAGAGGTGATAGGATTTGTCCGTAACGAAGTCGAATTGCGGGGTTGAAGTGTAGATTATGGTTGCTGGCCCTGTGGAGGTTCGGGGATGCGTTGTTGTTGGGAAGGTGTGACGGGCGTGGCTTGCTGTTGTGGCGATAGCTGTTGAGGAGTAGGGGGTTGAAGTGGATACGTTACAGGCAAGAGTGGGGGGATCGCCAGACTGGTTGGGGCCGGAGGATGATAGATCGTAGACTGAGATGGACCGGTATGCGTTAATGTGTACGCTTGAGAATGTCCTTCACCTGTTCTCGGACGTTTGAGCACTCTTTCTTCGTCGGTGGACCAAGAAGGCCGCTTCCCGAGCACACTCCCCCCGACTTGAGCAGAGTCGTAGGAGAGTCGCGTACGGCGCCTCTCCACAGGCGAGTGAGATAGTCTTCCTGTCACAGTAGGTGCAGAGGCGAATGGGGTCTGCGCACTTAAAGGAGGGTCGGCATAGGACGATGCAGAAGACAGTCCGCCTGGGGAGGAGCGTTGGCCCGCATAGCGAGGATAGAAATGGCCCTCTTTCGGTGGTTCGTATTCGGTAGAAAGCGGATGATAGGAAGTTGGGACCTGGGAATCGATTGGACCTGTGGGCATGTAAGTTGACTGATACCATTGAGATTGTGGTTGTGGAGTATATTCTTGTGATATGGTTCCTGGGTTGGAAAACGCTCTAGATCGCAGCGCGAGGGATGTAGCCGTCGACGCTGATGCGGATGCGGGTGTAGGAGGCGTAGCGCGATATCCTGTTCCCTGGTCTCCCAGATTCAGCGAGTATCCTCGTGTAGGACGCGAGCTCGTCGTAGCTGGTGCCGAGGCAGCAGCAGCCGGGAGCGGAGGGAGTGGCTTGTATCTCCATGTATCCCCGGGTGACTGCGTACTTGCTTCCGAAGGTGGCGGGAGAGAATACTCGTTTGAGAGTGACGTCGTGTGTGACGCAGATGAGTGACCATAGGAACGGGTGTCCTGTGGATTGTAGGGGTCGAAATATGTTTGGGGAGCGTATGCCGAGCCCGTGTTTGAGTGGCTTGTCTGGGGTCGGGAACCTGGGTTGGAGGTCGACTTTGGGTCGGGGTTGAAATAGAGGGCTTGCTCTGGATAATAAGTCGCCGGACGAGGATAGCCCAAGACCGGAGGTGGAGTAACGGTGTACGAACCATAGGTGGCCGTGGCCGGGGTCGGAGGACTATTGCTGCTGGTTGTTGTTGCAGTCATCGGAGGCTGTACACCCATCCTAGCGGCATGGTGTGCGGAAAAACCTGGCTGGCGTGACAATGGCAACGGGGCCGATGTTGTCGCTGTTTGGTGTGCAGACGCAGCCAGAGTGCCTGACTGGGAAGCCTTTTTCTGTTTCTGCCGCTGATTTTGAAACCAGACCTGTGCAAAACGAAGTTAGTGGACAGATTGACATCAATTCATCAAGGGAGCATCACGAACTTGAACCTTGCGTGCGGTCAGGCCAATTGCCCTTCCGACCTCCTCCCGCTCAGCGGTAGTGGGGAACGGCGTCTGTTAAATGTCGTAATATCAGTAAAGGTCTAGAGGACGACAAATGGCAGTGATCATCAACATACTCTGGCCAGCAACGCAAGAAGCACAGACGACTGATGAGATGTAGTGAGTGTTCGCGTTCGCTTCTTCTTTGGTGGTGGATTAGGAGCATTAGACGTGCTCGCAGCAGGAGCAGGCCCATCTTCTTGCCCATCTGAGGAAGCCGAATCGTGTCGGCTAGAAGATTTGGGTATATTATCAGTAGACGCGCGTGCCACGTTTTGCTGTATTCACTCACTGATGCTGTACATTCTCATCCGAGGAAATGGCATACTGGGCACTATGAGTTGTCGACTGTCCTGCGCCTGCGCCTGCACGTCTCGACTCTTCTTGGACCGTGAGTGATGTGGGCGGTGCAAATAGCGTATCCGAAAACGTCGCCACCTCTGGCTGCTCGAGTCGTGGTAGCTCAAAGATGGCATGCTGGCTCGGATTGTAATGCGGCAGTCTCGACGATGACGAGGGCGGATAGTGGGCGGTGGCGAGCATGGCTGTCGATGGCTGGTTGGCGGCTCGAGCTGCTCTTGGTGCGTTACGACGATGCTGGGACGGCAATGATTTGTCTGATGGCCGGTCGGGGCGCGAAGACATACGACCGCGCCAGACGAAGTGGGCAAGTCCCAACGCCGAATCCGTCCGCAAAGCCTCGATCGGGGCTTTAATACTCGCAGACGGTTCTCTTTATGCTCTAACAAGGCACTGCTGTGCCTCAACGTGGTACGGCAGGCGTCGTGGAAGAGGGCCAAGGGTAAGATAGCTGGAACGGTCAATAAACGCGTCAAGACGCGAAGGCCGAGTGGATGTAATATGTGGGCGGATTGTTTGAAGCGTGTGTGTCGGTGGCTGCGAGGCCGGGTGAGCACCAGCGAACAAGATGTAGCAGATAATGAAAAGAAGAGACAAGGAGCCACTGGCGAGGACGAGCGAGTCGTCGAGCCCGTCAGAGGGACCGGAATGGGCGGGTAGATCGATAGCTCGTGGTCTGCGTGGCAAAGCCCGCGGAACACAGGGGGGCATTTTAAGGTCGGGGCAAGGGGGGGGAGGGGGAGAAAGGGAAGGAACCTTGTCTATGGCGACCGTCTCGCTGGACCAATAGAAGTCACAATTCGATCGTCACCGTTGAGTTGAGCGAGCGACTTGTTTTGAAAGGATCAGGATTCAACCTGCGCATCTCGCCCACTTGTCGCGAGCGCCTTGCCCGTCTCTCGTAGCGACGCCCCTGTTGTCGTTTTGCCAACGATTTCCGCCTTCGCCGATGTCCAAACTATAAAATAAAAAATATTAGAAATAAGTCCCGACGCATCTGCCTACGTGATCCTAATCCGGAAAGCAGACTCTCACTCCAGTTCCCCATACGCACAGCGACCAGTTCGGCATCCTATACATTCTCTGATGCGCAATTCTCCATCGAACGCATGTTGGATACGCGTTCTTCTATCAGCCGCTCGCCTCAAAGTCCGGAGAGCACCGAGCACCATTACCGAGTACGGTTCATCATCGTCGTCTCGCGTCTTCTAGAACGAAGCACATGGAGAGAGGGGAGCTCAGTTAGCATCCCTCTCTACGAGGGATACCCGGAACACAACTGACTTCTGTGGCCAAGGCGCGGCAAAGAACGAGTCCGGTCAGGTGATCGTATATGTACACCCTTATACTCCGTAAACAGCGCGTGCATTCTTCCGTGAAATGGTTAGAATGTCGTTGGCGTCAAGGGCCATCGACGTCGACGACGAGGATGACGAGAGAACAGCATCGTGACCCAGCTCTACATTGACGAGCGAAGCCACAAACTCTGCAGTCCATGGAATCATCCCCGAGTGAGACAGGGCCAGCCGAACAGACTTTCCACTTGTCAGAGAGAGCGATTCATAGATGTTTGCAGGGACCATGTATCTGTATTAAGAGATCAGCCTCTCCGTCTACAGATTTCGGCGAAACTGGGGGGGCATCCAAAAGACTTACGGTGCATCGGTCTCGAGTACGATTCGCAGCCGTGAAACATCAAAGCTCGCTGGTTCGCCCACCATATCACGGATTACTTGTGCGGTATTCAAGTTGGTACCATATGTGATAACGCCTAGGTTGGGGGGCGGCGGCTGAGTTTCCCACAAATCATTAAGGTCAAAACGACTGCGCACCAGTGATCCCAATGTAAAGATTGGGAAAGTGTGTCAACAGATTGCGCGCCAATGTCGGACTGTCTGTAAAACAATGCACGTGGATCTATCAAAAGCACGCGTTAGCATGTCCAAGAGAGGACGTCGATGTGGGATTGAAACGCGTCACACTTTATGATCCTTGGGTATTTCCTCTTTCATGATACGTTCAATGTCTTCATCTGCCTCACGAGTATGAATCGTGATGGGTTTGGAAAGAGCCACGGCGTGCTTCAGCTGCCGGCGAAGGACTGTCTTCTGCACTTCTGCCGGAGAATTCATGTAATGATAATCTAACCCTGATAGGCACTAAATGGGTCATCCCCAACGGCTCCGACCACTTCGCTTACCTATTTCGCCCCAGCCACGGCATCGAGGATGTTGCATGGCGTTGATTCTATGAGTGGGAAATTGATACTCCTGGTACTTTTCATGATCCGAATGAAACTTACATGTCTTCCTCGACGGCGTCCGTATACTGACTAGCATTGTGCCTATGCACGCATGTCAATGATGCCCCAATGTATAAGAAAGAATACCGACGGATGTATTCCTGCGGGAGATTTAGGAGCAGCACATCTGGGCACTTTGTGAAACACACATACCCATGAGAAACCAGTACTCGACCCCACCCCACAAGGCGGCTCGACTTTGTTCCTCGAGGGCAGAATCTGCCATTTCCTTCCATTTGGGATCGATGGGGGCCTCGCACCATACGTCGATCAAAATGTCCACCGAGTGGTGTGGCTCCGGAGAAGACGTGCTGAGATCATGATTGAGCATGTGTTACAGGACCACGAATGGAAGAGTTTACCTTGCAGAATCGGCTTGTGACCGGTAGAAGCCGCGTACAAAGTCGTGGTAGGACTGATAGCCGTCTGGATAGACCTTGTGGTACGTCTCAAAGGTTGAAAGCAAATGCGTATGTGTGTCTATGATTGATGCAGGCTCTACTGTGTGTCTAGATGTCAATCCTTGGGTGACTCGCGTCCAACGTACGCTTTCCGGCTGCGAGCGAGGCGTGACGAGGAAGGTGGAATATCTCCTCTGGAATTTGTGGTTTTTTCTTTTTGCCCATCTTGTTCCACGTCGCGGATGCTCGAAACTCGCGAGGTCGAAGATACTGGTGGACGAGTGCAGAGGGCGCACGTGAGCTCGGAAGACTCCTAAAGGACTAGATTGTGCGTCTAAACCACCAGAAGATGACGAATGCTGGCCTTACAGTCTGTCCGCTGCGAGCAAATGCCCGGCTCGAGTGCGATATTGGGCGCATATGAGCAGCGCCTTCGGTGAATATGGGCTCGGGAAAAGGAGGGGCTACCAATCAAATGCACCGATGACCGCTAGGGATTCAGAAGCGGCCTAGGCAGTGGTGGTATAAACCGTAGTCCAAGGCTTGGACCACAACCAGCAAAGCCCTGGGATGCAGCCTCAAAGATGAACAAACAAGCTGCTCTCTTCGTCGTATTTGCGCTTGTAGGAGCGTATACGCGCGCTCAGACGGTGCGTATCTCCACTCGTGCTCCAGGAGTTCAGCGCGCCCTGTATTATGCTGGGCTAACAGCGCGTATAGACGACTGCGACGTGTAGTGATACATTTTCATGGGCAAGTCTACATTCATACGTAGTTTTTCATTGCAGCTGGCTGACCTGGAGAACCTGGATCCAGTCCTACAACTCACTCGGCCAACCGCCATGCCTCGTAGCCGCCCATCTCGGCCATCAATGCTCTCCAGAGAGTGGCAAGTCGTCGATCACACGTCCCTTGACTTGGGCTCAGCCGTTACTATAGCATTCAATGTTCCTCTCTCACCTCTGGCCAACGCTATCTCCCGCCTTCTGGCTCTCAAATCAACAAATGTCAATGGTGAGAGTATATGTTGTGTTACGTTTTTGGACGATCCTTCTAACCACTTGGTCGAACAGCTCGAGCGTCTACTATTCGCTCCTTTCGGCTTGTGCAGTGTGCCAGGGATCGCCGATTGGCACGTTTAAGGAATGGACCGGCGGGTGCTTTGATGTACTAGTCAGCATCGAAAGGTAGCAATCTGCCGACCCGTTGTCCGGCCACCCATCTAACCTAGTCAACTAGTTATCCCTTGGCAACGCCCAATGGCACGCAAATTCCGCCCTGGGCATTCATGCGGTTATCGAATGACGTGTTTTCCGTAACAGCCGCCGGAAGAAGTATGTCGTTAGTTTCCATCGCCGACCTCGCCATGGCTTTCTGATCGTCACACAGACGCGACTGGCGACCCGTCGTTTGGTGCCGAATCCCATTCAGGCTTATCAACAGCAGCGATCATAGCCCTTGCAGTTGGAACTGTCGTTGCACTGATCCTGGTCTCCATCGCCGTCTATATGTTCTGTAGGTTCCGGCGCAAGCACGCCCGCGGTAGCCCGGTAGGAGGGCAAGAGAGTGGCACATCTTCCCTGAATCCAGACTCTGCACACAATCGGGTTCGCTACGGCCGGATTGAAGGCCCGCCGCGCAAGGAGCGAACATTCTTCTCCTATTTCCAACCGTCGGCATCGAAAATCAAATCATATCGTCCAGGTCTCAATTTTGATCTCGACAAGGGCCGTCGTGGGGACCTACTCGAACTCTCCGAAAGCACAAAGGCTCTCAATAAGAGACTAGACTCGAGCACTTCCCGATTACCTTCTTCTCACTCGGGCTCGGGAACGACTACAAGGGTCTCCATGGAATCAAGCGTCAAGCTTGCAAAAAAGAAAGACGTACCCAAGGTATTGTCCGACCCAAACGTCTCTGCGACCCAATCGTCCACATCGCTATCAAACCTCTTCTCGCGCCCGAAGGAAGTCAAGCATCACAAACGGGATACGCGGCTAGACTTGGCAGAAGATGGGCCGGATCCTGCACCCCGCGCGTCTCGCGATACCTCTCGCGGGTTCCAGGATGACCACGAGCGACCTCAATATCCCATCTAACGCGACAAACTATCATTATTATGAACTTGCGTGCTTTCTTTCGTGCTTTCCCCCCTCTAGCATTAGCTTTACGCACGGGCATTTCGCGTACTTAATGTAAATGCAGCTATATCGACTTGTATCTACCATCCATTGACTAAAAGATCACTGGCATTTTCAGTTATTGCGCGTCTTGCTGAGCCTCTTGGAGCGTTCGCGGGAACCAGCCGTTTGTCGCAAAGCTGACTTTAAACTGTCCCATTCGCGTCGTTTCAACGTGTACACCTTCTGCTTCAAGTGCCTCTGCTTGTCGTTGGGCTCCAGTCGTTCCAGGTCCCCGCGATGATATGGCCCCTTGATAGAGAAGGTTACAGGATTTATAAGCAAGAGGAGTGCGCACCTGTTGATGAGACGATTCGTTGCCACGGAACGTCGCTGTCTTCGTGAAGAATCTTGAGTGCTGTTCGGGATCGTTTGTATGCTATCGAATGTGGCAAGAGCGCGTCAAGGCGAACCTGCACCGACGTGTCGAGAGTGTCTAGGCATTCCTACGAGAGCCGCAATGTGTCCTTTTGTTCGTTAGAGCCGGAAATTTCACTAAATTTGTTGCGCGTGTACCATACGAGGTTACTTTTCCTTGAGGAACGAGTCGTACAGTGTCGTATACCTACTGGACATGAGAAAAATAGGATTGAAAGACTAGAAAAGTCTTGACTTTTTCGTAAAACTCGGCGAGGTCCATGGTGGGGCGGAGCAAGCTTCGTACTTTGAACTCTGCCATTACGATGCCTCGACGCGCAGATGTTATGCTCTCGTCGGAGCATGCAGAGACACAGCAAGATGGTGTTCTAGAGGGAATTGATCATTACCAGCTCCCTCAGTCGACTGTCACAAAGATCGCCAAATCTGCGGTACGTTTGGTAGCAAAACAGGGAAGGATGACATTCCGACGAGGAGATTGTACGCGAATTTGGTCAAATTTGGTGATTGCTCTTGGTTAGCTTCCCACCAAATGCAAAACTTCAGAAGGATAGCGTACTCGCCCTCGTCAAGGGGTCTACTGTATTCATAAACTATATTGGTGAGCTAAGCGCTATTCATACATGCTTAATCTCACTCGTATGCACAGCTGCGGCGTAGGTGTGCGTTTCCAGCCTTGGGCCCCACTCATAGGCCAGCTAGAGCACAAGAGGTCGCATTTGCTCATGGACGTAAAACCATCATGTCTTCAGATGTGCTTCAGGCTCTGGAGCTGACCGAGTTCGGCGATATGGTCCCTTCACTGAACAAGGAGCTAGAAGGTGGGATTATCCAGTCCTCGCCTTGGTATAATGTCGATCCCTGTGCCCTTCAGAGTATCGTGCTCGCTTGAAGAAGAATCCACCACCCCCAAAAAAGGATAGCGATGCAGCCGCCACTGCTGCTCCAGCCACAAAAGGGAAAGGACGTGTATCGAATGGGAAAGCAGCACCTACGGTTCCGGCAAATGGAGTCGAAAACAACGACCCCGAGGAGGAGCCATTCTCAGAACCTGATATTCCTGATGGACCAGAGGAAGACGAGGATCTCGACGAGGGTGAGGAGGCTGAACAAGAAGATGCAAAAGATACAGCCATTGTAGACCAAATGGAGGTAGATGACCAGGAGCTCGCGGTAGATGCTCGAGGAATTGAAGCAAAACCGTCACAGGAGAGCGAAGGGGAAAAGTAACTAGGTTTCCGTCTCTTCTGCTTATGGGATTATGTTTCTTGGGAATAAATATTGCCGTGGGTCTACTGGATTGCAGTGCCACTCAGGGCAGAAGCGGCGGCGATTCTTTTGTGCGGCTCGACTATGTAATTCGACTGGGCGTAAGGACTTGGACACATCTTGGCCAACCCCACGTCCTCGCCATGTCAGACGTTGGATCCAAGTTTAGCAGTGCGTTCTCAAAGTTTTCCAGCAAAGCATCTCGTATCGCGACTGGCGTGAGCAATGAAATTCAGAGTGAGCTCGTCCTCGGAGATCGCCCAAGTCCGCGTCTTGTTTGATCTGTACTGATGTACGAACGGAACAGGCATCGTGAACAAGAATCGTCAGTCTACATGCTCTCGTCTTTTCACCCTTTGTCTCACCACCCGCACTCTTGGCCAGATCGTCACGATGAAGCACACGAGATTGAGGCGGATAACATCAGGTAAGTACTTAACGTGGTATCTTGTACTTCTTTTCACCGTACTTTCTAGAACGGCCATCAACGAGAGTCATCGTGAGTCTCGGTCCATGATGTGAACAGCCGCTTGACGACGCACAGGCTTCAAATCATTCTCCAATATGCGATCAGACAACTTTGTAAAGTGGCATGTCGACGGTAAGGCGATGCTTATTCTGTAAACGATGCTCAATGTGTGTGTGCAGGTGCCGACTATTTCTGGGCTGTGTCCGAGATGCTCGAAGTAAGTCCTTTGTCTCTACGTGATATCATACTAATGAAATATCTTCCCTGCAATGTCACTGTGAATAATGCACAACCACGGATGTTCAGGCCGCTACCGAATGTATCATGATTCAGGACTGGTGGCTGACACCAGGTATGACCTAACCGATCCTCAGCAGCGTCATAAAGTTCACCCGGTGTTCTAGAACTCTACCTTCGTCGTCCCCCCGCGAAGTATCCCGAGTACCGAATCGATAGGATTCTCAAACGCAGGGCAGAAGCGGGTGTCAAGGTCTACGTGATCGTTTACAAGGAAGTCACTCAAGGCCTAGCCCTCTCGTCGAGGCATACAAAGGTTGGCTCCGACGGATACGAATCCCGTACTCTTATACGTTAATAGCATCATTTGCACGATACGCATCCAAATATCGCTGTCATTGTATGTCGGCCGAGATTTTGCTGTTTGTTTACTGACCAGTCGCGTGTAGCGCCATCCTGATCATATTGGAACTGGTACGTAGGTCCCTGGAGCCCCGTGTTGAGCTCATTTCTTCTAGTTGACTCTACGAGGATATGGAGTCATCACGAAAAGGCGCGTATCCTGATTACAAGTCGCAATAAGGCTCATTCCATGTAGGTTGTCATTGTTGATAACCATTTCGCCGCTGTTGGAGGACTTGATCTATGCTTTGGTATGCTCAATACTTTCAAAGAACACGTACTAATCGTGTACAGGTCGCTGGGACAGTCACGCACAGTGAGCTTCTAAGTGACGCATTCCTTCCTACCCTGACTTTATCAAGTCCCCTTGCCGATGTACACCCTACCGACTTCTCCCGAACACTCTTTCCTGGCCAGGAATATAACAACTCGCGAGTGAAAGAGTAGGTGTGACTGGTAGCTGGCGAACTGTACTTATTGCTTTAGTTTCTTGAAGGTTGATCATTTCGTCAACAATGCCGTTTCAATCATCCAAGTATGTATTTTCATATCTCCCATGTGTCCAGCTAATATAAATCAGACGCCTCGAATGGCATGGCATGATGTGAGGTCTCTTAATTCGTTTCAATTTGCCTGCTTATCCTCTATAGGTTCATATGACGCTCTCTGGACCAAGTGTTCTTGATATTGTTCAACACTTTACTGAACGCTGGAATGAGCTGAAGCTTCGCAAGCATAAGGATGATTCGTGAGTTTGGCGGCTTTTTTTCCGAGTATTTATGACACCATATAGACGCTTTGACTGGCTTGCATATCCACACGACAAATTGGTAGCTCCCAACGAGCCCGTCCACCGCCTCCGCCACCGCGATGAGTGGCTTGAAAAGGGGCGTAAATTCCGTCAACGCTTCCACAAGGGTCCTGAATGGAAGCCAGTGGCCGACGATCATCATCACATGGAGCCTATGGGAACCTGCAAGGTCCAGGTCGTTCGCTCTTGCTCCGACTGGAGTCATGGCGTCCTCAAAGAGTCATCTATTCAGAACGCTTGTAGGTCATCTCAAGTCATGGGATTACAGAACTAATGTGGCCAGATCTTGAGCTTATTCGCGAGGCTGAACACTACATTTACATTGAGAACCAATTCTTGTGAGTCATGCTATTGAACTTGGAGCACTTGTTCACCCATACTCTTCAGCATTTCTAATACGGGGGATTATGGACCAGTTCAAAATCGAATTGCTCAAGCTCTTGTCGAGCGAATAATTCGCGCTGCCAAGGAGGGCAAGCGATTCAAAGTCGTGGTCCTCATCCCAGAAGTACCAGGTTTCGCAGGTGACATCGCTTCCAGCAATGACCTGAAGACAATTTTGGCGGCGACTTGGAGGACGATCAATCGTGGAGGACACTCGATCTATGTAATCTTCTCTCAGGACGAGCGATCCAGTCTTTCTGACGTCTGCTGTAGGAAGAAGTGAGAGCCGCGGGCTACGAGCCGAAGGATTACATTCGTGTATATCACCTACGATCCTATGATCGCATCAACGCCCCCTGGCCATCCTTCATCTCGGAAATGGAGAAACAGAGCGGCGTCACGCTTCATGAAGCTCAAATCGCTCTTGCCAAACAATGGGTCGGCGAACCCACTATCTGGAGTCAACCAAAGATTGGTATTCAGAAACCTCTTCCAACCCAGGAGGGTATCGTTCTTGAGAATACCAAAGTAGAAGTAGAGGAAGTAGAGTTCCCAAAGACAGTCGAAGAGGCGGTCGAAACAATACGCAAGTTTGAAAGCGCAGCAAAGACACTTCGTCCCGATCACGAAGTCTCAGACAGTATTGCGCATCATGCAATGATTGACGACACAAGCTTGTTGGATGAAAAGTGGCTCGGTACAGAGCAAGAGGAACTTGATGCGTAGGTAGACTTTTGGCCTTTGGATGTCAACTAATCATTAGCTAGATATGTCTCCGAGATCCTCTATATCCACTCAAAGTTGATGATTGTTGACGATCGTCGTGTTATCTGCGGTAGTGCCAATATCAACGATCGGTGTGTATCCAGTTCCGTCGCTGCCTTGCTAACAAACCTATAAAGTTCTCAAAAGGGCAATGGAGATAGCGAGATTGCTCTCGTCGTAGAAGACACGGATATGATTGACAGTTTTATGAACGGCGAGCCTGTATGTCACATCTATATCTGCGTTCACCTTGCTCACAAAGATTATAGTACCAGGTCGCTCGTTTCGCCACCACGCTTCGTCGTAGGCTTTATAGAGGTACGCTGTTACCTCCCTCTTCGTTTAGTTTCTGACCAATAGCAGAACATCTTGGTCTATTGAGGTGTGAACCAGTCGATGAAGTCACGGACTTCAAACGGCCTCCTCCCATCCCGAATCCAAATGAGATCGGAACCGAAGAGGATAAATTGGTTGCAGATCCGATGTCCGAAGCGACGGAGCACCTCTTGAACAGCACAGCGCAGAGGAATCGAGCAATCTTCGCGGAGCTCTTCAAGACTGTTCCCTCCGATACTGTCAGAAACTTTGATCAGTACAAGGTACGGAATCTGATCAGCTTCTTGGCTGTCGCTCACGCAAACCAGAAATATGTTCCCAAGTCGATGGTCTGCCACCTCGCTCCCGGACAGTCGCTCGAGCGAGTGAAACAGAGGCTTTCTGAAGTACGGGGTCATGTGGTTGAGTGCCCGTTGGACTTTTTGATCGAGGAGACGGATCTGTGGCAAAACGCGAGTTGGAATGGGCTCAATCCGACATTACAAGTCTTCATCTGAAAAAGGGATTAGAAGGACCGAAAGAGAATCATGTGCTATAGTTGGAATGAATGCCTATCAGTTTTGCGAGCTCTAGAGCGCTCCCCATTGGTTCCGCCGAGGAATTGAGCTTGGACCCAACCGTCGTTTGAAGATGCGTATCTTGCCTCGAGAATTAGATAAGCTGCTCCTGCATCAGGTATCACATTCTATACCGTTATCGATGATGCCTAATCATGTCCATAGGCCGGCTCTCTGGCGCAAAAGCGGTTGGCCAGGGGCTTGAAACTAAACTTGACCGAGGCTACAGCCCTGATTGCATCTGTACTACAAGAGAGAATTCGAGATGGAGAACACACTGTTGCAGAGCTTATGCAACACGGCAAGAACTTGCTTGGACGTCGCCATGTCCTCCCGGGCGTAATGCACCAACTTCACGAGATCCAGGTTGAAGGCACGTTTCCGGATGGCGTGTTCCTCGTCACTGTTCACGATCCAATCTGCTCGGATGACGGTAATATCCACAATGCGCTCTATGGATCGTTCCTCCCTCCGCCTCCCAAAGGAACTTTCGCACTCCCTGAGCCCGAGCCTCTCACAGAGGTCCCAGGAGCAATCGTCGTCAAAACAGATTCACCAATCCTGTTAAACGAAGGGCGTGGCCGTGTTCAGCTTAAGGTCACGAACAACGGGGACAGACCTATTCAAGTCGGGTCGCATTATCACTTTATCGAAACCAACAAGGCACTCACATTCGACCGCGGCTTAGCCTACGGAAAGCGGTTAGATATTGCCGCTGGGACGGCGGTTCGCTTCGAACCGGGAGATCCCAAACTTGTAACACTTTGTGACATAGGCGGTCAGCGTATCATCTCTGGAGGCAATCGAATCGCCAGCGGTCCTGTGGACTTGGGAAGGACTGAGGAGATCGTCAGTTCACTCGTCCAAAAGGCGTTTGGTCACGTTCCAGAACCTGGAGCTTTGACCATCAACTCGGAGACAACCATCAGTCGCGAAGCGTATGTCTCTATGTTTGGGCCAACTGTTGGTGATCTCGTCCGCCTTGGAGATACACCATTGTGGATCGAGGTTGAGCGAGACGAGACTGTATACGGAGATGAATGCAAGTTTGGTGGAGGTGAGACTGAATAGTTGGTCTGTATAATCCATCTGATGCTCGATAGGCAAGGTGATCCGAGAGGGCATGGGACAGACTACTAATCGGCCAGCATCTGACTGTATCGACCTTCTCATCACGAATGCTTTGATCGTCGACTGGTCTGGGATCTACAAGGCTGACATTGGTGTCAAGAACGGCCTCATCTGCGGCATTGGCAAGGCGGGGAATCCAGAGGTGATGGCTGGTGTGCATGAGAACCTCATTGTGGGCTCTTCGACGGAAGTGCTCGCGGGGGAAAAACTCATAGTCACTGCCGGAGCAATCGATGCACATATTCACTATATTTGTCCTCAGCAATGCGAAGAGGTGAGTGAAAGGCTATGTGTCCCTGTAGCTTTGCTTGACGAGAATCAGGCTATCGCTTCTGGTGCCACCACCTTTATTGGAGGTGGAACCGGTCCCTGTGCTGGGACGGCTGCAACGACTTGCACGCCGTCACCATTCTACATGCAACACATGATGGCAGCAACAGATACGATACCTTTGAACTTCCTTTTCACGGGTAAAGGAAACGACGCGGGTCCAAACGCTCTCGAGGATATAGTCAAGGCTGGTGCTGGTGGTCTCAAGCTACACGAGGTGAGTAATCTCACATCTTGGTGTCATACCTGACACAGTGTAATAGGACTGGGGATCCACTCCCGCAGTCATCACCAACGCTCTCGACATTGGGGACAAGTATGATGTGCAAATCAACATTCATACGGACACTCTCAACGAAAGTGGATTTGTAGATAGTACCATCGAGGCCTTTGGAGGTCGAACTATCCATACCTATCACACAGAGGGTGCCGGTGCGTCAGTATCTTCACCACTTCTACGCATACCAACTATTTCAAAGGTGGTGGACATGCTCCTGATATTATTGTCGTTTGCGAGCACGAAAACGTCCTACCCTCTTCAACCAATCCAACACGACCTTTCGCTCACAACACTCTCGACGAACACCTAGACGTAAGGGACATTTCTGTATACTGTATAGACCTGATCGCGGCCTCAGATGCTCATGGTGTGCCACCATCTGGACAAGTCCATCCCCGAGGATCTTGCTTTTGCAGAGTCACGCATTCGGGGAGAGACCGTCGCCGCAGAAGATGTATTGCACGACATGGGTGCCATATCCATCATTAGCTCCGACTCCCAGGCGATGGGCCGTGTTGGGGAGGTCGTGAGCCGAACATGGCGAACTGCCGCGAAGATGAAGGCGCTTCGTGGTCCGTTGAAAGAGCTCGGTGACGGTGAGGGAAACAAGAATGATAATGGCCGCGTCAAGCGATATATCGCCAAGTATACCATTAACCCGTGAGTATACTTACAAAGAAAGGGGCATCTCGCTGACATTGGCCAGGGCATTGGCGCACGGAATTTCCCACCTAGTTGGGCATGTCTCAGTCGGGACAATGGCAGATCTTGTGCTGTGGAAGCCTGAAAACTTTGGGAGCAAGCCAGAGATGATTCTTAAATCCGGAGTGATTACCTGGGCACAGGTTTGTTCCGTTCCAGTTTGATAAGCCGCGCTAACGTCTCCCGTAGATGGGGGACGCAAATGCCTCGATTCCGACCGTCCAACCGTTTTACTCTCGACCAATGTGGGGTTCCAAGGCTGCATCTGCTGCTCTGAACTCGGTTACTTTTGTGTCGGAGATTTCCCTCTCGTCGGCACGATTGCAAGCTATAAACTCTCGAGGCGGTTCGAGGCGGTCAAGGGCTGCCGGACGGTGAAGAAGAAGGACATGAAATGGAACGATGCTACACCAAAGATGAGGGTAGATCCGAATACATATGCGGTGCATGCCGATGGAGTCCTCGTCGACATCGAGCCAGCCGTGACGGTTCCGCTCACCAAGTCATACAACCTGTTTTAACCTTGTTTTTACAAAAAATGCCATTCGAGTCACGGCCCGAGATTGGTGCATAAAACGGCGCCCATCAAACCTAAGGCTCGGGCCCAACCGTAAACCAAAGTCCAATTACGAGTGGCATTCCTTGATCTTCACCTCGTCGCCCTCCAGAGTCTAGATCAACATGGTGTACGTTCTAATATTCCTGAAAAATTGATTTTTGCTCACCGATCTCTCCCTGGACAGTAATTTCACCGTCGGTGCGTATCGCCAGTGGCATCGTCGAGCTCGCAGGCGCTGACTGACCTTCTAGACCAAATATGCGCCCTCCAGGCGAGACCTACGAACATCCGTAACATGTCTGTGATCGCTCATGGTCCGTACTGCGTTTTTTAGACGTCGTGGCCACCGTTGCTGACTGAGCCACTTTCGGCCCACAGTCGATCACGGCAAGTCGACGCTCACAGATGCACTGGTCACAAAAGCTGGTATTATTGCTCAGGCAAATGCTGGTAACATGCGATACACGGATACCCGCGACGACGAAAAGGAGCGAGGTATCACCATCAAATCAACCGCCATCTCGATGTACTTTGAAATCGACAAGGAGGAGCTTTCCGCCATCAAGCAAAAGACTGAGGGTCCAGAATTCTTGATCAATCTTATCGACTCGCCCGGTCACGTCGATTTCTCGTCCGAGGTCACGGCCGCCCTCCGTGTCACCGACGGTGCCCTCGTCGTCGTCGACTGTGTAGAAGGTGTCTGCGTACAGACAGAAACCGTCCTTCGTCAGTCGCTCACCGAGCGTATCAAGCCTGTCGTTATCATCAACAAGGTCGACCGTGCCCTCCTCGAGCTCCAAGTCTCCAAGGAGGACCTCTTCCAATCGTTCTCGCGTACCATCGAATCCGTCAACGTGCTCGTCTCCACTTATCACGATGCTGCTCTCGGTGACGTCCAGGTCTATCCCGACAAGGGTACCGTCGCCTTCGGTTCAGGTCTCCACGGCTGGGCCTTTACCCTCCGCCAATTCGCCACCCGCTACAGCAAAAAGTTTGGTGTCGACAAGGAGAAGATGATGACCAAGCTCTGGGGAGACAACTTCTTCAACCCCGCCACGAAGAAGTGGTCGACAAAGGCAAACGACGCTGATGGCAAGCCGCTCGAGCGTGCCTTCAACATGTTCGTCCTCGACCCCATCTTCAAGATTTTCGATGCTGTCATGAACTTTAAGAAGGAAGCTATCGCCCCTATGCTCCAAAAGCTCGAGATTAACCTCCTCTCTGAAGAGCGTGATCTCGAAGGCAAGGCATTGCTCAAGGTCATCATGCGCAAGTTCCTCCCCGCTGGAGAGGCTCTTCTGGAGATGATTGTCATCAACCTTCCCTCGCCCGCCACCGCCCAAAAGTACCGTGTGGAGACTCTCTACGAGGGTCCTATGGACGATGAGTCCGCCATTGGTATCCGTGACTGTGATCCCAAGGGTCCTCTTGTCCTCTACGTCTCGAAGATGGTGCCGACCTCTGATAAGGGCCGATTCTATGCCTTCGGTCGTGTCTTCTCTGGTACTGTCCGCTCTGGACCAAAGATCCGTATTCAGGGTCCCAACTATGTCCCAGGCAAGAAGGACGATCTCTTTGTCAAGAGCATTCAGCGAACAGTCTTGATGATGGGTCGCTATGTCGAGCCTATCGAGGAGTGCCCTGCTGGTAACATTGTCGGTCTCGTCGGTATCGATCAGTTCTTGCTCAAGTCGGGTACCCTCACCACCTCGGAAACTGCCCACAACATGAAGGTCATGAAGTTCTCCGTCTCGCCCGTCGTCCAAGTCGCTGTCGAGGTCAAGAATGCTGCCGATTTGCCCAAGCTTGTCGAAGGTCTCAAGCGTCTGTCCAAGTCGGATCCTTGCGTCCAAACCTGGATTGCCGAGACTGGTGAGCACATTGTTGCTGGTGCTGGTGAGTTGCACTTGGAGATTTGCCTAAAGGTGAGATTTTCGGATTGGTTTCGATAGCTCGCGTCTAATACTCTTCCAGGATCTCGAGGAAGATCACGCTGGTGTACCTCTCAAGAAATCGGATCCTGTCGTCGGTTATTGCGAGACTGTCCGTGCCGAATCGTCGATTGTCGCCCTCTCGAAGTCGCAGAACAAGCACAACCGTCTCTACGTCAAGGCTATGCCTATGGAGGAGGAGGTTTCTCTCGCCATTGAGAGCGGCAAGATCAGTGCTCGTGAAGACTTCAAGGTCCGAGCTCGTGTCCTCGCCGACGACTTTGGATGGGATGTCACCGATGCCAGGAAGATCTGGACATTCGGTCCCGACGGCACCGGTCCCAATCTTTTCGTCGATGTCACCAAGGGTGTGCAATACCTTAACGAAATCAAGGATTCGTGTGTTGCCGCCTTCCAATGGGCCACCAAGGAGGGTGTGTGCGCTGAGAGAAGATGCGTGGTATCCGCTTCAATCTTCTTGATGTCACGGTATGTGTTTATGTCGTCTGTCTTGATTGATTATTGAATAGTTGATAGCTCCATGCCGATGCTATCCATCGTGGTGGTGGACAGTTGATTCCTACCTGCCGCCGTGTCTGCTACGCTGCGTGCCTTCTTGCTACACCGGCGCTCCAGGAACCCGTCTACCTTGGTAGGCTCTCTGTTAATCATCAATTTGGCTCATACTGATTGCCACCAGTCGAGATCCAGTGTCCTGAAAACGCCATTGGTGGTATCTACTCGTGCCTCAACAAGCGTCGTGGTCAGGTCTTCTCGGAGGAGCAACGACCAGGAACACCAATGTTCACAGTGAAGGCCTATCTCCCAGTCATGGAGTCGTTCGGCTTCACTGCGGATCTTCGTCAAGCCACTGGTGGACAGGCCTTCCCGCAATCCGTCTTCGACCACTGGGAGCTTATGCCTGGCTCGTGCCTCGACAAAGGCTCCAAGGTTGAGGAAGTCGTCAAGAGCATTCGTCTCCGCAAGGGTCTCAAGGTTCGTTTTTCCCGTGTACGCTCTGGAAACTTCTCTGACATTGAGTACAGCCTGAGATACCACCCTCGATAACTACTACGACAAGTTGTAAAGGATTCAGTCCCACATGGATGAGTTCGCTCCACGAGGGCCCTCGCAATCTTCACCCTTTTCACTTTGTACTTCTTTGCGTTTTGAATATACGATTTTACGATTAACGTGATTATTCTCCTGTGATCCGGCAGCTCCTCACGAATACAGGAACATTGTTTCTTATCGTGTATCTATGCGAGATCCCTGTGTGCCTTCACCCAATCTTGAACCCTGCCATGTCGTTGTTAACCCATGATCATGAAATAAATGGTATCAATACACCCTTGGGATACAATTCTCGACTGACGAGCTTATCCTCAGGCGGTCGATGGCCCAGTCGTCCGCAGTCAACGTTAGAAGCCGGATCTTGTGTGGCAGAAACTGAGGACTGCGTGCTGTTGCGCGTCCCGGATGAGGTACTCCTCGTCATCTCGACCTATCTCGATGTGCTCTCGCTGCAAAACATGGCACATGTAGCGTACATTATTGCCCACTCGCTCGCGCTGGGCTCATAGTCTCGACAGACATGCAAACGGCTTCTCCCGATATTTCACGACGAGCTCATTTGGGATCAGCGTTTGAAAGATCTCGTCGCACGACGTCCCGTGCCATTGCGCGATCGGAATTATGGATACAACGCTGTCGCGCCAGACTTGGCGCCAGAGGATGTGAGGAGGGCAGTATTCCGAGCCACGCGACTTGATTGGGTGTTTGCTCAGGAGGTCATGAGACCGATACGTGTTGTACGCTCCGTTGTAGACCCTGTGGAGACTGGAGATGCATCCGACAATATGCCCAGTGAATCGGAGGATGATCTCCAATGGTGAGTTACTTTTGTTTGTAAGTGTATGAAAGGCTCACAAAATGCTAGGATATGGAACATGGATCTCGACGACGTTTTGGTGCACTATTCCCAGAATAACTGGTTTTCGTGCAAAATCAAAAAGACAGGAGAAGTCATTGCTTTCAAGACAACACATCGCCTGAGCTGCTGGGACTTTAGCCAGGACATAGAAGGCCTCACCGTGGTCTTCAACTTTAACGACCAAGACACGTACGTCGCTTTACCTGCTTATTTTCTCAACAACCAAACACCCCCCGCCAGCGACAGGAAGATGCAGATTTATAGGATCACGTTCGCCGACTCTTCTTGGAAGCTCATTTGGGATCAATGGGACGCAACCCGTCAGGGTTGGGTTCGCAGTAACTTTCTCGAGGACGACATTGCTGGATGTGTGATGACTGGAGGCATGCATACGTTCCTATCATTGCACGTAGTCAACTGGAGAACACGCAAGTACGCGGTTATAAATACTGGGATCCTTGTATGTTACCCTTTACCGTTGTTTAGAGTCGCTGATAGGCAATCGCAGTCACCAGTCAACTTCTCGGCCTCCTCCACTAAGCAACATCTCTTGCTGTGTACGGAAAGGATGGGAGCCACCGAGTCATGGACATACGAATTCTCATTCCTCAAGACACTTGTAGAGCGAGCCGAATCTGAAAATATGCCGTACGAGGCATTGGTATTGCCTCAGTTTCATCACCAGACACACTACACAACTCAGGATGGGATCACAGAACGCTGGGATGGGCGCATCGTACCAACCACAAGAGGTACCTGGCAGGCCGACAAGTGCATCTTCAATATTTTCCACAGTGAAGGTATTGCACGGGAGTGTATAACTTGGACGCCTATATGTGATGGTACCGATATTCCACTCGAAAGCATGATGGCCTCGAGCTCAATCGAGGAGCGGGAGCCTGGAGACAACCTACCTTTGACAAGACACTCCAAGTCGCTCTCCCGGCGAGCATACGTCTACCATCTCCCAGAAGGATGGATAGTGTCAACAGGAAGTGGATGGTATGGGCTCTATACGCTTGGACATAGCGGAAAGCATGCAGTGTGGGTGGAAGAGGAAGAAGAAGGGGACGGAGAGGATACACTCGTCTGTCGGCTCGCCTCGTTCGATCACAGTAACCACTCTGCAGATGAACCTCCTTCCAGCAAAGTATCAACTGTCGTGGTCGACGACGGTGAATTCGATTGGAGGCGGATATCAAAGGTTGACCTGGACGACAATGCTGGAGTTTTGACATGTGCAACTAGGAACGAAATCTGGAAACTGTATTTTTAATTTGAACACTGCGAGTTTGGATTTCGCCTGCTTTGCGTGCTCTTGCCCATAGAACTGCGCAGTGGTTTCAAGTTTTGGACACAAACCACGGGAGGCCGAGTTTGCAAAGAGGCGCCATTTCCATGTCGAGAAATCGGACAAAATACTATGGAAACTCGGGGCCTCTTTCACGCGTTTACAGCGCGTTTCTTCACCAGGTCTCCCGCCTCGACTTTTCCCTGTCGCCCACGGTCACCATAGCCAAGCTCAGAGCCCACGAATTCACAAGGGGAGATGTTGTATATCTATTTCATGCCGCTGGAGCTCTCTTCTGGCTGTACATTATGGAGAAGCCGCCGTTTCCGATCAAGCTCGTTATTCCAGCACTGTTTACACTTGGAATGCTGGTGCCGCTGACGAGCCAATTTCTCCTCCCTGCGATCCCCGTACTCGCATGGGTTCTTACTTACTACTCCTCGCGCTTCCTCCCGCCCTCGAGCCGCCCGCCCATCTCCGTCACCGTTCTCCCGACGCTCGAAAGCGTCCTTTACGGCGCAAACATCTCCGACATTCTCACCAGATTCACGCATCCAGTCCTTGACGTGATCGCTTGGCTGCCGTACGGCGTCCTGCACTTTTCCCTCCCAGTCGTTGTCAGCATCCTTCTATGGCTCTTTGCACCAAAACCAGCCCTCCAATATTGGGCAAGCGCATTCGGATACCTCAATCTAGCTGGAGTACTTTGTCAAATTGCGTTCCCATGCGCTCCTCCGTGTTCGTCTCTGATCGCCTTTTTCGTGGAAATTTGCTCACAATAGATGTAGGGTACGAGCTCATCTACGGCCTCACGCCGGCAAACTATGGCATGCCAGGGTCTGCGGCTGGATTAGCGCGAATAGACGCGCTGCTCGGCGGCACGGGCTACCAAACCACCTTTTCGGGAGCACCTGTGCCATTTGGTGCATTCCCTTCTTTACACTCTGCTTGTGCGACGATTGAGGCTCTCTTCGTCTCCCATTTCTTCCCTTCGTTCACCCGGTTCGCCTGGGCGTACGTTGCCGTGCTGTACTGGTCAACAATGTACCTCGCCCATCACTATCTCATCGACGTCGTCGCCGGTGCATCCCTCGCTGTACTCTGCTTCCATCTCTTTATGCCCGAATCTCTCCGTCACCTCGAAAAACACCCCACATCTTCTGCAAATGGAAACCGAGGGCGCAGCAAGTACGAGATTTACGACCTAGAAGACCGAAGACGGAATCGTGGAATCGTACCTGGCAGTCCGGAATCGAGCTTGTCTTCAGGAAGGCATTCGATGACTCTCGAGGACGAGGGACAGGACATTGCGGTCCAGTATGGCGGGATGATGAGCCCGAATCCACCTGATTCGGCTGCGCCGCTTATCATGCCCTCACCACTTCCAAGGGAAGTCAGACAGTGGAAAGGCGTTGGACCTGTGCCCGCGTCCAAAGCGGCACATCGCCATACAGCTAGTATTGCGAGCCTTATTCGAGCAGATGACCGCGTCGAGGGCGGTTGGAGTCCCGTCTCGTCGAAGCGTTTTGTATTCCCACCAGCAAAAGGGCTTAATGGAGCTTCGGGATCGTCGTCTCGGGAACAGTGATCCCTTTTAGTTTTACAGTCGTGTACGGTACTTGCACATTATTTCATCCTTATTGGGACCACCTTGCTTACTCGACTTATGTGCCAATGAGATGAAAATTGGACTCGATTACGGGTATTAGGTTCCGTACGTTGTTTACAAAGGAAGCAGACACAAAAATTCAGTCTAGTGCGGATTAATTAAAGCTCGTGTCGTATCGTCTCGCGATCCCTTTAGGAAGGGGACCAGGTCGGATCCTCCAGTGCCTTTGGCCGTGGCTGCAGAGGCCGCAGCCTGAGCGAGCGAGGTATCACTACGAGGCATCTGATTGATGATGTACAACGTTGCGATGCGAATATGCGCATCCCGCAGACCCTTGAGGGCCAGCACCGCTGCGTCGTATGCGTTTGTAATGGGCGAGGGCTCTGAGCCTGCCCCGGTGGTGTGGTGAGAGACGAGGGTTCGGATGGGACGTGGAGTAACTTTCAGATGGTTCATGAAGGCTCGGTGATGGCGTGGCATGTACGCGAGCATTCGGTCGAGGAAGCCCTTGGTCGGCTTGCTCGCACCGTTGGCGTGCATTGAACCTGAAGCGTTGGACAAAGGTTGATCTGTCGTTGTTGTCGGATGTGCTGGTCGACGTGGTGGTGTATGATCTACTCCGAGGAAGATGTCCAATGCATGGATGAGCGAACTCTGACCGGCACTAGGGCCCGAAAGTTCCCGGCGGTCTCCGAAATCAACTTCTTCTCCGTTTTCGTCGACGAATATCCATCGTCGTTTCCCACTATCTTCTCCTCTCAGCCATGGCCGCACGTCGTTGAAGAAGATTTTGGGTTCGCATGCGTCGCGGACAGCGTCGAGGATCTTGGTCATGCGTTTGATGACCACGGCGAGTTTGCGAAGATATGAAGATATGCGGCGGAGTGCAATCTCGTCGGCGACGAACGCCTCGTCAAAGCAGCGTTGCATCAATCCGAGAGCTTCGACACCCGCGAGTTCGATGTATGCCGAAGTGAGGTAGAAGTGTTCTTCGTCCTTTGTTTGCGTGAATGTGGTGACGCTTTCTAGCTTGGACGGGTCGCCCTCTGCATATCGCCAGTTGTAGAGGACAGTATCAGAGTATGTGAGTACCGGCGGCAGTATGAGTTCCCGTGAGATTGCAAGCAGAGGTACAGTCAAAACTGCCGGGATAATGATTGGTGTCGGCGCAGGAACGTGCGTGTGCACGTAAAAGTGTAGTATCCACGCCAAAACGAGATGCGCACGGCGCAAATTTCGTTCTGAATTCTTCAAGCGGTGTGTTCCTAGCATTGGCATCTAGATATATGAACAAAATTGGAATCAAATTTGTGTATTCCGCCACTGGGCTGGGTACGTACATTCTGGACCGCCTCTCGCCACTGCAACGCTCGATCCGTCTCCTCGGGCGTAATATCCGGAGTATCGCCAACTGTGAAGCGAGCACCGATAGCGACCTGGAGAATATTCTCCCATGCATCCCATTCGGCCGGGAGACGCGCGACTGGTGGTTCGGGCGGCATGAAGCCACTCCTCCCATCCACGTCCCAGCTCTCTGCAGCAAGGGTTGGTGTCGAGAACTTGCGGCCTGAGAGGGCTCGCCTGGTAGTTTGGTGAGATCCGAGGGCGGGACAAGACGTGCCCCGCAGCCAACTGCGTTGCTGGTCGCTGAGAAATATCCATGATAATTTACACAAAGAAACTGGATCCTGTCAAGGTGGTAGTTGGGGATCAAGATGCGTTGGCTGGGTAGCACAAGCGACCAAGGGGAATGCTGAGCTGAGCGAAGGGTCGGGACCATCCGATGATCCGGGGACAGCTTATTCACGCGCACAGTTGATCAATTACCAAAATAGGCAGCACGCGTAGATTCGACAACAGAAATACATGAGCACGTCACAAGGGAATGCTAGCAGCCTAGCAGCAAAGTCGTCACAAACACACAAAAAACCTCAGAAATAAATACCGGCAAGATGACGGTCATCGATCTGGTCCGTTGGTTGAGTACACTGGCCTCAGCTACTCTCTTCTTCTTCCTCATCCTCCTCCTCGACTCCCCCCAAAACGCGTTCACGGCCAGGCATGTGATCGTCGTCCTCTTCTTCATCCTCTTCAACTTCATTGCTGCCCTCAAAGATAACGTGATACTGGTCATGCGCGAATCAGTGACGCGCGGAGCGCCGGAGTGGTCAGACTCACGTTGTGGAGCATAAACTCGATGATCCGGTTTCCACACTGAAAGCCGGCGTTCATTCCCTTAACACCATCCTTTTCCGGTGGTGTTAGCACCGTCTGGGCAAACACGAGGGAAAATTGCTTTTCCGCCATTCTTGTTTGGTCCTCGTGTTCGCATCCTTCACAGAGATGACTAATCAGGCGTTTGAGAACATTGAAATGGGCGAGAGGCAGTTTGAGCACAGCTTGTCTCATCAGTCTGGCCGTTTCCGAGCGTTCTGGAGATTCTACACCAAGATTAGACTCTTCCGGCTTTTTAAAATATCACTAACGAATTGCATCAATGACCATCCAGAAACATTCGCCAGGAACTAAGCCATCAGGGATTTCCCTAATCCACAGTTTGACCAAGGAGCAGACGTTATGAATGTCCTCCTCATAGAGATTAAGAGAGACACCTATGAAATGGTCAAGATAGTGTTTGCTATCGTGTATCGACTCACCAGTGTTGACTTGAGCCTTGAGACGATCAATCCGTGCCTTGGAGCCAGGAATGCGATCTGTCGAGCATGAGTGTGTTTCTGCAGGAGAGGAGGAGTGCTAACAGATCCCGTCTTCCACAAAGCCTCGGTTCTCAATCTCGGTAAGACACTGATGGAGGAAACTGGGCACAAAGTTGGGTTGAATAGAGCCATATTCCCTCTCAATCAAGAATTCCAGAGGAACCGCAAACACTAGGACAAGTAAGACTACGCTCCATGCCACATGTGAGACACGTACCAGCTGTGGGATGCCTTCCAAGATTTGGTGTCCGATAAAGGTCGGGAAGTGTCGTATTGAGGTGCGGTCCGACATACGTTCGGCGTTTCGCGGCTGTATTCTTCCCAGTCTTGGATAACTGCGCCATCCAGTTTTGCATCTCCTTTTTTGTCGTGGCCTGGAACCAATATCTCGCACCATCCTCTGTATCCATATAGAAGACGAATGGACGAGGACTTTTAGTGCTCTCCTCAACTCGGGCTCCCGCGAGGTCGATTGTAAATGCGGGTTTTGTGGTCGGCATAGCGCTTAGCTCCTCCAATGTCCATTTTTTGGCATCCATTGATTCGGTGATCGGTCCACCACCAAAAGGAAATGCTGTTGATAGCGGACGAACGACGCGCATAAATGGATTGAGACTTGTGCGCTTGCCCTGCTTCGTCTTCTTTGCCACCTCCATCGCCTTATCGTACGGGACACCTTGCTTCTCCTTTTTATGCTGCTCCATTCGCTTTTCTCGGAGCAACCGTTCGCGGATATGTCGATCTCGCTTGTTCTTCTCTTGCTGCAGCAAGACGACTTTGGAAAAAGGTCGAGGATACTTTCGACTTGTCGCTCCAGAAGGGGCCCACGCGTTCTCTCGAGAAGCTTCATCTTTAATCTTCTGAGATATTCCTACGTTTCCGTTGCTCTCGAATAGGATTTCGACAGCCCATTCGTGCATTCGTGACAGGCGGCTCATGTCCATCGAATTCAGCTGACTTCGGAGCTTGGAAGGCCTCGTCATGGCAAGTGTAGGCATGTTGAGGATGAAGGTATGCAGTTGCCTATCATAATGTCAGACTGTCTTCTACAGCCTATTAAAACATACCTTCGCTTCTCGAAGTTAATGACAGGGCCCAACGCGTCCGTAGTATTCACCAACGAGTCTGGCATGCTGATGAGTTCGAGCAGTCGTTCCACCATCCAGCCAAAGTCGACAGCTAGCTTGAAACCTGGTTGGAAGGGGAGTTGGTCCCGGCTGACCGGTCGGACGAGTGCTTCCAGGGAGTCTACGTTGATCACTTGATTACCAAGGGCCACTTGGCGTTGTGCAGCGGTGTGGTACCAGGCACGGTGATACATTCTGCTCTCCGGACTGAGTATCGCAGCCGTGAGGACAGTCTCCACAAAGGAGCGAATCACCGGAGCCCCGTCCTCTACACCATCTGTCTTCGAGGAGAGCGCCCTGCAGAGATCGAGAGCCTGCAAAAACTTCTCCATTCTCCGTTGGCGCATTTCTATAGGAATGGCTGGCTGGGCTAAAACGGCGGTGGCCCATTTACGAGCTTGATCAAAACAGTGAAGCATGGAACGAATCGATGGTTGCGCCAAATTGATGAGACGCGGGGTTGGTGGGAAATCTGATAATAATGGCGATGGTTCAACAAGGGTGAGATGGTTATAGATATTCTGAATAATCATTTCGTCTTGCGAGAGCGTCGGAAGGTCAGTGAGCAGTATCCAGCCCGTTTTATCTTTGGACTGAATCTCGAGAATCTCCATACACGACACAAGATCCTGAAGGATAATAAGCGTTGACATCAAGGTAATAGACCAATGGACTTGCCTCTGCTTGCAGCATTCTAATACCGACGGATCCAATCGCATCGAGCTGTTCGATGAGTTGCTGCGGTGACAGTGCGTCGGGATCCGGGAGCTTGGGACCATAAGCACGGTCAGAAGTCTCGTACGCGCCGCTTTCATAGGCCGACAGATGTCGTAGAGGCGGACGCTTGGTCTGTCTTCTGAAAATGGTATAAAGCGTCTTCCGCGCATCTTCGACTTCCTTCCATGTCACTCGATCTTGTTCATTGGTAAGTGCAGCCGCAGGCGTAGCCTGTTCCCTCTCGTTAGTCAGCCAAGAATCGACTTCATAATAGAGGTCAGGCTGGTCAAGAACATCCACGACGCCTCCACCGTCCATGAGCCACTCATTGACGACAGTAAGGATGGCCATCCGAAGATTAGCGTCGGCAACGAGCTCTTGTGAGCTCAGTGTAACTGTTGCTGGTGTAATGGTCGTGCGATACATCCTGCGCAGCATCTGAGTAGTGGATGTCAGTACCTTGAAAGTTGAAACATCTATTCCTCACCGCAATGAAAGTCTCTGGTGTCATAAAACTTCTATACGTGCTCCACCATGTCCGTGAATAGTCATCACGATCCAGCTTGAGTCCTCTCGCTCTGCGATCCGTCAGCGCCATCTCCCCATTGTCGTCTGATGTAGCCGCGAGAACATAATCCAGTCCTCTGACGAGAACATCGACTAGCTTCTCGATCGTACCCCCAACAATCACTACTGGAACTTGTGGGTCTGCCGGAGACTGTGCGACGCCTTCCGCCTGAGCAGCCTTGGGCCGCCCATTGTTGAGCAGAGGCATCGACTGCCGCCTCGCATTGCTCGACTTGCGTTCCAAAGTCGACGCTGCCTGTGGCTTTACGCGAATGGAAGGCGCACGACTCGGCCTTCGAGACAGAGAGACGGCTCCACTGTCCAAGAGGCTTGTAGGACGCGAAGTCGACTGCTTTTCCTTTACGACTCTGACAATCAGCTCTCCCGCAAAGAGGCGGAAGGTCGTATTGTCCAGTTCAAGCCCTTCACGACTACTCCAGTGAGACTTCATTTGCTCCGAGGGGAAGAATTTGAGCCTTTCCAAGTGTTCGATCTGGAAGTCGTGTGGCGTCGGATTGCCTTGTTTATCAAAACTGTCTTTGCGACTTCGAACGAGCTCAGATCGATCTAAAAAGGCGAGGGAGGGGAGCGCTTCCGGGAAGGCAAAAGGAACGAGGGCATGTAGATGGTAGCTTGCGCTTCTTGGTTGGTGGAAATATTGTGCCAATCGACCAAACTGCACTGGCTCAGCCTGCAAGGATTCTGCGATGTACTCATCGATTCTAAAGCAATTTGAGTAAGAAAAAAAGTGTCGAGAGCAGTATTTAGAAACCTACGGCTTGATGGAGAGGATGTCTCGAGCTGAAATAAACTCCCACAAATGGAACAGATCAAGTACGTCTGGACTGGAGACTTCAAAATCGTCCACAGAAACCTTGTCAAAATAGTCTTGGACGGTCTCAATCGTGTCCAGAATGTTCTTGAATGTCGCAATCTCACAGGGGCGTTGATTCTACACGAGTGTCAGATGCGTGCCTCGAAGGGTAGACAGCTACCTACCTGGAGTTGCTGGACATTCTTCTGAAATCTTCGAGATGGTTCAGTAAGCCAAGGGACCTGATGTTGAGCGGATCCCATCAAGGGCACATCTCCTCTCACCCATGCCTCGAGTATCTGTCGCTCACGAGGCTCCACCCGACGCCACGCCTTGTCGAGACGTGCAATGGGCTTCGAGACAAGAGCAGTAATAATGGCGAGCCAAACGCATTCGTTTCCGGTGAGCCTTGCGTGATCCGCCACGCAAATCCACTTGCCGAGGGCACTGGCCCGTGTATGTGTCGAAGAATACGACACTGATCCGTCTGATCGCGCGACAATCTGAGTGACGATAAAGTGCGTAAGCCAATGCGGTCGGGCTCTGCTTTCGGAAAAAGCTGGCCAAGGAGGACTTTGATTCTGAATGCAGCTTAGAATGGGATGCGCAGTAACGAGTCCTCGCGACATGATGGCATCCTTCATGACCAAGAGTTCGAGACTCTGTGCGAGGGTGACAACGTCAATAGACAGAAGTCGTTCTCGACTCATCGTGCCCTTGTAACGAAGGTCTGCCAACAGACCCGGGTGCGCATTATCTCCGGCGTCACTCGAGTAGGATGTACTTGGCTTAAGCGCGGGCTTTTCAGTTGGCGACTTGGGCGCTCTTATCGGTGACGTTGGTAGCGGCAACTTGAAACTCGGGGGTTGGGCCTGACGAGGCGTGATCGTGAGAGAAAAGGAGTGGACAAAGGTTTGAAGGTTGGGAGGGAATCCGTGAGGGTGATAATATTCAGCGTAAAGAGTCAGTATCCATTCGACCCTCGCTTGTCTGTGCTGTCGCACATCGTCTTCGGCGTAGCGCAGGTAACGGTCGAGAGCGGCCTGGAAGTCCACCTCGAACTGATCTTGACCCATAGTGGTGGGCATAGAAAGAAGCGTGCGTCGAGAGAATTGTTTCCACTCCCAGTCGAGGTCATTAGGGAATGTTGCCGCAAAGACAACCTCGTAAAGGAGCGCTTCAAAGGAACCACCGACGACGATCCCAGAATGATCCAACAGGATGTCGGGATGACGGCCAGGCCCCCAAAATAGACGCCTTTTCCGCCCTTCACCCCTGGTACTGGAAGTATCCGAGAGGTCGTGAACTCCAGGACTGGGAGGTTCAAGCTCTTCGGGACCCTCTTGTCCGAACTGGATAGGGAAGAGGTCCTTGATAGCATTTGCTTTCTCACCAGTCGGCTTGTAAAAGTAGAGCTTCGGTCCTCTGATTTCGGCCTTGTACGCTTTCCAGTTTTTGGAAAGGTTGCGAAGACCCGTGCCGACGTTTCGGTTCAGGAACCCAGAGTGATGAATCATCTGAGAGGCTCTGCGGTTCTCCTGCTCAGCCTTTGCCTGACTTGTCGGGGGTGCCTTTCCGCCGCCAAACGAAAAGGCAAAGGTCGGAATGTTCCCACTCGCGTTGGGTTTGTGCCTGCTTTCTTGCTGTTGAGGCGCGTTGTTGACTGCAGAGAGTGCATTGTATGAATTTGACCGATTGTGAATCGTGGTAGATGCCATGGAAGACGACCCGATGACAGGCGAAGAGCCGGATGGTGGGAAAGCAAAATTGGTGCGTTCTTGGGCAGAGGTCGGAAATGTCGGATTCATAGGCGACGAGCTAGCAGAGTGGGCACCACTTCTGCTGGTTAATGGCGAGGGGACGTCCAATGGGAGGGTAGGAGTGCCAGGATTCGAAGGAGTGAGCATATTGTTGCGATACGCCTCGATACGGAGGCCATTCGAGGGTTTGCGCGCCCTCTCGATGGGTGCTTCCGGCCTTCGACTTCTGTCCGTAGGTGTTGGAGCGTACGCGTCCGAGGCCTCGGTGCTATTGAGCATCGCGCTCAAGTCATCTGCCGAGTGCGCCCAGGGTTTGTGCGATGTCTTGCGAAGTTCATCAATACCCTGTCGTTCTGGCAATGGAGGTGCCTCGCTGTTGCTCCTGCGGCCCGCTCCAAGATCTGCGACGGATCTATTTGTGTATGATCAGCCAGTCTATCCAGACCGGTGGGGTAAAGGAGAACATTACCGTGCCGCTTGATGGCCGCCCTGCGCGTATGGATTGCTCGACGTCGACGTCTTTGTGAGTCTCATATTCGTTGGACCTGAGATGTTTCTCTGACGCGGCCGTGACATACTCTGACGCGGTGGACTGTCCGACGTCGCTGGGTCGAGTGGCTGCTGTGGGCTGCCGGGGGGCTTTGCATTTTGGTTTCCTTTGCCAAAAAATCGGGCTCCTTTTGCAAAAAACGAGGAGAGACCTGTGGGTGTGGCCTGGCTGCGGCCTATAGGAGACGAGCTGGGGCTGCTCCCGTCTGGAAAAGGGATCGCGCTCGCTGGTGGACTCTGTTTGGGATAGTATGCTGGCTGTCCTGGCTGTCGTCGATGCCCATCCGCACCGTCCCCGCGCTCGGACATGGCGCGGTTCAAGTTGCTACCTTGGAGTCCAACTGTATCCGGTGACATGCAGACCCGTCGGTTGCATGTCTCTGGGCTCACACCTGCAATTTCTCAAGCAGATCTCACCGCCCGTTTCAGCATCTTTGGCACCGTAACTGCCATCGACGGTCTTGGGACTCTTGATGCCCTCGGCCAGCCTCGCAAATTCGCCTTTGTCTCGCTCGAGACAACGTCGGACAAGTATTCGAAATGTAGTTTTGATATCTTGAATCAATCTCGTTCTCAATCGTCGCTCCAGGCCTAAACGTCTTGTCCGGTTCGACCTGGAAGGGTACCCGTTTGCGCATTGGAGAGGCTAAACCAGATTTTCAAGCAAGGTTCATTCTTTTTCCTCGACATGGACGCGTTTTTCATGTCGCTTATAGGCTCGAAAAGGAGCGGCAGAGCAGGACGAGCGGCCAGAGCAGGACGCGGCCAACGAAACCACGCCGTTTGCGCGGGGTGCAAGGAGTACAAAGCAAGGATATGAGCCTCATAACGCTCGATAATGTTCACCTTCGTCGTGTGAGTGCGTTGCTTTGTCTCAGGATGAATACCAACGCATTTCATTCAGGCATGGAAGAAGACGGCACTGTCTCACCTGGTGAGACCAATGAAAATGCGCCCTTTGCATCCCATCGAACAACCCTCGAGTACCTTGCCCTCTACAGGGACGCAGAAGAAGAGGCGAAGGACGATCATTCTCACCCGAGCCAGAAGACGAAAGATCGACCCTACTCTGTATGGGCGCGTTCATCTGACAGAGCGCATGCTTGAAGCCGAACATATCATCATTCCCGTTGCGCAACGGCATTCGCAGGCTCCGCCACCCACAGTTGATTCAGTCCCGGCTGTGTCTGTTAACTCCGTCCGATCTGAATCGACCAAGCTACCACGAGACGAGATAGGGACAGCTTTGGAAGAGGAAAAGAAAAAGGACTTAGGCATCTTGGCGGCTCTCTTCAATGGCAAGGACGAATGGGATGGTCGAGAGAGCGATGCACTGGAATCCTATGACGAGGCAACGAATAAAGAACACGGCGAACTGTCGCCGGATGGCACAGAAGATTCATCTGCTTCAACTCATTCCGATGAAAACGACGCTACGCAGACATCAAGCGACCATGAGGCACATGGACAGTCAAGGGAGCCCACCCCGAAAACCAGCACATTGAAGGACATCTTCTCGGTAGATGCCGCGACAACTGGTAAGGTTTCCTGCTGCATTCCACCAGTAGACTTACTAGGTCGCATCAACAGGGCCAACCTCCATCCTCGCGGGGCTCGAACTCGAGTTTGCGGAAGACGACCTCGACTTTGACGCCATGCCGGTGACTATTGAACCCCAGTCGATATTGGTACAGTCTACGGTTCCTGTCACGGTCCCGGTGGATGACACCGCTGAGCGGCGCAAACGAGGCATAGAAGCATTGCAATATTCCAATGCGAGACCATACTTTTTCCCACTCGGCCGTGATGAACGGAGTCGCGGCAATCTCAAGGACATTTTCGCAGTCGCCGATGCGCAGAATTGGACTAGGGTGCTGAGTAACCCGCTGACAGCGTGAGGTCCCATGTGCGCTGGGTGGTAATTTGTCTAATATTTGGTACAGAGAAGAGGTTCGACAACGCTGGGAAGCTGACAAGTTGGCGCTAACAAGGGATTGGAAACAACGCTATCGGGAAGCCAGCAAGAAAGAGCGGCGTTCTGGGCATGTGGAAGGGATGGATTGATTTCTGCGGGCGTAAATTACTAAATTATGCTCGCCCGACAGCTTCCATGCACCGCATCGAGTGTGGCATCAACCCCCACTGTCAACGAGATGACGAAGAATGGTCTGCCGAAAAAGATGCGCGTGGGATACGTTTGTACTTTTGGGTCTAGAAGAGAGGAAGAGGTACTAGCGATGGGATCTCGCCTGCCTTTACTGGGACTTCTGACCTCGTCTGTATCCGGTGCTACCACGTTATTAGACTTTACCACGGGTCGTGCTCGAGAGGTGGTGATTGATGGGCAAGCCAAAGTTCTGGACACCGTCTCGGGCGGAGGTGTGCAAACGGCCGCAGGAGAAAGGGTTTGTGACCGCTTCTGCACTAGATGGGCATCACGGGCGGGTATATTACGAGCTCAAAGTGTGAACCGATGAATGGCGATGCGACGGCTCTCTGCCGGAGCTGCGAATGCCTTCGCCGACAAAGCAAAGGAGCGATCATTTATCCAGGAACTGTGAAATATCAGAAATTACGATCCAACATGATTCCTGTGCAGCCACTTGGGGGTCGTGCTGGTCGTTGCGAAGCGGGAGCCGGATGCCATCAATGCTGTCCATCCAGGCTCTCTTCAGTTTCTGTCGTCCCACTAATGGCAGCCATAGTTCAGTCCTGGAGAGCACAAACTCGATAAATATTCACCGCATATTATGCGCCTTTGCGGCGCTCCTCTTTGTCCTGCCGCGCCTCCCCACTGCTCACCTAAATATGCGGATACAAAATAGATCGCCCGTGGAAAGCAAAGGTCCTTGCTCTGCCTGGCACAAATCTAGCGACCCTCTGTCAGCCTCTAGGACCATGCCGTCCGTGCTCGGCCCAACAACACGCTCCAATCGGCCGCGGAAGACACCAGACACCCCAGTGAGAGGGAGGAGCAAACAAGGATGCTGGACTTGTAGACTGCGTACGAGACAATTTCAGGCGAGAAACCCCGTTGAGACTAACATCTCTCACCTAATAGGACGCAAAAAGTGCGACGAGCAATGCGACGACAGTTCTGGCCAATGTCATACTTGTAAAAGACTGAAAATCCGATGCATCGGATGGGGGGATACCCCTCCAGACTGGGTCAAAGTATGTCCCCTCGTTGCGGTCAATGGGACGTTCCTCATCACCCCTTCAGAATCCTGATCACGTCAAAGCGTTTAAAGATTCCATAAAGGGGAAAACCTTGTCCCACATCCGCTCTTTCAGTGCGCCATCGATGGACACTGCCTTTTTGGCACCCAAAGACGTGGACGAAGAGTCACCCAGTGAGGACGTTTGCGAACAATGGTGGGCTTTGCTGACGATGGAATATTAGCAGACAACCCTACTGATTTCCGCAGTCCGCAATCCGAGAGAGGGGCCGCCTCTTTGCCAACAATTTCGCCCACCCTCCCAGTCCATAAAATGGTTGAAAGCGCAAAACGGCGATGGAGCTATCGCACCTTTGTTGATACGGCACAGGTCCTATTCGGAAAGGCACAAGTGCCTCAGGATTGCATGCTTGCCATTCAGCAAACAGTCGAGTTAGGCCGTTGGAAGCAAAACGAGCTCGACAAGTGTCTCAGCTACCGTACTCTGGCACGATGCGCTCTTCATCTTGAGAGGTTGCTGGATCAACGGCTCCAATTGGCTCTGTTGCACAGCTCTGTGTTGCCTGCAGAGAATCCGACCACCAAGGTTGAGAAGAGCGACTTTCTCCAGCTGTATACGCATTTTAACGAAGATGACATGCTATATCAAGGCACGTTGGAAATATTGATGCAGAGTCCGGCACTAACTCTGGCCCTAGGTGGACATTCTTGGTCTGGCGGTGAAAGTTATGTCTCGCTGGATGATGTGTATCCACCATTGGCCCCTTCTTCACTCCTAATATCATCAAAGTCGCAGTCCCAGGAGTTGGAGAGCAAAACCTTGCCAAGTGGGGAATCGCCTGTCGCGTTGCCCTATTTGACAGCGTTGCTGTTTCTACACGCCGTAGTATCTGGGTTTAGCCCAAATGTTCCAGAAATAATGGAGACGACCCAGCGTATCCTCGTTATCCTGAGGGCGCCAAACCAGAACATTACTCTCTTGCAAAGACTGCCTGCTACTGCGCTGGTAGCACGCCTCTCCGAGGACAAGCACGCCAAAGAGCTGTTTGATGACCTTTTACTGAGGCTAGAAGACCCAGCACTGGTCCAGACTGCGAGGTTGTTGTCGGGTCTAGGTGAACCGGCGGAAAGCTCGCATCTGTAATTTATTCCTTGTCCCTGCACACTGTTCATGTAGCCTTGACGCGCTGATCTCTCTCCTGTGGCATAGTATTTGGTCATGTATCTTATTTACCTCTTGGACTCCGTTTCCCTTTTTCCTGGCTCTGGACAGACCACTATGCGATTAGGAAACCCACTTTGGGTAAATAGAAATGTCTTTTCTCGACTCTCTCCGCGAACGAGACCATGCTGGAAATGGCAAACCTCCAACGCAACACACTCCAGACTTTACACGACGGAGCCCACCCCACAGAAAAAGTTTCCGACGTTTGCCGATGAAATGAGAAACTTGTGGAAATGGCTGCGAAACTTTAGAAACCCGGAAAAGGACCGATCCAAGGACTGGATCCTCGGAAACGAAGTCGTCGTATTCCACCTCGCACGGCCTCACAAGCTATATTCTCTCATGAATGTATTCCCCTTTGTCGCCATTCTGTGGGGGTAAGAGCGTTTTATGTTGCATAGAGCATTTCTCTGATGCAACCGCAGCGCTGCTCGGCTGGACTCGCTTTGGTCAGTCCAAAATATACGTCCGACCAAAGAGTGAGCAGATTTGGAGTCCACTGAGCTGTCTAACCTGCTCGTAGAGACGCCGCTTCTGGCCGACTGGCCGAACCCAAACCTCGAATATCTGATCAAACACGACGCACAGGGACTGCGTCCGCGTTTTTGATAGTGTCTATCATAATTGGTGGCACTCTCTTTTTCCAACGCAAGATGGTACGCACCATAACGTTTAGAAGGGATAAGCCAGTGCTTTCCAAACCCACTCGTGCTGCTCTCCCACCAAATGGTTTGAAAGACGATCGATCTATGATCATTCTTCAACCCTTCAGCGGCCCGCCAATAGAGGCTCCCATTGGAGAGTGTGAGCTCTACGATACAGATAGTGAGCGACCGTCACGAGCAAATTTGAGACTATACTGATACTAGTACAAAGCTAGAGACCGTTTGCTTATTGGAGTGCCGGGCAAGGCTTTGAGACTTCTCGTCGACGTTGACGGTGCCGAAGTCGGCATCCCTGGAGAGTCGCAAGTCGTACACAGGTTCGATAAAGACGAATCTGGTGTGCCCTTGTCTATGGAACAGAAGAATAAGCAGCGTTTAGATGCAAAGAATCTTCTGGGACGGCTTTGGGCGACGTACGAACGAGGAAACCTATCGATATGAACAAGTTTTGTTTGCCTCCGAGTATCTATTATCTATCATGCTTCTATACACCGCTGCGCGTACGCCATACTTGGTACCAACCATCTACTTCTCCGACAGTACATGTATAGTAGAAGCTCTAAGGAAACCTCCCGGACACCAAAGCGCCAAAGTTGTAATAGACTTTTCGACGGATATAACGGAAGAGAAGATGGACCAGCAAGGTGAGAAGATGGACCAGGAACGGAATTGTGCGCAATTGTCAAGAGGAGCATAAATACTCCCGAGCATTGTCTCGATCCCTCCATTAGTCCTTGGTTTGTTGACTTGAATAAGATGGTCCAAAAGGCGGTAATCGGGGTGGTAGCCAGCCTGTCTGCCTTGGGTGAGTTTGTTCCAGCGCCCGCTTCCGTGCTCAATCGCTGACGACGAGGGCAGTATTTCTCATGGTTGCCATTGTAGGATGGAGAGTATTTTGTGCTCGCGACACGAGACCTCCTGGATCCAAAGGCGTAGATCTTCTTCCTGTCAAAGCACGACCACCGGTCCGAGAGTCTGGACCAGGTGTTGGATTATATCCACCTGCATAGATAGTAAGAATAGTATCCATCCAAATTCCGGTCAAGCCAGGGGCTGTGCTTCTTCCCACTTTGTACCCGACCGGCGTGAACAGCTCGAGTGGCGCGGGCGGGCTATAATAACTCTTTGTTCTCCAACCACATCCAACACTTTTCTCTCGATTCTCTAAGCAATGTCCTACGGACACGTAAGCTTGATTCCATCGCTGTCTGCGACGATATCAGTAGATCTGACGTACTGGTCTTGTTCATAGTACGGACCCCCAAGTGGCCCGCCGCCTAGCGGTGGCTATGGAGGTGGCCATGGATATGGTGGACAAGGGGGACCACCAGGAAACTATGGAGGTGGTGGATATGGAGCTGGCTATGGCGGCGGCGGAGGTTTCGCTGCGGGCCCTCGTAACCCTCAGCCACCACCTGGTGCTGACCCTCAGCTTTGGCAGGTAAACTGCATTGAACTTCTATACTTTCCTCTTACTGAAATTTTGGGGTATTAGTGGTTTACTGCAGTTGACGCTGATCGATCGAATCACATCAGCGGTATGAAGCCAAGTTGTTTTCTCAGACATACATCTTACAGCTCTTTATAGCCACAGAATTGCAACAGGCTCTCGTCAATGGCGATTGGTCGCGTGCGTCTCAGCTTGCTCTTGGCAATTCCATATTCACCAGTCTTGCAGCCTTTGATCTGGATACAGTCAAGTTGTTGATGGCAATGTTCGACACTGATCGCTCTGGAACAATTGGTGTGTAAATGTCCTCCTCTAGAAGTCACCGCTAAGAGGTCACAGGTTTCCAAGAGTTTGCTGGACTTTGGAACTATATCAAAGAATGGTGACTCAATAGACTCCCAAATGAAGTACCTCAACTCAGGGTCTCATAGGCAAAATGTCTTCCGCCACTTTGACAGAGACCGTTCGGGCTCGATTGAAGGCAACGAGCTAAAAGCCGCACTCTCGCAGTTTGGATACAACCTGAATCCGACTCTGCTCCAGCTCCTTGAGCGCAAGTATGGTAAGCCAGCTTCTTTCATCGCAAATACTATCATGCTGAGTTTGTGTCTTCTGCCCAATGGGGCAGTTTTGCAACCTAAAGGATCAGCACCAGTTGCTTCACACGGAGGATACGGACAACCCCAAGCTGGAGGTATCACATTTGATCGCTTCGTGCGCTGCTGTGTCGTCGTGAGACAGCTCACAGAGGCATTCAACCGGTGAGCATATTGCATCATGGGCCTTCCCCTTCTGACCAAAGAAAGCTTGGACACTCAGCGGAGTGGATGGATCCAGATCAACTACGATACGTTTATGCAAACGGTCCTTTCCGCACCCTAAGACACTTTTCCCCAAGGCCCGCACGAAGACGATAAATATCATTGCTATCTCACATGAATATGAACCGACTGCCGTGCCTACCGCCCGTTATTGTAAACTCGAAGTCGTTTCGGCTCGTAAAATGTGCGTCGCTTCTTCATCTTGGAACAGACTTTCGAAATCCTCTACCCTCTGTCCAATCACTCCAAAGGCCTCTTGAACGGTACGACCGAGCACCTCAAGTTCAGCAATAACGCCCTCTGCAATCCGGATTATCAACAGTGACCGCACGTCTTTCAGTACTTACTCATCATGAGCGCATACGCAAAGTATAGAAGCTGTCTGCTACTCTGGACCTTCCGCTCCCTGACTATTTCCAGCCTTTTCAGCGCACTGACGAGCGACTGTCGACTTCGTTCAGCAGGAGGAAGATAGGGAGGTATCGGCTTCTTGAGCTGGAAAGCTGAAGAGAGGACAGAGAAGAATAGAATGACGTTTCCGACCATCTCGCGTCTCTGTTTGTTGACAGGGATGACAAAGTCTCGTCGAATACTCTGATAGCCGCGTAAGCACTAGTCACAAGTTCGAAAGCGTGCCAACCGTATACCACTCTTCACGAGTTGTGACGCAGCGCATGCTGTGGAATAAGTCTAATATGATCTGGAGACTGATCAAGATGGACCGGTAGAGTGCAGTGGGAAATGGTCCCTTGAGACGAGGCTCGTGGGCGCACTTTTTGTGCAACGGATCAGATGGATGATCAAACCCGCAATTGGGGGGACATTACCTGCGAAAGAAGCTTCTGAAGGTGAATGAGTTTGATTTGCAAATGAAGCTCCCTAGAACGATAAGTCAAACGCTAGAACCAACGCTTGGACCTTGCTCACATTGCCATAAAGTCCCGAATGCTGCTGTTCAATCCGGTCGCCAACGCAGCGCCAAGCAGTCCAGTTCTCTCGTCTGGCCTTTCTATATACCCGTCGACCAAGGCAGCCGTCGAGCCTAAGATAGGGAGGGTGATACCTAGCTCAGAACCAGCGGACTGGGCCAGTACTTCAGGTGGGACAGAGTACGTCAGCACGAGCCGGTTATAAATCCATCCGAGGTTGAGGAGGAAGTCGCTCAGCTCGACGCCCAGTTCTCTCCGAGCCTCAGCTGGCCACCAAGTCCTTGATACGATAAGTGCAAAGACAACGCCAGTTGTGACCGCAATCGATCTGTGAATCGCAACTTCGAAGACTGAGACATCCTCCGCACGCGAATTGTAACTTATTGCGATCAGTATCATGCTGAGCAAGCTCTGAGAAGACGAACCAGAAGAGAGCAGTGAGATTGTACGAAAGCAGCACAAATCGCCCACTTGTCGCATACTCCGGCTTGCTGACGATATAGTAAAAGCAAGGAAGGGAGAAAATGAATCCAAAGATGGCGAGAAGGATTGGATAGTCGCTGAGCCATGTAAAGGCAAGCGTTGCAACGCCGGCGCCCAGACTATAAACGTCAGGGGGTGAAAATTTGCAACATTTTTATAGACTCACAGAGTTCCCATAATACGGTGTAGGGCGAGAAAGTTAGTCTGCAAACCTTCAGTGATGTACTGAGCCTCAATACGGTAAATAACTTACTGCACCAATGGTTTGTCCCATCACGACGAAAAACGAGATGAGCGCCCATTCACCTCTCCATAGGACAAACATGGGTCGTGTCGCGTCGATAAAAGCAGGGATTGCAAGGATGGCAGTCGAAACACCGACTTTTACAGAGTATCTCACATCGCCATCCTTGAGTTTGTGCAAAATTGCCCAAATACGTTGCTTCAGCCGACCTCGACGAGAGAGGGAGGATGGCGCTGGGGTATGATACGTGTTGGGCGCGTGAGCACGCGTTCTTGGGAATGCAAGGCGGGTGCGAGATGGCTCTATAGGTACAAGGTTGGAGAAGCGTTTGCGTATGCCTGGTCTTGAGGCTTGCTTGCCAACCGCAGAACTGGTGATAGACCCATAATTGGGCGCAGTATTACGAGTGCTATTATACGCCGTCTTCTTCCCTCTTATGCCAAACACTCGTCGGAGCCAACCTAGCAACCCGCGATATGCTAATGCGTTTTCTTGCGCCTGATGAAGCTTGCCCATGACTTCGACCAGAGAGACAAGCTCTCGAGCAAATTCTTGCAAAGTGAATATAAAGCTAGAGTATCTGGGGTCAGTGACACTCCCGTCTTGGATCGAGAGACAGACAAGTAGGTGAGGAACATGGTTTCGTCGTCCTCTTGGTGAAGTTTGGTGGAGTGCATGCTCTCGTTATCCGTGGTCATCGCGCTTCGTCGGTACAACTACTCACGCGTTCAGCAATCGTGCAACTAGACGACGGTTCTCCAGCTTACCCTCATCAATGCCTGATTCGAAGTGCTATCAAAAAGAAACAGCGCGCGCTCAATTTTGTGAGAAAGCTCGGAGAAGTCATGGGCGTCATGAGAGTGGGTTGCACCAGTCCATGAGTTCGCATGCTTTTCTCGTTGTCTGTCTTGGATCAACACTGTGCGCATGCTCTTTAAGGTTCCTGTGCAAGCTTCCTGCGATACTTTCGAATCTGATTGATGTTTTATGATGGGATTACTCACTGTCAGGGCAACCATAGGTGGACCGACGTCGTCGACTATGGTTCCAAACACTGCTGCAGCGGCGTCAAGAGCAATTTCGTCGTCGTCCACTTTGTTGACTTTGAGCAGCGGCTCCTCATCATCTGTCACTTCGGAGACTTTGAACATCCCGGCGGCCATCCTATCAGCATCTCTCTTAAGCTTGTCTTGGAGCTTTCTCCTCCCAAAGACCATTGTCAAGTCGCGTTGAAGTTTGGTTCCACTACGAAGCCCGGCCAGATGTTGGGCTAAACGGTTGAGCGAGTCAACTGCTTCGCCGTATAGGTCACTGAGCTTTTGTTGTCCTACCGACCGTTTACCGGGGGGTGCATCTGGTGGGTTAAGAATCCATTCGCTTCTTGCTTCGTCCAAGTTTCTCTTGAGACTAGTAAAACCAGCCTGATGAGCTTCCACGGCTCGGATAAGTCGAACACGATCCTTGGAACGAGGATCAAGGATGAATGAGGACGTAAGCATATCGAGAAGCGTAGCATAGGAGTCTAGTGAAGTAATCATGTCACGTTGCAGATTCTCAGTGGCTGACTGAGACCATAGAATGAAGCAGACGACATTTGCAATCGTCACACCAAATGCAACGCTGACCAAAACTTGGAGGAGGGTCGCGAATCCACCCTCTTTCACGACCCTGTGGAAAAGTGAGTGGGAGCGAGGCCAATGGAATGACGACTTACACAATGAAAATTATGATACACATCTAGGCTCGTTTAGTAAGTTGCGATCTTGTTGAAATGGAATGTGCTAACCATGCTCGCTGCAGAATTGAAGCTCGCTTTGTTAATCCAGACCTTCATCCAAGAGATGATCATGATGGAGACTGCGAGCCAGACAAAGATGACAAAGTCACCTAGCCACTCTAGACCGATGCCACTGTCGACCAGTAGCGAAGACACGACGGAGCCGCAGGTGACGAGCGTCGTAAATAAAACACCCATCAAGCAGAACACGTCTGCTTCGAACATTCCACCAGCCGTCTTGGCTGGGTTGTAGTAAACAGAAACTGTTGCAACGAGATGGGCGGTACGATAGGGGTTTCCGCCCGGCCGCCCAAGGCTCCCAAGACGCGCAACAAGATTGGATAGGAAGGGGATGAAAGTGAACAGACTCCCAATAAAATATGCGATCGCACATTTTAGGATATTGCGCTGAAGCGTTGAGAGCTTTGGAACCTCCTCTTTCCATAGTCGAACAAACCGTTTCAATCGATTCTCGTGAACAGGTCGTGGCGTCTCCGCGCCGTCATCCGAGCTGGAGGATGCCGATGAATTAGAACGAGACCGTGAATGTCGCCTTGTCCCCGAAGAGCGATTTGGCAAACTAGACGATTCCAAAAATTGACTGGCACCCTCTCGAGGGTGGTCTGGTCCTATTGATATCGGAGACATTGGTTCCAGAGGTCCGTTGGTCGTTGTGGGCGACATTGTGAACTGGGTCGAAACGCCTTGACTTTCTGAAGGGGGTACACGAATGGTCCGTACGCGAGATATATTGCTAGATTCGCTCGGGAGCTGAGTTGATGGAGGTGAAACGGGGGCTCCCACTTCCCCTCTTTCCGCATCCTGCTCCTGTCTTGGGAGCTTTGAGGAAGACATTACGTTTCTCCAATGCCTGATCACCGATGTAGCGTTGCGCGCGATCCTGGAAGCATCACTCGGGTGAGAAGCAAGGCCATCATTGCCACGACCCCGAGAGTCCGAGCCTTCAGGTCTGACGACAAGTGGAGCCTGTTGGCCTTCAAACAGCTCTAGGCCGACTAGGAAATGGAATGTTTAGGACTTAGAAGTGCCAAAGAGAACGACGCACCGGTCCAATCTGGCGGCAACTCATCTTCGCCCCTTGACATAACCTTGAAGCTCGCATTCCTCGCATGTGGCTTCTTCTTCCTACGCCTGATATACTGGGTCCGACTCCTGCTCACATCTCCCGTATTCTCAACTGCGTCGTCCGCTGACACATCTGCGAGTCCCGAGTTTTGCGAGATTTCTACAGGTATGTAGCGACCTGTTTCGGTTGGATTCGACATGCTTCTGGGCCTTGTTGCGACTGGGGTGTCCAGAAAATAGTCGCTCCGATGCGTGTCTACCCAACTGGTTGAAAGGGGCGGTATATGTGCAGAATCATCTATAAGGGCAATTGTAGTTGGAAAAGAGAGGTGCAAGTCACTGCGACTGGTGTCGATATGTGGAGAGGACTGCCCGCGAGGCGTTTCTGAGCCTTGTTGTTCATGTTGGGAGGCCATTCAAGCGACCCAGCAGTTTTATAATACTTTCTGGGCTATTATTACGGCGACCTTATGTATGGAAAGAAAACGGCCAAAGGAGACGAGGCCAAGGATAGCACACGCGCTTAACGGCTCCGCCACGATAGTTCCCAGCGCGCCAAAACGCATCCAAGGTATAACCTTGAAAGAGACGAAATCGAGTCATTCATTTAAGATTTTCTTGTCAAAGAGACTACATGTCTAAACATCCAACCAGTCTAAGAATTGGGGCGTAAAGTAGCTCAGGATGAGTGTAGCACCTATAAAGATTCAGAATAGAGACAAATTTGACTGAATTTACTTGCCCGCTCTGACCATGCTTTCAGTCGTTTCGAACGCCATCGCTTTCAGGTCGTAGACACCTGCATTGGCACCAGCGACAACCATTGCGTATTCGCCGCTAACTTGATAGCATGCAACCGGGTGATCGGGTGCGAGCTCAGAGGCGTCGGAGATGACATCCAGGTAGGGCAACGCCGGCTTGACCATGATAATGTCTGCACCCTCGTTTACATCTCTAATCTGAGAAACCTGGTGAGTAGCTCTAGTCTCCTAGTGTAAGGTGGCTTACGATAGCTCGTCGGGCGAGACCCTTTGCTTGCGGAGGCAGCTGATAGCATTTTCTATCACCAAACGATGGAGCACTTCCAGCAGCATCCCTGAGAATAGAACAGTGTCAATGAATATAGCCCCTCGCGACCACTTGCCTACCTGAACGGACCGTAAAGGCCACTCGCAAACTTGGCCGCATAGCTCATTAATGTGACCTTGTTCCCGTAGCCAGCATCAATGAGCTTGCGTTTGATGGCCAAGATTCTACCATCCATCATGTCGCTAGGGGCTACGCAATGGGCCCCTGCTTGAGCATATGAAAGGGCAACTTGTGCAAGCCTTTCAGTGGAAGGCTCCGTATTGATGGTATGGTCGTGGTTGAGGATTCCACAATGCCCGTGTGAAGTGTACTCGCAAAGGCAAACATCGGTCGCGACGTAGAGGGAGGGGAAAGCACTTCGAATGCGCCTAATAGCCTGAATAACTGGACCCTCAGTATCATCTGCCGGTGTTCCTTTTTCGTCCTATAACCTCGTCAATTCATGCCGCTGATTTGTGGTCTTTTCTTTACCTTTTGAGCTTTGAGTGGGACACCGAAAAGAATAACGCTAGACAGCCCCTTCTTCACCAAAGGTCCGAGGAATTCTTCCAATCTATCTACGCCCCAGCGACTTTGACCCGGCAAAGTCGGAATATCAACTTTGGCTGACGGGTCGTCCGTGATAAATATTGGGTACATAAACATACTCTTCTCGAGAGAGCGACGAGCTTGCCACTTTCTGGACAGTGGGTGTTGATAGCCACCTTGAAGAATCGACCTTGAATCCCATAGTCAAGTCAAATATGACCAATCTAACGCATATGTGAACGTACGAGACTTGCATTCCGACTCTGACGCTCGAAGAAGAGGTCAGTTGTCTCGTTTGCACAAGGCGTCGTGGCAGTGAAGATATCGTCCGGTGCCAACGCATTGATGGTAAAAGTGGTAACACCCCAACAATGGTTCCGGTCCATGATATTCTAATTCTATGGGTCACATACATGCAATACGTCTACGAGAGTTGAATTAGTCGTGAAGGTGAATCCCCGGTAGGACGAACATCTTGTATTTCGTCAGGTATTATTCGCTAAATAGGTACTCCTTACCTCATATATAGATTCTGCACTCGTACCCCATCCACGTATTCCGGTCAGGCGATTGTCGAGTTGTGAGCCCCGAATGGTGCCAACGACAGCCCCAGTCTGAATGTCTATAATAGGACCACCACTAGATCCTGGCGTGGGTATCTGACTAAAAAACACGTTGGCAAGGACGTCGTAGGTGCCCGGCTTCGCGCATGTCAGACCTGCAAGACAATTTGGGAGAGATACCCACTTTAGCTTGATTTCCAGCAAAATCTCGGTAATCAGTGATATGTCCGTGAAACCATTTTCGATATATTAACCCTCCGAATGCTGGGGTCCATCCTTCGTCCGGCAATGGATTCTCGTGGAGGCAATGGATCGCGACCTCAGTTCCGATTGGGGCTGGGTACGGCGAAACGGGAAGGGTAGGTAGGTCGACCCCTGGCTTTGAATGAAGAACAAGTAGGTCGTGACGCGGTAACGATGAAGGACAGCCTGAGGCTTCGAGAATACGACCGTCGTTGGTCATTATCAACGTATTTGAAGCGGTACGGGGGCCATCCACGAGCTTGGTTGAACGTAGCTCCTACAGCCACTGTAAGACAAGTTGGGAAGGACGGATGGTACTCACCTCGAGAGTATGTGCGCACGTTATAAAGCACGGATCACCTCGATTCGTTTCTACTCGGAATCCAGACGAAACACAAACTCGTTCGAGGGTTTTACTTCTAGCCAAATGTGCAACAAGCACGACAGGACACGCCGTGGATGTCGTTCGGACGGCACGTGAAGGGGATGGATGTGGCTCAGCTGCCAGGTTTGCCTTGATCTCTTTTCCTCGGTTGGACTCGTATTGATGTATGAGAGTTGCAACCCTATTCGTTCCACTGGAGACGTCACTCAATTTGGACAGTAAGAACTGATCGAGCTTTGAAATCGCATTATGTTGCGGCTTTGAAGGCATCTCTAGTTCCTTGTTGAGGACTATGCCTGGAACGAGCCGTGCATATGCTCTTGTGTGTCTATCAAAGACATAATGATAATAAGTTATCCGTCTTGTGTGAGATAGCATCATCTTGCCGTCATGGAGTGAACCAAGTGTTGGCCCTACTGCTAACCACCCGGAGTAATATGTATTCATCTCTTTAGGTAGTGGTTCTACAATGGGAGCCACATTCAAGGGGTCCATGGGGGACATTCATCCTTGACCCAATCCATACCATGTCTACACTTTCGACCTTGTACGCCGTGTCATTTCTTCAATACCCTACAACTGATGACAGGCTACAGGCCACTCCAGATTCGTGTAGGACTTAGAGATTCGTTTGAAGCACCGGATGCCCCAGTAAATGAGGCACTCAAGAAGCTGAATGAAACTACTGGCTATGACATGACTCTAGAGATTGCATGGATCGATATCTGGAGAGACCTTCAGCCAAAATTTGATGACAAGGCGACGTTTGTGCCCACTGTCACACAAGCAGTCGCTCTCTTCCTTCAGCGGCTCGACCTTCTCCTCACTCTTCCTTCAGCGGCTCGACCTTCTCCTCACAGAGTCGTCAGAAGCGTTTCAAGAGGCATTTCTGACCAAAATGGAGGGGATTAGGAAAGCCCTCTTTGTTCAGGTATGTCGTGCAGCACCGACCGTCAATAATCTGCTTGATGGTTATACTAGATCCACGATGCACCTCTACCGAAACTAGAATTTGTTAGAGGAGAGATGATGACCCTCTTTCTTCCTGTGGAAGGACCTGAAGGACTACGCTCCATCTCCTCAAGCATCGGCGCTGACATCGAGAAAGTGTTTACGGGAAAGGCACAGAATACCACACAGTCAAACAAAGAGACCACTGATGACTTCGAAGTGCTTCCCAAGAGCCCGACCATCAAGGCGACCTCCCGCGTCCTCTCGTTGCCACAACTGGACACGCTTCCTAGACCAGAGACACTTTTCGCTTCTCTTTTACCATATACAATCATTGTTCGCCGTACTGGAAATGGAATAGACATAGAAGGATCTCATCAACCCACCCTGGAGCTCATTTGCGAGTATTTCAAGAAGCATGCGAGGAAGAATCTCAATGATACTCGCCAGGTATTATACTCTATTGACCCTTCATACGTCTCACCTGGCATATAGATTTCTTATTTCAAATCGGAATTGATACAATCAGCGTGGGGGAGTGGAGCGTTTCATGACACAGTTCGCATCAGCAAGGAAGACACGAGAGCGAGTTGGGTACATGCAGAGATCACCCCTATCATCGCTTTTGTCGAGGGTGTCTGTGGGTACGACCTTGTTCGACATGACGGAGAATGGGTCTTCCGTCGAATCGAACCCTTCCAATGAACAAGGTCACATCTAAATGTTGTCTTCTGGCTCCGCGTCGATCAATTTTTCGTAGTCCTCCATCGAAGCAAATAGCGGGAGGTCCTTAAGCCGTCTCTTCTTCTTCACCCCGCCATGCTGTTCTCCTCCTTTCCTCTTTCCGAGAACGGTTGAATTGATCCCTCCCCACTCTTCCTCTTCATCGGAACCAAAATGCAGAAGTCCATCGGGAGCTTCAGCGTCGGAGTCTAGTATATCGTCTGCGTCCTCTCCTAGGTCAAATGGTTCATCTTGTTCGCTCTCTTGATCGTTGGATGCATCAGAGCCCTCTTTATCTTCTGATTGTGAGTCGACGTCGACCTCGGAGTGACTCTCTTCTGGGTCTGGCAACCCTTCACTGTCATCACTGTCGATGTCGATCGCATCTGCAGTTGGTAAACTTCGTTTCATTGCCTGGGAAACCATGAATTCAAATCAATAGTGGTTGAAATGCGAAATACCTTCCAAACTTCTTCCTCGTCGAGTTCACTCTCGTCACTTCCGGCTTCGTGATCACTTTCCTCGGGTTCCCCATTTTCGTCGTCACTTCCTCTACGCCTTCGTTTCTCGATTTTGTCCTTCTTGAGCTGGCTTCGTGCCTGTCGCTGATTGAAGAATTTATGGAAGAACAGCTAAACAGCAGTCAGAAACGATCAGGCGGTGCAATCAACGTACTTGGTTGACTGGAACATCTTCTACTTTCCGTCTCCAGAAGTCCTCTTCGTTGACAGTTCCCTTTGAGCCAACAGTCTCAGTTCCCATACCTTTGATCATCCGAACGGTGGCATTCCCGTCAGTAGTAAGAGCAGCGGCAGGCTGCATAGCACTAGCACCACGAGGCTTTGGTTTCTTGGGATTTTTGTAGACAAAGCTGCGGCCCCGGGTGAGAACATTCTGGGGGTCATGAAAACAAAACTCACAGATCAAGGAAGTGGGACAGAGTGTTGAGCGCCAAGTCGGCGTTCGCAGTTAGCGGTATACCTTCGAGTAGTTGCCTGGCATGCAGCGAGACAGAAGGATGATAGTGATGAGACAAGGCTGTCTATTTCCGTTTGAGTGTTTGTTCGTTAATTGATTGAAATCCTTACCAGTTCCCAGAAACAGGTGGTGCCTGCGCCACTGTATTCTGGTTCACGCTTCCTTGGGTCATAAGCCTCTGTGTCTGCAGAACGCTTGGTGATCGCCAATCGTAGACCGGGTGTTACAGTGAACAACTGGAGCCAGATTTCAGCAGCTCCTTCATGAGGAAGAGAAACATCGTACCTCGCCCAACAAGAAGAGGCCGCCGCATATGAAGCTTGGTTCATAGCCCGGGCCACTTAGAAGCGCTTGCAAGAATCGCTTAACGAAAGCCTTTACTCTTTGCAAATCGTTGTCCAGCTTCAACGACTTGAACAAGAGGTTTAGATACATCGCCTGTTTGGACGATGTCGCTAATCGGTGATCGAGAAGGGAGGCATAGAGGGTTCGAAGGTAGCGTGTTTGCACACTCTATTACGAATGTGAGCTTGAGAAGTTGGAAAAGCGGCGATACGCACCGGGCGTGTCTCTGATACGCGCTGAATGAGCACAAGGGCCTGGATGGAAACGTTGAAGCTGGCTTCGTGTGTGATACGGAAAAGGGTGTCCATGTGACGATCCAACGCAGCATTGTCAATTCCTGCAAAAGGCAAAGCACGGTTCACGCCGGTAAGGATGGCAGAGGTGATCTTGGAGTCTGCATCGGCAGCAGCATCTGCTAGGCCGTCTCCTGACTTTTGTGACGGCTTGTTTTGTTTCCGTTGTCTTAGCTTGTCCTTCTCCCGCAGCTTGCGCCTTTCCTCTCGACCCTTTCCATCCTTTGTGTCCCCTTCATCTTTGTCCTCTCCGATATCGCCCGACTTGTCTCTCTCCCCAAGTATGCTTCGGAATAGCTGAAAGTACACCTCGACAAGCCGCGCAGCAACCTCCTTTTCTGCCTGAGTCTTCGAGGATAGGACAATTTGGTTGAACGTGACAACTGCATAGTATCTTGCATGCACATTAATCGCAATCTTTTCGGGTTTGTTCCCAGTAGCCGGCTTTGTGGTGGGGGTTGATGCTTGCTTCGACGGTGGTTTCAGCACGAGCGCCGAAACTTCACGCACCACCACCCCTTTCATCTGAGGATGCATTTGCAGGAGATTATGCAGGTGATACGAGGCCTTGGAGGCCACTGCACGTTCCGAATCTCCCTATCATGCCACATAAGATGAAATAGTGTAGTGAAAGCATGCATACCAGCTTATTAACCAACAGCCGCAATAGGTTTTGCTCCTGTTCCGGCTTGCTTACCAGGAGCTGGGCGATGAGAGCCATGGTTTGAGTACGGATATAGGGCAAGGGATCAAGCGATAGAGGCTATTGAAATGAATGAGCAAGGAAATAAAGGCGGGTTGGATCGGACAGTACCTCGAGAATTTGGAGGATGGTGAAGAAGAACTTCTTTAACCAGTCTTCAAAGTACCAGACAACAAGGTGGGAATCCGTGCGCTTTGCATGTAGTAAAGGCTGATCTCGAAGGTATCTGCAGAGGATGCGTGAGCCGCGTTCACACACAAGCGGACCAAAAGAACCCGCCTTAGCTTCCTATCTGGTGCACCTCCTCCTACCCACCAATCGACGATTGCTCGAACTGCTTTGAGTGCTTCCCCCTTTCCTCCTTTCTTCATTGCCAAGGATCTTAGGCCTTCTAATGCCTTTGTATTGTGAACAGGTGACGCTTGAACCATCAGGGTGAGTGCGGAGAGTCGATCTGACAGTGTTCCGGATGAGAGAACTCGTGAAAGGAAGGCTGCGTCGGCGGATGATGTCCCCGTGGACAGCGAACTTTGGGTATAGAGAGTGGTGTCGTTGTCAAGCAGGTCTGAGGCTTTACTAGAGAGCGACTCCAGAACGTGTTCAGATGGACCGGCCAGGTCGCTGGTGTCCAATACTTCTAGGGCTTCGTACCATCGTGCAGTTGGTGGAAAAACCTAGAGATGCAGTCAAAAGTAGTACAAGACGAATAAGGAGACGAAAACTTACAAATTTGCCTTTCTTACTCGAGTCTTTCGTTGGAGAAGATGGTTTCACAGGCTGCTGTTCAGATTCGGCCTCAGACCCTTCGTCCTGGGAGCTTGGTGACTCTTCCTCGTCATTGGTAGCTTCTTCCACCACCCATGCTTCTTCATTTGACTTTTTAGATAAGCCCAGAGTCTTTATGAAGTTTGCCACCTCCTTTCGGAGAGCTGGCTTTGGGACATGTCAATAGACAGTTCAAGCTTTTACGGTGCGGTCTTACATCCTCTTCGTGATCTTCTTGCTTGATTTCCTCGTCTGAGGAGACATCCTTCACCAAGTCGAGGTCACTCTGGTCGCCACCCATGGCTTCAACGGCAGCCTTTAAGATGGTTTGAGAAGTCTCAGTTCGATTCCCTTTCTTCTCGTTCCCAATTTTCTTTGGTTTGTTATCTTTGCTTATAGATGCAGATGCTGTATTTTTTGCCTTGCCATCTTTCGAGGCTTTTGTGGATGATGAGAGGATATTCTCTCTCTTTGAGTGTTTTCCATGCTTGGATTGTTTTCCATTTCCCCGTTTTGAGCCGACCGTCTCGCTCATGGTGGTCTCGGTCGCATCCAAGTTTTTGCTTTCGACGACATCGAACCGTTGACGCGACAACCGGTTGGGCTTGCACTATATCGGCTTGAAGAATGCCGAGATTCATTTCCGGAGGATTTATAAAGAGATCATGTGCCATTCCACGAGTACATGGACCCTCAATTCGACATAGGCTCGAAGCGTTACAACCAATGAGTTCAAATTCGAAAATGACAAGTTTAGATCCAGTGAGTAAACTAATGCGGCGTATATGAGTATTGGTGCTGACTTCTACTGTGAGTCGAAGCGAATGTCACGTCCTCGAGGCTTTATACGAGCACGGTCGACTCATGGAGGGACAAACGCGTCGAATAACACAAAGAGTGTATATGAAAAGAGCAGCAGGGACTCTCTTGCTGCTCCTATGCGCGGAACGCCAATACTCTCCACCATTTCACCACCTCTGCTGCGCTTTGCTGTACGAGCACGAATTACACCAAGACTTGGGATCAGTTCTGGAGTGGATAGTGTAGCAAGAGTAGGTCCCCTATCAGCTCTCGACATACTCGGCCCTACGCTGCAACAAGTACGACATGGCGGGAACGAGTATCAACCCAGCCAACGAAAGAGAAAGAGAAAGCACGGTTTCCTGGCAAGGAACAGGTCAAAGACGGGCAGGGCTATTCTGAGGAGAAGACGGGCCAAAGGTAGAAAATACTTAACTCACTAATGTGATATTTCTAGTTGAATATCTAAAGCTCGTTAACTATCTGTGCTCTACAGTTTACTTGATGACTCTGCTCGGATCTTGGACAGTCACCACCGCCGCGAAAATTTGTCTGGAGCAAGATGGTGTCCTACTACGACGAAATTGAGATTGAAGACATGGTATTCGACGATGTCAAGGGCGTCTACCACTACCCATGTCCCTGTGGTGATCGATTCGAAATCTCGCGAGCGCAGCTAGCGAATTATGAGGACATCGCGACGTGTCCAAGCTGTAGTCTTGTAATCAGAGTAATCTATGACCCAGTGAGTATCGATTCACTTTCTTTGGCGCGAGCCAGGACAGCGCTTGTGCTACTCGAAAGCTGATACCATGCCTCAGCTAGACTTTGAGGACGAGGAGGACGCCGCAAGTTCGACAGAAAACGAGTCTGAATCTGAAGAATCCAACAAAAAGGCGTGAACAACCGATTGTAGCATGCGCTCCTCTCGGTCTAGCCACAGCCGAGTACAACGCTCACATCAAGTACCGAGTTTCTCGTGGCTCGGTTGCCTTGATCCGTCCGAGGGACAGACTAATTCGCTTAATTCAAATCTGGCGCAAATCCATGTCACCTCCACGAACCCCGAACCCACTCCCAAATGTCTCGCCATGCTTCATTTCGGCACACTTCATGCTCCGAACGGCCTTTTATTAGTGGAATTTTACTCCAATGACCGCTGGCTACTCGATGTAACCGGTGGCATATGGACCGGGCTCCATTTGCCGAGGTCGCGCCTCCGGCTCGCCACCACCACTATCAGAAAACGTTAGAAACCATCATATTCTTGCAGAAATGTCGTATGGTCGTCTGCTTGGGGCAGGCTCTCATTCCACATCCGCACTAATGGTGTTCATTCAACGAGCACCGCCGAGTGTTATCACGACATTGTATCATATATGCAATGTATTGCGTGTTGAATGTATCACGTTTACGCCAGGAACCACAACTCCTCTAATCGCCATCAAAGCACAAGGTGCATCTCGGATCTCATGGTTCGGCGTCAAGGCTCCCGAGCTTGGATTTCCTGTTTCCCTCTAGTAAATGAGGAGATTTAGGTGCTGATGGGAGTTTGATCATGCGTCCTCGCCTGCCATGCGCCCGTGCATCATCTCTCCGGACATCCAACCATGGTTTCAGTCTTATCGAGGCGCCTCTGGGCAGTGCTATTGATACGAAGAACTCTACTGGTACGTTTGCGTGATTCTTCTGGCTCCTCGTATACTTTCGCGCGGTGCACGCGACTTCTCCCAAGTTCCATATGGCTCACCCTCAGTCCCAGGTGGGGCCCTGAAAGAAGGCCATCTACCCTCGTCGAGGATTATATAAGTATATATTGACCTGCTTCGCGCGTTAAAAGCCCGCTTGGCGCACCTTGTGACATCCTTACGGCTGCTTTCCCCCCCAGTCTCCCGTTTTTCTGTCGCATTCGACGAAAGACGCTCCCCCGAGTCCCTTTGGCACTCGCTCTGCTGCATTCAGCACTCCCAACCCAGGTCACTTGCCCCGCAGGCTTCGCCTCTACCTCACAAACATCATGAGCAACCCACCACAAACTGGTTATGCGCTCGGCAAGGTGGCGACCATTGACGAGAAGAAGACTATCGAAGATGAACACCTCGCTCCCGAAGAGTACATCCCAAACTCGGAGAACGTCACGAAGCACGAGTTTGACACTCTGCGCCATGTCGGCGACCGTCTCCCCATCACTGCGTGGCTCGTCGTTATTGTCGAGTTTGCTGAACGATGGACCTACTACGGCACCGTCAATGTCTTCAGCAACTACATTCGTGCCCCTCTTCCGCCGGGTTCTACATCCGGTGCTGTAGATCCTGCACATCGTGATGATGGTGTTGCTGGTGCCTTGGGCTTAGGTCAACAGAAGTCCTTCACCATTCGTACATTCAACACGTTCTTCATCTACAGCACCCCGATTCTTGGAGGAATCATTGCGGACACATTGCTTGGTCGTTACAATACGATCATGCTGGCTAGCATTATCTGCCTGTGAGTCAAATCTTGTACTTATATGGACATTTTTGACATGTCCTGACAGTGTCGGTCACATCATCCTTGTCGGAACAGCATCCCCTCCTTCGCTTGCCCATCCACAGGGAGCATTGGCAGGCCTTATCGTTTCGATTTTGATCATGGGTGTCGGTGCCGGTTTCATCAAGTCCAACGTTTCTCCAATGGTTGGTGAACAATACCAGGGCAAATTGCGCAAAGAAACCCTCGCCTCTGGAGAGGTTGTCATCAAGAGTCCTGCCGTCACCATCCAAAGCGTTTATATGTGTACGTCTAAATGGATTGGGGGCCTTTTCATTGTCTAATTACCTCCCAGACTACTACGCGGCCATCAACTTTGGAGCTTTGGGTGCCATCTCAGCATCCTTCCTGGCTCGTGATCATGGCTATTGGGCAGCATATTTACTCCCTACCTGCATATTCCTCCTCGTCCCTGGTGTCCTCTGGGTTGGCCGCAAGAACTACGTACACACTCCTCCGCGTGGCTCCGTCTTGGTTGACTGCGTTCGCGTCATCAAGATGGCATCGAAAGGCAAATGGAGTCTAAACCCTGTGCGCACATACCGCAACTTGAAGGCGGCAGACTTTTGGGAGCCCGCCAAGCGCTGTGGGTTACCTTTTCCCAGATCGTAATGTGCTCGCTTCTAATCTGTTTCTCAGCGTCCTACACGGATGCAGATCGCCCGAAGAAGCTTTTGTGGGACGACGAGTTTGTTGCTGAAGTATCCAGGACCGTCAAGGCTTGCGCAGTGCTCATCTGGTTCCCCGTTTTCTGGCTCTGCTACTCGCAGATTGATGGTAACTTGAGCACTGTCGCTGCTGCAATGCAACTCAAGGGAACTCCAAATGATTGTGCGTCATCTTTCCTTTCGTGAGTCCAAGATCTGACACATGGTTTAGTGATCCAGAATCTCAACCCGGTCACCCTCATCGTCTTCATCCCTATCTTTGACAAGATCGTTTACCCAACGTTCCGTCGCTGGGGATGGAACTTTACCCCAATCAAACGTATCTTCGTTGGGTTCCTTACCGTAGGATTGGCCATGGTCTATGCTGGAGCGCTCCAGCATTTTATCTATGCCAAGTCTCCCTGCCACGACAACCTCCCTTCAGAGTGCATAACCCCTGACAAGTACCCCAACCCGGCTCCGATCAACGTCTGGGTTGTCAGTGGACCGTATATCCTTGTCGGCATTGGCGAAATCTTTGCCTCAATCACATCGCTCGAGTACGCGTTCACCAAGGCACCCAAGCGCATGAAGTCCGTCATCACAGCCTTTGCTCAGTTCCAAACCGCTCTCTCTGCTGCAATCAACTTTGCTTTGACTGCGCTCAATGCAGAGAACATGTTCGGCTGGCTCTTTGGTTCATTTGCCATTGCTGCTTGGATCACTGGCTTCTTGTTCTTCTGGACCTTCTACGATCTTGATCAGCAAGAAGGTGAACTCAACCAGATTGGTATTGGAGAGCGTGAGGGGTATGCAGACGAACACCCGGCCGGTGACAACAAGGCTTAGACAAGGTCAAATAGTTGCAGATCTCTTGTGTTGTCCCTTGGGATGTAATGATAACGCACAAAATCATACCAATACACTGTCTAGTAGGATATTCGGACGGCTAAGGGAATCGACGATACTATAATCAGTCATAGATATTAGAAATCATTCATCACTAAGCTAAGTTTCAGAAGTTTGGCATAACTACCCGGGGCGCTGTGGCCAATGCCCTTTGGTTGCTTTTCTGGTGGAAAAACATTCCCCATAGGTACCGTGCCCATCTTAGCCGGCTGTGTTTACAAGGAAATAAATCAAATACAAAACAATATGACACAACAAAAAAGTAGGCTAGGCGTTGCGAGACTGCGTGAACGGGATGTGCACGACGTCTATGGAATAAATATGCCGGTGCTGCTTAGCGAGAATGGTCGCTGGTCGGGCTTTCAATAATAGTCACAGGTATCGGCCGTCCAATGCTTTTTTTCTCTGGCGTCGAATTGTTGCGTCCGAGGTGGAGACGAGTGAGCTAAATAGGGCCATTAGTTTGCATAAGAAGTGCTGAAATGACGATACCCACCTGAACTTCTGAACCATCCTCTAGCGTGAATCGTTGGGTCAAGTGTTCGCGGGTATGGAGCCGGAGGTGTTCAGGATCGCTCTGGACCGGCTCTGAGATAATACTATCATGCCTGACACTGACTTTTCTTTCCGAGGGTGCCTGGATGGTCATACTGAGTTCGGACGGCCCTGGGGATCTTATGGATTCTGTGCGAGTCGGTAACGTGTGGATGAGGTTTCAAGGGCTACTCACCCTGTGCAACCTGTTGCTTTTCCTCGAGTTCTCTGCGATAGCTTCGAGCGAGTGCCTCGGAGCGTTCGACTGCCCACTTGAGCTGCATAGCACGGGCCGTATTCCCTGACGAGCTAACAAAGTGTAAACAGTAGGTTAGGCAGCATAAAGCAAACACCTACATTGCCCATTTACGTTCTTCTTGCACACGCCTGACATCTGCTTCGGCTTGTGCCAACTGGCGTGTAAGGGTAGGGATATCCGCTTCTCCTGAATTCTGCATATTTTCCATAGGATTGACGGTTGTAGTTCCCGCCAATGACTCGTCCGGCCGACGAGGATCGCTCAATCGGCGGGATCGCGTCGATTTTTTCCGCTTTCGGGACACGACCCGCGCATTTTGGATGCTCTCCTGGTTGATATACGCCCAAAAGAGTGTTACGACGTCTGACGTAAATACTCCGAGGAGGAACCCGCACAAGACGGTCCATCGACGGCCTTGGAAGAGGTAGGTCAAGACGGCTCGTGATCCAAGACCGACGAGAATGCCAGAGAATAGCGATGCGTTCATGATCGTTTGATAGGTCAAAACTCCAAGTCCCATGCAGTAGAGAAAGCCGAGACTGGGCTCGACAAAGATAATGTCGAATCGTCCAGACTGGATGATGCTTAGCACAATTCGTCCAACGGTCGGGAGGAGAAGAATCAGAGGGGGCGTAAGGTCCATGTTGAGTGAAAACGCTGGGAGAACCAGTCTCTCATCTTCAATCATTCGCAGCGGTCGGGTCCAAAGTCTGGCACGCCGCCACCTCGAGGCCCATGCGCCGAGCGTGCGCGGAGTCAACGACGATGAAAGTGGAGCGAGGAGTCGATCGAATACACGAAACCCGCCTCAGCGGACAAGAACAACTAGTGTACACAAATATAAAGGCGCGACGCACGGCCGAGAGCGATCAGAGCACAGAATTATCATAAAGAACAACGGATCACAGCTTTATCGTCGGACTGCAGCAGGAGAATTGGTGGAATTGGGCGCGCCGCTGGACGCATTCGACTTGACCAGCTTGGCGTGAATCGCCTGTAATTTTGTATGTTGAACCTTGAGTGGCCAGAAAAGTGTCACAAAGCTAGCATAGAACCGTTAGGAAACATGCTGGCAGACCGCTCATTGTTCACGTACCACCAGAGATGCCTGCGCCACCGCTCCTCACTCTCGCCATTCGCAACTCGGTGCTTCACAACTTCATCAATGCGTTCTCCAATGGCACTCAGCGATGTCTTGAGAACTTGGACCTTTTCGTCTCTCGACTGTTGCTTCGTGTCCTTGATCAGCTTGAGGTATGTCTTGACCGGTCGAAGCTCCTCTTTGACAACCGCCTCGTCCATCGACTCGGGATAGTCGTCCTCCGAGTCGGTAAACGTAGGAGTCGTTGGTCGCTTCTTCTTCTTTGCCGATCCAGCTTCTTCTCGATCCTCGCGACTGCGTTTGATGGAGCCATTGGCGGATGCAGGCGCCGGAGTATGCGAATGAGACTTTGCAGAGCTCGTACGCTTGAGAGACTGTTCATACTCGCGAATCTTCTCCTGCTGCTCACGAAGTAAGCCCAGCAGATAGTCTCCACGGCGAACGAGATGGATAGCATTGGGAATTGGTTTGCTGGTATTCGAGCCACCACCACCACCACCAGTACCACCACCATCATCCGTGGTCTTTTTTCCTTCTTCCAAAAAGACCTTGTCGGCCAATCCGAGTTTAGGATCGCCGATCATTTGCTCCCAGTTGCCAAAGCCATGAAGGTATGCACCGACCAGAAGCATTGCATCTTCATGGGGTCCCCATTTGCTCGTCCAGTTGAGCGTAGGTCGAATGTTCTCGACGGGCATGACCCACGAGTACTTGTCGTCGAGTCTCTCCAAATGATCACAAAGCACGGTGAGTTCATGCACGCGAGAGACTATCGTCTCTGCGTTGAGCCCACTCACACCACGGAAGTTGACAAGGATCGCCTTGCTCTTCTGGGCCGGTGTCAATGTCTGACCCCTAGCAATACGGTCCCGAACATCATCCTTATGCTCTTTGACGGCAGCTTCGCATTCTTCTACCAACGCGTCTGCGGTATCGTAGATGACTGCCTGGTTCTTATTCTCTAGCCTGGCGTCTCGAACCTGTTATACTGTAAGTATGATTCGTGGAAATGAGGAAAAACTACGCACGATAACATCATAGCGTCTTCGAATATCTCCCCATCGCTGCAAAGATCTCGCAAGCACGCGAATATCACGGTCTTTGAGTTCCATCGCTTTTGCGCCGGCGGACTTGCGCGCTTGACTCGGTGCTTGCGCCTGCTTTTGGGGCTTCTTCTTATCTCCTGCAGTTGCGACCGAGGGATCCATGATGTCCATGCCTTCGTAGGAGATGGCTGCTGCAGCGCGCTTTCGCCCTTGAGCTTGCTGAGCCGCATACTCGAGAGCAGCCCTTTGCTCGTCTTCGATTGCAACTCGCTCTCGTTCCTCGAGTGGAATAATCTCGTCCCAGTTGATATCGTTCTTGACATCCGTCACTTCGGCAAATTGCTGAAGGAAGCTTTCGCCACCGAGAGATGAGCCGGCTGGGTCCGTTGCCACAGTGTCGTGCTTCTCTGCGCGACTGAGGATATCGTCGAGATCTAGCTCGTCCAGACGCTTGTTGAGCTCCTTGTCATCCTGCTTGAACATGTTTTGAGCACCATATTTAAGAATAGCGCTGAGCTCTTGGTTGGAGGGTTTCTCTGCCTTTTGCGTCTTGGATCCACTCAAATGATTATGCGAGGTATCCATTTGGTTGATGACTTTGACAGGTCAGATTCATGCCTGGTTCAATCCGACGAAAGACTCACTTGCATATTCCAAGACCATCTTTTTCTTGGCTCGCTCGAGGATGTCCTCTTCCATCGTATCTTTGGACACGAGTCGATACACGTTGACGTGCGCCTTTTGCCCAATACGATGTGCTCGCGCCATGGCCTGCAAATCGTTTTGGGGATTCCAGTCGCTCTAATAGGATGTTAGGGCGTCATTTTCGGTCAAATTCAGACGCACATCGTAAATGATGACAGTATCAGCCGTCTCCAAATTGATACCCAGCCCGCCCGCACGAGTACTGAGAAGGAAAGCAAAATCGGGACTTCCAGGCGCGTTGAAATGCTCAATCGACTTTTTGCGCATATCCGAAGAGACATTTCCATCAAGGCGTTGGAAGATGTAGCCTCGCAGAGCCATGTAGTCTGAGAGGATGTTGAGCATTCGAACCATTTGGCTGAAAATTAGGACGCGATGGCCGTCTGCCTTGAGTCGAGCCAAAAGTTTGTCAAGAAGGACAAGTTTGCCGCTGCTCATCAACAGGTTCTTGAACGCCTCTTCCTTGTTTTCTGCGGGTTGTTCCACGCCTTCGAAGAGGAATGGGTGATTTGCAGCCTTTTTACACTCCATGGCTAACAGAGGTAAGCTGCTACTCCACAGTGGTCGAAGGGCTCACCAATGTTCAATAAAGAGATATTTGTAGTTCCGCCCTTGGCGAGAGCCGCAAAATTCTGAAGAGAATAAGTCACACGAAAGGAGAGCCCGCCAAAACATACCCTGGTAAGAATATTCTTGTACAGATTTGCTTGGGTTGCCGACAACTCGACACGAAGGATTCGCTCCGTTTTGGTCGGCAAACTCTTGATGACCTCGGCCTTCATTCGGCGAAGCATATACTTTTCCAAGTCTTTGTGCAGCTCCTTGATCTTGCTCTCTTGATCGGGGTCGTTAAGCTCAAAGTTGGACGCAAGCGAAAACTTGTCCGGCATGAGGAAGTGCATCAGTGCCAATAGTTCTGGTCAAAGGTGAGCCATCAAGTTTCGACGAGAAGATATACCATACCCTTGACATTGTTTTGAAGCGGGGTGCCCGTGATGAGTAGCTTGCTTGCTGCCGAACAACCGGTCAAGGCTTGGTAGAGCTGGCTCTCCGAGTTTTTGAGTCGATGCGCCTCATCGACCGCAATGCACTGCCATCTAATCGCCTGCATCTCCACCGCGTCCTTGAGGACCATTTCGTACGTGGTCAGCACGACGTTGGCCTTGATTCGCTTCGGAAAATTTGCTCCAAACTCGTATTCGCGAATGACTTCACGAGCAGGGGCGCTACCCATGTAACAGACGACATTGAGATCGGGAGCCCAGTATGCAAACTGGGATTGCCATGCGGTGATGGTACTGAGCGGGACGACGACGAGGAATGGACCATACTGCTGCTGCGCATGGAAGAGGTAGCTGAGGAATGCAACGGTTTGAACCGTCTTTCCTAGACCCATTTCGTCTGCAAGTACGCCATTGTCACCGTGATGCCAGAGGAAAGCAAGCCAGTTGAGACCGGTGAGCTGGAAATCCTTCAGCTCGCCGCCCGTCCTGGCAATATAGTCCGGATCCTGTGTGATTTTTGTCCATTTCGGTCGACCGTGCACTGGATAGTTGCGTGAGCGGTAGGGATAGAGCTCGTTGGTTTCGCGTTTGCGGAAGCTCTCAATCTGCTCGCGAGCGATACTTTTAATGTCGTCGAGCTTCTCCCACGTGGCGGCATCATATCCTTGGTTGTACCACTTGCAAAAGTATTCTGGTACTTGCTTTGAGCTATCGATTTCGTCTGGTCGGGTGCGCTCGGCGATGACACGTTCGACAACCTTGAGCTTTTCAAGTGCTTCTTTTTGTCGCTCGCGGTAGATTTTGTAGCTCTCGACTTCTTCGAGGTCGCCCATGTTCACCTCGCGGAGCATTGCCTGCTGGGCTTTGATGTAATTGTCCACGCGCTTGATGCCCTTGTATTGCTTGAGAAAGTCATAAAGCTCGTCGGTATTGTGAAGATGCGAGTAGCCTTTCCATTTAATGTGGAAGCGCTAGACGGGGGGAGGACAGCAGTCAGTCTCGGGCACAAAGGGAGCTAGTCATGCCTACGGACCATGTTTGACTGGAAATTGTCGACGGGATCGTGCTTTCGCTCATCATCACGATGATGGTCGAGTACCATTTCAATCTCGTGAACTTGTTCCGTGGGCTGCGCCGATTCTACGGCCATGTCGTCTCCGGCCGTGTCACTGTCCTCGTCCATGGATGCGTCGTCGTCATTTTCGTAATAATTGGGGAGTTTTCCACCTCGAGACGTGAAACGAAAGTCGTCCATCCCATTGCTGTCGTGGAATCTCTTCTTCTTCTTCTTGGCCGGCGTCTCACTCTCGAAATCAGAGGCAGAGTCAGAGTCGGTGGCTGGAGTGGATTCTAAATCATATGAATATGTCAATATCTTGATATAGAGTTGGAATATACAGTGTACTGACCCTTGCGACGATTGCCACTGCTGCGTTTGCGTTTGGCCGACTTGTCCTGGTGGTAGTCGCCATCTTCGTCTTCGTTATCCGCTTCATCTGAGCTTTCTTCGAGTGGAGAGTTCTGTTTGGTAGGTCAGCAAGTGTCCTGCGAGGCACAAGGGGCCACTCTGGACTAACTGTGTCCCTACTACGACTCTTTTGGACCGCGCCACGACGAGCAAAAGGAGAACGAGTCGACGAACAGGAATGCGAGGAGCACATGTACCGACGCCGTGAGCAACCCAGAGGCCGGCAAACGTTGTGAAAAAGTACGTACCGAGCGGCGGAGACCATAGAGGACAGGATCGAGGGCCTGGTAGTCAATTTTCTCGCCTCTGGAGACGACGGGGGGTAGTGGAGAGGGCGTATAGTTCATCGGCTCGTCGACATCGTCCGCGTCTGCGTCGAGTTCAGACGCGTGCTCACTGCTGGGCGCAACGTCGACGAGATAGGCAGGGATATGCGCATGGGAGAGGCCCTGTGGACCACCGTTGACGCCAGACAGCATCGTCCTCGACTCTGGCGCGGACAAGGCGGCGGCAAAGATGGGTTGCCAGCGAATTCCAAGCTCTTTGCCCGCTGCCCCGTCCGGTCCAGACGACAAACGCGTCTTGAAAAATCCTGTAAAAATCAGCTAATATACGCAGTCACTTCCTCCGATTTTCTGCAGCTTTCTACGTCCAGTTTCTGCACTAGCTGACGTGTGTGCGGTTGGCCGCTGTCAGTCTCGATGAGCACGATCCACGGCCAAAACACGATTCCGATATTTTCTCTAAAATTTCTCTGGCTTATCTTGAGCATGCGAAAGCCTCGTTTAAGCCCTTGGAACGTGTGCGCTGTGAGCCGTCTCCCCGTCGAGACCGCGTCTCTCGCATTCTGGGGCACTGAAGCAGCTCACCTCCCTGAATCCTTTTCGTTAATCTAGAGCTTATTCCATCAATTCTTTCACGCCTATCGATGCATTCTGCTCCCCCCGTTTGGCATCCCCCGTGCGGGCCGTCCCCCTCGTCGATCACAGATTGAGCAGTGGCAATGAGCATACGCCCGTCCTCCCCCCTATTCGTGTGAGATCAAAGGGTTCATAACCGTGTCTAGAACCTCTACAAAGTATACGCTACAGGGTTGGATTTCGCTACATCCCAAGGAAATGGAAACAAGAAAATCAGGCAAGACTGCTGGTATGCGTGTGTAGGATGGGCAGGCAATAACGTGCTGAGAGTACTCATTTAATATCTGCCAAAAAGGCGTAGAGGTGCTTGGCCAGTACGGCATGAACTTTGCTAGTCGGGTGAAGATTATCCATCCTAAGACTGCATTAGCAACCCTCTCTTTTCGTCAATCAAAGAGCAGAGGCTTACCAGATGGGTCCCTCGGCTTGATCCACGTCTTCTGAATCAAAGTCGTACGCCTCGGGATAATCAAGGACGGATAAGAGCGAGTTCCAGGCCGAGAATATGAATACAGATGTGTCCCCCAGGACACCATTCCCGTCTGGCGTACTGAGCGGCGTGAGCCCTGGTGTCGATGGCGTACTCCCCGGTGTCGACTGGGCACTATAATTCGAAGAGGCTGAAGACGTCGTATGCCGGTGAGAGAATGCTGGGCTAGAACCTTTGGGCAATTCGACGGGGGAAAATGGCATCGGATGGCTAGACGAGGCCGAAAAGGAGGTACGGTCGGAAGATGTTGATGGCCGAGCCGTTGTATAATCTTGGTGTTGGGTTACAAATGCCTTGGCGTGTGTAAAGAGCATCTTGTTCCAGTCTTCGTATCTTGTCGAGTCCGGACCAAAGTCTGGGTCGGCTAATGGTGTACAACCCGTCAACAGGGAGAATCATATGGAAGCAAGGCATTGTGTCGATCAGGAGCCGAGTAGATTCAAGTTGTAAGGTGACCATATGGGAGATGGGCCATGCGTCCGGATGGATATGAGAAAGAAAAGAGCATGTCAGTCTAAGAATAAGAAAGCAGACATAGTGTCGTCATGGCCAAAGCCACGAGTTTGATAGGTTACTGTCCTAGAGACGGGCGTAATCGAGGTGTGAGAGCGAAGAAACGCACCTGACGGTGTGCGGTGTATTGGGGGGCAATCAATAAAGAGAAAGTTTCGGGCACCCGCATCGTACAGCTCGTTGACAAGCTGGAATAGTTGCTTCATCGGACGGGCTGGGAACGCAGTCTCGCTGTTCCGGTGAGTAGTGAGAACGGTAAACGTCATTGGCAGACCAGAAGAAAAAACGCACGCGAGATCATTAATGCCAATGAAGAGGACTAATGTCAAGTTGTTACGAAGAAAAGAGGACCGGGAGTTGGCAACGTACCAAAAAGCGAGTTCTCCGCCGTCCATGACACCGACTTGGCGTGTCTGGCGAGAAATTTTTGTCGGACTTGACTGGCTAGACCGAGTACGGTATCTCCGCCTTTGGCATAGTCGTATATCCTGAGGCTTCCTGGTGGGAGAGGCCGTGTGCGAATAGGAGTGGCGCGTGCATTTGCCGGTGGAGGAGAACCAGGAGTGGAGGTTGTTTGATACGCATAGGCGTCTGGTTGAAGGAGGAGGAGGAGATGGCCCACCCAGTTTGGGCCGTCGCCTGTCCATGGGTCACCAGGAAACGGCTCAGGAGTGCCGAGTGGGTGTGTAGCAGTAGGCTTTGGGAGAAAATCGTCGTCCTCGTTGACAGAGCTGTACGAATCGCCGCTGTAGGACAGTGTCAGGCAAGAAGAGTCGTGGATCACAAAGAGAGAAAAGCACAAGATGAACCAATTTTCCGTCTGTGAGAGTCCACGCCAGCTCGAAGCGCGGAAGACGGTACGTCGGTGAGACGTGGAGTGGTCAAAGGCCATAAGGAGCAGGCCACAAACTTGCTCGGGTGCAGAAGTGGAGGGGCTTATTTATCTCATGATAGATCACTCTAGTGGCCAGTAATCTATCGAGATCAGCTATTGTAGTGTCAATCTAGCCGCTCTAAATAAAAACTGCGATGCCAGCGCGAGGTCGAGACCGTACGGCTCGGCCATCGTATTTGGCCATAGTTGGTGGGTTGAAGCGGAGTTGGACGAGATGACTCCTGTCTGCACAAAATCTACAAAAGTCTTGTCCGGACCCTTGTAAGCCCGGGGGGAGTAACGTGGGCTGACTGTCATGGCGTGTGCAAACTCCCAGCGTGAAGCCAAGATGGCTGAGTGTCTGGTACATAGCGTACATATCTTGATTTGCTCACATCGGAATTGGATCGCGCATAGTAGTCCGGTGCCCAACTCTAAAGTTGCACCGGTCCTTGGCCCCACTAAGCCTCCGGGACGTCGTCAAAAATCTCTAGAAAATCATAGATGATCTGTAAAAACGCAGAAAAGTTGTCGTGGCGGAAATGAAGACAGTAAGGCACCAGCCAAGGATGGAGCATGTGCTACCCAGTGTCGGGTACCACCGGTTTGCCGCGGTCAACACGCGGGCGCCTTGAAAGTAATTATTCTATCCCGCGGGTAGTTATAGCAAGCCGATTCCCGCCTTTGCGCCTATTCCCCTCAAGCTTCCCCCTCTCCTCCTTACTCTCCACCTCCTCTCTCGAGTTGCAGTCATGCCGCACTCTTCGCCCACGGTTATGCTCCTCTGGAGCGTCCTTTCTGCCATGGAATTCATCTTTCTTATTCACCACTTGTACCGCTACGACCGCTTTGCAGTACGTCCTCCTCGAGCAGCGGCGACTCACAAGTGTTTGCTAACGACTGTTTGTGAATCTGGTAGTGCATTCGATGGGACTCTGGTAGACAGCCCGGTGCATTCAAGCGTATAATGACCTATTCGTATCTGCTCTGCATCCCCCTCTTGATGACCTATAGTCTCATCATGGCCTACATCAAGTATGACGAAGGCTACATGGATCTTAGAGCTCTCGGACGTGGTGTGATCCCAAAGCCATATGCCCTGTGGCCACAGCACTACAAAGACCTCGTCTTGCCCGCTACAGTCTGCTTCTCCGTCGGATGGTCGCTCGAGATTGTTTCTCATCTTGAAGAACTCAACTTTTGGCTCTTTCTCCTACATCAGGTTCGTGTTATTCTTTTTTCCATCCAGAAAATCTCCCTTGGGCTTGGCCTCTCACGAGTCCCCCGGCTATCCTTGCTCATTCTCTTCTTCGGCGCCTTTTGGCTAATTACTGACATTTCTGCTGTTTCGCCTCGCAACGCCACTTACTTACTTGTCGCCGTCGTCGTCACCCTTCGAAACACGCTTCGCCATGCGCTGCTGCCGACCTCTTCCGACGACATCCCCAAATTACTGCGGCGACTACCCGTCTGGATGTTACAGGGACCAAGTCAACGCGACTGGTTTAGCTCACTCGAGTTCAAGACCTGGGCTGCTGGCGCCACGCTCGCCGTCGTTGGAATGCCCACTTTGACCGTCCTTACTCGCGCAGATCCATACAAGTCTGAAGCATGGACCTGTTTTGCTGGTGGTGTCGGCTCAACGCTCATCACCCTCTGGTTCCTCGTCGTCTTGTTCAAGTTTCCCCGATTCCTCAAACGCGTTCGCAACGAAGGTGCCGATGCCGAAGTTGTCGTTCGTTTGACCACTTTTGATGAACTCAACGTAAGCTTCGAATCTTCATCTTTCTCCCGCTCCGTGGCTAAACCGCTAAAATCATTGCTCTTTAGCGAATTCGCGTTGGCTTCCGCTTCTTCTTTGCTGGATCCTTCCTCATTCTTGCCACTGATGGAATTTTGCCCGGGGATAAACCTATCAACACGAGCCCGTTCTGGACCGACTTGCTTTCAATGACTGGCGCCATTGGTTGTGTCGTTTCGTCGATGCTTACGCTTCTGGTGAGTTTTTTGGCTACTATTGGTCCCCAAAACCTTGGGCCACTTTCGCACGCTCTGTCACACCGTCGGAGCGGCCGGCTCCAGCCTTTTCCCCCCGCACTCCGTCCCCACAAGTCGAGACACTATGTTCGACAGGAATGCCAATCTCTTATCAATCTGTCATCCCCCTTGTAAATGATCCCGAGCCGGCCACTCAAAACACATTCACATGTTTCCGCCGTTCCGTGCTCCAGACTAATCACCCCCATCATATCAGATCTTCTTCCCTCGTTCGATTGCCAAAGAAGCTGGCTACAAGGCAAAGACGGTCTCTCTCAACTCGCGCGGGACGTCGAATAACCCGCCGGCATCGCCCACCGTCACGTTTTACAATGACAATAACACAATGGGCATGGTCAACTATCCTCGACAAAGCAGTATCGGTCTTGCCGTCACAACGGACCCTGCTCCAATGTATCAACCTTCGCCGACAATGTACGCCCAGCCCGGTGAAACGCGCTCAACGACACCAAACTCGGCTATGCTTCTCAATGCCAACGTCAACAGTACGAAGACGCCTGCCGGTGGACGAATGCCTTATGGCGCATACGCATATGGCGGCAATCATGGTGGTGTAGGTAGTGGCCCTGCGGAATGGGAACTCGATAGTCCCAGTCGTGTTCATGGTCATGATATTGAAGCATATCATGCTGGTGCCGATCCGCGAGAGTACCTCAAGATGCAGAGCGAACAATCACTTGCGCACGTTGATCTTGGGAGTGTGGAGAGTGGGATTGCCAACGTTGGTGGCGATAATAAGCAGCGCGTCAAGACGGGTTCCGCCCGTGCACCTGTGCGACCACCGCGTCCAGCTGAGCCGATTCTTCACCCATTGGTATGCTTTCTTTCTTTCTTGCGATCGATTAAGATATTTATATTACCGTTTAGATTTTGAACTACACGTCACCCATCGATCTCCTGGACCAGGCGACGAGCAGGCCTCCAAGACCACCGCGCCACCCACGAAGGCTCTAAGCGAATCGCGCTTGAGACTTGTCTTTGTTCGTCTTGCAATTCTTGTCGCTTGGTGCTTGGACACCGTCGTCGCTCCTTTTCGTTTTTCCGTGTTTGTCCCAAGACAAACGGCCTACTCTCTGGACAATTATATCACCACCACCATCACCAACAACTATTTGCATCAAAAAGGAAGGAAACAGGAAGAAGAATGGGGACTACCGATCACCATCTCCCTCTCCCTCTGAACCTCGGCGCTCGCCCTTTCTTGGCCCCCTCCCCCCAACCGCCCATGGATCCCTCCAGAAGAGAAAATGTACCTGTATCGGCTGCGTTACTCCACACCTCGTGTCCTTTGGCGTGAAAAGGCCCCGTGTGCGTGCGTTATCTAAGCGTTTAGTTTGCTAGCATAGAGTGTTCTCGAAGTCACGCGCTTCGTAGCTTTGTAATTTCAATTCGATTCTCGCCCTCCTCGTCGCGTGGTTGCCCTACTGGTCGCCTGTCTTTGGCGATGCGTCAGACGCTGTACCTGTGCGCCAGGCTCTCAAGGCTGGAGTGTGATATCTGGGTCACAGGTCGACCTTTTTGAGCCATAGAATGTATGGATTAGACTTCAAGATAGTGGACCAGGCTCAGGTCTGATAGTATGCGGAAGCAGGTGCGGCACTAACAGGCTGTACTAGGGGATGGATGTGCAGGTTTGATGCTGAGGAAGCGCCTCGCCTCAATTTAGAGCCTGACTATTGAATGTAAACATATATATATATATCTGCCCTCGTCATACGCTCAACTTCATACCAAAACCTCGGCTTCTTTATGATGTCCCAGACGCAAGACGGTAATACTTTGACATCGGGATTGTATGTCCTTCGTGATGGAGACTATCACGAGATCACAGAAATTGAAGTATTCCCCCTGTATTCGATCAGGCGGATTGTGGCTGACACGATTCAGGAAGCTCGTAAATTGTTATCGCAGTTCATTGAACTTGCACGCATCGAAACGAAAAAAGTATCTCAATCCACCAAGTTGTATGTCTTCTAAACATAATCCCAGTCACAATCAGCGACTCCCCAGTCAAGCCACCGACACAAAAAAAGGTGGGAAATGACTCTGGAGATAGAAAAGGTTGCCATATTGACACCTATTCTCCCACTTTATCTGTTGCGCATACAGCCAAAGGACCTGAGGAGAACGGTTGAAGGACTGGCTGCCGAGCTCACAAATCCCAATTAAACAAGGATCAAAAGGAGGTGAGTCCATTTCTAGCAAGAAAACACCTGCCCTTAATATATATAGTACTGTAAATCTCGCTTAATCGGCATTTATGGCGGGAACGGGGGACGCGAAAATGGAGGTACGGAGAATCATATTGCTAGCACCGCTCTTAACTAACATTATGGTAGAGAACGGACTAAAATCCTTAATGAAAGAATGTGAGGCGTCTCAGGGTCTAAGTGCTGCTGAAAAGAGGGTACGATGTCCATCAAACTGTCTACCTGGGTGCTCACTATTTATCTAGGACCGCCGCAAAACCGTTGTGGACGTGGTTATGCTAGAGAATGGATACGAACGATTAAAGACAGGTATGCCCTAATAGTACAATCTCCGAAATGTTCATGGAGTTTGTATCGATTATGGCTACCCGATCATGCTATCCAGCATCAATAAAGCTCGCATTTAGGATAATATTGAAGTTATGAATGAAAGGTGTCGGAGAAATGTCAAAAGTTACTGGTGAGAGTCTTACATGGTATTCATGCCACTCGGAGTCGTACCAGGCGAGGCCACTTCAGCAGTATAAGTCGGTCTCACCCTTGTAGCAATTTCCGTAAGGCGCTTCATATCACATCTGTCGAAGCCGGCTTACGAGGGTAGCCCTGAATTGGTCCTGGCCCCGCAAGGAGGCATGAAGCTACATCACGAGGACGTAAAAAAACTCTTTAAAATCTTGTACATGTCACAAGAAACATCACTCGTGAGTCTTATGGAATCTACGGGCATTTATGAAGTTGTCTCGGCGAGGTAAAAAGGTTTCTTTGCGCTACCTTTTGATTGGGCGCTTGGACTCCGTATCTTTGATTGATAATCGCTTGTGAGTTGCCTTGCCTTCGCGGATGCTCCAGAAGAGGGAATGTAGATGTAAGGCTCCGCTACTCCACACCGCATGTCCTTTTGCGTGGAAAAGGCCTGGTGTGTGCCCGTTATATAAACGTCTGACTTGCTAGCATAGAGTGTCCTTAAAGTCATGAGTTTCTTGGTTTGTAATCCAATTCAATTCTCGTCCTACTCCTCACGCGTCTGTGGCGCTTACTCGTCACACCTGTACCTGCTTCGAGGGTTGGAATGTGACTTCGCGGTCACAGCCTGACCTTTTAAAGCCACCAAATCTATTGGGCTAACAGATAGAATATCAAAATTACGGCTTGCTTGATCGCGAGTTGGTCCTGCGTGTGCAGTGTGTGGCCCGCCGAATATTGTGCCACTCTACCGGTGCACCAGCACAAAACCTCGTGGCAATCCAAGAGCCTGATTGAGCATCATCAAAATATAAAACTGGTGACTCATCCCGGACGCAATCTTGAGCAACCCTCCCATAGGATTAATCATGCCTCTCCGCCCTAATCGCCCCAAGTATACCAGAGACGAATTGAGAGGGAAGCTCGCCCTTCTTCATAATGATGATATGGACAAGTACCCCCATGTTAAACCGGTCAGCCCCCTAGGTATTCGACTGAGCATTCATTTATTCTCTATAGGATGCTCGAAAGTTTTTCGATGTGCTTACGAAGCGGGTTTATGGTGAAGGAGAAAGGCGTCAGTGAATTTACACATAATACGAGTATTTCTACTTATGATCTCCAACAGATGCTCGTCTCACTTGCCTCGTCCAAATTTTCGAACAGCATTACAAGAAATTGACCAGTAATGAACAATATGTGAGATTTTTTTCTTACTTAAACAAGAGCTTATTGACACTTGAACCCCTGTAGAAATTCCGGGAAGTTATTCTTGATGACCTAATGGGTGAAGAATGTGAGCTATTGATAGTACCCACGCCCTTGAGCGTGGATTAAAGATAGATGTACTCTCCTTTTGTCCCTTCACTGTATTAGCCTGAACGAATGAAACCGTCCCCACTATCGAACCTTTGGATTACCAAACGCGTGTAAGCACACCAGCGTTGAATGCGCCAATATCGTGGTTCTATCAATGCCGACCAGGAATGGAGGACCTCTCGCATACGTCGAGGACCACTTGAATCATACTGAACACGGTCTGTCGACAGCATACGATCTCTTAAATTATTCCACCGATCTGCTGATGCTTCTACTGCGGGTTCACCGTCACCAGCTCGACTGCAGAAGGGGCCCGAGACCAATTAATTCCCATCCGGGAGAGTATCGACTGGATTTAAGATAGTAAATAATGAAGGGCTGATGAGATTGGGGCCGTCAGGCTCCCAATTGCTCTTTGAACTCTGTCACAAGAGTGGGCTTGCAGAGCATCAAATTATACTGTCCTTATCTTTTCAGAGCTTGAAACTCACACGTTGGGATCAAATGGTTCTACCAGTGCCGACAAGAGCCTCCCTGATGGGACATTTGGCCGTCATAACAAACCGTAACCTACCTCACACTACCCGAGACGTGTGTCCTTACCATTGCGTTTTGCTATAAATACCTAACACGCGACAGCGGTCTCGAATTTGTTTGATAAGTTCTGCGGGACAGTTTCAGCGTGGGAAAAGCGAGACTAGTATGAGCTATCTACGTCATTTTGACCTGCCTAAGATTCAGCAGCCGACATGAGCTCGCATATCGATGAGTTTGTGCGAAGGTACGGGCAGTTGAAGCCAAAGGAAAGAACGGTGGGTGAATCAGAGAAATTCTTGCTCCGTTCAATCTGACAGGTCGTTAAGGAGCATCGAAACCATCTAATTGACAGAATTATGGGAAATCGCTAAACGATAGTCTAAGCGCTTGAACCTTGGCACAATGTTCGAGCTGAAAATATGATTTTCCATGACGCCGAGTAGATATATATGGTCATTGTCGAGATTATCCCGGCCGAGATGAGGCTCGTCTGCTGCCGGAATATCTCCAGGCATGCACCGCAGATCAGATTACGTGTCCCAAAACAGCCATGACACTGGTGTTTATTGCTCGACAATTCTCCTTCGGTTATGACGGTTTGCCACTGACGAACAGCACTTGGACCCAACTCTCTCGATCACTCTCTCGACTGGGCACCTCGTGATGGCCTACAAACTCCTTGTTGGCGGGTACACGCAGGGTGGTCTCCGTGTAGTCACCTTTGATCCTTCAAACAATAAGCTCGACCTCCAATCGACGGGAATCCCAGTCGGACCGGACCCATCATGGATCGTCCAGCATCCGCGTGATAGCAGTCTCATTCTCGCGACGAGTGAAGTAGAAGACGGAAAGTTGCATGTGATTCGACTCAAAGACGGCGAGGAACTCTCGGGCGAGGTGCTCACCAGCGTATCGAGTGGAGGAACTTATCCGGCACATCTTCTGGTACTCGACGACTCCATTGTCACTGGAAATGTGCGTGAAATTATCTTCTTTTTCTCCTATCGATCTAATGTGTTTAGTACATGGGAGGTTCCATACTTGATATTCCCTACTCGCTTGGGCCAGTATCGGTTAAGGATCACGGCTCAGAAAAGGCGCAGGGTGTACACATTCAGTTTAGTGGAACAGGACCAAACCCAGACCGCCAAGAATCTTCGCACCCCCACGAAGTCTATCTACACGGCAATGAGCTCTTAATTCCTGACCTCGGTGCAGACAAGACATGGAGACTTGTCAAGGGGGATTCTGGATGGGAAATCAAAGGCGCAATCGAATATCCAGCCGGATCCGGCCCGCGTCATGTTCTAATTCATGGTGAGCAGCTCATGACGTAGCGTCGAGCCTTGAATTCATGTCTCTAGATGGTATATTGTACACAGTACTCGAACTGTCCAACGAGATTGCACTGCACAAGTTCGTGGCCCTGCCGGAGACGCCATCACCAATCGCCGTTCTATCGACTTTTGCAAGTGGATCCCCTGCAGACCCATCGATGCTTGCGGCAGAAATTCTCCTCTCACCGGACAAGCGGTTCATTTACGTCTCAAACCGCAACGATCCGTCACCAGAAGGCGACACTCTTGCCGTGTACACAGTGCATTCGGACAAGCAAGAATGCAAACTTGTTAATGAAATTCGAACAGGGGTGAAGCATGCAAGGGGCATGAAGTTTTCAAAGGATGGCACGTACCTGGCTGTGGCGGGCAGTCACACAGGCTCTCTCAAGATCTTCAAGGTCGTAGAGGGTAGCTCTAATGGAGAGGTGACAGCAGTTGCAAGCGTAGAGGGACTTGAGAAGCCGACTGCAGTGGTTTGGCTGTGAGATTAACGACGTATGTACACAAATGATACTACTGCTTCTCAAGGCACTCCCTATCCAGATTGAATCTTGCTTAAAGACACGCTTCGAAGATCTCAGAGCGAGAGATTACGCATACTTTCCAAGATGCTCGAGCGGGGAGGCTTCGAGTTGGTGAAGGATATATGTATTGTGAAAAATAAGATTTCTATGACCCCCCTGGAGTGTTTAAAGCCTCCTTTATTTAGAATAAATGATTCTTACGGCCAGAATAGCACGAGGGAGTCATGCGAGCCTGTGAACACTTTGCATTTATAGACCTGGTATTCAGTATTCAGTATACTTCATCCTGTATTCTGAGTGCGTGATGAGCTCCTATACATTGAGCTTGCTCGGGTGAGGAGGACGAGAGAAATAGTTAGAAGCGGAGTATGGAAGTCTTTCCGAGGCCTCTGGAAAGACTATGAGACATATTAAAATGATCTTGACTGGGCGTAGGTTGTGGTCCAGCATAGGCTACTCGGATAGGGATGCTGCCTCTATCGGCTCCATGCAAAGTGTTTACCGGCGGACAAGCCCAAGTTGGGAAGTGACAACAAGCTAATTGATCTTGTAACACGTCATATAGAAACAATGAGGATATATTGAAAGTTGTTTATTGCACGGCAGCTCAACTCCGGGCCAACGTATCGGAAATAGAGGTGCACGATTGACAACCAGATTTCGGAGGGATAGTGCCAATTGCGTCACTCAATTATCAATTATCTCTTTGCTACCGTTATTCTGGGGCCAAGCAGTGGTTGCCGCATTTTCGCCGCTCGAGCAGGAGTCGAACCCGACAAACGCTCGAAATAATCACGAAACACGAATCACGGCCTCTGTTTGCGCTTGAAGATCTAGTTTCGGCCCTCAACCTTGCACTCACCACCCTCATTCTTGTCGTTTACTTGCATCTTGGACACGACCAGTGTCAGCAGTTGGCCCAGCTTTACGAAGTCCTAAACCAATACGATCTACACTGCTACAACTGTACGTCACCACCTTGTTTTGCTGGCTTATAACCTCGTGCACGAAAAATCTAGCGGCACACGGTGGGCTGTACCAGTGCTGTCGGCACCGTACCATCATCCGGTCATGATGCACTCGTTATGTGTGATCCAAACTCGCCAGATAATGTATGAACGCGCTTCACCACGTTTGACGCAGCAGCCAGTTTGTAACTCGAGACGAATACCTGAGTGTGCTGGTTGGGGCGTTCATCCTGCGTGGTTTCGTACAAAGATAATGTGCTGGACACTCTCGTACCCGTCCCGGACCTCTTCTGTCCCGCTACGGCTGTCAGCGTCGGACCACATGTGCTTTCCTTGATGCCGCCCCCCGGTCTGTTAGATAGCCAAGCGTACTGACACAAAACCCAGATTTCCTAGTACAATTGTGTCGACCGGTACACGTGGGAGGACACTCGTACAAGATTCTCTTGCCTCCCTGGCTGCACGTATCTCTGAGACAAGAACCAATCACGCATTACAAAGCATCGACTGCATACTTCTCACCGAGTGTTCCTCCGTAGCCGGGTACACAGTCGGGCAACCCCGCCTTGTGGACGATCTGAGCGGCTGAACGAGGAAGGGCGTCCGTTCCACCATGTCAGCAGACACGGATTCGAGCGTATATTATCCCCCTGGGAAGAATCAAGTTGCCAGTACGGCCCCAAACTCAAACGATATGTCGCCACCCTGTGCGTTAGCTCCTTTCTAGCCTGCAACCTCACTGACCTCCAAGGACCTTCAGATACGAGAACAAAAGAAAAGGGGAAGCAACGCGCGGTCAACCTAGAGTCACTGTCCTTTCCGACCTCGTCGACAAACGGTGCAGAGCATGACCCACAGACAAACTCCTATCTCTTGGCTGTCCCATCCGCCGCTGGTAGCACAGAGGTGACACCCACAGCAAACTCCATGAAATCACCGCCTCGGCCCCCACAGCGCTCGCCCCTTCGGTCAGGACAATCCTCCCCCCGCCGCCGACCTGTAGAACCGCCTTCGTCGGGTAATGAGCCGGCCACTGTCGAACAATCACGCCCCATCCCGCGCCAGCGTACGGACAGCTCAGCGGCGGCCCGGGAAAGACGACGGGAGGCATACAAGTCTGGCATGTCCTTTGTCAGTCTCTACGAATTATATTCGGAACCACCACTTCCACCAGTCCCGGTCCCCGCACTTCCATCCCTAGATCGCACGAAACTCGTGGCTGCGGAACAGGCGTCGGTCAAGAGAGCGCGCTCAGGATCAACGGCGTCCATCGGGACGAGTCGGGAGAGAAAGACTTCTGTGCAAACCTCGGCGACTATTGCTTCTAGTCACGGTAGAGCCCGCAGCGGGTCGTCTGCAGAGTCCCCACTGAGAAGCCAGCCGCATGCATTACGTCCCTCAAAAGATGCCCCCTCGGGTGTGGCTGATTCTCCAACCTCCTTACGTTTGGGTAATACGACGATTTCATCGTCCATTCTCACCGTTCAACCGACCCCATCGCTCGCAGAGAGTGCACCGACAAAGTCGAAGCGACAACATGTCCTGTTCGAGATCCTCGAGACAGAGAGGATATACTCCAGCGACATGGCTCTCGTCAGGGCTGTTCATTTACCGCTTGCTCTCGGGATGAAGATCGAACTCGGACCAATGGGTCAAGTCGCTTCGTCTGCACGGTCAAGTGCGGCGGACGGAAACGTTGATATCGGCCCATCGCGGAGCTCTGGTATCTCCACCAATACCGCAAGTTCTACTCAATCACAATCTGGCTCCAGCACTTACCCAGCTTCACCTGGGCATTCACTTGGAAATGAGCCACCCATGTCCGTGGAAGACGCCAAGGTCATCTTTGCAAACCTGGATGAGCTTGCAGAATTCACAGGAAGGTTCACTGAATTCATTCAACTTGCACTCGGCTCGGAGATTGAGGGAGGCGAAGGACCTGACAGGATCGGTACACTCTTTTTGCAAATGGTGAGCAATCTTGACTGACGTGCAGAAGCATCGTTCACGCCTGCTAGCTTCCCATAATGGCCCCCATATACGAAACATACATTACCAAGCATTCGGCCTCAATCGCCAGACTTACTACACTTACAACCGAGAACCCCAGTCCAGCAATGCTCCAATATATTGAGCATACAAAAGCCATTGCATCTACCCATTCAAACTCGTGGGATCTCAATTCACTGCTCATAAAGCCCATCCAACGATTTCTCAAGTATCCTCTCCTCCTAGAGACATTGGTCGCGTCCACACCAGATGATCATCCGGACAAGCCAGATTTGATTCGAGCCAAGACGGCCATGGTCGAAGCCAGTCGCCTGGTTAACGAACAAACGCAAAAGGTGGAGATTTGCCGAACGATCTTGCAGCGCAAGCCGCTCAAGGGACTATCTGCAGTCTTCTCAACCGGTGCACCAAACTCGCAGCAACTCAAAGTCAAAGGCTCCAAGTCGGTATTTGCAGTCACAAAATCCAAGGAGCCAGCACCGAGCACTACTGCTGCTGCCGCCGCGACTGCAACGACTTCATCGTCACCATCCGTCACGCCGTTTGATGCCGTATTTGACCCAATTCAGCTGGAAAACCGTCTGGTTGAACATGCTAGCGGAGGTGCCGCCGGCTTGGAAGAGCTCATCAAGCACTTGCAGGGGTTCGAAACTATACTCCCTCGGTATCTGCGAGACGTTGTCAATTGGGTGCGCGAGGTGCGCAATACATTGACAAGACTCGAAAAGTGGGCCGCGGCGTTTGAGAGGGTGATCTCGCTGGAGGACAATGGGGGTATCGAAGCATTAGATGCATTTAGGGGAGTGCTGACGGATCGTCTGGGCCCGATTTTGGATGGCTTGGTTAGTCGGATGAGGCGGCCTACGCTGTACTGACACCCATCAGGAAATCGCCGTTCGCAGCACACTTGCACCCACTCTCACCAAGATCCAGGACAGCATGAAAGGTCCGACACTGCTGCTGAATACGGCTGCAAGTTTGCGAACAGTACACAACCAAATGATGAATACACCATACATCAGCAAAACAAATCGCCCATCTCCACAGATGATCGAAGGTTCCAAGACCTACCTTGCGCTCATGCAGCAGCTAAGGACGGATCTACCTGTCTATGTTCGTCACCTGGACCGCATGTTTGGCTATGTCATTCTGCAAGTCGCAAAGTGGCAAGAAAGATGGTATCGAGAAGTTGGACATGCGTGGGGGGATCTCTGGGCGGCATTGGAGGTTGGACCTGGCAGTCGACGAGAGTACCGGGCAAGGCGGCATAAGGAACTGACGAGCAAAAAGGGTTCAAAGCCGTCAGAGCCAGAATCTTCGGAGCAACGTCGTGGAGCGTATGGATGCAGCGGAGACGAGACGGCAGCCATCTGGTGGGATCGATGGGAGGAGGTCAACCTTGCTATTGCTGCCTTGGGGGTTCCCTCTGGCGGTGCTCTACAAGGCGTGCGGTCGCTTCAAGGCTTGATGAAGATCCCCCAATCCTCTGCTGGGTCCTACTTCCCACAGCCCATATCCGAGCCTTACCAGACCCCAACGTTTGACGGGAGGACGATTCCTGAAGACATAAAGGATGAAGAGTTCGGGACACCCTCCTGGATATTACACACCGGCGGTGGCACAGACTGCTCCCCCGCGACGGCCATCGCGACCTGCGATTCAGACGCGTTCAACTACAGAGATGCCGATGAGTCAAAGTTTGAGTGTATCTTCGCCTACACGTTCGCATGCGATCAACTCTTTCCTTCCGGCAGTACGTATTTTGTTCGTCAATACCAGCTTTGCTTATATATTGGCAGGTTTCACCAGGCTCACAGGGCAAGCCGCGTCCGACAAACGGTAAGACGGTCAGCTTCTTATCAGAGACGACATCTGGTGAGTCAGCAGAGTCGTCGAGCCGTGTCCCGCGGGAGGTAAACATGAGCTCGTCTCAGCGCACTCGAACCAAGTCTCACGAGCGCGATTATGCGACGGGTTCAACTCGCTTGGAGGGAGCTTGGCAGAACAACGACACTGACCGAGCAAAGACGTTGCCTCGAGGTACTTCGTTCCGTCGACGGTTGTCGGAGAACATGTGGTCTGGAGAAGGAAACGAGAAGAGCGCACCTCCTGAGAGCAAGGGGGTAAAAGGAGGGCTGGATATTGACCCAGAGGAGTTGGAGGCTGCAGTTGCGACGACGCATGCTCGTGAGGAACGCGAAGCAGAGTTGGTTGGTATTGGCATACGAGAGGGGGTTGTTCCACGACCTGGACTTTCGTCATCCACTTCTGCGCCGGCAGTAAATGGCAACGGACCTACAAGGCAGCTTTCGCAGTCGACATCGAACAATGCGCTGCGAAAGAAGAGGCCTACGCATACGCGCGAGACAACGACATCGTCGAGTATGGATCTTTCGTCTCATATTCATGTCGATCTCCCACCTTCGAGGCAGAACCAGCAACAGACGCAACCGCCACCGCAAAGGCAATATTCGTCGCAGCAGCCGACACCCTTTTCGTCGTCTTCATCTTTACAAGTCGTGCCAGAGTACCCTGCGGCAAGACCACGACCTGGGTATTTGGGACGGACGAGACAAGTCGTGTCAGAGTACAGTCCCAATATGCGACCCTCTTCGTCGCTCTCGCTCCTTGCAGATGCAGCTGGCCTGGGTGAACCGTCGTCATCCAAGACGAGCCTCAATCGATCGTCTGCAGGTGGGAGTCGGTCCACGGCAGCGTACAGCATGGCCAGCAATCTCGCTGGTGCAAACCTGCTGAGCGACGACGCGCCGATCCTGTTTACATGCACGGCGGTGGCGAATTTTGATGCGGGCGGATTCCGGTATGCTGGACTGCCGTTTTTGGAATTGGAGATTGGAGACGTGGTGAATATTGTCAAGGACTGCGGACGGCCTGCGCAGCACCCCGACTTGAAGCCCGTCGTGTCGGATGGAATCGACACGCTGTTTATTGGGAAGCGCGTGCCGGATGGAGGAGATTCGCCCGAGATTGGGTGGCTGTGGGCGAGTTTTGTGATGCCATTGGAGATGTAGGTCCTTTTCTGCCTCTTGGGCTACGCCGTGCCGCGGGTGGCATGGACGTTGTGAGTTTTTGATACACAATAGCACTCATTGGACATTTGTCGCATTTCTCGTCTGTTGTAGCTCTTTTCTTTTCTTGGAATCATCGTCTTTTTTTCACCTGCTGGATAGACTTTGTTGCTATCATACTTTTTGTAATAGACATGACGTATTGATTGGTGTAATGAAGAAGCCCCAAGTGGGGTTTCTCTCGTAGTCAGGGATGCTCTCGGGAAATGGAGAGCCTGTCTCTACTTTCCGCCTATCGGAGTTTTCTCCTATTGATAAAAGATGGGGTAGGAAGCGTCAATTTTTGTTTCGCGCTTAAGTGATTGTTGTAGCCGTTGCGCCGCCGGCCGCTTGCCTGGATGGAGTGGATGTGTGGTGCACCGAAGGTCCGAAACGCCGTGCCCTGCGTGTTGCATGCGGGTTTGAGAAACGAGAAATGGTTTATTACGAGTTCTGGACGCGTTGGAATTCCTGATACTCCAACATGTGGAGTCGAGGATTATTCGTGTGCAGTCTGCTCATCACGAGTGCCGTCGTCTCTGCTCAGAATTCGACGAATACGAGCAGTGTATTCACTCTCACGAATACGGCGTCTCCAGCTCCTACATCTGAATCGAATTCTATTAGTCCAGTGTAACGTCCTTCTCCTTCTCATCATTCGCACCGCTCATCAAAAATATAGAATTCAAGTCTCCACGGTCATTATCGTCTCTACGCAGACGGTTTATATAACGCCGTCCCTTTCTTCTATACACAGTTCGTCCAGTCGGACGCCGTCGACGTATACCCAGTTTGTGACGGCGACACCGACGGATACGCCGTCGAGTGCTCTTGAAAGGAGGTCATTTGAGAGAATAGGGGGTTTCCTGGTCATGGGTTTACTCCTGCTCTCGCTAGGCATCTAGAACTCGGAGACGTCGAGGGGGGGCGGCGCTCCGTCCCTTGCTCACATGAGACTTTTTTTTACGCGCCTTGGCAGATATTCCAAATATACCTGACACACTCCGCGCATCGTGTTGTAATGAAAACGTTGGGCGTGCGAGTGACATTGATTTCATTGACAGATCTCGAGGAGATTTGTAGCCGTCGTACGAGAAAATGTTTACCGGGCGATGTAGTACCCGGAGGTATTTGCCTTCTCATGATTGCCTTAGCCCCACGTGTGACCTGATACTTTCGACGGCGTGGGAGATCAAAACGAGGTTTTCGACTCAAAAGAACTGGCAATGTATTGGCAGAAAGGAACGGGCTGCCGCTACATTCAGGACGTAATTACGAGTAGAAATAAGTCCAAAAGCAATGACGACTCGGAGGCCTTTTAGAAGAGCGAGACGGCAGCGCCAAAGAGGGCGAGAGCAGCGCCAGTGGCCATGGACGCGGTGTGGAAGCCAGCACCTGGAGACGAGGTGGAGGACGCGCTCGTGCTGGCCTGGGTGCCGGTGGTCGAACCGTGCGGGGTGGTGTGCGAGCCCGTAGCAGAGGCAGTTCCGTTTGCAGAGCCAGTGGCAGATGCAGTTCCGCTTGCAGTTCCAGAGGTGCCTGTGAGATTGTAATGAGTATAACGCTACACTTGCACAAGACGGGTGTACATACTGTTACCGCAGAGCGTTGACTGAAGGGTGAGGGCAGCTTGTTGTTCGGTTGCCGTGCAGTTGGCGGTCAAGCAGGCAAGAGCAGCAGTCTGGAATTCTGTCGAGGTACAGATGCACGTGTCGGTGCTGGGAAAAGAGGAGCAGAGCGCGCCCCGACCGTCAGCGTCGAAGAGGACGGCGTCCAACAAAGATACTCACATGGACGTGCAGCCAGAGCCCTCGAGAGCATTGGTGCTGCAGGTGAGCACACACTCGGGAACATCCGCAGTGCCCTGGGCAGCGACGAGAGCGGCGGTTGCGACGAGGAGAGCGGTGAGCTTGAACATGATAGACGTGGAGTAGTACGACGTAGAGTAGTAGCTAATGAAGTGTTGGCTTTTGTAAAATGTGGTACGACTGAAACGACGGGAGAGGTCGAGTTCAAGTTGCTCTTTCACAATTTCCAACCCCCGCTCGGCTTTTATGGATCCGCGGGCCCCTCATGGTTCCTAATTTATCCACGAGGACCCCCACCTTTGTTGGGATTTCAAACAGCGCGGAGGCCCCTATCTGTCTGGGTGCCAGCAGTATTATTATTACCACTACTATTACATTACCTAATCCGCCTTGCTTATCTCGCGCCCTCAATCGGCAGGTTGCCAAAGCCACTTGGACTCATCTCCTCTCGCCGACGCCGGCTCCTCCTCCAATCGCCATGGGCGCATGTTTCTCCTCGTCTGCTCACGACAAGGAGCGCGAGAGATCTGCAAACATTGACCGCGCAATCGAAGAAGATGCAAAGCGCTTTAAAAAAGAGTGCAAGATTCTCCTGCTCGGTCAGTCTTATATAAATCTATAATATATGTAACATGTCTTGTTATCATTGCTGACTTGCTCATCCGCAGGCTCTGGCGAGTCGGGCAAGTCGACGATTGTAAAGCAGATGAAGATTATTCACCAAAACGGTTATTCGCATGCAGAGCTCCTCATGTTCCGTCCTACCATCTACCGTAATCTCCTCGAGTCTGCAGAAGCCGCCGTCCTCGCCATGCGCAAGCTTGACATCCAGCCCGCCATGGAGGCCAACCGCACCAACGACGTCCTCTCCCGCATCGAAGTCTGGTGCTCCCGTATGCGTTCCGAGGGCTGGTGGGGCGGTGAGCGCGGTGCCAGAGGCGCGCTCATGTGGATGGACGGCGAGCTCGAGAGCGAAGCCGCCAAAGTCGCCACTATTGGAGCTTCAAGTCCTATCCCAGCTCCTCTAGCTGCCCACAATCCTACCAATAGCGCAGATGGTGTCACGCTCGGTTCGTTTTTCCATGCGAGCCAAGTCGGCTACAATGGCGACGTCGATGGCCCACTCCAGCTCGCACAGACCTCGGACAGCTCTGGTTCGTCTACAAATGTCAGTCGTTCAAAGTCGGAAAAGGAAAAAGATGCCGCCCTCTCCACCTATGATCCGCGCAACCCCGACGCGGGCCTCCCGCTTGAGATTGCACAGGCCATTCACGACTTGTTCGAGGATCCAATGTTTAAATATCTCGTCGAAGAACGCTCCGGCGAGTTTTACATGATGGACTCTGGTGTCTAGTAAGCCCCATCTCCTTTTTGGGCAACAAACGTGCCAAGACCTGCTGACCCCTCTTTCCAGCTTTATGGAACATGCGCTTCGTATTGCTTCTGGTCCAGAATATGTACCAACGACCACCGACGTCTTGCGCGCGCGTGCAAAGTCGGTTGGCATTGCAGAGACGAGGTGAGGGCGTCGCTGGGCCAACTCATATGATTTACTCACGGTCTATCGACAGATTCGACATGGGTCCGCTCTCTATTCACATGTTTGATGTCGGTGGACAGCGTTCAGAGCGCAAGAAATGGATTCACTGCTTCGAGGCCGTGACTTCAATCATCTTTTGCGTCGCCCTCAGTGAATACGACCAGGGTCTAATCGAGGCAAAGACGACAGTATGTTTCTTTTACCTAGATAGGTTGAACTGGCGAACCTGACCTGGACATTCTAGAACCGTCTCGTCGAGTCGCTTGTCCTATTCAACAGCATTGTGCACTCGCAATGGTTTGTCCGGACGTCCATTGTGCTCTTTTTGAACAAGATGGATGTGTTTAAGAAGAAGATTCCAAAGATTCCGCTCTCGAATCATTTTAGCGAGTACGCTGGCGGGCCGGACGTACAAAAAGCCGCCAAATTTATCCTGTGGAAGTTTACGCAGGAGAATAGGGGCAAGTTGAGCATTTATCCACAGTGAGTCCTCTCACCCCTGGAAAACATTACCTCTTGTCCGCTGACCTGGTTGTCAGCCTTACGCAAGCCACAAATACCAACAAGATCAAACTCGTGTTTGCTGCGGTAAAGGAGACGATTCTCTCAAACTCGCTAAAAGAATCTGGCATCCTCTAGACGGTCCTTTTTCTCTGGCTTTCGTGTCCTTCTGGCATCGGTCTCCTGACAGACAGACAGCAATGCAATTATGTGGATTGCTGGTGTAACATTATCGACGCTCATCTTACCCACCCTTCCCTCGCCCACAACTTTCCCTTTTCATCCGTCCGTCCCGTGGACCCGCTGGTTTTGGTTCGCAGTTGATTCTCGTTCCCTTCGTGCTACACTCCCTAGCCCCTAGTCAATACGCTCATCCCAACTTTTTCCCCCAACTTTCTCACATTCACAACACCACCCCGCCTCGACGTCTGTGATCCATGGCCACCTTCTTCGCTCTCCCTTCCACCGCCGCCACTGCAACCCTTGACAATACGTTTTCACAGTCCCATCTGTCTCATCATATTACTGCTTCTCTCTGGTATATCAATGTGTGCTCATCTTTCTTGCTCGATCACGTGCAAATTACTCGGATTTACACATTATTCCTCAAGGTCCCTTTAGTCTTCACCCCTTTGTTCGTACTGGCTCACTCATGTTTCCAGCCTTCAAGGCCGACAATATGAGGAGACTCCCAAGAGGAGAGGGGGATGCGGAGGGAAGGCTAGATGGAGAGGAAAACGACGAGCATGCTGGGTCACGTTGAAACAAGAAAGATCCACATCGTAATAATCTATAGCCTTTGTATACTTTTATGCTTGAGATATGCTTTTCGCGACAGTTGTGTGGAGTCGATCTGCGGTCTTGAATTGGTGATAGCCTTGCCATCCTCCAGACTCTCATCTCATATCTTTTGCTCTAAATGAAATGCTCGGGTGGGTTTGGAGCCTGCGTCAAGGCGGAAATTCCTATGAACGGCGTTTATTGTCTCGTCAGGCGGCGTTTGCATCCGTATCTGTTTAAAAACATATCGATACTGTAACCTTCTGAGCAACTTGACGACCTAATTCAGCGTTTCCACTGATTCTACGGAAAGGAGGAGGCCTGTCAGAGTTTACGACTATACAATATAATACGTAGCAATTATTCAGCCCGTAATACCTCTCAGGGATTCTTAGCATGTGATGAGAAATGCTTCGACTTCTCTGCGTTTGAACCGTCTTGTGGTCGGTCTAGATTCTCAATGGGGACATTCTAACCGTCTATACTGAACCATCACTGGACGTGTTAGATTACAGCCCAATCTACCAAATGTAATTCTTTGCTCCCAACTGAACAACCATTCTTGCCATGGCTGCATGGACAATGTCCCTGCCCGAAGCCGTACTGACGTCGATCTCGGTCCCAGCCTCTGCGTTGTTTTCACCTCCGTTGGACATCGTCACGAGTCCACCCGGGTTGACAGTAGCTTTAAGGGCCTTGCTATTGATATCCCTGTCCAAGCGTTTTGCAACTCGCATCTTGGCCTTTGTCCCTTTTGCCGCAATAAAGAAGCAAACATCACCATTTGCGAGTTGATCTCTGACCTGGGCCGCCGCAAATGCCTCGCATTGGGTTAGAGCATTTGTAAGAGTCTCGTTAGAATCTCCCCCTTTGCCTTCGTAGACAATGCGGATGCGCAATGCCCCACCTCCGGGGGCCTGCACGACATCATACAGGACTAGGTCAGCCCTCTTCTCCATATTGAAACTGGTCACCTCGGCGGCGAGCATCGTCGTACCAACAGGTGCGGGAGCAGGGTTGGCTGAGATGTTGAAATAGGTGTTTATGATCCTGGTCAGTGTGTCAGTAACAAGCCAACGGAAATTAAAAAAAGCATACCCTGCCCACATGCCGTTGACAATCCCTTCACGCCTGAGGTTATCGTTCAATGCTGGACTGGACCAAGTGGCCATGTATCCACGAGCATCGGGAGCAGCCATTTTTCTCGCAAACGAAGCTGGTAAAGGTGTCGAAACTGTAAGATATGTAGTGCTGGCTGCTGAACAAGAGTTGCGCCAAAGGGTGAGGATTGATCCCTTGCAGACTCCCCCTTTTATAGAGCGTAAGATGTGCTACGATAGATCCATTACATAACAGAGGACACGTAGGAATGAATGGTAAGGCATAAATGGGACGAGTCCGGAAGACCAGAAGACAGTGGAAGGTGAATATTAATAGCAAAGGTGGTCTGGAAGGACTAGAGAGGACGGTACAACGTCAATGTTTATAACAATGTACTTCTCCGTCATTTTATTCTTCTGTCGTGCTGGTTTACACATTCTCTTACTTGTGTACATCTTGCTTTTTCAATGCTTAATATTCTTCTTCTGATAACTGTGCGCGTCTGCTTCTGACTTGGTACCGACCTTATATCCTCACTGCACTGAAGCGGGCAATGTCATAGATTGGACCACTGGAGTACAAACGCTCTACCAGCTATAATTATTTCCTACCAACTGGGCAACCATTCGGGTCATTGCAGCGTGAACCGCGTTTCTACCATTGACTGTGGACATGTCCAGTTCAGTTCCATCGGTGCCGCTACCCTCCTGTCCATTTTCAAAAGTGACCTCCCCACGGCATCTCCGTTACTCAAGATGAAATATTCAGTGTCCTTGGACCATCGAATTGCGGTTTCTCCGACGGCGATTCCCGCAATAAACGTCCATCGTCGCGCTGTCAAACAACTTTTCCCGTCCCGGTGCCGTATGCACGACAGAAAGCCATACTAGTGGCGTGAATGAGCGTGCATATCCATGGTTTATTGAACTTTTGAGCCCCTTGACGACCTTTGACTGCACTCGACTGACAACCTGCAGGGAGAAAGAGGCCTGTCAGAAGCTACCAGTATGCGCAATACGATATTTGTGCTGACGCAGTTGTGGATACGTGGTGTTGGGCCGATATCGCCACGGTTGCCTAGCACTCTCGAATATCGCTCATCCTCAATATGGTTTCTCATTGTCGAGGCACAGCTCAATAGCTACTTGACAGTTGCACTTTCCATATTCACTTCTTGATAGTGGACAGTTCTCCTCGGTTCAGGTTCTTGTTCGCGATATGGTTGGTCCACCGTTGGATTGGGTTAGCGATTTCATTTCGCAACTGTCACAAGTTTGATAGATTCCTGAAATGACCAAAAGTAAGTCGCGTATTGGCATGCAGGATCCTCTCCGTGAATAGATATTTGACAATACATGCGTGTTTGACCAAGGTACAGTCCACAAGTCCCGAGACCTCCGACAGGACTCTGAATCTCTCTATGTGTGTGGAGTGCGATGCGCCCACCTTTTGGTGGAGATCTAGCGACAGCCGGAGCGAGGGTACTAACACATCTATTTGAGTAGTAGGCACATATGAAAGTCAATGAAACCACCGGAGAAAGCTTGGGACGCTCGTCGAGCTTTGAGGGGTAGTGAGTAACCGTTGGTTACCTGGCCATCAATTATGGCATCCACGAGTAGACCGGGCACCGTTAGTTGGACGCACGCTAGCTATATATGTTCTGCTCGTGGTACTTGGTCACGTTGGCATGTCCCTCCTTTCCTTTATCTCCCCGCATCCTTTCCTTTCCTTTGTTCAGTCACTCTGGCCCACTTCATTCTCCTTGTAGCATATTGATCTTTCCAAGCGGCAGATTTGATACTTTATGTTCGCACCACCGACGCTCCTTGCTCTACTTTGGCTGGCCCTTTCGGACGAAGCATCGGCGCAACTCTTGACCGAAACACTGGAGAAAACACGAACATTTGCACGACCATCTTCCACTCGGAGCTTTGGCTTCGGGTTTGGAACGGGATTTCCCACTTTTGCTGCTAACTTTCAAGCCAAGGCGGCGTACGTACCTGCGACGAGATCCATTCTATAATGCTTACACAGGATCCTCCACACGCAGGCAAGCCTACGGAATCTGGGTCACCGTCTTTCTCATCGTTGTCATCGCTCTTGTCATTCTCCTCGCACTCGTCATTTGGATCCTCATACGCACTCGACGTATGCGACGAACAATGCGACATTCTCTCTCCTATTACGAATCTCAACGTCATCTATTTGCAAAAGAAACCAATCTAGAGGGTGGGCCTCAGCGGCCTAGAGAGAGGACGAAAGCGATCCAAAGGCGTTATCTCCACCGTTCGCACGGTCAGACATGGACGATGCGTATGCAAGGGTTTCTCTTCCGACGAGCGCAAAAATCGCAACCTCAAGAAGAGAAAGAAGAGAAAGCCAAGAGGATTGTGGAAAAGTGGGATCCACATGCACGTCGGTCGACCGAGGAGATTGAATGCACAAAGAACACGCGTCCAAGCTCTCTCGTTGTGGATGCTGGTCAAAGGACTGCGAGAAAGAGCGAGAGTGACAGTGGTCGAGAGGGAAGTGCATATTCCGGCATTGTGCGCGAGGTTGTAGAACAATCGAGGAATTCTTCGAGGAGAATCTCACTTCTCACGTCGCGGACGAGCAGCGTTTCGGCGACCATACCAGCGTTCACGGTCCCCGACGTCCCCGTACCGTCCCAGTCAGAACTCAAACGGCCACCCCCAATTTACGCTGCTCGCTCGCGACTGCAACACTTGGAACGTGTCGAGAGACTGTCACAATTATGGGACCGTGACGTGAACCTCTCCTTTGCAGACACACGTTCCTCGGCAAACGCAGCCGCGCACGCGAAGATAGGTGTGCCAATTATGCAACGCGGGTCAACAGCAAAAATCCACCAGGTGCTGGGGGTGACCCCAGAGGAGCGGCGATTACCATCTTCGAATGGATCTCCGCTCGCCCGCGTACGGTCCTTTAGCAGCCTCGCGCCATACCTGTCGTTACAGTCGCCAGGTGCGGATACTCAACGAGATCTCTACCGTGCAAGTGTACGAATCGTTGACCCAGGGAGCGTGTTGGACGGCATGATCGTCCGCTCACCCAGTTCGACCCAACGTGCCCTTCCATAACGCCCTTTCCATGCTTTATCTCTCCGGTAATATAAAAGGACTCGATATTGATTACATAAGGATGTATACCGACAGGTTCGAAATGTTAATAACCTTCCTGTATTACCTATCCTTCTTGGATTCCTCGCCCTTCTTGACCTCGTCCTGGTCCGGTTCGGCGACTTGGCCGTACTCGTTTACTCGAGTCTTGTCAACTCTATAGATCCAGCGCTGAAGCAAACGTCAGAAATACGTCGAATTGCTCAGTGTTATCCTGGACTTGCCTGGTATAGGAAAATGAGGAACACGACATCGTCTCTGAAGCAGGCAAGTCGATGAAGGAGGGGCATGCGAATGGCAAACCTATTTCTCTGCGTGAGCAAAGACAAGCGAGTGAACAAGAGACGCACGCAAAGAAATCATCGACAACTGTACTGAGCGTCTTGTAGATCATTGCCTTAATCGGCATATGTGCGACAGATTTGAGCTTGTAAGTTGATGATGAGTTGCGGGCACAACTAGAACGAGTTAATGTGACGAAGCTTTGGAACTGGATCCCCTACTTGAATAAAGCCAAACATGTATACAAAGGAGGTAAGCGTTGAAATGACAAAGCTGTACCAGCCCTTGTGACTTTCGTAGACAAGCGAGTAGATGGTGTAGCCAATGAGAAGAGGTCCAACAGCATAGGAAACATAGCGGAAGGCCTCTTTATCATACCTAGATTCTGTGAGCCCATGAGGGTAGAAGAATATTGAACGGCATACTGTTGAGTCTTTTTCTCTTCCTCGGTAAGGATATGCTTGTCCTTGATCTCGAGTTTGTAGGGAAGTGTCGAGCCGGCCGGTGCTCTTACAAGCTTGACGTCCACAGCCTTTGTAACCTTCCATGCCTCGATAACCATGCCCATTCCTTGACCAAAGACGATCATCCAAGAGGTCTCTGCATTGTTGTCCAGCAGATAAAGAAGAATGATGAGTTGAATAAAGACGTTGGTCACAATCTAGACATCATATCAGCGTGAGGTCGTCGTAGAAAGGGGGTCTTACCGTGCGGACAGACACTCCAACCAGCTCTTCTTTCTTTCTCCAATGAGAAACGTCGTTTTTGAAAGCCAGCATCTCGAATCTGCCATCCATCAGCGCACTCTCTGGAACAGTCGACGAACATACATCACGTGAAGGATGCTGACAGTCGCCGTCAGGGCCAAGTACCAAGGATTAGTCTCGACAAGCATTCGCTTAATTTCGTCGAGTTCTCCAGCAGATTGGCCCTATCAATTATGAGCCATGATGAGCTGTAGCAACTCGAATTTGCTCACATTCTTTGACGCTTCTTCGAATCCAAAGCCTATACTCGCGTAGATTTGCATCTTTGTGTACGACATCGGATGAAAGTTGATTGTGAGTGGCATGACCAGCTTTTCCTTGGGATCAGCAGGATAGGTTGTATTGATCTCAAATTCTTGTTCCCCTGCATCAAATGTCAGAGGGGTCTTGGAAGTGAAACATAGGCGCTTACGGAGATGCCAAAAGTCGTTTGGGTAGATGATGGGCATGTAAAAGGTGTTCCGCTTGGTCTCATCTCGTTCTCCGGTGATATGAATGTCTTTTGAAAGTCAGAGAAGGTCAGAAGACAGTGCCTTGACCCACGAGGGACAACCGCTGGAGCCATTTGCTGAAGATTTAGACTAGGAGAATCGGAAATAAGGGCAAGCGTAAGATTCTGCAGATGTTAGCCGAGGAGGGAATGTATGGGGTGCACTTACGGGATGCCAATATGGTGCTATAATTCCTGGTGTCTAGATGCGCATGAGACCTTGGCTTGCGGGCGGAGAGATCGCGTACATTGTCCTCTTCCTCTTCGACGGGCTTTTCGTCCTTGGATGATAGCAAGTTGTGCTCCTTGCGAACTTTGGGCTTCTTTCGGTATCTTGTGAGCACTATGAATGATCAGCAACGTATGCAAAAGGCCGTCATCTAGACATACTCTTCCGAACGTGGTGAACAGAACCCGGTATATATCCAGGCTTGGTAGGATTTGGATTTGCACCATCTTTTGTCAAGAATATGTCTGCCCATAGTGAGGAGATGTTGCGTCGAACGGCCTGTAAGATGTAAGCAAAGGTATAACGCTGAACAAGCAGCATACCATCGGTATTTCAATCTCGACATCTTTCCTTAGTTCATAGTCCCAATTTCCAAACTCTACATTGTCCCAGGTCCAATGAGGAAACCCACCAGTTTCTTCTTGGCCCCAGTTCTTCCTGTTCACGACGCCAAACACGTCTCCAATCGGAGAAGTTGAAAAGTACACGTGTACTGAGACGTTTTGGTTCGTGCTCCAAGCAGGGAGTGCTTGCAATAAAGGCAATGTCATTGGATCGACCGGATTGCCAGACGCGTCAGTCGGGACAGGCACTGAACCAGGCGTTGGTGGTCCACTAGATGGTTGCTTATACTTGAGAAAAGCCGTGACTGATTCATTAGCGCGTCTGGTGTTTTGAAAGTGACCGACTACCTACGCAATTGTGACGCGGCATAGACAAGCAGCACCTTTTGGATTGTATTCCATATCTGAGAGCCTGCACCTTCGTCCTGTGCTGGTTGCTGTGGCCGTTGGGCCTGGGTATCTGACATGGTCGAATCCAAGGCTAAGGGGCGCAAATAGTTCTATGTGAATCGTGCATCACGAGTTTAGAGAAAGCTTTTCTACATTCTCAGACACTTTGTCTGCCTCTACTGCACCCGTCTTTGGCTCATTGGGAGGCAACTCGTCCTCTGCAGCTTCCGTCTCCATCATTTCTCCACTTTGATCAATCGTCATCTTCTCCACAAACCACTTAGCGACATCGTCCGCACCCGCGAGTTCTGCTTCGCCCAGGGGACTCCGCCCGGCAGCGTTGTGCGCATCGATCAGGAGCGGTCCTGGGCCACTTGGATGAGCGATGAGAGCTTGGGCAATGGAAAGATGAGCGTTGATGGCTGCCCAGTGAAGCGGCGTCGACTGTCCAGACGTATTTGCCACTCCCAAAAGAGATGGCGAGATATTTGGCAGCACAAAATTCAACAATTCTGTTCAATCATTGCAGAGGAATCAAAAAAAGAGCCGTCAGCTCTCTTTTCCAGCAAATTATGCGAGCAAAAGGAACAAAATACTCCTTGAGAGGATACGAACCAAGGTGTCCATTCCCACAAATCATATGTAGTATCGTATTCCCACTCTCGTCTCTTACTTCGTCGAGCGGCGTCCATCCGAATCGGTCGACAAATGTCTGCACGTCCTCCAGATCGCCATATCGACAACTAAGCATGAGGTCTTCTAGTTCATCATGCGAAGGGGATAGTTTTTGATTTTGCTCAGTCATGGTCGCGTCCAATCGTTTCCGCCACCCAGGACCTCGAAAAGCGCGCAAATTCAAAACCCTAATCACTCTTGCTTCAACGGATTAATCATACATTCTTTACTTGTTTTGATTAGCAACCACCAAGTCTATCGTCTCAGGAATAGTTTCGACGAGACTGGGACCTTTGGGACTCCACCCATTCTTGAATGAACGATTAGCGACCGTAAGCGAGTTGTTCGCCATGAACCTAGGAGGATTTAGCTTCGAGGGTCGACTCGAGTGCAGAGACGTACATCAAAGCTGGAGAAGGAGGCACACTCTTGGCCTCTGCCGTCTCTACAAGACCTTTGGCCTTGAGAGCCTTTCCAATCTCGCGGGCGACATCTCCCCAGACATGTTTTCCAGCCGAGCCCCAGAAAAACTTGTGGTACGAGTCGACTTTCGCAGCGGGACCCAACTCCGAGGTCGCGAGCTTGGTCACAATGATGTACAAGTCGACTAGATCCGCAATATGAACCTGGAAACAAGTCAGGATACGCGTAGTTTTAGTCTGAGAACTGACATTGTTCCACACGTTAGTACCTTCGCCAACGTAAACGGCCTGCTTATTCTCCAAAGCAGCCTGGATCAAGCCTGGTACCTGCTGAGAAAGGCGGTTTACAGGACTATCACCAGTTCCATAAATCGTCGAGGGGGCAATGATGTACGCAGACACGTAGCCAGCGTCATCTGCAGCGAAGATTCTAGAGGTGATCAGCCATACTCGGGAAATACAAATATACTCACTCAAGATCGACATTACGATGGGGAGCATCTGGGGAAATGCCCCGGATGTCCGCGGGATCGTCATCCTAAGTCACTTCAGCATTGAATTGTTGAGCAGGTGACGTGCTCACATTGTACGTCTTTGCGTTTGGGTCAAAAGAGCCGTTGGCTTCTCCAGTAACGAGACCGGTGCCACTTGTATGAATGAGGATTGGGGTCTTTCCAATGGTCGTGGACTTGGCTCCAGAAAGAATCGCCTTGGTCAATTCCAGATCATCTGCATCTGCACAATTGACGATAATATCTGATTTAGCCGCTTGATCTGTAATGAGTTTGTGGTCTGAGTGGGAGCCCTGGAGAACCTTGACACCGAGTGCTGCCGTAAAATAAGTATGGCATAGCATTACTCAGCTAACTCCGTACCTTCGACAGCAAAGTTGTTCTTCTGAGATCGCACTAGGGCTACAAACTCGTGGTCTGGAAAGACGCCTCGCAAACCATTTGCCACGGATCCTCCAATATAACCCGTAATTCCTATAGGAAGAAGATGATCGGCACAGTTCTGTAATGGGTTGACCAACGAATACCTAGGACAAAGATAGTCGGCATGCTGGATAGCAGACACTAGCAGGCGTGGAAATGCGTTTGAGAGTTCGAGAGCGTTCCAAAGGGAGGCTTATATTCCATTTGCTTACAAAGTGGCGAACGACTGACGACATAAGCCACGCGATTCGAAGCCCCAGTCCCGGTAGCCAATCGAAAGACGATCAGGCGCTTGGTTTCTCAGAGTTCATTGAGGCCTCCGCGGTCGGGATGCTTCTGTGGACAACTTCACGATAGTAAGCAAAGATTTCGGCGGCTGCCTCTGCCTCTGCATTGGCGGCCACTATATTCTGCGTCAACAACGTCAGGAACGCGTATTATGGAATATAGCGCATATGAGGGCACCCAACCTGCATGACTTCGTTGACGAGGCTAATGGCTTCATTGCATTTGACCTATAGACAGCTTATGAACCAAGTAAACAGCGCCAAAATAATCCATACAGTATTCGAAACAATTCTCTGCAGCAGCTGCGCCTGTTTTTGTTGATACGGATTATCCATCTGGTGGCGGTCGAGTTCAAGTGGCGGCTGGTCCTTGGACTCTACCACATTTTTGTACCACTCGTGCAACTCTCGTTTAGTATACAATACTTATAGACATGCCTCGTGGCAAAGGTTCAGCAAATCAGTCCAAAAGCCCTCGAGGAAATCAGACGCCAATCAACGGCGGGAGAGGACGAGGCCAATCAGTAGTATTCACCGATGTCTCGCAAGGTAGTTTTCACGAGATGAGCGACTCCAATGAGTGTGAGACATCCTCTTCAATGTCAGGCTCTAGTTGACTCAGCGATGCAGATCTTGTACTCGATTTCAAAAACATGGGGGTCCTCACTGAAGCTTCAAACGTTCCAATACAAGGCGGTGGAGCGTATAGGGGAGGTCGTGGAAGAGCGAATGGCAACTTTGCCTCTCATCGTGGACGTGGGCAATGGCAGCCGAGAGGAAGAGGAAGAGGATCTTTCTTTCCTACCGGAAGGGATCTCGGTATGCCGAGTCCAGGACCAGCTTTTCGTGGCAGAAGCTCGCCGTCACCCGCGATGACTCCTGCTTTTCGGGGCCGCGGAGGCGGATTGGGATTTGTCACCAGTCCCGAGAGATTGCCTCCAAGAAATTGGGACCTGAAGACTCGACCTCTTCTCCGGCCTATTAAATTTGTTCGCGCTGCGGAACGCTTGTTTGAAGCAGACCCAGAGGAGCTCCTTCAGGCGCATGAGATTCCTCCTCATCCTAGTGGGTTGGAGACCACCATGAAGCTTATACTCATACTGCTCAGGTGACCAACTGGATCCTCAAACTGATCGGCTGGCTGCCGTATTCGACAACGAGAAAGCACCACCCACTGCAGAAACTACTGCAGATCCAACAGCAGAAAACTCGGAGAATGACGCTACAGAGATCAAAGAAGCTGTCGTACAAGCTGCATCATCTGGCGCCTTGATTGGTCTTTGTGAAACGAACGTCTCCAATCCACAATCCGGCGAAGACTTGTTGGCTTTTCTCATGGGTTCTACATCTAGAAAGGAGTCAGCTAAAGCCACAGAGGAGCTATTCTTCGTCGACACAACTCGTCAAACTATGACCACTGAGATCATCTACAAAGCCGAAGGCCCTGTCCTTGGGGAGGAGGAGCCAGACGAAGTTATTCTCATACCATCTCCATCGGCACGGAAAGCAGCATCTATCGCAGGGAGTAACGGCAAGGCATCCACTGTAGCTTCTCCCCTCATTACCCGTAGCACAGTCCTTGAATCAGCACAAGAGGAAACATCAACACGTATCGCAACCTCGTCTACCTCTTTGCAGAATATCACCCTCGATTTTTCCAAAGAGGTAGAAACAAGAGCCTGCTCTCCTTCTCCGTCGCTCGAGCGGGTCGCGCCGGAAAAGTCCCTGCACGAGCTCGAAAAGAGGCGAAGCGTCGCAAAAGGACGGAAGATGCGTGGACCAACGACCTCGGAAATGTCTTCGGCTTCAAGGACGGTCGAGAGGGGCTTCGCAAGGGCGATTCGGACCTGAATGTGGGCTCGAGTTCGGAGGAAATTGAGGATCATGGGATGGATGTTGATGGTGATCTCGATGCAACAGCAATGGCGGCATTCGCTCGGGAGATGAACAAACCACATCAATCGATGGACGACGTTGAACTAGAAGCAGCGGTTGAACGTGGAGAATTCGACTCGGACGACGAGGGAGTGGGTGCAGAAGATGAAGAAGAGGATGAGGATGAGGACGGGATGGATCCTCAGATGATGCTCGAAGAGGTGCTAGGGTTGGACGATGAAGAAGATTGGTCTTCTGACGACGGAGAAGACGACCTATCGCCAGAGGCCTCGTTTGCAGCTCGGCTCCTACGCGTTCGCGAGCGCACTCCAGGTACCTCAAAAGATATTGACCAGTCATGGGCGGATCGCGATGAAGACTACATAGCAGGAATCGAGGTGCGGAGCTTCTCAACGACAAGCACCCCTTAACCTCCTCTTAGAGAATATTGGAGGAGAATGCGGACATTCTAATGTCGAGGGACCGAAAAACCAGGAAAGCGCTATTCCGAGCCATTCAAAATGGCGAATCGGACTACCCATTCCCTTGTAAGTGCTCTCCTGGTCTGATACCGCCTCTGACGTGAATGTAGCCTCATCCAAGTCGTCCAAGGTGGCAAAGGATAGAGCCGATCTCTTGGCAGAGCAGTGGCTTCGGGATCGAAACAAAAAGGCCGAACGCAAACGACAGCGTGAACTTGAGCGTCAAGAACAAGGCGGATTGGGAAATGGCAAGACGAAGGGCAAGAGTCGGAACCCAGACTTGGAGGAGATTGAGCAGATGATGCGAGACCTTATCACCTCTGTGGCGCCTGGTGCGCCCAAGTCATTCGAGTTGCCCGCGTTGGACAAGCCGATGCGTATCAAGGTGCACGCCCTGGCCCAGGCGCTCAACCTCAAGAGCACGAGCGCGGGAGGGAAGAAGAATGGAGTCAAAACGATGACTATCAGTCGAGGAAACCATACTGGCGTTCGGTGGATCAACGAGGCCAAGGTGGACTCTGTCCTTAAGAGGAAGAAGGGCTCCAGACCAGGAGGGCCAGGGCTTAAAGGAATCAGAGAGGGAGAGGTGATTGGACATCAAGCAGCAAAGATTGCAGAGGACAATATCGGTTATAGAATGCTTGCTCAGATGGGGTATGTACAACTGCGTTGCTAATGGCCGGCTGCTCACGATTGCTCCAGTTGGTCCGAGGGCGATCGAATCGGTGTCCAAGGCGGCCTTGATGCTCCTATTACCGCTGTGAGTTCTCCGGTTGCTCCGTTGTTTTCTGCTCATTGGCGTGCAGGTGATGAAGAAGACAAAGCTGGGCTTGGGAGCGTTCCGAGGGGCGGATTAGCATGTAATTTAGGCTATACTCGTAGAATCAACAGTGATTCTTGTTGTGGGAATTCGCTACGTGTCGGGAAAGGTTGTCGGTGGCGGTACTTCTAATCTTGAACCCCGACACCCACCCACGTTTTATTCATAGCAGCCCCAGCGGACGCTGAACACGACTCACAAATGCGATTTTCAAGCGCAACGCTGCTTTTGAGCAGTGTTGGCGTCTTCTCGAGTGCGTCTTCATCTATTCCTGGCACGTTGCAGAGGCTGACCCAGAAATATCTGCAGCTTCCGCTCTTGCCGCACCCATCCGCGTCGTGGTCGTAGAGAAGATTTCAACAGATGCACTCGATAATTTCTTTCGTTCTATCCGCATCGGCCATGCTGCCGCCGCAGCCGCGGGACCGGGACCAGGACCAGGCGCCATAAACGGCCACGGTCTCGCCGACGCCTCTCCCTCGACGGACGAAGTCCACGCATTGCCATTCCCTATCGACTTTGGAATCAAACCCGAACCAAGGCCTGCAGTGGATGTGGGCGAGCCTGCGACCAAGCCGTTGCCCATGACACCAGAGCTCGAGTTTGACACCTTTGGACCGCTCATGGGTGTTCATTCGGCTGGAGACTGCAGAGATGAGAGTTCTATGAGAGTCAAGTTTGAGAAACTCGAGGACAAGATTCGCCACTGGCTCGGCATGGCGCTCATCTCGCGTTCGCCGCTCTGTGGAAGTGAACAGCCATTATTGTCTAAATTTGAGATTAATCCGAAGAAGATGGTTCCACCTCCGGGTCTCGTCGCCTCTGGACGCATGCCATGCCACAGTAGCGCCGCGACAGCTGCGACGCCGGGTATGATAGGAGTCCATGTTGTGGTACGTTGTTTACGGAGATATTGTTTCGGGCAAAACGAAGCTTACGTCGGTTTGAATAGTCGACTCGTCCTCCCATGAGACCCAACTTCTGGATGCACCGCATGCGCCCGCAGTCGTTTAGCGGACGACTTCAACGCGCTCTCAACTCACTCACGCCATTCGAATCTGGTGTGGTTGCGTTTGTCGTTGGATGCGGACTCGGGGTTCTCGTTCGGTAAGGATTCATCTCTTTAGAGGAATGCGATGACTGATAAAGGGTATTCAGAATGATCTTTGTGTTTATCATCCTGGGCGTTCGGATGTGGAAGTGTAGCAAGAAGAGACATGATGGTCAAGTTCAATTGGGCGAAGAAGAGGATGAGGATGCAAAGGAGATTGTGGGCGTCGTCCTCTTTGACGCTGGATCGATCAAGGCGGCCTCGGTCGACGACTTGCCGCTCTATCAAGAAAAGGTGTAGACTGACGCCTTTGCATATCTCTGATGTGGAAACGATGACGAATGTGAAGCTCTCGAATCGGACACTCTTTTGATCGTACGTACCCAATCAACGGACTGCGCGCTCGTGATAGGCGCTCTGTCCCTTTATTCTATTTTGTCCTTGATTGTAACACTGCTTTTCTGATTTCTCATTCTCGTGTGCGTGAGCGTTGAGATGAAAAACTTGAATCTAGATTCTACAAACGGCAAGTTTTACAACTATGGCGTCTCCGGGATGGTTCGGCGAACTCGAGTGAGCTGCGGGCGTCGTAGCCCGTCTCGCAAGGGTCGACGGCCAACACCAGTCGAACGAACTTTGCAAGACCCTGGATGAATGGATGCGATGCTGGATGATGCAAGGTAAGGTTTATTGTGTAGATGTGGAGGTTCGTGATAATGGATATCCCCCATCGATCGGCCGTTTGATACAACCTGGAATCGGGACCCATCGCCTCGAGTAGTCTAGCAAGATCCAGATCCAGTTCCCGGTCATTACCCAACGGCGATTACACCGCTCTCTTGATAATGATGGATTCGAGAAGATGGATAATTATCTAGTTTACCGCATGACAAAGTCCAAGCGCAGCACGACGGATCGATTGGAAAGGATACAGGGACTCCGTCCGGCTCCTTCCACCAATCGGGATCTCCCCACCTGGTAAGGATGAGCACTTCGCACTTTGCCGTCGCTACGTCTTTGCAGTGATTGGGAGACAAGAGACCGTGCCAGACCCTCTCGATCTCTCGAATTTCCGCCACCGAACGCTTGTACCAAAGTGGAAATCCAATTTCTATCGCATGTCACAAGTACAACACGTACACCGAATAACAGAATGAGAAAAAAAAAGGGAGAGAAACAACACGAAGAGGGGAGAGGGGAGAGATGATACAATCGTCCGGGATAAGCCTAGGAAGAGAAGGGACTCATGTCCCGTTTTAGACGTGTCTATGCGGGTGGCGAGGAGTACTGGGTCGTCATGAGGGGTGCTGGAATCAGTCTTCTGGGGCAGGCGTCTTTGGCCGACTGCGCGCGCCAGCGTCGAGCGTCTCCAACCACGACGGCCACCATTTTCTCCTCCTCATCTCTGCATCAATACGTTCACGTTCTGCACGCTCGTCTTCTTCCTCCCCCGCGGGTCGTCCGAGTCCCTCTACGTCTCCAAAGGACACGTAGCCGCGCTGTTGTTTGCAGTACTCGCTGGCGACATCGAGATTAAATGTGCCGCTGTGCGTTGGCGAGGGACTTGTTGGGTGTGATGTTGACGACGAGGGGGAGGGCGTGCGGTTTTGGTGTGGACTGTTCCATCCAGAAGAGTTCATGCTGGTAGGACTTGGGCTGACAGGTTCCTGTTGAAGGTCAGAACTGGAGAATTGTACAAGTGAAATAAAGACTTGCCTCGTAGTCGTCGTGCTTGCCAGTGCTGATGAGCGGCGAAGAGGCGTGGCGGTAGGGAGCAGGCGGCGACCTGGTGGAATCCAAAGTGTTATATGGACTGTGATTAGACGGAATGACGCCGTCGTGCGTGTTTCTCGGGACAGGCCGAGGTCGGTACACAACTGAGCAGGGAGCTCCCAATCCCCCAACGCCCGCGAAGACGGGTCGGTCGAATTCTGAATCGTCTCTGAGAAACCGGAAATATTGGGATCAGCATCGGATGATACGTGCGTCACAGACTGGGCGGGCCAAGGATGCCAAAAGGCATAGACTGGGGTAGCCCTTGGGGGAATTCTACTCACCGTGAAGAGGCAACGTCACTGACACTCTCGTTTCGTCCATGTCTGCCACGACTGCTGCTCGTCGTGCCAGGACCGATGGGCAGAGGCTGGGGCAATGGATGGTGGAAAGTGCTGCTGCTCCTCGACAGACTGCGTTGACGCGCGACGCCGTCTTTGGTGAGCATGTCTCGCAACATCTGCTCACTCCTCGTCGTCTCTCGTCTCTGCTGGGGCGAGGTCGCCGTAGTGCTAAGGATTGGCCGCGGCGACGTTGGACGCGATGGGAGAGTTGGATTGGTTGTGATGCGAGGAGAGGACAGGACACCTGCTGTGCTCATGATGGTTGGTGGGTGGTGGTTGTTGTGGTCGAGTCCAAGGTAGAAAAAACGAGGGGAATGTGGAGAAGTAGTCGATCTAGTGGCCAGCCCTTTGTACCTTTTGACACCCAACTCTACGAACACGCGGTCGCCGCGAGCGAGCAGCCCGGGCCTCGCAAGGGTCATCCCCAAAATTATTCTAAAAGAATTCCGGATCACAATCTCGGCTACACAGCTCCAATTGGCCTCGAGCGGTAGTCACGGATAGACCGCCCGAGCGAGCGTCATATAGGAGATCATGGGATACCACCCACTTTCGTCATCTACTTCTCGTACGATCCCCAAGGCACTAACCACTGCTCAACGACATAACTCTCGCTTCTCCAATCTGCAAGCGACGCGTCTGCAATCCCCATTTTCGTCCCCAATCGCTTGCCGTCGAGGTTATCTATCGATAACATATGATGTACATTTGACATATTTCTCTTGAATATTTAAGGACTTCTATCTCCGTGGCCAAACAAACCGACTCAACTTGGACCTCGCCACCGCCGCGGGAGTGGCAATAACGATGCTTCATAAGCATCTAAACCCTTGCTCCAATTTCCAAGGTGGCCTTGATGGTCATGTTCATGCTCCGCATCGTCGGTAGCCATGCCCTCTTTCTGATAGCCGCGTATTGAGCTGGCAGTGTACTTGTACACTATCTACCTGGCGTAGCATTTCGCCTTGCCTGGTACAGCGAACCCCCTCGAGGGAGCGCAGCCTGTCATCTTCGCATTGGGACTTCAGTTACCCATGTGTACATTTCGATTTGAAAGAAAAAAATGCTCCTACATTTCGTTTCTGCATTAGAGCCTAGAGACAGACGGTCAAGGTTCTTGAACTTGTCGACTCGAGTAATCGTATCTATCGGTCATGTCTGGTGCTTTGCCTCGATTATTCGCCGTGAACGCCATTCCAAGCATGGAAGCAAAGTAGCGGAGACTAGAGTTACGTTGTAAGACAATGCGCCGACGTGATCGTGTACGCGGCCAGTCTCTCGTGAGTTGGACCTAAGTGCCAGGTCTCGAGAGAGGCCGTAGGCGTCGTGACTGAAAGAGCGACGTCGTTACTCGAAGAGAGGAAGTGACCGTCCAAAGTCGCTACCTTCATCTTGCGCACAGTAGCTGTGAAGCGGAGGACGCCATCTTTGTAGAATCGCATGCCCTTCTTATCGTATTGTTGGGTATAGCCCTCAGATTCAACCAACGAAGTCGTTGAAATCAAATTATTTGCGAGAACAGGTACCCAGAGCACATTAGGAAATACGATCTTCGAGCCAGAAACACCATTAATAGACGGAACAAATCCGCTATGACCAAGGCGCTGGTCGAGCGCCTGACCGCAATGCTCGATCGTTCGTAATCTCGTACCAGATCGATGGACCACTAGATTCTCTATCAATATCTTGTCATCGTCGATTCGACCGGGTTCAGATTGCACGCCTTGTTGGGTGAATGCGTTGGTCTCGTTTGCACTCCCAGACAACTGACCGTTGGATCGTAGTATCCACGCTACCGGCCAAGTTTCGGATGTACTTGGCTACATTATTTCTCCCACTCTCGGAGTACCCTCGTGGCTATCGGCGCAGGTCGTAGGCGTGATGGTGATCGTGCCAGCGAGTGTCTAAATGGACGGACATGAGCTGTGTAAGGTCTATCGTATGTTGCTCTTGCGAAGCTAGAGTACATCCCGTCATCAGCTAGCTCTGAAAACAGGATCATCTCTGTGTGGTGCATTTCTAAGCGCGTTGAAATAAAGGACTCGGAAATCCTATGCAAGTCTGTACCTAAGGCTTACGTGTATTCTATGCACCGGCTTTCTCTAGCAGGATGATCAGTATGGTCGGTCATTGATCCTCTGTGCAACGTCTTCAATGAACGTCAGGTCATCTGTGTAGCCTTCACCAGAGAGGCAACCTATGATATCTGCAAACTATATTCTTCAATGGTCAGTTGTCGACATTGTTGGGCGCTCTCGCCCACCCCGTAAATGGCCGGCTTCGACGTGGCATTGTGGGCGTGCCTGATCCGGTCATAGCTGTACTCAGAGTTCTCTTTGAATGACTCTTTCTCGAGTTGCCCTTTGTACTTTCGATGGCAATCGGTCGTATTTTTTGGGATGAGTGGTCGTACTCTTGTTGGTGCATGCCTCTTCCAGAATGCAAGAACACGAGGCATATGCAGACCCCAATCTACGTACTTAATGCCACGGAGATTGTCGTACTTTTGACCTACCAAAGCGTCTGCTGCCTGGGCCCAATGCCTATCCCAAGATTCCCCGCAACGACTCTCGCACACCGTGTTAGTCTATTCGGTCAGGCACAGGAGTTTGTCGAAATGTGGAAACCTGCTTGTGTGCTGGACATTTCATCTTGATTCACAATAGTCAAGGCAAGAGTCGGATTTCATTTTCATTTTGGCCCAGAGTGTAGATATCTCGATATCATTCATTCCCTTTCTCGCAGAATCCAAATGGTGACATATACATGTAATCAATGTGGAAGTCGTGGCTAGGGCTTACAGCTTTGCCGCATCCTTTGGCAGAGGAGGCATTGGGACGCGAGAAATGTATTTCCAGACTTTCACCTCCTTGAGAAAGCCCTCCATTTCTTGCGCCCATGGCTTGTAATTTGTTCCGTTGAACTTCGCGATCGTCCTAGAGTATGACGATGAAGGCGCAGTAGTTGAGTCCATAACGAAAGTAGGATCTGGTGAATATCGTAGTGTTATTTATGATACGTGCGAGTAGTTCTATGGCGAGTGTCGTGCTCGACAAAGAAAATTTTGGAGCGCGATGTCGATGGTGGCGACGCGTCCAGCGAGAGAGATTTGGGGTAATTCGGCAGAGATAGAGTCGCTAAACAATTTCCTCTTGTTTAGGCGAGCTCAGGGCTCATAACCTATTAGCTACCTGATAGACAACGTCTAATTAGCTCACTGCGGTCGTAGATTAACCGAGTCTAATACACTACCTGATAGACAACGTCTAATTAGCTAGTATGGAGCGTGAGGGACGATCGCATGAGAGAGTCGGTGGTCTTACCTCACTGCGGTCGTAGATTAACCGAGTGAGGGACCACCGCCACCGGCGTTACGGGTGAAAGATAATACAAGCTAAGAATGTAATGTATAAACTAACAAACTAACAATTCTTGCTCTCAAATCTTATTCTTGCCGACAAAAAGAATCGAAGCTTCCATATGGAGAGCATGTGCCAGACAGTTGAACAGGACGAACAAGTCTGGCGCTGGCGTACTCTCCATAAAGGTGACGTGCATAAGTGCGTTGATCGGAACATTGCTACGGTTCTCGTGAGTTTATATGCTCATCGAACAAAATTCACTCGTGAGTTTGTTGTGAGTATATGTCCTATGAAAATACTTGGGAACCAATGTTGCATTTTGAGCCATTGAGAATGGCATGCGGGACAAACATCCAAACTGTCGTATGTGGTACCACCTTGACTTGAGATTTATCTCTGGAGCTGTTACTGTGGCGTTCCGAACCCTTGCCATCACCATTGTCAGAGACCAAGGTTAGCTGCTTGGAGAGGCCAAGGATAATGACGGCAACTCTGTATCTTGCACAGTTGGGGTATATCTGTTGATGTAGCCTGGCCACTTTGTGTACGGTAGCCAGCATCAGCCCTATGTCTCGATTGATGAGGAGCGAATCGTCAGCCCTCCTATCAGTCCTCTGGGGATTCAGAGCTATTCAATTGGGTGAGCAAGCAAGATAATCGGATGCTTGTGTGTTGGTAGTGCATGCCGTAGATCTATTTTACATTTGGTTCTCCAAGGTACTCGAAACCCTACCTTTGGTCACAAGGTCTCCAAAGTAAACCCTCAGGACACTCTCGTCGGGAAACTTACATATACCATATCCGAAATTCACAGTTTCTGGGTATTGTAAAGCAAACCACCGTTGCTAGCATCACACACACTATAGCCTTTCATTCAACTGATCGTGCCCAAGACTTGCCCATTATCCGTATGCCATCCTTTGTAGACACGCCCAAATCTACCCTTGCCAATCAATTTAGGTAGAGGGAGGGGGTCTTCGTACTGGGGATCATCTACGCTTTATCCAGGTCGTGCACGTCCAGTCAGTGGCGACTGCTCTTATGACGCTAACTCTTCGAATCCTGCCTAGTTGATATCATACCAAAATGCTGCTGCCAAAGGAAAATTATCGTCCTCTGGCTCACCATGGCACTGAGGACATGTCATCATATCAGGACAACGCAGAGGCTGAGGCCATCTTGACGCCAGTGAGACAAACTGTAAGGTTTTTGGTGAGAGTGAAGACGTGAACGTCGAGTCGAGACTTTGTATTCGAATAACGATGAATAAAGTCGACTTAAGACCAAATAGAACCTGTGTAACGCGTGTATATTGAGGACGGTCACTCGGAGTACAAGTCTACTCTAGGGATTGGAGAACAGTCAAGGACTACGGGTTATATAGAGAACGTGGAAATAGATCGGAAGGAATGAAGGGATTGAGGATGTAGATCGGGACGAGCGGAAGGCATCTGACTGCGGTATAGGGATAAAAGAGTGACGACGGTCAGAGGGCAGTAAGGGACACAACGAGAACAAAGTAACAAGTGAAGATGGTAACTAGGACAAGGACTAAAGCGATGAAGAATAATACTTGATTCGCACGAGGTTGCAGCGTCGTACAGAGTAGACGCGCGAGCCTACACAAACCCAGATGAAGTCTTCAGCTATTTGTTTTGCTGGGATATCCGAGACACGAGACCCGCCAAAACATTGTTCTCACTATGTATCCCAAGAGTGGACTGACAAATTGCCAGCCATTTCGTGTGGCGCCTCGCACTCGTGACACACCCCACCGAATCGCCTCGCATCAACATCACCTACACGTGTAACGGTGTGATCTATGTTTACTGCTCATCTTTGTTCACTTGGATATCCTTGGTCACGGCAATGCTGATCAGGATTATCCCAGGCAGGGACCTCCATCAAATACAACATGGCTGACATGTTGATAGTCGATACCATGGGAAAGCGAGGAGGTAGCAACCATGATTATCTGAAAAGGTAGGCAAGTGAGCAAGCGTAGTACAGGAAAAGATGAAGCATACCTTTTCCGGTGGACATTCGTCCCTATTCATCCAGACCTTGAGTGAGGCGTCCTTTGTGGCCCTGTCGAGCTTGGAATGATAAAGGGAAGAGCCAAGATTTTGGTAATCTTCTCTGTCCAGTCAATACTCGGACAGAACACTAGTACTCGTCGCACTGGGTTTACATACAAGATCGGACTGTGGTGCTCGAGGAACCTATTGCAGAATTCTTGCAAGCCATCAGAGTTATTGTCTAAACATCTCCTCTGAGCTGCGTGCCTACTTCAGCTTTAAAAGCCGATCAGACTAGGTGTCTTCTTTTTTTAACTCTGAATTTATATGGCCCCTCTGCAGGTCCTTCGCACCTATGCAGGAGCTCCAAGAAAATAGAGTGCATTCATCAACTTAAATGGAGTTGGTGAGGGGTAAAATGGAGCAAACGCTGTGGGAGTGGGAGTGTCGCTGCACCCTTCGTGTCATCTGCAAATGGCGGGTGCCACCAGTTTCATCTACTCCGAGTCGTCTTGGCGCCTCGCCGCGTCAGTTCTAAGGCTCGGAGTTGACGACGTTGAAATTCCTCGTTTGGACTATCCTGGGTCGAGGATACATTGACTACCTATGCGGGGGGAGGGGAGTAGAACGAAGGCCGAATCCAGTCTTGAGTCTAGCTTGCTTGTTGCGAGGATATTAAGATGAGAGCCTGTTATGTCTTGTGTACATGCTAGGCGGTGAATGGTGAAGTCGAGTACAATGTGCCTGAGAGACCAGGTGTCTTCGTGGTAGTGCTTTATGCCTTGCTGAAGAAAGATATGCCACGCGTGCCGTGAATGTACTCGGGGTTTGCTCCAACCATGTAACCTACATCACCATTGGGAGATGAATGGAAGTCGATCAAGGCTCAATCATATTACTGGGAGTGCTTGAACAATCGCACATAATGTACATCTACCCTACACAATTCGCAATACGATGTCCTCTCTGAATACATCTTCCCTGTAGCGTTAGGAGGGATTGTTGTACGGCTTGTTCCAGAGGCTGGACCGGCTGTGAGCAGAACTAGGAATACACGAACCATTACTTTTCCACGATCTGACTCTTTGTCGGCCTTGGACGCTTGATGACGGCCTCCGTCCCAGTTGACAGACTAGTAGTGAGAACAGGAAGTGCAGCGCCTCGGATGGCTGATCCTTTCTCACTACTGGTGTCGCTGGACGACCATTAGTCGAAGCTACGGTTGGCAATGGGACAATAACAGGGAAAGTGACGGAGGATCGACAACCACTCGGACATGAAATAGCTTTGTCAGACGTGTATTATCTCGGTCTACTATTAACATGGCTAACAACATTACTAACTCCGTGAGACTTAAGCTACGATATTTTCAGGTCGTGTCGCCGATCTAGTGTGTGAGGTCCCTTGCTGTGCTTTAGTATATTGTGAGACTAACTATGTGTGTAGTGATTGAACGGGCTGGTGGGAGAGAATAGCCGCAGTAGGCAATATGAGGTGGCGGTCGGCGCTTGATGGGTCTTGAGGGGTTCGGAGATGAGCGGAGAGGAGGAGGAGGGTGGAACGGAGCAACGAGGGAGCATGTTCGGTGTTGGCCGTGAATCGGAGGAGCTGCGAAACGTGACGGGCGGAAGGAATTCGCAAGACTAGGATTTTGGTGGTTAAAAGGTTGAGCTATAGCCCCTAATCGGCGACGGAGGATAGGCACGGGATAGGAGGCGTCCCGGCCGGCGGGTAAAAAATGAATAAAAGTGGTTGGGTTGAATGTGTAAGCTTTTCCGAATGGCGGTGCACGTCGGCGTCAGCGAGCGTTGGATTCGGCCAGCTTTCTCTGCGTCCCCACCCGCATTTTGTGCGTTGATAATTAGCTAGAAATTACAGAGGGGACTCGAGGAGCGAGTGGCCGGTGTGACTGAACAGCAGGTCGCGAGCTACAAGGACCTAGAGCCTGGCCAGCAATCCGCGTCGTCAATATTCACAATTATTCACGACGATTTCCTACTCGTCGCTGCCCACGACCATCCAGGCTGCCAGAGAGCGTGCACCATTTTGGAGCAAGGATCCAATGGAGAACGTCGTGCTGCCTGCGGTCCCCAGGCGCTCGTCGCTGACCAGCGCAAGCAACGAGACCAAGTTTGAACGATCCAGTAGCCATATTAACACTTATAATCCGACTGCCGACTTTGGCCCAAATCCACGACCACACCTTGGACCTGTACACTCTCCGTCAGCGCCGACGAGCGTCCCCGGTGCTGCCCACCGCTCTCAGGATATTCCTAGAAATCATTCAAATACGAATCGTCCATCGGGCATGAGTTCCAGTACTGGCAGCACTCTCCCAGCTCGCCACCATCACCACCACCACAGCTCCCATCATCTTCCAACTTCTTCAGCGTCTTCACAGCATCCTACAGGATCCAGTCATCATCACCACCATCCAGAGCCGTATCCAAAGGCTGCTCCCCCGACCTCGACCTCGAACAAAGGCGGCGTTCGTGGCAGAGTCACCGTTGTCTGTGCAGAGGTCTGTTTCTCCTTTTCATTTGCCATTTTATCTTATTTTTGCTCATCGTCTCTGTCCGTGCCGTGGCTGACTTTGCCCCCTTTTTTTTTCTGGTTTGCTCCGATGCCATGTCAAACAGTGCAAGCGCCTCAAGGTCTGTTTTATTTCATGTAATCTTGCTCTTCCTGCGTGCTGACAAGACTCGTTGCAGCTCCGGTGCAGCCGTGATCGGTGCGTCCTCTTCGCCTTTGCCCGCTCTCACCGGCATCCCATTCGCCGTGGTCAACACTGTGTTCGTCATTCCTGACATGGCTCTTGCTTTCTTTGTCTAGGCCCTGTACATCCTGCATTAAACGCGCTTGCACCGACCGATGTCGATACCGAAACGACGACCAACCCTCTTCGACCCCGGCTTCTTCTTCCTCGCTCCCCAACGCCTCGAATGTTACTTCGTCCGTTGTACAAAACGGTCCTGGTCCTAATGCACTGTCCGGAGGCTACCATTCTGCTCTCGGCGCACCCAACCCCTCCAGCCACCTCCCGACGGCGTCGTCCGCAGCAGCAGGAAACAATGCAGGATTCCATCCGCACCCTCTAGCGGCTGCTGCACAAAGTGCCCTTGCTGCAGAACATCAGCACAGGTTAGTTCTCCATAATACCGGCCACAACATAACTCTGATCCGTCTTCTTCCAATGTTTTTCTATTTCGGAAACGCGGCTATCTTCCACCAGATTGCTCGCCCCTCCGTTACAGTCAATGTCGACCGAACCAGCCTACCGTATCGTCTCTACAGACTGCATCCAGGTGAGCGCAACAACGACCCAATGAGATCCCCACTAGTCTCGGTGCGCACCGCGGGTATCCGAGGCCACCTGTCGAAAATGCATACACCGCCTCGACTGCTTGGCTCATTTCCGTTTCCCTTTTCTCAACTCGATCGTTACTCTTGGAACCCGTTGTCTGGGTCCGTCGGACCTCTCTGCACACCAACCGTAACTGTCGCGCGCCTTTCCGGTGCATCGATCGTGTCAGCCGGCACAACGTGCACTTGTTCGACGACCTGTCACTGGTCGACCGAACACGCTGCTGCTGCGCGTCGAGACATGCGCCGTGCCGACTCAAAATTGTCGAATAGACAAGAGAGTCCACCGCACATTTGGTTTCTCCGGTGCCTTCCTCGGCGTCTTTGCCTCGCTCAGAATCCCCTCGTTTTCTCTCCTCTTTCTTGTGCGACCCATTACTCTCTTCGGTTGTGGCGGCGGGGGTGCTTGGCCTTTTTCCGATTTGCGGCTACAAAGCACCAAACACGGTGATTACCTCGACGGTTGACACATGTCGATGCGTCTCGGATTTTCCGTATCCGAGACACCAACCTCGCTTTTCCGTTTCCGATCTCACACAACCCTGCGCATTCCTCCTTTAGGTCAAGTTTCAGGCGTGGGACAAAGCACTGACGACTTTTGTTTTGCTTAGTGTGCGTCCACCGGTCACAAGTGCGACCGAAAGGAACCGTGTTCGTCATGCATCAAGATGCAACGCGATGGCGATTGCACGTATCCTGGCTTGCCACCCCTATCACAGACGTGAGTCCTTGAATTTTTACGTTAATTCACATAATACTCATGGGCTATGATCACTTTTTGACGCTGTGACACCTGTCTTCTGCCCTCGTTCCTGAACATCCCCCCGGACCTTTGTCGATCCACGTTTGCAACCTGGAATGGGGTCATGATCCCTGATCTTCGGCGGGGAAAACATATCTCCTGGCACCCTACCGACTACGATGGTTGGCATATGAAATCCCCAAACTCACCGACGACGGCTGGGGCTATGGCCATGTATCGATGACACAAATAACGCCCGATGGACCAATACTGTGGCTCAACAGACATGCCGACGTGACAATAGCTCAGGCACTGGGCCGCCTAGCGCGCCTTGAGTCTCGGCTGAGCGAGTTGACTGCGCCCGAGTGCGATCAGTGCGCAGAAGTGGGCCTCAAGTGTGACGGACGGAGTCCTTGCTCGTGGTGTGTTCGTAGGAGCAGTGCTTCTTACGACCGCGGACGGCATTCCCCTTCAGAAGGCGCCAACGTCCTCCCTCTCCTTCGAAGCGCCTCATCTTGCACGTATGCTACCTATGTGGAACAGTCTCAGCGATATGGATTGCACAGGTGCGTTCTTACTCTCCTCTCGCCGGTATCCTTCATTCTCTCTTGTGCTGGCGACGATCCCTTTTCTACTTGGATTCCCTTTTTGCGTTGGTCGCCTGCCTTGTTTAGAGGCTTCTTCCACCCATCAGTCTAGGCCTCCCCAACTACCACGTTTTCCTATACAATCATCCGTGGTAGCCGCCTCTTCTCCCTTGCCCTCTTCTTCTTTGTCAACCCCTTTTCGATCCTGGTCAACCCATCGACTGACGTTGGTTATTCGTCCATAGCCCGCAACCGAGTCTGCACGCCAATGGTGCAGGAGGCAGCCGAGATCGTTCACCGTACGCCGTTCGAAGCCCTCCACCGCCCAGTTCTTCTCATTCAAACGCAAGTTTGAGCCAGCTGGCAACAGGGAGTGCAGCCTCTTCGGCTGCAGAGGTGCTGACCCGCTTGGCAACCTCTGAAGACCGACTGAACAGCTACGCACGCTCGCACAGTCATAGCTTCAGCCACGGACATAGTCTGAGTGCTGGAGGAGGCGCAAGTAGCACCAGTTTTGGCCATGGGCACAGTCTCAGCCATGGATCCATTGGCAGTCTTGCCAGCGCCAGCGCACAAAGGGAACGAGACCGAGAATCTGGATTACGAGAATCTGGACTAGGAGCACCGGCTGGTGCAGGAGGATTGGCGACGACGCTCACGCCCATCACGCCTTCCCATCCATCCTCCCTCCATCACTATGCGGTCTCGTCTGGCGCATCTGGATCAGGGCCGTACCACCACCATCACTCGGGATCAATCTCCTCGCAACATGCACCAGAGATTTCTCATCAACGTTCCTCATCCCGTCACTCACCTCCTCAACATCATTTGCTTACGCCGTCGTATGAATACGGCTCGAGTCCGTCGTATCATCACCCACCGTCGGCCGAGCGTGAAAGAGGAGATGGACCAGAACGAGATGGACCCGGACATCGACCTCGACAGCTGAGCGTTTCCAATCTGGCACGACCTGGAACAGCCGGCACTCCGCAGACGGCAACGGCATCTCCTGGACAATATGGGTCTTCTCCCAATCAGTTTGGATTCGGTGGACGAGATGAACGGTCACAAACGAATGGTAGAACGAGCTCGTATACGCACAAAATGCCCACCCCACCTGGGTCGAGTTCGAGCACGGCGACAGCACCGGCGAGTGCGAACCAGACAAAGTTGCCTGAAATCTCCAACATTCTCACTCTACTTTCCCCAGCACCGTCAGGAGAAAGTGGTGGTCCAAATGGGAGTGCAAAGTCCCCTCACGCATTCCCGACACCCGTCTCTGGCGTTGTCAGCGCTGGACATTCTCTCCTGAGTCTCGGTGGCTCATCTTCGATCCAGCATCTTCAATCTGACGTCCGAGGCTCGTCTCACAGTGCGACGCATCAGCATCGCCCGACGCTTAGCGGGAGTGGGTTCCCTTCGTTTATTGGGAGTGCAAATGGTAGCCGACGTGGGAGCGCGGATAATGGGAATACAGACAACGGTAGCAATAATAAGCAGTCCGACCCAATGTCGCCGACTATGGCTGTCGATGTAGACGTCAAGGAACCTCTCCCGACGCTTTCCCCGCCTCATTCTCGTTCCAACTCTGGCATCCGCCCATCAAACCAGCCTCCCCCGCCGTCGGCAGTGACTAGCACGACCAGCACGACCCAAATGGTTGGAGACATCAAAACTCAGACGCCCATGCAACAAACGAAGCACGAGACTATTGCAGAGCACGATTCGAGATCTGAAGAGGAGATGGAGGTGGACGAGATTGACAACGATTCGAATCCATGAGATACGTTATAGGAATGGAAACTAGGTGCATTGACGCGCCTTGCGACACCTCGACTGCTTTCATCACCACCATCATCATCATCATCATCCAAAAGTTGCCCTCGGATTGCATATACGATCTCTCGATCACTCTTGGTATAGCGGCGATTCGATGCAGTATTCTGATGTCTCACCGGCTGAGATTTGAGAATATTGCGTTGACGCACTACCTGGATCACGACTCTGATAAGACCCACTCTGACGATGCCCAGTGGATTCTGTGTAGGATCTTGACTGGTGCAGTCTATTATCTTCCTCCTCCGCTCAACGTTATTTTTCCAACCCACTACCGCCTTCCCCTCTCATCACAGCATTAGCACGCCCATCGGAAAGGCACGCTAGAAAATCAAAAATGGACATTCTCGTATGACACCTGTCGCTTGGTCTAGTCGACGACGGCGATGTTGGGGTGTGTGCACGGTGGGCAGCGCCCATCTCATTTTGCCTCCCCCTCGGCTCGACCTTGTCTCATCTATCGTTGCGTTTCTACATATTGGACACTGGCTTTCCATCACCGCGTTCTGTCTCCTTTTTGATTTCGGTCTCTCTCTTCCCATTGCGTGTCTATCGCACGTCTTCCTTCCTCTCGCATCGTTTCTTTTGTCTGTGTGATCCAAAATGTGTGTCAATACAAAAGAGAAGTTTACACCCACGGCCTGCTCGCCTGTGATGTGAGGATGGACTTCTGTATTAGGCCAGGATGTGGATGGAAGGTCCGTTCCGTCTCCACTCCTAGAACAGCCTTGATACTTTGTTGGTGGGGCTAGTCTCATCTTTCTGCATTATAATAGTAGGCGGTATGGTTTATCATATTGAACGGATTTCTACGTACAGCCGCCGTACTCTCCCTTGGCGCCATTTACACTTGTATCACACCGCCTGGCCCTTTTCAAGAGAGCAATTCACCCCAAATGGTAAGCGTCTTTACCGCCGATGGTGGAGCGAGGAATGAGAGCGAAACCCGGTCAGAAAAATAGGCATTTGTCAGAAGTGGATCAGGAGCAGTTCCAGTTCGGTCAATTCACAGCTTTTGGATAATAATTGAGGGCATACCTCTGCACAGGCCTTTCGGAGCCAGTCCATTCGAGGGGGATGCGGCGTATCTGGCCTTGGACGCGGGAACTGATCTGCGGCGAGTGTATCTACCCCGTGATTTTCAACTGCATCGTGCCTTCTGCTGTCTTTCTCTCGGTGGGCCTGTCCGTGGAGAGCGTGCAAGCTCCGTGAGAGATGCATACACGCTTCGGAGCGAAATTTTGGTTGTAATAGTCTGTCTATCCGCGTCTGAGCACTCATTTAGTATTATCACCAGCTATAACTTTTTCCAACGCACCAATACGTGCTCCACAGTGGTAGATGCAGGAGCCCCTTGGGCCGAGATGCGCTTGAGCCGATGATCACCGAGTGAGTGAAGCCAGATGAACCAAGTGCACTGTTCCCATTGGAATGATGCAGTAGACAAGAACCGTTCGGGGCACCAATAAGGCGCGTCCTGGCGGAGCAAGATTGCACTGCTGGAAGAGACGTCGAAGTCGCGTTCAGTTGTGCCCTGATCCGCCGGTGAGGTATGACCACCGGTGAGAAGGAAGAACGTCGCTGTTCCCACGTCGGAGTAGTCTAGGCCGTGGATGTCGATCATGGGTACCGCGGCAGCAGAAGACGCCAAAAGAACGGCCACCGTCTGTGCGTAGAACCGGGCCAGGTTTAGGAGTGCATTGATGGGCGGAAACCCAGACTGTGTGTGCCTGTAAGTGTGAATGGCTATTCCTGCCTTCCCTCCTTTGAATTGGAGCAAGGGATGGAGGTCGACCTTGACGCGCCGCTTGAATGCTCTGTCAATAGGCGCCCCCTGGATCAGGACGAGAGAAATAAAGCCTGTGATGTGTAAGAGGCTGCTTTGATAGCAGCTGTTGACGCACCTGGCCATGCTAGAAGCACATCCATTACCTCGGCAAGCTCGGATTGTAAAACACAGAGACAAAGCGTGATATTGGGAGACAAAGAGCCATCTCTGTCCGGGATGTCGACCCAAAATGGCTGGAAGTTGGTCACGTCGTGCAAACTCGCGAGTCGGGAGAGTCGAAATGCTTGAGGGAGCGCATTCAACGGCGATTCTACTCCTGACAAGATTAGAATAGATAATATTCGAAGCGTGGACAAATACCCGTATTGGTCTTTATTCGACCTTGAGGAGTCGTGATGCTCAACGCCAACTCTAGCGTAAACTTTGCCACACAGACACAGAGAACTACACGAATCAGCCACCGAGCTGCCCAAACGAGTATTATATGGAAAATTGGGGCTTGAGAGTCGCTGAACAGAGTTCCTTCCTGAGCTTGGTTGGCCCGAACCGACGTTGCACTTTCAGAAACTGGGAGTCTCGCACTAGACTGAGATGAGGACGCGTTCAGTCGTCTGTATGACCCCGATTTATTCATTCTCCATCGAAAGTAGGCGCTGGGACTTTCCCCAACGATGTCCATGGAGTCGCGTCGACCAGGTTAGGAAGCAAGTTGCAAACTAACCGCACTGCGTAGAAAGGAATACGATTACAGATAAATATGCGTGCAGATCACAACATGATGTTCATGTCCCCATCGTCCGTAGGCATATCGAGCAACCCATCCTGCCCCTGGCTCCGATAATCTTGGCTAGCTCCCGCGTCTTGGTAAGATGCTGAAAAGAATTAGAAAAGGATTACACATCGATACGAACGTACCCCATATCGTATCTACTTCTGGACCATTTATGAATTGCTCCAATAGGTCGCGAGCCAACTCTACAGCTCTGTGAGACGATGTACTCAATGAAAAGAAAACTTACCAGTGCAAGTCTCGCAAAGAAGCTTGCAAGTGTTGTCATTCCATTCGGGCGGATCCGCATAGCTGAGTCGCCCCAGCCCTACAACGAACATATGCTCGAGTCCGTTGAAACGATGGGGTGGGAATTGAATCACACGCTGAAGGTCAAGCTGGGCGCCCATTTTGAAGACGATGTAATGCAGAAGTTGCAAAATGCCAACTACAAGGTCGAGATTTCTGATAACAGTCAGATGAAAGCCGGATGGAGTCAAGGGGTGCTGACTTTTTGGTATGCTTGCTGGCCTCCAAAGACTCGATTGGATGCTCGTCCCAAAGCAACGTCGCGTAGGCGTCAAGCGTTGCAACCAAGGAGGGTATGACAGACTGAGAATGTGTTACCGTTGCCATTGCCTCTGGAGACGCGAGTGTGAGCTGAGTCAGAGATGTGATAATTGAAGCTTGAAGCTCGTGATGCTGACACATATGAGAATCAGAAGGTCGTATGGACAAATTACTTACTTCTGCGCTACTCAAGGTGACTGAGTCTACAAGCAAATGGGAAATTCGTTCGATATGAGGGATTCGTGTCAGATCGCCTGTCGGATTTCTCGTTCCAGGATTATGAGGATATGACAGGAGCATGGCAGCGCATTCGGAATCTACAACAAAGTCAGTATGCGTAGTATCCTCTTGGAGGGGCTTACAGGTTGAAATTATGCAGAATATGCGCATAGATGCACAGAGAACCCAAGTTGGCTGCTTCTCATTGAGCAAAGTGGACATCATATTTGGGGCGCGAACAAGATGTTCCAATCTGTTGGCTATATATCAGCTAATCACATCTTCAGGAAGCTTAACATACTGGTTAATGTCATCTTGCGGAGAGGTTAGACAGAGTAACTCCATCAGAAGTAGACCCTGTCGCATGGCGACTTCCCAAGCATCAGCATTGCCGCCGGAGGGTGGAAGGCCATGGGATTTGACTATGTCGACCAGAGCGCTTAATATTGCAGGGCATAGCTCCTCGCAATCGAGCAATAAAGATGTGAGTCCATCGATCCATAGGCACATCGTCCCTATCAATTCGAGAACGGCTGCCAAGTTGACGAGCTAACCACAGGTTAGAGCCACTGAAATCAGATCCAATGCCTTACCGAAGAGGCTCGGGATAGGACTCCTGCCATACGTATCAGGGAAGTCGCAATCCTTGATGCTACCGGAAGGAAGTCCGGTTCTCGGGATGCCACGGCTTCCATCAGAGAGGAGCAACTATGGACGTATGTGTCTCGTTCCTCCTGTAGATTCGAGAGATCCAAGGAGAACAGACGTTGCAGAGTCAGTTGATAGTCGGGGAGTGATGTGTGTGAAAACAAGATAGCGTAACACTAGTGGCACAGTCAACCCCGTGTGGTGGCGACAGACAATCAACTGTACCTGCTCCCGCACATCCGGTAAATTAATGAGCTCGCCGCCTTGAAGCAACTCCTCTTCTATTTTATCTTCATCTCTCACTTCACCCATACTCGTGCCAATCTCTATGTTTATTCTCGGTGATTCACCGTACCCGTCCACGTCTGGGAAGCTTTCGAAGACCAGCGAGGCAGCCTCGTCTCGAGATTCTGATTTTGCATGACCAGGTGCCCTTGATTGTGAATCGGCATCGATTGGAGAGAAGTAGTGGTCAAGATTTGGTCGTGTGCCTCTGACAGGAGCCTCCATTATGACGGCAGGAGGCTGCGTTCGATGTCGTGGCTTAACAGGAGACCCGCCATTGAAGGAGTCCACAAATCCAGTAAAGGGTTGAGTTGATTTGGAATGGGCTGGAGCAGCTCGCTGAGGGAATTCGCGTCTGTTTCTCACCGCTGACGTTGAGACTTCTTGTCCTCCAAATTTTTTCGGGGTCTCGAACTGGGCTTGAAGACCAATGCTACCTCGGCCCGAACCAGATCGACTTACGGACCATGGCGTCTTGCGCACGGTAGTCTCTAGTTCCTGCACCTGACCGATTATGAGTAAGTTGCGGACGTAGCCGGGATTAACTTACTTTGAGTGCAAAGTTTGTACGGGCCCTCTCCAATTCTTGGTTCAGCTTTCGTTCTGCTGCTTTCCTCTTCTCTATTTCCTCAGACTTTTCTTGTTGGAGCTTGTTAATCTTCTCATTGTAGGAGTGACTCGACTAAAGAATGAGGGGCAATAGTGATGATGAAAGGGACCAAACCTTTGCCATGTTACGTCTCAAGGTCTCAACTTCACCCTCTCTCTCAAGCCGAGCTTCAGATGCCTCTTTCAAAGCGGCCAAAGTTGCTTCGTGCTCAAGTTTTAGCTAACAATTTCAGTTATAGGGACAATTTCGGTAGATATGACACTTACCTTTTCGATTTGCGCCCGTAACTTGGCAAGCTCATTATCCTCTTCCGCAATAGTCGTCTGTCTCAGTGCAGATGTGATCGCAGCAAATCGTGACTGGCTCGCGGCGTAAGACTCTTGATATGGTATCGACTGGCTTGCACCATAGCCGTTCCCATTCGCACGGATACCATTCTTATTAGGAATTGATCGCATAATCCGCTGAGAGGGTCCTGGTTCACCTCGCAATGGTTGGCTTGCCGTCCTCAGCGTATGAGTGGCAAACGAACCGGTTCTAGGATTGCCTTCGACAGGGTGAAATGTTTGGTACTTGCCATCCTTTGCTATGACGACAGCAACCTCGGGCATCTCTTCCTCCACGTCAGCCAGGTCGCCGTTTGGAACCGGGATTGCAGTCCATTCGTCTGCCTTAAACCGCTTCGGAGGTGGCGGACGAGAAACTCGTCCCTGAGAGGATTTTAAAGGTAGAGAAGTCTTTTGTTTATCAACTGTGGCTTGGGATGCACTCTGAGCGTGTCGTTGCTCGACTTTGTCCAGCGTCTCGAGCGCCGCGGCGTCAAATAAATCATCGACCAAATCAAAGTCGTCGTCGCTCATCCCATGAAGGTTTGACTGTGCGTCCGGAGTCTTCCTTTCGAGTAATTACGGGAAGTGGCCGGGTCTAAGGAGGCATGGCTGATACCACCAAGTTGGTTAAGGATAAAATATTCTTCAACTTGTTTTGGAAATGTATTTACTATCTGCTCATCGTCAGAGTCTGGTGTCGTAGTGGTTCACCTTGTTCTCTCTCGACCTCTACATGCAAGGCTCTCGTTTGCCATTTGACGATGATGCAGCAGAGTCTAGACTACCCGTTTCTACACTAAGATCTACCGCATCCCCGTACAAACGCGCTCAGTTCACCGCGAGTACGAATCAATATACAGCACTTTGGACCCAAATGGGCCAAAATGGACCCAAGCCGAATCTCACCCTTGGTAGATCCAATATTCACTCTGTGCTAACGACTCCACTGTCCGTAGGGAACGAGCACTCAGATGTTGCTCGCGACGAAAGCGCAATCAGACATGTTATTATCCATCCAAGCTCACCACAAAGAGATAGTGTCTCTGAAACATCAGAAATTGACGCGTTTGACGCGTCATCCAACGCGCCCAGCTCTCCTCTCGCGGTCCCAGGTAGCCCATCGTCGTCGGTTGCCGCTGATATCTCCGGAGCATTCGACACAACTCAGGATGTGGAGGATGATCTAACGGAAAGCGATCACTCGCCCTTCGAACGCGGCCCAAAGGTCTACTCTCCATTTTCATCCCCTCTTTCGAGCATAGCGGACACTCTTGCGGAACGTGGAGCCACTCCATGTCCACCTTCAACTGTTCCAAACCCGCCTGACGAGTCCCTTGCTTCATCTCAAAGCGAAGCCGGCCCAAGTACAAGTAGGAGAAAGCGGCCAAGGACCCCGTCTCCACCACGCAAAGCTCCAGCAAGTCGAGCAAAGGGGAGGAAATCCAAGTCAGAAATGCCTGTCAAGACGAGCAAAGAGAAAGAAGGAAGTGGCCGTAAACCATCTAGACGACCCTTGGAGGAGCTGAGTCCACGGTCTCTCAAAGCAGCGACAGATCTTGTTGGCCCGCTTGTCCAGATTCTCGCATTATCTGGGCGGTCATCAATGCCGACATCCACAATCATTAACGAGTTATTTATGACGACCCCGTCTCTAAAGTCGGAAAGGACCTCGAAGGAATGGACGGCGTTGGTTATTCTCATAATGTCCAGTCACTCCATCTTTGGACAAGCGGAGAGAGCTGGCTTGAAGGTGGGTGTATTCCACTTGCCATGGACAAGTTTTCTGACATTGCGATAGAATGCAAACGACGAAGCTGTAGAAGACGAATGGTTCTACAGGCCCGAAAACGACGACGATCACGAACGTCGGGAGACGCTGGGCGCTTTCCAGAGAGGTGGTGGAAAACGTCGAGCGACCGTGGAGAAGAAGCAATACTTCTGGAAGCCTGTCCGATGAGTCTATCACAACCTGCTTATATTGTTGTATTCTAGGAACTAGGAAGCCCGCTTTTCGTATTCTGCTTTGACGTCGTCCCACTGAGGCCTTGGAATCCGAAAACCACTGCCGAGTGTCGAGTATGTGATATCGCCCATACGCGCAATTGGAGCCAGTTTATGAGGGTCGACTGTATTTCCCGCCTCGGTCAATACCGCGTTCCGAACATGGATCAGCTTGACAAGGCCGATCAGCATGTAAGAAGTTGGTTTGTCCGGTGTCGACGGCGAAGCGAGTGGAACAGACTTGTATAACTATTGGTAGTAAGTAGCAGACTCAGATGGAAGCTGTTGCGTACCTCACACTCCATGCTAAACGCGCTTTCGAGCACGCGAGGAGGCTTGACGAGGGTCTGCTAAATATCAGCCTTTGCTTAAACCGGTGGATTCTTCCTGACACTCGGTACACGCGTGAGTCCGCTTCCGACCCATTCATCGACCTCGTACGGGGCTTCTACCGAGGTCCAGTTGGCCGCCTCTGCAAATGCCTCGGACATGATATTGACGGTAAACTCTCCAGTTTCCATGATGCATCTAGCCGTGTCTTTTGGTACATCTCCCTTGCAATTGACGGATACGCTGATCATCGGTGGATTGTGGTTGCATATGTTGAAATAACTAGAGTAGATCAGTTATGCCGCATAGCCGGGTTCTATATTCTGACCTGAAAGGTGCTAGATTGGCTACTCCCTGCTTATCCTGCGAGGAAACAAATGCGACTGGTCGAGGGACAATGCCACTCGTCATCAGCTTGTAGATATTCCTGGAAGTTGTAAGTGTACAGAAAGAGCATCTTTCAAGGCGTACCTAGGCTCTTCCTTTGCTGGATCAAAAATCTTGAATCCCAGATCCTCGTCTTGTTTCCAACGAGCTCCCAGCGCTGAATCTGTGCGCAAACCATCTCCAAACTGCCACTTTGGTGCAGGAGGCTGTGTATAGTGGAATCCTGGGTCGTCTCTAAACGGTGCGAGGTCGGTCATGGTCTAACAGCGGCCCAAGGATGGTGGCCGGCATTGGTGGAGCTGTGGATATCAGATGAGAGCTGCGATGGACACGGGCATCGGAGACCGTTCCCCTCGTTTCAAACTCCGCCCCGACTTGGCTTATAGACGCCAGAGTGGCGCAATCCAGGTTGGACTCGAACCACGTTCACCCTTTAAGCAACTTTGGAACCAGCACCGTTTAGCGACTTGTAGGTCATTTTACAGCGTCTCTAGACCTCTTGTAGCTCACTTTTGCGTCTGCTTTGCTAGTTTATCATGCAGATCTTTGTAAGCGCTGACCTCTGCCTGCCATTCTCGAACTGACACGTCGCCCACAGGTCAAGGCAAGCTCAATCAGCCTCTCCACAGTCTCTTTGTAAAACTAATCGTCATTATCTTTTGTTTACTCGCAATTGCCACTCCTAGACGTCAGTGCTAGCTGCCATTACGTCTTCTATGCGTCGACCCTGACACTGATACAGTCTTACTGGCAAGACCATTACGCTCGAGGTCGAGTCCTCGGACACGATCGACAACGTAAAGACCAAGATTCAAGACAAGGAGGGCATCCCTCCCGATCAGCAGCGCCTCATCTTTGCCGGAAAGCAACTCGAGGACGGGCGCACTCTTTCCGACTACAACATCCAGAAAGAGAGCACGCTCCATCTCGTCCTCCGCCTCCGTGGTGGTATGCAAATCTTCGTCAAGACGCTCACTGGCAAGACGATCACTCTCGAGGTCGAATCGTCTGACACTATCGACAATGTTAAGACGAAGATCCAGGACAAGGAGGGCATCCCCCCTGACCAGCAGCGCTTGATCTTTGCCGGCAAGCAGCTCGAGGACGGCCGTACCCTCTCCGACTATAATATTCAAAAGGAGTCGACGCTTCATCTTGTTCTTCGTCTCCGTGGTGGTATGCAAATCTTTGTCAAGACGTGCGTATAGCTACCGATCCTTCCCTGCGTCGCTAATGGTTACCAAGCTTGACGGGCAAGACCATTACCCTCGAGGTCGAATCTTCCGACACTATTGACAACGTAAAAACGAAGATTCAAGACAAAGAAGGCATTCCTCCGGATCAGCAGCGGCTCATTTTCGCGGGCAAGCAGCTCGAAGACGGTAGGACCCTCTCCGATTACAATATTCAGAAGGAGAGCACTCTCCACCTCGGTAAGACCCCGTTCGCCTTGCCCACGTTCATGGCGCTCACATTCTCTCCCAGTCCTCCGCCTCCGCGGTGGTCTCTAAGCCGCTGTCAAGAGTGTCCTTTTTTTCTCATCTCAACCTGTGATTACGTTGAACATTTGAATTCAACAACGTGGTTCGTAATTATGTCGTGAACTAAATACGCCGCCATCAGCCCTTGAGAAGCTCAGACTAACTTTGACCATCTCGAGGTTGACCCCTCGCTTCACGAAGCTGCGCCACAAGCACCTCTAGGCTGGCAAGAATGCTACTCTGAATGTCCCTCTCCGTCATTTCCGGTGTAGTAAAGGCCTGTTGCGGGTGGGTAGCGAGCGCTGAGGGCATTGGTGGCCGGCTGATCCTCGGTTGTGTTCTATTATCTTGCCTGTTCGAACGTCTCCGTGTTCGAATGAGCATCGTGGATGGGCGGGAGCCGGCGCCTGCCTCTGAGAATGAAGGGCCGCGCTGGGCGAGCGTTGGCGATCGACTGTGTGATGGATGAAATAGCGAAGTTTGGTCGTGTGGCTGAACAGGGAACGTTCTATCGTGGGCGCTCGACATTGTTGAAGATGAAGCCAAGGGAAAATCGCGTGGTGGTCGTAGGCTTGGGGACCGTCTGTCGCGCGTTTCATCCATCGAAGAGGTGGGAGCAAGATTCGATATCGACAATGGCATATTGGGGACCAATCTAGGAACCGCCGCGCCAAAGCCCGATGTCGACGTTTGTGTCCCACCATCTGCTGCACTATGACTGAGGCTCGAGGGCGTCGCCGATCGCGTGCGCGCTCCCGCTGCTCCTCCTATACTTCCGGCTCTTCCTCCGGTGCTTGTGCTCGCTTGCCCATCATAGTCGTCCACGAGGTCCTTGATTGGTACCGCAATACTCCGCATTAGACTCGCGGCTGCCTGCGCGGTCGCTTTCGTGTCAGGCGGGAGCGCACTACTCGAAGAATCATGCCGAGCTCCGTCTGTAGCTCTTCTTGTCGGACGTTCGTTGGCGTTGCCTGTGTGGACGTTGGAGGAGGAGGAAGCTGGTGTACCGTGTCGGGAATGAGGAGCGTCCATCGGCGATGATGACACGGCGTTGATGGTGATGGCGTTGGCGTTGGCGTTGGCAGGGGGAGAAGCGTGCATGTTGGCCGGCCGTCTCCTGGGCTTTTATATACGTGGTGATCGACGATGTGAGTTCCAGGTCCGGTGAATTCGTGATGGAAAGGGGAGAAAGAAAAAAAAGTTTTGCAAACGCGGGAGACGCGCGCCGAGCGTGCATGGACGGGGGCAAAGGGGTAGGAGGAACGGTGTGGTGGGTGGGTTTTGGGCCGGCTCACCGTTCGCGAGGGAGTACCCTCTTCCTCGTTCCAATCCGCTGCGAGCGCGTACAGTGAATCAGTCTTGGTCAGTCGTCCCCTCTTCAATGCTCGCTGAAGTGCCTGGTAAGCCGACGGACGAAAGTTTGGCGCAAGTGGCCATTTGCTGCGAGTCCCAGTTCCAGTCAAACGCCAAATCGTCAAGGTGGAGCGCTCACTTCATCATATAATTGAATATACCCTGTGGGGGAACACCCTTGGTGCTTGGGAGGTGCTCTAGCGCGTCGATAATCATGGTTTCGTAGCCGGGAAGTGGCACTCTGGAAGAGGTCGATGGGCTTGAAGCCGCATTGGACATGTCCGGAGCAAGGCGTTATGCTCCTCGTTATGGCTAGAACCGTTTTCAGTATGTCTGACGTCTTTGAGCATCCGTCAGTCTCCATGCCGCATTGCGGAAGCAGAGCAAAAAGTACCGTGTTTCGCTGATTATCGACAAAGAGGATAGAGATGGCATTAAAACACTGGAATAACGTCAGAATGTAGGCAATTGCCGTCGTAAGCGCCGCCGCCGTCCAAGTCGATGAATGTGGAGAGGTTCAAGATGAGCAAGGCCGCAAGAAGACGAAAAGGATAGCATTAGATATAAATGTGCGTCATTTACATTATAATACATCACGAAGTGTCACAAGATATTGATGATTGTGGGGCGAAGTGAAATGGAATCGTTAAGAATAGTATTGATATGGCGGGGGACTGGATTCCGAATCTGAATAGGCATATCTAATATGTCATTAGTAATGGCTAATGACGACTACCAAGCAATAAAACGCACCCTGGGGTTCTCGGATATGCGGATTCAGTCTTGAGAATGCTCTTGAGGCCCGGATACGAAGGCACGTAGATTGGTAGAGGACCCTCTTCTTCTGGTCGTTTACGCATGGAGAGTAGTGACTTGAGGCTCTTCTTCGGGTGAGCCTCGTCGTATGATGGCGGCGGCGGGGGGCTCGAGGCCGGGGAGTGGGCTCTTCTTGATGAAGAAGAGACGTATTGAAGCAGAGATAGAGTTGCCGACATTGTGGTTTAGTTGTGGGTTGTGGCCAGTTGTCGATAAGAGTTCTGGCGACTTATATGCACGCGCGGCCACAACTGCGATTACGCAGCATCAGGTCAAGAACACCGTTTACAGGGCGGCAGACGTAGAGTCGGACGGCCGGGATTAGTCACAAAGTGCCGATGGCGGTCCGTCTCAGACGGGACCGCTGACTGCACACTGCTTTGGAATCCTCCGATACATCGCTGAGCTGCGTGCGTAGTTGATATGTCGCTGCCAAAAATATGTTCAATTTGAGGAAGAGGGAAGTAACAGCAGTCGACCCCTAGACGAGTGTTGCCAGTAATTATGCGTCCCAGCCATCTTTGTATCAATGTCTGGTATCATTAGTCTTGCTGGCTGAATGGCTACGATAGCATGTAGACCGAGTCGTGAATTACACGCTCTGGCTTGTATGCCCTTGCATTGATCATTCGGCTAGTCCTAGGCATCCACCCACACCTCTTCTCTACACCTTTGAAGTATCTGAAATTAGATTTCTAGGCTGAGGATAGACATTGACATGGCCAAGTGGCGGGGTGTGTTTGGCCGTTGTTTGTACGACCTCGACCGTGTCCTTTACTTTTTGACCAAAACTCGTCGCCAAGTGGGCAAACTTGGAGAATAATCCCTAAAATTCAATATGCCTGGTGTCCGAGATATTAGGTGCGACCGCCTCCATCGATCCATCAAGACCACACCGCTCGCTGTTGGCACCATCAAATCCTAGTCTTATCTCCTGTCGTTATTCTCTTCCTGTCGTCCTAATGCCCAAATTCTTTGCTGCAGCTGTTACAGTAGCATATGCTAACCGCCTTTTATGCAGCGCCGAAGCATTCATTGCTGCCTATTCGTCGCACCTCAAGCGCTCTGGAAAGCTCGAGGTACCAAACTGGGTTGACATAGTCAAGACCGGCACCTTCAAAGAGCAAGGTCCCTATGATCCAGACTGGTTCTATGTACGAGCAGGTGGGTTTGCACCTTTTACCTTGTTCTCAAAGCTAACCAACGAATAGCCGCGGTCGCTCGACACATTTACCTCCGCAAGTCGATGGGTATCGGCGCTCTCGCCAAGCTGCACGGTGGACGAGCCAATAGGGGAAACCGACCGTCGCACCACGCTGATGCTTCGACCTCTGTCCAACGAAAGGTATGCTATCGTTTACTCTCAGGTAACGCCCCCCTCACATATTTTTTTGTCTAGGTCTGCCAGGCCTTGGAAAAGATTGGCGTGCTCGAACTCATGCCCGATGGTGGACGAAGAATCTCGCAGGATGGTCAACGAGACTTGGACCGTATCGCGACGGCTGTAGTAGAGAGCCAAAAGGAGGAAGATGAGGAGGATGGTGGCGACGAGGAGGGCGAGGAGGAAGAGTAAATGCATAGTGAGTCGAACAATCAAATATACAAAACTGGGCTGATACTGGTTTAGATATTCGTGCGCCTCTTCTTGTGTAAACTTGTTCCTTCATTAGGCTCGTCTTGATACATGCCCTTTGAACTGCACATTTAGATGAGGATAACAGCGAGAAGATCACATTGTCGACCTTGTTGAAGTTGCATATATTTGGACCGACTACCGCACCTCGTACATGCACCCACGCTCCGCAAGAAAGAGGCCAGGAGATGGGTTTACAACTAACGAGCCAAGAAGAGGGAAAATCAAAGATTTGGTTTCGAACGAAAGGAGATTGGTCTACGAGTCAAATGCGTGGATCGTTGAAGAATCATTGTCTTGGTCATTCGGTACTACTCCATCTTCTCGAGTCGACGCTTCGCGCTGCGCTCGGAAACTGCAAAGATCGCCTCATCTGGCAAGGTGCGGTTGACTGGTGCCGATTAGGCTCTTGAACAAGCCCCTTGTTGTCTCCGGGGTTATCAATGTCGTGCTCCGGGGTGAATTCAAAGGTTTGTGGATTTGGCGCCAATGGGAGACAAACGACCTGGGGCCGAGGGCTCGTGGATGGGAGAGTCGAGCTTGCCAGACACTTTGGTGAGACGACCGCACGTCCACGTTCAGTCCCTTCTCCAAGAGGACTTGAATCTTCATTCGACGGCGCAAAGCGAACCGATGTCTGCTGTTGACGCAGCTCGTTCTGCCACCATGTCTCGTCCCCTCTTCCTTGCACGAGAGCTGCGACGACAAAGGCATTAATGGTGACGTCGACGAAGCACCATCGCATACAGGTCATGGACTCTCGACGTCCACGATATGCGATCCATACAGCGACATTGACGCACGACGCTATGAGGCCGATGAGACTTGCGATCAAGGAACGAATTGCAAGTTTGCGTAGAGAAGAATGTGAAGATTCGAAAACGATGTCTTGCCATGACACAAAGTCTTCGGTTTCTGCGACGGTGGGTGCAGGGTTTGATTGGCCCGAACGCTCTGGTGGGATTCCTGAGATGGAACCGGGCTGTTCTGTAGGCTGAGGAGCCCAATCTTGCGCAGGAGCGTCTGCTTGTTTCCGACGTTTTGTGAGAAACATTGGGATGGAGAGTTTTCGTCGGTCCTCGTCATTCTTATCCTGATTAAGAATGGAAACGACAAATGCAATGGTGAGTATGCTGCTGAATAAGAGGTCGAAGAGAAAGAATGGGATGAGGCCGTAAAGATGTATGCCTATGATGCATGATTGCGTTGAGCCCTCTTCATGGTCGGCTGGTGGTTGTAGTTTGGCTGTACGTCCTACCACGAGAATAATCATGATCGCAAGGTAGATGGCGAACCCGAACAAGGCGCCGCGGTAGGTTGTCGTCGAGAGTCGTGGGACATTGATTCCTCCACATCGAACGAGGTATACTCGTTCGACGAAGAACATGTAAACAAAGATCTTCACTCGTAATCAATATCTTTCCACACGGGCCGAGCGGCCTGTCAGACACATACTCTTGTAATGGCATATAAGCCTATACAGATGTAGATCAGGGCCATACATGTGGCTTCGTCTCTCATCCTCTGTATCGTTCCCTCTTCAGGCATTTGTGGACTGATGGTCAACCCGACGGAGAGCGTGGCGAAGCAGATGACGAAGAGTAAAGCGCTGAGGAGGGCAAGGAACGCTGTAAACCGGGCATATGTTGTGATAAAGATGTAGTTTCCGGGTATATAGTGGTTAATGTTCGTTCTGAGAGAGCTGGCGTGGAGAAATGATGAGATACCAACAAAACTGGGCCGCCCTTGGGCAGATCTGACGTGGTCGGATGCTTGAGAGGACTGATCTTGTAGATAAACTTGTAGGTCCGAATGGCCAGCTCTTCTGTCTATGTGCCAGAACGAGCTCCGTGCCAGGCAAAAGGATAGGCCGGAGGCCGCTTGGGAGGATTAGAGACGCGGAGATGGACATAATTGGGCTCACCAACGATCTGGAAAAAGACGGTGACAATATTCCAGCGTAGTGCGGCATCTGGCGCCATATTCCAAGGTGTTGGAGGGGAATCCGTTGTGGAATTCCGACCCGCAGCCAGACTTTTATACACCGATGAAAGCGTGTCAAATCATACCCGTCGTCGAAGCGAGGGCGCTGGCGGCTGGCACAATTGACAGCCGGGACCATTTGTCGTGTAAATCCTCCCTAGCAAGCATCCACCACTCGACTGCGATATGCGCATCCACACCAACGATGATGATGGCTATACATTGGATTGCACTGACGTAAGGAGGTTGCTCCCGCCGTTGAACTGGACTCTGCAACTGCGGACCCCATTCTTGCTCGCGCTGCTACAGATGGATTTGGCTGTGTTCCAGGTCCAAGGTTGAACATTTTGCATTTCTTTTGTAGATTTCGCCACTCTTGGATGCTGGAATGCGGGACTCGGGAACAGACGACAAAGTGGCAGTGCCAGCTAACTTGGACCGCCCAATGCCGCCGTTGTTGTCTATAACGGCCATTTTATTTGTTTTATGCGTCTTTTCACACACAGTATTCTCGGAAGATGTCTTTGAACCTGCTCTCAATCATTCCTCAATCTGTGCCTTACCGCCATCTCCCCTTCTGACTTTCAACCCAGTCGCATTGAACCCCACATGCTCGCTTTCCTCCAGACCAGCAGATCCAGCTCCAGAATTTCTGTCTTTCGAGGAGTGGAAGGCCAAACAGCTCGCCGTTCAGGAGAGTGCGAACGGTAAAGACAAGGATAGCCACGCGCCCACGACAAAGTCAAACACTGGCAATAAACAAGACAATAAAAATCAAGAAGAAGAGGTGGCCTCGACCTCGAACGGACACAAGGATGCCGACGTGGCTCGGGATGTCGTAGCCAGCGTGGAGGCCAACGATACCGAACACGCTACTCCATCGCCGTCTGCACCCAAATACCATATCCCATTAATAGACCGGTTCAACTATGCGTCAAACGAGTGTAACGCACGTATCCACTCGTCTCACAAGTCGGCAAAGTCGAGCTCGTCAATCCTCTCACGGAAAAAGGACCGGTACATGCTCTCGCCATGCCAGCTTAACAAGGAAAAGCATTTCGTGGTTGTGGAGCTTTGCGAGGATATTCGCATCGACACGGTTCAATTGGCCAACTTTGAATTCTTCTCCGGCGTTTTCAAAGACATTCGCGTCAGCGCCGCCGAGACATATACAAGCGATGGAAAGGGTTGGACAGTAGTAGGAGAGTACACGGCGAAGAATATCCGAGGTATCCAGGTATGCAAGTCCCTCATTCGTGTCTCCTTGTCCTAACTATGATCAGTCTTTTCACCCGCAAAAGGAACTCCTCCGCTTTTACAGATATCTACGCGTAGAATTTCTCAGCTACTACGGCAAAGAGTACTTTTGCCCAGTCTCCCTATTGCGCGTCTACGGCCTTACCCAGATGGAGGAGTGGAAGTCGGATCTCTGGAAGGCGGAATGGGAAGCTTCGCAAGCGGCATCCATCGACGCTGTGACAAAGGAACCAGAGGATACTGTCATCATCCTTGGGGCTGGGTCACTCTCCGCGTCTGCCTCCTCTGGATATCATATTCCTTCCACAGATTCGGCGCCTTCTACCACCAGTGAGAGCAGTCAAACGTCTCAGGAATCAAAGGATCCACCACAAAGGGTAGAATCCGCTTCTTCAGAGAACAAAACGGCAGGGTCTCGAGCCATAACGGAAAGCCTGCACGAGATCCCTTCGACCTCCCATCCTATTCCTGCCACTGGAGGGACTCTGCAAAGCCAACCAACAGAGTCAAGAGAAACTTCGGAGAGTCAAGAGACTAGTTTGCGGCAGACGCAAAGTTCAGATGGTCATCATGTTGTCGAGGAGGTACCGACTTCATCAGACGAAAAGGTGTCTTCGACCCCGCCGCCAACTACCTCGACTCCTGCAACCAGTGCGGAAAATGGATACAATGAACCGACCACCTCCGTCGTCACGCGGACCGTCTCGACGACGATTATCTTGTCGGCCGCGACACCTTCATCCTCCACTGCTATTCCAAACGGCGAGTCCGTCTACCGGATGATCATGAACCGTATTAGCAGCCTAGAAGCAAACCAGACTTTGTATGCGCGATATGTCGAGGAACAAGGGCGATCCGTCAATATTCGGCTTGAACTCATCGAAGAGGACATTGGACGTCTAGGCGCAGTGGTTCGTGCCTTGCTCTTTGCACCTGCAATTATCTAATTCCCTTATAGATGACGTCTCAACAACAGCGTATCAAGAAGATGTTTGAGCGACATCGCATTGATACGGAACGTGCTCATAATCAGTTGGCGGCGCAGGTGGAGCACTTGGCACACGAGGTATTACAGCTCTCCTTCACGCATACCTGGTCGTTGACGCGATCTTTAGGTCTTGATGGAGAAAAGACTGGGAATTTTACAATTGGTCCTCCTGCTCACCGTCTTAGTATTCATGGCGCTTACGCGTGGCTCCCGTGGTGAGCCGATCCGCTTACGAAAGGCGGGTCTAGTATGGCACAAGAATCTGCGGAATAGCGCAGACTGGGTCACGGGATGGAGAGGCAGCGCTAGTCGATTGCCAAGTCCCGGTGAGTGCTCAATGTCCCCATTCTTCATTGTTCCAACTGACGGTACTCTGCTGCAGATGGCGAGCATGTCGATTCGCAGCCTAATGATGCCATCGAAGTTGCATTCAACTTGGAAGACTCCCCCATGCGCCGGCTGCAGGATCCCCCGCGGAGACCTAGGAGGTCTTCCTCTCAGCGCTCGGCACGATACGATGATGTATTCCAGACTCCTCCGCGCAAGTCACGAACCGTTATTCGATCCCGACAAAACTCGACTCACAGCCGGAATCATACACCACTTGGAGCGTTCCGACGATCCTCGAACAATAATATGAGGGCAACAGACTCGGCGACAGAAATGCCGTCTGCATCAAAGCGTGCACCTCTCGGGGTGATCGATAGGAACGGCCAGGAAGACCCAAAGCAGCCATATCACAAGGAGACATGGAGAGCTTCTGGCCGCTCAGTCTCTCTTTCTGGTGCCAATCCCGTAGGTCTTGGGCTTGGAGTAGGCGGAAGTACTGGCAACCTACCTGACTCTCGCAATCATGGCTCGATGCGTCGGTTAGCCAAAACGGCACATCTCCACGAAGTCAAGAACGCCACCCAACGGAGTCGAGGGAACACAGTCGACGAACTCCGCCCGCCTCTCGTGGTATCGGTTCTGAGTCCTATGACGGAAGCCTCCACTCCCGGCTTTACTCCAAACCCTCAGACCCTGTCTCATGAAGATAAGAGTGGGCCTACAAGGATCACTGGGTTTGAGAGTTCAGAGTTGCGAGGGGTTGGTGGTCCACCAGCGGCGCGGTCGGAAGGCGTGTTGTCCGACTTGTTCAGTATCCCAACTTCTTCAAGTTTGGTTTCCCCTCAAGCGATACCGTTTCCCAGCCCTGGGAACCGGGGGCTCTCGGAGGGTGAACAAGACCGCGAGGACGATGATGTCTGGGTGGACGACGAGCAACCAGGGGATGGAGATCCAGATGAACGGGAGATTGTACAGCGCAGTCCCCGAACGAAACGATCGAGATTCAGCTTTGGAAGTCCGCGCAAGCCGTTTGTATTCTCATCGTCCCCACCCGCGGGGACTGAGAGAGGCTCAGGGATGATGGGTGGTGGAGGGAGAGGAAGGTTCAGATTCTCGAAACGAAGTGATGTAAGTATGGGCTCGATTCCGCGTGGATAACAAGCTCTCGGATTCGGATATGCATCTCACATTGTTTGTCGCGCTTTCGTGCATATCATGCATCCATTCATCTTTACATGTAGCCATAGTAGGAATGCATTTATTTTTTCGGCATTTACCCATGGGTTTGAGTGACGCTTTGCTGACGGTGGCAGAGCCCACTTGAACCCCTTCTGCGTCTGGCCGGGAGTCAACATGCTGTCTGAAGATGAGAGCTCGTCTTCTTCGAGCTCTGGGAGCGATATTCATCAGTTGACTATCAACGAACACTATGCAAAGGCGTTTCAAGCGAAGAAGGAGCGGGAGGAATTGCAAAAACGTCTGTCTCCTCATTCTATTCGCAGTTTTGCATGAATTAACCATCTTGTTTCTTTTTTATTTGCATAATCGACGAATAGTAAAAGATAAATACGGCTCGGACGCGGAACTGGATGAAGAAGAGGAAGATTCGGAAGACGACGAGTCTGAAGACGAAGACGGTGAACAACTTACGCCAGCTATGGATGTTGCAATCATACGTACACTGGCGAAGATTAAAAACCGAGACCCCTCGATATATGACGCGAAGAAAAACGTCTTTGAAGGTTTGTTGTTACCCTGTTCAGGTTCCTACTGACAGAGTTTCAGAAGAGCAACAGACGATTTCATCTGTGAAGCAAAAGTCAAAGTCCCGAGAGGAGAAGGCGAGTGGCCCTCATAACTCAGCGAAGCATAACTAAAGGAAGCATAGACCAAGGCCTTGACGATCAAGCAACACGCACTCAACTCGGTTCTCAATCCTGCAACTTCGCGTTCGCCTTCACCCGCACCGTTTACCTACGCGCGAGAGCAAGAGGAGCTCAAGAAGGAAACTGTCGCCGTCTTCAAGAATGCCGTCGCGGCATCTGACGACGAAGACGATGAGGATGATTTCCTTGTACCGCGCGAAAAGACGAAAGACGAGATTGTGCGCGAGGAGGAAGAGTATCGCGAGTTTTTGCAGCGCGAGATCGGCCCGAATGTGGACATTCGCGAGTTGATCACGGTCGAGGATGATACGGAAAGAATACACGAAGAGGGCGAGGGTGAGACATCAATGCCGAGCAAGAAGAAGAAGAAAAAGAAAGAAAAAGCAGTCAGACCAGAACAATCGGATCAGGACTTTCTCGTCAAGTAAGTGAAACTCATCTTGCTCATATTCCTCACATTGACCTCTGGTAGCTACATCCTCAACCGAGGGTGGATAGACAAGAATGCTAAACGTCTCCCTACGTACGAGGAAATCACTGGCACCAAGAAAAAGGCAGAGAATGAAAAATCTGCATCTCAGGCCAACGAGCAGGAAGCGGCAGCAACCGACCAAGTACAAGAAACAGTGGACGCCGACGACATTGATGTTGAAGACGACTTTGACGATCTCACAGAGAGGTTTGAAAGCTCGTACAACTTTCGATTCGAGGAGCCGTGAGCGGAGTTATCATTCGTGGCTAACAGACTCACCGTTTGCAGAGGCGCAGCAACAATAGCGACGCATCCACGTAACCTTCCCTCGCTTGTTCGCCGACAGGACACCTCTAGGAAGGAAGCAAGGGAGAAACGCAAGCAGCGCAAGGAGGAGGAAAAGGCCTTGAAGCGAGAAGAAGTCAAGCGGCTCAAGGCACTGAAGATGCGTGAAATCCGAGGAAAGATTGAAAAGATTGAGCAGGAAGCCGGTAAAGGTCTCAAGAGTGACGCTCTGAAAAGCCTCGAGGAAGACTTGGACGACGACTGGGACCCCACAGAGCATGATGCTAAGATGAAGCGGTTATATGATGAAGACACCTTCTACGCTGTAGAGGTCAGCTAGAGAATATCTCTATCCTACGTTATGAGCTCACATTTAGCCAGGACGACGACAAGCCCCATTGGGCGGACGATATCGACATTACCGATATCGTCGGTCCGGAAGATAAATCGGAACAAGAGCCAAAGAAGAAGAGAAAGCGCAAGAAGGACAAAGACGCAAACGAGGATGGTTTTGCTGCCGTCGATGAGGGGGACATGGATGCCAACGTCGAACACGATTGGGAATGGGAAAGGGCACAATGGGACGGTAGCGAAGAATCTCGAAAGCGCTTGGTACAGAAATACATGGACGAGGTCTACGCGCTCGAGTTCAATGACATGGTGCGCTCCTTCATACCCTGTTTTATCGCCAGTAATATGACAAACGTACAGGTCGGTGACCTCCCGACACGGTTCAAATACGTGAATGTACCGGCCTCTTCGTACGCACTGGACCCCGTCGAGATTCTGCTGGCGTCCGACAAAGAGCTGAACGAGTACATGTCCATCAAGCGCTTGGCTCCGTACAAGAACAAGCAGCATTGGGACAAGGATCGTAACACGAAGCTGAAGGAACTGAAACAGAAACTGGCAAGCAGAACATGGGACGGTGTACCGGCGTCGGAGTGGAGCTCCAGTGGTCGGCAGAACCGCGTCGAAGGGGGAGAACACAAGAAAAAGAAACGCATGGGAAAGAAAGAACGGAAGAAACTCAAAGCTGCAACGGCTGTGGCAGAGGCAGATGCATCAGGGCACACGGAGGATTATGGTCCATCGAAAGATGTACAAGCCACTGAAGAGGAACCCCCGAGAAAGAAGCGAAAGATCAAGGCATGACCTTCCTCTTAAGTTATTCCATCGTCCTGCCAATTGATCTATTTCCTTCTCGCAAGTGACTTAGTCTCGCCCTCCATAATCTCGTATCGGTAGAATGAACCATTCATTCATTTATGTCCCAGTTTCAGGGGCATTGCACGACCAGCGAAGACTCGTCCTGAGTCTTTAGGGTTGAGAAACCCGATCACGACCTCGGCAGTTACAGAGGCTCACTACACGCCGAATTGGCCCATGTAGACACTAGAGGCTGGACTAGACGATATAGATCAAGTTACTTGCTCACTCCCATACCGTTGGCTTCCGATCTCTGTTCACCAGCTGTGAATGTTGTCAGCCTTTGGTGTTGGAGAACGACTGTGGCAGCATGACTACTGAGTAGGATTGCAAGGTAATTGGGTAGGTACAGTCGGTGTCTCGAAATCATTTTCCAGCACTTGGAAGATAAACTTGAGGGAGAGAAAGGAAATGTTTTTTCAGTTCATCCGAAAGATGCTTCAGTGCAAAGAAGATCGCGCCTTCCCACGGGAGCTATTGGCTGATCCGTGGCTTAGGACCCGGGATTAGCGCTGCAAATGGCGCAAGGTCGAAGAAAAGACTCTCTTTAAATCCAAATATGATGAAGTATCAAAGGTTATACAAAGTGAGATCTATCGAAGATGTTCCATACACTCTATCTACTCCTTGAGACCCGCAATCTTCGCAAAGATACTACGCCTCTTCTTGGGTTTCGAGTCGGTGGTCGCCGTCGAGTTCTTCGAAGGCTCTGCCTTGTGATTTGATGTAGTAGTAGCCTCTTTGGCAACAGGCTTCGCCTTCTCTGTCGACTCAGTCGCGGGAGCAGGTGCTATAAGAAGTAGATTAGGTTTAAATGATCCGTAACACTTTGGTAAAATGCTCACCAGCTGCAGCAGGAGCCGGGTGTTTGGCGACAATCTTATGGAACTCACGAGCCTGAATCGAAGCAACGTTGAGTTCTAGCTCGCTGGGTTGGCGTGTGCCGTCTCCCTGCATCATTCCGGTCAGCATGGACGTCGGCGACCGCGTACAGGGTGAAAGTACGTACAGCAAAGGTTCCGGCACCAAACGGCGAACCGCCGTGCAGCTCGTTAAAGTTTGCGTTCCAGAGAGCATTTGTATGCTTGTATCCCTACACGACGGATGTACTAAATCAGAATACCGGTCGATACGGATGAAGAAGAGACATACCAAGGGAACAAAGACGAGGCCATGGTGCACAAGCGTGGTCAAAATAGAAAAGTATGTCGACTCTTGTCCACCTCCAGGACCACCTGTCGAGACGAAGGCACCAGCATACTTGCCCCACAAAGCACCTGCCTGCCAGAGCTGCCCCGAGGCGTCCCAGAAGGACTTGAACTGTGCAGGGAATCCACCATAGCGAGTAGAAATGCCTAGCAGGATGCCGTCATAGTCAACGAGGTCAGCCGGAGAAGCAACCGGATAGGCCGGTTTCGGAGGTGCGTGCATCTTCTCTAGGACTTCCTGGGGAAGAGTCTCAGGGACCTGCATGATGGTAGCGCTCCCTCCATCTTCTTCGATGCCCTTTTTTGCAGCTTCGGCCACTAGAGAAATATTAGAAACAGAGGTTTGACGCCCGAATCAAGCACCTACTCTTTGCGATATGACCGTACATTGAATAAATGACGATGGCAATTTTGGCCATGGCGATGATGTGTTAGTGTGTGGAATGAGAAGAGGGTGAAGTGATGGACTGGGCAAGGTTGCAATGACGGCGCCCTTATATAGAGTCTAAGTGGCTGAGAAATTTGTACCATAACGATCTCCTGCTCAGTCAACAGTTCTGGAAGCGTCCAACGATTACCCTGGGGACTGACGAAGTGTGGGAGGTTCGATCCGAATAGGGAATTTGATCATCGGCATTGGCTAAGACTTTGCTAACGGGTGCCACAGTCTGAAGTAAGCACCATAAGCATCATTACGTACTGCTTACAATAGATGTGTCGTCGGTGATGAGCTTCGGATGGCGACATCTGGGCAATCGATCTCATTCAGCCGGTCAAACGTACATAGCTATTTGATTCATTTCAGACAGCTTGCATCATTGAGATGAGGTGAGTCGAGCGTCGCTCAGACGACCTTGGAACCAACCCAGGCGTTGTAATTGTACACAACTGGTGTAGAATTGAAAATGTATCCATCTGCGCGGTAGTCAAGAACCGTTGCCTGCGCTCGTCGGAGCCGCAGCGCCATCGTGTTGGACGCTCGGAGAGGAATCTTGAGCTTTGTCACGCCCGCTTTGATCGTAGCATTGTAAGAAGTGATATCCATAATGTTTGTGTTCGGTGGAGGTGTATAGAAGGTAATATTTGCGTCTGCCTTGGCCAAGATCACTGCCCACGCAAAGTCGTCGGTCTGCCCAGCATCAGATACCACCGGAGATCAAAGCAATTACGCACTACTTTCGTGTACTGAGGACGAGGAACGGCGTCCTTTGACGCGGTGGCGTCCCTTGGGTGCGGTCGTGCCCACAAGTACACCTTGTCCTGCGTGATTGACGGATAGTTGCCAGTCTTAAACGCTTGGATGTAATACGAAGCAAGGTCCAGCCAGCCCTGATGGTCGAAGCCGTTTACCCAAAGTTGTGACATCGGCTGAGCTCCAGCGATAGGCCCAATATAATGAGACTCCCCATAGTCTAACGGCATCGAGTAAGTTTCAAAATTATGCGACTGGAAAGACGTACCATTCCAGCTGATGACTTCGATGATGTCGAACCGAGATCGCACATTGAATAATTGTTCCCAACGTTGTGCAAAGAGCCAGTCGTCACCACGGTAGAGCCAATTCTTGTTGTAGGTGTTCGGGCCGTAATGCTATCAATAATCGTTAGCGAGCTCTCCCTCGTGGAAGCGAACATACAGTGAAGAACCAGGGAGAAAGAGGGGCTATGTAGGACTTGGTGCCGAGTGCCTGGAGCCAACTCTGATCGGACTTGTTCAAGTTGCCAACGGCTTGCTGAATATCCGATGTGCTTGACGAATCTGTGAGCTGTATCGGCCAGCCGTTGTTCCACTATAGAGCGAACTGAGGGTAAGAGATCAACCATACACACCCAAAAGTACGCACGCTGAATGCGCCATCAAGCCAGCTAAGCGACTGATAATTAGCAATATCGATGAATAGTGCAGGCGCAAAGTGAACCTAGAGGCGCATTAGAAGGAAGATTACGAAGAAGAGAAGCGGCGGACATTAAGACCATTTTTGAATGCTGACCAGGTGGACTGATAGTTTCCTCCATACGTGCATCCCTCACCAGCGAATGTCGAAACAAGTGCCTTGCCATTGTACATGAGCTGATTGCTGTTGGAGATGTAAGTCGACGTCCAGTTCTGCAATGCCTTGATGTCTGCGGCTGATGCGCACGGAAGAGAGCTAGGTAAGAGAGGATTAGGATACGGTAGAAGGAGGTCACATAGGAGAGCGTACGACATATCGAGACTGAGAAATAGCTTGAAGTTGGTGCCTTTGGCTGCCGCATACGCATCTGTTACTCGGGAGGGTTGCCAGTCATCGCGGCCAACATTGAGCGCAAACCCGTCGCTATGCAATGTCAGCATCAAGAAGGGGAATTTTACGTGTACATACAAGCCTTCGGCAGACGCGAGTTCAATATCCGCCTTCCAGTCTGCGATTTTATATGGCTATCGGCAATTGTCAGGCGTTACACGAACAGGCAACAGCGGCGACTTGCGTAGGTGTTTCCAACCATATGGCTATAGAAGGTAAGAGGCTGCTATGCCAGAACGAGCAAACTCACTGAGCGACGACAAACTTCTGACTTGTGCTTGAAGCATGTTTTGTGACACCGAGAGCACCACTCTCATCCCAGACACGTTTGGTGAGCTGACGAACCGCGAGGGCAGAAACCTGAGAGACGGTGAAAAGGAGAAGGAAGGTGGACACGAGAAGGCGTCTGTGTAGATGGGAGTGAGAGTGCTGAGATGAATTCATCGTTGAGGGGGTGGCTGATAGTAATCTTTGCTAAATGAGTATATCAGATTTGGCCAGGCTTTATGGACGACGCTGACTCACCGATTTGCCGGGGAGGCGATGACGGAGAAGTCAGAAGTGCCTGTCAATCAACTGTCGATCCCCGATGAAATTAGAACCCGATGGAGGTGAGACACGAGACGCCACTTCTCTTATCGAACACCTAGGGCTGATTGTCTTTCCGAGACACTCAAAAGGAGTGACCTGTCCTGAAACAGGGACCATCAGATATTCTGACGTCGATTTTTGGTCTGTGTACAGGGCGTGAGTTCAAATCACGCGCTTGGTTTGGCAATTTGGGCATCCTCGAATTTCATCTAGAGAACGGGCAGATAAGAAGGGTTAAACTGACTATGACGTACAATACTTAGTAATCTTCACTTCCACTGATCGTAGTACTCAACAAAAGTGCAATCGCGAGTAGTTTGTGATACCATCGCTTCATTGGGAATGATCGTAGCTACAAAATGGCCCAAACCGCGCACCACTGAATGCCCGGCGTCTTTGTGTGACGAGAGAGTTGATGATCAAGAAGTCACTCTCTTGTGGAGGAGTGTATCCGTTCGGTCTAAGAAAGACTGAGATTGCCTTGAAAGAAAGTGTGATGTGGAGTGTCGGGAGTCGTTGCCTATCCGTCCGAAAGGTGGCTCACTTCGTACCCGCAGTCCAGCCCACCCACGCGTTGAAGTTGTAAACCTTTGGATTTGGATCGAATAAAAATCCGTCTGCGCGGTAATCGAGGACGGGTGCGCCTTCTCGCTCAAGTCGAACAGCCATTGTCTTCCCTGTGGCCAGAGGATGACGAAGCTTGGTGACACCGGCGGGAATGTCGATTGTAGCCGCAGGAGATTCGATCGAATGCGTGTCAGGATCAGGTGTGTAAAGAATCGCTATTGCGGGTGACTTGGAGAAGATGATAGCCCAAAAGAAGTCGTCGGTCTATGAGAATCGTCAGAGGTTCCTGTATACTATGCCAATTTGTTTTACCAAATCTGCGTATTGAGGTCTGGGAACGTGGTCCGGGGCATCCACGTTCTTGGGATGTGGTCGTGCCCACACAAAGACTCTGTCTTCGGTGATCTGAGGGAAAGAGCCAGTCTTGAACGCTTGGATATAGTACGAGCTGAGTTCCAGCCACCCTTGATGATCGAAGCCGTCGACCCATCCTTGAGAATTAGGTTGCGCACCGGCAATCGGGCCAATGTAGTGAGACTCTCCGTAATCTAGGAATAATGAGCAATCTCAATCAGTTATGTGTGAGCTTACCATTCCAACTGATGATCTCTACGATGTTGACACTATCACGCATATTGACCAACTCTTCCCAGCGGTTGACATAAAGCCAGTCGTCACCTCTGTAGATCCAATTCTTGTTCCACGTATCTGGGCCGTAGTGCTAGAGATATTTAATGGCAAGACAAGGTCCAGGGGAGATACATACAGTGAAGAACCATGGCGAGACGGGAGCAATGTACGTCTTCTCGATCAAGCCAGAGAGGTAGGTTGCATCCGTATTAAGAGAAGCCACTGCCTCGGCGATCTGCCTCGCGCTTGACTGTTCATTGAGCTGCGTCGGCCAACCGCCATTCCACTAGAATCAGATTCAGAACTAAGAAACCCTCTTTTATGTTCCTCTCACGTTGAATATGCCATCTAGAAACGGCATTGTAGCGAGGGTGCCGGGATCCACGAAGAGGGAGGGAACAAACTGGACCTACGGGCCTAGTTAGATTAAATACGAGAAGAAGGAAAGCATACCCACGTTTCCCTTCATCAGATTTCTGAACAGGGTCCATGCCGCAGAGAAGTTACCTCCACACGAACATCCTTCCCCGGCAAACGTCGAGACGAGGGGCTTCCCTTTGTAAACAAGCTGATTTGGGTGATGCGCGAACCGAAGAACCCATCGCTCCAAAGCCTGAATATCAGCTTCTGATGCACAAGGGAGTGATCTAAGGAATCGTTGAGGATCATGGCAAGTGATTTTAGGAGCAACAAACGTCATATCGAGACTGAGAAAGAGCTTGAAGTTTGTTCCGCTCGATTGAGCCGCGGAATACGCATCTGCGACGCGATCGCCCATCCATTCATCGCGACCGATGTTTAGAGCGAATCCATCGCTAGAAGGCGCGTGAATAATAGGCTCATTCGTCTCTCAGAAAGCGGGTGACACACATGGAGTGCGAAGAAGCAAGTTGTATGTCGCGCTTCCAATCGTCAATAATGTAGGGCTATCCAAGAGGTAAACGCCACTCTGTGTCGCCATTTCGCGAACTTACATAGGTGTTCCCCACCATGTGACTGTCAAAACAGGCTCAGTTAGCGACTATTATCTAGGATAGAACTTACTGTGCCACGACCAGCTTCTCCTGACCCTCAGAGGTCGGGAGGTTTAGCAAATTGTCGACGACATGAACGACGTCTCCAATGAGCCCGGATAAGTCAATCTCAACATTCGCTGCACCGTTGATACTCGTGGTGCTGCTGGTCTCGTTTGCATCGTCGCGCCGAGTGGACTCCATTGTTCGCGGTCTGGGAAGATGTGCGCTTCGCCTGAAGTGCCTAGAGAAAATTGAAGCGTCTGATTTACTGGCTCCAAGTGTAAATAGACGTGGATCCACTGCGTAGACGCTCGGAACGACCGGAGAGGTGAGGAGAAAGTTATCAGCAATCAACACGGCCAACCCAGCCGACAACAGGCGCGTAGTGAGGGATTGAATGCGCATTTGGATGATGATAAGATGTACTGGAATCAGACTGTGTGACGCCTGCGTCGGTCGAGAATTGTTGTCGGAAGTGGCGAAGTCTAATGAACACAATCAGAGAAGATTGGGCCTCGACAACACTAGAACAGAAGAATACAAAGGAAAGTGAGATATAACAGTGATCTAAGCCTCTAGTGAGCCTCCCCTTGAACATTTGTCCAAGAGAGTCCACATTGAAATCAATCTTGGTTAGACAAAGGGAACTCGTGATTGGTATTATTAAGAGGGCGTACAGATACTGCAGCCCTTAACGATTGTCTCAAATTCGAACCTAGCTACACTCAATTATGTCTACATTCCAGTCGCATCGTGTTGTCGGCTAAGCCAGAGACGATCCGTAAGCCGTTTGGTGAGAATGTGAAGGCTCGGAACCTGTTGAATGAGGTCCTCTTCCGGCAACTGTGGGCGGCCGAGATAATGGAGCAGCGCCAAAGATACTCCACGGGTGGGATGCCGAAATTGGATACCCTTCGTGGTCTCATCCTGCACTCCCACGATTCCGTATCAAGGCCTTGGTGCTCCTGTGAACCCCAGCATATTTGAGGATATCGTCCAGGTCAGTGGCGGGAAATGGTTCAAATGCCTCAAGCAGTAGAGCCAGCATCTCCTACATGGGCGAATGGTATTCCAGTTCAGTGCGCTCAAAGATGAGTTTGGGCAGATTCTATGGCTCCAGCCCGACTTGATTAACACTCCCGATTGATGATGAGCCTTGCCTCGAAAAAGATGACGACCCTGTTGAATTTGCAACTTTGTGCTGTCCCTTGCTCCTAGCTTTTTCTTGAACCGACATCGTGAGTGGATGATCCAAGGTGTGTTCAGCCTCTGCCAACCCAACACCACGTTACCGTAGGCGCGGCAGTGTAGCAAGTCCCAACCTACAGAAGAGACAAACTGTTCTCAGAACCGAGTAGCAACAAGGGCCAGAGGAAGCAAGGTGGCCATTAATAGTCAAAATGTCCAACACATTGTATTCATTTGGGTAAGAGAGTGTCTTCCCGCATAGGCTCTTGATCACGAATCCCAGCACCCGCGACTGATGATCCCTAACAGAACCGCGTTGGGTCGAATGGCTCCCAAATTTCCAGCTTCATCTCCTCTACGTGGTTTACCCACCCGACAAAGGAAGCTTTTGCACGTGCACCTATAATATCCCCAACGTCAAGGTGGCTCCATATGGGATGTACAGGATCAAATATGGGACCCTCGAGTTCGCTCGTCTCATAGCTACCGAGCTTATTATTATGGGTTTTCCAACAGTATACTTCATCACTTTTGTATCCTAAAAGCTATTAGCATATGTGGATTTCATCGAAGACCAACCCAACCGCCTTTCTGAACAAATACTTCGAACCAAGTCCAGTTCCCCGCATCTGGGTTGTCCACCCAGCCTTGATCATGTGATTTAGTCGTGAGTTGCAGATGTAGACGACCGATGCTGGCTAGCAAATATCTCGCATCGATTTGAAGGCCCATGTGTTCTGGTCGTCCTTTTTCTGTGACTGAGAATGGCTTATCGGTCTGCTCTACAACACTCTTCTTGATATTCAAGTGGTCAAAAATCATACTGACAACCCTTATAGGTAGGGCGGGCCTCTGTAAGCCGGCGTCTCCTCTTCGCAGGGCTCTGGCGAGAGCATAATAGAAAAGGAGAAGATTGTCTTCGGGACCACTATTATCATTGCCGAGCAGATTGCCATGTAATACGAGATCCATACTGGCAGTTGGGCAGTTGGGCTGTCCAAGGTGTATCAGACTGCCGGTTTCTCATCTCTTCACATGTCACTTAGGAGCACACCTATGTGCTTTATTAATATCTTGTCACTGTAAGGAAGAGTCGGGCTATTTACAGGTGATGCTCGATTACGCATTCGTTCGGAACTGCACTCTTTGGATTATTCGAGTGGCGACGCTATTTCTACTATCTAAATGCAGAAGGAGAACAATGGTAGAGCTATTTATCCCTATTGGCGTCTCCCCGAACGTTCATCCACGAAGATCCGCATTGAAAACGTGTGAAATCAAGTTTGGTTGCACGGAACCGACTTGCAGTTGGAATGGTCAGAAGGAGATGCGGATGTTGAAGTCCATGTCGGTTCTCCGACGGTACCCAGAACAGAATTTTATCCAAGGATCGCACCCAGCCATCCTCCGAGACAGAACATTGTTGGAATCCAGGTACCTGGATTCTTAGGGGAGTACCTCTGGACTCGTTGTTGGGTTCCAGATGTAACGGGTCCTCATTATCTTTATCATGGGGATTCGCGGCTGTATCTATGATATTTGTCGGTTTGCCTTGTGTATCAATGACCACACTCACCAATCTCTGCATCCCACACCCGAATAGTCTTGTCTTTCGAGCCAGAGACGATTCGCGAGCCGCCTGGCGAGAATGCAACTGATAGAACCGAGCCTTCATGACCTCGGAGTGGATGTCCCACCTGCTGGCAACTGTCCACATCCCACAGTCGAAGCGTGGTATCATTCGAACCAGAGACAACGCGTGATCCGTCTGATGAGAACGAGACGGAATTAACTGGGTCGTCATGGCCTCGAAGTGGCTCTCCCAAGGGCTGGCCACTCTTTACATCCCACAATCGGATTGTGCAATCATTTGAACCAGAGGCGATCCGCGAACCGTCTGGGGAGAATGAGACGGAATTGACGATGCCTTCATGGCCTTGGAATGGCTCTCCTAAGGGCTCGCCACTTTCTTCATTCCACAGTCTAATCGTATTGTCGGACGGGGTGTAGAAAATCTGCAGGTTGTCGGGCGAGCGTTGGGCGTCGAAGGCGTAGATGGCTGATTCGACCTCACTTCCTTGCTGCTCTTCCAACGGTTTCCCACTATAGGCGTCCCACAGTCGAATGTCTTCCCAATCCGAGTGTGAGAGTATTTGCGAGCCATCTGACGAGAATTTAACATCCGAAACCCATTCTCTGTGACCTTGATGTGGTTCTCCTAACGGCTCACCACTGTCTGCGTCCCATAGCCGAATTGTCTTGTCGTTCGCGCCAGAAGCGATTCGCACGCCGTCTGGAGAGAAGGATACAGCCCATACAGCGGATTCATGGCCTCGAAAGGGCTCTCCCAACGGCTGGCCACTGTCTACATCCCACAGTCGAAGCGTCGCGTCATACGAGCCAGAGACGATCCGCGACCCGTCTGGCGAGAACGAAACCGCTGAAACATATCCTTCGTGACCATAGAGCGGGTTTCCCAGCAGCTGGCAACTCTGTGCGTCCCATATGCGAATCGTATTATCAGCTGAGCCAGAGACGATTCGTGAGCCGTCAGGTGAGAATGCCACCACCAAAACCGAGGATTCATGACCACGGAGTGGCTCCCCCAACGATTGACTACTGCTTACGTCCCAAAGTCGAATCGTCTTGTCGAACGAACCAGAGACTATTTGTGAGCCGTCTGGCGAGAATGCTACAGACAGAACCGAGGATTTGTGACCCTGGAGTGGCTTTCTCGACGGGAGACCAGTATCCGCGTCCCATAGTCGAACCATTTTATCGTCCGAGCCAGAGACAATTTGTAAGCCATCTGGCGAGAACGCGACGGCGTTGACCTTGTATTGGTGACCTCGGATTGGTTCTCCAAGTGGTCGACGACTTTCTGTCTCCCACTGTCGAATGGTGGTATCGTACGAGCCAGATACTATTCTTGAACCATCTCGTGAGAATGCAACAGCATCCACGGAGCGTTCGTGACCTCTGAGCGGCTCCCCGAATGGCTGACCAGTATCCGCATCCCACACTCGAATTGTCTTATCTGATGAGCTAGAGACAATTCGAGAGCCATCTGGGGAAAATGCCACTCCCCAGACTGGCGCTTCATGACCCCGAAGGGCCATAGGGAGTCCGGGATAAAACTCCTCAAGCCCTTGAGTCACAGTAAGCGTATTTGGGCACATTTTCAAGCCTTCGATATGCAGCGCCGACTCTTTAGGAGTAAATGGAAGGGCCGAAATGTAGATGTGTGGAGCACTATCCTGGATTGGCACCGCAAACGCCATCATAAACCGTCGTATCTCGGTCATGCTTCGCCTAATCCCATCGTCGAGCTTCATTTTTGTAAGGTATCAGACTCTACGAAGATGAGAGATGGAAGACTCACTCCTATCTGACGTGTAACGGCTCGAAAGCCGGCTATCGCTCGTGGAACTCCTCCCGTGAAGCTAAGGATTTCCATCCAGTAGAGCACAAATGGACTTTTAATAATGTGTTGAACATCGTTCTTGAGTCTTTCTCGCCACTTTTCGTCCGTTTCCGCCAGGTGAAATGACCAGTGGGAGCTGGCATATCGAAGTCGGCTCGGAATCAACTTCGTCACTTTGGTGTCAAGATCGGGGATCTGCCTATTGAGGTAGAAGGACGACTCGATCTGGCAAATATTGAATCTGAGACCTTCAGTGGGCGACTTGAGTCGTTTGAAACACCACGATGCAGCTTGACCATGCGCATCGATAACATTGATACGGAGTTTATTGCGGCTACCATTCGCTGGGTCGATGGAGCAGCGTCGAAGGTATTCGACCAAGGTGGGGTGACGAAATTGAATGAGGTTTGTAGTCTCATCTCTGCTGAGTACGCTTCCGAGATTTTGCACCAATGCCTTGGCACTTCCACGTATCTTGCCATGCTTCATAAGGTCATCCAGATCGTCTACCGTGATCGGTTCGAATGCAGCGAGCAGGAGTGCCAGCATTGTACACATGACCTCGTGGTATTCCGAGTCTGTGCGCTCGAAGACGAGGTCATATACGTTGTCTATGACTCCGGTTTGTTCCATGGAGATCAAGCGATCGTATATATCCTCAGGCGAGCTCATAATGGTTTCTCTAGTGAGCATCTGGCATGCGGTACTCGCCCAGATGAACAAACCATTGGCTTTTTTGACCAGCCGTTGTCGTTTATCGTGCGATAGTACACCATTCAGTGACTGATGGATATATAATGCGATGTCATCGACATTATCTCGATGCTTGACATCATGGAGACGGTCCTCCAGCTTGGCTTTGATTGAGAGTGACCCCAAGACTGCTTGGACAACGGGGTCCGGCCGGCTTGTTATAAATATCTTGAGGTTCTTGCTTTTCCGCACAGCAGCGGACAGCGCGTCCACAAGTTCTCTTCTCCGTGGCCCAGATTTACATTCGTCAAGAGCGTCAATGACAAGGATCACGCGCCCTTGCCGATGGTGAACAGGGTCACAGACGAGCATTTGGAACTGCTCGTCAAGAGAGCTTCGCATGAAAGAGGGGTTTCGCTTGACAGCCGCAGCAACATGAGGGGCAAGCTCCGGAATGTAATGGGCCATGTCTCTTGCAATAGCCGAGCAGAACTTTTCGGTGGTTGATCCTTCACTGCTCGCTATGGAGAAGAAGAAGAAACCACCAAGCACTCCCTGCTTTTGCCAAGTTTCCACTGCGGACATTGCTACTGTGGATTTGCCGGAGCCGGCTATGTCACAGAGCCAAAATATCGGCTTCTCCGAGGCATCATCATCGGCCCAGTGCCATATTGTTTGAAGAACAGCCTCACGGGTTCCTTTGAGACAGGTACTGTGGACCGAGGATGCGACAAATGGTACCGTTGGCAGCTGAAGAATAGCGGTGGCATCAACTTGAAATATTGAGCTAGTGTCCTAAACCAGATTACCGCCTACCATTTGCTTGGATATTCTTAGTATTCTCCTCAATGACCCGAACACGTAGTCCAATGAAAAGAGTCAGTGCCTCCTGTGTCCATGATAAGCTCGTGGAACAGGTCTGATGAATCCCACACCATAAACTGCCTATGCTGGTCCTCAACATCTCGATTGAGTCGAATAATTTCCCCCGCATCAGTTTTCACTTTGCTGAACGCTTTAAAGAAGCCGATTTTGCTGCGACTGCGCTTCTCTATCTCGATGACCGTATCGTACGTGGATTTGAGAAATCTGTATCTTTCAGTGCATTGAAACGAACTAGGGTTGTTCACGTACTGAAGATAACGGATGAGCGGTTGGCGAAACCCCTGGACGATTGCCCTCTCCCTTGGATCATACGTCTCGATCAACGCAGTTCTCTCCTCGAGCGCGGACGTGTATCCTTCCAGACGTCGCGATAGACTCTTCCACTCCTCTCGGTTGTTCTCCACTGCCTGTTGCATCCGTTAGGGCGAAGCTGGCGCCAGTTTCGCTAACTCGCCTGCGTGACTTCAAGAATTAACTTTGTTGTTCGACAAGCTGCCTTTAGAGGAGCAAGTATGTCTGAACCTTCGGCTATATTGGCCACTATATCGAGGCCTACAATCACCGTGTCGCGCATTTGATTCCTCTTGCTTGATGAGCCATTTGTAGAAGAAGAGGACCCTGATGAGTTCATAGATTGAGGCTGTTTACTCGTCTTTTGGGTCGACATCGTAAAGTTGGACGATTTCAAGATCTGCCTCTGCGGGCGAGTGGCACCCCCCAGACGACTATTATTAGTTCGGTGGTGCTGTAAGTCCTCGACAAAGGATGTTCAATCGATCGCGGTGGCTGATAAGAAAGAACGGGCGAGAGGAGCTACGCTGTGTGCCGGCAGGGGGCTAAAGATAGAGGGGAACGATTGAGCACCAATATATAGGTTAGAAACGTGATGACATGATTATTCGACTATCTTGGCACACAATATGCTCGTATATGGTCTCTGCATCAACCCGCAGGGGTATCGTGGGAGAGGAGGAGTGCTGCATACACACCTGACCAAGCAAAGCTGACTACCTCAAGGATACAGCTAGTGACTATTGAACTTGTCGGGTGGACCTTGGAAGCATCGAAGATCAGGCTTTGATCCTAGTTTCAGGTCATGAGCGGCGCTGACACCTTGAACAAAGGACATGGGTTCATGGCATCTCAATCTGATATAGAATTGAACACGGATAGCGAGTTTTGGTGCCATTAGTATCACGATGAGTCGGAAAATCGGATTGATTATCGAGTTGAAAGGATATACTAGCAAGATACGAGAGGGATATATGCCTTTATCGCATAGACAAAAGTCCAAGAAGTGCTCTCCAGGGAATGCAACCCAGCAACCCCCTGTAGGTCGGGGACCGCATGTTTCAGGGAATCCAAAGGCCGTAAAACCAATGCACCGACCTCCTGCACAATCCCATAGCGTACACAACAAAGTTTGACAAATACCCAAACAGAGACCCGACAAGACGAGAAATGTGGCGCCGCCAGCTTCGTAGGGGCTTTCCGTCCCCATCCCGTCGAGAAGCCCCATGTCTTCTTCCGCTCTCCGGAACCGAAGCGAACGAGTACTCATTCGCCCAGTATAACGGACAACGATTTTATTTTGCCGTCTGCCCATCTAAACCCCCGTCCCCCCTATTTCAACCGATGCAGCCTCCTCTCACCTTCTGTCAACCACGTAACAGCCTTTGTGTTATTTCGTAAAAATAGCCGGTCGCGAGCCTGCTAGAGATTACCGGACGCAATAGAGAATGTGCAATTGCTTCCCAGAGGATTAATCACCGGAAGCGACTAGCAGGGATATTGTTTGAGACTGAACCCCACGGATAGGCAAAGTAAACTACTAGCTTTGCGGGTCTAGGGATTATAGGAAATTGGCTACACCATCGTTTCCAGTCGCGCGTGGAGATAACGTTGGCGATATAGGGCAAGGGGAAGAGTAAAGGGTTGTCTATGTATGCTCGACACGACGAAGCCCACTACCCAAAGCTGGGTGTCCTCCGATGATTATCGAAGTCGTCCTCGTTCGCAAATGGTCAACCTCGGGTGGGCTCATCATCGCCCTCATGGTTAGGGCCGAGACACGTGAGATACGAGATACGAGACACAGAATCAGTCTATAAATCTAATGACGCAAGAAAACATGGGAGCTGGCGATGGTCAAAGAGGAGAGGGGGAAACAAGCCTTGAGTGAACAAGGGAACCTACACGACGAGAAAGGGGAAAGCGTATTGGTGTTATACATGGATTTTGATGTAGCCACAATGAGTTGGGGTTGCTACGAAGCTGGGGTTGAGAGTAAGAAGCGGGGAACAGAGGTATGAAGAGGATGGGCATCTAGTTTGCCATTGGTGTATATCGAGTAGATCTGGGCATGGTGGGAATCAACCGAGTCAAAGATGAGCATAGATTTGGAATTTGATCCGCTGCTGAGAGAGTCTAGCAGGGAGTCTTCATTTGTCCGTCGATAAATCGTCATGCAATAAGAAAAAATTGTGCGCGTCATCCAGAAGTGAACGTCGGGAGAACGGCGACTGGACCGGGGGTGGCTTTCACAAAGCAGCCTATCCGAATTGCTTTGTGGTAGTCGAGGTTTGGAATGAGCCGATGGTATGATGAATGGATGGGAGGGAGAACGTTGAATCGCTGAGACGGTGCGGATACCCTAATCAGGCCGATCCAAAGACGATCAAGAATGAACGCGCGCAAAAAATCTGTGAGAAACGACAAACCCGATGAGACTGCGCGCGTCACTATATAAACGAGCACCCTACGCACCTTGTTCGGAGCTCATTGAGGCGCAGGACCTCGATACTGGAGCTGCGCATACATTTCCTGCGACGCTTGAACGGCTGGATGCGCACCCATCGTCGCCATGTACTGTCCAGGAGGTTGCATGCCCACAGAGGCGGGTCTCGTCGGCCCAGGAGTGGCCGCACCCGCATGCTGTTGAGCAGGGTTGACCATGTATGGTACAGACGTCGGGGGCCATCCAGGTTGTGCATACATAGGAGGACCGACTCGTGGTCCACCAACACTGTTTGCTGCATCCCCTCCAAGCTGCGGAGGTCCATTACCACCACCACCACCGCCGGTTGTCTGCGGTTGGATGTACGAGATGCCAGGGTGATAGCCCCCTTGCTGTGGATGAAGAGGAGGCGCGGATCGTGATTGTTGAGGAATACCCGTAGCACCAAGTTGAGGAGGACCAGGGCCGTACGGGACCGCACCTGAGACTGGGGGAACAGCTGGGTATGGATTGCGCGACTCCATACCCACCACCACCTGTCCTGGGCCACCAGGCCCAGAAGAGACATTGAGGGGATACTTCATTGGTTGCTGATGAACCATGTTCACTGGCACGCTATCAGAGTGTGCTCGCTGGGCGGGTTGTGGTGCTCCAATTGACGATGGTGGATAACCTCCCAAGGAATCAGGCTGCGGACCGTATTGCATCTCTCTTCCCATACCTGAGCTAGGATGCTGTGGTTGTGGACGAGACTGCTGCTGGGATGGCTGCTGTCCACCATGAGAAAGATATGCCATTGGTGGTCCAGTGAACGCCGAATGTTGCTGCTGCTGCTGCTGCTGTTGTTGTTGTTGTTGCCCTGCCACGGTTATCGGCTGCGTCGAGGGCGTCCGAAGCGTCGCATCAGGTGGAAGGCGACCGTCTGGAGGAAGCGGATGTGCTCCCTCTGAGGACCAAGGAGCCTTTGCGCTTCGAGCAGGCGACTGGGGCGGTGGATGAGCTCGTGATCCGACCGAGGGGGATCCTGCTCCTGGATAACCAGGATGCGTAGGTGCTGAAGGCGCAGACTCATTTGTCGGACCTGGTCCTCTTGATGGGTCCCACGCCATCGAATGGACAGCCGAATTGGGTGCCCAGCGCGTCGGAGCATCCGCACGTCCGTCGATATCTGGATCAGGCTGGTATGGCCATGCTTGGGCAGACGGGTTCGCGATAGAACGCATGCTCGGCCATTGTTGTTGTTGGGGGTTCGGTGCGGCTCCCGAAGATGGAGGAGCCGGTGGACCTTGTGGATGTGGACCCCATCGTATCCCTGTCGAGGGCGTTGACTGACCATCTCCTTGCTGAGGCCACGCTCCTTCACGCGGTTCAGGTGGGATCGACGATGGACCAGGTGGCGCTGTGTTTTTTTGGTGTTGAGAGTGCAAATCGTTAGCGGATTATTGGTCGACAGTGGCAAACGTTGGCGTACCTTTATCAGCTTGAGAGGCCGGAGCAGACGTGCCTACTGGTTGCTGGGACCAAGTCGGAGGGAAATAAGGCGTAGCTGATGCGGGTGGCTGCATTCCCGGAGCTTCTTTGCCTGGGAGGTGGTGTGAGATGGAAGGCGGAAAAGGACAATGGACCAGACTGGTGGGAACGACCTACTTTGCGCCTGTGGGCTCATGTGCCAACCCTGGGGGACTGAACTACGAACGGGCGACTCTCGAGTGGGCCACGATCCTGAGGAGGAATCCACATCATCCATCCATTGGGAGCAGCATTCTCCATTGAGCCAGAATTGACAGTCGAATAGGGACCAGCAGGACGGACGTCCGAAGGCGTGTCGTTGGCACCTTTATCCGTTGTACCGTTATTCGTGTCTATCGGCGGAGCGCCACTCGAAGATGGATCTGGGACTTGTTGCTGTTGCTGTCGTTGCTCCTGCTGGCGTTTTTCCTCGAGATGGCGCATCAAGGCGTACCCGTGTTCGACAGACTGGACAATCCAGTTGATCCCATTTGGGTTACGTTGTGCTGGGGGGAGCTCGGCGGGATCAAATTGGACAGCAGTGCGGATTGGGTCGGTCACAAAGGGCGAGTACTGATGGTGTACATCGCGATTAGAGTGCTGGACAGGGGTCATCTCGGGCTCTGGTGGACGCGACGCGCCTTCCGGCGAGTTGTGGGAGAAGAAAGCCGCCCCGACCTCGTACAGGGCTGGGCGAGTAGGTGGTGGAGGGGCGAGTTTGATGACCTTTGGCAAGACTGCGTTTGGATATTCGCGCTGACAAAAGGAGATGAGGATCGACATCAAGGTGGGGGAGAGTTTGTAGTGCAACGACTCACCCATGGCATCGGCGGGCTGGAAGAGTGAGGATCAAGACTCGGATTGATGAATCCTTCGTTGATATTAGAGCGGTCGGCACTGAGCAAATCGACAAAGAGGGGTTCCTCGCTCTCGTCCATGGCATGGTCCGACGTGGAGAGAGCGCTGTTCTTGACGTCCTTTGGTGTTGCCCTGAAGCGCATATCGTGTACACGGACGTGTGTCTGGGGCGGAGTGTGGATGCCGGGAGCTAAGAGCATGATCGTGGTCAGGATCCAAGCATGGGAGGCATTCAAGTCAGACACCATTAGCCGAGAAGAGCTCGTGCGTACCGATTCGGGTAGGAGAATTTGTCATGGGCTGCGCCAAATAGGGAGCATAACCGTCCATCACGCTTGGTTCCGTCTTGAGCTGGGCATTATCTGGAGAAATTGTGTTTGCAAGAGGAATGGCTAGAAAATGAGAGGATTTGTAAGCGACTGGCGTACACGGTGCGGTGGCGGGGACGAGCAGCGAGCCGAGGACGCACCAGGCGTGCTGATCCCGGGCCCATCGAGGCCAATAGGAGAGAGTTGGGACGCATTAGCTTTGGCGTTTACCCTGTTTGAGCTTCGTCTCGACATTCGCTGGACCGCTGGGGCGCAACAGCGGGGTCAAAGCTTTGGAAAACTATCGACGACGGGTGCCTTTTATAATGCATGTCGGAACATTGTGAAAAAATTACCGGAATCGAGGTTTGAATCGTCTAACATTTGCAGACCGTCGATGCTAAATAGGAGCGAGGGACTGTATTGGACGAAAAGGACAAGGTTACAATCACAAGGGGAGCCATAAGGATGAGCCACCCGCGGAACCTGGGAGTTCAAAGAGGCCGCTCGGAAACATTCACCGCTGTTTCTCCGCTCCAAAAGGCTGCGTTGGTTGGATGAAAGCTGGCCAGAGGATATTCCAGCAGAGTACGTTGCGCTATTTGACCGAAGATGACCTCTAAGAGGTTTCTCCAGCTGTTTTTCCGTGCCCCTCCACGCCCCAAGCGGCCCTGCATTCCCTGTTCGTCTGCGTCGGACCGGAGCGAGGTGAATAGGCGTCAAGGTGTTAAAGTAACTAATGGTGGTGCGATAAGATCGGCGATAACGAGTGGTCGAAATGGCCACTCGGCGCGGAAACAACGAGGCCGTGGGGTCGCTGGGTTTTGGGCTTGGGACGAGCTAAGTGGCCGGATCAGCAACGCCTACGCAGCGCCTTGTCGTGCTCCAATGACATGGGTGCAATGCTGGAGCAGCAATGTAATCCTTGGCTTACGAGCCCTATGATTAATTGTAGAATATTCTAGAAAATAGCTATTGGATCCCTTGGATTAATGTAGTACAACAGCCTTGCTTGGCCTAACCTTTTGTTTGTCCCAAGTGTCAGCCATTCTTGGACCCAGCAGCCATCTTGTCCCCGTGGAGCCCGCCTCGCTGTTGCCCTCAGGAGCACCTCCAGTGCAGCTCCGAGTCGTCATTACAGCCAGCCTCTTTTTAGTCCTCCTCCGCGGCCACTAGTAGGCCCTTTACCAACAGAGCCGCCCCTCGCCTTCTCCTTTTGCCTGCTCCTCTTTCGTCGACTCTGGCAATTTTCCATCACTCGTTGACGATACATCATGTCTCCACCACCACAGTTCTGTCTCCCGTTTGGTAAAGGCTCAAAGCAGCTCGCCACGCTCGCCACCCACCATCCAAACGACTCTGCGTCGACTGCAACACTGACGTCGATGACCTCTGCTGCCACGAAACTTCAATTCACAGACGACACAGAGTCCTACATGGTCGCTCCACCACACCCGCCCATGCCGTCACGCTCGACGTCTGCGGGCACCCTCGAAAAGCCGCGGACACCTGCGCGGATGTGGACGTGGAAGAAGCACGCAGAGAGTACATCGACGCTCGTCAGCGATGAACACAACTTTAAGAAGATGGTAGACGAGCCCGTAGAGGTCAAGGATACCGCCCCTCGGCTCGCCGCATTACGCAAGAAGATGATGGAAGAGAGTATCGATTATTTGTGAGTTTTATTTTTATTTTTATATTTTACATCCTCCCCGTCGCTCGCTGCAAATTTTTTCCATCCCGATCAGCGCGCAGCACCTGTGCTGCTTGCTCGCCTTCAAGAGACCGACGCCAGCCCGGCTACCGCCCGCTAAACGCTCTAGGCGTCTCATCTGGGGCGTTATCGCATTTGTCGCTCTCGGGTAGCTCATCCGACCTTTTGTGACTACAAGCGCCACTCCACACCCTGGTGGCCCTAGTCACGGGTCCGATTAGGCTCTGTGGCGACCCCGCAAAAGGCAATCGAGCTGACAGTCGCTCGGATGGAGAAGAACAAAGGCTGACATCCCCCTCCCTTAGTGTCATTCCCTCTGAAGATGGTCATCTCTCGGAATATGTCGCTGATTCGGACAAGCGCCTATACTGGATATCTGGCTTTACCGGATCAGCGGGCACCGCAATTGTATCTAAGCGATCAGCCTATCTATTCGTCGACTCTAGGTACTGGAGCCAGGCCGAGCGAGAGCTCGACGCCAACTGGACCATTCACAAGACGGGCACCCCCGAGATCAAAGACTGGCTCGAATGGGCAATTACATGCCCCCGAGGCAGCAAGATTGGCATCGATTCGCGCATGATCTCCCACGAGAAAGCCACTCGTCTCTACAAGGGTCTCTACGATCGGGGCAGCAAGCTCGCCCACCCGCGGCAGAATCTCGTCGATCTCGTCTGGGAGGACCGGCCAAAGCGACCAAAGGATCCAGTCTATGTTCAACCCGACCGATTCACGGGCAGAGACGCCAAGACAAAGTTGGCGGACATACGCAAGTGGATTCGAAAGCAGAATGCGGCTCTGGGCAAGGAAAAGGGTGGCATTACTCGCTCGGCATCGTCAGCATCGACCGCAGCCAAGCAAGCCACTGCTGCCGCCCAGACGCATACCAAGGATCCCATCAAGCGTTCGAACACGACTCCACCGCACCAAACGGGCAAGGCTTCGACGCCAACACCAGCCTCGGCGGTCCCCACCCGGTTGACTGGCCCACCTGGTGTCAAGCGTAGCAATTCGAGCCCGACCGCACCTGGGCCGACCGGTCCCGACAAGATGTCATGCATGTTCATCTCCGACTTGGCTTCCATTGCCTACACGCTCAACCTGCGTGGCAGCGACATTCCCTTCAACCCCGTCTTCACTGCCTATCTCCTCGTCGGGGTCGATGGCAAGAATATTCTCTTTGTGGAGAGCGAAAAGTTGCCTGCCGAAGTGCGCGAATACCTTCGCGAGCTCGGTGTGTCGCTCAAGGACTACTCTGAGGTGTGGTCGTTCCTGCGCCAGAAACAGTGGGGAGAGGGCAAGGTTGTGATCAATCCAAACACTCCCTACGCTGTCTCGCTCATCATTGGCTCGGCTCGCTACGTCGTGTTGCCCGCCTATGTCGAAGAGATGAAGGCCATTAAGAATGAGGTCGAGATTGAGGGCATGCGCATGGCCTATATCCGTGATGGTGTGGCCATGGTCCGCTGGTTTGCGTGGCTCGATCAAAAGTTTTCACAAGGCTACGAAATCACCGAATGGGAAGCTTCGGAGAAACTCAACGCGTTCCGCGAGGACGAGTTGAGGGCGCCAGACGAGATTCAGATGTACATGGGTCTGGCGTACGAGAATATTGTCGCTACAGGCTCCAATGCGGCACTGGTTCACTATCACCCGACGCGCAGTAATAGCAAAGTCATTTCGAGGACGGAACCATTCTTGGTCGACTCTGGTGGACAATACAGAGATGGCACGTGTGATACGACGCGGACGGTTCATTTTGGATACCCGACCGTCGAACAATCCGAGGCGTTTACCCGTGTTTTGCAAGGGCATATGGCAATTGATACTGCCATTTTCCCTGCTGGTACGTCTGGATCGCAACTCGACGTGCTCGCGCGCAAGGCGCTGTGGCGTGATGGGCTCAATTATCTCCATGGTACGGGCCATGGAATCGGTAGCTTCCTCAACGTTCACGAGGGACCACACTCGTTCCAGTCGACTACGCCCCTTCAGCCTGGACACATTATCACCAACGAGCCTGGGTACTACAAGGATGGCGAGTTTGGAATCCGCATCGAGTCGGCTTTGCTCGTCAACGAAGTGGAGACGAAGCACCAGACCGGCGAGACATTCCTTGGGTTTGAGCGCCTTACACAGGTGCCTATCCAGATGAGAATGGTCCGCGCCAGCATGCTCACCAAGGAGGAGAGGCAGTGGATCAAAGTGAGTTGCTTCTCTACTGGGAAGGAAAAGGGATTGATGCTGACCACGTTTGTAGGATCACAATAATCGTGTACGCAAGGTTCTCGAACCCTACATTGCCGAGGACAAGCGCGCGCTCAAATGGCTCCGACGTGAATGCCAAAAGGGCTTTGGAAATGAAGGCAAAGGCTCTGCGGGCCTTTCCATCGAATGGGACTAGAGACGCATTCTCGCCGGGCGAGAACTCTTCGTCTTTTTTACGAAAGTATACGGCAGCCGCCACCAAGTCTTATTCAACCTCGTCTTTTATATTTTTCCTCTGGGCTGTCGGTACTTTCTCTCCACGGGACTCGACTTTGAAGATTCGGCCTCATTATTCACTCTATGTACGACGCATCGGACCTGATTCACTTACTGTATACCAAACTCATTCCTCAATTAAACGCGGGCCCCACCCTCCCCACGACCCGACTGCGCCTACAGCAAACGACATTATGCCTCGCCTCCGGACACGGTTTCGCACACGATAGACTGCATCAGGGGAGGGCACGACAAGGCGGTTACTTTGCTTGCCCTCGTCATTATCGAGATTATCCGTCTCTCTAGACGGCGGATGCACCTTTTTTTTTTGTCTTTTCTGGCCTCCCAACTCGCTCATGTCGTGGTGTAGCATGTCGACCGCGTGTCGACTGCTGGGTTTTAAAAAGCGGATTTGTTAGAATTGTTTGTAGAAATGGTTTTGAAATGTGCTATTTTGCGAAACGTTTGGCCCGGTCGGCTGTTGAGTGAGAATAACATGCAAATGAATTGGGACGAGTAAATCGGATCTGCATTGAATAGCATTGAAGATCTGGACCCGGATAGTGGGCCGCAAAAGGAAATGTGCCTCTTCGGCGGAAATTGAGCGTCACGAATATTTTAGAGATTTTGTTGGTTGGACCGGAATGTCCACCCGCGTGTCTGCGGCGTCGAGTGAGGGGTAATGAAAGCAGCAGTAGTTTTCTGGCAGGGACTAGTAGTAGCCCTTGTTATGTTGCGTGATCCAATATACTCGAGGTTGAAGACTTAACAACTCCGCCGGCGCCTAACAGCGGTTAGCTTAGGGACAGGAATCCCTTGCGAACGGGCAGCTGTATTCTGGACCCGTGTCCTGCGTATATATTCTCCCGGTCCCGACTTTGGCGTATTTGCTTTCTGGATTTTTCGTCCCCCACCTCTGCAAGTCACACACCTCCTCCTTGGACCCAACGAACTGTCCGAAGACGCTCAACTTGAACCCGGACGAGACAAAGTGGCATTCTAGCCCGTCTGCTTTTACGCGTGCGGAGAAGAGGCTTGGTAGATGTTCGATGGACAGACACTAACTCTTGTCGAACTCTACGTCCACGGCTTTCGAGACGCGGCCTATGTTGCCTTTGCCTCCTTGGCCGTCATTGTGCGTATTCATATATTCTCTATGCTCCTCCTCTAGAGTACCCTGGGCCCTGCCGTCGTCGATGCCAGTCTTGGTAGCGTGGTGGAGTCTCCCGAGTTACTCGCCTGTCGTCAGCTCCGCTCGCTAACACTTTTGTTTGCGTTGGAATCTAGATCTATGATTATCTTATTACCTTTCAAGCCGAGCTCGAGTCGTTTTGGACCCCGCCGTGGAGTCTTGTCCGCGCCCTGTTCCTTCTGGTATGCACCCTCCCTGTTCGGTAACTGTACAACTCATGGTTCATGGGAATATAGAACCGCTACATTAGTATTGTTGTTGCGTGGTATGTCTTGGCAGTGCTTGCCAGTTACCGGCTGCCGTCGTCCTGATTTCAGCGCCGCAGTGTCCAGGTCTACAGACTCGTGGCATCTCATCCAACACATATCGTACGTATGATTATATTACACTCACCAAGAATCTGACATTTGCGGGATAGGCGTGCGTCCTAACAAATTTCAGCCGCCTGTGGCTGACTCTGCTTTTGCAACAGATGCCAGGCGACGACATTGATATGGACGTATGGCATCGTCCTCATCTTCATCATGGGATCAGGTTCGTTTTGGTTCCATCACCGGCGGGCCACACGGCATTGACAGGCCATCCTCAACACCTGCCAGTCATCCTCCTCATGCGCGTCTTGGCCGTGTACCGTCGTCAGAAATGGGTCACATACGGCCTCATGACGCTTTTCGTTTTGCTCACAGTCGGATTTCTGGCCTTTACGATTGAACTCAATAAAGTAGGTCTCCCACTCAACTAGCGCGCGGTTATTGACGTCTTGTTTAGAGAACTATAACTTTTGGTCAGTTCTCCTCGTGAAGCGGTCTGACGGATGTTAATGAAGGCCTAGATGCTGAACCATTGATTCACGGTTGTCCGGGGAGGATGGAGTCTTCCAGCTTGGCTGTCATCTGGCGTAAGGCTTGAATACTTTTAAAAACTCTTCTAATGCCTTTATAGGTGTCTATGTTTGTCCAATAGTGAGTACTTTCATCCCCTGTAGGTTCATTGCCGACAACATTGCAGGTTTTACAAAGTATGACAATTACAGAAGTCCTCTATAATATACTGAAGCTTCACAGCTATTCTTGTCGCCATGATCCTATTCAAGGCCGTTCGACAGACAAACCAATCGAAAGCTGGGCGTGGCATCGTCGGCTTGCTGGCTAGAGAGTGGGTGCCAGCTCATCAGCACGGGCTCAGCTGACGACTTTTAGTGGTGTCATGGTTTACGTTTCCGTATTATGTGCGTTCAATCCCCCTATTCGTCAGCTAACCGACTCTTACCGCCAATCGACCTTTCGATCCACAGTGGCCCTAATCTTATCGATAATAGCTTGCTTCATTCCGATCCTCCAAGTACCCCTACTTGCTTCAAACCTCCTCCTTCCTGTCGTCGGCATTAGTACCTCGCGTATCCTCCTCAATATTCGTTCCCATCTCTCACACAACCTACTCCCACATCTCCGACATACCATCGCTGGAAACACGAGTGCAGGTGTGGTTTCCGGTGTCGAAATGTCTGCACTCTACCTCGGTGGATATCACGGCGGAATCGCCCCCGCGCGAGGCGTAGAGGGTGCCAAAGTCCGAGAGATTGGGAACACGACGATGATTGAAGTCCCAGTCGTGGACGACTCGACGTTGGATGATTACGAAGACGAGGAGCACAATCTAACTCAACGATATCAAGAAGACAGTGTTGGGGGTGGGAGCACCATTGAGGAGGGTCCGTCAATGCGTGTGGATGGCGAGCCTTCAAGCACGCTTGGACGTGCGGGGAGTGCAACGGGTGGTTATGGACATCCGCGCAGTCGACCTGGAAGTGGTCGAGCCGCGTTGAAGATTAGTGCGCTTGGTGCGACCCCAGGATGGGAGCACTGGGATGAACGACTGCCGACCAAGGATTTCCGCTTGCCGACACTTGCCGTTCCTCATACTCTCCGTCCATCATCCCCATCATATGTCACTGGTTCAATGACGGGGACAAGCGGTGTAGACTCAAACTCGAACGAGTCTGGATCACGAGAGGATCTTCGAGAGGTGCAACCACAAGTTCATACGGTGATGGTGACGAAGCAGATTGAGCAAATAACATCCCCCGGTAGACGACGGCGGAAACAGGCTGGTTCACGGGAGAGAGCTATCCAATGGGCACCTCCGCCTACAGCTTCGACTATTCGCTCTACTACCACTGCACATAGTAGCGGTGAAGGAGACGACCTATCCACGTCCTACGCTCAATCCCTCGTCCAAGGAAGTGGACCGGGACGACCAAACGGCACACAAGCCCAGATACAACATTCCCGACATGTTCGATCATCCAGTCGATTGCGTACACACGATTCGGTATCGAGATCGCAAAGCAGCAAGGAACCCAGCTCGGGCTCGACGAGTGCAGAAGGCGAACCCGTGTGGCGATCGGCTTCTACAATCTCCCCGGATTGATTCACTTCCTTTGACTCCTCTCGTTCTACTGTACATGTCAGTCTTGGTCGATCTCGCTTCACCTGTTAGAAAGCGCATCGGCATTGCAATTATTGATCATCAATCGCTGTACTTTTCGTGTCTTCTTTTCCTTGTCTTGTCATATCTCCTGTCTCTCAATAGCATCTTTACGGAACTCACCAACACGTTACAATGTGAATGGGGAGATGCATAAACGAGAGGTGTACAGATGCGACGTGAGGCAGTGGATGTGTTTTCTCTAGCATTGCATGACAGCGGAGCCACCCTTCCTTATACTCTCTCTGTCGCAAGATGCTTGTTCTTGAAGGAGGCGTTGAACTGCAAGAGAGTGTTGATATCTCGCACCCAATCGTCTCCCAACCCACGCTCGCCCATTTCCGTTCGCCGCTTTTCGAGGTCGACTCGGGAGGCATGCAGGTCGGCGGATCGTTTGACACACGGGACTGGATACGGCGACGCTTCGACTGAGACAAATTCGCCTGGTTGGAGGACACGCACGCCTTGGCCGTCCATGGATACCTCCGCCGGAGCGCGACTTGTACGGCTCACCTATATCATTGACAGATCAGGGCTTGGTGATTTGACTAAGATTGTGGGGACGCTTACCTTGAGGGTTATCCTAGATGAACCTGGTAACACGAGTGACCGAAACGAAAGACTTCGAGGACATATTGGTGTTAGGAGCAGTGCATTTACAGCTGGATGCACAATAGGACCGCCGGACGAGAGAGAATAAGCCGTGGATCCAGTAGGTGTAGAAAGAATCAAGCCATCGGACTGGTAATCGTGAGATTGTGCATTCTAGGCCAGGGCTGGACTTACGACGGCCTCTGTGAGGTGCTGCCCATCCACGTAGGCGTCTATAATATTTAGATGTGGACTCCTTCCTCTATGTAATGTCACTTCGTTCATGACTTGCCATCCTGCGCACGATGAGATGGGTAGAACGTATAGCAAGGAAACAAGTACCTGGCTCTCCGCACCCTTCAATCTCACTGCCATCTTGCCGATGAAAAGTGCAAGCTATCCGCATTCGCTCAAGAATGGTCGCCTTTCCCGTAAACACCTCATCAAAGGCAGAGGGGAATGTATCAACGTCTTTAGACCATCAGCATCACGGCAATAGAGATGATATAATGCGTACTAAAGGGCAGAAGGAAGCCCAATGTTCCCATAGAAAAGCTCAGGACAGGGGGAATTGGTCCAGTTTTGAAAAGCGAGGAGGCATGTAGAATCGTCCCGTCACCGCCCAACGTCACGATAAGATCTATCGGAGACTGCTCTGAAGAGTGGTATAAGAGAGGGATGATTCGATTGAGAAGCGTGACTCGCCCGAAGCCGTCCATGGTTGCAATCCATCTAGAGCGTCCGCTTCCCGCTCTTGATATAATGCTACGTTAGGGTACCGTCTCTTTACGTGTCTACGTTCTATATTAGATGTTATCTCAACCTCTGTATGGTACATACTGAGCAATATCCTTCAATGCTGTCGTGATAACTTGGTCGTCTCGCTTCTTCACGAATAAAACAGACTCTGGAGGCTTATTCAACCATTTAGACTGTGGTTGTGTAGCAAATCTGCGAGGCTGAAATTGCGAAAGGCTAGCCTGGCGATGGTGAGACGTTGTTCGCGGCGTAAAGAGGAGTGTACCGAAAACTTGATGGTTTCTTAAATAACCCGAGTCTAGTGATCATGACTTGTGAAATTGGCCAAAGTCGTGGGCAGCGGCAAACGAGGGCGACAAACTTGGTTTCTCAACTTGGCTGCCGCGTCGTTGTCATTTGGCGTTCGCCCATCGAAACCGCGCCACTCTCGTCTCTCAAAATGTCTCTAGCTGATCGTCTGAGTGGAGGTGTACCCGGTGGACGCGCAGCGCGAACGAAATCGTCCAATTCGCTCCGTTCAAAGCCCTACGTACGTCATCTACTCCGCCTTTCGGACATCTTTGAGCTGAAACGAGATGTTCACTACGTGTAGAGCGCGAGTCCTCGCTCGTCTGGACGGTCTAGCGATAGGGAAGACGGCAAACGCGACCTGGACGCGAAGTGGACGCACGACAAGTATGCGTCGCATAATGGCATCGAGGGAGGAGAACTCGGTGCGCGCATGACTGGCGACGTTGGACGACAAATCACCAGCGGCACTTCTGGCTCGTCCAGACTCGTAAACAGGGCATTCGCTGGTGTACTCGGCAAAGCTGAACCAAAGGGTGCTACTTCAGACTCTGGAGGGCTCTCCATCAAGGGAGCGTCTACGCTCGCGGGAACCGGAGTCGAAGTGGACGGTCTCGCGCCTGGCACGACAGCAGAAGATGTGGCAGAAATATTTTCTAGCTGCGGCAAAATTGTCGAACATCGTCTGCTCACCCGCCCCGACTCGCCAACAGTCCGTGTCTTTCTCCACTTTGAGACAGCACAAGGTGCACAAACTGCAGTGGCACGATTCGACAAACAAACCGCGGATGGACGCACTTTGAACGTTTTCGTTGTCAGTGCTGGCTCGCTCGCATCTCGCATGGGATTCCAAGGGAGGAGTGCCCCGCCAAAGAAGAATGTGGACTTGCTGGCAGACAGCACACCCAGGTCTGGAGGGTGAGGTTGAAACCAGTACTTCTGACTTGCTCACTCACATGTTATTCAAGCATGCGCTCAGATGAAATCATGCAAACCGACCCTCGGGCCAAATTGGTCAGTGACCCTTCTGGTGCCAATAAACTCATCCAGAGCATTCAATCAACCTCTAATGGTAATGAGCGACGTAATGAACGAAAAGGAGGACGTGGACGAGGAGGAAAGCCGGGCGGACCCGCTCGCTCCTTGTCGAGTAGGATGCAACTAGACTAACATGTATACTCAGATGATGTACGCTATGTATGTGCTCAACCTCTCTATTTCGAGCCGTAGAATGAGTGGTATCTTAGGGTACATGGATTGGACAATAATTAGCGCGTGTGATAGTCGAGTACCCTACTGATAAATTAAACCTACGCGTAGAACTGTCAGTCACGAGGAGCGTTCGCCGTTGCGGTCGTTTGAGGAAGTGCCGTCCTCGCGCTCGAGGCGCTGCCTCTCTTCCTCTTCGGCCACCTTCTTATCAAACGCCTCTTTGCTCCTCTTGATTAACTTTCGCTGACCATCATCAGCCGTCAATTTCCACATTTCCAGAAGAACCGTCTTTGGCAGCCCCGAGTTGACAGACTCTTTCATCCCCTTGAGCAGTTTCCATGTCGGCGTGAGGACAAGAGTCCAGCTCCGTACGAGATTGTTTTTCATCGCCTCGAGTGGATGAGGGATGATGTAGCTTCGATGGGCGTACTGTTCATCTGCCGTCCAAGCAGTCGTCCCCGGCCGATAGTTCCACATTCGCTGATACCATGGAGCAGGAGGTGCAAAGGCATCTGGCCCAAACCGATTATCGTTGGGAGGTTGGGTCGGCGGCTTGCTTGCTTGAGCCTTTGGGGTGGGCTTTGTTCCTCCAAGCGTCGTTGTCTGTGCTTTGACGGGCGGTGAGGCCGAATCGTTGGAGGATTCAGGAGGGGAAGATGAGGAAGCAGACGCTGTACTAGAACTCGAATCGGGCTGGGACGCTGCAGTTGAGAGCGAAGTCGTCGCACGTTGATTGTATTGGGATTGTGGGAGTAAACCCGAGCTCGTCTGTTTCTCGTGAATTGCTCGCGTTTCTATTTGCTCCGCCATTTGCTTTCCCTTGAGTTCCCGTTTGAGCCTCTTTGCGTGTTCCTTGGCAAGCCTCTCGGCAACTCTCTCTGTACTCCAGATGTCTTCACGGAAGCGACGATGGGCATCATACGAGCGGAGTGGGACGTGCATACCCTGCGAGGTGACGTTATTGGCCGCCAGCTAAGGACGGTGGGCGAGACTGACCTGGATCTTCTCTAGCGCCGAAGCTGATCCGGTACCATAGGATATGTAATTTCCTTCCCTCCAAACGTCACGTTTGTCGATCACGTTGAAGGCTTGCTCAGCCTCGTCTCCCTCCTCGTCAATGCTGGTCCAGCCACCAGAGCTATCGTTCGGCCCAATAACACGCTCCTTCCAATACCCTGGAACCTCCTTTGATTGACCAAACTTTGGAGGGAGCGGTATCGATTTGCCGTTGACTTCGTAATTATTGATGTGCCGCCATCCAAAGGTGTAGCAACGGGGTAGCTCTCCATTATGTCGTCTCCGTGTCCGTTGGGTACATACAATGACATTGACCTCGTCTGTGTCTCCGTCAAAGTACCTTCCTACATGCAGGACTGAAGGAAAATTGACCGGGGGACCTGCTCTCTGCAATTAGAGCATTAGCACACCCGAAGTAGCCACAGGGTTAGGCTAGCGGTATCGTTCAAGAGTGAAGCTCATACATGCGCGCCACGCTTAATCGGTGACGCTTCTGCGGTATCAAGCCAGGAGGTATGGCAATGAAGTGACGAGAAAGTAGGAGAATAGAACGGTAGAAGTGGTTAGAAATAGTGAAATAGTCCGTACCTTTGCCGCCTGGTGGTTTTGATCAGCAGCTGGCTGTCCAGCCTCGCTGGAGCTCGTCGGAGTATCATCTCGAGGCCTTGAAGAGTCGGAATTAGACATATCGCTGACGTAGAGCGTAGAGATTAGAGGCCAAAAGGCGAGGCGGGGTGCCGCTCGGTGTAGTGGATTCCAAGTTTGATGGTCAGTGCCGAACCACAAAGAGCGTGCTCATGAAATGCCTATCCCAGGGATCAATTCAATTATTTATAATCACTGCATCTGCATCAACCAAATTTACAAACTCTGACTCGGCGCTGTTTCTTAGCTCAGCAATGGAACAAGAGGCCAGGAAAATACATCCGTTCACGAGGAGTTGAAGGAATTGCAACACAGAGCGAAAGCAAATCTGAGCGTAGAAACTAGATAGGCGGATAAGGATGACAAATTCCGCCAGTAAATGATGGACATCTTGCGTTCCAGTCCAAAGCGTTGTCGTCCGTGCAAAGGCTACATAGGTTCCCTGGTAATGATGCATCATATACCCGTCTGTTGGCGCAAGAATTCTGGGGATAGTGTGAATATAGATCACTACATACTCATAGCACTCACCCCTTGTAAGCTCAAAGCTCGCGAATGTGGCAGCAGCAGCAGGAATGCTGGCCAGCGTCAGCATGAGAGAGAGACGAGTCTTCCAATTTCCTACCTTCTGAGTACTAACAAAGCATCAGTATATGCTATGAGAAACAAAGCCAGGAGACATACACGACGGAGACAAACCCTTGAATAATGCTCGTCTACAACAGTAATAAGCCGATGCTGGACTTCAAGGTGAAACACACGTACGCTCCACCTTCTCTTACTACAGCCGCTATCTCGTCTGTAATGTACCATAGTCCACGAAGTGGCTTGTCGCTCAGCTGCACGCGACTTTTGACGACGTCTAGACAGAGTCAGCCTGTATGCAGTCGAACAATGGATTGAATCACCTAGTGGATAGCACGCAAGCCAATATGATATCTAATCCTAATCAGAGACATTCCTCCTGCAAAAAGGAAAGACGCACCCCGCCAAACGACCCAGAGGACAACAACGCCCACACTGGAACCTCTTTCCCGTATTCTTGCTGAAATCGTCGCTTGGCAAATTCAAAGCCTGCATAAAACCTACACGCCACCCCAAATCACTTGAGTCTTCTTCTCCCGTCACGACGAGAACGAAACGTACGCGCCATAAGCAGGAATCTCCCTAGCAACAGTCGCCCAAAATCCTCTCATGACGCCGTGTCTGAACCCGTGCGCTTTCCACGTATCTCGGAACACCCTCGACAACTTCCGATCACTTGCGTCGCCGTACTGGCCCTGCATTCGAATCTTGAATAGCTCCACTATACCCCCCAACCATTGAATAATTAAGGTGATACAGAGACGGCAGAGATACAATCAGCCGCCGAATATAACACGACAAGGGAGTCTCACCGGGACTTGCGAGAACAGAATTCGCGGCACCAGCCATGGACCCAGCAGCTGCAATCTGCGCAATCGAAAGATCCGGAAAAGGACTGATCACCCGCTTCGAAACGTTGTACGCCGTGAACAGAAGCGAGTTTACAGCCGCAATACCCATCAACGGACTCGCCATTCCTATGATAGGTTTAAGAATGATCTGTGCAAGGTGTCGAGTTACGTACCTTTGTATAAACCCAGTACTCCCTCATTTCTGACAGTGCGAAAGAGCACGTCCATCGGCCCTTTCTACGCTGCTTGAGACATGGAGAGGAAAGCGGTTATTGTACGTACAAACATTCCTTCTAGATATTATATGAGTACAAGAGTAAAACTGAATAGGAAAAAACGTACTCGGTGCTATCTGTGCCCTTGTCTTGATCGTGTCAAGTGGCTGACCGACAATAACTTGGGCCGCGCCTGCGACGGAGCCTGCTATGAGTTCATTGATCACGCTAGGATTCCATATAGCGGTCAGGCCTTCTCCGGACATGACGAGGTTGAAGAGAGTCAAAGCGGATTCAGGTGGCAAGGATTGCGTGATCCAAGTCGCATTGATGGGATCAAACACGGTTCATTCTACGCGAACCAGGCGATCCTACGTAATGTACAATGGGATATGTTGGCCTCTCAAACATCTTTCGACATGCGACGATGGCGGCCTATAGATAAAAGATGGACAAGAAACAGAACGAAGGTGGGAAACGCAAGCAAAGGGCAGAGAAACATGTGATCAGACCAGGGATTTCGCCTTGATGTCTCCCTTGGTATCGACAAGACATACGTCGTCCTCATTCCCGAGCACAAACGTCTTCTGTGGGTGTGGCTGGAGATGCGCTGCCTTTAGCTCGTAGTCGTTTGTGAGATGGGCACCCTGGGACATGGAAGATAACGTGTTGAACGTGATACGAATGGGCTCGCCCGCAGAGTATACAGACGCGGTATCGGTGATGCTGCATGCACAGTTGGCAACTGTAGACGAAGGAGCCCGACGTTTCTTCGAAGGATGAACCCTCCAGAAGCCGTCGACGACTGGTTGAAGGAAGGCACGGGGAACACCGCGAAGATGACCGAGACAGGCGAGAGCGAACAATGTGCAGAAATAGAAGAACTCTATTATATTGTGGGCTCAGTGCGACAGGATGGCGTAGTATTGACTCACCAAGAATCAATAGCACCAGGATGAGGAAAACGACTGCTTGTACTTCCCAGCACACGTTGACACCTACGTTGCGTCAATATCACGATTATCTTCATGCACAAGTCACAATACCTGGGTTACTTCCGTGACAGGAGTGGAATAGCGGGAACCTTGACGCATTCCCCCATGTCATCATTGCACCTAGCGAGCATCGATTTGAGACGGCATTGGCCCTGAATTCAAGTACTTACTGATCCAGAAGCCCAGCATCATGCACGTAGAGACCAGGTCTGTGAGCACCTGACGAGACTGTCAACCACGCCACCGTTCTGCAAGACAGACGCACTCGAGGGATAGACCTGATCGCATCAATGTATCCGACAAGACTTTATAGGAGATGAGTGTTTGCAAACACGCCACAAAGACGAGCAACGTACTTGAAAATCAGGAAAGACAAGGAGAGAAACTCGAACAAAAGTGTGATAATGATTGCAGACGATCCGACGTATACTCCTGCGACACCGACAGACTGGTCTCGCGGGTCGTAGCTGTAGACGTCGACATTGGCAAAGTCGTCTACCGTGAGCCCGAGAGTGGCAATGGGCCAGCGGACGAGGTGGAGATGGAAGACGACGATGAGAATCGTGAATGCGAGGATGAACGTCGAGACAAGGACTGTAAGGGACACGTGAGCGAGGCCAGTAAAATCGCGGGCGGTGGTCGCCACCGACGCGAGGAATGGAGATGCGTGAAACGTACAGGCGTGACGGATGCGGGCCCACATCGTGTTTTGGGCGTACTTTTCGACGCAGAAATCGCGAGAGACGACGCTAAGAGGAAGGCGGGGGTGGGAGGAAAGGAGGAAGAGGTGAGGGCCAATGTTTGTTCGGACTGGCTGGCATTATAAAGTCGTCCAAGTTTACTCAATAGGCCTAATAATCTCACAAAGAATTGTAAATAAACGCGATCAGTTCTTCAAATGATTACACTACAGCCGTGCATGCAGTAAGTGCTCTAGTGCGTCTCCAGCGATATTCCAAATGGCAAAAGCAAGAATTCGAAGCAAGGCTATCTCCAGGCTTGCATCATGGGGATCGCCAGCCTCCGACCTCTGCAAAACCAGTCACTACAGCTCAGGCAGAGGACAGGATCGAGACGTACGCTCAACCATGACATCGATAGAGTCATTGTCTTCCATCCCTAATGATGCAGGTGTATCGCTATCACCAATCCGGTTCCCGTCGTACAAGAATCTATAGAGGAGGCCAGTGGGTGGGCACAATCAGTTCATACTCTATTTTAAAGGGCATTTAAAGTACTCACCGGATGCTACTGAGATCCTTTCCAACCTTTGTCGCGTACGCACTTCGCAACTTGGTGAGCTTGGTGTTAGTCTTGATTTTGAAGAAGACTTCTTCGCCCGTAGAGGTCACAACCTGTCACAGAGAGCAAAGAGTTGTATTACGTGTCGGACAAGTGAAGGATGCGCCGTGCAAAATCAGAATACTCGTCAGCCGCCGTGCCATCGTTCACTAAAGACGACGCATACTCGGATATTGATGGGGACTGAGCCCTCTGAGTGAGCCGGAGGAGGTTCTTGAGACATTTTGGGGTGCGAGCGGGTCAAGATTTGGAGCTGGGACGGTTCAAGTTGGTCAGCCACCGGACAGGCAAGGCACTCAGGTTTGCGTATCCTACTATATTACAAATTAAAGCTCTCAAGAATGACTTTTATATTTGTTTATTGTATTTTGTTCAACCTTTCACCCATCCATCTTATGGCGCGCCCGTAGTTCACCAGATTGAGTGAGAGTCAAAACGGTGTGCCAGGAAATAAAAGGAGCAAAAATTGGCACTGTAAATCACCGAAATCTCATCCTGTTGGACAAACAGGTGTGATACGACGCAAAAAAGAGGGGTAGAAACTTCAAGTCTGCATGGGCATAGAACCAACACATCCCTCGGAAATCAAGAGCGGAATCGGTTGACAATATCATACTAAGACATTCAATGTGCCTGCCACTTCTTTACGTACGCTGGACCCATGCATCGTGAGTGGACTCATCACTGATAATATATAATTCAATGTACAATTCCACGCATAGAGAGCTCAATCGGACCGAAAATACCATGTGTATAGCATAGAGCTGGAGAAATAACAATATACGAACCAGCCAATGACAAAAAGTGCAAGATAACATGGTACAGCGCAATAAGAAACCTTCCAATAAAGGGGCGCTTTGATTCTCATCTCTATCCTCTCCTTTGTCTCGAGCTTGAAAACGGTTCAGAGGCCCTGGCCAACGCCCTCCTGGCAGCACGATAGTCTTCATCCTCCTCGCTCGAGTCCTCCCACGCATTCCTTGACGTATTGATCCTCGTCTCCCATGCACTCGGCCCGCCTCCCGTTCTTCCACTCGCAGGCGGCGAGACGGGGGGCGACGGATCCTCTGCACGCGGCGTCGGAAGTTCGTCATCGTATCGTTCCGGAGGAGAGACAGAGGCTGTAGGGTAAATGATCATCCGTACACTCTTCCTCTTTGCCTGAGTCGAGTTATTGGAAGCTGTCGATGTCGCAGACGTATCCACATTGGCACTTTCCGTGGCGCGAGATGATTCATGCAATGAAATGGACCGTCTAGGTGGTGTAACGGGTGCATCGGGAATGATAGGGTAGTCTGGCAGGTTATCTTGATCCTTTTTTGGTGACGGCTTCATCGGGGTTGGCGCTCCCTCTGTACTCTTCTCCTCTTCTTCTCCACTCATTTGCTCGTCTGGAGTTTCGTATGCAGACTCTTCGCCATCATCCGTTCCAGCGACGCTCGACCGGACCGAAGCTGGAATCTCACTGAGTCGACGCGGTGTGGGTACCAAAATGGAGGGTGTAGTCGGAGGGGACCGTGCATCCATACGAGGATCGTAGTGCACAAACATGGTGTCCCCGTTGGGCTTCAACCCGTCTTTGGCCCCTAATGGAGTCGGCACGTCGCTGTTGCGGTCCTGGGAGCCATCCTCTGGTGAGATACGACTAGCCTTGGCTAAGATCGAGGGGAGTGCAGGGAGTGGTGCACTCGCCCTGTTAGGCGATTTGAGTGCGGGTTTGAGTGGCGGAGTAGACGTATCGCGTGATGATATCGACGAGCGAGCTTTGAGGTTCGCCCCTCCACTAGGATACACCAGAGGCGAGGGACTACTTATTGAACCCTGCCTCCTATGACCTCGTACGAAGCCTTCCGAGTCTGGTCCAGGGGAGCTCCGCGAGAGAGAATTGCGAGGCGAGAGTGTAGATTCCTTCGCTGCAGTCGTAGGGTTTGAATGAACGAGCATCGGCACCTCTGTGACACTCGGCGGTGCACGAACAACCTCCAGCTTGGGCGGTGGGAGAGCCGAGAACGTCGAACCACTTGTCGACTGACTTCGTAAAGATCTGTCCATCTCCTCGAGTCGTTGGAGCTGCTCCGTGAGCTGAGCGAGCTCAGATGACCGAGGCGAGAGAGTCAAGTCGCTCGTTCCACGATCTTGCTGCAACCGATTCATAATAGTCATGCCTTCTGGAGTCGCATCCCACTTTGGTTTGTCTGGCTGAATGGACGAGCGTTGAGAGGACATGGTCCCCGCATTCATCGCCGTGTTCGCGGCCGTCTCTCGTGCATTCTCGCGAGAAGTCTCGGTCGATGTCTTTTCCGACTTGCGCGATGATTGAGAGTCGGTTCTTGTCAACGGGGTACGAGCTTGACGCTCTACAATGGTGTACTTGGTACCGTCTTGGCTGTCCCTTGTCTTCTTCGAGCTTCTGCTGAGCGATGGAAGATGCTTCTTGCTCAACTTCTTGGTTTCGCTCTCGTTATCTGAGCCATTATTCGCCATCTTTGCCCTTCTGATCATTGTAGACGGCAGGTCTTCCTCTGAAGAACTATTCCCTCGGCCACCTCCCACTCCACGTGACCGTGAAAGGTTCTTATCCGTGCGTGTATGCCACCCACCCGTCGACATGGGGACAGGGTAGTCTCGCTCAGCACTAGCAGAGCGCTTCTTGCCCTTGAACATGCCTGTGATACCATTCAAGAGTGAGATGGACGTTGAACGTTTTCTCGAAACCCGCTGAGAGTCATAGCTGCCCTCGTCAGACGGCTTCTGCGGTGAAGGAACATATGTTCTGGGGCCAAGGTCTGAAGAGTGCTTCGCCTTGTGACCGGTGAATGAGCCAGTTCTCGGAAATCCGATTCGAGGCGAGTTTTGCACCTTATCTGAGGGAGGCGGACGTCGAAGGGTTCGTGGTGCAGAATCCCGTGAAGCGCGGATAGAGCCCGTAGTCGGTTTAGGTACAGGAGGTGTGGTCTTTTTACCAAAGGGATGGTTCTCGTGAACCTCTAGTGGTCGCGGCTGAACCTCCTCGTCGCTGCTATCGCCGTCTCGACGGGGCGGGACGGGCTTGCTGGATGGAATAGCATCGTGTATATTGTCGTGGTCGTCGATACTATGTGCGGGTCCAATGTCGAGCTTAAAAGCCGGTCCCATCGAAATCTCTGGTAGAGTGGCGCTCCTTCCATGGGATGGTGAACCGGCGCGTCCTCGTGTCTTGCTTCCCGCAGACTTTGCTGGAGAATCATCCGAGGTCACAAGGGCTATTTGAGATGCAGATTGAGATGGCGCAATAGAAGATAGGAGGGAGTCGTTGGGGTCGGATCGGACATTGGGCAGCGTTTTCGCATCTATGCAGACAGTAAATCATTAGCAAACTCGAACAGATAATGTGAGTGCGTACGGGCCGATAATTGTCATGACAGGATCACGCAAAGGATCGGCGCGTCAATCTCATTCCTTACGACCGAGATAGAGCAGAGTTGGAGTCAAACGTACCACCATTTGAATGTTCATTACCCATGCTTTCCAAAGCATGTAATGCCTGTTTACCCCGTTCGCTCCACGTCCACCCGCACGATACCAAGGCTTTACACCGTCTTTCCAAACCCGTTCGAATGGCGTCCTGCCGTATATCATCTAGCTCCTTTTCCTTGGTCGCCAAATGTGCTTCACATGCCTGCAGCTCGGCCTGAGCGTGGCTGAGCTTGCTACTGCCGGCGGAAGTGAGCAGTGTCGCCGTGCTTTCTGCTCCAGGCTGCTGTAAGCCGAGGGTCGGATCGGCCAGAAACTGGTTAGCGAGTCCCACAGAATCACGTGTAGACGACCGCTTATTGGTGACTTTGATGAGCCTTCCGATCCTGTTCGTAATCGAGTTCTATTAGCAGCCGCGCTATACTTGGGCAATAATCCATGACCAAGGATTGTAGGAGAGTCTAGAGGAAAAGCAAATAGGGCTCACAAAATCTCTCGGTCTCTCAAAACATTGCTCACGACGTCCTCAGCCCGTTTCACGCGTTTGAGTTCGGCTCTCCACGCGTCGAGCGCGGTGCTATATGTACGTAGGGCCTCTTCTGCACCGGAGAGTGCATTCACGACGGCGAGCATGGCCCGGGCGTGCGTCGGTGGACAGCTGGAAGCATAGGCGTTGAGAGCGGCGAGCGACGACTGGGATGAGGACAGGAGATTATTGAGGGATGTAGCATATTCCTTGTCCGTCTTGAGAACTTGAACAAGGAGCCGCGAGTCTTGTGCGCGGTGCACCATTTGCAAAATGGTCGTTGGGTCCAAGTTTGATAACACAGCTTGACTGGCCACAACTCTACAAAGTGACGTTGAGGAGTGTAGAGATCGACAATCATTATCGACGTCATTGGTTTCAAAAGGCTAAACAGATAATGTACATGTAAGCGAGACAAATCGGGCGTTAGACGTAGACGATATTCCTTCCGTTGCTTGTATGCGCCGCGAGATCCCCTCGCTTCTTCTTCTCTCCCCAGCCAACCCAGCCAATCACAAGCCCCTTCCACACCGAATCCAAGTGCAGCTGGCGTTCCCGCCCTTCGCCGCTCGGATCTTTCGTATCATCTTTAATCTCGACTCGTGCTTCCCCATTGCTCGTGCTGAGAAGTAGTCCTCCTTCATACGTCGGATGGAGATGAATCTCGGAGCCTGCGTTGGATGTACTCGTCGTCAGCATCAGCGTCGAGTCGATGGGCGCAGTCGTAAAGTTCATGTTTATTTGGGCGTTCTTCGTCGACGCCACAATCTCGTAGGCACCCCCTTTGTCGCTCTCGTGGTCGCGGTAAAGCGCGTTACGCGTAAATATCCCTCCATTCGAGGTGGAGAGCGTAACAGATGGATGCTTGGGTTCGTCCTCGTTATCAAACACGTTGATATCCACATCAATCTTGGCGTTGGACGTCGAGACGACCAGCTCGCGAGTCACGTTGAGTGAGCCAGAAACTGGCCCGTTAGATGAGGTGATGACAGCTTGGGTTGCGAGCAAGCCCTTTGATTCAATTTTGTCACTGGACGAAACGGCGGTGATTTGATTGAATCGGACGTCGTCTCCAGTATCGAGAGACAGAGAGAACCACGAAAAGGCGAGGGTAAAGCTTTCAATGACCCTTGTAGCATCTGCGCCTTTGGGAATCGCGATGTCTATCGCAAGTCTGATGTCTTTGGATGGATCCGCGTCTCTAGTAGTCTGTAAAAATTAGCTAAACCCAACCCAAGCATGGAAATACTTGCGTAAATTCCAAGGCCTCTCCCCCCCTTTCTCTTGAGTTCACAGACGTTCATCATCTGTAGCGCCGTTTCGTGCCTATACGAAGCTTGGATGGTGATTTTGACGAGTTCACTTTCGTCGTCTCTCGCGGGCTCGTACGAGGGTACGACCGGATGCATGGGTTCCGCGAGTGAACACTGAAAGAGATGGTGCATCGACAGGCAGGCTGAAATCATTGTACACGGTGAATGGGTATTCGGAACCGTCGCTGGGCCCACTGACGAGGATCATGCCCTCGTACAAGGACTGTTCGTCTCTCCACGAATCACCCCCGTAGCACTCAACGATATCTCCATCAGTGCGCTCTGGCCATGGCTTTGAGGATGGTGGACGGGGTCGAGAAGGATTGGGTAATGAAGGGATGTCGTCCGGGGTTTCAGGATCAGAAGGGACGTCATCATCATCAAGCCAAGGCTGTCAATAACCAGTTTAACCATTAGCAAGTATAACCGAAAAAACACTCACATTCTTGCGACCTGTGCTAAACGACGGTGACATGCTACCAACAAACGCGCCGAGAAGGATATATATGATACAAGCATAGAGGAGTGCACGGAGGAATCGTTTTCGTGTACGTCGCGCGAGTTCGCGTTCTCTCTGTTCCGCAGCCGCGAGGAGTGTTTGGTCATAGTATCCGCGTTCCATGACCAGTGGGTCGTTTCTCTGGGGCCGTTCGTAGAATGGACGCGGTATCAGAGGTGTCAACGGTGAACTTGCTCCCTCAGAAGTGGCGACGCTATACGATGGAGGCGCTGGACCAGGACTTGGCTGTCTTTGTACGGGACCTGCAGAGCTCGTAGAAAGCGTCGAGGGCGCGTGTGGGCGCGACGACGAGGATTTGTGCGAGGGCGAGGGCGGTCGCTCGCTCGCGTCGTCTGCTATAATCATCCTGCGAGCGTAGTCGGGTCCAAGACGTATTTATATAATTTTCTACGTTCTACTACGGCTCGTTATCGATCAGCTGTGCGCACAGCGGTCCTTTTGGGCGAGCGTGGAGGAGAAGACGTAGACGCGCTGCGGACTTTGCTGAGACCATGTGGAGTCTCGGCCATCAATTCCCATCATGTCCACAGTGCTTACAAAGCATGGGAATACAGTTTCTTCTAGCGTGTCACGAGTTTAGATGATAGCCAGTACCTGCTATCTATTGCAGGTGAGTAAAAGAGTGTACATGAGAACATTACAAGCCATTATGAGTCATCTACGTACAGTCGCCTGTTGTAGACGACTCTACCAGCCAACCTGCTCAGGATTTCCAACTCGTAAACTAATGCCATCCAGAAGATGGACCCCAGTAGCCAATGTCAGGCACTGGGAGTAGCGCCGTACCAGGGTACGCGTCCGCACCGACATTGACAATGTCGTTACCCCACCAACTAATCTCCACACCGGGCCACTGGAGTGCGAAGAATGTGACGATGGCTGCAATAGCGACACCGCAGTCAAAGGCCGTCGACAGGATGTAGTTGTACTTCTGCCACCACGCCAGATAGTGCTTTCGTACGTAGACCTGGAAGAACCAAGCGATTGGTACAGCTGGCCAGGCATGCGACAAGTTCTGAAAGGAGCGTCAGCCAACAGTCAACAACAACGAATAGCGCAACTCACATAAGGTGCCCAGTTGAGGCCACCACCGAGGAAGATGGGGATGTGAATTCCACGGATGAACTTGTTGTCCGGGAATCGCTTCGCCAGGAAGTAGAAGGGTATCGGCATGATCGCACCCAACACGAATCCGAATAGGAGGACAAAGTATGGGCCATCTTTGCCGTACATGCGAGCTGGGCCGAGTGTTCCCCAAATGACGGATGCCGTGAAGAAAGTCGATGTTCCAGGGCAGTAGAACTTTGCCTGTGCATCTGGTGTGCAGACACCCTTAATACCAGTAACCTGCCAGTTCAAGATTGCCATAGCCACAGTGGTCGAGATGATGGTCGCAATCGTCTGAGCGGCGAACATGATGCGTGGTGGGACCTTGGAGTAGTGGCCAAGCTTGAGATCTTGTGCGAATGTCAAGGCTCGAGCGGTCGTGACGTATCCGTACGACTTGAACATATTCATGGCGAGAGCATTTCCTGGGAAGAGGAGACCACCAATGAACTCGGCGAGCACATTGAGCGTAACTTGCATATTCGTCACAGCGTAGATGACACTATGAACAGAAATGAGCAAATGTCGTAAAGTGCATTAGCAACTCACCCAATAGGGACGACGAAGACAAAGGCGAGCGCAATACCCATGAACAGTGACCCGACGGTGGCATGAGTCGGGAAGGCCAATAGAGCGATCAAGCCCAATGTAATGGCGGCCAGAAGGAGGATGCCATACCACCATTCGGGAACCTCGGGGTAAACCGACATGAGGCGGTTGTGGACGTCGCGTTGGTAGGCTTTGGGGTTGTGACGGCGAATGAGAGATTTGAAACCACGAACGATCTCATGGCGGTGGTAGAGGTAGGCGTAGACGATCGTAGCCGGGTAGATGGCGAAGAAGACGCCGTACAAGAATGCATTTGAAGCCGAGAGGTAGAGAGGTGAGTAAGCTTCGTAGGCAGCTTGGTCGAAGAGGCCATCCTCGTTGACAATGCTCGTGACCTTGTACCGCGCGCCAAATCGATCGTATGGCTTGTTGATGTTGATGGGCATGTAGGCAGTATACCATACATTATACACCCAGAGTGCCACAATAATTGGCAGTGTCAGAAGCTGTTTTCATTCAGGTCAGTTACGTCTTCGCATTCGAGCACATGGAACGCACCATGCCGACAAAATTGTTCAGGGTCGTAAAGAATGGCGAAATAAGCGGAGTAGCGGTCGCAATCACAACATTCCAGTCAAACGTCGGGATCGGGTTCAAGCCTAGACCCGACTGCGAGCCCGTGATGGCCGCAAGCTTGACGTTGTCGGGAGCAATCCAAGTCATCCAGGAGAAGTAGGACAAGAACGCCGCGATGTAGTTGGGGAACCAGAAGTAGACGAACATGCCCCCGAATGCATACAGGAAGAAGCGCAGCTGCGACACCTTCCATCCATTGGCAGTTGGGTTAACCTCGGCGTGGAAAGAGTTGTTGAGCGCGATTGTGGCCAGGTTCCGAGGCCAAATGGCTGCGGACGGGTAGACGAGGAAACGCCTGGAGAGACCGGCAAGGCCATAACCCATGAGCTGGAAGGAAAGCGAGAGTGTAACTGTGAAACATCAGTAAGCGCTCTTTCAAAGGGTGTGAGGAGCCAAGCAAGAGGCCTCAGGGCAGCATAGATGAGCCAGGAAGGCCAAGGAGTGTTGATGTCGTAGAAAAGGAAACGCCACGCACTCTGGTACAGGAAGCTCTTCGCCCACTGCTGGTTGAAGAAGGTAGGTACCAGCTGCACGACGATAATGTATCCAGAGTAACCGACATCAAAAGAGACATTCGCCATAACAGTGATAAGCATGTGCTCCTTGCGCGTAAACTTGCCAGGGTTGATGAACGAAGGCATCCATTCGCCCCAGTATTTGCCTGCGAGTAACACATCAATGAGCGTGTCCGCTTGATCGAATGGGCGAGGGAAATGACGACTAACCGAGGGGATATGCAAGCAGCTGTGCTACGATCTGATCAACGTAGATCGAAGGCTGGCGAAGGGAGAAGAGCTGGTTGATGAGTGCGCCAAAGCACGCGAGGATGATACCGATCGTCCAAGAGCGCACAGTGCTGCATGCCTCGTTGGGATCATCCGTGGGTGATACGACGGCACGAACTTCCACATAAGGAGAGTCGTTGACGATAAGAGCAGCTTCCATCTTGACCTCTTTGAGGAGTCGCTGGTAGTGAACGGGGTCCTCCTTGACATGTGGGTTCTAATACTCGATTAAATATACAAAGAAGGGCGTCTAGTGAATGACCAACCTCGGTGAAGTCGCGAGCAAGTTCAAGGACTCTGGAAGGGAAAAAGGGATCTTCATTGTGTCAGCACGACGCTGCAACGACCGTTGACTACGACATACTATGGCGATGCTCCTCGAGAATTTCACGCATAATCTCTTCTGCTTCCTCATCAGAGATAGCCTCTGCTTGCTGGAACAGGAGATCGGCCTTCTTCTCGTCGACAATATCGAGCTCAGCCGCGAGGGCATGGCGAACGTCTTGGTTGAAAAGCTATAAGCAATTGTTAGCATGCTATTGGGTAAAATGTACCAGTGAGAGTGGGTGCGGGGGCCGTACCTCAGGCTCGCTCTGCCCAGCCTTCTCGAGGGAGTCTTTGCTGGATGTCTTTTCGTTGAAGGACATGTTGCGAAATGTGTGACCTGGGGCGCACCAAGCGGCGGAAACGCAGCGCTATTGGGGTGGCGAGGGGAGGGGGAGATTGCTCAAGGAAACGCAAGCATGCTTCGGATGCAGCCTTTTATCACAAAGAAGAGGTGCATTGTACCGACGCTCCAAGGCGAAACCAGCGTGGCATACATTGGCAGGAGTCGAGGAACAGATTCGCAGAGGAAGCAAGGAGCAATGTGGTGGTGACAATCGATGCGCATGGACCCAACAAAATAGATAGCGAGGAAGCGTCGAAGTCTCAGGTAGAGAGCCTTATCGTGCAGCCACACCACATGCTTCGCGGAACCGGTGGGCATACAACATCGCGCGGTCACCTTGCGGGCCTGACGGCGTCGGGAATTGCGTTGTCCGGACCATCTACGACCGGAGCTGGACCTTGGGTGGTTGAATGGATGCAAAAAATAGACACGGTACGTTTCTGAGCGTTGATAACTCGGTGGGACGGCGTCATCACGAGCAGGACATGGCCATGTGCTCGTCCATAGAACGTGACAAGGGGCGTAGGCTCGCTACGGAAGATCAGTAGAACACCATTTGGCGTATGGGATACTCGGTATTGCGTGGTTGAGAAGCTTCGCTACCAATCCGCTCGGAGGCCGGTAGAATCTGAAAAACGGGTCCACACGAGACCACCTCGCGGAAGAAAGATGGTGCCAATCCTATCTTAATCTGCCTCTAGAATTAAAATAGCCAATTGCATTGCGCTGTCTAGGCCTCATCCTCGCCCACGACCACGGTTGCCCCTTGTCATCACACGACCACCGCGAGCTATCGCATGCATCCCATTAATACTTGCGAAGGTTCCACGAGGCCAGTTAGATACTCACCTGGTCCACCACCGCGCCCTCCTCCCCGTCCACCTGAAAAGACCGTGTCAAAAGTCTTCCAGAACTACCCGGCGAACACACCTCTTTGACCACCAGAGCTACCTCTGTTGGCTTCTCGAGCCTTTTGCTGCTCCTCTTTGACCGCGTCTAATAATGCGGGCTGTACTTGTAGATACTTGATCTGGATGGACAATTATGGACTTATCACCTCCACGGGATCAAATATCAACGCACTGTACTCCCACGAATGTAGACCTCCTTCAGCTTCCAAAATCGATCGCTGTCTGCCGCGGTTTGATAGACTTCGCGTAAAGTAATGTTCATAAACGCGTCACAGTCGATCAAATGTCCGTTAAAACTTTCACCATTCTTCAGTTCCACCATCTGAACCCCAGTTCACGTCATTAAAACGAAACACCTTGCGTATCTGGTTCGTCGTACCATTGGCTTGCCTTGTGCTGCTTTCAACAGCGAAGAAGGCAGCTATTCCACGGGTCTTATCAGACTTGGGGTGTATTCGGGAGGTTCACTCACCATTTTGCAGTCAAGTTGGATACCAAGGCCCAACTTGGAGCGCGCCACGCTCACCCATTGGATCCAATGTCCTCGATGAACAAGAGAATGCAAATATTCGAGGTCTCAATCTTTTGCTTATAGATTCGTGCGGTCCGTTGTCCGTACTCGATCGGGTATGCGTTCAGCCCGTGAGGCTCCAAGGTACTGGGGTTTTCTTGTCTGTTTCGGAGACAGGGTCGGAGTATGTCACACATGGTTCTCATCAAGGTGAGTGGCGACCAGTGCTCCATATGGTCGTCCGGACTTTTTGGCTTGCGACTTATCGGAACTCAAACCGGAAGATATAAATTGGTGCAGTCACTCATTGAGCTACGTGCACGATATGGTGGCATTCTGTGCTTGATTCCACAATGTCGGTCCCAATGAGCCCAATATGCGCCATCGCTCCAACGCTCGGCCCAGTTATCCTGACATACGAGATCTCATTTGGTGGGCCTATTTGAGCACTACACAGGCAATGAAGAGTCTTTCCCATCTTGCGACGTCGCTGGTCATGGCTTCCTAATCCCTTATCATGTCGCCGCTGCTATAGGATGATCGCTGCTCATATCTTTACTATTCCCGGACACTGCGAGAACCATATACGACAGGACTGGTACTCCAAGATCGGCGGGGAGTCGCTAAATGGTGATAGAAAGGGGATTTCAGTCTCTTTTGGACGAGGTTTAGACGGGCGGGACCTGAGGGCTCTTGCGAGGTTGATCAGTTTTTCACCCTACCGACATAGAGCACTGGCTGATCATGTCGTTTTTATTCCAGCTGACAGCTTACAGCCTCTGTGTCTCTACTTGCTCATTCGCCGCCGTTTCACTTCGAAATCCCGAGGCAGCCCGTACTTTGTGTTCTCGTGCGGGTTTGTGCCGGATTGAATCTTACCAATGTTCCTTTACTCCTGGAGACGCCAACCCTGCACATAGACTCACCTGCGCAATTCTCTCTCCCGTCGTGTTCGGTTGCGGACAAACGAGTACCTGTAAGGGCTGACTTGCCATAGAATATGGGCTGACGCACCGTGTAGAAATTGCATCATTCCTACTGCACTACCTCTGCTGTGCCATATTGTTTGTCGACCCATTCAAGATGGCAAGAGGCTGAACAAGCTTACATTGCCTCAATTTGAGTAACTTGGAAAGGGAATCTTAATTTGATATTTGTGGGTAGAATTCAGATCTTATGTTACTGAGCCTGCAACTTGATGGCGGAGCCTATCTCTGCTCGAGCCCTATAAAACGGGATTGCAGCCCACGTCCACCAGGTGCGAAACTCTGCTCATTCCGATGATCCTCAAGAAAACGTACTCAGAGTCCTTCCCAGAGGGATATGGTGACTGCGCTCTCGAATCTAGTGATGGCGTCATCTTTCACTTTCCTCGCTCTCTCCTCATTCACTCGTCGACATTCTTCAAAAGTACGCTCGACACGGTTCCTTCCACTAGTACACAACAGCCAAAGGTGTCGATCGAGGAGAAATCATCACTTGTCAAGCTCTTGCTCGTTCACATCGATCCAACTATGAGCAAACCCCACGTTACGGAGGAGACCATCGAGCCCTTACTATCGCTGTCTCTCAAGTACGGCGTGCCGCACATCCAACGATGGCTGACAGAGTGCATGCTCACTGGCCGAGTCGACCCCGTGACCGGACAAGAGACACCAGCCCTAATACGAAGCAAGCCATTGCTCATCCTTCACTTTGCAGATAAATACGATCTTAAAGATGTTGGTAAACAGGCTTTGCGCGAAGTTCTCAAATGGCCAGAGGATGAACTGGAGGAAGGAATGGAGTCTCTTCCTAGGCCGCTAGAAAAATATATAAGAGGGGTCCGGAAGGAGCGAACCAAAAGATACCAAGAGTATATCGACTATCTTGTTATCAAAGCGACCGAGTTATCTTGCTCGGACTGTGCCAGCAACCGGAACGAGCAGTTTGTGAACCTCGAGCGCGTGGCTCACGAACGGCCTTGCTGGGATGCATTTGTGGCAGCGATGAGCTGGGAGACTTCACCGTGCGATGATTGCTGGATGAATTCACTCTTACTCTATCCAGCCGACTGGCAGATGGAGTGCACCGAAGTCGAGCAAGCGCTTCCAGAATGGCCACTATCTGATATTCCCTCCCTCCGTAGCCTTGATGCATGTTCCAAGTCAGTCAGCCACGCATTCAACGAGTATGCGTGCACGCCTTGACAAGATCGCACGAGGTTAGAGGAAGGTGTAATCTGGACAGTACATGCCGCAATAAACCTTTGCTTGTAGACTTGATGAGACATTTAGACGTACTCTTTAATCTTCGCCCTGACCCTTGACCCGCGCTAAGCTTGTAGAGAAGCGTGTACTGCTGCTTTTCTGGAGTGAATGGGATTGCTGTGGCGTGCTGGACTTCAGACAACACGTCAATTTCGGGCCGCACAACTCTCAGCTCCTCGTCTGAAGTTTGGACCGTCTCTCGTCCAACCCCAATTCATCGCCGCCCGTCTTTTCGCTAGAAAGGCCATTATGAGCGACTCTGAATCGGAAAACTATGATATTAATAGCATTTCTGATGGCTCAGACTCGGAAGGATACGCGTTACCCGTCAAAAAGGCGAGTTGGGACGCGTTTTTCACGCGTTGGGTGCGATAAAACGTGTGAGCTCATCTAACACTCTCCTCACAGAAAGCAGTTGCGCCCGCAATAAAGGCAAAACCTGCCGCCGCACCGAAAAAGGCCACGGCGGCAAAAGCACCGGCCAAGTCGCGCGTTGCATCAACAACAGTGAAGAAGTCCAAGGCATCCAAGAGCGCAAACGGGACGGATATGGATGTAGACGACGAGACGAGCAGTCGCGGCCACGCCGACAACAGGTCTGATGTTGAAGTCGCGCCCAAAGCCAAAGCAGCGCCAAAGAAAAATAAGACAGTGACTGAACAGTATCAAAAGGTTCGTAGACCTACGCTTGGGACTGGATCATCGCTAAGATCATTGGGTTTCCATAGCTCAGTCAAGTCGAGCACATTTTGCAACGTCCAGATTCTTATATTGGTAGCGTTGAGCCAATCACGCAAGCTATGTGGGTTTATGACTCGGAGAACAAGCGAATGGTCCACAGGTTAGCTCCCCACATTTGGACTATATGTGGCAAAGGCTAAAACACCGATAGGGACGTGCGATATGTTCCTGGTTTCTTTAAGATCGTAGATGAGATTCTGGTCAATGCGGCCGATAACAAGGTATGCTATTTCTCATGGTTGTCGACAAGGCCTCACGATCTGCAGGTCAACGACGAGTCCATGGACACGCTCAAGGTCACCATAGACGTCGAAGAGGGCATAATTTCCGTCTATAACAACGGTCGTGGTATCCCTATCGCCATGCACGAGACGGAGAATATGTATATCCCCCAGCTCATCTTTGGCAACTTGCTCACCTCATCCAACTACGATGACGACGAGAAAAAGCTCACTGGTGGTCGTAACGGTTATGGTGCTAAGCTCGCCAACATTTACTCTCACGAGTTTACGGTGGAGACGGCGTGCCGAGACGGAAAGGGATATGATGCGGCCAAGTATAAGCAAGTTTGGACGAACAATATGTCCAACGTAAGCAAGCCAAAGATTTCCGCAAATCCGAGGGACGAAGAATACACTCGTATCACCTTCCGACCCGATCTTGCACGCTTCCATATGGACAGCATCGATGAGGACACACTTGCGTTGCTTCAGCGACGAGTGTACGATATGGCTGGTACTATGAAGACGACCAACGCCGAGGGGAAGAAGCACGGCAAGGACGTCAAAGTCTATCTCAACAACGAGCGCATCGGCATCAAGTCATTCAAGCAGTACGTCGAGATGTATGTCTCATCTGCCGCAGATAATGCTGCAGAGCAGTCTGGTGCCGCTTCAGTAAAGCAGACAGTGGTTCACGAGCGCATCAATGACCGCTGGGAGGTCGCCTTCACCATCTCCGATAGCGGCACGTTTCAACAAGTGTCGTTCGCCAACTCTATTGCGACTATCAAAGGTGGCACACATGTTGCGACTGTAGCAGACCAGATTGCCAAATCACTGCTCGCAGCTGTTCAGAAGAAGAACAAGGCGGCGACGGTTAAATTGCCTCAGATCAAGAACCACATGTGGCTCTTTGTGAATGCGCTCATCGAGAATCCGACATTTGACTCGCAGACCAAAGAGACGTTGACTTTGCCAGCAAGCAAGTTTGGAAGCAAGCCGACACTCTCCGAGGACTTTATCAAGCGAGGTACATCCTATTGATATGCATAAAATGGTGCTAATCAGTGCATAGTTGGAAAGACGAGTATCATTGACAGCATCCTCAACTGGGCCAAGTACAAGGCAGACCAGCAGATCAAGAAGACTGATGGTACAAAGCGTAGTCGGTCAGTGCATTGCATGCGCGTCACATGGTTCACAGTCACTCATAATTTTCCCAGTCTTAATGGAATGACAAAGCTTTGCGATGCTAATAATGCTGGCTCGCGCAATGGTTCAGCTTGTACTCTCATCTTGACCGAAGGAGACTCCGCCAAGGCGTTGGCTGTTGCCGGACTCTCGGTCGTTGGTCGCGACAATTTTGGTGTCTTCCCGCTACGGGGAAAGCTACTCAACGTGCGAGAGGCGAGCCACGACCAAATTATGAAGAACGAGGAGATTCAGAACATCAAAAAGATCATGGGTCTGCAGCATAACAAGGATTACAAGTCAACTGAGAGCCTGCGTTATGGCAGACTCATGATTATGGCCGATCAGGTATGCATAATTTCCCAGGGTGTGGGCAAGTATTGAGATTGTCCGAAAGGATCACGATGGTTCGCATATCAAGGGCTTGCTGATCAATTTTTTCGACCACTTCTACCCATCGCTGCTCAAGCTTCCCGAGTTCTTGGTTGAGTTTGTCACACCTATCGTCCGCGTACGTTTAAGAGTGCCAATGGAACGTTCATGCTGACATGAGTTTGACAGGTCAAACATGGCAAAACGTACAAGAACTTCTTTACCATTCCGGAGTATCAGCAATGGGCAGAGGCTCACGCCCACATTTCGGGATGGACCGCCAAGTACTACAAAGGTCTGGGTACTTCAGAGGACCAAGATGCCAAAGCGTACTTTAGCGACATGCCAACACATATGATTCCATTCTCCAAACTCCGAGAAGAGGACAGGCAGCTCATCGACATGGCATTCAGCAAGAAGAAAGTTGAAGAACGTAAAGAATGGCTCAGGAACTTTGTGGTCCGTTCATTTCGTCTTAGGCTGGAACAAGATTTGACGCATTGTAGCCCGGAACCTATCTCAATCACAATCGTGATGAGATTCCTTACAGCGAATTCATCAACAAGGAGCTCATTCTGTTCTCCATGGCAGACAATGCGCGCTCCATTCCGTCTATGGTAGATGGTCTTAAGCCTTCTCAGCGCAAAGTCGTTTTTGCGTGCTTCAAACGTAAATTGAAGGGCGAAATTAAGGTATTAGACACCCAGCTTTATGTGTTAATGGCTCACGCTACTTCTAGGTCAACCAGTTGATGGGTTACATCGGCGAACACACGGCGCATCACCACGGCGACGCTTCACTCCATCAGACTATCGTCAATTTGGCGCAACACTTCGTTGGCAGCAACAACATCAATCTGCTCTATCCTGCTGGTCAGTTTGGTACTCGCGCCGCCGGAGGCAAGGACCACGCCGCTGCCCGTTATATTTCTACGCGCCCGGTCGACCTTGCTCGCAAGATCTTCAACACATCTGATGACGCTCTTCTCAACTATTTGACGGAGGACAATCTTAAGATTGAGCCTGAATGGTACATGCCCACAGTGCCGCTCGTATTGATCAACGGAGCGGACGGTATTGGAACTGGTATATTTATTGGTGCAGATCCAAGCCAGCTTTGACATATTTCCAGGATGGAGTACATCGATTCCAAACTACAACCCAGTCGATATTGTTGCCAACATCCGTAGACTCATGAAGGGAGAGCCACAGGAGCCCATGACTCCGTGGTACCGAGGGTTTAAGGCAATTTATTCCGAGTGTTATATTGCCGTTCTGCTGATTCGTTTCCCAGGGCACTATCGAGAAGGCTGATAACAAGGGCAAGTATACCTGTACTGGGATAGCACGAGTCATCGATAGCAAGACGGTCGAAATCTCAGAGCTGCCCATCCGAAAATGGACGGATGACTACAAGAAGCAGCTTGAAGATTGGGTCATTGGTGCGGAGAAAGATAAATCCGACAAAGACAAGGAGAAGGGCAAACCTTCTGAGACCTTCATCAAGGTATTTCTATTCGCCTGGTTACATAGCACTGGCCTCTGATAACTGCCCACAGGACTATCGCGAGTATCACACGACCACGAGTGTCAGTTTCGTCGTGACCATGTCCGAGAAAGACGTTGCACGCGCAGAAAAGGAGGGACTAGAGAAGTTCTTCAAGCTCACAGCCTCGATTAGCACGTCGAATATGATCTGCTTTGACAGCGCGGGCAAGATCCACAAGTATGAGACGCCAGAAGACATCTTGGAGGACTTTTATCACTTACGTCTCCAGTGGTACGCCAAGCGCAAGGTATGATAACCCCCTCTGTCTCCTACCCGGATTGATGCCTCTGTTAGCAACACGTTTCGAACGAGATGGAGCTCGAGTTGGATCGCCTTAATAACCAGGCGAGATTTGTTCAAATGATTGTCGACAAGAAACTGGTTGTCGCGAACCGCAAGAAGGAAGATATCGTCAAGGAACTCCGCGAGCTCCAGTTTACACCGTTCCCGAAGTCCCCCAAGACGAAGAAGCAGGATGATACGGAGGCTGTTGTCGAAAACGACATTGACGAGGACGACGTGGCTGTTATCAAAGGCCTGCCATCCAACTCTGACTTTGACTACTTGCTTGGAATGGCCATCTGGAATCTCACTCGAGAGAAGGTCCGTGACCTGGACTATTCATCTTCGAGCACTAACCACTAACCACTATTTTGCAGATCGAGAAGCTTAGAGCGAACGCCAAGGAACAGGAGGACAAACTTCTCGCTTATCTCAAGCTTACACCAATCGACTTATGGAACTCCGACTTGGATCAGTTCCTCGAGGGTTGGGAGGTGTGTGGCATACTCTTTCTTTGACTATCCTAACGTCCGCATAGGCCGTCATTGAGCAAGATATTGCAGAGGAGCAGGGCAACAAGCCGAAGAAGAAGGGCACAACGATTAAGACTCGCAAGTCGCTGGTTCGTAGGAAAAACGGCGATTACGGCGACAGTGACGACGAAGACTTTGCTGCTGCGGCCAAGTCCAAGAAAGCAGGCTCAAGGAAAAATGAGGATGAAGGTCCAAAGAGGACAGCTGCCAGCAAAGCCAAGATAGCGGCCGCGGCAGCAGTCTTCGGTGCATCTGACAACGACGAGGATGAGGATGAGGATGAGGAGCCGCGACGGAACAGGATATCGCTGGTCGCATCTCGTTCAGAACCGTCAGACACGGAAATGAAGCCTGCTCCCAGGGCAGCTCCCAAGGCGGCTCCCAAGAAGGCTACTGCTCCCAAGAAGACTGCTGAGAAACGGAAGAGGTATGCATTCTTCACATCATGGAACAGATACTAACATCTGAATGTAGTGATGCTATGTCTCTGGATGGCTCAGATTCGGAGGTATACGTGAAGCCTGCGCCGAAGAAGAAGCAAAAAACCCTCGATCAGTTTATCTCGAAGCCAAAGGCCACCAAAGCCCCGACTGCGAAGAAGCCACCCCCGGCTCCCAAGAAGACCAAAGCGATCCTTAGCGACGAAGACGACGATTCGGACCCAATCTCATCAAAACCAAGGACTCCTCCACCAAAGAGAACAGTAACTGCGAGAGCCGGAGTCGCGAAGAAACCCGCCTACGTCGATTTGACTTCCGATGATGAGGATGGCGGAGGTGGAAAGATTGCTGATGAGACGCAGGACGCGTTCGAGCTATCCGATTGATTTATATCTGCACATGTTTTGTATATTAGCGCTCCCAGCTGAGAATCCCAGGCAATACCTGTCCAGCCGCCCTGCGCGCTTGTGTTGAACCTGTCTTGACCCTCTTTTTTTCTCGTTCGCCAACACTGTATCAATTTTCAACAAGGAAGAGGGGAATAAAAGTGCTATAATCATGGCTACAGCCGTTCTATCGACAATTCCGTGCGTTGCAGGCTATCATCAGTTGTTCACATAGCCGCCGACTGACTTATTCCATGGCGGACAGGGTCCACAAAGAAGTTGCGCTCATCGACGACCAGATTAAGATCCTGGATGACGAGTTGGCTGCGTTGGAAAAGCGTCGCCTGGAGATCGAGCAAGAAAAGGAAGAGCTCAACAAGTCCCGTATTGCTGCGCTCTCGAGGACGGCACCCATCAATCGAATGCTCCCAGAACTCCTCAGCAGTATTTTTGAATATGCTGTGGATGGTGAAGATCCGCTTGGCACCGAGCTCCCGCTTACGCTGGTCACCATCTCCCACCTTTGGAGGAAAGTGGCTCTTGAGACGCCACGTGTCTGGGGACGTGTCGTCCTCAAAGTCGAAGACGAGTCGGAAGCAAGGCCGATGCTCCGACGTGCGCAAGCCTTCCTCGAGCGAGGAAAGGTCACGCCAATCGATGTCTTTTTCGACATTTTGCAATGGGGCCGCAACGACGATCGACAAAGTATGGTTAAAGAGATGGTGGATATGCTCGTGGGACACATCGAAAGATGCACTCGGTTCATCGTGCGAGTGCGCGAGGAGGACGATGTCAAAGCCGTCCTATCAACATTTCCCTCGCGATTCCCAAAGACTCTCGCCGAGTTTTCCCTCGAATCACGGGAGAGTGTCCGTTTGGACATGCCCGTAATGCCCAACTTGGCCTCATTGTCCCTCGACGACGTTGGGCCTCGAAACGGATGGACGTCAGAGCATCTTCAGCACCTGAAGTCGATATCGCTGCGCTACTTCAGACCAATTCAATTCGACTCTTTCCTCACCGCCCTTGAATCTGCCAAGGATAACCTCGAGGAGCTGCATCTCTCCAAGTGCGGGTTCTCCTTCGACTCAAATACATTCATGTTCTTTACCACCGATCGTCGGCCTTGCTTCCCGCGCCTCAGGAAAATCGGCATTACAGATATCAATGCGAGCGACGTAGGTCACACCTTGTAGCTATGCATATACTCACTGTTGCCAGACGGATGTCCTTTTTGACGCGATTGAGGCTCCCGCTTTGGAGCACCTCTTCATCGGGATGGAGAACTCGCGCCTCCGTTACTTCAAGTTCATGGATTCCGACGCGGGGACTTCTTTGCGTCGATGCAGAGTGAAGAAGCTTGAGATTGAAGAAGCGCAAATTGAGGGTGCGGAGACTCGCGCCCTTCTTGTTCTTCTCAAAGCCGCTAGTCACTCTCTCGAGGATCTGAGCATCAGTGGTGGTGAACTCGACTCGCGATTCTTCCACGCCATGCAAGTCGAACCATCGATGCTGCCCCACCTACAATTTCTTTCTATCAAAAAGCTCTCCGAGTTCACCGGACGAGAGCTACTCCGGATCATTCGTGCCAGGCAAGGTCGCGATGGTATTACTCCACTATCGAGCATCTGCGTTGAGCGTTGTCGATCATACGAACACGATGTTAGTGACGCACTCAAGACGATGGACATCAAGTTCAGTTTTATTCCTTACTAGAGGGTGGCTTCGCGGATGGTTTGGTACTCTAATGCGGCGGTCCTTCGTGTCAGGTCTTGTAGATTATTTAATTGTTCACCGCATTAGAATGTTTGAATACGAACATCATTCAATCGTGGCAAATACATGAAATTCTGGGCATGAGTCCATAATGTGAGGAAAAGTGCCGGCCTATCTTAGACGGCGGCTACAATCACAATAAGATTGTTTCCCCTCGCGACAACCATCAAGATATCTGGGCCAAATAGGCGCAACTGTTGAGGGCCATTTGGTTATTGTGTGCAACGAGCCAGCTGATATTTTGAGACAGTAAATGCTGGATGGAACAGACAATAATAATAGGAAGAGAGGTTGTTCAGTCAAGTGCGTTAGTTGCACTTTTGAAGAAGTCAAGAACTAGAAAGACGAGCATTAGCACGTAGCGCGTGTTTCGAGCTATAAACTGACCTTCTCGGGGTGCATGCACCTGTTCTAGAGCAGGTCCCAGGAAGGTAGGCATCCTCCTAATTGACGGAACCAATAGCGTCACAGGGATGGTGTGCAAAAGCATCCGGTGAGAAAGCAACGTACAAATGGTCAGCCCGGTAGTTATAGAAAATATGTATCATGAGAAAGGAGACCAGACTTACGAGCCACCGGGAACAGAGATGTGATGTCCTTCACCGACCAAGGAAACGAGTCGCACTACCGGACGCAGCGCGTCCTCATCTTCCTGTCGTATCCAATCATCGACCACAAGGCTTGGCGAAAGTTTTCCAGGGTATTCAATGACCTCGTTCTCACTACCCCAGTTCCTCGCCAGATGTCGGGCCGTTCTAAGACAGCCCATGTGCAGGCCACGGTCGCCAAGAGCCTTTCCATGCGCAAGACGGACAAGCACAGAGTTTCCACCTTCGTATGGATTCACCGGGTCTGCCGTGCCGTGGATGAGAATGACAGGCACGCGACTGCCAGTCACGGGAGCAATTAGCCTCGAGGATCGACCTGAAAAACGGTACAACACCTCTTTTCTGAAGGGTTAAAGAGCACGGTGCTGTTTTCTTGCTCTGGGAGGGACGCGCAGTGCAACGCAATTCCAGCAATCGGTGGAGCCAAAGGTTCATAGAGCATCCGAAGGAGCAGATCTGGTTTCATAACGGTTTGCATTAGTTCGGATCTCTCGTATCTATTTACGTACTTCCACCATTCGAGAATCCAACTAGGAGCGTACGCTTTTGTGAGGTTCCAAGATGCTTTGCCGCGTGGTCGATAACGGCCTTGGTGAAAGATAAATCATCAACGTTCTCCAAGGAAGCTGGAAATACGGCTTTCACTCGACCATCGTTCCAGTTGCCTAGAAACTATGTCAGCCTTGGTTCAAACTAGGGGAAAGCCCGGAGAAGGGATGGATAGGTGGGGTAAAAAGTAAATGGTCAATTTATTTCGAATGGTTCTTCGTTCTTGGTTGGATCTATTGTCGATGCGGATCAAATAGCGCGAAGGGGAGAAATGTGCCGATCGATGAGTGGGTGACCCGAAGATGGATTCGTGAGAGGTGCAATCAGCAGTACTTGCCTCTGTAACCGTCTGGATATGCCACAATAAAGCCCTCTTCGCATGCAAGCTCATCGTATGCGTAGCTGGACGTCGACGCCCGAAAGAGCAAGCCATGCTCTGTGCTTCCGTGATAGGCAATTAATAGAGGAATATTCCCTTTTCCTCGTTTTGAGAGATGATTTGCGTTGGGAACGAAAAAGTGGACATCTCGATGTAGCTTCCCCCCACGATGGGGCACGGCAAGCGTCTCACTCCTGATCTCCCCGCCCATACGAATCCACGCAGGTGGGTTTATAGGTTCAGGACGACGAAGCATTTCCATGATTGAGGATGGGAGATGAACGTGTTCTGCGATAGGCTTGGTCGAGGGGGGATGGACAAGGGCCATGGTAGCTGGCGCAGAGACGGACTGTTGCATCATATATGCCAAGCTTCAGTCGTAACGAATTGTGGAAAAAGCGGTCCGGGAATAAGGTCAGCAACCGGCCAAGGGGGGAGACACTCGAGAGTCTGGTTCGTCACCGACGCGCTCAAACCGTGGATAATAATTGGCCGGGAAAACTCAAGTTGACTCTGCCGATGGGTCGATGGTTGGCGGAGGGGGATAAAACGTGATAGTCGTAGGGTCTCGTCCTTTAAAGCACCGTGGAGATGCCCTAGAAAGTGTCAAACACTTCGGTGACAATTCCCTTTTTCTGGCTGCAACAAGCTTCTACTCGCAGGAGACAGCCTCCGCATAATCACGGGAGCAATAGAGGGCGGGAGCAGAAACTTGTTCGGCGCCCTGCTCATTCGGCTGCAATCAGGATCGGCTTGTATTGGCCATTCCAGTCTCTGACAGGCTTAGCTTTACGATCAGTGCACAGCGCCAGTGGTGGGCCTCACGCTCGGACACGGGTGCAATGAGGCACCGCCCGAAGCTCCATTAGCCAGCCGCGAACCTGTCTTCTGGAAACTATTGGCCCAATTTATTACCTGCCGCAGATTAGACCTGCATCACGCGAGAAAAGCTTCCTCTCTCCTTTGTTTCCAAGTATGATACAATACTATTGGAGATAAAATAGCCTCCGAAATGCCACGAATTACCGTCAGCGAAAAAGTTCCGATAGTATTCAGCATTGTGAGAGGATGGCCACTCCTCCGATTGGATTATTGAGCAAGACCAAACCAAAGATACGAATCCTGTATGGCAGGTCACATCGTAGCTTCAATTCAGGCAAATTTAATTATCAGAGAGCTCCTAGTTCGTGGTGTTTAATCGTCCTTCGTTAGGGATCTGATGCCAATCCTATCGATAGACATGATAACGTCTCAAATTAGTCAATCTGGTCAACTTGTTTGGTTTGGAAACAGCTCTGTATGGACTTGTCACCCTCTGAGGCTATGGGCAGCATAAGCCCCTTCCTGCACAAGGGTACCCAAAGTCCAGCTCCGACAGTTAGATTTATTATGTGAGTCATAACCTGGATTTGATTCTTGTACTGGCTTTGGTGTATCGAGTTTAGCATTCCATTCCATTCGAGGCCTCTCATGAGGGATACTACTTTAATTAATGAGGATTTTAGTTCTTGCGAACCGTTCTTGTGGTCCCGTTGTCGCGTATGCCGTCGTGCTTGAGTCTAAAGCTTGGAATATCACTTCAACTGCAGTTCGTACAGTCGCTAGAACGCTCCTGTACACAAGAACGAGCATTGTCAGGCTCTCCCTTTATCTGATTTGAAATCAAATTCTTCAGTTGTTTTCAACACTTCACATGACAAAAAGTGCCTATCAGAGCAAACCTATCGCCCAGTCCTATGATTCCGGGGTATGTCCGCCCTATCTTCGCTCTATATTTCTCGGCTAGAACCTTCAGTTACTACGTGTTTGCCAAACTTTATGATGGTAAACAGCCATCACGAAATCGTTCAGCAAGCTCATGCTCCATGCTCCGTGCTTGTTTCTTCCAAGTGCAGTATAGGTTATAACAATCTGTTGGAAAATGTACTCGGCACGCTGAACACGCTGAAGGTGCATTCCAATATGCTTGACGAAACGACTTCCAGCAAGGGGTGTCGCGTCCAGCTCTTTCCAGGGCCACAATCCATCTTGATCTAGCCCCATGACATTCGTGGAGATAACATGGTCCTGTGCAACTGATACTTGGATCCGTCGGTCCCCAATGACTGTTGATTTGGTCTACAAATCTGGCATAGATTCTGCCTCTTTTCTGCTTTTCATTGTGAATCCACAGCCCCCAGCGTTCTGGAATATCCAAATCCGCGTTCAGCAGCGAGGTATGGCACCCGATGACCATTTCCGCCGCGTCGTAAAGAAGCGGTATAAGTTTGAAATGTATGCAGCATCTGAGAACTAGTAGAGGATGTGATTGTAGTATGCACTTTGTTTTGACCCCCGTCAAATAGTTCGTTCGACTGGTGATTGCCGCCTCCTGGAACCAGTCACGGACTGCTGAGATTTCGTATCGGTCTGCGATAGAGAGGACATCAAATATAGTGTCTGGATCAACTTTTGGGTTCGATATCGATGGGTCAAGGATGTCAAGCACCTGACGAAGCACCTGGGCGGTCGATTCGACCCTGATTTGTCGGCAACCAGAGAAAGGTAGCCTATATATTTGAGTGTACATAGGTTGCAGTGATACATGATCAGTTGGTGGGGAAGGAGAAAACGGTGCCTTCATTTGAGGCAAGCCCGACCAAGTAACCCTTGGGCTGATGATACAGCTGGCCTTCGTATGGGGGCGGCAGAAAGCTTGCAAGGGAGGACGTGAAGTACATTTTTACTGCCCTATCAGCGTATTTTGTGGGTGTTATATGCATGCGAGAATGCACTGATCAATTGCCAGACTCCTCTGGAGTCTGAACAAACTCATGTGCACCTCGCAAAGTCATTGGATGTCGGCTATAATGATCTGAATGCATAGAGTTTACGATATGACTGATTACTGCGGGAACGCTGTAGAGAGTGCAGAAGATCCTTTACAGCCCCCTTCGCCAGTGCTGTCCTTATCTATTATTGCATTTAAGATCCATAACCCGTCGGAGAGGGAGCTCTATAAACTGAACAGGTTGCAGGAGCCTGCCATTCAGACGCAGGCCGGAAATAGGGGGGTATAATTACACGGCTCCAATATCATGCATCTCCATCACTAGTCGCCTCGGCCTTTGGCAGTGGCCAGTCCGGAAGAGCAACTTCTAATGCCCTTGTGTCGTTCTCCCACTTGTGCCATTCCCGATTAAAGGTCTCACTAGTTCCCTCCCACGGAATCGTCGGTGCATCACACGTGCACTTGACGATGCGCTGGATCATCTCCGCTCGAAATGTATCCCACGAAGGTTGATCGTCAATCTTGATGCACGCCTCGTGAAGATGTTCCGCTCGGAACCTTATGCAGTACGGGCAAGTGCTTCCACTCCTCAAGGCCAACAATTTGCCCTGGGGAGGTGTAGCTGCAGGGAGATAGAGGAGTGACTTTGCCTTTGCCTTGAGCCATATGGCTCGTGAGCGCCGTAGTTGGAGAATATACTGGAATAACACGCTAGGAAGCGTGCATCCTTGCTTGTTTCGCATCAGAACGTTTATATGACACCGGGCTAGCTCGCGCAGTGCCATGCGGAGCTCTTCAGTAAACTCAAATGCGTGCGCCAGTACAGCGACCGGGAGTGGATTAAGGATGATTAGGTTGATAGGCCGGTCGCCGTGCAGAATGGTCGGCGAAGTGAGGATAGCGCGAAAGCGGGAGATGAGTGCGGTGATATGGTACTTTTTCGACGCTTCAATGCACTCCCAGAGTGTTCCTATGGGGAGTGTTGGAGGTGAAGACATCTTTGGATCCAGGTAGGCCAAGAGCATGCGGAGAACGGCCGCAGACTCTGACAGCTTGACGGCCTGCTTGACTGAGCTGAATGAGGGTGCTATTTCGTACATGTCTTTGAAAACTGGCGAGGCGTAGCAGAGGAGTTGTCGGTTCACCGTGAAGCGAACGCCTTCTGAGGATTCAATGATCGCGTCGTCGGATGATCCAGACATTCCATGACATTTTGGTGTCCTAAAAGACATATTTTTGTGCCTGTGTGAGGTTCCGCGTCAAAAGTCTGGAATGGAAGATAACCGACAGAGGTTGTGGGATCTCACTGACCTCACTTGGATCTCTTTTTGTATCCTTGGATCAGATCCAGTGGCACAGATGTGGCACAATGGTCAGGCTGAACGGTACAGACTGCGCCAGACGCTCTCGCCATGCTCGCCTGCTGCAGCTCCTGAGAGGCTGCAGGGCCTACACGCCTACTCTTACAGCCATAACTCTAGGTTGAGTATACGCAGGGCCCTGAATACTCCATTGGGGCTACTTTAAGTATTGACCACGTAGCGGCGAGGTCGAAGTGCAAGTGGCTTACCTTGTGCCAAAGTGTGGGAAGACGCCTATATATACCCTCATAACTACAAAATGTAGAGTGACTGCAAGGCCTTGGTTCCAGAGATAAGTATAAGGGATACCAGACGTTGCGCGAAGGTGTCGGTGCGCTAATGGAATGCTCACAAAGCTGACGACTCACGGGCCGTGTTGTTGATTCCAAAACTGGAATTCTGATGGTTGGCATGTGGTGCTTACTGGAACAAGCGACAAACGCAAAATCGAGGAGCGTAAACATAGAACGGTCCGAGAAAATGAAGGACGATGTTGATCGCGCCTTTTACAATGTTACATACTCTAAAAATACAAGGGCGGAGACGTCTGTCAGGCCATGGGGAAAACGGAGGGATTCCCAGCGTCGCTAGGGGCCCCTCTTAACTCCGATCCTATCTCCAGGGAGATGTCGGTGACGACGGCGAGTGCAACCGTCGCCCGTCGTCAATTTAGAATTCGGCAGGCAACAGCAAGGCTCCATCAGCTACTAAAGGTCCGCCCGCTCTCTTGGACCCGTCCTCAACTCCTTTTTACACAGCAAACCTCTCGCCTTTCTTTTTCTTCGACTTTTACCTTTCTTTTATTCGCAGCCGTGCTGCTTGCACATTCGGTGAGCTCACCCAAACTTTGGCATCGTCGAGCAGTGGCTAACAACGACCTCGGCGTCGACGGAGGCCAGGTCATTCACTCCTTCCAGCACACTCTCTACGCTCTACTTTCAAGAAGAATATCCCATCAACCATGAAGCTTTCCCTCTCGCTCGCTACCGTCCTTACTCTCCTGCCGATGCTCGTCACCGCGTCCAGCTCGCCCTTTATCGAGCGTAGTATTCATGATACTGCCTATCTGGTTAGTTTTAATTTGGTTTCAATATCTTTGACACGTCTGACGAGCCGTTACCATCGCGAATTGATCATCATTAGCCGCGGGTAGCGCGCAGGTTTGGACGCAATCCCGACATATTTGGGCGCCAAAATAATGCAGCGGATCGTGCAGCTACCGCGCAACGCGCAGCGCAGCAAGCCGCCGCCCAAAGGGCCCAGCAGGAGCAGCAGGCCGCCATTGACCGCCAGCGAGCTGCAATCGCATCGTCTGCTGCCGCTCAGCAATCAGCGGCTGCTGAACGAAACCGCCAAGCCGACATTGCCAATGGAAACAACCGAAACGGTGGAAACGGAGGAAACCAGCAGAACAACAATGGTCAGAACAACAATAACAATAACGGTGCTACACGAACAACCTCTGCGGCTGCAGCTGCAACCACCACGGCCAATAACGGAGGCAATAACAACGGGAACAACAATAACAACAACGGAGGGAACAACAACAACGGAGGAAACAACAACAACGGAGGAAACAACAACAACGGAGGAAACAATGGTGGAAACAATGGTGGAAACAATGGAGGAAACAACAACAATGCCATCAGTAAGCACTCTGCGCCCTCGGTCGCTCGTACTAACGATTGCAGCACTTGATCCCTCCCTCGTCGCATCCAACCTCGCAAAGACTGGACAAGAGACGCCAGCGGCCGGTCAAGTCGCATCTCTTACGTCTACGAACAACTTTCTCAACTTTTGCGCTGGAAAGACGATCACCAACGGCCAGCAGATCACCACGGGCTCATGCAACCCAATTCCAATCGGCGATGTTGCGCCCAAAGCAAACATGCCTTCGTGCAAGTTTGTGAACCCGATCAACTTTTCGACTATTCCAGCCAACAGGGACTTCACGATCCAGATGAAGTTGAACAACCTCCAAGCGGGCGTGTTCACGAATGCGCAAAGACGTACTATATGGCTCCGCAACAGCTGAATGCTCAAGGTGATATCATCGGACATACCCAGTACGTGCTCCTTTATAGTGTCTAGCTCACAGATAACTCATGCATTTGTGTAGCTTTGTCGTTCAAAAGATGGGTGCGTTTGACGACCCGACCATCCTCGACGCCGGAACGTTCCAGTTCTTCAAGGGTATCAACACCGCTGCGGTCAATGGCATCGTGTCGACTACGGTCACCGGTGGTATTCCCCCAGGCAACTACCGCCTTGCGAGCATCAACACGGATGCTAACCATGCTCCGGCCATCGTCGCTGTTGCTCAACACGGTTTCGTGGACGACATGATTTACGTACGTCTCCCCCCTTTCGTCCACCTCTCATGCTGACGACTACTTCACAGTTTACTGCCGAGTAAACGTTCACCTCACTGTTCGTTTCACATTGCATTGTATTCTCGGCTAGCATCGTTATAAACCCCAATGTACAACACTGGCGACCGTTCCTAGTACCCCCGACTTCCGCCCTTCTTTCCTTCCGCTTCGCTTCTTGCCTTCTTCATTCTTCTTTTTCATCGTTTTCCTAGATCAGTATTGGGCTCGCTGGAAGTTGCTCGCTAGACGCTGCTCCTCCCTTTCCATTTCGCACCCCGATACTTTCCTTTGAGAGCCGTCACCTTTTGCTGTGTATCGTCCTTTTTTTTGCAATGGAAGTGCTCATTACCGTTGTGAAGACACTGTTTCGCTTTAGCCTCAACAAGGAATGAGATCCGAGGGCGTAAAGCCAGAGCCTGGCGGGCGGACAAGCACTTGGTCCCTATCACTACATACAACCATACTATCGCTTGCTCAAGTGACCGAGCCTTCCATCATGGATATTAGCTTCACAGAGGAAACTCAAAGATATGGCCCCGGATACGGCGACTTTGTCCTCCAATCCAGCGATGGAAAGGACTTTCACTTTCCACGCGCCATTCTCGCCTTTACCTCTGGCTTCTTCAAAGACATGTTCGATCTTCCGAACTCTTCGACAGCAGAGGGAACTCCTGAGAAGCTACTCGTCCTCGCTGAGTCTAGTCAACTCGTTCAGATGCTGTTGGATGTTATCAATCCCAACGTGCCCCTTCCTCCACTAGATACATCCACGATCGTAGGGCTGCTGGAAGGAGCGCGCAAGTATCGAGTCCCTTGTGTCTTCCGTTGGTTTGAGAAGGAAGCCATTAGAAGCCAGGTGAACGAGAAAACTAGGGAGGAAACTCCCGCATTGCTTGATCAATACCCAGCCTTCGTTCTTGCTTGTGCAAACCAGCATAATCTTCCTCAAATCAAACGGTTGGCAATTAGAGAGCTGGTGAAAAGACCATCACTCCTTCTTGATGAGGATGTAGACTTACCTCCCAGGCTGTACCGGTGTATATTGCGAAGCAACTGCCAACGGCTGGAGCTCTATACCTCCTTCATTCTTCAATGTACTGACCTTGAACAAGGGAGTTTGAAGACTGGGCCACTTCAGAAATGTGATTTATGCCCAAATAGCAAGGCTAAATGGCTCTTGAAAATGACACTTGACATCAAAGAGCTAACATGCTGGTCTCGTTTCATCGAGCGTTGGAATGATATAGGCGCATGTTCTAGTTGCGGTATGGACTGGCGGGCTTATCACAAGAGAGGACTATACCGCTTGGAGAACGCAGCTAAACACCACGAAACCCATACACCGGACTGGTTATTGTAACCAAAGGGTGCGATATTTAATCTACAACCTACGATTGTATGACACATAGAATCATCAATAAAATTGTTCTATAAAAATATTGAGCGTACAATGTTAAACGATGAAGCTAGTCGACATCCATACTATCGTCCTCCCCTGAACCTTTCGCATCCGCCTGAGTGGTCGGAGCGCTGGCAGCGCCCCAGAAGTTCCTGAGGCTACTCCATAGGCCAGTAGTCTTGACTTGCATTTTTGAAGCGGGTGGCGCATCGACCTCCATCGACGAAGAGGTGGCAACGCTCCCTTGGCGAGGCTCAGTCTTTGTCGACGGCGCTGCAGAGTCTGATGCAAGAGATGGTGAAGCCACTGGAGCCTCATCTATCGCCTTTGGCTTGACCTCTTCAGCAGGTGCGGCGGGTTTGGCCTTCTTTGACTGTTTTGATCGCGGCTTGCGAGGCTTGGTGATTGAGTGAGTCCCTTCTGCATCTTGACTAGCCTTCTCGTCGTATAGAGGCTTAGCCTTGTGCTTTTCCCGTTTCTGCTTCCTCAGTTCGGCCAAGCGCTCCTCAGCACCTTCTGCAATCCCTCGCACGTCCATGAGGTATGCAATCTCCGTCTCTGGCAAGTATTCGTCAGGCGACTCGCCGCCATCGGGCTTGTAGACGCGCAAGTCGTTGGGTATTCTGTGACCACGCGGCAGATGCTTGCGTTTTGGGTGACTATCAGCGGGATTTTGATCAGTCGCTTGACTATCGGCTTCTCCGCTGCGGTCTGGCAGTTGTGCATGGTCCTCGACAGTCTCTTCAGCGCTAGAATTCTCCTCCTCGTCCCTTTGAGCATCAGGCTCAAAATCCGAACCTTCACTTTCAGAACGCGTAGTGGAAGTCACGCTGAGAGATTCTCCTCGAAGTTCCGCCGTTCTCTTTTTCGATTTGGAAGGCTTTTTGTGTGCCGTGTCCGCTTCCGCGTGCTCTAGGACCGATCCAAGGTCTACCACTTCCAGGCTGTGATCCAAGTCTTGCTCTTGTGCAGCCACCTTTCGCTTCTTGATGCTCCGCTCAGCCTCCTCGGGCAGATAATCTTCGTCATCCCCCGTGAGCGACCCTCGAGCTATGCGCTTTCGCTTGACCTTGACCCGTTTGCGACTCGTCGTCGAGGGTGTATGTGCACGCTCATCTCGGCTCTCGTCATCACCGTCGTGATCAACGGAGCCCTCGATCTCGCCTGCCTTTGAAGCAACATGGGACAAGGCTGGAGATGATGCCTTGGAAGTAGACGACAGTGTAGGTTGACTCCTCAGGTTGTGCTTTGTCCTCTTTGGTGCCACAGTGGGTGTGATAGGACTGGATGCACTCCGTTTCGCGACACGTTTACCCTTGGACGTAGGAAGAGCAGAAGAAACAACTGGTGACGGCTGTGTGGATCGAGTACGTCGCGCTCGGGGCATATCCAGCGTTAGAGGGTCCAGTTCTAGTGCTTTGAGTTCACGACTGCCCATGGGAGCATGCCGCTTTCCCTTGGCAATCTTGCGCCGAGTACGAGCATTGGCTGGTTGCTCTTCATCCGATGTCAAGGCACTACTCTCGTCATCTGAGCGCAAGGTGGATTCGCCGATTCTGCTGAGACGTAAGTATTTCTTCTCGAACAGAGTCATCACCCACCGAGGTCCTGGTTCCACAGGATCCGCATCTATGGTCGCCTGTGTAGGAATGGGTGCTTCTTCATCCTCGGGAAGTGGGTAGAGTTGACTCGTCCCAATCAACGTGCTCGGGTATGCAACAGAAGATCGCGGAGTCAAGTCATCGGCATCTTGAGTGAACGTCAACTCTGACATTGTAGGCGCGAGCTCAATTGTCCTGGCAGGCGTTGAACCTCGAACAGTCTGAGCTGCTTCCAGCTCCTCGTCCCCATCGATAGTCGAAGGCAAGTCGCTATCTTGCCGCACCAAAAGACCCCGACCCAGCAAATCCAACTCCTCTTGTGGCGTTTCCAGAGGAATGGAGGCGGTTTGGTGCTCGGAAGCGTCACGATGTCCGCCTAATTGGGAATTGCTAGACTCTCGTGTGTCTATTTGTGGAGGAATAAGCATATACGCGGGTGGTAAATCCGGTGATTGAGATTTAGGCGAGATGGTCTCTTCCTCCTTTGTGCTACTAGCATCCTGTTCGCTAACGTTGGACGTTGGCGCTTCCGCCCAGAGACTTGGGTCAACAGCATGTCCGGAGATGCCCGAAACGCCCTCCGGAGTTCCAAAAAGTGTCGGTTCTGGGACACGATGAGGGTCTGGAAAGTCGACGACGTCGCGATTGAGGTCTTGCACGACTTCAGCCGGCAACGTACGGTCTGCGTCACCCAACTCGTTCGGAGGCGAATCAACCGGATGGATAACGGCAGCGTCCTGTGCCTGCTCGGCGACCGCTGCAATACTGGTGGCGATTGACGAGTTGTCTGAGACCAGTGATGGGTCAGCGACTGTGGTCGTGAAACCAGAAGGAGAGAGCGGTGGTGTAGTCGAAGATATCAGATCGTCTATTCCAGTCTAGACACGCCGTTAGGAACCAAAGGACACAGGAACTGAATTCTCACCGATTGCGTGCCAATAGCTTGCTCTTCATCCGGCTCTTGCAACTCGGCGGGTGTCTCTACATCTTCGTCGTCACCCGCGCCGCTAACAGGGTCGTAGGAGCCAGCTATCGCATAGGTCGTGGGATCTACTGGCGCGTACTCCGGCGAAAGATTCCAGGTAACTCGCTGTGATTCCCTCGTGTTCATTTGACCTCCTTCCTGGGCGAAGTTGGTCGACGGGGCGAAGAATGGGGATATGGAATTGACTTGGGAGCTATAAATCTCAGCAGCGCCCGCTTGAAATGGCCATACAATGCCTGGCGTAGGTTGATGTGTGACCTCGTGCTCGACGTATTCGGCTATAGAGGGTATACTTAGTCACAAGCTATCTCGAGTGCCCTGTCGTACCCATAAGCGGCATGTCGGTCATGAAAAAGTTGGCATGGTCTGCATCTGCCGTGAAGAATTCGTCGAGTTGATGAGAGCCTTCTCTCGTATCTTCACCATCTTGCCGGTCGGTAGCGTCCTGCGTCCAGGGTGAAGAGCCGCTTTCCTCAAACAAGACATCTGCATTCTCTTCGACATCGTACCCTTCACCTACTTGCAACTCTTCTGCAAGACGTCATCAAAGGTTCAGCACACACGGCAGAAAAACTGACCATCGTCGTCAACGTCCTGCACATTATCCTCAGGAGCACCGTTCCATCCGTCAAGAAGTACAGAGTCCGTTTCCTCTTCTTCTTCATCCCCTCCAATCTCGTCTTCCTGGTCCTCGTATTCCTCTACTTGCTCCAGAGTCGAGGCCGGCTTTGGACTGGCCACTTGAGGTATTGGCGCTGGAACATTGTCCTCTTCCTCATCATCAGAAATGACAAACGGACTGTCTTCATCCCCAGCGCCACTGACAACAACCATTGGCGCAGGCGTTTTGACCGGCGTCGGCTCTCGCTCCTCGTCCAACTCATCTTCCTCCTCTTCCCCTTCTTCCTCTTCCTCTTGTACCTCTTCACTCGACCGAGGAACGCTCTGCACACTCGCGCCGCGCAAACTACCCTCGCCAACACTCGTACTCCGTCGCTGGCCAAACGAATACTCGTAAAACGAGCCCGAATGCGAAAAGTCGCCCTCAGATCCTGCTGTTCGGTCCCTATTGCGGAGCCGTGCGCGCGGGTCGAGTGCGTCTCGAATCTTGCTCGTCAGTCCGCCGATAAAGTCGTCAAATTCTGGCTGTGTAAATTGCTCGTAAGGATTGATAATGGGCGCGTCAGAGCGCGTCGTGATTCGTTCTCGAGAGTAGGACATTGTCAACAGGTGCGAGTTAGCGCGTCAACAGCCAAAACTTTGTAGGACTATGAATTGGGCTGGAGAGACCAACAGATCCAGTCTCCTTTGATCCGTTTTGACGATTTATATCGCGCTGGTTTGTCCAGATTAGAGATTTAGAGGGTCGGCTGGTCGACAGCCTGTCGAGGTCGGTTCCAAGTGCTTAGCCACCCCTCGCCTTAGAAGATTGCAAGAGCCGATGTGCATAATAGAGTACGTCTAAGACAACATTACATGGGAGACCCATTCAGTGCTTGCATCTCTCCTCGTGAATCCAGGCGGATTACTGAACCCGAGCACTACATAGAAAACCCAGCACAGAGAGCATCTTCTACTCGCTCTCAGAGACGAGAGCCACAATCATTCTGTTTAAGATGTGAGCACAGCGCTCGCACGTGGAGAGAAACACGTACCGGTACAGGTAGTAGAAGAAGGAAAGGAGGTAGAATCCAAGCTTGATAAAGCTCTCCTTTTTGTGCTGCGGTAGTGTTCGGAAGATTTCTGTTGCGTCATAAATGTGTTGTCCCGACATTACTCTAAAGAAGGCGGCATCGGCGTCAGCGGGATAGCACCCGAGAAATACGAGTCAAGCCACATACTTTCGAACATTATAAGCAATCAGTGGGAGGTTTAATGCGAGTGCCATGAATTGGCCGGACAGGAGGAAAAGCACGCAAAGGAAACCATGGGCGATGTATTCTGGCAGGACAAACTGGAGACGGCGACAATCAGCGTGGCTGTACGACGGAGTGAATACAGGTGAATACATACGCGATTTAGCTGTGAACAGAGATCAATGGGATTGATATAGTCGCATTCGAGGTCTGAGAACATGATGATCTAGCAGTTCAGAACGGCATCAGTACAGACTTAATAGGAAATAACAAGGAGAACACATACGAAGAAGACCATTGTGAATAGCAAAACTGCGGCCATAAGCACCGAGAATAGGAACAACCATCCTGTGGGTCCAACGTGGCCATTCAAGACGAAGAAACAATGAGCAGCGAGTGAAACAACCAGTTTGAGCGCAATTTGAACGTTATTGGGCGTGAAAAGGCATGCAGCGTCAGCCGGGGAGTGCCAACATGCGCTCGTCAGTGGGTTTACAGACCTGCTCCGTTCATTGTCGATACGTTTCCTGGGCTGGTATCGTATGAGATTGCAATTAGAAAGCAATAGCTGGCCTGAGTTTATACACTGCGTAGGCTACGCTCGTCGTAGTCGCGGTTCAAGCTTGATGACGCCGCCATCCATCCGCAATAAGCCAGTGCACAGCTCAAATCGCCCTCAAAATAGTATAAAATAGCATAAATGGTCATAAAAGTGTATATTAGGGATGATCTGTATGGTCTACCGACCCTACTCGCGCAGAAAAAGAGGCTGCAGAGAGCAACGGGCAACTAAGATGGCCAATTCGTTATGGACACGGTCTGACACTCGAAACACTCGCAAATAAAAGTCGAAATTGACGGCGAGTATGAGCAACTGGGGAAATGTAGAACCGTGACGCCGCACTAAGGAAAACTCTTTGTTTGGCCACGCTTGCCGCCTTTAGGGACGAGCGACAAGTCCACCACAAGTCATGCAAATACATCATCCCAGGCTTGCCACTCGCTCGTTCCCACTTTGCGCACCCTTATCTTCTCCCCGCTCAACCCAAAGAACGAGGCTTCGTACCACTGCTGCATATCTCGGGCAGGAAACGGTCCATACACCGTATCTGCGGCGCCATTCGATGCGTCCGTCTGCGCCCAGCAGTATTCATACTGCGGTTGGGGTGGCACCCAATCTTGCGGTACTGTCCCCGACCGTCGCACAGACCGCAGGATACCCTCGTAGGTATTCGAATACACATCTGGGTCGTCCACTATGAGCGCAGATGCGAGCGCAGTGAGTCGATCAATGTCAGAAGAGGTTGGTTTCGGATCCTTGGTGCCGCCCATGGGCACGTCGTCGCCGGTTTGCTTCTTCTTGAGCTTTGCATCCTTCTTCTTCTTCTCCCTTCCTAGACGAGCTAGCGCCTCGAGGACGGTCTCCTCTGGTAAAAGGTAATTGAGGAGTTGCTTCTCTAGTCCGGGTTTGCCACCGGTGTTGCCATCAGTACCGTCACCCTCCAGTAGTTTCTTTTCCTCCTTTATTCGTTCCTTTTCTCTCTTCTCGGCTCGTCGTTTTGCTCGCCTGGCCTTCTTCATGTCCCTCTCCTGGATGTCTTCCAGCCACCGATCGTGTACGGCGTGAGCATCATAGCTGCGCACGTACATTCCATCCTCGGCAAACTTTCCCTCCTCCATCTCCTCCTTCATGTTAAACTTGCTAATCTCGAAGCCCATGCCTGCCCTTTTGCGTCGCTCGGCATCGTCCTCGTCCTCTGGTTCGCTCTCTGAAACGGACGCTTCATCGTCCTCGTCCCCATCCATCTTCTCCTCATCCTCCTCATCCTCTGCTCCAAACTCTTGTCCTTCAATCTCGCCGAGTTCGAGGTATTTCGTTTCCTTTTTGGTCTCCTGCTTCTTCTCCTTTTCATCTTCATCCCCCATATTGAACATGTCATCGTCATCCACGTCCTCCTGACCCTTTCGTCGACTGAGCACGACACCCTCGCCATCGTCGGTACTATCCGACTCGTATCCTTCAACTTTAACAGCTCCTTTTCCCTTTTGACGAGCAGTTTTACCCGCCATGTCGAGGGATGCGTCTACTTCATCTGCAAATTGGGCCGAATTAAAGGCTTCGCCCTCGTTGGATGCATCATTCCCTTGAACCGTTCGCGAAGATGATAATTTTCCTCGATCATCGTTCTCAGGTTCGGCAAAGCGTGCGCGCTTTGGAGCAGACTTGGGGAGACCATCCGTATCGGATGGAGCGGGTCGTTTCGGTGGCATAGGGAGTGTTTAGAAGACTTTTGTAGATCTATGGCCGAGACTTGCGCGGCTGAAAGAGTCGTATTGCAATTCTAGGTAAGGATGGTCAGGACCAGGCTAGACAGTAAACAATTTGTGCATACTTATGCGCCTATCAATAGTGTTTACGTAGGATTTGAAGTGGAGATATGTGACAAATGAACTTTCGGTATGCGAGAGCGACTCTGTGGCTGGAAAGAGAGGGGTCGCAGGGCCTATACGTCGCGCAACCCAATACGGTATTCTTTCAGAACTTTTGGGTTAGTACTTGGATTCAGCTAGTCGCCGCAGAGTTCAAAGTGAACGTCACCACCTGAACTAATTCAGTGCAATCGCCACTGACGATGAGAATCGCCTAGTGAATATCAAAAGCAGTATGAGCAATCGAATTAACCATCGGATTCTTGTTGTCAGTACTCAATGGCGCAGATTGAATTTGGGACATCCTTTGTTGAGAAATCTGAATCATCTCTGCACAAAGTGAATGATCCAAGTAACGCTTTACAAACCACCGATGCCTACAATACCGCGGTTACTCATGTAGCTTTGCGAGAACACGGTGCCTAAGGTCATTCATATATAGTATATTCTACAATAACAGTGGTATGGAACTGCTGCTTGATGAGTCTTGTACGAGAGACGAGGAGTCCTTTGGACTCATAAGTCCGCGCTGCTTCTTGGACTTGAATGTGTTTTAAGCCGACATTAATTGTGGATGATTCCAAGATGCATTCGGCGCCACTCGCTACCCCATTATTGTTCTTGGTAGTGGGGAGTACTTTACAGGTGACCTCTGAGAAGTCTATCCAGCCTGTTTCCAGGGAGAACTGATCGCCGAGGTGCAAACTGGACGGCTGGGGAATGCACAGATCAAATGCATATAACACTTCGAATTGTATCGAAAGCATTGACGTATATCTATAGCTTCTGCAGGAATAGACCACGAGATCATTCCTACACACGGTTCTTCGGCTTCCACGTCTTCCGTGTGTGCCCTCTACACGTAGACGGTAGAAGCATTCTTGTGGTCGAGATTCATCGGGAGCAACTTCGCATACGAAGGCAAGAATCGGTACCATCGAACTCGCTCCTCTTTGATGGATTCCAGCTGCATTCCGCGTCCGGCTAGAATTTGTATTGACGCTGTGTACTCGAGACTTGTGTTCTCGCCCATCAAATTTGCGTGCCGATCAACGGAAGCTTCAAGGCAAACAACCGGGCGCTAGAGAGCAGCGAGACGTATTTAGACTCGCAGCTCCAATCCTCTGACAAACCCCAACTCCAACCTTGAACTCGCCCACTCCCTCGTCCCACAACATGCTCAACCCTCTGTTCAAGTCGCTCGCCGTCCTCAGCGCGACACTCGCAACTGGACGAGCACTCGGGATTCCATCCAACTTAGTCGAGGCCCGTGCTCTCCGGATCGTGCCCGTCATCAACTGCACACCTCTGAGTGGTGCAGCAGGAAAGCTCGTCATGACCAACAGTGCGACACTCGGCGACGCGTCGCTTCCAGAGGATGGCGTCCCACTCGGCCTCGTGAACAAAACGTTGGAAGAGGTCGGCAACGATTCACACCAGACTTTTGTTTTCTCTTCTTGCTCTTCAACATTTATGAACGAGACGGCTACTAATGATACTTTTTACGGGTACGCTCCATGTCTTTTTATCATTCCCTGTTAATATCTTACACGCTTTAGACATATTTCTCCATCGGACGATGCAACGTCATGCTTGGTGGCCCAGACCGGCATGCCGGATCCTCAGCCTGTCGTTACAGAGCCTTGCAGCCTCTCGGACGACTCGGGACAGATGCTCCAGTTTTGGGTACGAGACCTATATTCCCGAATAGCTTCAACTAACCTGTGCGTAGAAAATCGTCCTCGATAAGAACCAGACGAAGCCTGCATTGGTGAGCTTTGTAGGGCTTTCCGCCCGCTCGACTAGCACCGCGCATTACGAGACCGGCTTTGATGTGGTCAACGGCACAAACGTCGTTCACAGTGAGTATCTTGACTCCTTGTTTTAACTATCTAACCCGTCTTCAGTCAACTATGTCAAGAGTACAAACGTTTCGAGCACGTACCAAATCAAACTAGTTCCGACTGCATAAGCGACCTTGTTACGACTCTCAGACTTGCACGACACTTGGACAATTTTGCTTCCCATAGCTCATCACTGTCTCCATAGCTAATGAAATACAGTCGTATTTCAACGATCAGGACCCTATTCCTAAAGGTTCACTCTAGTATGTCAGTTTGACGCTGATAACGCAACCTCGGAGCTCTCCGACAATCTCAAGCAGGCTGGGATATGCCGAGTCGGTTGAACGTGGAGCCCTCCATTCGGTTGAATGTATCCGGTCCACCTGAATGCCCATTTCGAGTGCAAAGCGATATGATACGACATCTTCCCATCATTTTTGGTGGGGTGTTTCTTGTTCTTTATCCGACGTCCTGGTTAGAAGTGCGTCTCTTGTGTAAGCTTATTCAGTCGGTCGCTCCCGCATTGAGTCGGACAGCGCTCGGGGTCGGGATGTGGGTTGGACAAACTGGTCTGTAGGAATAGTTTATGTAGAGTCTAGTTTTAGGTCAGTCCTATCTGAGGGTTGCACCGCGCGTATTCGCAAAGATGGACACTGTTGGACATGATATCCTTTGTGTATTGGGGTCAAGTCCAGACATGTAAAGACTTAAATACTCGATGTATAACATATAAGAATCAAAGGTTGTGGTGGCGGAATGCGCATCCCGCCATGGGTGCAATCCCCTTTGAAGTACGCTCGACCGGTTCATCCCGCCACCAGACGGCGGCAGGCACACTCACCTGCCAACGCTCGGAGCGCTTCATCCACACATGCTCGATCAGAACTAACCCATGAACAATGCGCTCCATTCATCCTACCCAAATCTGGCTACCCCACGCGCATGCTTAGCCCACCGCCCTTGTACGTTGCGCAATTCAGATGCTACCTCGGATCTTCCCAAGCGTCGTCTTGATTGCAAATGCCGTCAGGGGTGAACCGCGCGACGTGCGCCTCGCGATGATTTGTGCGATGGCGAGTTTGTACGGCGCGTATTCCCGAGGGCGCAGTCGCTTTATCGGGAGAACTTGTTCGCTTACAAACTAGATTCTGTCTATAAAAGTGGGGTGAGTTCGCTCGAGGTGCCTCATCGTCTCCTCCCCTCGCTCTCATCCACCGCCGTTGTCATCCTTTGAGGATACCAACGACTCGCGCACGGCTGGCCTCGATATATTGCTCACATATTTTTCACCACCTCTTACGCATATCAACAGAGCGAATTCCTCAGAATCGTGCTGTACCGATACCTACGATGGCATCCCCTATGCTGGACATACCGTACGTCCGCCTTGTCTACACTCTTCGATTTTAATAACTGTTCGTACCAGATACGACGAGTATCTTCTCCCCGAGTTTTCAGATACGCTCGAACAACCGCTTGGCCATGTCGACTCGCTCATCTCAATGATGACTGCACACGCCATTCACGAGCCTACGATGTACAGAAAGCCTCCTCGTTGCATCATCCTCCCCGAGGACTGCGAAGCCGTCGAGATTCGACCCATCTACCAGAACAAATCCGAACACACCCAGCTTGGTGAAGCTATCACATTCCCGACGATTCCCTATCCATTCGTCCATACATCTCCATCTACTTATCCTCAATGCAACTCCATGGCGACTCTCAGCGACATGATGTACACGACCACGCTCGAGAGCTCAGTGTCTCCCCCTTCGTCCACCTGGGCCTCGGACACGGCAACCTCCTTTGGCTCGGATCTCGGGTCTCCCTTCGAGTTTGACCTTGACTTTGGATCTCCGGCGTCGTCTCCCCGTCGAATGGCCAAGACGCGTGCCAATCAAACGTACGGTGTGCCAACGTACAGTCCACCATCTTCTTTGCTGCCTTCCAGCTCTCCACCTCCTCGTACGCCAAAGAAGACAGGTACCAAGCGCCGCTCTTCGGTAGACGACGAGGACTATAGCGAAGAAGAGAGCGAGTACGAGTCGGACGCTGTGTCCTCCGACTCTGATGAAGAGTACACCAGCAGAGCCTCCTCTCGCGTCGTATCTCCAGTCAAGTCGAGAAAGAGGCAAACATCAACCTCGAGTACGCCCAAGCGAAAGCGCGCTGTTCGAGAGGAGCTAGAGCACGCACCACTTGGCAAGTACGAGTGCGGGTTGATCGTCGAGTATGTGAGCAAGAGTTCTCGAATGACGATCAAGGGACTCGATGCGCCGCCTGTGGGGAGTATCTGTCCGATGCGCTGCGTCAACCGCACGGACCTCAAGCGTCATCAAGAGGCTGGATGGCATTCTGCTTACAAGTGGTGCTGTCCTTTTTGCGGGAGTGTGATCTGTAATCGCAAGGATGCGTGCAAACGCCATGTTGGTGAGTGTAGCAGAGTATTCAAAAGAGTTTAAACTTACTGTGTGACAGAAACGAGCTGCAAGGGTGCTCCCAAGGGTGGAAATGTGTGGTGTGACCTGTTGCAAACGCAGGGTTTGGTGTTCAAGCCTGCGACGAAGACGAGGAGTCGAAAGAGGGTCAAGAAGCTTGACGACGACGAGTATTGAATGAAGCTACAAGTAGCATATGGTTTCTGTTTCCGTCTTCCGGTTTAAGGGCAGTCTCCCGCTGCGTCGTTGTGTTTTCATCGTCTATTCCTCGCCTCTGTCTTTTTTTGTTCCATGCTTGATTCCCCGCGAGCATGTCTGTCTATTGGCTTGTAATGGAAGTGTCCAACAAGTGTTTACCACGATCCAGTAGAAAGTTCTTCGAGTTCTACCGGTCCGCATTCGCCGGACATTCGCCGTGTGGTACGGTGTAGCTGACGACGTGATTTACAAATGACAGAATGCTCACCTTTTCGTTCGGATTTCGGCCGCCAATCGCCTGTTGGATGAACCCCCAAGTTGGCCATTACGCCCTTTAGCCTGACCTTGAGCTACTACTACCACCACCACACCCGTCCATCCAAAATCCTACAGCAATGTCCACATCGCTTGATCAACTCAAACAAACTGGCACCGTCGTCGTCTCAGATTCAGGCGATTTCGAGAGTATGTCCATCTTTTGTCCGTGCTCGCCATCCACGCTGATGCATCCATTCGTCATGTAGGCATCGATGCTTACAAGCCACAAGATGCGACGACAAATCCGGTACGTATCGTTGACATCTACCCCCCACTGACGCGACTCATGACCACCACTTCTAGTCATTGATTCTCGCCGCTGCAAACAAGCCCCAGTATCAAAAACTTATCGACGTCGCTGTTGAATACGGCAAGTCCAAGGGTGGCGATATTGATGCCCAGGCCAGCGCCGCACTCGACCGTCTCCTCGTCGAATTCGGCAAAGAGATTCTCGCGATCATCCCCGGTCGTGTCTCGACAGAAGTCGACGCACGTTTGAGCTTTGATAAGGCTGCCACCATTGGTACGTACCATTCTTATTCGTCACGCGTACTACGTTATTGACAATACATTACAGCAAAGGCAAAGCATCTTATTGAGCTCTACCAGTCTCTCGGTATCCCCAAGGAGCGTGTACTCATCAAGATTGCCTCGACTTGGGAAGGTATCCAGGCTGCCCGCGAACTCGAGCGCGACGAGCAGATTCACTGCAACCTCACCCTCCTCTTTGGCTTTGGACAAGCCGTCGCATGCGCAGAGGCTGGTGTTACCCTCATCTCACCCTTTGTTGGTCGTGTACGTCTACATTGCAACAAAAATGAACTGCTTACTGAGCGAGTGTAGATCCTCGACTGGTACAAGAAGTCGACCGGAAAGGACTACCAGGGTGACGAGGACCCGGGTGTTCAGTCCGTCAAGAAGATTTTCAAGTACTACAAGCAACACAACTACAAGACCATTGTCATGGGTGCCTCTTTCCGTAACGTAAGCCACCTTATTCTCGCAATAGATATCAGAATTGACAAAGTCGTAGACTGGAGAGATCAAGGCTCTCGCTGGTGTCGATTTCCTCACCATTTCGCCAAACCTCCTCGAGGAGCTCAAGAACTCGACGGCCGAGGTACCCAAGAGGCTGAGCGCTGAAGCTGGTACGTCCTTTCGTACACCCTGTTGGCAGCACTCTAATCTATTCGCAGAGCTCTCGTCATCAGATAAACTCGAAAAGGTTTCGTTCATTGACAACGAGCCCGAGTTCCGGTGGGCACTTCTCCAGGACCAGATGGCGTTCGACAAGCTTCACGAGGGTATCAAGAAGTTTGCCGAGGACGGCGATACACTCAAGTCTGTCCTCAAGAAGCGTCTGCAAACCTAAGCTTGCGCTTGCTAGAGTGTGTAGTGTTTAGAGAGAAGGAAATCTATCAATTTTCACGCCACTTGCTGCGAGTGAATGAGTTTTATGAATTACGCGACGAATAAATCTAGTGACAAGTGGAGAAAGTAGGGTTTAGCTATGTCCCGTCCAAGATTGCTCGCAAGCGCTCCTTGAGCTGCCTTTCCTTCGCTTCTTGTGTCTCTAGTACCTTGCGCTCCTCTTCGCCGATTTCGAGTCGCGCTCGTTCATCTTCTTTGGGGAATATCTCCTCCCACCGTTTCTCAGGATCTTGTCGGCTCTTTCGAGGAGGTGGACGACGATCAGACTCGGCAAGCGTCCCCACCAAACCATGTCTCGCAAGCTCGTTCATCTCCGCCTCGCTCCTATTCCGCAACTTTTTCCCGCGCCTATCCGTCTCCCACGACGCACTGTTGATGCTATGAGAGCCGGGCATCGTCGGGGTGGGTTCCCCGTTTACACTGCTAGTACCATTCCTCGCGCCTGCTGTGAGGCGCATGGAGAGTGGACTGGCTAATGCCGGATCATCGCGCCCTAGACCATCTCGGAAGGGGCGCGGTTCGTTGCGCCAGTCGTCCCAATCGTCACGCCGCCTCTGCTTGCGTGGTGGCTGAGATGGAGTCTCCTGGTCCTTGGTATCACTCGATGGTCTCGTAGTGGCCTTTGCAATCTGCGCGGTCGAATCTGCTTCTCGAACCGATTGGGGGAACTGGAGGGGATGGGGTGCGTTCAAGTCTTTGTCGACAGCTAGAGAGGAGTATCCAATAGGTTGATACGCGTGCTCTTCGGCCTTCATCCTCTCGAATTCCGCTTGGACACTCTCGTCGATGGTCTGATAGAGATGCGGCTGTACGGCATCATCCCACTCAAAGTCACCCTCACTTTCCTCTTTACCGAAGAGCGCATCCACTTCGCCGATTGGCTCTTCTATCTCGCTTTCCTGTGTAGACGGGTCAACGTAGGGCGTCCAACCAGACGTTCGCGCGATATCCGCTTCTTCTTTCCACTCGGCCACGAGTTTCTTCATCGCAGGAACTGGCTCAGCGGAGAAGCCTCCAAAATCGACGATGGCGTTTGCAATGGCTAGACGCTGCTTGGGCCGCAGGTACAACGAAGGTCTTGATGCGTCGACCACCTTGGGCAGGTAGACTATCTCTTTCGTCAGTCATAGTTCATTCTTCCCACTATGCTGCCATTACGCACATTGCTTTGTGTGCCATTTCTTGAGGACGGCATCGATGTTGACTGCTTCGTCAAACTCATCCCAAGAGGCCTTGGGCGTTGTGTCTCCCTCTCCAGGTGCACTCGCAGTTGCGGGAGGACCCGTCCCGAGAAAGGTGAGCACGTCTTCTAGTGCTGGACCACCTTGTTGTAAAGCCGATTCGTCGAGTTTCTTTGACCAAGGGACAAACAGGGGCGTCATGTTGTTGAATTCCTTCGCAGCCGCCGACTTGCTTGACTCTTCATTGGTCTCGTTGGCAGCGGGCTGGTGTCCTCCCTCTGGCGTGTTGGCAAGATCGTAAATGAACCCTGGAATCTTCCGTAGCGACGTCGAACTTTCGAACACGACCACCACAGACGGTTGTAGTTCGTACGGATTGGCTGTATCCTAAATTTACACATCAGACCCGTTTGACCCATTTCTACGCCTTTTCAAATCTGAGTAGAGACGTACATTGTTGATTCCAGCCCACCAGATCCGACCAAACCGCCTCTCCAACTCTTGTACAAACGCAAGAATGTGCAAAAACGTCGGGTGACCCCGCCACGGCGTCAATACTATCGCTCTTTCCGAGAGCTTCTGAATAGTGAGTACCCTTTCTTCATTCGGGAGAGGCCTCCCCTTCTTCTTGCTCGAGGTAGCGTACATTCTCCGCGACGCGCATGGTACTGGTTGTCCAATTGAGCGAGTAGAGAGTGCATGCAAGTGTCGCATGTTCGAGTAAAGATTGTCATGGGCCTGGACCGACGTGTATAAAGACGAGGTTGGGTTTTGTAAAGTAGTAGAAGTTGACGTCGAGGCTACGTTGTGCGCATAAGATGATAGATTACTGTGACATCTTGAAGTAAAAGCCACATTGACCGAGGAGGAGGGTGTTGGAGAAGCGGAAACGGTACGTTTGTTGTCGGAAGACGATCTCGCGAATGTTCTCCGCGTCGCTGGCTGAACAAATTCCCCATTTACAATATTAAGCGCATTGTTAGAGTACTTTAGAAGCGCTCCACGGCACTTTCGGTGCATGGAGGTATTGGCGCAGAGTCGGAGTTCTCACTGAGGGGAGCACCAGTATGTAAAAGAAGGGAGAACTGTCGTTAAATGCTCGTAACGCAGACAAAATACATGAACCGTTGAAGGAACTAGTCAACCAGACCAAAGCCCGATAAAAAGCCCAAAGAGTAAGACGAATAGTACAGCTACACAGAGAGATGAGCACTAGGAGAGAGTTACCTGTAGAGGTCTGTTGAAAAACCTCTTTTTGTGGTGTAACCCGATATTGCAATTGTATATGCAACCGGCCTCCTACTTTAGGAGAATCTTCAGCAAAACGACCACACCGACGACGCAGAGCGCCCGGCCAAGCGGATCAGACATGATCCCAGACGTCTTCTTTTCGTCTGCAATCGCAACTTTGAGTGTCTCAAAGTCGTCTTCCGGCAGCGGCTTCTTTTCTATCGACGAGCTGGTCGTAGGGCTCACGGGTGCAGTACGCCCATTGGACGACATGGAACGCTGTCGTTGCTCGGCATACCACTGCCGCCCAGCCGCGCGATAGTCCACCGACGAGTCATCTGGGAGTGCTACAGCGGCCTCGGGCTTGAACGCGTATTGCGGTACAGGTCTCTGGAGCGGTGGCATGTCGCATGCACCCGGAAGCGATTGATTTTTCCGAGAGGGAGAGTGCAAGAAGATGGCGTCCCCGTCACTCTCCGCGTCGCCATCTCTTCCTCCGGCGTCTGAATCGTCAAATGAGATGCCACGCGTAAATTTGACGTTGATGGACTGACGAAGGTGGGTATCGAAAGAGTCTGTAGAAGCATTGTCTACGGTGTGTAAGAAGGGACCGTCTTGCGCTCCCCAGCCCGGACGCATGCCTCTGGTACGCAGACTGGGAGATGGCGGACGAAGGTTGTCGTTGTGGGAAATACTGTAGAGAGGGTGAGAGCCCCTTCTCGGTGTGATAGTCGGAGCGTCTGACGCTCTTTTCCATGCGGACCATGGATCCTCTTCCTTTTCTTCTCGTGCATTGATATTATCAGATCCCGAGCCAGACTCGCTGCTCGGGTTAGTTACGAATAGGTTAATCGGTGGCTTGACAAGGCTCTCGACACTGCTCGAGTCTGAGCCTGGGTGTCGGATTGTCGTGAGAGGATGCAAGGTTCGACGCCTCAAAGCTTGATCAAAGGAACCTTTTCGGCTGGGGGCAAGACCCCGCGATGGGTAGGGATTGTTTCCCGGGCGGACAGCGAGATAGGAGAAGCCCGTAGACGTTGATCGATCGGTGAAGCTGGCGGCGGTGGCACATTGAGATCGAGGTTCTCCTTTTCAGATGTGGGGCGATTGAATGCAGGAGCGCTCTTCTCGCTTGTAGTCGATTTGACAGTCGAACCTTCGGCAACAGACCCTCTCGACCCAGGCGTATGGTTCACGCTCGTCCATGGCGCATCGTTGGGAACGACTTTTGGTCTTCCAAAGACTTGAACAACGTCTCTCGTAATGGAGAGCGGCGCAGAGCAGGTCGGACAGCGGGGTGACCGGTCGAGGTGCTGGATGTTTCACCGGAAATTAGTAAGGAAAATAAATGGAGAAAAATCCTCACAAACCTTGTTGAGGTCCGACCAGCAAAACAGGTGACCACACCGAGTGACACAAGGGTCAGTCGCCGTCTTTCCACTAATGGTGAAACAAATTTAGCATCAGCAAATGCGACAACTAAGATGACCAGAATAATACTCACCAGAGGCGACAGTCCCAGTCTATGGCTTCTAGGAGCGCGTTTGTCTTTTCTTTGAGTCGGGAGAGCAGTCCAAAGCCGAGACCAACGCTCTCGCCGCTCCATACAACCTCTTCCTCGTCGAGACCGAGGTTAAGAGGCGCGTCTGCTTCAGCTGCAACGGCATACGACGGGAGCGGGAGGGCTGGCCATGATGACTGCTGCTGAGAAGTGTGAGGAGTGTATGCTGGTGTTGGACCTCGTGGACTGAGAAAGTGAGAGGAGCGTGGAGACGTCGCAGACGAGGTCACTGCGGACATGAAAGTACAGCACTTGGTTTCTGCACTCGGGTCCTTTGAACAATCTGCAGTCGAATGTGATACTGGTGTTGATAACCAGAGACACAAGGGGGTGGTGGAGGACAAGATGCGTGCAAGTGTGGGGTTCAAGTTCAAGTGACGAATTGCCGCTCGCTTGTCAATCTCCGGCGAAACAAAGGGAGCCAAGAAGATCACAACTGGATTAACTTTATATTTCTACAAACCATCATTACACCCTCCATGAAACACTGGTTTTCTCCATGGATGGCCAGGCCCGTCGCGGCGCTCGACATAGAGCACAAACCGCCAGTTCCCTATGACCGCAGTGGGTACAATGGCCTGCATCGAAGCGAACCATATAGTAGAAATGAAAGATGCCCATCCTTTGCACATCTTCAAAGGTCGGATATTGCGCAGTCCGGTCACGACGTGCGGCTGAGAAGGCATGGAGCGCCATCTCCGACCGATCTAACCGTCGAGCGAGCTCCATGACAGAGATAGCCCTTGGCATATTCTTGGTCTCCTTTCGAATACGCAATTCGACCATCTCCAGCAGTGAAGTCATGCCATACTTATGCGCAATCGGCCAAAGACGGAGTGCTTCATCCCAAGAAGGAGAATAGGCCATGAAGTGGTTCCTATTCCATCAAGTGAATATAAATAGTGGGAAGTCAGTTGGAAAACGCCTCACTCTCGATAGAAACAGCCCAAGAGAACCTCCCAACCGCGTACATCGTCCCCTTGAAGTTTCAGAGGCATCATTTCTGTTCCTTGGTCCTGATCAGACTTTGGAATGTCGATTAATCCAGCGAGAACACTCGAATACTGCGCTAGGAAATGCAGATGGACTTTGAAGATGGCGTTTTGCACCTTGGCGACGTTATATGGCTTATCTTTCACGGTTTATGCAATACCTGAATCACAATATCCCCGCTGGATATGTAAAATTGGTGGTGGCGGCGGGCTTCGCCCTTGGTATAGTCGTGCTCCTCGCTGGTTGATACCACTGGTTCCGCTAAGAAACGTGAGCAGGCGAGTAATGAACGCAGTAGTCTTTACTCATGAATTTGTCCTGTTTTTGGGTGTGCACGAGAAGGAGTCGGATCCAAGTCCTTTGGCTTGTCCAATGAGGCGCAATGACCCTAGCCGTCTATAGTATGGCGAGGGCGGGTTCTGCTTCTGGTATTTGTTGTTACAGAGATTCTATTGAACGCTTGTACTGGTGGCGGCTCGACCGAGCTGATTGTGCCAGGCTCCACTGCCCCCCAATGGAGAGGTTATCTATAATTCTTATCGAGCTCTGAACCAACCAAGACACGTTACTATAACAATAGTCCTCACCATCATGATCAGATAGACTCGCAGTAGTCCCATTTCAGCCCAATGGGTGCTGAGCCCGAATGGATTTCATGTGCCGCCTACCGAAGTTCAGATCCCACCGGTTCCCGCTCGACATGACCTCCCGGAGGCCTCAATGCGACAAAGGATTTGAGCCGCTCCCGGCTCGGAGTCTTTCAAACCATAGTGTACGTGACACCAAATCATGCACGATAGTGCATTCTATTGATTCATGATATCCACATTGACAATAGCCTCAAGTTCAAGCGAAAAAGTCTACTTCTTCTTCAATCCCCCGCAAAGCAGAAGGAGCCCAATATTCGTTACGCTAGTGTTCCATGAGAAGCATCCTCATTCCATCCATAGGTCACCTGCTTGATCCAGAGGTGGCCAAGTGCGCTGCGGTCCATGACAATTACTACTACACCTGGTAGTTAGAAAGTGGCCGCAGCGAATACATCGACCAGTTTGGCTATGAACTAATGCATAAAATGGGAAAAATCCCATCCTTTTGGCATCTTGGAATGTCGGATATTGCGAATTTCGATCACGAACCACAGCCGCCACGGCCTGTTTTGCCGCCTCCACCCGTGCTAACCGTCGAGCGAGCTCCGTAACGCGAACAACTTGCTGCATAGTCTTTGTTTTCTCTTGAATATGCTGTTCGACTACTTCCAGGAGTGAGGCCATCTGATACTTCTCCGCCATTGGCCAAAGGTTCATAGCTTCCTCCCAAGAAGGGGAGTAGGCTTTAAAGTGATCCCTATTCCATCAGGAGGGTAAGAATAGGGGGAACTGGTCGGGAATGCCTTACTCTGGATAGAAATAACTTAAGAGGGCTTCCCAACCATGTACATCATCTCCATGAATCAGCAGTGGCCTCGATTCCGTTCCTTCGTCCTGCTCAGACCTTGGAACCTCGATCAATTCAGCCAGTATATTCGAATACTTGGTGAGGAAACGCAGATGGACCTTGAGGATGGCGCTTTGTACCTTGACGAGGTCACACACCCCATCTCTTATGACTCGTGACATACTTGAATTACAATATCTCCCGTTCGCTCATAAAACCGGTGGTGGTGACGGGCCTCGCCCTTGGTATAGTCGTATTCCTCACGGGCTGACAGTTCTGTTTCGCCTGAGAGACCTAAGTAAGCGACAAAGAGGTATATCCGGATTTACTCATGATCTGGTCTCGCTTTTGCGCGTGTGCGAGGGAGAGGTCGGATCCAAGTTCTTCGACATCGGTCATTCATTAGTGCTTTTCAGGGATGTTCCGGCCAGATTCTTACCTGTGCCTTCAGTAGACGGGTCGGAGTACACGTGGAGAGGGCGAGGTTCCATACTGCTTCCGACTTGTTATTGAAATTTGCAATGCTTGTACTGGCGAAGGCCCTTTGCGATCTCAAAGAACTAGTGGGCGACGCGACTACCATAATTCCCGTAGGCCAGTCGTCCCATTGGGGCAGTAGAGCCTGACACCTTTCAAAACCTGACCTGTCGCCATTACAAGCATCATACATCCCAACGATAACAATGTCAGAAGCAGTATCCCAGAGTCTTGATTACTCGCAAGGAGAACCACGCCCTCACCATACGTACTATATTCCGTCTGGTGACCTAGAGTTCCAAGTCAGTGAACACCTGTATAGGTAGCTCGTGCTCACATCCATAGGCCAATAATGCCATCTTCAAAGTTCATAGCTACTTCCTCGCCAACCATTCCAGTGTATTCAAGGACATGTTTGCCCTTCCCGGAGAGAATCGCAAGTCGAGCGGACCGATCACGCTACACGATGACTACAGAGCCTGGGAACAACTCCTTCAAGTATTCTATCCCTTGTGGGTCCCTACATACTTGAGTGATTCCACTGATCTGAGTTAATTCTAGAGTTCCTGGGGCCGCTATTGACCCAAAAGGGGATAACTGCGACCGCTTCGTAACACTTACGCATAAATACGGGATGAACGAGATAGAATCAGCTTTGATCCAGCGTCTTATCACCAAGGGCACGTTCGAATCCTTACTTGACGCTATCGTCGCTGCGCGAATCACAGAGTCAAGTACTACTTCTTATGAGAATCTGGTGACACGCATTCTTCAGTTTAGAAGAACGCCGAGTCCGGAGCAGCTTGCACGTATGCACCCTGCGGACATCCATACGTTGATAGCTCGGCTCTTTTTGTTCGTTCCTTCTGGGGCGACATTTGAGAAATCGAAAGCGTCCCGGGGGATTTGATTGTAGAAATTATGATAATGGTACTCAACATGTGACGATTCTACTTTTGAGCCTGTAAGCTCCAGTTTGCTAAGATGATCAGGGATTAGATACAAAGCGCGAATCTGGGTAGGACAATTGACTTTTCAGATGAGAATGAGCGAGACGGGGGTTATGCGAAAGTGCGATAAACTTAGCGGGGTCTGAAGGGTGCCAGGCTCCACTGTCCTCCAACGTGACAGGAGTTTACCTCTGGTTCTCAAACTCTGAATCAACTATAACGTCGAGCCCAAATAGACGCCATGTGGCGCCTACTGAAATTCATATTCTACCGGTTCCCGCTTGGCGTGATCTCCCGGAAGCCTCAATGCGAGTGGCAGTCCTTTCGTACTCCCGACCACAACCTCGTAAGAATAAGTAGGACTGTTAACTTATCGGACTGGGCTTATATCACTTACTGAATCTCATTCGACAGTGACGAGCACTCTTCCACCCCGCATTCAAGCATCTAGCGGTGCTGCTGGGGCGGTCGTTGCCAACGCAATCACGTATCCCCTCGATCTCATTACTACCCGCGTACAGCTATCTCGGCGTACTAGTAGTTATCCTGGAGGTAAGTGTTTACCAACCGATGAGTTCATAAAGGAACCCTCGTAGATGTCTCAACAACCAAACGCATCATTGATAAGGCTCTCAAGAAAGATGGGATCACCGGTTTCTTCTCAGGTCTTGAGAGCGACTCGCTCTCGACGATGATGTCAAGGTGCGTGAATACCCGGTTTCGGTTATGCATCAAGTGACGATAAACAGCTTCCTCTACTTTTATCTATACTCATTTCTACGCACACGAATGCTTCAACGAAAGAATAATGGAAATTCGACTGGATCCAAGCCAAGTATGATGCTCTCCGTCCCAGAAGAGCTGCTTATTGGGTATATATCCGGTGTCACAAGCAAGAGTATTACGACGCCGCTTAGCGTAATCACCGTACGCCTTCAAAGTGAAGGCCATGATGACGAAGAGACTCCGGGCTCAGTAGAGAAAGGGACTGAGCTTGGTCATAACAGAATCATACGCGTGGTGGACAGGATATACTCAGAGTCTGGACTCTCGGGTTTCTGGAAAGGTGGGTGACGTCTGGTTTGTGCAGGGACGCGTTGATCTATGTGCCAGGAATGTCGACAACTATCGTATTATCCACCAATCCCGCGTTCACAATGTTGTTCTTGCAGCTCTTTCAAAGGTTGTTTCTGAAAGGAAAGGATCGCGAGCGTCCGACAGGAGCACAAGGATTCATCGGTGGCGCGGTCTCAAACTTTCTCGGTGGGCACATCTCTGACAGCGTGACCTCTGCTGATACCTCTCGCAGCCGTCCTCCTCCTGTATCCCCTGATCCTCGCCAAGACCCGACTTCAATCAGACTCGAAACCAGGGGAGGCGAAGAAACCCAACCTCCTGTCTGTTCTGGGTGATATCCTATCCGCCCATGGAGTGGCCGGTCTCTATCAAGGGTTGTCAGTTCAGCTGTCAAAGGTATTTGCTTAACACCACACACATCGCGCTTGGACCTCATCTCGTTCTAGGCAGTCCTGAACCAGGGTGTGACGCTCATGATCAAGCAGCGGTAAGCTTACAACCTAGACTCGGGGCTGTTCCTCATGGATCTGCAGGATTGAGGCCGGCATCGTGCGAATGTACCGTCAAAGCGCATCGGCGTGAGCTCGCGTGCTCCTTGTGTGCCGCCCCGGCTCGGTCTCACCTCGGTTGCGGAATAGACTTGTCTTCTAGTCGTGGAGTGACGAAATGCATTTGTGCTGGCGATTGCAAATCGTTATTACCCTCTTTGGACCTGTCCACGCCTAAGCGATGTCAGCAGATGCTAAAGGACTGCAAATTATCCTGCTATGATTATTCCCTTTCTCTTCCTCCCCCTTCTACATGCTCGAATCCGTCCGGCATGCCCTCCGTATGTTCCGCTACTCGCGGTTCCTCCTCAAATCCGTCTTTAACACCTTTATACGGCCTCCACTACTCGTATTTCTAATCTCTAGGACACAAATATTGGCACTTCCATCTAATTATGCTCTCTCCGGCCTTGTCTACGTGCTCTCGATCCCGTTCTCGGAAATCGTCTTGACCGTATTATCGTCGAGGAGGAAGAGTAGAGACCGCAAGAGACTCGGAGCACTCCCAGTGCCAAAAGTCAGAGGCAGGCGTCTGGGAAACATTGACGTCCTCAGCGCCTTGATTGCTGCAGAGAACTCGGAGTACCCCGGAGATATTTTCCTGCAATGGGCGAAGGAATATGGACCGACATTCGACATGAACATTCTCTGGGCTTCTCAGATTGTGACTGGTGAGAACCGTTGGTCGCTTGGCACATGGTTACTTATTGCATCCGCCAGTCGACCCAGAGAATGTGCGCTACGTGCTCTCCACGGCCTTCACTTCATTTGAGAAAAGTGAAAAGCTTCGTGACATGTTCGAGAGCTTCTGGGGCAACGGCATCTTCACAACGGACGGCGAAACTTGGAAACGGCATCGCGCGAATGCCCGGCCCTTCTTTGCTCAGGAGCGTCTCGCAGACTTTACGCCTTTCGAAAAGCATATGAATAAGATGTTGGATATTCTGGATAAGCTCACAACGGACGGCGAGCCGTGTGACATTCAGGTACGTTCAATCTCTTAAAGCGCATGGCATGGAACTATACCTTATTAGGGTCTATTCGCAAGGTATACACTCGACACGGCAACAGAGTTTCTGTTTGGCGTTTCGACAGAGTGCCTGGACGGTTTTCTTGAACACGATCCAGATGCGCCTTATGAGCGCTTTATGGGTGCATTCAACGAACTCGCCGCCCTCGGAGCCACGAGGATCAGAATGTGCGTCTCCAATCTATGAATATCTCGGACTAATGATCTGAACCAGTGGCTCAACTTGGCCATTATTCGAGCTCAGTGGCGATAAAGCGGTCAAACCAACTCGGATTATCGATGCCTTTGTCGAGCCAATTATCCGCAACGCGCTGAGACAAGTAAGGGATAGCGATGCAATGGACTCTAACTTTCTCGAACACCTTGCAAGAGTCACCAAAGGTAGTTCCTATCCCGAATTCGGTCTCTTGCTGAAGCCTGGCTGTAGACAGCAAAATGGTTCGAGACGAGTCTCTCAATATCCTATTTGCTGCTCGGGACACAACTTCGTCCCTCTTGACATCTGTTGCATATCTTCTCATGGAGAATCCGGACGTCGAGAAGAAGATGCGCCAGGAAGTATTAGACATATGCGGACCTGATCGTACCCCAAGTATTGCGGATATTAGGAAGATGAAGTATAGTACGTGGCTCCAACCTCAGCAGATACAAACTAATTCGGCCAGTCGAGGCAGTACTAGACGAGACCTTGCGTCTCTTCCCGCCTGTTCCGTACAACATCAGACGCAGTAGGTATACTCGAACCATAAACGAAACACCCGCTGATTTTTGACTAGGTATCGACTCCTCTGCACTTCCTTCACCAATGTCCAAACTTGGACAACCGCTGTACATGCCGCCGCGCAGCTCCATCACATATGCTCCTATTCTCATTCACCGCGATCCTGCGTTTTGGGGAGAAGACGCCCACGAGTTTAGACCAGAGAGATGGCAGAGAGGTTCTGCCCCTATGTCGCATGCAAACGCATGCATGCCATTCAATATGGGACCAAGAATCGTGCGTGTTTCTCCACTCTCCATTGGCTGGTAACACTGAGAAATTACCTTAGTGCCTTGGTCAACAACTAGCATATATCCAAGCCACCTACGTATGGGCGCGACTTTTACAGCGCCATGCTCGATTTGAGAGGGCCAAAGATGCACAACCCCCTGAATCGCTTCCTCCAACCAAAGAATGGATCTCACAAGGACGCACAGGGAGACATACTTTCGAGACGATCTGGCCACATGCAACCGTCGTTCTTAGCGTCAAGGTACGTACTCTCATGTTCACGAAATCCAACTCAACATCTCCAGGGAGGACTCTGGGTGCGTTCTGTTCCGTTTTTGTTCCACGAACACTAGGCTTCCTTTGTAAGTTGATATGACCATGACCATATAATTAGGATGCGAATACAATGTACGCCTATAATATAGCTCTACTCCATCTCGAAAAATGCATCCTCCTCCACACCCGATGTAACGGCTTTCTTCGAGTGCTCTGAAGCCGATGTCTTTTCTAGCTTTTGTTTCTCTTGATGGAGGGACGTAGAAGTTTGTCGTTCAGCCAAATGCTTCTCAGGTTCGGCTTCAAGTTCTCCAGCAATCATGGCCGTTCGTATCGTATTGCGAATCTCCGCTCGCTTTTGCGTCGTCTCCTCACTTCCCGCATGGGTCTCTGCCTCGGAGTCTTCGTCTTGATTGCGCGCTTCACCGCGTACTTCAGGTGGAAATAGGGAGATGTACTTCTCCAGCTTGGGATAATGCTGCGCAAACCAATGTCAGGACTCGCCTGTCGGGATGTGGGCGATACGAACCAAGATATAGTTCAAGTCGACTCTTCGTTCAAATAGCTCCGCCTCGAGTGTCTTTCGATGTTTCTTCTTGAGCTTCTCACCCTCTGCATTGACGCCACTATCCAGAGTCCGTTGGGTCTGATGAATCTTGCGAAGGACCTTTTGGCGCTCTGTATATTGTAAGTAGTCGAACAAGGCTCAATCTATGAAAAGAAGTACCAAAGAATTTGACCTAACAGGACGATGAGCACCTATACGAGAAAGGCATCGTACATACTTTGTGATACCGCGTAGCCATCGTACGCTCAAGTTTTGCCCGCTCCGCACGTGCTAAATCGCTCTCCAGCGACTTGAGTCTCCGCTCAGTTGTCACACGCACATCAGGCGTCAAATTATCCTATATCAAAGCGCAAACAGAACCAAAAGTCAGTTCGTTTGCATTCTCATTGAATAGAATACGCCTCTTACTTTTGCTAAAAGCCGCTTTGTCTGTCGAAGTGCCGCCTTTAGTTTCTGCACGCCCGGGACACTGTCTGCGCTCGACTGTTTATACTGTTTACTATGATGCCGAGTGGAGGAATCCTTTCTAGAACTTGAATCCCCCGATTTTCGTCGGTCTTTGGAGCTTTTGAACGAGCCCATTGCAAGTCAGTCAAATGCGGCGAGGCTCAACTCAAGAGGTTCATACTACCACCATTAAGAAACAGGTGAATCAAATCAATTTGTTGAAAACTATCTGACCACAATACACCATTGGTGAAAAAAAGGATAGGCAGGAGAAGGAAAAAGAAACCGAGAACCGAAGCCACTGAACTTATGGAATAAGTAACTTGCCCGTGGATCAACGATGAGTTGATTTAGGAGAAGCGCATCGCACTACAGAGCGAGGGAGCCGGGAGGGGATTCATCGAGGCCTTTGAGAGAACATGGAAAAATATCGAAAGGAAGATCTGGATTGGGATGAACAGGACATATTCATCGAGCCGTAGCGTCCGTCAATGGTATGATGAGATTGAAGTACGCGAGCTGGACGAAACAAGACAGATCGCCATAGCAGGTCGATATTTTCCGAATACGACAGGCCAACCGAGACGTTACAGTTGTACAGCACGTAAGAATAAATCATTCGGGACATGATTTGGTTGAGGGGGTTTCGACGTCGACTCTGGATCGAGGTTCTTGATCCGTGTAGCGGAACGTCGCGAGAGCAGGCGGGGAAAGGTAGAAATATGAAACAGTGTGAAATAATAAGTCCGGATTTTGTTGGTGATCTATATTGACGGCCGACCGACGAGCGCGTCGCTTAAGACCACTTTCTGTCATTGTACCTAGCCGGGGGATCGATGGCCGATGCAGGTGCGATGAGGGCATTGGGTCCCCAGCTATCGGAGCGAGTGTGGATATTGCCCGCAGCAGGCGAAGCGCGACCCGCGGTGGGCTCGATGGCACTGGATGCAAAGGTCTGCGAGACCGACCTCAGGTGTCCAGGCTGAGGAGGGCGCTGAGTCTGCGTAGACTGAGGGCTAACACCAACAACCTCCAAGCGAGCCGCGTTGTGCCTTCCAAAGTCGGCGCCAGCCGTCGCAGGAACCGGCGAGAGCTTGCCGGCGCGAATATCGGTGGCGAGCGACAGGCCTGGCGCAGGCATCGCAGGGTTGCTTGTGTAAGGATACGAATTCTTGGGCACTGTTTGCTCGAGAGACTTGGTGTCGACGCGGAGGGCTGCAGGGGTTGGGCGAGAGGAGGAAGGCCCATTCAAATCTTGCTTTGGCGCGACAGTCGGCGCAGGTGGAGAAGGGCTCGATGCCTCGTTCCTCTTGATACGAGCAAGCATCGATGTCTGTTGCTGCTCAGTGTCGCTGTTGGTACTCTGGGCCCGGTCGCGAGGCTCTGGAACAGGTTCCTTCTTTTCTTCGTTGGCGCCATTAGCGGGAAGCTCCTGTACGCGAATCAGTGTCGCCATTCTGTCGATTCGGGAAGTTACTAACCGTGTGGATGAAGCAGCACTATTGCCAAAATGACCAGTCAGTTACGGTACGCAAAGGATCGAAAAATCTGACGTACCCTCTTTCCATAGGGACAGGATCCAGAAAGCCAGAACGTACGGCAAATCTCAGTCTTGTACTGTGGGAACGAATCAGAATCCGCCAAACTTCGCCACACAAAAGAAGATGACCAACCTTTGGATGACGTTGAACCTTCTTGAGCTCTTCTTCTCCATGAGCGAATTGGCACTTGGGACCATACCGACAGGATCCCTTTTCTTCCCAGCTACGGCAAAGCTCGGTCTTGTACAGGCCCAACTTCCTGTTGTTTGCACTCGGACCCCCTTGGTTGGGGTTGGGAACCGGGTTGAGCGGGTACGCACCCAATCCAACGTGCTGAAGGGCAGCATGGAATGCAGCAGGAGGCAAAGCCGCGACGGCGTTTGCAACAGCAGCCGCCACGTTCTCTTGACCAGGATAAAAGGGAGGTGCACCAGGGTTTCCACCCGTGGCGCCGTACAGAGGGTTTCCGTACAGATTGGGCAACATTTGAGGATTCCCATAGGCTGCGGCAGCAGCGGCCAATGCAGCCGGGTTCAATGCAGGATTCTGAGGTTGGCCAGGCAGAGGCGCACCGAGCCCTTGGAGTGCATTCGTAAGAGCGATTTGAGCTGCGAGTTCTTGAGCGGCTTTGTTGTCTGCAGCACCAGGCATTCCAGGGTAGCCAGCACCAGGAAGTGCCTGGCCGTAAAAGCCACCCATAGAAGGCGCACCGTTTAGTCCAGGAGCGGCTGAAGGGATGTTTGGCAGCGTCGATTGGGGCGGTGGCGATGTGAACGCTCCAGGTCCGGTGGCTCGTGGAGCTGGTGCTGATGCATTGGACGGCGGAGAGGCAGCGATGACACCTGAAATAAAATGTCGAGGTTGGAGATTATAGTCAACTTGAAGAACTTCGTCTGATTTGCCCATGCCGCCCGGCGGATTCGTTCCACGGAACGGGTAACCAGCGGGGACATTTTGACCTTGGTAGGAAGCGCCATTAAAATGAGAACCAGGGGCCTTGGAGGTGTCTACACCATTTGAACCCATATCCTTGGACGGTACCGGAGTCGCTACTGGTGCGGACTCGTTGGAAGAGTCGGAGTGGGACCCACGGCGCGGTTTTGTGGCCAGAGGTGCGTTCCCACGAACGTTTAAATTTTGCATGCCGTCCGTGAGCGCATGGACGCTGTCCCAGGAGGGCTGACGGCCAACTGTAGAAGCAAACTGGGTTCCCCGCTTATCCGTCATGTAGGGCGTCGACTTTGAGGTCGTTGAAGACATTCTGTAGGAGGAGAAGAGAGAATTAGCGTCTGGATGACAGAGCACGCGGCTTGCCCTACGGTGGTTTTGGTCTTGACTTTGCGGAGGAGCACGCACACAGCAGAAGTGTACAGCAGGAATATTCAGCAAATAATCTTTGCGGTCGTGGTCGGCGTTCAAAAGGCAAACCTGGACGGCGCAAACACAGAGTCAATAAAACAATTGAGCTGATGCGGAGAAGACGCAGAGGGATGTGGAGATGAGCAACAACACCAAATGCACGCTTTTGGGTGCTCAGAGATCGAATAAATCATATGAGGGAGTGGATAGTCACTGGTTCGCTGTCGCGCGAGCAGACATGGCAGCGTCTGTGGTCCCCGGCCAGCACCAGGGACTATCCAGATGATAAACAAGGATGAGAAAGCGACGTACGAGTGAAGAATCACCGATTTGTGCGCTGGGTACGTGCGGGAAATGCACCGTTTGGTTCACCAGGAACAGGGTCGTACGTTTTCAGAGCGTTTGCTGGTTTTCCGAGTGTAAAGAAACAGACAGGCAATGTCGCAGATGATAGTCAATAACGATAGGACGATGGTGGAGGAGATGGTCGGCCGGGAGATGGATCTAGAGAGCACACACGATCAGCAAGTATCCAAGCAAGATAATCATGATGAATAATGCTATTTCTGAATTTTCTTACATTTTTTTCAACGAGTCTCCGAAGATGCCCTCGACACGGACGAGTTCAAAGAGCGATGGAATAGAGTGCGATCAAGATCCAAGATAACACGATGATACAATACAGAATAAAATGTCGAATCAGCTTGTATATGGGATCTGACATTCTCCATGGAAGCTGCTAGAAGCGTGCAGAAACACAGGGGCCTGTTTATTTAGCCAACGTCAATTTTGATCTCTGCCACAATCTCTCCCCATGGCCGTCGTCGGTATTGATCTCGGATGTCTCAACAGCAAGGTATGTATATGGCCTACACAGCGCTAGCCACTCTGTTAACTTTGGATTTCAAAGATTGGTGTCGCCCGCAGAAAGGGTATCGATATCATCACAAACGAAACGTCTAATCGTGCTACTCCGTACGTTATTTAGCGTGATCGCACACTGTCTGCTCATCGTTTTCATCAGATCCCTCATTTCGTTTGGTGTCAAACAACGCGCCATCGGCGAACCCGCAAAGACGCAGGAGATTTCCAACTTTAAGAACACAGTCGGATCCCTCAAACGATTACTCGGGCGATCGGCATCTGATCCAGATATCACCGAAGTCGAGAAAAAGTTCCTCACCGCCGCCCTCGTCGATGTAAACGGTAGTGTGGGCGTCAAGGTAAGCTTATAAAGTCTTTATATCTCATCTCTCACCGAGAAATCCAGGTCAATCTCGCTGGAGAGTCCCAACAGTTCTCCGCCACCCAGCTCGTTGGAATGTACCTAGGCAAACTCAGGGATACTGCAGCTGCCGAGCTCAAAATCCCAGTATCAGATGTTGTCATCGCGGTTCCTGCATGGTACACCGATATCCAGCGACGGGCATTGCTCGATGCCGCTGCCATTGCCTCACTCAATCCCTTAAGGATTATTAATGAAACCACCGCCGTAGCCTTGGGCTATGGTATTACAAAATCCGACCTACCGGAACCGGACAGCCCAAGACATGTCATGTTCATCGACGTAGGGCACTCAAACATGACTGCCACCATTGTCGCTTTTGCAAAGAACCAGCTACATGTCAAGTCAAGCGCATCCGACCGACATCTTGGCGGTCGTGATATCGACTATGCGCTCGTGCAACACTTTGCCGCCGAGTTTAAAACAAAATACAAGATTGACGTCCTATCCAACCCCAAGCGACGTTCCGTCTCATTGCCGGTTGCGAAAAGCTGAAAAAGGTTCTTTCCGCCAACGCAGAGGCAAACCTGTCGGTCGAGTCGATCATGAATGACGTCGATGCGTCGTCGCGGTTGACACGCGAAGCGCTCGAGGGTCTCATTGCCCCTTTGTTGGAGAAAGTGGCCGGTCCGATTCAGCAGGCACTCGCGGATGCTGGTCTTTCACCAGATCAGATTGATAGCATCGAACTCGTTGGAGGAAGCTCGCGAGTTCCTGCCATCAAGCATCGCATCCAGGCCATCTTTGGTGGTCGGACGCTCTCTACTACGCTCAACCAGGATGAGGCCGTCGCACGCGGTGCCACGTTTGCATGTGCCATGCTCTCTCCGGTATTCAAAGTCAGGGAGTTTAGCTATCATGATGTGGCACCTTATGCGGTCAAAGTCCAATGGGAGCCAACCGAGGAGGAACCCGAGTCGGAGTTGATCGTGTTCCCCAAGGGTAACACCGTTCCATCCACCAAGATTCTGACAACTGCGCGAAATGCGCCGTTTGATATCGAGGCCGACTACGCGGAACCTGACAGTCTGCCCGGTGCCATCAACCCATGGATCGCCCGTGCGACGATCAAGGGATCACCTGCCGCTGGTGAAAATCCGACATACAAGGTCAAGACTAGGATGAACGCCAACGGCATCGTCTCGTTCGAAGGTGCATACTATGAAGAGATTGAGGAGAAGGAAGACACGATGGAAGTGGATGCCAAAGAGGGTGAAGCGCCTCCCAAGAAGAAGAAGATTGTGCGAAAGAAGGATGTCCCGGTCGTTACTGGCTACGGATCCCTAGACGCCACTGTGCTCAATTCTCTGCGTGAGCAGGAAGCGTCCATGCACGCTGCGGACAAGCTTGTCAAGGATACAGAGGTATGCCTCTCAGTGCTTGTTACGAATGCCCGCTCATATTAGTTTAGGATCGCAAGAATGCCCTTGAAGAATATGTGTATGACATGCGCTCCAAACTCGATGACCGCTATGCATCGTATACTCAAGCAGAAGAAAAGGAAAAGTTGTTGAGTATGCTCTCTGCGGCGGAAGACTGGTTGTACAGCGAGGAGGGCGAGGACGCGACAAAGTCTGCGTACACCCAGCAACTTGACAAACTCAAGGCTGTTGGAGATCCAATTGCGTTCCGCTACACCGAACACTCTGAACTCCCTCGCGCGGCATCGGCGCTCCGGGACGCGTTGAATCAATTCTACACGCAAGCCACCTCTGGCGAGGAGCGCTACTCACACATTGCCGAAAAGGACCTAACGTCCGTCGTGGAAAAGGTGGCGACAACACAGAAATGGCTCGACGATGCCATGGCCAAGCAGGCTGAAAAGCCAAAGAGTGTCGCGCCGGTGGTGACGACGGCAGAGATTCAGAAGAAGCGCGAGGAGCTCGTCTACTTCTGCACGCCGATCATGACCAAACCCAAGCCCAAGCCTGCGCCAACGGAGAACCCGCCACCTCCTACATCGAATCCACCCCCTGCTCCGGCTGACGATGGAACTCCGAATGCGAGTGGGACGGGTACGCCTGCGGAGCCTCCGAATATGGACGTCGATTAGAATAGATTGTTGTGCATTTACTATTCTCGCATCTAATGTAGCTTGGTATCGAGTCCCACATTGGTTGCTGTCAAGTGGTGAGCCCCTTCTTGGGCCTGACTTTGTTTGCCGCGGGTCACTGGGATTTATTACGAATATTTCACACTCGACATTTGAGGATAGACTACCTGAATATTCAATCTCCGCTGGCTCGGTCGCGTGAAAAAGAAACAACATGGGTCAAGATTAGTCCTGATCGGCATCGAAGACGAGAGGGGTAAACGTAGGAACGAGCGTCACTCAATATGTAAAGGGACAAATGAACGGCTATACTCGCTCCGTTGCTCGTCTCTCGAAGCATTTTTTGGCAAATGGCTCGAGGAAAGAGTCTGTCAGAGCCCCGATTTCGATCTTTTTACCGCGAGGACTTCTACGTTCCTCTTTCCCTCCGTTCCGCATCCTCTTTGGGCCCGATGAGCGATATAAAACCTAGAATTGGGCCAAAGTGGCTTGTCTGGATTTGCTGGTTCCCCTCAACATCTACCAGCTCAGTCTTTGTCACCAGCTCCGAACTTGGTCTCCCTTTCTGCCATCCTATCTACTTGGTCTAATGGCATCGTTCATCAAGAGATTCCTCCTCGTGCTTGGAGCCATCACTGTAGTGCGCTCTCACATGTCCATGTACGTCCCACTCGTCCCTCCAAGATTACTCGCTCATGCCGCTCTGTGTTCATAGTTGGCATCCGTCAATGTATGCGTTCAACGGTACGACGGACTGTGTGGGAGAAGACTGCAAACACGACCAAGTTAACCCAATCACGCCCAACTCAGAATTCAAGGACTGGTGGATGCGCGGCGAGACGACGATGTATGCCTCAAACTCCCTCGATTGTTCTTGTGCTGACACTCTATTAGCAATGCGCCTCCGAACACGGTCCTCAATATGCGCGCGGGTGGCAAGGTCACATTCGAGATTGCCTGCGACAAGGAATGGACCAGCTACGGACATCATTACTATACTAGCAGACCCGGCCTCGCCAACCAGGTATCTATTTTTCGGGGTCATCGTCCTCGCCCGCTGACAAGCTTGCTAGGACGCTTGCCCAACCGACGCCGGTGCTTACCATGCAGATCCCGCAGCCAAGATCGTCAACACCACGCTCATCAAGGGATGCGCCCTCGGCATCGCTGACACCAACGACATTCGCAAAGTTGGAATGAACGATATTACCATCTTTACCGTTCAGAAAAACTGCGTCTGGAACAAGACGACTGACTTCTACATACCCCCAAAGTTGATCTTTCGCTCTGGCTTTCCCATGTTTGCTCATGGTGCGACAGGATGCCAAAGTGCTCAAAGGGCAAGTGCATCTGCACATGGTTTTGGCTGGCAGAGACTGGGACGCCCAACTTTTACATGACTCCTTTCGACTGCAATGTCGTCGGTTCGCCCAGAGATGCTCGTCCGCTCGCAAAACCCAAGCCACCTGTTTATTGTGGGGATAGGAAAACGCCATGCACTCGAGGCGCAAAGCAACCTCTTTACATCTTCAACAAACCGAGTAGGTAGATTCTCACACGAGAGATTACGCTAATCTTTCACCAGCCAATTACAACGGTCCTCTTCCCAACGAAAACCGCGTCTCATACCAACCTGCTTGGGGCTTCAACGATGGACCTCAGAACGACATGTAAGTCTGAGTGATCTCAATAGACTATCGCTGACTGCTTTCCAGTTTCAAATAGACTCGAATCAAAGCGATTCTCCCTTAGAGCGACCATTATCGTCCAAAGACGCAAAATGTATACCATGTAGTTGTACAACATGTTGACTTTGATCTTCCTCTTTTCCGGTGTGGTAATCTCTTTTGAACCTGACCATATCCACCCTTGTGGACACATCCTCTGGCGTGCTTTGGCCAACTCATGTTCAAACGCTAACTTATTTTGCTATAATGTACCTCTCCGACTCTAATCTAACCTCGCGTACGACTACGCACACCCATTCTTTCAAACCACAACCGCCGCTCAATTCACTCGTCAGCAGCATTGGTAGCTCCCACGAACAAGTGTATGAATCCGGTTCTTCCAGACAGCAATCGGACATTAGCCGCGCAACGTCGGCAGTAGGCCACCTGCAAACACAAACACGAGCACAAGTCCATGCACCGACCAAAGGAAGATCACGTCGTAATACACAACAACTCATTAGCATCTTTGAGCAAGCGACGTCTGAAGCAGCGATCATGAGTCAACCGCTGCAGCGCGGTCTGCCTCTCCCACCTTCTCCATCGGCTCGGAATGCACCAGCAGGACCAAGGGTCACGAAGCGTGCACCTCTGCGTGATTCGTTTCGTAATCTAGTATCAGCGTTTAACAAGGCAAAACGCTCGTTTGGCGACTCGACACCAGCTCGTGTCCGTCCACCCCAAATGGATACCGTAGGGAAAGTCAACGATAAGCCCGCTTCAACGACAGGGAATAGCTCTTGTGTGGCAGTTCCACCAGAGGTGTCACTGTCCAAGTTTACACCGTCCTTTCCTCCAGTGAGATAACTCATGATTTCCTTATCTCCCTGACGCATTTAATAGGACGTTCGAAGTGGCATCCTACTTTATTACGATGATAATCCAAGAGGGGCTGTCTGGCACCGCTGCAATGCCTTTCTCTCCTCATCGACGCTCCGTATCAGCTACTTTAACACTTCTGGCAAAGAATCTACTCGCTCATTTCGCATGAATCATGCCTCAGATGCAAGGTCGATGACAGATAGAAGCAGCTTCCAAGTGGGACCCCCTTTGCTCGACAGCCATATCCCCTGCGCCTTCGAGGTCAACTTTGGGGAGAAGGGGGTCGAAATTTTTGCTGCCATTTCTGCATTGGAACGGGTTGGCTGGATTAGCGCCATCTGGTGAGTGTCCTGGTAGTCCGAGGCTTGATCCCAACTTAGGGACCACAGGGATTCAATCATCTCTGGAAAATGTGCCGACACAGAACACGCCGTCGAATCATCTAGAGTTGAATTGGCGTTGTCTCTACCAATCAGTGACCGGGACGACAACGAGGCGGTCATCCACTCTCCTCGACCCGTCGACGCAACTTCGCAAGACATTTCCCCATTGTTGCTACTCAAACGAACAGGTTCGCCTTCCTGTTCACGATCTACGTGGGTTACAGAGGGCTCAGCTCAAAGCCACGATCATACAATCTCTCAGAGTCGTACCGGGACTGCATTGTCTGTCAGGGAGCGAATAGCTCATCTGAATCAAATGGATCGCAATTCCAGTCAAGACCTGTATGCCACACCACCCAGGACCCCATCCATCGCCTCCCGTAAATCGACAGCACAGACGAGTCCTTTGAGGAAAACGGTTGCCCTTCGCTACCACGTAGACTCGCCACGCTCAGCGCAGGTAAAACCACTCGTGTTAAGCTCCCATTCTTCCATTCGAAAGCAGCCGACCATGACGACAAACGACAACGCTCCTTCCTCCAACTCATCCACTTCTTCCCAGGGCCTGCTTCATATTCACTCTGTCGCGTCATCTCCTCTTTCGAATATCCCCCCGAAGGAGTCTACCCAGTCCCCCGATATGACTATGCGCAATATTGACACAATGCCCAACCAAGATTTCGTTCACCCGGGTGAGATTGCACGGATGCACAAAATTCTCTCCTCCATTCAGAAGGATGTCAAACTGGCTATTCAGCAGCCGCCTCTGCCCATCCCTCAACTGGACGACTTGAGGAACCGTCTCCAAGCATTAGCGAGCGGCCTACACTCTGCAGATCTCCATGGGTTACATACCAAGCTGGAAACCCTTCAACCGACACAAGTGGACGAATTCGAGGGCAAGGTGACCTTGAATCTAGCCGAGGAGATTGAAGAACTCAGGTTAGCTATCGAGGCGATGAAGATTGCGCAAGAGGACAAACTAGCGGGGCTCCCTCAGATACTCGAATCCTTGGAGGCACTGAGGGAATCACAAAACAATGCCATTCCTCCGCCAGTTCCGGCTAAGGATGTCTCCCCAAGCGAGACGTCGCCACAAGAAGATCTTCTCATGTCTCTCAAAGAGCAAGTCGCTATGCTCAACAATCACTTTGTCTTGTTCAAAGAGGAAACGGAAAAGGTAAATATAGCCTTCAAGCTAGAGGAGAGCGTGCCTCTACGTTCATTGTCCGTCTTCAGTAAGCGAAGTCAGGGTCCTGTCAAAGATGTACCCGAGTCTCAACCCACAGGGCCCGGTTCAGAGGTGAAGACAGTCGACCCAAGTAAACAGATTCGAGCACTGATCTGCGGGTAGATACAAGAAATCCTTCGAATCGTGAAAGCGGAACAGGAACAACAACTTGCGACAGGGAACCAGTTTGAGGACAGTATCCGATATCTCAACGAGTTGAACAAGTGGATGGAAGCATTCGTCGCCAAGACAAGTGATCATGAACAACTTCTCCACAAGATATCGGGAACGTTGGAGAAGGTTGTATCCAACAATCAGGCCTCTGCGTTGCGCGCCATCGGGAGCGATGCAACCGAAGGTTCCAGTCAAGAACCAATGACAGGACTCAAAGCGTCTGTGGATACGTTCCTCTCTAAGCTCAATGAACTCCAAGGATCGGGGGGACTATTGCCCATAATGGCTATGATCAAGCAAAATCGTTCTGAGCAAGACGAGTTACTCCGTAACATTGCTCAAGGCAGGTCATCGTGCACGTTGCTTGACAGTTGCTTATATGGCAACAGGATTATCTTCTGATATCAAGGGTGACCGCCTACGTTTTGTAGAGGCAATGAAAGAGGCCACTACCGTCAATGTTGCGATGCAAATAGACGAATTCAAGAGACAGCTCTCGCATGAAGTATCTGCCATGCTTCAAGACGTTGGGAAATTCGCACGCGCACGCGAACGAAAACATCTAGAGCAAGAGATTCAAGAAATCTTCAACAAACAAGTGGAACACCAATCCATGAGGACTTCTCAACCTGTAATGATGCCGTCACTCCCGTCTCGTCCTGCATCGACGTCGCAGGGACCGTATCCAGTGTTTATGCTGCCTCCCGGTGCTCCTACAGTCCATGGATCGGCGGTCATGCACCCACCACCATTTCGTCCAAACTCTGGCTTTATGACGCGTGCACTACCAACCCCAGCACCGTATGCTCCTACCCCACAACCTCAGACTCATGTGGAGCCTCCTTCACCTACGCGACGACTTGCCTGACTAGGTTTACGCGATTTCTCTTACGCACGGGACCTTTGTCGATCCGGAGGTGTACATTAGAACGAGGTTTATCAACTATTTCCTACAAGAAAAAGGTGTGGTGACGAACGAGTGGAGGTGGCTAGGTGTGCCAATGTATGAGTTAATCAAACAGATACGGTAGAAGATGATGTAGAAGACACGGGTGTAGAAGTCGATGATGAGGTCGAGGCGGAGGTGGAAGTAGAGAGGGGTGTAGACGTCGACGTGGTTGTCGTCGAGTTTGAGGGAGTGCCAATGGTGAACACAGGCGAGAGCCAGGCATCATAGTCTTCCTCGACGTTGCGGTTGCCCGTAACTTTGAGGGATCGAATGAGGAGACGGTAAGTACCGTTGGGGATAGCAGTGCGGTTCAAGAAGCTGGTGACACGGACCCAATCGTATCCGTTGCCCTCGTCCGACGCCACGATATGTCGTGGCTTGTACGGGAAACTCTGGACGGGGCCCACGGTTGGGACATTGAAGAAGGATCCAGAAGGGACAGTGATGCGACCGTTGTTGTTACCAAAGATGCCATTGAGCCAGTTCCAGAAGAGACCTCGCTTCTTCGCCGCCGGTGTCACGCCAGGAACTTGTGTATTGGGCATGACAAGGTCGGCGAGGAAGGATGGCGTACCTGCTGCACGACGATAGAGGATTGCTGGGTAGTCGTTGCCGATGAGCGAAAACGTCTGGTTTGGCTTGGGGACTTTGCCAGCCGAGTCGAGCAAGGCGGGGAGTTGAATGCCAAAGGACTGGGCCGTACGGTCCAAGATGGCCATGTCCTTCATCTTGGCTGCCACACCGAGGTAGGGAATACTAAACGTTTCGCCAAGACTCGAGCTAATAGTCACAAAGCCGGAGTAGATGGGGAACGTTTTCGGATCGACGCCTGCCGGAGGCTGGATGCTGAGAATGAAGCCATTGAAAAAGCCAGGCCAGACGGTAAACTTCTGCGACAAGATGGAGACGGACGCGGCTTGCGACGACGTGGGGAGAGGAGAGGTATACGGGAGCTTGGTGGCGCTGTTGATAGTAGAGATTGTCAAACCGGGTGTATGTGAGACGGTATAGGTGACGGATTTTTTGGTGGGGTTGGAGAGAGTGATGATTTGCACATTGTTGCCGTACGCAGTATCGTTCAAGAGTAACTCGCTCGTAGATACGACGGTTCGTGCGTGAATGGCATTGTACACGTTGATGAGTCCAGCGCCCTGTTGAGCGACGCTCACATAAGGCGCACCATCGGCCGTGGATGCGGGCACCATCATCGCAGTGTTTTGGAGTGCCTTTTTGACACTTCGAGCAGTCTTATCACCCTTTCCACGGGCAGAAAGGTAGAGGGCTGCAGAACCTGCGACAAAGGGAGTGGCCATGCTGGTACCGCTCGACACACCCCAGCCACCAAAGGCACGGGGGATAGTGCTGAGAATGTTGCCTCCAGGAGCGACGACTAGAGGGACCGTGTCAAAGTCAATTGATAGTGGAACAGGTCGACATACCGGCTGGTTTGATCCGCAGGTCGTAAGTTGGGCCCATACCCGAGTATGTCGAGATGAGACCTCCACCCGGGATCTCGGTAAAGCCGGGTGCAGTGGACTTCAACAGGTTAGAAGGGAGCACATTGAAGACAGAGTTTCATACCGGAGAGAACGTGACTTTCACATTGGCTCCAGAAGCAAACGAGTTGACGAGCTGAGGATTGGTTAGCTCTCAAACTGCAAAAGAGGTTAGTCTCCTACATAGACTCCGTCTTCCGCTCGAATCAGAACTGCAATGTAACCTCCCGAAGAAATGATACCAAGCGCGCTTCCATCACTAATAGGCGTCAATTGAAAGTCCAAGGAGCAAGATAGATGCATACTTGTAAAGGAAGAAATACTTGGCACCCTTTGCTGCAGCATTTGCAAACTTGGTCGCAACTGAGCATCCACCGCGACGAATGACAACGAGGTAGCCAGCAAGATTGGGCGTGTTGGCGGGAAGAGGGTTGCACGCATCATTGGTGATGGTCACGTCCGTCGAAGTGGCATAGACGGGCAAGCTGCCTGAGACTGGGAAAGCACGGAGCGAAAAGTACGGAATAGGTGCGTGGCCATCGGAGAGCGTTACGTTGATACTCGGGAGGACAGAGCTTACGATATGTCAGGGGGTGCATTGGGAGCGGGTGGCGTGTCCTTACTTTTCAACGGAACCAACGGCAATGACATCGTCTCCGCTCGCGGGAGCAGGAGTGTTCCATGCACCCATTTGACCATCGTTTGTACTGGGACCATCAGTCGCGCGTCTATAAGAAAGAGGAAAGGTATACGGACAGACTGGCAGTAACAACTCGTCCTTTCTTTGCAATGCGAGACGCAACGACACCAGTTGTGCTAGTGCTCCACCTAGAGACGGTCAGAGCCACGGTTTGATCCTAGAATCAGGGAGCATACCCAGAACCAGAGCTGAGAGAGCTGCGAAAAGAAGTCAGCATTCCTTGCACGGAGTAGATGATGTACGTACAGCGTAATGACATCGTTTCCATCGCGATATGCCCTGAGGAGAGCTTCTACAACCACACTATAGGATGTCAAATCGTGCCAGAAAAGCTTTGAAACAGTACTCACGGGTCTTGCGCGGTACCAGTGCAGCCAAGGACTCGATATGCATAAATGGATGACTTGTATGCGACTCCAGTAATGTTGTAAATGTTTCCTGGCTGCGCAGCAATGATGCCAGCAACATGAGTTCCATGGCCTGTCCAAGATTAGGCACTTTGGTCGAATTTACACCGCACTATCATACCATAGCATCTAAAATCAAAATGTCAGCAAAGAGCTCTATCTACTATTTTCAACCAACGCCCGCGACTCGACCGAGAATTGTGCGCCTCGGTGTCTGCGGACGGCAGCAATGAGCGACAGGAAAAGGCACATACGTGTCCATTGGGTCGTCATCTGGGACTGGAGTATTGCCTCCGGTGTACGCGTCGCCTACGAAATCGTAGCCTCCCTTGACGAGGAAGTTACTCCCGATACCGCCGCCGAGGCCTAGACGACGAGCACCAAATTAGCTAAAATGAAAGCACGCCAAAGTTACGAGAAGGCGCACTTGGGTTGAGATAGTCGATACCGCTGTCAATGATCCCGATTTGGACACCCTGACCAAAGTTGCCTTAGCGATGGAGGCGTCAGTGACATAAACTCGGAGACAGCCTGGGAGAGAGACTACTCACCCTGTGCATGCAGCTTGTCGACGCCCTAGGGTGCAAACGTCAGTAGCCGGACGTTGGACTTGTGTCGTGGGAGGAAACGTACGGTCATGACATGGGTAGATTGAGTGTCGGGTGGCAGAGCCGGGTCGTTCACACCATTGACGGGCTGGTACTTTACGAGGCTAACGAGGAAACCGGCGCTCAGTTTTGTTGCAAGTGAGAACTCGAGAGGATGGGCGAGACGTACGGTGGGATGGCCATCATGAGAACCTGTCGAATGGCGACGACGCGTTGCATACTGAGGATGACATCCAGATCCTAATCAAAGTGCTCAGGTTTTGATCGGGAATGGGCTACCGGAGACGAACGGCAGAGTTGCCAACGCTGACTTCGAGGCCAACGAACAAATTGGGGTCGTTAAACTCGATACCGGTCTCGACTGAGATGCCTCGTCGTGCAAGTTCATCGTAAAAGTCTTGATGGGGCTATATGCATCGAGTTTCATGTCAGCCCAAGTTTGACGGAGTGAAACAGGACCCGAGGGGTCTGGAAGCGGAGACAAAGAGAGATACAGACAGTAAGGGAACGTTTGTGTTTTGAACCAGCAGCTGGAGAATCGAGTTCTATAATATACTTGCCGGGCACAATATTTTCCGCGTCGGCAGCGGCGGAAGGGATGCCGTCTCGTCGATCCAAGCTCGAGGCAGACACGAGCGTTGGTGGGTTAAAAAGGTGTAAGCTGAGAGCACAGACAAATGCAATACATGCTGCTGCTCTCATCGTTTGAGTCTATGGGCAAAGATGGGGGTTTCTTGAAGGTTTAGATAGCAAGAGTTCTTGAATGCTCGGTCAAGACACTCTTCGTCGTCCGTCACGCCAGTAAAAAGAAATAAAACCAAAAAATAAGGAGCGGAATGGGCGGTCGGAGAGGAGAGGTCCAAGATTCGGATTGAATGGCGTGCCTGAGGTTGTCGCTGTGCCCGTCTCCGTCTGTCTCTTGGACGTCGACCACGTCAAGCAAATGTCACGATTGTCGCTTACAATTGCCGTGTTTCATAAGGACATTCATTTATTTTCATAGTGGAGACTATCTCCAGAAGCACTAACGGCGCGGGACCGAGACAGGGACCAAGAAGCGTGGTTGCATGTAGCGTCTAATGCTTGTTGGAAAAGGAAGACTCCCTCAATGGCTCCTTGGCTTTTTGGGCGGCGGCGACGTTGGGTCGACACGGACCTCGAGCGCATACTCATCAGTATCCGTCTTGGATGGCTTTTTGGGCCTCTTTCCTTCTTTTTCTCGGTACCTTTCTGCACGGTAGTGGTTTTCCAGTGCGTCATCGAAGCATCGGTAAAAGGTCGACAAGCCTCTAGATCCCTGAGCAATCTCTGGATACTTTTTGTTCAGCTATAACGGCGAGTCAATAACCCGTCCCAGAGCATACCAGAAAGATACGAACGCAATTCCAGATGTACCTCTGCGCTACCTCGAACTGGTCCCTAATGGGGACGTTGGTCTTGCCCAGGTAATCTCGCATCGCCGTCCTCAAATCATTCTGTGTGCTTGGATCAGATTATCTTGATCTTTATGCCACACCTACTAACCCGGAACTGTATATAGCGGTCACGGTCGTCATTCCAAGGGGATCGCTCTTGGTTTGAGGGCGGCTTGTATTGCTCAGATGTAGTTAACTGAGCGTATCATATTGATTGTATACATCAGCCATCGAATTACCTGGTAAGAACGTCCATACCACTCTCAACTGCTGTCTGTGACCAGGGTTGTGAAGTCCACGGACATTGTTGATACTCGCTATAAGCCTCAGTGGAGCAAACCTTGCGATTGAAGCGGATCGAGTCACATGCTGAAGCATGGCCATGTCAGAGTAGATGTGTAGGTGAGGTTCAACCCGGAGCCTGACGGGGGGTAATCAGGCGGGATGCCAATAAAGGAACAGGGTAGAGCCGAAAATATTAATGAGACTCGACATGCAATAGATTGCAAATACACATCTCTCTACCACGCAACCCAATGGAGCAGTTCCGCTCGACTGATTGTGAGATCAAGTTCTGTTGGTTTCGAGTAGTCTTCCGAGACAAAAATGCCTTTGCACACTGGAATTAGCAAGAGTATAACCACTGGTATTTGCCCAAGGCCACAAGTACCCAATAGACGGACAAGAGAGGAAAGTATAATCAAGGAAGACTTTTCTGAATTTGGGCTCGACCTCTGGATAATTGTATTGGGCAATACGTACATACATTGAAATAAACCGTAGCGCATCACACTCGAGTCTCTTTTCGAACCTTTGTCCATGAGAGACCACACTGAAAACGAGTGAAGTCGAGCTTGGTCGCACGGAAAGAACTGGCTGTCGGCATAGTCAAGAGGAGGCGCGAGTATTGCAACCCATGTCGATTGTCCGGAGGTACCCAGAAGAGACGTTTCCCGGAAGATTGAACCCAGCCATCGTGTAAAAGTGAGCACTGTTTGAACCCAGGTATATTGATTGTCAGTTGGGTGCCCGGGAGATCTTCACTGTGATCTGAGAGTGTAGACTCTCCGTCATCCTGGATGGTGTTCTCTGCATCTCCTGGTACTTGTCAGGTCACGTCCCATAACCAAAGACAAGGCAATCTAGACTCACCAGCGCCAACCTCCCACAGTCGAACCGTCTTGTCAGAGGAGCCGGAGACAATTCGTGAGCCATCTGGGGAGAACGCGACCGCCCAGACCGATGATTCATGGCCTCTGAGTGGCTCTCCCAATGGCTGACCAGTGACTGCACTCCACAATCGAACTGTCTTGTCCTCCGAGCCAGAGACAATTATTGAACCGTCTGGTGAGAAGGCAATGCTGTTTACCCAATGCTCGTGACCGCTGAGTGGTTCCCCCAGTGAAGCACCAGTGGCATTCTCCCAGAGTCGAATTGTATTGTCCGACGAGCCAGAGGCGATTCGTAAACCATCCGGTGAGAAGGCAACGGCATTTACCCAATTTTCGTGGCCTATAAGCGGCGCTGCCAATGGCTGTCCATTTTTTGTATTCCATAGTCGAATTGTATTGTCCGACGAGCCAGAGACAATTTGTGAGCTGTCTGGTGAGAACGCGACCGAGTTGACCCAATCTGAGTGACCTCTGAGTGGCTCTCCTATTGACTGTCCAGTGATTGCATCCCACAACCGGATCGTACTGTCGGACGAGCCAGAGACGATTTGTGAGCCGTCGGGGGAGAATGCGACGGCCTTGATCCAATCCTCGTGGCCATTGATTGGTTCTCCAAATGGCTCACCAGTTACTGCATCCCACAGCCGAACCGTCTTGTCAGACGAGCCAGAGACGACTCGTGAGCCATCTGGAGAGAACATAATGGCGTTAACCGAATATTCATGGCCGCTGAGTGGCTCTCCTAACGACTCGCCAGTAACTGCATCCCAAAGTCTGATTGTCTTATCAGATGAGCCAGAGACTATTTTTAAGCCATCTGGAGAGAATGCGACAGCCCGGACGGAGTATTCGTGGCCTCCGAGTGGCTCTCCTAATGAGTGACCGGTGCTTGCATCCCACAGTCTGATTGTCTTGTCGGATGAACCAGAGACAATTCTTGAGCTGTTGGGGTCGAAGGCAACACTCGAAACCGAATCATCGTGGCCACTAATTGGCTCCCCCGATGACTGACCAGTGGCCGCATCCCACAGTCGAAGCGTACCGTCGGAGGAGACAGAGACGATTTGTGAGCCACCTGGGGAAAACGCAACTGCGTTGACCACATCGTTGTGGCCTCTGATCGCCTCTCCTAATGGCTCGCCAGTGAATGCATCCCACAGTCGAATCTTCTTGTCAGACGAGCCAGAGACGATGCGTGAACCATCTGGCGAGAAAACGGCGGTGTTAACTGAATATTCATGGCCTTTGAGCGGCTCGCCCAACGATTCGCCAGTGACTGCGTCCCACAGGCAGATCATCTTGTCTTCCGAGCCGGAGACAATTCGCGAACCATCTGGTGAGAACGCGACGGCCCGGACCGAATATTTGTGACCTTTGATTGGCTCCCCCAATGAATGACCAGTGGATACATCCCAGAGCCGGATTGTCTTGTCTTTTGAACCAGATACAATTCGTGACCCGTCTGGCGAGAATATGACAGCGTTGACCCAACCGTCGTGACCTTGGAGTGGCTCTCCTAAAGGTACGCCAGTGGCTGCATCCCACAATCTTATCGTGTTGTCCTTCGAGCCCGAGACGATATGTGAGCCGTCCGGCGAGAATGCGATGGCCACAACTGAGTCTTCATGCCCTCGAAGTGGTTCCCCTAATGGCTGACCAGTGTATGCATCCCACAGCCTGATCATCTTGTCGGACGACCCAGAGACAATTTTTGAGCCATCTGGCGAGAATGAAACGGCGTTGATCCATCCTTTGTGACCTTCAAGGGTTTTGGGTAACCCAGGGTACACCTTCTCAAGCCCTTGTGTCACAGTGAGGGTTTCGATATACTTTTCTATACCCCCGATATGAAGATTTGTCTTCGTGGGAGTAAATGGAAGTGCGGAGATGTAGATATGGGGTGCACTGTCCTGGATGGGGACTGAAAATGCGATGATAAACCGTCGGATCTCGTTCATACTATTTTTGGCTCCTTCTTCAAGCTATTTATTGCATAAGTCTCAGTTTCTTTGGGATATATCGCTCACTTCTGTGTTTGTAACCGCTTTAAGACCGGCTATCGCTCGTGGCACTCCCCGGATGAAGCTCAGTATCTCCATCCAGTGTAGCACATGTGGGACTTGAATAAGGCTCTGAAGCTCCCTCTTGAGCGTAAACCGCCAGTTGTCGGTTGTTTCCGCAACATGAAACAACCAATGAGAGCTGGCATATCGAAGTCGCCTAGATATGAACTCTGATATTTTGGCGTCGAGGTTTGGGATCTCCCTATTTAGGTAGAAAGATGACTCGATTTGACATATGTTGAACCTAAGTCCCTCATTTCGTGACTTGAGGCGGTTGAGACACCACGATGCAACCTGACCATGCGCGTTGGCAATATTGATGTGTAATTTTTGGTGGCCATCGACGCCCTGGGTGATAGAGCACCGTCGAAGGAACTCAACGAGGGTAGGGTGTCGAAATTGGATAAGCTTTGTGGTTCTATCCTCGGTAAGTACACTTCCAAGATTCCTCACGAATGCCTTCGCGCTCCCCTCTACTCCAGCGTGCTTCAGGATATCGTCGAGATCATCGGAGGTGAGAGGCTCAAATGCGGCGAGTAGCAGAGCGAGCATTTGATACATGACCGCGTGGTACTCGGGGTCTGTGCGCTCGAAGATGAGAGTATATAGATCATCCATGGCTCCAGCCTGGCCCATGGACATCAGACGATTGTATATGATTCCCGGAGGGCTCAAACTGGTCTCGCTATTGAGCATTCGACATGCGGTGCTTGCCCAGATGAACAATCCGTTGGCTTTTTTGACAAGCCTCTGCTTCTTATCCTCCGAGAGTATATCATCTAGTGACTGATATACATAGACCGCAATGTCGTCGACATTATCGCGATGTCTGACGTCGTGAAGGCGATCTTCCAACTTGGCCTTGATTGAGAGCGACCCTAAGACTGCTTGCACGACAGGGTCAGGTCGACTCGTCATGAATATCCTGAGGTTTTTGTTTTGTCGAACAGCGGTCGAAAGAGTGTCAACTAGCTCTCTTCGCTGTGGTCCAGATCTACATTCGTCCAGGGCGTCTATGACGAGGATTACACGCCTTTGTTGATGACAAATAGGGTAGACGACAAGCGTCTGAAATTGCTCGTCAATAGAGCTTCGTATAACAGACGGATTTCGCTTCACGGCTCCAGCAACGTGCGGTGCGAGCTCAGGGATGTACTGAACAAGGTCTCTTGCTATGGTGGAGCAGAATTTGTCGGTGGTCGATCCTTCATTGCTTGCTATAGAGAAGAAGAATTGACCGCCTAGCACCCCCTCTCCTCGCCATTTTTCCACTGCAGACATTGCGACTGTGGACTTGCCGGAGCCGGCTATGTCACAGAGCCAAAATATAGGCTTCTCCGACGTTTTATCATCGGCCCACTGCCAGATCGTCTGAAGAACAGCCTTACGTGTTCCTTCCAGGCATGTGCGATGGACTGAGGATGGGACAAATGCTACGATTGGCAGTTGAAGTATAGCAGCAGTGTCGACTTGGGGTGCTAAGCAAGCGTCTAGTTGTAGGAAATTCCAGCTTACCCTCCGTCAAAATGGTCTCCACATTAGCCTTGGTAACCTCCATGTCTCCTTTGGTAACCTTGATGTCCCGTTTGATGGCTTGAACATGTATCCCAGTGCAAAGCCCCAATGCCTCCTATATTTACGATGAGCTTATGAATAGGACTGATAAAGATCGCACCATGAACTGCCGATGTCGATCCTGATATCTCGGCTGAGTTTGAGAATCTCTCCCGCATCAATTTTCACTTTTCTGAACGCTGTAAAGATGCCGGTTTTGCTGCGTTTCTTCTTGAGATCGACAACAGTATCATACATAATTTCGAGGAATCTGCCTCGCTCAGCATATAGAAACTAACACGGGCTATTCACGTACTCAACATAGTGGATGAGCGGCTGGCTGAACGCCTTGTCTACGGCACCGTCCCCGTGATATGTCTCGAACAAGGCGACTTGATCCTCGAGCGCGGAGATATATTCTTTCAAACGTAGCCCGAGGTTGTTCCATTCTTCTTGGTTGTTCTCCGTTGCCTACTGCGTTGATTAGGGTGAAGCTACCCCAACTTGGCCAACTCGCCTGTATAACTTCGAGGATGGACTTTGTTGTCCGACACGCCGCCTTCAGAGGAGAAAGTACGTCTGATCCCTCGGCTATATTGGCCGCTACGTCGAGGCTGATGTTGACTATGTCGTACACTTGATTCCTCTTGCTTGATGAGGCTGGTGCGAAAGACGTGGAAGCCGACGGATTCATAACTCCTCTCTGTTTCTTGGAGTTTAATGCCGTTTCAGCCGACATTGTGAACGTGGATGATCCCAAGTTGTGTTCGGCGTCTAGTATACTCTCGACCACAGTACCGTTACGGCACCTCCGCCAGCACCCGGTTGACAATGTAAACTATAGAGGTAGTAAGAATTGGCTAGGCAAACCAGTACTTCAAGGAGGGAGTAGGACCTAAATTTCGACTTTGGCGTTCAAGCCACCACCAAGTCAGTTCGAGCTTGATTTCTACGCAAATAGTTATATATCATCTTGTGGAGGGTTTCAGGTTAAGTCCTGTGGACATGGCGAGATGGCGACGGGCAAAAGTTGGGGACCGCTGTGGCGACTAGGTTGGAGGCCTCTGATATTCTTGAAACATGTAGTGGCATCCATACAAACGAAGGATCAACATTTAGCACGAACCAAAGACGCTGGAGCGAGATATAGCAAACTAAGTGAATAGGCAATACGTACGAGCTCTTGTATTTGGCAAGTATGTCACACGATGCATATAGTACGAGGTATAAGACAATGAGCAACACTAGAAGACTATACGATAAGTCTAGCGAATCGAAGTGACATCTCTCTCACTTGCCGACATCGTCAGCATAGTCAAGGACAGTCGCAAAATCGAGCAGCGCAGCGACGAGCTGCTTTGAATCCGTCTTGCCAACATCTTCATCGTCTTCCAAGTCCGTCAAGTCGGACGAATCGTCGCTCTCACCAGCACGGTCAGAGCCCGCCTTGTTGTTACTTTGCTCTGTGCGGAATTGGATCCACTTGGCGAGCAACTTGCACTCGGCAGCTTCTCCAAATCCCCACCAGCTTTCGACCGTGTTTTTTGACCCAGTGGGCTCGTCTACACGTTCAGCATCGTCGGGACGACGGCCCCAGACGGGGACGAACCAGCACCATTTCCCATAGTCGTCGCGAGTCGACTTTGCAGGTGGCTTACGAAGCGAAGGTGTGTGGAAGTAGTAGACTCGTCCGTCCATATCGACCTGAGGCGTGAAGCGAAGAGAAATGGATGCCTGCTTCTTGAGAAAGTTGAGTCTGATGCCATGGTCCTTTGCATCGTGCTTGGCTTTGGCAGCTTCAAACTATATGGCAGGTGAGTGAGGGCCAGAGGTGTTTGCCGAGACTTGCCTTTTGCTTCCACTTTGCTTGATCAAAGCCCTTGCCTCCAACCTTTTTCTCTTCCATGAGTGACGAGCGCAGAGAGGACCATCTTTCCCTTTCGGCCTTGGCAGCGGCAAAGTATTCCTTTCGGACTTCAACGCCTTCGTCCTTGTACTTGTCAACCTGGGCACGAAGGGCACGCGTATCAAGGAGATCGTCGACAAGGGCGAGGAGCACTGGAATAAGCGCCTCTGAGTCAATCTCATCCTGCGGTTGCTTGAGCTGCTTGGTCAAACTGGGAATATTGAGCCCAGTCTTTTGACGCATCTTGTCCAGACCGGAGAGAATGTCGTAGAATGTCATTCCTCGGTCGCGAAGTTCCTTGAGGAAATCGTTAAGCGGCCGACGCTGGTCGCTGGTCAGGTCTGTCTTGACAACCTCGAGGAAGGCGACGAGCAGAGCTGAAGGATGGTAAGCATCGAGCTAACACACTTGATGGAAAGACCAACCTTTGGCTGTAGCGTCATCAAAGGTGTCAAAGTCTTCGAGGCGCTCCAAGTAGACACGCTTGATATCCAGAGAGTCATTGAAACGAATGACAAATTCGCGCAGCTAGAGGACGCGTGAGTGACGCAGAGGACAGGCAGATCAGCCTTACCAAGATGCGGTCTTCGATCTCCCGACGCGTAAAACCAGCTCCGACGCGCGTCCAGAGAGGCTGGGGAGCTTTCTTTGGAACGACTGGCTTTGCTGGAGCCTCTGAAGTCTGGAGGGAAGCTTAGTAAGTCGTCATCAGGAGCGAGGCGCGCGTGACGTACGCGGGGCGTGGGTGCTGCCAGTTTGGAAGGGTCAGAGTTTGCTTTGGGTGGTTCGCTTGATTTCTAAACGCGTCGAATGTGAGCAAAAACGCGTCAAATTGGTAGTGGATCTCACTTTGGCTGGCTTGACGACCTGACGACGTTTCTGGATCGGTTCTTTCGCGTCTTTATCGTCTTCGTGCTTTCGTTTCTTGTCTACTGCTTGATTTTGCTGTGTAGATGGCCTCAATGGCAGTGCTGGGCGCGTCTTTGCTGTCGATGGCTTGGTTTTGCTGTTCTTTGTGTTTTCAACGTCCTCTTGGACGACAATACGAGTAGTTGGAATGGGAATAGCGACGTAGACGCGTCTCAGAGGTCGGGGATGCGAGGACATGTCGTGGTCGAAAGCAAGACTGGGGTCAACAAACACGAGTTCAAGGTCCGACCAAACTTTGGCCCACGCGGCATCCAAAGGCACTCTGGAAAAACAATCTAAAATTGAAAAAAGACGCTCTCGGAGATATTTTGAACTGTTTCGCCGTTGTCTGCATGCGCAACGCTCGATGGCCATCCGTGCCGCTTTCCGACGCCATGCTAACAGGCAAATATGAAAGAATCAATACTCCTAGTCGGTCCCCATGTGCGCAAAGACTCTAAATCTTAAGAGCCGCATGCCCGCGAGCGCAACGGCAGGCCCGGCGAATCGCAACGGGCTGGACCGTATGGCGACGAAGAAGCGGCTTTCTTACTTGAACCCGGCCACTCTGCAGGGTTCAGTGGAGGAGCTCTCATTCCTCTCCTCTCTTTCGATGGCTACTCGCAGTCCCTCTGAGCCAGGACTCGACAAGTCCAAGACGCGCTCAAACCTCTCACAGCTCGTCACCGTGGACCGAATCGTCGAAAAGAAAAAGTCGGAGCCAGCCCTCGTCTCTCTGTCCGGCGACGAACATGTCATGGATGCACAGGAACAATCAACTCCAGTCTACAAGCTGTATAGAAGGAGATGGTTAGGCCTCAGTGAGTGTCTCGTGACAGTTCTTGCATAGTCGAGTGCTAACGAGCCTTCCCTAGTCAGCATGGTATTCTAGTCCTAGTCTCCATATCAGTCTCTAAACGATTGTCTAGGTGGTGCTCAACGTCGTCGCGGCCATGAACTGGTACGCCTTGTCATGTGGATGACCCCCTCTGCGCTGACATCGTTCGATAGGATTTGGTTCAGCGCAATTGCCACGTCCAGTTAGTCTGCTCAACAAACTTTGAAAGATGGGGTTCATTTTGCGTTTAGCTGCCGGGGCGTTTGACATTTCGCTCTCCCAAGTCAACTGGTTAGGTCAAGTGGTCAACCTCATCTATCTGCCAATGGCTCTATCAATCCCAAGCCTTATCAAGATCTTTGGAATCCGCAACACGGTACATTTCGTGATCTACGGTCCACGCTAGACGCTGACATGTCTCAGTGCTTTGGTGCCGCAGTTTCACTCCTGCTCGCCTCATGGATGCGGTACGCCGGGGCATCCAAAGCACTCTCAAGCGAGGGGTCATATGCCTTCCTTATCGTTGGTCAGGTAGATTGTTCCCCTATACAATCTATGGACGCCTTCTCACTCGTACCTTAGATCTTCGCCGGCTTCGCACAACCTGTGTTCCAAGTTCTTGGTCCCAAATTTTCCGAAACATGGTTTGATCTCAAGTCCCGGACAACTGCGACAATGATCATTGCCGTTTCGAACCCCATTGGCAGCGCATTAGGCCAATTGATCCCGCCATTCATTTCCACTCCAAGAGCTTCTGTAAGTGCTGAGGGAGCAATTTCTAGATGAGCTGCTAACATATCAAAGCTACTCGTTCTTGCCGTCACCACAACTGCAGCTATTGGTACAGTGGCATTCATCCAAGAGGCACCGCCTACCCCACCCAGTACGAGCCCGTCTTGTGGAGCTGACAATATCTCATTTACTGATGCGGCTATAGCATATGCCGGTTCCGACCATCCCCACCAATAATGGACACTATATCCGCATTCCTCGGCCGCCACCAGTCGAGTGACCCCGAGGCACCTTCGTTTACGAAGACGGAAAGAATTGACTTTTTGATTCTCGTTATGGGCTTTGGCACTGTGGTCGGAGCTATAAGTGGGTTCTCCATATTGACAAACCAAATTGTGCGTGCTTGACTCGTCAAAATGTTTCTGAGCTGACATTTTTCCAGCTTGTAGGTTTCTAATTTTGCTTTGGTAACAAGACTAATGGTTTTAGGCACCTGTCGGGTATTCCGAAGAGACTGCCGGATTCGTTGGAGCTGCACTGCTCTTAATGGGATTGCTCGCCGGCATTATTACATCGCCACTCTTCGACAGAGTCCTCACGCATCATCTGGCGCGTAGTCTGCACATCCTACTACCACCGTTGGCAGCCTGCTGGATTGGACTCATTTTTGCCATTCAACCCAACAACCCGGTCCCAATTTATGTTGTCGCAGGCCTTATTGGCGTACTGGGCTTCATCCTGCTCCCTGTCTCTCTCGAGCTTGGGTGCGAGGTTACGCGCAACGCCGAGGTCAGTTCGAGCATCATGTGGATGAGTGGCAACCTCTGGACTCTGGTCTTCGTTCTCGGTACGTTAAGCTCGGTTCTATCCGTGGTCAACGCTAAACCTCTTGTAGCCGCAGACTCGTTGCGAGATCGGGCAGAGCCACACGGTTTGCGCAAGGAACTCATTCTCATCGCGACAGTTGTTTCTGTTGCGACCTCGTTCATCTTTTTCCTCAAAGGACACCAGACGCGACGACAAATTGACATGGAGAAGAGCAGAGAAGCAAACAATATCATATCGCTATGATCATGACTACCTCGAATTCTTTTTACGATCTGTCAAAACTGCCAACTGCTGTCCTCTACAAACCTCTGTCAACGGACATGGATCAATCTGCTACGCATGCTCAGACCGTGTTATTATATCACGCTAACAAAGTCGTTCCTGTATATTCGTTGTTTCCCATCGTAGACGTCCAATTCACGCTCGTTTTCTCGCACACCCCTCGGCAAAACGTCGGGCTCTACAAGTCAACTTGTCAATGTGCTCAAGGCAAAAAAAATGTGATCGACGTTGTGCCAGCGCACTCGTTGCCGGTTTCTCTTTCTTCCTTTCCCCACGTCCGAACTCTTCTACAGGTGTTTTCTTCCATTCTCTCGATAATGACTACCATCACGGACGAAGAGCTTTATCTCAATGCAGAAGTTTTAAAAGGCAAGGTCGTTCTGATCACCGGTGCGTCGAGTGGAGTTGGTCAGGTCAGTATCCCCAAGTATTGGCCTCGCTTGTTGAGACTCACGAAATATCATAGGCGACGGCTGTATCATTTGCTTCGTACGGTGCAAAGGTTATCATTGGGGATGTTGATCTCGCTGGAGCGAAGCATACCGTTCGCGAATGTTTGCGCGTTGGTGGGACAATTGGGTCGTAAGTAGTATTCCAGTATCTAAAGAGGGTACTTATTGGTCTTTAGTGACGCAATGGTTCAGAAATGTGATGTGACTTCGTGGGAAGAACAAGTGGCACTATTCGAGGCAGGCTATAAAAAATATGGTCGGATTGACTATGTAATTCCAAACGCTGGTATGGAATAGGGTGTTCTTGCGCTCTCAATCAACTCACTCTACAGGCATTGTTGGAGATGGCCCTCTCGCACTCAGCAAACGGACAAAGGACATCCCTAACAAGCCAGATACACGGACTATTGATATCAACCTCGTTGGTGTGATATATACGATCAAATTGGGTCAGCACTACCTTATGAAGAACAAGCCATTGGGTCCAATGGCCATCATTTTTGTTGGCTCCATGGGTAAGTGCTTACAATGGACGTGGAAGTGATGCTCATATACTTCACTAGCCGGCAATCAAGGTACGAACGACCACAGTCCTGAACAGTCAGTGCTCAACCTGTCTAGGATTCCCTCGTGCCGAGATTTACTCCGCAACCAAACACGGCGTTAGTGTCACTTCTTACTTTTTGGCATACACTCATCCATCTATAGCTCATAGGTCTCTGTCGAAGCCTTACAGAAGACTACCGCGCGCAAGGAATCCGCACGGCCGTAGTCTGCCCCTGGTTCGTCGATACGCCGCTCATCAAGACAGACAACAGAGTTATACTAGCGGGCGCCCCATTCACGCCCATCAACCGCGTTGCCGGTGCCATCGTCTGCGCCGCCACAGATCCGAATTGGGAGACGAGTGGCGCGTCGTATAACTTACCTGACGATGGACCTGTTATGCGTACGGAGAGGCACGAATTGAGTGTCGGCGTATACAAGATCTTGACGGAAAGAATCAACACCTTGATCAAGTAAGTGACCTGTCGTCGCGTCCCCTGCATCAAGCTCATTATCACCTTAGGGTTGAGACTACTATCAACCGCTACATGAACATCGTATCCGACTTGTTTATGCTCGCCGCACCTCACTTGACGATTGTAGCATTTGTCTTGCCGATCCTAGCTTACTGGTTGTTCACGCGTTGGATGAATAGCTAGATGTATGTCATTCCATTTTATGAGCATGTAGATAATACCACCGTTCTTTCGATATGCGAGTTCGGCGTTTGCTATGCGTGGACCGTGTTATTATATTGGCGTTGGACTATATATGCAATCTGATTTACAGGCAAAGTGTTTGTGATCCGACGTCCAGCGCACACATTGCCAGTTTCTCTCTTCCCACGTCCGACATTTTCTTCGACACTTGTTTTCTTCTGTCCTCTTGACAATGACGACCATCACCGACGAGGAACTTTATCTCAATGCAGAAGTTTTAAAGGATAAAGTTGTTTTGATCACTGGCGGGTCGAGCGGAGTTGGCCAGGTCACCCCCCTCAGCTATCGAGTCTGCACGTTGAAACTCACCAGGCATCGTAGGCAACAGCTATAGCATTTGCATCGTATGGTGCAAAGGTCATTATTGGTGACATTGATGTCGCCGGTGCGAAACATACCATTCGCGAATGTTTGCGTGTTGGTGGAACAATTGGGTCGTGAGTACTACTCCAGTATATTCTAGAGAGATGATTGAGACTTGATAGCGATGCAATGGTACAGAAATGCGACGTAACCTCATGGGAAGAACAGGTTGCACTGTTCGACGCAGGCTACAAAAAATATGGTCGCATCGACTTTGTCGTCCCCAACGCTGGTATGGACTCTGGTGTGCATCCGCTGTCGCCTGACAATCTCTTTAGGGGTCGGCGGACCGCCAGACGGACCTCTCGCACTTACCAAAAGGACAAAGGACATTCCTGCCAAGCCTGACACACGGACAATCGATATCAACCTAACTGGCGTGATATACACGGTCAGACTGGGGCAGCACTATCTTATGAAGAATAAAGAAAAGCCGTTGGGCCCTATGGCGATCATTTTTGTGAGTTCCATGGGTGAGTGCTTGCAACTACCATGAAGAGAATACTCATGGGTTTCGCTAGCCGGTAATAACGGTGAGAACAACCGCGCGCAATAGAAAAGCCAGAGCTCAAGCTGTACAGGACTTCCTCGCGGTGAGATATACTCCGCGACCAAACACGGCGTCAGTATATCTACATTATCTCCTCGCATACTCACTTGACCCTACAGATCGTAGCTCTCTGTCGGAGTCTCACCGAAGACTACCGCGGGCATGGAATCCGTACAGCCGTAGTCTGCCCCTGGTTCATCGATACACCCATTCTCAAGACTGCGAGCAGGGTCGCATTAGCAGGTATCCCACTCACTCCCGTCCACCGCGTCGCTGGTGCTATTGTCTGTGCGGCGACGGATCCGAATTGGGAGACGAGTGGTGCTTCGTACAACCTACCTGACGACGGACTCGTTATGCGTACAGAGCGTCATGAGTTGACCGTTGGCGTGTACAAACTGTTGACGGATAGAATCAACGGTTTGATCAAGTAGGTGGACTCACCCTGCCTTGTATCGAACCTGACCATCGTTACAGAGTGCAAACTACTGCGAACCATTACAAGAACGTCGTATCCGACTTGTTCATGCTGGCTGCCCCTCACTTGACAGTCGTCGCTTTTGTCTTGCCGATCCTCGCGTACTGGCTATTCACCCGATGGATGAACAGTTAGAGGAGTGATATTAAACGAGCATGTAGATACTGTTGCGCTTTTGGATATAGATTAAGTTAATCAGCCTCGTCACTAAAGGAGCGTCAGTCTTTGGCATGTTCAATTAATGCTTGGGCACTCACCGTTTCCGACTATTCTGTACACGAATGTATATCCAATCTATTGCATCTCGCACCCCGGTTCTATCCAACCTATCAGTACTCTTCCATAGCCAGATACTCACTCACCCTTTGAGTGCTGAAACTCCCATGACATCCAAGCTTCCCATACGTCTCGTGTCCTCTGTGTCTGGCTGTAACCCTTGCGCACGCAGTTTGCCTGCTTCCTCGCCCACCACTCTTCATAGTTTTCGCGAATCTGCTCGACGGTGAGACTCCCATCTGCGTCTTGTTTATTTGCGAGCAGAAGGAGAGGAACACCGGATATCTGCGGAGAGCTGAGGACTTCGTCTGTGGGATAGTCAATCCAGTAGTCAACCCCCCAGGGACGGACATACCGAATACGACCCATCCATCGTCTAGTCGATCAGGATTGCTCGCATCAATCATATATGCCACGGCGTGACACTTGGATGTTCAGCGGAAGCAAATGAGCATACGCCTGCTCACCTGTTCAAAGTATCTATGCCATAGCCCGCGTAGCGCTCTCTGACCACCTTCCTCGTGTCAAATACGATACGAGAATCAATTCATGGACAACCAACCCAAGTCCTGAAAGTTGAGAATGGTCGAGGGGAGCGTAATCTTGCCCGCTACAAACATCAGCCGACGTGAAAGCATATAAAGATATCGCGTACTGTTCAAGCCGACGGTAGGACCAATCTTGTCGGGGTGAATGCCTTCCGTCTTGTTGTACTGACTCTTGACATTCTCCAGAAACGTCGTCTTGAGAGTTATTAGACACTATGAATTGAGTTTCATAATAGTTCTACCTTTCCGGCTCCATCTAACCCGAGAATAAGGACACTGGCAACGACGTATCAGTCGGCGACGCCAAGATCAAGAAGTGGCCAAACGCGCTTAAATTCGTCCTTGCGTGTGAGAAAATCGTAGAGGCCGCGTAAAAGATGATACATGGGCAAGACTCCGCCGTGCCGGCTAGAAGCGGTCGAGTTCAAAAGTCTTCTCAACAAAACGTCTCCGACCTCCACTTCAGGTTCATCAACGTCTAAACAATTTTTTGTAAAGAGGCACAAGGAGCAAAAGGACGAGGAGGAGCATGCTCGCTTGGCGCCCCTTCCACCCATTTGTGCATATATGTATAGGTAAAACCCAGTCACGGTACGCTATCAGTGTACGTGCATGTAGTGATACATCCGCGTAGCCTCCGACAGAGTGAAAGAGGCAATACATGGGCCCGCCTCCGAGGCAGCTGACCCACGGAGTTAGGAGAGGAGTTAAACAAATACGGAAAGAGATGTGTCATAGAGGAGGGAGCGAGACAGAAAACGAGCGAGGTTTTGGAAATGAGAGTGGCCTGAAACACTTTTTGAGAGGAGAGGGTTTGAGAGGGGAAGTCCATCTTCCAATGATCAATAAAAAATGATCATGAGTAGTGAGAGAGAGAAGGATAGAGAGTCATACAGCATGAAACGTTTGCTGAGGCGAATCGCTCCATGAACAAGTTCCGCGAAGTTCCGTGATGGGAACGGGCGTGGAGATGTCCTCAATAGCTCGGAGCATTCTTTCGCGACGTCTTCATCGTCTCCATGTGGTCAGACAAGCCCGTCTCTAGCTGGTTGAGGTCAAAAGAATACTTTTGCTTGATACGGTCGTATGGGCTAGCCGCAGCCGCGTTTGGATCCGTGGTTGCCGCGGATCTGCTGACCTGGCTGGCTGGTGCCGTTTGCGCGTTAATTCTGTCTGCTCCTGCACCAACTGTGGTGTGAGTGCCCGCCATGCCAACAGCTGCACCGCTTTGCAGGTGCGTAAAATTAGACGGGCCAGAAATATTTAGACGCGAAATGCGCGAGCGTGCGGGTGTCGTCTTGTGTTCGCGCTTACGGATAAAGAACCAGCGTACACCAAAGAGGATGAGACCGACGAGGAGCAGGAGACCAATGACCAGACCCGCAATGGAACCTGCAGGGCTGTCACAAGAGAGTCAATTAGCGTCTAGATTTTGCAGGTTAAGATGATGGGGGTTACTTACGTTCCTTGTGCTTGCGCAGTCGTAGTCGCTTGCGAGCTTGCGGCCGCTGTCGTTTCAGTGGCCGGTGAGGACGTCAAGCTGGGCGAAGAAGACGAGGGTAGATTCGGTGCTGGACCGTCTACGATGACTGGCGAGCTCGTGCTCGCGGTGGGAGACGAGGAGCTCGTGCTTGAGGGCGTAGAGGTGCTGCTATTGGCGAGTCCGACGATGATTGTACTCGAGGGACCGATAATTGCGCTGATAGGCATGGTGTGCTACTCTCCAGAGATGTAGGTCGTAAGAAAACGAGCGAGGTGTAGGAAAAGGCGGGGAGAGGAAGGAAAGAAAGATGGAAATCTGCCAAGTTGCAAGGATCAAATGTACAAGACAGAAGAATCGTGCGGCACGTAAGGTTGCGGGCGGGTCTAAGTTGCAGAGCGCCGGGCGTCCGTGCAGGTGGTTCACAGCCGCCGTCGGCAATGTCCTAGATAATTATATAAATTGTATATAAACTCCCTGACGGTCAATCGCGGGGCGCGCTGATACCTAATGGACTCGTCAGGGGTGGGAGAGTGGAAACACCCAAGCCAGCGGTCGGCATATCTCAAAGTCTTGTTGGATCTTGCTTTTGTTCGATCATCCAACTTCTCCGAGGTCGACAAGTCTTCCACGCCGACATCGTGGCAACGAACATGCAGGAGCCCCCTCGTCAAAACCGCAGATTGTCCTCGCCGTCCGTCCCCTTCATAATCGCTAGACGCCCTCGAGAATGTAGTTGCAGGGAATCTCCCACCGGAAATGAACGTGCGGCGCTAAAGAGCTCGGCGCATTCTAGGCGCTGCAAGGTGAGAACGATCTATGGGAAATACCCAAACTGCTGGGTGAGAATCGTCGCCAGTGTCCATACCATCTGTCCATCAACGTCGCCAACGATCCGGGTTTCCCATGTAGCCGTGACATATGTCCTCGGGAAACAAATTAAAATGGCGGAGACGTCTTTGCAAAAAGAGGTGTCTAGCATTCCGCACGGAGTTCCTAGATAATCAAACACGTCGCGCCTTTCTAGCCCTGCATCCTCCGATTTTTATTGGTGTCTTGTCCTGTACCTAGAACATACCAAACGTGAGCATTTGGTGAGATCTCAGATCTAGAACCACATACCTGGGCAATGAGACCTCGCACAAAGTTTCCTTCCCCACTCAGGACCGCAGCATTGAATGCATCTCTTCCAATGCCAAAGCCTGTGTATACGACACGGATTCTCATCGTATTTTGAGCCCCTTTACCCCCATGCAGGGGCGCTGTAAAGGGATGTCACGACATGCCTAAACGTCTATCATGTCAACTGACCTTCGCTCTTCTCCTCATCCTTCTTTCCTTCCTTCATGGGTGCAATGTCCTCTATTCTACCTCCAGCAGTAATAAATCGGAATGCTTCCTCAATCCTGCGTATGATTCGAATCTGCTGGGATGTGAGAACTCATTCATCCTATTGACTTGTTCTCACCGATGCGGCGTACCCAGCTTCGTACGTACTCCGGTTCACCTTTTTGTAATGACAAGAGCCACCAGACGCCCAGCCAATACACCTGTTCGCGGTCATTGCAAGAGGCACTTGACTCGCCATGACGGCGAATTGAGTCTCCTCTGTGCGTTCAATCGACTCTGAGGTGGGTTCGGCATCGGGATTGCTATTCACTGAAAACGCCTGTGCAGCTGCTGCTTCGCTAGGTCTTGGTTTCGCGCCTGGCAGGACGACTTCTGCACGAGCAATTGTATGTAATCGAGGTGTACTAGGAGCGTGCAGTGAGATGATGGTGTTGTTGGATGTGGATTTGACATGGACCACATAGAGTGGAACGTATTTCCCGTCTTCGGTGGTCGTTTTCGCGCCTTCTACGTCACGTTTATAGCTCAAGCGCATCGACCCAGTCTCTGGGTCGTCTCTCCCCTCTGGAAAGGGATGTGGGTAGGTGCCTGGTGGTGGTCTGGGAGGGAATGCTCCTGCTAGTGATAGCAGAGCATTTGCACCTTTGGTATTTTGTGTAGAGCCCACAGGTGTTGTATTCTCCCTCCTCGACGAAGCATGCAGAAAACGAGCGTGCCAAGGTCGACTGCCTGCAAGTATTTTGCTCGAACAAGCGCGAAATGGTCCCTCTACTCCTGTTTTTCTGATTAATGACGATGCCATGAGTATACTACTGATTGCTGAGCAACAATGGTCTAGTTCGACCGACGCGGTCGAGGTCGAAGTTGATGTTAAAACTTGGTCTCCGCCATGTCGGTGAGTTGTGGCCCCTCATCGCTCGAACGCGCAGAGCTGACAATATTCTCTACTTTTTAATTTACTCGATGTTCTCCGTCGCCAGCTCGCCAACTCGTTCTACAACACTTTTGCCAGACGGAACAGTACGTCCTTCATTGGCCCAAAGTCATCTCAAAGATGCTCCAGGCGGTCTCATAGTATTTGTTAACTCGTCTTACTAGGCGTCTTCTTCCCAACCATCATCCTCGGCGCATTTGGCTTTGGAGTGGGCTTCAACGCCGCAACGAATGCGTTCTGGGACAATTGGAATCGTGGAGTACGTCCTTTATTCTATATTACTAGTCCCTTTGGCTCCCAAACTTCACCGGCGAACACCTGCTGATAATCACACCGCTTCTCCTTTCTGCTCACAGAAACAATGGAAAGACATTAGACATAGATATATCGAGAAGGATGAGTAAAGCTACGCTTACTCCGTGGCTCACATAGTCAACCGTATATGCACCTTTTCGATTCGACATCATTTCTAAACCAACTTACAGTGACCCTATGAGAATAAACGGATTTAGATGGACCATAGAACAGAGTACATGTGGTATGTCCGTCAGCAGAGATGGACTTACCGATTTCTTTCGTCAGTCGAGAATTGCACAAGGCCAATCGCCAATCTCTATTCACAGCAATTTGTTAAATTTCCTATCGATTTGGCACATTTCCTTGTCCGCCACTCTTGCCAACGTTGCCGCCGGCCTGTATCCCGACTTGGACAACCCAGTCTGGCGAAGCTGTTTATGGCGACAGCGACGGCCGAAGCTCCATTTTTTTCACTAAGGTGATCTGCGCTGTCCATCACGGCCCCTCGGCGGAAAGCGCGACGTATCCCGTTTGGGCTCACTCAGCCATCTTGCCGCGTTGTCTAAATACGGGCTGTTCTACTGACTTGAAACTATCGTACGACTATGTTGCGCAGCACTAGGGCAGAGGGATCACGGTCTTCTGCGATGAGCCTGCCTAAAGGCACATGCCAAATCTGGAGAGGTCGCGTCCCTCTCTTATCATCACTCCGCCCTCGATGTAGTCACCTCGGCTCGGTGTATCAACGTGCCCAGCCTGAAGTGTTCTGATTGGATTGTGCTGAGCAGCCCACTTACTCAGGTGACAACAAATAGCCCAAGATTTTCAGAATCCACGCTTCAAGTGGGCAGAGGGAAAGATTGTGCATAAAACCCCGTCTTATTCTCAGCGTGCCCCCCTTCCCTCCTGCTCTTGACGTGATCCTCTAGCCCACGACGTAGGGTCACTGATCTTATTCTTATCCTTTGTTCTATTCGCCTTGGTATGGCATCTGCTACGTGAAGGAAGAATGTCGCTGACTCGGTAGACAGGTCACTAGCATCCCTCATCCGTGTCGCCCCTCATGACCGTCTCCTCAGCAAGCAGCGAGACTTCGACGATTCGTATGCGCTCACCTACACCTATCACTACAAAGTCCATATCCACTCCACGACCTCTTGGTCGTTCACCCCAAGTCAACCCACGAAACTCACCCTCACGCTCCCCCACTATCACGCACGCTCGCCCCCCGACGCCTATACCCCTGCGTCCATCGGCCCCACTCGCACTTCGCAAGCACATCAAACTCCCGTCCATCTCCTCGACACCCTCGCCAAGTCAGCCTCTGTCGCTGCCCTCCAAGCCCTCTGCGCCCATGGCCCAAACTACGCTGCCACTGAGCCTACCTACAAAGCGAAAGGTCCTCCATACTCGCAGTCGATCAGAGGGACAATCCAAACCCGTCATCGACTACGCGACTCGCGCTCTTCCTCCTACACCCTCTGCGCCTTCTGTCGACACAAAGAAGGCACTCCCCGCGCCACCGACACCAGTCCTCACAGTAGCAAAGCGTCCGCCAGTGGAAGACTTTTCCAATGGTCCCTCGAGTGCTTGGTTCGGCTTTGACGACGAACTGGACCACGAGCAAGAGCTCACTGTGACAGCCAGCCCATCTGAGCTTCCTTGCTCTCCGTGTTCGCTCACCTTTGCTGAGTCCGACACATCGTCGGTTCTCCCGGCTGCCAAGTCAAAGTCGATACGTTGGGCCGAGATTGCAGAGTTTCCTGAACAGCAAGTCTTGGTGAATATTCATGGACTCCTGAGAACCCTGACGGAAGCGGACAGGTTGGATGCCGAGGTTAGTTCTCTTGCTTTGCTTCGGGTGCTATGTATGTGTTTCTGATAGTGGTGCTATGACAGATTAGAGAGGCGTGCCAGATCCTCTTGAAGCATCTACCTCTCCCCGGTGTCGAGTCAGAGCGAAGATATACGTTGCAGGTGTCTCAAGGAGAACGGCTGGAGCATGCGCTGAGGATACTCGATGGAGCGCTTTCTCGAGAAGTTGAACCCGCTGCCGTGAACAAGGCTCGGAATACAATAAAGAAGCTGGTTCCTATAATACAGGTACGTGTACCATATATCTAAATCTCATTTTCTCTGACAGTGAGGTAGCTTCGTTTCGCCACCATTCCCTATCACCGCGATGTTCAGCGCCTCAAGTCTCAACGAGCACAAGTCAAAGAGGACCGTGCTCTCGTGCTGGTTCAGCTCGCCTTGCAAGAAGCCGAGATCAAGCAGGCCCAATTACGCCGCGAGACTGAACGCCGTCGAGAGTTTGAAGAGGCGGCCGCGCGCAAGTTGAAGCGCAAGCAGGAGAAGCTCAAGGAAAAAGAAGTCTACCTCGGGTATCGAAAGATGCTCGAAGAACGTTGCGAGGAGCTCAAGACGCTCAATCAGATGATTGAAAAGGAGAATGAGCGCCTCAGCCGCGCGAGGGATGAACGCGAGAAGAAGATTCAAGAATATGATGAGAAAGTGGCGACTAGGCGCATTCTCGGTGGCAGCCTGAGAGCCCGTCGCCCGGAGGGGATCAAGTGCTGGATCTAATTCTCCAGCTGTATACGACAACTGTTCGGACCGATGTTTCTACTTTTATCTTCAAGACGCATATCTGTTCACGCTCACGCCTCTTTCATCTTTCACGACCCCTGCTGTATCCATTACGCTTTCCTTTGTTTGTACGACCCCGCGGACGGCATTTTACGACTAGTATGCCCTATGCTATGCCCCAATACATGCCTTATGATCATGCACAATTGTTCTTTGAATTTTCCGAGTGTTGACAGAAGACGCACGGAGATGTTTATTTGGTTTAACACCTGGACTCTAGCCACGATTGCACGGGCCTTGCGCCGTGCACACCTATTGTATAAAATACACCGGGGAGCTTAGATATGGACAATGTGTCTCACGAAAATGATCGACGGCGACACGTTCGCGATTCCCACTCGACTGCGGAACTCGACGAGCTCGTGACGAGCACACAGAATGCGCGAGTACGATTTTCTGTCGACGACGAAGCGTATCATGATACCAGTGCATCTTTGAATGGTGCGTTCGCCGACGATCAACGCGCCCTTCTACATGCTCGGTCAAGCTCTCGAGACGACGACATCCAAGGAAACGAAGGCGAATGGACTGATAGAAACGGACATTATCCTCCCAATGGGCGCGGAAGAGCTCGGAGCCTGCCGAGGTTTTATGGAGAGGATTTCTATATCCGAATGGGCGAGGCTTGGTGCAAAACGCAGAGGAAAAGACGGCTCAAAGCGTACGGGAGTCTCGGTTTCACGCTATTTCAAGAAGCTTGGTATGCAAAGTGGACGGTAAAGGTGAGCTAATTTGCGCCTCCGTTTCGACTAGCAAGAGATATAAATATCATGCGGCCTCTCAGCTTGAAGTCGAGCAACTTACTTCTTCCCCATGACGGAATAGATGACGTGCTGACCGTTTCTCTTTCTCTGTGTAGGTCCAGCTCGCATTCCTCATCGCGGTCTTCGTGACGAGCATGGTATTCTCCATTCATATCTATCACCATTCGCATTTCAAGCCATATCCATGGCGTATTCATTGTGCTTCACAGCCTGAATTTCCTATGCAAAAATACCTCGACTCGGAGCAGGTCGGCGTCTTTGTAGGTGTAATGACCATGGCGAGCGAGAAGGCTGCAAAGAGGAGAAATCAGATACGTAATAGTTGGGCGAGTCATTGGGCAAGTCGAGGACGCTGGGCTACAGGAGGTGTACTCACCCAGGATGAACTGCGTTCGCACGCAGGGAATCCCAACGCACTCGATCCAACTGCGAGAACGGTCGTCCGGTTCGTAATGGGACACCCAAGGCCAGAGTGGCGAGAGCGTATTCAACAGGAGATGAGTGGTGTGTACTCGATATATATAGCTGCTTCTAGGCGTACTGATGGTCCATAGAATACAATGATATCATCATCTTGCCGATGCGCGAGAACATGAATGACGGCAAAACGTTTGCCTTCTTCGACTGGTCGTTCAAACATGCACTTGTCCCGTCACGACCGTCCAATCTCACATCGTTGCCTCCTATACCAGACTCTTCTTCACATGATGCGGATGGTGGCTATGGTCGACGTTCTCCTCGTCCCCCACGACCGTCATCGGCAAGTGACGGATCGCTGCATGGTTGGGCGTTGCACAACGCCTATGACAGACGCCCGCCAGCACCGCACGATCCAGTTGGCCACAATGGAGAACGATCTGCAGTTAAAGATGGATGGACGCGACCTGATTTTGTGGTCAAAGCAGACGACGATTCGTTCATTATGCTGGCAGAACTGGAGGCTAGGCTACGAGTGCTGGATAGAAAGGGTGTTTATTGGGGGTGTGAGTACACTACAGTTTATCACGGTGGAAAAAGTCTTAGTGGATACTATAGATCCTGTTCGGGCAGGTCACGTCGACTTTCATGCGGGCGAAGCGTATGCCCTTTCGTGGGATTTGGTTGGACATGTTTCGACATACGCACATCGGCACGAGCGAAGGTCGGGCCAGACTACCTTGTCACTCAATGCCACTCTGGAATCGGATGTGCGCGGGAAGCCACCTCCGCTACCGGACTTGATAAAATCCTCCTCGCGTCGTCGCGCGTCCGAAGTGCTACGTGGACGTAAAAGTCATTGGCATGGCAAAGGACGCAAACTATTCCAGGATCTATCCCTCAACATTGTGGGCCGCGAAGATCAGGTGACAGCTGGGTGGATGAAAGACCATGGCGAAGAATGGGGAGTGACATGGTACGATGAACGTTGTTGGGTTTACGATGGCCCTAAAGCGGGCACGGTCTATTCCAAGGGGTTCCTCTTCCCGGACGAGGTGGCGAGAATTCGAACAGAATGGTCTGCGGACGGGAGACAGATCGAGCCTTCTTCTCCTTCGCCAAGAGTAGGGAGGGAAGAACAAGAGAGTAGCAGACCAGAGTACAAGCGCCTCCACGATCCAACGTACTCGACGGTTCTTCGCGCCTTTTACCGGAACTCGTACCCCTTTGCTGTCAAGTGGGCGACCCTGTACAAATCTCCTCTCTCCTTTCTCTCATTTGAAGGCGGAGAGGACGTAGAGATGGCGACAGACGCATTGATTGAGGGGAGCAAGCTCAGCATGCTTTCGACCGACTCTGGGGACGACACATCAGAAGCGAGTCGACGGTGGAATCTTGACATAGAACATGGTTGGAGGGGACGATACTTGCTGGGGAGCGTTGATTCACCGCAGAGCCGTGTGCCGATAGGCGGGTCGGTGGTCGTGCACTACATTAAGCAAGACCAGCACTGGAATGAATGCGTGGGTATCTTGCTTGATGCGTGGAAAAGGGAAAAGGCGCATCTAGATACGCGCGGTTAGATGCGCGGGGTGTGATCCCATTGTGGGCGCACGAGGGGAGGTATGGCATTATTAGTGGGCGCGGGTGTGGACGCTTCTCAGGTACTATACGACTGTAATATTTTGTAAATGTGAAATTTTCTCTGTCCGTGAGCGGTGTTGGCACTGGTCCAAAGTTGGACTTGGCTACGATGAGGCCACTCTCTCGGGACGCTTGAGTGCCAGACGAAGAATGTCAAACTCCAAAGAGAGAATACTGACGATCAGATTCGAAGGCGTTGCAAGTCAGCTGGTTGCTGTCTGTCTCTTACTGGCGAGTCTGTCTGGCCCCAATAACCAGCCAACGTTCTGACGAGATGGACATAATACAGATACCAGCAGAGAATCTTCATGAGAGTGGTCAAGGCCGTGTTCGCCTGGCAATCGAGGCCGTCTCGCTTGGTCCCACGCTCTGGACGGAAGACGAGCCAGTCGACCCTTCGTGGTCTGAAGGCGCATAACGAGCACATTTTTTTCGACTCTCAGCGCTAACGGAATCGAAACAAGCCGGGTTCGCGCGCCTGTGCACTCATTTCCTAATGACCGTATCCTCGGTTCTACGACTGACTCTGCCAAATTAATAGGCGCCAATCTGTGCTATATAAACGGGCGTCGTCGACACTTGGACCTGATTCCCGCTTTCACTACCATTCCTCCCCCCAGTTCTCCAGTCTGTCTTCGAGGAGAACAGTGACAAAGGCAGGAACATACTCGAAAGAAACAATGTCTCACTATCCCGTCCCTCCGCGTCGGTCACCAGCAACGAGATCCATCCAGCTCACGAGCTACACCGAGGACACGTCCCCTGTGGACTATATTTGCGCACTCGAGCGTACCGCTGGGCGTATACAACGAGCGGCAGTCCAGCTGCAAAACCCCCGACAAGCCGAGCAAGCGGCATCCCCACCGCTTGCTCATTACCCACCCTCCTATTCCAACAATAACCAACCCGCTGCAGCGTGGACCCTCAAGCTCGAATTTACGACCCCAGAGGCTGCCAGTACTGCGTATGCTGCGGTTGCCGAGTCTATCACCACCAATTCGACGTCTTCTCCAGTGACGAGCCCGTACCCGATGGTGCCGGGAGGGTTTGTCACCGCTGAGCGCCTGTCGTGTTTTGTATTGGAGGATGGCGATATCTTCGTCAACCCCCGAGATCTGACAAATATTGCTCGGGGTGATTGGTCTGCTCCAACCCACCATGCCCAGAGTGGTTCTCTATCTTCCAATTCTCTAGCGCCTACACAATCTTTACCAATTGCTGCGCCTGGTAAGTGGCATTGACTTGTTCTTCTGACTACTTCTGTCCCCCCATCTCTTTTCTTGTCGTCGCGTTCTGATCGGGATTTTCTAGTGGGCGCCCAGCCTTCAACAAGATATTCACGCGGAGATGTACTTAACTCCGCCAGTCCTTCTACTACGGCCTATTCGACTCTCCGTACCGGAAACAGCAGCACATTGTATTCGCAAATGAATAATGGGATGGCTCTTGGCCTCGGGTATGAAGGTGGACATGTGCGCGCGTACAGCTTTAGCTCTGAGGACGGCGGGTATACATCGAGCAGCAGCAGTCTTGTCTCATCAACCACTGCGTCTTCGAACGAGAGGACAAGTCCATACTTGAGCCATTTACGTTCCGCATCTTCATCTTTGGACACGGGCTTTGGTGGGCCTTATGGTCATATCGGATACACCGTAGGAAACTCTGGAAGGTTTGCAATGGGGGATCGCGGAGTATCGATTCAAACACCTGGAGTTTTGGACGACTTTGACGCGCTGGCGCTCAGTATGTCGAACCTGGACGTCGCGACCCCTATCGCGGGCACGAACAAACAACCAGCACCGTGGCAGCTCGACATCGATCTAGACAGGGATGAGCCACGCAGAAAGGAGACTCTGAAGCCTGCACCTACCCCGATCGTTTCGGCTGAGGAAAAGGATTCCGTGAATCAACCTGCTACGACTACGACGTTCGCTTCACGCTCGGCAGTTGCGTCGTATTCGGGTGCACTACGCAAGAGTCTCCCAAACGAAACGACGAACAAGAACTCTCCGGTTGTGAATGTTTCGAAGACGAGTACGGTGGCTCACCATCATCATCACCACAGCGATGCACGAAGCGAGTCTTCGAGCACGACGACACATACTAAACATTCAACGTCGTCTTCATCCTCTACGAAATCTCGCCTGGCTAACACTGCCCACCACTCAAACTCTAGCCCTGGCGCCCGTAATAACGCATCCCATCCGTCCTCTGGGACCCATCACCGCAAGGCACCGAGACAGGATAAACGCCTGTATGCAACGGATCCACACCAAGGCCCACGGCCGACCGACTGGATGCTGTCCCCGGAAACGCTCGCTTCCCGCGAAGCGCGCGACGCGCGCTTTGCAGAGATTGTCAAGCTGGGTCTCGCCAAGGGGAGGACGAAAGCCGGATGGGCACAGGCAAGAAGGCCGGGGAAACGGGATCGAGATGCGGCAAAGGCGAAGTTGAGGGAGATGGAAGAAGAGAAGGAACGTGAGAGGTTGAGGGCGCTCCTGGGCGAAGATGAGAAGAAACTGACGACGGCATAAGGGAAAGGAATCGTATTTATGCAAGTGGATCCTTGATAATCTTGCTGCTTTGGTGGTACATCCAGAGCGACTCTGCAAATAATGTAGCTTCACGAACGTTGTCTAACTCATGTCCTTATGCCGGTCATCTCGAAATAAATAACAATATGTCTAAACCTTCAGATCAAACTTACTGTAAGAAGGTCACAAGTGAGAGCAAAGTAAAGAGCATAAAAGAAATCATTCGACGATCAAAAGAAAAAAAAAAGAAAAGAAAAGGGGGCTAAAAAAATGAGTGACGCTAGGGTGATTCGAACACCCGTCTGCTCGGCCACAACGAGCTGATCTAACCACTAATCTATAGCGTCGTCACTCTGCATACTTTGCAATGTAAAACTTATAAAGAGTCAATTTACTTTCAGAAATCAGCTCTTTGAACTCCTCTCGTTTTGGTCTTTCTTCTCCCCAAATACAATGATTACAGAGCAAAGCAATCAATTTCTGAGAGTTTCTTGCTGTCTTTCTGTTCCCTGGGAAGACATTTAAGCGTGAGCACAGGTTAGCTCCGCGCTAGGCGGCGCAACTATCAATTTCGCGCCAGTTTACCAATCAACCAGTTTCTATGGCGTCTAGTATACACAATGGTCGATATTACACAGGGTACGGAGCTAGCGCCTGCTACAGAATGCACAATTACCGAGTAGGGAGTCGAACAATATGAAGACAAGTCGGTGAACAGCCAAGAATTACGATCCAATAGCAGATGATATAGATCCTTGAACGCCATTAAGCCCAGTTCCATCTAGTAAGCCATTCGTAGTGGTAGAGGAAATATCAGTAGCGGATATTGCGACTGTTGTGAGCTAGTAAGCCATATTCTCAATGGAGTAGATTTTACGAACCAAGAGGCATCGTATATTTCGGACCATCCTGATCCCAAACGATCGTACTCCATTTGCAACGACGTGTTGATCCGGTTGTCCAAATAACTTCAACTTCTTCCTTCTGTTGGTCTACACTGACCAAGGTCACTTCGAACAGCCCACTGGGCAGCTTGATCCTAATGCGAGCGTAAGGAGGGATAGCCGAAATTCCACGAATAAATGCGTCGGTCTTTTCTTTGCGCTTTGCTTGATTTCGATTCTAAACTTCGATTAGAGATGGCCACGGACCAAGACATCTAATACACACCTTGTTATGCTGAGCGCAGGTGATAGCGACGTTGAGCTTGGTGATAGTCTTTAGAACACGACGGCCCGCTTCGTCTACCGTCTCCGGGCCACCTCCCGCGTCGTTACCATTTGTAGCGTCGAAATTGGCAAGGACTTGATGTTCTTCCACCTCTACTTCCTCGTATGAGGCCCCAGATTTCTGTTCGCGAGCACAGGAAACGTGATATGCCTTCGAACACTTGCCCATTATGCACTGCAATGGAGCACCATGAGCCTTGAGATCTGGTATCGTACAAGCTGCGCATTTCTTGAACATGTTAGCGATGTATCAAAGCCGCATATCGAAACACTAACCAAGCTCCAGCGATCCTTGATGATAGAATCCACTCCAAACACTCGCTTTGAGCCATCTATGTCGTCCACCCACGTCTCCGGAATGATTTTGGCACATGTCTCGTGAGCCATCCAGGACACCGTCCCATCTTTCGTTCTTGGCACCGCAACGTTCATCATAGGGAAAGGTGGATCATTGACGGGAAGGAGTTCCTCGCGAGATGGCGAGATGCAAAGACAACAGGGGAGCTCTTCCGCGGAGACTTCAGACTTCTTCTTCTTGGAAGGGAATGCAGAAGATGGCGCTGGGAGAGATAGAGGGTCACCATGAATATCGGAGTGCTTGCGTTTGCGAGGCCGAGGGGCGCCAGCAGGCGCAATATGAGCCTGTGGTGGGGGTCCAGCATGTAGCTTGGCCATCCGTGGTTCGACCGCAGGTCTGCGAATTCCAGCCTGCTCTTCTTGTTCAATACGAGCCTTCTCTGCTAAGAGTGCATCGACATCAATCTGAACACTACGTAAATGAGTTGCGATCCTACGGTTGTGAGCGAAAGAGTCACCTGTCAGATACACATCGACAAAAACGAGCTTTCCGACCCAGCTCCAGCCAGCTGTCCAATGCGAAATTAACCGACTCTGCGCAATTGATACCCATGTTGAATCCAGCATGATACCCTCGAGGATAAGTGATGACAAACTCGCCAGCTGTCTGTACAAGAGTGTTTGGTTTTATAGAGGCAGACTTGAGAGCTGTAATGGACGTGAATACTTGGAGGGAATAGCGGGGGGACGCATAATTACCAGTTGGAGAAGCAAGATAAGATTTGTGTCGGAGGAATTGAGGGCACCCATTCTTGTCGCTGGGGAAGAACTGCTTCATGACGCCTTCCAGAGCATTCGCTCGGGCTTGCGGAACAGCATACCAGTGCTTTGGAGCCTGCCAACAGTCAGAAATCGAAGAGAGTTGGGGTTAAACGCTCTTACACCCCAGTGAATGTAGTTGATCGAGTAGAGATCCATGTCTTCAACGTGCCATGCAAAGGTTGCTCGCCACATGCCAAGGTAAAGGTATGGTGTATTCACGCCTTGGATCTTCTTTCCCCGTGGTATCAGTCGACTAACCAAACTGTCAGCCAAGCAGCACAAATAGAGTCTAGACATACGATAATGCACTCGGCAGATTGCTGACGTCCCACGGAATCGGTCCTTCCATCCCCTTGACGCCTTTATACAGCTTTCCTGGGGCTTTTTGTCCCGTATGATCAGAGAAGAGACTCCCTGGCATATCTGCTCCATACATGGCGGCCTTTCCGAGACCACAATTGCGCCAGTACAGTCGCTCGAGTGCTGCAGCAAACTCTGGAGAGGCAAAGTCGGCAGCGGATGTACCAGGAGGTAACCAAGACGTCTCTGGGTCAAAATTCGCAAGGAATACAGCATCGAGGTCGGAGCGCTGAGCAGCACGTTCCGCCTTTCGCTGTTTCGCAATGGCAATTTTGAGTTGCTCTGCGGCGATACGTTCTGCATCTTCACTGGTTATTGTCTCTGGAGGTGCGGAAGACATCACAGCATCGCCGGGCTGAGAGCTAGGGTCGACACTTGGGGTCGCAGCTTCTGAAATATTGGCTGCTGAGGGGTCCATAGCGGACGGTGTATTTAGACGAGGGGATACGGATTCGAGCTGTTGAACAGATGGCTTGCTTCGACGAGGCGAAGCCATCTTGAGATCTGCACTCAGTTCTTCCTTCGTAGCGTTCATGTGACTTTCCGTCTTTTCAGATGCAGAACTGAGCTGTGATCTTGTCAATACGAGTTTCTCTGGGTAGTATCCACTGACCTCCTTCCGCGCTGGCTTTGCCTTTCGTACACTATGAGTTGGGGCCGCACTTCGATCCTTGTTGACTGCATCAATTCCTGGAGACCTGAGCTCCTCGCTCATTCCAATTTCAAACCATTCCCGCAGGCTGTATACGCGACGCTTCTCGATATTTTGCTGGCGGAATAGCCCGGATATCCCGACCATGTTTTGTTCAATGGGATGTCTAATTTTGATCTCGTCAAGACGTTGTCGAACGTCTGGCAAACCCGCTTTCCTAAGAGTGGCAAATCGGGAATAGTTGGACGACGGAATGTGGCACATGGAAGCAAAAACGACAGAACAATCTGATTAGCACGCCCACAGAGTTGTATATGCCAGAAGAAGAGCGCACCATTCGGCTGGAGGGATGACTTTGACGATTCCACTTCGTAGGCCCCAAGGCGCAATGGCTTCCATATATTTCTCAAAGTCGTAGAATTCTTCCCATGTAGGCTTGAAGACTGGCGTCCCTCTTGCAGCTAAAGGGTCCTCCATGGGCGTCAAACGTTGCGACTCGTTGAGTTTGATCTCTGCATTATTGTAGAAATGATGCGGTTGCACAAATCGTACTTCAAGAGGTGGTATAGGTGCAGGAGTAGACGGTTCCTCCATGATTGCCAGCCAGGCTCTGCAGTGGTCAGGTCTAGCCTTGATCCAGTCCCGCGACGAGCTTACGTTGACAGACATGAGTGCATAAAAGGGTCAGATAGTATTCGAAACTATACAGAACTCAAAGAAGTAACTAAAAGATGCTCTACTTTTTGGCAGCCCCAATGCTCCCCAGCTGCTCTTCGACAAGTTCTTTAAACTCTGCTTTCAGGAGCTCCTCCCGGCGCTGCTTTTCCTCTTTCTGCAGCTTGAGAATGCTCCTCTTCTCCTCGGCACTAATGACCTGGTTCTCCTTGCGCATTCGGACAGCGTTCATCCTACGATGTCGGCTGCCACTCATCACATAGCCCACATTCTCGTACGCCGCAATCTCATTCGAGGATAAACCAATCTCACCACGACGCGGAATACGTGCATTCTCTTGCACAAAGGCTGCCATGGCCGAACCCTCGCCACGGAGAAGAGCGCCTCCGTATTCACGCTCGTCAATCTTGTCCTTGGCTTTCTGCGGTGGCATCGGCCCGATCGCGTCGTCTTCATCGTCTTCATCCATTTCGATTGGCGCGGCAACCTTGTTTGGTATCGGAGGCGGGGGCATGCTCTTTGAGACGGGTTCCTTTTCCACCCACTGGGCTTCGTCGTCCTCTGGTTCATGACGATGTCGATCAAGGGGAGTCTTGGACTTTGAGCGTCGTCTTTCCTTATCATGGCTCCTTGAGCGTCGATGATCCCGTTCCTCATCTCGAGCTCTTCGCCTCTCCTTTCTCCGCCTCTCTTCCTCGCTCGAATCAGTCTCAGAAGAAGGAGACGAAGAGCGAGATCGTCTACGTTTCCGCTTCTTATCCTTGTCGCGTCGGTCGTCCTTTCTCCTTCGACTGCTATGCCTGTCTTTATGGCGTCGCTCACCGGGAGAGAGCGATCGTCGGGGAGGTGGTGGAGAGGGTGGCCAAATGTTGACAGTGGATGCCTCTCGTCGTTTTCTTCGTCTATAGGCCATAGTATCAGCACACTGACGCTTCCCCAATCATTACGCTTACTCTTCGAAGAAATCACCCCCACCGCCAGGGTTTCTCTGCCATCCACCATACCCAGAAGAGTGCCCCCTCGCACCTGAATGAGGTGGTTTGTCGTTTTCTACCCGATGCCGCGCCCAGTTATTTTGCTGATCATCTGTACGGGGCGGGCGTTGCTCTCCAGAAGCTTCTCGTTGTTTATACGCTTCATAAGACGGACTTGCGCGTCTTTCTCCACTTTTCGAGCGTGCTGTCCGTCGAGGCTCGGGGCTGCCTGACCGATCATGGCGTCCTCTTGGTGAACGCTCGCGTCTGCGCTCCGTTGACCGATCTCTCCTATTCCTTGGAGATCGTTCACGTTCTCCATACGGGCGAGGAGACCGCCGAGAATACGGTGAACGAGATCTTGAACGTCTCGACTCTCTCCTATCGCCGTCTCGCCTCGAATCATAGCCATTCCGATCCCTTCCAGACTCTCGAGTATTACTATTCCGTGACGGAGAGTCTTGTGGCACCAGCCCAAGTCTGCTAGGATGAACCTGTGCCATGGGTCGGGTCCAAGGTGGAGAACCTCTGACTTTTTCATGGTCCAGCGTTTTGAACAAGAAGTGCATTTGCGATAACAAAAAAACTCGTAATACAGCGGGTCATCGTCCATATAGCAAGTCTGGTGGACAAGCTGTTAGAGAGTAGCAATCGTTCGGGCCGTATGGCAAACCGCTGGACCTGGGTGGTCTTCTAGCCGTCTAGTGGCCCAGCGGATTGCAATAGCAGATCATAATTCAAACAAACCCCCACTGTACACGCACATTGGGTCCTTTCATTTTTTCTTCGTCTAAGTCCCCCTCCATTTCAATCAAAATGGTTGGGGATTTGCATTTGAGCGGGTCCGTCGCGGGGAATTTTTCACCTTCCCTTGTAGCCACTCGAACGAGGGTCGTACTCGAATACGACACCCCCACCTTCATAGCCAGCAGGAGGCGGAAGCGTATGCCCACCAGCGTTACCACCAGCGTACGACGAGTAGCCACTCGGACTGAAATGTCCACCACTAGGTCCTGGACTTGTCGGACTCGTACTGCTATAAGGCGAGGACGAGTATCCCGCGCTGTGGCTACGATCACTCGCGCTCGTGTTCGAAGAGAGGACAGGGTACGGGTTCTCCCCTCGACGATGCGTCGTACGTTCGATAACCGTGTCAGGAGGAGGTGGTACGTGGTCCTTTTCACAAGTCAGCGCTCTGCTAGGGGTGGCAAAAGGAAAAGGGTACATACAGCTGGTGGTGGCCAGGTCAGATGCGGTTTATCCGCAGCGACTGGACATTGCTTGGAGACCACGTGTCGTTTAATGGCATCACGGCGCGACAAATTCTTCCCGCAGTAAGGGCAAGGATGCGTCTTCTTCACGCCTGCAATGTGAGTGGTTTGGTGACGTTTGAGATCTAGGGGAGGAGGACAACGTCAACAACATCTTTCTCTGAGCAACAAACGACTCTACTCACCATGCGTTCTGGCGAAATTCATCCCACAGTCGTCACACAAGAACGGCCGCGCTGCGAACCCGGGACCGGCAAAGGGGTTTGGTTGTTGGTGTGCAGCAGCGGTCACAACTGGTGTTGGTCCAGAGGGTTGTACTTGTGGCGCCGGTGGAGGAAGGCGAGTCTCAGGTGGGGACGATCGTCCATATCTGTGATCCGATCCCATAATGGGTGGAAAGGGGTACAAGGTCACCGCCACACGTACAGTAACGCCACAATTGGAAACCGAGATTGAAAAGCCACCGTCAGTCAACTGTACAACTGGTCGTGGAAACGAGCAGACTCACCCTTGAGTGGTAGAGTACGCGCTGGATGTTGCTGGAACAGCATAGTCGCCACCACTTGGTGGCACAAAATGACCTCCAGACGAATTGAGCGGCGGTAATGGCATGCCTGGGACATATGCGCTCGCACTCGCCGTCGACGATGCAGAATGAGAGTGCGAGTGGGAATGACCATGTCCGTACGGAGATGCGTATTGTGGGCTGAACGGAGTCGAGGGCGAGTCGCTAAGGCTGCTGGGAGTCGTTGGAGAGGACGGAACGTTTCCGCTCGCGGCAGAACTTGATGTGACCGCACTCAGAGGGTAATCACGTCCATTCGTTGGGAAATAGCTTGCATGCCTGGTGTCGATTGGCGACAGTGGCGGCGAATCCGAATGTCGGGGTGGTCTATAAACGAAAAAAAATGTCAGTTTCCGATCGCAATCATACGAGGAACAGGTGCAAGATAAGAGCTCTCGGAGATTGCCGTCGCGTCATCTAGATAACGATGAAAACGCATCAAACGACGAGCAACGAGAGAAAACGTAAATGTTCAAGGAAAGGCAGCTACACTGGGCGGAGATGCTGGCTGTGATCGTTTCGATGGCGAATTTCAGCCGGCGCAGACGGTCGCTGCAAGAGCGCCGAGAATGGTGGCAGCCGCGTCGATGCTATCGTGAAAACGAGGCCCAAATGGTTTTCGCGGCGTGGTGGTCGAAATCAAGGGGATCGACGAATAACAAGCCACCGAAAATAAGACCAACGTGCATCACAAATGCCAACTCTCGCACAGAGACCCCCCCCCTGTCGAAAGCCAGAACAGGAAAGGAAAACTCACCGTGACGATGCCGACGAATTGTATCCGCCGTAGGAAGGTGCCCAAGTCGTTTGACCTGGGCCAGCGGCGAATGCCCGGGCAGTGTTAGGCGATGGATAATCCCTGGTATTCGGTTTTTCCTCTTCGTAATATGCATAGCTGCCAGCCGAAGGAGCATAGGCCGCCGCCTCGTGGGTTCCTGCTGCAGCTGCAGCAGCTGCCGCTGGGTTCGTGTATGACGAATGCGGATAGTAAGGACCAGGGGTACCACTGTGGATCATTTGTCCGTTTGCATAAGTCATCTCTAGTGAGGGCGGCGTGTGTGCGTACGCAGTTGGATGATGCTGATATGTCGCCGCTGCTGCTGCTGCTGTTGCCTTGTCGGTGCGCCACGGAAGATGTGTCGGGAGGCGAGTCGGCGTATTCAGAATCGTAGCCTCCTGCAAATTCAGGAGATGAGCCTACAGAGCCACGAGAGCGAAGAGGACTGGGGAATCCACCTGCAATCGCCGAACTGGCGTCTCCGACACTTCCGCCTCGACCGTAGTGCATCTCAAACTGCAACAGCGATGACAACACGGAGCTTGGTATGACCGAAATTTTGGCTATTCTTTTGGGGGTTCAAATTGGAGCAAGGTTTCGGGTGCTCTTCTGTTCAAACAGAGGAGGAATTAATGGAGATAGACGAATGGTAAGAAGGACATACTGAGCAATGGATGAATAGGAATAGCGTCTAGAGAGCTACCGGCGGCGATGGGTAAGAGCGGTTGAAAAGCAACCAATGGTCGGGAACAGACCTAGAGAGGATACTTTTTTGGGCACGTTCAAAGGTAGATTTCGACAGATGGACACGAGTCTAAATGTGATTTGCCGCGCCGAATCCGGGATGGCTGGTGGGGAGCAATTAGTCCAGAAAAGTCAGTTGTGAACCCGCGCAAGACTCACAAAAAGGCAGCTAGCAAAGCTAAGGAAGACGAGGAGATGGTGACGGCGCGCGCGCGGGGGAGAGGCGCAACGTAGAGGAATCTACGACTGTAAACGAATGTTTCAGTAACGAGCCGCTTGGTGGAAGTGGGTGGATGTGTGTGGGTGTAGGTGGGTGTGCGGGATGGCGGGGGGAGGAGCGACAGAGGCGGACGAGGAGCAAGTGGCTGTGGATAGATTGTGTGCCGACCTAGTGCAGAAAAAAGTCGCAAAGGTGCGAGAATGGCGTCGACGCCAACAAGGGTCAAAAGGGGGGACGAGTGGGCCCGGTGGAATATGTCGAGTGATACAAGGAGAATGTGTGGTATAAGTACAAAGGAGGTCGTCAAGGATAGACTCGAGGTGGGTTGCAACGAGAAGACCACGCACAAGGGAGCGAGCGACCGGAGTGGATCAAGTACGCTGCTTGCTGGCAGGAGGCACTTGCTTTTTAGTTGTTCTGATGGTTGTGTCGTTTTTTAGTGATTTCGATTTGACGATTTGGGCAAGGGTCAGATGGGCAAGGCATGCACACCCAGGCGGGGCACAGGACGAGAGCGTGACAGCAAATAAGTCGGACCGGGCGAGAATGAGGCGGATCGTCACGGAATTCAGGTTAGTCCCATTATGCTTCAGCCGAATAACCACACACATGCCTTGCTTTTTAGGAGCGGAGCAGCCACGTTCCGACAACAAGGCTTAAACGCGCTGCAAAGACGGGAATCGCGTTGCAATGGTAGACAAAAGTACAGGGGCGATGACAAAGGTCGTCTAGACGGAAAATCATCAGAGAGGAGATGCTGGTAGCTCCGATACGTACGAGGCGAGGAACAATGAGGGGGGGCGCCTTTGGTAGTTGGAGTAGTAAAGTCACCTCGTCAGGGCTGCACGTCGTCGATCTGCGGCGCGGGTGTGTCGTTGTACCTCGTGTGTGTACTGCAGGTCTTAGGTCGTCGTTCTGTAATTAAAACCAAGCCGCAAACGAGATGCGCTGGGCTCTGTGACAAGCAGGGATCCCGTGTCGCGTTGGTGGTCAAGCCGAGATGGATCGGGGAGTGGCGTCGGATACGACTGGGGGGGGGAGGACAAGAGTTGGCAAGATGAAAACCCAAAGAGAACACGACTGGAAAATACAAGGAGGCGGGAGGGAACAAGGATGCCAAACAGTGAACGCGTCGAGGGTCCTGAACGAGCCCCTGTCATGGGCCCGAAAGGAACACTTATTGATACGTCGATTGGCTGCAATTTGGTCCGCTGCCGTTGGTGCTCTATGCCAGAAGTCTGTCTTCTCGTCTGGTTTGTCGGTCAGTTCCCGACGGAATGATCATGATGATGATGCCAGTAGTCTTCTTCTACCTTGGCCTTTGTCCGCCTGTCTGCTGCTGTACTGTACTTGTCCCGTAATATGTTTACCGCCGTGAAATCAAATCGGCTGAAGTCTTTGTCCCTGGTCAATCAATCGACGGTAAACTTGAATTCGGACGCTGTTGCCCGAGAACATGATGAACCACGAGGCTGCCAAAGTTTATTCTCCTGGCACCTTTTTGCTGGGGAAAAGTCTCCCCACAATTCCCTTTGCGCTTTCGTAAGGGGCTTGACGGACCCCCAAAAATCCCCAGAGTTTATCTGCGAAGTCGCCCCTCAGAGTATCGTCGCAACCTGCATTAATATTAAAAGACGTTTCTGGCGGCGATTCGTCTAAAAAGGCAGGTCCCTCCCGATCCTCTGGTGCACGGTACTCTCGGTGCCCGAACCACGCCGTTTGTGGATGTTCGCAGGAGTCCGAAATCTGTTTCAATGAGCGCCCGTTCCTTACCCAAAAAAATTATACACACGAAATTGAAATCCTTGTACGTCATTAGGAGCTAGACCCGTGCTCTCTTGTGCTCCCATTCTGCGGCAAGGTTTTTCTGCTCTCGCTAGAACCCTGAGACGAGTACTGTCATCGTCCGAGAAAAGCCACCAAGTTCCGAGTAAGCGCGAGGCGATCGGGGCGGCGACACAAGTGGCATTAGCTAATATCCCACGCGGCGGCTGCGAGGTCGCCAGAAGGTGACCAGGAGATTTGCTGTCTGAGAAATCTTTTCTTGTCAATGCACTAATGGAATGTTCACCCCACGTTTCAAAAGTGCCCGAGCCAATTCTCGTGCGAGGATACAACTGTAGAGGATGGGGTGATCCTGGTATCCTCCACTCTCCACTTTTCCCAATCTCAGTCGCGGAGACTGGGAGCAATCGTTTTGCTGAGCCCGTGAGCATGGCAAGCTCAAATGGGCGAGCCAAAATCTGCAGAGCTAATCGACGATTCTCGGGACTGAGAAGAGATTATTGCAAACACCTGTCCACGGCATCTTCACAAGCTCCGTGAACAAGATACCGATCAACTCCCTTTCAGCACCTCCGACGCGACCTCGTCTCCATCTCGAGTTGGCGTGCACCTCTCTTCTTCGACCTTGTGGCGTCTCCAACCCCTCGCGTCGTGCGCCGCCACGCAGAGATGAGCTGATACTGTGCAAGACTCGGACTTTTGGTCACTGAGATAGACCAAGTTCTCGGGATATTTTGCAAGTCCCGTACAGTGGTGATCAACTCGGCGCTGTGGCTCAACAATATGCCCCCGTTTGTTTAGCCAAATTACTATTTTATTTCAATCGAGATGAACAACAAACAAGAGAAAATTTTCTATCCAAACAAATTTCACGAGGGAAAGCGTCCATCAAACAGAAACCCATTCATCGTAAAGTCTAACTCCGCGGAGAAGCAAATGCTGTGTGCACTCGACTCGGCTCGGGCACTGGTCAATGTGCGACGGCTGAACGACGAGCGTCGTCAACCGTGGCATCCACCCACGCTGAACCACAGACACGAGCAACGGGAGCAATGTTCCAGGTGCAGGTGCAGGCGCGTACCCACCAAGCATCGCCAACGACGACGACGACGACCCAGGCGAGACGGGAGATCCAATTCCTGACCCTCCTCCTCCTCCTCCATACCCGCGATATACCCCCGGAGAGGGCTGTGGAGAGAAAGGCTGAGCGCCTCCTATGGCCATACTCCCTGCCTGTGGCGGATCGCACCACACGACAAACGTCCGCAAGTTGGAACAATAGCCCAGGCCAGCTTGCACGAGTCCCTCGAGATCCCACCGTTCAAACAAATCGACATGGTTCCGGATACGAAACGTCTCGAGTGCGGGACCAACCCCTGCCAGCACTCGTCCAAACGTGATCCCACTCACCCGACGACGGATCGTGTTCATCGTCAAATGGCGCAGAGAGAGCATGGACGTGGAGAGTATCCACGCCAATACATCTCCTGAAAGCGTACAGCGTGCCAATGACAGCTTCGTGAGCTGAAACGACGGGCTCATGCTCGGAATGGGACTGCGATACATTCCACTAGACTTGCCGCGTCCACTCCCCATGGCAGGAGAACCGCCCGCTCCATCCGTATTGGGCTCGTAGATATTATCCAGCGTCAGCGACCGCAGCCTCGTCATAGAGGCCAGGGCAGGCAAGAGGCTGTCGAGAGGCCAGGAACCCCCACGAATCTCAATCGAGCACAGACGGTGAAGAATGTGAGGAAGGAGGAGAAAAGGCGGGAGTGGAATGGGGACCGACGGCATTGGTCCAGCCAGTGGGTTGGCTAGAGACGTGTTGCGTGTGCCCACCCAATCAAGGCGAAGAGAGTCGAGTACAGGAATCGACGACAGTAGCCGGTACACGTCACTTGAGGGCACATGCGGGTGCTGGCGTCGGCTGGTTCTATTGGACATGGCACTGGAGCCTGCCACCGTCTCGTCAGAGGTGAATGCAATGTCCATGTGGGAAATATAGTCTGATCGAAACGTATTAGTGGATTGGAGTAGGAGAAGAAGGCGATTAAAGTCGTTGGCGGATTCGATAGTGTATGAAGTCATGAATGCGCGTCGGGAGAGTACAAGCCATCTACGACAGACGAGTGCCGCATCGAGCAGAGACACGTCGTCGCATAAGACGAAGATGCGGGAAAAGATTTCGTTGGGCAAATTGGCGAGGGCCGACTGTGGTCGGAATGACCTGCCGTAGGCCGCTTCTCGGCCACTGCGAATATTGTTATTGTAGCTGAACATATCTAGAGGTGAAGGTGAACGGGGTGTCGGGATGGCAAATGCGTCGGTGTTGGTTTGCCACACAGCGGTAGGAGAAAAGTGTCGATGTCCAAGAGGTAGAGCTCCATCCTGGTGGCCTATTATATCATCCGGAGGACCCACACCCCGATAGGCGTATGAAGTGGCTGCCCATGATACGGACATAAGCAGCTAGGCGGGAACTGATTCCAATTCGGGCAGTGGGCAAATCCGGTCAGTCAACATATCCATTAAATCATATCAGCAAAGAGACAGTCATTACCTTGTTCCTATCGGCTCTTTGTGACTCGGCTTGTGGTGAGCGGTGGACGTCGAAACGTGTTTATCGCCGTACAGGCAAAACTCGAATGGGGGATTAAGAGGCAACGCCCTAAACCGGGTATCAGAAACTAAATATGTAGCCTAGCTTAGGAACTGCGGCGGAGAGCCACTTGTGGGTCAGGATTCGTGGCAAGCGCCGAGCCATATGAGCAGAGCCCGCATCTGGATAAGCCGGAACCGATGCGAAGAGTGATGAGCAAAGATATTGGGTGAGCCTTTGAGCCACCATTCTGCACGGGGAATTGTTTGTCGTCGTTTGCAGCCGACGTCCAATCTGTTGCGAAGCTGAAACTGGATTACACCGCGTGATCAGCAGTACACGACTAATAATCACATCTAAGGTGCTTATAGATGTCAATAATGGTCGGAGAGTGCGCCATGGGATCGACATAGCCTTTTGCAGGGCCATCAACTGTGTCACTTATGAACAATCAATTGGCTTCACTCAAAAATCACCTTTCCGATATTCTGCTAAACGTCACGTATATTCGCTTCGCAGCAAGACGTGGACACACAGCGGGACTCGGGCGGAGTCCATGACTCCCACATGTTTCCGATCGAAAGGGCGCACCGTGACTTCATTCGTCGGGAGCCCACTCAAACTCGCCGTCCTCTTCAGACCCGTCAAAGTAGGATATTTCGAGAGCGGCCTGTGCTTGACCATGATGAAAATTACTGCACCCGTGGTCAGTACGATGAGTCAGACATTGAACAGAAGTGTGATAGTAGAAAGGGGCGGCCCGTCAAAAACCACAGTCATGAACATTGTGTGGGTGCCGCCGTTTGATAGACGGGAAAACGCCGAGGTGTGGCTCCTACGAGTCGGAGCCGAGTACTCACCTTGGTCGTGTAGCAGAACTCCTAGAGCCGTCCTCTCTACTCCCCTCGTGCCCAGCTTGACGGACCATTTTGTGAAAGGAGGCCACTTCGGACATGATCAACTGGTTGATGGCATCTTGGCTCGTCTCTAGATACGCGTCGTTCCTGAATGCCTGAATATTGCGTGGGGGAACACGTTAGCACAACCTGTACATATTCAACGATGCCGAAGTCCCCATTTGGAGACTTTATTCCGCCTCATCGAGGTCCCGGAGTGGCATATCAAAGAGGCTGCCACTTACCATATGTGAAACCGCCTCGTCCGCAGTATTTCTCCATTGAGAAAAGTAGAGACCATCGAGAAGGTCGGTCGATGCACTTCGCGCCATTGGATCCCAGAGCAATGTTTGATGTATGAGCTGCATTTCCGCATCATTCGCTGTCGGGAAGAGTTCCCGAATGGCAGGCGGATTTTGTTTCCGAATGGCTTGAATGTTCTAAAGTTGTCATGAGTTTGTTTCGTCACTCGGCGGTAAAACGGAGTAAAGCGGCCAATCGCCGTTTGTGGTGTATCACTCTGATCTTCCGTGGGAATCCACTCACTTGGACAGTTTGCGGGGAGGCTATTCGCTTTAGAACGTCGTCCGACGGTTTTCCGAGTCGTGCCAGGAGTGTCCGTATCTGCCCGGGGAGGCTGCAAGAAGTCTTAGTGAGGCACCGTTGACAGTATGGACAACTCAGGTCCTCACTCGTTCCTATCGAATAAGGGGGCACCGTTGAGAAATTCGGCAAGAATACATCCAATACTCCATATATCGACGGCTTTCGATCGGAGTAAATGAGCGATACACAGGTTTGGGATGGTTGGATGGCTCACCGAAAGAGACCTAGGCCTAGGTCAGCCATTTTCTTCTCTCTAATTGTATTTCTGAAACATACCTTTGATACTCCGAGCAGGAGTTCGGGCGCCTTGTAGATGATCGAGCCGCCCGTAGTACACAACGAAGGGTTGGAACCTCTTGCCAAGGAGTTTCCGTTCCAAGTCTGCGCATTAGAAAAGTCACAGATACGTAGACTGACGTCGGAATCCACTAGGATGTTCGATGGTTGGATAGCCCCATGAATGATTCCAGCAGAATGGATGTGTCGGACGGCACAGCACAGCTGATACATGAGGTACTGAACATGAGCCTTGGTGAGGTTCTTTCTACTTTTGAAGATTGACGCGAGATTAGACCGTGGTAGCTCGGTCTTGGATCGTGAGCGAGGTTCTGAAGCGAGGAGGATATAAGACCCACATAGAGATAAACATCTGCAATTCTTCCGTTTTCGTGGATAGAATAGCTCATATCATAAGCGCATAAAATCTGAACGCCATGAGGAACTAGGTGAGAGAAGCGAGAGAGGTGGACCAACATTTCTATGGACTCGCAGGTGGCGAAGCATTCTAGATTACAAGTAACAATCAGCCGAGTGGTCGCGGCTGCGTTCTATACTCGCCTAAGTTCTTTCAAACAATCTTTTGCCTTGGACAACTACGGATTCATGTGAGCATGAGGACAATCAGGAGGGTTCCTGCACCCACATCAGAGCCGATACCAGTAAATTTTTGCACGCTACAGATCTCCCCGCTAGCATGTCGAGCAGCAATAACATAACGATGAGATGATGAAGGAAGGGTGGCCACGAAAGTGTAGGCAGCGTCTAGGGTATATGGTTGCCACTCCTTGGGAACTGGCGCGAGCGTCTTGGGAGGAGACGACCGATGAATCATTTTAGTGGATGGGGGATGATTGTCATAGTAGAGTTCGGGAGACCTCGAGACCCTTGGTTAAATGGGGGTTGGATCCGTTGGCATACGATACGCCACCGTCAACGCATGATGAAACGCTGAGAAATTGCCGAGAGCATGCTCCGAGCATGATTCTTCGCGAGTTCATTTGAGCTTCGCGATGTGAGGTCAGTCGTTCTCGAATGGAAGGAGCTGGGAGCATCCAGTTCCGCACACCCCTTTCTGATACTGACGTATGAGTAGTTTGTTTTCGAAAAAAAATCGCCGGAAAACATGTGCGTACCAAGGGATTACTTTCAGCGGGGTGCGACGGTATACGGCTATTTCGTCGCAGTCGCTAGTGGCCGAACGGCTACAGTCGGTCGTTTCTGAATTTTGCCGCCAGAATCCAGCGCTACCGGTCGGGTGTATCCCCATCGCGATCCACGCCGTCCTAAGCACGCCGCGCTACGGTGGTTCTTTCGGGGGGCTCGTCTGCAACAGGCAACGAGGGGCATGAAAACGCGTAAGATTCGACCATTGCCGACAGTGGCCGCGTCCCGGAAAGAGCATAATTGCCTGTGAGAAACTCGGGGAGGATTCACAGCTCGGACGAAGAGATTGCCCACGCGGGTGGCCGCTTTGATAGGGAACGGGCGGGCTTTGGACAAACTCCTGCAAATCAGATGGGCCCAGACGGCTTCGTAGAGGGGTCGTCTTCGTACTAGACTGTGGTCAAGGGCTGACAACTCGGAAACCCCGCGTGTTCAAGGCTTGTGGGTGGCTTGATGAGCCTAAGCATTGCCATGTAAATTACCGTAACCACGTTGTTGCTAGCCATTACTCCCAGTTTGACAACAACATGAAAGAGTCGGGGTTCAAGTTGTTTGTCAGCCACCTTGACCACCAACCACGAAATGGCAGAGTCGACGCCTTCTGTTCCTTTTTTCAAAAAGAGCAAGAGACCAACAACAACCGCTCGCAAGCGATCTCCAACGGTTGATAATCAAGAATCCACCACCCTCGTCTCAGAAGTCGTCCGCCCTGCACCGCGCACACAGACAAAGCTGCTCTCACAAGGGACAAAACGCACAGTATCACAGCGTGATGATTATACATACGACACGAGCGACGGTGTGGACACCAAGGACGGCAGCGCGGTAGGTGTCAATTGGCAAGGAGCCGGCGCCGTAAAAGATCATGCGGATGCTAAACAAATCTTTGATGGTGAAGAAGCAGAGGAGATGATGGAGCAGAAGCGCAAGAAGGCCCGTCTAGAGCGCGGCGAGGTCGACGACGTCGTGTCCCCCGATGGTCTTTACCGCGGCCAAGACTCGTACCAGCACAAGCTTGGCCGCAAGGACGAGACCATGCTTTCCAAAGCGCAGCGAATTGGTCCTGTCAAGGGGTCGAATACCGTCCGCAATGTCACCATGATTGATTATCAACCAGACGTATGCAAAGACTATAAAGGTAAGTAATCCCACTCTGTTGTATTTGAATCGATACTTATTTGCATCGCAGAAACCGGGTATTGTGGCTTCGGCGACACTTGCAAATTCTTGCACGACCGTGGCACTTATCTTCAGGGCTGGCAACTCGACAAGGTTTCATCAAAATCCAATTTTATTACCTTTGCCACCCGGGCGGGTCTAGAGAAGCGGCAGGACACTGATTCAGACGATTCAGATATCGAAGACATTCCCTTTGCATGTATCCTGTGCCGCAATCCTTACACTGATCCTATCGTCACGAAATGTGGGCACTACTTTTGTCAGGCATGCGCCATCAAACGCTATGCGAAGAACCCTCGCTGTGCTGCTTGCGGTGCGCCTACCAACGGCATCTTCAACAAGGCGGACAAGATCATCGCCCGTTCGAAAGCGAAGCGTCTAAAGGAAGCAAAGGCGGCGGGCGAGCTCGAAGGCTCTCAGTCTGACGAAGAGAATGCAGAATTGGAAGGCGTCGAAATAGAGGGTGGCTATTGAACACTGTATCTACTATGTATCGTTCTCTCATAGGGTATGATCACAAAAAAAGTATAATAATAATACTTATGGCAAATCTTCTGGTCCCCATTCGAGCTCAGTCTCCATCACAATAGGATCCATGACGTCTGGATCCCACGCGTAGATAGAAGCAGACGAGCCAGCTTCGGTTCCAAAATGCGACTGGAGCCAGCTCTTGCTGTATCCGAGATTTGACATTGTCAACTTGCCGTCCTTTTCGACGAGTTCGAACATTGCCTTGCCTATCGTCTATATGTCAAACCTAGTCCCAAGAGTAGCTCTCAACTTACGGGGAGAGGGAAACGCATCAATCTTGTCCTCTTTGAGAGCCTTCTCTAGGGCTTCCCACTGCGCGTCATCCCAGTAGCGAGGGCCAGATTGTATGAGGACTAGATCGTTGTCCACAACTGGAGCGCATACGTCTGGGAATCCAGCGAGATAGTAGCGGCGCGCAGCCAAGTGGCGAGGTAGCTGGGTCCATGGAAGAAAGTATGATACTTCTCTTCCATTATCGTATATACACGGAATTTGATGATACACTTTCTTTGATCAGCAAATGTCTGCCCAATGGAATAGGGGCTCACAAAGAATCGCAATCAAACTCTTGATGGACTCTTTTCGACGTCGTAATTTTCGATTCATGCTTCTAAAGGTTTCCACGGACTGGTGCATCGGTCCCGTTATAGGTTCTCCTTCGAGCGACATGCCTCCAAGCAAAGTTTCGACTTCGGACTGCGTCTCGTCTTGTGAAGGCCGCAAATCAACGTCGGCGGAGGTCCCACCTCAATTTTCATCATCTCGTCATCGGAAGCTGCCACTCGTGGTCTTTTGACGATTCGGTGATCGAAAACGAATGAGCCCTTGCGCTTGGTTTGCCCAGATAGAGTGCCTGGACTGTCGTATTGCATATCGCTGTCCTCATCTTCTGATGTATCGGCCCTGCGCCTTCGTCTACCTATTGATGACCCATCGACCAGAGCCATAATGACTCCGTTGCGTGCTCTCATGTCTGGGTCATCCTTTTCTGCGTTGACTACGAGGAATATTTGAGTAAATGGCATAAAAACCACGAACAGCTTACTAAAGTCGTCCCAGGTGAACTCGAATCGCTCGTTTTGCTCATTAAAGGCTTGGACAATTGTTTGAGTTGCTTTCTAGTCGTTAGACCGTGAATACGTCAAATGAAATATAGAGCGTACTTTCATCCCACTTTTCAACAGCAATACCTTCATAATCCAGCAAGTTGACTACCTTGTCAAGGGTTTCGCCATTCCACCGGATCGCCCAACGGCCAAGAAGTTGTTTGTGAAGTTTGAAGTATGGAAGAAGTTCGAGCGGAAATCCGACTAGACAGACTTTGGCTTGATGAAGGAGTTTTGGAAGGGTGTGCCACACAATCTTGTATTTGCCCTGACGAGTTTCATGTGGAGCAAGCTGAACGCCTGCCTCAACTGTTTTATGATCAGTAGTGTGCATCAATCAGTCCTTCCGTCTTACCGAGCATCTCAGCTAGCTGGTCCATCAACGCCGTGACCTGGGCGTGCCATGATTGACCAGAGGTTGTCGGTTTTTGCAGCATTACTTCATCCATGTGGCCGTCTGATTCTGACTCTGCGTCTATCTCTTCCCATTTCCCAATGTCAATGTGCGTGCCCTTCTCGTCTATTATTTCAAAGACCACATCCCTATCTACAGGAAGAGCTCAGCGGTGAATAAATGTTTCGAATTCAACATACCTAGTGGTCGCTTCTGAACTTGAACAAGACCTTGATTCAATACTTTCTGGAGACCATGGGTGGCTTCGGCATTTTGGAGAAAGAATCTCTGCGGCTTCCACGGAAACTTTCTTATTTGCTCCAAACTTTTCTTCCCTAGGACGAAATTTGCGGGAAACCCAGAGATGTAAACACCCTTGTTCCAGAGCTGATGGGGAATCGTTTCCCATGGAATGTAGCCCCTCTCTTCGGGATCTTCTTCGATTCCGGCTTGTACTACGAGAATCGTCAGGATGGGCCACTATAATAGAGTCGGATGACGTACGAAGAAGCTTACGAAGCTTCAGCGGCACTTCTTTGGCATATCGAAAGAGATCGACTTCTTCTTCCTTTGTCTCTTTCTTTCTAGACCTCAAGGTCGACTTAGGCTGTCTTTTGTTCCCTCCTTCGATCAAAGCTTTGCGCAATGATGCGCTCTGGCTTCGATGTGGTGTGATGGGGGTGGTAGGTGTGATAGACCGGGTATCCCCCCCTTCGTCGCTGGGTGATACAGACGGTGACATCACGACGGGTGGTGGTCTAATTCGCTGGGCCCGGGCGACCTGTGGCTGCGCTCTCCACTTTACTAGATCGACGGGACCATGCTTTGTTATGACTTCCAATATGACATCGCGATCTATAGCCGTAAATGAGAAGTTTCTAATTGAAAATGTGAGCGTACCCTTTGGACGAGGAAGAACCTTGATATCACCCTTTTCCGAGGCTTTTAACAAGGCACTCTGGGTCGATGGATTCCAACGTGGAGTCAAATTACCCTTGAGGGCATTTTCGATGACATCTATGGCTGGGTCACTGCTTCCAAGGAACACACTCGCGGGGATCCCTGTAATATAGAGGCCTTTGGTCCAAAGTTGGTCAGGTAGAGCTCTCCATGGGATAAAACCCTGCTTCGTCTCCTGTAAGCCGAGGCTTTCTTGCTGCATATCAATGTCTGCGTGGGAGAATGGTGGATCACTTACTTAGCAACTGCCTAAAGGCCAGCGGTGCCACCACAGCGCTGCCCGGGAAGGGGTTTCCCAAAGAGGGTAACGGAGTGAGAGTAGATATTTGTCTTGGATCCGGCGGACCTGGTTCGTTGAGAGTCGGCTGCGTCACATGAGCAGACGTGTTCAAGCTCTCTGGGGCAGATGGCTGCTGAACTGTAGCGTTTCCAGGAGCAGAGGTGAATTTCCGATTAAGTACCTCTGGTGGATGAGGAGAGGACGCAAATGGAAGGCTTGGGCCGGAGGGTTGCGTATGCTTTGCAATCGTCTTTCTTGCAGGTCGAGGGGCTCTCCACCTTGGAATGTCTAGAGTGGTTCCGTCTTCAGAGATTGTCTGAAACACTATATCGCTGCCTGGAAAAGTCAAATCACAAACACATGCTAGTGGCAAGCTTACCATCTGGACGCGGGACGAGACGAACCAACCCATCGGTAGAACATGCTTGCTTGAGTAATACTAATGGATTTGGACCAGGAGGTGGCCACTGTAGATATGTCTCAAGACGCTGCCTCCTTTGTTCGTCGGAAGGTTTGTCGGTGCCGTAGAATATGCTCGTCGGCAAACCAGCAAGGTAGAATCCTTTGTCATAGAGGATATATGGCACAATATTCCATGGAACTCGCTCCTTCTCGTCGGCTTTGATCCCCAACGAGTGAAAAATCTCCTTGAGTTTGAGTGGAACAGTGGTTTTTGGATATGGATCTATTCGTCCTCCAGTTGAAGCCATCAATACGATCCATCCAGCGCTTGCCAGGCTTCTACACGCTTTTCGGGTGTGGTGGACGAAGTTTAAGAAACCAACGACGACATTGTTCACACCTTTGGCCACACCAACGCGAGGCCGTCTGTCCACAAAATCAAGAAATTCTATATTTTTGCAAAGAATAGGGCAAATAGATTTCACCCAACCTCGACCCAGTGGCAGAGTTCAAAGGGACGCTGTTTCGCGTGTAGTCGGTAGCGTGTGATCGCCCTGAATCGCTCTCTGTGGATACTCGAAAGAATAAAGAAGATGAGAAATTGGTTCAGCTAAACATATGGGCTCCCGCGCCGTCGGCATAGCCCAACTCTCATGAACGTTTCAGTCTCGACTGGTCATGTCCTCTTCTCTTCTCTCGGGCCCAAATACGCTAGTGGTCATACTCGGGGTAACGTTCAGTCCCTATTTATGCCGTCTTTGCCGCACCACTTTATTAGACAGGGCCCATCTAGCCTTGATAGCATGCTCAAGGGGGTATCACAACTTTTTATTTCCATATTTACGTCCTCCAGAGGTCGTTTTGTGGTATCTGATGAGTGCCTTGGGACGTGAGAAGGCATTGCCCGCCCCATCTTTGGGCTCACTGGACTGATCAAACTGAATAGAATCTGTGCAAACCCATATCTTCTGGCGTCAGACGGGCATCGGTGACATTGCCAGTGCACAGCGCGTCCTACTCTATATATTATCTTCGAGTCGACTAGCGTCCTCTTTATCTGCCCCTTCACTTCACTGTCAACACTTTGGCGAGAACAAAGGCATCCTCGAGATGAAGTTTCATTTGGAGAATCCACCGCAGCGCACCGTTTCTTTGGAGCGCTCGAAACAGCTCCGACGGCAGTCGATGTCCAATCTACCCGGAACACCGACAGACTCGGAGGCAACTGGAACGACTCCAAAAACATGTCCCTCAGTGCTGCCTACTCATTGGCCCTCGACGAATGTGAGTGATTGGTACCATTGAGGCAAGATGATCCCAACATGGAATAGGAACCGACAGAGATCGTTCCAGGAGATCTCGTCTCAGAGTTGTGTGTGCCCGAAGTGGAGCGGTCACAGCTTGAGCCATCGTCCTCACACGGCCTCGCACCCAACAGAGCTACACTGGCTACCGTAGATATCAACGTTCCCTTCACTCCATCATTCCTTTCCGATGACGGGGACTGGTCTATCACATTCTCCGGGTGCAGCTATGAGCGAAGTCTCCAGCGGTACGTTTTCACGCATATTAACATTGTTGTCGTCTTGACTGAACTTACCTCAGAGATGGCTCCATCAGCTCTCTTTTCCGTCAAAGCATACCTCACGACGTGATGTCGTCGCTTGGTAGCCCGGTCCTTTCTCGACCTACATCCCCTTTTGCATCTTCCCTTTGTACCAAGTCTGAGGAGTTCTTCGGCGTTGAACTCCAGTGGAAGGGTATAAAAAACGCCACAACGTCCCGTGTCTCAACGTCGACCACAGTCTACTCAATGAAGAGTGTCAGCCTTCGTAGACAACAATTGTCTCTGAAAAGAAAAGCGCACCAAGGAGCAATGAAAAGGCAACAGAGGGCAGGCGTTAGATGCCTCCCACCCGTCCCTCAACAAGAACAGCCAGCCGAACTCCCTCCTTCAAGCGTAATGACGACAATGACGACAACGACGACAACAGTGTGGACTCAGCCACAACCAACAACATTCGCCGGAGGTCCAACGAACAGTGCTTCGCCGGTATCATCACCTAGCCATCGTCCATTCCCTGCCATTCCTATCCCTCCACGGTCTAAGTCTCGGCCGCTGCCACCTCGCCCTGTGCCTAGCTCGTCTACGACCGTATCGCCAGCGCCAGTTGCCCCGCTTCAACCTAGACGGCTACTCCTGCCTGGCTTCAACTGCCAATTTTTAGAACCGCCAAGTGTTTCTCCGATCGTTGGGATGGTTAATGGTATGCTTTTGGAGTCGAGAAGTGGCTGAAGCCGGCGTTTGTTCAACTATTCTTATTCTTTCCTATGCACATTTATACTACGCAATGTTGTATGCCAATCTACAGTTTTTTGTACAAAAGGATATTAACGAAATAACGAGATCACAACCAATGGTCGTATCTTCCCAATTTTGAGACTCGTAAACCGCCTTCGAGACCCGCACGGCCGGAAGCCCCACTGGCCTCCCAGTCTGCCATCTCCACCACATCTTCATCATAGGCAACCTGGATATGCAAGTCACCATGATGAGATCCCCGCATTAGCCACCAGGGTAGCCTTGACCAAACACGGTGAAGTCTACTACTTTCACCTGCAGTCCCTCGAGTGGGTTCGCTTTCTTCACTCTGTAGGCGATCAAGATCCTTGTGCACCTGAGGATGAACCTCAGGCTCTGGAAGACCGTGCAATACACTAGGCGCCTCGTCCGCTTCAGTCTCTTCTCCGGAGAGATGGCTGTCAAACTGGCTCGCCGCGTTGATATATACAGACTTATTATATTTGCTGGTAGTTCGATGCTTAGCACTGTCGCCTTTATCGCCGCTCTTTGGTCGTGAACTGCTCGTGCCAGCGGTCATGGCAGGGAAACTTCGAAGTGGGATGGAGGTGGTCCATGAGGTTCACGACTTCGAACACTGGATATGTTCACTTGCTCGTGAGCTCGTTGAGCTGCGGGTAGCGCCGTCGTTCGGATTCCTGAGATATACTCTGGCGCTGACTGAGTTCCGGTCGTTCGTGTGCCGGAGAAGGAGCTTGAGAGGAAGTGCTGAAAGGCCTGGGAAGATTTTACCCCTAAAAGAAGGCGCGAAGTGGCCACTTGGCACATTATCCATGTCGACAGGAGCGGAACAGAGAACCATTTAAGATCCAGATACCGCCATGTCTGCAGAGAGTTGAGAGTGATACAACCAGTCGTGACAAGTACCTACGACGAAGGATAGAACGAATACTGTCAACGTGAATGCAAAGTAGAAAATGCCATGTCGGTACATGATGGCTAAGAGGGGCGTTTGTGCAGACCTTTTCAAGGTTAGGATAGTTCAAATATCAACGAGGACATACCTCGGTGTCTTTAGGGACTTGAAGAGCAAAAAGAGGAAGAATATGGCATGCTCAGCTACATTGGGTAACCAATTCTCCCAGATTCGTGGCAGCACGGCATAACAGACATTTCCCACGGGAAGCACATGGATGGCTGTGAAATCCAGTCAGACAAGCCTAAGTATATGGTCGGACAACCGACTCTCAAGCTTCAAGAAGAAATTCTTGACGAGCAATAGCATGGCAATAGCAAGCGCTATTCCCCATACAAGGAGAAGGAGAGTGAATGCTGTTCGAGTGATCTCCTCCAAGGCGTACAAACTGACCAACGGTATCAGTGATGAAGAGACAGACGCGAAGCCCATACCGAAATGTCACTATCAAGGACACCAATGAAATACCTATGACCTGTGTTACATCTAGAATAGATAGCCATATGCGACAGCTGGGTTACCTCTTAGCAGGCGCTTTGGTCATGGGAAATGCTCACAACTGGGGAGACATGTCAGTTTCGGTGACGAATAGTAATGTTAGCACGGGAACATACATTATCTGTCAAACCGGCTGCACGTCCGGTGAATGCTACAAGCCGTGATTAGCAGAGAAAAGGCGTGACTCTGGAGAACATACTCCAGAGATTGATGGAGATGATGAGAGGAGAGATATAGCGGTTGAAGAAGAAGAGTCCCTTGACAAGGGTGAACTTCGCACTCCAGACGTATCGAACCTAGTTGTCGGAGATGAGCTAGAATGGCGATACCTCGCATAACAAACCTCATCTCCAAAGGTAAGGAGCACATCCCATATGAGGAGAGTAAATGCAGAGTACGAAAGGCCCTTGCCGATCTGATAAGCCATGTAATAATCCTTGAAATGTCCCAGGATGTCCAGCGGTGCAGGGATGGGCCGGCTCATGTCGAGCAGACCTTGTAAGAAAAGTTCTGCTGCGCTTCGTTTGCCGTGTCTCTCCGGGCGTAGGTAGACCGCGTGCAAGGGCTCAGCGTCGGCTGTTGGTGGAAAGGTCCAAGATCACAAATGACACAGCATATTCTCCGAGTATTAATACTCACGTAGTTTAATGCTTGCGAACCCCGTGAGTCGGTTACCAGGTTGACATTGGCAGGCTGACAGTTTCGTGCCCTGTTCAGCTTTTGCTCTAAACAACCAGATGGCCTCTGATTCTAAGTTTGGGGAACTCCCTTTGATAGAACAGCTGATCGGGGATCAATCAAAGAGGGTTGCACGACAAAAAGGATCAAAGCCAATGGTCAAATCGTCCGAGACGCGACACCCGAACGCCACCGGTCCCGCCTATCTCGCAGTCCTGTGATTCCGCGCCAATAAAGACATAGACATCGCGCACCCCTTCTGAAGACGCCCACACCTCCGGGAGTAACCACCAAAGCCGCCGACGCCAGAAACGCAATTGTTGGTTGGAGCCCCATCTCGGGCCTACATCCTCGATGTACTGAGTCTCCCGGCCGTGACTCTGAGACGAGGTTTGGGGACTCGGTGTCCGAGGCTGATGACCTGAAGACGTGACATATTCTCCACGTTTAACAAATGGCAATGTCCTTCCATGTTGAGCCATCCTCTGGGCAGTGTGAAATGATTGAAGGGGAAGCGCCGTCGGGTGTCGGAGATGTGGCGCTTGACAGGAGCTCGCGCTCGTATTCCGTCTTGATGCATATCCTTCAAACAGTTGCGAGGTCCTTACGTGTAGCAAGAGACGTGATATTGCCATTTGAAAGACGATCCACGGTGTATACAGTGTCACACCCATGTAGAGGCGAGGGGCGTATTTCCATATCTACATGGCATCCTTTGAGTATATCTTCGGTTGTACAATGATGACCTACGATCAAGGCCGTGAACATGACTCCAAAGGTGACAAAATAGAATAGAATCCCATCTCGATACAAGATTGCTAATGCGGGACGATGCGCGGAGCTTGCATGTGTCAGTGTATTGTTCTGGCGACACTTTTGAAGCTCACCGTGGTGTAGCCATTGCATGGTAGAACAGCAAGGAAAAGTATAACCCATGCTCGATCACACCCGGAAGCCATTGAGTCCATATAACAGGTTGCTTCGTCATACAGACATTGAACATAGGAATGTGGATAATATCTTGCTAGGAATGAGTTAAGCAATGGCAAGGGCACTCCACATACCTCGCCCATGAACCCACATCGAGTCAACGACAAACGCCAAGGAAGCAATGACAGAAGCGACCCATATTGAGAGGAGTATGTATAGATTGCGCGTCGACATATCGTACCAAGCCCAAAGACTGAAACAACCAATTAGCACTAGTACACGGTCAAGCGAGAGACGATACCTACCGGAATGAAACAAGGCACGAGACCATGGCCGAGCAGAAGAGCTGGATTCCGAACGCGGCCGAGTTCCATCCCCGACAACTAGTGATGGAAACGAGGAGGCCGTCACGAATTCAGTAGTCTATCGCAAATTCCATACTCACAACTGCCTTGTCGTAGCGGTGTATCAATCAGGAAGGAGTGAGCGTGGTCAGCTGCGGCAATATTCCCATGCTGAAGAGCGCACCGATTCAGTCAACCCCCGTGCGTGCCCGCTCATCGCTGTACCAGGCGTCGTCAGAAATGAGAGAATGCGTCACAACAGGGACAAACCCCAGATGTTAACCGAGATGACGGCTGGAGTCGCATAGCGATTGAAGAGGAAAATGACTTTGAGGGCTGTCAGTTGCGAGTTCCAAATCAGCTCCACCTTTGGAGGTCCATTAGCCCCTAATGGTCTTATGAGAAGGAAGTGAACTAGCTGACCTCTCGAGGCAGCGTTAAAAGCATATCCCAGAGCATGAGCGACATCGCCCCATAGTTGACCGCACGGGCCGTCCTGACCGCATAAGCCGCGCTTTGCAATGTCTTTGCTGTCAAGGGTCCAAAGAATGTCAAGTCTGCTAGCGTCGCCATGAATATCCAATCATCAAGCTGGAGCGGCTTATCCCTTCGGAGTGTCAGCGTAGATACCGAACGACGTTATGGAAAGACCTTGAAGAGATCCTGAGGGAACTTTATACGAGGGTTTGTCGCCACTCCTAAATGGTGTCGGGTAATTTCGACACGGTTTTCTACGATGTTCTACGAATGGTACCTGTCAAATTCAGGGGTGTCCTGTATTTTGAATGTGCGGACCTGATAGATGCGGGGGGACTGCCCATATGGCGTACGAATACCGGCCGCGTCTATTGACGGGTCATAACGATCTCTTATGCAATAAAAAGGTCTAATTGAATCGATAGTGACGATCACAAGCGCTGAATGGCAAGACTGGCGAGGGTTGAACACTGAGAATCTGAGTGCCGAGCGTCAGGAGACAGTGGTCGCTCACGTCGAATTCACATACCCATGACTTGACATCAAGTGATGCTCTATAGTATATGCAGTTGGTCCGGTTGACACAAGAGAAGAAAGCTGGAGAAGGCCGAATTCAAGTTTTTGGACTCTACTCGCATGAGTCTGTCACTCCTTTCACGTTCTCGAGCTGTAGAACGGACACTATCCGCAACATACACGCCTAATATTCAGACCAGTGCACCGCGCTGTTTGATGAACACGTCGCGTCACTACGATAACCTTCGACGGACGCGTTGCTCGCGCCTAGCTAAGCAGCAAGTTGCCCAATTGATGACAATCACGAAAAAACTGCTTTTGGAATCACAAAATGCCTCTCCGAAGCAGGTAGATAGGCCACGACCAAAGATTTTGGTCAACAACAGAGCAATTTCCCACTGCATTGCATCTAATCGAATCCCTTCGGAGTCTACCTCTTCACAACAGGAAACTTCCCAGCTATTCAGAGATTTTGTATGGCAGGGAAAGCTATCCCGAAGCCTCGTCTCCCAACTCAGAAGGGAGCAATGTACAGCCGTACAAGCGAGAATATTGAATATTGTTCTTCAAGGAAATGATCTGTAAGCTCACTTGTCCTACTCTGGAGTAAAATTGACCTCTTTCAGTGTCGTGGAGGCAAACGAAGACTCTGGTCGAACCCTTGCCTTGCTCATTTCGACGATTCAGCGACATTTAATAGAGCCTAATGTCCAACATGGACACCCCTCCATCCTGATTATCGTGCCTACTCGCGGATTGGCGCTGCAACTGGAGGCGACTGTGAACGAGATTATCGGAAAATCTCCTTGGAATTGTCAAACCGCAATTGGAGGAACCAACGTTCAGATTGATATACAGCGTGTACGGCAGAAGTGCGATATTTTGGTGGCAGTGAGTAACTTTGGTATCATGATACCTATTTGGATCTCAAATTCGCAAGACTCCGGGTCGCCTAAGCGCTCTATTAAGGGAGGAGGGCTTTGCCCAACGAATGAGGCAAATACGATGCGTGATCGTCGAGGAGGCAGGCAAATTGAACCGCCCTAATCAACGACGGGATCTGTTCGCTATATCAAAGCTTCTCCCATCAAGAGAGGGTGGGAGGTAGGTATGGATAGCCGGACCTCCACCGCGCTCACATCATTTCTACCCTAGGCAGACGCTACTTTCGGCCACGGAAATCACCGAACGGTTCCTCATAGATGTTTTTCTGGGGAAAGAATATCAACACCTTCGCCTGAGTCAGGGATACGCGCCAAGTCACGGGCATATCCAGAAGTACCTGATTCTAGACTCGGAATGGCATCTCCCAAAGCTAGCGAAAACAATCTGGGACACGTCACATGCAAGCCCTGTCAACAAGGTCATTGTTTTCTTCTCGACGGCCAGGACCGTCGCGCTGGCCAGTGCCACGGTGAGTTTAGTTTCTATGACTTCCAGAAATTCCTTAGACAAGGAGCGTCTATAGCTGTCGCAAATCGACATCCGCACACCAGTTTTTGAACTTCACTCGCGCACATCGTTGGCAGCTCGTCGTCGAGTAGCGCGAGAGTTTACAGAATCACGCTCAGGAATCCTTCTTTCAAGTGATTTGACGATAGGAGGCGGCTTCGAATTTCCAGGCATCACCTCGGTGATTCAAGTCGGTTTGCCTGAATCTGTTAGTGAATGTATGTCGGCCTTTGGTCTCGTACTACCAATGCTTATCTCGGTCCCCTCCAGATCTCCAACGCTTTAGACACGCCACACACCATGGCTTGAGACTTCTGATCTTGGCCCCTTGGGAACAACGGTTTCTTGCCGAAAAAGGCCTCAAGAATTTACCACTGGAAGAAGAATGTATGGACGACAATATTATGAAACAACTCGGTCTGTGGAAGGAAAAAGTCGATCACGCGATGGGTTCGGTGGAGGAAAAGACAAAGGTTGGGGCATATCAGGTAATGTTAAATATTACATTTCCTGAAACTATGCCTCGTGCCCCTTTATCAAGTGAGAAATAACTAACTTCGGTTAGGCTATGCTCAGCTACTACGCTCAGAAGCAGAGCGTAATGGGTCTTAGTGCAGAGTCGGTGTTACTTGTGGTCAACCAGTATGCAAAGAAGACACTTCGCTGGAAGCTGGGCGTAGAGGGCAGAGATGGACTACCCCCTGTATCAGCCAAAGCAGCGGCAATGATCAATCTGCCAGCGTCACTAAAGCAGTGCGAGCTCAACATTGAAAGGGCTTCAGACGATTAGTCTGTCAAGCACAGCCCGTCGTTATTACTTCCGAGGCGTTTGCCAACGTCTGGCGTAAGGGGCTAGGCACCCTGGGGTCACCTAGCATCACGTAACGATTGGAATGTTATGCTAGTGTCAAAGCGCAGAAATGTACAGGGCTTTCATTGAGCGGACGGGGGACAGAAGGAGAGTCGTAGGACTTCTCTCTCGCAGCTTTGATGAGCAAAAGTGGATGCTATATAGCGATTCTGGGCAGTTTTGGTCCCTAGGCTTGGATGTACGGGTGGGTATCAATTGGACAAAGGACTTTTGAGCTCTGCAAAACCTTATCAACTTCGCAGGTCGAAGAACCCGTACCCAACAGCAGCCATGAATCGTGGATGAGATGTTTATCTGGTTTAACATCGATAGCATATCGGGTTGCAGCGCCTGTGCCGTGAAAATGCGCTCTTCAAAACGCCGAAACTTCGCAGAATCGCAGCTTGACCGTCCCCATGGCCACTGAGAGTCTCGGCCCTGCGTTCTCAAATTGACGCGTCGAAACATTCTGGCAGCGGGTAAGTACATACCGTTCACAACTCCCGACGTCGCTGACTTTACCCAGGTCAGGAACTCGATCAAGCCGTGAGCAACCCTGCACTCGACGGAACGAGTCAAATTATTCCTATCATACTGGTTAAATACTCTGTGACTCCCGACGTATCGACTCACACCCCACGACCTGACGCCCCTAGCAGGCCTCCCGCGTCCGCCCGCACTGTCCTGGCTCATCAGTACCTCACGCACTCGTTTTATTATCCATCTCTCACAAGCATAAACCATACACCGCTGGTCAGTACAGACGGATCCACGTGCATCCCACGCTGTCCCTCGCGACCGTGGCCAAGAAAGCACATTTATCAACAATATAATAAGCTTGGATAGTCACCAATGGCCTCCATATCTAACCGGTTACGCACGGTTGGACCGCCCCAGTTCAAGATGAACGATATCAGTGACCCTCTCACCCGCCAACTCATGCAAGAGCGCGAGATGGAGACTGCTGATCAAGCAGCTGCACGAGAACGCGCGGAGAGAGAAGCTCTAAAAGGAGTAGGGAAATTGATGAATGGCTTCAAAAGGAGCGGAGTGACAAGTCGAAAGACCGCAAGCGCCGCAAGGTTGCCAAAATTCTACTTGTTGGTGAGTCGCTCAAACGTTTTATCGATTAATGTTCACGCTATTTCGACGACATGCAGGCCAGTCTGAGTCGGGTAAGCCGACAGCTTCTGCCAGACTTTTCGATACTGATACTGATATGGTAGGGAAATCGACAACGCTAAAGAATTTCCAATTACATTATGCTCCCAAGGCGTTTCAGGCTGAGCGCCACAGGTGGAAGACGGTCATCCACCTGAACATAGTCCGGTCTATCCGCAAGATCGACGAGGCCCTGAGTGCATACTCTTCAAGCCAACAGCAACGTCAGCACCAACAGAGTCGATCAAGATATGGGTCCCCACGGTCGACACCCCTGGGAACACCCTCAATTCAAGCGACCAGCAATTTTGAATTCTTCGCCAACGCAGGATCAGACGAAGATGATGAAGATTATGACCTTGGAATGGGTGCAAGCTCATTGCCACATCGACGGCCAAGGCTCACTTCGAAGCACAATGTTCTCCTCCTTCGTCTGCGGCCTTTGCTTTCCCTCGAACCCCAACTGATTCGGACACTCTTGTCCAACGACTTGTCGAACCCTGCACCGCCCGTCTTTCTGCGGACGAACAGCTCTGCCGGGTACTTTAGCAGTGGAGTCGGCGGAGGAACGGTATGGCGAAACGAGGTGCCCGACGAGTTTCCATCACCCTTGGCGGCGAGCCCTTCGGCATCCGCTCCAGCAATATCACCGCTAATTGTATCCAACGAAGTCGCCCTCCCAGCTGGATGGAATTCCTACAGGAGCGCGAGTGCATTCCCCGTTCCCACCAATGGAATAAACAGAACAGAGAGCGGATCTAGTACCGGTGATAGCGGCGAAGGAATGGGAGTGCGAGGAGAGGTCGGCAACGATTCAACTGTGATGTATGAGGCGCCCAGCGTGGTACCAATAACGATCCCACGCAGGATGCATAGTCGGAATGACGGCAGTCTCACCCATGCATCACCCAATGGGAGTATTTCCTACTCGGGAGGAGCCCCTGTCTTCTCTTCCGGGCAACAGCAACAGTCGATACTCCAATCGCCACTGACAATGTCCCCTTCTACGGGACTCGTACATCCAGATCGGCCATTCGCCGAACGCGTTGGGCATGGTTCGTCGCAGGATGGTGGCCCGCATCCATTGACGGGGAGCAATATGAGTATCCGGGGTAATATGCGCAGCCCAACGCCGAGTGTACACGACTCGTTTGAGGTCCCGGAACGAGTTCTTTCGGCGTGTGCACCGGATATTCTGACCCTCTGGCGGGACGAGGTACTGAGAAATCTGCTCTGTGGGCCGCTTTCGACCGGAGGCCTTGGACTTAAATTACATGAAGACGCAGGATTGTGAGTTTCTCTTGTCATCTTGGCTCATGCTAATGAAGTCAGTTTCCTGGACGATATTGAACGCATTACTGCCCCCAACTATCTTCCAACCGATGGTTTGTAGCTCCTTACTCTCGATTTCCCATTTTACGCTTTGTAGATGATGTTCTTCGAGCCCGACTCAAGACGATGGGTGTTAGTGAACACCACTTTGTACTTGAAGAGGGTGCGCTCACCTCGTGCCATCGGAAATGATCCTCTTTTGACACTCTTTGAAGCAGGAGACCTCGATCTAGTTACCGAGCTCGTTGTGTACGACGTAGGCGGCGCTCGAACGCAACGGCACCAGTGGATGCAATTTTTTGACGACGGTGCGTACTTTTGACCAGAGCCTTCGTGTCTTACACGACTGTCTAGTCAACGTCATTGTGTTTCTGGCGCCCATTAGCCCATTCGACCAACGTCTGGCTGAGGACCCAACGGTGAACCGGCTCCAAGACACGTTTAGTCTCTGGAAAGGTATGCTAATCATTGCACTTGATCAATGACGAAGGCCTCTGACGGGGTATCAGACGTATGCCGGTCGCCTGCGTTGTCCCGAACGGATTTTTTGTTGTTCTTGAACAAGTGTGACTTGCTGGACGCCAAGTTGCGACAAGGATTGAAGCTGCACAAGTTTATCCCTCAATATAATGGCGGTAACAATCTGCAGGAAGCGGTCAAATGTGGGTATCGCGCGCAACGCACCAAACGCTTGCTGACAAACAGATAGTTTTCCGAGGTGTATTCTACCAGATCTGGCATAAGAGCACGCAGGGTCTGAAAGATTCGCACAAGGGCCATAGAGCCCTATACATTCATAGTACAAGTATGATCGACATCAAGACGTCTCGGGCGGTGATTGAAAATGTGCAAGAGTGTGCGGTGCGGTCGAATCTAAAGACAGCACTGGTCATCTAACCAATCTGGACAACTCCCAAGTGCAACGTCACTTTCCGTGGGGAAAGTGGACACGGACACTCACTCTTCTGATATGTTTTTATTTGATGGACCCCCACCTGGCGTGGCGTGGCGCGGTGCTAGCGTGTATTGTAGACGATTGCGCCCACCCAGTACTGTGGAATAAGACGACTAGTGGGCTCAAGGCAGTACAGAATTCTTCGGTGTTATCAGTCCTACCGGAACCGGCACTGGTATGTACACAGTCTAGCCAGCTAAGCGTCGGAGAGTATGAGAAGACAGATGCACTGCCCCCGGTTTCATCTATCATCAGGTCCCCGTTACAACATGTCAAGGTTGTGCTGTTGTCGAGCGGCTATCTCGAGGTTACCGTTAGCCGAGCCCGACCTTTTCGACGCCACCATGTGGATCCTCTGGGCCAGGCGTAACTCTAAACTCGATTCATAAAACCCCGCGAGAATTTGATTGTTGGCTTGTTAGCCCTTGCCGCTACCCCACATTCCTTAACATTAACGAGCCATCCGAGTGCAGAACTGGCTACCATCTGCATAGAACTGGATCCTCGCATTCTCAAAAAATGGTCTCTGGACCACCACTCGACATCCCAATGCCGCCTGTCACGGCGGCGCGTCTACTGTTCTTCGTGCACGCTGACCGGTTAATGTGCACGCTGTTATATAGTGCACTCGCATTACTCGTCTGGGACCATCTCCTGACGCTGAGACGAGAGGCGCGCTTCATCTGGCGCGCCAAGTGGACTGTCATCAAAACACTCTTCCTCTTCAACCGCTACATAACCCTCATCATCATCACTGGGAATGCAATCAGTATGGATTTTTAATCTCTTTTGTGGCCAGAGTGAGGGCTAACATATAAAATCAGTTGGCAGTGGCGTTGTCAAGAGTCTAACGAATACTGTAAGTTCTACGTTCGTTAGCAGATTCATGACTGACTCTTGGATAGTTGTAAGCATAACAGGCTTTACCATTTCGTCTGCTCATCAGCCCAGCTGTCAGCGATGGATCCTTATTGGTGCTACTCTCGAGCTCTTTTGCATTTCGTTTGTCTCTTTCGTTGTTTTATTCCGGTGCGTCGCTCTTCTTACAACCGTGCGTCATTGATTCCAAACGCTCCAAGGTTGCACGCCATGTGGGGGGGTTCGCGAGAAATGTTTGTCGGACTGCTCTTCATGTGGTTTCTATCCTTCCTTGGCTCAGCCACCATCTTTCTTCGCATCTTCTTCTACGCACGACGATGTACGTCCACCGTTGACCCGCATTGGCTTGGTTCTTGTGCTGACTTGTTTTTTCCCAACAGTCATCTTCCACGACTACAATTTCAACATCTGTTTCGCTGTCATACCGAATATCTGGCTTTTATGGCTCCCTGACGCACTCTTGCATCTCTTCCTCCTCATCCTCATCCTCTGGAAAGCCATCGCCACGCCACGGTCTTCACGAACGCCACTCCACGCCTTGCTATATAGAGATGGGATTGCCTATTACTCCTCTACTCTCTTGGTAATGTTATTAGGCATGGCTCTATGGAAGTGGGGAGATGTAGCTTGGGTTGGTGTCCCGCTCTATGTCGGTTGGGTAGTCATACAGATCGCCATGTCGAGGCTCCTGTTGAGCCTAAGGACGGTATCTGCTTTTGAGACCCAGCAGGAGTTGGAGATGGCGCGTGCCAGGGTGTGTCAGTATCAACACCACGGATTCGGTTCGCGAGCTTGTTCAAGACAGACTTGTCGTTCCTCATCTCGTCCCTTTTCGAAGCAGACTCGTTGGCACCACACCAAAGGCACAACCATGTCTGCGAGGGACACTCGTACCAAATCTCATATACATACGCGGACGTTATCATCTCCGGTACTGACAACAGTGTCGGTCGATAGCCACTGTAGCTATCAACTTGACACGTTTGCGGTACATGGTCGCGCAACAGGCGGGAACCACGGACAGGTGGAGAGCCCGTATGGATATAGAGGCCGTTCAGGGACGGATTGGAGAGCGTCAATTGTCGTGAGCTATGACGATGGAGCGACACTCGTACCGTTTCCTTCGCGTGATCTCGAGGAGATTGCGGGCTCTAATGGGACGACGCCGAGCACAACAAAGAGCTATAGTGGGCCTACAAACTTCCACCATACCATCTCTCGTGATGGGTCGGATAGAGGGAGGAAAACGCCCAATTCGGCCTCCAGCATGTTCGCCCCGGATGCGATGTCCACTCGCAAGGCAGAGATGGAACACGAAACACGCACACGCACGCGCTTGGGTGACTACGACGTCAATGCACGTCGTCCTTTGGAGAGATTATGTCGCCTATGGTGGTGGCTCTTCACGCCTTCTCATCCATCCTTTGATGACATTACCGAAGAGGCCGACCATGAGAGCGGTGACGAGGAAACACGTGCTGATAGGAGAGACGAGAGATGTTATTGGGGTCGTCGACGGATGCGACAGCGCGATGCACGAATCAGTGTCGACGCGAGCGACGTTGAATGGTGGGACCCAGCAGACGGCGATCCGGGACCTGGCGTCAAGGATAGTCGATTGGGTCGCTATGACCATTGGTTATGAGAATTACGGCTTCTTATCATACATTATGTGGCCCTTGGTATTCGAGGGCGACTTTGGAGCATATTTTGGCACGCACAAAAAAAGGTGTGCTGTCATGGACTTGTGTTAGCTGATTGCTTGTAACTTAGTGTATAGATTAGATTACTTATGGGAGCTGGATTATCCGGTGATAGGTGGGCCCTGTAAGGTGCTTGTTGTTCTTCGACCACAGCAATTCATATTGCAAAATGGCATTGATAGTGGCTCAATTCGTCGCAGAGGACATTCACTCAACCTATCAGTGGCATTTCTATGTCTCCGCAGCACTGCCGATGCCGCCACGCAAGTCGCGGCAGACCAAGAACTGCGGTTTGGACAAAGATTTGTAATCATGAACATAGCCTACTTTTCAGCCGGCGCCTAAATGAATAGACAATTCTTCTGCTAGGCATTATCGACACCGCTCTCTCCTCCGATGGATGTCGGAGGTTGTATGCGATATAACCCTCGGAGACTATAGCCAAACTATCAGCAATATACATCGCTCAAGTTTTCACTTTCAGTTCAACAAGTCGAAATGGCGCTCCGTTTGCTCGGCGAAAATCTCTCCGACAAATACGTTCATCGTAGCCTGCCAGAAAGCTTCGTAGACCTCACCGGTCGAGTTGTTATCGTCACTGGCTCGAATACCGGACTTGGACTCGAGGCAGTCAAGATGTTCTACAAGATGAACCCTGCAAGGCTCATCATGGCCGTACGAACAGTCAGCAAAGGAGAGTCTGCGAGACAACAGGTTCTGCAGCAGCAGACAAGAATGAAGAGTGGGACGAGTGTCGAGGTCTGGCAGCTCGACATGTCGAGTTTTGCGAGTGTCAAGCAGTTTGCACAGCGGTGCTACGATGAGCTCGAGAGGATCGACATCTTCCTCGCTAACGCTGGTACCCAGTCTGACGAGTGGGGGGTTACGACCGATGGATGGGAGAATACGTGCGTTTCGTGGCTTATGGCTTCAGCGGACTGACGCCTCGTAGATTGCAAATCAATGTCCTTTCTACCCATTTATTGACTCTCCTAGTGCATGACAAGCTAGTCCAGACTGCCCGTCTTCCGCCTCCAAAAGTCGGGGTCAACTTCAAGCCGCACCTGGTCATCGTCAGCAGTGGTGGTAAGAACCAGCATGATTTGCTACAAATACGCGTTCTTTCTAACCAGTGATCCTTATAGTTCACCTCGTCGCACCTTTCAAAGACAAGAACCAGGCAAACATCTTTGCGGCCCTCAATACCGAGTCTCGCTATGTTCAAGGCGACCGTTACTTTGACAGCAAGCTCCTGGAGATCCTCATTACACGACATATCTCCAAAATCCCAAAGTTCAGCCAAGAGGCGAGCGGTGTGGTAATGTGTACCGTTAACCCAGGCTTCTGCCGCTCCGAGTTGATGAGACGGAGTCCATCGGCTGCTATAGCGTATGTTTTTTCGTAGGTGTGATCGGACGAGGGTACTGACGTTTTATTAATAGGGTCGTTGGCACATTACTTATGCGCCCTGCACGAGAAGGCGCGAAAGCCATCGTGTGGGCTTGTCTCGATAACAACATCACCCAGGGTGCATATACTTCGAATTGTGCGATTGACGCGTACGTCCCTTGATTTCTTGATGGCTCGTTTGCTGGGTGCTGATGCTCTTTGTCAGAGTCTCGATACCGTAGCTCCAGAGAGACAGGAGGCCTGGAAGGTGTGATGCTTAGACTAATCCTGTGGGATCTTCTTTGGAATCTGTGTTCAGAGTTAGAGACTCGAAGAGTATATAACTATCTATTTGAATGCGACTTTTTGCTCCTCGGCGTGGTGGTTTGGCGTGTTTTAACCCTCATTCCTCCTGCAACCAGAAACAGAGTGCTTGCGGGGCCTCCATGGGATACTCTGGCCATAATAGAATCTCAAGAGTGAGTTGCCCATATCTTTCTTCCTCAAGATATCGGTGTACCAGCAGAGGTGAGTAGGTTCATCTGTAGCAAGTTCTAAAGTCACCTAGCATCATATCTCCCCGGAGGCGATTGAAGGTGTCAATTCGTATTCATTGCCTTGCGTGAGCAACGACAGTTCCCCTCTTAGCTGGTGTAAAGTCGAGACGTGAGTATTGCCGCCGATCCATTCACATATATTTCATAGTGATTCTTCGTTTTTTCACGCCAGTGACATGATACAGACGCAGAAGAGGCTGTGGAGGAGCTGGATGCGGTCCTCAGCGCAGTCGATCCTCGTGTAGGCGCTCTGCTCCACGGTGGGGCCAAATGATGGACAATAAAGAATGGTGCTTCCGCAATTTATTGGTGGTCTGCCCTGCTATACGGATATCCGACGAAAACCGGAAACAGAAGCGGTGACGCCTCCATTATCAGGCATTAACGGGCGACTCTGTTACTGTGTAAATTCAAAATATCGTTGAATCATCCGATCTTAGGTTTCTCGATGAACGCGGGTCATGGGTGGATCATTCATCGGTCGTCCGAGGCACGTCCTTATAAAGCCAGGCAGATTGCTTCCCTTGGCCATATTCTTCCAAAAAAGGCCCCCATCTGTCCATCACACAAACCTATAAACATTTATGGCATTTGCTGTCCTTAGCGAAAGTTTTGCGAACAAGTGGTTTCCTGGTCGCGGCCTCCCGGAGACGATTGTCGACCTCACAGGACGTACGGTCATCGTCACCGGATCCAACGTTGGACTAGGATTTGAGACTGCCAAAGCTTTCTACCAAATGAACCCTGCCAGGCTTATCCTCGCAGTTCGTAGTGTCGATAAGGGCGAAGCAGCAAAGAAGAAGATTGTCGAGGAGGGCGGCGTCACTGTTTTGGAAGGAAGTAGGCCCCGAGTGGACGTTTGGCACCTCGACATGGCAGATTTTGCCAATGTCAAGAAGTTTGCGCAAAGGTGCCATGACGAGCTGGATAGAATCGACATCTTCCTCGCCAACGCCGGCGTTCAAAACAGGGAATGGATTGTTACAAAGGACAGTTGGGAGGTTGCGTAAGTACTGATCAATTGGAACTCCACCGTTGGCTAACAATGCACAGGTTGCAGACGAATGTCATATCGACGTATCTGCTAACCCTTTTGGTCACCGATAAACTTGTTCAGACCGCCAAGTTGCCCGCCCCCAAAGCGGGGGTTATATTTAAACCTCATTTGGTTATTGTAGCAAGCGACGGTGCGCCTCGTTCAACTATGACATATGGAATCTCATCGATAGTCTAGTGCACTACATGGCCTCTCTCAATGACCGGAAGGAGGCAAATATCTTTCAAGCTCTGAACAGGGAAGACCGCTTCGACGGTGCCGCGCGCTATCAGGATAGCAAACTCATAGAGGTCCTCCTCACTCGCTTCCTCGCCAAGCAATCCAAGTTTTCTCTCGAATCCACTGGCGTTGTTATGTGCACCGTCAACCCGGGACTCTGTTACTCAGAACTGGGACGCTTCATGAAGGGCCCTATGGCGATCGCAAAGGCGTAAGTCACAAATTTATTCCTAGTTCGAGTGCTCATAATTCTCTGTTCAGGATTTTCTTTGCTCTGTTTGCTCGTATCACGGAGGAAGGTGCAAAGAACTTTACATGGGCGTGCCTCAACAATGATATCCCCCAAGGTGCTTATACATCTTCGTGCCGGGTTACCACGTACGCTGCATGTGTTCACGAGTCTTGTTAATCCTAACTAAACCCGACAGACCCTCGAATTTCGTCCTGTCACAGGAGGGAGACCAGGTATCTGAAAAGTTGTGGGATGAGCTTGTCACTATTCTCAATGAGATTGCACCGGAGAAGCAATCAGCTTGGACCCTCTAGGAGCCTGAATAAGCAGCACGAGAGTTTCCATCTAGATAACATGACCCTCTATCACATTGTGTATCTTATTGACGGGGAAAAGGGTAGAGCGAGACCATAATTAAGCACTTTACGCTTCTATCGGAGGCATATCGCAGTCGGGAAGAAGTGTCGGAGCGTGCTGCACATGTATACGTCTCGGAAGGATTTCAATTTGGTCCAGTCGGCGTCCTCTTGGAAATTCACTTTATCTATATCTAGCCGCGAATGCGAACAAGATCTGTAGGTACTGCATTGATATGCAGAGCATCCCTGAGGTTTGCGACCGACCGCACAGCTCCTCATGTATTCCCGGTTGAAAGGGTTAAAACCTCCGTTCCGTGACTATTATCGGCGAAATATTATTGCATTCAATCAAGTAATTTCTATGACTTGTCGAGCCTGTCACACCGCCGTCGACAGGTCTCCGCAGCAGCGAGTTGTGGACGCGCCAGCCTCCGGCAGAAGACGTGCTGCGCGTGGCTAAGAATTTGCATCCTCTAAACTAGCCTGCTTATCATCAAGTGTATACAGAGGTAAGCGCTCCTTGGCTGATGTACCTAATCCGTATTACACCCGCACCGCTTGGAAAGTCCTGCCATGTCTCGTGGGAGAGTCGTACGCCATACAAGTCCTACTAGTGGTATATTCATGAAACTCGGTGATGCAAAGAGGCAAGACATTCCTTTGTGACCATCCGGCATTGCCGAATGCTCCGCCATACAACCAGATATCAATTTTCCGCGATGTAATACTGCCTTCTCTGCCGAAGAACACGCGTCATGACCGGTACATTCATCGGTCGTCCGAGACGAACCATATAAAACGGACAAGAACCTGAGCACTTTTCACTCATCATTCCATCCTCAGCACCCATAGAAGCCATGGCACTATCTATAGTTGGTGAAACCTTTGCCAACAAGTGGTTCCCTGGCCGCAAGCTCCCCGAGACATTTGTCGACCTTACCGGACGTACAGTCGTTGTCACTGGATCCAACGCAGGGCTTGGGTTCGAATCTGTCAAGGCCTTCTACCGAATGGGTCCAGCCAGACTCATCCTTGCAGTTCGAAGCCTCGATAAAGGAGAGGAAGCGAAAAAGAAGATCGAAGCTAATACCAATACCACGGGCGGAAGTAGGCCACAGGTTGATGTCTGGCACCTTGATATGGCAGACTTTGCCAATGTCAAGAGGTTTGCGCAGAGGTGCTACGACGAATTGGACAGAATCGACATCTTCCTCGCCAGTGCCGGAGTACAGAATAGAGAGTGGATTGTCACAAAGGATGGCTGGGAGGTCGCGTGTGTCTCCGTGGTCCCAATTGTATTTATCTGTTTGCTGATGGTGTACAGATTGCAGACGAACGTTATTTCGACATACCTTTTGACACTCCTCGTCACCGACAAACTCGCTCAAACTGCCAAACTGCCAGCTCCTAAACCTGGAGTCGTATTGAAGCCCCATCTAGTCGTCGTAGCAAGTGACGGTGAGGAAGCTCATGCGTAACAGTCGGAATCTTATCAATGGCCCAGTGCACTTCATGGCGTCGCTGAATGACCAAAAAGAGCCCAACATCTTTCAAGGTCTCAACGAGGAGCGTCGTTTCAACGGAGAAGCGCTATTTTGACACCAAGCTTATGGAGGTTCTCATCACTCGTTTCCTTACCAAGCATCCCAAGTTCTCCTTTGAATCTACAGGCGTCGTTATGTGCACAGTCAATCCAGGATTCTGTCGCTCAGAGCTTGGTCGGTTTGCGAAAGGACCCATGGTCGTTGCACAAGCGTAAGCCCCTTTTCCAAAGTCCCATGCCGTTCTCAAAGGGGATGGCGTAGGGTTGCTTTTGCAGTACTCGCTCGCTCCACAGAGCAAGGAGCCAGGACGTTCACTTGGGCATGTCTGAATAACGATATTCCTCAAGGTTCTTATACATCTTCGTGCAAGGTCGCCAGGTACGTACTTTGTTTAGCTCCCTTCGATGAGGTATTGATCCAGTTCGACAGGCCATCCAGCTTCGTACTGTCACCTAGAGGAGATCGAGTCTCTGAGAAGCTGTGGAATGAGCTGGTTATTATCCTCAATCAGATTGCCCCTGAGAAGCAGTCGGCGTGGACGCTCTAGGACCAAAGTATGTTTGCATCATGCATATTTCACGATGTTTATTTTACACTCTGTGACGTTGGACTCGGTATCATGTGGGTGTTGAAAGTTCTGCGATTGTCGTTGCTTGTTCCCGACGACATTGAAGAACCCTGGTCCGAACATCCGAACTGGATCAGTAGTACGAATAAGCACATATATCCTTAATCTTAACCTCTCTTGGGACCGACTGCCTTGGAGAAGGTGAGGCGATCAAACCTGCTGGCTTTTTTCATACAAAAGTACCGACCTATATGTCTAGTTCATAACCTACTTGTGATACTATGCCCATCCGTGCGATGACTCTTGCCATGACCAGAGTGCGAGCTTCCACGTCGAGATCTATACCTTTCATACGGTACGTCCATATCTCAGATTCACGTCTCAATGACCTGAAATCGCTCATCAGAACTCTTCCTCGACGTCTTGTAACCTCGCACATCACCGGCATGTCCAGTAACAGGCCATCCAGGGGAATAGATGCCAGTCCCAACGTCATCGGTCGTATTCATTTTGCCACTGAAGCAAATCATTTCGACCATGGCACATACCACCAACGCGAAGCCGAGTATCATCAATTCATGGATGAAATGGCGCAGTTGTGGACGCCTGTCATGGATTTGGCGGAGGAGAGTCCACTGGAAGCAATCTCACTTTGTCGTGATCGACTCAGGAATCCTCTCTTGTCGCTCGGTCGACCTTCCATCACTACCATGGAACAAGCCATCGCCATAGCTCAACACCACCTCGGAAGACTTCTATTCGACACTCATGTCGCAGAAGACGCTCCACATCCTGACCGTTCACAAAATACGGAAGCGATTGACCTGCTTCGAAAGGCAAAAGATGGATACACCGCGCACCTACCAAGCTTCGAGCTGGACATTGCGCAAATCCAAGATACTCTGATCTCGTGTCTCCAGCATGAGGGGCGGCTTGTCGAGGCGGTGGAGGAAACGAGGAATCTCGTTGATCTCCGGAAGCGCATCTGGGCTAGAGCCAAAGAGGATGTGGAATTGACACCCGGTGACCGTAGTAGTCTCCTTCGGGAACTTGTTCGTTCTGCTGGGTCGGCACTCGCAATTTGCGGCTGATGTGAACCAGAGTGTTCTCCTTTGGAGGCGGTTCAGGAGGCACTTGTACTCTTGGAAGAACATAGCAAGCTCTTCGGCACAGACGCACCATTAAATGTGCTACATATCAACCTCCTTATCGATTCAAGTGCCCGTCTCGCAGACTGTTGCCACTTAGAGGAGTCGCTGGCAGAAGCATACAAAGCTCTGATCCTCTCGAGAAGAGTTGCAGAAAAACTCCACCCAACCAGGCGAGAAGGCTGAAGTGCTCTATGGCCGCGCCCTTGGAAACATGTCTGCTCGCATGGTTGACTCGAGCGTCGAGAACTTCCGTGATCTCGAGCTCAGATATATCTGTGAAGAAGCTGCAAAGCTTCATCATCGCCTCGCGCGTCTTCCCTTCGACCGTACTGAAGGTATACCGCTCGACTATGTTCCCCAGCGTGGTGGATACGCTCTGAGTAGCCTCAGCATACTAGCAGCAACTACAAGCGGGTACGGAGCAACAACAAGCACTGCTGGAGAGGTCATTGGAGGTGATGCTTCTTGTCTCCTCACCGGAGATAGCAGACACATTGCGTAAATTTTCGCATGTACCGCTCTCCGTAGCTTACAAGTACTACGTCGAAACGCTGGACTGGCCAATTATGGGGTTCGCCGACGCGAACGATGCACTGAGGATCATAACCGGTTTGGTTCACATTCGACTCGAGCACGCCAAGGAGACTGGTAGCCTCGACGGAGACGTCTCAGGTATTCTCCAGGCAGAACTTCGCCGGGGGGTCCAATTGGCGACAATCTTGCAGCAGACTGCAGTAAACGAAGGTACCAAGAAGGAAGCAAGCGTCAATATGAGCAAGGTACTCTCTCAGCGGGGAGTATTCGAAAGGTTCTCTTCAGTAGAGACGGCCAGAGTTACGTGGATGGAGGCAAAAGCTCTCCTCGAGATGTCGGCCAATATGCAACCTACTACTTTCGACGCAGTGGAGAAGAATAGAGTAACCATATTGGAGGAGATTACTGAATATCTTGCCATGGACGATTAAGGCTGGCCACATGTAGTCGTTTCAGAGTAAGTGAGGTCCAGTCCCTGGCATACTGGGACACTATAGGAGATTTACTGTCTATATTCATCCTCATAACTGAGATATCATGTTTTCGTTGCCTCTACTGGGAGATTCGGCGGGTCAAGGCGGGAGGTTGATGCCTAGCGGCCTCAGAAACGAGATTGAATCATTCTGCAACGCTGATTCACCAATTGAATCGATGTATATACACTATAGTACACTTTATGTGGCACAGTCTCGTCACCTTGATGTATACCTTTTGAAAAGTTCTGTGCTCTAGCAATTACAAATCGATCACTTGAAGAACGGTTCCACCCACTACGACTCGGTTATTGACACAAGAGATACTGTATGGCTGCGTGCGTACTACGATGTAAGATAGCATACAATATGTTACAATTTTAGCTCTCTTTGACAGCTTGATTCGTACACGTTTCCTAGTGCAGTTGAAAACTCTCCTCAACTTAGTGTCGGCCAGAATGGGTGATTAGCCATCACAGATGGTCATTTATCGAATCTAAGAGGAGAAATTCCGCTATTTGAGTGTTGCATCTGCGCCAAAACGGTGCCGACTCGTATAAATCATTTGACAAACTCACATTGCGCTTATACCCGTAGCGAGATCAAGTTCTATAATCATATCACTATGGCATATAAATCTTTTGCTAAATAAACGCCGAGAGGGCGGCTTTGGTGTCATCGCCTCAGAATGTCCACGCATTCTTTTCTGGGGGGCGACTCCATTTAGAATTGCGACGAGCTCTTTCCAGAGTTTCTTTCCAGCTTCCACTCCTTCATCTGATCGAACAAATGCAGAGGGCCTGTTGTCCATGATTAGAAAAGTCCAGTCGGGTGTGCATTTGAAGTACGTACTGCGTAACTTTGCATGAGGAAACGTATGAGCCCGACGTAATCTTTGCGTCCAAGGATGCCCATATCAGATTCTTTGCACCTTCGCGAGTCGGGCGTGCCATGACGCTGTACATTATCCTAGATCCCAACTTATCAGCATTTTATGATTGTATGTAGCAGAGCGCACCATTTAAAGACCGGCGACCAGTCACGGTGAAAGTCGGAGCGAGTAAAACCTGGGTTGACGGTACAGAGCACGGGTCCCTTCCCATTAGAGGACGCATAGACCGGGTGGTGTTGCGCCAAGTGACGGGTGAGGAGGATCTCAAACAGTTTAGTGTCCGTGTATCGCGTCGACGAATTGAAGCGCTTTTGGTCGTTGAGTGCGACGAGGATGTTGGGTTGCGTGCGATCACTGAATGGCGCAAAGAAGTGTACTAGTGGTTCAGTTTGTTCAGGGGAGGGTACAAGGGGTGAGGGAACGACGTACCGTCACTTGCAACGATGACTAGATGCGGCACGAACTCGATACCAGGTTTAGGTGCAGTGAGCTTGGATGTTTGGACCATCTTGTCTGTAACGAGTAATGAGAGGAGTATCGTCGAGAGGACGTTGACTTGGATCCTGCGAGGCATAAGATTGCGCGTAGGAATTCAGACGGACGTACCCTTGTTCCCACCCGTCTTTTGTGACAGCCCACGACTCGCTCGCGACACCTGCGTTTGCGAGGAATACGTCGAGACGCTCCAGTTCTTTCTCACATCGCTCGGCAAACTGGACGACGCTCGAGAAGTCTGCCATGTCCAGTTTCCAAACTTCGACACTTGGTGCATTCTCGCTGCTGGCGGTACCAGCATGAAGAGAGAGGATGGACTGTTTGGCAGCCTCGCCCTTTTCGAGGCTACGCACGGCGAGAATAAGACGCGCGGGATTCATCTCGTAAAACATTTTTGCACTGTCTAGTCCTAGTCCAGTGTTGGAACCAGTGACGACGACGGTGCGACCGGTCAAGTCTACGTGGGCCTGTGGCATCGTGCGCCACTTGTTGAGAATGGATTCGATGAGAACGGCGAGCATTGTGATAGTTGGAGGCTTTGTTTCGTCTTTGCTTGAAGGTCAGAGTGAGCTTTATAGCGAGCCGACCATAACCCCCGATTGCGGCCGCCTTCGTCGCCGCTTGCTTTGTGCTTAGTCGTATACAACCCGGATTGAATTGGGATTAGTAACGCGATATCTATTAGCCCCTAAGTTGTATGGTTGATGTAATGAGAACGAGTCGGAGATGGTAGGAGTTTGAAATAAGGTTGGTCGAAGTCGTGTTGTAGATCCAACTTGTGAGGTGGAAGACATCTATGCGATTGTCGTATTCTTTGGAGGTCGCAGTATTCGTTTGAATACGTTGAGTTCTGAATACGGTAAGATGAAACTCGCATTATGGCAGCGGCAGTCGCCCAGGGGTGAACTTGCGGGAAACGGGGTAACCAGGCCGTTGCTCCGATCAGCTCAGCGTGAGAGGCCTAAAGACAGCATAGCCATCTTATTTTACACGCCCTAATGTCGAAATTGGGACGAGTATTATTAGCAGCAAGGCATGCGGGATACGAGCGGCAAAGGAGAGGAGCGGGAGGACTGCGCAATCAATAAGGAACTGAGTATGATTTGCAGAATTGGTTTATTATACGGTGGGTAGCCAGCAGCCGGGTTGAGTTTTTCCAAAGCTTGGTCCTCACCACTTCTGCTCCCTCGTCGATCCCCAATCGTCTCCAGTGTCTCCAGAGTATATTCTTCGCTGACCATGCTCGCTACAACGTCGTCCTATACCGCCGCGGCCATTGTGCTCGCAAACCTCGCTGCCGTCGTCCACGCTCAGTCGTCGGGAGCGTCAGCATTTACGCCGCTCGCATCCCAAAGCTTTACGTATACTGCTCTCCCATACCAGGCAGATACTGGAACAGGTGAACGTGGACCCCAGTCTGGCTACAACATTTGCAACTCGACGGTGTGTGATGCTTGCTGGGCCTAGAATGTCCAATGCTGACGCTGCTGGTCGTCGTCGAATAGACCGAGAACCAACAGTCCAAGTGCCAGACGGCCATTATCAACAGCATTGACGGTGAGTCGGCCATGCCTCGTCCCCCTGCGCGCTCGGTGGTCGTCCAATCACCACCGCCACTTTTGCCTGTCCTTTGTTCACCACTTCTCATCTGCCCGCACAGATTTCTGCCTCTGGGCCCCCAGGATCCAAACAGTGTGATCGGAAACGTCGAAGGGTACGTTGCTCTGGTATCCCCGAAGAAGAGGCCCACACGCTCACGCTCCTATTCGCCAGCGAGTGCGTTGCCTGGTGTACAAAGCCCGGTCATGGTATGTGCATTTAACCGTAAATGTAGACGGCATTATTGATGATTGCATAGGAACGCGCTTAATTCCTGCTGGCGCTCTCACCGCTGTCCAATTTATGAAGACGCCCGACTATGTTCAAGGTGAGCTCGACCCCCCCCCAGCGACCAAAATTATAGACTCACGAAATGAAGTCACCGGTCTCATCAACCAGGCACTCATCAACATTGCCCCCAACGACGATGGTGGCGAGTTGGACCCGCACGGTGCAGATCAGCGCGGAAACCCACTCGGCGGGCTCGTCTTTTCCAACGCATTCCCTGCATCCAACGGTAACGCGAACAACTATGTCCAGGCGATTGAATGGCACAATTTCATGGGTGGAAGCGCCTTTTGTCTCAAAGCCTGCGATCCCTCGCGTCCCAATGCTGCTCGGTACGTTCTCTAGGATCTTCTAGAGCTGTTTCTGACGAAAAAAAAAAATCAGTCTGTGTGAACACGTGTTCGATCGAATTGGATGCCAGTACAACGCACCTGCTGCCTATGCTCCAAATGTCTTTGAGTCTTGCCTCGGTGATAGCCAAGATTTCCCCGGTGTATATACGGGTGCCAATGGTGTCGTGAGCACGTACAGCCAGCCTCCCGAGTCGTTGGGAGCCATCACTGCCATCCCGTATACCCCCCGTATCCCGGCAAGCTCGTCGTGCACGCCCTACACGAGCTCTGCAATCTATACTGCCAATGTGAGTGGACTATTGAGAGAGAAGAAGAAAGAGATTGACGAGATTGTAGCCTAGCGCGTCCATTTCGACGTCGACTAGCTCGAGTAGCAGCACCTCGCGTACGGGCACGACGTCTCGCTCGACGTCGACACGTACCGTCACGCCGTCGAGCACATCTACGCCCGGTGCTGGGTTTGTGAGTGCAAAGGCATCGCCCGTTCTTGCCTTGTTCGCCGCGCTGGCCGGGTTCGCCATGTTCTAAAAGGACCACTATTGGTTCAGAGACGAGTTGGACATTTTGATTGGCGAGTTGGACATTTGGTGGTTAGCCAGTTGGACACTTTGTGGTTAGCCGTTGTGTTATGTGACTAGTTTTCCGCTTGTTTGACAGACGGAGAGTAAGAGAGGGGGGACGTGTTGAAACAAAACGAGTTGAAACTTCTTATTTATCTACTCTCCGCGTCGTTTCCAACTTGGCAGGCTTGGAAGGGCCGACTGAGAATCGAGTAGAAACGGCGGCCGTGCGGGTGGGATTGCCGAGAGTCGGTCCTTGGCATAGGTCACAGTCAATGCGGTTTCAATGAGGCCGGCAAAAGTCAAGAGGGGGGTGGAGGAGCAGGTCGAAGAGGGGGGAGAAGAGACGAAGGCAGACGAAGGATGATGGGAACAGACGAAATAACGACGCGGATATAGCGGTTCCGGGGTGGGAGTAGCCAAGCTCGCCGAGCCTGTGCGGCCTGCACTGACTTGTACTTGGCCAATTGCCCCGTCACATTGCTTATAAGGAGGTTTTTTTCCCCCGAAGTCAAAGGTTGCTCTCTACCTTTTCTTTCCCTTTTGTCGTCGGCGACAGTCCAATAGGCCGTTTTTCCCCCGCCTTGTTCTCTCTCTCTCTCTCAACCAATATGCTCACGCTCCTCGCGACCGCCCTCGTCTCCTCGACCGTCGTCCTTGCCCAAGGCGGCGCGTTTACCCCGCTCGCATCTCAGAGCTTTACGTACACTGCACTCCCTTACCAGGCCGACCCAAACACGGGTGAGCGTGGCCACCAGTACGGCTACAACATTTGCAACTCGACGGTGGGCATATTACCTACATATTTTTAAAAGTATAGCTCATTCTCTATTAGACTCAGGGCCAAGAATCACTCTGCCAGACGGCCATTATCAACAGCATTGACGACTTTTGCCTTTGGGGTCCCCCCGAGCCCAACAGCTTGATCGGTGACACTGAAGGTGAAGCCGTTGCTTGGTGCACAAAAGGAGGTCACGGAACTCGTGTCATTCCCGAGGGTGCCCTCACCGGTGTCCAGTTTATGCGCACACCAGATTACATCCAAGGTCCGCACCCAACCCTAAATCCTAGGCGTGTACTAACAACAAAAATATAGTCACTGGTCATATTAGACAAGAGCGTATCAACATTGCTGCCGACGACTCTGGAGGAGAGATGGATCCCCACGGTGCCGACCAACGTGGCAACCCCCTCGGTGGCTTGCTCTTCTCCAACGCCTGGGGTGGAGGATACGTCCAAGCTATCGAATGGCACAATTTCATGGGTGGTGGCGTCTTCTGTCTCAAGGCCTGCGACCCCAGGGGCCCCAACGCTGCTCGGTACGTCTCCTCCTACCATCTACATCCTTTTCTAACCCTTAAAAAGCTTCTGCGAACATATCTTTGATAGAATTGGATGCGCATACAACGCCCCAGCTGCGTACGAGGACGGTGTGTTCGAATCCTGCCTCGGCGAGAACCAAGACTTCCCGGGTTTGTCTCTCCATGCTTTGTAAAAAAAATAGGATGATACTGACGAACAAATCAGGTATCTATACCTCGAATGGCGTCGTCATGACATACACTCAACCCCCCGAGTCGCTTGGTCCCATTAGCGTCCGCCCATATGAGCCACGCATTCCGGCAAGCTCTTCGTGCACACCCTACACGAGCTCTGCACTCTACACAGACGCACCACCAGCCACTGGTGCCGCCGCCTCGTCTTCGTCCACGACGAGCCGTGCCTCGACCTCGACTCCACGCAGCACCGCGACGCGTTCGACGACGGGTACTAGCGCAAGTGCTACGTCGACTCCAGGTGCTGGATTCGTTGGTGCATCTGTCAGCCTTTCTGCTCTCCTCGCTGGCTTCTTTGCCTTTGCCGTCGCGCTCTGAGATGCCCCGCCCCTTCTTTGTTTGGTGATGATGGACTTGGTTTAGTTGACTGAATACCTACTTATTCCACTCGTTTGCTCCCTCCCAAAAATATACACGTTTATTCTATGTTGGTGTCTGTAAATCAAAGGACTTGACCCTGAGCATCTCGACGGACATATGCGCCCAATGAAATATGTAGAGGCAACCATGGATAATATGAACTTGGCCTTTGATGCAGTGAACCCGACGACGGGTGCGATGACCAAAGGCGCACTAGAAATCTCTTTTGCGATCGCAAATACTGTATAAACTTGGCACAGAGTGACCGCCGAGGCGCTGTCGGCTGAAATATTCGAGTGTGAAAACGGGCGAGGCGATGGGCGTGCAGTGCGGTGCTGCGTTCCCATCAACCCATCGCCGTCTGCGTTCTCATGGGCTGTCCATTCTCACAATATTCGCTCCAACCAGCGTCCTATATAACCAGCGCATTCCCCCTCTGCTCTGCACTTTCTCCCCCACCGAGCACTTTTAGCGCCAGTTCTCGCAAGCCTTTTCTTCTTTCTTTTTCTTCTTTTTTCTTCTTTTTTTCTTCTTTCTTCTTTCTTCTTCTTTCTTCGTCCTCGACTTGCTAGCCAAGTTTTCTGTTCATTTCTTTTTTCCATAACATCTACACACACAAGTCGATAAACAACAATCATGACCGTCGCACCATCTCGCCGTTTCTGCTGCTGCATCCCCGTCCGCCTGGGTGTCTTTGTCCTCAGCTTTGTGTCGCTCATTGCCTCTGGCCTCGTCGCCGGTGTCGTTTGGGTCGCACTCGCAAAGGGTCCTGCCAACCACGTCCACTTTGCTGAAAACCTCAAGATTGGTCTCATCATCGCTGGTGTACTCTACACCCTCTTTGCGCTCATCTCGCTTGCCGGGTATGTACTTCCTCACAACTCTCTACCCAAGACAACTCACATTTCATTAGACTCGTCGGTGCTCTCATCCGCTCCCGTGCGCTCGTCAAGACGTTTGCCATCTTCCTCTGGTTCCAGCTGTTTGCGAGCATGGCCTATTCAATCGCCTTTGCCATTGCCCTCTTCGACAAGCCGCTCCAGAACCACCTCGTCAACGAGTGCATCAAGCAGACCAATGCGACTACGCACGCCCTCCTCGATGAGCACGACCACAAGACTGAGACGAATGAGGACGAAGTTCGAGACGGATGCAAGAGCATCTTCAACGCCTCGAAGCCGCTCTTCTTCGTCAGCTTTACGCTCTTCTTCATCGTCACACTCTGTACGTTTCTTTCCCTTTACCCACTCTCCATCCCCCCCTTTTTCCTCCGCCCGGTGTTCGTACACCGTTTTAATCCCCTCGTATCGTTCTAGGCACCGTGCTCGAACTGACGCTTCTCAACTCTTTGTTCGCTGAACCTGAACCATCTGACGATCGTCAATCGCTCCACTCGACCGATTCAATCCACCCAACCGACCGTCGTAATCTATACCGACACCACTCAACATCGCAACACTAGACTGTTGCATCATCGTCCGCCGCTACGGCCGCCAATTGACCGAGGAGCAAATCTACCTCGCCACCGCAAACGCCGACTCGACGACCCAAGCTGCTTTCCAGCCATCTTATTACCCACACACACCCCTCAGCCGCGTCGAGCCCGGATACGGCGCCGCGGGTGCTTCGTCCAATCCTTACCCATTCGCTCAGCGTGAGCATGGATTCGGTTCGAACCGCAACCGCGATACCGAGGCTAACAAGTAAGCCTCCTGGTGTGCTGAGAGAGGCGGGGAGTTTAAGGGAGGGTGAAAGAGGGGTGGAGAGCAAGGGAACGCAGTGCGCTGAACCTTTAAAATTGTTGTAGGAGCAGGATTGTGCGCGGGTTGTTCGGATCGTATGGTGCTGGGAGGAGGACCTAGAGAGCGATTGGAGATGACGGGGAAAGATCGCTCACCGGTTTGGGCTCCCTCTTTTTCCGAACTCTACCATCGTTTCTCTTCTTCCCATTTTCCGCGTCCGCAATGATCAATCAAGCCACGACTGTTACCTTTTTGTGTAGGAGAGAGAGGAGAAGTGAACTCGACGTCGTCTTTGTCGAGGAGAGAGGAGGTTTTTGGAAAGAAATTACTGGCGCTTTTTTTATATTTCTTCACACTTTATACATCCTTTTCTTTTTTGCAACCTTTGTGTGGATTTAAGTGACCGTTGGCTAGAAGCGTCGTCGTATCAATGCCGTGGGTGGTGATCAGAATGATAAGTATCGACTTTGAATATGTCCCCGGTCACTTCTACGTACATACTAGGCTTTCGAAAGATGAGCGACGCAGCCTGAGAGGTCGGAATTGTGCGTGCCATGACCTGAGCTGAAAATACGTACTTTTGGCTGGTTGAGCATGATTATGTATGTGAAATACAGTGTTCAACGTAGTTAACTAGGCGGTGGGCCACCTCACTTGGATGGCCACCACCACATCTCGCTCATTATGGATTTCGTTGCTAAGATTACCACCTCTCCACCCTTCAACCATTTAATAAACATCATTTATGGATAATCTATGCCCTCCTTCGCGAAACGCGGTCGTAAGCACGGTTGGGAGAGCTTCAGACTACTCAAACTCGAAGGGCTTATCTCGCCAGGATAACCCCATATTATAATGCCAAGATCAGTCCGTTTGCCTGTATGGCAGTGCAGATGGTGATGTGGGCTGCCCATTCGCCAGTACTGGGCATTTAATGTTTCGGGACGCTCCTTGCGCTACAGCGGCGGACCGCGTATCTAACAGAACACACATTGACCTTCGAGAACTTAAATTAATCCCTAGTTTACTTTGTTTCTGCCGAGGTTCGGTCTCTTGCGATGAAAACGCAGAGACATAGGGGCCTGACGGTCTAGCCATCATCTATCACAGCCCAATGCCCTTATGGAATGGTTCAAGCATGCAAATTCTCCTGAAGCTGACACGAGGGAGTGACACTGGATGATAGGGGTTGCCATTGGAGAGCTCATCGGATAGCCAGTCCTGAGATTGTTAGAGAACGTGTATATCATCAAATCTTTCCTATATCATGGTGATAATTGGATGGCGGGAGTCGATCCGCACATTGGTCTCTACGACGCTGACAATGAAAACCCAATTCCACGCTAATGGCATCATGAGCTCATGTACTACAAAATCACTCATCTTACACCCTTTTTGTTCTATTAAGCTGGTGGAAGAGACGGACAGGCTATTCCTAGGAGACGCGCATAGACAAAGGTTCCGAAAACCTCATAAAACGTCAAGCTGCATGCACAAGAGATGCAATTAATGCGCATACGGCTAGTGGTTACGCATCCCACGCCTCGCGTTCGTTTTCCGGTCTCGCGCCGACAAAATATTGTGACGGATGTGCCTAATTCTGACATTGAGCGTGGTCAGTTACCGCTCTGCATTTGGACCTATGTCCGCCCATCGGGACTCGCTACGGTATGTGCGATATGTGCGATATATCACGCATCTACGCCTTGAATCCTGTGCGTCCGCTCCTCACCAAAAGGTGACTAAACCCTGCCTAACTCGTTTTTTGCTCATCCCAAGAGGTTGGCGAGTCGATGTTTAGGCTGTACGATAGCAAACGTTCAAAGTCTCAGGACTACAAAGGTGGCGACTATATCCCTCTCAACCCGCGAAAACGCCAACCCGTCCCGACTCCAAATAGTTCCATAGCCAACCAGGTAAACTTTAGATAGATAGTAGCGGCTCTTAATGGCTAACAGGCCCTAGTTTGCTCTCTCTCCAGATCCGAACCAATGGGGCTACAATGTCTCCCCGAACGACGCAGAAGCCGACGATTGGATCCACGTACCTGATAAGAAAATCGATGATACGGGGTCGATACTTAATCCTCGTGGTATCTCGGCGCTTGGATGCATCGGCATTATCTTCATGAGCATACTGACTTTATTGTACGTTCTCCCTTATTTTACATCCAAGCTAGTGTTATAGTGTATCCAATTACTGAAGGATCGCAACAGCTTCATATGGCCCTTAGAGACGGGAATCCGCAAGATGCTCACGGCGACCACCCAAAGTGGATTCAACGTGGGTGGGATCAACAGCACGGAGCAAGTCTATGAAACAGCTTTTGCACTCGTCGACAAAGATACACCCCAGGACGTCCGCCGCAAAACATCACCTGTGGACAACCGGGAAATGGTACTGGTGTTCAGCGACGAGTTCGAATTGGAGGGACGTACATTTTGGCCTGGCGATGATCCGTACTGGGAAGCGGTGGATATGCACTATTGGGTACGTTTCATGGGCTCAATTGTGGCCACTGCTAACCTGGTGTAGGGCACGGATGACCTCGAGTGGTATGTATGAAACATGAAGATGGTATCTAACTCAGAATAAATGTAGGTACGATCCACAACAGGCGTATACAAAGGACGGTCAGCTCTGGATCGAGTTCCAAGAGGCCAAGCGGGAGGATAACCATAACCTCACCTATGTCAGCGCAATGATCACGACGTGGAACAAGTTTTGCTTCACGGGTGGTCTGATTGAGAGTACGTTTCATGCTAAATCCTTACACTTAAACTCACAACCCCAGCGAGCGTCCAATTACCAGGCTCGTCCAAAGTCAAAGGGTTCTGGGTATGTCCACTGAAACTGCATTGCACATAAATTCTGACGTCTCGAACATAGCCAGCTGTGGACAATGGGCAATCTTGGCAGAGCCGGTTTCGGCGCCACGACAGAAGGGCTGTGGCCCTACAGCTACGAATCTTGTGATATTGGAACTGTGAAGAACCAAACAGAGTCGTCGCTCTCCCAGCCCTTTCCGCCACATTGTCATACCAGCCGGGTCAACGTCTCTCCGCATGCACTTGCCCAGGCGAGCCGCATCCAGGACCAGTCTACGCCGATGGAACATATGCTGGACGGGGAGCACCCGAGATTGATGTCCTCGAAGCGCTCATCGATCCCAACTTGCTCGCTGGCGCAGTATCCCAGTCTGCACAATTTGCACCCTATAGTGCAGAGTACAAGTGGGATAATCTCACCTATGGCCATTATTATGGTACTCTCGGTGACGACCAGTACGTGAATACATATCCCGGTGGAGTATGGCAGCAGACTGCGAGCACTGTCAGCAAGACGAATCAAGGATGTTATGAACTGGAGGAGAAATGTTTCGCGACATATGGCTTTCAGTATGTTCCAGGCTATCAGGAAAATGGCGCATATATTACATGGATCAATGACGGCAAGTTGGCGTGGCGCATGGACGCTCAAGGGTTTGGAGAGGATGCAACGACGCAAATTGGGAAGAGGGCAGTGTCGAAAGAGCCCATGGTGCGCCCCTTTCGATCTTTTGACCATCTGGATTCAGAGACAATTGCTAACGGCTCCGTGTAGTATGTTATCATCAATCTCGGCCTCAGCGATGGGTTCTCTCATGGTATACCATTCGATGAATTACAGTTTCCAGCGTACATGAAGGTAGATTGGATCCGCGTATATCAGTATGAGGATGCGATGAACGTGTCTTGCGATCCCCCCAACTTTCCGACGAGCAATTACATCAACGCGTATGTACCTCTTCTTTATCCCTGATATCCAGCACTTCTCTTTACTGGTGCCACTTCTTTCTAGCCTTCTGCAGTTACACCAACATTGTACTGACGCTGTTGGTACTAGTTTCGAAGAAGCGTATACGAATCCCAATTTCACCACGTGGTCTCGCCCGCGAACGAAGGGTGGCTACGAGCAACCTTGGCCGCGAAACTCACGGTCTGATGGCTGTTAATTATATCACCCGCATCAGTTCGTATTATAGCAATGTTTTTCATTGGGACCATACTTTGGTTGTTTAGCCTTCCAAGAATTCGTTACCTAATCACTATACCCATCTTCACGACGATCACACTCGGGCAAGTGTCAATGTTGATAATAAGATAGTACAAGAAAGGGATCTCTTCGACGAAGAAACAGCCTCTGGAGTCGGATAAAGGCATTTCAATTCTTCACAAGCTCATGCCAGCCTTTCCCATCTAGGCGTTTGACTGCCAATCGGTCGAGTGGCTTCTTGAGCGCCCTTCTCCTACCTACAAAGGCAGAGGCGGCATCAAGGAAGTCCTTCTCGACAAAACCCTTCCTCCTGGAAGATCTTACCTCAATGATCAGAACCTGAAGTGTCGGCAACAGGACGAAAGCATTTCGTTTCTTGCCAGTCTTTCGCCCGAGTTGGCACATCAGCTCGAAAAAGTCGGAGGTGTTGAGGATTTCGATGAGGTGCAGTTCGACACATCGAGTTAGACCGGAGATAGCTCGAACAAGCACCTTGGTGCTAACGCTGACATCCCGTAATTTGAGAACAGACGGGTTGAGACTGTGTGGCGATCCACCACTCCTTTCTGCCGGCCAGATATTTCCCATTGTGCGGGAGGTCATCCATTGCGGACTTTCCGTGTCGGTGAGATCTAGAAGGCGAAGCTTTGGGGCCTCAAAATGAACGAGGAAGTCGTATTTCATTGTGAAGGCCGAGGAACTCGCCACAAATTCGACCAGGTGACAGAGACTGATCCTGTTCGGAGGAGGATCTGGATGACGATGACGCTGAGTTATCTGAAGGTGAGTAATATTTGGACAGTCAATGGGCCATAGCAATTTTGGAAGAGAGAGCTTGAGACCGCGGATCTGAGGCAGGCAGATAGTTGGGAAGGGATGATTTTCTGGAAGAGATGCGTCGAAATTCAGATAGTAAAGGCCCCGGAGGCCAGAAAGCTGCTGAGAATGGTCTGGTGATGCCGTCCCAGAAAGAGTAAGCTCTCGAATGTGTTGGATGTATTTCGTCTTCGTTGCCATTGGAAGGGCCGTAGTATGAGCCCCCAATTCGACCAGCCTAGAAGAGGTATTTAAAGCCTTTTTGAGCAGATCCTCTATTGTAGTAGACAACTTCTCCAATGAAGAAAAATCCCAGGATGCGAGAAAGTCTGCTGGAAGAACTAGATTGGATTGAGGAATATTCAGGCTCAGTGAGCGCAGTCGAGGTGTAGAAACTAGCGTCTCTATACGCTTCAAAAGACCCACGGCGAAGGCGCGCTCATATGTCAGCTCCGCGTCGACCAAGATATCGAGAGGGGCACGGCCCGCTCTGGCCAACGCACGCTCGAGACGTATTTCTGTATGGCATACTTCGTAGATTTCGAACCTTCCTTGCGTACGTTGCGCGAGCTTCACATGATAATTTGCGGGATGGCAGAGGAGAATGGCATTCCAGGCGTCCTTTGTAAGTATTGCAGCAGCCCTCCATACCCTGCATACCCTCATTGGGCCCCAAACCGATTCAAGATGATCGCGCACGTGGATGCGAATAATGATAGAGAGGAGCTCAAGTGGAAGTCGTCGTATCGGTGCGATGAATGCTTTGAGATGAAGTATTTCGCGTTCGTTCGTTTCGATTTGCTCTTTCAGCTCGGTAAGCTTTGCCTTGAGGTCATCGTGCTCCGTGTAGAGTGCGTCACAGGTGGTAACGTGATATTTGATACGATATTTTGCGAATTCAACTTCTTGTGGGTTTGGGTAGGAAACAATGAGAGCTTTGGGGTCTGTCCAGTCCGTATTGGGCTAAACGCGTGTAAGACCGAGTAATCAGCAGTTAACGCCGCTTACACTCTGGGTTGCTGTATCACCGGTAATGCCCAATTGATCATCCGCACCAGGTATTTGATCAATATCGACACTGTCTTCTTCAGAGATTTCGGACGACGCGGTACTTTCGGAAGGGGGTTGCCTACGCGGCATCGTAGGCACAAAAAGAGTAAATTCGATTACTTGGATTACTTTTTGATGTTCCAGCGACGCGTCAACTCTGGCCGGTTGGACGAAGGTGGGGACAAGTTTGTTTCCCACCCCTGTCTTAGACAAAGTCTAGTAGGGCTCATCAAGCGTCATAGTAATAGTAATGAAAGCGTTTGGTGACTAAATGATAGGGAAAATCAGATTTGAGATGGGTCGAGACGAACCTCTATGTCTGGAGAATTGTATCTGTGTCTAACCTTGCTGGATGCGATCAGTGTAAGAATTTTATGTTGCCTAACGTGGTTCTCTGACTACATAGTTAGCAGGACACGGAAACCTGGACAAGACGTGTTTTGCAATCTATGGATTATGCGTCGAGCTAGGAGGAGAATGGCACTTTAATTACACGGATAGACCATGAGGAGCTGCCGTGGGATGTGAACGCTCCACGGATAAAGAATATGCGACCATAAAATATGAGCAGTGTCGATGACGACTCTTGCCCTGGGGTTCGTCTTATCACGCTACCGTTGGTCTTTCTGGAGTCATCTGATACACCCGCTTTCACACCGAATATACTGGTGTAATTATCAGTGTTGGAATAGGATAGTACAAGAAAGTCTTCCCTTCGACAGGAAGAGGTAATATCAGCTGGATGTTGGCCCGTTCAAGTCTCTACGAGTTCCTCCCAGCTCCTGCTATAGGGTGTCATAACTGCCAATCGGTTGAGCGGCGTCTTGAGCGCTTTTCTTCTCTCTAGAAAGGCATAGGCTGCATCGAAGAAGTCCTTCTTGATGAACCTCCCGGAGGTCATGATCTCGATAACGAGGACCCGGAGCGTAGGCAGCAGGGTGAAAGCCTTTCGTACCTTGTTCCCCTGTCTCTCAAGTTGGCACATCAGCTCAAAAAACTCTGGCGTCTTGATGACTTCGATGAGATGCAGCTCGACGCATCGAGTAAGGTGGGAGATAGTTCGAGTGAGCACCTTGGTGTTGATGTTGACCCATCGTAATTTGAGGACGAACGGGTCAAGATAGTGCTGCAGCCTAAGACCCTTTGGCTGGCTCGGCCAGAGGTCTCCCATAGTCCGAGATGTCATGGATCGTGTGCTTTCCGTGTCTTTGAGATCGAGGAGACGGAGCTTTGGAGCTTCAAAGCGATCTAGGAAATCATACTTTGTTGTGAATGCGGAGGATTTGGCTTCGAATTCGATCAAATGAGGAAGGTGAACTCTGTTAGGAAGGCGTTCTGGAAAACGATGGTCCGCTTGAGATATCTGTAGGTGAGTTATGTTGGGACAAGCAATAGGCCACAACACGGCGGTAAAGGAAAGATCAAGATGGCGTATCTCAGGCATGGAGATCGTTGAGACGTTGTCTCTCGGCACGTCCACGGCGAAACTCAGTTTGTATATTCCCCCGCAGCTGGAAAGGTCTTGATAGAAAGTCGGTGGCGCATCCCCGGCAACCGCGAGCTCTCGGATATGCGAAAAGTATTTCGTCTTTGTCGCCACCCGAAGGGCGTGAGATGGGAGTTCCAACCTGGTCAATCTGGTACACGTGTTCAAAGTTCTCTTGAGCAGATTCTCCACACTTGTATCCAACTCTTCCAATGGCGACAAATCCCATGTTGCGAGAAAGTCGACTGGAAGAATCGAATTCCATTGAGGAGCATTCAACTTCAATGAGCGTAGTCGAGGGGTAGACACGAGCGCCTCTATATGTCTGAAAAGATGCAAAATGTTTTCTGCGGGAGCACCGTCGGCGATCGATGTGAGTGGAGTTGCTAGGTCCGAATGCACGAATATTTCTAGAGGGACAGAACCAGCTCGAGCTAGAACGGTCTCAAGACGTTTTTTCGTATCGCACACCTCGTAGATCTCGAATCTCCCGTCAGTCCACCGTGCGTGCCTCACAAGATCGCTTTCAGGATTGCAGAGGAGAATGGCATTCCAGGCATCTTTCGTGAGCAATGCAGCAGCTCTCCATGCTCTGCAAACTCTCATGGCACGCCAGACTGATTCAAGATGATCGCGGACGTGGATGCGAATAATGACAGAGAGGAGCTCGAGTGGAAGTCGTCGTATCGGGGCAATGAGCGCCTTGAGATGCAGGACTTTGCGTTCATGCGTTTTGATTTGCTCCTTCAGCCCGGCAAGCCTCGCCTCGAGAATATTGTACTCAGTGTAGAGAGTGTCACAGGCGAAGACGTGACGCTTGATGCGAGATTTTGCGAATTCAACTTCTTGTGGGTTTGGGTAGGAAACGATGAGTGCTTTGGGATCTGTCCAGTCCAGGGCTGGCTAAACGGCGCATCAGATTGATTAATTGGGAGTCTATCTGACCCACATTTTGGCCTGATTTGTCATCTATATCCTTTGATATATCATCTGTGCCGCGTCCCAGTTCAATGTCGACGACTTCTTCTTCAGAAAGGTCGGACGACCTGCTACTTTCGAGAGAGAGTGATCTACACGGCATCGTAGATCCAAGAAAAGTATTCTCAGTGACTTTAGTCACGCTTTTGTCTCTTAGCGACGCGGTGAACCCGGTCAGTTGGAAGAAGGTGGGCCCAAGTTTTGCTTGCCACCGTGTCTTGAGCAAAGTCTCAACGATGCCTAGGGACAGTCCCTGTACTTGCAGCAAACTTAGAAGTACGCCTTTCTCTTTCGAGATGTATCGTCTACCCAGGATGCTACTCGGCTTACCCGCAGCCAGTAACTCTGTGTCAGTCCGTATCACTAACTTCATCTGGATCGTAGGTCTATCTAGCGTCATAGTAACGGCACTGCGGCGAGAGGTCTCGAGCCCATCAAAGAAGACCACCGGAAATGCAAAGCTCCGATATTAGTCGATTAGGTGAAAGGGGCATTCCAAACGCTTCTGTATCTCTGGACGATCGACGTGTCCCTGTTTGCCGCGCAGTATGGCGCGTACCTTGCCGGTTATTGGCCCTTTATAAGAAGCCTCGTTGCTGGCTAGGGCGCCCTTTCTCTGACGCTCCTACGCCCGCCAGTCACTTGTAACTCGCCGTTTATAACAGCAAAGGCATGAGCTTCCTCCAGTTCTTCAGAAACAAATGGTCTTCCTCGCGAAATAACCTGCCGTTCACTTCATGTGACCTCTCCGGGAGAACCGTGATTATTACAGGAGCAAATACAGGCCTCGGACTCGATACTGCCAAAGAGATGTACAAGATGAAACCCAAGAAACTCATTCTGGCCGTACGGAGCATGGCGCGAGGGGAACAGGCCAGGAATGAGATCCTGAATTATGGCAAAAACCCGGAAGAAAAGACGGACGCATCTCCGGGGAACGTTATCGAAGTTTGGGAGCTCGACATGGCAAAGTTTGAGAGCGTCAAAGCATTCATGTCACGATGCGAAAAGGAGCTCGACAGGCTAGATATCCTTCTTCTCAATGCTGGTGTTTCCCCATGGACTCATTACAAGTCTACGAGCGACGGATGGGAGACAACGTGAGTGGTATTTGCATCCAAATCAAACATCCAGGCTGATAAGAGACCAACTGCAGAGTACAGGTCAACGTACTTTCTACATTTTTGCTTGCAATCTGCCTCGCGCCGCTCGTAGTAAAGACTGCTCGCCTCCCTGCCCCAACCGAGGCTCTTAGGCCGCATCTCGTGGTCGTCAGCAGTGAGGGTGAGTAATTGTTACGTATAGACTGGAGGGAAATGGCCCGCTGACCATGTTTCCCGTAGTCCACACCAATGCCGTTTTCAAGGAGCGAAATGCCCCAGAGATTTTCAAGGCATTGAACAACGAAAAGACCTACGAGTATGGGGATCGATATATGGTCACCAAGCTCCTCGAAATCCTGCTTGCCCGGCAGTTGGTGACTGAACTCTTGCCCAAACTGCTTTCAGACTCGACCGGAGATGGAGCCCACGAGGACGCCGTGGCTGGAGAAAAGTCAAAGTTTGTTGTCTGCACCGTCAATCCCGGCTGGTGTCGGACGACCTTGCTCAGGGATTACCCATCACTGATAGCGAGGTGAGCAGGTTATCTTCGGGTTCACCATCGTGAATCTGATCTGTGGTTGCTCTCCCAGAGTAATGAATGGAATCATGGCCCGAAAACCTATAGAGGGCGTCAAATGTTACCTGTGGGCCTGCTTTAACAACGACATCCCTCTCGGTGGCTTTTCGTCATTCTGTGCTGTAGAAAGGTGAGTATCTTGCGAGCTTGTCTGTTCGGCTACTGAGAATCGACACCAGAGAGTCAGATTTCGTATACTCTGACGCTGGGAAGAAGATACAGCAGAGGGTCTGGGACGAACTCATCGACATCCTTGCCGACGTTGAACCTCGAGTAAAGACCTTGGTCAAGGGCTAAGTTGACGAGGGACAGTTGACATTTATGACCTGTAATTGGCGATTTGTGGGTAATATTTTGCTAGTATGATATAGCTGCTTTACTGTTTTCTCTTGGGATGCCTTAGCGTGCCAGCGCAAACTCGTGCATTTCGGAGTGGCGTGTGAAATGAATGAGCTAAATCATCATCTAAGAGAGAATAAATAATGTTCAGTTGCTAGACTAGTTGCTCGCCGGACAGCCGCCTCTGCAACTTGGGCTAGTGAAGTTCAACCCGCCGCTCAACTTCGACCCGTTCTTTGCACCTGCTGTCCCGTGACTTTGCCTGGATATCGCATCGTTTCAACCCTGAAAGGAACAGAATCTATTTCTGTAGTCGATATCGGTGTTTGGGATCCCCTTTCAACCACAAACGCGTCTACAATCGACGCGTGCTACCGCGCTGGATTTATCTGGCCTACCAAAGAACAAGACATCGATTCTACGACTCTATCGGATTATGAGAAATGCTTCCTAAACCCGAACAAGGCAAGTTTCTCGTGTTGTGGTGTTCGGGCTCAGACCCCAAGTTCCCCCAAGCTGCTAAGATTCCGATTATTGGATTTGAATATGCATTCAGCATTAACCAAGAATCCGTTCTGCTGGCGGCAGACTCTCGTGTAGCAACGAGACCTTTGTCGACCGTCGGGGTCGTGCTCATCATTTCATGAAACAGAAATCGATTGTTTCTCCACCCAAAATCATATATTCCTTCCTCTCTTCATTCTGCGACACTCGCCACTCTCGAGCATTCAACTGCCAAATTGATAGCGCTGACCTCTCTCATCATTTTAGAAGAAGAGAACTGGGACGACGACTTCGATTTCGAGTCCTCAGCGGGTTCTCCGGTACAAGGTGCACGACCGCGGAGCGGAGCCCACACGCCGCCAAATCTATCTCCTGGTGCCGCAGATCGACACCGGAATGAACGGTTATCAAAGGAGAGGAACAGAAAGAGTGATGCTAGTCTTGATTGGGACGATGAGGATGAGACAATCAACTTTCGGGTGCATACATCTCTATTCTTTCTATACTAGTCTCACGTCTGTCAAGGGTTTCGCTGCTCAACATCAGCAACCACCTTCGACGCCGAAAGCTTCGCGGATCACACCTGGTGCTGCGCACACTCCGAAACGTCGATCTGCGTCTTCCGACTCAAGCGAGCCGCCCTGGGATGAGGAGGAAGAGGTCACACAACCACGCTATATCAATGATGTCGGAGCTCTACAAACAATAACGGAGGGTAAATTGTCTATGGCTGACAGGGCACATCCAAATCAAGCACCGCAAACCCCTCCGCGGCAGGGCGCAGCTCAACTACCTGCGGACAACGCGACTACACCTTCTAAATCCGAATATACTGCAAACGAAAGTACGACGGATGCCAGCAGTGTCGCAATGTCCGACTCGTCTGCAGTTCTGCAGTCCGATGCGTCAGTCTCCGCATCGAGCTCTTTCTTTGGAAGGCTTGGTCGACGACTATCCAAGGCTACGGCCCCATCGTTTACGCACTCTACTGTGGCATCCCCCACCACCGAGACGACTTCAACGAGCACATCTTTCACTGCACTTTCTCCTGCCCCATCTTCCAACGCGCTATCTCCTAAACAGTCTGGTCCCAGTCCCTCTCGATCCCGGACCAACTTCATCTTCGGTGGAAACCTGCTCAAGCGCAGCGAATCCTTGAGCCGAGCCTCCAACTCCGCGGTAACGTCGAGCACGGATGCTAAACCGAAGAAGAAACAAGATCCAAGCGACAATATCCCAAACTCATACTCTGGGTTTGGTTTAGGTGTCCATGTTCCGGGAGTCGAAGGCGGAAGTCATACTGCTCCAGCGGAGTTTAACGCCCAGCGGTATACTGAGCGGATCGTTCCACCAGTCCCTTCCACGCGTCTCCCATCTCACGCTAGCAGTCGAAGTATGGCGCCAGGATGGGGGCGTCCGCCGAGTCCAACTCGTGAAAGTCGCAAGGGGAAGCATGCAAGCATCGGTGGTGCTTCGATGCTCACAGATCTCTTGCCCAAGAATAAAGGCACAACTGCGACAGCTGCCAGTCATGAAGGTCAAGATGGATCCGAAGGCGCCCCAGGATTCTTTTCCTCAATGAGAAAGCGATCAAACCCTCTGCAAGTGGCATCGAAAGTTCCCCAGAGCGCCATGGTATCCCCCCTTCCGCCATCTGAACCAAGAAAAGAGTCAAGTACAAATCCTCTCGGCGAGGCGACCAAGGGCGAAGACAAATCTGGGATGACATCCTACTCTCAGCGCCCAAGACGCTCACACCGTCGAAATATCAGCACAGGGGCGATGATCACGAGCGTGATTGACGAAGTTAGCTCAGATGCTACAATCTCGAACAAGTTGACCGCCTTTCGTAATCGTTCCACGGCCCAACGGAGTAGTCTCAACAACTCCACCACGGCTCAAGAGTTTCGCCCGGTCACCCCTCCTCCGCGCCTTTCCACGTCCTCTGGCTCGGGAGCATCGCTGGGTGCGGTCTCTCCTATCGAGTTCAGTCGATCAAGCGAGGATTCTGTAGACACCAATAAACGGACCAAGTCCCCTGTTTTCGCCTTTCCGCCCTCGCTCAAGATTCGGCCTGTTCCATACCAGGTAGATCGAAAAGATGCTCCGGAATCTCCAACTGCTAGATCTTCCACAGCAGCACTCCTTCCGCCCATCGAGCTCAAGGCCTCGCCACCAAAGGAGGGAGGCCTCGGTGTCTCTAAGCATCCCAGAGAGGCATCCACATCGAGCGAGCGAATTGCGAAGAAGCTGGAACCGGATAATGACTTGACGCCGGTTGCTGTCCCGCGCAGGCGCATTCATCATCTTCATATTGGGACAGGTAATACTCGTCCGGTGCCGAGCCAGGATACGCCGAAGGCTCGAGTTTCGAATGAGGAAGAGCCCTCGGCGTTGGCTGCAAGTGGGTCTACTGTACTCTCGGTTTCGAACAGCAACTCGTCCAAGACGCTTGCTCCTCGTTCTACGGTGGCTGCGAACAAGCAATTCGAGTCGCTAAATGGGCGAGCATCTCCTGGGATCAGCGCGTCTCTTGGTCGCTTGGCTGGTAGTTCGACGGCCGAGAAGTTGGATGACACACAGGCAGGAGGTGCCCGCTCAAGTGGAGTCTCCCGTAGGAATAGCTTGACTGGTGGTACAACGCGTGCGACCCTTTCGTCCACAACGTCAGGAGGCGGACTCAAGATTCCAGCGCGAATACGTCAGACACAGGACGCCCTCAAACGAGATCTCAATGCAGTCCGAGAATTTGCTCTTAGCATCGATGGTGAGCTCCGTCGTGACGTTTTGAAGTGAAACTAATCTTGACTAGAAATCAAGCGGTTACAGTTGAATTACGACATGGTGCTTCTCGATGTCAAACAACTTTGCGGCTTTGATACTTCGGCCTCTGATGTAGGCGAGATGTTCAAGGCGAATACGTCCACCTCCGCGTCTCATCGGGGACCCCATCCTCGCCAAGGAGTTAAGAACGAAGATCTTTCTCAACCTCCAACACCTTCCTCGCCTACTTTCTCTCATGCCATAAGCACTGAGCGAGATCGTCGCATTATTGCTGTTCCAGAAGTTCAACCCAAAACCCAAACGAACGAACCAACTTTCATCCCGCTAGAGCAGAAGGAGCAAGCAAAAACGTCCCTGCTCGAACTGGATGCCAAGTTTGCTATCTGGTGGGAGTGCGCGGATCTGCTGATTGAACTGGGAGGTGCGGCACCGCCCGCCGTTGGAGGCACTCCAGTAAAGTCGCCAACTATGCCCGCACTCAGGCGGCCTACTGCTGGGTTCGGGGATGCTCAAGCAACTCCCAGAGCGAGCCCAATGCAACCAGTGCTCGCACCGGAAGAGCTGTCCCCTCTTGCGACGTATGAAACGCATCAACCCTCCTTGCAAAGTCTTGCAGAGCCTAATGCGATTGGATCTCTTTCGAAAAGACGCAAGTCGACCGGCCAGCAGGATCTGAATGCTCGTCAAGTGCAACTGCTGAAAGGCATGTTGAACACACCGAATCCCAAAGAGCTCTCATCGACATTCGAAACTCAAATGTCACAAGAACCGACATTTTCCTCCCTCTCTCCCGTCATCAGCAATCCTCCATCGACGATTCGGACCATGGATCATCCCACCACGGAGTCTGCAGATCAAAATGGGCCACCATTGGGGGATATTGGCACGACCAGGTCAAATGAAAGGGAGAAAAAGCGGGGTCGGAGGGTCAGCGCGCTGGTGGGCAAGCTTGGAGTCAAGGAGATCTTGGCCGGCTTGAAGTGGGCAAAGGAGAAAGCGATGCAGCGTCCTAAGCAAGCGCCGGCGCAACCTTTCTCGGCCCCTCGAGATAGCATGGACGCGATGCAAGGGGATGATGTCCCTCAGTCCGATGTTGAACCAGTCACCAGCAATTCTCAAGTCTCACTTTCTCAGACTGGTGCGATATCACGGGATAATCTCAACGCGACAAGTACTACACACTCGACTGCGTCGCCACCATCTGGAGGTCAACCACCCTCGCCTTATAAGCGTAGCCGCAGGAGATCACTGGCTTCCATCTTCAAATTTGGAGCCGGTACACAGCCTCGGGATCGATCCATGAGTAGATCTCAAAGCCGCGTCGACCTTACCTCACCGACCTTCCCAAATGGCGACCACGGCGCCCAATGGTACCCAGGAAACGCATCCTCTCATGATATTGACTCTGAGTGGGATTGCATCAACTCGCCGTCGGATGTACCTGGGCGGAACGCATTTGCACATCAATCGCAGTCGTCCAACCTGGACGTCGCAAGTACTGTTAGCGATAAACGTGGTCGAACAGCACCAGTGGGAATTCCAATCTCTAATCGGTCTCGTCGTGGTTCAAGGGCTGGGGGAGATATGTCAGCCTCACAACATGCGTATAGCTCGGCGTCGGCAAGTGTTGCATCGCTTGCTGGTTCGTCTATATACGGGAGCGCAGCCAGTCATCAGTCATTGCACGAGAGTTTTGGTGGGCGCAGTTATACGGATAAGAGCGAGGACGAAAGACGTCGGTTACGGAAACCTCCGAGCAAGACACCACGACGACCACCTTCAGCTGGCGGGCGCAGATCTCGACCTTCGTCCTCGTCTGGCTCAGCCGCTCAGATCATGAGTCCGACACCGTCTACTACGATGCCTGCTGGGCTAGATCGTTCGTATCATACGAGCCGCTCGGTATCTGGCCAGTCACACGTCAAAGTGAATGGGACGTCGTCGATGCGGGCTGCGGGCGTACCCTCCTCTGTGAGCTCGGGAGATCTTTCGCAGCCAAAGCTGGCGCTTACGCCGGACAATATTGTGCCGCTCCTCATCTATGCTCGAGAAGTGAAACACAAGATTGCAGAGTGCCTGATCCAACTCAAGTCACTCGAGTCGGATTTACTTCTTTCGATCCCTGGGGACTGGAACCGAGTTGCATGATGATTCTGGCGCCATCGAGATTGCGCCTCAGGGATCTCGGTGGTAGTTTGATCTCGTATTTTTTTTTGGTGCTATTTATGATTGGACGTCGACATGACGTTGTAGTCCTTATCAGCCCTTGTGGCATAGCGTAAATCTGTGGTATATATTCATTATATGCGTGAAGCTTGGTCAATAGCAGCACATGTGAGAGGGAAGGAGCCTTTTCAAAACTAAGGGGACGACAATCCCGTGACATGGTTTTGCTTCTGTCAGGAGGTCAGAAGAGGGGCATGTGCTCATGAATGACCTAGTAGCACTCTTTATAATGAAGGATAGAAGTGGGAATAGTATCATCGGACATAGTAATTCCTGTCCGTCTCGTGGTAATATTGTCATTGAGGCGTCTAGGTTGGCAGTGAACGAGAGAGAAGTATACATTACCGCGGTTCGTGAGTGGCAAATGCCGGGATGAGTATGCTTGGGAAAAGTTGGCAGTGCTTACTGAGCAGACCGGATTACAGGACAGGCCAAAGACGATGGATTAGGTCAGGAGATCTGACCCTGAGGACGCCTTGTTTGACCGACTTGCGGCGGAGCGAGGCGTTCGGGCTATAGAGCTCGGTATCTATGCGCTCAATCTGGAAATACGGGGCTGGCGGTGATAGAGCAGTGCGCCAGAGGGGGCGGCATGAGCTCCATATGGCTCGATAGGAGCGATTGATGGTTGAAGTGAATTAGAAAACCATGGGTTCAACTATTAATGACAAAAGTAGGTAAATGGGAGAGCTCAACAAGGAATAGGCTGGGAGTTGGCAAGGCTGGTTCGTGACAGGCGGATAGTGTCGATTATTTTGACGATTGGAAAGAGCTAAATGCTGCGATTGCCATGGTGCGTCCAGCGCGCGGTGATCGTCTGAATGGAGCTCAAAAAGGCATGTCGGAACCAGACCGAGCCCCAGATTGCGTACCGAGCGGGGAGGAGATACCCGCCAACGAGCACAGGCGGCGAATAGGACTTCTTGGGTAATTATGGGTACCTGTGAGATTTGAATCCAGCGCGCATATTTCGTCCCGATGTCCATTCTACGCGCCGCGCGGTTGCGGCGTGTTCATGCTCATTGGCCCGGTGAGTTTGGCTTACGTTGCGAGTCGACGACTGAAACAGATAGAATTGTGATAAAATATTATTTTCTCTGGCGCTCGCTAAGCTCGTTTTGGGCGCCGACGGTGGGGGAAGGGGGCAAAGTGGAGGAGATCCAAGGCGGGAGTGCCGACACTTTACTCGGGGGGAAATAAAAAGCCAGAGTGTTTCAGAGAACAAGGATGCTGTCCGTCGTCGGCCTTGTTGTTTGTTTTTTTTTCCCCTTGTTTTCCCCTCGTTTGTCGAAACCAAAGCGCCCAAAACCTTGGACTCTGCCGCCGCCCGCTCGCTGCTGGAAATTGACAGCGTTGCGCCTGGGTGACCTGTGGATTCCCAACCTGGTTTCGACTCCTCCACGACTGCCACGAACGCTCAACGACGACGACGACAATCTACTATAGAACATCTTGACCCAGCTTCTCCTGTCGAGAATTCCCAGAACCGACGACGACGAAACGCCAGAACAAAGTGTACAAGTGCATCCTGGAGACGTACAGCACCCGCTCTCTTTTACACCTTTGTAATATTCGATCTGGATCGATCCCCTTGGTCCAACCGTTACTCCCCCCCCCGGTCGACTCTTGTACGTGACGCGGTGTTGCGCCCTGATCCCAGACGCGTCGTTTCCCACTTTTAACATCCCTCGATGACACGCTCTCGTTCCCCGTCTACAGGAAGTGCATCAACAGCAATGAACAATCGTCGAGAGGTGGACGTGATTCAACCCACTAGCAGCCACTCGGTATCAAGTCCCCTTAAAATCGACCAAGAAATTAGAAGAGACAATCGAGCTCTCAATGGCGATATAAATAACGACTCTACACCTAGAAACCGGCGTCTGGAACGCTCGCCACGTCGGAGTGATCATTTCGACCGGCTGGCCAACGACGAGGCGCAGACAACCCCAAAGGCCGGCAGCGGAACCCACGCATCTATCGGTTCGAATACAAAATGTGCGTGTCTGCTTCGATCTTGCCTTCTTTTCCCGACCCTCGCGAATTTCCCGCCCAAAGGGCCCATTCTATGACCGAGAGACCACAGAAGTGACAGATGGAGGTTGCACGTCTATGCCACAAGTTCCCATCGACGTTTAGATTCCCCTTTCTCCCCACAGCGCTCTTTGAATATATGCGCTGACGGGCGTCTCCGCGAGCCGAGATATCCACGAGCCTACTCGCTTGCTCCATCCCGCGCCGGCCTGTATACAATTACACGCCGCGGTGTGCCCTAGTGTATACTCACTCACTTGGTCACCTTGAGCGGCTCGTCAGTTCATTGACAGCCATCCGCTTCGGTTGCCTCATGGCTGCGGCGCACCTCTCGCGTTCCCGACGCCTTTGCCTTTCTTTCGTGCAATACAGTTCCCTCGAGACGCTCGCCTTTTTATCCATCCAATTTCTTTGCATCCAGAGGATCAATCTTTCCACTCCCAAACGCGCGCACACGCGCCCACCCGCCTCGTGTTCAACCCCTCTGTCCTCTGTCCTCCACTCCCCCCCCAAAGCCCTCCGCTGCCGATTTTTGGCAGCGTGTATGCCCACTCACAACTCTCAGAGGTCAGCTATGACTCTTTGGTTCGCCACACTGCACGTGTGGCTGCGTTGCGGCGATCTGCAGTCGACCGTGTTGCGCGCCGCCGTCTCGGTCGTAGAGCTCGAGCTGCTCTATAACTGTTCTATCCTCTAAAGGAGACTGTTTGGGATTTCGCGGTTCGCGCAGGGTGTCGTGTTGCTCACCTAGTGTATGTTTGGCTTTTTGAGAACCCATTACTGACAACTTTGCGCCTTTGACCACTCGCCCTTGTTACCGACATGTGCATCAACATAATACGTCTTCATAAATGGATCATTTGACGCCCTTTCCTGTGACCAACTCGCTCACCATCCGGCATCCTGCCCCGTCTGGGACGGCGTCTACACGTATCAAACTCTATCATGCAACGGGATCTACGCCTGGTTCCCTGTCCATGTCACCCAAACAAACATCCCGAACCCTCCAACCCTGGGCCTACCGACACGCGCCCCGCTCCCTGCCCTTTGTGGAACGGATATACATATCCTGAACCCAAACTACTGTGACCCTTTCTCTTTCCTTTTCTCTCCCCACATACTGAACCCACTTTTATGCCCGCTAACTAATTCTTAACGCAATCTCCAGATACTGACCATTCAATACGGACACATACCTCCGCTGTTGATCCACCCGTTCAAGACACTATCAAGATGCGCGCCAATCCGGAGCTAAGCGCAAGGCTGACCCGGGGGAGCGTCAAGGCCAAGAGTCGATCACCGTCCCCACACAAGCGTCGCGGGACGTCGCCCATTGTCGCTTCGGACGTTGCGGGATCAGCCCCAGAATCGAGCCCGGAAGCTCGTACTATGGTTGCGACGCCAGCGTCCCCTCCTCCGTCTCCTCTTGCCGGCTCTTCGGCTGCTCTGAAAGCAAGCGCAGAGTCCGAGTCGGTGGAAGAGGCGACTCCAGTACCTACATTGACCATTGTAGAGGGTACGGAAAAGGCATCCACTTCTCCTATTCTTCCCTCTGCACGGGGTACGTCGACATTGGCGTCCCTACTCCATGCAACCAATCAGGATGGCCCAGATTCGACCGCGACGATCTCGACGGAGGCAAAAGAGGTGCCAGCGCAGGTGAACACGCCCCCGTCACCCGACTCGTTGCCGCAAGGCAACCATTCGCGAAACATCAGCATGGCTGATATCTCGATTGCCAGTCGGGATTCGCCAACAAAAGAGTCGAGAGAAGACGAATCGATGGACGTTGACCCGCCATCGTCGAATGCGACGAACACCGCTAGGACGCATCCTGGACTTGCACCTTTGCTGACAGAAGGAGGTCGCGTATCGTCCCGATCGCCACAGCCTCCAACAGCACCTCCTAGTGCGCATGGTCCCTCTTCCGCACCGCTCCTCAGGTCGCAGCCCTCCCCCATCCCATCGACACCTGCCAGTGGACAGCCTTTGCAGACATACCGGACCCATAACGTATCGCATCAACGGAGGCACTCGCTCACCCAAGTCTCATATCCACATTCTCGCTCGAGAAACGCTGCCGACACCCCCATTTCGCATTCTCAGCCTGTCCCGTCTGCAGTGCCCCAGGCGCTATCACCGTCTTCGCAACTTTCGGCCTTTCGCACAGAGGGCTCGTACGAACGTGATGGGCCAGCAGATTCTGATCCTATCCACATTGTCGAGCATCAAAAGGCCCTCATCGATGACCTACAATCTCAACTCCTGCGTCAGCGCAAACTAGCGGAACAGAGAGACGATGAGCTTCACCGCCTTGAAATGGAACGGGCCAGTTGGATGGAACGCATCAGCGCATGGCTACGAGACGGCGAACGCCTCCTGCTCGAAGCAGGTGCGACTACCTATGACGTGAAATCCCAGTCGGCCCCTCCCTCTGCGTATATTGGGCGAGGGGTGCACTCTGGCAGTACTCTATCCAGCGTGCTTGCAAGCGCACATGCCGCTTCGAGACGAGAACTTGGACGTGCGCTTGAAAAGGACAGGACATTGAGTGCTGTTTCTCCTGCTTCGCCGTATCCAGTGAGTCGTGCGGTTTTCGGTCCTTTTCATACGGCTGAACCCGAGCGAAAGCCCTCAAGACTGAATCCATCCTACGCCGACCCTCGCCACGGTCCCCGATCAATCGAGAGTCCTCGGACCGAATACCCTCCTCATCTCTCTCGCAACCCTTCGTACAATGACGCTCTCCTCCGCTCCATGCACCGCTCCACTCCGAGTCTGGAATCGACCGGTCATGGTTCCCTTCGGCGAGCTCGCAAACCTAGCACAGATGACCTCGCCCACCTGGCTGGCAGTGCAAAACGGATGAAGACAGATAGTGGCGATTTTGTCCGCGTGTCTTCAGAAGTTGGTGGCGGTAACGGGCCAGTCGACCGCATCAGTGATGCACGCCACAACCACGAGTCTCTTGCTGCTTCTGCACCTTTGCCAATGCGTCAACTCTCGGGACATACACAGCCTCCAGGCTTCGAGAAAGGGTCGGCCAATCCAGGCGGACACTTACCGCGAGGCTCAAACTCTTTGGGGAATGGGATGGAACGCGGACGGGATAGTCCTCTGGACCGACGGGTAGCAGATGGGGACGACGAAGAGTTTCCTTCGCCGAGACATCAGCACGCCAACCCCTCTGCGACCACGCCCGTCATAGTTGGAAACGGTTATGGTGCTGGTGCAATGAAGCCATCTCCTCTTCGAGACTCTCGCGTCGCTGGTGTGGACAGGGAGACTGGGGAGCTCGAAGCGCACAAGACGTTGATGGAACTGGGTGAAGATGACGAACGGGATTCCGCGCGTCTTAGGAGAGGACATGCGATGAGGAACGGAAGTCGATCGAGTATGAACTCGCAAGATGTCGACGACCTTTTGGCAGAGGTTGCTGGTGACGAAAGTGACCAGCACCGTTCCTCCAGGTCGCACTATCGAGGCTTGCCTCCCGGAGCAGACGCGCGAACATATACCCAATCATCTCGCCCGTCTGCTCGATTCACCAGTTCTTCTGTCAACTCGCGATCGTATGTCTTCCGGAACACCGAGCCTGGGGACATGGAAACTCAGACTTATCCGCGCTCGCCTGAAGAGATGGGACACCGTTCGACGCATTCTGGCTCATTTATTGGTCGCCCAGGATCCCCTGGTCCGCATGGACATCAGGTCACCCCTCAGTTCCTACCTCCGCAATCCGGTCCTCCTATGCCAAAGAAGATTTACCACACCAAAGCCACTGGCCAAACGCTTGGTGCTCACAATATTGCAAACGCAATGTCAGCTGGCGTAGTAGATCCGAGCTTTATCGCCCCAAGAACCGGACTCAATGGAGCCGCGTTGACTCCAGAGGGATTCCCCAAGAGGACGTGTAAGCAGTGCGGACAGCCGGGACGATACAAGGACAACAAGTGCGTAGAAAAGTGGGGGCCCGGTCCAAAGGGACCCGGCACGGTTTGCGACCGTTGTCGGAAGAAGATGAAGCGCGAGGAAAAGCGGGCGACGCAGGATAGCCTGGCCAACGCTGCTGCTGCTGCAGCTGCACCAGTTGCCTCGTACCATCAGTACCCAATCGCCCCAGCACCATCCGGCTCGTTTTCTCAACATGCTAGCCAGGTGAGCAAACGTGCAACTGCAGTAGCAGGATCGTAGTATTAACAGACCCAGGCTTCGCAACGTCTTGATGAATCTAACGAATACGGCTACTCGCAGGCGACAGATGACCTCCAGAACCAGCCATCTTTATCACGAGCCGGCTCTCAGAATCATATTTCAAGACCGACGAGTCATTCTCGTGGAAGCTATGCTCCGGAATCGCTCGTTCGGCGTGAATCTACCCTTCCTTATCAACCTCAGCAGCCGACTGCCCCGACGAGCAATGCTCGAGACGCAATGATGCCTCCGACGTCGACGCAAGCCAGCACGTATGCCTCTCCCGAATCTGGTCGGTCCGAGCACCGCAGACGCCAGTCGTCTGCTGGTGATCCCGACTATAGCGCGGCACCGAGTAGCCGTGACGGTGAGGTGGATGCGGACGGCGATGCAGAGATGGACGAGCTGGATGAAGAGGTGAACGCTGCGGCGGACGCCTCTATCACTGCCTCGCAACGTTCTCGGGAAACCTAATCACCCACCTTCTTATGCCCTCAACAACGACGGTTAACGAAGTACCGCTCGCAGGAACCAAAAGTTTTAATTTGAAACAGGCCCCATTGAATTAGCTAGTCTAGCCCCCTCTCCTTTATCCTACTCTTGGACCGTCACTACGGTTAACTTAACTTGGATCCGCCCGCAAGCAACGCGCGGTGTTGTTGTTTTTTTTTCCCACTTGTTTTGTTCCCCACCTTTGTTCTTCTCGCTGCCAGGTTGTTGTGACCATTATACTCCTGCGTCTCTTGTCCCATCGTTTGCAGACGAGTTCTGCCCTGTCTCCATATACTGTCCGCAAGTCGCCGACATAGTTGGCTCTCCATGTATCCTGGTTGTGTCATTTAGACTGAAGACTCGGTATGATAATGCTATTGGCTATCATCGCTATGAATGATATCAACAAGTGTCGTTCTAAGTTGTCTGGATAGCGTTGTGAGGGAGAAGGTAGTGTCGATCATAATGAGTCCAAATTGCCTATTTGGAGAGATTAATCTCTCCATAGGTGGCTGTTCTCTGGGTCCACTTCATCGAGGATAGCCACGAGCTCGTCCCAGAGCTTTGCGGAAAGTCGATCTCCTTCTGCCGAACATACCAATCTGGACGGACTGTGGGGCCATCAGTATGAGTACATCGTGTTTGTTTACCACGTACACTGTCACTTTACATGAAGAAGTATAAGAACCCTGGGGTATTTCCTCGTTGAGGGTCGCCCAAGTATACGTCTTTGCTCCCTCTCTCGTTGCACGACCAAAGATTGCGAATACAATTCTATAGGTTTTTTATGAGCATTCATCAATCAGCCAAGTACATACTTCAGAGTCAAGGGAGAAACAGTCGCATCCATGATATGGGAGCGACAAAATCCAGGGTTAACGGTGCAAAAGACGACGCCTGTATTCTCGCGAGAAAATTTGAGCTTCTTGCCGAGGTGCCGTGTGAGGAGAACGCTCATGAGTTTTGTCTTGAAGTAGCGGTGCGGTACAGTGTACCGTTCCTTCGTGTTCAACGCTGCAAAAATGTTTGGCTGGTCGCGGTCTTCGAAGGGTGCAAAGTAATGTGCTGGCCTGTATTGAGACCAAATTATGCTTACGCTGCATTACTCACTGTCACTCGTGATAATCGCCATGTGAGGACTCAGGTCCACGCCGCACTTTGGAGGAGGTAGCTTGCTAGTTTCGATAGCCTTGGGCATAATACGGAGAAACAGTAAAAAGGTAGAAATAATATTAACCTGGATACTATGCGTAGACGTGAGTCAGTCGCTAGCAAAGAGGGAGTTAACGTACTTGACCTCCCAATGATCCTTTGTTACCGTCCAGTCACCATTGCAGACTGCTGCATTTGCAATAAAGACGTCGATTCGCTCCAACTCGGTATTGCACCTCTTGGCAAATTGCTTGACGCTTGCAAAATCAGCCATGTCGAGATGCCAAACTTCCACGTCGGGCCTTCCTTCTGTGGATGCCCAAACTTTCTGCGTACCACTCCCTTTCTTACTGTCTCCATCGATGATCTGCTCCTTCGCTGCTTCACCTTTGGTGAGATTCCGAACGGCGAGAATGAGCTTTCCCGGGTTCATGTCGTAAAACCATTGTGCTGCTTCGAGTCCCAGCCCAGAGCTTGCTCCTGTGATGATGACAGTGCGACCGCTCAAGTCTACATAAGTTTCGGGCAGCGACCAATGTGTCGGAAGCCATTTGTTGGCGAGGGTCTCGAAGAGAACATTCACGGCTTCCATCGCGTGTCGATGGACCAAGTTGTCAGAAAAGGTGGACAACAGGGGAGAAGCTTGAGTTGGGGTCCTCAGAAGTCCAAGTTCTTATCGTGCGGGCAGCTGATGTGGCGTCGCCGAGTGACCGTTGGACCAGTTCCTTGCCTCGTGTTCCTCGTTCCTCGTGCATGTCGAGAAATTATTGTTTGTGTAGTCCCTGGAATGGTGGCTACACAAAAGCATGCAGCGCCTGGTAGGTCAAGCACCAGCCCTGTTTGTTGCGCCATGATTGAAGTCTCTGTATGTTAGCATATATAGTGAGAATGTAGACCATAGATTACGTTGGGACCTAGAACTCAATGAACTGCTTCACGCACTCAATATCCTTGAAGGTGTCGTCTCATGCAAGTTCTGAGCCTCGTGATGCGTGGGAAAGCGCTCTCTGTTTGCTGCTTCGAAGATCCCAACAAGACGATGTAGTGGTTTTGGTGCTGTTACGGGTACGGGCTATGACATATACACAACTTACGATCAGCCAAGACAATTTATGTCGACCCGATGTCCCCCTTGTTCGCCTTTTCTGCTCTTTGGGTCGCGACAGTCTTGAAGAAGACCGAAATCGATACAAATTGGATGACAATGAGCCCTAGGAGAAACCAAGATGACGCCGCTTTGCCAGCATAGGCCCGACTCCACATTGCGTTTGTAATCTCGTCCATCCGTCGTCTCCACTCCTCAAGTGGAATCTCGAAATGTGCACGCTGATCAACAGATGCGGTGAAACCAGGTTTCTCATGGGCTAATAGAATAACCTACAGATTCCCGAGAGCCCCAGTCATTTGACTGGTCAAGCAAACTCATTTTGAAATGGTCGCGTTAGACTGAGTATAAGCGATTGATTATCATTTTGGCTACAGATGCAAGTCTATGGAATTACATATAGTTCTATCGATCAAGACATGAGATACAGTCCTATGCCGACTCAATATCGACCCTCTTTATTTCTTCTGTTTTTCTCGACGGCACAGTCTTGAAGAAAATCAAGACTGACACAAATTGGATGGCAATGATCCCCAAAAGGAACCAATACGATGCGGCTTTGCCGGCATACGCACGTTTCCACATTGCATTCGTGATTTCTACCATCCGCGTCCTCCACTCCTCCAACGGAATATCGAAATGTGCGCGCTGGTCAATCGATGTAGAGATACTCGACACCGCTGCTAAACCAACGGCGGAACCAAGCTGGAGCGCGCAATTGAAGACGGCGCCGACAGTCCCCGCAACATTTGGAGGAGTGTATGCAAAGATTGCGATAGATGCAGTAGAGAAGACAATCTGCATCCCAACCGTCCCTATAAAAACGCCGGAAAGGCGAATCTCCAATATGTGGTGGGTACGTCCGCAAAAGGTAACAACGTTGTGGCGACCCCAGCGAGTGTGAGACCGGTGAGGAGGATTTGCTTGTAGGAGAAATAGTTTGGTAGCTTGCCGATGACGAAACTAATCAGCCATGCGCCGATCCCGAATGGAAGGAAATGTACTGCGGTCGAGATTGCTGTCCAGCCGTAGACATCTTGCCACCACTGTGTGAGGAGGACAAACGAAGTCACCCACCAGAAGAACGGCAGGAGCGACAAGGTGGCAAGAACGGTGAAGTTTGAATAGGACCAGATTCGTGGTGGTAGCACAGCGTCGTCGGGTGGGATCCGGGATTCCCAAAGGAAGAAGATAGCGAGGAGGACGAGGGAGATGGCGAGCGGCGCGAGGACGTAGGCAGTCGGCCAACCTTGCGTCGAACCAGACGTGACGGCAAAGATAAACAAAATAACGGCCGCTGTACAAAGTCAGAATTGAATGAACAGGTGGAAGAAAGGACGTACAAGTCAGAATGCTGACGCCAATAGCGTCGAAATTGACCTTCTTCCGTGCATCATTGTTGGCTTTTGGGATAAGGAAAAAGCAGATAATTGCGATCCCGACGCCAACAATGGCAACAAACCAGAATATCCACGGCCAACCAGCGTACTGCACGAGCACTGCACCGATCAGGATTCCGGATATATTCCCTATCGCACCAGCGCTCCCAAATAGCGATATCGCACGTGCTTGAGGTTCAGGATCCGGGAAGAGCTGGACGATGAGGGAGAGGGCGGACGGGATGGTGAGTGCACCTCCAATTCCTCCGAGCGCACGGAGGACAAGGATGGCAATCTTTTGATGAGCGAATCCACCGATGAGATGGGTGATTCCAAGTACAAGACATCCAGTGATAAAGGCGGGTTTTGGAGTGAACACGTCTGCTATTCGCCCGCTCTGAAGGGACATTAGCTCACAACACAAGTCGCGAAGCCTATCTACTCACAACGAGGAGAAATGCAGCAAATGTTAGCTGATACGCGCTGATGATCCAGACAGTTTCGGTCAAGACAAAGTCCAGCTTGGACGAAATCTGGGGAATTGCTGGTAATAGAGCCGAATTATTGAACGCGTCGAGGAATTGAGCAAAAGTGAACATGAGCAGCAGTGCGAGTTTGCGGAGTGTCGATGCGGTGGCGAGCTGTGGCTGCGACTGGGCTGACACAGACTTTTCGTTGATTTCAGCAACCTCGATGGTGTTTTGAGCGGTGAGAGCGACGCCATCCGGTTTTTCAGTGGAGGAAGGTCGAGAGTGCGCGAGGCAGGAGAGGGAACGACAGTATCTGCTCTAGAGTCCATTTCAAAGGAGGAATAGGACGACTGGTGGACTGTGAGCAAAGAGTGAAGCAGACGACTCCTCGAAAGGGAGCGGGGGAGTTGCACATCTGTTTCGATTCCAGTCCATACGCTTTTATAGACAGATTCTAGGGCCACAGGGTAGTCGATAGCTGACCAATGCGCCAGTACGGCACTCGCGCCGATCGATTAGGCCCGGCTTGAACGATCAGGCGTTGAATCTGACGTCGAATCTCCCCCAAGCATGGCTTTGTAAGCGTAATTTACGAGCTTTAGCCGTTCGACCGGGCGTCCGAGACGCCAAGAATTACGCCGCAGTTTGTCCGCATCGCTGTCTCGGTACTGGTGAAGGCCCCGTAGTATGTTGTTCAGATCACCTTTGCATAGACTTTTCAGCTGATGTCATTATAAAGTCCATCATCTCGGGACCTAAAGGCCAGATCTTCAAATATACATGACTTCTGTCGAAAGCATCATAGTTCTTGCATACTACGCCTGTCTATTACCGTGCACCCTGAAGGTTCGGGATGGAAACATCCTCGACAATGAAGAATGGGGACGCAGACACATGAACGGGTACCTTGCTACTGTAAATACGAGAACAAGCTGGCCTACAAGGATTGTAGACAATACATATCCCGACAGGCTGGCGTTGTACAAGTGTCATCAGACGTGCTTCTGCAGCGAGGCGCACTACGAAGATGTGTATACGCTGGCATGTTACATAAAACTCATAAAAGCGGCCATCTTACTTCCGCAGTGCCCAAAATGCTGGCTTGAGCCACCAAACCCGACGTTAAAAGTGAGAAATACCGTTGCAAAGCCCAATGGCGGGGCGTGGCAAAGAAGACCATCCAAGAACCTGGTGCGTGCTCATATCTCTATCTCAATCACTTACTCATCCCTTTAATAGAAGCATTGAATTCACCTCCAGCATGGCTGGCTTCCGACGTGGTTCCTTTTGCCAACCACGCCTCAACCAGTGCGCGGCGAAATCCGCAACTGGTTCGAGGGCGACCCAGCATCGGCGGAGATGGTCGTATTTACAATGAGCATCGGGAGGAATGCGAGATTCAAAACCATCACCTTAGGTTGTCGGCTAAACAGTATTAACAAGGAGGAATTATTTTGCAAGGCTGTCATACGAAACAGCTTCTTTGCAACCGTCTGTTCTAGAACTATAGTCTGCCAACTGGGAGTGCAATCCTTGGTGGTAAGATTTGGGGGTCAACTCAAGGTCCTTGACAATTGCATTGCGGACTGCGAGCTGGAATACCCTCAGCTCAACGATTTCGACAGCTAGCTGACAACGATAACGCCGCGATCGCATCTATCAATCTCGGTAGATTTAGTGGCCTCAAAGGACACCCTTACAAAGTGTTATGTTGGCAGTTGGCAACTTCTGTACGGCCCCAGTCAAAGATGGAGCGAGAGATGCCCATACAACTCAGATCTGTCGGGGAACGAGAGTTGCGTATGTTGGAAGATGGTCACCAAGTGAACGATACGATCCTCGGCTTGGGCCTGAGGTCTATCTACAATCCGCAAACGGTCGATGTACTGACTATGAGCTGCTAGGCTATGGATGAAGAAGTTCACGCATGAGAATCCACAAGCTGCTGAACAGATCAGCTTTTCTCTCGCTTTATCTGCACTTTTCTCACCAGGAGGTATGCCGTCTGGTGCAGTACGTACGATTGCTGAGCGTAGATAAGCGGATATGACGCCGTATCCAAGTGGAGCCAAAGGGTAGACATCTTCACCAAAAGATACAGTGTGATCCCGGTGAACGAAACGCAGGTGACGTGTCTCGTGTCACTCGCGCATTTCCGGTATCAATAACGCCTCAATTAGTGCTCACTGGTAACTGGTAGTCATTGTTGACCCAGGGAATGCCCTGAATGCCCTATCGGACAAGTCACAGGATAAGTCCGTTGCCTCTGGCGTATATTTTGTGCGACTAACGAGCTAACAGGACTCTCATTTTGTTTTTTTGACTCGCTGGGGTTGAAGCACCAGGATACCGGCAGTTGCCTGACCGCCTGGCTTGTCTTGGAGGCGTATATGAAAGGACATGCAACGATACTGACTAATAAAATCATATGTGTTGATGTGAAGGTGTGTAGTCGCGCTAGCATCAACATTTACCCCTGACCAGCTCTTCACAGTCACCGCTGCAAGCCCAGCAAAACGACTGTGGACTTTATTTAATATGTGCGGCAGAGAGGTGTTCATGGCGCATTTTCCGGCATGTTAAACTCTCTCTGCAAGCAAACACTCATGTCGCGTCCATCCCATAAAAACAAGACCACTTGACGAAAACTCCTCCTTAGGACATCGCCTCGTTCGAAGCCAAACGCCGAGAGCTTCGAGGGACTGTTCAGCGACTACGCAAGGTCGAGTCAAAACCTCGAGTGGGCCAGCGGAGATGGGGAAAAGGAAGCACCAGATCGGCTTCTTAGCGACGAGTCATTGCAGATTCGATTGAGGGGCTGATCAAATCATATCGCCGTGGTGGACGACGCCATTTGGGTGCGGCCGTGGATCCTCGTCCGGCACACCAGAGATCGACACAAAGCCAAGGCATAGGCTTGATCTCTCGGGGTATATTACCAAAATGCGATAGTCACGCGCCAGGGTAAAATCCATAGGATGGCAGAAATCAACGAGTATTAATGGTTGTGATACGCTATTTATTCGTACACATGATGAGCTATTTGGGCAGTCACAAGCGTGAAGGACTCCTTGTAGTGGCTATCACAAGTTGGATGATGACGGACACAGAGATAGACATTCTCAACGAGGTTCTCTCGTTGGTGAGGGCAGAACAACTCTCGCTAGAAAGAGGTCGGGGCAGACGGGACTGCACTCGCTCCTCGTCACGGAGACGGGATGCTTAACCCCAGCCGAGATTATATCTGCAGGTGCAGCGAGTACACGCGCGGTAGACGGCAAAACGCGGCAATGGGACTGGGACGATATCAAGGATCAAAGCCATTGCCTTGAAGGTCAACCCGCCGCATTTTGGATTAGATAATCGACGGGATAGGGTCCAAGGTGCGAGGTTTATTTGGTCGCTGTTTGTCAGAGTCTTTTGTAAGGGCGTAGTGCGTGAATCCAATACAAATATGTGGGTTCCAGTATGACCTGTAATGATTCAAATAATGAGTGGCCGAGGACTGAGTGTCGGCGGGGCTTGGGAGATGGAGGCGGGTGGTGATGTGCGGCGGCCATGGAACTGGGCTTGACGTCTTTTTGTCCCTTTTTTCCCGCTGCGACTTTGTTGCTTCCACCGCCGACGACGCAGACGCAGAGGTCGAGAACGGCGACGACGACGACGATTGCGCGGGGATTCGACAGACGACGACGGCCTCTCTCAGTTGCATTATCAACACCCAGTACATTCTCCCAGTTTAACCAGCGTGGACGTCGTGCTCGCCGTTGCTGCCGTTGCTGACCGTGGCCGCTGCGGGTCCTGAGTGACGTCTCCATCTCGTTCGTTTGTGCTCTGTTGCGTGCTGTGAGTCTCTGCTGGGCGCTGTCCTCGCTCGTTGTGCGCGAAATCCGAGCGAGATTGGCCATATAAGCTCTCTGCTGACAGTTTGTGCAATCTAGCGCTGCTCTTTTTCTTATTTTGCATATAATTCAACACCTCTGGCTCTACATTACCAGATCCGACGCCGGCACCAACCAAACTTCGGCCCCCCCCCTCTCATAAAACTCGCTGTTAATTCGTGCTGGGGATGCCTCGTCCACGATCTTCTACATTTTACCTCCCTCTTGCACCTGCAGATGCACCGCTGAGCCTGAAAGCAAAGTTGTCCGTGCTCCCTCCGAGCGCTGCCAACGCGCTGCTCGCCCCGCGGAATCCTCCAGCCACAACGCCATCGACACATACGCCTGTTCCTCCTCTAGACGCTTTATCAACAACGCAGTCATCCACAGTGCCGGTACTGGAAGACGAGTGTGCACGTCTGGAGCGTGTCCTCGGTCTCTGCAATAATACACCGTTTGGCAACCCTTCTGGATCACGCAGGAACACGAGAAGACACACGGATGCTCCCCTCCCGCAACTCTATCAAACCCCCGGTGTTAATCCATTCTCACTCCCGCTCCCAAAGCCCGATTCCCACTCGTTGGCGACGACCGAGAGCGTAACCGACCTCGCTGATCCCCGTCCGGTATGCAAATTTTTCTCATTCGGTTTATAGACACTTGTTGACCCTGTCCTTTGCTTTACTTTTATTATCGGCAACCTCGTCCCTGTATTCATCGGTTCAACCTTGATTGGCCTCCGTGCGGAATCCCCTATGGCGTCTGTTTCATTTCCGTATCCCTTGACCACGGAAAATGGGCTCTCGACCATGTGCGACGCGTGTGTTTGGACGGGCCTCGCCTCGACGCAACCCTTTGCAACCGCAACTCGACCGTGTTTTTCCCTACGCGAAACGCTATTTGGACGAAACCAATATACGTCCGTCGAAACACGGAAATTGACATGTATACAGTCACTAGCTTCGACAAGCACACTCGGCACCAGTGCCGTTGTTGCCGCTCCCGCCGTGGCAATCTCGACCTCTGGACCAAGTGCCAGCTCGACCTCGCCTCGTATCGGAGCTAGCGAGATGGATGCCTTTGCAAGCGCATGTGCATTTGGAGCGGAGGACATGGCTGCCGCTCCCGTCGAAACCCCTGAAGAGGGCGAGATCCAAGCGGTTATCGAGACAACGATCACAAATCTCAGTGCCCCAAGTTCTTTATCGCGACCTACATCTGCAACCAAACCCTCACGACCGGCGACGGCCGACAGACGGAGATTGAGCATGGTTCCGTGTGGGCTGCCCAAGATCTGGGCCTGTCGAACGCTGCATCCATCCAAACTCTGTTCGTCCGTTTCAGCAGACGAGACTGCAGCGCCTGTACGACGGACGGTCCTCGTTCCAAACCAACTTGTACTCCCATCCTCGATCGCATCTTGTGGTTCTCTCCATCCTTCGGACACTCGACATCTCCTCCCGAGGCAATTTCGCATGTCCTTCCCACCCCCTCCGCCACCGTGTCCTGCGGCTACCGCGGCTCCCGAGGAGTGTGCGCCCTGTACTGATGGGATCAATACAGGGTTGACCACCGCTGGACTCTCGACAGCTACTTTTGCGAGTACCCACTCACCCGCGGACGAGACTGCAGTCTCACCCGGTGGCGGTGAGGTTACCACCTGTACTCAAATGGAGGTTATCGTTGGTGATGGCACGTCTGATCGCGTGATGCCACAGGCTTTGCCGCCACCACCAACACAGCTCGACAAATCGCCTGTTCGTATTACACTCACCCCTCCTGGCCCTCAATCGACGTCGTCTGCACAGCCCTCTTCCACCCCGTCGACACCTCCACCTCGCCAACGATATCGTCTTGCGCCACTCTATCTCCACAAAGTCCTTCGTCGCTCGCTCGGTGCTACTGCATGGTCACGCGCCGAGACGGTACGCCTTGCGCGTGCCGTCGAACAGGCCTGTGGAGTTGCGCTCGTTTCGCAGGCTTCGACCGTATCTTCGTCCAGTTCAACGATTGGTCGACATACACAGTGGGATGATATCGTGCGCGCTGGCTACCATCTCCCACCTGTGGACACGACGAGCGACTTGAGGAGCAGTCTTGTGTGGAGTGGGTATGATGATGTGTATATCCCTGGTGAGGGCGAGCAAACGAGCAGCGGCGCTGCGTTTTCAGGCCAACTCTGCTGGGGGTGCTAATGTCTGGATCCAAAACGTTTTCGATTCGGCCGAATGTGCATGGGACATTGATTTGGAGGATGAAGAAGACGATGCGGACATGGAGATGGATTTCGACAATGAAAACTTTGAGGCAGAGTCGACCTTTGTGCGCGAGAGTGCACCCGAGCCGGAAGAACGGAGACCAGTCGTCCTCGAACCCACGTCGCCACACACGCCCGTCGAAAACAATCACGAGCCACCGACGCGCGTGCCTGCGTCGAATGTTGGGCTCAGGTTGGCGGTCACAAAGCCCGAGTTGGAAGACACACGTTCGCCTTCGCCGGATGGATATGGTGGATACGCTGCTGTGGGCAAGTTTACGTGGGATTCGGAATGGCCTGCGAATCCGACAATTGCACGTCCGCCGACGGGGATTGCACGGCAATGGTCTGTCGACGACAAGATGTCAACTTGGCGCATGGACGAAGACGGCCCGCCCGCGACGCCGTATCATCCTGTTCTCTCGCCTTCGACGTGTTCTTCTTCGTCGTCTGCGAGCACCTCTTCTGGGTTGCTCGCGCCGTTTTCGCAGGATGAAGAGGAAACATTTTCCGATATTCACCACTTCAAGAGGACGACAGCTATTCGCCGCTACCAGAGGAAGAAGAGGAAGTGTTCCGATACTCGGCGTCTCATCCAGACGAAATGGAGGTCGACTTGGATGTACCGCAAGAGCCTCACGCGCCTGATCACTACATTTACGAGGAGCGGACGTTGCTTGGTGCCTCGCCGAGTACAGACTCGATCCCTATCTCGCTTTCACCTCGTTCCCTCCGCCACCGCTCATTGGCACCAAGATTTCGTCCTGCGGCGAAAGCGAGGATGAGAGTGATTCAGCAGTAGCTCAAGAGCGTGGAGACGAGTTTTACGACGTCCCATCGCCCACTGCCGGCGTGTTTGTCATCCCGCCTTCACCGTTGACAAAGACGACGTTTGGCCAGCCTTCTCCCTTGACGACGAGCTTTGCCTATTCGAGTCCGACAGTTGGTGGGGCTAGTACCCCCACGTCTGCTTCACGCTTTGCGCAACAGCAACAGCAGCCAGCATTAGTCGACGACGACCCGCCTCGACGGTCGTTGGAGCGCATCCGATCCTCTCGACGGTCCATGGAGAGGATTGGGCCTGCCAAGCGGTCGATGGAGTGGATCAAGCCCGCGGGAAGAAGCGAATACTCTCATGAGCCGTCTAGTCCAACGTTGGTTGCGCCCCGTCCTCGTCGTGCCTCGCGAGCGTTGGAGAATGTGTTTAGTCGACAGTCTCCGGTCTTCAAGACGTCTGCACTCCCCAATTCGCCAACGTCGACGCTCCCTTCTTCTCTCCTTGTCTCCCCACCCTCCTCGGCTTTGCTTCTCCCAACCTCGCCACCGTCTTCGAACTCGCATCTTCCGACGTCACCACCTCTCTCGGCATCAAGTCCTCCGCTGTCGCCACCGATGACCAAAGCAGGTGTGGCTGCGTGGACGTTTGGGTCCCTGAAGAGCGCGCTCTCAAACTCGGTCACTCATCTTGTCGAACTCGCACGTAGTCGGAGTCCGTCGCCGTTGCCTTGGCTCATTCGAGGATCTGGGATCGCCGCGTCCTCTGCCACTTCCAGTGCGACGACGTCGACACCCTTGACGCTCTCCGGTGCTGCGGCGGCGCTTGCCCAGGCTACCACCCCAGTTGCTCGCCCTGTCGAGGAGGGTCAGGAATCTTCCACGCACACCCGCGACCCGTCTTCAGAAGAGCTCGAAGCCGAGCGGTCGAGTTGCGTCACACCCACACCGACGTCATCACGCCCTCGACGTGCCTCTTCGACGACGATTACCAAAGTCGATGCTGTCGCGGCTGTTATACCTGTTCCTCAGGTCCAGTTGGAAACGACGGCTGGCGAGGTTGTGGTTGGGACCAGTCCCCCGCCCAAGCGCACGCTCTCGACGAGTTCGTTGTCGAGTCTGGAGAGCGAGCCAGAGTCGGAGAGTGGTAGTAGTGGTGGTGTCTTTTCTCGTAGTCCGTCTCCGGAACCGGATTCGGTATGTCCTTCTCATTTGTTTTTGGAGGTTTTGGCTGATCAAGGGATTATAGCGCGCTTGGGATGCTTCTTCCCTCACCCCTCGATCACGACCCATCTCGGCAGACGCAAAGGGAGCTGCGTCGAATAGTGGTAGACTGTCGCCGATGATGATCCCTGGTAGTTGGGACCCTAATGAGCTCCTTTGGGACGATGAGGATGTGGCCAACGATCAACTCCGCATTTAATTCCAACTTTCTCTCTCCAACACCCTAGTACCCCCCCCCCCATCTCTTTTCGATACCTCGTTGTCTAAATCGGACGGGTCTACCCTCGTCCTCATCGAATGGCTCCATCGTCTCATTAGAAGGTTACCCCTACCACCAGCAATGCATTACACTCTCGGCTCTCTCTCTCTCAACCTTACTTGTGTTCAACCGTTTTCTTTTCTTGGAGGACCAGGGCCTCGGCACGGGCGGGAGCATCCGCCCACGGCATTGGATCCAAATCAAACCCCCAACACTATTTTCAACGCATCGCCTATAAAGATATGCGGTGCTAATGACCTCGTTACAAATCGCCTCGCCCGGATACCGGGCTCTGTTTTCCGTATCAACTTGCAGTTTCGGCACCCAAAAACCAAGAACCAGAATCCAAAAATTTCACTTGAAATTCTACAAGGCCTCCAGCTATAGCCACTCATACCATAGACGCGTCTCGTGCGACGATCACGACGACTCCAACCAATTCATCTTTACGCGATCCCATCGACATTGTCGACTGGCGCATTTTCCACACTCATTGCCAACCTTTTCCCCCACTATTCATCGTGTTCTTTTACTGTGACTCCCACCACTTTCCTCGGCGAGCGCATGTGGTAATGCGGCTGAACGCTACGGCCCCCCATCCGTCGTCTTGTGAACACTTTGTTGTTTTATATCATACACGGACGTAATTATCCCTATTCCTCCCTAGGCAACGCCGTTTTCGTCACTCCTTGCACACCTTTTTTCTTCTCAAACTTTTCTTCGCCGCTTGTCTTACGCTAGTCTGCGCGCTTGCCAATTTGGTTTCCGGTTGTTCTTGGTCTCACTCTCGCTCCGTTATCCAATGTAACACTAGTAATGCGAAGACCAATTGCCTCTCACTACTGTGCGATCTAAGAATCTGGCTCCATGCTTTACAGCTCGAAACTACTGACATAGAGAAGTAAGGGGAGAGTTACATGTCAAAGTTGTAGAGTGGAGGTAGCGTACTGTAGCGCGTCAAAGTGATCATCTCGGACGCGGCGGGACACTCAATCTGGCGGAGTTCTGCCAGATGCTCCCGTACGCTAATTAGATAGTCCATTCTTCTAGCACGTCGTTTGAGCAATTCTGAGACTGTTTCTGGGTATGGGGGAGGAGTGCCACCCCATGACTCTGCGCCTGGTATAACGTCTTGGTTGCATGCTATAAGACGATAATGGCAACTGGCGCATCCAGGACTGGTAATCAAGTCAGTAGGGCGGATGCTCGTTGGGTAGACTTACATCTGGTCGTCGAAAAGGATCTCATGATTATAGTGAACCGAGAGTTCATAATTTGTCGTGCGGTTGAAAAGACGTCCACCGACGAGGTTGATGAGATCGTATTGAAGGAATGGCGAGATGCGTCCGTGAATCTCGAGGGTATCCAGGGGAGAGACGCCGTCCTTTTGTGCGAGTATGCGCTTCTCCAGTACGATAAAGAGCATGTCCCATTCTACTTCGTCTCCGCGGAGTGAAAGGCGTTGGAGGCAAGGGAGATCTGTTGGGTGTCTGGCGAGGGAGTATAGTACAGCCGAGATGATGCTGAAGCCCTCTATGACCAACTCCTCCAGTTCTAAAAATTCTAGTCGTATATTTATCTTTTCTGCTCCTTCCCTTCGCAGCTTTAGACTGCGTAATCTTGGCCATTTAGCCGACGAGAGGGTGCAGCGCCATCGCCAGTAGTGTACAAGGTGAGCATCAAGAATTTCCACAGTATCACAATGCAGATTTGAGATTATAGTGAAGTCAGTACGTAGTTGGAGAGATTGGAGTCGTTCAATCTGCACAGAGCTTGCAAGGCCTGAAGAAAGGCAGTACAGACTTGCAATTTTAAGATGTTTTAACACCTTTATGTGTGGAATAATGATTTCGGCGATCAAAAAGATACGTTGTCCCTCGATCCTAAGCTCCCATAGGAACGGAGTGCTGTTGAGTAGCGCACATGTGAAGAAGGAGATGGAGAATCCCAGAAGTGTTGGAGTTTCTTCTTCATATGTTATGTGAAGTGATCTCAGGGTAGGAACAGATCTATCCGCTGGAAATTGCATAGCATGGGAAGGATATACCTCGCCGCCGAGTATGATTTTTAGACCCAGGAATTGTAACGAGCGACAATCTGTAATGATATCAAGAAGAAAGTTAACCCAAGTCAACTTGATAGTTACTTCCAATTGTCGAAGAGCTGTACATCGCGAGCTGAGGTTTGTTGTTACTGTCAAGGGCGCTGCGGGTAGTTGTAAAATATCCCAAGATAATGGCCCATCACCGATAGAGTATTGTCCACTGCTATCATCCTCAATACTCCAAGCACCCCCCAGAATCGTTACATCCTTTAGGCTATCTATAGAACCCAATGTCCTGAGATTTTTTGTGCGGGAGTTGACGGACGAAATTGACACTGTAAGTGCCCGTAATTTATCCTCGATGCTAATCAATCGGGAGAATGAAAGCTTCCCGAGGGAAAGGCGGTTCGTGAGTGGGGATTTACGCCGCATAAACCTGTCTATGACAGTCCGTTTGGAGGTATCTCCAATAAGAGACTCCTCCATTTCGAGCCTCTCGAGGTTCGGAAGAGACAATAACTGAAGATGTGTGTCCTCCAGAGATGTGGAACAGCTGCGGGATTGTAAAAGAATACTTTTGACTCGGGAGTAATGAGGGGCGAGTATTAGAGCCATCTGGTCGATCACAGTGCACCCCAAGTCGTATATAATCGTGAGAGGGTGGTCTCTCGACAGCTGGACGTAAACTGCAGCGTTTGCTAGCGCGTCCTCCGCCTCGTCGCTCGCCACGACAATGCTCCAAAGTGACGGTGTACCAATGATGATCCTTTGCCAGCGTTTACAGACGAAGGAAAGCGGACTAATGCTTGTATGTGTCCATCTGCCGCCTTTGCGGGATACTTGTGTGAAAGATTCAAAAATTGGTACCAGGATCTCGTCGGGGAGAACCGTGATAGTTCCAGTCGATGCCTGGTAGCTTCTTTCAATCTCAGCCACCACGTTGTTGTAATCTTCGAGCGCCTTGGTGTTTAAGCCTGTCATACTCCCAGTAAAGTCGACTTTGGCGCCCAAATGTGTCAGCAGGCCCATCCATCTGCGACCAATAGTGGCCATAGATGACGAAATAGCTGGCTCCGCGGAGGAAAGGGGATTCAGCGCCATAAAGAATTCGCTGTTTGAGGCGACAGTGATGGTCAGGTCCACGTCTCTGCGTTCCAGCGCTCCACGGCGTATTGAAGAAGAAGATCGAGCTATAAAGATTATAGTCGAGTATATGCACAGAATGGCCGACAAATTTTATAAGATGGGTGACGGAGGAACTAATCAGGAGACCAAGCTGGGCATTTACATTTTAGACCAAGTAAGATGAATCAATTTCTGCGATTGTTAAAGGCATAGTCTATAGCACAAAGAATACACGGTATCGTCGAGCCCACACAGGTGGTTCTACCCACTTGGCCTCTACTTCGACATGATAGACAATGGCAACTGGTGGTTGAGCCTAGAGGACAAAACTATTCAAGAGTTTGGATAACGAGTGCTTATAAGATGGTGAATTCGGCAACGAATCAAGGCGCGTTGAATCGGTGACCAACATCACCGCCCAAGCTCAGGGTTGGCAACACCTGAAAATCGTCATGACACGGGCTTCGGGTAATTCTCCGGTTGATCTTCATGATTTCAGTCCCACTGACCCACGTACAGCAGACGAGAGACAATCGGCGACGTGGACCGCCCCGACATGTCTCCTGGCGACGAGGCTAACGCCTGCCGACATGACAAACACGTTCCTCAATGGGGTTACTAAAGGACCACGCCATTCCGGATTCCGACGCCCATCTGCGTTCCCTTGTTCTCCTGGGCTTGCTTTGTATTCCACATTTGAACACCATTCAACCCCTCTCGCCGCTCGGCTTTGCAAACGCGGTTTTGTTGGGCAGTGCGTGTCTGGGAGCCTACAATGCACTTACTCGGTTAGGTCTGTGGGCTCAACCTGTTGCGCGCCATGAGTTATAAACTGGCACGGCGCCGCTGCCTTGCGCTTTCCTCAGCGCGCCTCACTTTTCTTTCCTTCTCTTCCTGTCTGCCTTTTACATTCTATACTTCTCTCTGATTTCATTTATCTACGCCGACGCTCACCCTCTCCTATTTCTCTCGCCATTTTCACGCCCAACTCACGTTCTTGACGAACTCCACACCCACTTTCTTTACCATTTCTTTCTTTCGACGACAACTCGACGACAAAGCCACTAGTTGGTTCAACTTCCTTCACTTTCAATCGCATTCATTCCTCCATAACTTTCGTTGATACATTTACGACTCTCTTTACGAACCTCAAAGCCCACTACTCAACCATGTCTTCTCAACCACGAACACGTTCCGTTTCCAATATTCAAGGTCCATATCTTGCGCAGCCTCAGCCGCAATACCCTCGACAGCGTGCCATTTCGCTCACCGGTTCCCCTCACTCAATCCGAACAAATATGGCCGTTGTTGATGGGCCAGTGGCTCCAGCGGGTAACTACTACGGCGTCTTTCTTCAACAACCACCCGTGGGCTTCCCAGTCTCAGCTGCAAGCAGCGTCGCAGGCTCCGCAGGATCTAGCCCAGGTAGCCCAGCGATTAAATCTTCTTCATCCGTGTATGTTGTTCCGGGCTCAAATCCTGGACATCCGATCATGGTCGTCAACACTACCTCTTCCCAGCCAATACAAGCAGCAAAGGCGCCTACTCCCCAGCATGCATTCCCGACGGCTTCTCAGCAGCAAGCTCCTGTTCTTCAATCCGCGATGAAGCGGGAGAGGAGAAAGACCATGACTCCTTCGACAACCTCGAGTGAGCACATTCCTGCTGCCGCCTTGCGCTCGCTTTGCAAGTTCTCGATTGGTGCTATTGCCGAGTGTCTGAAGAAGCCAGGAAATGAGCCCATGGGTTCGCGACTTCGACGCACGGACGAGATTCTTGGCCACATGTACTCTGTCCTATTCGCCATGTCATCCGACGAGGACGCGATCCCGTTTGCCGACTCTGTCGAGATTACGGGTCTCCTTCAAAGATTACAGTCGCTCCTCTACCGCTGCCTGTCGCCACGTCCGTACAACAAGGACCGTTTGGCTGAGCTCGAGGAAATCTTTCGCAGTCTGGTTCTCTACCGCGATCGTCTCAATGTGCGTATCATCTCCTCCCAAGAAATAGCAGTTATTGACTTGTGTTAGGCCTCGTTCAAGATCCAGGAGATCGAAGCCACAATCTCCAAGCTCACTTTCCAGCACAACGTCTCGCAGACCTCGAGTACACACATTGTGAACTCTCTTAATACAAGCACCAAAGAGAAGAAGAAATCAATCAATGCTGCTTCTGTCCAGGCGCTCCGTGCGGATATTGACCAGAAGCGTGCCGAGCTCGAAGTCATGCATAACGAGCGCGTCGCACTGCGCGCAGAGATTGAAAAGTACAAGCAGAAGCTTGCTGTGGCCAAGCAAGCGCGCGATAACATCCTTGGCATCAAGTCAGTTCGCTTCCAGTAGCGACGGTGCTTCATCTTTACGACCTCTACGTGGTTTTTTTCTTCCGTGATTTGACTCTTTACTTTATGGGTGTGTTCAATATTCGTAAATGACCTTGTACGACCATGGCGAGAAGAAATATTTCCTTTGATTCGCACCATATCTGCATATGGACTCGGACTCTAGTCTTTCTTTACTCCTTTGTAATTATCCTTCTTTGTATCTCTAGATCATCTTTCTTTTTCCGACAAAGACGTCAGGGTAAAAGTGTCCATGCACATTTTCAATGTCTAAACTACAATAGAGAGGCTACAATCGCAACCCAGGCCACGATGCACGAGAAGGTCGGATGATGCGGGTCATTTGACTCACCGCGAGTGGTAGTCCTCCCATGAATTCTAACAATGGGCACGAATACGCGAGGCGCTCCAATCGCTCGATGCCTGGTCGTAACCTCATGGCTTCCAGAGGCTGATCATAGTATGCTGAGAAGCCCCATTCGGTGCGCTTGCAGACGGTCATCGGCCACTCGTACTCCGCGAACAGTAGTCTCTTCACTCCCCCGAGATTTCGCAGCGTGTTAACGGACTGAATACACCGATCCTCAAACGCTGCCGTAAGCGTCGAAAGTTGAGGGAGGATGAGGAAGCGCAGCGACATGAGGAGCGGCGTGCGCACGTCGAGTGTTGTAAGCTTTGGGAGCGTTACGCGTCGCATTTGTGGATCGTTGGTGCACTTGAATAGGGAGAGATGAGTGAGATTTTCAAACTGCGAGAGGTCCACGCCGTCGCCGCATAAATCGACGTCTCTAAGAACAAGTGAGGTGAGTTGAGTGGGCTGTACACCCGGTGGCACAAGCCCATTGACGCTTTCCAGTGCCGTTAGAGAGGGCAAATCGAGTACCGGGAGCCTCGAGCTTGAAGGTCCCTTGAGCGAGAGTTGCTGAAGAGAAGGTAAGGACCAGGCGACGAAATCGAGTAGACGGCGTGGAGTGCTGGCATCGTACGACACTGTAAGTGCCCGCCAATGTTTCGAAGACTTTCCAATCGGGTCCCCGTTGAACAGTAGCTGAAGTACACCCTGGGAGAGATGTACATTCGCACGCGGGTCGACACTGAGATTCGCATTGGGTACAAGGTCGATAGCCACGTCCATTGGGAGGATGCCACTTCGCGAAAGATGGTGAAAGACGTAATTGTTCCGCATCTCGTACAGCCGCCGCGGTACACTACTCCAGTGAGTAAGGGACAGCCGTATCTTCGTCCACAGTTGCGGTGTGCTCATACAGATCGTCATCCATGCACTACACACCGACATGAGTCGCTCGACTGGACATCCATACGGGTCGTCGATGCTTTTCCAGAAAATCAACGCCAGCGTCTCCGCGGGAAGTCTGTTAATGTGTGCATGAGTTCTGACGTGCTTGGCTCGACCAGCAGCGTGGGTATAATGAGCATGATACACGTCGGAGAACCGTTGGATCTGAACAGGCGGAGCGTACTGAGACTGTAGGTATCTGATCTGGCCAGAGGGAAGTGTTGAGGAATGATATGTAGTATGCGAGAATGACGTATCCGCGACAGATATACTGCATAGATGATGGGCGGTGTAGTTCATGGGTAGATTGTTGGCGTTTACTGTACTGGAACCATACCCAGCATGCTTCTGAGAATATCCAGTTTGAGATGGATGACAGTACATTATCGACGCGGTGGTCATCACGGACCTTGACGGTTGAGCCCTTGTCCGGAGTCAGTCGAAGCACAGAACGCTTGCCAAATGGAGTAACTCACGTATGCGTGTAAGGAAAAATGAGGAGAATGAGACCTTGAGACCACGACCTCTTTCAGGATTTTATGGCGACAGGCGCGCCGCTGCCAAATGGCGACGGTAACTCGAGTATCGTGGTACGTATCGTTGCAACCTATCGAATAGAGATTTAAGCGCGCTCATTGTGTTCACAATCGGGTATACACCGACTCTGTTGCCAGTTATGTCGCCGCATGGCCGTGGCGAGCAGCGGCGCAGTCATTCAGGCCAGTCCTCGATGCTCTCAGGAGTATTCTAGTAGATACACGTGCCCAGGAGGCGGAGTTCAGGGCCGCTGACAGACAATCGGGCCTTCCCAGGTTGCTGTCGGCAGTCAGCCCGATTTCAATAACATATCTCGCGTTTACCAGCGGCGCACAACTTTTGTACAATTCTAACAGAGAAGACATAGAAGGAGCACTTTGCTTGGTCGGACCTAGTCCATTGTCCACTCCCATCGAGCATACTCCTCGTCCCAACGAATAACCCAGGGATAGGTCTGTTGCTTTGTCAACGGAACCATTTCCCACTGCCCTCTCTCCTCGACATATTCGACTGCAAAATGCTTGAAGATGACGCCTTCTGTTTGGTCAGGCATTTCGACCTTGGCATCTTTCTTTCCAAAATCCAAATTCTGAAGCGTCCGCTCCTCGGACACCAACCTCCATCGAGCTTGAGTAGGATTCCAAACCGTACTTTTGCGCAGGCCGATAGAATTTCCTGCCGGTGGAATCCATTCCCAGGTGTCCTCAAGCACGGGCGAGGTGTCAGTATTCATGGAGCTTTCCATGGTTCCAACTCGAAGGAAAACACGCCCACCGCGGAGTGGCTGCGGTAGACTACTCGGGACGAGTCTATCAAGACCTAGAGAAGTGCTCGGGGAAATGTCCTCACGGACCGACGTGCCACTCCCAGATGTCGACGAACCCGCGGATTTTTGATAGTTCATGACAAATTGTTGATTGGAGGCATCGCCAGACGCATCCATTGGGCTGAGAGTACTCCGGGTCCCATTCATTCGCGTTCGTTTCGCTTCCCTCACTCCTGTGCCATCATCCTCAACGTCCATCAAATCCGGTGAGTCGCTTCTGATCCTTTTGAGGGACAGGATTGTCGAGGACTTTGACTCTCTAGTCGTAGCTCCTCGTCCATATCGATTCGTGGTATCTGGAAGATGGTGATCCACCCACTCATCCGAAAAGCCGAGAGTAGAGTCAGCTCTCCTTCCGTCCGGCCCAATCACTTCGAAGAGTACCCGACGGCCTGAGATGATCGTCAATGGAGAGAAAAAGCAAAGAGAAATTCGTCACCTGTCTCTCGTGTAGCTATACGCAGCGTGCTCGTGACCATAGCCCAATTCATCGCAGTTGCCATTTCCTGCGTCCATCGCGCAGGATTGGATCTGTCGTCGACTTGATCCTCGGTGATAAAGGGAAGGCAGACATAAGGAACGCCGCGGAGATATTGCCTACGCTCTGCAAGAAGATAGGGAAGCCCTAGCCAGGGTATGGGTATGGCCACGCTCGTAAGCGCATGTCGCTCTGTATCCTCGTCAATGTAAAGCCAAACTCATCAAGCTTAAACGTACCAAAGAACCGATTGAATGCCAATAAGAACGTTGTCATGTTAAAGTTCGTTGCGTCTGGCTTTGGGTATCCCAAAGGAGGCCAACGACTTTGCGGAGTCGTCGATGAAGCCAGTTCGTCAGAATTGGGCAGTGACCTCTGCTTTCCTTTGAATGCATGTCGTGGATGCATAGCTGGCCGAGCTTGGGGTGTGGTGGAGTAGTGCATTGGAGAATGTGGAGGGTATTGATATCCGTAAGAAGACGACACCTCACTGTAAGGCGTCGAAGTCCCAGACCTATACGATGATTGGGGTGGTGAGAGTGGCCTTTGAGCCGCACGTGAGGCGGCGCTATTGGCAGACAGAGTTCCAGCTTCGAACATCTGCTTCGCCATTGCTTGCGCTCTAGCCATACCAAGCTCCGAGTCCCGTCGCCTCCTGGCACTTTCTTCGTGCCTAGCAGTTCTTCTTATGGGCACCTCTGAGAGCATAATTCCAGATTTCTCGGGTTTCTCGGGTTTCTCTTTCTTCCTGTGTGATTCCTTGAGTTTGATCGCTGCTGCTACTGCGCGCTCTTCGCGTTGGCGTTGGCGCTCCAAGGCTGCTTCCTTCTTCTGAGCTAGAGAAGGGTCGGGTATGTTGAGTGCAAGCCAGTCTTCTGAATATCCGAGTGTCGTGTCCGCAAGCACTCCTGCGGCATCCACTGTCTCGAAAAGAACGATGCGTCCGGGCTCACGAGGAAGAATTCGCATACTGCCTGAATCGAGCACAGTCTTCATATGAGAGATAACGTCACCACTCCATACCGATGGGTGACTGGCCTGGAACACGACTTTGTCGTCCTTGATCTTCGGCAGCGCGCCTGGGTGAAACCCGGTAATATACTTGTTTTTCTGGGCGAGTGCCTGCGGAATAAGCGCCCAAGGGACCTCTGATCCGTCTTCGTTGATATCGAATTCGGCTAAGCAGATTAGTGGGCGAGGTCAAATCTTACTAATTTTGCTTACCAATTCTTCGCATAACCCCCGTCGAAACTTCCACTCTGAGCTGCTTACGCTGTTGACGTGGATCGTCTGAACGCTCCTTTGTCTCCTCTTCCTCTTCGCCAGTAGATTCCTCGACGATCACCCAGCCTCGACCCTTGGTTACAACAGCAGTCGCAGAGATAGCTTGCGCCTTTTCTAGCTGTTTTGCCTCACGACGCTGCCGATTGAGATGCCTATCGGACATGATGATGGGCGCTTGGGTGAACCGCTGTAACCAGGCAGGAGAGAACTCTAGAGTGGACTCTTGCATCGTTCCGTCCTCTTGTTCAATTTCAAAGAGTATCATCCTGTCTAAGACGGAATTAGGATGAAGCTCTTGCATGTGTTATGGGCCTACTGGGATCACGCCTGACCAACCGCAGCTTCTCAGCCTTTGAGGCATCCAGAAATTTCTGTATTTGCGAGTCTGACCATTTTGAGGGGATACAATTAGGATCGACCTGGAGAGACTGAGATCTCTGAACAGTTGGATGGAGAATGACTCACTTCGTCGTTTACAATATTCGGGGCACAGATTGAAGGCAGACCTGACATGCATCGCTTCCGTCTTGCTAAAAGTATTGGTAACTGGAGCCAGGTACTGTCAAGTCCGCTCCAAGGAATATTACAGTCTCCTACTCGACATAAGAACGAACCATGGAAAATGGGTCGTACTCACGGCACAGACGCTTCAAGGCTCTCGAGATTTCTCTGCGCAATGGCTGCATGCTATCCTCTGGATCATCACTCGACGAATAGTCCGAATTGTCTGCTGAACTGTCATCGCCACTAGCGTCTATGATTATCAGTGTGAGAGAAGTGAATTTAACAGGGTTTAATACTCACTATGAGATGACACATCGTCCCGCACGTTCATCCCTCGTCTGCGATGACGCTCTCGTTTGCCGAATCGAGGTATCGTGGTCACATTGCCCGCGTCGTCAAAGGCTTCAAAAATAATGTTGGAGCCTATGGAGTTTTAATACCAATAAATTACACGCCAGAAAGTCGTGGCTGCAGTGCGCCGCGGCACGTTGTTTCAGAGCAACGGAAGGCTCACCATGGGGTCGTGGATGAACGGACACCAGATTATTGTCTAGGGCTTTGCGCATAACTTCTACATTCTCATCGGTCCACGGCGAGCGCAGATTCATCGAGATGCGCTCCTCGACTGTTTGAGCTGGCGAATCAAAGACAATCTCGCGAGGAAGTCGCACAACAACACCGCGGTCCCATACATGATCGGGAAACGCATTCCATTTGATATATCGGTGTCCATTTTGGGGATGGAGATAGATGCCCGCGGCAGCTGAATATTATGTAAGTAAGGGGCGCTCATAAATCTCTAAAAGTCCTCCAAAGCTCTTTGAAAGGTAACTTTCGCTCCAAAACGAGATGCTTCGACGGGAGTAGGCTCCATCAGAGCCGAAATTTCCGGCCACGCGTCGTGGAAACGAGCACTCTTACCGAGAATATCCATGAAGCGACCCACGACTATCTGTTTTTCCGAGGGTATGGCTCGTGGAGGCATATTTGAGTTCAGCGCAAGAGTGGTTCGGGACGAAGTTTGTTACCACCGCTTCCCAGTAAAAAACAATGTAACCCACAAACATACAAAATTAATGGACGGTTATTCAAGTTTTATTTGTCTCAGTGCGTGATGCTAAGCAGGACAAAAAGGTCTCTAGGCCTGCCTTAGAGGCACCAGGGCCGAGAGCACAGCGGCAAAGCCCTTATGCAGGCCTGATAGTACCACGAGGTGTAGCTAGAGTCCTGTCTATGTTATCCAGCATCCCGCAATAGACTGCCCCGACCGTCTTAGTCAGCTCCGCCTTTAACTCAGAGTAAATCATATTGACACAATGAACAAGAATCTGAAGTTTACAAATCTTCTCAGCTTATGGTGACAATTGGCATATTAAACAACTCGGCTCTCTTGAATCTTGTCGACAATGATCTGGAGGTAGCTCAGTTCACGAACATTCGAATGTTGCGAAAGATATACTTACCTCTATATCGTGCGATCCATGAAGTGAGCGCTTGTCGGGCAGGGCTCGATGCACCTGAATTCCGTCGAGGTGGAAAACCTCTCCTTCATGCGGACGGCAGGGCACTGAGCCGATAATATTGGCCGCGGAGCCTCTATTTGCGCTGCCCCCGAGCCTTCGAGAACCAGATTCGAGGCCGCTGAGTGTGTTGGTGATCCGGCTAGAAACGCTGCATTGGATCGACTTGCGAACATTGAGATTGGATAACATTGTAATGGTATAAGCGCGGCCAAGACAAAAGGAAAAATATGCAGAGTCGTTTGTCTCTGGTTTGGCGAGGAAGATGGAGAGAACAAGTGCTGCGAGTATGGTTGTAAAGGTGCCCGACTGCACAGCGATATAAGCGAGGCGCGTAAGGACCTGCTTCGTACTACGTAAAGAGGTACGTTTCGTGGCTTGGAGCAAAGTGATGACAAGGGAGACGACGATCAAAATGTCGGCAATACAAGAGGAGCCGAGCCAGATGCTGCGGTGAATGAACAAAGATCAAATAAATAATTTATTCACGTACGTAGCAGCAGTCGTTGCTCTTTCGCGATCCGTATACGAGTCGAACAATATGAGTACGCAGCCGACGTAGCATCCTCCAGCGAGCTGGAGAATATCAGCAGAGCCTTTGGACGACGTATATGCATACAGCTGTCAGCGTGCAGATGAAGAGCGCACGGTAATGATCGACTGCCTCGAGCTAAATAGTGTCAGCCACTCGTTCCGCCAATATAGCTCCTTGCTCACAGATTGTAGTACCGTATAATGAGAAACGACTGTACCAACGCCCCGACGGCGGTCGTGCAAAAAACGTACGTAGGGGTCGGCCAATACTGCTTTGCAAGATAATCAGCCTCTCCTATAATTGGTGAGTCACGATTCATGCAGAATAAAGGAGAGGTACCCCAATGCTGAACGTCTGACATAAACACCCAAGCGCAGATAGCAATCGTACAGACAGTGTCTGTAAGAAAGCAAAGGGAGACAAAGAACTTGACGAGCTTCTTCTCGCTACTCCAAAACTCCTTGATATAAAAGTACAACAGCACAATCTCCAGCATGTAGAGCATACCTAAATAGCGGTGAGAATACACAGTTACTCTACTGTGATGGTAACCCACAGTTGAGCCAAGAACCGCCGGTAATACCGCTTCAAACGCATCAGCACAGACGTGGCTAAATTAATGCCGACTCACTTCAAAGCAGGTCCAAACTGATTCATCTGATCTACTATATAAGTGGGATGACTTTCGTAGAGTGGCGTCAAGTCGCTGGCGATGGACGAGGTACTCTCTTCCGAGAGATGGATCGGGGTTGAATCCAGTCTCTGCACTTCAACGATTATCTTGAGCTGCCTTGAAATGAAAAGCGAACTGAGTGAGCATCGCGCCGTGATGGGGAACTGGGTCCTTCATTGATCTGCGGATCCACTGCCTCTGGGTCGAATTGCCAATAGCACGCTACGGGCCAAAGATAAAAGATGGGATGCATATGCCTCAGAAATCTCATGTGCTTCCTACGATTCAGTCGTAATCTAATGCAACCGTGCGCTCCAGATGTTCATGCCATTCTCCCACGAGACCCCTCCTCAGGGCTACGGGATATCATTGAAGACTACAACACATCACGTATAGTTCAAACTATGAATTACCTAGTGCGTTTCTTCATGTAAACCAAGCAAGAGTGTATTCAGTCAACTAGCTACAGAGATGATGTGTTGAATTACTTTTACGGGTATGCATAACCCTGCAATGTACCGTCTCATCTTCCACATCCTCTATTTGTGGTAATACACACCTAAGGTCTGGAGCTCCTATGAGGTGGTGACCGGGTTACGCACGACCACGGTGCGCGTCACCACCAACAGGGTTTCGTCCCGGATCCCGACACTCTCCAAGGTCTCGGTGTCTTCCGCAGTAACTGCCTCTGTTGATATCCATAGGTTTTGCTGATACTCTGCGACGGCAAACGTATCCGCAAGCTGCTGCTTGAGGTCGCCGACTGTGGTCGACCTGGGGAGAGTAAATCTTCGATACTCTGGCGGTGTCTCTTCAATATTCGCCGATTCAACGTAGCATGCGGTGAATGAGATATGAGAGGCGTTGGTTCTTTGCAAAGGACTAGTCGGAGGCGCCAGGCGGTCTAGTGGTGGCGGCTTTGGAATGAAACTTTGTATGCGTGGACGAGATACTGTTGGAGATGGTGTCTGCGGAAGAGTAGAAGTGGATGGAGCTCCAGGCGTTGGGAGCGGTCGGCTACTTCGAGGGCGAGTTGTCGTCGGAGGGGTCGAGGGGGTATCCAAGGATTCTCTTTCTTTCTGTGCCGGTAGAGAAATGGATATAGACTTGTCAGAAGGGGAAATAGAGGGACGTATCGACGAAATGGTTGGGCGTGACGTCGACTTTGGGCTTAGTGTAGGACTTCTGATGGTCGGTATCGCACGCCCGACGACAAATATGGTGTGAACAGTAGGTGATAGACGACTCCAGTTATCCTTGTCGAGCACGACTCGATCCATGCTGAGATATTGGCATGAGAGTTCTACGGGTTCGTTTGTCGGGATTACAAATGTTTCCCGTGCTTGCTGTACCGCGTCCTACAACGGAAACTTGTTAGTACGATTACAAAATCGAGATGCCGGATTATTTTTAACCGTACCTCATACGTAAGAGGCCTGTAAACGACCGCGGGTGTATCGTCATGAACCATGGTGATTCTCGACATTTTGATGATACTTTCATCATGGCCTAAATTTAGACTGGATTTTGGTGAGGAGCTCGGCGAGTTGCCCATCGAAGTTCGAATCCAAGAAGCGCCTCGAAGCGCTGTGTCATGTACGGACACTAGCAGTCATTCTAAACAAGCTCTTTAGCACTACTATTGGGTTTTGTTGACCACCCGGGCTCACAAGAAATGGTTCACGAAGTGGAGGAATCCAAGTTGACTGGGTGTTTTCTCTCCTGAATTTCCGACTTGCATTATCGTCACGAAACGTGTATGGGCGTTTATCAGTCATCGAATTTATACCGCTTGACTGTCTACCGGCACAATTGAGACTCCCAACTGCAGCGTTCTGATCAATCCTAGTATTCTAAACTGCCTCTCATTGATGACGTAGAAGCCAAGTAGTATTCTCTGTGATTATAGCGCTGCTTACTGTCCGTCAGGAGTGGCCACCCATCTTGACCTTCCCACTGCCCGTGAAGCTAGGACATAATCGCGCCGTCACGCGTCCCTCTACGCGATTTATATTCAAAGCGCACACAGACAAACAAAACGACGTCTTTTTGCACTTTTGTCACGCCCGGATCAACGAAGTCGTCGCGTGAAGACACGAAGACAGGCGTTTCGCTCCAAAGCCGGGCTCATCAGGTTACAACGTCATACAAGACGATGATACAGACCGACTGGTTCACATACGAGGGTGAACGCAGACAGATGCGCCGCCACCCATCGCTCCAGGTCGGCACGTCAGCTTGGTTTGACAGCGAGGATACTGATTCAGACATTAGGATCAGGTTCTACATGTGCGTACCGAATTTGGGATTCCGGTCACAACAGAGGTGTCGCTACTCGTCGACTGGGTTGGGCACGTCTTTCCCGCAACGAATGAGACGTTTGATTCGCTATCCCTCGGCTCTTCTTGTCTGCCTTGTCAAGAATTCATTGTCGCGACGTCGCCAATCGCCGCCGCCACGCTCACCGTCGCCACGCTCAAGCACAAGGCTCATCTCGACGCAGGGACTAGGTCCAAAGCACGCCGCCTTTCCACGTTTCTGCGGCCCTCGTTCTTCTACATCCGGAAAGCTGTGCAAAAGGTTAGACGTATCATCATTGGAAGGAAACCTAGGCCAAACCGTGTATATGTGGTGGCTAATCAACAGTATGACATCGCGAGCAGCTATATAAGAAGCAACCGAACATTCTTGCAGCAACTAGAGGACAATCTCAAGACTCAGACGCAGAAGGCTCGTAAAGGTGACCACCGTGTTCTCTCGACATCTTATCCTGAACATGTCGAAGTGATTGAAGAAGAAGAGGAATTCCAATTTGAAGAGGCAGAGACCATCCATACGACGTCGCAAACGAGCATTCATACGGTACACTTTGATCAGGACCCTGGTATTGACCTTCGAGTATCACGTTTCGAACAAGGTGTGGAACCAGATATTCTAAGAGACGAGGTCGGGAATGGTTCAGTGTCTGAAGGAGTGAAGGGTGAGATGTTGAGCGAGTTTGGGATGCTCGCTTATCCGGCGGCGTGATCCAGTTTCTTTAATTCCAGTACGATAAAATGTGCAATTGAAATGAACAACTTAGCACTATGAACGCGTCGCTTGTCATTTTCCGGTCTTTGCTTTGGTGGGTGAGACAGCCTAGCATAAACGTAATTCTAGAATATGATAATTGCATATACTCTGGTGAATATTTCTCTGAGATTTATGACGGGCAAAAAGGGTGGCTCACGTGATCTGGATTAAGGTTTGAGGCGGCGACCCCCAGACACCGCGGCGTTGTATATAAGCTCTGGTCGAAATGCACAATTCGGCCATCAACCGCGTTTTCGCCCCACTTTCAAAACTCGCCTTGAACACTCGCATCTCCCATGGCCCGCACTAAGCAAACCGCCCGCAAGTCTACTGGGTCAGTTAATATTCATAATTAAATATAATAAATTATACTGACATTGTTTACAGTGGCAAGGCCCCTCGTAAGCAGCTCGCTACCAAGCAAGCCCGCAAGACGGCCCCCAAGACGGTCGCTTCTGGTGTCAAGAAGCCCCATCGTTTCAGGCCAGGAACTGTCGCTCTTCGTGAAATCCGTCGTTACCAGAAGAGCACCGAGCTCCTCATCCGCAAGCTCCCCTTCCAGCGTCTCGTTCGTGAGATTGCCCAGGACTACAAGGTATGCAGTCATTTAGAATATTTGTGTGATACAAGTGCTGATAATGCCTTTTAGACCGACCTCCGCTTCCAGTCGTCGGCTGTCCTCGCTCTCCAAGAGGCCGCAGAGGCTTACCTCGTCTCGTTGTTCGAGGATACCAACTTGGCTGCCATCCACGCCAAACGTGTTACCATCCAGCCCAAGGATCTCCAGCTCGCTCGTCGCCTCCGAGGAGAGCGTGCCACATAAGCTCGCTTCTGGTCCTCTTTCTCGTTCTTTTTTTTCGATGTAGGACTTGCTAATTTGTACTACAATTTATTTCTTGCCTCGGATTTGTCGTGATCTAAACTTGATACAAAGGCGTGGGTGCATATCCAGGGAAAGTGGTGTCAGTATTCTTAGTCGTAACTAGTCTTGGGCGGACATCCGAGGCTATCAGATCGCTGTCGTCAGGTCCAAGTGGCAAGTAGGCTCCTATTCTAAGATAAGGAACTATCGAATGGTCCAGGAGGCCTAGCGGATGTCCGTTGCGCGCTAGAACCCTCCGAGTCACAGTCGCACGTCCGAACTCTTAAGCCCCATGGCGAATAGGGAAAGAATACAAAACTGTACGTTGAATTCTCGCACCGATCTGGCCGGCGAAGCAGAAAGACGCGGGCTGACAAATTCTCTCAGGTCGACCAGTGGCGACATTAAAATGACAAAGCGCGTCATGACACGTCGTTTGAATGAGCGTCGAAAACGGCGAGGCTGAATCAGCACCCGTCTACGCGTTTATCTGGCTCGTCTGGCTGGTATAAAATCCCCTGGTTGGAATCCCATCTCCCACCCATCCGTTTTCGACATTGCAACAGCAGAAATGGAGGTTCAAACTATCGACTCAAACGCACCTACTGCTGTCCCGACTCCTCGTGTGTCTAGCAGCCCGCTCCCCACAAAGGACGGCAAGGGCAAAACCGACGGCGCTGTCGTTCTCACTACAACTAATACTATCGACACACTCACAAACGAGGTCGATGCAAGCAATGACGAGGTGGGCAACCAGCCCGACCTCGCGACCGTCTCGACTCTTCGCAAGATTTCTCTCCTCATCATGTTCACACTCGCAGAGTTTCTCGACGCGTTTAACAATTCGGCCCTCTTCCCTGCTATCCCACCCTTGACAGAGGACCTCCACTTTCTCGTCTCGGAGACTGTCTGGGTCATCAGCGCCTATCAGCTCACGTTTGCCGCGTTCCTATTAGTGGTACGTACAGTCTCTGAAATCCCCATCTTACAACGAGGCTAACGCGACTCTATTTAGAGCGGACGTATTTCTGATGTGTACACGCCCAAGCCAGCCTTTATTGCTGGTTGTCTCATCCTTGGCATTACTCATCTCATTGGCGGTTTCACACATCAAAAGATTGCCCTCCTCGTCCTCCGTGCGCTCGGTGGTATTGGTGGCGCCCTCACCATTCCCTCTGCGCTCTCCCTCATCGTTCAGCTATTCCCGGAACCCACTGCTCAAGCACGTGCCATCTCCCTCTTTGGATCAGCCGGTGCGATCGGTAATATCCTTGGTGTGCTCATCGGCGCCGTGCTCGTCCAATACGCTGGCTGGAGCTGGATCTTTTGGTTTGTCGCCATCGTCGGGATCAGTATTGCCATTGTCTGCTTCTTCCTCATTCCCAACGCGAAGCGTGACCGAAGCAAAAAGGTCAACTTTGACGCGACGGGCGTCACCATCCTAACAGGTTCGTTATTTCTTCACAACCAAACACTCTGTGCTCATAAGATTTTTTTTTCACAGTCGCGGTCATTTTGTTCATCTTTGCCGTCACCTCTGGCTCGACAAAAGGATGGGGTACCGCCTATGTGCTCGCCCCGCTCATCATCTCCATCTTCATCGTCGCTGCCTTCTTGTTCTGGGAAGCGCGTATCCCCGCCGATGACGCTGTCCTTCCACCGCGCATGTGGCGCTATCGTAACTTTGGCGTCCTCGTCGGTCTCGCGCTCTTGCCCTACTTTTGGTGGGTCACCTCGTTTGTGCTCATCACTGCCTGGTGGGAGCAAGTCTTTGGCTGGTCTGCGATCAACACTGCCGTCCACTTCCTCCCTATGGGTATCGGTGCATGGCTCATCTCCAACTTTACCGGTCGTTTCCCCAAGTGGTTCCCGCACAAATATATCCTCTTGGCGGGTCTTACTCTGGCCATCATCTCGACCATCTTGCTTCCCTTTGCCGACTCGCCCGATACTTATTGGCGCTTCACATTCCCAGCATTTACGCTAGGTACGATTGGCATGATGATCGTCTACGCCAACTCGTCCATTGCCATCTTCAGCTACACGCCTCCCTCGGTCGCGGGTACAGTCGGCGCCGTATTCAACTGCGCACTCCAGCTTGGTTCGGCGGTAGGTCTCGCGGCCGTGTCGAGTATCTCGACGTCTATCGACGAAAAGGTCCGCCTTGAAATTCCGCTTGACCAGTGGAAGAGCCGACTTGGAGAGATTACAGACGCAATGTGGAAGGAGGCGTTCAAAGGACGCGCTGCGTCTTTCTGGTTCCTTCTTGGAATCTTGGGCATCGAGGTCATTGCTGTCCTCGTCTTCTTCAAGGTTAACATCCCGAACCATGAAGAAGAAGGCCACCGTGAGCATGCTCCAAAGTCCGACGTCGAGGCTCCCGTGCAGGAAAAGGAAAAACATTAGGCTATGCAAACTAATCGTCTCGTCTTGTAGCTTTCATGGTTTTTAGACATGTATCTTTATCATATTCTAACATGATCTTTTGTCTCCTATTTGCTGGCTTGTCGTCGCGTGACAGCCGTCGCTTGACAGACGGCCAAACAAACCAAAGGTTGGACCTGACTTCGACAGCTATAGGCTGTCACTAGTCCTTTCCCCAACGCAAATGCCCGACGACACTGTTTGTCGTCCAGCTTGACGGTCAGAATGCCACAAAGGCCACCGTCGATCATCTGGGAAGGCAACGACAGTGTCGTCGGACATTTACGAGGGAATCATTTTACTGCTATAAGCAATAAGCAAAATATACTCGAATAATATATTCTTTGACATTTAAACCTCGTTTTTGAACTGGGCCTACTAGCTCGAGCACGAGAGTCCAGCTGTGACGCTTTCGAGGCTGGTGTCGCTGCTTACGCTTGTCTTGTCCATGCCTATAATGGCAGATCAGGAAATGCTGATAAATGAGATCCGGTATCCCACTTTTCATCTTACCCCGTGATGTACCAATTGGGACGACATCCAAAACTCTGATCTTCGATTACGGAATGTAACCTCTTGAAGGCAGCAAAGCACCCGTATCGTACTCAAATCCGGCTGATCTCGGATTCGTCCCGGGGCTCGATGTTGGGTGAACGACAGGGAGTGGTGCATCTAGGATAGAAAATTTATTTGGGTATGTCAAAGGACACTAACCGAAAAGCTCCGGTGTCGAGTCGTTCACGGGTGAATGCGAGCGCACATGATGCGCACATGATGCGCGGGCCAAGATGTGGAAGCTCATGGTGATGGCATACATCTAACCCATTTCTCAGTAAGGGAAGGCCGGGAAGAAGGCGTATGCATTCAACTCAGGCTTCAACTTTCCAGTTCCGCATCGAGGGAGACCCTCCGACAGCTCGAACATTATAGAGAACATTGACAGCCGGTTATCTTTGTCGCACATTCCACATGTCGGTTCTGACTGAATGAAAAATGGAATGTAGTGACGACGAAGCTGCGTGATCATCTGAATGTGAAATTGCAGGGGCAGTCTCTCGGCCCTCCGGACTGAAACCGAATCCGGTGATAAACAGCTCGTGCAATTAGAAACACTAGTAAACGAGACATCGTCCTCGTAATTCTCATTCTCATTCTCCATTGGCTAGCTAAATTCGATTTGGGAAAATGTTATATGTGGTGAATGAATTGCGGGCGAGTAGTGTGGGCTGGCATAACCAACAGCAGGTGAATCCTCAAAATAAGGTTAAAAAAGAATATCTCTCAAGCTTGGAGATGACAAGGTCGGCGTCTTAGAGATTTGCAATGACTCTAAAGCTTATCCAGGTCGTTTATATTGAGAGCTCGAGTAATATCGTGATATTTATCTGCGAATTCCGCATGTTTGCTTGCACGTTAGTTCAATCTGAACACTCACACTATCTCTCCTCTTTTTTTTTTGGCCCTTTCCTTCTGCCTATGCAAAGCGCGTGCTGAACGTTTCAACAACCCGCAACAGTTTCCAGGTCCACGGCAGTCACACCGGGCCAAATCGTCCTTCGTGACATTTCTACATCTTTTTTTTTTTCGAATTATTAGACTTTTCTGAAGGTTTCGACTGATGGCCCCTTGGATATCTGGCCATTATTCTAGCAGTGGCGAAATTTATGGCTAAGTTCAAAACTTCGCCATCCCTAGGACACACTTATAGGCATCCAGTCTTCATATATGTCTTGCTTCAGACCGAGACTGTCTTTCGATGCTTCTGCGCATTCACTGCGGAGTGAAGGATCAGGCCCGCGTTCGGTATTTATTGCGGATATGTGCTTCCAGGGCGGAATCCAGCTCGCAATAGCTGGCTTCAAAACTCAAATGGAGTATTCTGAATGCTTCTACTCAGCCTTCTCGCGTATTTCTCTTCCCAAAGTAGGCAACACTCATTATCCCACCACCGTCGGAGGGATCATCCCAGCTGAACGGGCTGACGTTGCTCAGGGGTCATGGAACGACGCCTTCTCCCACTCGTCATTTTGAATAAAACTTGGACCAACTAGATGCGGTGCCGCATTGGCAATCATCCGCTACAAGTATAGGTTGGGTGACTAGTCATCCTTGTTACATATCTCACAGCTTGGGTTGACCTGTATAGAAAACAGATTGCATAGACGACGAAGTTGGGTCATGGTCTGCAGATGGCATTGAAGGGCCACTTAGTACGCACACAGTTAGCCGCGCGCGGAAGACGGCAATGATGAAACACCGGTTACCCGTCTTGATGATTTGCACTTGGGTCAAGGAGTGGTAGCTTCGAGGAGATGCCTTGGTTTGCGTCTCTATCGTTGAAATGATGGGGAGCGTGTGGGGGTTTGGTTACACACTCGAAATACCCTGAACCATCAGTATGATAAGCTTTTAGGTTGTTTTCTGCCCAGAATCACGCGATATTCATATTCCTCATTTGTAGAAGTTGCAGTGGCTTAGACGATAAACAATTAAACACGCTAAGACGATGCAGAAAGCAACCGACTGAGGTGAACGCACATGCCCAGATTCCTCGCAAGTTTCACCACCCTTCGTGAGTGGTATATTTCCCGCGCATGATCCCCGTATCATAGAAGAATATCCCCTTCGGTAATCGTCCAAGGGATTCTTTCGATAGCGATCCGGAAGAAGCCTTGGTGCTTCTGTAGAAAATTTTCCTTACCTACTGGAAGCGCATTGGAAGGGCACCGTGAAGCCAAAAATGTGATGAGATCTCATGGAGGGGCAGTCGGATGGTCTTTGCTTCGTCGATGCCCCGACCCAAAAGGCGCCCAGTTGCTGTGAAAATCATGGAAATTGTCATCGAGTGCACGACCTTTTCACTATCCATGTTGGAATCGATTCTGCTGTTGTCGAAATGGGTGGCATTACCAACTTGAACTCGACCTCGATGTTCGTCGACGTCTAATTCCACCAAATCCCAGCCTGCAGAATAATCCGCTACTACTGAATCGTTTTCTCTCTTTTTTCACGATTTTCACGCACAACCCACCACGGCTCATAATCAACCTCCTCGTCTCACCCGCTGCAAGCCATTATGGTGCGTCCTATCGTTATATCAGAGATTTATTGGATTGATTATCATTCTGCGTCAATGTAGTCTACCTCGAGACGAGCGATATCCCAGACGGACTGGGACGCCCGCATGAACGAAGCAAAAATCTCCAAGCGGTACGTGCGCCACTTCCAGTAATCTGAATGAAGAGAAAATGATAATGGGAATCTCGCTGATCTACGGAGTTGACGAGATTAATCAAAATCGCATGTATTATCTGACGCCCTCGCTTTATGGTCCCTCTCGACAGTTTGGGATGGTCGCTGACCAATGTTCTTGACTCTAGGGATCTCAATCGCATCGTCCTTGACTACCTCATCCTCGAAGGTTATCAGAGCGCGGCCGAATCCTTTGCAGAGGAAGCCGCGCACGACCTCCCCACCAATGCGGCCCAACAAGTTGAAAATGCCAACATTGAGAGTCGCGTCCAGATTCGCGAAGCCGTCGAGCGCGGCGACATTCAAACCGCCATCGAAATGTGCAACGACCTTGACCCAGAGGTATGCACTCCAGTTCCTCTCTTTCATCTCAGGATTAGACACTTCATGCACCACTCTCAGACTTCGGTCTGTGATGACAACACGAAACCAAAAACTTCAGTCTTCAATATGATCTCTTCCCCACTCTACCATTAGAGCTCGAGCTGACAATGCATTTCCCGTAGATTCTCGAGACGCACCCCGCACTCCACTTCCACCTGTTAACGCAGTCTTTGATCGAACTGATACGGGAGGGGCGGACCGCCGAGGCATTGACTTTTGCCAGGGTGAGGACGGTTCACTTTTTGTCAGTATTTTGACTTACGATACAACGCAGGCGCATCTAGCGCCTCGAGCTGAGCGAAACGAAGAGTTTCTCAAAGAGTTGGAGAGTGTAATGTGTCTGCTTGTCTACAGTGCTACACCCACAGGTGGTATGTCGCCGAAACTTTTGTGTCACGCTCCCTCATAGATTTCCAGCAAAGGGCAAGGAGCAAACGGGCAATTCTAAGAAGTCAGTAGAGATCAATGCCCCTCAATCCTTACTCGACCTCCTCTCGATGCAACATCGTTCCCTTACAGCTTCGGTAAGACTCGTTATCTATTCTATTTCTTCCGCTAATCTCTCTCTCAGGAACTCAATGACGCGTTGCTCTCCTCGATGTCGCTTGGAGGTCCAAGAAGAGAACCGAGGCTAGCCGGGCTCATGCGCTTATGTTTCTGGGGCGAACGTGTTTTGGATAGTCACGGAATTGACTTTCCGCGACTAACAATCCCGAAAGGCGAGGGGGCAGGCCTGGATTCTTCACAGTCAGAAGCGGCCAAGGAGTCGAAATAGAGATCTGTATTGTTCCCTGTATTGTGTATTCGTTGCGTGTAACATGTACGACAGTTCTTGAAGCTATCATTTGTCGCTCTAATTTGGACTCTACCGCACCACTAGTATAAGCCTTTCAAGGACAACCGCGCGGACACAGAGCGTAGAAAATTCAGTTTGTATCCTATGGAGTCTAGAGGTACAACAAGTCAGAACAGACGCAACAACGCGGACTCTAGTTGGGGGTTTGGAAGGAGAGTAGTCCAGATTATCATGAGCATATCATATCAAACTACACGAGTTTATGTTCCACGGCCAGGATGATAGTTGGGCGTGTATGCGACCTCTGGAAGAGACACATCCTGGCCAGCGTATCCATAAGCAGCCGACATGCCCCTATCACCACGGTCTCGGGGATTGAGATAGGCAGCAATGTTCGGTGAGGTTGAAGTGTGTGAAATAGGTGGTCTGTAGGTGTTGGGAGGGCTAGGATATTGCATCGCGTACGGAATGTCGGAGTCTGGATTGGGCTTCTTGCTGATATCCGAGTTACTAGATCCAACGCTCGATGACCTCTTAAAGTCACTGCCTGTCTGCGACGTCTTTCCCTGGTCATCCCACACAATCTTCCTCCCGGTTGCCGTGGGCGAGCCGAGAGACTGATTGTTAAAGGGAGCGACGACATCGAATGGACGGACAGGTTGCGAAAGCTGCAGCGAAGCACGCTTGGTCGGACTCTCGAGGTCGTACTCGTACTCCTTTTCGACATTGACCGTGACGCCGATGCCAATATGGGGACAAACTTTGACGTGCGACTCATGGAGATGTTGTTGGTCATGGAGCGCTGCTGGGTGGCCAATCCTGTTCCAGTCGAGATTCCGAAACGCTCACGAATAAAGGCAGGGAAGATGGAGCTCGCGGGAACGACACGACGCGTTGCGGTGAAGAGGACAGCGTTGACGAATCCACTGAGCATGAAGACCGTCGCGGTGAAGATGGTCACCTCGTAGGGAACCGCCTTGCCCGAGAAGGACGCGAAGCGTGCCGCGGCGATGGGAACGATGAGGATGGTATATGCAACTGGATACCACATCATCTGGCGAGCGACACGCATTACGTGTGTGTTCTGCGATGGATCCGTGACGGCGTTGTACTGCTTGTTGGAGTAGCCCTTTGCGACATGGCGACGCTGGAAAGAGAAGCGCCATCCGGATACGTTGACATTGCCGCGAAGTCGGAGAAAGACGAGGGTATAGAGGATGAAGGAGAGGCCAGCCGACGCGAACATGAAGCAATATTCAAGCGCATACCGTTCGACGGGATACGCAGACGTCATCCAGCACCACAGCCCTGAAATTCCGTAGAACGGACCTTTCTCCTTGGTCGCGAGGACGCCCGGCCCGAGGGAGAGGACGCCACCTAGAATGCACCAAACGACGACAAGGGTCGTGTAGCACACGCCGTCAGGCACTTTGGTTCGGTAGAATAGCAGGAAGAATGTATGAACCGCGATAACGAAGGACCACAGGGCCGTCCCGACGTTTCCGGTTTGCTTAATTGCTCCTTGAGCAACGCAAAGAGAGTTGTTCGTCACACCACCATTACTGATCCAGGCAATGTTAATCAGCGACCCAATACCCTGTGCTAGATCGCATAGGAGGAGCGAAACAAAATAGGCAGCGACATGCGTGCGAACAAAGACGTGATCGTCTCGCGATCCTTTGGTTCGATACGCTGAGATCTAATGAGAGAAGCAGTCAGACTCGGCGTGAAATTCGCGCAGGGATGACGGGTTGGTGGGAACCAGAACTAGGAGAGATACTCACCGCCATGATAACAAGGAGAGCAACGACCGAGAGTAAAGAGAGTGCTCCCGCGGCCACCAAGAGCTAGGAAATGGTAGGTGAGCATTCGTGACAAAAAGGCGCCGTTCGCCGTTCGAGCCACTTACCCCTACGCCCCTCGCCTCTCCTGGCGAATAGTGCGTCGACATGAGGACTGTGACGTTCGACATGGTGAAGAGAAGAGGAGGAGCGAGCCGAGTCCTGTACGCTATTTACCACGCAATAGCGACAAGGTGCGAACGATCTGCAAGGGGAGTGGTGCTCACGAGCGTGGGGGGAGATGGTGGGAGTTGATGGACAGGCGTCGGAAAAAGGCGCAAGAGTGGAGGGATGTTATAGTTGTGCGTAGCCATGGACTCTGAATGTGGGCCGTAGGCGACTGGCTCTGCGTGGCGAAGGACCCCTCGCGTGGGTAAGTCACATTTCCCGATGTTTTATTCCATTTACAGAAGCAAAGAAGCGTTTATGTAGCCCTGTGCTCTGAAAGTCCTCTCGATACTCTACGAAGAGTTTACTGGGCCTCTCTGGCATTCATCCGCCACTGATAGAGCGCAATAGCACCTCCTGTCGGGCCTTTTGCAAATTCCTTTGCTTGTTTGTGTGCTGGCCCCTTGCCGTAGTGTCCATATGGAGAGGCAGTGCGACACGAGTCGGTTAACCGGCTAAGAGCCATTTGAGCCCCTCAATCTGCAGCTACGCGCAACGACAGTCGCTGATGGACATCTTGAAGTCTCAATACTATAGCACTCAACCTGTCCGGCATCTCCGTTATCATAAACACCAGGTTGCTTGCTCAATATCACGCTCAGTGCCCGATGGAGTTTGCACCAGAACCCTAGCACTCCCAAGGAACGCTTCGGAGAAGAATCGAATACTCAAAGATGCTGATGGAACATGGCCAGGCCGCTGTAGTCGCAAGATTCGCCCTGGATGATAGATGCCGGTGCCGACGACTTGGTCCGGTACTTGTACCTTCTCGATCTCTCGTGGCCAAGGCGCTGTCTAGTGCATGTCAAGTGGAGGAAAGCGGTTAGCTTTGTTCTACATTTATCATGGTCAGGCGAGCGCATTTAGCACACCTCGCTGCGAGCCAGCTCCTTGGACGCCGCGAGACAATACCCTCGCTCATGAATCCAGGAACAATAAAGGTGGGCCCCCAAACATTGAGCGTATCGCGTAGGCATGTGCCATGCGGATGTGACCGAGACGATGATGTCGCGTGAGGGCCACGATTCGTCTAGGGAAGCCAATCACCTATATCCTCTAACGTTTTCGGATGGCGGGAGTAACGAGGAAATGACCCGACGTTGACGACATCTATCAGTCTGTACACAGCGCTCTATTGAACCTACTGAACCGAACCCAGAAGTCGTATCATCGTGTAGAGGCGAGAGTATGAAAAGAGAAGTCTATCCATCCTCCATCAATAATTCCTGCTCTCGGAGCGATTTAGTAATGGGGGTGATGGCCATCGCATTCTTCCGTCAACTTCCTCAAGCAACTCCGAGATGCGCAAAAAGGGATTTGCAACGTTGCCATCCGGGTCGACCGCGTACCCCATGGGATAGGGATAATCACTCGATGCGTCAGAGATCAACGACGAACGAGGACGGGTCATGGGCGCGCTCGCGGTGTCGCTGCTTGTACTGCTCCGCTCGGCATCTGGGGTCGGGCTAGGGCTGAGAGCGCCATGCTTCGAGTTGGATGGGAGAGGCATACATCCTGCAGAGGACGGGTACGCGCCAAACGCGCCGCTTTCCATGGACTGAATCGAGCGTGAGTCGTCTACGTCGCTGCTCGCTTCGACAATCCCGTGTCCGTACGAACTCAGGTCGTCGTCATCCAAGAAGGGGTTCGTGATCCTGATTGTCGCACCATCTCCACCACTACCACTGCCCGTGCTGCCCTGCCGTGTCGAGACGTTGCCGGACCCATTGTGGTGGATCGGATTGAACTTGGGTTTCGTCGTGAGCAGAACAGTACTATGGTTTCCTGGGTGCGAGCTGTTGGTGGTCGAGTACAGACCCGAACTATAGGGCTGCGAGGTGACGGTGCGATCGCTCATTCGTTGATAGTGCGTAGGACCACCATGACCGGCAGATCCAAAGGTGAGCGCACCACTCGAGGTGGGAGTGCTCGGAGACATGGTAGCATCCTCCTCTCGGTAGGTCGAGTAGCGCGTAGCACCCAACGGTGGGAGGTGAGGCGATTGCTCTTTTGCGGGTGGGATGGCAAACACGCTGTCATTGGACGAGCGCTGCAGTTGGAGGTATTCCGAATTTGTTCGTAACGGGCCAGGTGCTGGTCGAGGGGTCGAGGGAGCATCGCTCTCCACGACCGTCTCCATCAAGACACCAGAAAGCGGGAGGGTATTGTTCACCGGGGTTTGAGGGTACGCACTGCCGTCGCTCGTGCTAAACGTACTCCACCGGCCGTTCCAGGTATCGCGGCCAGCGTTTCCGCCTCCGCCGCCAAGATGGGCCGCGAGGGGTGCACGAGAGTTGGCAGACGGTGTCTCGACCATATTTGGCTCGTCTCCAATAATTGGCGACGCGAACGACATGGACGATTTGACACGGACATGACCCTTTTTCCATGGAAGGTTGCCACCTTTGCGCAAAAATGCCAATGGCGACCGCGATTTCTCGTCGCCCACGACTGGGGTTGTGTACCGAGGAGTTGAAGCACCGGATGTGGGTCCACGGCGACGGTAGCAAAGCCAAAGTCCAACGGTGAGCGCGAGACAACCAAAGACGACACCACCGACGACGATGCCGACCAAAACTCCGCGGTTTTGGACGCCACTAAGAGAAAGATGAGTACTTTATCTATAGGAACAGCGAAAACGTACGTGGATTCCGCAGCACCTGGGGAAGGAGCAAGAGCAGTGGGGATAGAGGCGACAGAAGGAGAGCTGGAATGAGTAAAAATAGAGAAATTGGATAGAGTTCCGGAAGTCGTATGAACGGTATCTGTATTCGTAGCATGGTCCGTAGCACTATGCGCGCGTAAACGTCAGCGATCACAACCGCGCGTCGCAAGTTTTTGGGTGGCGTACGAATCGTGAGACTGAGAGTCGACCGTGGCCGCGACCGCGGCATTGGGTAGAGGAGTCGAGTCTGGGTTTCCAGAGCCCTGGTTCGTAACGGCGGCGGCGGGGTTGGTAGGGCGTACAGTCGTGAGGGATATCGTTCCAGTTACAACGCCCAGCTCTCTTGAATGACAATGTTAGCCATGTAACACACTCTGCTCATAAGAGGACTGCATACCCCCATCCATCGTTGTCCTGTCGCTTGCGCAGCACCGAGTCTTGGAGGGCGGCGTCTGGATGGATGTATGCGGCATAAACGAGAGTGGAACCGAGCAGCAGGGGGGCTGCAAAGGCGTTGACGGTGGACCGCATATTCGACACCTCTGATAATCGTTAAAGGAGAGGAAAGGTGCAAAGGTCGAGCGCGCAGTTTGCCCACAAAGCCAGAGGGTCTTATACGGCTTCACGGCCACTCCTAGGATCGCACCGGCGATTGAGTGGGGCGGGAGCGGCGGATGACAGAATCGGGATTAGATCGATTCCGATAGCTATTAGGAATCAAATACAAGGCCCGCTGTGGAGAGTCAGCGGACAGCATGTCTGCGGGTTAGGGCATACCAGCAAAGTGCAAACAGTGTTATCCACAGACAATCACAGACAATCCTTGGTAATCATGATTATTAACCCTTTGATGTTTCGTCCTTGTCGCTGGGCAACTCGAGCGGAAAGACGGCCATCAGCCCGTCTGGCCATGTCCACGCTGGCCCTCAAATTCGACGCATACTGTCCTGTTGCAGATCTGAGTTAGCTCCTGCCATTCACAGCGCTCGTCCGGCGTCCTTTCTCAGCCGCCTGGCCCGCAATAGCATATCTCTCGTTCAAAACATACCCGACAATGCACTACAGATGACATTTGCATTTCATTTGTGACTCTAGTCTTGCGACATGTCGGGGCTTGTCAACATGGCAGCGGCCAACGTTGGACTACAACCACTTTGACGGCCATCGACGACAAACATCCTGAAACACTCTTTTGTTCGTCGCAACGTCGTCGAGTACAAAAGAGGACGGCGGGGATATGCCAGCTCGCTCGTACAGTTAGCAAGGACGAGAGACGGACAAGGCCTCAAACCTGGTTTGGGCAAATCTGGCAGTCTGTACATGATCAACTGACTCTTTTGCTACGTGTAGAGTTGTCTTTTCTGCATGGACGCTGGCATTCTCCGCCAGCCTCCCCCAGGTCAGCAGCGATGAGGAGCGGACAGCCTTGGGATTGCAAGAATCACGTCCTTTTCTATACAACCCGAACACGCTCAACAAACACGTCACCCTTTAGTCAGGCTCCGCCCTGAGCCACCAACGCCCTTTGCAGCGCCGCCCGGGATTATCCATACTAATGCAAGGCAATAGCCTCCATTTATACAACTAGTGCGCGTGGGAGTCGGTGCTGAAGACACCTCTGCAACGAGGACGTTGCGCCGCCTGATGGTATCCACACGTCTGCTCGCCATAAAGGAACAATAGCCTCGAGTGGTATATCAATGGCTCTGGGAGCCTGGAACTTACCCAAAGTCTCTTACTGTAACCATCTGTAGGTGCTACTCGGACGCTCAAAGCTGACGCTGATCCGCGTCTAGAATCGAAGCCCCGTCATGTCTGCGGGTAGCGATTCTCCTCCTGACAGTCCACTCAAGTCTACCGAGTTTAGCGATCACATACTTCGCTCCCTTACGCATATTACCACCGATCTCCGTGAATCGCTCGTCACTGCGCTGTCCGGGGCCTCTTTGGAGTTTAACAACTGGACAGGATGGAAGTCAGACATAGATAATCGCTGCGCTGCCTCCCGCTCCGAATTAGATGCTCTGGAGATGGTGATCAGGCAAATGAGATCGTCTGTTGGCAGGTCGGAAAGTTGGCTCATAGCTGAACTTCTGGAGCTCCCTGCTGCTCGATTGCGCTCCAAAGTGGAAGCGCATGAAAGGGCCTCTCAACAAACGTCCTTCGCGACCCCTTACATGGATCAATTCGGTCAAGTGCTCGGTACACTCATCAAGGGCGTCTCCAGTCTCACTCTACTGGAGGAAGTACTCGCTGCCGGGATGCAGACACAAAGACAAATGGTGAGAGCCTCTGGCCTACTACGCAGCTCCTGATGCCTTCGCCAGGCGAACGCCACTAGTCAAAGCATTCGTCAATCGTCAGCTAGCAGCTGCCGCTCACTAACGGCGTCCAAAACCAGGCTCAGGATCTGTCTGTGCAGGCCTGCAGCATCGTGTCGACCTTTACCTGGCCCATGCCCCTACTTTACTACTCCCCGCGATGTATTTGTCACAGGCGAAGACCAGCCCTCATCGACGCGGGTTCTAAACCCCTGGCAAACCGTCGTTCGCTTCATCTTAACGGGACCCATGACGGAGCTAATGCGGAAATCGCTCACGAGCGATTTCCTTTCCTCGACCCTTGCAACTCTCACTATGCTCGAGCACTTTGAGATTGACCTCGGGCATCCAAACCAACTTGAACCCATGGATTCGACTCCAAAGCAAGACAAAAGCACTCCCGACCCATCTCGCTTCCACATTTGCGGACTATCGTCACTCACTTTGACTATCTCGCAACTCGCCTCCAGTTTATCGCCAACCTCGAGGTACTAGGAATTGAAGAAGTGACGCTTCTCACCTGTCCTCGGAGTGTGGATCCTCAGAGTCAAGGATGGGAAATTCTGACTGATTTTCTCATGTTCAACGACCATCTCCCTTTCCTGCGCGTTCGAAAACTGTATCCCGGTTCTGGAAAAGGTCACGTCGTTTCTGAACTTTCTAATTTGTTACGAAACCCCGTTTGTCTGAACGACAACCCTCCTAATGCTTAGCTTGCACCACCCACTAGTGGCTGGTACGCTCCCTGTTGTGTAGTATAGCGGACTCTCTCCTGACTTTGCGTTGTTGGACTAGGTAGCGACGGATATAAACGGACAAGATCATATCTCCCGCGTTTAGCAAACACCGATCACGATAGAGACTGTTGGCTTGGGCTGCGACCGCTGGAAAAAGTCGGGCAAACGACGAGCACTGCCTATTGATAAAGACCAAGACAACAAAATGCCATGGATAATGCGGAGAGGGAGGAAGTGGCTGCGTTCGCTATTGCGTCGGAGAAAGATCGCCGTACGGTCGCGATGGTCGAAGGAGCGTACGACTTCGGGACCAGAGGGACTGTATTGTCGCGTGACGACCGGTTCCGTATTGCCGTCCAATGGACGCATTATCAAATCGGGCCTTCTTCAAAAGGGCTTGCCCCTCCAAGCTTTTGCGGGTTGGACCATCCCCACGTTTTCGACCTAGGTTCCCAAAATCCTTGCAGACGTCTCAAGATGCGTCTGTCTAGTCATTCTTTTGCATCCGCGTTGTTTCTTTCTTTCCTCGCACTGGCTGGTGCTCGACCTGTCGCAAATGAGCTGGTCGTAAGACAGGAGAATAGCAGGCGAGTCGAAACAATGGATATCAACCTTTTTAGTCTCTAACGCTTTCGATAGTCCTCCTCCCAATACGAGCTCTCCACCACCACAGTCGTCCACAAGTCCTACAGACCGGCCGTCATCCTCGTCGCCAGTCTTAACATCTGTGTCTTCTTCAACATCCTCTTCTGGATCCGGATCATCATCGTCAGTGTTTCTCTTGCTCAACCAAACACTCACTAACGGGCCATGTAGCGTTGTGCTCACATCGCAGGCTACTATCATCTCATCCATTCCATCTGTTACGCTTCAGAGGGGCTCAGAGACCTCCCACCCGACGGAAACTCCTGTTCCGAACACACCCGCCGGGTAGGTGACCTCTCTCGCGGCGACTTGTTCCGCTAATGGCCTCTAGGTTCTTCTCCAACCGTAATGCGACAATCTTGCTTGCCGCCTCTGTTGGAGGAGTCGTAGGCGTTGTCCTTTTGCTCACCTTGTGGATCAACTTTCGTCGTTCGTGGTACTTTCCCTGGAACAAGAAGAAGCAGCGCAACGATCCGTCTCGCTGGAGTACATACTCGTTCCGCGAAAAGCCTAGACTCCCGCTGGGTCGTACTCTCCCTCCGACTGCATCTACGGAGAGTTTTGCCAAGCACGAGGATCCGAGCCATGATGGCCACGAGAGCCATGGACACATGCACGAGTTTGACTACAACATTCCACCCCTTCCTGAAATCCGCATTGATTCGCCGAAGAGTGCACATAGCGAAGCCGGCCGACAAGACTTCCGAAGGCCGCCTGGACTCGAGAGGTTTGGGCGGTCGAGCGGGATGATGTCTCAATACACGGTTGAGTCGGTCTACTCTCAACCTACGGATGCGGAGACACCCGAACCTTTTGCCAGAAGTGGCTCGCGGTCCTTGAAGCGCGTGACATCGAGCTCGAGTGACAATTCGCCTTTCCGATTCGACCCGCCACCACTGACCCGCAATACGCCATTATTGCGCTCAGCTCGCTCGGATGAAGGTCATGGAGCACGAATGTACGATGCATCTGATCGGGATACGTGGGCGCGCGACTCGTTGGACCCAGTCGAGGCGACGTTGCGCACCCTCTCTGGCGCTCGTCGTCCTGGACATGCCAAGGAGATGTCGCATTTTAGCATTGACGAAGAGGACGAAAGAGAGTACGACCGGGCTCAGCGTTCGTTGCCTAGCATCGGGTGGAAAGATACTGCCGCAAACTACGGGATGGTCCAGTCGCCCACTAGGAATCTAGCCTCTACGCTGCTAACTCCCAAGTCGCCTGCAACTCCCAAAAGCATTCTCAAGACGCCGCATTACCAGACGACGAGCTCCCGCTTGGCGCAGACGCGACAGCCATCGCGCATCTAAACCCCAAATCATTGATACCGTGGTCCATTTGTACAGGTCTGACACTGTATTTACTTCATTTTTTCTTCTTTCGTTCGGTCCCCCCCTTTGGATATCCCTCTTCACTGTATCATTGCTAACGGACCGTTTCAACAAGTGATTTTTTGGATTGACTAATCGGCTAAAGAATCAACAGCGGACAGCCACTTGGCGGCACGGCTTGCCATGATACTCGGCGTCGTGAGATATCCAGACGGCTGTGACGTTTACTCTTGGACCTCTCCACCACACGCCCTCTGCGTTTTTCTAGACGCACGGCGCGTTTCTATACTCTACCTTCAGGAGGATTTCTATTAACAGTCACCGTCCAGGCCGTTGGCGTCATTAACGATGGCCAGTTTCCAGCAACAACCATCGTATGCGCCCTCAGGAGGTGCTCCAGTCTGGAATTCTCAACCGTATGCTCAGCAATATGGCGCTCCATCGGGTCCACCACCCGCGCAATGGCAGCAGCAGGGCCAATATCCACCCACCAACAACGGTGCGTCGGGAGGTGACCAGGGAGAGTTCGACAAGTCAAACGATGGCTACGAAAAGCCCCAGCGTTTCAAGCCAAAGAAGAAATGGAACGATTTGCCGTTTCTCGTCTTCTTCGTCTTGACCGTACGTGAGGTATTCTCAGGTGAATCTTAGCTAATATGCATCTGTGCATCCCAGGTAGCTGGATTCGCTACTGTCAGTGGCCTGGCGCTCTACTCGTGGGTCCGGGCAAGCGGTAATGGCGGGGGCCTCGGAGGCAACTCGACAGGCAACAGGTCGATTCTAAACGCGTATGTATAGTCAAGAATGACGTCCTCAACCTCACACTTGTCAGATCTACCGTCTATCTCTTGCTATTGACAACCGCCCTCTCCATGGTGATCACGCTCCTCTACATGGTCCTCCTTCGCGCATTCCCGAAACCTATTCTACATGTTTCACTCATTCTCACTCCGTTTGGTGCCTTGGCCATAGCCATCTACTACTTTTACGTCCGATACTACTCCGGGGCAATCATATTCATCATCTTTGTGGTCATATTCGCCTTTGTCTACATGGGATATCGACGCCGTGTACCCATGGCCGCAATGTTCTTGCAAGTCGTCATCGACATTGCAAAGCATCACAAGATGGGAGTCTATGGGACCGCAATCATCGCCATCATCGCCCAAGCAGGACTCGGTGTATGGTTCTCCTTTACAATCATCGCAACCTACACGTAAGCAGCTCCTCCACTCTCCTCTACTTTTGTCTGACGAGCACAGTCGATGGGGTAACGCCGCTTGCCAAGTTGGTTCGTATCTATACTTGTTTATCCACATATTCTCACACCACTCCCAGGATCCTCTGTCAACAACTCGCGAACGTCTTGCACCAATGCCACGCTCATTGGACTCATCGTGTTCGAGTTCTTTGGCTATCTCTGGATGTCACAGGTCATTGCAAACGTCACCCTTGCGACGCTTGCCGGAGGTCCGTTTGGTAGCTGGTACTACTTTGGTCCCAAAGGTAGGCCTCTTCTCGTTGGTAACTCACCAGCTCAACCCGTATAAAGGCCAAGGCATGCCGCCTCATCCGACTCGCTCTGCCTTCCTCAGAGCATCGACATTGTCCCTTGGATCCATTGCTTTTGGCTCGTTGATCGTCACCATTCTCGAACTCATCCGTGTCCTTCTCAACTTGGCCTCGCAGAGCGCCTCGCAAGATGGAAACCGTGAGTAAGAATCCTGTCAGAATGGCACATTCTCAATGTTCCTTTAGCCATCGTTGCCATCTTGGCCTGCTGCGCCGCATGCTTTGTTGGGTGTATCGAAAGCTTGGTCGAATACTTTAACAAGTATGCGTATATTGAGATTGCGCTCTACGGTATGTCGGTCGAGATATCATTGCATCTTTGCTCACGATCATCAAGGCAAACCGTATATTAAAGCTGCCAAGGATACCTGGCATTTGCTGACAGACCGCGGAATCGACGCCATCATCAATGACACCATCGTTGGCCTAGGTATGGCGCACTCAACAATATCCGACTCGACTGACTCGTCGCCTAGCAATGACCTGGGGAAGTTTCTTCATCGGCCTCCTATGTGTCCTCTTCTCGTATATCTACCTTCGAGGTGTGTTGCATTTTGCAAACAAGCCGCTGTCTTGACATTCCACTTGCAGCCACAAAACCAGCATACAATTCTGATGGCTCATACACGCCCGCCATCCTAGTGTATTCTTGGTTCGTTGGTTTCCAGGTTGCCCAAAGCCTCACATCTGCGATTGATGCTGGAGTTTCTACCATGTACGTCTCCTCACAAGACTCTCTGCACAAGCTAATGCACTCTAGATTTGTCGGACTTGCGGAACACCCAGAGGTATTGCGCAATCGCTCTCCCATGCTTTTCGACGTACGTAGTTGGACAGCGAGACGTACATACTCTCTAATGCACTTCTTAGCTTATTGCTCAAAACTATCCTCAAGTCGTTCATGGTGTTCATGGTACCGTCTGAGATTCTTTCAACCTCATTCAAAGGTCGATTCTGCTTCTGTGATAAACGTAATCGTGAATATAGTTTGTCTATCCATGGATGACCATATTCGGCTCCGGGCGCTCTCGGCCATTCGATAGTTGGACTCGGCCATATCCACCGCTTTCCCTTGGGCGCTACAAAGCTTGGTTTCTACAAAAAAGAGACGCGTATCCTCTGCGTCTATCCAGCGCCCTTGAGTCCCAAACACGCATGACTCTCAGAAGAATCTACTTCTTGAGCTCTCTGATCGGATTCCTGGCGTTGGGGGGCCTCACAGTTGGATATGAGCCTCTAAGAGATTCAGCCACTCATGATAACCGACCACCAGAGGCTCTAGACGACTCACTTTTGCCTCCGATTGACCCATTTCTCCTCAATCCCATCGTTCCCGGATCAAAGCGTGGTTCTCGAGAATACACTCCAGCAAATCTACTGGGAAAACGCCAGAATGTGAGTTTTCCAGTCTTGCTCAGTCGCTCTCCATTCGCATGTTTCCTCGGTCGCGCGCGCTTGCCAGCCCGTCGACGTGACTGCGATGCCTAGCGCAGGTCCTAAGCATACGCTGACATTGATTGGATTCGGGATTCTAGAATGGAACGTGTACGCAGCCTGGATATGTGCTGGTATGTCCAATCACCGAAGCCACACCGTGCTGTGCACCCGGGTATCCGATTTGTACGTAGATGGTATCCTACACACATTTCGATTTGCTGATCAGTTCCAGGTTGCCACGAGCCCTCGGATACTTGCTGCCCTTCAGGCTCTTTCTGCCAGGGATTGCATACCTGCTGTCGGAATGGATCAACAGGCTGTGGAGAAGGTAAGGGATTTGTTAATTCATTTTCATTTCTGATCCTTTGCTAGGCTGCTGCGTTGCTGGCGTCCCGTGTTGCAATAATACTTGTTGTCCGAGCTCCGCCTATGTTTGCGATGCCAGCAGCGGGACGCCGACATGCGTAACAAACGGCACAGTACTCGCTTCAACTTCTTCCTACAGCTCTGCTACTGTCACTTTTCCAACACAGGCTCCTACGGATACGTCTCAACCAACCAAAACCAACAACACAGCTTTGATAGCTGGCGCATCCGCGGGAGGGGCAGTCGCCCTCATACTCATTGCCCTGGGCGCATACTGCGCTCTCAAGAAGCGCCCAGCCACTCCACTTGGGACGCAGCCCAAGGAGACTCGGATCGACTTGGCACCGACCCCGGTGCCCTACATCACTCCGAGTGCCGATAGAAGATACTCTCATATGAGTACCGTTCCACTGGCACGACCAGCCGTACCGTCATTGGTTGGGACTCAACCCACAGTATCGACAGTTGGCTCGGTGCTCGGAGACGTGAGCACGCATGGCCCTTCCTCCGCATACACTGGCATGGGATATACTCCATCACCAGCACCGGCAGAAACTACTGCGGCCTCCTCGCAGTCTGGTCGAGGTGCTAGTTACTATGCTAGCACGCCAATATACGACCTCGGTGGCGTTTCAACGACATCCCAAACTTCTTCGAATCCCAATCTGGCAACCTCTTCTCAACGCCGCTCTAATACACTGAGTTCCCAGGCGGGAATCGCGAACGCAATACCTCCATGGCTCAACGGCTCGGTTGTGTCGCACGGGACAAATGACAATCCAATGCCATCGACATCCCCACCATTAGGCTCTCAAGCTGCAGTCCGAGCGGACATTTCGCCTGTCGGTTCGCCACCCCCGCCGGCATTCTCCCCGCCTCCGCTAGATCTGGGTGAGGGAGGAGTTGGGTATGCCCCATGGGCGTACCCTCCCGAGGATATCAACTCTGGAGCCGGACGAGTTATCTCTACGGACGCTCCAAGAGATACAAAGGCTCGTCCTTCTGGTCGTCGCGTGTAATGACTATTTTTTTCCTAGGCCAACATAGTATATTTCATGAACAAAATTGACGACTCTTCGTGTATACATCGAATAGGACAAACAAGCGTTATACAGGTGCTAGTTAATCTACGTGATACAAGTGTACGTCAATGTGACGGGGTATTTCGATTAGATTTTTTTGCAAGAGACGGGATACTGTGATTACTGTGGCCATATTCCTTCGGCTCGGAAAGAGTCGACGGTCTCCTTCACGGCGTTGGCGTCAAAGAGGGGATATTGCATGGTATAGCCTACGACCTGGCCACTCATAAGTCGTTTATATGATAAAAGATTATAAAACGGACCTTCTTAAGCTGGCTACTGTTGAGTGCGCAACCACGCTTCCCAAACTGATGCGGGAAAATATATGGGGATAATGGAGACTCGCTTGAGGAACCACTCCTATACATCTCATTCCAAGTGCGAATATGGAGCTCGTTGGCATCCTGGTTCGAGTTCAACGAATGAAATACACGAGTAGGACCACAAACCTCGACGACATCATTAAACTTGAGTTTGACAATTTGATGAATAATTTCATTGTGGTAACCATACTTCATTCCAAGGGCCTGTAGAGGATGAATATGGGAAGTCCAAATGAGGGCAACGACTCACGTTTGCGATTGAGCTGCATATCCGCTCTTGGTCACTGTCTCCGTCATCGGAGAGATTAAAGACGGGAATTATAATATTGTTAGATGTAACTGCTTCTGGAACACTGGTCACCGTCTTATCTCCCGAGGGAGGGACAGAGACGCCAGCAAGCGTATCCAGCTCGGTGCGGCTCTTTGTCGACGCCCAGAGTGCAGTCGACCAAGCAGCACGCACGACATCCTGGACATGAATCGTGCACTTCTTGAGACGAGGGCCCCAGAGAGGCTTAAAGTCTTGACCGAGATACTTGTAAATGGCGCCGAGCATGATCCCAGTCGCAATGTCGGCACGTGGATAACCTGGACCGTAGGCGAATGCCTCTCTTAGAACGACCAGGGGGAGGTTTGGAACACTCGCGACAGCGCGGATCATTTCATGCCACCAGACGCCCCGAACCCCTAGTGGGCGCCAGCTGTCCACGTCGTTTTCATGGTAGGCCGACTTTTCGACCTTGTGATCGTATACTGGAGGGAGCATTCGAATATGCACCTTGACACGTTGTTGAGCCGCCTCGCGGGCAATGGTCAAGGCCACTTTGAGGGTATGCGTAATTTGAATCTCGGCGGGACGTTCAAAGGCTATATCTCCGCTGAGATCGAATATATGGGTGTATGGTCGTCCGTTTGGTGCTGGATCTGTAAAGCATCTGGCGACAGTTTCTGTGTAAACGTTAGCGACGAGAGCCGAAAGAAACAAGACTAGATATGGCCAACCTGCATTTGTGAGATTTGCTTGTCTATATTCGACTAGGTTTGCGCGCTCCTTGATGAGTTGAGGAAAGGCCTTGGGGACATACACGGTGGGCGGGGACATTGAATATTTATCTGCGATGCGGAGATGGTCGACCAACGGCTCTCCATTGAGTGGAACCAAGAACAAAGCGAGCACTGGGGTCAACCCGTTGGAGCCTCCTGGAAAAAGGAGCAGGCACCGTGCGTCAGCAGTCTGATGTGTATCGCGTGCGGCACTGCTGGACGTACCAAAGATCAAGACGTTTGGTTTCTGAGACATTAGAACGGCAACAAAGGGGATATCGAAGATGCAGGGTCGCAGAAGTCGCGTAGATTGCTTGGTCCAAAAGTATCCTTGGCAGTCAAGAAAGAGGGTCGAAAACGAGAAAGACGATGCCGAGACACAAAACGAAGATTGTGGTTGGAGCTCAAGAGACGGGTTCGAGTTTGGCCGGTCGTTGCCGTGAATAACTACCTGGGATTTGTGTGGCTCAACGTTGACACGTTATGAGACCGAGATTGACGGCTTTGCTTACGAGCCAGCACCTGGTTTCATCTGGCAACTGTTCGGCCCTAGTACCCCTTAGATTTCACGGGGCCGACGGGAAAACCTCCACCGTACATTTCGGCAATGTACCTCAGGTCCCCGTAATTCCGGATAGCAAGCAAAGCTAGAATTGCATTCACGTCGAGGATAACACAATTTGTGGCTCATCGATCTTCCGGTGCATTAGTGGCTGGTTTACTTCTTGACATCGCAGCCTGCCGGGCCACCAGAAGTTAGCCAGCTGGTGAGCAACACCTTTCCGGTTCACGTACCGCACGCAGGCCAGTTGGGGCAGTCAGTTGTCGTCGTAGACGTTCCTTGTTCACACTCGGGCTATTATCCGGTCAATGAAATTCGGCAACAGGCGCGACGAGACTGCAAACCATGGTGGTCGCAAAAGAGTAATAGGTCGATGAGAGAAGCGAGTTCTGAGCAAACCTGGGGTCTGAGATGGTCTCCTTTTATCCGTTTCTTGGCTATAGCCTAGACCCAACGCATCACAAGGTCTCGACAAGATGATCCTGATAGAAGGACGAGTGGCGTTTTCAATTCTCAATCTTTCGACGACCAAAGTCTCGGTCCGTTGGTCTACTTAAAGAGGAATCCTCATCCTAATCAGCGGGTGTTGGCCATGTGTCTACCGAGGCCGGTACGCGATCGTTATAGAGCTGCGACTTATCAGATAACTTCGTTGCATTCCTTTGCCTCCGCCGCTGTCGAATCTTCGGGGGTAGGCTCGTTATCAGATAGCGGCATTTGGGCCTCTTCGACTGTATTCGGCGAAACGAGGCGACGATCCGAGATGACGAGTCCCAGATTCGAATCGATTAGGAAATCTAGCCAGAAAGTGCTTAGTAAGTGATTCTCGCAGAGTGGATGCTGAACGACAATGTCATTCAAGAGCTAAGGGGAACATCCGCGCTCCCTGGGAGCTGGGGGGTTAAAAAGCGAAAGAGAACATGGAACTAATGTACCAGGAAAAAACGGACGTAGAACAGTTGGAGACAGAGCTCGCCTGCTAGGTTAAATGGGTAGAGGGGCGAGCTGTGGGTAGATGGGATCCGAACCAAAGATGAGACTGTGGAGACGTCGGGTGTATATAAAGCGTGAGGTGGTCGTCAGAGTTGGCTACGCTACGACACAGTTGCATCCCGTGCTCTGCGGCTGATAGAACGGATCCTCGTTCTTTGGCAGAGGACCCCAGACGGTTGGGAGCTGGGAAATGTGAATACACGTGATTAATATAGGCTGCTGTCAACTCACGAGGGGATCCTTGGTACTCTTGGTGTACCGAATGAGGCTCATCGACGCTTCGCTGACGCGGATTCGAGGACGGGCGAGATCGTCACGCAGACGCTGCAAGTATCGAATAGCGAGATTAACCGAGACAGGCGTGTGGGCGTAGGCGACGCGGGTAAAACCGTCAGCATGGGTCGCTCGGGGACAAATGCAAAGGACACGGAGGTCCACGGGGCGCATACCTGAATGTGCTCAGTGACTCTCCTGAGCTTGAGCTCGGACATGGACTGCTTGGGCTGGCGGCTGGACATTGTCGTAGAACGGTACGGAGGGCGGAAGGGTTCAAGGAGCGAGTACAAGCAAAAAGGGGCTTGAAGTAGACGACTGAGAAACAGATTGTTAGCGTCGTGGTGTCATGTTCAGCGACGCCCGGCCTCAGGTTCCCACACACGACGAGTCCAGCGAACGTCGTCGGCGGGGGCTGCGGGTTGCAAATAAAATGCAGAAAACTCACTCTTTGAGAGGTTTTGGACGGGGATTTTTGTGGTCTGATGCCAGCAGCGGAGTGCGACGGCAAAGGCGGAGTCCAAAGTCTAACAAAGCAAAGTTTGTCCGACGCTCTTTTCGGGAATAGCTTTGTTAGAGTTGGAACTGCCATTTGGAGCATTTCAACCTTTGAAATTTACGACTTGTCCCGTGCCTTTGTCATGGCGGACCGGGAACCTTTGCTCTCACCGACAGATTCAGACGACGAAAGGATAACAAACCATTTACGGGGCATTCTAGATCACGACGCATATCGCAGGCGTGTCCGCCAATGGCTTACAGCACCCTTGTTGATCCTCGTTCTCGCCGCAATGATCGTCCTTTTGTTTGTACTCGGCGGAAAGGATATTAGAGATGAGTGGATGCTGAGAGGAGACCCTTTGACTGCTGCAAACCGCATACTCGGCGAATGGCCAGTCATTGTACGTCGCTCGCAATGTTAGACAAGATGTGTATATTCACATACAGCAAGGACGGTCATATCGACCTCCCCATCCTCTATCGCGCTGCATTTGCCAACAACATTTCCGCCGTCAACTTGCGTCAACCGACTCTAGGTCATGTCGATATTCCTCGTCTTCGTCAAGGCCATGTGGGTGGGTTTTGGTGGAGTACTTTTGTTCCCTGTCCTACCACTATCAACGATGCCGACTTTGTCCAACCCAGCTGGCGTGTTCGGTGTGTTTTCTACATCAGTTTATTCCCATTTAACTTGCTTTTCTAGCGATACTCTGGAACAAATCGACGTTGCAAAGCTCGCCATGGAGCAATATCCAGACGTGAGCATCGTTGGTTCCATACCGGCGAGTCCACCCACCACCTCTAGGTCTTTGAGCATACCATGACGGCAGAAGGAGGCCGAAGAGCTATCCGATCCGGAAAGATTGCCGGCTGGATAGGCATTGAAGGGTACGCCGTTCGTCTTACAGGGGCATACCTTTGTCTGAGCCTCACAGGGCTCATCAAATTGGCAACTCTCTTGCAGTCCTGCGCCAGTATTACGATCTTGGCGTTCGATACATGACCCTCACGCATACGTGCCACAATGCCTTTGCAGATTCAGGCGGATTCCTGACGCCGTTGCCCCCCTTACATTACGGACTGAGCACGTTTGGGAGAGAGCTCATTGTTGAAATGAATAGGTAAAGGGACTACGACCTGTTGGCCTCCATCTGACGCGCAGCAGGCTTGGGATGATCATCGATCTCTCGCACACCTCGGACCAAACGGCAATTCAAGCGTTGACCCTAAGCCGCGCACCTGTCATATGGAGCCATAGCAGCTCTAGGGAAGTCTGGAATGTCGCACGGTACGTCTGTCATCCCAACAACTGGGCGTCGCCGACACGTCTTTTCTAGCAACGTTCCCAACGAGATTCTCGCACGAATCGGACTCGGAGAGGGTAAACGTGACGCAGTCGTCATGATCAACTTTGCTCCCTACTTTGTAGCCGAAAAGGGAATGGCAACTGTCGAAATAGTGGCAGACCATGTCGAAATGGTGGCCAATGTCGCAGGACGGATGCAGTAGGCGGACGAATGGCTCGTCATCTTTTTACTCATGACGTATCACAGCGTCGGAATTGGCTCAGACTTTGATGGCATCGAGGCAACACCCAAGGGTCTAGAGGATGTGTCCAAATACCCAAACTTGGTACGTTCGGATGTTGACTACTTACTTAACTGACGCAACGATAGTTTGCCGAGTTGATCCGCCGAGGTTGGTCGGTTACTGACCTTGCTGGTCTCGCAGGCGGCAACTTTCTCCGAGTTTTGAGCAAAGTAGAGGCAGTCTCGCGGGCAATGAAGCATGAAGGCACTAGACCCAGCATGGAGCTCTATGCAAAGCGACCAGATTTACCCATGCACGAATATCTGTAAAGTTCTATTAGATTGGTCACAAAATGACACATTTTCGCGTCTTCTTCGTTTCTGGAGCAGGTCTCAATGCTCTCGCTGCGGCCATAAGGAGCTCGTCGATCCCACTTCCATCCTTGGCGGAACACTCTACATAGTTGACTGCCCCAATCGATTTTTGTACCAGTTCCGCCTGCTCCGCGCTTACCCCGCCGGTCATGGTGCGCCGAAGGTCAGCCTTGCACCCAACGAGCAGAAAAGGCGCCTCCAACTTGGTACAAAAATGAAGGAATTCGGGGATCCACTTGTCGCGAACGTTTTGAAGACTCTTCGGGTCATCAACAGCAAAGCAGAGGACGCAGACATCAGTGCCTTGATAAGATAACGGCCTAATCCGTTCATATTCCTCGTATGGCCATGTATCCCACAAAGTGAAGAGCAATACTTTGCCCTCGAACCGTATGTCTATCTCATGCGTCTCGGAATAAGTAGGAATGAATTGCTAACGGTGTCAGTAAACGACTTATTTCAAAACGACCAACGGACTAGGTGATATTCTCCAGTTCGAATACAGAGAAGCAAACGAGTTTTTCCTAATAGGCTGCGTAAGACGGTTCGAGACGTGTTGGGAGAGACGGACCGACGTTGGAGTCGCCGATGAAGACGAGCTTTCTTCGAATCACCTCTGTCATGCTGGCCATTGTCAATAATGATCAAGTCGCACAAGTCGACAGTGACGGTCGCGCTTATTATCGCCGAGTCCGAGAAACATCGACCACCCAGCACCGCCCTATGGACACCATCAGAATCCACTTTACCAAGAGATAGCGGGTCCTACTTGACCGATTTGTTGTCTATGAGCCACCCAAACGGACGATCCACCAACATTCGGCTCGGGACGAAATTGGGTGATAGGGCCTGCTGCGCTGTCAACCGACGTAGACTGCCTAGTTCCGTGACGCTAGTGTATGCTGTCTGAAGTGAAAAGCTGGATGCCTGCAGCTTGTCGAACTAGGCGGGTTCGACTGTCTGGAACTGGATCTAGTGCGACAGTCTGAAGCGGATTCAGGGTACCCTGCAATTCTTTTCGTCCAATTCAAAACACATGAGCTGGATCTCGACTTCGTTTGGCATATAAAACTTGTCCAGATTGTCAGAGTGGTTTTCTCCTCAGGTCAGTCTAGCTGAGTCCAGCGCAAGTCGAGAGGACTGGAACATATTATCCCATTATGAGTATATAAACTCATATATTTGGATCCTATGATTCGCTGTTCTTGACAAATGGCCCCGAAACTCATCTAAAATCGATCAAATAGGACTTCAAGCTGATTGCACTTGCCGTATCTGTCTGGTTGTCCGATCAATAGGGCAATCTGCCACTTTTTGAAATTATAGGAAACCTTGTTGGCAGGGTCAGGCTCAATTGATGACACTGATGATCAACAGGCCACTGAGTAACCAAACTACAGCCATCTGTATCATCAACACTTCATTTCTGATTGGTTTTGTACTCGATATCGTGGTCGCATATGGCTCTTTTATTATCTTTCGATGGCTAAGGCGTCTCACCGACATGGGAAAGGAACATCTACATCACCATGTCAAACGCCACAGAGAGATACATAAGAGCGGTTCGTCTACTAACCGCAATGTAGTTTGGTGGTCCTCTGTCGCCTTTCGCTTCGTACTGGCCCTGACTCTTTCTGGCGTTGGGCCCATGCCATTTGGTGTTCAGGTGTATATCTGGACATTTCAGAGACGAGTCGTCGCTGTTCTGGTCACAATCTCCTACCCTGGTCGCCATCCCGCTGTTCATCAGTTTTAATTTGATCAGGCGGGGTCCCAGTCACTCGACGGAGACAGATAATACGTCAAGTATACAAGTTCGTATCCTAGCCAGTCTGTGATCTGGGCTGTATCCTGGGCACCCAGAAGATCTGGATGCACTCTCTATCATCTGCAAGCCAGGAGGACAGGGTGCTACCCGGTAGTGGGTGGGGATATTATTCCTGGAATTGGAGTCCCTTTTTGAACAAATCATCGTCTTATATTCGTGGTTCAGTAACGTCCTTTACGATGTAGACGCGTGGAACAATGGAACACCAGTGTCAAAGAGGGCGAATCCATTCATGCACAAAATGTCTATAAATCATCACAGAACAACGCATATTCGCCTCTTCTTGGCCCCGGAAGTCGTGAGGGCTGCCCTTGCCGCGGTAATGATAAGCTCATTGATGCCTTCATTATATTTGGCAGAGCATTCTACATACTTGATTGCTCCAATGGCTTGTCGTATCGACTCGATTTGCTCCACGCTTGCCCCGACGGCGTCATGTCGAAGGTCGCCCTTGCACCCAACGAGCAAAAAAGGCGCATCCAGCTTGGTCCTAAAGTGAAGAAATTCGGGAACCCATTTGTCACGAACGTTTTGAAGACTTGTGACGCTATCAATGGCGAAGCAGAGTATGCAGACGTCGGTTTCTGGATAAGATAATGGCCGTAAACGATCGTAATCCTCTTGTGAGGCTGTATCCCACAATTCGAGTTCAACTGGTCTCCTATCGACATCTGTATTGTGCCAGTACCCGCCACGGAAGGCAGGAAGGAATTGCTAAAAATGTTGAGGATCAAAACTATATCAAAACAATCACATTACATCGTTGTATTCACCGCATTGAATGCGAATAATTAAACGAGATTTCCCTGGCAGACTTTGTTAGACGCTTGCGGAAACCTCAGGACAGACGAACCGACGCCAGAGTCACCAATAAAGACCAGCTTCTTTTGAACTGGATTTGTCATTCAGGCAGATGGGACACGGCCGCAAGCACTTGGTAGGTGTAAGAATGGTCGGCTCCAAATCGACTTGACCACTCATGACCATGCTTTAAGTCATGTAGCTCTGTATACTCAATATAATGAGGGTTATACATATTTCTGATGGTCGAGTTTCCCTTTATGACGTTGCGAAATGACAGTCTTTAGAACCCACCGCGGAACACCTATCCTGGTCACCCGCCCCCTTATTGGTCATACTTGGGTTATTTATTGTTTATATATATATATTGATCTGGTCCAGACACTGGTGCTGGTAGGAATCACGTGCAAAGCTGCCCTGTAATCTTCACTTACTTTGTGCCATGCAACAGTCACCCGGTCAACAACCGTGATTTTGGTAAGATTATACTTTACACTATATTTAAATAATTATAGGTCTGAGGTTTATGCTACAAAATCAACCAGTGTTGCTTGTGGTGTGCATATATTGTGTTACAGAATCAGAGTGACTTCCGCACCTTCTTCCTTTGCGTTCGATCTTGAGTGTTGATGAGGTGTCAGATTGCTGGTCGACTACTGCTCTTGAACCAAGTTGCAACAAAATTTGCGGATCTGGGGCCACGGCGTTTCATATACTATATCCACGTAAACGGTGCTCAAGATGGTTCGATGGACCTTCGCGCTTCCCCGGCTTAGATGAATTTGAAAAGACATGACAAGGCATATTCAGCGGTAAGAAGAAAGATCTTTGGGATAAAGTAACGATCTTGTTTTAGACATGTCGTCAAGCATAGTTGACAAGAAGAATCGGTTCCTCGATGCACATCGGATATTGCAAAAATACACCCCATAGCACCAGCCAGTCGATTCAAAGCCATGTCCAACGCCCCTTGAGCTTCCGCTATGGGCCGCCGACAATATTGAACCAATAGCCAGGTTTCCATGCAGTTTATCTAGTTTCAAAACACGCTCAGGGCTAATTCATCGAATAGGCCAAAATTTGGATTGTGTTTACCCTGGGCAAGCTCTACACACCACCGTGGCGCCAATACGACGATCTACATCGCAATTTGATGCATTTGAGATTGACCCGTCGGAAGATCTACCATTCTGATGTCCATATCGTCTCATTCCTTCCGGAGACCCTGAAATAAAATTGTAAGCTTCTCTCATATCCTGGAATGACAATCAATCTCGCATCATCTCATCTACGCTCTTCATGTCTACCCACAAAGCATCCTGAGGCCGTCGTAGGGTCGAGATGATTTGAGGATCATCACCGGACCATGTATGCAGGTTCGAGACATCGGGGACTGTTCTCCTCATCTCTCGACGCCAGCCGAGCAATCTTGAAGTACAAATCTGGAACTGGAAGAGTGGTGCCTAGGCAGGTCCGTTAACAAACCAAGTGCGCCATCGATACTCATTTCCGAAGGTATTCAAACCGTCTGCGGGTTCGCCTTTCTGCAGAGGTGAACTCGTACGTTCCAGGAAGGCAAACAAGGCATTGAATTGCACGTACGGAGGCTCCATCTGCAGAAAACATTTGTCCCCGCTTGAGTTGGAACCTACCTCAGTGGACGCTTCTAAGGATGGGACTGACATCTACGCCCCGCGATTGGATACAGATTCCCAACTATCCAACCACTTGTGCATTAGTCCATATGTCGCGACGAAACATCGGAATCGCTCATGTATCTACTTTCAACTGCCGCCGCCATTGATCCATTTCAGGCCATTGCGTTCGCTGTTCCTGAAAGAGGAAGCGTTAGGCGAGAATGAAAGGTCTCTGACACGACGTGCATGGGCAAGGGATATTTCATTTCGGCTTTTCAAAACCTATATATCTTTTGACTCTGGGACGTCGGCTATTTGTGGTTCTCGCCTGACTCTCCTCTCGTATGTACCGAATCTGTTTCGAAGGTCCGACTCGAGTCTGGAGATAAGCGGCCTTTGGTGCGCTACGACTCCACACAGAGCATCGCTCTAGACTTCGGTCATAGATCCTCTCGTCGTCAGTTTTCGCATGGAGAGGGCGAAAAAAGATCTCGTAACCCACGCAAGTCGTCGCAATGTCCACGCTCGATACTCTGCGAGCGGGCATATCAACTTCCCTATCGAACCTTGGCACCTCCACACGAGTTCGCGGGAAATGGACTGAATGCGTTTGGTTCAAGCCATTATCTTAGGATCGAACGTGATAACAACGATGTAGGCGAATGCATTTTGTTACTGCTCAACTTATGACACTTTGTCAGGGACGCGCTTACTGCTCTGTGTTTCCTTCGTGGGAAGTTTAGACGCGCTTGGATCCTATTCATGGCAGAATATATATCTTTTTGTCTCAAGGCAAGTAGTGGGTGAATTGGAGGGTATTGTTGGGCTGCCTTTCTCTCCAAGCCACAATTATTGTCAATTATTGAGATGACTTAGGGCAAGTTCCACTCGGCAATTGCTCTTAGCCGCCTCTCGGTGTTGCCCGTCTTATAACCTCCGAGCAGAGGGTAGGTTGGCACCAAAATATTCCTTCGAGACAGTGGCCCCTCCAGCAAACGAGAATATGATGTATTGAGCTTAGTTGATCTAGACCACGTTCTTGAGTGCTCGTAGAAGACAAACGCAGAGGAGATGCGACAAGTTTTGGAATTGACAGCGAAATAGATGCCTACGCGCAAGCACGTCCATGAAAGATGTAGAAGTCCCAAAATACGGCGCTTTGCCGCGGAGAATACAGTATTAACGAGCCTTTGAAAGGCTTGGTGGTCCACCACGGTGAAAGGCAGATAATGATAAGGCGGTTAGATTCGAGTGTCGTAATGTTTCTGGAAGATGGAGAAGTGAGGCGACTTGATCGATTCGGCCTCTGGATTACACACTTGGTCTCCTCTACAACTCCACGAAGATATGCTGATCCAAGCTCACGGATGAGCGAGCGTTTCACCCGTCAAACTTACTCAGCTGTTATCGAAGCACGTCGCGAAACAGGCCGAGTCTCTGTTTTGGGTCTAGGTTGCACACTTGATCTCGTCCACAACCTCGGTTGCGGTATGCCAACTCAGCTCAACGGATAAACAAGTATAGCACGCGTAAATACCCTCAGAACGTGCGGAAACACGACATAATACTCGCCAAGTACGTGTTGGGATGGTCGCTGATACAAAGCTCGCTATCAGACGCGTCATACTGCAGGGCTTCCCGACCAGGTCATCAAATCATTGTTCCTGTATCTTCTTGTGACCTCTATTGAACCATCCGACGCGGTGACTCTCGAACACCAACGCCCAAATGCGTCGCCGCCTCTACAAATACGTCGTGTTGGACAACAAGAAAGCCTTTTACGGCACCTGCGGCCTTAAAGTGTCTTGTCAGGGACGCTGGTCACGAGCAGTGTGCTGCCCGCGTCTGTCACTCGCGGACCAGGCGGCGTCGAGAGGGGTCGTCTCATCAATGGGAGAGATCTGACTTCACTTGGGTGAGGTGACGACGATCCCGGCAAAACCAGCGGACCTGCCTGGTCCTCGAGGCTGCGAGGCGGCAAGGTGTGCGATTCGAAGGGTTGGAACTCATTGCTGATATGCAATATTACTTCTAAATAGGCACATTTGGAAGCACGTTATGAAGTTGGTCTTCTCAGAATAACCTCCTAACGACGTGTAACCTCCTGTATTCTCGCTAGGAACGATATATGCCCGTATCATCACGACCAAATGCTCAAGCGAATCTATGCCATCGATGAACCATATATCGGGCGAATAGATGCAGACCTCTGCTTCTCAATGATCGCCGGCAAAGTTGTCGTTGTCGGTCCTGGAGCAGTTGGCAAGTATTCCAACCACCTCGTTGCACACTCCCGAGGACTATAGGCAAGGCGTGTCTCGCTACGCGCGCCATGGCGGTGCTTTTCGCACTGTACGTCTCTCCAAACGCAGGACTTGCTAGCTCGTAGGTCTCGCAGGATCGCTTCGCAGGAGCTATAGAGCCGGCAACGCGTACAAAGGATCCATCTCACGGCGTATCGCAAGGCGTGCGGCGCCGGTGTGCTACAGTGTCACTCTCTCGGTTTCATCGGAGCACTTGAAACTCCTTTGGGTACCTCAAGTCGCGGAGTACGCTTTGGACACGCCCGCCCACTGTCGTCGGGCGGAAGTCAGATCTCGAGACGCGCGTTCATAAGTCAAAGCGAGGTGTGGCAAAAACGAACTAGTCTGACTATGAGTCATGACATTGATCGCTCGATGAGTCTAGAACCAGACGCGGTAATGGCGCTACTTCCATCTGGGAGAGGAGGCTGCTTTATATCGTCCTCACCACACTCAGGAGATGGCTCATCAAGTCCATTCCTGGCAGGTTTGGTAAGCCTATCGATGTAGCAATGTCATAGATTGATAGAAGAGGTTTGAGAGCTTTAGCAGAGACGTCTGTAAGCGTTGACCTTTTTCACCACAAACCGCCCTCATGGTTCGGGAGCAAGCTTGGACTCTGCTGTCACTCGAGTTTGTCATGAATAGCCGATTAGAGCCAAAACTTTACGCTAATCAACCACAAACCTCCTTAGGTGCTGTGAGGAACAGGAGGTCTCATTCTTTACAGCCGTTGTCAAAAACCTTGACCCTCGACTCACCAAAGTTTCGACCAAAACTTAAAAAAATTCACTGTGCCCGCTGCATCGCACCCAAAATACCGAAAGTACTCCTGTATTTTTTTAATCTAGTACAATATGCCTAAGAAACAAATTAAAGGCAAAAAACCCACTGCAAAGCGTGAGTAGCCTGACTTACCAGTCATGGGATGATAGCTGAGGCCTAAAAAAAGGTGAAGAGGGACTAAACCCTCTTCTCAAAGTAGAAGAGGCGGTTGCAGCTCATTTTCCAAAGGGCTTGCCTCCGGACTGGAGGATTCCCAACCATTGGCGAAGCTCCATCCCCAAATGGCCCAGAGACATTCTCTGCGTATTCACTGTCTTCCGAAATCATAGAGGATATGGATAAGCCTCTAGAAGAGGCAAGAGAGGTGGAGAAAGAGCTCATAAAGCGGGCCGAGGCCGGCCTCGCAAAAATGTAAGTGTAAATTGAGCTTGGATGGAGACAAAGCTAACAAAAGATAAATAAATATTCAAATAGACTACATTGAGTGACAATAAGATCCCTGATATGTCTGCTAAGAGGCTCGACGCTGAGCTAAACCTGCCTGGCAGGAGGACAAAGCGGAAGGCGGACATTATGAAGATTGGAGAGGATTCTTATAGTGAACTCGACACTATGAAACCCTTTAAGTGGAGGTGTGGCTTGCAATTGCGGCTCCAGCTCCACAGAATCGTCATGGCTTCGGGCAAAAGCTGTCAAGATCAGCTCAAAAGGACTTAGAATATAAGATAGGTTCATTTTACCTCCGAGAAACCGATACCTGGGCGGATTCCTGGCCAGTGTGCAGAAGAACTGGGTCTCAAGCAAGCCGAGAGTGTGTACCTGTTGCTCAAATGCGCTGGAAGGCCAAAAAGAAAAGTCCTGGGAGAGAGATATTTCACTACTTGAAGCTGCATTTTAACATGAAGTCGTAGGTGTCGAACAAAATCTGGCAGAATTCATCAAGTGTTCGTCAGACTCCCCAAGCCGGAGCACTCTGCTATAACTTCTGGTACTGTATGTCTTTCAAAACAACTATATTGTACATGGAGCACTAAACTATTCCAAACAGGCTGACGGGGAGGAGGAGGATGCAAAATTAATTCAAGGCTCAACATTATTTGACCCTGTAAGGATCTTCGTTCATACCACCCCGACTCTAAATATTAGAAAGGCCGTCGAAAATAAGATGACAGAAGTCCTGGAACAGCTGAAGAAGAAATACCCAATGGACACATGCAAAAAGCACCCAGATATCCGCCGTGTTCACCAAGAATCATCTGCAAAACACTTCAGTGTTGTCATATTGCTCTCAAGTCATGGGCGGTGGCCATAGTGAGCTCCTTGCCAAGTCTTAGGGGCTGAGACTAACTTACCGCTTGAAGCTCAAGAAGGAGACAGACATCGACCATATACCACAGAACAATATACTCAAGGATTCTGTTATCAAAATGACCCGGAGCACATCTTCAGTCACAGAAATCACTATCTCTGGGCCTCTCGCAACTATCGACCCTAGCATGATGCTGGGAGGCTTAATCCTACAGTGCTTGGTCAAATGATTGGTGCTTCACTCATGCCAGTATTTACGATGCACAGAGGTTTTCCTCCTCAACATATCGACACCACTCATCTCCTTTCCTTACCCAAAACTCCACCTTCACCACCAAATGCCTCACAAAATGATCGTGAGACATCATCACCAATCAGATTCTGTGATACTAAAAATATCTCATTGGAAACTTGGGGACAAAAATATGGGATCGCCGCGGACTCTATGACACTCTTGAAGGAGATAGGGTTTGTTCCTGGGCAATCTCTGGATGATTTCAGAGAGAGATATCCAGAGGAATACAAGAATACAGGTTTTAAACCGCTCAAATGGGATCGAGTCACCAAGGCGGCAAGAGTTTGGAAGAAAGCGCTTGCTGTGATGGCTGGGGAAGATTAAATCGCTTGCTACGTAGATTAAAATGATCATTTATCCATTATCGAGCCATTTTACTTGAATTATTCTAGCAATATCCAGAGTGAAAAAAACAGCCTCTCGATTTGACAGCTGTCACTGCACTGCATGCAAGTAATAAGGTCTGTTGTGGATCTCCATCATCATTTGACGATATTGACGTCGGAGGTATGCTTTCACTAGGTGCCTGTGAGCGATGTCACACCAACTATCAAGAAGCCTCACCAGCGGAGAAGCTCTCCTCAATTGGGTTCAACTCTGGTGCATAAGGTGGTACAAAGTGTATAACACAACCTTGGGCAGTATTATTCTCCCAATTTACCATGTTCACCAAAAGTAGCATACCCATTCCCTCAATTAGATCTCGCAGATGCTCGCTCTTGTGAACTGAACAATTTCCCATCAAACTTACACTTCTTGGCGCGGGAAATGGTTGCATATGAGGCACCTGGGCTGTGTCAGTTGTTGCGAAATCAGATTGAGTTCAATGGGTACTTACCACGTCGTTTATGATGAAGTCTAAGAACTCCAGACTATCTAAATTACTCTCTACAGCACGTACAGCAATATATTCATCCACTGTCATTGCTGGAAGGAGTGAGAAGCAGTCCTCTCTGGGAGCATCCACCTGTCGAACCACATCCTGACCTCTACAGAGCCACCTGTTGTTCTGTAGAGTGTCCTATCTTTATCTTTAATTGATCCATCAATTGCAATGATCTGGTCTGTGCGAGAGCGGCGCCCAAAATCTGCTTTCCAGGCAGCAATCTCTCCTCATCTCGACCATATGCGCGCAGCTTGAGCTTCTTTGAGTATCCAAGGTCATGATAGCTCTGTAAATGGTGGAGCTGGGATATGCGGGCGTCCTTGAGCAATGCCAGCCACTCATGCTTCTTCCTCCCGAGAAGGAGGTCAGGATTGTTGGTGAGGAGCTCGTCAAGATGCTCTACATCCCAAGCATTAAGATTGCGAGGTTTTCCAGAGAGGACTGAGCGAGGGGGGGACACGGATCCATATTTTTCATAATTTTTCTTCCATCGCTTCAAACTTGACTTTGAGACGCCGGGGATGCTTGAAACGTCATCATAAATCTCTGTATGATCAAGGAGGAAGAGACAGCGTTGCTTAAAGTCATTGCTGATTTGCCTATATGGCATACTATGCAGGAGCCTTGGCACGGGTTCAAGCGTAGTCCCACCCAGACTCCTTCCGCCCAAGCCATAGGCCTCATTCTTTGGCATAAAGTCATTCAACTCAGACAAAAATTATGGGCACAAATTTGAGATTTATTATCACCCCTGGATTTTAGACGCAAACTCTGCACAATTAGGTTTGACTCGAGGTCAAGGTTTTGACAACGGCTGTAAATGCCAGAATGTAAGGGTGGAACCATAGTAGGTGTCCCATGCAGCGACGGTCAGCGTGCACACGAAAAAGTACTTGTGCGCGCTCAGGCGCGGCGGGAGATTGAGATACGGAGGCAAAAGTGCAGAAATATCGAGTCCCGCTCATGGTCAACGATGGTCATGGAGGAGTCCAAGTGCAGCCCTTGCTTTGTCCGCGCCAACTAGGGAATCCATACCGACGCCGTGGGTAAAACACTGCCACTGCGACTTAGGCAACGTTGGGATCGGTTCAGGTGATGCGGCTTATATCACCAACGGTTATAGATCCCCGTACTCAGCCCTCACTACCGGCGCGGTATTGGCCATTACGAATAGGCGCGCGTAACCACCTTAAATTGGGTCAATAGCCTTGATCAACCCTTGTGCCAGCACCTCTCAATGCTGATGAACCTACACAATACACGGACATTGCGGATATGACAACTCCGCGTTTACGGAAAAGAGGACCCTGGCTACCATTTACTACGGCGCAGGATATAACCCCCGGCCCTCGGTCTCCCTCTCTATTCTCATTCCTTCCTCTCTCCTTTGATCTCCCTCTCATTTACTATGCAGGTCAACGAGGTACCTACTTCACGTCCATTGTCCGTCCCCGGGAGGGATCTCGTCGGTGGTGGTGCAACCTACGACGGGGTGAGCTCGAGCTATCTAGGAGACGGAGGCAAATCCCCTTGGCCTCGCGATACCGCATACGATTCGGAAGAAAAGGCTGGCGAGCGTCCAAATCCACACCGCAAGTATAGCAAAAAGTGGTTCGACTACGCTCGCAATCGGGCCGTCGAAGTCGGCAGATGGCCCCGGGTGACTTATGCGTCCATCGGAATCATCTTGATCGTCGTCTGGGTTGGCATCATGTAAGCATCCACGGTAGTTTCCCGTTAGCACCCGAGGCTGACCGATGTCAGGATCGTCTTTGCCAAATCAGAAGTGAAAGCCCAGAGGAAAAACTCGGATTACAATGGGGGTAAAGGCCGGGTCGGTGGAGGGGCTTCAAAGTTCCAGGTGTGACCTACCATTTGGCATCAGTGTCGGGCTGATATCCCCTCGCAGCTTTTGCTCAAAGGGACGCTCAAAAAGTTTGACCCCATTGAGCGCAACCTCCGCGTATCATGGGCACTCGTCTACGTCGACAACACTACTGGCATTGTACATCCATCAGGTGAAACTCCCGAGGACAGGTGGCAAGTCAACCTGTACCGCGACGTCAAGGCCGTCCCCGAGGACCGCCAGGGTAATGCGACCCTCCTCGCAGAGTTCGACCTCACCCAAGCAGAGCTCGAGAGCACGTATCGTGTAGACAATGTTACCCAACCCCCCATCGCTACACTCGGCATGCATCCATTCGACAGCGTCGACACCAATATCGATTTCAACCAGGCGAAGGAGGAGGACGCGTTTGCGCAGCCACTCTTTGCATATCCATTCGACGTTTGTACGGTATTTTCCCCTTTTGGCTGTTCCCCGCTGATCTTTCTTGGATAATAGGGCAAGGGTCCATCGTATTTGCCATCACAGACCGAGGTCAGCCTCTTACCCAACTCTATGTTCGTTCACTTAATCAGACCCAGTGGTCTCGGATCGGCTCAACCTGACAAACAATCACATCCTCAATCCCGGAGGAGCCATATTGCGCGACAGCACCCGTGAGTGAATCCACCACCATGATCTCATCCCAAACTTACAATTGTCACGACAGTCAATTGGCGCATCCAACTCGCCGCAAACAATACCTGCGACCTCGCGCCAGTCGATGCTGGCTGCGAGCTGCACCTGGATTTTACGGGCCGTCGACCCCCGCTCGTCAAATTCGCCGCCATTCTCGCCGTCATGATCAACTGGGCAAGCACCATTGGCATCTTCTTGCTCACATGCGAATCCGTCGTCATGCGTCGTACCTACATCCTCTCCGACACGGATATCCTCGGCGTTTGCGTCAGCGCGCTCTTTGCGCTGCCCAGTGTCAGAGCTATTCTACCGGGTGCACCAGATTTCGGTGCAATCAGTATGTCCTTCCCCATTCACTATCGTTCCTCCTCAGGCTAATGATGTTCGTTAGTCGACTTGATTGGAATCATTCCGAATATCATCGTCGTATCGCTTTGCACGACGGCTATCGCACTCTCGAAACTCACCATGCGCCGACCGAAGAACGAATAGATTGGTGCCGGCGAACACAAACGAGGTTTGCCCACTTTTAGCGGCCGTATTATCTCCTCTGTCTGTCATTTAACGCGCTCTTTCGTAAATATTTTGTATCAGAGACTTTCTTTCTAACAAAGCACACCTTCGTTGTCGACGGGCTACCCAAAGCGACGCTGCTGAGTCGCGCTTCAGCTCATGCGACATATGGGGACGAGAACAGTAATGTCATAATAACTCGACGGCATTCAAGAGAGGACAAACTGCAAGATAAAGCCGAGACGAGATCAGGCTTTGGTCTTCATCTGTCACCAGCGCGAGAGAGTGGGCGTAGACAAAGTATAAAAGCGCGCGAGGGCAGTCGATATGCAAACATCGCCACTAGTTGCTGCTACTAGCTGCTAGTAGTGGCTGAACCCCCCCAACGAGCCATTATCCCAGATCCCTTGGCGTGGGCAAAACACCGCCACGTATATTTCCTACCGCGCATACTGCCTCAACTCGTAGGGCATATGCTCCCTCAACATGGTTCAAGAGGCTCTGATAGTCGCCTTGCTCCTCGCCGCCGACTCTGGAGAGGTTCCACCACCTGACCATCTCATCAAATACGGAACACACCCTTTACAGTATTCCGGAACGCCCCTGTTCGTGTTGCTGGGCTGGCTGTACCGCCCAAATATTGTATGGGCGCGCATCTTGAGCTTCCATAAGACCGTCCAGGCAACAGGCCAGACCGTTAACGATACTTGCGAGTGGAATTTACCGCGACTTCAAGGCTGTCCCAGACGACCGTCAAGCCAATGCGACGCTCCACCAACAGTATGACCTTACCCAGAGACTTTCCACAAAGCCGTCCCGGATAGTTTATATAAAGGCCGCGCTATCGCCACACTGGGAATGCCTACAGGGATGGATGATGAGTGACACCGACATCGACTTTACCATTTATAGGAGAAGAGACTGATGAGATGAAACCACTCTTTGCATATCCGTTTGATGTTTGTGCGTCCTATTTCTCCTTCACCTGTACCGGAACTCTGCTTATACTCTCTGATATCAGGGCAAGGGTCGATTGTATTCGCTCTTACGGTATACCGAGGACGACATGGGCATGACGGCAAAGCCCTCATTCGGCGAGATACAGCACGCCACCACGTACGACCTCCGTCCCGCTTCATCCTTTCGGCCGACATCACATTTTCCTACTATCACGAGGACTAGATAGAACACAGGAGCAAATCGAAATGCGTCCTACGCTCCGCCTGCCGCGCCGGCCCATGCGCTCCTTCGACATCCTACCGTCACCTTTCACGCAATTTCTTTGTACTAGTTTGACCTCTCATCCATATCTGTCTTGTTCGGCACCCTGACGGTTCACCTCCATGCGTCTTCGACCTTCCAAGCCGCATCTTTGCTCTGTCTCCATTTCGCTTGTCGATATTGTCTCATGAAACCCCTGTTTGACTCTTCGAAATCCCCTTAAATTTCTTTCGTTTTCACCGACGAGCACCTATATAGGCTGCCTGTATTTCGGTAGTTTTCCACATGTATGTTATTCTGTTGGATAATATGCGTGTACAGATTATGTAGAGCGAATATATACGCAGAGACTCTTCAGGCGTTGAGTCCTGGCAAGCGAATGAGAGGGCAATATTCTATCTATGATTGAGACGTTGCTCATCGCTCTTATATACATGCTGCTAGAGTTGACGATTACTAACTAAGATTATCTGTGAGGCTATACCAATTAGCCCGTGGAGCCTGACTCCAGAGCCGTGTAACGCTTTGATTACTCTTCGGCTAATCTCCAACATACTCCTTCTACGCTCTTAAAGTTGCCCACGTCAAACGTTCTAAGGCCTCTCTCATCGTCGTTTTCCACCTCCCATCGCCTACGTTCCATCCACGCCTCAACCCCTATTCGCCACCTAATAGACAACGTCTAATTAGCTCACAACGGTCGTAGATTAACCGAGTCAATACACTACCTAATAGACAACGTCTAATTAGCTAGTGTAGGGCGTGAGAAACGGTCGTATGAAAGAGTCGGTGGTCTCACCTCACAACGGTCGTAGGTTAACCGAGTGAGGGACCACCGCCACCAGCGACACGTCGTCCAATCTGGACAGCTACGTTACGGGTGAAATGTACAGACAATTATTACAATGTACACTAGTGTAAACTAACAACCCGATCCATTATTCCATCCAGGCCATCCGGCCCTGTTTTCAACGGACCGAAGTGAGCATTTCGCATACTCCACGTCTAGTTACTAAGTAGTCCCGTATTTCTCGAGAGGGGTTAATCTCATCAACACTGGCATCATGTCTCTCTACGGTGCGATATGCGAGCGATAGCACCCGTACGTCGACAAGCCGTTGCCTTTCATCAGGCTCACACTGGAATAGTAAACTGGCGCATTCAAGTCAGCGCAAATGATACATGCAGAGTCGATGCAGTCGATGCTGATGAACTGCATCTCGGCTTTATTGGCCGTCGCCCCGCACTGGTCAAGTTCGCAGCCATCCTGGCCGTTATCGTAAACTGGACGAGCACAATCGATATCTTCCTCCTCACGTGTGAATCCGTGGTCATGCGCCGTGCCTACAGACTCGCCGAGACGGACATTCTCGCCGAGACGGACATCCTCCGGGTCTGTGTTGGTGCCCTTTTCGCACTGCCATCTGTCCGAGCCATTCTGCCAGGTGCCCCTGACTTCGGTGCTATCAGTACGTAATCATTGCTATTTTTAGACGTTTGAGCTAACTGTGTCTCCCAGTCGACTTGATTGGAATGATTCCCAATATCATCATCGTCTTATATCACTCTCGAAACTCGCCATGCGGCGACCGAAGAATGAATAGATTCGTTCTACCGCTGACAAGTGGGCTTCATAGATAACTTATCTTCAGCTTTGGTCACATTTAGGCTTCATGTGCATCTTTACATAATTATCATGTACCAGCGACTTTGATTTACAGAACACGCCCCCTTGGGGACTCAAGCTGGCCATCACAGGCTCAAGACCCCCGCCACGCTAACCACGGGATACGCCACCAAATATGGTGGGTATAACCAATATTCACACACCGAAAGCGAAAATAGTAAAGAACTTGCACCGTTAACGCGCAACAACGGGAGACCCTGACTACCCACATTGCCAAAACACAGCAGAGATATGGGACAGTACACCACGACTAGTGCATGTCATAACCTCCCAGGATCAATCATTTGACCCTAGACGACTCTAAAGAGCAAAGCGAGAGAACCTCTGACTTGGAACCTCT